TTAAAGATATTCTTAACTTATATTATTTCTTATATAAATCTTCTAGATAGATAGACTCTAGAAACTCTTTTATTTAATATCTTAAGATATATTAATCTCACTATTATAAGCTCTTTAGTCTATACTTTATAGAGATATATTAATTCTATTATTATAAGCTTTAATATTTATATCTTTTAAAAGTATATTAATCCTACTAATATAAACTTACTAATCTATATTTCTAATTTTTATTATAAGATAGATAGTAAATCTATTTATAACTTTTTAGTTCTAATTTTAAAGAAATCTAAATATCAGAATAAAGTATTAGCTAGATTTATAATCTTAAACTTATATTTAATTTAAAAATCATAAACTATTAATAATTATGCCTATTTTATCTGCTTAGTATTGAAAGTCTTAATAGTAAAGAAATACTATAAATTATTATAGTCTATCTATATACAAATAATATACTTATTATCCTCTAAATAATAATACTACTTTTTAAAGATAAATACTATTACTCTAAATTCTTAATTATGAATCTTCTATTAGCATTTAGTTTCAATATATTTCTATAATAGAAATACTACTAGATACTAAATATATTAGCTTTAAATTAAAATTAACTCAATCTTAGATTAGAATAATATAGTTACAGCTTTAATAATCAATATATCTATAATAATTTTAATCTTCTTTTTAGAATTAAAGTATTATACTATTAAAAGATTTTTAAAGATCTATTTAAACTTATTAAAAGCTTCTTTTATCTCTAAAATTAGTTTAAAACTTTATTTAAACATTGCTTCACTAGCTTTCAACATCTTTATTAAAAAAATAGAAATTATAGAAAAATCATATATAAAATATCTAAAAAAGTTAATAAATCCAAAAAAGATTTATATCTTATAAATCAATTTTAGTTTAAGCTAGCTATAAATTGTTTCTACTTAGTCTATATCTATCAAGATACTATTTTCATTAACTATATAATTAAAAAATTTGATTCTCTACTGATAAAAGCTATATTTAAAAATTTTAATATAGAGATAATTATTTTAAAACCACTATAATACAGTCTTAATATACTTTATATACTTATTTTCAATCTTAAAAAAGATAAGAATATCATTTAAATAAATAATAATAAAGTTATTAATTAGATTATATATAATTTGATAAATATAGGATTAAAATATGATTAGAGTATTAATTAATTTAAATAATATAATTAAATATTTAAAATAACTATAGTATATTTAGAACACTATTTTCTATTTATCTTTATACTTTATTCTTATTTAATAATAAACATCTTAGAGATCTATTTTAATAAAGAATTTTAATCTTACTAAATAATTTAATATCTTATTAATCTATAATAGCAAATAATAATTTTTAATTATTAGATCATTTAAACCTCAATAATCAATATAGATTTAAAGTAAATTATTAATCTTTTTAATAAAAAGAATTAGTGTATCTATAAAGCTTATAAATACATAGATCCACCTTTTTTATTATATTTCTTTAAGATATTTATATAGATAATCTAATTTAATTCTAAAATATATATAAAGAGAGCCTTATAAAGATCTCTTTGATCTATTTTTTAATGAGATCTTGTAAATCATATTCTCTAAAAGCAATATACTAGCCTTAGATTTAAAAAATATATCAGTATATTTCTAATAGATATTAGATAAATAATCTTCTATTACAAAAAAGTGCTCTACTGTCAATATATATATAGCAAGTATTCAAACCATAATTTTAAAATATTAAAGAAATTCAATATAAATCTTTATTAGAGATATTTTATTCTAAAAATATTAAATTTAATATTAGAAATTCTTAATTATAGATTCTTTTTTAATTATTTATAATTTCTTTAATAGAATATTAAATCTAGCTATATTAATTATATAATATTCTATTTCTAAGGTTTTCTTCTTCCTATTAGAATTAGTAATAGTGATAGATAGTTTTAGAATTATATATAATATTATTATTTTATTATTAATAAATTCAACTAGATATTATAAACTAATGTTCAGCTTTAAACCAGCTTTAAGTAGGAATTAATAGAAAATAAAATTCTTATTAATATTAATATCAAATATTATAATAGTTTTCTTATTTTAATATAAAAAATATATCTCTAAACTAATTAATATAATAAATCCTTTTAAGTTATATTTTTTTTATATATTAATTACTATCACACTTTCTTATTAGATTTAATCTAAAAAGATTTCTTTAGAATTAGATTTCTTTAGGACTTTAATGGTATTAAATTTATCTTTTAATAGAGATTTACTATTCTTATCTTTAGTTATACAGCATTTTAGAGAATAATGATCTAATTTATTATATCTATAATATATATTCTACTTCTAAAAAGCTTTATTAGATATATCTTTTTATTATAAGGTCTTCTTAGATTCTAGCTTTATAAAATTATTTAAAAAGTGTTTTTGCTTTCAACTCAGATTTGATTTAAAGCTAACTTAGCCCTAATTTAGTATTAAATAATTTAAAAATTTTTTTTAATTTTGAATATTAAAATTATATTTTTATTCCTTTATATATTTCTATCTATTGATTTAATATAGATATTAAGCTATTAATATTAAATCTAGAAATTTATTAAGAAGATAAGCTATTCTAACTAATTTCTTTTTAATTCTAGATAATAGCTTAGCTAGAAATAGATGATATTTTAAGATATTATTAATCTATATCTTAGAAGATATTCTCTTCCTAACCTTCTTATATAAGAATAAAAATTTAGAATAAAAAAACTTAAAGTCTTAATTACTTATTTAGATCAATTTATTAAGTTTAATTATAATATTAATTCTTTAATTTTATAAAGACTTAATCTAGTCCTTTAGCCAGACCTTAAATTAAAAAAAGATAAAGTTTTTTTTATTAATTAAAAGTTATTTTTTATATTATTAAATCTAATGATTTTTTATAAGCTAAGTTATAGTATATTAAATCTTATTAGCTTTAATTAAAAAGATTTTTAAATAATTATAAATATTATTTTCTATATCTTCTATCTAAATCTTAAAATTATAAATTTATTTAATAGTAAAACGTATTAAATTAAAGATTTTAATTTCTTTTTAGTTATTAATAAACTCTTTTTTACTTAATTAAAACTGATTAAAAAATATCTTTAAAATATTTTAATCTATTAAGATCTACTCTAAGCGGTCTTATTCTCTAATCAATTATTAATTATATTTAAAGATAATTCCAAATTATTAAGCTTTAAAAACTTTCTAAATTAGAAAGTTAAAAGATTTAATAATTATCTATTAAAATCTAATAATCATATCACTTTTAAATATCTTATTAAAGTTAGTTTAATTTTAAATAAGAAGCAATATCTAATATAATATAATCTAGTAGAATTATATCTAGAGATGTTTAGATAGACTTAATATAGATAAGTTGAAACTTTACTAATTAATATTAATATTATAGAGCAATGCTACTAAAAAGAGAATTATCAATTTAAATTATATAGTTAAAAAAGACTTTAAATTAAAGATTATTCAAAACTAAATAAACTTATATTAAAAGTTATATTAAAAATTATATAAAAGATATTACTTAATTTTCTTTCTTTGAATAGAAAATTAAGCCTATATGCCTAAGTCCCTATCTTAGATTATTAATATCTAATCTAACTAGATAAAAGCATATATAGCGAGATGAGGAATACTGGCATCATACCCAGGGTCTTATGGTATCAATTGTGATATATCACAATTGCCCCCGGGGTATCCCTGAGCCCCCGGTCCTGCCGGATTAGGCTTGAACATGCTCCCTGGGTCTATCCCTGTTACACTAATTCTATTTTAAAATAAACAATTATTATAATATTATTTACTATTAGTATAAATTAGATAAATAGTTTTTTTAAAATATTAAACTAATCTTAAAATATGATTTATTTATTAATTAATATATTCTTATATTAAATATAAAGATCTAAAGCTTATAAGCAAATATTTTAATACTCTTTTATACATTTAAAATGAGTATAATAGTATAAATAAAGATATTTATAATTTCAATAAGATTAGATTTACTTTAGAGGTTATTAGTATAATAAATGTTAATTCGCCCTGCGCAGATAAGCGGCTTAGGGCGTGTCACACACCGGGACCACTCTATTTGTCACTGGCTGTGTCAAGGAGCGATAGGATAAGATTGAACCATACAGAGATTCCTTAGAGTAACTAGTATCAGTATATAAAGGTTATTAAAATATTTAATAGAGATAAAATATAATTAAAGTAAGAATAATATTTTGAAGTATTATAATACTTTTATAAAATTATTTTATTAATCTTTATAATATAATTAACAGTAATAATTATAATAACTTATATTAAAGAACTATACTAAAGTAAACTGGATATATGAAAAGAAATATATATTTTTTTATACTCTTATTATATATCTAAATATAGATACTTATATAAAGTATAATTTTATATAAATAGTAAATAGACATTGCTTAGCTATAATAATTAATTAGCTATAATATTAGCTGCTTTAACAGGCACTTATCCTGAACTAATTTAGACAATCCTAATCTATCCTTAGCCTTGCATATGTTGGTTTCATAACAGGGCGACGAAAAAGTCAGATTCAGCTATAACGTTTGAAACCAATTGGGCGCGGCAGCGCGGGAGATTAGGGGCTTAGGCCCCTAATAGACCCCTAGAAGCCCCAACGGCACGTGACCTTCATAGCTTCTAGCTGGGTAAGGTCGTAAAAATTGAATAAATAAACAAATAAATAAATATCTGGATTAGCCGCACGGCGAAGTGCCTAATAGGCGTAACTAAGATAGATTGTCTTTCCGCTGGAGATCTAGTATGCTGCGGCGAAGCGCATCAGGGCGCTTATCTCGATAGGTAGAGAACAATCGATCTCTATATAAATTAGTGTATAAATCAGAATAAAGGATAATGGGCGCTTCACGCTTACTGCGGAAAGATATAGCCCTTTTGGCGAAGATGGGTATATAGAAGGCCTCTTCCATAACCTTCAACACTACCATCCTGGATCTCTTGCCGAAGGACCCCTGTAATCTGATTATCCTGGATACGCTGAGTCTCAGGGCTATCCGTACGTCGCCGAAGGCCAAGCTTCTGCCATAGCTTTTTTAATACGTCATGGAATATTTGGAAACCCTCGCGATGTAGGCTTGGAAGAAGCTCTGCATCAGACTAATTATCGAAGACCAGTGCTTTAATACGATCCATAAAATTTCATAACTAGCGGTGGGCAATCTTGATGGTAAGCGGCGTAGTCCCCATTTATGTAGGCGCCGGGAAAGTGTATTGTATGAGATCTCAATCGAATGGCGATGGGCGAGTTTTGGGCAGATAGTCTCAGTGGTCTTATGTTGACGAAATAGGGTAGAAATCTCATCCATATAAGGATTGAAATAAATTCGAGGACGTCCCATCTTAACTATGTCAACCAGAAACCAGTAATTTGATACTGGATGGGACGCTTATAAGCACTCGACCTGACCGCTCGTGTACTTGGGCCTTGGCCAGGCCTTCTACTTACAATGTATAAGCAGTCGTGCTTTATTTATCATGTACTCGAAAACATCTCGAGGAAACCTGGTACGTCTGGGCGATGACGACAGTGATCCTGCGCCTGGCTCGGAACATCGGTCTTCACCGATTTGAAACAGCTGCGCTATCGGATCCATTTGATGTCCAAATGCGGCGACGGTTGGGGTGGCATGTCTGTTTCTTGGATGTCCGGTGCTCAGAAGACCAAGGCACCGACTCCGAAGTGCTTGACATGTGTTTTGATACTTGTCTACCACTCAACGTTGACGACCATGACCTCATCCCCGGTTCTCAGTATGCTGTGGAAGAGCGAACGGGCGTTACTGGGATTACCTTTCCAAATATGCAATACGAATCAATTGCAGTAGTTAGGGCGATGAGAAAATGCATGGATGGATCTCGACATTGGGCGACCAATAACCGTCAATGCAAAGACCAGTGGGTAGAAGTCGTACGGAATTTGAACCGACGACTCTGGACGGGGTATCTCTCTCCTTGTGATCCGACAACCTCAGCCAGCCAACTATTCTTTGGCTTCGCGAGAATAGTACCAAAGGTATCTTTGTGATTCATCAACCAATCTTCGGACCTGCGCCTGTGGATGTCTTCACTAGGGATTGGATTTTACTTGCTGTATTGGAAGCAGTAGAATTCTGTCACTTCATCGAATGTTTTTCGGTGTGTGCAAAATGGAAGTGGCACTTCCGACAAAGTTCAGCCCCGTGGTACTTGTTGAAATTTCTGTTGATCGAGCTCTGCGTGCGACCGCCATGTTTATTGATTGAACGTGCGTGGCTTGCGGTTAGCTCTGCTTATCAGCAATGGGGTAAGAGAGAATCAGGAGACAAGTGGCAGACAATCAATGTACTCATGCAGCGGGCACGGTCGTTTCGAGCTGTTCGCTAAACGTTACAATAGTAACCAGCTGATAATCGGAAGCTTTTCTACGGAAAGGAACGCACATCGAAGTATTATAACTTAGCTGTAGAGATTAACGTTACTTTTCGGGAAACGGTCTAGAAAATGCTCGTCACTAGTACCAACTTCGGCATCGGGACTTCAGTCATGCAATGATGGGTCAGGCTAGAAATGGATTAAAAGGCTTTAGCGTGTTGTGCATAGGAACTCAATACATTTTCCGACTTTTGTTACCGTCACTCCTCGCGCTATAAGTGGTGCAAGCACCACAACTATACTAACATCGATGAGTGTCATCGTGGTTACTCTGGTAAGGTCGGTATGCGGTGTTTATACCTCCTGAAACGCCGCGAAGTTGAAAGACTTCCGGCAGTTCGCGCCTAGGCACTACTGATGGCGGATCCCCAAGACTATACTAGCTAAGGCCTTCAATTCGACTTAGCATCTCGTATGGTCTCTTCAGCTTCTTAAGTTCTTGTTGCGTCTGCACCGGCTACAAGCGCAGGTTTATTGGATACGCTTGTCCCACTGTAGATAGAAAGAGATCAATGAGCTCAAGATTCTATTTTTTTTCACATTAGTGTACAATTCACCGACCCTCCTCTTTTCCCTACATTATAAATATACCACACTCCGGCCAACCAATTGTTATTCCTCAAGTATCCTGTTTTCTTCCTTGTTGAAGCTTCTGTATGTACACATTCGACTCAGCCGCGTATTTCCAGCGTTCCAGTATGCCCCTCCTATACTTATAGAAAATAAAAGGGTACAGTATCTATGCTAGGGTCAAAAAGGTGGGAATAGATGATACCCGATGAATCCCCAATCCGTCATATATGGATGCTGTGAACAGCGGGAATATCCCACTGAATAATGACAGCAAGACCACATTGACTGCCAAGACCGAAGCAGCGAAAATCGTGCAAGAATCGATAAGGTAGCTCATTACTCCTAGATACATTAGAGAAAATCCAAATCCAAAGCGAAAACCGGCTACAATGCTTGCCATCTAATGAAAGGAGGAATGATCAGTCCCTACAAACCAGAATAGGCCCACCGGGATGCAAATTGAACCGAGTATCACGGTAGGAACGATTCAGGAGGTGCAAACCCTTTATGGCGATCCACTGTCCTTTGATATAGCGTATTATCTAGAAATGTATAGAAAACAGGGATGATCATACCTACGACGATACCTATAAAAGCGAGGCGCCAACACCTTGGTTCCACCGCTTGAGTTATTAATACACTATCGGAAAAGTAGCACACATCATAAACAAAGCCCCATAAATGGTAGCAATGTAGATAGATAATATGAGTATAATCGATTCTGGAAAAAAAGCACTTATAATCGCAACAACGAAGTGGCGAATACATGTTATCTTTGATCTAGACTGGCTAGTGGCAACATTGCTGATCATTATACTCCTCAATACCAATTAAACAATCGGATTTTCATTTATTGATAGAAATCAGAGAGGTCAAGGTGCATAAGTTTTTAAATCGAATGAGATCAACCTATTTCTTTATATCCTGCTCTTTTCAAAACCTCCACCAAACTCCAAAACTAGCTTCCCAAACTGTGTTCCATTTCGCATGTCGGTGAAGAGTGAGTCTATGGTGTGAAGATCGTCTAAGCCTGTTCGTAAAATTCTCGAAATCACGGGACGAATTTCGTGAGCCTTGACGAACTCAACCATCTCGTGAAACTCTTTGCGGGAACCCATGGTCGACCCACGCACATCGAGATTCTTGATAACAGCCTGCATCGGAAAAGGCATCTTCGGAGAAACGGTCATTCCATAGAGCGAAAGAACACCACCGGGCTGAAAATATTAGACTTTTATTGTGGCATTTCAGATGGACACGTGAAATTCAGTCCAAACGTACCTTAAGTAATTTCACAGACCTTTCAATTGAATCTCCTCCGGCGCCGTCAATGACTGCATCAAAGTGCGGCCTGTCAGGGCTGAGCATTGCTAGAAGCGTTTCATCCCAATTGCCTTTTTTGTAGTTGACACCCCCCTTGGCACCCATCCGAATGGCCTGCTGAATCTTTTCCTCGCTGGAACTGGTGATATAGACATCTGCACCTCTTAAAACAGCAAATTGCATTGCCATCAGTGCAACACCACCTCCAATGCCTGTGACCAACACGACAGCACCTTTTCGGCAGTTATTCATCCCAGCCTTCGTCATCAATGCTCTCCAGGCAGTCAACCCAGCCAATGGTAGGGCAGCCGCCTCCGCATCTGTAAGATGGTCAGGCGCTATTTCGACATCTCTTTCGTGAATTGTGATGTATTCCTGGAATGTCCCTTTCCGGTAGTGCCTCGTTCCTCCCATGACAGCGTAGCCTTCTTTACCATCAGGTCCGTCAATGGCATCTTCCCAGCCCTTTCCGGGATTGAGAATAACCCGCTGTCCAACCCATTTTTGCAACGCAGGGTCATGGGACCCTACCGAAATAACAATTCCAGCACCGTCCGCCCCGATGGGTACGTCGAATGCGACACCGGAATTGAGCCGTTGACGAATAAAAACGTCTCGATGATTAAGGGCAGAAGCTCTCAACTGTACAAGAAGTTCTCCTTCCTGCGGGATGGGCTTGGGGATGTTGCGCAAAGAGAGTGGATAATAAACGCTACCTGGCTTTTCAGGGGTGTCTCCACTGATGCCAATGAATATGGCTTTTCCCATGATAACGGGTGAGAATGTAAGTTGCAACTTTTCATTGAATACACATTCAATAAAGATAGTACTCAAGCTATGCGGGATTTCATATGTAATTATTTAAATTATGTCGACGTTAAAAACTTTCCAGCTTTTGTTTCATCCCCCCTCCAGTGCATCGGTAAGGGGCGAAAGACATGCCGGCAAGCTTTTCATAATAGCCGACCCGGCTTTATCCTCACCGGCAAAGTCGGCACAAGTAGATACGCATATTCGGATGGTGTGATTCTAAGCATTGTAGATTTTTACTTTTTTTCCATTGTCGTCAAGAGACACTTGGGGAATATGTGCCTGGATCAAGAATGCGAATGGTTGGACCGCGAGATTCGAGAGCTAAAGGCATATATTTATCCTCCGCTAGAAGGATGTGTATCTTTGAGCCGATACTTAGACTTGGGTGTTCAGTTCATAAGAAAAACAGCCACCTGCTCTGAAAAGCCATATCACCATTCAAGATCAAAGATCGGCGTGAATTTGCCGAAAGTCGGAAACCGGCTGACTTTAGGCAATCGGTAATCACATGGGCATAGGATTTACCGCATTTAACTGCTTTTTTTTTTTCTTTTTCTCCGAATGTCCCCTTTCCTATTTCTTGTCAAGTTCAGTAACTGCGAAAGTTGTCATCGACTTTTCAATGGGACCGACTATTACAGAATCCCGGGAATATCATAACCTCATTCTCGAAAGGAGAAGCAACGTATTTATAAATTACCATAAAAGTCGGTACAAAGAATCTGTTAAACATCAAATTTAGCCAAAGAATAATTGCTGCTTTGGACGCAATTCGACAGACTATAGGGGCATACTCCGACGGAGCTCTTATTACTCGTGGAAATAACACGAAGTTTATTCGCACAGTATACAGAAGCCCACAGGTGAGTGAACTAACAACATTCCCTACGGGGACTAAGCTTGGACGAGGTCAGCCAGAATTCATTAGAGGATATACACCGCTTTTACCCTGTATATTAGGGGATTTTTAGGACGATGGCATGAACTACAAGTCTGACCCTTGAAACAGCTCTTGCATGCTATTATGGATTTGCCATTTCCAACGATAGCTCCAGTTACAGAGCATACTTTCTGCGGCGGTTGTTCTTTAGCTCTTGCACATGACTATCGCACTAAGAATGCCGAACGCGGTTTTATCTCTAGGCCTCTACTTGACCTTGAGATGCATTCTTCGGGCATTGGTGTGCTTCCTAAGCGAAAACTAAGCCCACAAGCAACGCGAAAGATGCTCCTGGAAGGGGACAAGTTTACCAGGAAAGAGGCACTGGAAGACCGAGTTGTCGACTTCACTGCATCTCCCGAACAATTGCTGGATGCTGCGGTAGAACTTGCTAATAAATAGGCCCCCATAGCCAGAGCTGGGTAAGTTGAGTTTTCACCTCAATTGATTGAGCTATTTCTAATTTTCACTGTCAGGTAACAGGGTATACAACCTTTTACGACCAGAGTTGTGGGAGGATATGAGCAAAAGCATGCAGCATATAAAGTTGACCGACCTGGCAAACCAAACATTTAAGATCATGAGCGAATGGTTCAGATTTTCCATATCAAGATCGAAGAAATCGAATATTTATTAGATGAGGCTGTCAGATATTCTCAGTTTTGCGCGTGATCATTAATACCCACGTTCTGTAATAGCAATGAAAGCCTTCAGAAAGATCTTAGCATCTTATTGTTTCTAGACCATGATTGGAGATATTATAAAATATTCATCTTAGATTTGATCAATATGTTCCTATATGCTACAGATTTGCTATAAGATTTCACAACGGTCCTAATCATTAGAACCAATAAGAGCTTGTTCAGTTATATCTTACGTTTATTACTTCTTGTCTTATCTACTACGGCAACCCGCTTCCCCCCACTCAACAAAATCTTGACCACTATCACTTCTACCTTAATCTTTAAAACTTGCGTTATGAGTCGAGAAATGCACATAATGAGAACCATTGCTCTTCCCTGCATTGGTCTGGAATGTATCCAACGTTGTTTCATCTTTTTCCGAAGCGGGTTGGACTACATAAAACTTGATATCCGACTGCCACAGTATGTATTAAACCATGTCAGACTTTCCTTGTTTTCTTACCTTGTCATTTGCCCCATTGATAACTGTAGATAAGTCCCCAAGGGGAATTACAATAGGAAAGTCGACTGAAGCAAGTACCAGAGCAACGAATATGTAGAATCCGATCAAACTCGCCGCCAGCAGCAGACCGGCGCCGACATGCTGAAGTTGTGTGGCGTATACCACATCACCGCGAGCGATAGCAAAGAAAGATGCAGTTAGACAGCCAACTTTAGCCAAAATTAGCCAATATAATCTTCTAGGATGGATTACTTTTCATTTACTTACCCGCGGGAATGAAGACAATGAACAACGAGAATAAGCTCACATTCGTTCGGATGCTTGCGATGCCAAGGACAATGAGGACAATCAAGATTGCCACCATAAAAAATGCAAAAGTGGCAAAAAACGCGGCGTTCATGCCCTTAGCTGGATCTGAAGGATCTGGAGAGTAGGCGCCGTACGCGTTGAAACTAGGTTGTAGGGTAGCGCCGAAGGAAAACCAGAAGCCCCCTGCGCATCACATCAACACCCATGAAGTATAGGCCAGATTACGTTTAAAGACGACCGCAAGTAATCAGACGTACCAGTAGGAGGAATGCTTACCGAAGATTGCAAATACGATGGCAGGGTAAGTGTTTCCTATTGACGCTTATCAGCGAGAGTCATAATTCACGCCCATTTCCGTCAATTACCTAAAATCCATTCGCCAACGGCCCCTAATATCAAGAGAAGACCTCCCATAAAGACAAGAGAACCACTATGAGCTATTAGCTGGACAGTATTTTTCCTTGCGAGATTGAGCTTACACATTTGCAGCGTCAAGTCCCCCTGCACCGTCCCAACCCAACACCACCATCGAGAATGGGGTAGAACAGATCAGGAAGCCACCCAAGGCTATTAAAGGGTCAGTCAGGTGAAAAGCGAACCGAAATAAAAGCCACCAGTAACAACAGTACCGATTGGAGTAGGGTTTCCGAACGTCTGTCGCAATTCTCCTTTGACTCGATTGCGAGGGGAAAGGTACAACTGTTCGAACAGCTCCGGTGGGATTGAAACACTTCCTGCTGTTCTAATGCGTTGCAATGGATCGATTTCCTTTGTCGGAGAAGGCGTTGGAATGATTGGCTCATGGTGGTTCTCCTCGGCGGCGGTAAAGGACATTTTGCTCATAGTAATTAAAAATGTTACCTCAAGATGCGGAGAAAATGGAAGTTTTATTGAGTGTGCTTCTTAGAAAATGGAGTCCGTGTAGTCGAAGAAGCCATGTAGACACAGGGCCCGCGGGTTTTATAAGCTTATCTCTCTCATTGTCGTGTTTAAGGATAGTAATCTCAAAGCACCTGTATACAACTATGCCGAGCTGGGGATTACCCGAGTGAGAGCGGAGTTGTGGATTCGGCAATCTGGGGTTTTAGTAATGCGGGGAATGTGGATATCTGGAGAAACTATGTTCTAGTTTGGGCCATATTATTGAAAGGCCAGTTCCCAAAGTGCCGTACATCGGCAATGGGAGACACCACTGGGTATTTGATAATTTTATTTCATACCAAAGATACCGAAACCTTAATATGACCTGTATTAAAAGAATTTAGATATTTGTACAAAAGGTTGATTGACATGCTTGGGCATGTTCTTAATTTCAACTGGGAGTAAGAATATTATGTTGCAATTTAATCGATTATAAGACTTAATAGGGTAAGTATATAAATTAAAAATCTGTTTTATTATAGAATATAATAGCTAAATGCAGTATATGTATATGTTGTAGTGAACTTGGATTAGTTGAGATATTGTGGGTAAGATTTACTGAGAGAGACCGAACAGGAGATTTGGTAGTGCCAGTGGCTGGGTGGTTGAGTACTTCTATTTCGTTTTTTCTAATAGCATCTGCTATAATATTCATTGGTTGTGGTTTATCGATTCTTGTGACAATAAATTAAATATCAATATGCTATAATAACGTAAATAATTAAAGATCTTTTTATTATAGAATTAATTAATATTTTTATTAAGTAAAATTTAATATATAATGGAATATTATAAGAATGTAAATTATTATAACATTTAGTAAATCTTATTAATAGTAAAACTGATAGAATTATATTATAGTATTATAATTAATAATCTTCTTTCAATTGTTATGTAAAGGGATCTTTTGTAAGGCCTGGCAGCCGCGAGAGCTGCAGGCTCACAGAGGCTTATAAGCGTGCCAACCCTGGAATTGGGCAATGGCCCAATTACCTCAGTATTACTTTTTGGCATTTAGAGGTTGGCAGTACCAAGGAGCCTTACATCTTTATCTAGTTGTTTTCAGAGATATTGGTAAAGTCTTTATCTTATTAGATATTGTAAGTGTTTGTTATTGCTATTAAATTTTTTAGCTATGTTAGATTTGTTATTATAGATTCTTATTTTATTATATAGGATATATAATATATCTGTTATATTGGAAGTAAGAGAAGTGATATGTTTTTTATTCTATGAATCTTAGAATGGCTAGCTTATTAATAATTATAATGATATATCATTAAAGGATCTAAATTGATATATATGTGTATTTTTGAATTTTGAAATTTATCCTAAGCAGGTCTGTTTAGAATAGCTCATTTATAATCAGTAGGATTATATATTATGATATATGAAAACTTATAGTCTATATTTAATAATTCAAAAGTAATTAATATAAAAATTATAAAAATCTAAAATAATTAAGATATTACCTAATATTAACTATTATTTTCTGATTTTTAGAAGTAAATATTTATATTAAATCTTAAGTTATAAAAATAAAAAAGATATTATGATATTTATAAAAGATAAATTTTCTTATAGTATTAAAAGTATTTAAAAATACAAGGTTAAGATTGGGTTATATATGTTGATGCTTCCCTAATAGAATAGTGCTTGAATGGTAATCGAACGAGATTCAAAAGTACAACTTCTCCGCACTTCAGTCATTGCCGATGTAAACCTTATGTATTCTAGAAACCCGTACCGGAAACTGTCACCCCGTCTCGGGATCACACAGGGCGAGCTCATAGCAGTGGTAATATTAAGTGCATGTTCAATGTACATGAACTCTCCATGCGTACATGAGGATTCTCCCTGTTGTCAATAGGGTTCATATTGAAGTACATAAATATTTATGAAAAGAAATCATTATTGACAGATAAACCGCACTATATTGAATACGGTTTAACATCATATCAAAAATATAATAAACACATATATCGATTTAAAAATAACCCTAAAAATTAAAGAAATATAATTTTTTGGCAATTTTTGAGAAGTAAAGATATAAACGATTGGTCTGCTTGAAGATTACTGTCTATATACTTAATTCCAGATTTTTTTCATATACAGAGCAGATGGAACTCGGAGCTAACGAAAATCGTGCGGTATCCGCTTCCATTGTACTCTACTTGTAGCGGCCCAGGAGTGGGTGTTCCCTAGGACTCGCAGTCGCTTCAAAGCATGTGATATGATTAATTACGGATCGACTTTTGAGGATGAAAGTATTCTTTAGTAATATTCAAAAATAAATGAGAATCGTCATTCTTAAGGCTGCGTCCTTGGGAATGGTGAGATCTGCCGTTAGTCAAATTGTGAAAATGTAGAAAGCGACGTATTAATGGAGCATATACACGCTTAAATTTGCTCGCCTACAAACGAACCACGGTTATCGGATGCGAAGACTTACCGAGCGATGATCCAACGCCGCGGCCAGTTCAAACCATAGTCGTTATATTTAGTTTATATTAGATATATTAATATTTATTACCAACTATTTTTAATATCCAGATCCAATATAACAGACAAATAAACACTTTTGCCTTGTTTTAAAGATGAAATTGCAATTTCTCTGACCTGGATTCTGCAGTTATCAATTTCCAAATTAACGCACACGGCCTGCCTCCTAGTCACTGTCATCACCTGTCCATATTCTCCATATTCTCCGTATGACATTGCGCTATAATAGTTCTCGTCACATGGTACACAGGTTGCCATTAACTCCCTGTAAGTTGGCTGCCTAGTTAGAAATGCCATCGAGGCAGCCCCCTTGATCAACCGATTGGATGAGTGCCTGGTGATCGATAAGTTGGTCATTTAAGGGATAAGGAAACATCTCGATTAGTGTATCGATATCTAGGTCAAATAGAGTGTTGCCTGAGGCAGCTGGTGATTGACCTGTGGTACGATTTAGATGTTCGTGTATGATAAACAAGTTACGACAGGGATAGATATTTTTGGAATACTCACTAGGAATGTCTTTTACGTTATTTACATGCATTAGGTTTCTTATCAGTTGTTCAGACCTCATCAGGGCTGGGTTGATAGAACTCATCTCGTTCAACATGCTCAGCGTTGATAGTAGCATGGCATGTCTTTGCCCCCCCTGCTGTAAAACTGCATCTCTGACATGGATGGTGCATGCCACGTATGCACAGTAGCCTAGCAGGTACGGTGCTTTATATAGTGCATACCATTCTCTCCATTTGTTTATGATACCTGTGGTACTTGCAGCTGCAGTAGAACAAGCTCTCCACGAACTGGCGGGCGGAGATGTAGACCGTAAATGACTGTTGGAAATGAAAGGGCGATGAAGTAAGATAACCAATGAATGGTAAGTACTATGCAAGACCATGACATTTGGAGTCACCCTTTTGGAGGCCATTGCGCCATCAGAATACCACGGTTCGAACTTCAGGCATTCTGGCAACTTAGCGTACCAGTCGGACAGAGCATGGTCTAGCTCCTGTAGGTGGAGCTGCGGGTTAGATGGCCTAGCACCAACAACATAGAAACAGTTGATGATACGTGCCATGAGTTGTGATAGAAGACAAAAGTGCTGAAATGCTGAAATGCTAAAGGTAGGAATTGGTGAAATCGACGGTAGTGGATAAGAGCTGCCTTGAGTATCAACATATGGGCTCCAAGACTCTAACTCTTCCATCGTGTCGAGGAGTTCGGTGGAGACGTGACTATCACGAATCTGAATTGCCATTGGTCGACCAAGGTATAAGCATTGTAGCTTATCTGTTATAAATGCTGCCCAGAATGCTCTACGCCGAATTTCAATCTCTTCCGGATCCAGATCAGGTATCTGAATGTCCAGATGTAACCCGAGATCAAAGGCCATTCGAATGGCGAGACCGGTATGTATCCAACTTTTAGACATCTCGCCACGAGCAATGTATGCAGAGCCAAGATGAAGGAGCCCCACTATAGTTGGAATTGAGGCACTATCCAGGAGCGAGTCTCGGTAGAGCAACTCTTGACATCTGCGAAGGAATCGACTTCCTGCTGTCTGGGGAAGGGATTCATCGTCCCGCAATTCTACACGGTCCGAGAACTTGGAGCCTGACGCAAAGATAGCATTGAGTAAGAATCGCGAATAATATCGGCCTCCGGACATCAAGTCCCTCGTGAATGCTGGGCGATACGTCAGAAGGAAGCTATGATGCTGGCGATTCCAATGTAAGTGCAGGAGATGAATAGCCAGATCCGGTGAAATGCCGTCGAAATGCCCGCGCTCTCGTAATTCGTATTCCTTCTGGCGCTCAAGCACAGCATTTGCGATTAGCAGATTTCGCACCTCTCGGGCCGGTTGTCTATGCATCCGAGATGTGTCTGGGCTGTTGTGTAGCCCGGACGTGGGACCGAAGACGCCGACACGGCCCTGAGCGTCCGCCGATACAAATGGGGAGGCGTCGAGATCGTCATCCGATGAGACGCTTTCAAATTGCTCGGGATCATCATTGCGGAGGTGACTGATGGTGAAAGGCTCGTCATCTTCAATATGATTCCGAGTCTCCTTATTCTCACAGGGCCCCCTTGAGGCATCGTTGCCTAAAGTCCTAACCGAACCGTCATCTATTGTTATTTCTTTGAGCAGAGAATTCCTTGTTGTCTCGTCGGCTTCCTTTATTTGTATCAGGGTACTCTCCAAGCATTCTATCTTGGTTTTCAGAGCGCTGATAGCAGCAGCAGATGGCCTGCACGAGGTATGATGAACAGGCGTCTGGCTGGGAGCAAAATGGCATGCTTACCTTGGCTTCCCTGCTTCCCGAGAGTAGATGCATTGCCGTTTATGCGTTTGACAAGGCTGACAGGACGGGGTTCCTCGATCACATTTAATCTACATATAAAACATCAAGAGATGGGCTGAGAAAGTAGGGGAGTGTAGCGCACTTTCCTTGTCCGGCAACTATTACAGGCACGGCCCCGATTTCCTTCATTTTGCTCACGCATTTACCGCAACTTAGAGGAAGCTCGCGTGTGTCCAATAACGGAGATGCTTTGTATTAATAGGTGGAAGGTTTGATTCCGTAGATGAGAGTAGAAATTGCAGGAGTCTCTTTTTTATTCAGTACGTGGCGGAAAAGTCGAACCGAAACCCGTGCCGGACGGTCTGAAACCGATAGCCGGACGCCGGGGAACAATGCTTGTAATTGACGTAGCAGCTCCTAGCTAAGAACTTTTCATTCTCAGGTGGACCCCATTTTTTCAACTTGCTTCGTGCAAAGGATGGCTTTCAACCATTCGCCCACTGTCTTATCTCTCCTTAGATTTAGCGTACTATGAAATTTCTCATACTACGTCGTGGAAAGTGGTCACTAGAAGTCAAGAAAAATGTCCAACACACCGTCGCCTACGCCGTCTGTTATTGCATGCTGCATTGCAGGCGCTACAGAGATAGGTGCGTATGACTTTACCCCATCCCCTAATCTCCTCGTCTCCCTATACCTAACCTGGATCCTCTAGCTATTACATATCTAGCAGAATGTGAGGTGGCTCTATTCTAATACTTTAACTTCATTTGCTAGGTACTAAGAAAGTCGTCTATTTGTTACGAACTAGTTGCTAAAACACGGTCACAATTGAATCGGCGACTGGGAGAGGGACAGAAACTGCCGTAGCCTCCTTTCGGACGCGAATGGTACACTGGTTGCAATAGTGCAATCGTAGGAAACGCTATAAAAGTCGCTATTAGTAAGCCACATATAGTATAACTGGCTCTCCCAATGTTACTTCCTCTAATATAAGCCGTTTTAAAAGGACTCGTTGCGTACGAGCGCATTGTATCTCTTCTTAAGGATGAAACGGGATACCTTACACCGATCCAATCCTCCCTTGCTGGTCTAGGAGCTGGTTGTTTAGAAAGTGTACTCGCAGTCACTCCATCGGAAAGCATAAAGACGATCTTGTAGTTGAGCTGTTCAGGATGGAGTTTACTGATAGCTGACACCCCCTAGAATTGACAACAGGAAATCGGAAGAGCCATGGATGAGGGGAATGGTGCATTGTGCAAGTGTCGTTGTTCGTGAGAGAGGGTTCAGTAGCCTTCTTCAGGGTTTGGTACCGACAACTGTAAAGCAAGCTGCAAATTCGGCTACCAGGTTTACCACATACACGACGATTCGGGATATGTGGCAGAAGCGGCTACCTAAGGATCAGAAGCCCGATGCAGTGGCGATATTTGCCATTGGTGCAATGGCAGGTCTGATCACTGTTTATGCGACCTAACCGATAGATACCATAAAGACGAGGATGCAGAAGATTGATGCAAGAAGAGCGTATCAAAATAGCTTCGATTCTGTGGTCAAGGTGGTGAGGAACGAAGGCTTTTCTGTGCTGTCGTCCGGCGCAGTACCGAGATTAGCAAGATTGATGGTATATTCATCTTCCCCTTCCAAGCCTTGCAAATACTTTCCTGTTTTCCCACACCATGCCCATTTGATACATCATTCCCCGTGAATTTTCTCTGATACAAGTGTATAAGTTACCTGCTAACCTTTTTTTCAGGTGAGTGGAGGGGTTGTCTTCACAGCCTACGAGAAAAATGTCGACTTCCTTGGGTTGATAGACCCACAAAGTCAATGGATCTGAACTTGTGAAAAATAGGTACATCTTAGTGCAATAGAATAATACTGGTTTTACATGGATGCTTCTAATTTCGACAGATAGACGTGTCTGGTGAACGAACAATTTCAGATCCTGGGGATAAAAGGAGCTAGCCTGGTTTCATGACCAATTTGGGAAGGTCTTTGCCGAAAGCCGGCCAAAAACGTCCTAGATCCAACCGATAACTGGGTCTTCATAATACATCTTCCATAAATGTAAGGATGATTTCTCCTAATCCCTCTACCTATAATTAAAAGTTATCATAATATCTCGGTCTCTGCGCCCAAGGCATTCCCGGCAAAAGACGATTTATCAGAAGCCCAAAATCTAAAATACAACATAGTCACATCAACTTGGATATTTCGATCCCATCATAGCAAGCTTCCCTCAGTACAGTAGTTTATGTCTAACTTCCTGTTCTAATGCAACATGATAGGCATTCCTCGTTGAATTCCTGGATCTCCCAATCAGCAGTCTTCATCCTCATCCAGAAAACATGGCTCAATACAAATACGAATATCTTGTCACAGTCCATGATCATCCTGGGCTTCTTGCAACGCGTTTGGCCGCGAGGAAAAGGCATCTTGCGAAGCTTGCGCCACGTATCAACGCTGGTCAAATAGTGTTTGGTGGTGCGATCCTCGCAAAAGAGCCGGTAGAAAACCAGGACCCAGAGTTCACAGGTAGCGTGATGCTTATAAAGGCGAATAGCAAGGAGGAGGTTAAGGAGATCATTTTGGATGACGAGTATGCAAAGGGATTGTGGGACTTGAGCCAACTTGATATTATACCCTTTCGGTGTGCGGTGCGCACTGCGATCTAGTGACGGGCAAGGGTATCAGTATAGAAAGTAAATATATGAAGAAACTGCTGGCGGAATTACAGCTCGATTTACTCGTTACAATACGATGTATTTCATGACCCCTTATCTAAAATTTAGATTGTATCAAAGAGCACCCATTTCTGGGGATTTCTGAGAAAAGCTTTACCAATATTTTCAAGAGTTAGGTGATTTAGGCGATCCGGCCCCAGCTTTCAGATACAATCTGCAGAAGAAAAAGTTGGTGTCCTTTGGCGCAATTGGGTGGAGAATTCCCTTTACTCTCTAAATCAACTCAGAACCGCTTTTATGCCGAGGAAAGCTGCAATAATACTGTACACTCAAGAGGAGAAGTGCATCTACAAGTTTGGAACTGTGTGCCGCAGCGTTCTAACTTTGTAACCACGAGGTTGTCAGAAGAAGGCACGTTCTTCACACACTAGATGAAAGATTATTTTTCTAGGTATTTAACCTTAATACTCTTTTCGCGCATCTTTATAGTAAAAACTAAATTGTTTTGAAGAGGATGGATGCCTACACATAAAATGTGAATAACGAGATCCTCCGCTGCGAAGCTTAATATTAATCATTGCAAATGTATTAAAGGAGATTCAAATTTCGAATGTGTGACAAGCATCTACTTGTGTAAAATAATAGAATATAAAAAGAGCTGATCATGCTAAAAGGATATAACTTGTGACTTGTTCTTACTATGTTCGTTTCAATGTTCCATGCTAGTTTACTTAGCAAACATTAGAAGGCAATGTTAATACAACGAGAAGCTTCTATCATAACAAGACATTAATGCTCTTGATTTCTGTAAAAGACAACAATTCCTCCAGGCATTCTTCCTTTCCTACTCCAGATTCTTTCGCACCGCCGAACGGAACACCAATAAAGTGTTTTGAGACTTGGTTTATCCAGATGTAGCCAGCCTCAATTTGTCTAACAACCCGCGTCGCTCTGGAGATGTCCCTAGTGAATACAGAGGCCGTCAAGCCGTAGCTAGTATTGTTCACATTCCTAATGAGCTCCCTCTCATCATTCCACTTAAAAATAGACATGACCGGCCCAAAGATCTCTTCCCTCGCAATGCGCATATGTGGTTGAACATCTGCAAATACTGTGGGCTCAATCCAGTAGCCGTTCTCTAACCCAGGGAGGTTTGTTCCAGCCTTACCCCCTGTAACGAGTCGTGCTCCCTCTGACTTGGCGGAGTCAATGTACGACAGGACCCGTTCTTTTGCTGCTGAACTGATTACAGGACCCATGGTGGTCGCTGCATCAGTTGGTACACCCGGTCGGAATTCTTTTTCAATGAAGTCTTTCACTTTTGCAATCACCGTTTCGTAGTGCGACTCGTGTAGGAAAACTCGCGAGGTGGACCCGCAAGACTGGCCTGCCCACGTAAAATTCATCCCACGCGCCACTCCCTCTGCGAGATCTTCTACATCTGCATCTGGGAATGCGAGGAGTGCATTCTTGCCCCCAAGCTCCAGAAGAGTAGGTTTGAGTGTCGCTGCTGCAGCTTGTTGTATGGCTTTGCCTGTGGGAACGCTGCCGATGAGAGTTATTTTTTTGACCAAGGGGTGTACAGTGAGGGCCTTTCCACACTCTGTCTTGCCTGGAAGGATGTTGAGCACGCCTGGAGGAAATATAGGTCCCAAAAGCTCGGCCAGGCGGAGGCAGGACAAAGGCGCCTGGTCAGGAGTCTTTACGACGACGGTGTTACCCGCAGCTAGCGGTGCAGAAATCTTGGAGCCTGTGAACTGGATGGGATGATTGAAAGCCATGATTCGCCCTACGACTCCCAGTGATTCTCTAATGGTGTAGTGGAAAGTGTCATCCGATTGGGGAATGGTATCGCCTTTCAGCATGGGTATAAGCCCCGCAAAGTAGTCCAGAGAGGTGGCCCCGACTAGAGCATCGCTCAGCATCTTGCCGAAAGGGTTTCCCGTATTCAAGGAATCAATGTAAGCCAGTTCTTCGGCATGTTCCCGGAGCAACCCAGCTGCCCTTCGCATGTATTGTGCTCTTTCAGCTGGGGGTGTTGATCGCCACTTGTGGAAAGCTTCATGTGCTGCAGCAACAGCGGCATCGACATCTTCTGCTCCGGCGACAGCTACTTTGATTATAGGCCGACCAGTGGCTGGGTTGAATGTCTCCTCGTAGGTTCCATTCAGAGGTTTGTTCCACTTCCCATTGTAAAACAGGTCCAGATGTGATGGCAATGGATGTGTTTCGAAGGTAGCCATGGGAATGTAGGATTGGGCGATTCACGTCTTTTTTGTTTCTACTTTGCGATACAGGGAAACGTGACCATGAGCGATTGGAATCATTTATTCCTTTCAGAATTCCGTTTAATTATTGTTGCATACACTATACTATATTGCAGTTCACACCACAGCCGACCGTATCCGTTGTCGGCTACCCGTTCCTATAGATGATGGAGGGTCCCGCATCACACCTCAAAAGCCCTCCATAGCCGGAGCCTTCGATTCCGGCGGTATTGTACTCAGCTCCAATTCCTGATCCGCATTACCGGGGCTCCCATTCCGATCGGAACTTCCCAGTCCGACTCGATAAAGAAGTATATGGTTTTCTGCATGTAGTCATGTGTGGCAACTAAGACATGGGCAGGTAACAGATAAAAAACTCGCCTGCAGCCGATGTATTTTACATGGAATTTTTCTGTTAGAGTAGCTATTAGTGTAAGAAATAACTGTAAAACGCAATATGGACGACCGTCAAGGACTTTTGGGAGAAGCCATCTCTAGGATGGCCTCGCTTAGTACGTCTTCTCTGAACATTGGTGACTTTGACAAAACATCAGAGTCATTCTAACATCTCCTCTATTACAGACATCTATGCATATATGGCCCTCGCAGCCATTGCTTTCTTTTCCTATCCAGTGGCCATTTATTGGATTGACTCGAAGAAGCTGCGGCGCTTTCCAGCAGCGAGCATTTTTGCTCCACTCACTTGTCTCTGGATCTTCTCTCATTCACTGAGACGTCGGCGATACAGAACCGTCTACGATGCACATCAGAAACTGGGTCCCGTGATTCGACTCGCACCAGACCTTTTATCATTCTCTGACGCAGAGGCGTGCAAAGAAATCTATAGTCATCAGGCTCCTGTCGTCAAGGCTGAACTCTATTCCAACCTCGGCAATGGAGTTCCTTCGATGTTTCAGATCATTGGCAAGACTGAACACGGAAAGAGAAGGAAAATGCTATCACACGTTTTCTCAGCCAGGAAAATCCACGAGAAGGAGCCTCGAGTTCTCGAATTGGTGAAGACCTTGTGCCGTGATCTGGAAATCAAATCTCGCGGAGAGCAGGTTGCACCTACGGATGAATATCCGGCTGTGAATGGAGCTTTCGATATACGACCATGGATGAATATGTTCTCTTTCGACGTTATTACGGCAGTCTTTTGGTCGCACTCATATGGCTTCCTGGAACGAGGTAATGATCGCGCACCGGCAGTGGATCTTAAGAACAAGGTCTTTGAAGTTCATGCCATGGACGCCGCACACTCTAATACGAACTTTATCGTTCCATTTGCCCATTTGCCACGAGTCTGGTGGAAACTCTCACAAATACTCTTCAATAACACCCATGGAGCCCAATCGGCGAAGAACTTCCGATCCATGGCTCGATTCGTCGTCGTACGACGAATCAAAAACCCCCCAGCCGAACCAGATCTGTTCTCCAGTATCCCTCTGAAGCCTTCCGAAAAGCATCCAAACACGCTCACCTCTGAGGAACTGCTCTCGGAGTGCTCAACCATGTTGAGTGCTGGTGCAGATACTACCCAAACATCGCTGACAAATTGCCTATACCACCTTTTAAAAAACTCCTCCAAGCTGATTAAATTGCGGAAAGCTCTTCTCTCTTCAGTACCGCCGGAATCGCAGCCTGTTGCGAGCTATACTGAACTGCAGAATATACCCTTCTTGAAGGCAGTCCTGGACGAAAGTTTCCGCTGCAGCCCACCACTTGGCTTTGGTCTTCCGCGACTTGTTACCCAACCCGGGATGACCATCCAGGGTCATTATATCCCCCCTGGCGTCGTCGTGAGCTCCCCGCTCTATAACATCCATCACGATGAAACCCTCTTTCCAGAGCAGTGGAAGTTCATTCCCGAACGATGGCTTGAAGGTGCAGACCCGGACTATACCCCCTCCACGGAAGAGACAGAAAACCTCAAGGCATACGTTCAACCATTTAGTCTTGGTGGTCGATCATGCATTGGTCGCAACATGGCTTACATGGACCTCAGCATCGTCATTGCTGCGTTAGTCATGGCATTTGACTGGGAACTACGCGATAAAAACCGGGAGATGGAGTACGTGGAAAAACTGGTCACTAACCCAAAAGAGTTATGGGTCAAAGCGAAGTTGAGGGATGGTATGGATATCAATTCACAGCTAAAGAGACAAGCCTCCGCTTCAGCCCCGAATCAAGCGTCCTAACGCTTTTTCATGTAGCGAGTGTTACGAGGTGTTTGCCACGGACTTTTATTTTATATTTTCTCTCCGCGCCTTTTTTTTTCATTTTGAAGACCCCAATGAGAAATGAAATGACACCGCCCTCGGCGATAAATAGAAAGCAATTTTATAACGTAAATGAATTCCCCATTTTCAAATTAGCCCTTGCAAACGCATCTTCTAAAAGAATACTATGACCTGGGTGTAGTTTTTCATTTACCAAAACGCTACCGACGCACGGTAGATCTCTGGACGGTAGAGGCAGTGATTCGATGCTACTTTCGCTCGGCTCGGCAATCTAGGCCACGTAGAATGCGTAGTACCAATAATACTCTCAGGATACTCGAAATAGCCGGCTTGTGTAAGGTGTGAAAGCCACCAGTCGGCAACGAACTGTGATATCCAACCTCCCGACATCAACACGTTCATGCTGAGACGTCACGCTAATGTCCGAATGCCGAGCACGTAGAATGAAGGCCTGTGTGACTGTTCGACCGGAGGTAAAATCCCGATATCGCCAATGATGGCCTTCATATCTAAACGATTTAGTTAACAACGTTATGTGCTTATGGTATAAATATTTACTGGTCCGTAAATAGATGACTCTCAAATTAACTGTGGTTCACAAACGAAACAAAAATATACCCAAAAGCTAAAAGTTAAGAAATAGAAAATCCGTATTCGATCACACAATGGGTCGCTTGCAAGGTAAGGTAGCGATCATCACAGGGGCAGGTTCTGGGTTTGGGGAAGCTATTGCACATGGCTTCGTCGTCGAGGGAGCCCGTGTCATTGTTGCAGATATCGATGTCCTGAATGGGCAGCGAGTTGTTCAAGACATTTCTTCCAAAGACTACTCTAGTGGTGGCTCCGCAGAGTTTCTAGAGACCAATGTGACGAAAAGAAGTGAATGGGAGAAGGTCTTGGACGTGGCGAAAGCATCCTTTGGCAAATGTGATATTGTTGTCAATAATGCAGGAACAACATACAAGAAGCAGCCTAGTGCGGAAGTGTCCGAGGCAGATTTTGACAAGGTCGTGACTGTCAATATAAAAAGCATTTACCTCAGTGCTTCAGTTTTGATGCCTTACTTTGTGAAACAGAAGTCGGGGGTTTTTCTTAGCACCTCATCTGTGGGTGGCATGCGAGCCAGACCTGTAAGTGTTCCTGACGTTCAGATTTAAAGCTCACAATGGAATGCTGATGGCATATCGTCTACAGGGACAAGTACTGTATGCCGGCACTAAAGGCTTTCTTAACACGGTGAGCGGGTTTAACAGCGGTCCTTGATAACTACCCTTGGCTAATCAGTAGTTAAGGTCACGCAAGGATTGGCCGCGGAATACGGACCCTTTGGCGTGCGTGTTAATTCGATTTGTCCCTTGTTAGCGGCCACAAGTTTGATGGAGTTATTCACTGGTGTTCCGGATACGCCTGAAGGAAGAGCAGAATTTGCTCAGAGCGTCCCTTTGAGACGCATGGCTCTGCCGAGCGATATCGCGAATGCAGCCGTATATCTCGCAAGTGATGAGGCCTCATTTGTTAGCGGAGTCAATTTCCCAGTGGATGGGGGACGTCTAGCTGCGTAATGAGTTTACGCAAAAATGTTATCCCTTGCTACGGAAGACCCGCTTTATAATTTCTGTTATGCTACCGTATATTCATTGGGATTTACACTATGGTAATCAAGGATATGCTGTTAATTGACGACGACGATGATGTTTCCTAGCAGTTACTTTGTGTATAAAGTTTCCCAAAGAAAACCTGACTTATTGAGTTGCACAAGATCCCAGAGCCCCTATTGTGCCTACTCCTGTCGCCAGTCATTAAATTGGATGTATCTCTATAGCAGTACATACGTGAGCGTCCAGGTATTGCTCGGGTATTTATGTATTTATTATTTCTTCCATTGAGTATCATAGCCTCATTGCAAATTTGATTGAGGTTAGATAATTGTATTAAATGGATTTCACTTCGATCTCGATAGTGCAATTCCATGTATCTGAGTTACACCTGGTGCTATTGGGTGAAGTGAGCCGAAGGCATTTGGTATGCCAACGAATTTGGAATGGATATTTCAAGTGAGGAACAAATTAATTCTGGTTAGTGAAAGGAGTGCCGTATACGCCGTCTCACTCATGCTCCTAATGCTTCCCGTCCCTTGACCCCAAGTTCATCCTTTGCTGATGGCCAGTGTTGGCCATCTCTCCAAAATCCTTCGACTGCAAAATTTTCTCCAGCCTGTCCATTATGAGGTAAATGGTTCAACCAGGTCCATGTGATTTTGTCTTTAAGTCCCCGCTGCTTCCAAGAGTTCAGATCATTATCTGGACTGTTGTTCAGGGTCGGAAGCTTCTTGACCAAGTCTTCATCATGTGCCAAGCACACCATAACGTCTGGATGAGAATCGAAAGCGATTAAGCTCTCTACAGACCCTTGTGCCGTTTTTGGGTCAATATATGCGGAGCTGTTGGCGTCGGTGGGTATAAGGAAAAATGGTGTCCTTCTCTCATCCCCAAAACTAGCCATGAAACGTCGAGGATGATTGTCTGTGAAGAGGGTACAAGGACATAAAAGGGGGAAGTTCTTGGCTGGGTCTAAAACACCTCTAGGAATCGGATCCGGCAGTGGCATCTGTTGACTGGGGCGGAAGACCCCGGGAAAATGGCATATATCGCCGCCTAGTAGAAGAAAACTGCTCTCAGGGTCGGCGGTTGTACGAGCTAGCCCACAGATGTGGCCTATGCAGTGCCCTGGTGTGTCTATACATCACCGATTAGATAGAGGTCCTGGCACGCCACCTTAATTTGCAAGTAGCATGGGGAAACTCACCCAGGAGATAAAAAGAACCATCCCCGAAAAAGTCGTGGGCAGGATAATCCCCAATGTGAAGGTCCGTTGAAGCGAAGTCAACTTCCCTCAGAGTGCGATTGGCAAATATCTGGGCCTCAACTGGAGAGTGAGGATCAAGGGGATACCCGGGAAGAATGTTTGGTGCCAACTTGAATCCAGGTCCTACCACCAGCTCAGTAGTGCTCGGAAATGCGGCTGTATTTCCTATATGGTCCCAATGGTAATGGGACCAAACAACAGTGGCTGATAAAAAGCTTTTAGTTTGGTTGTTCATATCACCGCCTAGGAGTCTTGACTACCCGGCTGCTTACATATTTCGTCCAGCTGGATTCCATTTTCTTTCAGAATCTCGGTGACATCTTTCTCAACGCGCAGGGCAGGGATAACTTCAGATAGGCGTTTCTGGAGAATGGCAGGATAGTTCCAATAGTCTTTCCGAATGCCCAGGTCAAACATAATTTTCTTTCCGGACGGCTTATGCTCAACAAGGAATGCGGCCACATATATGTTGAGGTATTCAAGCATCGGTTCTTCTGGCTGAATTAATGGCTTTGAACGAGACACCATAACGCCCGTGGTATCAATCAACCGCACTCGAACGGTGCTTATTGAGCGTGGAAACTGGATTTGACACGCCATAGCTGGGTCTTTCTTGCGGAATATGCGGCGGGAAGGGTGAGCACCATCCCTTGTGCCGGCAACAAAATTTTTACAAGACATGTAACCAGGCTCTGTCCCTGGTAGAGGTCCACAGATTATCACCATACCATTCAGACCTCTAAATTGCCCGGCTGACAATTTTGAATGTGAAGCTCACCTTTCCCCGGCCCAGCCCGATAGTCGGATAAGTTAGGCCGAACCGGCAACTACATGGGGAGAAATTGTGCTCTGGATCCGGGGGAGAGCAGCTTACCCTTTTGAGTCGGCAATGAGCCATGTTTCAAAGGAAACTATGTTGAACAAATAGGTTTGGATTGAATTGTGAAAGTGACTTACCTCAAGATCTATTCCAATTCTAACCGTCTTGACCATGCCAGCCCACGGATTTTCTGAACCACTGCTGAACCCAGTTTTCACGAAATATGGCCTTCCAGGTGAAATAAAAATTGGAAGCAACTCGCTGGGCCCTCATCCATTCTCTGACCATCGCCCTGTACATCATCCCGAATGGGACAAGCCATCCACTTCTGGCTACGTTATTTCCAAACATTTGATTAACGAGCCACCTCTTGGGCACCCGCCATTCAAAATCATCGTTGTCGGAGCCGGTGCCGCGGGAATTGACTTTTTACACCACGCCGTGAAGGACTTTGCAGGGCTAAATGTCGAGTTCGCGGTCTATGACAAGAATCCCGAAATTGGCGGGACTTGGTATGAAAATAGATACCCAGGCTGCGCTTGCGACAACCCTAGCGTCGGGTATACATTTCCCTGGAAAGCGAAGCCTGACTGGACTAGCTTTTATTCATCATCATTAGAAATATGGCAGTACTTCAAGGATATTGTGGATGAGGAGGGCATGATGAAATATATCACCCTTAATACATCTGTTTCCGGTGCAGCATGGGACGAGAAGAAAAGTAAATGGACGGTAACACTTTCTCAGCAGACCGATGGGGGTCTTAAAAAGCAGTGGCAGGAAGATTATGATGTCATTCTCAATGGAAGCGGATTTTTAAAGTATGCTGTTTGCACTTTAATAGCTATGGGACATGAAACAGCTAACACCCGTGCATCCAGCGCTTGGAAGTGGCCAAATATTCAGGGGCTAAAGACATTCAAAGGAGACATTTTCCACACGGCAAACTATAGAGATGGCTTTGACTTGAAAAACAAGAGGGTAGCTGTCATCGGCTCTGGCAGTTCAGGTGTGCAAGTCTGTGCTGCAATCTACCCTGAGGTCGAGAAGCTGTATACTTGGGTGCGGAGTCCCACCTGGATTACCGCTGCCTTTGGTAAGCAATTTGCTGGAAAAGACGGCCAGAACTTTAACTGTAGGTTTAAGTAGGATCTATCTCAAATGGTGTTTTCCTAGAGTAAACTAAAACCCCTTTAGACACGGCGGCCCAGAAAAAGGCATTCAAGGACGACCCAGAGAGCTATCAGCGGTACAAGAAGACTATTGAAAACGAACTAAACAAGAGATTCAAGTTGGTATTGCGCGATACAGGGGAGTCGGACGAAGCGAATGCTGTGGGTTGATTCCCTTCCAAAAACTTCATGTCTAATTTATTGCTAATGTTCCTTATTGCAGTACGCTTTTAAAGAAATGAGCACAAAGCTTGAAAATAAACCTTATTTGAAGGACTTCATCATTCCAAGCAATTTCAATGTGGCCTGTCGTCGGCCTACACCAGGCAATGGCTATCTTGAGGCTCTTGCTGGTGATAAGACTACAGTTTTTACCTCGACCATTCAGGCTATCACTGAAAATGGGATCGTCGATGCTGCCACGGGTGAACATCCAGTTGACGTGATTATCTGTGCCACTGGATTTGATACGTCATTCCGGCCGCAATTTCCCATTACAGGGTTGAAACCTAACGTAACTTTGGCAGAGAAATGGGCTGAATTCCCCGCCAGCTACTTGGGTGTTGGCGTAGATGGTTTCCCTAATTATTTCACTTACTCCGGACCTTTTACACCTGTGGCCCAGGGTTCATTACTACCTATTATAACGCTGCTAACAAATCACTTTGTTACAATTATTAAGAAAATGCGAAAACAGCACATTCGTCGACTGAGCCCGAAGCCACAGGCTGTCGCGGATTTTGCGGAACATGCACGAACATTCCTGCCTCGTACTTGCTGGGCAGATCCCTGCAGCTCCTGGTTCAAGCAAGGGACTAAAGACGGCCCTATTGTTATGTGGCCAGGATCTCGATTGTCATTCTTCGAAATCCTTCATCAGCCAAATTATGAAGACTACGATATCGAGTATTGGAACAAGAATCGATGGTCGTTCATGGGCTCTGGTTTTGTGGATATCGAATACTCTGAGTCTGCGGACTTGACCTGGTATCTTGATGAGTACTCTGGACACAAGGACTGGGTTGGAGGGGTGCCGTTGAACCCGGAAGTGGATGAGTTTAAGGATGTTAATCGTGGTGCAATTCCTGGCACTGCACTGTAAGTGAGAGTTTCATTGACAACATGAGATTGTCTACTTGTGCACAAAAGCTAGAAATACTTAGCGCATGCAGTACCTGCAGGTCAGCTAGATAGACTGTCTTGCACAAGTTGTTACCATCGCATTTTTTAAACTAATATCTTGTGCTATTGGTGTCTAGAAGGGGTCTGTTACTGTAGAAAGCATTTGCAGAGCTTGGACATAGTAGATCACTTGACGAGTACGGAGCCGTGTCTATATATCTCAAATCAAGTTGATAGCTGAAGGAGGCCTATTGAAATATTAATTAATTATATACTTTCATTACTTTCGAACTACAGATTTTAATGTTGCTTCATAACATGTTTTCGAGTCTGGTCATCATTGTCCGATTTTTTCAAGGCTCTTCGGAATCCAATTACATAGCTACAACATTTGAAGGTCTAGAAAAACTGAATTATGCCATTATAAAATATTTACTTTTTGCACTAATATGATAAAAACAATTTAGAACTAACAGCTTATTTCATGCCAGAGATCTTGTGTCAAAACGCCCACCACAGCGTTAAAATGTGACCTATTCGTAGGTGAAAACCTGTACAGACCATGGAGGTATCTGCTTAACTTTCAAGGTGGATCTTGTAATATCTCTGCACTGAGATAGATTTAGGAAACGCAGTATCTATTAACTTCACAGGGCTGGAAGCTCATAAGCTGCTATCAGCCTCAGGAGGTTGGGGAGCAGGCGGCGCTTCTGGAAGCAAACCGTGATGCACACCCAGGTACCACGCTGCGTCACTGCCGTCGTATTCCTTTGTTGAGAATCCATTTCCCATGAAGGAAAACCTATTTTTGCTCAGATACTCGATGTCATAATCTTCATACCTCGGGCACTCCAGAAGGTTTGCCAGCACCATCCTAGAACCCGGGAAAATAGTGAGCACCCCATCCACCGTACCATTCTTGAACCAAGAAGGGCAGGGTCCGGCCCACGCGGTGCGCTTTAGCCAGATATCAGCATGGTCAATAAAGTCCTCGGTTGCGCTCTGCTGTGGGGACATTGATTTGATATTTTCTTTCTGGAGCTTCTTGATGATGGAAAGAATATTATCAATGAATAACTCCACCATGGTAGTGTACGAGCCATGGCCAAACGAAAAGTAAGGACCACCAATGGTGAAATAGTTAGGCACTATCAAGAATAATTGTAAGTAAGGCTGTTTAAAAAGGGCCTGACTAATGTATTAAGGTATACATACTGCCTGGAACAGCCATAGAGAGATAGGAGATAGGTTTTTTCCGTTGAATATCCTGCAAGTTCTTACCGTTTGCCACAATAGGGAACCGCGGAACCCAGCTAGTATCGAACCTGCATAGAGATATATTTAGTTAGTCATTATTTAGTTATGCCAGATGAAGAGTGTCAGCTTGCCCTGTGGCACAAATGATCACATCCACCTCTTGCTCATTGCCGTCGGTATCAATGAATCCTTTGCGTGTAATCTTTTTGACCGAGTCCAGATATGTGGTGACCTTGTCCAAGGTAAGTGCTTCTAAAAAGCCGTTCCCAGGCTAAATTTTATTTTTAGAGTTCGTGTCACTATATGTGGATGCTGACTTACAGTAGGTCTTCGACAGCCAACTTCAAACGTCGTGGGAATTATACGCTCCATTATATCCGTCCGATGAGCCAACTTATTTTTCATTTCCTTGGATGAGAACTACGCATCCATTAATTGGGTTTCATCATTCGATACCATAGACCGGCACACACCTCTTTCGCGAGTCGGGATTCCGGAGACCCAAGTTGGACGGACTTGAAAACTTGATGAATCTCGATCTCCAAATTCTTGCAGTATTCAAGGTACTCTTCGGAGTTTTTAGCAAAATATTGCTTCTGCTCATCGGAGTCTACATATAGGTGATCAGCGATAGTTTCACAAAGCCTCCATGCATTGTGGGACAACATACAATTGAAGTTTTCGCCGTTCGGGCCAGCATATTTTTGAGCAAAGCCGGAAGTCATCCAGGTTGGGGACCGGATCCAGCAGTACAGATGGTCAACTTCATTAACAATTTTGGGGATCACTTGGACCCCGCTACTACCGATTCCAATTACAGCAACTCTTTTGTCCTTTAAATCAGTGTTTGGGTCGTAATTGGCGGTGTGACAAAGCTTTCCCTGGAAGGTGTTAATGCCTTCGATATCAGGCCACCTCCAAGCGCTGTAATCATTTTGTTAATTCGGATGCTAGATACCAGTCCACAGGCATAAAGGTAACTCTTACTTGAGAATACCGCCGCAGTTCAGAAATACGTTGCAAGTATCAATAAATATGGTCCCAGTCAAAAGATTCTTGATTCGAATGTCCCACTGGCCTCTGTCCGAGTCCCAGGTAGCATCTATAACTTCATGGTTGAGGTTGATGTATTGGGAGAGGTTGAAACGTTCCACTACGTTCTTGAAATATTCTAAAATTTCAGGACCTTCGGAGTAGAACTTTGACCAGTGCGGGTTTTTGGCCCAGGAGAACTAAAAAGTCAACCGATCGTACAGTGTGACATGACGAATGTGAAATGGCCCTTCTTACTTGATAGATATGTGATGGTATATCGCAGGCGCACCCAGGATATCTGATTGGTTAGCACTCCATGTGGCTTCTTAAGCGCAAGCCAGATATGTGAATTCAAAACGTCGGAATCACCAACCTGTTCTCATACCACGTACCCCCAACCTCAGGGTTTTTGTCATAGATTGACAAAGAAACATTACGCAACTGGAGCGGGAGGTATTTGGCGAGGCATATTCCCGCCGCGCCAGCCCCAAGAGCAATCACTTTCAATGATCTCTCCGTACCGAACAGAGCTTCCTTGATTTTGTAGCCCTTGCCATTATCCGTTACCCATCCGTATTTCTCAGGTAAAGTTTCGAAATCTGGAATTGACTGGTTTATAGAACCCATTTTACGCAAATCCAGCAAAGCACGTATATGATAGGCGAAGTGATACAATAATCGAGTATGTACAACGACAAAAACTCCTATTTAATAAGTATAATATTCTGTCCGGTCTTTACTTAACCCAGTATTCGTATATTGCAAGCCGAGTCTAACAACGGAGCGACAATGGGATTTCCTAATATGGTCGGTAATCACTCTAACCGGTTGTCAACTTCACGTTCTAGCTCCATTGCAGTCGACCCTTCGATCTGCAGGACTCGATGCAAACAATGCAATATACCTATGATTATTGCCGAGAGCCATAATATTAGTAGTGATTATTTCCATTTCATATTTTTCCCTCTAGAATAAAAGAGTCACTCAAAGCAAGAGTCGGATAATGTAATGTTATTTAAGATGCTGGGCAACCTAGTGTATTCTTCCCTGTCCTTTCCGTTTCGAAGCCGAGTTGATTAACTAATTAGTAATAACAATAAAAGTTTTAGTAGTAACGCATTATTGGCATTTCACTTTTCGATCATCATTAACTTTCGCTCATTTGAATCATTGGCAGGTGTTGTTTTCAAATATTCGTTATTTTAAATTATATATTCACATCCACTTGGGGATACCGATGTGACTTATATCATTCAACTCATTTTTACTTGAAGCCGTGATCTGTATTAAAACTATAAGGGCCCCTGCAGCGGTCTTCCTCTATGATACAACTTCTCAAATACCAGAGCGCTCTCATCGTCCGGGAATGGTGGTTGGGCCGTCTCCAGGGCTCCCAGTTTATCGTAGTTGGGCCCTACCTCATAGCAAATGCCTGACGTCTTGTCTACACCAAGCCACTTCTCGAACGTCTCCAGGACACCATGCATCGGTGTCATGACACCTTGGCTCTCTAGGCTGTCGTAGAATGCCGACGTGGACATGTTTGTGCGGACCACACTTGGACACACCGCGTTCATCGTGATATATTCTTCTGGGAGGTATGTACCATAGCTGCGGACGAAGCCCGTAATGGCGCTATCGGGTCCGTTAATAACCAAACCAAAGATACACTTAACGAAAGATAAGAGTAGGATAGAAAGTAAAAATGAATGAACGCACTGTTTCGCGGCAGTATATACCGGGATGGTTGGGCAGGAGTAGAGACCACAGACAGAGCCTACAACGCTAACTGTTTTGCAAGAAGTATGATTAGAAAACCCTTATTTAAAAAATATCAAAGATCCGGATAAAACCTACTTTTTCCACGAAAGCCATCACTGTTGAGTTCTTGCCGGCGGAACTGCTGGACAGCAAGCGCGACTGTATAGAACAAACCTTTCGCATCCACATCAAGGACTGTCAGGTCTGGAGGCTGAAATTCTCCGCTGATGTCATTTGTTAACCACCTTTTTTCGTTGATTCCCGCAATGGCATAAACATAGTCAATACGTTTGAATGTACGGACTGCCTGTGTGAACGCCTTAGCTTGACTACTCCAGTCCGACACGTCCGTCTCTGCGAAGGAAGCAACATGGCCCTGTGTGTTCAACTGAGCAGTAACATTTGCAGCATTGATTTTATTTTGATCAGCAATAAAGACTTTAAAACTGTTAACGATTTATCAGCATGAGAGAAAGCAGGTTATGGAATTAAGCTATATGTACCCTTTCTTCGCGAGCATTTCAGCCGTGGCTTTGCCGAGCCCGGAGGCTCCTCCTGTAATAAATGCAGTAGGCATCGTAGCGATTCTCATGTGCTAGTATTTCCCTAGAAGTAGATGAGAGCTGCCAGAAGACGAACATAGGCTTTTTGTATAACTTAGGCTTGGAATGGAAATGCCGATTTGGTAAGCTGGGACTGCCAGGGTTCTTCTAGGTTTAATTAGTATTTTCTGTTTACCTGGTAAGTGGAGGACAATGACGGCACATATATTTGCCTTACAAGTACTAGAGGGTATGTCTAGAGCGAGAAGAACGGCATTGTCCATTTTAGGTCGGAATTTTCGGAACGCTTAGCGATCATGAGAGTCCTAACTTTTACCTTCGCAGCCGAGCCGGGATATAGCCACTGTAAAAGTTGCGCGTGGTAAAAATCTGTTTGTCGTGGTCCAAAAATCACTAAGCTTTCAAGCCATGGTCTGGGTTAAGCCTGGCTTACGCCTTGAGGCACTCACTGACTTAAGTAAATGTTGTCTTATATATTGAAACAACCTTTTTCTTCCGTAGAATAATTTTCATCCTAACCGTTAAATCCTGACATTCAATTGTTAGATAAGTATGTTTTTTTATTGAAAATATACTCTTAGGACCGTGCATATATAGTTACAAGAGATGTATAATCTCTCTGGATACTTCAAGGCACTGTCATATATTCGACAACTAGGACTGCTTGAACTTCGACCCTGCAAAATATTCGCTCTCCTGGAAAGGAGGACCCTGCCTTGAAGAATGAGATCTCAATGCACTGCCCCTGAAGAATCAACGACTTCTTTTACTCATCTTTTTAATCATCAAATTCCTAGACTCCATAATTACATGGCATTGTATCCACATATATAAAGAATTACAAATTCAAGAAATTGAGTTCGAACATTTCCGAATCCAGGAGGAAGTTATTTAGTTGCGGTGACAAGGTAAATGCCAAATCTATTTCAGGGACAGCCATGGCAGCCATGGCAGGGCTGTTAAACAACAGAGTCCCAATCAGCGGGCTGGTCTCGGCCGAGATGAATGGGAAATAAGCTCTCCAGTCGATGGAGTCAGTCGGCGACAGGCTATCGTTTCTATCAAGTGATGGTGGACAGTTTTCCATCGTGGCAATAGGGCCCACTATTTCTTTCGGTTCCATATTCAGCAGTTTCTCAATACCTTCCTCAAACATCCGAGATGATGGCCATAATCGAGCCATTTCTTTAATTGCCGCCTGAAGGATCTTAATGTCGCGTTCTGCTGCCTGCCCTATGCCCTCGACCCTGCGAGAATGTGCTAACGCTAGGATAGCAATGATGATATACCAGCCGGCTTGTCCAGCAAGAAAACGAAGCGATCCTCGCAGTAGATAATCATAAAAGATCCTCGCAGTGCAAGACGCAGCAACTACTGCGGCAGTAGACGCTTGTGGGAATAGCTTAGTGCATTTGTTTAGATGTATGAGAGTGATGGTTGAGAAATAGGTAAGATAGATTCCATGGACCTCTGGATGGAGAAATATCGTCCTCTCGCCGCCGATGGGGAGATGCAGCGATGAAGGGAGGTTTTCCACCCATTGAATGAGAGTTCTTCCGGATGCGATTTCCGAGAATGGTAAATCTCGTCGAATTTTGGTCCCGATGTCCCCGACGATATCACACAGATTCAACCAAGAAAGAAATACCGATGTTCCTATACCATCTGGATCGGGAAAGTCTTCCTTCGTTGGCATGGGGTTGGTACAATCGGCAGGGTCGATGACACATGGCCTCCCCTGGGAAATGCAACTGATACGTTCTCGCGCCTACTCCAGAGGTCAAGGGGGTTAGCAGCCTGGCAGAGAGCAAGGAGAGGCGTGCGGGGAAACATACGACCAAAGTCCACCAGATTCTTCTTCTCAAGCCAGGCGAATCGCCTTCGCACTGGGGAAGCGTACTGCTAGAATGACGGTGCAGACGCATTTGCTGTGCCAGCCGGATGACTACGCCCGTCCACCACCACGTGTTGTCGATGCCGACCGTATTGGGACGATCCGCACTAAACCAGTAGAACAGCATGAGTGATATTATAGCAACCAAGGGATTCGACTCGTGGTTGGTATAGAACAGCTCTTTTGCGCGCTTGTAATGGTCCACTGACGATGCCTGCTCGACCAGGGTGGGCCGGATTTGATTGCTACAAAGTGCTAGCGCATGTTTGAGTAACAAGGATTGTCTGAATTGCGGGCACGAGTAATACGTCGCGCGGTCAAGCACCGGGCACCAAGTATACGCAAATTCAAAATAGACGTCCAGATGCGTGTCGCACAGGACGGCGGGCATGTTATCAATGGGCTGGGATCCCGTAAACGAAGTGTGCAGGGAGGTGCTCATAGCCTCACTACTATTGTCGTTACTAAAGATCGACATATAGCCCGAGTCGCCCAGGTAGCTACGCTGATAGGACGAATGGGACGAACCGCAATCCTGACTGTTGATGCCGAAAGCAGGATCGTTCGCAACAGAATACCGCTGCTCAGTCTGGCCATGGCTATGGTGAGTTTCTTGGCTGTCAGCCAGGCCCTCCGGTAAGACTACGGAGTTTGAGCGGACGACTTGCTGCGTCGTATCTGTCTCGGCAATGGCGGAGGGAGGGTCGAAGAGTTCCGTCTGAATCACATCGGCTTGTCTCTTGCTGCCTGCCCGCTTTGACGAGCGCTGCCTGCATGGGCACCGTTAGAACCCGAAAAATCGGACTGTTCAGCCCAATGGATTTTGTGCATACCGGCAGGGCACTCCCACATCTAGGCAGTTAGAGCATTGCACAATCCCGGGGCCGTCGATCAGCTGGATGTCACATTTAATCTGTTGTCACTCTCGTTAGCTCGTACGAACTGATCACGAAATGCCACACAGCTTTTTCATGCCTTCTTGTCATGACATCGGCAACAGACAGCCTTCGCCCTTTTGAGGCGTCTCTTGGGCGTCTTTGATGGCTCGCATTGATCGGTACCATGAATGGAGAATCGGCTCAGCATTTTGATCCCAACGCACGAGGATAGAATGGGAGAGTGTGGAGGGCGGTTTGAGTTGGGCGACAAGCAACCTCTAATTGAAAAGGAGTGAGGAGACGACGGAGGCAAATATGCCGTGAAGAATGAATAAGCCTCGTCATTTAGCGTTACGGAATAGCAGTGTCCGAACGAATTTGCGAACTGAACGTCTATCAATATACCACAATCTGCCAATCTTTCGCGGGGCCTCCGCAATCCCCAGGTTCATCTCCGCAGTCATTCGGAGAGGGGCCCGAGGCCCTCTTTCGGCCTAAGGATATTGTGATCGGTTCATCGCCCGGCCGAAGTATTTCCATTTGTCCGTCCTAATTTTGCTGCTTTTTTTCTAACCCTTTTGCATCGGTTCGCATCCCCGGATTCCGGCTGACCCAGTTCTCCGCACAGATACAAGATCTGGAGAGCTGCAGAGCTAGTATGGAGCTGAATATAAAATACAATCCATCCAATGGCGGGAAATCGCCCCAAGCGTATTCTATGTTTCCCGGATCCTATACGAACAATTATGGCAACCAAATTGGCCTTTCTTGATGCTCTGCGAGCGCAAACTCAGGCGTTGTCCTCAGCGCAGCTGATATTCGCAACCCTTGCCCTTGTAACGACGACCTATTTAGTTGGATATGTCGTGTATCAACGATACTTTCACCCCTTGGCAAAATTCCCAGGGCCCTTCTGCGCCAGTATTACCAACTTCTGGAAAGTCTATGAACTGTCAACGCTAGCTCTACCCACGCGCATGTGTGCCGTGCACGAGAAGTATGGCCCAGTCGTTCGCATTGGGCCAGATGATCTCTCTTTCAATATCCCGCAGGCCATTGCGCCGATCTACAAAGTCGGCCGGAAGATGCCCAAGGGGATCTTCTACAAGGGCTATGTCTCTACAGTCCCAGATATTTTTTCTACCCGGGATGAAAATGTGAGCTGCGAAACCCCAACCCCTGGGTGGTATGTCCATAGAACCTTATTAACTAACGAGTTCAATTGCCAGCTTCATGCCCTACGCCTGAAGCAGATCGGTCCCGGTCTCTCGGTCAGTGCCCTTAAGCACATGGAGCCCGTGTTTGACAACCACATCGACAAGCTCCTGCAGAAATTGGATGGGTACGTTGAGTCTGGTGCTGTCCTAGATCTCAAGTCAGCTCTTGGCCTGTACGGGTATGACGTGACTGCCCAGCTGGCGTTCGACACCGACTTCAAGGCTCAGACCACAGGCGAATTGCCCCCTTTGAACAACCACTTTCTTCTGGGTAATATTTATGGTCTTCTTGCAAACTTGCTTCCTCATATCGCCACCTGGTCGGCATACCTACCACAAGTGAAAGCTCTCATACAAAGCCGCAATGACCTGAAAAAAATCGCTGCCGATTCCATTCGCCAGAGTTTGGAGACTCACAACAATGAAACCGAGCCTGGTACCCTTCTCGCAGCATTGATAAATGCAAAGGATCCGGATTCTGGTAAAGGGCTGACCGAAAATGAAATCAACTCCGAGGCCTTTGTTTTCCTGTAAGACACCTTTCTAACTAGCTGTTGTCAAAAAGAAGAATGAATGAATAAAACAACCTAACTCTGCTTCCAGTGTCGCGGGTTCCCACACCACATCCAGTGCTATGGTTGCTCTGCTATTCTATATTCACCAAAATCCGAAAGTACTTGCAAGGGTCCGCGCCGAGTTAGATTCCGCTATTCCCGGACAGCAACGGACGCCATATGAATTCACTGGTCTGGAAACCAACCTTCCATACATACTAGCTTGTATCCGTGAGAGTTTCCGCATGTCGCCGACTGCCGCGCTATTGTTGCCACATGAGGTGATCAATCCGGCCGGAACAATGATTGGAGATTATCACGTTCCCCTTGGGGTAAGTGGATATTTGTAAATTGAATAACGTAAGACGGATTGGTAACACTAATGATATGAAAACACAGGCAAATTGCTCTATTCTCAGTACCTGTCTTCATCACAATCCCGATGTCTGGGGTTCTGATCACAATCAATTTGACCCTGACCGCTTCCTGCCTGGGTCTGCTCGTTACAGTTCTTCAAATCCGAACATGCTGTTCCACTTTGGACAAGGCAATCGGCAATGTGCTGGTCGTAACATTGCATTAATGTCCATCTGGAAGGTTGTGGTAACCGTCATGAAGAACTACGATATCGAACTCGTCAATCCCAATGAGGAATTTGTAATGCTGGAATATGGTGTAGGAGACAAAAAAGGCCCTATGAACGTTCGTGTCAAACGCCGTATTGTTTCGTGATTATTCATATAACAATTTTACGTGCCACTCGAAGGTACCATGTTTCGTGTAATTCTAGCCCCATACGTTATATACAGTGTGCCTCTCGCCCGAGGTGCAACTTAATGTTTTTGGCACTACTACCAGACTCAGCCTGTCAACGTACAAATTACATGTAGTACCTTCAATGTTGGGGGTACCATTATAGCCTTACTTTACGATTTTCATAAGCTCTAAGTGGAATAGGCATGGCAAATAGTACCTTTAGTAATATTTAAAAGTATGAGAACCTTACTTGTGAAAAGTCCAGTTCTATGTGCACATGCTCCATGTGGGACGAGACTTGGAGACCATGTCTCAAGATTCGAAAAATTAGATGAAATCAAATGAATCGAATACTCTAATATGGTCCTAATTTTCTCCTAGTTGATATTTACACCGGACTAGAACAATAAAGAAGCCACGCAATATTTCCGATTCTGACGGCCGGGTGATTACTTATTAGCAAGGCAAAAATTATACACATAAAGAATTACACATTTAACACATAGAGATAAGTATGCTGTTGAAAATAGCGTCTTTGAAGAGTCGACGTATATGTCCTAAAATTTTTCACCCACACCAGGATGCATTTACAATACGCCTTTCGCGCGGCGCGCTTTACTCCACATCGACGCGACCGACGTGCAACCCTCCAGAAACTTGGATGTCTGTTCCAGTGGTGTATGAGGATGCCTCGCTCAAGAGGTATACGATTGCAGGAGTCAAGTCGTTGCGATTGCCGATTCTCTCTAAGGGAGGCGCCTTGTTCATCAGGTCCACTCTCTGTGGCTGCTGCTCCTTGAAAGGCGTGAGGAGTTCAGTATCAGTGTATCCTGGCGAAACGCAGTTGACGCGGATCTGATCCGGGCCAAGCTCAATACTGATGGCTTGCCCAAGCATGCGAACAGCAGCTTTAGAGGCATTATATGGAGACAACTGATGCCCTGGGGTCTTTGTAGTAGCTGAGACGGATGCGATGAGGACAATGCTGCCTCCGCCGCCTTGCTTTTGCATTTGCCTTGCGGCAAGCTGTGCTGTAAGGAAAGTGCCGAGGACCTTTATATTTGCAATATAATTAGAGAGGATAGCTTGATCTAAAAGGGGAATGCTTACGTTCACGTCTAGGAGTTTTGCCACAGGTTTGTACTCACAGTCCACAAATGGACCTTCGATAACGACGCCCGCGGCAGTAACACTAGATGAACAAATCAGAAAATAAAATTACCTTCATTTCGTGGCTTCTTAATATCGGCTACATACCAACCATCCAGGCGGTCAAAATGGGTCATTGTTTGGTTGAAAGCGCCGTTCAAACCCTCTGGGTTGGTCACATCAGTCTGGATGTATTCTGTCTTCACATTGAACTCATCTGCCAACGATGCAAAATCTGCCACAGGTTTTGAGGCCACGTCCCAAACACACACATTCCCACCCATTTCGGCAATGGCACGGACAGCTGAATAACCAATGCCCCTAGCACCACCGGTGACAATAATGTTCTTTCCAGAGAGATCAAACCGACCCTTTATGGGTCGCAAGTCGCCATCGTACGTTTTCTGCTCCTCTGAGAACGTCCGAGCCTGTCGAAGCAAAGAGCCACGCAGGGAATAAACAGGATTGCAGGCTCGGCGAGTGACAACTCGACCTCCTCTAAATGATGCAGAGATACCTATGAAGCTCATGATGTGTGGAGTGGTGACCGTGCTTGACAATCAGAATTATGGGATGGAATGCGTAACAATGCAAATTGTGGCTACTTTTGAGATACGTAACCCCCCTGTTTTACGAACTGGATCATATCGGCTATCAAATGGTACTAGGAAAAATAAGTACTTCCCCAAGAAAGGTACTACGACCAAAAATTCGGCGGTATTGTTCCCGACGCCTCGAATCAGTGCCGATTGATTTCGGCGAACCGCCACATTCCCTACATTATCCCAGATAGTTCGGCTACGAACATAAACGGAAGCACAGCATATCCCTGATACGTACTATTTATATTTACAAGTATCTTGTGAGAAATGAGTATCGATCTATTTCGACATTACTTACTAATCAGCTGCTATATTTACGAGAGGGATAAAGTGTTAGTGGCTTCGCATCGATTGAATAATCATCACGGAGGGTCATTTCTGATCTGCACCCGTATTTTCAAGGTTTACGGCGAGTGACTGGCCTTGCATTACCCCGCAACGCACAATGGATGAAGAAAAGCCCGACCGTGCGGCCATTGAGCGAGCCCAGCAAGTCCTATACGACGAGGGAAGCAAACTTCGAGAGAAGGTGTTTGGCCACCAATATATTTCGAAGTCCAAATCCCTTCCTGAATTTCTACAGCCAGTGCAAACAATGGCAATTACCGCAGGGTGGTCCTTAGTCTGGTCAAGACCGGGCCTAGAACTCAAGACTAGGTCGCTACTCTGCCTAGCGATGTTAGCAATGCTTGGACGCGACAATGAGCTCGCGGCTCACGTTCGAGGCGCCATATCCAACGGCTGCACGGAAAAGGAAATCCAGGAAGTTTTCCTTCAGGTATGGCTCCATTTTTCTTGGCCTTGCTACCTCCGAGGACTACAAAATGCACATTATGTTACTAATCTACTTTCCCCTCTTATATGTAGGTCGGAGTATATGGTGGAGTTCCGAACGCAGTGAACGCTACCCGGATCGCATCGGAAGTATTGCAGGATAATAATAAAAATATTCCCAATGATAGAACATCGTTATAGATTTAGTTTTGATTTGAATTGAAGAATAGTTTCTAAGTGGGACGAAAGATTACTCAACGGCCCAGCCTAAGCCACTCCATCATAAACCAGTGTACTCGCTACTATCTGTAGATTGTAAAGGGGGTCTGATTCATTATAATCATCATGATTCAGATCCATGTAGCCAGAAGAAGACAGCTGTCGGGGTACAATGCCCAACGTCCGACCTATAAATAAAGTGGTTTTTATTGTCAGCTTGCCTGGCTTTCACGGGGTACGATGAATTCATACCATTAATCGAAGTGTCTGTCACAAGCCGGAAAACAGCTGAGACAGCATCCTCGGCGAGAGCAAAGTCAACCCCTTTCGCCTCAAATTGGCGACGGGTAGATTCTACAAAACTGTCCTTGAGAATAGGAGTTGCGATGAACCTGCACTTCCATAAGTATGTGTTTCGCCAAGAACGAGACCCCAAGGAATCATTTATATGGATGCACAGCGAGTGGTAAAGAAATGGGCGAGAGCATACCATGGTGCAATACAGTTGACCCGGATCGCCTGCTTTCGTCTCAAACAGGTCATTAAGCCTCGGACACCATGTTTTGCCGCTGAATAAAGAGAAGATCCCTGAGTATCAATATATCCCATAATACTGGTTATCAGAATTATACAGGGATCCAGGGTTCCTTGTTTTTTAAAACTCCATGCAGCAAGTCGAGTGGTATATATCACCCCTACAAGGTTCACATTCAGAATAGCCGTATTTGGCTTTGTGGGTTCCTCATCCGACAACCCTAGAAGATATCAGTCAGTAATACAGTCCGTGGTCCTTGTACTAAGTTGAAGAACGACAAAGTATCAGAGGAGTCAGCACCATCAAGAGTGTCCGGTCCATATATCCCAGCATTTGCAATAACGACGTCGATATTTCCGTTTGGTGACTTTTCTTTGGCCCTCCGGAACACGTTGACCTGCTCATGCCAACTTGATACATCACATTTGACAAATACTCCTCTAAATCTTGTCTTAGTGGTCGACGAGAGTATCAGCATGGGAGAAATTCACTTATCAGAGGGAATGGCCACTGAAGGCGGGTTAATATCGCCATTTACCACGAAAGCTCTTTGGGCGATTGTCAGAAAAAAGATTCATTGGATATTATTCAGAAATCGCAGATTACACACCCAGCAGCTATCAGAGCTTGCATGTAAGCCAGGCCCAGGCCACTGCTGCCTGTAGATCCAATGGGTCAAATTAGTTCTGGGTGGAGCTCAAGAGATGGGCCTTGAAATGAATGGATTCATACCTCCAGTCAAAACAACCGTTTTGCCAGCAGCTTTACGGAAATCGACGGACTCCTGGCTGTTGACTAGCCTGTTGACATAGGGTGAGGTCATCGTGATCGACTACTAGGTAATTTGTTTATATGGAGCTGTAGAATAGGAATGGATTCGTTAAGGTAGGTGGCAGGTCAGCTGACTCTATAGTCCACACCTATTTGTAGCCATGTAAGATACCATACAATGCGTGGTACTTTTGCCTTTCGAAGAGGAGTCAAACACTCTACTATTTTCGATTCTCGGAAGCTGAAAGATGTGGCTTTCTTTATTTGAACGTGGGCTACCTGGACTCATTCAAGGCTCTTGACGGGTGAAGCTTTCGTATTTCCTTTCCTGGTCGGCTATTCAGTCGGTGGGGATTAAGGTTTATTCAGGCCTGGAGAACCCAGCTAACGTGAAACTGGCTATAGCCACTTGCATATATGTTACGTGTAATGATAGTAGCGTTGCCTCCAATGAATGGGGAGGAAATTACTATCTCAAAAAGTATGAGGAATACCTGTCTTTTTTTGAAACCTAATTAACAGTACTTCGTCCGATATAGAATCTATAGTTGTGAGGTTAAATGCTAACACGAAACCTCATTCTTGGTTATTTCATAGTATAGATCTGTGAATATAAACCAAACTATAGCTTAAGACGAATTGACCAAGTAAAATTAATGAATTAAATTGTGTGAAGTGTTTCTGTCAATGGGTGTCTGCCGAAGAAAATTCCCATGCGTACTCAGACCTTTTCTGACTCTTATTGTCCGTCCTCCCACCACTTCTCTAGTTCCTCCAATATTCTTGATTCAGCTTACTTCCTAGAATTAACTCTTCCTTTAGGCCAAATAAGAGCTATATAGTCCGCACATACATCCTTCAATCATGCCAAATAAAAGTTTCGAACTAACGCCGCAGAGCTTATTACAAAACCTACTCCGTGAGCACCCCTTCGAGAGGTGTGCTTTTAGTGTTCACAATTGTGGAGGGTATCAATAGCGTCAGGAACCATGATAATAATTTTTCTTACAACCATGGCCTTAATGAGATACAGAAATGACAACCTTTCCGACACAGTCTCCAGAACAGAGATAATCAAAAGCTTCAGGGGATTCCTCAAAATGAAATCTCTTTCCAATGATAGATTTTAGGGATACCTTTCTCGTTGCTAGGAACTGACAAAGTTTTTGTTGATCTATTTTCGACCCGACCTGAATTGCCCTAGGTATGGTTTAGTTGTCGCTTGCTTTAGCTATTGAAAGGTATCATTTTAAGTAGAATCTTACTTGAGTGTCCCAACTTTTAGGAAGAGCCGCCCCAAAACTTCCACAAGGTCATTGAGTTGCTGTCCACCCAGAAACCCAATCCAGGATATAGTACCGCGGGTGGTCATGGCGGTAACACTTTTCTGAAAACTTGTGTCTCCCACGGTCTCAAGCACAGTGTCAACGCCCTTTCCAGACGTCATCCGAAGGACCTCTTCGTCCCAGTCAGGGTAATCACGATAATTGATAGAATCAATGGTCCCATCTGGATCAAGGGCTGCGATATCCTGTAACTTCTTCTCCGAAGACGACGTAATAATCGGATGAATACCAGCAGCTAGGCAGATCACCAGTGCAAACATACTCACGCCTCCGGTCCCTGTGTAGCGTCCCCGCATTAGTATATCTCGAAAATGTGTCCAATAAGCCTGTTAGGGTCTGAGCACACCGAGCATTAATGCAGTTCTTTCAAAGTCATTACTTTCGTTCATTTGCAAGGAATTCCAAGCCGTTGTCCCTGCGCAGGTTATGCAAGCAGCCTTCAGAATACGTTAGACATACAATTACCTTCCAACTGGCTGAAAGAAGAGTGGGCAAGGGTCAAGTAGAGATGAATAAACGGCCAAGTGAAAGGAAACTTGTTCGGCGTACCTCTTCTCACGAGAGGTGCGGTGGAATTCGAACAAGTACGCTCTCGTCAAACACAGCATACTGACACAGTACCCCGTCCACATTTCCACCTAGTTGAGCAACCTTGCCTTCAGGGTCTGGGTTTTCAATGTACTTCAAATCGAAGATAGGTGAAACCGGTCTCCAAGTAATACCTGAGTCACTGCGGACCCTAGATCAACTACTTCTCCAGCACAGTCGGACGCAGGGATGCCTTGATCCTTTACGGATATTGGATAATTTCCACGCAGCATACCAACGTCCCTGTAATTTAAAGATACAGCATGCACTCGAATTAGGACATCCGTCGGCCGAAGCAAGGGGATGCGTTCGACGACCGGAAGGATAATTTGAGCATTCTCACCCGGTGCACGTCGAAAGGCCTTGTAGGAGTCTGGGATGGCCATTGAACTAACTTCGAGGTAGATACCACGCTTCAGGTTTTGAGGTAAAATAGAAGAAAAGTCTATTTAGCATACGGAGTGCTATTTTCAATTGTCGATGGCCATACTACTAACACCCTAGCATCATTTGTCATGATGCATGATGAGATCAGCAAAGTTTGGGTAAGTTATACGCTATAACCGAAACCCAAATTCGACTCGACCGATTATGCAGCACATTGGCCGATGCGAGCACACGACAAGCAAAATGTCAGTTGCCAGTCATATGTTCTCCTTAGTACCATATTATGATAATTGTTTCCAATACAACAATATAGATCCAGGAAAATGGCCTGTATTTCCTGTGATGTGGAAACAAGTAGTAGATGGGAGTGGTCAGCACCGGTAATTCCGGAACTGCTGATGTCATTAAGAGAGTACTAAAACGGCATGGCAGCTGATTGTGCTCTAGCCGAAGACTACGACCATTTTACTTGCCTTCGGCCGAAATTTCGGCGATAGGCCAAAGGTTGAAGGAATATCCACCACTTATGTCCGGCCGAACGGACGTCCGCCAGCAAACATTATAATATCAGGACCGTTAAGCCTGTGGTGGGATTAGTATTGTAGTGATAAAGTACCGAATACTTGACATTCAAATTAAAAGTGTTCCTTACAGTATCCCATAAAAGTCTTGCCGCTAGGAGAAAAAATAATGTCAGAAAACGACGAAATATATGCTGTACCTCGCCGCTCCAAGATCCTAGTCACGGGCGCCAATGGATTCATTGGCTCTCATGTTGTAAATTGTCTTTTAGAATTGGGGTTTGCGGTGCGCGGGACGGTTCGACAGCCAAAACCATGGCTGAACGATTTCTTCCAGAAGAAGTTTGGACCGGAAACTTTTGAGACCGTGATTGTCCCTAATTTCGACGACGTTAACCTTCTAATTCGGAGTTTGGAGGGCATATCGGGTGTTGTGCATGTGGTATGACCAGGTTCGTAAATGGAAAAGAAGAATATTAATACAGACTTGAAGGCTTCCGATATGACCTTTTCAACCGATCCGAACCTCGTGATTCCATGGGTTGTAAGAGCGACACAAAATATTCTTGAAGCTGCTTCACAACAACCTGTGAAGCGAGTGGTTTTGACTTCGTCATCGACAGCTGCTCTTGTCCCAGAGGCTAACTTGGAGATCCGGGTAGATGAGAGTCAGTTTTTTTCGCAGGTAAATTGAAAATACTTTTGCTAATATTGCCAGTAGACACTTGGAATGAAGCTTCATTGAGAGCCGCTTGGCAGCAGGACACTACCGATGATCGCTTAGGCTTGCATGTTTATGCCGCATCGAAGACTGAGGGAGAACGACAAGCTTGGAAATGGATACAGACGAATAAACCTTCCTTCGTGTTCAATTCTGTTCTTCCGAACTTCAATGTACGATATTCCTAGTCGCTCCATGAAAGTCTTCAAAAAGCTGACTTATTACCTCGTTCGCGAGTAGATAGGAAAAATCCTTCATCCCAACATTAAAGGGTCTTCATCAGACTGGGTCCGCAATCTTTTGGCAGGAGACCCAATGCTTTTTTCCATTATCGGCCCACGTAAGACCAATTTGACTCTAATAACCTTAAATTATAGTATATTAACCTTTTTACTATAGAATGGTTCGTTGACGTTGTTGACAACGCTCGACTCCATGTCATTGCCCTACTCGACCCCAATGTAAAGTCTCAACGTCTTTTTGCCTTTGCCGCTCCGTTTCAAATGAAAGACATTGCTTCCACTCTGAAAAAGCTGCGCCCCCACGCCGCTATACCTAGCCCCCCAGTTGGTGAGGGTTTGGATTTGAGTGATATAGTGCCTTCTAAGACTGCACAGGAGTTGCTACAGGTATTCTACGGACAGCGAGGCTGGACCTCACTAGAAGAAAGTTTAGCTGCTTTAATCGAGGACTTGTGATAGTGGTAATCTAGATTTTCTAATTCAGTCAAGCCTTGGTTATATTCTGGTGTATCACTTGGGTATTTTTGGTGTCTACCTTGAAAACAAATTAATATGTGATAGCAATTTCCAGATTTTATCACAGCCATATGTGACCAATAAGTGTAATTTTCTCGTATATTTCGTTTTTACATCTATTTTACAGACGCCACAAACAATATTGTTTATTGTGATAAGTATGCTTCCGGGATATTCGAATATCTTAGAAATTGAATACGTTATCGCTGACCCTTTTAAAGCCAACACATGGTTTGAAATATCCGAGGAATCTACTTCGTTTTTGAAACGGTAAATGAGCAAGCATTATCAGTTGACAAGATCCACTTGAAGCTCTCCAGGAGTAATTCATCCCAGACTCGACTTGAGGGCAAAGAACTGTAGCGACGGAAGCCATGGGGAAGTCCAGGGAAAACATGCACTTTTGTTGGAATACTGCATAAGTGTTTGAGAATAATATGTTAACATAACAAAAACATTCCACACATGTACGTTCAGGGTGGTTTTGACTAACCCATTTCTTGCTAACTTGTCCGCATAGTAAAGACCATCATCACGAAGTAAATCCTGTCCAGCAATCAAAAAGCTAGACTTTGGTAACCCACTCAGCCTGTCTTCCTCACTCAGTGCGATGTTCAAAGACGGATCAGCTGGGTCCTCTGCGTGAAGTAGATCAGTGAATAACTGAAGCAGCGACATCGGAAGAACCGGAGCATAGTTATTCTGCATGTAAGACGATGTGGGTTGCGTTCGAAACGGGTGATTATCCGGGTGAATTAGCCAGGGAATACAGAGAAGTTGCCCACATACAGTTAACGATGGCGTTTTTGAGTCCATGTGTTGTCGTATTACAATAGAAGCTGCTAGTCCTGCGCCGGCAGAGATTCCGCCGACAATTACACGAGTTGGATCACCGCCAATAGCACTGGCGTTACGGGACAGCCATTCAAACGCATCCCAGGCATCGTCTACTTGAGTCGGATGCTTGAACTCCGGAGTGTGACGGTAGTTGATATTTACCACGAGAATGGACGCATTGGCAGCGATCCGGGAGCAGGAAGCATCTTCTGTTTCGATGGTGCCCAGAAGGTGTCCTCCGCCATGGAAATAGAGATAGATCGGAAGTGCCTCGGAAGACATGTTGTCACTGGGGCGGTACACGCGAGCAATAATATTTTGCTTGTCCCTTGTCAAAACAGAGTAGTCCCTCCATGGTACTGTTTTGTAGAGGTCTGCAGCGAAACCATGGTCAGCTTTCTACAATGCCATAGGTATAGATTAACCAACCGCCTTCTCGGAGCTCAGCTTGCGCTATTTGTACTCGCAGTTCATTCGTTGCTTGTCGCATGGTCTGCGGTGACAGAGTCAAATCTGGCGCTTGGATGGGATTGTCTCGAACAAAAGATTTCCATTCTTCCGACGGCCCCTGATATTGTGAATAATCTAACATTGCTTTCAATCACGTGAAACGCACTGTAGCAATGCTCTGTTATATGAATCAAGAATATTTAACTTTAAGAGCAGAAATATGACAGATGAGAGCTGAAGCCTGCTCTCTTGGAGGTTGTATGATACTGGTTGGTCAGTGCCTAATGCTGGCTGGCTCCCAACCATCGATGCCGACCATGTTGAGTAATTTGGAAGACGGTCGATATGCTACCTGGAGAACCAAGGTTTACAAATTTGGGCCCGGGGTACAACAAATTCACATTACAGAGGAATGGCCGTGCATTTGTAATGCGGCCTCGCAAATTCCCATTTCGTTGTATTTTCGGCTGGGTATTCGGCTCTGCTTCTCTGGTTCGGCAATGCTTGTTTCTATGATGCGGCTATCACATTCAAATTAATAACCATTCTTGAACATAACTGTTTTCAAAACCACCCGAAGAGAGCTCTGGCTCCAGTTTCTTGGTCAATTGATAGGTAGTTAATATCCAAGATAAAGCGCACTAACCATGGGGAGCTGCCCAGATTACGACAACCTTCCTATCATCAACATCAATGGCAAATTGAAACGTTGCGCATGGGGAATATTCGACAAAGACGGCCAAAAGGATGTCTATGGATGTCTTAACAAAGTCACTCCTGAAATTGTAGCGAGGGCTGCAACAGAGGTGACGCATGGTGTTACCATCTCCCTGAAGTAAGGCAGATTCATTAGGTACACAGCCGTCCTTGCAGTTAACCTAGTATTGGCAGCTGGCCCCTTCGAGTCGCACCAAAACCAGGATTTGGGAGAAAGGGATTGGTCCACAAGGTCATCTCTTTTGTGAATTCTCCTCTGCAAATACATGGCTATGATGATGAAGTCGAATTTAATACGCAATGCAGTAGTCAGTGGGATGCTTTATGTTTGTTCCACCTTCCATTGTAGTATCGACCTAAAAGCTAATGACAAGAGTGCTAGGTCATTTCTATGACCAGGACCTTCAACGAGGATACAATGGCTCTAACCCTAGCATCCATGATCTTGTCCAGGACTATGGCGAAGAGGATCACGCCGCCAAGATTCCAACTTTAAATCGTACGTTACTTGTTTATTTTACTGCACGAGAGACCTAATCGGTAGATAACTTATAAACCACCCTTAGACTGGCATGCTCGAGGTGGTCTTGCCACCCGTGGGGTTTTGATCGACTACAAAGCCTATGCGGAGAGAAAGGGGATCAGATATTCTCCATTCTCTGCTCATAAGATCACCATTTCCGAAATCGAAGAAATTGCCAGTGATCATGGTATTGAATTCAGACCGGGAGACGTTTTCCTTCTTCGAACAGGCTTTACAGAGGCAGTAGAGTCTACTGTCAATGAAGCAGAGAAAATACGACTGGCTAGTTCTCCGGATAGTGCAGGTGTCGAGGACGCAATCATGGCTGTCCGTTAGTTCTGGAATCATCATTTCAGTGCCGTAGCCGCCGACAACCCTGGCTTCGAGGTGATGAGGCCAACCAAAGGTGGAGTGGATGGCAGTGGAAGTACCGCGGACTATGGTATGGAAACTTTTTTCAACTTGGCTCTTTATCGTATAGACAACTTACAGAGACATACAGTTTTACATCCGAACTTTCTCTCTCTCTTAGGCTTACATATTGGTGAACTTTGGGACTTGAAGCGTCTTTCAGCATACTGTCATAGTACTGGAAGGTTTACATTTATGCTCACATCAGTCCCTTTGAACTACGCCGGGTCATGTGGATCTCCCCCTAATGCTATGGCACTCTTCTAAAACCCTTCTTCTTGCTTTTAATGTTTCAAAATGTAGTTACGAGCTTCCAACCTGAAATCAGGGAGCTATTTCATAGACAGAGGCTTTAAATCTATAACTTACTCCCTGGCCACCCCAGCACATCCACCACTTTCATCAACCTTTCTTCCTCACTCTCCACCATCCCGTATACGCCTAAAACAATATCATCCACGGTGCTCATCCCAAAGCTCGCGTTACCTATGGGACATTCAGGTGTCGAATAGATTCTGTTTATGTCTACGGCGTCATGATGTAATCTAATCTTTCCCCTGATTTTCCATGCGATGTTGGAACAAGTAATTCGAATTGCAACTAGTTAAGCAACTATTGACAAAATAAATAATACATTAAGTCGTCCAATTTCACAAAAACTTTAGAAGAATCTGGAAGCTCCATTCGGCGTTGCTGCTGCTCTGTGGCTCAACACCTTTCAACACACCGGATTTCAAGCCAACTGCTTCTTCATGAATTCAGCAATATTGTTAACAGCTGGTCCCAGATATTTCTCATTATCATAAAAGTCCATATGTGCAGCACCGGGAACAATGAGCTTCTTCGTCGCGCCGCCGATAAGTTTGTCCAATTTCTCGGTGTGCCACAGCGAGCCTGCCTGTTCACCGGCGATTAGAATAATAGGCTGCTTAAGGTACAAATCCGCTAGATGAAAGGCATCAAAGGTGAGCACTCGAGGGAAGCTAAGATACAACATCTTGTTTGCAGCGCGGGGATGCTGCGCACGCGGGGTAAGGTAGTAGTCGCTTGCTTCCCTCATATCTCGCGGAGTCTTGTCGTCAGGGCTGGGAGGGACATATGGTGCAGCAGCACGTTCGGCGCCTTTCACTTCTGCTGTAATCTGGGCAGCTGCTCCATTTAGCGCCTCCACGTGCTTCGAGGGATCCTCATCTCCGTTCCATCCTAGGCGCGAGGCATCGCCTATGTTCACCATACTGACAGTCGCAACCGCCTTGAGCCGATGGTCGCCTTTTGCGGCACCGACAGCATAGCCACCTCCAGCACAGATTCCCAGCACGCCGATTCTGTTTTCATCCACAGTATCGAGTTTTTGGAGGTAGTCAATAACCGCATACACGTCGCTTACGCGCTCGTTTGGGTCTTCAAGGAAGTGGGGTTCGCCTCCACTGGCTCCCTGAAAGGATGCATCATAGGCAATGGTTGTGAAGCCGGCGTCGGCAAGTTTCCGCGCATATGTGCTTGCAGTTTGTTCCTTGACACCGCCGCCTGGGTGCACAATCACAAGGCCGGATGTTTTGCCAGACGCGTTCGACGGTTTAAATAGAAGACCTGCAAGGGCAATTGGGCCTTTCTTGATCGAGATTTCGGACATGACTGTTGGGAGTTGGATGTTGACTGGGTGTGTAGATAGTATCAAGAGGTACGTACGTAGTTGGTAATAAAAAAAGCCAACTGGATGCTCTTCCCGGTAGCTATTTATGTTGCACGGTGTCTATACCGAAACGGAAACGTTAGATGAGAGTAGGCAATGACGTATTTGACTCGGAAGTGGTTGGGTGCACTATAGTAGATCGGCCGAACCAAAAACTCTAGTTCTAGCGCTAAGCAAACTTTATCTCCTTAGCCGATAAACAACAGTCACAGCAGCACGGTAAGATTATTAAAGTTATCCGACCAACTTCAGACATGCCGCTAGATTTCGGTATTGCTCCACGGCTACATGCATGCTTCGGCCGACGGCATTAATGGACTTATATCGACTCTCCTCCGTCCAGGCGGAGATTATAAACGTTGCAAGCATATGATGCAATATTTGTCATCATCTCATTGCATGTCAAACCGATACTCGGAATCCGAATGGAAGTAAGTCGGTAGGCGGGGCGGGGGAGGAGAAGAAAATCTCGATAGATTGATTGCTGGTAACTACCTCAATTTTTATTTTTTTTAGAAAGGGTGTTATCACGAGCTGAAAGGGCAGCAAATGATTTCATTTAAGTCTTATGTGTACGACCAACAGCCTTGCAGGTTGTCAAAGACCAAGGCCGCGAAAATGCCTTTCAAGGAAAAGTGATTCTTATCACTGGCTACTCGTCTGCTTTGGGAATTCACACCTCTTGAGCCATGTTTCACACCGGGGCGACACGTTATGTGGCCGCTCGTGATCTTGACAAGGTCAAGATCGCATTAAAAAACCTCACGGATAGTCGCGAGTGCATCTTATGCGTTTCAACTTGAACTCGCTACTAGTGTTCGTGCCTGTGCTGAAGAGCTGAAATCTAAAACAAGATCTATGAATATTTCCATTGGCAATGTCGGGGTCATGGCCTCTCCTAAGGGCCGGACTGTCGATGGATTCGAGACTCAGTTCGGCACAAAGCATATAGCCCATTTTCTATTATTTTACCTGGTCAAACCTCTATTGCCTTCCTCGTCGACCTCTGTATTCCATTCTCGGGCTGTCTACCTTTCATCTAGCGCCCATAGAACCTCTTCAGTTCAATTTGATAACCTCGGCTTGGAAGGAGAATACGAGCCCTGGAAACCTTATCGTCAGACCAAGACCACCAATCTATGGACCGCCAGTCAGATCGAATAACTATATGGGAAAGAAGGACTCCATTCTTTTAGCTAGAATCTAGAAGCAATTACAACTGAACTTCTTTAGCACGTCTCCGATCAACAACAGGTGGGGTGGGGAACAGACGACACGCTAAGTAAGTACTGGAAAAGTCAGAAAAAGTCAGAAAAGTCACGAGCAAGACGCCGCAACCCCCGTCTGGCTAGGGAGCTCGAAGAAGCCGGAGGGAAATATCTGGATAGTTGTCAAATCGTGGGGCTTGCAGATCCCAAAGCACGACATGGGCCTGGTTATGCGCCGTGGCCATATGATCTTGAAAGGAAGGTAAGCTATGGAAAATGACTTTGAAATTACTCTAGTTGGAGTAGTAGGTTATATCTACTGCGCGCTGTACCTGTAAAGAAAAGGTCCGAGAACTGAATGTCTTTAATCGCTGCCCTAAAATGGTGGATCCGTGCTGGAGGGCTATTACGATTTAGCAGACTCTCACCGTAAAACTATCCGTAGAGATATAGGGCAATATAACTAAAAACTAAATCGATATGGAAGAGCTAGCGTAATACATTTCTTCGCCACGTTGACGTAGATGACACCACTACCTGAATAAGATGATTCTCTTTTCGAGCCTTCTACAGCTAAGTACCGGTAAGATAGCGGCAGTTCTACCAGAAAGTGTATTTTTGCACATTTTCTTGCGTTTTTCAATAAGAGGTTCTTAGTTTTATCAATACTTTTATGGCTGTAACGAATTGAATAAGCGGAGAGACTGATCACTACATGTTTGAAGATTCAAGAATTCATTGACTCTCATCGATTTCCACGTCACGTAAAAACAATAGGCCCCCAAGACTCGTCAAAATCTGGATCTTGGGGATGAGGCTGTTGTATCTGGCTCAACTGGTTTAACCAATACATTTGATCGAAACTGCACGGGCCCGGAGAGAAGGGTAGGAGTTGAGGTTCAGGTTGTTGGTCCTCGTTTGCTCCACGAGAGTCTGATGGCGACGTCGACACTCCTTCCACATCTCTACTGTATAAACCTGCCAGTGTGTCCTGCAACCGCGGCTCAAGAGAATGATTCATGTCAAGGATAGTCCCGGACGAAATGGTTTGGCAGTTTCTTGCTTCCTGAATCTTTTTCGAGCAACGTTTAAGAACATCCAAGCCCGCCTTGGCTATCTTATTATGGGTTTCTAAAAGGGAGAGTCTCTGTATTGCCTGCTGAAGGGAGTTATCGATATATCTTTTTGATTCAGGGCTTTTAGGGGGAAATAAAGTTGCAATACTAAAAAGCAGACAGCACGCGTCAACGGTATAAAAAGCGAGGCCAAATAATTGATAGTGATGCACCTTGCTTCTGTCAAAGACGCGTTGTTGGGACTGAAGGGTAGCAAGCGCAGCCTCTACTGCGGCCCTTCTACTCTCTATGTTAGTCGCGACATGGGATCGGTGTAGTGTCATTAGGAAGAGATTCGCCATGATTAAAATTTCCTCACGCAGTTGAGGCAAATATGGATACTGGTTGTCCCACGAAGTGTCCGGGTTCTTGGGCCGAATCGATGGCGGGACTTCATTTACTAATGAAATAACCTGATGGTGAAGATTTTGGACCACAGAGTAGTTCTTAGGATGGGGCCGATCAGCTTTGAGAGCGCGCATTTCGTGGACTTTACTAGCGAGAGCTTGTCTGAATAGTGAAGCTGACACTGTCGTGATGTTGTCATTGTCGTAGGAACGCACTGTCATAGGAACTGCTGTGGAAGGTTTCTTGGGTATATTGCAATCTGTGGGTAGCTTGACGTCACAGTCATCCAAATTTATCATTCGCGGCCTTCCCAGGATCATAGCCATAAGGCTTGTTTTTCAGTCAGATGAAGTGTTTAAAAGCCGAGGGAACGACATTCACCTATCCCACGCAAATAAATTGGCCCATATTCGTCGTTTATATTCGTCATACCAAAACAAATTCAGGGTCTTGCCAACATCATTTGGGTCTTGTTGGTGGATATCCTTGTGCCGATGCATGCCCAGCTCTTGGGCTTGTCTGGTGAGAGTATGTTAGATAGTTGGAAGCAGTGATAACAGCAGTTTATTTCAAAAGGTTAGCGTGGTAATGACGGACCTAATAGCACATCCAATTGTATGCCAAGATTGGATACCTGCGCCGCAATTCTTCAAATAGAATGATCTGAGAAAATCGGCTTGGACTGCAGTGAGTGCAGCTCCTTGTCGGCCCAATACTGATGCTAACTCTTCACCCAAGGCGCTATATCTCTGCGGTGATGCGAGAGAATTTCGCAACAGCTGGGCCATATCTGTAGCATCTTGTGGCAGAATTTGCAGTGTCAAAGCGAGCATTTGAAAAAGCATTGCAGGAAAGTACTGCATCTCTCTTGAAAATTGTTGGGGTTTGAGATAGCCGACATGATTTTCATTGGCGGACTGCCAGCAGGAAAACAAATCATCGAAATAAACCCTTTCGAGAATAAAGTAATGCCAGTTTACCTCTGCAAAAAAAATTTCAACGATCTCTTCGACGATAGCGCGAGGTGGCAGATTCGAGGCCAGTGCTCGAGCATTTGGGTCTGATATAAGTGATTCCGGAACATGGTTATGAACAGCTCTGATAGTTTGAAACTCTCCATCCTGTAGTATCTAATACTCGTCAGTTTGTGGCAGTTAGATGATAGAGTTGTTATAACGAGGATTCACTTACTTGCTGTAGGCCCATAAAAGAATTACTGCCAGATATCAATGAGTAGCCAAGGCTGGGCGACTCATGGGAGTTTTCCAGCGCATTATCCCGGCCCCTTGACAGGCAGGCTTGTCCATCCACAGTCTCGGGAGCTTGTGTCACTCTAAAATGATTATTATTAGGCCGGAAATATTGGTGGTGTCCATATTTAGTGGCTCACGTTGACGAAGGGTTGAAAACACATTTATTTGTGACATTTCGAGCCCGACAGTTGTTGCATGGGTGCTTGCGATCACACTGGATGAACATTAGATGGTTTGACAGTCATTTCAAGCGTCAGAGGAGTAGTCATAACCTTCTGCTTCCTCCGATAGCATTCCGAGCAAGAAGTTACAACGCGCTTGTGTTTCGATTGACGGTAGGCACCATCAGCTGACATGGCGTAGCTTGGTAAAGCTTTCGCTTATGGAAGGTAGTTAACTAGTTAAGCTTATGTTTGTTAACTTGGTTAAGCAACTTAACGTCAGTTAACTAGTTAGTTATAAGCATGGGATGACGTCAGAGAGTAAGAGAAGGCTGGTGACATTCCGCATCAGTCATGGGGCTTGCTGGATGGGAAGTTTAATATTAGAGGGAGAAAAGCGACGAATTTATTACACGACAGATCTTCTTATTGGCATGACGAAGAGAGAAGACTAATAATTCGCGTTTGGTGGGTAGAGGTGGGGAGAAGTGGAGTACACATTCTAATTTTCTGTTACGAATACTGTTAGATTTAGTGGAACGATGTTACCCGGTAAAAACCGCCAAAATTATTACAATAAATTGAGATAATTGCAACTTTCTTAATTACTTATCTTGACTAAACTTGCTTCTAAATTACTAAGGAAATTGTCTTTAATTTTGAAGAATTCAAGCTCTTCACTTAAAACGTATTTATACCTAATTAGTCTTATTTTTGCTTAGCTAAAATCGACTTAATACTTAATTAGAATCTTACAAAATTATCTATATTAATCTAATATATCCTTTTAGCTTTAAATATCAAATTTAAAGCCAGATTAATTCTTATCAAAATATAAAATATCAATAGAATTAATCTTATATTCTAAAGCCTTATTATCCTATAATTAATATATTATATTAATAAGATTAATTTATTTTATAAATTAATAGAAATCGATTTTATTTAATATTTTAATAAAATTATTTATAATTATTTATTTAATTAATATATATTAAATCTTTATTTTTATTAAATCTCTTATCTTATTTGATAATTATAAATATTAATATATTAAAGTTTTATCTAAAGATATATTATCTTAGAATTCATTAAATAAATAGTTTATATATTATCATAATTAATATAAAACTTCGAGATCGGCTCTCTCGTGTGCGCTGTCGCTCCAAACTCGGTGGAGCTCATTCTCGGGCGGGGTATTGTAGGTCTAGACCGCAGGCATATTCTCGGGGATTATAATTACTATTGCTCGCTGTGTGCCCTTGCGATATCGATCCATTTACACAGCTCTCTTGACATCGATGCATAGCGTGGCTAGCGTAGCGGGACCCATGTATATCCCGCATGAAGAAACAGCAAATAACCTACACATTTATTTATTAATCTCATTCATTAATGGGCAATTACCGTCCTTTTTGATTCCATCTTCATGCCCGTATTGCACCCGCTTGATACAAAACTTGAATAGAAAGAGCAGGTCAAGCGGCTTGATTCCATTAGGACTCTAGTCCTAATTCCACAGGTCGTATCCTTACTACTAGCGCTACAGTGGGGTGGAACGAAGTATCCGTGGAATGACGGTCGCATTATCGCCCTCTTTTCGGTGTGCGGTATCCTTCCAGTAACCTTCATCGGGATCCAGTTCTAGCAAAAGGATCACGCCACTATCCCTCTTCGCCTACTAAAATCTCGACATCTCCTTAGTGCAATATAGTACGGTATCTGTACCACTGTAGGCTTGTTTGTATTCACTTATTATGTATGATGCTCCTGATTTCCTATGATAATGACCAAGTGATTTCCACTGACCAAGTTGTAATTCCAAACAAGCTTCCAATATGGTTTCAAGCCGTCAAGAGCGTGTCGGCCACCGAATCCGGAATCATGAATGAATCTTCCCAGCGTTCTCGGCCTCGTCCTTCGCTGTCTCATCGGCGGCGGGCTGACTTCATAGATTGTGGCACGTTGTCTAGATTCGCAGGATAGTAAGAGTTAAGTGGAAAGATACATGGAAGCCTGAGGATGAGCCAAATGGTTTGAAATCGACGTTACGACTTTACACAAAGTGGGCACAGCTAGAAAAGCAAATTTCAAAGGAAATATGTTTGAAATGCGGGGCGAGAAAGCGCAAGCTTCTTGACACTCGCCTCTAAAGCTAAAAATACCAACACGCAGTTTTTTGAAGAAGAGAATTATCTCTTAAACAGCTGAATGAATCGGATAAGTTAGAGTGGAAATGAATCAAGGAATACTTTCCTGGGCCGAGCATGGGAACCTTCCAGGTTCAGTATTATACGAAGAACAAGGATCGAACCTTTACTGGGCCAACATCATCGGGTAGTGAGGACGGGGATGCTGGATATTCGCCGTCGCATGAGGCGAGTCAGAGGAACGATGCGCGTTATTCTGAAAACGGCACAAGGCTGTCAGGTCGCTCGCGATATGGTCCGCTGAGGTCTAGACGTACTGTAAATCGCTATATATTTGAAATGTGGGCAGAGAAAGCGCAAGTTTGCTGCTTAAAACGCTGTTTCTTAAACCTACAATGTATTTGGTTTTGCTCTTTACAGGAAAATATAAGTTTTAATAACACCCAAATACTGTGCACCAATCTTAATTAAAAAACACTCCTAAGTATATGGTCTACTTAGCATCTAATATAGGTGGATATTAATCTTATAGCTTGTGTTTATAGCTTATAGTATATGCCAATTAAAGTTAAAAATCAATTTACAATGTAAGAATATCACCAAGTAGAATTAGATCACTTGATATACTATAAAAGAAGTAAGGCCTAATGAAAGTTACAAATAAATCCAATATAAAAAAGGATTTAGTATTTTCAATACATCTTTATTATCTTAATTATCGTTAATAATTATTTAGTAAAAGTAAGCATATATCATGTTAGAAGTAAGTTTTATATTATATATCATTTTTAAAATATATTTTCTAATAAAAGTGGTGAAATATTAAGGGAGCAAAAATGCGAGTTTTGTATGGGAATTGGGATATGCCGCTTGAATACATTAGCTCGTGCTAAGACTAATTCAAAGCCCTGCAAGATGATTGGCTTGCTTTCAAACCGAGACGGCCTTGCTCTCAGTCTGGCACTCCTGATCTCCGTCCTGAATGGGATGTGGGGGTATTTTATATTCCCCTGCACTGCCACCGGGCAGAAAAAATTAAGTACTCTTTCGCCTTGTTTCTCTTCTCATACCTCAGGAAATTCTGTCAAAACGTTTGTGCCCATAGAACATGTCCTTTCCTATTCACAAATAATTTTGATTATGTCTGAAATTTCCGCGATTATGGACAGTGAAGGTTTTGGGGCCGAAGCGCATCATGATTCAAAACGAGGAAGACTTTCACCAGAGCAGTTGTCCTACTTTACAACACGACCACTATACCGCCGTCTGGATTTGCGCCTTGCCCGTAGAGATGGCGGCTGCCATATACATACCGACCAGAATCCTTATACAGTTGGCGGCCTGAGGGGTCTCAACATAGTAATTACATGTTTGCCCTCTGGTATGTATGGGACAACGTCTTCTGCGACTTTAATAGCACACGTGCGATCGACATTTCCCTCACTTCAGTTTGGATTACTGGTAGGCATCAGAGGCAGGGTACCCAGCGAGAAAGTCAATATCCAACTTGGTGATGTGGTCTTTTCGATACCGGAAGCTCCGCCGGCAGGTCTCCGCAACTGCTGTAGGCCTTGACATTAGACAAAACACTCCTTTACACATCCAACCAACGATGAAATTTCCAACATCCCTGAAAACAATGCCTTTATGTTAACGGTATGTTAAATAAAACATCAAACCAAGCAATTTTTCTGACCAAATTTAATCCAACCACCCTAGTTGATTAATGTTGTTGAACTTTTGAACAGTTGGACTGCTTGGAAAGCAATTTGTATATTTAAAATACCAAGCATTCCCCGTCAATTCCGACAGAGCTGATGAATTAGTTCACTATCAGTCAACTTTCACAGGCCTTCTCATAATTTCGACTGAAAGATGAAATATGGCGGGGAATAATAGTGCCTGCCGGAGAGAGCATAATTCTTGGCAGGATCCAAGGGTAATTCGCAGGGGAATGCATTGATTACTAATCAACGAGATGAGAACAAATGGAATTGTTATTGGTTGGTAGTCACAAGCCTGACCTGTAAATTAACTAACTGGACCCTACAAAGTTCGTCATCCGGGTCCGCGGTCCGCACTACGCGCCCGGATGAAGCAGAGTAGGGTCCGGTTATATAGCTGTCTGGTCACATTTCTAAACAAAATACTAGAAAAAGTAATATAATAATTCAAATAAAGACTATATTATCGAAGATAGAAAGTGAGATCACTTTCTTGTTTATATATATATAAATGTCATCAATTTCTTTTTACATTATAATTTTTTTCTCTAAGCTGAGTTTTCTCGCGAATAGATACTATAAACTTGCTTTATGACAGGTCCTTCTCGGTTATGGTTTAGCGATTAATGACTTCATCAGAGGAGAATGATGGCGCTGCTCAAAAACCCGAAATTTGTCGAATATCCGAAAATTTTCGGGCAGCCGCAAACGATCATTATTGCCGCATTAAGAGTTCAATTTACCAACAAAGTACGGAATAGCTAGTCATTCACACATCGACCTTAGAAGCCACATATCCAATAATTCCATTAAATGCTGCCACACTTATCACTAGTGATACAGCAATAGAAAATACTCTAGAATGGACTAGTCAGGGCGTACAATACTTTAAGATGAAAGTGAAGGATTTACCGTCGTGATGGGATACATTGACAGCTAGTTTCTGTAGTACTAAAAAGTGGTGGACTTGAGCATAATCGGTACAATTGTAGATGTGTCACGTTCAATTTTTGAATATACTTAGTTATATCTAGCACAACTAATATTTTAGTGTCAGGGAAGCATTTTTCAGAAGGTTTGCTGCGCGCATTTAATACTAGAGATACTCGAAATTTGGTCTCCCAAATTTTGGTGCGTATAACGGCAGCTGCAGGGATATCGGGAGGCACGTCATCCAGATACCCTTAGATTATAAGCAAAATATGGGTTATCTTTAATGAATAGAATATCACATATGTATAGGCTCAAAAATTGGTCATTATGAAGGCAATATCTTGGAATTGCGCGTGTGAATTCTTTTACGACGACTACGCACCACCTGTACATATATGTATAGACGAACTGTTCATAGGACTCAGTCATAATCTACTCCTCTACTCAGGTACCAAACAATCGGTCTTATTCGAACAACATGAAATCAGTATCGATCTTAGCTGCAGCTTGTTCTGTCTTGTCGGTCGTCGGGGCACCTTTGTCCGACTCGCGCCTCTCTCTCGTTGAACGGCAGGCAGATCCAACAGCGCCGGCGACTATTACTTTCGTTTTCCAGCCTCAGACTGGAAAGGGTCCCCAGGTGAAAGATAACCCCATACTTATGAGAGGAAAAACTATACCTCGGACACATCGGAAATTCAAATTACATTACTAACCGGAAGAGCTAGTTGCTTAACCTTTTTGCACAAGCAGAGGCATTCACGAAAGCAAATGCGACTGGTAACTTGTTTGCATATGGATATAAGGTGTCTGGCCAGGAGCAATATGTATACACGGAGAGGTAAGTTCAATGTATTGTTATCAGCGTCCTTGGTGCCTGCAATGAGTCTAATCATGATCCAATGCAATACAGCTACGTTACCCTCAAAGATGCGCTAGCATATGCATCCACCCCACAGCATACCCAATTTGTCCAAGAACTTTTCCAGGATGTCAATATTTTGGCACTACAAGCCTATTCGAGCTTTGGTATCGGAGACCTATTCGGAATATCGTCCTAGGAAGAATACTCATCTTACAAACATGCCAACTTGTTTGTACATGAAGCTGCGAGAGGGGGAATATTGATTACTAAGATTTAGGGTGGAGGAGATAAAATGATTCATCTTGTTATCTGTGGGTCTTAAGACAATTAAGGGGAATCAGCAACTGAAGAAGGTGTTGTCCAATCTCTCAAAGACTAAACCCGTAGATAATAAGCGGAATAAAATTGGCTTGCCGAGAAGAAAGATTCAACAGGCTGAGAAGTATATTGGACAGAGGAGAAAACTAATCGGATAGAATCTGTATTGACATTATCCTCCTACAAATACCATTGTATCAGTATATTGCCCTACAGCCCCTTCAGCACTGGAGAATTTCAGTGAGCACTTCATGAGCAGGCGGTTAATCAGGCTGAGCAAAGAACAGCCACTGTTGCGCACATATTTTAATATACAGCTGGGCTAACCCGGTCACTCTCCGGTCGATATCGGTCTCGCGACGAATCAAAAGTAGGCATATCTTCGAATCTGACTTCATGATTGGCTAGCATGGTCATTGCTAGTTTTGACCCGGTTCCCCAAATAGGGTAAACTGGATGCGTATTGTAGGTTGCTGAAGGGCTGAGACCGTTACGTGGACGCATTTCCGTTGCCCATTTGCCCCACAAATGTTGGGGAACGAAATCAGCCTCATCAATATTTATAAATACTCGAAAATTAATCTCATCAATGCTGTTTGTACAATATACTAGTATGCCCTGAGTAGCCAGTGTCTAGAGCTTGCGAACAATATGCTGAATGTCGACCTGCTAAGCCGTGATTGTCGCGAGTGCCGACAATATTCTTCATTTTTGTTTTCGTTAGGTGATGGAAAAGCGCTTGATGAATACTCAAGGTTTCTCTAATATTGCGATCTCCGACTCCTCGAGTAGGGTGGGCCAGCAGTGGGAAGAAGCTACCGCCTAGCCCTAGAGCTTCTGTCATTACTGTGATGTGGCCGAGTGCCTCATGGTTCGCGTGTGCATCTTCATCCACCACTGCAACCGGATATGCAGTAGAATACACGCGTTTCTTGACGCGGATGATACTGACGAAATGCGGCGCATATCTCGAGTATTCTGTAGGATATAGACAAAGTTAGATAGAAGGAATTAAGGTGGCTTATAAGGTCTCGGGGGTCACGTCTCAGAGAAATCAACTAAGCGCTGCCCAGCACATTAATTTTCAAAAATATAAAAACATCGAATTACGTGTGTCAATAAAGTTTACTCGCGGATTACAAATTTTGTCGTTAAACCCGAAACCGTCCGCCGTAAGTGGTCGGCGCTTACATCGACAGAGCCTCATAACCTATATAAAACCGATATATTGATCTTATTTTAACGCGAAATATGTCAGCAGTCGATAAAAAAGCATCGCAAAGCGATTTCCAAAGCTCAAAAAGTAGCACTTCGCGTGTATCGTCAATCGAAGCTATATCCATTGAGTATAGACCCTTGAGAATGGGTTCGGCTTTTAAATATCAGCGGTTAAATGTCAATAGTCAAATTAACCTCTCTCTGTAATATCCCCTAATTCTCTCCTCCCAATACACGTTCCTTGATTCCATATAATGGCATCAAATAAACAATAATCATCATATATTGAATGTAGTATGGTGATGTTGATAGCTAAAGCTCAACTGACTATGCCGATGTCTTGTTGGCTAAAGATATAGAAGAAGTGGGAGTCTCTATAGGCATTGTATGCATTAAGTTGACAATTTGGAGGATTGCGGTTGTTGAGATCAATTTGAATGTAGCTTTTGTATTGGCTTTATATATAGGTGGTGGAATATATCAATTGATATTGATGCTCACCTCACTATCCGCACTAGTCCGATATAAGCACCCAAAACCCGTGCGGTTTACTATGATAGTACCTAACAGCAACCTCGAGTTAACCCAATGGTGGAATCGCACATGGTTCTTGGGAAATGGGGGGGAAATGGGCCAAAATTACGAGTTCCCGGTTGAATTACGAAAACCATCGAAAAGTCAACGCAGCACAAAAGTGTCAAAGAACTTGAGAAAAATGATCGTGTTTCCTCTATGTGGAGAGAGGGACTGAAATTACCTAAGCATGCTTTTTAATTGGAGCCTGAAAACAGCCCAGATCACAAGGTTTTGGCCAAATGCTATATAGTTCCTACTATATTTCCGCAGCATTGAAGGAAATCGATATTTAACCACACGATAGAATGGTAGATTTTATGTGTTATTTAAGTACATAAATTCATTGACATACTTAGTGGCAATATGTGTTGGCGATTTGAACAGCTTTCTATCCTGATCAATTACCCATGAAGCCCATCTTTCAACGCTGGCTACAATCTCAAAACTGAATTCTCAGAATATCCCCTTGAGCATGGATTGATAATCAAAGTACAGTCGTTTGGCCTTTACCTACCTTTATAAGGGCACCATTCAAAGCAGAAGAGTCATTAGATGCAAAAAAAGCAAATATATTAGCGATTTCCTTTGTGTCAGAAATTGGTGTCTGCAATGTATCTATCATCTCCTTAAGAAGTTTATGCCCTTCTGTATGTCTTCTTTCCACGGTAGCAGTTGCAATTATATCAGTGTTTATGTCTCCTGGCATTACCAGATTGCATCAAATGCCTTTGGTTCGATAGAAGGCAGCGGTACTCTTGGTAGGGCCCATTACAGCATGCTTGCTCGCTGTATATGCCGCACCTTAATTGAGAAAGTACCAGACTTCTTTCGTCTTGTGATCCTGGCTTCTCGACCAGTACTTACCTACAACCCATCCACAATCGCTAGATACTGATCCAATATTGATGACCGAGGCATCTGTCGCGCCTCTGCCCGCAAGGGAAAATATTGATCCAACAGCGTTCATTCCGTTAGCAGCAGCTTGGGCCCAAGAGCGATATTTTCGCTGCAGGACTTCGGACGCCACGGCTAGTATGACGCCTTGTGCGCCGAAGCCGATTCCTCCAACACAGAAACCAGCGATTTACACGCCTATGGACATTGCACGTGCCGAGATAATAGCCCCAGCAATCGCACCAATGTTAGGAACTATCAGAATCCATTTTCTGCCCCAGCTACGTCGTAAATATTTCAGCAGCACGAAGAAACCGATTTATAGTTCAGTCCAGGATGCTCACTACTCTGCGGCCTGAGAAAATGGTGCAGCGAGAGTAACTGTGAATATGAGTATAGCCAGCGATGGCAATGAGGCTAGGTTTACTCCGCCAATTGAGCAGCAACAGCCTGGGCAAAAGAACCTCCCCCGACAAGGATTAATAGTTCGGAAAAGAATAAGCTTAAGACTACCTATTGGTATACTTTTAATATATATATATCAGCCAAAGATAGGACATGTATATATAACGTGAACTTACTATGACCAATGTCATAGTCTTAACATGTTTCCAACGGACGGTACCGCCAGCCTCGACAGCAATATCAGTAGCGGTCAGCGGGTATAGTTGACAGGCTCCGATACGTGGATTCAACTTGGTTTGCTGTGAAGCGTGTGAAAAAGAAAATCTCATTCTAAGAGGGGGAATATCCATCGGGTTTTTGAGGATTGGAACAACTCCTTTATGTTATTTAACATTCAACTTCATAGCTAGCGGTAAAATATGGAGGCAATTCTAGCGAATGGTGTAGTTAATTAGCGCTTTTCTTTGATGGCAACAACTCTTTTGCAATAATGGAAGGGGGATATGCCCAGCTTGGAGTCTTCAGGGTATACCTTTAAGCCATTCAGCTGTGGCCTTCCCTAACACCATCCCCCCCTTTTGCCCCAAATATCAATCATCAACCATTGGGCTGCCTTTAAAATCAGGCGCCCAGGCTGAGTTCCGCGTCGTTAAACTTTAATATCAAGTTTGAAGATGGGGCTCCGCATGGGTAGACTGGTGCAGTGGAGGAAGCTAGACAGGTACCCGGATCTATGGGTATTGTTGACATGAACAATGGAAATTCTACTTGGTACAGACCTGCGTGATATAGTGTTCATCTTATCTATATGACACGTGCAGGACTGACAGTGGTACTAATCAATCAACCTATCAAATCTCAGGAAATGGTGGAGATTATGAAAGAGGAGAGGAGAGCATGCTAGGTGCTGCTAGGCCAGAGGGAGTTCTAGCTTCCGGGGAACTTAACAGTCAACTCACCCCCAGAACGAACGCTAGATACTGCGGACTCCATGTAAATCTTTTAAGGCCAAAATTCGGTATTTTACATTCTTACGTAGTGGCACAGAATTCCAATTTTGCTACATATTAAAAGTTATTGTATATATTTTCATATGGCACATGCTACGTAGTATTTATAAAGTAGTATGGATTTTTATCAGTAGAACCAATTTGTACAGTGCAGGCGCCCCGTGGCATTTGAGGCAGGGTGCTGTGTAGCATTTATATAACAAAGGCTATTATTATTATATAAAGGTAATTACTTCAATAAATTATCTTATAAAATATATTTATAAACCCTGTGTAGCATTATATCCGTAAAAGTTAGGTTCATTGATAAAACTTAATTCGACTGTATAAAAGCTGTATGGCGTCCTGCTTTATACCTAAACATTTTCTCATACAAATGGACATTATGTAACAGGGATAGACCCAGGGAGCATGTTCAAGACTAATCCGGCAGGAACGGGGGGCTCAGGGATATCCCGGGGGTCAATTGTGATATATCACAATTGATACCATAAGACCCCGGGCATGATGCCAGTACCCCTCACCTCGCTATATATGCCTTTATCTAGTTAGATTAGGTATCAATGACCTGAGGCAGGGACTCAGGCATATAGGCTTGGTTTCCTACCCGGAGGAAGGAAACCAAGCAATATCTTTTGTATAATCTTTGACATAACTTTCAATATAAGCCTACTCGGCTTCGAATAGCCTTCGGCTCGAAGCCTTCCCTAACTATATAACCTAAACCGATAACTTCCTCCCTAGTAGCCTTGCTCTATAGCATCAATATCAATTGGTGAAGCTTCAACTCACCCACATCTAGTCTATCCAGACACCCCCGGACACGGTCCTGCCAGACCGTGTTACACACTACCATTTAAAAATTAACGCTGCTATATATAACATTTGAAGTTGACGCCATATTGAATCATAGTATAATACATGTAAATTTCAATATATGGAAATATTAAATTCGCTACGCCACTATATAGCAATGCAAAATACTCAATTATGTCCTTAAATATATATGCTTGTTCATCAAAGAGGTACATAAACATTAGAATGTGTCAGGCCTTATTATGATAGGCGGGACACGGAAATATCGAAGGTGGAACTTAAGTGGAGATCGCTGAAGATAAACAGTCAATGACAAAAATTACCATTCTCAACAACATCTTAAAGATTGCTCAGCAGTGTTAATCGTACCTTTAATAACGAGTCTATTTGCAACTGTGTAGCCATGCTGGAGCTTGGATGGTCTGAAGGCGAGACATTCTTGAGAACCCAATAACGATAAACACAACCACAACGGATTAAGCGGCCGAGTAAGCTAACGAAATGAATGATTTAATTGGCGTAAAGCACGAGTTACCCTCTATCGAACTCAAGTTAGTTAGGCCACCTAGGGATGTTAGCCCACGGAGTGATAGTTCCAACACTCTCAAGGTTCTCACGAAATCCATATTGATCCTGTCGTGGAACGGAGAATTTTGCGAAAATTTGATCTGTATACTCTACCGCAGTTGTTCTTGTCTTCTCTTTTATGCTATTTGGATCAAAGCAATCTCGGAAACGCCAAAGTCCTATGTCTTGTGGAGGATCTTGGCCTGAAAGATTCGGAGTTTTACAGTCTTAGCACCTTGTTCGGTGCCACCTATATCATCTTTGACATTCCTAGGACATCAGCAACAAAGAGATGAAGCCCCAATTGGATGCTTGCAATTGCATTGGTTCCATGGAGTGTGGTCGCAGTAGTGACTGGTTTCATTCACAGCTACGCTCAAGCAGTGGCATTGCTGCTATTACTGGGTTCATTTGAAGCCGACCTAGCCCCTGGCGATGCGTTTATCTTCTCTACCATCTATGATAGAAAGATACCTCGAAGCGGGTGACTCTCATATATCTTGCAAATGTGACCTCCAGAGCTTTCGGCCGGTTGATTTCATATGGTATCCAACTAATGGGGTCGCGCTTAGGATTAGCAGCAAGGCGTTGGCTTTTGATTCTTGAAAGAGCAATTTTAATCGTCATTTCTGCCTGCTGCTGGGTATCTTTCCCCAATACACTAGAAACGGCTTCGTTCCTATAACAAGTGAAGAGAGCTCTCATACGCGCTCGAAAATAAAAAGATATCATCTACAAGGGGCATGACAAGTGCAAGTCTAGATGGATCTAGGAGGCACTGAAAAATATTTTTGTTTATCCATCCGCCATATGCTTTTTCTCTTGGTCAATTGCGATTTTCGGGGTTTGGTACGTTCTTGCCAATTATTATTGCTGGTCTTGGGTATGTGGTTTCTTTCCGACATCAACTGAACAGAGGAAATAATCGCTTCTAAGTCACCTTTCTGATTTTCGGACTTACAAGCAAACTACTTAACCATTCCTGTTTATGTAACGAGGGTCATAGTTCTTATAGTCGCTACCTTTCTGTCAGACCGTTACAATAAGCGGGATCTTTTTGTTATTGATTATGCCAATTCCGGTTGTTATCGGATATCTAATTACTTTGGCAATACCAGTCCTGGTGCTGGATATTTCCCCATGTTTCTGTGCTATGGCGGAATCTACTCCTATAATGCTCTTATCTTGACTTGGGTACCACCTATATTGCTCCCAATCATAAATGATCAGCTGGTGTTTTCATTTTTACCTCGTTATCTGGAGTTTCTTCCCTAATTGCCCCTCAACTGTATCCGTCCACAGATGGTCTAAGATATCTAGTCGAGAATAGGGTATTGATGGGGTTTGAAACAATCACGAGCATTAGCATTATCTTTGTCTTTCTTCTTTCGAAAGGCCAAATTCCATAAAGAAAAAACTTTTAGTAAAGGGAAGGACTATGAATGTAATGAAGGGAGGTCATGCTTTGGATTTTGAATATTCGTTATAGATTATTGTTTCATCATCTGTATGTCTTTGCAATTTCTATCTGTTTATTCTCGGTTACAATACTCCTTAGCAAGGCAGAATAGTAAGAATTGACAATAAATTGACATGTTAATATATGAATTATTTTATCAATTATCAGTTCTCTAACTAAATGTTGTTTTATAACCCTAAATGGCTCTATATAGGCCCTCAGAAATATTAAAAATATTTGGTCTAGATTAATTTATAATAGCTTCTGACTAGTATATATCTCCTACAAATTCTTCCTGATTTGTCCGCCTAGGCAGGGACATGTAACGATATTATTATACAATTTGAATGAGTATATCTTGATGGAAAAGTTCATGACTGCCACGTAACATCAAATATTAAGAGGACTTTCTTTTCATGCGTGTTGTTGAGCTAACTAGATTATGTTTGATTGTTTGGGGGATGCAATAAACTCAAATATAGGATACAGGGTGCGTACAGAGTATGGGGTACACAGTTTCAATAACCAGGAATTTGCTTACAGAATCAAAAGCCTTCAGCATCATATCCAAATAGCCATTCCCTTCTGGCCTGAGACACCCAAAATATTGAGTTCTAGAATCTTCCATCCTGATCCAGCAATCTCTCTCTATCTGTTCCTGACCGTCTGGGATGTGATACGCATCTTGCAATGTTCTACCCCGCCTTTTGAACTATCGAGGCGCATGGTTGTCTGAGCCTTTGATATTGCAGTGGAGCTGCGGTTAATTTATCTTTCATAGTTGTCTATGGTACTCGCCATAGAGCTGCAGCATCTTCATAGGTCATAAACTCCTGAAGCGGTATAACGGAGCATTAGGTGCATCGCACCTCCCAGGAGTGCCGCTTTATCGTTTGGATGAACCCAATTGTTCACAAGGCCAAGATCGTATAATACCCATCTCACTATTCTAAATATGTAAGCACGATTGAGCGTCAAATGCTGTGGACTATAGTCGAGTGGACATCTGGAAGTTTACATTACCAGCCAAGTCTACAATTTTCCGGACACGAGGCTCCCAATCCGCGAAAAGCCTCACTAGTTCTGTATTATTGTCGACAAGCCTTTCCTTTTCTCCGTCCTCAAACTTTGGTCTTGCATTGAAAGCTCCCAAGCAACAGAAAACAACATTGTGACTACCCCCCTCCCCACCCACACAACGCATTGGGTAGCTAATAATATGTGCTTGACGTCGACAACAGGGCGATACCCAAGGCTGTGACATGAGCTCGCTAAGGTCAGCATCCGACAACATGTCCTGACCTGCGACAAGAATACGGTAGACAATATCAGTCAGCGGAAGAACGTGGCCTTGACAAGCCGTTTGTGCATTGCTCTGGACACCTAGACGTTAGTAACGAAATATTAGTACAAATTTTTAAGTTTTAGCTTACCATCAGCAACAATGATTACGTCTCGTTCAAGGGCTCCAGCCGGTACATTCCAGTCATATTCGTCGACCCTACTACTTCCCCTGATATTTGATATTCACGCCCAACCTCTTTACCATCTCTAGTAGAACTTCATGATAGTCCGCGCGATGAACCATGAGGTAATTCTCCTCAAAGTCCCATTCGGGAATCCCATGGGGCATATCCACCAAAATGATATCATCATCATCTCATAAGAAGCCATTCCCGTTTGAGTATGTCTTTTTCATGTAAGTGAAATAAATACCCCATCGATAAAGTGCCTTGAAGCTATTGGGAGGAATGCGCAAGCCAGCTCCGACCTCGTCAAATGTCGACGCCTGTTCTAGGCTTCCTCTCAAAAGCAGCGCCCCACTGTTTCTATGATCGATCAAAATCGACGGTATTGCCATTGTATTAGCTTGGTAAACCTAGCTTAGAAGGAGCTGCATCAATAGCTTCCCGAAAGGATATCCTCACGTGGATAGATGGTGTTAAAACAGGCGGCTACGTCAATCATGCTAATTCGGTGAAATGAAACCATATTCAGATGTCAAACCCCGGAAAATAACACTACAGCCAGGGGGGATTGTGTATTTAAACGTGATAATGTACAAGGATATAACATTTCACTATCGTATGCTCATGACTGATTTCGCTTTTACAATTTAGATATGTTCGAGAATATATGTAGATATCAACATTCGCAGAGTTTGATGATCTTCACTACATATACTAGCCCAATGGCTCACACTGTGCCTCTTTGGGGGATCTGTCTTCTCTAAAGTACATGTCTGTGCAATCAAATCTCATAATATTAAAAAAGCCACTGGAGATAACTTTTTATAACCTCTTTTCATTTTAGAGTTCATGTCTATTTCTCAATAATTTAAACGTTGAAATGAATGCTTCAAAATTTGTAAATCGACACATCTACACTTTAGAGGTCGACCGAAAGAATATGGCTAGACTTGGACTTCAAATTCAGGCCCGATTCCTTCAATTGCTGTCAAAGTGCCCAAAATATTTTTTGAATTGCCATAATAATGGATACGATACGTGCCGCTCTGTAGCGGCTGTGCCCAGCCAGTGAGATAGTAAGAGTCCTCGATCTGCCAAGTCAAAGTGACATCACTTGAACCGACCACCGCATCTGTACGTGCCCACTCGAATGTCAAATTCCAGTCTAAGTCGCTGCGCACCCTTTCCCAATCACCGTTATCATGTTTCATGTCAACAGAAGCGTACGTGTCTTCAGATCTCAAGTCATTTCGCGGGTCAGCGCCTACAAAAGTAACCGCGAAGTAGTCACCAGGGGAGTACGTCTCATTTATCGGAGAAGAAGTTAACACATCGCCAAACGAATGTCCAAGAGGGGGATTATCGTAAACAACACCGGGAATGAAGGATAAGGAAATATTAGTATTGACTGGTGGGTTCGGTCCTGCAGGTATTGCAGGAAGAGTTGCAACGTTTTTGGTGCTACCTAGGTATGGTAGATAGGTCAAGCTCAAATTAACGTAAGCTGCCAGTTCATTTGGACCAAAAAGTGTGGAGGCACCCTCATAGCGCTGTACACCATATTCCTCCTCGGTTGTCACATAATGAGAATAGGAGTTGGCGGGAGATCCAAGAACGACAATTGGATCTGAGATAGATAAAACCTTTTGAGCTTCTTGAGAAACCATGGCTTTCCAACGGCGGCCTGACATGGTGGTTACCTCACTTGGGGAAACTATAACGAGCAATTGGCCAAGACGAAGTCCTTGAACATCTACGATGTCCGGTGCCCATGCATAAGGGATTGTGTTTTGGCCAATATCAAATAGAATATCCTTAGGGGCTTGACATTTAACTTGCTCTGGGCCCGGAGTGTGAATTAGATCATGAACAATCAACCAGAGAGGATTTTTAGTGGCAGGGCCCGTATTATTCTGTGTAAAGTCAAAGTCACCTGGGCCGTCGGTGGTTCCACCAGCGAAAGAGTAACCCAAAGCTGCGTAGCAGGTAGACAATGAATTACCATTGAATGGAGAAGTGAATTGAAAACCCGACATCTGGTTGTACGTATGAAATGCGGCGACGGAGGAACTGCCAGTGATTTGAGTCAAATTTGACGCTGTACCAAGCATCATCTGATCATATAGCTCTGTGGCAGCTGCATATTGACGACGTCCCATTTCGAAACAGCTCTTCGCTCCATTATCTTTTTCTTGAAAATAAGGTCCTCGTCCCTGACAGAGTTCTGTCTTCCCATTGCATGTGCTATCAGAGAATTTGCATTGTAAGCCTGTATCTTCGCAATACGCTCCAAGTACATTCGGAGAGCTATCGCCAACACTTGATTGCGAAAAGCCAGCAACAAAGCTATCAGCGAAACGGGTGTCGTTACTCACGCTACGCTCAAAAAGGTATGCAGCGACCCCTTTGTTGTCGCCAGTAACAAGTGTGTTGTTGTTGTAAAGCGAGGTGCCGTGTACGGAGAAGAATGACAGGACGCCTGACGTCTTGTTATCGGATGTACGGTCAATCTTCAGCAATGTCATTGTTCTATCTGTGTTATAATCGTATTGTGCTCGTTCAGACTCTGGGTTTGCCAAATATGAGTAGGGACTGCGATTAATATTGCCATCCGTAATCTCGGTGGTAGCTACAGTGATCTTACTCTCTGCAAGGTTCTCATGAGCTCGGGTAATCGACAACAGAGCACCATCAACAATGGCATTATAACTCTGCTTATCGAATCCAATAGTGGATATCTGCACTAGGAGATAATTATTCCAAGCTCCTGGACCAGAATGGGAATGTGTGCCAGTTATAGCGACATTATGTTCTCCATAACGAGTATAGTCGCCTCCTTGGTTAGCAAGACCTTGAAGGATACCATGCCGGATTGCTGTATCTCCTGTCAAATTGTCCAGTACGGTGTATATAAATGTATTTGTGGTATTTGCTGGGTTGGCAAAAATAAAGGTACGAGCGAAGAGCCGGTGCCTGAGCCCAGTACCAGTCTGAGTGAAGTTTGCATATCCGGCAAAGACCACTTCTGCCACTGGACTAATAATCTTCAATTTAGTATGTGTTTATAGTTTTTCAGTTTCTGTGAAATGAGGTATCACCCTGTAATATCAGCCTTTCCCACCCCAACTAGAAATGTAGAATCACTGTCATCACCCCCCGTTCATGAAAGTGCAATTTGACCGGAAAGCCGTCCGATTGTTGTCGCGCTACGCCGATTTGACTCAGGAGTGAGAGAGCGACGAGGAAAAGCAATAACAGCGGACTACCACTCGTGGCAATTCTAGGCAACAATAAAAATGCCATCGTCGATGAAATGAAGGCTTTTCTGTCCTTTATTATTACAATTGTGATAATGATGTATTGATATTGGCGTGGATTATCAGCCAAGAAATATGACAGGGAAACGGAGATATTCAAAAGGAGTGAGCTATTAGAACCTTCTTGTTCTGGAATAGCTCCCTATTCAAAGTAAGGTCATGGCCTAATCCAGGAAAACATTTTGTAGATCTGTCGGTTATCAAATTCGTGTCGGTCTTGACCCACTTAGCAAGGTAAATAAATATATTCAAGTCTCTGAGGCCTAGAGCGAATGAGGGAAGAAATTAGTGCACAGTCTTCATTCAATTTGGATTCATAGACTATGACATCGAAAGAAGATACAACCTGTTGGCAGGCAGTTGACAGGCTCCATCTCTTCCAAGATATAACCATTTGAGATACGACTATCCGAGATACGACCAAGTGTGTACATCACCCTATTGTGTCGAACTTTTAACCACTATCCCAAAAAAGGCGCAACCCTTAGTAAGGATGTTTAGTGGTCCGTTCGATGAACCTCGGTAAATGGATAGAACTAGTAGAATAGTTCAATTTGTATTATCGGAAAACAACATAATCTATAACGAGTAAAACTACGATCTAGAAAACTTCTGGTATGATTTCAATTAGTTTGTCTAATAGTAAGTAAAAGCTCTTTTACATCATGGCTCCGTGTTTGGTACCAGCTATAAATTATCGAATATAAAAATTGGGTTGGAAATCGCCAGTAAATGATACGACAAGGGACCCCTGAAAGCAGGCTATTATTTCCCGATTGCTAACCGAAAAGCATCTCGAGGTTGGTATTCAAAGAGTGGCGGGAAAGAAAATCTACTACCTATCCAATTTCCCTATGATGAGGCAAAACTCTATAGATCAGCAATTGGGGGTTCGCCCGGGTCAGGCCATTACCCCGCAACTATTTGAGACTTGGCTATCGATTAGACTAGCCCATTACGGCTGGAGTTGCGAATGTTGCGAGGGACCTCTTTCGATTCGCGTTGGACCCGCGATCCTTTGTCACCCAGCTCAAATAGGGTGCTCACTGATCAGTATTGTTGAAATTTTTTACATAAGAGAGAAGAGGGGTAAATTAGAACAATAGCTCTGTGGCGTTTCGATGGTCTTCAATGTTGTTATACACTTCGCATTATTCGGAGAATTTGTTGCCGATATGATATGTTAGCGAATCATGTCGATAATTTCTAGTCGAAAACAGACAGTACCTGCTCTTTATATTCTAAAATCGGCTACACTGCCTATTTAATTGCCTTTTAGGACCAAATAAGCTGGCTATAGTGCATATTTGAATGGATACAATTGTTTTTACCGCCCTTTCTTTTGTTAAGAAAAATCGTCGCGATGGAAGTTGATATAGATAATGTAGAGCTAGATAGACTTACAAATCGGATCAAGTCATTTTCTACGAAATTCCAACCCACTTGATGATCTTCTAGCCCACTTGTAGACTCTATGCTATTAGTTGACGTTCTCGCTTGTCTCTGTCCTGGTGTGTTTCATGACAGTGCACAAAATGATGACTAAATAAACTCAACATCGGAAACAACACTAAAGGTGTAAAGCTAACAACAAGGGAGATTTGTGCAGGTTAAAATATTAATATACCGTTATTCCATTAAACACATTCAACCGGGCAACGATAAAGATAGCAGCGACAATTCGCATACTGAGCCAACATATCGTACCAGAATAGGAAAAGGTGGTCTCAGTCAGGAGTTAAAATAGTACTGGGAATATGCTAAGGATTGAAGCAAACAAACGGTCGGAAAGCAAATATGTTTACCATTTTCTCTAGCTAATGGCTGGGACTCAAAAGAACGATATATACAAGGCATCAGTTAATGGCTTCAGAAAGAGTAAATATTGATCTCACGAGATGCCTGGTAGATTAATGTCGAATAATGAAGACCATTGAACATGGAGGTGTGACCAAAAGTCTCCGACAGGTACGCATTCAAGGAATCTTATGCCGTGGATTTAGTCATCAGTGCTACATATACACAAGTTCACTAAGAATGTAGGTAGTGGTGAAGGGAAGCTTTGGGCGCTTATGAGGGTTTTTGCTCAGTAGTCCGAGTCGACATCTAAAATAAGTAAAAAGAAACATAAGAATATATACAACATTGAAATGAACGAAACCTCAAAAATCTAAACTGATTCCAATGTTAGAATACTATAATAAACTGCGTTCTGCAGCTTATTCTTTGTCGTAGCGAATGGATATGGGAAAAGAATAATAGGATTATTCAAACCCATCATATCATAAGCTGCTCCAAGAACCTTTGAATGACACCACCTCAAAGCAATATCCACCCCCACTATATGAGACAATACATCACCACTCATACATATATGTAGAGATTTCAAAGTCCATTGTGTAGATTTCTTCACCATTGATTTAACGATAGAATTGAACATTATCTAAACTAGACCACTTGGCACCTTAATAAGAATATCGTCATATGCATCCTAGTAAGGCACCAGTTGACTTCTTTATGTACGAAGCAAGTGGACTTTGATTGTTGTTCCTTCAAATTTTATATATTGAATTTTATTTTATTTTTCTCTTTTTATCCCTGCCTAGCTAAGTCAACTACCAAATACCCAGTATTGAGGCAGTTAGATGCGCTGCACTCCTATACCAACCACATATCTCGTACAAAAATCAGGGAATACCACCTTGACCGTTGACTTTCTATTCTCTTTATAACTGATAAAGGTTTCTTTTCCCCCCATATTCGTCCTAGTTGCCTCTAATCCTACGGTTTAACAACCAGTATTGCATATTGGCAAACAGGGTCAAGAATGAAGAAACCGACACCAACGCCACGATTATTGTCCAACCAATCCGATATAAAGGTGCGTCACTGGGCTGGAATATCTGGCTACCAACGATACATGATGCATTGGCGGACATTATGAAAACAACCATTGTTATAGAACATTCACCGGCAGAGCGGGCATTCAGATCCATCCAAGAGCCGTTTACGGGATCTAGGTTTGTTAGACAGATTGCTCTGCTTTGAGGAGAATAACCAACTTACGTCAAACACTCGAAATGAGAATACCAAGTGTTAGTATCGCGTGCCGCGTATGAGTATCTTCTGAATGAACAACTAAAGGATTTGCCAACTTTTTCTGTCAGTTTATATTCAATATTAAAGATTACAATTGATTCTAAGTGCAACTACAGTAAAGACACACCAGAGGAACATCCCTGCAAGCACGACAGGCCCTCTGAGGTCCAGTTGGTCTGCTGTAAAGTTCCGGTCAATGTTGACGACAACCTGAATCCACCGGCCAACCGATACCATCGCATTCGACTTCAGTCTCTCATAACCAAAGCCATTTATCAATGTTGGAGGGTATGACCACATGGTTGAGGACGGTGCTAGCCTAGAGATGGGTGAGTAGGATATGTGGGATAAGGTTCTAATTTTGGAAATGAAATCGTAAGCGTATATCTTTAATACATGCCTGGAAAATATATACGAATCGACACATACAGTACTCTTGATTTCTTCTTTTGTGATATTCCTGTGGTGGTCAGCCTGGTAGCATCATCTAGAAGAAGGCGTTGGACAAGAATCTCACTTTCCCTCTCCGAGAAGTACCGGTGTTTGAATACGTTATTTGGATTTCGGGTGTCTTTAGGGAAACGGAAGACGAAAATTGCTCCTACGACGAGGCCAAAAAGCCCTTCGATCTAATTATAGGTTAGTATATTTATTAGAATAGCGTCGATCGAACTCATGGCTCGTACGATAAACAACCATTGCCACCCAGTTAGTCTGGTAACTCCTCTCATGGGCAATCTGGTAAAAGTCAGCATGTGCACTTAATTTGTGAAGCTATATCACATACACACCAAATGCTACCAAGGCACTGATTGCCTGGGCTAGCATATCACCCACAAAAACCAGGAAAATCTCTTAGGCGATTCATCCTGTGTGTACCAGCGAGTTATGGTGTATAGTGAGGAATCAAGCCAGACTCACAGAGCCTACCATTGATTGTGATTCGGGTTTGCTTAGCATTTCCGAGTAGAGATGTTAGAAAACGTACCCAAGAAGTAGCCTTGTGGTAAGATATGGACTAAGTCCATATTAGAATTCCTGAAATATGGCAACTAAGCACCCATTTGTTGTTAACAGCATTCTTTGATTCGGGACCAAAGATCCAAGCAAGCAAATATCTGGCCACTAATCCATACTATTGGTCCAATACGATAAAGAATGTGATTGCTTGGAACCTAACCATCGACGTATGAGTCCGGTACCTAAATCCTGAATATTATTATAACTTGCCTCTAGAATTATAATGACTAGCGATAAAAGCTGCTGACCGGCATTGTACTTGTTTTGAGTAAATCCGATATCCCGAAGGAAGAAATCTGTCAAAACATTTCCACTTGTTTGCGGTAAGCTCTCTAATGCGATCTATACAAGCAATGTCAAATTGAGGACCAACATACATATTCCCTCGATCTAGCTGCAGAGAAAAAAAGCCAATATGAGCAATGACATTACAAGACAGTCAACCCTTCAGGTATCAGTCAGAATATGCCACATATAAATCTGCTTGAAAAGAATCCCGACCGCCGGACCAAGCGCCTTCCTTCTTCTTCGGTTCAATCAACATCACTCAATCCGCTTGCATCGCAATGAGGATCAACGACGTTGATGTCACTCTTATTTTTAACTGTCAGCGACATGGTTAACTGATAGCAAATATCTTAAATCAACCTCCCCGCAGCCACCCCTTCAAGTGCGCAGTGGGCCTCAAACAATAGCAGGGGTCAGGATATCTACTGATATGAAAGTAGTTCCTGAATTACCATGTTATCAACGTAGAAACTCTTAGGAAGAGATTGAATTGAATTTTTACTGTAATAGTCGTGCAGCTGCAACCTTGGCAATGCAGCCCGATCTCTGACGCCATACGCGCTATTCTGAGCACACCGTAAAATCTGGCCACTCATATTTGTAGAGTCCGTATGATGCCATCAGAGCGTGTTATCATATCAGCAATCCATGACCACTCATATTAAAGAATTATTATAGACTTCAGAAGTCCGGGCTGATATTGTTAATAACGATATTTTATTTACGGTGGATATCTTTTCTTTGTGTGGTCGTCGCTATCTTGTAATATTTCCTGATTTTATAGTTTATGTTAGAATCAATAAACAACGTCGATTTAGAAATCCACAACTGTTAATCGCCTTTTATACATGTTAAATACTAATTTTCTTTACTATTCAGACCTAGGTGAGTATCTCAGCATATTCACTCCCTTTTCTTGAACAGAATATTGGGTATGTCACCACCCCACGAATTACCAAGAGCGTGGTGTGTCTCATAGTATTTACTACTAGCATTTAACTGCTTATTATTGTGTCAATTACAAATCTACGAGGGTATGGCGGCTGGGTGCGAAGTAACCTGCGCGCCTGGATCAATAAGACAATCGCGCTATTAAATGTCGTGCTCCAGACGTATTCTAATACAGCTCACCTTCTTTTTGGCATCAAGTAATGGTAGTAGATTCCTCTGAAACCTAACGTTGAACCGATCTATACCAATACAAATATAAGGGCAAAGAAAAGCAGACAAGGTAGAGAATGGCCCAGCTTGAGTCTCGCAAACACATCTCCCCAGATTCTGGGTATCCAATCACCCTTCATCCTATCTTTAACCCCAAGATCTCTAGCCATGTCCCTCCTGATGCGATTCACGAGCTCCGTGACCCGCCCAAGGACCGGGCATTGTTCGCTGATCCTGAAAAAAAGGCACTCTTCTCCGTCGCAAAACGAGTCGATCTCACCGAAAGCATTGGTACTGTGTTAGAGAATATACAATTATCCCAGCTGACTAGGCAACAACTCGATGAATTGGCCCTCTTGGTGACGGAACGTGGGGTTATTTTTTTCCGGGACCAGGATTTGACAACCGATGGTCAAGTGGACTTGTTTCAGCATTACGGTTCGTCTTGCCCATAGCTTGCTGAAGGTAGGATGACCTTATTAATGAGATGGAGAAATAATTGTGCAGGCATTTTGGATAAGCATCCTGCCCAGAAGGTACGGCCCAACTGGACTCGAGCAAAGAGATGAAAATTTTATACTAAGTGGCAATAGGATCAAAAGGTACGAGGCCTACGAAGGCATCTTCTGAGTCGGTCTCTAATTTTGTATAGTTTGTTACCATTAAAGGAAGCCGGGAAGATCATCGCGAGATTGCGACATTTACCCCCTGGGTAAGTATGACTCATGCAGCCTATACAAAGCATACTGATTGAAGCACAGCCCAGTGGCGAGTTCCATGCCGATACTTCCTTCGAGATCAACCGTAAATAGAAACCCATCTCTACCTACAAATCTTTATTCATGGCAACTATATTGATGATATATAGCTCCTTCCTATTCAATGCTTCGAATGGAGGAGCATCCTGATCTTGGCGGTGACACTGCTTGGGTGGGTATATATTCGCTACTCTGGTAATTATAGAGCTCTGACATAGATTCAAGGTCTCACAATATGGCCTCTATGATGCTTTGAGCGACGCCTACAAGAAGTTCTTGGATGGCCTACATGCAGTTCATACTTCTCGCTTACAATGTTCTTATTTTCATTCGGATCTATATATTAATAGTAATGGTAATTATACTAATCTTATATAGATGACACGATTTTGGACCTCTGGGGTGTCGGACCCAACCGCCCTCCTATCGATACTCATCATCCTGCCGTCCGTACGCACCCTGTCACGGGGCTAAAAGCATTGAATGTAAATCCGGGTTTCGTAACGGGTTTTGCAGAGCTTAAAAAACTTGAATCTGGTTAGATTCATAAAAAATGAGCTAGTTTTCGGACCTGCTGACATTACTAGACAAAAACTTGGATTTCTTATCCCACCATATCCATGCCGCAGATGACCACTACGTGCGATGGAAATGGGGGGTGGGTAGCGTCGCTATGTGGGATAATCGGTCGGTAATCTCCAGAAAAGAAACAACTCAGTACTGGTAAATTAACAAAACAGATAGATGCACTGCGCACCGTGTAATTCCAGGGTCATATGAAGCAACTCGGCATGGAGTTCGCACTACCGTATTTGGAGAGAAACGTAAGCGTTAACATCTAGTTTCTATCAAATTCCAGACGAAGCTAACAGATTTCTAGCATATTTCGATCCTGCAAGCGAGGGCCGCCTACAACGACAATTGAGACTCAGAAACATAAGAGAAGAGGAAGGTCAAGACCATTTCAATATCGATGCCAAGAAACCAAATTCAAATCTTGTGTAGTTTTATCATTTCATTTGTCGTTCAGATTTATTGTCTGTATTGAATATTGAAGTAACTGGGGCAGCAAATATAAGTAGTTGCTGTTCGCCGTAAAACCATACATATTCTGTCTCGCAAGCTCAGAATTTTATATAAAACTTTAGTTATTGTAAATTATAAACCAGCATGCGCGCTTAAATGAATAGCAATCACTAGTCTATCAGCACTCTTAACCGTAGAACGAGCTCAATGTAAGGCATGAACAAGATGCTAGTGTAGGTGATATTCCGATTTCGGATAGTTATCACAAGACTTAACCATAGCTGATTCAAAGACGAATTCAAAGATAGGCATTTGCACCATGGACAAAAGTTGGCATAACTGTGTGATTTCTTTCAAAATGGTGCGGGGTTCCCCCACCTAGATAACGCTAATTACTTTTCTATTATCCAGTTGCACAAGCTAAACCGGAAATTGCGTGATTCAAATAAGAAAGATATGTCATATAAGCCCGTTTCATTATCCCCATTTCGCAAGAAATATATTCGATTTTGGTTCCTTTTCGTCTTACCTACTAGTTGACACAGGAATAGCGATCATCATGGCGCCTGATATCCTGACTTTGCCGGTCAGAGAACATACCATTGGCCAAACACCGTACCCTACGCCACTGAAACTAAGCGGGGCCTTGGATATTTTTACATTCGAGGATACGACGCCAGTCATTGGTCGAGAGTTTCCAAACATTAACATCGTCAACGATTTGTTAAACGCATCCAATTCAGACGACTTGGTGAGAGACCTCGCTATCACTAGTAAGGCCCTTCTATATTCTTTTCGGTCAGTTGGATATCACGCTAACCTTGTTTGTTACCTGTTACCTCCAGTTTCTCAAAGAGGTGTCGTTTTCTTTCGTGCCCAGAACAATCTCACCGATGATTTGCAAAAGGAGCTGGTAAATCAGCTTGGTCAACTGGCTGGAAAACCTAGCACCTCAACACTTCATATTCACCCAGTACTCAACAATACTAATGAATTTGGTGTGGCGGATGCTGAGATTAGTACTATCAGCTCAGTCGCCAGGAAGAAGTTGTTTAATGTCGATCGTAAAACTGACCAGCGGCGCTATGACTCAGCTCAGTGGCACTCGGACATCCAGTTCGAGCCAGCCCCAGCAGACTACACCTCACTTCGACTTACCCAACTTCCCAGTACAGGTGGGGATACTCTGTGGGCCTCGGGGTACGAGATTTACGACCGGTTCTCTAGGAAATATCAACAATTTTTTGAGGGTCTGACTGCTACATTCATTGGGGATGGCTTCATCAAGGCTTCCGAGCGCGACCCGGAGAATGTTAAAATATACACAGAGTCAAGGGGAAGCCCCTTTAACACAGGCAAGGAACTGACTGCGGTACACCCCGTCGTTCGGACGAACCCAGTGACCGGCTGGAAGAGTATCTTTGCTATTGGTCCCTTCCCAAAGTTTATCAACGAGCTCACCTTGAGCGAATCCGAAGAACTCTTGACGAAATTTAGAACGGTTATTATCGAGAATCATGACCTTCAGGTGAGATTCAAATGGAGAAATCCTAATGATATCGGTACGTTCAAATTCCCTATGTTGTTTTTCCATTTCTGACTGCTTGAACAGCAATCTGGGATAATAGAAGTGTGTTTCATAGCGCTACTTTTGACTATGAAGGTCTAGGAGAGCGCTTTGGCCACCGAGCAGTTGGAATTGGCGAGAAACCATATCTCGATCCGGCAAGCAAATCGAGAATGGCAGCATTGGCTGCTAAAGAGGTCTGACTTGGTCTTTTTGACATATGAGTTTCTGCTAGGCCAAGTTTGTCAACTTAATGCTATATAGTTATGCATGATCTGATATGTGAGGTTTCTTACTACGTGTGAATTGATACTGCATCTCTCCAATATATTTGCGAGAATGAGAGAAAAATGTGAAAGGAAAAAACGGCAGCCCTTCATACATTTATTCGCCCCATGTTGCCACCTTTATTATTTCCACTACGTCATTGCCGGAAGGTATCTCTGCTCCAATGGCTGTGATTTTCAAACCACCATCAGTTTCGGAGGTGCGGGTTGAAAGGTTAGACTCATAAAAATCAATGTTGCGCGCACAGTATTGATGTTGCAGACAGCAGCCGCTAATTTCGTCCACAACTCAAATTGGTCTTTATTGGAAACAAAATGATCGCGTAAGCCATCTAGTTCAACCGGAAAATTGATTCCCCATGCTCCATTGTAGCGTATGGTCAGTGTGACAGTGTAATTTGACATTGTGCTCTAGAATGTGAATTTTCCCCACCAACATTATTTATCCTTCTCATTTCCTCAGGGCTATTGTGTTCGCAAAATAACTCCCAGCCTACCACTTGCGATCACTTACGAGAGTAGTTTATTGAATCGATATATTCTGTTGAAAACTAATCGCCAGAGATGTTTCCACACATCATTAGCCCTTTGATTGTGAATGCCCCAATGTATGGCACTGCGACTGCTGCCCTGGCAGCCGCTGTCACCAAAGCTGGTGGATTCGGTGCGTACGCCGCTCGATAAGGTTTATTACGGAGAGTATTTATTTACGCTAAATAATGTCTTCTAGGATTTATTGGCGGAGGGTTCGATTTTACCTCGTCTAGTGCGCAACTCAGCTCTCTCGAAGAACAGTTGGTGAAGGCAAGGGAACTCCTCGGACTGAAAACACTCCCAGAGAGCAATGGGAAGGCTACCGATAGTCTTCCGATTGGAGTCGGCTTTCTTACATTCCACAATGGCGATGCTAGTGGACTCATCCCTCTAATTCGCCGACACCGCCCAGCGGCCGTCTGGCTCTTTGCGCAAGCACACAACCAGCATGCAAGTCTCATAAAAGATATAAAATTAGCCGGTGATCAATGGAATATGAAGGTATTTGTCCAAATAGGCTCCGTACAATCTGCTATAGAGGCTGCAAATGATGGAGCAGACGTCATTGTGGTCCAAGGGGCGGATGCCGGCGGCCATCAGTTTACGAGCAACTCTAGTATTGTTGCACTACTCCCAGAGGTCATTGATGTGATAGAGAATTTGCATAAAGAGGTATCCATCCTCGCGGCGGGAGGGATTATGGATGGACGCGGCATTGCTGCAGCTCTAGCACTCGGTACATGCCTATTGGATACTTGATCTTCCTTTGGAGTTACTTACCAATATTCATAGGGGCGAGTGGTGTTGTTATGGGCACTAGAGTAAGGAAGGATTCCTTTTTCAATTAAGTAAATACAATCATTGACGTCTGATAGTTCGCTGCCACATTAGAATCAGAAGCTTCGCAAGCGACCAAGTCGGTATTGGTTTCAACCCAGGATGGTGGTATTTCAACAGTCAAGTAATGATAAAGTGTCTTCATAGAAGCCATCACTAAATCAATAAACAGATCTGTTATCCATGATTCACTACAGGGCCGCGGTGACTTGTGGCCTGTACCCTACGATGGACGAGCTGTGATTTGTGACCCTTACAAAAAGGTTCTGGCTGGAAAACTGTCAGTTGAGCAGGCAACCGACTTGCAAAAAAAGGCAGCGAGTGAAGGTAACACGTCGGGTATGGTTGTTTGGGCGTGAGTTTTCTCCATGTGCTATTCTCGACGAGTTATCGTTCATGCTTTTCCTCTTGAATGAATCAAAACTGATGTTTATATAGGGGGGCTGGGGTAGGATTGATTCGGGACATTGAGAGTGCAGGGGCTGTCGTGGAAAGGTCTCGTGCAGAGACAATCAGAATTTTGAAGTATTTATCGAAGTTCTAGACCGTGAAAACCATGTAGATCACAAGTATGGAGAAATCCTGTAATCACCGATACCTTGTCATTTTCTATTGATGAATATGGCCTGCCATTTCGAGCATTTACTGCCAAATAGATAGGTCTCTAATGTATTCAATATATTCAATTTCAAAGCTAGAAACAGTCTCTAGTATTTTCTCATGGCATGTAAATACGTAATATAGGAACCACAATAGTCAACAGTAATTTATGAGATTATGCACCTGTCAAGGTAAAAGCGAACCTATCTTCAGACGGAATATAGTTTCATTTCAAAGAAAAGAAGCGGTCTGCGGGGAAAGATTTGAAGATCAATTGGCTTGGCATTTTCTGACTCTGCATAGAGAAAACGTGTACAGCTTAGAGCATGTGCACACATTAGTCGATTCAAAAATGGATGGAGCCATTGCAGAGGTTCCAAGCGAGATGAGAACTCCATTATGTTACATATGGTCAACGCTGTAATTATCTGTGCAAGTAACTAGTAACTACCTAGGAGCAATACGGTACACACCCCGTTTGCTTCTTTTTTACTAGTGGGGAATATTTCAAGAGCACACTGGCTAGTTGTGGTTCGGCGACTATTTAATTAGTATATACCCTGTCAGCTCTTATTCCTGTGGATCTCTTGCTGTGTCCCCCCTCTCTAGCCGGCATTTAGTGTGAAATATAGGTCTCCAGAAGGAACACTAATTTAACATTATCCCGAAAGTGGGTTTAAAGCACCTCGCTAACCAGCCACCCAACATGACAGGCGATCCAGGCGCCTTCAGACTGTACAACGGTGGGGGTTTGGACCCCCAAAAGAACTGGAACACCCGATGTCAGAACATCACCCGCGTACCCACCAACGCTTCCTCACAGCATAGCTTATTATGTTTGCTATGTTCCGCTATATGTTACTGTTAAATTCGCTATTAACGAAAGGTGGAACACTTTTAGGGTGGTGGTCTTCGGCCAATGCTATCCAAAACGAGCAGTGGCCGTACGGCTCCATAATGCATAATTAAAATTTACAGTAAAGGTATTGAATCACGCTGATGTTGGTAACGTAGAATAAGTTACCCCTCACTCCCTTTGCTCAGCCTCATTCTAGTTATAAGGTGACATCAATTGCCTGTCTATATGCATTATTTGTTGCTAGGAATCTGGAATTTGCAGTTTTCGTCCCGCCCCGATCGAGCAGACGCGTTGTTCACATAGCACTTCTCATATATTCCTCCAACCGCTATTCTATTCATTTCAAAACAAACAGCACAGTATATCACAATGCTCCAAAATTATGCTGCGTTCATCACTTCTCCGCGCCAGAGACCGCTTGAAATTCGACAAGTCCCTCACGCAGCCCCAGAGCCGAATCAAATCATAATCCGAAACCGTGCCATTGGTATCAACCACATCGATTGGAAGATCCAAGACCATGAATTTGCGCCCTTTCGATACCCTGGTGTCTTAGGCCACGAGTCCGCGGGGGAAGTAGTGGAGGTGGGCAGCAACGTTTCACGCTTCCGAGTGGGTGACCGCGTGCTGGCTGAAGGAACTTGCATGGCCACACAAAAGGATACAGATGGATCATTTCAGCTGTACACCGTTGTCCCAGAACACGTTGCTAGCCCTATACCAGATACTCTATCATACGAAAAGGCAACTGTTTTGCCGCTCGGCTTGTCTACTTCTATAATGGGGCTTTATGCTCCAGACACTCTTGAGTTAGACTATCCCTCTCTTAAGCCAAAACCTCAAGGAGAAACTATAGTTGTTTGGGGCGGTTCGTCATCTGTCGGTAGCAACGTTATCCAGTTGGCCGTTCACGCTGGCTACGAAGTGATTGCAACTGCATCAAAGCATAATTTTGAGAACGTCCGGAACCTGGGCGCAACTGCAGTTTTCGACTACCACGAAAAAACCGTCGTCGATGACCTCGTTTCTGTGCTGAAAGGAAAAGTAATCAAAGGGTCGTTTGACGCTGTCGGGCTTGCCGAAACTTCAATCCCCTTGGCCAATGTCATTCTCCAAACAGAAGGAAGCAAAAGGCTGGTATCAGTACTAGGACCTCCTGCTGATTTACCCCAAGGTGTTGTTTTCAAGATGGCATGGGCAATAGTAAATCCGCCTCAGTTGGGACTCGCGATATATAAAAACTTTTTGCCGGATGCTCTGGCCAAAGGGGTTTACCTTACATTTCCCGAACCTACCGTTATTGGTACAGGTTTAGAACAAATTCAGGAAGGAATGGACCTTCTCAGTAAAGGTGTCTCCGCAAAAAAATTAGTCGTCTCTTTGTGAGAATAGGTCGAATTATGGTGACTTTAGCAAATACAAAGCTTCTTGATTCTGTGAATCTTTCACGATATTCTGGAAAATGTTTTTATTAACCAGTGAGAAGTTTAAGAGTGCATAACCGCATAAAAATGTATCTAGCTCGCAAATGAGTCATCGATGGGTACGTAGCTTGCGCATCATAGTGTGAAAAAGTATTTACGAATCCTGATACAGGGGTTGTCTGACGTCTAACAGCTTGGTTCACGAGCCTATGCTAGATTGGCGAGCCGAGTTGCAAGCTACAGGGATGTAAATCCTAGCACTCTGCACTGACTTTGAGTATCGCTCAACCTTCTTTTTTCTTTTTTTCTTTTTTCTATTTTCTCCCCTTCTCCTGACGAATTCAGGCCAAACATTAGTCCATCTATAGTGATCTACATAAAAGCCCCTCCAATTTCTTTCCCGAACTGTGGGGACAACGTTTTTTAGGTAAATTATTACCAGTACATAGTATAACAGGGGCGTCCAAAATGTGTTGACGCATATTTTTAATTCGTTAGTCAATCCCACTCTGAGGATTGATGGACAATGGATTAACAAATTATGTGGCGGTCTTAATTCTCTAAAGAGAAAAACGAAATATCTTATTTTGTTGCTACTACTACAATGGTCATTTTTTGCCTTCAATTGGAGTGCGGAGGTGACATCAATTCATGTTTTTAATGTAGTTTCCAATATCTCATCCCATGAACTCACGACAACCTACCAGCCTTGTAGCAGCAGTCTTTCGAAAATGACTATGGGATTGCGTTATAAAAATAGATATGTTCAATAAACAAATCTAGAACAGTTATTCTGAACCTTCTTCAGGATCAAGGTTTTGCTTCCTCCAGATATCTAGTCTCCACCCTGAAGTCATCGGTTCGTACAACATTGAAGCTACTCCGTCTGTTATAAAGTTCGACTTCGACATGAGATTGATGTAGTGCATTCTGGCTATCGGAAAGGACATGGAACTTTTGTGTCCCGCTTTTTGAAAGCGACTTGCTTCCGCTTGTCGGACCGAAGAATCGTGCAAAAAAAGGTTTCAAAGATGGAAGGCAAGCACATATGATGCCAACGTCTGCTTCCATACATGACCATAGACCTGAAGGTACATTATCCCCTACAGATATACATCAGTCAGTGGAGAGGATGGACGGGAAAAAAGAGAGTGATGAGAAGGGAGACAAACAACTTGGATCTGTTGACACTGTAGCCTTTCGCAAACTCTGCAATCGCACAATGCCCATGATACAAACAAAGCCTCCAATTGCAAAAATTACAATGAGGGCGAGCCTCTCCCGTAGCGGACGATTTACACTCCACAGCAGCGGAATCGGCATGATGTAAACAATGAAATCAAGCAGAATGTTGATACCGGCATGCGAGTAGAACACAGCCGTCATGTTGATACACGTCCCTTTCAATGTTTTATCCCAAGCCAGCGCGACTGGGTTGCACTGTAGCATAATACAAAATGTCCATGTTATCGTCACAGCAGTTGTAAAATAAAGTAAAACCCATGTGAGGAGCCGTAATTTGTTGTATGACTGTGTGACAAAAAGTCGAAGGTAGAGAATTAGAAGTGAAATTTTAGTTAGGCCGACATTGATGTAATACACCAACTCTCCTCCGTAAAAAAGCTGCGACTCTATGTTAGCTGCGTCATTGTAGTAGTTGGGTTGGTCATCAACCTTAAGTGAATTTGTAAATCTTGCAGGATCAACGAGATCCTTCCAGTGATATCCAAATCCGTAATGAGTCTCTGTGAACAACAGGTTAATTTGACACATCATAAGCGAGGCAGGAGAGAGACAATAATATGACATACGAAGACAGACATCAATACCGTAAAATAATGTGAGAAGCTAGACGGTAGTCATGTCAGCTATCTACCGACTTGGGAGTGCTTCAAACTTACCCCGGCTACTATCATGATATAATCATCAATTTTGAGTCCCTGAACGAACCAAACGCGTGTAAACACCCTCAACAAGACTATTGTCACCGTGACTGCGGTGAATGCAATATTAACGCCAAATATTTCTGGGACTTGCGATGGAACGTCCTTTCCGCCTACTGGAGACACCATATTTGAGACCACACCGGAGGTCTAAGAGAATGGCTGCAGGCTTTGATCTCTAGGATGTATAGGGGACTGTACAATCGAGAAATAGTGTGTTGGCGCGGAGCAGTGCTCTTTCACAACCCTTTTTCTTGATGCGAGAAACTATGTAGTAGATAAGAGACGAAAGTAATGGTCCAGTCTGCGTAGCTCTACTAATGCATTTGGCGCCAAGGAAAGGGCCATCTTCGTATTTTGCAAACAGAACTTGATTCAGTGTTTCAGGGGCACAAGGACGGCTGCCGCGTCGGCACAGATGTCGGGCATGTTGAGACGCTATATTGGAAGAAATAACGATGATGATGTGCAAAATCTAACTACTTTTTACTTAAAGTCAGAAGACCGTGTTACAAGTGTATAATTGATGTCCCTCTTATCCTTGTTGTTGATGTATGGTCATTCAATGCCGTCCCGCGTTGTGTTAGAATGCATTAGTCCGCTGAACTAAACAAGCCACACGGCTCGGAGCGGGCGGTTTCCAGGCGAGTTTGCCTTTGGTTGACTTGAGGTTTACTTAATTAAGCTAGCTTTGCTGTTCACGACTACACTGCATTGGTTATCTTTCCTGTCATATTGCTGATCATCTGCATTTAAGCCACCGATGCTTGTGTCAGGATTGCGCACGTGAAAATGAGGACCGACGAGCCGTCTGTGAGTCTCGTCTAGAACGCTTTACATCTGCAAATGGTTTCTGGTCTCTGACAGATTCGGTAAACTACAATAAGTAGAAAGCAGGCTTAACATCAATTCTTACTTTGTATGGGGATCACCAAATTTGGGGGCCCAAACTTGTACTTAGCATCTCGATTTAGCGGAAAGATTAGACAATATTTGTACGTAAGTTTAACTGTATACAAGGAATAGGATCCTCGGAGAGAGTACGGCATAGTAGCATGTATATGAATTGGAGGGGAAATGGTCCAGTGAGTGTATTTTATTGGACTGTGAGATACACTATTTACATAAAAGAGTTATAAATTCGAGGGGCGTATAGCTGAAGGAAGTGAAGCTGCAACGCAAAAGCAACAATAATATCATCGAAATATTCACTGCTATCGGGTCTGTTGGAATCGCTTCAGGAGCATAGCATCCAAGATGTCGATGGCAGCTTTAATATTCTGGACGGTATCGCTTTCTAACACGGACTTGCCAGCGGTCATGATCAAGCGTTCGGGAGCTGGCACACTTAAATACGGGGTAGCTCGGGAACGGTGTGCTGCGCGGAATAGCTGTTTATATCCATATAAGCACTTTCCCTGAACCATTGAAAAAAGGGCAACGTACACGAAGCTGCTTAGCAATAGTGTCTAATTCAGCAATTATGGCGGTATCATTGACTTTCTCTGCCATTCTTCGGAAGTTGTGCTGACTAAATGACTTGCTCAGTTCCCTCTGCAGATGAGGAATATACCGAAGAGTATTCTCGGTCGGTAGGTATGGTTCAAGACCTATGAAGGAATCGATGCAATGTAATAGTAGCAACTGATTTCCAGACAGTCCATCGTATTCGATATACTTTCCCTCCACGATATTCCCAGCCGCCCATCCCTGAATTCCTTGCACGTATCGCATCCAATACTTTTTTGAAATTCTTGAGTCCACCAGAGAGTCAAAGAATATTTTCAGAGTCGGCTTAATATGTTCATTGATTGATCTTAGGTGCTTCAGACTCTGGCGTCTATCTTCTCTCTCGAAAGATAATATCGCCGTTACCATGTGGTAGTATATCGGCACACCCTGCACAAACACAAGGGATGTTAAACTTGAATACATGACACGACATGACGAGCTTGCTAGAAAGGATGGACTAACCTCCTTCTCCATAGCTGGAAAAATATGTCCAAAGTGATATTCGGCTGAACGGATTACCTCTGGCATGCCCACATTGAATGCATACACCAGATTGTTATTACTGTCGTAATTGCAATAAAAGTTAGACGTGACATTTCCCCCAGGAGATGTGACTCCATATCTATGCCGGAGAAAATCCCAAGCAACGTCGAGTTCAGGTGGGAATTCCACTACTGTTTCTTCCTGTGCGATTTTGACTATTGGAATCGTTGCCCATCTAGTAAGAAATTAGACAATCAGTGAAGTAGAAAGTATCACCGGTGAAGGCCTCACCGGTATGCATGTCTCGATATTGCAATACAAGCAAAAAGACCATTGTAGACCTCTGGAGATAAGTAATCATTTAGAGCCTGCTTTGCTGCTTCTATGTTCACCTTTTCACGAAGTAATTTCTTCGCATGTGCACGATAAAATTTCATCCGAGCTAGTCCCAATTCAGACTCCTCCCAAGCCATGTCATCTGTGGCTAGATAGGGCGAAAGCTCCATATATACGACATGGTAAGGACGAAGAGCTGGTGGCCAGGATGTTCCGTATAAACTTCTTGGTGGCCATGAGCCTGCCCCATCTCGATTTATTAAATCTTGAAGTGCCGTCGTAACCGGATGGTTTTTTGGAAGATTCCTGATTAAGTCGATATAGTCAACTCTTCTATTATTTCTTCGCTGAAAGAAAAAGACCGAAAGGCCACTTGTGACCATGACCAGTATTACAGAAAACCAAAACATTTTGCATGTGTTCTTCATATAATATTGATATAATAATAGGATTCAAGGTATGAGACATTAGGAGATGAAATTTGGGATATTTATACTACTGTTAATGTTCTCCCAAGGCATAAGCTTCGATCCATTCTGCCCCCCATTCCCGGAGAGACGGCACTTGGGTTCTCATTAAATCCTCTTCCTTGGCGTATCAAATATCTAGGTTGGCTAAGTGGAGATATGGCCCATAGGTAAATATTACCGGATTAATCCCCTGGAATTAAGTGATTGCAAGGCAGTTCGTTCCATTCAGTAGCAACTAGCTAGCCGATCAAGGGGGATAAGCAGGTAGGCACTATTCTTACAAACTGGTTATTGATTCCTGTTCTTTCATGTTAACCAGTAATAACTACTAGGACTCCATACTTCGCTATAGCATCTCTCGGGGTTTCTGTTTGACACATGCGTTCATACGACACTTCACCTAGTGGCATATAGTTTCTTTACCAAGAACTCTAATAATAGATGTTGATTGATTGTCCGGGTACACACCATTTGGACCCTATTCTACGCTGTCCGATGCTACCTGCAGAATATCTGCTTTCTGCGAGACATTTTACAATTGGGGGCACAAAACTATGACCCATTAGTGTGCATATGGTCATGGTGTAGATATATCCCTGTACAAAAGGCGATCAGCGCCTGGACCTATCGCTCGAACCGATACATCAGGCTTGCAGCACTTGTAATATATTGGAAACATTGTATACATATGTAGCGCTATATGCGTACGGATTGGACTAGTTCCAGTGGTTCATTCCTTTCAATCTGATAACTACTGTAACTATGCATGAAGACTATATCTTCTCGGTCTGGGAGTTCTCAAGCCGTAGTCTTCGATAACAACCTTTGAATTGTATCTATGTAATTAATATATTGCCCCAATTGATATTAAACGAATTAGGGTGGTTTATCATTAGAGAGTTTGTTAACCGGTAGCTGTTATTCTAATTATTCTTTATGTTCTATCCATCCTTGTCCACCTTCTTTTGTTGCACCCCTGTTCTATTTCATGATCCCGGTATTACATATAACGTATCAGACACGGGATATATTAATTAACGTTCCTTCAAGCTAAAAATATTATTCTATTTTAGTATCCACATTATTTCTGACGGTACATATACGCAATATCATTTGGTGGTATAGCCTAATATAGCCTAGGAATTCAATCCATTCCTTCCTGGCCACTATGCATGCTATACGGAAACCGCATTAGGTTAAGGGCACGCGTCAAGTATGAGATTGCAGCATAAATTCCAGCTGCAGGTCATCCATCCACTTACTGCTTCAATGAAAGCACCCATCACCGGCACGGCAGCAGTTGCATTTCTAATGTTATCAGATTGCTAATCCCAATTTTTAATGGATTTTATGTTCGCTGGAAATAGTGTTAGTCATACCCTCTTCTATCAAACAAAATGAGATTATCCTTTCCAATCATTGTATCAGCAGGCACATTTCCATGAGTAAAGTGGTTTTTCGTAATCGGAGAATTTCAACCTACTAGTTCTGCGGAGAATTTCCATGGATTTTATTAAACAGTTGTACCGCCAGGCTAGCCCAGACAGGCGCCGTTACAGTAGCTAACCTTTAGCGGTCTTATTCACGATAACGATATTGCTTGTCTATATAAGTATATGTTAATGTATTTCCTTGGCGATATATTTCTGCTAATCAGATTTGACTATAGTGACTAGCCGGACATTATGGTGATACACCGGCGCAAACCTACGACAAAGCTGGCCGTGAGCAGTACGAGTCTAACGTATTAACGCTAAATAGGATAGTCGCAAGCCATTTCCCATAAACAACTTTTAATAGCCGACTATTAATATTATTCTTTGATAATGTTAAGTCGAAAGCTCAAAGCATATATTGCCAAGTTGGAGTATCCCTCACTTGCGATACCTGCGTTAGGCAGCTACAACCCTGCTTATTTTTGCTTCTTTGTCAGTTCTCTTCTATATACAAAGCTGAATATTACACACTTCATTTTTCTAGACGAGGATTAATAGGACCTATTGCCGTGACAGCCTCCCGCTATGGTTGATTTCACCCTTTCCGAATCCGAAAAGGCCACTCGCTTAGGTGCACGAGGTTTTGCAAAGGCACACCTCGCTGGTGCGAAAGCTGTTTACTCCGCGTTCTCAACCCCAGCTGAACGCTTCCAATCTATTCAACCCATCTACGCTGAAGCTGTCAAAGCCGGTTTGATCAAAGGCCAGGTGCCTGCGCCAGTTGGAGGCACGAGTGCGAATCTCGTGGAGGCGGCCATCCTAGTAGAGGAGTTCTATGCTGTTGATGCGTCAGCATCGTTGACAATATTTGCGACGGGCCTTGGCCTCACTCCGCTTGCGCTCGCCTATCAGCCGCAATTTAAGGAATTTTTGGATCCTTTTTTGTCTGGTGAAGGCACACCGCTTGCATCACTTGTGTTTTCAGAGCCTGCTGGAGTGGTTAGTTGGAATCCTAAACTCTGATTCTCGCGCTTTATCTGACACGCTTTACCGTATAGGCAAATTGGTTGGAGCCCGGTGCTCCTGGGTTGCAGACTACGGCATATCTAGACGGTGATGAGTGGGTTTTGAATGGAGAAAAGGTAAACTTCTGGCCCAACTGCTAAAGTCACAAGGCTTACGGATGGCGACTTTTTCCACAGCTTTGGGCTACAAATTCTGCTGGATGGGATTTCCAAGGTGCAGATCTTGGCTGTGTTGTCTGCCGCTGCACGAACGAAGACGTAGCATCGAAATCATTGTATCCACGGGATCTTGTCATGGTATTGCTTGTCACCAGGGCTGATATTGATCGAAGCGGACAGGATAGTTTTAAGGTCCTGAAACATGTTGAGACATTGGGCCACACGGCTGTCTCAGGACCTCATATCAAAGTACACTACCACACACCTCCTTTATCCCTATGATGAGACATATTACGAGCGTTCTAATAAAATTTCTAGTATACAAACGTCCGCGTGCCTGCTAAAAACCTGCTTTGCCCACCTGGAACTGGAGCTGCTATTGTGAGCCACTCATTCGAAATTTCCGGTAAGGCCTTGGACATAAAACTCTACAACATAGCATCTAATTATTTTCGATACAGCTATGCTTGTAGGTGCGATGGGTGTTGGCCTTCAAAGAGCGGCTTTCGACGCGGCTCTCGAATTCTCTCGTGACACCCGAGGCGGAACTATCCCGATTGGAAATCGTCAATCTGTTGCAGATCTGTTGATTAATATCAAGATGCGGACAGAAACTTCAAGGTGGGGCCGTTGCCTTGGATAAAGAGAGAATAACCACTAAACCTCATAAGACTCTTGACGTGGAAAGCGGCTCACTGCCTCCTTTTCGGGCCGGGCGAGCACGAACAAAGACGAGAGCTGTCACTACAAGCAAAGGTCTATTGTTCTGATGCAGCGGTTCAGTCTTGTACAGATGCAATCAATGCTGTCGGCATGTGAGTAATACTCTTCCCTAGTAATTGACAGATTTCACATCATTCAATCTAGCTAGAAGTGAAACAAATCACTAGAGATGTCTCTAATACTTCACTAATTAGATCGGCCTACAATATCGACTTTCCTTTTGGTGAGTTACTGGCCACTGCCATGGTACTTCCCATCTTTGACGGGGGTAATATTGGCATCCGTCGACGAGCACTGCAGGATATTTTCATTTCGGCTGGGTACCAGCCATGGCTGACAGCGTTTGGGGCTGAATGAGGGGCGATATATGCATCTGACAGCGTAATGGTTAACAAAAAGATGTTGAGGGACTATCTATGTAGATTATAGGTATATCATATGTTTTCAGAACGCATAAATTAATCCTATTATCTAGATTGGAACTTTGCAAATGAACTGGCATTGATGCAAGAGCGTAGTCTTTGGAGCTGTTTGACAAGCATATAACCACCTACTGTTTGAATGGTTACTAAATGGTCTTGCTTTGGTTATCAGATTGATGTGTACCTCTTACTATGTTTATGATCTGGCTTGGAGGATGGCGACGGTGGAATATGGGGACATCTGGATTCCGAATACCACCAGATTTTAACATAGGGGCATTTGGAGATTATTAATCATATCACAAAAACAGTATAGAAGCCTCTTAATAGTATCAAATACAATAATCAGTTGTTATGTATATTAAATGTTTGTGCTGTATCATTTTAGACCTTGTATATCAGCATCCAAACATACATGAACATAATATTGAAAGTGTTTCCTATCCCTCTCTCTATATAATATTCAAGTCTATGAAATACCGCAAAATATTGAAATATATAGCATACGGTACTCCTTTTTATCGTATGGACATTTCAACACAACTTCATTAAAGCTGTACGTATCTCAATAAAGCGATTGGTCTCTATTACACATATAATGAGGACCCATCCCGTCACAATTTATCTTTCGATAACGTATTTTTTTTCTTTGTTTCTTCATTATTTGCGAACCGAGGTAAAATAATTAATGTTAAATAAATTCTTTTTTAAATTTTGTACAAGTAGATCATTCTGAGAGTGGTGGCTCAGACAATCGTTTTAAACTATTGTGATGATATTGTCTCCGAGTGTAATATTACCCATATAAACAGCACGACCTTCATCAGCATTGAGGCCGTTTCTGGAGGCATTGAAACCAATCTTGCTCTTGTCTTTGGCAAAGCTACTTCCACTAAGGCCAGTCAATTGGCCTGCCGACCTAACATTACCCGTCTGTAAAATGGGTGCGTAAGGTGAGTGTTGTTTAGACCATGGACCGGTAATACTGGTTGCGTAGGCGTAGGTACTAATGTACTGAGGAGTGTTGAACATGGCTGACGAGAATGTCATATAATAAATACCCTCCGACTTGATAATACTAGGAGCTTCAATCAAAAATCCATCACCACCGTTGGGATCACGATCAAGGATTTGGACACAGATCCAACTGGTGTAATTCCATCGCTTTCCAGTTGTTGGAGCATAACAGGATTTGGATAAACAGAGTCACCCGAGTCCAAGTTACTTCTATCAACTTTGTAGACCACATACATCGTTTGGGTTTCATCGTCGTCAATGAACCCGACTGTATCTATTGCACCACCTTGGCCCAAAGGGCACGCAATCGGCGAGTCGGTTGGTTCATATGGCCCTGTCACGTTAGGGGAGGTTGCAACGCCGAAGTAATGCTTTTGACCATCTGCACCTGTTGATGCAGTAGAATAGTAAATAATATACCGGCCGTCCGACTGTTAATGATGGGTTGTTAGCCGACGTGGTATACTCATAAGACAACCAGTCAAGGGATATCTACCCTTTGAATAACATCAGGAGCTCATGTCTGCGGGTTGGAAGAATATACCCATGATAAAAATTGCCCAGGAAGAGCATCATAGCTAGCTGCTAGGGACCAGGTTTCGAAATCCTAACATCAACTGCTAGTAGCCCCGGGCCCCCAAGTTCGGATGTCATTCCGTCGACTCTCATATACGTCGATCCAGATAAGGAAAAGGCCGCTCTGCGCAGGTTCGACAAATAGCTTGTACCCGTTGCCTTCATCTTCCTTGTTTTGTCCTCACTAGACCGAAACAACATGAGCAAGCCTATTTCTGTTTGAATCCACTCATGACTAATGAAGAAACACAGATCGGAAACGCAAAGACATTCGGCTTGGAAAAGGATCTGGGTCTCACGGGCCATAAGTTTGGCAACATCACGACTTTATTGAGCGTGAACCTAGTTCCCTTAAAAGCCCCCTGGGTCATGGCCATCAAGAGCTTCGGTCCAAATAAAGCCCTCGGCACTGCCCTTTTACTTTGTAGTTTTGTTAAACTGGGTAATGCTTTCATCTAGAACTATGGTCAAGCCATTGCTGTCCATATGTTACTAGATGTTTGCAAGGCTGGAATCTCGCCTGGCTTCTCCTATTTATTCTCGACCGTACATCCCCGCAACGCGGCTGCAAAGCGTTTAATGATGACGAATATGGCTAATTGTACATCTGGTGCCTTTGGCGATCTGTTCGCGTATGCCGTTCAAATCATGGGAACCTGCTGGGACTCGCGCCATAGCGATGGCTATTTATCGTCGAGTTCGGGCTTACCCTGGTTGTGGGTGGCATCTGCCGGTTGTATCTTTTCATCAATTGCTCCTTTTCAAATAAATGGCAGCGCCGGGGCCATTATTGCTTGGGTGGCCACGTATGTGTCGCCAGATGGCAAGCGTGCTGTTGCGATGCCTTTTGCATATTCGATTGGCAATCTGTCGTCGCTCGTATCATCACAACTGTACCCTAGCCAGCAAATCCCCGGCTATATTGAAGGCAATGCCATCTCCGCCGGCCTAGACGTTGTCGTTGCGGGTCTTTTTTCTCATGCTGGATGCTGCTCAGATGCAGGAACCAGAAGAAGGAAAAGCTCATCACCGAGGGGACCACCACCAATGGCTACGAAGATGATCGAGGCCTTGGTTTCAAGTACATGCTTTGAGAGGTGATGACGAAGTACACATCCTTGATCACAATTTGTATTGGACGGGTTGTTAAAAGATTTAGTCATCACTAGTATCACTTCACATAAGGGACCCTTTTGACGCTACTATTTCTAGATTGCGATATCACTTTTGCCCCTATCCTAGGAAGCGGATTCAGAATCGTGGTGAGTCGATCAACGTTGGTAGTCAGCCTATAACACGTTCATGATTCAAAATTGCGTATAGAGTTGTGAAAGGGATATTTATTTAATGATATAATATTTGAAAGCACAATGAATATATTAATTGATGTAGACACCAAAAAAATACACTAAATGTAGTTGAAGTATCTCTACAGATCTAAAGAATCCTTGTTCACGTACTCGAGGAAGCGAATAATAGAGGCGACACCTCCCGGGCGCATAATCTGAGCGTGCAAACCAATCGATATCATCGTTGCGCTCTCATTAGATTCGGGATACAGGATGTCGAAGGCGTCCTTGAGGTAGTCGAAACAGTCAGTCGAGCCGGTATACGGGCCTGACTAGCTGCCCCAGAAGCACGCATCATTTGTATCGACAGCATTGGAGAGCACCAGCATCGGCCATGATGCGACGGTTGTTCTCGGTGATGGGCGACCTGGGGAATGCGCCAAGAATTCTCTTACCAGCTTGGTTAATTGACCAGCATAGGTCGGCTCTCTCCATCTCTTCCGTGAGCCCGACCCGGCTGATCGAGCGGGTGCCGTGGGAGACAATGTCGCAGTCCTCGGTTTTCGGCATCTCGGACAGCGCTGGGTTGACGTTGACGGTGAGAGCATCAGACGACAGGAAAACACTATACGGTGCGTCAAATTCCTTGAAGTGACGCAGCAAGGGCCAGATGATGGCACGCGTGCCATATTCATACTCGCCCTCCTGCATAAGGTCGCGCTCGCTATCTAGGAGTACACTCCACACCTAGGTACGCGAGTCACGCGAGTTACCGCCCAAGAGTGGGTTGCGCTCGGTGCCCTCTTCGTAGTTGATGGCCAAGTTGGTTGCGACTTTCTTTCCCCCAGGCCAAGTGAATCTGGGAGGAAGATCTCCGTATCCGGTGAAATCACGAGGACGCAATGTCGTGAAACCTGCCATGGTTGTACTTAAAGCCGCCGCAAGCCTCGAATTCCTCTCGACTTCGTCGTGAATTTAGAAAACAGTGAGGCACAAGTTCGACAGGGGTATGATGAATGAATAATATCACTGGTAGAGAACATATTACCGCCTAATTCCTGACAGCCACGATAGAGTTATCTTATTTAATAAGCAAAAAGAAAACATAAATAAAGAATTGAAGCTTATCGTTTCGGTAGATTGGAAGCAAATTCCGATCTTAGTGCCGCTGATTAGCTTCGGTTTTGTGCAGTCAATCTTCGGTATTCCAATGCTTGATACGATATAATAATTATTAGTACAATTTCTGAGGGGAATCAATATCAATTTGTCTGATCACAGAATAAATTCAGTTTCGATACGGTTTCTAAAGATCGTTTAAACATTAATATATGATACATGTAATATATTTAACTAGTATAAATCACTAGTATTTATATAAGTTAAAGCTCTAGAAATAAGAGAGGGCATTGTCCGGACTCCTTCAAGGCTGTGAAAAATGCAGTCAAAACATCCTCTGCCAGGGTTGAATCTTTTAATTAAGAGCATGGTTAGGGGTATCGATATTCACGCTATGCCCCGGAGATAGAGCTACAATGTAGAATGTGCATGTGCCGCAACAGTATGATTATTACTCATAATCCCTCTGCCTCAAACACTACCTGTTTCTTCCTGCGCCTCACAACCAGGATATGGCATATAGACCGTGTAGATCCATTGTCTCCGTTGCACTGTTGGTTACCACCATACGGCTACTGCGACGGTGCTGGAAAGCGATATTGGAAGACGAGGAGCCAGGAAGCAGCTCCGCAAAGTGTGTCAATATTCCGTATGCGTCAAAGCACAAGATTCCCAGTCCCGGTTGAGCCACGATCATGCCCCTCTCAATATCAACTGCGATGCCATACGGTCCGCTGCCTCCGGAGAGATCCAGAAACACTCCACAACCTTACTGACGCCTCGATCAAGAACAAAAGGAAAGAAACACGCCAGATGGAGTTGGAAGACTAAAATTCAATAAGTATATTTTTGAAAAAAGTTGTGCACTAGAAAATAAAAAAATACTTATAAAAACTCGGAGCTAGACCTGCCTAACATACGGAGTACATGAAAGGCCCGCTTACCTCTACTACCCACTCATATAGCAAGGGTTAGTAAGGCCGGCACATACTACAGGTATAAATTGCAACTCTGATCCACTAGAATTGAGTTTAGCTCTCAACGGTTAAATAGTAGTCTCAGGACCTAAGTTATATACGTGTGGCAATGGGAGGCTTCGATATTAGGGTTACAGTTACCCAAAACCCATGTATTACAACATCTTTGGTTAAAGTAAGGGGATATAAAAAAATAAGATGTCTATGTCTCGAAATATATGAGGGTTTTACAGCTTTTTAAGCAATATTGAATTGAATGCAGAAATTTTGATGTAAATTCAACACTTTAAACGGCATCAATTGATATTGTTTGATTGCTAGCATGGGAATTGGCCATAAGATAAAGTACGTGTACTCAACCTTTGCATCTCGTTAAAGTTCAACCACTAACTTAGTCCCACTGACGCCTTGTTTTAATCCGTCGAGTGCATTGTCTATGGACTCCAAACCCCTCCCTACAACTTTCAAGTGGGGACTGGGAATATAGTCATCAGCAGCTAGCTTTTCTTTCAGCCACTCAACGAAAGCCCAGCGGAAATAATCATATGATGCTTTGGGATCCCGTGGAGTTAAGATGAAAATAATGTCTACCCCATCTAGCTTTTTCGCCTCTTCCGGTATGAGTGGTGCCGAGGCAACCTTTGCATTTCGAGTACCCTTCAGTTGCTTGAGAATGCTTGCGATCGGCTCAAGACTCCCGCGACCCAAAAAGCACTGATGTAGTGTTACATCATCTTCCTTCACAGAATTTACGATTTCCGAAACTACGTCGTCAGAGTTATAGTTGAATACTCTATCCGCCCCGAGGGTCTTTAGATATTGATGGTGACGTGGGCTCGAAGTAGCATAGACATGATATCCCATAGATTTCGCACTCTGCACAGCTGCAGTTCCAACACTAGTAGACGCTCCCCAAATCAGGATCCCTTCCCTGTCCTCAGAGGAATATGCCGTATCACGAGGGATTCCCAAAACGTTCCAACCCGACAGGGCAACGGACACCGACATGGGCAAGATAGATCCCTCGCAAAAGCTGATCGAGTCTGGCAAAGGGGCCACCTTTTCCACACCTACTATCACAAATTGCTGAAAAGCACCAAAGTCTGCCTCACCCTGGTGAAAATAGGCCGTGGCATAGGCGGCAACTCTGGTACCGGGTTGCGGTGTATCCAAAGGAACATCCGGACCAACACTGATAACAATACCAGCGACATCGGAGCCCAGTACAGTTGGATACTTGGAAATAAGAAACCCGCTGTCCCTTTGGACAGCATCAACGGGGTTCAGTGCAATAGCCTTTACTTCAACAAGCAACTGGCCAGGTCCGGGCTGAGAAGTGACTCGGGAAACGAGAGAGTGGGACGCTCCCTTTTCCGCAATCACCAATGCCTGGTGATGACTAGCCGGTGATGAAGACATATTGGCTCACAGTAGATATATGGATGGCTCTCAAGTTGCTAAGGGTTCAAATAACGCAAAGTGAGAAAGAGATAGATGATTGACTGTTAAAGATTTTGGTCATTTCGAATCATGTTAAAAGATCCTACTGCTAGACATATTTATATATGCGAGAATAGGCGAGAATAGGCGATTTGATGTAAATTTAGGATTACGTGACATACCTCAACAAGACTTTTGTGGCGGTAATCTCCGACCGGCATATTCTTAATTCCGGGACAGCCAGAACAGCGAGAAATTATGGTCTTCTTAGTAATTGGCTTACAAAATGCGTATCAATTTCAAATTATCTGTATATTAGACTTGCTCAACAAATATTGCGGCTATGTTATTATCTTTATTAGCTGAGAGGCTTTGCTAAAATGTCGCAAAGCCCTGATGAGAAGGGATGGATTACGATAGAGAAACCCAATTGCTCAACCTTAAAGTAGGGAAATTTTAGTAGTTAGACAATGCATTCTAACAATCTTCTCATGCTTTTCAAAGAATGGGTTGAGGTAGCACCGTTCATTTTCCATTAGGTATTCAATTGTGCATTCGTAAATGAAAACCACCGCCCCCCGAAGAAGTAGAGTATGGATTATCTATATCGGAACTATTTTCAATTAGCCAACCCCACTGATCTATACTAAACCGGAGTTAAAATGTTGAAATTTGCCGGGACTTTATGGTTTACATCTACATATCCTTTGCGTAGTTTCATGATAGAATCATGGATTTAATAGGGTACTGCGTATTCCCCGGTCAAAATTTGATTAAAATACAATATACAATGCGGAAACATCTAAAAGCCGATCTAGCCTATCTCCATAGTTAGAATTTTTGAATCCAATTCAACTGGACCATTCCTCAGTTGAGTATCGCCCAGTTCAAACCGCTTGTACAAATTTGGCTCTGGCAACTTTTGACCTAATATCATTGTCGCTCTTGAGTTATCCCCGCGATTGCGACGGCAATAAAAATAGGTCAAAACAACACCAATGAAAATGAAAATAATCCCAACACCAACACCAACCCCAATGCCTGCCTTTGTTCCAATAGAAAACCTAGTGTTTGTGGACGTCGATGTTGGTGTTGGTGTATTTGCGTTCGATTGCGAAGATAATGATGGCATTGAAGTGCTTGTTGATGAGCTGGAAGTTTTCGTAGGCAACTGCCACCGAATCTGAAGGCCGTATGCATTGAATTTTGGAGTACCAATGTAGGTAGAAGTGATAGAAGGCTCGGCAGTGACTAAGAAAGTGCCTGTTGTTGTAGCAGCTAAAGTACAGAGTTCGGTGGAGTACCACGGCCAGCCATTATCAGTTGCGTCTTGGCAGGTATATGCACTATATGTTTTATTATTCAAATTTAAAAATATCCTGGTGAAAGGGGATGGTTGTATTTTAAAACCTACCTTGGGCAGCATATCGCTCTAATTTCTGAAATCGTGTTGATATTCACGATGCTGGAGCAAGCCATTTGATAGCCTGATGGACATATCCCCGGTGAATAATATGCTGCTGGGGTTGGAGTGAAGTCTGATGGGTAGCAGTCATTTGCAGTTGGAGTTGGCCCAAGTTGAAGATAGATCCAGGGAGTCCCACCGGAGGTGGTGGTAAGATTGTATATATCTGTCAGACACGAAGCTGCCGGGGTGAATACAGTTGTCAGAGCGGGAACCGTAACCGTTGCCATCTTGATGGTCCGACACCTTTAATTTTGATGCGTATGTAGATTGAGAATTTTAAACTGTAGAAAGTACGAAGATATTTATTGGAAGAAAAATCTAATTCACAACCACGACTTTGGTTGTTTTGTAATAGGCGCCGAGTTCCTTAGATTACTATTTTTAGCCCGTCAAAGCTGATCACTCCATCATGCTATTAGCCGCCGTGGTGACTAGTCCGTCACATCCCATGCAGACCACGCGAGCCAATAGTTTTCAATGATATGTCCAAGCTTTATGAGAAGCTGGAGCACCAATGTTTACTTAGTTGAAATCTAGATTATACAGTGGAGAGTGGTGCCTAGTGAATTTTGGGCTTCTCGAGGAGAAAGCCAAAACTAATTGGTTTTAAACCATATGCCGAGTTAGCAAGCCTCCACGCCAAGATTCAGGTCCAATTAAACTTATTATGAGTTTGCCGAGCAGTTTTCCTATTGGTGATTTACTATTTTGAAAGGGATACTATACATCTACACTCCGAGCATACTGCCACCGTCCCTAGGTAAATATTCCATTTTAGCCGGTTATAAAAATATATTTAATAAGCTATGAAGATAAAAATTTAGCATTAATTATGACTGTGTAAAGAATAAACCATCTATTTTTACACCAGCCTTTTGGACAGTCAACCTGATGAATTAACCCTAAGCGCAAAAATTCGCATCTCACTATAGCCCGCCATACCGTCGTACTATAGATCAAACTTTGTAACGCCATTAGCGTTTCAATAGGTAGTTCTAAGTGGGCGTGTCCGCCTACTTAGAAGTAATCTGCAAAAAGTTCTGTAATGCAGAAGCGTAGGTAACCATTACTAAGATAATCTTCTGCACCACATTTCTTAGAAAGTTAGAGGTGTGCTTTCAAACATAACCGGAATTGCATACAGCCTCAGAATGATGGCTTTAAATCTAGATAGCATTGTTGATGGTTGAATGATATCCGCTCAGTCAGCGCCATTGGAAACACATGTAATAGATACATATTAATTCGATCAAGAATTTTGTCTCAATACCACTCATAATCCCATGGCCTCTTCAGTATACATACACGAAGTTTGGGTTTTGCTTGTCTGTCAAATCAGTGAAAGCTGTCCAATTGAGGGTAGCCCCATCTTCCCTGTTAATATCCTGCAAGGCTTGCCTTGCTCTTTCCTTCCGTCGATTTTCCCAGATAAAGGCATAGCGAAAGACAAAGAAGAGCACGAATTCAATACAGTTAGATACTAGCAATGAACCAATACCTAAGCGATATGTCGGTGCTTGGTTCGATTTATAGAAAAAAGGGCTGGCGATATTACCGATACACACGCCGAACCAAATCATTCCGGAGACAATCATTTTTTTTGACTGGCCACCTGTGTTTGAAGTTATGAGAGATAGAGAAAGTACAAAAGAGGCTTGGTATGATCCGGTGAGGTAGCTGAAAGACACGTTAGCAATGGGAGGTCTGCAGAAATTGAAATGGACCAATGGAATCACACTCACAAACAGATTAGTCGGCCAACATATGCATCGACAGGTGCAAGAAGGAACCCTAGAGCACCGGCAATAGTTGGAAGCATGAATAGTGCACAGACTAGAGTGCGGCTGTTATTTGGGAGGTAGTTATTTGCCACTGCTCCAAGTACAATCCAAATAACAACTATGACCCCCTGTGGTATGCCAAGCAACGTTGTGTGGAAAGTGTCAAAACCAAGGCCCTCAATCACCAGAGTGGAAAAATTTGAAATCCCCCCATTTGGAATATTGGCAACAAAACCAAGAAGTGTGAAGAGCCACGTTTTGTAGTCCAAGTATGCCTCTTTAATTTGATCCCACTTGATTTGTCGTTGCTCAATACCTGTCTGATTGCGGCGCATGCGCGCTATTACCATTAATCTTTCGTCATGAGTAAACCCCCAAAATGTGGCAGGTGAGTTAGGTAGCAAAAGACACAGAACGATCCCCCAGAATGAGCAGATGGCACCAACTACGATGAATTCATAACGCCATGACTCTAGAGCACCTTTTATATGGCCGATTCCATAACCTGTATTAAGTAAGTATCTAGAGATAGCAACCGCCGGTCTGCGAGAAATACCTATAAGACCACCACCGGCCACACCAATGCCGTTCCAAAGGTAGTATGCTGAGATACGGGACGGCTGTTCTTCGCGTGTATAATAGGTGGATATTATGAGCATAAAGGCTGGATCTGCAATAGCCTCAAAGGCCCCAGAAAGGATTCTTAGAACAGATAGAGTGGCAAAATTCTTTGAAGCGGCTTCACACATAAGGAGTATTCCCCACATGAAAATATTGAAAGAAAGATACCAAGCAGGGGGAAGTCGTTGCATGATAAGGTTGGACGGAATTGCCCAGACTAACCACCCAAAATAAAAGATACTCGATAGCCAGGAATAAGCTGTTCCCTCTAAATGTAGAGAGTCTTTGATACCAAAGATCGCTGCGTAAGAGAGCGTTGTCTTATCGACATACTATCAAGGAAAACAAAAAGAGTTAGTAGATTATTGAATAGGGCAGGATGAATGTCACCGACATAGAAGAAATAGCAGATTCCTAGAAGGGGAAGAATCCGCAAATCAAGCTTACGGACAAGCCGCTTCTCAGAGTCTTGATCAATGGCCTCATCAACGGGATATTTTTGAATTGCTTCTAAATACAACTCCCCATGTTCTTGGTTGATTATGAGAGCCATGGGTGCTTTGAGGCCATCTTGTGTGGATTCAGCAGCGTGAACATCCTCGATACCTGCCACATCTGTCATGTCATCCTCTTTCGTATCCATATTATCTCGCAGAGAATATCAGAAAATCACAGCAAGGACTTGTTGACTGAAGTTATACATGTATGTGTTGAGTTAAGATTTACGCTGGTGGTTCCTCCCTCTGTTAATATGTTCAGGTATACAGTACTGCCCTCTCACGATGCCTCGTTTACGGAATCAGCGAGATATGAGAGCGTGGGGATTGGTCGTGATTGGGGGAAAAACCACGAAGTCCGTTCTCTGCTGGCGTGGGGGAGGCAATATAGCTTTGGCTTCGTGGGGAAATCGGTGAGATGTCCGGCCCCCAGAATTACCCCGCATAAAAAGTCATCTTGCATATCACAATTATCGAATAGTGGTTAACTGGCATAACAAGGCGCTATGCTATTTCATGTTGCGTTATTTAGTTATTCCGCTACCTAGTATTAGCAATCAACCCTGCATTTGCGTTGACATTATTCCAGTTAGCGCCAGCTTCATCACAGTCTATATCGTCCTCTAGCCCAAATATTTGACACTATGTATCTACTCAAAAGTTGACAATGAAAACCTTCCATCTTCGACCGAAGATTCTATTCTGTTTACTCTACCATAAGTGAAACCATGGTGGAAGTAGCGGATGTCGAATATTTGAATTCTTTTCATAATTATGCCTCGATGTGCTAATCACCATGGCACGGCCTATTCAGAACACCCTAAAAGTCGTCATTTATTCGACATACAAACAAACCAAGGTAGACGGTCTCGAAAGTTAATCTTACTATGCAGTGCATGGTGATGTGTCTCATCTAAACTAAACTTGATCGATGTCTACAACCTAGCGGAGAGAGAACTTTGGGGATATTAATCAATATATTGCGATGACTCACCAGTATTCAAAGTATTTCTATGAATCCATTGAAGGAAGAGATATCTACATCGGTAACCTTCTCTAGAGACTTCAAGGGAACAGTATAAGACGCTCTTACCGAGGCGAGGAGTAGTACAGGTGGTTCCATTGAGAAAAAGAATTAGAGTGTAACTACAGTAGTATCTTTCTAAAGAAGAAGTTATGGACTATCACACAAAGGAGCCAAGGAACGTTTATTCCGAAGTGCCTCACTGGCGGAAAATCTGTAAAAATTGTCGATCCGTCAAACCCCGCAAACGTGGTTGACCAAGGAATTCTTACAATGTTTATTTTGGAAGTATACTAGGATAATAAGGGCATTAAAGAACAAAATTGAATTATCCGTGGTAAATATTGTGTTTCGGAATTTTGTACTTGCCCTTTGTCAATGATTAGTTTATGTGAAAGATCAGTTTGATATGTCATTACTTTCAATCTTAGGCATTGTGGCTTTGGTCCAGGCATGGCCATCGCCTAGCCAATATTCTCCCAGACACCAGTTTAATTGGGAGTCTACTAAATATTTGTTAGTATACACTTCTCAAATATGCTATTGGTTCTTTACCACTCTCTCATACATATCAGAATTGCGTTCGGGGATTCGTACACCTATGTTCAAGGTACCAAAGGCTATCCGGGATTTAGCTTTATTGGCAGTTACTTGCCTAGTCAGTTTGCTATCACCGCCCACGAACTTTGGCATGATCAGATCGTGCAGAACTTTAGCGGGACGGCCGAAGGTGGGCCTAATTGGGTGGAGTTCTTGACAGGATGTGGTCTCCAACCCGGCCTTACATCCCCCAAATCTTGCGAAATACAACTATGGGACTTTGCTTTCGCCGGCGCAGATGTTTCAGAGAAGTTGTAGGTTCGCTGTACTGCATGGATCTCCAGAGTCTTTCTATTTCTAATATTATTTATGATTTCTCCCGCGTACAGCACCCCGCTCCATCATAACTGGACGATTCCACTTGTAAATCAGACACAGCGTTTCTTGTCCTGGGTCCAGCCAGAATTCCAAAAGAAAAATGCAATCAGCCAGAAAGATACTTTGCTGGCTCTATGGATTGGAATCAATGACATTGGAGACGTAAGCAGGTTATCAAATGTGTCATTTCCCAGCTTATACGAATCTATCGTCTCGACCATTTTCAACGAGAGCGTACAACCTCTCTTCGATGGCGGATATCGGGACCTTTTATTAATCAATCTACCTCCTTTAGACAGAACGCCAGGGAATGTGGGGAGCTCAAATCCGCTCCCTAACAAAACGATGATAGGATGGTGGAATGATGCATTGTCTCATTATAGTCGAGATTTTGTTTCTCGCCACCAGGACATGAACATAATGAATTACGATGCTAATTCCTTTCTAAATTTTGTTCTTGAAAACCCAGAGGCTTATGACATTCGAAACACAACTGGATACTGCCCCGGCTATACTGATCCAGACGTCATGGTCGATCCTGGAAAATATGGCTGTCTTCCGATTGATCAATACTTCTGGTTCAATACTGGGCATTTGTGAGTCCCTGTAATTTCTTTTGACCAAATGATCCTATAGACTGACTATTTCCCAGGACAAGTCACATACATCACATCTTGAGTCAAGACATCGGAAAGTTTTTGCGCCAGCAAAGAAGTAATAAAGGCACTTCGGGTAAATTATACAAGTTTCCTGGATTATGAGTTAGAATATATTCTCGTAAGAACCTGGCTCTCTTTTTTTCATGCAATAATCAATCAGGAGCCAAGAAAATCTTCTCACCAGGCATAGTCGATTATAATTAGCTCACCATGCTATACAACATACGATAGCTCATGTATATCTTTACTTCTAAAAGTCTGTCGACACATTTGCTTTTTGCGCTTCAGTGGCGGACGTCCAGACCTCCAGACATATATTGTAAACTTGCTTTGACTATCTCCATCACAATCTCAATTTCCTTTGTATTTCTGGGTGCATAAATAAGCATGTAGCTCCCTGGTAATGCTATTTTACCACGCGTTACCATCGCCACGAGTTTTGCCCCTGAAAAAGCATGTCTCTGACCCCAGCCAGCGTCAATAACCTTTTTGGCATCTGCGGGGGACAATAACAGATGGAGCGAGTGGTCACTCGTACCATGAACATGAGCGACTTCGCCTCGCACTGCTAGGGCTTCCGGCGGCCGCGACGACAATGGAACGCCATGTTCAGTAAGCCACATTGCATCAGTGTGTGTTTCATAGAACGAGGTAGCCATTTTGACTAAGTTGGCATTTTTAGCCGCGAACATATCAAAAGCTTCTCTTAGTTTCTATTATGGGTGTCAACCTTGCTATAGACCATAGCCCAGCACAAATGAGGGGTTTCGAGAAGACAGACCTGCTTAGTATCCTCATCTGGTAAGTGGCTCATTTGTCTTTGCGGAATTGCATGAGGCCCGACCTGTGGAGTCCCCCCTTTACGTTGTGATAGCTCCTCCTCAGGGAAAATATAAGTTACCGTTTCCCCGGCGTTGATCTTGTCTTGATATTCCCTGGTATCGAACATCTCCCGTCCAAAAGGAGTCGCTATGAACCTGGAGCGTAGCCATCCAAGGGCGTTGTGAGGGACTCCACCGGGGCCATATGACATGAAAAGTTGATAGTCTCTGTAGGCAGGGATAATGGATGCTAGGAGACAGATTGAAATAGCAGGTATAAGAATATTAGAGACCATTTTCAATGAACTATATCACTTCCAGTTGCATTCTTGATTCACGAGATCCGTATTGAATGAAGGCTTGCATCAGGGAATTTTCAAAATCAATAGGGCCTAGTGGACCGTTAAGTATAAGGAACGAGTTGCCTGTATGCATTAACCTAGTCCTTTACGATTTAGAGTATGTCACGGAGGACCGCCGGGATTCGGGAGCTTGGATGGCTAGCTGAAGACACCGAAGAGGGTCGATGATTGGATTCTGGTTCGATTATCTGGTCTCTGCTCAACCTATCGAAAGATAATGTGGGGCAAACCCGTCTTCGTTGTCAGACCTCACTTATATCTATATGCAGCTATCCTACGTCTGGGCCAAGTATGCCTATTAAAGCATAACGTCCGTAGATCAAAATGGTGACAGAAGTGGCACGTAATGCCTAGTTTTGCAGGAGCTCGGGTCTTCGGACAGTTCGGCCGCCGAAGGTTATGCGACGTAACGATAACAACTTCAACTTGGTGCCTGCAAGCCGCCGACGATCTTCCTGCGGGATTCAGCTGACAGCTATCCGACGAAGATCATGACGATCCAAGACAACGAGCTATACTGCCTATTCGAATTTTGGCTATTGACAAAAATGGAAATCTGCAATCTAGACTGTCATTATCCTGTACTGTGGTATTCCATATCGGAGTATCAGCGACCTGATTCTAGACTGTACTTCATCCGCAATCCATAAACGATCAACATTGACACGGATGTCCGATAGTTCACAATTCCACTATCGTCCGGACTTTTATCGACCGAAATTCTGATTTAATCAATCTCTTAAAATAGCATAATGTCTCCGGTCAAGTTATCCCAACAAGCGAGATTTGGAGTGGGAAAAAATGAAAGGCATTTTTACAGAGGATCAGATAGCATTTGAAATTACCCCGCGATTTAAAAAGGCATATTTTTCCGTAGGTAGTGGCGCTACATAGCCGGGAACCGAACCTATAATAACTCTACTGTCTCTAATATCTATAAATACGAGACTTCGAAGTACGTATATATGTCAGATTTATAACCCAAAATGACAACCTTCCCACAAGTTCTATGCATTAGTTCAGACTATGTCAAATGAAATATTTCTGTTTATACTACACCGTCCGCGCTTCCTTTCAGGACCAGATTCATACTCCTTGTGAAAACATGATTGATTCCCGTATAGTTTTCGAGTCTTCTTTCCGCAGGGTTGTTAATGGAATGGTCGAATGCGATGATCCTGCCGAACTCAGCCGGCTTGCCCGTTCCTTTTTGCTATTAACTCTCTTTTTAATAAAGATGTATAATGTGGTTCCAAGCGCAACAGCACTCAGTAAGCTGAATATAACGATTGCTCGTATCTCACCAGCGTGGTTCCATGCAGCTAACTCTGCATTTGTAGAACTGGTTGTGCCGGAGGAGCTAGAAGTGGTGGATACTGTAGTCTTTGAAACTGATACTGTCGAAGTTGCGGTAAAACTGGTAGTAGAAACCCCCGTGGAAGAAGTGAGGGAGGAGGTTGAAGTGCTGGTTGTTGCACTTGTTGCCGTGGTGGTAGTAGACGCGGTAATAGTAGACGTGGAATCTTTAGTTGCAGAGAATGCAGATGTGGTGGTGGACGAGGTATCCACAGTAGAAACAGCAGTAGTAGCATCTGACGCAGTAGAGGTTGTTCCACTAGCGGTTGATGTAGTATCACGCCCATGAAGCTGGTGAACAGCCCTTACTTGGCCGTCTCCAAGCGTGACACGGCTGGAATAACTAGCGTCCGCGATAAGTTGTGTGAAATATGGGGGACTCTTATGTGCTGGTTTTGAGATGTCCATTTGATGAGGATAAGTGGTTATGACCGAGAGGGTTGCTGGGATCATGTACAAGGTTTGTCTTTTTCACGGCTCATGCAATTTTCGACGGAAAGAGAAGATTGGGGGGAGGCACTTTCTAGCAATAGATCTATCGCCTATGTCTTCTAGATCCTTTGACATATACTGTCTTTTGGCTAGAATATAAATATTCATAAATTCACTCTAGTACAGTCGTATGGGCGTGGTCTTCAACCCGAAAAAAAGAGACCCTAACAGGATCTCCATACCATGCTTTATTTAATTCTTCCTGGGTATATCTTTCAAGTGATAGGATTTCATACCTCGAAACTGCCACGTGGATTGGCTGTCGTGGCTGAGATTTTTTGCGTCATTCATGAGGTGGCCTTGGTGGAAACAACCTTGGCACTGCATATTTTCGAATTACAGCAATAGCTGTGTTCGGCATGTTTCGCATCGAGTTACCACAATGCCATAATAAGAGCATTAAATTTCAGTCTTGGTAGTGGATGCGACGTTTCCTAAATTGACGACTTTGTCTGATGGTCAAAGCTATCGAGCACATATTTTACCTAGTTAGTCCATTTGTTTATTTTAAATTCAAAAGGAAAAAGAGGATCAAAACCAAGCCGCGTAGACGCGTCAGATCATTACGTAGATAAGAACGTCACTAGCCGCTTTTGGAATCTGTGACTGATAAATTTTTATATCGATCATGGCAATTTAATTAACGTATATACATTAACGTATATACTATATAGACTCATTTTAGGTTGCTACCACAGGTTCTTATATTTCAATAATATATTCGTAATATTTAAATAACTGCTGATACCACCTTCCATAGAGTGTTCCCTACTTCTACGCTCTCCATATGTAATATGACCCACCCACCAGCACTAGCATCTAGATTCCAGCAGAATTTTACGGTATATAGACCTCTAGATTTATACCCGTATTATATTCATATCTGCAAAATATTATGGCCACAAAGAGTATATGGAAACGGCCCAAATACAATCATCCAGTGTTGAAAATTGACACAAGTTCAATGTTGACCATCATGCAAGTGTGTGGCTTTTTGTCACTTGTAGAAAGTTCGGCTGTTTTTCATTAAGTCTAATTTCAGTGCGTGCAGGGACGCGATTATCCTTGGGGTACCCGTCGGATCTAACATGAATGCTACAAACCTTCCAAATACACACTAATCAGCTTTCGTATCGTCCTTGGCGGATGCATCGGCGGGACTGTCATGTCCGCTCGGGATTGGGTGTGTAAAGATACTTTGCCCCTCAGTGATTTGCCCACTCTCCAATGCGGTTCCGTGTAGACTGAGGTGACTTCTTTCGCCTTCAAAGAATAACGCATAGGCTTCTTCGCCATGAACGGCGTCATCGCCGACAAGGAGATGCTCTTCCTTCATGCGAAGGGGAATACGTAGAACGTATTGAATAAATAGACATATGACACTGGTCATGAATAGGTTGAGACCTATTATGAATAAGGCACCGACTATCTGTAGCCAGACCTGTTTTCCGTTTCCATCAATTGCACCACCGGGGTTAGTTAAACCAAACGCCGCACATCCTTCGACGGTGGCGAAAAGACCGGTTAGAAACCCTCCTAGAGCGCCAGCCACCATGTGTGTGTGTACAGTTCCCACTAGATTGATGATTAGAATACTTGCAGAATTCGGGGAATATATGACAGATGCACTGACTAACGTCATCCACCTTTTTCATCCACTCCATTCTTCCGAGAATATTCATCGATATCCAAGGGATGGATCCAGAGCAAGCACCGATAACAATGGCACCCCAACCGGTAACAAAACCAGCTGCAGGTGTTATCGCAACCAGACCGGTGATCTCGCCCTGCACGGCACCAATAACAGATGGCTTCTTGAAAAATATGAAATCGAGAATAGTCCAGACCAGGAGACTCATCGCGGTACAGATATTAGTGTTGAGCACTGCTACTCCAGCATCAGGACTAGCAGCGTACGGATCTCCACCGTTAAAGCCATTCCAGCACACCCAGAGGATGCCAGCCCCGACAAGCATGAGCAAGATGTTGTTAGGATAAAAGGAATCTTTGTCCTTTTGCAAGCGCGGGCCCACCCAGTACGCGGCCACGAAACCTTTCCATTAAACAATATCAGCTGTTGACGAGGGTGAGAGGGAGATGGAAGAGATGTGGGGGGTGGAGAAAGGAGTGAAAGGTGAGAAATTATTGTATAATTACCAGCCGTTCCAGAGCTCAAGTGGATGACGTATCCGCCTGAGTAGTCGAGGACACCCATTTGAGTTAGAAATCCTCCGCCCCAAACGCTTCATAAAGATTAATGTTAGCTGATAAAAGGTTACGGAGGCTATAGCAAATAGAACAATGTACCTGAAAGCTCCAACAGTATAGCTAAACGTTATCCATAACGGAACGAAAACCATCCATGCCACGAAGTTCATTCTTCCTAAGAGAGAGCCACCAAGGATTATAACTGTGATTGCGGCAAAAACGAATTGGAAGTAAACCATAGTAGACAGGTTATAATTCGGAGATAGATTAGCAGCTGGTAAGGTAGCTCGGGCTAGATTTTGCTGCATCGTCAAGACAGGACCGGGTGTTCCTACTAAGGGAAATGCGCCCCATTGCTCCCCAAAGCCCATCTTATATGCCCAGATGACCCAGCAAATTAACGTCGCGGCAAAGGCATAGAAAACCTGCAGCTTTTCAGGAAGAGACCCCGTTGTATGTCAGATGAGAGAGGTATACCATGAATGCGGAATTTATAGCCCATTTTCTGTGAGATATTAGCAATGCGTCTGGGCCCAGTGGAGATGGAACTAACTTTTTTACGAAGCCAGCATATAGGATCGCCAGGCCCGGGATGGATTGAAGCGCGACCAGCGTCCCAGCAGTGAGCTGCCATGCCTGGTCGCCTTTGTCCAGCCAGCTTCAATGGAATTCTTTAGCCAAAAAGAAGACAACCCGTGCATAGAACCTTACGCTGGATTTGGATTGGTTAAATCAGACGCAGACATCGATAATACAAGCGTTATACGAGAGGGTTATGGTGAAGAGGAACATAGAAATTGAAGCAAAAGAGATAGGAATAGGTGATGTGGAGGGAGGCTGATAGCTTGTATTAAAGGAATGACTATCAGTGACCCGTCATGCTCGTAATGGATGGAAGGTAACCCGAACCAGATATTATTTAACAAAGGCGCTCTTGCAGATAGCTGGTCTGCGCACGAGGCGTGTTGTCAAGCAACTAGACCGCAATAATAACCGAAGGGATTTGGCTTCGACGCCCACGTGTTGTCGTACACCAGCAAGCTCAGATCGATCGCCGCAAGCATTAATATTACCATTTCGCGTTGGCTAGTGTTCAGAAGCAGGAGATAAGGGACGCAGGTCCAATAAAAGCGCGAGCTAGCAGCATCCAGACAGAGGCACGACATGATAACATCGAAAATCTAATGGGATTACGTGAAAACGCTTCCAGCGACACTGGTGGACCAGTCGCAGAGGAACCAGCTATCGCCCTCACGCCTCAAGGCATCATTGACGCCTGCACGCCAGGGGAAATGAAAGCTCCGGAGCGTAGCGTGAACTGCTATCCCCAGACTTGGCGAATGAGTAGAGTTGTCGTTTCCACGGGGCCCACTACGACGAAAGCTTGATTCGACCTAGAACCGAGTGCATGCCCAATGGCGCTGCAGGTAGATAAGAGCATTTTTATTAATATTGTCATCCTGGAATATTAAATAGTATTAAATACGCACTAGTAAAATGATCCGAGTGCTATAGCCTATTAGCATAGATCAAGCTTGGGCCTGCAGTGCGTTGTGTCCACAAGCCAATGACGGGAGGTTGGCTTATCTGTATCGCCATGCGGAGAATGCGTGGTGATCTCATTCCGTTCCTCTCATCATTATTTCCTCTGCATGGCCAGACCCCGCCATTATTATTGTGATGGGAGTCGCGCATGGCATCGCCCCTGCTTGGTGTAGTGCTTGTTACTATGGGAGGGTGAATGACTGCTGGTCACACCGACCGTCATGATGCCAGCCCAGCTATTGGTCGAATCATTGAATGCTGATTCAAACGGCGTGATGGGGGACAGACCCTGATGTGTTGTGCCGCGTTGTGGTATTAAGGACAGTCCAAGGCCGGGCGGCAATAGCCTGGATAAACAACTGTGTGCGTGCTGTGGGAAGAGATATGGGTTTGAGACAACAGTCGGCGATTTAATTAATACTGATTTAGTGGGTGTCTATGACTGCCGACACTGAATATAATTATTTATATGGTTATCGAGTTCATTATCTCGATCCCATACCCCAAAGCACCCCCAAAGCTTGGCTTTTCTGGGCATGCTTGGCTTCTGGAGACGCGCCTCTTGGCGAAAGTTGAAGGAAGAGGATGACCCTGCCAAACACATCCTGCTACCCAAGGACGAAGTACAATACGTGCATGTTGGCTTCGGAATTGGGGGTGCTGGTAATATCCGCAGGTAGGGCGAATTCTTGATTCACTGCAATATTTGCACTATAATTGCGACTGACAGCGAAAATGCAGGGTACCTATGCACAATGGACAGATCGTTCGCAATGAACTGATTCCTAATGCTTAGTGTTGTATTCATATGCTGGGGCGAATGCAATTAATTCAGTATCGTTAATTGGCTAGGCGAACCTATCTTTAATACACCACGTCGCGCTTCGAGATGTTAATTTTTAATATTCCCACGGGACGAGGATGGCAATACAGTGGTTCTTTCTTATATTCACAATCAATCGATTTTTGACTGTTGCATATTGTTAATTACCGTGGAATCTCGTTGTTAGGCCATTTCTTTTTCTTGGCTTACAAAGCGTCACCTAATTAATTTCAACAAAATCCAGGATATTACCATGCGGATGGTGTCCACCACCGAACCAAATCCCAAGTTGCGGTCGCGGTGAAGCCGAAAAGCTGACTTAGCCCCACCACTTATTAGTTATTTATTATTTGATTGAAATTAATCATTACACCGGGCAGTTGGTGGGCCTATTGACGTCAAGTGCCAGTAACGTGCAGATTCTCAGTGTTCCAACCAGCAAAAGAATATGCAAATCCCCCCTCACTGACGTAATTGAAGCCTCCCTCTTCCCCAGTTTCTTTAAACACTTTCTCCCCCCGCGCGGCCCATGAATCGCCTGCGTTCAGATTGATCTATACAAAAGGTTTTTTTTTTTAAAAAAAAAAAAAGGGAATTGATCTTGAAGACAGCATAATCTCTTAAAAAAATATTTTCGTTGAAAATAGAGCGAGTCACCATCATGGCTGGCAATAGGTTCCCCGTCGATCTCGAGCAATTCAAAAAGCTGAAGCTCGACTACAACACCCCCAAGCTCACGCCAGAGCAGAAGAAGGATCTTCAAAACAATATTGACATTTTCAGAGATGCAATCGTTGCATTCACTGCCACCGGTGCTGCTCGAGGAGTGTCGGGCCATACGGGCGGTCCATTCGACACTGCGCCAGAAGTCTGCGTACTGCTGGGGTTTATCAATGCGAAGCCAGAAGCGTTCGTCGATGCATTCTTCGACGAGGCTGGTCACAGAGTAGCCACCCAATATCTGCTGGCCACATTGGCCGGGAAAATAAACCCGGAGCACCTGCTTAATTATCGGGACGCCAATTCGAAGCTTCCTGGTCACCCTGAGTTGGGCTTGACACCAGGCGTTAAATTCAGCTCGGGGCGCCTTGGACATATGTGGGCAATGGTGAACGGAATCTCCATGGCCAATAAGGACAAGAACGTGGTTTTGCTAGGCTCGGATGGATCCCAACAAGAAGGCAATGACGCTGAGGCCGCACGCATTGCTGTTGCGAACAATTTAAATGTGAAGTTGTTTATTGACAACAATGATGTGACCATTGCTGGACATCCCTCACAGTACCTCAAAGGTTACGATATTGCGAAGACACTCGAAGGACACGGACTTAAGGTTATCAAGGCCCAGGGGGAAGACTTGGACTCTCTCTATGGTGCCATGTGCCAGGTCTTTACCAGCAAAGGCCCTGCAGCCGTAGTCATAAACCGGAATATGGCACCCGGTATCGATGAACTTGAAGGGAAGATCCACGCCCACGACGTGGTAACAGTTGACATCGCGCGAAAATATCTCACCAAGCGAGGCTACAGTAAGGAAGCCCTGTCATTTTATGATGATATAAAAGGTCGCTCCAACCCACATCAGTATGTGGGCTCGTCAAAGGAAAAGGGAGCAAATCGTGCTATCTTTGGTGAAGCTGTGAACTCTGTCCTTGATGGATTGAGCAAAGAGGAAGCCGCCTCCCGTGTCATGGTAATCGACTCTGATCTAGCAGGCTCGACGGGACTGAAAGCCATCGCATTAAAACATCCCGAGGTTTTTGTTGCCTCTGGTGTCATGGAGCGTGGTAACTTTTCTGCCGCAGCCGGCTTTGGGTTTGGTAGCGATGGTTCCCGCCAAGGAATATTCTCTACATTTTCTGCCTTCTTGGAAATGTGCATCTCTGAGATTACGATGGCTCGTTTGAATGACTGTAGTGTACTATCCCACTTCTCCCACAGCGGCGTCGACGAGATGGCCGACAACACTTGCCACTTTGGTTTGAACCACTTTTTCGCGGATAACGGCCTATTAGATGCCGAGAACACAGCTCTTTATTTTCCCGCTGACGGCGAGCAAATGAAGGCCGTTGTGAAGAAAGTCTTCTGGGACAAAGGACTACGATTTATTTTTTCGACTCGCTCCAAAGTACCATATATCCTCAAGGAGTCCAGCGACGAGAAACTTTACGGGGGTAACTATGAATTCGTTCCCGGAAAAGAGGATATAATCCGTCGTGGTTCTGCTGGTTACATTGTCTCGTATGGGGATATGCTTTATCGTTCCCTTGACGCAGTGGAAAATCTCCGTCAACAAGGCCTCGACGTGGGTCTTGTTAATAAACCGACGCTTAATGTTGTCGATGAAGATGCCATCAAAATTTACGGATCAACCGGGTTTGTCGTCGTCGTCGAGTCTATTGCTCAAAAGACGGGTCTTGGTTCTCGCTTAGGGAGCCATTTACTTGAACGCAAGCTCACACCTAAGTACAAGACAATTGGTGCAATCAAAGAAGGATGTGGAGGTTTGTACGAGCAAATTAACGCGCAGGGACTCGGGCCGGAGGATATCATCACAGCTGTTAAGGAAGTCGCATCAAATTAAAGCAAGATAGCAAACCACGAAGAAGCTGCCATAGTTTTAAGTAATGAACAAGAATTTATGTAAATTTGCCATTACACCAAACTTTGATGTATGAAATATGGTTATTAAAATTTCGAATTCAAACTAAAATATTACTATTGCACTTGTTCCACGCTCCTTTCACTGTGATGATATACAGGCTGTTTCGCACAGGTACACCCAAAGCCAATAAGTTGCTTGATATATATTCATGGCTCCTCAGTACACGACGACAAAATCAGGACCCGAATGGGGATTTGCAAGTAAAGGAGGTGGTGACACCAGAGGCGAAACTCGATTTGTAACTTTCAATGGCTGAGTAGGCACCCAATCCCGCACACGCCAAGGCCCCCAAGACATAAAATACATGAATCACGTTCAAATACCAGCGGTTGGAGAAGAAGTATCGTAGATAATCATTGAAGCTTAACTTGTCGGCACTAGCACTCGTAGCAGGATCGAAGGACCCTCTATCGGCAATGGCTGCCCGTTTAACCTTGTAAGCAATATGCAACAATGGAGGGAAGGTGTAGGTGAACTGTAGGATACAAAAGGCTGCGACAACGACGGTGAGAGCCGAGAAGTTGGGAATTGCAGCTCCGATGACGAAGGCAATTGACCAATATATTGGGATAAAACCGATCCAAAGGATCTTGCCGCTTGTTTTCGTCAACGGTGGGAGGTTAAATATTTCAACGAAGACGTTGTTGTACAAAACTAGTAGCACCGTCAGTTTTGTGAGCAGAATACTAGCAACCTTTTACTGCAGTCTTTCTAACCTTTCAAGCCAATGTTACCATAGAGGGCAGCGGCAATAGCTGCGCTGAGCATAGCCAAGACATTTCCAGCGGTGGAAATTCCGTATGAGGCAATACCAAGATAAGAGGGATTAGCAACATACTGTCCTTGATATCCATACATGAAAAGGCCGTAGAACATGTAGCTGTATAGAACAGAAAGTTAGCGGCGTGGAGATCAAGGCGGATGTCACTACGAGTATAAAGTAGTAAATAAGGGTCACATACACGAAATAGATAAAGGCCTGAGAAGCCCACATGGCCCAGAGGAAGTCCTTCGGCTTTCTCATTTCAGCCATAAACTCAGGAAAGACCATAGAACCACCATATGAGAAAACGGCATTCATCACACCACCAACAGCACCAACGAAACCAGTCGGTGACGCGGGGATTCCACCCGAAGACTGCATTGGTGGATAGGTACCATTTACAGGGGTAACCAAAGCTGGGTCAATGCTAATACCAGCAGAACTGTCGACGGAGCCATAATTAGGTCCATATTTGCCGGCACCAATCATTGAGACGAGCATACACAGGATGTTGATCCAAACAGCGGCATTGGCAAGCCACCCGAATTTCTGCAAGGTTCGAACTTGGCCAGAAAAGTAGCCGACTAAAGCCCAGACAAGACAACAGACGATGTAGCAGAGTTTCTCCTTGCTAGCTTGCGACAATGCACCGCCATTGCTCATGGTGATCAGACCGACATTGAGTAAAAGTTGAATGCCCTGCAGGATACTAAATCCGAAACGCATGTATTTACCGTACAGACGAAATCCAAGATCGCCAAAGCTTCGTACGGGAAACTGGTAGGAATCCAAGCCCAAGAAGATGTCCCACAGAAGATAACCCGAGTAGCCAGCCAAGGCAGCGAAAACAGTATAGAGCGCAACACCGGGTCTGGATCACTCGTCAGTTGCAGAAACGGATTTAACAATACTAATGGGCAGGGAAGGAGACATACCCCCATCCGACAGTTGCAATGGCATATGGAAGGGCAAAAGGCCCCAAAATATCGGTTGTAATCAGGTAAAAGGCGGTTCCTTGAGTGGCTGTCCGCAATGCTCGCGAGGCCTGAGCCCACTCATCGTCGGACACTACTGCCCGTTGTACCAAGTCGCCAGTGACATGCACTTTGCTTACATCCTCAGAGCCATGGCCAGCGCCAGGCCCAGATTTGGAGGGGAAGAGAAGGCCTATTAATCCTGTCTTCCCAGCAGGCGGCTGGGTATCTTCTTCTGCGCGAGTCTGCTGAGCGTAATGGTAGTACTCGGCGAAAGAAACGTCTGGGTCGTGGATCAAACGTTGCTGAGGACGGATGAGCCCATCCAGGTTTTGGCCCTGAGCAAGAAATTCTTTTTCTCTCTCATGTTCCAATTTCTCGACAATCTGGCGCTCCTCAGTATGCAACCGAGGATCGCCAGATTCGCCCTGCATCAGACTGCTGGGTTGTGCCATGATCGATATTTCGATATTCACCAGTTGAGAGAATTGATCAACACAAAGTCCTTGACCTGGCCTGGCGAAACGAAACTAGCTTGTACATGCAGTACGCGGAGAAAACAAAGCAATGTCGCGCGCAAGTAGCGAGGAAAGGGCACGGGAGGACGGCACGGTTGATAAATAAGTACGTGAAAACAAATCATCCCTTATGGGGAGGGAGGGATTATATTAGCTGCATGACGATTCTGGTTAGAGCACGGTGTCATGACTAGCGCCGATGCTGTTATCACTGCGATGCTTCATTTGATTGATTGTCGATTGAAATTGTTGGTACTTGCGCGTGGCGCTACGGTTATTATTCGCCGTCCCAGCGTTGGGATTCATTTCTTCATCAATAGTTACTACTGTGAGAGGGTACCGATGTAACGTCCGTGTGTGGCAGCACGACGCCGTTCGTGGATCAGAATCATAAGGTGGAGCGTGTTACAGCGCGTCACATGTTCGCGGCTGGGGAGGGGAGATACTGAAAGCGATATCCACATTCCTCGTGGCACACGTTTTTCCATCGCAGCTTCTATGAGTCTGGGCTGACCACCTCCTCGGGGTAGAATTAGTTCTGATGAATCATTTGTGATGAAATTGTCGCGAAAGTCGTACTCCCACACATTACTCCTCATCCTCCTCGTTGCACGCTCTTCTAGCAGTCCGCCCAAGAATTTCGGAAAAACAAGTCGCTAGCAAGGCGAAAGCCCTCAGCTGGGGTTCCAAAACCACCTTCTAGAAGAAGCTTAACCTCGTGTATTTATGAGACGCTGATTGGCGGCCCCAGTGAGACATATATTTATACGGGTCGAAGACCCAGAGGACTCGTAAACCATTAGCTGCTCAGTCTCCTCAATTGCAACGCCTCCAATTTGATAGCCCCGGCCAGCACCGATCAGCTTCCTGATCTAGCTAGGCTAGCCTCTACTAGACCCATAAGCAGCCATCCCCTGTGTCTCAAGAGCACGCGTATGACTGCGATGATTCGACCGCGAGGCAAATAGCGTCGCCCACTCAGCCAGTCCCGAGGCCAATCCGAGGCCAATCCGACCCACATAGAGAGCTTATGTCGGACAAGACTTTTAAGTTCATAGAGGCTAAGCCGGCTGCGCACGGCTATCGTTGACTTGCCCAATCGGCGGGTTCCGATAGCGAAAACAGCGCGAGACTGCAACGCCTCCTTTCTATAGAGCGAAGCTTAGCTAAGGCATTGCAACCCTTGTAACCTTCCCGAGTCAAAGAAATTAAAGAAACCATTAGGGCTTCTCCGAACCAATAATAAGCAGCCTATACGCCAATAACACGTTTCGCGGCCCACTATCGTGCAATCTGCCAGTTCCTGTGCTCGGCTATGCGGATAGCGTCGGGACAGTGTCCTATATTGGTGTTGAAGCAGCTAACCCATGGATATCAAATTATCAATTGGGAGATGTATTCGTAAATAGTGACAGAAAAACAAGATCAAAGAGAGAATGTAAAGGCCTACCTTTCAATATATAAATACTTGTGCAAGACGGCAGCAAGTCATTTGCAGCCACTGTCAGTTGTGAATATAGCGGACACCACTTGTAGCGACTACCTTGAAATATTAGGCTATACTATCGCGACTGGGAACTATATGTATTAGACGCTCTCTGCTCACTGAAGATCAAATCCTATACGCACTTGAATACACCAACGCGAGCTTTGAAAATACTCTCAGGACCGAAACACGATGGCTGTTGACAATATGTGGGAATAAAAATTTATCCCAGAAACGAAGAGGGAGCCTTGAACATGCATCTGGGGAGATTAGAAACAAGGAAGCCATATCTATACGTGATCGGTGGAACCAGCATCATTTAAATTCTGAATTATACATACCTACTTCATCCTGCCAGAATATATGTGATAAGCAAATAACTGTTAAGGGTCAGCTTTGTTTTTTAATTTATCACATCAGATTGTATTACTCGCGGCAACGGATAATCCTCGACAGTATACTATTATATTTCCTCACAATATAAATTATTCTGTGACACATGATTTAAATCTTGAGGTATTTTAAAATTGGTATATAAAGTACGAGCAGCTATGGCTACAATATGGGACAACACGGGCCTCGGTAACCGTTGTTCACATGCCCAACGACTACTAAATTAATAACATTTCTACCAATGACATATTGCTCAAGTCACTAAAGTGTCCTGATTTGAAAATATTGCAATTTTGTCAACATTTTTAAATTTGAAAAATTACAAATACGCGTGCTAACGTGCCTTGCTGTCTCGCTGCCTTCCTGTCTCACCTGTCTGAGCGTGTCAAGTAGAGTAGGGGGTAAATGCGCACCTAGTTATATCTATATATAAAAGGGCATGTGAGGATGTATAGGGAGAATACATGTGCGCATAGGTAAACAAGTTAGATCACTGCTTGCAACCGTTGCACAACGTTGCTCAACGTTGCTCGACAGTTTCCACACTGCAATGGTTGTACGACAGTGTCCGAGCAGTTTCTGTTTCCCGCATCTGCTCGTATTATACTGCGATTTTTAATCCATGAACTGTAAAGACATAGGACTTTGATAAATAGTATAGCAGGATGCTATGTGGTAAGCCTGTTTACAGACCACAAAAAGTAACTTATTACTTCAATCGGAACTATATCGTTTGAAAGAACAAAAAGAATATATTTCTTCATATTAAAGATAAACATGGAGCATAAACATTTAAAACGAACTTTTCGCTTGCCTATTTAACACCAACTTCAATAAAGAATAGATTTTTTTTGGCAGAGCCTTTGAAAGGGATTAGAACTTGCAGCTATTCTGGTACAGATATGTCCCATAGTGGTTGATTTTTAATATGTTTGGAGTTTTGTATGGAACTGTGGTTTTAACAATCTGGGGTTACATGTATTTAGAGTCATATTCACTTCGTTATAAAGATCATGCGGAGCTTTTGAGACCTACCTAAATATGTGTCTAACACAATGGTCAGGTGGCGATAAATTATCCGACGACCTGTAAAACGTCAATTATCAAGACAATAAAGGCGGTTGGAGGACTAGGAAATGTTTTCTATAAGAAGCCTACGCTCCGATATCATGTAATTGTATTTAAAACCAGTTACATACGATTCCAAGAGCATGCGTTCTAGAACATCAACAAGAATACATCGAACTACATTGCCGGCTAATGATGAACACTAAATACAAACCGAGAATCTTTGCTGCGTCGGTTGAGAATTACCCGGAATACCAACGCTTCGAAGATATCACGGATGTCCAACACCTCAACTAGATTTCAAAGCACGATTCGCGGCGAGGATAACCCTAATTTTACAAACAACGCCAACTGATGAGCGTGGCATCAATTCGAAGTCCATATATCACCAGCCCCATTATAAATGCGTTAATCCATCTCTCTCACACTACCTGGCTGCGCTGAATATCAACTGGAATTACTTGCAATATAAATAAACCTTTGATTGATGCATACCGAAAACAAACGGTATAACATTAACAGATTGGATACCATCCGCATAAAAACTAGGCTTGAAGACTCACTTCAAACTACCAATAGTATCCATTTCCCACTGACGAAACAGTTTTAGCTCCTTGTCAATGAACTATGTCTAAGCATATTACCTAAGCTACACCGTGGTATAATATAATTAGTATATCATGTCCAAAAATCGTTAAATTTGACGGAACGGGGAATTATTTTGGTATCTTTGATTGATAGGGCAAGAGGGAGGTCCCAGCATGTTACAGGATATCATCAATAGCTCATTTAGTAATAAGGCTAGTGTTATTATCGGGAATTATTATCGAATCAACCCATAATCGTGGTAATAATCGATATGTAGAGAGAGATATTGATAGAAAGAGTGTATGTATGGGTGAGTGAGTAATTGGGAATTAGAAAGGAAGCATCGAAGTATGAGGCTTGTCAGGGCCACACGGAATTATGGATGCTATTGCGCCACCCCAGTTAAATAAAAATATTATTAGTCTGAATCTGATAGTAGGAACATCTAGCGCCGGGTTAGAGCTAAAAATAAGGCATTCGAACCAATTCCCTTTGTCCGTATCTCGATACAGTAGCTACCGGGTAAACAGAGTAAGTTTTACCGTCTAAGTACTACCTGGGGCTGGAAATGGCTTGGGCTTGGCCTTAGACAATATCTCCAATCAGTTCTAATGCAGCGCGGTGTTTTCACTAATTGGAAGTAGTGGATATAGCCAATCAAGCATTACTAGTAATTATTCAAATGTCCTTTCGCAACTAGACTGCCACATTGCATTATATAGCGAAGCACATCCTTGCCGGCTACGTATATATGAATATCATCCGGATTTTGATCGAAGCTGCCAGGACGCCGAGAATTGATCGACATAACTAGGGAGAGCAGCATCAGGCTAGTAGAGAGCCGAATGTTTTCCATGAGGTCCAGTCGGACTGATGAAACTATGTTAGCGGTGTTTATGAAAGCAAGCAGCGCCCACTAGACCTAGAGAGAGAAAATAACATATCTAGGAGGCCATAGGACCCTAATTAAATCAATATTCGCAGAGTGGATCGTGCTGATTTAAGACAAATGTTATTGAATCCCTCCAAATCTTTTTGGGATGCACTTGATTCTTTGTTCGAGTATATGTACGCTATCTACTTGAGAAGTACCGGACTCGGTAAGAGGATCAAACACTGTTATAACCATCAGCAAGCTAGACCAGTCATAACCATCGAGTGATACGGTGACATGCCTGATTGAATTGTAAAAATAAATTGGCCAGAGATCGCATGCAAGGTAGTGACTTTGTCGGCTCGAGCATGTTATCCTCCGTCTCTAAAGCCGTATGAGCCAGCAGACCCGCCATCCACGCATCCAGCTTTCGCAACATTGGTCGACGGATGGTCTCAATATCACGTATGTCATCACCTCCAAACTGGCCAACATTCTCCGACACATTGGCCTGAATAACGGTAAGCTGGATACGAGCCGTAGGTCGTCAGGGTCGGCAAACTCGTCTACACCGTCCAACAGCAGGCCCACTTGGGTAGGATAGTCGAGATCGGTTTGGTCAGCTTGCATGGTGGGTAAAAGGCCCCTTTGTGTGCTCGTCATCCTGTCTAATATGTTGACCACCAAACGCGCTTCCGGTGTTCTCGCTCTACAGGCGAGCAATCTCGAGATGCAGAGACTTGGTAGAATTGTAACATATTGCACATTCTTGCATTTGCCCCCGCATACATGTATGCAGTCCTTTGCCTATTCAGCTGATTCAAGAAGTGTGTCTTTACAGTGGTCAGTGGTTTGCAACCCATGTGGAATCTCGCCCTCTGTTTCTGCGATATACCGACTAGCATGTTGAGACAGTCGATGTGATCAATTGAAGCATTTTCGTGAGGAATATTCAGTAATCCAAGGGCTTGCTCGAGAAATTCTGTTCCTGGAGCAGAAATTGACGATGGGTTCCTATTGTGCCCAAATGACTGTGCGCATGATCGTTAAGATCCAAACTGGTTTCAGGCTGTCGACCTGCGTTGACCGATTCGCTAAGCGCGAGGACCACTAGTAACTTCCATAGCCAAGTGCGATCTTTCGATTCTAGTACATTAAGCCGCATATAGGTATTGTCTAGCTGTTGACGAAACGTTCATAGACGGAACCAATGCCAACCATGAGCGAGGTATATTGCGAATTGGTTAAGCAATGAAGGGTAGGGCGGCAACTTGAAGGTACATTTCGTATCTGTTCAAAGTATCAGTAACCCCATTCAAAGGAAATAAACACGTGACGTACGCAATGTGTCAAATTTCAGTAAGAAATATTCATATTTGGGGGGGGCGTATTGACTCCGGTTGCGAATCGTTACTCTCCAATTGTGCCCCGAGCATCGCAGAACAATTCGAAATCGGAATCTGCTTCGGCTTTGATACAAAGACCTCTGCAGTAGTGTCCTCCATGATAGGGTCAAACTGGTCGACAGCTATCTCCAGACCCGGCCCTTGCTCGGAAGTATTAGCAGCGCCCAAGCCAGGCGTCCTTGTCATCCTTAGGCGGAGCAAAACGCCCTCAAGATCACTGAGGTAGCTTTCCAGAACGGTCACCTTTCGGTCACGAACGGCGTATGTGTATGCCTTATTTGCGAGCGCACAATTCCGGCATGGTCTCTCTATTGTTGTCGTGTCAGAAGCAGTCATGCAGTCCCGGTATGCGCAATACCTCTAGAGCACTTCACCTTCTGCTTGTGGCATCGATGGCAGGCGGATCCTCTATCCTCGTTGTACCTTTTTGCGGCATTGTGAAGATAGATTCGTCGACTCTTTCCCAGCGTTTGTAGACTTTGGGAGGTTCAGCATATGGAGTGAGTTGGCGGACCTAAGAGTTAAAGAATCTCAGTTCAAACAGTGCCAATTAGTTTGGAGCACCTGATTGGATGAGCGATAGAAAATAACCCGTGCGCATTCGGGTCCGCGCTGAGACCGTCTTTATAACAAAAGAAAATGATAATAATAACGAATTATTTACTTATAACATATTATTAAGGCTCTATTCAATATCAAAATGAATATAATAATTTTTTTTAGTTAATTGTAATTAACATAAAATCATTCATAGTACATCCGAATTAGTGCACGTGACCGCATGAATTGCCGAATGCGGAATAGCATGGGAAAGGGGGTTGTATATGGTATATTTCTCTTTTATTGATTTTCATTTTTCAGGCATTATCTTTCTTTTCGATAATCAAAAATTGTGCAATACTTCTCATCGTTCATTGATTCGTTGAACTTTGTTTTGGAACTAGCACATTATTCGATTACTTCAAAAGTGTAATCAGGAAAAAGACTATTAAGACAATGATAAACAACAAAACAATGGAGACACACGATCTAGCGGATACAAGCAAAGAACAAGCGAACAGAGCTTTTAATGGAGGTCTAAAACAACCTATTCGCGGATGGAAAATGCACATTTTAACATTCGGGTAAGTAAAAACCAGTTCCATAGCGTTGTGACTTACATATAATGGAAGAAATGATCTTTTTCAGACTCTGGATGGCTCTTTTTCTTTCTACATTAGAAACTACTATTGTCAGCACTTCTCTAGTGTCAATTACCAATGCCCTGAATGGTTTTGATAAACGAGACTGGGTAGTTACTGCATATTTAATAACTTATACGGGTAAGCTCTTGGAAGATTGAACGACCGCCTATTATATCAGTTTATACAGTGAATTAATTTTCAATTTCTAAGGATTCCTTACGATTTATGCTAAACTTGGAGACATATTTGGACAAAAAACTATGTTCATTATGGGTGTCGGCAGTTTTATACTTTTCTCAATACTTTGCGGTATATCAACAACAATTCAAGAACTGTATGTGAGTTACTGAACCTACTCCTTGACATTGAATTGATTAAATCGACTGGTAGTGTCATATTTCGTGTCTTTCAGGGATTTGGAGCCTCGGGCATATACTCCATGACCCTCGCGATTACGCCGAGGCTGGTACCACCTCAGCAAATAAGTAAATACATGGCTCTCGTGTCAAGCGTTTTCGCATTGGCTAGCGTTGCTGGTCCCCTCATGGGAGGTGTATTAAGCAAAAGTGGGAATTGGAAATGGATCTTCGAACTCAAGTATGTTTCTATATTTTAGTAGGTTTCCTCATACTAACCTTACCAAGTGCCCCGGCAGGCTTCCTCGCTCTCGCTATAATCATATTCTTTTTACCATCAATATCAAATGACGACAATGATTCCTTCGACTCAAGCCCCCCCAAAAAGATATCTGCGGCTAATCTACAACGTATTGATCTTCTTGGCGTGTTCCTTCTACTTGCTGCCTCCGTTCTTGTAGTTTTCTCTTTTGAAACTGCGGGAACTCAGTACCCTTGGAACAGTGGAATAGTTATAGTCACATTAATATTGGGGTCAACTTTCTTCGTTATATTCATTCTGTGGGAGCGATGGCTGCAGAACAAGCTACCAGCGAGAGAGGAACCTGTCTTTCCACCTCGGATTCTTTGGAGGCGTGATATGGCAGCCATGTTCTTGTAAGTAACTCGTACTTACCATAGATTAATTTCTAACTCTGAAGCATCGTGGTGCAGAACTTCCTTCTTTATAGGGTTTTCTTTTACATCTGTCGTGGTCAATATACCACAACGAGCCCAAGCCGTATACGGATACAGCCCAGAACGTGCGGGAATCACACTGCTGCCTTTACTGTTGAGTTCTCCTCTAGCAACAGCATTTTCTAGTTTTTTGACATCGAAATGCAAGGTTCCACCAACCTACCTAATATTGGCAGGGGTAATAGTTCAGAGCCTTGGAATGGGTATGGCATGCTCACTACCGACAAATTCCTTAAGTTTGCCTTACCAACAGCTTATATTTGAGGCAATTATTGGAACTGGGTTTGGCTTCACGCTGACTACTACTCTAACTCTTGCACAGATTGTGACTGCCCAGAACGACCTACGTTAGTTGATTCTTTAGTTTGATTCTATTTTGAGTTGATGTTACTAACGATATTGGAAAACCAGCGGTAACGCTAGGTGCATTGACACAGGTCCGTGTACTTGGCGGTACACTTGGCCTTGCCATTAGGTATGCTATTCAAAACGCCTTGATATGTAATGAAAATTCTATTAACTGGTTTCAGCTCTACCGTTTTGAACAGCGATGTATCGAACAGACTAGAACACATTATCGGTCTCCAGGAAGTTCAAAATATCACCAAGTCGTTTTCTGCCATTGAATCCCTCTCCCCAGGTCAGCAACGTCTCACTCGTCTTGTTTTCGCGGAGGGATTTCAGAGACAGACCATTGTTATGGCAGCCTTTTCGGGAATGGCATTGATTTGTTCTTTACTTTTGATACAAAGGCGATCTCGGGGAGCCCTGGATACTGAATCTAGATCTCTTTAATTCAAGCAACAATTTGGCTCTATACGGAAATCGCATTATCAATATTGAACTAGTGGGCTAGGTGGTCAATATATATATATATACATATAAATTATATGGTGGTATTTCAGTGTACTATTGTTCATGTTTTGGACATTTCAAGTGATTCAGTCCTAGAAAACCGCTACTCATAGAAAATGAGATATTTTGGTTCATGTATTGCCGAGCTTTTGTTGAATTATGACGTAGTGCTGGGGACTTTGTTTCCCCTCTGTGGAGATTCGGATAGTATACGGAGAGTATACTGAGTGGGGTCATTTAATCCTTCATATTGGGCGGTATTCCTCGTGGTTGAAGACAACTTTTTGTCGATTTTTCTTTTCCATTATCTACAGCTTTCAAATACCACCTGCTTCTATCTGGACAAAACCTACCATGGCCAACCCAACTGAAAATACGCCTCCCGGCGCACTGTCCACGCGTATGGCAACCACTGTCAAGATCTTAAACCCTATCGCCGACGCCCTCGCTGCTCGAGGAAAGATCAGCCCGGAGGAAATCAACCTTGCTGATGGTGAGAGTAGCCTCATGAAGTTGGAAATGGTCGAAATATGCAAAGAGGCTATGAACAACAGCATCACTACAGATGTATGTCCACTTAAAACGGTGTATGGGTTCTGTTAACACATGACTGACAGACATTTTCCAATCCTGTAGGTTTCATTGGTGATGTGCCGATGAAAGAGGCACTGGCCCAGTATTTCACGACTTATTTTCATCCCACCATTCCGGTAACAATGGATAATATCGTGCCCACGGCTGGGTCGGGAAATGCGATTGATGCCCTGATCTTCACATTATGTGATGCGGGGGATGCTGTCCTGTGTCCCGCGCCATGGTGGTGTAAGTTCCTTCTCTTTCTTTCTCTTCCTTTTTTACGGCCAATCCATATTCATATTGATACAGGGGGGTATGGCCCGTACGCCCGAGTCCATGCCGAAGTCAACGTCATTCCTGCTTTCATCAAACCTTCGCCCTCATTGTCATGGACAACAGAAAGCCTCTCATCTGCCATTATCCCTGCCTTGGAAGCTGCATACAACTCTGCCCCAGACCCCAAACGAATCAAAGCCGTGCTCACCTCAAATCCAAACAATCCCATGATGAACTGCTGGCCCGAGGATGTCGTTAGACAGATAATGGACTTCTGTCAAGATCACAATCTGCACTATATCTCCGATGAGGTTTTTGCCAATACCGTTTTCGACTTGGAGGCTGACCAATTCGTGTCGGCTTTGTCACTTTTGAAGCGTCCGGATCGGCACGATGAAAGTGTTGGGGTGAAGAGTATCATTGAGCCGACTCTCGTGCATGTCCTGTGGAGTGTGACTAAGGATTTCGGAGCCTGTGGTGTCCGAGCGGTGAGTCCCTTTCCTTTCTTCTCCTTTTTCAGATGAGAGCGTCTTCTCACAATATAAACAGGGCTGCGTTCTCTCCTATCATCCGCTAGTCCGCGCAGGCGTCTCTTTCGCAAGTGTGTGGCAAGTCTCTTCATTAGCCGCACATTTCACACGTAGTATCCTCACGTCACCCTCAACACTCGATCTCCTCTCTTCAACGCGGTCTCAACTCGCCCAGTCCTTTCAAACGTGCCGTGAAATTCTCTCTGTTCCCGAACTCACCGACAGAATCCAGCTATTGCACACTAGCGTTGGATTTTGGACCAACGCTGTGGTGATGCTCAAAGAAAGCGAAAATATACAGGATATCATTGTCAAGGCGAAGCAAAAAGGTGTGATTGTTGGTTGGGGGGCTGAGTTTGCTCCTTTACTGCAGAAAGGACAGGGGTTAATTAAGATCACCTTTGCGATGCCACAGGATGTACTCCGTAAGGGGCTGGAGAGACTTAGGGCGAGTTTGCTATGAAGGCTACTTCGACCATGCCGTTATTTTCCAGTGTCTTATTAAGGATAGTGAGGACGATCTACAGGTATTCTGCCGTAGAGTACTAGGTACTTCAGCGTTAGGCTATGCAAATTTCAGCCCGTCAAGAATCGCAAGAGGTAAAACACTTCCCAAAACTGCTTGATGAGCACGAACTATATACTAATACACAGTGAATGGTGGGGTAAAGTTGAAATCCCCCTGCGGGGAAATTATCTTTCCGGGTAGTTGGCCGCTCCACCTTGTTTCATACCCCGGTGATAACGCTGCACGACATTAGGAACTAGACAATTCCGTTGAACTGAAATGTTTTACGATCAGCGTAACTTCGCGTAGCCGTTCTCGGTACACATTTATCTATCATCTTCTATGATTGCTATGTATATAATTTCACGAATATATCATCTAACTAGACAAGATGGCTTCACACGACAATGAGGGCAGTGACTTCATTAATGCCACAAAAATCGACGAATTTACTCGTGATGTGGTCAGTGCCACTAGTAAAGAGCATCGCATGACGATCTGGCAGGCCGTGTGTCTGTATCCCAAGGCCATCGGCTGGTCTGTACTCCTTTCGACAGCCATTGTCATGGAAGGCTATGATGTGGTTCTTATGCAAAGCCTTTATGCCTTTCCTGCCTTTCTCAGCGATACGGCATGCGGCAGTCTGATGGAGCATATCAGATAACAGCTCTTTGGCAGGCTGGGCTGTCGAATGGGGCAAATGTGGGTGAAATTCTTGGTCTGTTCATCAACGATATTGTGTCCGAGCGATATGGATACAGGCGCACAATGCTTGCGTCCCTGGCTGCTTCGGTAGATTTTATTTTCATCCCTTTCTTTGCGCAGAATATTGTGAGCTTGGAAGTCCGCGACATATTGATGGGTATGCCGTGGGGGGTATTCCAGACACTCACCATAGCATACGCGGCGGAAGTCTGCCCAGTAGACAACATACATAAATGTATGCTGGGGAGTCGGGCAGCTGATAGCCGTTGGTGTTTTACGAACCCTTCTCCAGCGGGCGGATCAGTGGGCGTATCGCATTCCATTTGCTTTACAGTGGATGTGGCCTGTTCCACTCATAATTGGCATTTTCTTTGCACCTGAGTCACCTTGGTGGCTAGTTCGGAAAATCGCGTAGAAGATGCTCTGAAGGCTTTGTACCGACTCACATGTTCTTCTGCTGATGGCGACTTCAGTGTTGACCAGACAATCGCCCTGATGGTACATACAGATGCTCTAGACAGGAAACTTACAATGGGAATCTCGTATTGGGATTGCTTCAAAGGTATTGATCGACGACGCACTGAAATTGTGTGCTTGACTTGGGCCATCCAGAATTTATGCGGGGCCGCTTTTATGAGGTATTCTACTTATTTTTTCCAACAAGCTGGTCTCGCGGCCATCTATTCATTCGACATGTCTATGGCGTTGTATGCTGTCGCAATTCTTGGCGTGTTCATATCATGGTTCTTTATGGCAAATTTTGGACGGCGAACCCTCTACCTTGGAGGGCTAGCAGCAATGTTCCTTTTACTTCTTATCATCGGCTTTGTTGCTGTTGGGAATCCCGCTAGTGGTGGCTGGGCAATCGGTTCACTGTTGCTTGCCTATACCCTCTTCTACGACATAACTGTCGGGACCGTTGCTTTCTCTATTGTGGCCGAAATTCCCTCAAGTCGGCTGCGGACGAAGACTATAGTACTCGGCCGGAATTTGTATAACGTCATTGGTATTATCAACGGAGTCATCACACCATATATGCTGAACCCATCAGCATGGAACTGGAAGGGAAGGCGGGTTTTTTCTGGGCAGGAATGTGCTTCTTGTGCATGGTATGGACGTATTTTCGTCTTCCAGAGCCCAAGGGTCGAACTTACGAAGAGCTGGATCTGTTATTTGAAGAGAAAATCAGCGCACGAAAGTTTAAGGCGACAGTGGTTGATGTAGCCACATCAACAAACGTTGTGCAACAAGTCTGAGAGGTTCATACAGGGTCAATCTGCGTCAAAATTTTGCCAAACATTTTGATTGTTAAAGAAGATGAAATGCACGATTTACCTCGAGGGTGTCAGTCAATATTTTTATATGTCAATGAATGAAGTGCATCCAATATAGGTCAATTCCCCAGCGGATATTCTGGGTGAAGTGGTCAGGAGACTAACTAGCCCTCAGTTATCAAATGATTTTCAGCATTGGTAGACTGGTTATTCTTATATCGCGTTCTTCTTTATCAAGCATCAGTCCAAACTGTTTAGGGGCATTTTAAAATATTATTACACATCAACAGATGAAGATCGTCAAGGCCCGCGCCGGCTTTTGGATGATTGGGCTATTTTTGGGGGCAAATGTTTTCACGGTGGGGGCTGCTCACCAAAGATCATGGACGATTTTAACGAGGATGCAAACATGAAAAGGATTCTCTGATTAAATTAAGCTCAGTATGTCTCTCTCGTATTCATTCGCGCGTTGCATTTCAAAGGTACCGTAAAACACGACCTGACCACATCCAAATATTAAATAATAATTCCCAACAGTGCAACACTACATATTATGGTTGTGCTCGTTTCACCTGACGAAAACCGGCATGGTTTAAAGTGGCCTTTGAGTGGTCGCGGCCCCCTCACATAGACGATGTAACATCCGGGCATTTCAGATGCATCCCCAAGCCCATATTCCCGAACGAGTAACTCTATCTCGCGCCTGTCACTACCATTTCTTCTCTCAACCGCACACGTACTACTCCGGTGATTTCGGCACTATCGCTGATTTCCGGCGAGACCCCCAGATGAGGCTGTCGTTTTAGTATGATGGTGATGCTAGGTGGTGTCGAACACTCCACTTTTTATCTAAACTATGCCCTCAGACTCGTCAGAGTAATGGACCCGATGCTACGTTCGACCTTCAAGAAGCAATAATATTTCATGTCATTGGACAGTGCCAGTGTTTGACGTGATAGACGATTTTCCTATTTCGAATTGCTTCTCTTTTCATTTGAACGTTGATTTCCAGTTGCTCATATATAGGGAGCCAATTTTCCGCTAAAATTTCGAAAGATTCTCGTAGGCTCATACCTCATTACAGTCATTAAAGACCAACACTTCTTTTTTTCTCTCCCTTGAAAGACAATCCTATTCATTCCTTTCCTGCTTATTCGTAGATCGAACTATACTTTCCTTTTGAACTAGTCAGGACTTTTGGCAGATATTACTTCTCGTCAACATGCATTCTCTTAAGACTCTGCTCTGTGCCGGGGTACTCGCCTCGACCTCACTCGCTTTCCCAGCAATGCACCGCCGTGTAGCCGGAAACTCAACCACTGGGAATAAACTCAGTGTCTACTGGGGTGCTGAAGATGACAGCACAACCCTCAGCGATGTATGCTCAGATGACTCGTACGACATCGTCAACCTTGCTTTCGTCAACAAATTTAAGGGTGATGGTGGATATCCCAGTCTCAGCATTAGCACTTTGAGCGGGCCATCACAGGCCCAGCAAGATGCTGGTGCCACATCTCTTCAAGATGGATCTTCGCTTGTGTCTGCTATTCAGGCATGCCAATCCGCTGGTAAGCTGGTTATTATGAGCTTGGGTGGCGCTGTCGACTATTCGAATGTTGTCCTATCTGGAGACGATGAAGCAAAGACTGTTGCCGATAATTTGTGGAATTTGTTCGGCGGTGGTACCGACGAGACTTTGAAACCTCTTCGGCCGTTTGGAGATGTGAAGTTGGATGGATTTGACCTTGGTAAATACTTGATTTAAGGTTTCCAATACGAAAAGATACTAACATTTTAAAACTAGATAATGAGTCTGGCGATTCTACCGGTTACAGCGCTCTTGTTTCCCGCTTTAAGTCTAACTTTGCCCAAGACTCTAGCAAGACTTACTACCTCACTGCTGCTCCTCAGTGCCCCTACCCTGACCAATCCGTTCCACTGGATGTATGCAAGGAGCTTGATTACGTGTGGGTCCAGTTTTACAACAATGGCGACTGCAATGTTGCACAATCCGGCTTCAAGGATGCTGTCAAAACCTGGAGTGATGGCATCGGAAATGCAAAGCTTTTCATCGGCGCCCTAGCCAGCGGTGCAGATGGTGATCAAGGATATGTTGACTCTGATACTCTGGTCAAACAACTCAAGGATATTGAGGAGTTTAATTTGCCCAACTTCGGAGGTGCTATGCTCTGGGAGGCACAGCTGGCTGTGAAGAATGGCAATTACCAAAAGGCTATTAAGGCGGCACTCTAGTTTCGAATTGATGATGCTTTCTCTCTGTACATATCAGCTTAAGTATATATGATTCATTTTTTGTTGATTCGCGCCGTTAAGCCTATCAATGCCGAAGTTACAATCTTCAATGTTTTTATCATTCATATTTGATTTTTCTAGTTTCTTCAGGGCGAATTCAGCACTTAGTATTCGTTAATGCATTAAACCATTTATATCAATTGATATACCATTTCAACGATTCAAACTTTGATCAATAACCAAATAAGCCATGAGCCTTTAAATTGACACGTAAGAAGTGTATGTAGCTAAAGCATTCTTGAAAACGGTAACAGCATCAAACTCTACTAATGCGCAAAATGACAAGACAAATGCCATTCCAAGGGTTATATCTGCTCTGAGAGCATTGTATAATCCCCACCGGTACAGATTGTCTTGATTCTCATGATCATCTTCATCCGGATCCAATAACAGTTCCGCTAGATCCCGAGCCATTGGGTTGAGTACATAAGCAGTGAAAGTAAGATTGAATACTGTGAATAACCCTGCCAATTCATACAGGCTAGACACAAAACCAGGCCGTGTCAATGTATATGGATGTTTTGACAGGACAAATAATGCGCTTGTGTTGGCAAAAACAAGATGCTGGCGAAGACCGAGATCAATATTATAAGTCCACCGGAATGAGGCCGAAATGTGGCGTGCTGGTATTTTTACCAAGGCCGGGATCGCCACGAGTGAGACCGCTGCTGTGCCTGCTACTGATCAGTCAGAGAATATTTCTGTGTAAAGTCATATCGATACATTAACGAGCCATATAACAGTGAGGTCAAACCGGGACCTGCTAGCTGCAACAACCTGTAGCTGATAGGAGGCGCTTCAATCATCTCTGCCAATTTCAAACGCGATTTTACTTTCAAAGTTGCGAATAAATGCCAATCAATGACCATTTTATATGAATCGTCGTTCCGCGAAGACGGCTTGCTTCCTATGAAGATCGCGTTTCACGTTCTTTGTTGAATTCCGTGCAGAAATTAGATGTATAGTGATCAAAAGCCCGGTTTAAATTAGTATCTCTTTGTTATGACCTACAGGAATGAGACGCGGATGGCTTCCTTTTTGTTTAAACCCCTATTTTTGACTTTAATCGGGCCATGTCTAAGCGACTGAAATTCCGGGCATAATCTAATATTTGATCTCAGGGGCACATTTGTGAAGCTTAGAGACTGCTGAAATAGTAATGCGACTTCCTTAGAGTATAAAATTTGATGACGAGAGCTTCCACGGGTTTTGTGTTAAATTGGACAAACGGATAGTATCATTCATGATAAATGTGGTGACAGCTCTTAGCGGTCTGTCACTGGGCAGGCGACGCCCGCACGTTTGGCTCCCCTCCCAGGAGGAAGACCGGGGGTCGCCGGCCCCTATAAGGCCCCGAATCGTCCTGCGCAGATAAACTGTTCGGGGAGTAGGGAAGGGTAAGTGCATAACTGTTTTCAGAGGTCGTATGGGGCCGGCGGTGTGATGAATTAGTGGCTACAGCCCCTATGAGGCCCCTCGCCCACCAATATAAATAAAATAAATGCAAGTCAGGATGGGCTAGTCCCCACACAGCCAAGGGTGGCGGTTTGACCAAATGGTGAGCATCTACATCTATCTATTTGTTTCAATACTCGTATTGATCCTTCTATCCTCGACGCTGTCCTGATCATCAATTAATCAGTGCCATCTAAGCACCACATCAACTAAGATGACTTAGAATCTCCACCGGAGCTTTTACCAACCGGTTAGGCATCCAAATTCTGAACGCCGTAGTTCCATACACAAATGTGCTGGAACAGTTATCAACCGGAATTGCATTTTCTCTACGATCCAGACCTACATGCGCACTAGGCTCATGGTGTGGCTGAGGCGCAACAATTTTGCAATTTGCAGGTTTTATTGGATGCTTCCCTGGCGCCGAGGGGATGCATATCCTAGTATTCAGGCAGTACGTGCCGCATGCGTCTGTGGTAGGTTTTGAACCGCGATCGGAACGAGAAACGAGCTTGTCTACCAGCATTTCTCATCGCATCTGACGGATTGTAAACGGGGAACGAGCTGGCAGCCAACAAGCTTTTTGGATGACCAACCTAAAATCCTAACAGCATCTGAAGAGCCCTCCACTCTCAGCTGCAGCCTAATCGTTGGCAATCTAAATATTGTCTGCTGAAGCTAGAAAAAGGACATAAGGGGAATAAAAAAACAAATCGAGCGCTTTCCCTGAAGACCATTCACCCATTCAAATTAGTTAATGTCGCTTGTAATCCTTCAGTCTACCAATATTTCTCTCTTCTCCTTAGCACTGCCGACAAACAATGTCGGGCCTCATCAACAGAGTCGCGACCGGCGTCGGTCTGGTCGCTGAAGCCCATCAGCATCACAAAGCGAAAAAAGCTGCCCGCCAAAACGCAAGCAGCACTAGCATCGGTCTGGCCAGCTCCCACGACCGAAATGTCCCTCCAAACCAAGATTCCGTCGAAGCACAAGACAGAAGCCTCACACCAGCAGCCTCTGAGCCTGCAGAATTAGAAGAAGAGCAGTGGGAGCTCGACGAAGCCCAGGACGAGCTCGTTGGGGGTAGCGCACCGCGGAAGAGCAAGAATGGCGCTGCAAATCCAGACAAAGTCGTCAAAGCCTTTCTTGACCGGCATCCTCTGTTGGATAGTACTGCTGAGGATAACAGTTACCATCTCGCGAAATTGGAGTATCCTGTAGTGCTCCCTCAGCGCCGGCCGCGGGTCAAGAAACGTGGCTTCATTCGTGCTTATGCGCCGGGTTTACAAAACAAGGGTATTGATCAGGTAATGTGGCTCGATTTCATCGAGGTTTTCAACGAGGCCAGCCTAGCAAACCCGTGGATCAATGCGATCAACCTAGCATCTTTAGCGACGAATGCATTGCCCTCGGCCATTTCATTTGCTGTCTCGACGGCGATTATGATTGCCACACAAATAGCTATGGAGACGCAGGGGCGATATCGGTCTGTGATCTTTCACCGATATAATACGTCAGAAGTTAATGTGATAACAGACAGAATACATCTCTCGCCAAACTTAACAACGAATTCTTCCGCCCACGCGGACTATACTGTCTCGTCATGACCTGGGATCCCAATTCACTGTCGTCTCGCGTAAACATGGGCGTGAACACGACAATTAAGAATTCAGTCTCCAACCAAAACAAGACAATGCACAATTTTCACTCGTCATACGGAACGACCACCCAATTCGAGTTTATGCAGACTGCTGAGCTAGTCTTCCCCGGTCTAGACTACATCGCCGCCGCTCCAGGCGAGGAAGCCAAGGGAATTAAAAGCAAACTCAAGCGAAGCAAGCTCTTTGTTAGCGAGTATATGGATCGCAAAGCACAGGCAAAATTCGTGAGTATATTTTCTACATAGAGAAAAATGAGTAAACCTCACTAACAGTATGGTGAAGGTTGGTGAAAACCCTAACAACCTACTCTCCAACGAGCTTAACCCAACATTTGCCTCAAAATTCGCAGATCCAAATCATCCTATTCATAGCGGGGATCTTGTTTCCCTCATTTCGCTGGGCTACATCAACCCCTCTAGAATCCGTTCAATTGATGGTTCTAGGAATGGCCGGAGTGGTGGCAGGCTAATCGAGTCTAACTTATTGGGTAGTCGGAGAGGCCTTGCAGAAAGAATAGGTGGTGATGCATACTATAGCCAAAACTCATGTCAGTCAGACCCTGGTCATGTCGATAGCTTGTCTCGCAGAAGAGGAAGAGGAGGTGGCGGGCTTGTAGGCGGTTTAGTCGGGATTGCCGCAGAGGCAGTTCGAAATCATGGACAGCAGAGCAATCCCCGATCCCCGCAGGATCAAGAGGAAATATTTCGTCGAGAAAGTAAATTAAATGACACGCAGAGACAGCCTGTCGGTGGTCGTAGGGCATTGGAACGAGATGGGCCGCTGGGGATCAACAAGCTCTTAAAACAGGTATTTCTCGAATGCATTTGCTCCAATTAATACCTCGATCTATTGACTCCGTTTTACAGAAAGTTCTATATCTAATGGTCGTGAACATGCCGACAGAAGACGAAATGTCAGAGGCTAGACAGATCACGGCAGAGTGGGAGTCTCGGGATGGGCCCCCGCCTTATGAGGAAGTGGAAATGTGAATTATGCTAAACTTTTGGTATTATTTTTACCCGAGACAGTCGTCATTTGGTATAAATTTCAAACCTTGCTTCTTTAGGTAGTTCGGCAACTACTTGGTTTAGGCATGATACATTGTCATTCCCATAATACAGAATCAATAGCGAGTCTAGCTCTATATCGGGTCTAATGTGGTATACTCTAGAACATCGTACGCTTGTTCTAATAATTTCCTGCAGACTAAACCTCGGCTGGGCGTTCACCGGTGCGATGCCATACTCGGCCTCGCCACTGAAGTAGTATTGTCGGGAAAATGCTCGCAGCCACGATAAGGGCAGAAACAATCCCAGCACTTTTTGCCACGCCAACACTGCTAAACATATCTGGAAGCCTATAGACAAATGGGTTAGTCTGAAACCTCATCAGGAGAACAAAAGCGCAAAGTAAAAAGGGAAAACGAGGTAGGAAGAATGGGGATGCCTACCAGAAAGGTCCGATAAATCCCCACATCTGACGAACGAAGGTGATAAACACACCAACAGACGCAGCTTCCTTGTGATTAGTATCAACCGCATACGTGATCAGCACAGTTGTGACAACCTGGTTACCAAACGCAGCAATAGCCACACCTACGATAGGGGTGATATTCCAATGGCCAGCAGGAGACTGCTGAGTTTGTACCAAGAAGACGACAGCACCAGCAATAGTCAGCAAAAAGCCAATGTAGCTTAGCCATAACCGATATTCTGGGCCCGGGCGTTGTCCCATGGAGCGATTCTTTCGATTCATCCACGCATCTGATAGCGGTCCTCCGAGTTGTTCTCCCAATACAGAACCGATAATCAGACTGAGAAACTGCAAGCCTAGACCTTGGGTGTCCAATTCGAATTTTTCTTGTAACAGTTGAGGTATTTCAACAGTGCACATGACGCTTCCAAATAGGAAAACCATGGCATAAGCCACCGCTGGGATCGCGACTGTCACTCGGCCAGCCATGGTCAGAGGCTGGATGAACTCATATGCTGCCAGCGGCTTGGGGTCAATTCGGCGGAAGCTCATATATTCCTGGCGAAATCCAGAGCCAGTGGAAGATATCGAGCCCCCAATGTAGCGAGTCTCCGGGCAGAAGAATATACACAAAATTAATTGCACGGCATTTGTCTAGGCTGGAATTAGCGGAGCACAGATGTGGTTTGAGAGAACAACTTACTATTGACAGGATATAATAGATCCATCGGTATCCAACTCGCTGTGCGACAAACCCGAAAATGAAAGGTGATACTGGAACTCCCAATGTAACCAGCAAAGTCCAAACACCCATGTATCTTCCCCGGTCCTTTCGGAAGAAGCATTCAGCTACCACGGCGCTTCCCAGAGCACCGGCCGGGGAGATAAAAAAAGCTACCAAGGCGCGACACGCGGCCATAGAGCCATATGATGGACTCTTTGCGCAGCCAATATTGCAGACTAGGCTCCCAAGCAAAGAAATGAGAAATATTGGACGGCGACCAAATCGGCTCGACAAGGGTTTCCAAAACAGGGGAGCTCCGCCGAGGATGGCAATTTGCAAGGACGTCAAATAAGCCGTTGTGTTCATGCTTATACCCAAATTGATGGAGATATCCAGATATGCCGGAATGATGGCGGCAGCGGTGAAGGTGCTCATCATCGCATGAAACGCAACAAGGACCAGATTGATGTGTTTCTAGGAATACGGTGAGTGGTGTTCCGAGAGAAAACCATGGGAGTAGACGATATTACCTTCCACCCTGGCCAATTATACGGGTCGGCGTCGTCCATCGCTGGGATGGGATCCAAGTCAGCAGTGCCATGGCGCTGGATTAGATATTCCCGATGCCGAGGAGCTAGCTCGCTCTCGATATCAATAGACGAGGGTGAAGCGGCCTTTTCATCCGTGGCCTGGCGATCATCTGAATTGAAATTTTTCATAATCCTTGCAAGCGCATTTCCTGCTTCAATGTAAACCCAGCAGTGCACCGAAAAAGCGACAACAACAGGACTAGACTTTTTGCGTGCCTCGAAATTGAGTGCTGGTCTTGTGACAAAGGAGACGGGATTGGAAAAAACCAAGTCGCGCGATGTTATTGCGGTGTCGAAATTGACCGTGAAACGGGGTTATCTGTAATCGGGAGTCGCTGAGGCGGAAACAGCTCTATTAATACGGACTAATTAAGTTCTAGTCATTTGCTGTGATTCTTCGAAGGATGGCATCAATAGCAGAGATCGTCGGGTAGCGTAGCATACTAACAATTCGCAGCATCGGAAGCTGCGCGACAACCAGGCAGTGGGTCTTATCGTGGGGACGAAGACAGGGGCCTACCCCGGCCTTGCGGAGGGGCCGGAAGTACAGACCTGGATAGTATGGCACCGGGGATAATGGTTTTCCCGCGAAACTGTCTGCATCTGCGTGAGCGAGCCACTCAGAGGAGCGGCGTGTGCTTCGTCAATAGCATCTCTATATGGTTGCTCAAGTACGCAGCTTCGAAGCTGAGCACATCAGCATTCCACCGGCCAAGCGCGACGTCTATATCTCGGAACAGCCAGCCAATAGCACCAGAGGACTGGGACAGTCAAAGTTCGATGAGTGTCTGAAACGCGCGTACATCGTGCAGAGTACATACTAGTTGTGAACCTAAGTAAAGCCGCGTGCGCCATCCGTGAAGGTTAAGCCTAATACCAGGTCTCGGCATAATAGTATTGTTTGCAAGACTTTTATTGTTATTTAAATTTCAATGTGTTTTAATTAAGAATGTCTCGCGAAGAATGATAAAACCTGATCTTAATTTTAATAATACTATTGTATCCATTCATGAGTAGATATAGAAAAGTACGCAGCACAGCGATCTCGGCATATTAATGAAGACTGCCTTGCGGCCTTAATCCTTATAGAAAAAACGGTTTACCGATTTTCTGGTTAAACAGGACAACTTGGAGAAAGTATATTTCATGTGTAGAGCTGCTGCGCAGAGCGGTTCTTTCACAACGGCATGGCTTAGATTCATATCATTTATGAGACTGTTCGAACACTTCGCATCAGGATGCTTCGTGATGATTCCCTCATGTCACACCTAGCACTTGCCCATGAGGCTTATGAGCCGGCTTCAAAAAGCGGGATGTCACTCGGGCCTGGAGGCGCACTGCCTTCGGTGTTTGTCAAATGGATTGAATGATTGGATGCGATACTGTTATAGAGAGCCAATAGCATAGCAAAATTACTATCATTCGCAGCTGTAATCTGGGGAGGTGGAGATCCCCACGGGAAAGATGTCTTTCCGGATAAGGATATATCCCTGACAGCTAGGGGTAGCCTATTCGGAATCGGCTGCAGGGTTCAGTGTTATTCTTATTTCGCGACACATCATGTCTCAAACTAAAGGCTAGCGTGTTGTCGGCAGTGGTCGTTTCACTCCAGTATATCAACTGATAGTCGTATGCCAGCCGCCCCGCTAACATCGAAACCTATATCAAGTGACCTTTCAATGGAAAGGTCTTAACATTACTTGCCTGCATTCCCCATGTGCATGGGTCATCAGGAAACTTATAATGAGATTAGGATATTGATCTACTAATCGGCTCCTAGCAACTGAAACTATGCATTTCCTAATGTATCGGCTAACATCAATTGATGATAACGTGTTGTTTACGAAGAGCCCCGGTGAAGTCATATATTCTCCAATTGACTGAATGCTTTTCCTTGACAATGAAAACCTATTACGTGCTCTCACTGACCCGAGAAGACAACAAATCAATTGATAACTGATGCACCATGCATCAGTTAGCGATAGTGCTCGGTGGCTTTCTTCAATGCCGAGAATCCGCACTGCGCCAATGTCACCTGAAAAGCCAAGATCGAGCTTGCTTTCGTACCGCCAAAGATACCCTCTTCTGTCGTCCGGAAGGTCCACAACCTTCATCATTTGCTATGCAGTAAAGTACGCCTTTCATGTCTCCAGGTTTCAAAACATGATCAAACTGAGGGGGCCTACAGGAAGGCTTCAGTCATGAGGGAAAATGCTCCAATAGCGTGGGTTGTTCCATGGAGAAACTGGTAATCATTTCCGGAGCAGAAAATAGCGAAGAATAGACACTGGTTGCTTATATTTAATTTACGACGACCATATCTAAAATGCCATATCTTGCTGCCAATTACTATTTTCTTTTTCCAACATTTCTAGCCTTTCTTGCTCTATTCGTGCTTTACTTGTGATTTGACTGTCCCTTTTATACGAACAATCATGAGTGCTACAGTTCTATTTTTTGTGACTGCTAGCTTGCTAGTTAATTTTGTTTGCAGTGCTACAACTCAAACATACACATGGAAAAATGTGAAAACTGGAGGTCAGTATGAATTGATGTTATCGACAAATCGAAAATATGCAGAAGCTGAGTACGTGTGCCACTTCGATTAGGAGGGGGGGGCTTTGTTCCCGGAATTGTATTCAACCCGTCAACGAAAGGCATCGCCTATGCTCGCACTGATATTGGCGGTGTCTACCGTCTCAACACTGATGAAACATGGACACCCCTACTAGATTCAGTCAACAATAGCAATTGGTATCTTTGTACAATACCCAATCCCCTAAGAATAAGACTAACATATCATTTTAGGCATAACTGGGGAATTGACGCTCTTGCCACTGATCCTATTGATACAGAGCGTGTATATGTTGCAGTTGGTATGTACACTAATGAGTGGGATCCTAATCCAGGCTCAATTTTACGCTCAAATGACAAGGGTAACACCTGGGAGGAAACGGTGTTGCCCTTCAAAGTGGGCGGAAACATGCCAGGGCGGGGAATTGGGGAGGTTTGTTATATTTTCACTTAGAATCAAAACTATCTCAGAATGCCGCTAAAAAACTGGCTGTAGCGTCTTGCAGTTGACCCCAATGACAATAGCGTTCTCTATTTTGGAGCTAGAAGTGGCCATGGTCTTTGGAAGAGTACCGATTATGGTGTGACCTGGTCAAATGTTACTTCATTCATCTGGACTGGTACATTCTTAGCGTTCCGAATAGGGAGGAAGGTACATCGGAGAGCTGACAAATTGCCCTAGGGACGTATTTTCAAAATGCCAGTTCGTCTTATACGTCGGACCCTGTGGGGATCGCTTGGATCACCTTTGATACAACATCTGGGACCGCAGGAAATCCAACCCCGAGAATTTTTGTCGGTGGGATAAATCTGTTATTCCATAGCTTGACCCTACAATCCTAACGACTGCAGGCGTTGTTGATACCGGAGAATCCGTTTTCAGATCTGAAGATGGTGGTAAAACATGTTAGTATTCTTTTTTCTTCTTTTTTTTGTGCAAACTGAATCTTACTCGCAGGGGCCTGGGTATCTGGAGAACCAATGTACGGGTTTTTACCTCATAAGGGTGTTTTATCACCAGCTGAAAAGGTTCTCTACATCTCCTACTCCAATGGGGCTGGCCCATACGATGGTACCAACGGTACCGTTCATAGGTACAATATCTCGACGGGCGTCTGGACTAATATAAGCCCAACCTCGATTGATAGCACATACTACGGCTATGGTGGCCTGGCGGTGGATCTGCAAGTTCCTGGTACCGTGATGGTGGGAGCCTTGAACTGTTGGTGGCCGGACGAAATTATATGGCGAAGCCTTGATTCAGGCGCAACATGGTCCCCAATTTGGGCATGGAATAGTTATCCTGATATCGATTACTACTACGATTATGAGATTTCCAATGCCCCTTGGTTGCAAGACAACACATCTACTGCGCAATTTCCAGTCCGGGTTGGATGGATGGTTGAAGCGCTGGCCATTGACCCTTTTGACTCGAATCACTGGCTATATGGCACCGGTATCACAATCTATGGTGGCCACGACCTTCTGAAGTGGGATTCTGCTCACAACGTCACTCTGGAATCTCTTGCAGTCGGGATTGAAGAAATGGATGTGCTTGGCCTTATCGCACCAGTAGGAGGACCACCCCTTCTCTCTGTAGTTGGAGATGATGGAGGTTTCTATCATTCTAGTCTCGAAACGGCTCCCTCCCAAAGCTTTCACAGCCCTACCTACGGGTCCACGAATGGCATTGACTACGCGGGGAATAACCCAGCCAACATCGTCCGGTCAGGAGCTAGTTCAACTCTGCCTACTGTTTCATTTTCAACCAATTTTGGCCTTACCTGGTCGGCTGACTACGCAGCCTCATCTAGTACAGTACCGGGGGCTGTTGCTCTTTCTGCGGATGGGGATACTGTCCTTCTGATGCCAACATCCGGTAGCCCTCTTGTTTCCAAATACACCAGTACCTTTAGTACAGCGACTGGATTGCCCTCGGGTGCAATTATTGCGTCTGACAAATCCAACAATACCGTCTTCTATGGCGGGTCAGCTGGTAGTTTTTATCTCTCCACAAATGGTGCTGTTTCGTTCGCCAACACAGTCAGTCTTGGCTCCAGTACCGCCGTTAATGAGATCCGCGCCCATCCCTCCATCGCTGGGGACGTTTGGGCCTCAACTGACACCGGCCTTTGGCATTCCACCAACTACGGCACCAATTTTACCCAGATTGGTGGTGGTTGTTCAGCTGGCTGGAGCTTTGGCTTTGGCAAGGCTGGAGCTCCAGCATCCTATCCTGTCATTTTCGGCTTCTTCGCCGTCGACAATATCACAGCCCTTTTTAAAACGGAGGATATGGGCGCCAACTGGCAAGAAATTTCGGATGCCACACACGGGTTTGGCGCAGCCTCGGCCAATGTAGTAAACGGCGACATGTCGAACTATGGGCGAGTGTTCGTAGGAACCAACGGAAGGGGGATTTGGTATGGGGAGCCGTGAACCGTGGCCTGATAGCGCCTGTTCGTTCATTCATTACGATGCCGACTAGTAGGGTAGTTCCTAAATGAGAGCTAGTGTCCATCAGAATATTTGACGTATTTCCGGGGATCTTGCGTAAGAAGCTCGACAGGCAGGAGAAGTAGGCGCTGGTATCAGTAGTCTTGCAGAAAGGTGGAGGAAGGAAGATCTTTATCATCATTATTGCCCTCAGGTCCGATGCAAATCACGTGGGTCCGCATGAGCCCAGACCGGTCACGTCGGGGCGGTCGGCGGCCGATTTGCCGACCGGCTCGCGGCGATTACTTGGGCCGGATTATTATAACTGATCTTCCATCCTGCACCCTCTCTCCTAGTTAGCGATTAATTAGTTACACGCTCGACCTCGAACTCGGCGAAAGGGGCTAACGTCACTAACTTCGCCTTTTTCTATTCGCGAGTATGGCAGGATGTCGGCACCCACGGCTGTCTGTGCGGGAATCTGCCCTCGAAATAGCCCTTGACGCCAGATCTGCACCCTCCTGATTGGACCAGGACCTGATTACATCGTCTTCTAAACCGTGCCTTCGCTTGAGGCATTCGCTGACGTATGAAGCGAATGGATGTTCTTTGGGCGTCTTTGCCGTGTCTTGGCCGTGTCGATGGGGCTGGTGTCAACTAGCAGGCCGATGGTCTATCGTCAATCTTGAGGTCACGTCCCTAGCTAGCTCAAGCCTCATGCAGCTGGCTCGGCTATTTATTAGAGCCTAATGCCCCAGTGTTCACAACATGATGCAGTGTTGATCCTCGACATCGCCACAAACAGCGTTTTCCATCTTGCGGTCGCCGTATCCAAACGGACAAGCCCAACACAATGGACCCCTCGATAACGAAGAACGGCCCACCATATCCCTTCACCACAGCCCAGCTCGGCGGCGAACCATCTACCAATGTCGACGTCCCCATTTGTTGTGTCTTCTTGGTTCTCTTCGTTTGCGGCGCCGTCTCTCACATGACTATTTTTCAAGTGAACAGGCGCCGAAACCACAAATTCATCCCCAGCGCAATGACCTTCGGCTTCTGCGTTGCCCGTACTCTCGCCTGCGCTCTCCGCATCTCGTGGGCATACAATCTGGACAATGTGCAATTGGGAATTGCTTCGGGTATATTCGTGGCTGCTGGTGTACTGATTCTATTTATTATCAATCTGCTCTTCGCCCAACGCTGTTTGCGAGCCGCGCATCCGTCAATTGGATGGAATTATGTTGTTAGGAAGATCTTTTTAGTTCTTTACGCGCTGATTGTCGGCGTTTTGGTCATGGTCATCACGGCTACCATCTACATCCACTACACACTGGACATGCACAAACTGCAACAGTGTAGGGATGTTCTCCTGGTTGGAGGCACATATATGGCCTTCTTCTCTTTCCTTCCGCTTCCGATCATTCTGTTGATTCTTCTTGTACCGAGACACCCGTCGATACCTGTGGAAAAGTTTGGTACTGCCGGGTCCTGGACGTCCAAACTGCTGATTGTTCTTGTTACATCCTTGCTCTTATGCCTAGGAGCTTCATTCAGGGATGGAGTCAACTTCTTGCCATCGCGACTAGCCTCGAACCCATATACCGTGCAAAACAAGGCATGCTTTTACGTCTTCAATTTCACCATCGAGATTATCGTCGTCTACATGTTTGTGCTTGTCAGGATTGATAAGAGGTTCTGGGTGCCCAATGGGAGTGAGGGAACTTATTTGCTAAGTGAGGAGACTGGTGCAGCAGATCTGTCACTGGAAAAAGAGATCCGTAACAAGACTAGTGGAAGCTCATTGGCTTGATATCTTCGTCGATACTTTTTTCCATCGGCTTGCATCGACGGCGTTTTTATAGAAAGGGCATTAGAATGATTTGAATTAGAATAATTTGTCTTTGTACATCATCATTTGTTGAATATTGCCTTGCTTTTAGACTTGGAGCTAATTGCTCGGATTAACGGCATTCAAAATCTAATAGTTTTATGTTATGTTCAAGGCTATATCGTGACTAAATTAGAGTCCACAGTAACATACAGACTACGAACGAGCGTATAAGATAGGATCTAGAAAGGGGGCCAGCGAATACATATGTACTGTAGATATTCTGCATAAATAATCCAATTGGCTGACAATTGATGTGCATGCTAACTGCGCATCCTATTATGAAGCTGTCGCAACATATCGAAACAAAAATGTCAATAGATATGGAGTAGGTATTGGCCCCCCCACTCTTACCCATCAATACTATTTTTTGTTTGTTTGCTCTTAGGGTTAATGAGCGATATGTACATCTAGAAGGCGGTCACGAAGCAAACAATTGTGACAAACTCAGAACGGAATCTACTCTTTCGTTTGTTGGAAATTTTGTATACGGCATTGACAGCAAACACTAGGAAATATTTGCGTGCACAGCTCCATCAACCCCCTCTGATATTCCAGTGATATCTAGATACATTATTATTCCTCATAGAAGGGCATCCACGCAATGGATGACACGGATAAGCCAGTGATTATCAATATAAGTCGCAAACTGCTTAATGACATCCTTTCCAACCGTATTTCCTATAATCTCTATTGGAGCCTTGAGCATCGTGCCTATCATTACCTACACCCTTATTCGCCAGGGCTTATCAGGGCTTTCGAAACTGAGCCAGGCCGCATCAATGAATCTACGTCGGAGCTGATCGCTAACATCGATAGAAATGGAGTAACGATGGATGTTTATAACAATCTAACGTCGCCCATGTATTGGCATCTGAAACACAAGTTTCCAGAAAAAGTCAGAAAATACGAGATTCAAAATGGGGGCATTGTCAGTTGATTATGAAGCGTCAGACGGGGCCACAGAATGAGGATATAGGATCTCGAAGGACTCTAAACCAGCATGAAATAAAGGGGCCGTTCGACAATGATTTCTATTAAAGAATCTGGAGTGGTTGAATCAACTACCAGAAGGAATTAAGTACACAGTCAATTGATCAATACCAATTAGTGTCAACTCATGAACAGACTGTTTGCTGGGGTATACCAGATACATGTGGGTGATCAAAATTGACTGGGAAAAAAAGGGTTTATAACAGCTACGATATCAGTTTGCAATATCATGCTACATTGAATCCTACTGTGTCAACACAATGGGCTGTATCTTATAGGAAACTATTCTCGCAAAGTTTCCAAAATCAGAGCACTGCTTAGATAAATAATAATTCACCATAAAACCAAATTCATCCTTAGATGCAGCTCATCTAAGAGCCTCATTAAAATATGATAATCATCTGTCCCATCAGATGATTGCGCCATATAGCCTTCGTATAAGTTTTCGGATGAGTTTATCCCTAAAATGATGGAAAGAATCCATAAAGTATTCTCGGATATAAAGCTTTGTGAAGGAAGTAGGACTTCTTCCTCATTGGCAAATCCACTACTGGCCGTATTCTGGGTATTCAACTTGTCTTGTGAAATAATAGATCGCACTTTGGCAACAGGGATAGGTAAATCGCTAGACCTTTCCTCTTCTGGAGAAGCCGAGACAGATCTCTGGCAGTCTAGCTGTGAGCTGGACATCATTCTAGACCTTTTAGAAGGCCTCTGTCTCTCCTCTTCCAACAGGGCGCCTGTCCCACGTGGAAGGAATCTCTGTAGGGTGTGCGTTGCCAAGCATTGTAGCAACATCTGTGCTCTGGCTACTCTCGGCCAGTGCTCGAAAATTCTCTTAACAACCGCGTTCCATTGTGTGATGCGTCTCCTGATAAATGGCATATCTTTCTCCAGCATTTCTTTGGAGATGTACACGATGTATAGAAGAGTGGCCCCGGCTAGGATGATGTTGTGGGCATCGTTCCACGAGTATGTGGCTAGGAAGTGGGATCGAATATATATTTGTGTGAAGGAAATGTCGATTATTGCAGTGGATACTGAGTAGCATCGTTGTAATTGGATTAGGTCGCGGGTAGGATGTTTCAAAAATGGGCGACTCAGATGTAGTTCCGCGGTCAGGTACCATAGATGCCACCTAGAATTACATTATTTCTTCGAGGCAAAAACGAACGGTTGGGTGAAAGGTACCAACTAGCTGTGTATGGTTCCATAGCATCCAGGTGTTGAGTCTGCAGTTTCCATTCTTCCAGCTGCTGAGTTGTATTGACAATAAACTGGGTTGGGTCTTTATGACTGTCTTTGATTTCTCTTTGAAAGATGCCAGATATGTATAATTCCGAACGTATTTTCTGGATAATTTTCTGCAGCTGGATATAATGCATTAATTTTCGCCCATAATGCCCGTCCGCATGAAACTGAGCATATACTTGATTATCGGGATTAACTGAGACTGCTTTGAAGCATTGATCCATGGACCAGGCGGTTAAATAAAGCCACCTTCGACTTTCCGAAGAGTGGCCCTCGCTATGAAATCCCAGGTTCAAGCATATCTGTATGGCCATTTCTGACATGCACCCCGGAGATACAAGGTCAGTGTCATGTCGCATCGAATACAGGACCAGCAACAGCACGCACTGCACCGTCTCATCATCTTTTGGGGCCACAAGTATCCGACCAAGCCGATTCATCGCTCTAGTATATGCATATTCTGCCAGTGAGTCTGCTCTGGGCGTACGGCCAATCAACGATAATAATGAGATCGACATAGCCATGTTTATCATGAAAAAGACCTTGTCGGGGATGGTATCCGCGTTGGCATATAGATCGCCATGGTTTGAACGGATTTGGTCAACCTGTTTGATAAACTCATCTTCGATGAGGATTGGGTATGGAAACTGCGAATAGCAAAAGTAGTTTCTAATTAGCTTTACCACGGTGGTTAGCTTCAAGGTGCTTCCGCTGCTCGCTGAAGGCGCATGTTTCTGGGCCAGCTGTGACAGCGCGAGATCAATTTCGAGCATATGCAATCGACTCTCTAAATCACAGATGTGTTCACGCGAAGAGCAAACAGAAGAGCCAGGAGACAGGACATATTCGCACGCTGTTCCGGCTCGTGCGCAGGGGCTGCAGCGTGGACGGCCAGGGTCGCACCGGATTTTCTTGCTGTGACATCGCGTGCACACAGGAATCTCGTATACCCTAGCAGCAGACATTACATGGCGTATCGCTCAAAATTCAGCCGAGTGATGAAGGGGAAAACCCAACAGTGAAATCAATTGATCAATTGATATCTGAATAAAAAAGGTCCGGAGTATAGGCGGGCGGGCTAGCCCAGTTCAGGCAGTGCCGGCCCACCATCTCCTCTCCTCCTCTTCTTCTCTCCTTCTCTGTTCCTCTTCCGTAGACAGTTATATTACTACACAGTTATATTACTCGCTATTGTCCACCATCAAAAACGCCGGCCTGTTGCCATGCGAAATGCTGATCGGAACTGCATGCAATGGCAAGCAGCATATGGCCAATTGAAATCGCACCCATCCGTGTAAAGCACTACCAACTTGCATGCTCATTTTGCAAGACGCGAAAAATCAAGGTACAGCTGACCCTATTCGCCATGTGGCACATGGTTAAGCAAGGTGTAGTGTGACAGACAGAGGCCTTCTTGTTCGTCGTGTATCAAGCATGACAGAGCAAACACATGCTCCTTCAGATCCCCGCATCAGGGTCTCCTGCAGAATTGTGATTATGTTAAGTATCTAGAGCAGAGGATTCGGTCGCTTGAAGAAGCCCAAAACGGGGACTTGCTAGAGAAAGAGCAAGAAGATACGGCCCATGATGAGTTGATAGACGAACTCAGCGCTGTGGATGTGTTGACGTGGGAATCGCCTGCACCTCTCATGCAGCTACCCGGGATTGTCCTTTGCTCTGCTGATATTACCGGCACACTTCAGCCTGCTGCAGGAGCAGTAGAGGAATTGCCAAAGCCCAGTCTTCCGGATAAGCATATCGGTGCGAAATTAATCCAGTGCTACTTAGATCACATCCACGCGTCAACGATTCCTTTCATTTCTGCACGTACCCTTTGGAGTCAGTTTGACTTGGTATATGCGGCAGAATTTGATATGACCAATGCCAATCATGCGCTTTATGGACCTTGGTTTAATGTTTTTATTGCTATGGCAATAGCCACCTCTTTTCTGTCGCGCAAAGGCCATTCGATAATATCCACCACAGCTACAGCTTTCTTCCGACAGGCTGCTTGTCGTTTCCTTCTCGCATATAAGCGAAGAGATACAACACAAAGTGCGCTGCAGAAAGTATTATTCTTAATACAATATGCAATGCTGAACCCATCAGACCTGGATGTCCAATGTCTCATCGGTGCTGGTGTGCGCATGTGCATTGATCTTACAATGCATCAGGACTCCAACCTAAGCGTTGAACAATCGCAGATTCGGCAGAGTTTATTTTGGGCGATCTATTACTATGATCGGTCCTTTTGCATCGCACGGTCAGAGCCATATAGATTACCACATATGGTCGAAGTGGACTATCCGGATTACGATTCAGAATTGCTTTATTATGCTCAAAAATGCCACATCATGCAACTGCAGTCTGCAATTTTCGATGAGTTGTATACAAAGACACAAACGTCGGAGGATGTAGTCCCCCGGTTCGTTACAGACCTTGAAGCATGGAGTCGAAATAATGCCCCTTTAATATCATATAATGAAAGTCTATCTCTCACTCTCGAGTACCATCGCGCATTGATCCTCCTATATCGCCCATGCAAAGGATTAAAAGAGCGATCATTTAATGATAGTCTCTGCCTTTGGCGTTCCTCGCTCCACTACGCGACGTTTCAGAAGACAAATGACGAGACAGTGGATGTTGCAACAGCGACAGAGTGGGCCTATATGACTGGTATTGCGCTGATTTACTCCTTTTCGAGAATCTTACAATCTAGGAATAAGGATGGTGTATCGGATGGAATAAAAGACATCCAAATCGGGAATTTATGGACTGGTCTGCAAAGTATCTCCCACAGCCTGCACATGATATCGGGGAAATGGCCAAGTGCAAAGCCGATCGCGAGCCGATTTGAAACACAGGCAGAAAATTCGATTGTTGCTGTGGGCGAACTAATAGAAGGTCGGACGGGCGTTAATTTCCCAGCAGACGTTACGGAATTCGATCAACATGGGAGTGTTACAAGGGGCCTTATCTTTGGTAGAAAGAAAAAACAGGCGAAAGAAGAACCATTTGAGGAATTAATTCAAGATCTTCTTGAGTATCAGATAGCATAAAGTTTTGCTCATTATTTATGGCACTGATTAATCATAACTTCTTCTCGTTTCAATTGACTTTTGACAGTCTCCGCAAAGACTCCCCTCCGATCGACTACTCGGGGGATGCTGTAGGGGAGTGTTATACCTTCCTAGCACAACGTTAGGTCTGTTACCACTCAGCATGATATACGAGTCTTCGTTGGTTTGTGATGAACCCGCATGCGAGGCGAAAATGCGAAAGAACGGTCGCGTAACGGCGAGGCTGCCAGCGGTAATGCCCAGGCTAGCCTCAATATTGGACCAGATCGATATATCAGTTGTTGTATCTGACCATGTTAGAAGATGTGCGGAGCTGAAGAGGAGAGAATGGATGTACGAACAAAGAAAATTTGGGCTATTTGCGTCATGTAAAAAGGGGATGCGAACAATTACAGCGGTGCTTGCACTAGATATTGTTAGAACGAGCCATAAAGTGCGAGTAAGCAGTAAGAGGGGCCTGAACATACACACAAGCAATGCCCAGGATTCCGGAGACTGCGATTTTGGTCCGCCTGTTCATCTGCAACTTCCTTATCATGAATCCCGGCAAAATCCCCATGGTGAAATCGCACACGGCAGCCACGCCGCTATACATATAAACAATGCCAAGCAGTGCGTTTATATTGAGACAATGGCCGTTCAGCATTGTCGTCCGGTCCCAGTAGTAATGAACAGGGCTGCATTGGAAAATGGTGAAGAAAAAGAAGACGATGCCGACGATGGTCGAGAGCATGATGACAGAGTAGAGAATGCGCTGGTGGATAGGCTCGACAGCGATACGGAGGAGAGTGATGGCGATGGACATGCGGGCCAGGGTGCAGGTTATGATGTAGAAACATTGGCCGAGCCACCAGCCCTGGTGCACAGTTAACGCCGAACATGAGCATCAATCGCCATCATTCAATATTGAACTCCAAGACTTACCAGCAGCCCCAATCGCACATCGTCTGGGTGCAGAAGAAGATATCCGGAAGACTTTCCCATGCCGTGCACAGCGCCGAAAATTCCAAACGCTGCGCATGCGATGTTGGAAATCTGCAATTGGTATACGACAGCGGTCAGCAATATTATTCTGAGGAGGCAAAAGACCTCACTGCCGACGATCGACAACTTACCGCCGCCGCCACCATCAGAGCATCATCGCGGCCAAACGACTTCACCACGCGCAGGCGTACAAAGCACCGCAAAGACACAGTGACAAGGGAGAGGGCCAGGAAGACGGCGGTGACGATGATAATCGCCTGGCTGCCGGTCGCCATGTCTGTCTACATCTGCTACCGATCGATCGATCGATGTTACCGTAGCCAACAGTTCGCGAATGCAAGGCTAGCCAGCACCGAGATCCGACTTGCGCAGGCCATAATAATAATAATATATAGGTCTTATATTAATCCCAACCCATGTCGCGGCGAAGAAATTTAAGGGTCAAGCAGACAGACTGTGGGGAAGCTGCCCTGCGCATCGGTCAATGGCGATTCCAGAATCCGGATGCGTCTCTCCTGATCGTGCTCTGCGCCGTCTGGTTGGCTGCGATTCGCCTTTTTCGCCGCAGTGGTTCCAAGGCATTTAATATTATTACGTAAAGATTTTGCAGGCGATCCCTCAGACATCGCACTATCGACGACTCTATAAACTATAGACACTGCACTATGGGGTATAAACTACGGCGCTATGGGCTGTAGTGTGGCGGGAACGAAGAAATAAGGACCTGAGCCAAGGTCGAACCGGTTAGGAAAAGAAGGCCCGTTTAACTTCATGGACTATGATTTTCCTTTAGATATCAAAATATAAATTATACTTGCAAATACCTCATAATTTTTATATATTTCGATCTTTTGATTAAAAACGCATAATTGAATAGTACTTGGTGTTATTCCTAATTAAAAGCTTAAGAATTTACTCGGGAAAACCATCAAACATCGGCATCCATTATTCAATTTTTTGAATATCAGAAAGAGAGTGATATCAATAGTAAACTTGCCTCTTTGCCAACAGCTGCCTTGATCTAGTGGCTAGGGTAACCGGCTGCAGTACATGAATATTTATTCGCTTCCGGTAGATCGCCGGTTCGAGTCCGGCAGGCAGCTGATTTTTTTGTTCAACCAACAAAAAACACCAAACTAGAAGAGAATTGGAGCACACGTCCGGCCCAAACTGGGACAGGGGAGGGGTTTTTTTTTTGAATTATGGAATTGGTTACATCAACTGAATTCGACGATACCATGTTGCCAACTGGCATCCGAGCTTAGCAAAGCCGAGGCTGTCACGCCACGTGAAGCCCCAATGTATTGCCGAGCTTATCGATTATTGCATATATCATTGATGTCTTAGTTCTAGTGGGACCGTGCTAAACGTCAACTGGTATATCAATTGACGTATATGCTATATATATATATATATATAATCTGCTATCCACATCTATCATACGGCACCCGCAACATAGAAGATGCAGCCTTCCAGGAAGCCAGTTCCCACGGACCTGGCTGGCCAGCCAATCCCCCAGAGCAAGCGCTGGGCATTCTCAACGGCCTCCACGGCGAACACGAAATTGCGCTCTCTCTCTACCCATGCTATCCTCATCGCCGGCTTTGTAGCGTTCAACGAGTCGGCCAGTGGCCGCAAATTCTATAGCACCATCGACCAAAAGTACGGCGCCTACAATGTCAACATCTGGGGTACCTTTATCGTGACTTCGGTCTTCTTCTGGGCATGGGCTGCTGTCTTTGCCATCCCAGACTTGACTGGCTGGCCCCACTGGTTGTTCAAATACAAAACTCAGCCCTTTGTCCGCGTCGATGGACGGTCCTACATACGGATTGCGGTCATCTCCCTGCGAAACCAAATCCTCGTGGCTCTCCCTTTGGTTTTTCTATCAACAATGACCGGTCCGCTCAAGCCAGTCCACCCGTCGGCTCTGCCATCTGCCCCGGAGACTGTTGTGGTCGTATTGTTCGACATTCTCTGTACTGAAGTTGGCTTTTACTACATCCACCGAGCCTTTCACTCCAAATCTCTCTACCCAAAATTCCACAAACAGCACCACGAGTTCACCGCCCCTGTCGGAGTCGCTTCAACCTACTGTACCATGACCGAGCACATCTTTTCCAATCTCTTACCCAACGCCCTGGGTACCATGCTCGTTCGGCATCACTGGTCGCAAGCAGTTTTTACCTTTTTGTTGCTTGAGTTCTCGACGATTTGCACCCATTCGGGATATAATATTCCCTGGCTGCCATCAAATCTACAGCATGATTTCCATCATTTTGCCTTTGACGAAAACTTTGGCCCTACTGGCTTATTGGACAGATTTCACCAAACGAATCACAAGTTTACCAAGGCAATCGAAGAGGCAAAAGTGCGGGTTGGCGGAGATGAAGAAAAAGCCCGAATGCTTATCTTGGAAAAACTTGCTCGGGATAATATCAACTGACGACTAGTGCCCAGTCAATTAACAGCGTTGGCCAGCTGCATGGCTTCTACATGTGTGCACTCTCAGCATTGGATTTACCAGTAATCTCAAGACCGCAACTCTTTATGCCAGGGTTCTCGTAGTGCGCACTATATAAAACTTCAGATATATCAATTGATGGGTTCTTATGGAATGCAGGCATCAATTGACGCTAATCCATATAAGACCTACGCCAGTCTCTCGCCAGTTGACATTCCACGTTGCTTCAAAGATATCAACTAATGTCCAAAACTCACGCCCTCAGCCTTTGAAAATAGTATTGCCAATCAATTTAATTTCGAGCTTATCAACCATAACTTTGGATGATTCCAACATAGGATTACAAGTGTTACATATTACATGGAGAAAGGAATATTGGAAACTTGACTGATTGCTCTTTTTGTAGTATCCCTTGACATAACCATGGCCATTATAAGACTATTGTTATTTCAATTTAATATTATAACTTGAATTCCCTTTGTAAATACAGATTCTGCCCACAGCCTACGATTCCTAACTCTACTGTCAGTCGTGCTCTGAAACAGGCTGACCGACTAATAAGCTTTAACACATCTACCTAGTCCATCGTACGGCGAAGACTCGTGCCAATACGTTTCAGATCACTCTGCATTGACCAGCTATTCGTCTTTGAACTAGTCAACAGATTGACCATATTATGCTGACGGTTTCTTATTGAGTCGCTCCATTTTCTTTGTTGAAATGTGGGTACTATTGAATCACAGCTCATAATTGACGTCTTTCTTTCTATGGGTTTGACCTCAGCGCACACCACAGTATCGACTGATGCGACTGAAGTTGACGAATTTGGTGCGTGGATGACCATCAGTGCGATGTTGTACAACCTCACAAATCAACATTTATACTGTCATCGCATCATTGAAAATCGATGCTAAACCTTCAATCACGGCCGTACTTCTATAAGTTGACGAGAGGGTGATAGCACAACATGCAAAGGATCAGCAACCTTTATATCTGCCTAAACTTAACCTGCCACTACATTGTCGACTGTATCAAGTATCTTAATTATCTCCAGCTCTGACTATAATCGTATCGACTATTGCCATGACCGATGTATTAGGAGAATTTAGAATAATAGGACCGCTTCTAAGGGAACAGACCTGGCCGGTTCTCCATACAACCTTGTTATTACACCGTTTCAATCCCAAAGTTGGGACGGTGACAAGCTATAACGCTATGAAACTTGGATGTGTTTGGTGCATCCTGCCAAACTAGCGGTCAATCAGCGGATTGGCACCGGTCTTGATTCAGTGCCGTTACTTATGCCATTGGCTCGGCATGGTATCGGCTCCGGCAAGTTTTCAATATTAAATAGGCCGACTGATCACTGCCTGGTTCGGAGCTAATCCTTTTATTGCCTTTTATTAATCTATAAGTTGTCCACGAGTGCCTGGAGAGGCAACAGTGAGGTAACACCAGCCACACCCAGCGGGGGTTTTCCAGAATTTCAAGTCCATAAATGAATTATTATCTCTACCCCACATGGGAAACAAAACACTTTAATCCACAAATAAAGGGCATATGACGACAAAGTCGAGCCTTGATGTAACTGATCGACAGCGGGGAAAGTTTAGCGTGTGACCTCTGCTTTTAAGAGGTGAAAAGTCTCTCACAAGACCCCCTTTCCCTCCCCCGCTGCTGGCTACGTATACGGTATATTAGCAGTCAACTACAATTCCTCATGTGATCGGCATATGAGCAACCCCGCGCACATGCCCTATCGGCTATTCTCGAATCAAATCTCCAAAGCCGGATCGTCCAAACGCGTCAGATCCTAACAAAGAATCGCAGCACTCACTACATGTACCCAGTCTAACATCATGTTGACCGGATGTACGGGGAATTACGGGTTTTTTTTCCTATCGTATTATGAGAATACAATTCCATACATTCCATTGGCCGGTAAATAAATCTCCCCGCCTGGCTAATCACCGGGGTAGCCCCGTCAAATTTCCAAGGAGCAGGGGGACTACTCGACCCAGACTCTATACAAGCCATCCTATTCGTTCCTCGCATAGATTTTAGTCCGGACGTTTCGTCTCATATGACACCATACGTATATGCGCTTCCACTCATATCTAGCGATTGTCTGTTCTGGAAATTAGCTGTCGTCATGCGGTGGAGTCCGTCAACAAGGGAGTAGACCCATTCCCCGTGGTATCAATACCAAATCATTCCGGAATGCTGGTCAGGCGATGTCATGTATTAACTATTAAACAGAGTAGTGGGTCATGAGATTCCTTAGGTAGTGGTAGTATGTGGTAGGCCGTTACATTTTCGTTAAATCATGTTGTTGGTTTTCCCAATTCGGCACATGCATGATCCATCAACAAGCTTAACCCTAATCGATGGCTTGTTACGGCTGTCGGAAGTCCACGATGCATGCAACCAATACAATGCATGCGCATTTACGTGAAATAAACTGCGATAACATTCGAGAATAGGTTCAGGCTTCCGAAGCACTACATATGCAAGGGGTTTCCCCATGCCCTCTCTTTTTTCCTTCTGAACAAAAAATAAAAATACATAGTACTTCTCTTTCGCCTGTTTATTTATTCCTCTTCTACTACGCAAATTAAAGACTGGACATGGTCTTGTAAATGATTGTACCACCAAAATGCGGCAAACGTACTTCTTCCTAGGTCTTGTTGTTGCTGTATCCGCTGCCTCGGTGGATAGCTGCCCTGGGTACACCGTCGGCGAAATTGTACAATCGCGTTCTTCATTGACTGCAGACTTGTCCCTTGCTGGGGATGCGTGCAATGTATACGGGTCTGATGTGAGTAATCTTAAGCTACTGGTTGAATATCAGACAGGTAAAGGAGTCACTTATCCCTGGCGGGAAAGAATATTCGATACTGAAACGACCAGATTCTCGTCTGCATGTCAAAATCTACGATGCCGAAGAGCAAGTCTACCAAATTCCCGCCTCAGTCCTGGAGACCCCTTCTGGTCAGCATGGCTCTTCGTCCAGCGCCTCCGATCTGACCTTCTCGTATACGACAAACCCATTTTCATTTGCAGTTCAACGCCGCTCCAACCAGGACGTCCTTTTCAATGCGACTGGCCTGGTTTTCGAAAGCCAATACGTGCGCTTGCGCACCTCCCTACCACAAAACCCAAACATTTATGGACTGGGTGAGGATTCAGACTCGTTTAGGCGAGAAACGAACGACTACACACGCACACTATGGAACAGGGGTGCTGCCTTTTTGCCTCAGCATCAAAGCCTGTATAGTAGCCATCCAATTTACATCGAAATGCGCGATGGCCAAGCGCATGGCGTATTCTTATCTAATAGCAATGGCATGGATATCAAAATCAACCAAACCGAGCTAGAAGGACAGTACCTAGAGTACAATATTATAGGCGGCGTGCTTGATTTCTACTTCCTGTCTGGCCCTGAGCCAGCCGATGTGGCACGTCAGTATGCTGGTGTGGTTGGAACAGTAAGTTTTTTCGTAATTTTTCAAAATTTCATGTCTTGCTGCGGAGGAACTAATGAAGTCCTAATCGAACAGCCTGTAGAACAGTCTTACTGGACATATGGTTTTCATCAGTGCAAGTATGGCTACGAGGATGTCATGATGGTTGCTGAGGTCGTCTATAACTACTCTCAGGCCAACATCCCGCTGGAGACTATGTGGACCGATATTGATTATATGGACTTGCGTCGTACATGGACACTTGACCCTGAGCGCTTTCCGTTGCATAAAATGCAAGAACTTGTCACCTATTTACATGATCATCAGCAGCAATACATTATAATGGTTGATCCGCCGATATCTCTGAATGACAGCGCATCTTATGATGCTGGCAAGGAAAAAGACTTGTACATAAAATGGGCGAATGGAACCGACTTTGTGGGAACAATGTGGCCTGGTCCCATCTCTTACGTGGATTTCTTCCATCCAAGCTCGTCAGATTTCTGGAGTGGCCAGATCGCCTCGTTTTTCAGTGATGAATCAGGTGTTGGGGTCGATGGGATGTGGATTGACATGAACGAAGTACGCCTATCTATTCTCTTAAATTGATACAGGAACATCATTGTTAACAATACTTAGCCAGCCAACTTTTGTCAATATCCATGCGCCAACCCTATTCAAGCTGCCATTAATGGCAACCTCCCGCCGCCACCACCAGCTTTGCGTACAAGCTGGGATCCATTGCCTGGGTTTCCTGCTGACTTTCAACCCCAATCAGCGTCTAAACGCGGCGTGAAACAAGACACGGGAAACATGACAGGACTCACAGGTCGAAACTTTGCTAATCCGCCCTATAGCATCTCAACTGGCGATGGGACATTGAATGCAGGTTCTGCCTGGCCAGAACTACGAGTATATGGCGATTATGTACTATACGACACACACAATCTATACGCTTCGCAAATGATTGCGCAGTCGCGACAAGGCCTTCTCGACCGTCGCCCAAATGAACGTCCTTTCATTATCACTCGAAGCTCCTTTGCTGGCGATGGGGCGAAGACTGGCAAATGGACTGGTGACAACGCATCTATATGGGCACATTATCTACTCTCGATTGTGCAGCACATGGAATTCGCATCCATTTTTCAAATTCCCATGATTGGCACTGATGTCTGTGGATTTAATGACAATACTACTGAAACTCTCTGCGCCAGATGGGCGATGCTCGGAGCGTGGTATCCATTCTATCGAAATCATGCCGATATATCTGCAAATTTCCAGGAATTTTATCGCTGGCCACTAGTAACAATTGCAGCCAGGAAAGCAATTGCGACAAGGTTTCAGCTCCTTGATTATTTCTACACGGCTTTCCACCAGCAAACTGTAGACGGGTCGCCGACGACAATTATCCCACTTTTCTTCCAATACCCCAATGACCCGAATACTCTTAATATCAACTATCAGTTCTTCTACGGCCCTTCTATTCTCGTTTCACCTGTGACTGAGGAGAGCCCATCACCTACAGCCACAGAGACAGATTCCCAGAGCGTGACGCTATATCTCCCTCAGGATACATTTTATGATTTCTGGACGGGAGAAAAGGTCATCGGCACTGGATCACAAATCACCCTTGATAATATCACTTACACTGACATCCCTGTGCACGTTCGTGGGGGTTCCATTCTGCCTCTTCGAGTTGACGCAAATCAGGCCAATACCACTGCACAGCTACGCACCCACGATTTCGAGCTTCTCATCGCGCCTGACGCAAATGGAAAGGCGACTGGAAGCTTGTACTTGGATGACGGTATAAGCGTCAATCCGTCTTCATACAGCGAGATTGAATTTAGTTATGATAATGGACATTTGACAGTGAGTGGAACATTCGGCTTCCATACTGAGCTGCAATTTGTTGGTGCAAAGGTGATGGGTGGCAACTCTATCAAAGGCAGTAACGGCTATTCACCTTATACACAGTTGAATAAGGGATTGAACGAGGGATGGGAAGCTCGTGTTAATACTTAGGATCTGAGAGTTGCTATTTTCCTTTCTTTTGTATATACTACATTTGCGATTATTCACAATATAAGTAGTAGTACAAACTCGATGTCTTACCACTCGTACATTCATCAATTAAATCCCTTGTGGTAGTCATCGTCAAATAAATTACCATTTCTAGATGTACTGTGACTCCGTTCATGCCAATCTTGCTAGCACCATATGCGGGAAATCGGCCCATCTTCTTCGTCAAGCTATTCTGCATGCACCCAAGACCAGAGCTGATATTTATCACTTTTCGGTCCGTAGATCTGTAGAGCAAGTCCATAAATGCATCAGTCAAAACAGCCACCGAGGTAAGATTGACGTTCAGTAGCTCATTGTACGTGCTGCGCGTGTTGGAAGATCAGTGGAGTTGGCCGGCGCGACTCTGAGAATACCAGCATTGTTTATAGGCACTTTTGGGGTTAACTGCGAGTAAAATATGATATTCAACTAGAAGAGAAGGCCTTACCATCCAATTTGCCATACTTCAGCTCCACATGCTTTGCGACTGCAGCAATTTGCTCGTCATTTGTCACATCGAGCTGGATCAAATCCATATTGGCCTTCACACCCAGCTTTTGGAGCTCTTCTACAGCTCTCTGTCCATCTCCAGGGCTTCGACTGCAAAGAGGTACGTATTCTAAGACTCACGCAGGCCAACAATCTTAACAATAGAATAACCCAGGCCTTGAGTTGCGCCAGTGACAAAAACAACTTAGCCAGTAGACATTGTGAATTGGCATTTTTCAATATTTTTCTATAACTCAACGGAAAACTAGTATATATCAATATTCTCTTAGGTCTCTTTGACGGTTTATAAATTCATCCTTGATTCGGAGTTAAGCGGATTTAGTCGTTGAGCGGGTTTAAATAACTTCACTCAACATGCTTCGCTACAAATTTATGTTAGCTCAAGTGAGCAAACATGAGGAGCAGAATATGAGATAAATTATTTGATAGTGTTCGAACTAAGATTCTTCAGTGGAAACATTACTAGCATAGCCTCTTGGGAGTTACACTCCCCTCTGACTTCGTGGGCGGAAATATACTGTCAACTGATCGACTGGAGGAAACTGCACTCAATTATTTTAGGCCAAAACATAAATTGGACCCGAATGACTTTATGTAAATTCTGGTAATGTTGCTTTCTGACTTCTGAGGATTTGGTATTCATACCGGGACAGAATGTAGGTTTACACAAACACCAAAACTCACTGGGCACTAAATATGAGACAGGGGCTTATTCTGGGATATAGACCCAGAATAAAGACCTATTCACTCTGACATTGAATCTTAGTCAAAAAAAACCTTTGGAGTATATATACGTCAAACTCGTGGAACATCATTAGCCCGCGATGACACGTTTTATGAAAAGCCGTATCTCAAGGCCCCTCTGGCTTCTCCAACACTCGGTAGATAAATCTTTCATTCACGGTATGCACACGATCTTCCATATCTTGTTCTCGAACCTCATTAGTTATTCAACATGTCAGAGTCTTGATCTAGAAGATGTAGCACTTAGAGGGAAAGTACCAGATACTGGCCCATTGGATGTCCCTCATCATCCTCAAGGAGCGACGAAATGACGCCTTTGTGTCGATAAGGGTCTGCAAATATTGGAATCAGATTTGGTCCAAAAAAGGGGAGGGATGTCGATACTGTCGATTGGGCTGTATTCTATCCACTGGCCGGGCTTATATTTCTGCATGATCATGGTAGTACAACGGCACTTTGAAGCTTTCTGCTTTTTGAGTAACATTCAATCAGTCTGTTAAATGGTTTTGTTTAAATCTGATCGTTTTATTGGCAATCTGAAGCTATGGGTAGGCTAGTAAGGAAATACTTACTATGATGTAGAGCATTTATGTCATACATACACAATTGCCACTTCAAAAGTTGCAATTGAAGTATGAAGTAGCTCTAATTCGTGGGGAGGAGATACGAAAAACTGAAATTCGATTTTAAGAAACGATCAACTTTCCTAAAATGTTGAAAATAAATCTATTTAATTATGCAAGATCTGTTTCTAAGTGATATTCTATCCAGATGTTGTCTGATTAAATACAAATATTCAACACCGAATGTTCCGTTCCCAAACATGGATTTTGAGTGTCAGTTAAAAAACGCTAGCATACCCCATTTCGAAGGCCAAAAATCCAGGCCTAAAGTAATTCCCATTTATTTAGCAATTAATACGAGTATCAACACACAATCATCATCACGATAAACAGCTACAGAAGAGACCACTGGTAACAATATTACGGAAACTGAAAAGTCCATTGGTGACGACGAAGTAACTCACCAGTCTTCCCTTGATGCCATTTCATCCGAATGGAAAAAAATCTGCGACGATGGCTATCAACCCGACACTTTTCCCACTGACGCTATTTATATCTCAGAGTTCGTTGTGCGTGAGCTAATTTTGATTCAATACAAGCCCCACTGTACTACGAGGCCGGCACATTTAAAATATCTACGTGAGATTTTTGAACCAGAAAACCTTGAAATGTCACAGTCAAGCGATGCGCAAAGTCACCTCATCGTTAAAGCATATGGGTGAGAGTGGCATGGATTGTGAGCGCGATGAAGGGAGGGAGGATTTTGTCAATCGGTACTAGATTTTATGGAGTTTTTCAAAACAAAGATATGCCGTGGAATTGGTGTTGATGGGTTGAGAGACTGCAAACTAATGGCATTTTTCCTCCTCATTTCTGTAGGATAATTATGCTATTTACCGTTGCTAATCCTTTGTATGTAGGGAAATTGTGTGTCTTCAGTAAAGGAGACATGACGGAGCCTTCTATTCATCTGTTTCGTGTGAATACACCATGCTGTAAGAAGTTCGGCAAAACAGTAGCAAGAAACAGATAACTCAGACGAATTCAGAATAAGCTAGAATATGTTTAAGACGAAAATTGCAACTAAATGGTTCTACAGACGCCAGTTGTAAATGCCTTAGGCTTATTGAATATATTATATTGTTTAAATTGCGGGGACTTTATTTGCCTCTAATTCAATTCTTCTTTTGAGATATATTGAATTATCCTTGATTGATTAAACTTGGCGGTTCAAATTTAGGTCTGTCATCCATATTTCCTAGGATCAATCTCGAATCACATGAGATGTTGGTAAATTATAGTTTCAAATGTTCCTTTCTTACTCAATCCTTCCATTACCAGGTAACTAGATGGATATAAAAGGAGAACCTTCGATGTGAAGAACAACAGTAACATGATAACATGATTTGTCCAACGTTCGATTGTAGGCACGACTCCTTATCGGTAAATGTATGGCTGAAACTGGAATCAAAGCAGCAAATCGTTGTTGATCAACAGGTTTACATGCCAATCAAAATTAGATTTCCAGTGGATTAAAAGTGTAATAAATTGGAAAAATAGCTTAATACTCATTGCATATGAAAGGACATCATTATCATCATCGAGGCGTGACATAATGTACAGCACAGTACAGCAGTGTAAACCTAGACCATCAAGAAGCGCAAAAAAAAGTTGAATTCACCACCGAACCCTGAGAAGAAAAAAACCAAATAGATAACCCCACTGATGAATGAATAGCAAGCAAAGTCTCATCGCCCTTGCAAGCCGTAGACCAGCAGGAACATAAAAGAAACCAAAGTAATGCCACTCAGTTAAAACGCCAAACTCTTCGTTTAACCATCTCAAACGTGCTTTTCAAAGACTCAAAGCTCCAGAAAGGAAAAGCATTAAAATGTACTCGCAGAAGAATATGCAACCACTAATTGTCCGAATCCAGCGGTATCTATACGTTGGAAGAGAAGCAACTTGAATATACCCAGAACGCAAAAAATGCAATTGTCGGCATAAAACCTCACGGCTCACAAAGAAGAAACCAGGAGACCAGTATTTACTTGACTCTAGTCGGAGATGCTCCCACGCTGCCCACCCGACCGCTAATTTTGCGAACGCCCCTGCTCTCACCCTTGCTATCGGTAACCCGACGAGGGCTGGGCCGTACTTTGCTCAGAGGGATGCCGCCTTTGGTGCTACTGGGAGTCTTCTGGACAGCTACTCCAGATTCTACCCAGTTTTCTCGGTCTTCGTGCAAGTCGTAACTAGTTGTGACGGTAGCAGAATAGCTGATTGACCGTGCAGCTGGAGATCCACTGGGAGACCTTGATGCTCGTTTAGCAAGCATGCGCATTTGGATTTCCTCCTCGCTTTCACTCTGCTCAGTACCTGAGCGCCGAGACCTTCGCACGGAGGTTCGATCTGAAGCCTTCTCCGATTCTCCATTGACCGCCAGTGTACCCGAGACATTGCGGGCGTACGGATGATGACGAGAGTCCTTGCGGTGAGATTTTCGAGGTTGGCCAGGTGTCGGCGCAGGCAAGTTCTCATCGGCATAAGAGCCACCGCCTTCGTTATTGTCGATCTCTCCGAGTGCCGACCTTCGCGATTGGTTTGCATTGGGAGGGGTCACAGTCTGCCCATTACTTGATCTTTGCTTATTGACCTGACGACCAGGAGTAACGGGGGCAGCCAACGCAAGCTTCTCACGCATTGAGTCTTCAAACCACCATTCGCGGAAAGCGCCTTGATTGAGATGGAGCCAATGTTGCTGTGGTCCCACCACCATACCGGGGCGCATAAATCGCATAAAAGCAATTATTTCATTTGCCGTGAACCCATATCGATATATAAGATAAGCACCAATGAGGCAGCCGGTACGACCCAAACCAGCCTTGCAATGAACTGCAATTCCTTTGTTCTTCACTGTAATCATGTCGTGTGCCATCTTGATGAATCTTCTAACAAGTGGCAATGGTGGACATGTACCATCTTCAAATATCATATCAATGTGATCGATTCCAAGAGCAGTGAAATAAGAGGGACAGTAAAGCTCGGAGTTCAGTCGTACGACAAGCCCGACGTTTCGCGATGAGAAATGAGCAAGCACATTCTTGAAAGGAACTGGGAGTTGCGAAGCCATCACTTCGGATATGGTCTTGGGAAGTGCAGCGTATTTCGGCGTGTTCGGTGGGATAGGGGCAACAGGTTGTTGCTGCGGTGAAGCAAATGCGATGAAATGAGGGGTGATCCAATTGAAATCGCCCATATCTACTCGCTCGTATCGTTCATACCTATCTTGTTAACATGATTTCTCCAAATGAAAGTGATTACTAGACTCACTCTTCCAGACTAAAATCTTTCAAGCCGCACAGAGACTCCTCCTTTGCCTTCCACACACCATACACGACATCCTGAATATTGAGAACAAAGTCCGCTTGGCTGTAGCCAGCATCACGGAACGGCATATAGGGGGGTTCGGCTTGAGCAATGGGGGCGAGGGCGAGATGCGGTGGCCATGATTGAATCAAGACCATGTAACAGGCAACCAGACAAGCAGCATTCGCACGGCTTCGGGGATCGGGCTTGCTCCAAAACACGACAGGCTTGTCAGCATTGGTTGAATCACCAAGAATTTCATGGAAGTGCACAGCAAATCGGTATAGGTGACCAATATGGAGAGGGCCGAAGTCTGCATGGAAGGCGTTGTAAAGGAGAGTATCGTCGACCGTGAAGTATACGGGAACTTTGCGTTTAGGAGCCCTCACTGGACTTTGCGGGGTCTTGACAGCTCGCTTACTAGGCGACGATTGCTGCTGCGAGGGGAATGGGAACAGCGCATTTGGATCTGGCGCAGAGGAAAACGATGCGAGATACAAGCGATCTGGTTGCACGTCAGCATTTGGTTTGTTGCTGGACATGCGAGAAGTAGCTCTTGCGGAATCATGAGCTCACGTGCCCATACCTTGAATATATTCGATCACCTGTCCGTGACCGGCCGGAGCGTGCGACGGCATCTTGATATTTGTTGCCGCCAGGGGAGAGTAGAAAGCTACTCAGAGTGCCAAATCGGATAGTGACAGCAGAACAGAGTGCAGGCCTTGGAGAACCGGTGCCGGGATGGATTGAGAGATCAATATAACAGGCCCTCCACCATGGATTGAGGCCTCAACACAACACAACACAACAGCCGCAGTTGCAGGGGACAGCGATAAAGAATAGGAAGCAGTATGCGATGCAATGGATAAATAGCTGGAATAGGGAGCAATGCAGCGAGCAATGCGCAGGCGAAGGGCAGTAACAATATATCGGGGAGAAGAAAGAGAAGAAGAAGCATCACAGTAATAATAATAACTAATCATCACAAGAGTAGCAATGCAGTAGTCGGCCTGAGGCTCTAAGTTGACACTGGCGGCAATTGCCCCACTGTAGAGCCACCTGTGATTGGCTGCTTGCCCATACTCTTCCTAATGCGGCTAGTGTACTCCCGTTGACGGGACAACGGCGTGCTGCCCTAGGCGCCGAGGCTGCCACCTGCACCGTCGGCCAATCAGCGGTTCCATGCCACACAAAACAACAACAACAACAAATAGCAAATAGTTACATTGAATAATCAGCAACAAACAAACACAGGCAACATTTTCGGCCACTTCTTGTTTGCCACCGTGCCACGGACCGGCTATCCGTCATTCGATTAACAGTTCTTCTTATGAGCATCCCCTATCCTCCATACTCACAGCGTGACTTGTCACCGATCCTGGAGTCCAAATGACAAGTCATTCATTAGCTATCCCTGTGGTGTTTGTTTAGCCCAACTCACATACCAGACAGAATACGGACGACAGAGGAAACTGATAGGAAGAAACCTGGCTTCATTACAGCTGCATCCGTCTAGCTGATGTATAGCGTTCAATTCAGTCTTACGACTATCAAATCTCAATATGAAGATAGCGACTCAACGACGTCGTACTATTATACTAACAGTTAAATACTATGTGGCCAATGTTCATCTCCATGGCTGCTATGGGCTAGCTGTTATTATTATGTATTATCATCATTTCCCAACCCCTGAGATCTCTATTAGCGCACAACCTCCGACCTAGCAACTAGCATCGTCTCTCAATGACGTTATTGAGAAGGATTGATCTTCTTGGGTTGGCTCACCGCAAGATGAAGCTTGGCAGGAAGAAATTCCCCATTTTGGGGACAGGGAATTCACTAGACCCTCATATCTCCATAAACCGTTAAGTATTGACTAAAGGAGTGCCGAATCTGCCGACATGCCAGCTACTTTGTCATATGCAAGTCGCTTAGCATGTATGAATATTAATTAGGATGAATGATAATTACAGCTGAACGTATCAACGCTCAGATAGCAAGGAAATTTAAATGTCTCGCTTGAGGAGGCGTGTGGCTTGTGCGCCACAAAGCTTGGGCAGGGATCCGCAAAGAATAATACACCAGCGCAGGAGTCTGCGTTCTGGTGGCCAAACTGAAAATCGTAATATGGACGGTGGATGCTAGTCTATATGGAAGCTTTCACTAACGGCGCTCACCTGCCAAACAGGACGTGCGGTGGTTGACGGTGCCATATTAATCATGAGAAGACATCGAGTGTCGTATATTAGTATGCGTGTACAGAGAGCCTCAGTGGTCCCGGCACGGGTCTTCAGCATGTCGTCTGTATCAGGATATCGACACATGTCTCGGTGCCAATATGTCAATATGTCGGAATGTCAGTATGAAAGAACTAGGGAGTTCGTTCTCAAAGTTGGTAATAATACAAACGGTAGTTCTCCAGGAAATTCCGATCAGCGGCCAAGTCTGTGCTGCGCCCCAACACAGTTAGCGCCGCCCAATCCGACCACGCGCACTGGGCGACTCCCCCGCGTTCTCCTTCTTAGTCTTCTTTCTTCTTTATTAGCCTGTCGATAGCGTCGCTTGTCTTTCAAGCCTCTGAGGAAAGAAAGAGGGAAATGGAAGAGAGAGCGAACCGCTCAAAGAGAACTGTCAAGTGTGTCAAGTGCCAGAAGCAGTGAGCTGCCCTCCGCATCGGGCGAGCATATCAGCTACGACGACGACGACGACGACTATACACTTTCCGTTTGATAGCAGCCCGATGACGATGATGTGCAGTGCAAAATGCAATATCAGAAAAAGCAATAGTCTTCCCCGCCAGGAACCCGCACCGTTCAACCACCTGCATACTATACTTCGGGCCCACCTCGAGCCTCGACGTGATACGGGGACTTAATTCCCCTAACTTGCTCGCTGGATTGCCACTGGTTGCGGAGGTTGGCTCCTCCTACGAAAGCCGTCGATCCTCATTGACTTCGCTGAGAAGATGGAGATTGTCCACAATCAGACCGTTTCGGGCGCTGCCATATCCCGCGTGCGCATGGCCTGAAGTTGATAGCCAATGCCAATAGGGGCTGATAAAGAGGTGTATATAAAGGATGCGAGTCGTCGACCCAAAGAATCTCTTTTTTTCCCTCTCCATCACTAAGAAGATCGTCTTTCGCTTTCATTCTCTTTCACTCAAACCCAGTCACTCTTTACAGCACTCAACCTAGTCACTCCTTGATAATCCCACAATGAAGTTCTCTGGAATCGCTGCCTCCCTCGCCCTTGCTGGCGCTGTCTCTGCTGCCGCTATCCCCCGGGATACCACCCTTTCCAACACCGTTGATGGCGTTCTAAACCAGGTCAACACCCTCCTTAATCAGATTGAGCCCGCCGCCAGCAACGCCGTCCAGGCTGTCGATGGCACTCTCGATCTCAGCGCCATTCAGGACACCCTCAACTCCATCAAGGAACAGCTCGGCGGTGTCCAAGGCCTTCTCCCCGCGCTCCCCGTTGGCATCAAGCGTGGTCTTGCTGATGGTGTTACCGGCGCCGCCGGAAGCGCTGTCGGTACCGTCGAGTCTGCTGCTTCCCCTGTTGTCAACACTGTTGAGCAGGTTGCCGGTCCGGTCGTCGGTGGTTTGTCTCAAAGCTCACCACTCCATACTCGTCGACTAACATTCTGATTCAGAGGTCACCTCCACCGTCAAGCGTGATGTAGTCTCCAATGCCCTCAACACTGTGACCGGTGTTTTGTCCAACCCTCTCAACACTGTTGACAGCCTCGTTCCCCTCGCCAACAACCTCTGCAGCGGAATCCAAAGTGAGTCATCCTTGTCTTCCGGTATGATATATCGCAAGCTAACATCGGCCTAGACACCGTTCCACTGACCCAGACTGTTACTGAGCTCACTGCCCTCACCCAGGGCTTGGCCTCGGTTGCCCAGCTCCCTCTCGCCCTTGTCCAGCTTCCTTCCGCCTAAATGCGGTCCAACGGACTTATAACAGCACTCAGGCACTTTTATCATATATTCTGCGAGTGTTTATCGCGTTCTCTTCGAGCAGAAAACTTGCGCGTGCAAACGCTAGGCTTCAGGTCATGTATATTTTAGACAAATCTTCAGGACTGAGATTACTTCCACGATCACTTAGAAAGTGAACAGGAAATTTCGAGACGTTGCGATTTAATATTCAAACTTCTTTTTATACCCCTCCAGTTTTGCGACAACTTTTTTTGACGATCTGGTTGTGAGTGGAAGGGGAATTATTATATCTTGCTGTGAATTCACAGCATTTGCTATTCTTATGATAATGTTTTATTTGACATGTTGAATATACAACATTGAACATATCGCTTGATTTATGCTCTTGGTAAAAAAAGCATTGGCGTACAGGCGTAAAATAATCTGCTTGGATCTATACATGTAGTCTGCGCCACGGCGCCAACCCCGCAGTGCACCTCACCAACAAACCATTCGGAGTAACTTGTCCATTCACACAACACTTATTTAATTTATGCGACCGGAACTGTTGCATCATCTACCAGTGCAACAAACCCCACACGCCCAAAATGTCGTCAAATATCGACAGTAGCACAGACTTTCCATACTCCTTGTGAGTCCAATGTGACAAACCGCAGTGTCGGATCGCTAACAAGTTCCTGCTAGAGTGATCTCCCTACCTCTGCCTACCCATCGCCTCGCGTCCGCCGCTCTTCAAGCCATCCAGGTCGATCAAGAACTTTCATCCTTTGTCCGTCGCAGCCATGCGCTAGTAACTCCCTCTGGCTCCGCCGATGATGCCGATGAAGAAAGCAGGACGGTGCTGGAGACCACCTACCGCGCCACGACGAATCGAATGCTCCGCGTCTCGGTAAATGGATTTATGGAAACACTCGGTGTCGTGCTGGAGGTCATGGAGGAGTTGGACACGGATGTTCTCGACGAGGAAAAATCCGATAAAGGGCGGCTGGGAGAATGAAAACGATCTTATTTTTTCACTCCCTATCCCCACCCTCCAGGCTTCTACAAAAAGGCCGCTGGTTTATACATGAGCCGAAGCACAATTACATCATGCGGGATATTCTAGTATATACGACATGCTATCATGCCGATGGGAAATGGTGCAACAAAAGCAGAATGTTTCACAACTACCAACCGATAAGTGCCACTGCCTATTGTGCATACCATGACAAATCTTTCGAGCTGCTGGAAAGATCTTGACTGTTGATCCAGGTCATATCGGGCATATTATGATAGTCGCACTGGGCCTGCACAATCTGCATAAATAATAATCTAACTAGGGATTAATTAGCAGGATACACAAATCAAGCTATTCACCGATATCTTCCAAATCCATGCTAGGAAATCGTAGGAATGCTGAGAGTCGCGAGCCGACTTGTAGAGACCGTCGCGGCGCCTGGCAGCCAATCAGCCCCGAGAAACTACTTTTTAAGTTCTTCACGTATTGCCTGATCAGGCTGATACGGATACAATAATAACAATATTAATGGTTGATAATAGTTGGTATTAATAACCAGCAGAAGAGGCTACGAGGAGCATGAATAAGCAGTCGCTCTAGACCAGTCCGGCGTCGCTGCCGTAAACAGCCGAGCGCCGCCGCTGCTCCCAACATTCGACGTCACCTCCATCCGAACTCGACATAGCATTGAACATTATATATGCCCTCGTTCTGCATCGCCGGTTGATGCTGTCTGTCACCCGCTCCTGCTTAAAGCCATCGCACCTGTCCCCCCTCGCGCGAGTCTGTATCTTCGGTTATCGCAAACCCTTCTCTTCCTCCACTTCAGCTTCCACTACCGCCACCATTATGGCCTCGGCAACCACCCTCTACGACTTTCAGCCTCCTGACAGTACGCTGCCACCGTGTTACTATCTTCAGAGAACTATGCTAACCCTCGTCGCTGTACAGAAAAGGGAAACCCCTACCCCCTCTCCTCGCTTCGCGGCAAAGTTGTCCTCGTCGTCAACACTGCTTCCAAGTGCGGCTTCACCCCTCAATTCGCCGGTCTCGAGAAGCTCTACAATTCAGTGGAATCCAAACAACCTGGCGCCTTCACTATCCTTGGCTTCCCGTGCAACCAGTTCGGAAACCAAGACCCCGGAAGCAATGATGAAATCCAGAGCTTTTGCCAAGTCAACTACGGCGTGACCTTCCCAATGCTCGGCAAGATTGACGTCAACGGCAGCAATGCAGAGCCCTTGTTTGAGTGGATCAAGGGTGAGAAGCCGGGGTTGTTTGGCGTGAAGAGAGTGCTATGGAACTTCGAGAAGGCGTTGATCAACAGCAAGGGAGAAGTTGTAGGCCGATGGAGGAGTATCACCAAGCCCGAGAGTCTCGAGGAGACGATCATCCAAGAGATCGAGAAGGCCAAGAAGGACGGCAGTGCCGGTGCCGCTTCTGGAGAAACAACCACCAAGGCTGAACCCGCTCCGACTGCTACAGAAACCGCCGCGCCTGCTCAGCCAGAGGGTGGGCCAAAGCTGGCTTAAGAGACGCTCTTTCACTACGTACTTTTCTTGTTTGTTCGTTTCCATTGATACCTATGTCTCCTTTTTCAGTCTCTTGGTTTCATTATGTCCATACTATCGGGTATTGTTATCAAAATTGTTATCAAATGATTATGCCAGCATTAATTGATACCAAAGCAATCCCTCATCCGGCCGTAGTGGACAATTCTCGTAAATCAGGCCTTCGGAATCAGATTTCTCAATGAGAGGTCATAAACTACGTCCTCCACTTTCTTCACCTATATAGCCAACCAGATTAGCCTTATATATCCCTCCAGTAACTGCTCCAGCTTACCGAGTATTTGATCCCGTCACTTCTCTTTCGCAATATATCATTCTTCAAATTGAGTAACTGAAATCCGGCAAAGAGGTCTTTGATAAATGAGTTGATTTCGAGCGGACGGGTGTAATCCCCAAGCGTGACCGAATTGACAGCCAAACGGGAGAGTTCTTCAACCATGGAGATAAGGGCAAGGAGGTATTCTTCAATGGTGAGGTGGAAAGCGTCTTCGTCTTTGAGGTTGACAGGGACTGTCCGTTTCAGCAGAAATCAGCAAACCAACAGCTCAATCCCATAATGTGAAGGGATTGTAATACACACCATCAAGGAATTTCCCAACTTCATCAATCGTTAGAAATGACGATTTCGCCGATTGTTTGTACTCTGATAAACCTCCTAGCCAGGCACAGAGCTCGATGTAGTACACCTTTGTATCAGTGGATTTGCAGTCAGAGACCTATCATGGACCAGTTTACTACCGACAGGCATCCGCTCACCAAATTCTGCAGTTCTCGTGACCACACATTGTTAAATCTGTAGAATGGGTGCTGGTTCGCGACTTTGCTTAATCGCGAGACTTCTTCTTTCTGGGCGAGGATTTGCTGCGCTGCTTCGTCGAGGACCGGTTTCACTTGTCATGAAATCCACGTTAGCCTAGTCAATTCTTCGAGATTAGAGGAAAGGATACGTACAGTCTTTAGCAGGTGTTGAATGGGCTCTAGAGAGTATAGCTTGGGTTGTTCGTCCTGTCAAGGAGCAGAGTCAGTACCCGCCCGTGCGCATCGTTCGACATAGGACTGAGAGGCAACATTTGCTTGCTACACGCTAGTCAGAGCAGATTAGATTCGAAAACACACACCTTTCTTAGCAAGCGCTTGGACGATGTCATGGAGTTCCTATTTCAATATATGAGAACTTTGAGCTGGCAGTCACCATCACGCAATCCTACGCGGGGACATGGAAAAAATATAAAACAGCAGCAGTACAGATCACTCACATCAATCACAGCCGATTCTTCATCGATTTTCGCCTGCAGACTCTCGAAAATTGCTGGGTCGATCATTTTAAAGGATAATTAGATTGTTTCTAGGCGATTCTTGCTATGGCAAAGTAGCAAGAGTTGATTGGAGCTTCGAGTTTGGAAGTCGATGCGGGGAGGTGATTGGTGTGGCGTCAGAGCTTGAGCTTGGGCTTGAGCTTCAGCTTCAACAATTTTGATGAGCGAGTACGGAGACCTACTTCTAGAACTTGGCTACGCGCTTGGAATTCGAGAATAGAACGAGCTACAAGGAATACTGGATCACGTCGACTGAGATTGCCACACTACTTACTGAACAAACGGACTTTTTCATCATAATACACCAATAGCTACAGTGTTCTTCCACGAGCAAGTCTGCCATTTTCGACAGTTTTCTAAACAGTTTAGGCTCTGCAACACATCGGACCCTTTGTTATCTTCTTCTCCAACCCGCCGGTATACCGACGAAATGATGAAAAAGGGGTTCGCGTCACTCGGTGGTAGTGTAAGACCGAGGACACTGTGCAGCGAGACATGCGCAAGCGCAGAGACCTTGCTGCGAGATCCAAAAATGAGATTAATCAATGTTGTGTTCCTTAGAACACTTTCAGAGATTAAACTGAAAAGAACAGATACTACACTTGATCTAAGCCAAAAGGCAAAGAGAGCTGGAGAAGAAAAGAAGAAAAAATCAAAGAGTGACAACGGAGAGCACGTATTTATAGACAGAAGGGCCTGGCCCGTGCGCTGGCGTGATCTAGTGCCGCCCGCTAAGCGAGCCAATCATGAGTGGCTGATGCAAACCAGCCAAACCATTCAAACTAGCCAAACGGCCAAAGCCACACCACAGATGGCCCAGCCCTAGCCCTGAATCTGTGCCCGATCGGGAACTCCGCGACCACACTGTGCGAATCCACTTTTCTTGTCGATAGTAAGTAGTAACTAGCAGCTAGGAATTTCCTATCTACCACCACATTCACGAAACAGCTAGGCGCAGGATATTTACCTCTTTGCGTCCTTACACCCCTCCCTTACAACCAAGCACCCAGTCACAATGGCTCCCACTGTACGTTGATCTCAGACTGCTTTGCTGTTCCTCCCAAACGAGTCTGGTATTGGCTCAGGGATTTGATTCGGAAATGGAACAGTAGGCTAATCTAGAGTTTTTGGCATTATCTTAGGCTCGCTCCAAGAAGCCTCAAAAGGTCACGAACAAGGTGAGAATCTCCTGATTTACCGAGCAGCAAGCAGCAGAGGGCTAATCAGCGAGTGTACAGTTCGTGATCAACGCTTCTCAGCCTGCTAGCGACAAGATCTTCGACGTCTCTGCCTTCGAGAAGTTCCTCCACGAACGTATCAAGGTTGAGGGCCGTGTCGGCAACCTCGGCGACAACGTCCAGATCTCCCAGTCCGGCGATGGCAAGATCGAGGTCGTCACCCACATTCCTTTCTCCGGTCGCTATCTTAAGTACCTGTACGTCTGCACTGCACCCTCATATCCATGGCATTGTGATGGGAGAAAGTTTGTTAATATATAACAGGACCAAGAAGTTCCTCAAGAAGCAGCAGCTCCGTGACTGGCTGCGTGTCGTCTCCACCTCCAAGGGTGTCTACGAACTCCGCTTCTACAACGTCGTCAACGACGAGGCTGAGGAGGATGAGGACTAAGCGTATATTCCCGCTTCAAGTTGACTTGGTGGAAACCAACTGTCCTTGCCGACAAGCTGTCATATGTTAGGCTACTTTACCTGACTCCGATGTTTGGATGGTTTCGTGTGATGTACGGCTATAATACCCTTCATAGATATTTCACGTGTCTATGACTCTACGCATAACGTTATGAATGGTAGAGAATCAGTGGACCCTAAAAATGAAAACTTGACTGTTTTTCAATCTCATTTATGAACATATATATAATATTAAAATATTGCCACCCTCGTATATCACGAGTTCTATGTACATCGCAAATAGGTGGAGTCGGAACAACCGCTAGCGTCATGGATTGCGCTGGAATGTCCATCCTGCACGCTTCAAAACTTGGGCTTTCTCAGCAACCTTGAACCTCACCAAGTCGCCAGTTGCTAGTGCGTCTTCTTTTGAGTCGTGGCCCTTGTCACCGCCCATCTGAATATCTCGATCCAGATGTAACTTGGATAGATGCTTTAAACTGTACCTGATAGGCAGACCTCGGGGTGTGGGTACAATAGTACAGTATCAATGACAGTTGGGTGAATGATTCGCGCGGCATTCAAATCGTTCTCAATTGCATGTCCGATCAAAGGTGTATCCGGATCTAGGTATTTGAAAAGGAGGGCCCGCGCTCTGGCAGGAGAGTCTACAACCTGCATTGAAGGAGATATTATCTCTCCTTCTTCCACCCCAGCTTTGTTTTCAAGAACTTGGGTGCCGAATGGTATCGCATTTGTGTAGTGTTCTGGGAAAATGCCGGAGTATCGCGAGTTGAGATCAAGAATTTCTCCGATGGGTTTCACTAGGACGTCGAGAAGCATCTCCCCATCGGGCCAACTTAGGGCTGTCAAACGGACTAGTTCCATGCCGAGAGTTGTATAGGCCATTTCACAGTCAAAAGTGACTGGTTTTCGAGGAACTTTGTCCTCTTGTGCAGGCGTTTCTTCGAATTGAAGTACAGCAGCCAACCGCTTCCCTTCCGAAACCTTGAATACATGGTGTTCTGCTTTCGTACATCCTGCGGAAGTCCCGACTGTCTCATTGCAGCATGGAAAATATGCATCAGCCTGGCCTGTTATATGGTCCGTGGCTTTTCTGGCAGGACGTATAATTTTGCCTGGATGGTAAGTGCAACGACCGCCTGTAGCCAGGGTGCCATCCTCACGCCGACCAGGGAATACCTGAAATCGTCCGGCGCATCGGTCACATTTCTCCCAACCTTGAGCAGTCTCAATGCCCTTCTTGGCTTGTTCGATTTCCTCTGGGCTAGGTGCCTTTGTAATGTAACCAAATTGTTCTTTGCCCTTCAGCTCAGTCCGCAACATTCGTGCGATGGTAATCTCCTCGTCTACTTCCATATTTGTTGTAAATCGCTTCACCTGCTGAGGGGACTCTGGCTTCTCGATCTTGTAATATCGCGTATTAAGGTGAGCCAAAACCTCGCTCTCCCAGTCCTCTAGTGCCATCTTTTGCAATTTAACGATACGTAGTTTGACGATGTTTCCATACACCTTCGGGTTATCCTTTGCCGCCTTGTGCTCCTCGTCCAGAGCCATGACAACCAGTTCGTCCGCAGAAAGTACCAGTGAGGACTTTTCTTTGTCTTTGTCTTTGTCTTTGATTTTAACCATCTGTTCATTGAGTGCCGACATGGCTGCATGAAGCTTTTGTAAGATTGATGACCGCACTGAGTGGGGTGCGGGTGCTTTCATGAGCATTCGTGGATTCAAGGGCTCCTTGGGGACTTTCCGCCGAAGTGAAGGCGTTCCATCTTTTGATGGCTGACCAGCAGAAGTTGCGGTGACTGTGGGCTTTTCCTTTCCTTCTCCCTTTTGGCGTGCTTTGGCCGGAGGGGGAGAGACCTTTCTAGTCACAGAGCCAAGTTTACTGACTTCTCGCCGTGGTTCTACATCGTGGGACCTCTGTGCTTTTCGTTCTAATTGTATCTCGATGGTGCTGGTTTTGCTGTTATGCTCAAATTTTCTCCTCTTTGGCACGGGCTCTTGTTGAGTGGTGGCGTCTTTCAGAGTGTCTGATTGTAGAGTTTGCGGTTGTGGCTCTTTGGACTTCGAATCCAAGTGAGAAAATATGCAACTTATAAGATGGCATTCCTTCCCTTCAGGGCAATCGATTGCATTGAACAAACCCAGTGAGGTAAACATGATGCATGTCGTGGTCAAATGCTCCGTATATACTTGATGATAAATAGACGAACAGAGCTGGAAGGAATCTTAAGGCTTCCCAAAACCTGGGTGACCAATCAATGAAGGTTTAGTCAGGTACCCAAAAGTGAGAAGCCGTAACCAAACCAATGATACTGTTTAGAGTGCACTAACAGACCGCCGATGAAGACGGAGCTGCGATAAGGCTGGCCAGCGTATCAACGAAGAGCCCTAGTCTTGGCGTCACACAGCGGGACCAGCGTGGAATGCTTATCTCAAGAAGATAAGACGAGCGTAAGGAGGTGATACAAGGGGCGGTATAGATTGAGGCACGATAGCAATAGTAATAGTCTCTCGTGGATCATAGGCCATGGACCGTGTCGGTAGATAAGCACACGACCCCTTTCCCACCCAGGTAGCACAGATTGAGTCGCGCTGGATCTAAAGCAAACAAAAGGTGCCCTGTTCCGCCGTCTGTTGTCTATGTCGATATAGACCTTCCCTCTCTCTATACCACGGCGTGGAAGCAGAAGAGAACCGCCACCCGCCTCTGACTGCTGATAAGGGCGGGCAGACACGATATATTGTACTGACTCTTGGTCCAAGCAAATCTTGCTATCTGGCTTGCTTCTGGCCGGAAACTTCCCGTCCTTTTGAAGTGTCAGCGACCAGCCTCTCCAGCGCCTCTAGGTTGAAATTCTAGCCAGAGTTATCAAGTGCTGCAGTCAGAGCGAGGGAGTGAGGGAGAGAGAGAGTGTGTAAGTGAGTGAAAGGAAGCTGCGAGTGCATTCCGCTGCAAACAAAACAAACACTGCTGGACGATAAGCAGGGGTCCCACTTTCAGAGCAGAAACTATTTCTTATTGGTGCGATAGCGGTCGTGACATAAGGCGATCCGACCCAGCCGCAGGCAGCGATGCTTCCTTTTGCTCCCCAGAGCGTCCTCGAGTTTCGCCCAAGACTCGATTATTACAAGCTGTTCGAAATGGACGGCAGTCCTGACGGCGGTAAGACGGCTGACCACCTGTGTGTTCTGGTCCACGGGTAAGAATGGTGCTCTGGATACTCCCCCATCGATGGTTGCACGTGAACTAATGATCTCTTCGTCTGGTAGCCTCTGGGGTAACCCATCTCATCTTGATTACGTCGCATCCGCACTTCGAGAACGATATGGCGCAGATCGGTTGTTCGTCCTGGCAGCGCAGCGAAACCCAGGAAGCTATACCTATGATGGAATCGAGCTGGGAGGTGAACGTGTCGCTCGCGAAATCGAAGAAACGCTCGAACAACTAGCCGAGAAGGGATATCATATTAAGAAGTTGAGTGTAGTAGGGTACTCCCTAGGTGGCTTGGTCGCACGATATGCTATCGGTCTGTTGCAAGCCAACGGATGGCTGGACAAGGTCGAGCCCGTGAATTTTACCACCTTCGTATCGCCACATGTCGGAGTACGCTCGCCGCTAAAGGGTCTTCCCAATCATATTTGGAATATACTCGGTGCCCGTACGGTCTCGATGTCGGGCCGACAAATGTTCATGATTGACGATTTTCGCGGTACGGGCCAACCGTTGTTGAGTTTGCTTGCGGACCCTAACAGCATTTTCATGCGAGGACTGGCAAAGTTCCGACACCGAACGGCATACGCGAACATAGTCAATGATAGGTCTACAGTCTTCTATACTACGGCAATGTCAAAGGTGCACCCGTTTCCTGATCCGGAAAATACAAATTTCAACTACGTCAAGGGGTATGAACCAGTCATCATCGATCCAGATACGCATGTGCTTCCACACTTGCAACAACAGCCCTCCGTCTTAGAAGAAATGTCGTACCTCTCATATGCAAGAAAGCAGCTTCGTACTTTCTTGAACGTAGCGCCGTTTTATGTATTCATTGCGGTTTTTATTCCCATTGGCTCCGTGCTCTTCCTTCTAAACTCCGTCGTTCAAAATCAGTTGAGTCAGAAACGAATCAGGCTATATGAAGCGGGCAAGACAGATCTACTTCCCGGGCGATATCGAGTCCCATTGATTGTGCAAGATGTACGGGGTGCCGTTGAAGACGTATTCGAAAATGTCAACGCCTCGCAAGGAAATGAATATCTTTCTGAGCGCGATGAAGAATACACAAAACAAGTAACGCGGCAACGTCGAATGAGCCGGCAGAAGTCGGTATCAGGAGATGAGAAGGACCAGTGGTCACGACCACTGCAGGAACAAACCGAGGTTGACAGCGGCCGGCATGATTCTGAGTTTCCTATTCTCGCGCTCACCCCGGCACAATTTAATATCATTGACTCGCTCAATGCCGTCGGGTTCAGAAAGTACCCCGTCTTTATTCACAAGGCACGGCATAGCCATGCGGCGATAATAGTACGGATGCCCAAGGATTCGTTTTCGGAGGGCAAGGTTGTGGTGCGGCATTGGTTGGACAAGGAGTTCCATATCTGATCACCTACCTTGGGTCAGACACTGCTGCCTGATGCTACGACCATCACAATTCGATTTCCTGGAATGATTCTCCGAATGTGATGATTGAAGTTTCCTTGCTTGTAGCGAGCGTTCGCCACAATGTTTCTACCAGACTCGCCCCACTAATCCTTGGACTCACCGAATATAAAGAAAGAGCGTAGTAGTGGCTGCGTGCAACATTAATGTAGCAGCACGGCACGCCTCCGTGCCTGAGACGGCCATTCGCCGCAAATCGCGGATATACCCGGCGAGAGAAAGACGAAAATAACTCGCGAATGGTGAGGCAACATAATTGAATATTGCGACGAAACATGAATGATAGCGTATGATTTTGCTTTCTTGGGTTTTATGCTCAGTTGGATTTTGTTGGTATTGTTATTTTATAGCGTTGAGCGTGTCAGTGTACTAGAGCGAGCGAGTTATTGTAAGTCCTAGAATCAGAATATGTCAATATAGATTCAGATCCCCGCTACTTTATAAAGCTATGTTAAGTATGGACTTGTCACTTTAATCTTTAATCATTCATAAGCTAATATAAATACTAAAGAAATACAAAAGCCGAAGAGATTTATAGCAATGGATACAGCTGAATACCAGATTCAAGGTAATAAAGCCTCCCTAACCAAGCTATCGTCCAGGAATCGAATCGAGAGGGAGATGAACCAAAAAAGTGAGATAAGGTGAAATAAAATCTTGAAAATGACATGAGCCTGAGAGGGCATATAAGTAATTCACAACGCCACAAAATCACAGATCCGTTCAAATAGAATCTAACCTCCGTGAGAGATGACGGAGGGCTTTTTTAAAAACGTCATTGGATATCTTTTATGATGCAAACACATGCAGTCGTAACTCGTGAAAATAGTATAGAACAACAAAATGTAGAAATGTGGAGAAAACCATGGTATTACTCTAGAACACCAATCTCAACGATATCTGAATCGACCTGTCCCTTGCCAACCTGCTCCTTGACAGACTTGGCGAATTCGCGCTGGATGCCAAATTTGACGGCTTCAAGAACGTTGTTCACGGTCTTCTTTGGTGGGAAGCGTGGAATAGTACCTTCTTGGAAGACTCCAGTCTTAACGAGAATGGAATACCACTCGGCATCGCCAGATGCATGGTGGGAATCGAATTCATTAGTGCCGCGAATGTCTGACTCGGGCGTGTCACCGACAAAGTACACTGTGTCAGGAGCACGGTTGATCCTATGGGTATCCTTGCGCCATTGACGAAGGAGACGGGTAGCGAATTGGAATGTGCCAAGTTGAGGCTTGCCGAAGGCGATGGTAGTTAACTCTTTGCCGGTAACAGCCTTGAATAGAGCTTCGAGGGAGGCGCGTAAAGCACCCATGCCAATTCGAGTGTAGTCATGGGCGGTCGACCAGACAACGTCGTTGTGGGAGAAGTAGATTGGAGGTCCTTCCTCGAAGGTCTCAGAGCGGGTACCAAGGCGACCATTCTTAGCCATAAGCAAGTCGAGGATAATCTGTTGGTCACCGGCCCAGTCGCGGCTGTCGGCGAAGACGAAAATGGCTTCGATGTTCATCGTGGAGAAGTCGCGGACGCGAGAGTTCGCCCATTCCTCGTCGGTAAGTTTGCGGAATGGGGTGGTATCCTGGTTGGTCTTGATAATATCGCCGGGAGTGACGACGTCCTTGAAGCCATATCCTTCTGCAACGATACGACATTTTTCACCTTCGCCACCAACGACCAGAACGGTGTTGTACTTCTCGGCCATTTCTCGCATAGGGGTGTGACCGCAGATAAACTGGCCGGGCGAGACTTCAAGGTCAAGCTGGCGACTGAGATCAAGACAGCGCTCCTCTTCAGTCTTACCACCTCCATTCGTGACAAAGATATATGGTCTGACAAACGTCAGTGCCTGGCAGATACAGGCTCATTTAATCCGTAAACTTACACTCTGATGCCATATTCATTCTCGCCGTTAAGGACCCTCATGGCCTCAACAGCCTCTGGAATAGCCTTGCCTCCGCGAATTAGCACACCATCAATATCGAAGGCAAAGGCGTATTTGTCCGTGGTGGCTGAAGAAGTTGTGCTAGCAGTTGTCGCTCCGAGAACAGGGGAGCCAGTAAGCGGGCTGGCTTCCTCGGAGGAAGACGATTCTTCTAGATGTCTCTTGGCGAGTTCGATCGCTTCTGCGGTGGTAAAGCCCTCGCCACCAGCCATGAGATGTTTCGGCGGGACGACCACTGTAGGCCCACCGAACAAATCTACACGGTGCGCTTCCTCGGACGAGACACGCCGAGTCAGCTGGGGCTGTGGCACAGAGAGGTTTTTGGTGGTAGCCATAACGAAGATGTCGAATATGATATGTCTACTCAAGTGCAGATAAGGGCGGGGTGGTGATGGGATGGCCGCGATCAATATATTGCAATCCTGCGCGCGCAATCGATTGTCTGTGTAAGGAGACAAAAATGCAATTAGAAACGAGGTTCAAGGGTGAATCGGCTTCTCAATTCTATATATATATGAAAGGTTGGCATGTGACTGCCTGTTTAATGAGGATAATGTGATGTGTGGTGGAGCTGGAGGGGAACCCAGGCTTTTTATATACTTTTAGGCACACCGCGAATTTAGTCCCCATACCGAGCGGGCCCGTACCAAATAATCCGCGTTACTTGTTCAAGAGGGTGTGAATAACGAATAACAAGAGTTATTAGTGTCGCACTCGCTGGTAGCGAACAGATGAGAGCTGTGACGCCGCCTCATCAATCGTCGAACCAACAACGGCGCAGAGATGGAGATCCTGAGTGTCGCAGCCCAACAGGCGGCGACAACGGCCCACAATTTCCGCTTAGGGTTCCCACATATTCCTATGGTTCAAGGACGTACGTTTTCTGAATAGGACAAGTACGTCGCAGTCGAAACGGAGAAACTCAGAAAAACGACGGTCCTGTGGATCCACAAGCGGAACCGCTAAGTATGGCTGAGCAGTCCCCCTCCTCGCACATCGACGGCGCATTATCATGCATAATAAAATACCTCTCTTACCAAGTGTCTGTCTTTCGGTAGCTGGAGCTAGGCTGGCGCAAGTGAGAAACGGCGGTAATGGATACCATCGAAACATAATACCATCAATACCGCGGTCGAAACAGCACGAAGCATCAAAAAGCGAGTGGATACAGCACCCGCGCCTTTGAGTTTCGACAACGAATCGAGGGGTTATTTCATGTAATCCATGCATATTAGCAGGGCTAGTTGCGGGATTCACCAAATGAGTGTTGATTATTATTATCTCTGGTGGAATCAATCACTCAATAACAATGAATCGAGCAAGTAAAGTAGCGGGTCCTGATAGTGGTTGAGTTCATATTACGCGGACAAAGCAGGATATTCGATCAATCACGGTGGATGCATGGTTGTTGTTTTGTCTCCTTTTGACCCTTTTTTTTCGGCACTCTGGTTTGCGATGCCGTGGAGGGGTATGCCGAAGAAGCCGATAACGTCACAGGTGGAGGGACAAACAGGCCTGTGTTTTATGCTATACAGAACTAGGAGTTGTTAGTTCTGGTGCTGCGTCACCGAGATGCAAACGTCACTTTCACCAGGCAGGCAATAATGTCGCATCGATTCGACCCGTTATTATCCTGGCGAGAATTTCCTTCCCGTGCTCGACATGTTACCATTCAAAATACGATGGCGCTAGCTGAAACGCTGGGTTGGCGACATGTGCAAGTTCTGGTCCAGCGATTCGACAGCATGCGGGCCTTCATTATTCGCAAACAGACAGAGCGCATACCCATGGCCATGGGTTCTGCGACTCTGGACTCTGGAGAGGCCAATCGGACCAATTGGGCTTAGTTCGGGATTACCACCAGCGGCATAGCGCGATACCAAAATGGTCAGCCTACACCGGATCTGACCAGACATACTTGCAACTCACCTGGACGGCCAATCGGCAGCGTCGTGGGAGCCGTGGAGGGCTGAACAGTGAAGAGCCAAGGCTGAGCAGGAGGAGCAAAGCTGACGCCATGCCTGCTCTCTTGGAATTGCTACGAGACTGCGGAGTACTATGCTAACTAAGTTAGTTGTACTGGTAGTAACTGCAGTAGTAAGCAGAAGCAGAACAGGGAAGGCGCGCACCCCGCGCTAGCCCGATGACGGCCTAGCGCTCGGGCAGCCTCGGGACGGTGTGACGTCATTCCTGTGGCCCGGACGCCCGGCCGTTTCCGTCTATTCGCGCCTAAGGCAGGAACACCGGCCCAATCATCTTGCAGCCTGCCACATACTGCTACCTACTTAGTAATTACCCTACCAGGCAGCATGCCACGACAATGCAGTGATAGCACAGTAACTAACTTACCTCCTAACTAGGTCTCCTCCCCAGACTGGCCTGCATCGTGGAATCGCTCCACTTCCCCGGTCTGCCAAATACAACTGGGCCCCCACGACGAGGGACGGGCACACTGATACATCCACTCTTACTACATGAAGTACTCACTTATCAGTGTTTCATGTAATGCCCGGAGTATAGAAATCCGAGCAGAACAAAGCACGGCCACTTAATACGCCTTCATTATGGTTACTATTAATAATGCAACGCTTGGTCTTGCTGCACATTGATGCTATTGGCCCGTCCCCCAATACGCATTGCTGGCGAATATATCATTGCTTCGGCTCTTTGAAGGATTCCAATGTATCGTTACAATATCCCCCCCCCCCTTGTCATTAGCGGAGGCACGAGGACGAGAGGGGAAAAGGTCTGAGCTGGCCGACAAATATCCATATTTTATGGACATCCACATGTCAACTGGGACGGGGCCAGGTCCACCCCCGCATTGATCAATACTAGTATGCATAACATCAGTGTCAAATGTATTATGCAAGTACTCATGTATTAGGGTTAGATAAACCAATATCACATGTGTCGGGGTCATGGTGTGCAGCATTGGGTGTCAAATGATGTAATGCATAGATGAATTAGGGTTTTGTCCCTTATAAAAATATACCATAATGTCGGTTCGATAAACCCCTCTATAGAAGCCGTCTCTATTATTTCACTATCATCTAGTAGATAACCTTTGCTTCAATCCAATCCTCTCTGTTCTATCCCGCACTGACCAGGCGCCACGAGCTTGCAGTGCTGCGCTGCAACAGGGGCCGAATGTAGATCACTTCAAGCCCGATGACTCAATTTAAATTACACACACCATAATCCTCTAAAGCAACCAGACATAATGTAAACTATATTCTGTTGTGGCTTGCAGGTGGCTTGCGGATGAAACTAGAATGGAATGCCGTACCATGGATTACGATGAGAGATTTTTTTCGATATTTTCTTCTGGAAACAGCAGTTGTCGATGCTTTGAACAGGCATCAGTACAGAGAAAATGTGTCGATTCAAGATTGATTTCTATCAAGATAGTTGATCTCCCTCCCTCTCGCGCTGCCACTGGTATATGTGCTAAGAAGAGTGACCAAGTTACATCAGCCCTATGGGTAACAGCCTACATATCAGCCGCTGACGTATTTCACAGCGGTTCGGCGCGCTGAGCCCTGACACTACTTCAAGCCTTCAGCCCATACGGGTAATGACGATAGTGTAAATGTTTCATGGAGATGAAAATTAAATTAGAGAAAGTCATTATACCTCGTTCTAGTGCGAATCGAGTAAGCTATGGTACAGACGTGGATCCCAACATGGTATATAATACAGAAGCACAACTGGCTCAACCAGGAGACAACGGTTGTGACGAAAACGCTAAATCGACCATCTAGGGTATACAAGCATAAAATGAAATATCTGTACAGACACTATGAAATATTGTAGTGAATGTTCTTCGTACGGTCCAATGTAGAACGATGCTAGTCCACGCTAAGATAGAGATCTTCGCCTCTTCTTGTTGGCGTGATGTTATGTTTCTGAGAGGGTTTGATTTCCTCAGTTCGAGGGGTTTTGGGTGTATTTGATCTAGCCACAGATACCGTGCCAGACAAGCTGTCGTTCCTAACAACTTTCCACCTTGGGCGTCCTCGGTTTTGATTCACGGATGTGCCTTGGTCGTTCTGCACCCCAATTCGAAATGCGTTCTCCATCCGCTCCGCCATTTTCTCGCCGCGTCTTTTTGCTAGCAGTTTTCCCGGGCTGCTTGATCGGGACCTGGATGAGGTATCCAGAAAAAGAGGTATATTGAAAAGACCCAAGGTAGATGGGCTGCGCGAACATGCATCAGTGGAATCTTGTTCATCCTGCTTTGTTGTGCTTGTTTGGCTGCTATATAGTTTGGCCACTCGAGGCGAAGGCACAACAACAGCAACAGGAGCTACAGATGCCGAGCGGAGAGCTGTGGGGTATTTCACGGGCGAGCGTTTAACCCTTTGAATGTCCTCGTTGGTGTTTGTTTCTTGGACTGGAGTAAGTTGTGCGGGCATCGCAGGTGAGTGGCCTGCCTCGTTATAATCAGCCTCGGGAGCATCAGGGCTTGTGGCTGGGGTCTCAGACGTCCCCATTGTACGGTTCATCGGGCGATGGCCATTGCCAAGGCGGGAGAAATTTCTCTGTAGGCGTGTGCTCCCAGTGCTGAAATGTCCAGGAGAAGGACCTGGGCCCAGTGAATATCGTGTGACAGCACGCCCTACAGCGACACTGCCATCACTCTTTGGAGGGGGAGTGGGTGGTAATCCAACGTCATCTGGGGTTTCCCATTTATAGATTTGACTGCCCAAGTGTAATGAGTTTTGATCTCGATTTCTATTCTTGGGACGCATCCTTGCTCGAGGATTACTTGGAAGCCCTACGGGGCGTCGCGCAAGTTGTCCATTCTGTCTGTCCTCCAAACCCGCCCGGGAAGGCATTCGGGATCGATCAAGAAGAGGACCAAAAATACTCTTCGGTCGGTCTTCATCCTCTTCAATGATAGTTGCCTCGCTCGATGGGCGTGGAATGGGTGGCTGTCGGACGCGGATAAGCTTAAGAGGTTCTGGGAAAAGTCCGTATGTTGCCTTTTTCTCAGGAAGGAGCAGGGAAAACGTATGCTGCGAAGTCTGGCTTTCCGGGGAATCACTGTGGTTCGTTTCCGGAGTAAAGACATGGGCAGTTATTTCCTTGTCCTGCATATGAGTAACTACCTGCAACGGCCCATTCCCGATCACCGGCTGCAAGGGAAACTGGTGGAAATTTGGACCAATATTCACAGCTCCTCCAGGGGTTGGTGCTGGATTTATTGGGTTTGACGAGACACCGGTATTAAATTCCGGAGGTTCACTCATGTAGCCTCCTATTTCAAAATTCTCCTTGGACTCCATCTTTCGACGCCTGAGCTTCCTTCCACATAAAAGGACTGCAACTGAGATCAAGAAAATGGTTGAAATACCAGATGCTACCGATATTCCGATGACGGCAGGTGAGCTGAGCTTAGCCGAGGACTGAACAGCAGGAGAATAGGCTGGCGTCGAAGAACTTGCGATGGACGTCGTGAGACTGGGTATGGTTGAGGCTGCGAATGTAGTTATGGTTGGAATGACATGGGTGCTACTGACCTGCGTACTAAGGGTTGTTGTCGGTGACAATGACTCGGTAGCTGAGGGCCGGGCGGTCGGAACGGTGGTTGACAATGGCTCTGAAGTGGCAGACGAGCTTGGTATTTGTGTCGCTGAAATGAACCTTGTTGCTGTGATCGTAGCGTGCGTTTCGGGCAACGCTCCATACACATCGTTGCAAATTCCATACGCCGCACCGGCTGTATTCGATGCTATATCCCCAGCGCAAGATCCAATTGTACAGGCAAACGCCGCCTCTCCCAATGTAAGCCCACTCGTGCTATTTGTTTGACACAGGCAGGTAAGCGACGTTCCATCGCAACAAGAGCCCGAGTCGAATTCGCTCTGAATGAAATGCTCGACGCAGGGCAATGCACAAGTCGGGATGACTTGGGTAAGCCATTGTCCTTTGTCGGATGAGTCGCAACTGGCGCTTGAGGCCTGGGCCAGCCCGATAGTGATTGAAGCAATGAGGAGTACACTGCTTCGCCATTCTCCAAGGGCTAGAAGCATACTGTGGGTAACCTGGGAAGAAGAGGTCAGTAGGAGCAATTCGATGCACGCAGCTTAAGGTAAACATACCTGCCTCGTGCGGAATAGAAGGATAGATGGCTATCCCAAACAATCTGATGGTCTACAGTCAGACATAGTAGTATGACTGACAGTGGTGGTAGTAGAAGTTGAAGTATGACTGGTAAGGCTTGGAGGGCTGTTCGAGCGTAGTCAGCGAAGACACCACGCTTGAAAGTAGATTCTCTCCAGCATCGTGAGGCCAGATTGAAAACAGCTTTGGGTAAATCATATTATATAAAATCACAGATCAAGATGAAACAAGAATCGACGCCTTCGAAAGCCCGTCCATGCTGCGATTGGGTATAGCCGAGCCCCTACGCGCCAGGAGTCGGTAGACTGGAGCGCTCTTGACGTGTACGCGCCATCTTGAAACGACAAGACATTGTTCACAGCCACGCAAGACTGCAGAACGGTTTTCTTCAGCGCGGCATATGTGGTTGGTTGCGGAAGCACTGGGCCGGTTTGGATACGCGCCGCGTGGGCGGCTACCTTCTGCCGGATCGACCATGCAGCACAGCGATTGGCCAGTTCCAGCCATGACGTGAAGTCATGTGACCTCTCGGTGGCGCTGCGGCGCTGCCTCTCGATCGTTGCTGGTCTCTGTTCTTTTCTTCTGGCTGGCGCTTCTTCAAGTTTTGTCTCCGAGACAGGCTGTCTTTGCCTGCGATCGCATCAGTATTGCAGTAATGGCCAATCGTCAGCCTCCTGATAGTACCTGATCGCCGCCCTCCACAAATAGTGATCGGCGGCATGATGTAACTAGCAGATAGCACCCGGCGAACTACGCCCCGAACTTCTTGTAATAATGCAGAGTAATTGTCTACAGGGAAAAATCAATTCTTGGGGGTTGGAAATAGTGGATTATCAATGGGTGAAGTTTCTAGACTAGGTGACTTAAGGTACAAAGGTTGGCCGTCTGGAGACCCCAAGAGAACCCAGAGCACAGCCCACACAGTCCATCACTGCCCGACGCACACACATACACAAAAGGAAAAGGCGACAATGAGCCGAGAGCGCGACACAACGCGAAACAAAACTGGTATCATTCGAAGGCAAAGAGCAGGAAACCGCAATCAGAGCAACATCGCCAAGACGATTAAACTGGAGCTAGCCAAAGAAGGTTAGGCGGGCGAGGTCGACGACCAAAGAGAAGCGCTGCGTGGAGACCGCAATTACAGTCCAGGGAGAACTCGGTAGCAGTAACGCAGAGTCGTCGGCAGGCCCGGATCCCCTCTCCGCCGGGCGTTCGCAGAAAGCCGCTGGTTCGTGATGTAATTAAGCGCTGCTTTCCGGGGATGGCGCGATATTGTCTAGTATTTTAGGATAATGTACCTAGATCACAATTAGCAAGCAGCCGCAGTCATTGACAAGGGGCGAGTAGCATACAGAGCGTGGATGATACCAGGGATGTAACCCAGGATGGTCAAACAGATGTTGATTAGCAAGTCGGCGCCGCATCCGCGCTCCAGGAAGACACCTAGAGGAGGGAGGACGATGGCGAAGATGATCTTGCAGATGTCACTGATGGGAGAGATCACGGTTAGCACGCATTGGATAGCCCAAAGTTGATTTCATTGCGAGGTCGCGTCTCGCTCGAAACTCGAAGCGTTGTGACGGCGCGAGAGCACTTACGAGGCGGTGAAAGGCATGTTGGCGAGTGGAATTGAAGGAGCTGGGGCTCGCAACGATGACTGTTCTATAGATGATCGGAGGAATGGATGCGCAGAAAAGAATGCGATTGACGGAGGTACAGATAGTGGTTGGTGACTGGAGAGAGAGGAACAGCAGAAATTGGGCCTGGCAGCGGCGGACGCTTAAGTAGCACCTCCCAGCCTCAGGCCTCCAAGGCAGGACGGGCCTCGACGTCATCCACATAGCCGTAGCAGTAACGCCACACTGAGGCGCGAGCTGTGCCCGAGCTGTCTGATTGGCCGTTGCCCGCCGTTGCCAAGATTGGCCATCCTATGCGGTCATGATTATGTACAGTACTCCAAGGTCAATGGGTTGGGTGCTATGATTATCTACTACTGTTTACATATGAATACATCATGGAATGCTTCGTAAATAATCACGTTGCACACAGCCGGGGGAGTAGGTACGCACTACTTACAGCAGTGCTGAGTGAATCCCCTGATGAAGCTCCCCCAATTCCACGCCGCCTCATATTTGAGTCACCTCAGCTGCGCAGTGAAGGAAAATAATGGAAGTAATGCTGCTGCCTCAACTCTATTTTTAAGCATGTTTGTCGGACACAAGTTGTGCCAACAGAAGCAACCCTGATCCTGACGAATAGTAACAATCTAGAAATACCCATGCTAGCCAATCACATGGACGCTCTCAGGATCCGTAATTATTATTAATGTTGCATTTGCGCAAACTTAGTTAACTAAGTTACTTGCATCGCTGATTAATGCTAGTCCCACACAGGGCCGCCTTGCCAAGCATTGGCTTCAATTCATCATGATCAACAGATAATCTCATGTTCCCATCCGTTGCTCGATCCGCGCCCATGCTCTCATGCTGAATATTTCCTTTTGCGTCGCACGCTCGTCTGCGAGAGGTGCCTCGATATGCGTCATACGGAGACCGGTCCTCCCCTACAATAGGCCAACAGCGCCGTCTTTGCTGCGAAGAATCAGCTCTGACGATTCCGCTCCCTCCAGGAACAATGCAGCGACCAGGAATCTGCGAGCAATAACATGGGCCTGTCACAAGCCGGAGCACTTGGTAACTTTTTTTGTCCCGTCATGATATGGTGATACACGTTGCTGATCTAATGATTGTACCAAGACAGTTGACCATGTCACATCTTTCTACCCGGAGCTCCAGCCGATGACGAGAACGCACTCGACTGTGCCTGTCCTTTTCGCTTCCCCCGAATTTGCCTCGTGGACAGATCCATCTAGCTCGCTCCTTGCAGAATGGGTGAATCCGTTGCTTAAGAGTATCCATCACCGTGAATTGCCGAGTGTCGTCTACACTGTCGTGGCTGTGGTAGACAAGATATCGACTTTGCAAAGCAACCGTCCTAGAGTGCCATTGGGTGCCGCGGGACTATCGCTTCTGCTAGTCGATAGCTCTGCGATAGCTGTTTCAGCGTCACAACCAGCCCATGTCAGAAGTAGCAGTCCTGCCGAACCTGCTTTCTTTTTTTCGACGCCGCGTACTTCCGATTCCGCCGAGAACGAAGATGACAACCAATATGCCCGCGAAGTGGGACTACGGCTCACCAATACAATATTTGTGAACGGAAAAGATAGAACGTTACTAGGGCTTCGATGGATCTATGATGCAGCATCTAAGGGCTATGTCCTAGATAATTGGAAGGATCTATCAATCTGCGACATCAGATATCCCGCTAGTGAAGCGCGCAGCTCTATCACCGTTCCCCTCCGTCCAGTTACCCAGCGTCGAAGCGTTGTGTCTAGTATGGGTAACATTTTGCGGCAGCTATCTAGCAAGTCGTCCCCAATTCCCGCCTCCTCAGAGCTAGAGAAGGAGCTTCCCAGATATGTCAGCGAGCTTGGCATACCACATCAGAGAGTAGCAGTCTGGGCTCTTGTCGAACCGTTGAATGCACTTCTCTCGGAGAAATATGGTAGAAATGACTTGAACCAGTCAATTCTGAATGGAAACAGAATCCATCGTGTCGTGAGCGGCGGTGGGGGATGGGGCAAGAAGCAAGGCCTGCTATCTCTAGACCCAGAAGTTAGTTTTTGGGATCAGTTTACATCTTCACAGCAGAATCCAGTTTCATTGGACCAGACATTCGTCACACAGTCTCCTCATAGCGTCGAGCCCGACGACAATCTTGATATATCAGAACTACTCGGCCAGGGACTGGAAGAAGATATTGCCTCACTGTCTCACGTCGCTCCTGTCGGAGATAACATTCAATTTTTCGTTGCTACTGAGCCAGAAGTGGTTGAAAATAACACGGAACTGCCAGAAGACAGGAATAACAGTCCTCTTTCGTGTTCATTCGCCGTGGGTGCATCCGTCGGAACAGAGCTGACGATTCCATCATCCTCATCTCAAGACACGTCCTCCGATGACATGGTTGTTATACCCAACCACTTCGGGGGTCTTTCTGAGACGGCAATCAGCTATTCAACGAAATCATCGGGCTTGTCCCCGAACGGTAGAGTATGTCGAACAAAACTGTCCGTTCCTGGATCTCGGGTTGAAATCTTCTGCTACGAATGATCTTGACGATGATAAATACGATTGTACAATATAGATGTATCAGCTATAATAAAAATTTCTCCAAGATAGTGCATGCTGTCCATTGGTTATCTTGACTCCTACGTTTGTTGAGAGTATCCATTGCTATCGTTGAACAATGCCATCTAACTCATATATCTGGCTATTATCCTTCTCGCTCACTAATTTGATGCCTGGCGCGGGTATCGGTGCTGGGACTGGTGCTGATGCTGGTGCTAGTATCTTCTTCGATGTTGTGTTTCTTCGTCTGAAGAAAAAAAGCAAGGCCGGAACTGCTAGAGCAATCACCCCAATTGTGACGCCCACACCGATGCCCGTTTTTGCCCCAGTTGATAAACTATCTGAAGCTGGAATTGATGATGCTGGCAGTGCTTGCGTAGAGGTTAGCGACGTTGATGTCACTGATGAAGTCGTCGTTCCCACATCACCCATAGCCGATTGTGTAAATGCTGGTGAGAGTGGGCTCGTCGCTGCCGAAGTTGTCTTATTATATACATAAAACGGGGGGCTCCAGCTCATAAACCCAAACAGTGGAATCCCATCTGTGCCGCGTTTGGTGGAGGCGTTGAAGATTCCGAATTGATATTGTGGGTCGGTCGTATTGAATGTCGATGGAATAGTCCAATTGTATTGGTCAAGCGTACAGTTTGATTGAAAGTCAACTGTTCGATAGATCATACTCGCTGTGCTAAATAATGCTCCCTCTTTCGTTATTCTTAATTAGCATCGTTCGTAGATGACAGCAGTAGAGCTCACCTAGAATATCCCCAACTATCGAGCCCCCTATTCGAGATAGAGAGAGGTTTAGAGGTGTGGATTCAACATCAAAGGCACCCCATTGGAGTAGTATTGTGTCACCTGGAGCGAATGTATTGTTTGTTGTGTTCGTGAAGCCATAGAACTCCCCCCCGACACAGTTCTCGTATGTGCTCATTCTTTTGGGCTTCGGAAGTGGCTTCTTTGTTTTCAGATTTTCTCTAGTTGAGAATATTTCCGTAAACTTAGTCGTCTTGCAGAATTGAGGTGGGTGGGATGCAACTTTCGGCGATCAGCCATTGACTACTTGCATAATCAACCCCCAAAAGATCGAACGATCAGCGGTGCCAGAAAAGCAGGCGCTAGTGATGGACGCATTTGTTGAAAGCTAAAGACCCAACCGACAGCCTTATAGCAGAGAGCTATTACAGCCCCTAGTAATGTAGGAACTACTATCAGCTTTCACAGCCTCTCAGATTCGGTATTCGACAATTTGGGTCAGCACTAACGATTTTGAAGCCCATAGTCCTACCCTAAATTGAAGAATTCGTATTCTGTAAAGCTTAGATTGGACTCATATAACTGAAACGTGCCATGACATGGAGCCAGAAAAGTCCCCGACAAATCAGACCCCAAATTTAGTGCGCTTCAGCCTTTGCCAATTTGCCTACATAGCCTGCTGCATGGGTTTCAACCTTGAAAGTGCCTTTGATTTATATTGAGGTTATTAATATCTAAGTTGATAGTTTAAACGTTGTTGATGTAGGCCGTAAGTTCTTTAAATCAGCCTCTAAAGAAATCAACTTAATTACCCAAAGCCAGATAGGTGAGCAACCAGTGACGAGCCAAACAAGCGGTGTCATATTGATAGAGGGCTTTTTCTTTCGCGTTTATTTCGTTTTATATTTATTTTATAATTTTCAGACACTTTCTGCTTAGAATGGGAGTCTCTAAAACGAGAATTATTGGACAAGTAGGCAAACGACTGGTCGATCGTCGGTTAGACAAGCTGACAATTCATGTTGTACCTGTACTTTGATAAATATATACTGAGAAGTGGTACCAAAGGTGCCGTGAGAGTGATAGGCTTATTAGTGCTCCCCAAGGTGGACTCTAACGTTGAATTAACCAGCCAAGTATAATCCCTGCACTGTTTTTAAGCGAATGAAGTCTAAGCTGTTACTATTACCCAATACTCAAAAACTTAAAAATTCACTACATCAGTCGAATACCTCACCAAATCACTGGAGCTAAGTAAGGACAAGACGCGGTATGTGCTCATCAACCCAGGCCAAAAAGCACATAGCTTGACTCTACGGCGTTCGGTCGTGCAAGCTATACACATAGGCTCGAAATATCCATTTTTTGGATAACAATTGATATCAAAGCAAATAAATTTCCAAGTAGGCTGTATCCACGAATTGATTTCAATTGGGCATTTTCATTAAAATTTCTTCAAAAAAAGGCAGAGCAGTCTTACAGGTTGACAATGACAGAAACATTAACAAACCATCGAAGAACAGGAAGCATAAAATTGTAGGGATTGAATGTATTTGATGCTAGGTGGAGCAAAACACGTGCCAATGCGCATCACGTGACGCGGATAAGCTCCTCTGGCTGACCTTGCACGAACCTCGCTCCAAGCATCCCTCCTGCTAGTTCACTCTCTGCCTTCACTACAACATCGTTACGTCGTCGCAGTCGAGCTGTCGTGTCTCTCTCTGATCCTCCAGCTGAAACTTCCGCATCGCCTGCGACTAATCTTATATACCTACATCCACGATGTCTACTGATCTCTGGTAAGGTGTCCTTCACGCCAATTACCCGCTGGCTCTTGCTCTCAACAAGGCTGTCTCAACATCTTATTCACCGTGCAAATGCTGACTTTAAAATTATTTTAGCCCCGTCTATGCAGTAAGTTGCAAGAGTCCTCCCCGAAATGCCCTAGGACTGCCGGCTACCTGGTTCGCCGGCTTGCGTTGCTTGATCGATGAACACCGCATCTTCCGTCTTGATCTGCTGAACGAGTAGCTGATTGCTTTTTAGCCGTTTTTCGGTGCCCTTGGTTGCACATCAGCCATTGTATTCACATGCTTTGGTGCCGCCTATGGGACCGCCAAGGCTGGCGTAGGCGTGTGCAGCATGGCCGTTCTGCGACCTGACCTAATTGTCAAGAGTACGTCAAATATATGATAGGAGAAGAATCAACCCTAATAAACTAATGTGATAGACATTGTCCCCATTGTCATGGCTGGTATTATTGGTATTTACGGTCTCGTCGTGTCTGTCCTTATCGCAAACGATCTGAAACAAAAACTTCCTCTCTACACTGGATTCATTCAACTTGGTGCTGGTCTCGCTGTCGGCCTTGCCGGTATGGCAGCTGGGTATATTGAGACTATTTCCGAAATCATAAGATGATATGCTAACGTTTTGGTTAGTTTTGCTATTGGTATTGTTGGTGATGCTGGTGTCCGTGGATCTGCCCAACAACCAAGACTATACGTAGGAATGATTCTTATTCTCATTTTCGCTGAAGTCCTGGGTGAGTTTATTCATTTTTATTGTCTCTTCAGGACATGTATTGATAATAAACAAATGAATAGGTCTTTACGGTCTGATCGTTGCCTTGCTCATGAACTCGAACTCTAGTGGTTCATGCTAAACCGCATGACCATGTATCAGCATGAAGGGAGAACACGATTGGGAGATATGTTCAACAACTCTCATATTTCATTCCAGTCGACTTCGAGACACGTATCGTCAAGCTATCAATCGGAGTTCTACCTTTTGGGCCTTGTGCACTAAAACCATAATGGACATGCATGTTCGACATTTTTGTTTTCACGAGTTCCATATTACGAGAGCAGTGGCGGAAGTGGATAGTCATGTAGAGTAAACCATGTTTCTTTCTTTTCCTGAGTCTCCTGTCTGGTATGGGACAACACGGAAAGGCGAAAATTGATCTGACTCTTGGAGACGTTGGTGCGGAAGGAAGAGGGTTAGATTGATTTGAAATTACATACATATTTAAATCTCAGATGCTCGTGAGGTTTGAACATGTTCTTGTATTATTTTCATTATTTCATCTTTTTTGGCATTCGCTTTTTTGTTATTAGCACCATTGATTTCTTAAGTATCTACCTGTGGATATACAAGTTTTCAAAATGGATTTTAATATGTACTAGTACATATGTAACAGACTACGATTATGGTACATTCAATTTGTCAATTCAGTTAATATGGACGTAAGTCATGCGATCTATTCAATGTTCTACCAATAACTCAGCTAAGACTGGTAGGCTAGGTATCAGTTAACAACAGCACCAAAGACCCCAGAAAAGTCCCAATGAATGGGAAATGTGATCGAAAGGTATGCATATGCGTTGATATATCAGGGAGACACAAGACAAATTAGACGGATATAATGAGAGAGAGAGAGAGAGATGACAATCAACGCCCCAATGAGAATGTATATGCTATTCAATGAAAACCATAAAAGAACATAGAAAAATGGCAACTACAAGTAATGTTCAAGCTTTATCTAGCTTGCGACGCAGTGTCCGTGTTTTCCTTAGCAGTTTCTTGAATTTGTGTTTCTTCATCTTCAATTTCCGCTGTCGTCGTACTGAGATAGCTTGCATTTTGTTGTTGTATACGCGTTCAATGTAGGAATTCCGGACGAGATTGTTGGTGTTGGGGTCTTCGAAGTCGGCATTTATAGAGCCAGGAGCTTCCATATCCTCGGAAACGAGAGGCGAGACATGGGCTTCGTATGTCTTGTGGCCATCTGGGTGGACGGATTCGCGAATAGTGAGGACGGTAGAGTAAGTGCGGAGAGAAGAGTCCTCTGCTTCTTGTTCTGCGGAATTAGCCACCAGACCCTCTTCCTCATTGAACGGCTCTGGAGCCGCGGGTGGGTTGAAGGGGGCAAGACGCTTTGCAAATTCTCCAATAGAGTTGTGAAGGTCTTCTTCCGAGACACCATCTAGATGAATGACATCCATGTCTCCATTCCCAATAGAAGACGAAGCTTGTGTCGTAAAGTTTCCGCCACGTGTAGCATTCTCCATTGAGCGAACCGCTGATGATAATGTATCCAATACATCTCCTCTTCCTCTTCGTGACATCGACTTAGACTCGAAGATGGCGTTAAAAGCCTCCTCGTTGGTTGGCGGAGGAATAGTAGTGGTGACAGAAATAGGACGGTGGAGTGAGAAGAACGATGCAAGGTGCATATCTAAGGATCCCCCGCTTAGTACTGAGGTTGTATAAGAGAGAACACCTTTTTCCCTCGCAGCTGTGATGATGTGAAAACATACCTTGTGGTAATAAATGGTGTGTTGACGGGACGCTGGGCACGTTCAAGAAGGGCGAAGGATGATTGTTCCTGCCATTGCTGGTGCTGTTGTCTTTTCCTTTCCTTTTTGTAGCTTTTCGCTGCTCGCCCTCTCGTTCTGCGGGCCCTACATTTTTGCCCGATGGAGCCTGGGACGATGGAGTATCAAACGGTCGCGAGCCATCGTTTGGAGGTGCCGGAGGTTTAGAAGACGAGTAACGCCGTTGATGTGCCCGTCTTTGCGATGTCGCGCTCAGCAGAAGACCGTTTGCCGAAGAAGCGGAGGGAAGAATGAGGCTGGGAAACGGGGTGGGCGTGCGGACTGCACGCCGAAGGGAGGATAATAACATCGCAAGCCCAGATTGCGCTCTTTTCTCGTGTGAAAAGAGACGAGAAGAGCGATAGATGATGGTCGGATTGCGATATGAGGGGAGCGGTTGTCACCCACGTCGGCGGAAGACGGACAAGAGGCGAAGTTCGCTGGTCAGGTGCGGTGCGTTACGTAAGCGCCAAGAATAGATACCGACTTGAGAGTCATTATATTGTTATTAATTGTTAGTATGATTATGTGTATAATTATATGATTGCACGATTGTACGATTGTACAATTGTTATTGCTATTGTCAAACTTGATTATTTCAATTTCGGGTTGTATCTGGCTGAAATAGCTTGGAAAGAATATCAAGAGTCCGTCCATTAATGAAACAATAGGCCGTGAGATCACCAGAAAGATATCATCACAGACGTTCAGGGTAGTAAAGAAAGCAGAGTATGATGTAGTTAGGTATACAATGCAAAAAATTACACGAGGAAGGGAGCGTTTCCACCTCCACAGAGTAGGGGGAAAAAAGGAAAGAGAACCCGGCGGGTTTCATGATGCACCACCTAAAGCGTGTCGTCGTGACAAGGTATCTTGGGAACCGTAAGAAAGAAGAGAAAAGCTAAATGCAAAACCCAATGGCCGCTGGAGAAGAAGTAGATTATGGGATCGCGGAAGAGGCGAGCGCTTAATGAAGAGGATCGAAGGAGATGGGATGTTAATGTGAAATGTGGCCATGGGTGGTTCATTGTCATAAGATCAAAGTGTGGAGATTCTTTTGAATGATCATATCTTGCACTGAGTCCATGGTGGCTTTCAAAAGTGTCGTGTCTGTGGCATTAGTTTGGTGGATATAAATCTCACGCTCTGGCATGCGATTAATGCTGCGGAATCGATCGGAAAAGTATTTGGCCGCAGCGTCGAAGTCTGTCGACGAGCCACTGTAGTCCGGGAAGTGTTTGTCGACCGGAGAGAGGGCGAGTTTGTTTTTGAAAAGATCCATTTTATTGAGGAAGAGAATGATGGGCTTTCTCTTGAACCACTCGCCATTTGCCAAAGATTCAAAGAGCATCATGGCTTCGTGCATTTGGTTCTGAAAAAGGGAGGTCAGACTGAGAAGAATGCAAACATAGATTATAAGCTTACAGCATTCTGGTCCTCAAGAAGACTCTGGTCATAGCCAGACAGTGCAACCATAAATAGCAAACACTGGACGCCTTCGAAGCAATGGATCCATTTCTTGCGTTCTGATCGCTGGCCCCCGACGTCCATCATGCGGAAGTTCAACTGGCCTAATTCAAAGAGGGTCTCGGTGATACCGGTGGTTCGTAGACGAGAATGTAGCATGTCTTGGTTGTCTGGTAACCAACCGGGTGTGAAAAGGCGGTCCAGGGAATTGAAAAAGCTAAGAAGTGTTAGATATCAGCCCTAGAACGAGGATTAAGGCTTCGTACTAATGCAGATTGTCATGGAGAGCGAATTCGTGCCCACGAGAGACTGCTTGCTGGACGCCCGCATCACTCCACAACTGCTTCATAGCATCGCGAATATTGGTGTCGGAAAATGCTTCGTCCGTGTCGACGTCCGATTCAGTTTTGAAAAGCAACTGACCGAGGGGCTGTCTCGATTGTTAGCGGTTGTAATGTGTACTCTGCAACGTGTGACGAGTAGTGCCGACCTTGTTATCTTCTTTTTCGAAATCAATCTTTTGGTTTTGCATTATGTCCATCAGAACCTTGAATGCGACAATAAGATTGGAATATATGACAGCGCGATTTTGTCGTCGTTCATCTTCCGGGAATCCGCCGGAATGGATGATGCGCATCTGCTTGATAATAGTAGACTTGCCAGATTCTCCCGCACCTGCACGTTTGTTAATGGCCTGTTAGCTGGAGGGATAGGGCGGTGTATTGGGCGTACCGAGTAAGAGGATCTTCACGGTGCGGTCGAGGGTTTTCTTATCAGTACGGATCTGCTTTTCGATGTTTGCGTTGACCCTGGAAGCTTCCTTGTCTTCTGGGTCAACCTTTGAGCTCATGCACCCCATGATGGCGATTGGTATTGGACGCTACCTCTGTCACGATCTACCGTCAGCATTGTCTTTGATCTGCACCGGGTAGGCTTCCTTGCAACGTGCGCCGAAAGTGGTTTTGAGGGGGAACAATATCTTGATTTCCGCTCTCTAAATAGCGGTACGCCGCAAAACGACAGGCTCGGCACGGGATGAGGCTTGTGGAACGACAAGGCGATAGATATGCTGTATCGAGGAAAAGAAGCTTGCAGACACTCACAACAACGACCAATAGAACCGCCAATAGCTGGGACCAATCAAATTCCAGAAACGGGAGGTTTTGTCTCGTATGATGATGTTTTCAACAGATCTACTCCCTGTCGCTGTGCCCTCAATCGCGGGTGTTTGTGTCCACTTGTTCACTTGCCGTCAAGTGGTGAAATGTCGAGCAAGCGCGGACAGATCACTACCGGGGGGAGGGGGCCAAAAGCGAATTGCGGCTTTCGGATAACCCCAGCCAGAGGGACGATGCTCTTATGATTATTATTATTATTTGCGATGGATTGAAACAATCTTCACAACCGGGCGATCTTTTGCAAACGGAGCGTTCGGATAGGGCGTTCTACTGTTCTGTTGAGCGCTGGAGAACTGGAAATCGGGCGATCAGTAAGTTGTATTCGGACAAGACAACCATTTGCGACAGAGGCAGCGTTAATTGGGGGATTAGTAATGACAGCAGAGTGCAATGATAATGGTGAGGATACAGCAAGTAGGAAAGAGGAGAGAGGAAGTCGAAAATCGATTGTCACTGACCAGCTGCTTGGAATCTTCGATGGCAGGTCGCAGCCAAGCTGATTGGGTTCAGCAGAGCCCCGTTGTACGGTTGGGGCCAAGGTCAAGTATCAATTGATCGATCTGCTTGATGGGCGCGATGCTATGATAGGATGGAAGGGAGGGATGAAGAACGATAGAAGATTCGGGTGGAGAATCCGGACCGCACCTTGTTTTCGTCCTTTTTTGGCGGGTTTTTCCCTCTTATTCTTTGCGCAGGGAAGCTAATTGCCGTGCTCCCTTGCTGTGTCGCATAGACGACGATGATAGGAGCAGATATCGCAGGTAGTGGTGGCATTTCCGGTGGGAGTGGAGCGGCGCGGGCGAGTAGCTGCGGTGCTTGGGTGGCGGCCTGCGGCTTGAGGCATGCACGGGCTGCTGACTCCGCTGCTAGCCTCTGGTAATAAGTTACTATGCTCCGTAGTGACACTCTAGAGCTCTACTAGTCGAGCCTACACTCCACCACGCGGCCACCCACGAGGCTGTCACCAACTGTGGAAACAAACCGATTCACTCTGATTTGGTCATGGCTGTGAGAACCAGTACTCCAATATTAATTCTTATTATTGTTAGTATTATTGTTGTTATTATTTCGCTTCGGAATCGGCTATCTCCTGATTAGACGCCTCCGGGCTACGCGGCTACTACTCATAGTACGTACGGACAGCGAGGATTAACCAACGGCTAATCATGTGCATTGTGCAGTCGTAGTAACTCCTGGGGAAGCCGGAAAGGATCACTCGGTCACTAAAAAGCGAAGAGCCAGGGCTCTGTCGCGAAGCATAGCCTGCTATTTGTGCCTGGGCCGCTACCCGGCCTTGCGCTGGATATAATTACCACCCGGCGTGTTCTTGCGAATACGATAATGATATACTAGTAGCTAGTATGTAGTTCCTTGAAACCGTCCCGATTCCCCGGAGCTCGGTCCGCCCCAATCCTTGTCTACATTCGCAGAATGAAAAGTAGTGGTTGACCATACTGTACGTTATTTACTGGTATAGTAACTATCGCGGCTTGCCTTTCTTCTTGCCTGCAAGTCACAAGGATTGTGCCGCTTGCAGGTCCTCAGTCCTGACCATCTGGCGTCTGCTCAGCGCCCACTACTAGTTGGCTGAGAGTTGCCTACTGAGGAGCCTCGACAGGACCTAAAATCAGATCCGCAGGGGGGGGTTATCCCCTGAAGATCGACCGGCAAGACTGCTAAATGCGAATTAGTGAACAGTGCCACACACAGCGCGGTTGCTGCGCCGTCTAGGGGACCGGGTCCTGTCGGACGCCCATCGATCGTTGGATTTATTCCAATTACGCTGTATTTCACAATGGGAGGTGGTTTCAGGACAGCTTCGTGCGGTCTGTAAATGCCGACAGTATAGTTATATTATTATTACATTATTAATATGCATTCTTATTAATATAGCTGTGCGAGGAGGTCTGGCGCCACCATTGGCAATAAGAGAGATAACATAAGACGATCCTCGTGATCAGCTCAATTTCTGCAGGGGGCCAAAAGCCGAGAATGATTCGCAACCCCGCTGAGTCAACGCAATCATACGCTGAGGATGAGATAAGCTCTTGATTAAATACTCATGGTGGTACTACACCGCACGGAGTGAGCATCCTCTACGCTTTGCTTACTATTCGTCGGAGCACCGATTGACCTGTTTATGGGATGTCAATTGGTGATCTAGTACTCCGGAGTAATCAGCCGAGCAAGGACGCATTAGTTAAGTTAGTTTGACTTGAAGGCTGAGTCAACATTTAAAACTGGACAGACGCCACGTGCGTCGGCTTAATCGGAGGTCAAATCAAATGCTCGACTGGTTATGCACTGGAGTCTGGTGTTCCGGATAATGCGCAATTATTAGACAATAATGATGGAAGAACTATCGACATTAATGCGTGCAATGTGACTTAGCTTGGCATATAATTTATGGGTGTATGGATTTATGTCTACAGGTGTAGTATCCTACGTCTCGGTTCTGCAGCCTGGCGTATCCAGGAAGACCTCGGCGAGTATACCGACTGAATGTGAGACCACATGTTGTAGCCGTGGAAAAGAAGCATGGTGGTCTGTTGGGCTGTTGCGACACTTTCGTAATTTTCTTGCTTTCAAAGTTCATCCTAGGCCACATCCTGGTTTGGGGTAGCCCCTATGGAGTAGTTCATAGTTATTAATTTATTGCTGAGGATGATTTCTTTCAGATGGATCCTAGGCGAGAGCCTAGCTTGTAACAAAAGGGAAAGAAAAAACAATCAAATTGCAGATTGTGGAACCTTGAACGCCAGTGAACCGTGGAACAGCATGTCTCAGTCAGGGGGGAAATGAGCTGTAGATTCGACTAACGTTTCACGCTTTTTTTGACAGCAGTTGACGGGTGGGCCTCTCTTCTCGGAGTCTGCTACTGGTCAGGCATTTAATAAGATCATTCTTAAAGAGCTCTTATTATTATTATTTCTAATTACAGTCAACCCCCTTTATAAGCGACCACCTTTGTAAGCAACTCCTCCTTGTAAGCAACTGGTCACCAGTGTCCGAATTAATTTCTCATATAAATTCCCTTAACCCCTCTTTATAAGATTGTTTCTTAATTTTTTACGTCTCCCATACAAAGCTCCTTATAAAAAGGGAATATAAAAAGAATTATTACCTAACCACCCCTTATTAATCCGTTTAAAATGGAGTCCGCCTCTCTTTGAAAGTCTTAAAAAGCTATTTCTAATATCTAAAAAGCAGCTTTTAAGTTAAAGCTCAGTCAAATCCTCACTTTACGTGTGATTCGCTTACTCAATGGTTTGAATCGACATAATTAATAAATTATAAAATTCTTAATCACCCAAATCCTCTCACCTACTTATAACACGCTTAAAACATCTTTATCGACTGCACAAGGTAAGCAGTTAAAACACCGCCAGGCCCTATTATTAGATAAATAGAGGTTAAGGTGGTTTATATGGCCTAAAGGTGAAGTTGACGACCCATAGAGTGTATCTGTAGTAATTAACGTTGATTTTCTATATAAAATCTATATAAATTGAGTGTATCTCCTTACAAGCAACTCGACCCGCTCCATACTTTGGTTGCTTATAAAGGGGATTGACTGTAATAAACTGGTTATTATTATGGACATTCTGGATCGACCTGCTGCAAAATTTCACGGTAACCAACAACAACAACACCAACAACAACAACAATAATAATTCTGAACTCCTAGGCCGAGGCCCCCTTGTCGCGAAACCGGAACGGAAGGCTTCTCGACTTCTCGACAGGACTGCGATAGAAAGCAATCTAAAATAGAAATGGATGCTGTGGGCCGTTCTGTGTAATGATTAAAGTGATCTAGATTTATAAGGAATGCCGCTTCTTGTGTTGTAGCTCGTACTTTGTAGCACATGGTAGCACTGACCGAGTCAAACTTGGCAGCACTTTGGATCTATAGAGAGTAATGTGATTCTACTATGCAAGTCTTCTACAGTCTCTGGGACAAAATTGTACAGCGTCTTATTTGTAGCACAACGGCCTAATTAATGTGTTAGAATGTCACTCTTGTACAGTAGTATGTCTCTTAGGAAAAACGTGAAAACATATAGAAGTTGTCTTTACAGTCGGTTAGGTAGAAGCTCTGCATCGAGTCATTATTTCTAATCCTCAATATAAGTCATGAAAGTGGGCAGTCTGAGGCAGGATAGTGAATCAGGTGACCATACGTGCCCTGAAAGGTCATACCGTGAACGACCATGAACCCTCAATCTTCACATCGGCTGTCGTACTAGGCCAGTGTTATTATTGTTACTGTTGTGGAACCATTGCATACAGTTTTCAATTACCTATTTCTTGATATAGCGTCGACTAGGGTTCTATCTAGCCTCTGCGAGACGGTAACATCTGGTGACGCGGTATAGGAACGAGGGGGTATAGGAGCCTATTGTATGCCCACCTGAGAAATTCGACTGTGGAAAGGTAATATGTAAATTGATTCTCATATAGTGTGTAAAGTGAAGCTATCTAAGCGAACCAAAATGCGTGCAAACGCTCGGTGCGAGGCGAGGTGCCTGAGACATCCAACATCAACCAACAAGTGAAGCAATTGTTTATTTTAAACTGCATACCGCCCACCAAAGCCGCGCGCGTATATATCTGTGCGCTTATATGCATTGGGTTTATAAAGCGAGCGTTAGAAATTAGAATACACGTACGGGGACAGGGACCTCCGTATATAAGTTAATCCTGCCAACAAGCATCTCCAGCGTCCCAATCGGGAAACAGGTTCCTCATAGTCGGTGGGGATCCCGTATCACTAAGCAGCCAAATTGTATTACTCACTCAGTCTCACTGCCCCAACACGAATCAAAAGAGCCCCTTCAGCCAATGGCTTTCAGCTGTTCTAAAATCCGAGCGGCTGATGAGCTAGGCTGGAAGCAACACTGAGCCTTCACTAAAGCTCGCAGTCTAGCGAATCACACGCTTGTGCGGTCGGCTGGTGATGCTCTTCACCAACCAGCCTCATCTAGAGACTGACCGCCCAGCGATCTGCGAAGAGTTTGCGCAGTCCTGAATAACCAACCTTCTCGAGTCATCGCTCCACCTAGTTTTGGGCGTACCATGAGTAATCTGGTAGTGCATGACGCTTCGACTCGATACTAATCGTCGTGGATTTAATTTTAATTGCCGATATGTATGACATTATGCCCGATTTTGGTTGCCCAAAGAGACGCAGAAAGATCTAGCACTCCATCATTATTGTCGCTCGCCAGCAAGAGATGGAACCGACTCCGTTTCCACCCATGTATGAATTCAGTTCGAATTCTTCGAGCCGTGGCACTCCCATTGTACGTATGAAACATACCCCACTCTTCATCTACACTAATTCGCAATAGAACGATATATTTTTGTACACAAACAATGCGTTACCCTTCAACCTCTCGCCATTCGAAATTGAGCCCTTAAGTCAACATCCTTTTCCGCTGGAAGGCATGCTTAAGCAAACATCAAACATCGAACCCCCGACTGAGTTGAAAGGCAATTCTCAAGCTACTGAACTAGTTGGAAAGTTTAAAAATGTTAGATAACAAGGAGGAAGGCATCATTCTTCCATATGGAATCATGGAAGCGGAACTCTGTTGAGCTGACTGTTTTCCTTTTCATCATTCGCAGAGACGCCGCGCGCAAAACCGAGCATCTCAGCGTGCATTTCGAGAACGCAAGGAAAAATATATCAAAAGCCTGGAATCGCAATTAAGCGGCCTTCAGGAAGAGCATACGAAACTGCTGGACTCGCATCAGCAGCAAACACAGGTTCTTGATCAGATGAAGGGCCGGGTAGAGGAGCTCACAGCCGAGATTGAGAATCTTCGATTGTCTGTGCCTATAAAGGGTTCTAATTGCTTTGCTGTATTTGATCTGGTGCCTTTCGTGGAGATGTACTCAGGAGAAGTTGGGCGAGGGAATGACACGAACCGGCCTGTATCCACGGGGGCAGGACCTGGCTAATGACTTTATGTGACTCACCGCCTAGTATATCGCTTTGATGTCCACTATTTATGATTAAATGTTGATATCTGTATAGATGACCGACTTGGATAAATGTATTTGATGCATCGTGACACCTTTTAACGAGATGTTCAAGATGAATTATTCCTGTAACGCATCATCTCAATCAACTTGAAAGGGCTACAATCTGAACATATAACATTTGAAAATATGAGCTTATAATTCACCCACTGAGAAAAATAATCCTTGTCACTCGGCACTTCGGCTCGGCTCAACTGCATGGCGGCTCCAGTCAGTCTTGCCGACGCGGATTTCAATGTCCGGCTGTAACTAACTTAAATGCGGTCATTAACACAGTCGCATTCACTTCCTAGCACTAAAAAATTGAGTCAATTCAATGGCTAGCCTGAATCCTCCTTCCCGCTCATTAACTGGCAAAGTAGCCATTGTCACAGGTGCCGGCTGTGCAAGTGACGGTATCGGCAATGGGCGCGCTATATCCATTTTACTTGCACACGATGGTTGCGACGTGATATGTGTCGACCAGAATAAAGAATGGGCCCAGAACACGGTCAACATGATCAACAATACTTCCGAAAACAAAACTGGAAAGGCTATTGTTGGACAAGCAGATGTCACCTCGGCTTCAGACTGCGAATCAGTTGTGAAACTGGCGTTAGAAAAATTTGGCCGTCTCGATATCCTTGTTAATAATGTCGGTGTTGCTGGTGCACTAGGCACAGCGGTTGAAGTTGATATGGAAAAGTGGGCGAAAGGGTTGGAGATTAATGTTTCGAGTATGGTCTTGATGGTCAAATATGCCGTTCCGGCTATGATGCAAAACATTGGCGAGGAGGTGAGAGGATCAATTGTGAACATGGGTAGTGTCGCAGGACTGAAAGGTGGCACACCGCATTTACTCTACCCGACAAGTAAAGGGGCAATTGTCAATATGACTAGGGCTATGGCGGCTCATCATTCTGAGAATGGTATTAGAGTAAACTGTGTTTGCCCAGGGGTTAGTATTTCTATCTTTTCAGTGTCTTTTGTTAAATTATTAATGGAGAGTACATGTAGATGCTATACACACCAATGATGTATGCAGATGGCATGACGGAAGAAGCCAGAGAGGCAAGGAAAAAGAGAAGTCTTCTGGGTACAGAAGGCACAGGATGGGATGCCGCTTGCGCAGTTGTTTTCCTTGCCGGCCCGCATGCTAGATGGATCACTGGTGCTATTTTACCTGTTGACGCTGGTGCTACTGCTGCGGTTGGAATAGGTTTACCAAAAAGTGCAAGTGTCAACGGGGGAGAAAAGAACAAATAGGGCTATTTGACCAAATCCATTCTGTTAAACTACTGATGCAACAAGGCAACTCGAGCCTTGATCTTCCCATCACATAGAAGCTTGAGGATCATCGGAAACTCTTCAAGTACTGCATTGTCGACTTGCGGCCTAATAGCTTGTTTGGAGATCAAATCTAGAACCTCTTGTAGATCTCTCTTCTGCCCACCGTACGTAAATATAATGCTCAATCTTTTACGAATCCCAATCTTCATGTCAATCGTGTTCGTTTCGTCTAGAGTACCGATGCACACTAGTTTTCCTCCGCGACGAACTATCAAGGAGTTAGCAGTTTCTCACAAATTGAATGGAAGACAAGATTACCAATGCTCTGAGCATCCTCAAACGTCTGATTTTTGCCCACAAAATCCAACACCGTGTCAATCTTTCCTTCCAAGCTATTATCACGTACAAACTCCTGCACAGAAACACCGGCTGGGACAATATCCGGTTTTGGAACCCCAGCCCGCTCTGCCTCATCCAAGCGCTCCTGGCGAATATCAGATATAATGACTCTCGCACCGATGTGTAGAATTATTTGCAGTGCATTAAACCCCAGTCCACCGAGGCCGAACAAAAATACGGTTTCGTGACTTTTTACTTCAGCACGTCTTGTGATAGCGTGGTAACTTGTTTTCACAGCGTCTGTTGCCACCGCTGCTACTGATGAAGATATGTCTAATCAGATTTAGTTAATTTTCTTTGGCATCTCTCCAAAACGAAACATACTTTCAGGAACCAAAACTATGGCTCGAATGTCCAAAGCCGCATAAGGTGCGTAGAAGCCATCTTCACCAATGCCTGAATGATGTGCGCGCTCACACAGCTGTGGCAGATCACGAGAACATTCTGGGCAATCGCTCTCGCCGCAGCCAGGCACGGCAATGGTGGCCACTCTGTCGCCCTGGTGATGTTACATGTTATGCAGATTGTGATAATGCGCAGTACTTACCACCTTAAAACCGGACTCTTTTGCCTCCTTCCCTATTTGCACTATCCGGCCGCAGCCTTCGTGGCCCTATATAAAAGTTAGATGTAGCATGAAAACGTCATTTCTCACGGAGAGTGTACCAAAATGTACTTTTCCTGGAACCACGGACGTTGGTTTTCATTTGTGAGGAGTGAATAGTCGCTGTGGCATACTATAACGATATCAGTGACAAATCCTTAATTGATTCATAAATTTAGCTGACCGCCAGAAGCTAGCAACTTAATCAGAACACCTCGAGGAGGGGTATGTGGCACTGGAACTTCTTCCCAGACCTAAGCGGTGTCAAACTAAACATACGACGTAAGATGTATTAGGTTAAAAAATCTCACCGGCTCAGAATTACCCCTATGCTTTCTCCAAGCATACATCGTTGAAGGGATAACTTGGTCCATCGTGTTTGTTTCTCAAATCTATTATACGAGCACCTTGAAAGATGTATAAACTCGAAAGTATTTTTTACGTTGGCAATAAATATAGTTTCACATATTCTAGGGATTAAAATAGGTATCTACTGCGATTCAAGGCTCTAGCCGAAATTATTCTCTAGCCCAAATAAGCAATGCCGGTATCCCAGTCTGGTGGTTACATTTACCACCCAATTAATTGCCTTAATAGATGGTGAAATTTAGAATGAAAAATTGCAGCTATCGATAAATTAACTATAATCACTACTTAGATAGACAGGTAAACTATACTAGCATTGACCAGTCCTGAAAGTTGCGAATAGAATATTCTCAAAGCAATAGGCTAGCTGGCTACGACGTTTGCCCTTGTCTCTGTATATAGTCAACATTGTTGTCACCATCTATTCTTTGTATATTCTCACTTTGTAGTCATCCAGCCATTTATCTTCAATGATCCGCAACTGAGTTGCTTGCTTTTTACTAAAGTATTCATCTTTGGGATCCGCATAGTCCTCCATATCCACATCCATAAATCCTTGCTCTGTCTTGGTTCGTGGTGTGATCATGATTGAACGACCTGTAAGTAATCAGCAAAATTTTCTTTTTGATATAAATTAGAAGAAATGGGGTACCGTTAACGGATTTGTCGCATGCGATCCTCATCATCGCACCTGCGCAGTCGGCTTGTTCACCAAATTCGATTCCATTTTCAATGAGCCAGTTCTCATACTCCTTTGTCCGAATGGCACTCTTTATCCAACATGGAGCAACGTAGTTAATCCGGATACCTTGTTCCCAGCTGTTTCGGCGGACTGTCTTCATGAAACCGCGAAGGCCGTGTTTTGTCGCAGTGTATTCCCAGTTTCCCTGGAGTTGTCAGTTTATATGGATATTCAACCTTTGAAAAGTGAGAATCACCGGAGAATCTATATATGCAACCATACTCCCGGTGATGATGAAGCATCTATCCCTTTCATCATTATCTGGCTGCTTACGGAAATAGTGAACTGCCAATTTCCACGTGTAAAATGTGCCATCCATGTTAACCCGGATAATTTTAAGATCGGGTTTTGTAGGAAGTCCATTAGGGTCTATTTCTGTTAGTGGTTGAGACGTTGAGACGTTGGATAGAATACTAAATTTACCATCTAACGTCCACAAACTATCCCCCGAACTCCTACTAATCCCAGCATTGGCAATAACCACATCCACACTCTTACACGGACTCTTCGTCTTCGCTGTCTCAAACAGCCTAATCAAGTCATCCCATTCTCTGATATCGCACTGCACAAAAGAGACTTTCTCAGTCCGTTCAGATTCATTTGGAACACTACTACCATTCAACTCCTTCTCAATATCTGCTCCCCGGGGGTGCATATCGCCAAAAGTGACGAACGCACCGGCTGCGGCAAAAGCACGCACCATTGCTTCGCCCATGCCATTTGCGCCGCCTGTTATGATGACGGATTTGTTTTGGACATTTTTGAGGTCCGTGGGGAGAGTATGGTCGATGGGGCCGGTGTACGTGTATTTGGGGAGAGGCATTTTGGAATATTAAGCAAGAATTGTTAGATTGAATTTGGAAAACTGAAATGGCAACTGACTGCTCAAAACGGTTCCCTTTCATCAATCAACAAAGTCTTGAATTTAACTCTCCATGTGGAGAGATATCAATCCGGTAGAATCCGGGGTAAAAGCCGAGTCGAGATTGATTGTTGCCATTTTCGGCATTCCAAAAGAAGACAGCCGATACCATACCCCCACCCTAGGAATAGGCTATTATGGTACGTGACAATCACTTGGAATTTGCTCAAATTAGCTAGGAGTTATAAGCGTATTTCATCTTATAAAAAAAAAGATAGATTTTGTTTTATCAAGAGGAAGTATGAAGAGTAGCCTGCAACTGCTGCATCTCAGCCTGAATACGATCCTCAAGATGCGCAGTCCCTGCTCCCAGATCATGCCCGGCCATCTCGGCCATCTCCACCTGCTCGTCTAGTATGGATAAATATGCCGCCATAGACGCTCTGAACGATCAAGAAGACTGACAATCAACCCGACAACGAGGACTAAATGTAGTTTCAGCTTGAATTTTTCGGAGGAAATTGATTCTACTTACATGAAGTAGCCTCGTGGCACAAAGCCGCGATTAATCGTTGGTAGATATGCTGTAGGCGGATATAACAAGCGGTACATATTCATGCGTCGGATTTCCATGTCGATTTCATTGACTCCGTCATAGAGGGTAACAACGTCTGGGTATTTGTTAGGGTTTCTGGGCTTCCAGGGGAGGGGGCGGGGGCGGCTTGTTAAGGATTTTATTGATATCACCGAATGGTCGGATGATGGTCGACTTCTGTATGCGACCCAAGTGCAACGGAATCTGGAGAAGGATGAAATTCAGACAGGAAACACCTATGCGGTGGATATCGAATAGTGCCTACGTGTCGTCTCATGGACTCTTTGACAAGTTTTGTGAATGAAAGTACTCCTCATAACTAGATAGTTATCATTAATTCAGGATTCCAAAGGAATCCCCTATTATTTGTCAATAAACTAGTTCACTAGACTAGTCCTCGTCCAGGTTTCGTCATCATGTTCGAGCCAACATTCTTGTTGGCGTTTGGGAAGTCCTATAGAAAACACGTATACTCAACACTTAGATGTCATATATGAATATAGTAATGCGGATGGGTTTTAGTGTAAGGCTACATTAATTTATATCTATCGAGAGACCAGATCTAGTAAACTGATCCTATATAAATTAATTTTCCAATCGTCAAATAACGGCCAGCTCATGGGGTAGATAAAAGAAATAAACGAACAAGGGATAATTTAATAAGTCAATCAATCATGAATTTGCGGCAAAACACACAAATCCCAAAATCGATCAAAATCCACCGTCTGCGTCGCCCCAATGGACCCCCCCTTCGTTTCCCTCAACGTAAAGCCATTTCCCAAATAAGCAAACCGATTCGATTTCGCTTCCTCCGTCCAGTCCATCGAAAAGTCCTCCCATCGTGGATTCTTCATCGCTTCCAACATATGAATAATCGTACCTCCATAGATCGCTATAACAGGTCCATCAACAGTGCCACGTTTATACCAGCTTCGACAACCACCAGTCCATACCGTGCGCTCGAGATATTTTTGCACGTGTTGGTTGTATTCTTCGTTTACGTCATTACGGACTTCGAAGCTGCGGATTGATTCGGTTTGCATTTTGTCGATCCATTTGTAGATATAGACTGCCACGGCTTGGATACCAAGGATGAGAGAGCCGTTGGCGAGAGGGGCGTTGGGACCAACGAAGCCTGCCCACTTTATTAGCACCTTTCTACTTCCAGTTGACTTCTTCAATACCTGGTAGGTAAATCGAAAAAAAAAAAAAGGAAACATACAAAAATAGTTCGGAAAATCTGGCACACACGTGCTGAAGTAAGCCTTGGGCTGATCAACCTCCCATTTCTCAGCCATATTGATTCCATTCCGTCCAACTAGCGGAAACGCAGGTTTAAACGTAGTATCAAAACCCGTGGCACACACAATAACATCATACTCTAACTCGCTGCCACTCCGAGTCTTGATACCTCGCTCCGTGATAACGTCGATATCATCCCATCGCATTTCGACATTATCTTGCACAATGGCTTCCAAAAATCCAGGGCCAGGCGTAAGACGACGGCAACCAAGTGGGAAAGAGGGCATCAACAACTCGGCTGCCTTTTTGCCCTTATCAGAGTTGCCAAGACGGGCAGTCATGGATTGTCGGAAGAGTTCTTGTGCTTCCTTTTGCCCCTCGGAGTCGGCTAAGGAGCGGTTATAGTTAGCAAGACGCCGATCCATTAATGCGGAGCGATAAGCTCGCAAGTATTCAGGGTCTTTAAACAATTCCAAAGCTTTTTGGGAGAAGTTGTATTCCTCATCCATGTCAGGATCGTTTGCGGTTGGTTCATTAATTCCGGGAGCAGGACTGATCCATGTTTGGCTACGGACGTAACAGTCCATGGACTGTACGACTGTTCCTTTGTGAGTTATTGGTTTGGAACCATTGGAGTAAAGAGCATATTAACCTTTGGAAAGCTGTGGCACGATTTGAATGGCTGATGATCCAATACCGATGCAGGCGACTCGTTTGCCTGTGAAATCGTAGGACTGATCCCATCGCGCCGAATGAATCAATTTCCCCTGGAATTTGTTCAGTCCCTCGATCGACGGCCACTGCCAGTTGCTATGCTATCATCAGCAACCGATCAAGGTGAATGGCAAAATAACTCACTTCAAAACCCCACTCGCATTAACAAACACGTCGCACTCATCTATAAACGAGCTTCCATCGTCCTTCCCAATTTCAATATCCCACTTCCCTTTTTCCTCCCTCCACTGAGCCCCTTTCACTGAATGTTTATATCGGATATATTGCTCGACTTGGTATTGTTTTGCAACATCTTTCATATATGAATGGATCTGTTCTGAGGTAGCATAATAATTTGGCCACCCTGAATTTGGTGCAAAACTAAATGCATAGTTATGGGCCGGGATATCGCATTTACAGCCTGGGTACCTACTACCGTCAACTTCTCACTTTTCAAATGGAGTATAAGGGATGAAGAAAAGAGAAGAGGAAAATAAAAGACGAACCGATTTTCAAGCCATGTACCCCCCAGATCGTCATTTCGCTCATAAATTACAAACTCTGTGTTTTGATGCTTCAACCTCTCATTGAAGAGTATGCCCATCATCAGACCGGAATAGCCAGCGCCGAGGCAGATAATTCGGACGGGGCGCCGGGTGCCGATGGGGTTTTCTATTATGGTGTAGTTGGGATCGAGGGCATGTCCATGAACATGTTGCTTGTTGCCGTTTAACGTTTTTACAGTTGACTCTGAAGAAGTAATTGGATCTGATGATACCAATGAAGGTGCCATGGTTATGGTTGATGTTTAGAGTGTAGAGTGTATAAATCAAGACAAAATTTATTTATCAGAAAATTAGTATCGAATTCCATATATTTCAAGGTTTCTGGTAAATAAATAATAACTAACCGGCGCAAAGCCCGTACTGTCGGATTCGCAATCTTGGCCAAGGAGTGAGGATAGAACCTTGTCGGCCATTCCTCAATAGGGTATCCGGTGCAATGCCGAGGATGACTGATATGGTATAATAGCCGCGTGGCGTTGTTAGTGAGGGGAATAGACGGATATTTATTGCGGGGAGGAAATGTATTCATTCTAGAAAGAATTTCACGTATGCCAGGATTACTGTTTACTTGATTTAGATACTTCGCATAGATTATTGGGAAAGTCCTGGAACAATGTGCCAACTAATTATTCTCACACCCAACGAATAACTGAAATCGTTAATGATAGCTCCATGGCCCCAGAATCAGAATTCCTTAATTGTAAACTCGTCCGCTGACGGCTTGCTCCAGGCCCAGCGAATCCCATCCTCAACCACCCTATCCCAATCCTTACAAACTGACAATTTTTCTCCAAACCGTCGAAAGCCATGAGGAACACCTCTGAAGACGTTGATATTGGTCGGAACACTGAAAAATTAGCCCAATTATATTTAAAATACCAAAAGAGTGGTGAAACATACCCATTCTCAGCTAGGATTTTCCCATACAACAACCCCTCGTCTCGCAATGGGTCATAACCAGCAACCCCAACTGTTGTGGGCGGTAATAGCTTTGCTTCTCCTGCTGTTAAAAGGCCTGGATTCAATCTCCTATCTTCTGGATCCGGATTCTCAATTTGCAGTAAATCATTAAACATCTTCCTAGTTTTCTCATTTAGTATCGGCGCATTATTCGCCTGCTGATATGATGAAACACTTGGATTTTTAATCTGTCGTAGTTGGGCATCATAACAGGTCCTAAAAACCAAACATGGAATCATCAACACCTGGCCTAGGATGTTTGGTTCGGGCGATAACTTCAATTCTGAAGTTACAACTGCTTGCACCAAAGAAGCAGTCAACCATGCTCCCGCTGATACACCTCCAATTACTAACTTCTGAGTGTCGCCATAAAATAACCTTGAGTGATTACACACCCAGGCCAATGCATCTTCAGCATCATTCCAAGCCGTTGGGTACCTGAACTCTGGTGTATGTCGGTAATTAACATTTACTACGGCTGACTCGGTTTGTATCGCAATTCGCGAGCAAATCGCATCTTCAGAGCCGAGTGTGCCAAATAGAAACCCACCACCGTGAAAATGGATATATATTGGTAGAAGTTCATACGTTGGGAGAGTTGCTGGTCGATACAATCGTGCTTCGACGTGCTGTCCATCGCGCGTCGGAATGGAATAGTCCTGTAAAGAGACTTGGCGGGATAACTCTTTCATGTCATTCTGAGCGATGCTTTCTCTTGTTAGATTCGTGGATTGTTTAAGCTCTGGGATAGGAAGGTTTTTCCGGGGTGGTAGGCTTGCTTCGACGCGCAACCATTCGTCGCTGGGGATTCCGTATTGACTAAAGTCGCACATTTTCTCTTTCTTGTCTTATTCTCAGTGGTGTATGCGTTTATGTGGGTAGAGCGTCACAAAATGAGGTAGGTCGGTGCAATGTGTTTTGGGTAATAGGCGCTAATAGCACCAGTTGACGGCGGGTTTTAAGATATTGGCTCGATACGTTAGTTATTAATATATACGGGAGGCAGGAAGAGAATTAAACCGATTGGCTGAAGTGAGGTATGAATACTAAAGTGAATAGCATTCCGTTGACTTCTCGGAGGTCAATGTCCGGCGAGACATGGGCCGGTCTATCATTAGGCGTCATTATCTTATCTACTTTCTATTGATACATATATATACAAAGATCAAACGAAGATATCAGGCCCCGCCCAATCATCCATCCCTTGCAAAAAGTCCTGACACAAAAACATGGACGCATCATCCCATAGAAACTCCTCGGCATTCTGCGGCGCAAGCAACTGCTCAGCCACCGAGCTAGTCTGCGACGTTACAAATGGAAAATAATCTAACCAGTCAATCCCACTCTGAAGAACATCCTCTTCTGAATGAAGTGCCCGCGTTGATCGATTATTGCCGAGATGGCTGTTAGGGAAGTCTTCTGGAGTGAGGGGTTTGTTTCGCGCCAATAGACGATCGAACTGCTGACCGACGACCGTGGCAGTTGCCCACATTTTCTGGAGCTCTTTTATATTGGAAATGAGAATGTCGATCTCGGCTTGTGCGGCACTGCGCAGATGTTCGGTTCGGGATACTTGCAGCAGACAGATAAACGACATGGCAGTATACCAACATGTGATTGGCATGACGTATCTAGTTGCATTTCTCAAAAGAATATCTTTGAGGATCCTTACAATACAAGTCGCTGCCATTATTGCCGGTGGCAAAGCCCGTGGCATAGATTGCGATGATCTCGCCAAATGCAGGAGTACAATAACAGCAAGATATGGAAGATGTAATTGATGTACATCGAGCTGGAAATTCGACGTGTGAGCCGATCGAATTGGCAGTTGAAGATGCGAAGGTAATGATCGCACCCATTTGATCAGTTCTCGACCTAAGTGGACAGGGAATGGACTGGCTGTTAAAAATGAGTTTGTCGACCGCGATAACTCCTTGGAGATGCGTCCGATGATGGCACACAATCGAACCCAGTATATGAACACCTCTGCTTTGTCTTTGTCTTTGCTTCCAACATCTGGGAAATCTTCAAGCGACGGTTCTGGTAGGTTGCAGTCTTCAGGGTCTATTAGACATGGTTTTCCTTGACAAATTGCGCTGAGGCGTTCACGGGCCTTCTCAGATATGGTTAGTTCTAGTTATATCAATTGATAGGATATCGCTATATAGAGGAAAACCTACAAAAGCCGTCCACCAGATCCGTCTTTTAAAACATCGATTTATATCATTCGTTTTCAATGAATCAACAACAGGTTGGTGATGAAACCCTGCCTGTTGTGCATGTTTAATAACAACAGCCGTCCACCACCACGAAGAATGTTTGTGTACCATCAAGGGTGGCCGAGGTGCCCACCAATAAAACAATAGAACCCCTTTCAAAGATTTGACCAAATCTTCCTCCTCATCTTCATAAAACTTTCGCCGTGCCCGATCGTAATAAGCAGCAGGGCCTGGGTGAGGAACCAACGGCGAACGAAGATGACTCCCTCCAATGGCAAGTGCATCGTCTAGGAGTGGCGATTTGATGAGTTCATCTAGGATCGTGGTTCTGTCTAAGACTGGGCACCAGGCATAGCAGTATTCGAAATATGTCTCAATATAACTCTGTCGCAGGTCGGCGTGCGATACACCTACACTATTCTGGAAAGAATGCAGCTGCTCCGGAGTATTGGTTGTTTTTCCCGAGCGCGGTTCTTGGAATATATCCGGACTGAAAGCTCTGATTTCTGGCGGCCTGGTCGAAGCTATCCAACTTTCGGCTGCAGTATTTTGCATGATCGGCTGATGATTGTTGTACCGTTGGCTAGGGCTCGTCGTGAGCACGGGAATTGTCGTTTCTGAGTGAGGCTCTTCTTCAAAGCTTCCCCTTTCTTGCCGATCTGTAGGCGACAATTCATTTTCTCGTGTATCCGATACCTGACAGTTGAACGGAATCCCATTCTGGAAAGCGTTGGACTCAAATAACAACAAACCACGGCTATTTTCAGTATTATCTGTCGGAGGCGTAGGTGGGTGCGACTGTGGATTTTCATCGATACGACGAGTTTTGTTTCTCCTCGAAGGCCGAGTGCTTATTTATTAACATGGATTTGTCCATCACAACTTAACGATTGTTTATATGAACCTACCGGCAGTCTTTCCCAGCAGACGCGCAATTCGTACAGCTCTCCTGACCATCATTCCGTTTCGACTGGAGATCACATCTTATCTACCATGCCAATTAGTAATTTCATTACAGAAATGTTCAATCATCGTGCCTTTTTGGAGTGACAAAGCACACAGGCAAGCTCTGCGCGCTTCCGCTTGAAGCTGTGTGCGGAGAACTGTACCCATGGCGCTTCTGTCATGATCGAATTTCAGATTCAATTATACATAAGTCGTGGTACACACCGACTGAATAGATCCAGGACGACGTTGGAATTCCATCTTCCGCTATCCCGCAAGGTCAAGGTCATGCGGGGAATGAAAAGCGGGGGAAAAATTGTCCTGACTCGACAACTCGACGGTTTAGGAAAGGTGCGTAGTTCAAGCTGATGCCATTCGGGCTGAACTCCGAGTGCGAAATTAGTGAAGATTGGGACCAAATTAATTGTGCTTCAAGAGCCGAGACTAGCTGCCGATGACGAGGCCTTTTGCTTGGCTTTCCTCCGCAATTAAGTAACGACAATACATATGATAAAACAACCGGTAAAATTGCCGGAAACATTATATTCAAACCCTAGTCCAAGGATGGATTACCGAATATGGATTTACTGGTGTTTTTTGGGTAAATGAATGGAATGGTGCAGTTGAATTTCGACTGAATAACCGTCGGCATAGATAGCATACCAGAATGCCCACTGACTGCCCACTGACTGCGTGTCATCCACATGGATAGATTGATAAAGGTCGTCTTGACTTCCAAATATCGACTCTACTGCTTTCCATTCAGCACCTCATTGAGCAGAAAAAAGTAAATATCTGGCATCAAGTCAAAAATGGCTCCTTCCATAGAAACTCTTCCTGCCACTTCTCCTCCATTCTACAGCACCAGCTGCTCCGAATTGAAAACCGTTAACGGGAAAGCTCAACACGTCGAAGATGTCAAGACAGTATCTCCCGAACATTTCGATGCTCATTCTGTTCCCTTCAACAATCAATATGCCCTTACTCCACGAAAACTTCGAATAATCACTATTGGAGCAGGCTTTTCGGGACTTTTGATTGCACACAAATTCCAACATCGTTTTCCAGAGCTACAGGATTTTGTGGATCATACAATCTTTGAAGCGAGAGGTGATTTGGGGGGAACTTGGTTAGTTAATACTTATCCTGGTGTGCAGTGTGATGTGCCCGCTCATATCTATGTATGGCCCATTCATTCCTTTCTTATATCGATTACATTATACAACGTATACCCTGACGCGTCTAGGCATTCCCATTTGACCCTAATCCCGACTGGCCTCGATTTTATTCGAGTGGAGCATCAATTCAGGATTATATAAAACGGACTTCTAAAAAATGGAATCTTGATCGGGACGTGCAACTGAACACGAAGGTTGTTAGCGCTTGCTGGCAAGAGCATGATGGGAAATGGAAAGTCACCGTCGAGCATGGCGGCAACCAACGCGACGAGTTTTGCGATATCCTGATTTCTGGACAGGGAAATTTAGTGTTGGTGGTATCTCTTTGCATCAACGAGAGAAAATAATTAACTAGATTTATAGTAACCCATCGTGGCCGAAAATACCTGGTTTGCAAGACTTCAAGGGCCATTTGACCCATTCAGCGAGATGGGATCATGGCTTCGACTATTCAAACAAACGCATCGCGGTTATTGGGAATGGATCTTCCGGTATTCAGATAGTACCACAGATGGCAAAACTGGCTGGGACAACAGTGCGCAATTTTATTAGAGGTCCGGCATGGGTTTATTACCGTGTTCCAGCCTCCAAGCATCTTGGACGAGACACTGACGACACAAACCCGGCTTATTTCGACGTGGAGAAAGAGGAATTTCACGATCCGGTGCAGCATAGGGAGTATCGGAAGGGTATTATTAATCGCACCAACAAAGCGTTCCGTCTGGTAGCTGTTATCTCCGTAAGACATTGGGAAATTATTCTGGCTAATTTGGTAATCAGTTTATCAAAGGCGAATACAACCAACAGACAGTCCGGCTGGCATCAGAACAAATGGCTGAAAAACTCAACCATGACCCGACTCTTTGCGAACAACTTATTCCAAAGTGGGAGATTGGTTGTCGTCGTGTGACTCCAGGGCCTGGCTACCTGGAATCTTTCTCGAAGCCGAATTGCAGTCTGACGTCGAGCCCGATTACGAAACTCACTAAGAAGGGGGTTCTCACAGCGGATGGACAGGAGTTTGAGTGTGATGTTGGTACGTACTCTGTTTATTAATCTTCCTATTCAAAGAACGATAGCTGATAGAATCAAGTTGTTTGTGCAACTGGGTTCGACGTCTCAAAATGTCCACAATACCCTCTCATTGGCCAAAATGGTGTCAACCTAGCAGACAAATGGCGTCAGGAACCGACCTCTTATCTATCCGTCGGCACAGACGAGTTTCCAAATTACTTCCTCATGGCTGGCCCCAATTGTCTCTGCGGCCACGGCTCCCTCGTCGAAGCCCTCAACTGGACCGGAGACTACTTCGTCAAAATGATCAAAAAGATAGCCACCGAAGACATCAAATACATGGTTCCTAAACTATCGTCCGTTGACGCATTCGCCAAATATCAGACTGAGATACACAAGTCTCTAGTTTGGACCGGGTCTTGTAGTAGTTGGTACAAGAGAGGGACGGTTGACGGGAAGGTTACTCATTTGTTTGCTGGTAGTGCAATTCTGTTCAAAAAGTTGCTTGGTGAAGTACGTTCAGAGCATTATGATATTGTTTATAACACGGGTAATCCGTTTAGATTCATGGGCAATGGATTTACAGAGTGGGAAATGAAGGAGGATGCGGATTTGGCGTGGTATGTCGAGGTTGCGAACGAGTCGCCGAAGGCGTATATGGGGAATGATAAGAGCTGGATCGTGAAATAGAATGCATGTAGTCTATTTAACACTCTTTGATATGATTGATAAATTTTCATTTTATGAATTAAACTTTCTCTATTCTTCATCTCTTCCTTATACTAATAATGTAAGAAATACGTGAGATCGGTTTAGCTTAGTGTGGACTCTCTCGAATACTCATAAGATGCTATTCCTTATACAGTATACCGAAGACACCTACCCAGCCCATCTGGTTACTTCTGACAAGCCATGCCGATTGGCTAGATCTTCATTTCGGTTCACAGTACTGCCGACCAGCCAGAACAGGCAATGCTTATTTATCCGGAATGAGGTCAATGCCGGCGGTTTTCATAATTTGGCTAGTCTCTAGAATTGTGTATACGGTTCTTAAATCGCCCTTAAAGTCCAAAAGGCACAGGACTGATGGCTGTGATAGATCATTGTTGACCAAATCATTATTCTATACCCCAAGACTCTTTTGATACATGTATCATGGCAATTATTCAAAGTCCGTTCCAACCACTCACTCTCCCAGAGACGTCACTCTTCTCTTTTATTTTTAGCAGAGAGAATAGACCGTTCCCCGAGGACCACAGTAAGCTAGCCAATAGTCATAATTGAGACCTATCTAAATTTGGTTTAGAATTATTCCAGGATGCCGCCACCGAGAAAAGCTATAGTTATATTGAAATTAAACGAATGGCTATTGATTTTGGTAAATCATTAAAAGCTCATTTTCGCTGGCAGAAAGGGGATGTCGTAGCCATGTTTGCTGCCAATAGCATTGACTGGCCAGCTGTCGTCCTGGGAACTCTGTGGGCTGGCGGAGTGGTGTCACCGGCAAACCCGGGCTATACAGCTAAAGAATTGGCGTATCAGCTGAGAGACAATGCGGCACGTGTGATAATTACCCAGTTCCGGTTAATAGACACAGTCAGAGAAGCATTGAACATTGCCAAAATATCGAATGTAAACATTCTCATTATTGACGACATTGAGAAATCAACGTATCAAATCCCACACTTTACTACGATCCGAAACAAGGACCCATCAATTGAGTACCATCAGGCAGAAATAAATCCTAAAAACGATCTCGCCTTTCTGGTCTACTCGTCCGGAACTACTGGCAAGCCGAAGGGAGTAAAACTCTCCCACTACAATGTAACCTCCAACATCAGCCAGCTCCAACCAGGAGATCAAGAGAATCTCACTTGGAATGGATCCAAAACGTGCGGCGATATTCCACTTCCCAATTCAGACGTCTGTTGTGGTGGTGATACAGTGCTGGCCTGTGTACCTTTCTTCCACATTTACGGACTGACCAAAACAATCATTAATTCGCTCTTCATCGGTGCAACGACTATCATTCTTTCTAAATTCGAGATTGAGAAGTGGTGCAGTCTTGTTCAAGAACACCGGATTACATTCTCCTATATTGTCCCGCCAATTGTCCTACTCCTATGTAAACATCCAGCAGTCGTCTCGTACGATCTATCAAGCATCCGCATGGCGAATTCGGGTGCAGCAACTCTTTCGCAGGAACTAATAACTGCATGCCTGAAGCGAACCGGAATACGAGTGAAGCAGGGCTATGGTATGACAGAGACATGCCCAACAGTCTTCAACCAAAGATGGGATATGTGGAATACCCCTATCGGAAGCACAGGACAACTATTACCAAATATGGAAGCAAAGATTTGCCTGATTTCAGATGCTGATTCGCCAACTTCCGAGTCTGTTCCTCTTCCCCAGGGTGAAATCGGTGAACTCTATGTCCGTGGTCCCAACGTCTTCTTGGGTTATCATAATAACCCGGCCGCGACGTCGGCCTCTCTCTCATCTACTGGTTGGTATCGTACCGGTGATGTTGGCTATATCGATCCCCGCGGAAATTTTTTCATTACAGATCGCGTCAAGGAGCTTATCAAGTACAAAGGATTCCAAGTTGCGCCCGCCGAACTTGAAGCTCATCTCCTTGAACATCCCTTTATCGTGGACTGCGCCATTGTGGGTGTCTACTCTCATGAGCTGGAAACTGAGTTACCTAGGGCATATGTAGTTCCGAAGCGTTCCCCAGTTAAAAACAGTGATATCGACGAAAGATCAATTTTAGAGTGGTTTAATACCGGTGTTGCGAATCACAAAAAGTTGCGCGGTGGGGTGTGTTTTGTGGACAGCATTCCTAGAAGTACGAGCGGAAAGACACTGAGAAAAGTATTGAAGGAATGGGTTAAATCTGAGAGGAATCTGACTGTTCGTGCTAGGCTATAGTATAGGAACCCTTTTCTAAGTTAAAAAACCAGTCACATTAAAAAAATTATAGATCTTAAAGGTTGCGGGTTTACAACCACCATCAATTGATTATTTTATAAGAATTGTGGCAGCTGCAGCTAAGCTTAGATATAGTTCTAGGCATTTTGAGGCACGAAGCATGAAAATTCTTCGTGTATTCCGCTAACATTGGTACAAGATTCCATGCATAAGACTTTAGAGAACATATCTGAATTGCAGATTCTGTACACTCTTATTAGAACCGTATTAATACCAAAGAAGAGGGACGTACCATCTTATCAGTTAGATCATCTTCATAGGCATGCTCAAATCCTTCTGACGTGCCGGACTCGTCGCGACGACGATTTTCTCTAGCACACACAAGGCGATATATGAGAGCGATAACGGCTGCAACAGCCGCAGTGGCGACTACAACTGCAAAGCCGAGACTGTATTTCGGAGCATCCTGCGATCTGAAGACCTGGGGACCAGCGAAATTTCCTATTAGAGTTAGCATGTTTCTCAACGAGAAAGCGGGGAAAACATACCAAGAGCGTATCCGATGTATAAACCCGATGAAGTGAGAGATCTCTTGGTATACCCAGCATTGTTTGCAAGGAAAAGTCCCATAGAAACAGCGTAAGCAGAACCAGTCGTCGGGAGGATGTACAAAGCAAACAATAAGCCTCCGACTGCTGATCGGGGGAGCAACCAAAGGAGAAGACTGGCGGTGATAGTGCCTAACTGACAAAGGAAAATAATATAAGATCTCCATCCGGGATATTTATAGGCAAGATAAGTCGTAATCAACATCATTGTACCAGCATATGCACCGGAGGGCATCATGATGAGCAACGAATCAAGTCCACTGAAACCCAACCCATCAATGATAATTGCCTGAAACGTAGAGATTGGCCCATTTGCGAACATTGAAGTAAACGCAAAGAAGAACATTAACCAAAATTTAATATCTGTGAGCAATTCAATTGCTTGGGCTTTCTTAAAGTGAGTGTTGCGGACTCCGGAGTTGTTTGTGCGCATTCGAGATACAGCAATGAACCGCTGTCTCTCGTCGAATCCTTTTGCACGGATCGGATCCGGAGGAAGAATAAAATATATAAGCGCGCCCCAGATAATCGTCATACCACCAGCGAAGAAGTACATGTAGTTCCACGGGGCCAAGCTACCATGGATATGGCCCAGACCCCAGTTGACAAGTGGTGAGACGACAGATACATAGCCTGTACAAGAGTACCAGGCACTATAATAGAAATTAGTCTATAGCTAAATAAATGGTAGGAAGAAGGATCGTACCCCATACGTAGAGACTGTTCGTCTTTTTTATACCATCCCCCCTAGCGATACAGTCAACATGATGAACATGCACACAGCTAATCAACGAAGTAATACGAACCACAATCATCATAAACATCGGACTAATACCAGCTTCTGTAAAGCCAAGGAAGAACCTTTGAGCGTACAGCCCCCGGAAATCTTGACATGCTGGAGTTAAAATAAGAGTGATACCCCATACTATGATGACAAGCGATGCTACACGCTCGATGGGGAATCTTTGAGCGAGAACTATAGCAGGATAAGCACCTAGAATGAAGCCCAGGTAAAAGATAGACGATGCCATAGAGTAACGATTCCCCGTCTTCAAGCCCAAGTCAGACAAGATTCCGAATAGAGCCTGTGCTGCTTGTCAGTTATATATGCTAAAAGAAAAAGAGGGAAATCAAACGAACTGTCTGTCCAAGCAGCACCTTATCGGCATATAGTAAGGCGTATGTAATGCAAAGTACAGGTAACAACCACAAGTCGATTTTATTGCGTAGTTTCTTCTCTTCCTCCTGAGTCCAGGTTTGCTCGCCCTCATAGGCTGCGATGACTCTGACGGCCTCATCGCCGTGGAGGGTGTCAATTTTATGAATTGGTCCACTCTCAACTTCAGCATTTTCCGAGTGCATAACACCTGGCTTTATTTGATCAGTCATGATTTTGCCACCTATTTTGTGTAGTGTGCTTTTGAGTAAAGAAGTATCCTGAACACCAAGTCCAGATTTTCCCGGCGATTCTGGGCATATTATATCTTGGTTCAGTTATGGCCCGTGATCAGAATACAATTTCAACCATTTTCTATGGCAATATTAACAAGAAGAACCTCCCCATCTATCTGACTCAGGGATTTGCCGGTTTTTCGGTTACGAAACGACATGTATTACGCGGCAATTACAAGAACGGCGTCTGTGCCTGCATCCCCACAGGCGCCTACTAGGAGCGCCATCGAGAGCGGGACCCAGGTATTCCGGGGTCTAGCTCCATTTATTTTACTTGCTTTCTGGTATTTACCCGAGAGATTCAAAAGGAGCCAAAACGTGGGGTAAAATATAGAAAGTTTGGGCCTTAGCTATTTTGGGAGTTACCGAGACCGAGGCGGGCTCTGGCTCGTTCATATGGCAAAGTTTCTTTTAAAATAAATGATAACGTCTCATTGTTTGGGTTGTCAGACACTCTTTTACACCCAGTCAATATAGAAAACGATGGCGGGTCGTCCTTCCATCAATTTCCCTCCGGGTGAGGTCGTCCTCAATGTAAAATTAATCAATCCGGTCAACTTCGGTCCGGCTATAATAAAGAGATTCATGGAGCCTCCAGTGCCAGGAGTCGAGAAAAAGAAGCCTGGTCCAGTTTTGACATTTCTTCTTGAGCATCCATCTGGCCTGAGACTGGTATTTGATCTCGGTATTCGTAAAGATTACGAGAACTATGCCCCTTCGATTGCAAATTATATCCCAACGACAAATTATGATATCCAAGTGACTGACAACGTCGCTGATATTTTGGAAAAAAATGGTATTTCAAAGAAGAGCATCAATGGCGTTATTTGGAGGTAACTGTACCTAGTCATTTTTGTGAAGTAAAAAAATTGCTCATTAATTTGCAGCCACTGGCATTGGGATCATATCGGAGATCCATCGAGTTTTCCTTCAACCACCGACTTGATTGTCGGCCAAGGGTTTTCGGAGGCCATGCTTCCGGGCTATCCCGCGAACCAGAAGTCTCCTATACGTGAGAGTGATTATACGTGAGTTCAACTTCGAAACCTGACTGTAAACAACACTATGTATGTAGATATACGGTTCTTACTCATTTCCCAAGTGGTCGAAATTTACGAGAAATCCGATTTAATGGCCCCGATGCCCTCCGTATCGGCCAATTCCCAGCAGTTGATTACTTCGGCGATGGGTCATTCTATCTACTAGACAGTCCCGGCCATGCAATCGGTCATCTCTGCGGCCTGGCCCGGACAACTGCCAACCCACCAACATTCATCCTCATGGGCGGTGATATCTGCCACTACCCAGGGATATTTCGACCATCCGAATACTTACCTCTTCCTAAATCTATCTCACCACATCCTTTCCGTCAAGACCAAAGTCTGCCTTTTTGCCCAGGGAGTGTCTTTGAAGAGTTACAAAGCTCTAGGGGAAGACGACCGACGGATAGTTTATATGATATGTGCTTTGGGCATGATATACCACTGGCAATGAAGACAAGGAACCACTTGCAGGAACTTGACTGGCATGAAGACGTTTTTACAATTATCGCACACGACGCGGCAGTCAGGGACGGGGTGGATCATTTTCCACAGAGTCTCAATGCATGGAAGAAAAAAGGATGGGGAAGGAGTCTTAAATGGAGATGGTTAAGAGATTTGGAGCCATATTGGACTTCGAGGGGCTTAAATTGAGTTTAGCATCTTACTATCTCAATCCGTAGGCACCTACATCAATTGACGTACATATGTACGTCAGCTCCGAAGACATATAAACTAAAATTATATAAATTCATCAAGACTCCCCGCTTCCCTCAGCCTCTGTGATGTCCCTGGCTATCATATTGATATACTGGCCTGGAGCAGTTACTATAGCGCTTGTACAGTTTGCTGAAGTTGTAGATGTGCAGTCTTGACGCCTGTGATATGTTGGATATTAATGTCCAAGAAAACATGGGAGTAGGCCCGGAGGGCTGGTATATAGGGGAGGGACGCTATGGAGGAAGAGAAGGCCTCAGATGGATTGGGGGGGAAGGGTAACTGCCTTGGGCGGTCTGTTACTGACAGGCAACGCCCGCAAGTTTGGCTTCTGGAAAGGAGGCCGGGCCTCACCGGTCCCCATAAGGTCCCCGAATCGCCCCGCGCAGATGAACGGCTTGGGGCGAGGCCTGCGTATGAGACCACTTATGTATTTAGGTACCAAAGAGAGCAGGCGGTGTAGAGAATTAGGGGTTCAGACCCGAAAGGTCCCTCCGGCGCCCACTAATTCGTGACTGTCATAGCCCAGAGACTGGATATCGTCGTTAAACCTGAATATAAAAATAAAAATAATAACATGGGAGCACCACAAACTTGTTCTGATTGGTCAGGGACTGTTACGGACTCCGTACGAGGCTAGCTTCTTTGGGTAGCTGTCCTCGCTGGCCAATCAAAGTAAAGTTAGCTCTGTTGACAAGATGAGTCAGCCTTGTTCACGTGCACGCCAATGACCTCACGGTTCACCATGATCAGACGACTTCGACCCAGCAACCACGCGTTGTCTGTGGGTGCAGGCATCGCATGATATTTGTTCGAAGACACTTTCCGCCACGCTTGGTCAAAATTACTGCCAGCCCGTTGCTTCTAATCCCTGGTCCGGTCAGAGACATGAATGAACCGGCTCCGCAGAGGTGAGTGTTGGGTCGCAACGTACTCGCAGCACAAGTCTAGAGCTAACGAGACCAAAGATGGTCCATCAAAAGGTTTGTGTGGGTGCTTTCTCGGTCTCGAGGGCCGATCAGCTTGAGTGATGAAAATATCGCGCCAGGTAATGGCTACTATGAAGCCAGTAAGACCCCTCGTTGGGCTAGAGAGCGGTCGGGCCCTAAGCTGCTGATCCTCGCCAAGTGGCTTGCTATCTCTGCCTGTGCAGCATATTTTATTGCTAGCAGAGTCTCTTTCGGTATTTTCTAGGCCAAATCTCATACACAATTTAGCCGCTGACCTGTCCTTTGTGCATTCAAGGTTTAACGGAAAGCCGGCATGTGGCCGCTCCCAGTCTTTGCTTCGAACCTGAGTGTATTCACGCAGCCTCGGAAATTCTGTACAATCTTGATCCCCATTATGAGGATATTGATCCTTGCGATAACATTGAGCAGTTCATCTGCGGTGGTTGGAGAGATCGACATGACATGAGACCCGATCAAGGGTCTATCTTTGCAGGCACCATCATGGCAGAGAATGCCCAGACTCGGCTGCGTCATATTCTTGAAGCATCAGAGGGCCCTAAGGAAGAAACATTGTCCCCCGCAGACAAGGACAACTTTAAGAAGCTGAAATCTGCTTATGATTCTTGTATCGATGTGGAAGCTCTGAAACAGCGGGGAACGACACCATTGGATGATCTACTCCATGAAATCGAAAAAATATATTCTATTCATGGGGAGCAGACACAGGAAAAGCTCACAGATGCAATTACTTTTCTGCTCCGGGCTGGCGTCCCCGCTTTCACTGAACTGTTTGTTTCTGTAGGTATCCTCTCCGTCAAGTTGATTATACTTAGATAATTTGATCTGACGAAACTTCAAGCCTGATGACCGCGACCCAGACAGTGTGGTTGTTTTTGTTACCCCTCCACGAGAAATAGGTCTCCCCGCGCGTGAGTATTATAACAACACCCAGACTGTGAAGGACTACACCAGGGTTGTCTCCAGCATACTCTCCAATTTCCAGTCTTCGGAACGTGGAGGATTGAGCCCTCTGCGGCTCGCTATGAATGTGGTTTTACTGGAGAAAAAGCTAGCAGATGCGACTCCCGATACTCAAGCACAAGAAGATGTAACTCAGTACTATAATCCAAAGAGCATCGAAGAGACTGAGTCATTGGTCCCCCAGATATCCTTTAGCAAAATCATCTCTGAATTAGGGCCAAAGAACTACCAGCCCCATCGACTGATTGTAGGGTCGCCTTCGTATTTGAAAGAATTGTCGAGCATCTTGAACAGTGCACCTAGGGTGGTTGTCCAGGCATTTTTCAGGTGGAAGACAATCCAGAGCTATTCCGATGAAATAGAACACCCCAAGATTGTACCGCTACGGGAGTTCAATAATCAACTTGCTGGAAAGGACCCTCAAGCAACGGAGGACAGATGGCGAAAATGCATTCGAACCTTGGATTCTGGTATTGGTTGGACTCTAAGTCGCTTTTATGTCCTAGATTCCTTCCCCGAAGCTTCCAAAAAGCTTGGCGACCAAATCGTTTTAGACATAAAGGAACGTTTTGTGTACGTCTTGGATCAGACAAAGTGGATGTCCCCGGAGGTCAGACAGCTGGGAAAACAAAAAGTTGCAAATATTATACAGAAAATCGGTTATCCAACTCGTAGCCCCGATTTGATGGATGCCGACGACGTAAAAAGCTATTATGCGAACCTCCACATTGCCAATGATGCTTTCTTCGAGAATGTGCTGAATATGACCCAATTTGAAGTCGAGCGGCAGTGGGCGAAATTGGGGAAACCCACAAATCGGGATGAGTGGGAGATGACAACTCCTACCGTTAATGCATACTACAACCCTCCAGGGAATGAAATTGTTTTCCCCGCGGGGATCATGCAGCCCCCGGCCTTTTATGGAGTGAACGCTCCTCTCTATTTGGCCTATGGGGCTTTTGGTGCAATCAGTGGCCATGAACTCTCTCATGGTAGGTTATAAATTATGCTCTATCATATTCCTGTAGTTTCCCCAACACACTGACATCAACTCCGTTAGCTTTCGATTCTGGTGGTAGACATTATGATCAGATTGGCAATTATACTGATTGGTGGGACAATCAAACCGTACAAGCATTCGAGGAACGCACACAATGTTTCATCGACCAGTACTCCAACGTTACAGTTCCTGGCCCTGATCCAGACTCAGAACCTCTTCACGTTAATGGACTGCTTACACTAGGCGAGAATATTGCTGATGCGGGTGGACTTTCTGCTGCCTATTATTCTTGGAAGAAACACGACGACGCCCACCCGGATAGATCATTACCTGGATTGACCCAATTCACCAAAGATCAACTTTTCTTTATTTCTTATTCAAACTGGTGGTGCGGCAAGACCACTAAAGAGCAGGCGATCCGTGCCATATATACTGACCCTCATGCGCCCAAATCGGCTCGTATATCTGTAAGAGCCTTTCCATATCAGCCTGAATTATGTGTGAATGGGCAGCTAACTTCTAAGCAGGAAACATTGGCGAATTCGAGAGAGTTCAAAGAGGCATTCAAATGTCCAACAAAGGAACCCATATGTAAGTTGTGGTAGCACTTGGTTAGGCTCATATAGGCTGGTATACAACGAAATGATGTCTGTATTTCCAACTTCTTGGCCAATTGCTATTTGTATCCTTATCAGAAGATGGATTGCGTCAACTATCGTGCAGCCTCTCTGCATTGAAGTAGAACACTACGTTGATAGCTAGATTTTGAACTCCTTCCGGTTAATACCTGTAGAAATCAGATCGTAATACTCTCCGATCATCATGACTATTCACAATTTTGTGTACTACACGTGCACAATCGAGGAGCTTAAGTCCAACACAATTATCTCCGAAGCAAGTCCGGTATCGGTTATCCCAGCACTCCTTATTAGCCGCCAAAGACTCCACTCCAATAGAATTATTTTAAAGCGGTCGAAGGATATATTGTAACTAAGATTTATTAATATGATCGCTTTTCAAAGATTCCAGTTTTTAATTTATTTTTCAATGTAATTTAATTGCTAATTAATTGTCATATCAGGTGCCGTAAGGGTACCCTTTCACTGACAAGGCCAAAAAGACCATTAATCGCCTATCAACGATTAAACCCCAGACCCGCTGATATAGTGTGAGCAGATGGCGGCCATCATTCCAGCCTGCATACACCAAAACAAATGAACTTCTGAATGTTGGCTATCTAATCTTTAGCCTGGCCGATTATTTTTCCTTACCCGCCTATTTGACCAGCAAAATCGACGGGTCTAAGAATTTAATTATATCGATAATCAGCGCATCCTATCAATAACACGCAATAAACGCGTTCTTGCAGTCGCGCCAAAAGGAACTCCGAATAAATTTCTGCATAGCGTTATATCCGGCCAATAAATCTGGAGCCACGGGTTGGACTGGCGATAATATGATAGGCTCATGTATTTATAGATTGCACTAAGGAAAGAAAGAAAGAATAACACAAGTGCATTTCAACAATTATTAGCAGACTAGCGGATCCCTGCAGGTTCTACCAAAGAGACAAACACTCGAAAAAGCCCTCATCTAGGCTTCAGGCGCTTTTGCGCTTCAAGTTTTTGTTTGCAACTGACACTTCAACCGCGGACTGTATTCATCTGGATACATATCATTTGCGGAAAATATTTTGGAAGAAGTGAATTGTCAGCCGTCAAATGACGTCGTTTTGGTCAATAATTAGGCCTCCGAAAATAGGGAGACGATGGAACTTCTACGTGATCAGCGTTTTTGTCATGTTATCTCTTATTTGGATGATAAAGAGATCGCTTTTTACGGGGATTGCTATACCTTCCATTACAAGAAAAATCCCGTCACGCATATGGCAGGTTACGATCCCACCGCCTGGTGGAGACAAGGAGGACCAGTTGAAGCTAACATCTAGGTGGCCATCCATGGCACCGAATTACGAGTATACGCTCATCGACGAACACGAAGGCGAGAGATTCATCGCAGCCCACTTTGGCGAAAAGATCCTCGATCTTTTTCGATCACTTCCAAATCGAGCACTGAAATCTGATCTTCTTCGATACCTATTGTTATTTAAAGAAGGGGGGTATTATGGTGATTTGGATACAGAGCCGGTTAAACCTCTTGATCAGTGGGTTCCAAATAACCTCAAGAATGTTGTTAGACTAGTGGTTGCTCTTGAGCATGATGCTGGTGTATTTGCGTTGGGAAATTGGAAATACCCAGTACAGTTTTGCCAGTGGACAATTGTGTCGGCGCCGGGACATCCTGTTCTGGAAAGCATGATACAGCGGGCTATACGAGGGCTGGAGGAGCTGGCGCAAAGCGGAAAAATGAACTTGGATAAGGTTAAACCGACCGATCGTCAGGTACTAAGTGCGACTGGTCCTCAGGCATGGACGGAGGAGATAGTCAAATATCTCATACAAGTTGCACCTGAAATAACAAGCTATGAAAGTTTGTTGAGAACGACAGAGCCCAAATTATACCACGATGTTCTCGTGTATCCTTTAGACGGATTTATGACGCTGTCAGCAGAAATGAGTTTATTTGAGGGTGCAGGGGAGCATCAGTTGGCCCATCATGAATTCAGAGGCGCGTGGAAGCAATGGGATGGGTAAGAGTGATGTGTGAAAGACGTTCAATCTAGATATCGGGATTTGATTAATCAACATGAAGTCCCTTATCTAGGAAGTTTGACACGAAAATAGTAAGACAGCAAGAAGGAAGAAAATTAGCAATCAGTTATGTGCGAGCAGTATAGATGTCTATATTAGCGAAGCCACGTGCAATGCTCCAATGCGTATATCGAGCATATATTGACGACACCGCCATAGATGTTAGTTTTCATAGCTCTTTCTCGGTTTCATACTGACCATTCTCAATAAATGTACCTTTCTCACCCCACGGCAAATCTTACATCTCATTTCGTAGCTGGTCGAGCTGATTCGATGAAATATCAACATTCCATATTTCCCCTTCCGGAAGCCATAAATGAACAACAACAAAGAAACTTGACGCTAATTTCCCACAAACTATGGAGTATATGAAGCTCTATAATTCACACTAAGGCATGTTACGTTACGATCAGGAGCAATAATCTTCTCCATGAGCGACTATGAAACGGCGTTCCGATTCATCATCGGATTAACGCTGGCATTTTCCTTTCCCTTCGCTCTAATTCATGTTTATTTCGTTGCAACTGATCTTGGTGACCGGAGATAGGATACACTAGTTTCTTCATTTGTTGGCACTGTTGATTAATTGAATGTGCTATACTATTGAATCTTTACTACCACGGGACATACCAAAAATTTCAGGATTGTAGGGTATATGTACTGTGAGTGTCAAGCACTGAAACTTCTACAATACGGATAGATGCGGGAACATGGAAACCGTTGCGCAACATTTTTTGGTTGCTGCAACGTTCAGATTTTAGAAACGTAACTTTTATGGCAACGGTTTAATATATGCAATTGAAGCTTTTTGATATATAGCATTGAGAGAAACGATTCAAAATTACCAATGGTACGGAACCTGTAATTGTCACTACATCTCGTTGATACATTTCACTATAGGAAACGTTACCAAATATGGAACTGCTTCATGGCAGGTATTTTTCCTGATTGGAAACGGTTGGACATGTATAAATTTTGAGGAAACGTGTTAAACTAGAAACGTTGTAGCAACGTTGTACAATGGTTGCCAGCGGTTGAAGGGCGGTTTCCGGAACCCGGGACTTTCCCATAACTATTGTAATTTCTACGAACAAATTCTGAGAAGATAGACTCCTATGAGTGACTTGATTCAATAAACATGTATCGAATTCCCGATTGCTCAATATATTTTTTTTTTGGGATTGATGAATATATATAAATGAACGAAAAACTAGCACAAGCCCTAATACCCGACTACATCGGGGAAGATGGGGGGAAAGCTTCTAATATCGGCTAAGATACACGAAGACCTGTAAGAAAACATCCTTCAATGTCTTATCTTATATAAAGTAGGATAGATCTAACAAAGAAAGGAGTAGAGACAGGCCATCCTGGAGTCTTCCCTCCAGAAAAAGTAAATATCTTTTCTCGCGGACAGCCAGGAATAATTGGAGTTAAATGATTGACAGCTGTTAAGATGTGCATATTAGTAGTCTATCAATAAATAATCGTTTATGGTCTTCAGGGTCGCTGATCTGTATCTTCCTCTGTAGAAGCTGCACTTGTTTTAGGGTTGAAATCGGCATTTCGGGTATTAACACATCGTTCTCAAGCGGCCAATAAAGTACAATATAATGTGTTTTATCTCAATATAAATTAGATGCATCTCAGTCAAATTACCACCGCAAATCTGACAGTTTCTACACACGGACAACTGTAGCCTTATTCTGCGGATGAAATTCTGCCGAGCTAAAATGGAGATGGCTAGTTACCTTCAAGGGCTTCCGTGGGGGCCGTTTGACAGAGTGTCTAGTGTCTTATGTTGCATCATCTTTCCGTTTATGCCTTGCAAGTTCTTGGCTATCCAATCGCAGGTGGCCATCCAGGGACGTGGTGTTGGCGGACTCCTCCAGGAACTAACCTTTTTTATTCATCGGTATTCTTCTAGCTGCCCCAATGTTTATTCCAATGTCTGAATTTTGCTCCCAAGAGGTACTGTCAAGATGCGGCGAACTCTTGGGTTAACTGTTCTTTTCCTCTTCTTCTTCTCATGCTGCCATGGCACGCCGCACCAGAAACGGTCGTCGGATTATATCTCCAGCTGTGGTGATAATTGGATGGCACGGGATGGTGTAAGCTCGAACAATGGAGAGATCCCGCGTCGAGGCTACTTGTCCGCCGTTACAGAGTTCTGCCAACAGGCCAACGGGAAGACCATCCCGGCCGGTGGCTATCTATCATTGGCGACTCGTGTCTTCCTAGATGGCGGAGGCGATCCCTCCTCAAATGGGATTCCGGGATATGTCTATTTCGAGGTCAGGAACAAGCAAAGCTCCGACTCCCACACAGTTAATGGTAAGTAGTTCTACGGTCATATGGTATCAGCAATCCTACTGACAGGCAAGCTAGTGGACAACTGCACTTTGTATTTGCAGGAATTATCGAACGACAACTCCAAGTGCTGGGGTAGCAAGCACCACGATACCAAAGGTGGTACCTGGCAGGTGGGCTCCGATACCGTATCCTACCATGCCTTGGGACAGAGCGTTCCACCGGCCCAAGACGCCGTTGATAAGCTATTCTCAGATGGTGCGCTAGTAGCCTTAAGCGGTAGTGGTGGTGCGGCTCTAAGTCCGTTCCCTTTGACCTTCACATCCGATGTGATACCCGTACCGTGCCACAGCCACAATGACTACACGCGCGACGTGCCCCTGTACGATGCACTTAGCGCTGGCTGCACGAGCGTTGAGGCCGATGTGTGGTTGCATAGCGATACGCTGCGCGTTTCGCATACTGACCCTGGCAACAGCGGGCCAACTATCCAGGACTTATATATCGACCCTCTGGTTGCGCTGCTAAATGCGCAGAACTCCGACAGCGGCGATTTGAAGGGTATCTATCCCAAAAATAGCAGTCAATCGCTCGTTCTGCTTGTCGACTTCAAGAGCGACGGCGAATCCACCTGGGACGCCGTCTTCTCCGCCTTGCAGCCACTCAGAGACGCCGGTTATCTAAGTCACTGGGATGGGTCCCAATTCGTGTCAGGCCCCATAACCGTTGTAGCCAGCGGTACTGCGCCCTTATCCAAGGCAGCGAATGACTCAGCCAATCCTAGCCATGACATGTTTATAGATAGCCGCGTGAACGAGTCTCTGGATGGATTCAACACCTCCAACACCTACTACTCAAGCGCTGATTTCGAGAGCGCCATCACTAGCTCGGGCACAGCCCCTCTGTCGTCTTCGAATCAGCGGAAGCTAACTAATCAACTAAATACAGCACATGCGAAAGGGTTTCTTGTGCGATACTGTATGTTCAATTTGTTCTCCCGGATGTGACTCATGGGTACTAATACATCAGCAGGGGACATTCCCAGCTCTGACTTGTGGCAGGAGCTGGTCGACGCAGGCGTGGATCGGCTGAACGTAAGTGCCGCAATTATCATTGGACTGGTTGTGTACTAAGCGGACTGGCTAGGTTGATGATCTCGAAGCCGTGGCGGGAGTGGATTTTCACTTATCGTAGTGGCTCCTCAATTACGACGGATATATATTATGCCAATGTAAATTTTGCATAGCTCTCGGATTCACCATTTCTGTTCTTGAGCACTTTGATCACTTACAACTACAATTATATTTTATCACTCTTTAGTGTAACGGCGCTATCTAGTCACTCAACAGACTTCGGATATATGTAAGCACTGTGATTGTGCATAGCTAGTCTATATTTGACCACACCGAGCGAATATAGTCTTCAGCACATGCAATAGTTCCCACGCGTCACCATGTCAGCTATTAAAGACGTCATTCTTGTCAGCAGATCTGGAGACCTCGATGGTAGAGTTTTGGGGATCCTTATGCCAACTTGTGATTTGTAATCTTATTTTCCCCTTTCCTTGTACATAGCGGTACAGTGCATAAATTTCTTATCCAACGTACCTGATGCTAAACCTATGTTTTTAAGCTATATATATTATATTAAAAATCTTACATTATCTATAAGGCGAATTTCTGGTTGTGATGGGCATCATACAATGTTCATATATATATAGATATATATAATATGCTAATTGAAGAAGAATTTCTTCCTCATTTTAATAGTATTAGAGAGAAAAACAGGGTTAGTTTAGGGTTTGTTTAGGGTGAGTAGGCTGTCATTTTCTGAACCAGGAAGCACCAACTCCGAACCTTAGGCCAGTTTTGGTTCCAAATTTAGTAAACCAAAGTAGTTCAGTGTGTCTAATTTAGAACTGGATGATTTTTTAAGATTCATTTAGAGTGAGTAGGGGTGCAGGTTCACTGCAGTTATTAGATAGGGTCTTACCACCCGAAGTAGATTCAGTGCAGCTCCCAATTTATTAGAAACTACATAATGCTAACTAGGTTTGTATTATAATTTGATTTTTTGTGTAGGAAAATTAGCAATTTATTGTTAAGCCAATTCATTTTTTCCGTCTGATATGTGAAAACAATGAGATCAAAATATAATGACAAACTCATAATGAAACAGTGTGGTATAAATTGAAAGTTTACGGGGATCTAAACCCGTGTACTTGGTTTGGCACAGGGTAGAATTTGTAAAGTGATAACCCTGAAATACGCAGGCTTCACAACCATATGTTTTTAGGCTGTTCACACTCCATCAGGCTTCTGCTTGGTGTCCTCCGAGGCTATTACAGTGTTCTGCACGAAGTCTTTCTCCAGCACAGCGAATGTTTCAAAGATGATAGTGATGGCCATGGCAATGATCTCCTCCAGTACTGACAAGAACAAGTAGAGAGTGTCGTTGCCCCCCTTAAAAGAGAAGCCTTAAGAGAAATCGCCGGTGGCCGCGTAGATCAATCGGGCGGTATAGAAAGGAGAAGAAAGGGCAATAGCAATGAACAACTTCTTCTGGAAATTCCGCAAGAAGCTTAACTCATAGAACAGCCAATCACTGTGAAAGATTATAATGACGAATACGGTGAGGAAGACGCCCATGGCTGCCTTCACGAGTTTATTTAGCGTGTAATGCGAGAAGGAGGAGTCGCTGACTCCTTTGATAGCGAGAATGAGGCCGATAAGACAGGCAAAAGGCACTAACGCCATAGGTCTGGGAGGCATTATTTCTTCCCTGTCACTAGAAACACGTCAGTTAGTATCAAATTCAAGAGATTCACCGTCGCCAACTGACATTTGTCTCAGCAGTCCTACATAGGCTAGCGACAGAGGCGCAATACCAATCAGCCCACAAACTGCCTCGGCAATTGCAATATGTTCTGAGTCGTTATTTATGGACAACAACGAAAAAATGCTGCCAGCAACCCGGAGCAAACAGAGGATGATGGCATATCGCCAGATCTTGCCGCCAGCTTTCCAACGTGTCCATTTCCAACCGAAAGTGGCAGCAATGAGAATAAAGGGAAATATGACGAGCCAGAGGGTAGCAATGCCTTTATGATAGGTCACGGTCCCCATTTGGTTAGTAACATAGATAGTAATAGATAGCGGAAGAAGATGATGAAGTAGTTGAGGTATGAAGAAGAGAAGTTCAAGGTGAAAAGAACTTGTTGTTGTGTGCCATCCGGAAAGCAGACAAGTGTCTATGGATATTTTTACTTTTATTCTATATCCAGTCTCAGCGCCACAGCTTTATTATGAATGTCATCAAATGCAGCGAATTTTAGGAACAAAAACGTATCATACCAGCTCTCAAAGTCTCCTAGGGTAATCTGGCTTGCAGCCCGCAAGACCTCACCCGTTGATCCACCGTGATTGCTATTGAGTGACATGATGGGCTCCAAGACGAACGCGAACTCTGAGTCGCTATTAATCTGGAAGATGCCGGAGAGGCCGGAGGGTTTGTTGTCAACCTGGGAGAGCTAAATTATATTAGTCCTCGTACTTGCAAGTGTCAAGGACGGAGATGAGATACCGTCTGTAGAATGAGCTGATAGCTCAAGAGGGCAGCAGCTTGGATACGCATGGTAGGCGTCAGAAATCAGCGAGTATTGAGGTCTATGCTGGATTCTTTCCTAAACGCCCGCTTTCAAGTTTTGGGCTATAGAATTTTCAATAGAATTATATGGCAAATATGCAGCAAGAGCAGGGGTAAATATACTTGTCGCGGGGACCGAGTGACATCATCCACAGTCGGCTCAGCCTTATTCGCATCACACTCATCTCCGACTGCAGTAGGATGAAAGGGCCTGTGGTGCTTTCCAAAGAAGAATTCACACCGAGCTGAGTATCTATATAGATAGATAGATATGTACCGATCCTGTTACTGTATTAGGATTAGCGACCTGGAGCGTCGCATGGATATGATGAACAAAACCCTATTCGGTAGTTGGTTCGATCCCGCAACATTTGAACATTTGAAGCTGGAATGGATCAATTTAATAATATATAATTTAACAATAAATCGAGTCGTTGCCTGTAGCTGCTCGAACAACTCGATTGCCATTATAGACTAACGCAGGATGGTTTATATGTGACTAGGGCTACTGAAATAAACGGAAGAAATCTTAATGACGGTGACATAAACTGGGGCATTCTATTTCAGATTCATAACATCAACAAGGTTCCAGAATTCATATATTCTCTTTATGGGTAGTGAGGATGGTGTGAACATAAATATATATTATATATATATATAGACCTTAGAAGCCTATCTATACCACCACGGTGAATGAGACAAAGCATTTTCCATTATCCAGAGTAGGTTCTCCATGATTTGATATATCCATTGTTACCTGATTAAATGCATACAGAGCTTACTAACTCGAATAATTTGCTCTATGTCCTCAGTAAATTGTTCCATCAGACTTCTTATATCCTTGATTCCTCCGGAACATGTAAAAAAGCGGGAAAAGTCTGCGCTAACTTCCCTAAACCCCCTCCCTGAAAAATCATTCCAAAGTCCCCTTATCCTCTCTAACCCTACCTCTAATCCACCCTAACCTATCCTTGCTAATCCTTCCCTGAACCAAACCCTAACATCCTAAATATAGCATTAAAAAAGTTTATATCAGATATATAGCTTAAGTAAAGCATGTACAAAGTCTATACAAATTTATCACGCTAAAGATAAATTATATAAGCACGCTAAAGCAGAGCTGTACTTAATTAACCCTAAATTTTGGTCTACACCCGCCGAGCGTTCCGAGCCACACGTTCATCTCATCTCCGAGGCCGAGGGTGTAACACTCTTAGCGAAATAATTACTCTATCCAGCACAATGGCCTTCCAATTCGTGGATAACGGAGGATCAGACGGTGTTCGCACACTTGAGGAAAAAGAGCGAAGGCAGATTAGAAGCCATGTCATGAAGGGCAGAAATCTTCACAAGAGGATTCGGAGAGGTAAATGCCACCAACAGAAATGTCCGTCTAGAGATGTTGCTATACAATTTCCATCTATCTCCAATGAGGAACATTGTCTATTGCTTAGTAGTCTCATACCAGGAAGAGTTGGGGATGAATGGGCATGCTTTCAATTTGCGTTCGAGTTAAAGCCATATATGAGACATGCTGTTTTCAACTGTGAGTGCTGTCGCATCAACGATTCCATGCTAGCTTCAACAGCACGCTCTAAGTTTGTATCAACAGTCTTGAATGGGCTATCCGACATAATCTATCCCATGCAGGTTTGTTTGCAGCATGACTCAACAGCGGACATTTGGTTCAGGTATTCCCTAGTGGAACCTGCTTGTGAGTTTCATTGATTGAATCAGTCCCAATCTAGCACCTTAGCCTAATCCTAATTTCAGATTTACACTGCCTGCTTGCACTATCAATGAGCATGATGGGAACCCTTTCTGTGGGGGCATGGCATCGGCCAGAGGCGTTGTTCCATTTGGGAGAAACACTACGGCTAGCCAACGAGAAACTTCAGCGAGATTTACTCTCCGACCCTCTGTTTGCTGTTATAGTCTCTCTCGCTATAGCTGATAGCTGTCGAGGTAATTATGATCGGGCCCTAGTCCATCTAAATGGGCTCCAGGGCATGCTAGACCATGTGGGCGGATTTTCATATTTGAACGATAAACCGTCCCTGCAATCAAAGATACTGAGGTCGGTTTCTTTGCCGATTCTGGATCTTGATTTTTAATTCTGACTATATCAGATTTGACGTTGACTTCAGCGTTAGAACGGGAAGCCTGCCTCGGTTCTATTACGATGGCACTGAATTCTCAACAGCAGGTGTCTCGTTCAACAGACAACCCTCCCCACGTCCAGACTTTCAATCAACATTTAACTATCTTTACACATTTACAGTGGAGCTTGAGAGAAAATCGTCGGGCTCTGGGGATTTGCATCCCCTCTCTTTTCATGCTACCGTAATTTATATATATTACCGATTATTAATCATTCCACCCTCGCATGGATTACCAGAGGCTCTACGTCTAGCCTCGCTAGCATTTATGACAACTTGGTTTGGCTATGGATATTGCGTATCTTATACTCTGCTGGGGGCCCAACTCAAAGAAGCACTCGTAGTTCTTGATGATAAAGATTTTGAGAATTGTCCATCCTTGATGTGGACTTTGTTCATTGGCGCCATTTCCGTGTTCAAGGATGGCGATATTCATCAGTTATCACGAAAATTTGTTTACGCGCTCAAGAGTTTGGGTCTTCAACGATGGACAGATACGCTGCAGTATTTGAAACAATTCCCATGGGTTACCCGTTTACACGGGAAGGCTACCTTTGAAGTCTGGGGGGAAATAATGACATCACACTGGAATTAGATGCGCTAAATGATAGCATTCATTGATTTATTCCTTAGTCTCAAATATTTGTTGATACGTAATGTCGGGCTGAAGAAAAGCCTCCAATATCGTCATATGTATCCAATCAACTTGAGTCCTATAAAAAGCCGTTACCGTATGTAGACTAGTATTATGATGAAGACCTCAATTCTTCCAAATTAGATGTTTTAAGGATCACAACTTCGTAGATAGGGCAGCGCCTGTTTAGTAATCAGTAATTACAAGCAATATAATCGGCCGGCTAAAATCGAATTGATCACAATTCAGATCGTATAGGCCGATTTATTTAATATTCCATACAATATAGTGCCATTGTCAAGTATAGACAAAGAGCCGTCTTGATGAATTTGTGGTGGTAAACTCTATATAATGCCCAAAGCTGGGTTATGGTGTCATAAACGGAACTGAAGAGTACACCACATTTTAACACTAGACGATGACATCTTGACTGCTGATTCTGCGCCGACAGATTTGGATGGGCCGTTAGTTAACACAAAATAACCAGATTGAAGCCAATCAGAAGCACGATATACGTAAATTAATTGAGATCATCGGGGGAGATTTGTAAGAGTTTGCGCTGCTTTAAAAGGACATGGCTGGGGTTTGGAATTGACGCCTATATATAAAAACCTTTGAAGATCTAATCATTTTTCCACATTTCCTCCAAGAACATTTAAATACCTTTGCATCGATTTGTTTACTATGAACCTCAATTCAAGATGGCTAGCAAGTCTCCTCTACGGATTATTCTCGGCGCAGCAAATGTACCCATTCATCTTCAATATCATTGGGATTCCACAGTTGACAATTGTTTAGATTGGAGATACTTACAAAGACAAACTAGCAAAGTTTGGAACTCCGGAAGAAGTCAAAAGTTTTTTGGACTATTTCTACGACAGAGGCTATAATAGTTTGGACACCGCTCGGGCCTACTCCCCAGGTGCTCGAGGAACATCAGAGCCTCTTCTTGGTGTTGTGGGTGCTGGAAAACGCTTTAATATAGACACAAAGATACTACCACATGTTGAACATCCCCACACCAGAGACAAGATTGAGAGAAATATCAATGAGTCCTTAGAGGCTTTGAGAGTTTCCCAAGTGGATGTTGAGTATCTGCATAGACCTGATAGAACCACCCCATTTGAGGAGACGTGCGAAGCAATGAACAAGGCATATATCAAGGGAAAATTCCGCAGATTTGGGATATCGAACCATACTGCAGAAGAAGTTGAGCAGTTAGTCAGGATATGTGAAGAGAGGGGGTTTATCAAACCAACGGTGTATCAAGGTCAATACAACCCGATTGTTAGGGGAGGCGAAAACGACCTCTTTCCAGTGCTTCGAAAGCATGGTATAGCATTTTACGCTTGGAGGTTCGATTCCAAAATTGAAGATATGTGTAAGGAATGTTGCTGAAACATAAGATAGCCCCGCAGGAGCCGGAATTTTTGCGGGAAAGCATAGAGATGCTCAGCCAGGGGGACGATATGATACTTCGGTATGTAATCCTTGGCCTATTTCTTTTTCTGAAATAATTTTAACTGATCCTGTTTATTTCTTTTCTTGGAAACAGCACCCTTTGGGCGAATTGTACGCGAGCTGGTATGTTAAACCTAACATAGTATCAGCAGTTGATCGCGCAGTTGCAACAGCTACAAAATTTGGAATATCTGGACATGCGGCCGCTCTTCGCTGGACCCTGCATCATGGTATTTTGGATGGAAAGCACGGGGACGGTATCATCATTGGGGCTTCGAGCACTACTCAATTAGAGCAGAACCTGGACATTGTAGAAGCGGGCCCATTGCCAAAAGAAGTGGTCGAAGCAATGAACGATATATACTCTGAGCTTGCAGGAGAGGAGATTTCTTACCATTTCTAGGCTAACCCCCTTCGACCGAAGGGGATTTTAGCTAGGTCGTGAAAATACTCTCCGAGATGATGATCAATATTACATATGTAGCCCTAACTTATGATACATCCGGACTACTTCTTATTACTCATTATGCATTACTGACACCGTGTGAGTTTCGGCGCCGACGCCGATTGTGATAATGCTTGATAAGCTCTAGGCCCCTCGGTAAAATTCGGTCAGAATCCTCAATTATTCATGGTGGGGCTGACTCATCATCTCAATTCATTCACAACGGCCGATCTACAAGGACAGGAAAAGGCTATAGCAAATGAGAGCTTTGTGCTGATAGGCCCTGTAGAATTGCAATTGAGGGATTCAATTTCTAAGTTTCAGCATGCGGATCGCGGTTATTGGTGCTGGTCCTTGTGGTCTTGCAGCTGCAAAGTGAGTCGAAAACAAGAGATTGAGGAGCCGCTGCATTGTCGCAAAGAGTTGAAAGATCTGGTTCTGATACAGCTTTATCAATAACTAGGTATCTTCGCGCCGAAAAAGCTTTCGCCAATATTGTAATTTTCGAACAACGGGATGATGTCGGCGGTGTTTGGTACTACACTCCCAACAACACAATAGACGACAATTTCTCTATACCGCATACAAAACCGAATACATCACCTGAAAAGCCTGTCTGTACAAGAAGAACCACTATTGGTCATCATAGTGGTAGCCATAAAGACGAAGGTATTTTGGAGTTTCTATCACCGGCTTACGACCTTCTGGAGACGAATATCCCGCACACTTTGATGAATTACTCCGACCACAAGTTTCCTCCTCATACACCATTGTTTCCCGAACATGCTGTGGTTAAGGAATACCTACAAGGATACGCAGAGGACATAAGATCCTTTATTTCTTTCCAAACACAGGTGGTCAACGTGTCTCCATTGCAAATGGCCTCGGGTGATAAAGGATGGAAAGTTACTGTCAGAGACATTCGAACCAACAACGACTCAACACATCACTTTGACGCTGTTGTAGTTGCCAATGGTCATTATAGCGACCCATATTTGCCGGATATTCCGGGAATCGAGCATTGGAACAAAGTATACCCAGGTGCAATAACTCACTCGAAGTTTTATAGACGACCAGAAGAATATCGAGATAAGGTAAGCACGCTAACACCAACTATGTGATTTTGATTCTTTAAGGAATTAATTCTTGTGCGCATGGGGAAAAAATGCTAATGGCTTGATCTTTTGGAGGAGAACAGAAAGTTGTCATAGTGGGTAACTCAGCTTCAGGTATCGATCTCAGTGTACAAATCGCCAATGTATCTCGTAAACCACTTTTAATATCCACAAAGGACTGGGGAGAAACATTGAGTTCAAGTCCACAGTCAGAACTTGTTCCCGAAATAGTCGAATTCATTCCCAGTGAACGAGCTGAAATCCGCCTCGCCGACGGCCGCATTGAGCGCGATATTGATCACGTTGTTTTTTGCACTGGGTATATCTACTCATTCCCATTTCTTTCTCAGGCGGTAAATCCCCCCGTTGTCACCGACGGGAAGCGTCCTTGCAACTTATTCCAACATATCTTCTATTCCCCTCGCCCGACACTGGCTTTCGTTGGATTACCACAGCGAATTGTCCCATTTCCTGTGTCTGAAGCCCAAGCAGCGCTGATAGCTCGTGTATTTTCTGGGCGACTTGAACTTCCACCCCTAAAGGAAATGATGGAGTGGGAAATAAATTGGATTGCACATCATGGGCTGGGGAAAAGCTTTAACAGTCTAGCATTTCCTCTAGACGCTGAGTATATTAATTTTCTACATGATTACAGCCTTCAGGCAAGGCGAAGAGATGATCTGGCGAACGACGGAAAAGGGAAAATTCCCCCTTATTGGGGCGAAAAGGAGAAATGGGTGCGAAAAATGTTCCCAGTGATCAAAGCGGCTTCGCGAGCGCTCGGAAGTAGAAGACAGGAAATCACAAGCCTGGAAGCGCTCGGCTTCGACTTTGAAAAATGGAAAGACGAAGATGCAGCACTCAAAGCATCGTTGTGAGTTTCGGGGTTTGTGTATCATCTTTTGTATGTGTCTTTTGTGGTTTATAGCAGTCTCAGGACGATGCCCCATATATCAAGGACGTGGCTGTTTTCAAGGCGGAGGAGGGCACAATCAAAGAACCCCAAGGGGAAGATCATCCATGAAATCTAACCACAATCTGCCTCTCCTAGACCCTAGGTCATTCGGTGATATGTTGGATCCCTGGAATAGGTCATTTGTTGTTGTTGAAACGAAGTCGTTGAAGGGAAGCAATTTCTCTTCTGCCATGGTGTTCATGAGCCCTAATACCGATTCGTCTTCTCTTACTGCGTAGGCATATATACTTGTATCTCCCAAATTGGTCTTGATTAATTGAAGGATTTGTTTACGAATACCCTTCAAGGACACTCGTCGTCCCTTATTTCTAGTTAATTCTACCCCTGAACTGCTCAAGGGGCGCTGCTTATCGTTGTAAATCTTTATGGCATCAAGAACGGGATCGAAATTCCGTTGTACTTTATTAATAAATGGGCTTTCATCATTAACTGCGGACAATTCAAATTCGGCGGCATTTGGTATGTTTGCAGTTGATTGCTGCGCAGAAATGTATTCCGCGAATTGCCAAAAGACCGCCGCCGCTTGTTTAGCTGTTTGCCAGCTTGCTGGGAATAAATCTAAAAATTTGGCGCATAGAAACACGTCATTGGCGATTTCTTTTAGAGAAGCATCTTTATCCAGCGGAGACACCAGAGAGGGCGAGGAGCCAGGGATTTTATATTCTAGGGAGTCAGTTCTTTCCGTGATATTTCTATCATCAATGGACTTTGACTGTTTGAGGCGCCATATATAGCAATGATACAATATAGCACCCATTGTTAGAAATCGGCAAAGGGTAATCCAGTTAAGCGGTAAGTGTCTCTGTTGTTGCAAAACTAGAGTGGACTGCACGTACTTTTGTGCGGCTGCATGCAGTTCCGACACCCTTTCCACAGAGTGCTGAAAGTTCAACTTCGACGGACTATACAGCAGCACGAGAAGATTCTGGTATCGCGCGTTGTGCCAACTGATGGTGTTATGAAATGGGATTTGGTCATTGTCGTTTCCTGTAGAACTGGACAGCAGACACCCCTGTGTGTACCAATCATCTATCTCCCTACGAATATCGTCGATATAAGGTGCCATCATACCCTGGGTAAAAAGCATCGGTGGGGTTAAATGAACAGCTTGTAAGATTTTGCCTTCGAGCTGTCGAAGCGATACCACATGCCGATTTATTTGCAGTGTCATGGCATAATAGGAACGATCAGCTGATGCGTATTCCTCCACAGTGACGCTGGGCAGAGGAATTTTGATATCCTCTTCGCTGAGGCTTGGTGCTAGACCGTATGACACACTGATCATACGATCCAAGACATAAACCGACCACAAAAGCCGTCGACGACGCTCCATCTCAACCTGAGACATGTCCCCAACTAAGCTGCTGTCTCGCGCAAGGCCCATTGAAATCACTTTGCGAGCGAGAATCCCTATGATTCCCCAGGCAGGAACGCCACCAGCTTCGAACAGGGAATACAAAGCGAGTAGCGTGAGGATTTCCACCGAGGTGAGGTCACTTTTGCAAAGGCATTCGTGAATGATTTCTTTGTCAGGAATATCAATACGTGCGCCTTCCGCATCTCCAAGCTCATCTGCTCGCTGCAGCGTTGTACGCCCAACTGCCATGATGATACTTAGTCTGGTAGGGATTTCTAGAAAAGCGACCACTTTATCTCTAGCTACATATATAAGATCAACATCTTGGAAAACTTCATCACGATCCAGGAATGGATAAGCCCGGTGAACATGGCGAAAATAAGCCTCTACAAAACGACGACCGGCAGCTTTATCGACGAACCGCGAGATTGTTCTTACGTCCTTCGAGAGAGCATGCTTAGGGAAGCCTGTGGCGTCGTCCAGCCCGTATTTCCGCACCCCTCTGTCCTCCAGTCTGGTAATAGGTTCGATTCGCATGTCAGGCAACTCAGACGTCTGTGGTATGGCAAGATCATTTCCAGTCTCAACCAACTCTACCGGGATAGCATTTAGTGGACGGGCTCTGTTTACATGCGCTGAAAGCCATGATATGCGTTCCTGCAGCGATTTCTCGCGCTCTTGGGAGTCTTGAATAGACCTTGGAAACGAGCAAGGCAACCAGGCCGCCATACAGAGCCTACATCCACCCTGACGGGTACGAGTGCATTTTTTCTTCAACCGGCGACATCTCAGGCAGGCCGATTGAGTTGATTGTCGAGCGGATGACTCTGACCTTTCTCCTTGACTGGGGTTTGTTGGAGGCAATGTGGCCCTCTCATTCACTGAAGATAACGAGGGTTTCTCTCCTTTTCGTGGTTTGGGCCTGGACACCCGAAATCGCTGAAAAGAGCCTTGCATTGTCAACATACGCTCTGCATTATCGCCAGGCTTCTTGCTGAAAGATACTGGATTCTCCTATTTGAAAGTTTTCTTTTCCTTTCCCCTTTTACGTCTTCCAGGGGTTTTCTGGGAAGTGTTGAGAATCGTCATACATCATTTATAATAACTTGCGAGCTATTCTAATCTGCCATCGCGCCATCACCACGGCCGGGCTCGTGATCGCCCTATCGTTTTGCAGGGCTCGAGCCCTTATCGGCGGGGCTCGTGGAGGAAGGCCCTAACTAGGGCTGTTGCGGGAACTTTTTGCCTCTACTGGAAGTCTTCAAGCTTCTAAGTGGACAGAAACTCGATCCCTTTTCCATGGCTTATTGGCCAAAACCAAAAGCGATGGCCGCAGCTTATGGTATTCTCACAAAATATTATGGTTTACAACCGGAGCTGGCAAGGGTTCGTAGATTCGCTTTGCTGGATGTTAGGATTGTCCACAGCAGTTGTTCTAGTAGTTCTCCGAGGCTGTTCTTGTAAAATTTGCGAGTTTTAATTCTATGTATAATATGATGTTATTACTTTTCCCGGCATAATAAGCCATATAAAAGTTAATATTTAGAATACTTGAATATGGCACTGCAAATATCGCTCGACGATTCTGCATTCAAACTGTTAACGTCGGTTGAACTAACCCCTATACAGAACCAGGCAGAATTACTTGGGATTACATAGTAGCTGACGATTTAATGCTCAATAATAGTATATTCAGCTTGGAATCTCCGGTGGTATGACTAGTGATTTCCAATGGATGAGAATGCTCTCCTGAGTCAATTGCCTCGGGTATTCGATCTGGAGCGATACTATATCTTGCTGAGTTCCGGCGTAAATCATGAATTAGACCGGTTGTTAACTAATTTACATAGTCGCAACCTACTCGAGTCAACGAAAAAATCCATTACGCAATGCATTCCAGCGGATTACACACTTCAGACATGGTAACTCAATCTTGAGATCACTGAAAGCCCAACGCCAGCAGAGAAATGTTATTTTCAGTATCGACTTTGTGTTATTACGGCAGAACTTGGTATTTAAACAACTACTCTATTTAAGGGGACTTTGTTGAAAATACTATGGTTTGATCCCTCTTCGATACTAAATAAGATACTGTCTCTAGAGCCCTTGGGTTGGCATGGTTAGAAATGAAAGGGTGAATGGCTTTAAGAAATGCAAACCCATCGAATTGTTGTAATTGCTTTTTGCCTAGGCCTGGGTACGTTGACCAGAGACTGGATTGGACGCTCCTGTGTCCAGAGACAAATCATTTCAGAGCCCATATCAATGCAAGCTTCATAGAAGTAGAATCAAAAAGTATAACAGCTGGAGGAAAGGTGAATTATTTATTGTTTTATAAAAGAAAAGTCTGGAATACTAAGCTTGTCGCAGCCGCTGGTTGATTCGATTTTGACGAGCAGACAGTGGAGTTTGCCTCTCAATGTTTCACTGTCATTGGTTCTTTTGTTTCACTGTAATCCAACTTACTTTAATTATTGCATTGTTTGTACTAGGTGGCATGTAATGGCTCAATACTTAATGCTTGGATCTGGGCTTTTGAACCAGTCTTTCCACGTTTCCAATGTTCTCTTGGGAGAAATGCTTCTGCATCATCAAATAGTCGGCAGTGAATCAGACTCTCCGCCTCATTGGAACAGTTTTACCAAGGAGCCTTTACTTTAGTCTGGTTTGACAAAAGGTGCACGTAGTGCCCGAGAAATCGCCTATGACTCGTTTTCCTTCATACTGCAATTAATTTCTCGATGTTTGAAACTATATTCCACCTCCACAACCAAAAAGTGTGTGTTCTCTACTTTTTGGGGGGCCCATCCACTAAGGGTTGTTTCATGACTCAGTGCAAGATTATTCGTAGTAGTAACAAGATGCGACTCATTAACTTGTCCAACATCTAAAGAAAGAAGAGGGATGGTTGTAGGGTACAAATTATTGCGTCAGTTATCATTTATTCAATGATTCCTGAGGTAGCCTAACCTGGGGGGGAGGCACAAGCAGAGACTCTTTCTTTCTCTGTTTTTACTTTTTTCTCCTTTTTCTCTCTCTTTCTAGAAACCATACGGCAACTGCACAGATTCACCAATCGGCCTGAACAATAACGATGATCAAAATCGATCTTCGATCAGGCTGCTTTGAATTAAGCTTTACACCAGAATCAAAGCCATGACTCAGTTCGGCGCCATCAAGATATATCGATCGATAACATTGAAGTTTATTACTCATAATCCTGACTCGTAACTTCAACAGGGTTCCGGGCTTTCATATCTTTATTAAAAATCGGCTAAATATGTAATAAAATAACAGCAATAACGCCGACAAGATTAAGCCCTTTGCGTGGCAAAATGCATCTGAAATATGTGATTGGTGTCCTCTGGAAAAAGAAATTTATCACAGTGGGGATCCAGAATCATGGACTTGAGAGGTTGCCACGATTCTCCTTTGGGCTTTAGTAACATCCTGATCCATGGGATTGTGATATACACGAGTCAGGTACCACCAATGCTTGAGTCACGTCTCTTAACTCAAGCAAGGACGGATACTCTGCAGGGTACAAAAACGACAGATTTTCATGTTTCTGGATTCTGTGCTCCGCGCGCGACTGGGGCTGGTTGGCGACCATTGCGGGCCCTGGATCTGGTGTAAGAGAGATGCTGCCGTTTTCCTCCAATCCTGGCTATCATCATCCTTTTTCTTTCTTTTTTGCTTTTCTGGAGCAAAATGGTATTAGAATTGTTGGAGTGGGCTAGCTATGATCGACTCGCCAATGGTTGGGACAACTTCTGCATGGCAATTGGCCGGTCCAGACGGCTGGGACGAAGGATGGTGGGGCCTGTCGTGTCATGTTTTTGATCAGTCTCGGTATTCCGTACATCATGAAAAAAAGACAAGAAAGTATACGGTGACGACTTACACCGGCCCTCCAATAATCAAGATATTAGACTTTGAACCTGGTTCCTCGTATGGAGGGGCTGTATGTATAACGACGCAAGCCTGCAACAACTGTCTCGGCGTAGGATTCCGTCGTCTATATGTATGTAGCCCGAGGAGGTGCTGGGCTAGAAACATCAGCTGCGTGCCTAGTGCCAGCGCGGCCCGAATGATGCATAATCGATACGCCCATTTGTCTAGATTGGGGGGCTGGCTGAGTTACCAACAAAGATGGGCCGGACACACAAGACGTAATAATTTCATTCTCGAATTTGAGCGTCACAGATATGTGCAATTCTATACTACTATAGACTCCGAAGCTTACACGCGTGCGCCTGGAAAGCAAGCACTACAAGTCGCAGTGCTGACAGTGATAATAATAGTACTAAGTGGTGGTGTGCTACGGATACTGGATAGCACCGCCAGGCTGGGACCGCCGTTAAGTGCCAAATCCAATAATTAAGGAAGGTTTCGCCAACGGCCGGCCGGGCCGCGGAGCCCGAGAACGCTGGGTGGCGTGCTTGTCACTGGTCAGCTCGGCCGGCCTAAGGCGCCAGCGCACCGTGATTGGCCTATCTAGCTTCCGTGGCCTTATGATTGTGCCCACCCAGCACTGACGATTGGCTCTTGCAAGGGTGTTGTAACCAATCAGCAGACCACCCAGGCCTCCCCGCTAGGCCTGGAAGATGCAGGTTCCTATGAGGCCCTGGTCGTGGCGGAGCCGCCAGTCCATACCTGGCCATAACCTGGGAAGCATCCGCTGGCCCTACCAGTGCACCATTCCCCTTGCGGCCTAAGGCTGCGTCTTCCCGAGCCAGCGCTAGCCTGTATTCTGTAATGTGGAGTGGCCGTACTACGTAGCAGTAGCATCTCCCAACCTCCCCCCGTGACCTGTGTCCCGTGGCAGGCAGGCGGGCGCGGGCTCCTCCTGGCTCCTGCCCTACAGCCAGCCTACGCGCAAAGTACCCACTGTGCCTGCTCTGTATTCTTCCTGCTATCTAACTACCCTCCACGCCCCATACATACTCTGTACCTTCCACGACGACTCCATATTCTTGCTCTCTCCTCGACTCACTTCACTGGTCTCATCTCTTCTCCCGACACTATCCAAGGGCTCCGCTGCCGGGTTAGCCTCGTTTGCTCCGTCTGTCGCGTCCCGACAATCCCCCTCCCGGCGTATTTCTCCGATTCGACCTGGCGTTGAGCCTCGCCCTCCCGTATTACTTGGTAGCTAGTACGGAGCACTCGTTTGGCCTTTTGGTCTCGGAAGCGCAACGTCACACCCCAGCCCAGCTTGCAACTGCTTTTAATTTTCCGGCGCCTACAGACCTTCAATAATCCAGTTGGCCATTGGACCGGACACTTGTGAATTTCGTTTTCGACCAGCTAGCAGCCATGCAAGTCTGACTGGCCAATTCTCCTCTGCTTTAAACGACGATACCCGATCCTCGCATGAGTACTGTTCTCGTTGGCAATGTCGAGTTACACAATTGGCCCTCTCTCCCGGTTGGCTCTGATTGAGAACCAAATCCCTTCTTCCTGCTAATTTGTCGACCTGGAAAAGCCCGCTGGGCCGAAGTCGCGCGTACGCTCGACTGGGTGCGGGCTGTTTTCTTTTCTTCTCTCTTTCTTTCCTACTTACTATGACGGTTACCGGCATGGCGACTCTCATCAACAAAAACTCAGACCCGCCAAACAAAAATGAGACTGCAAGTCAATATCTCACAGCCTCAAAGGCGTCTACTGTAGGTGTCTGGACGCCACTTCGTCGTGCTCAGCCGCCGCTGTCTTCGCTCCGACGTGCCCATACCGTCACACAATCCGGAATTACAAAACGAGCAGACCGAATCTTGGCGAACCGCACAAAAAATGATCAATCGTCGCCATTACTACGGACCCGAAGAAGCACAGAGGTTATGCACCAACGTGCAATGACCCATGAGGGAATTTCGAGCGGACGAGAAGGAAAACACTTTGCTGTAGCAAACGTGGGTATCAATGGAAAGCTTTATCTCAGGTAGGAACACCCCACATTTGGTATGAACGTGAAGGAAAGGGAGCCAAAGCTTATGTGTGGAAACTTCAATAGGCCCTTGAACGAATCGCCCTCTCGAAGGCACCATGCGCAACCCGTGAATCTTTCTCCTCCCTCCCTCCGCCGCGCTAATCTGCAGCCACCTAGGCCAAATCTAGGACCTGATCCCAGACATAGTATTTGGTCTTCATCCCAGCTGTCCGAGCTCCGCCCCACGTATCCCCGTGAAGAGTCGGTGGAGGCGGTAAGCGACGAGGATGACCAGGAGCCTCGGCGGAGAAGAGCCTATTCGTTCTCCACAATATCCGAATACAGCCCGTCGATTCCCACGGGAGATGGTCAGGAATTACGCATTGTAATCGACCGGTTTGACACCAATGAGTCGAAAGACAGTCCGTCTATCGACGCTTTGGAGGTTTCAATTCCACACTATCGGCTAGGTACACCACAATTCAATGCCGAAGGGTCCCCGGTATTGCGGAGCTCTTTATATACGCACACCTCAGTGTCCGACAATTTACATCAGTCAATATTATTGAACGAGAATAATGGCGAGAACAGGATACCGTCAACGTACGACTCGCCGGGACTTGCACCGCCGCTTGGGACCGTTTCAGTAGCCATGTCATTATTTTCCGGCGTATCTCCGGCACCAGGCAAGCCGAGGTTTTCAAACTCCACCCAAAGGTCGGCCATCTATAACCTGCGTCAACCCATCAAGCCGGAAGTCTTTGATTTTCTTACTGAGGATATGAACGACCCGTCCGTGGTTAAGTACATGCCAGGCGGTCGAGATATCAGTGCAGCTACCCCGGCCCGCATTGTTGCTGAAGTCTCGTCGGATTCCTTCATGGATTACGAGCTAGTGTCTGATTTTTTCTTGACCTTCCGATCCTACTTGTCGACGACGAATCTTTTGGCTTTACTGCTCGCGCGATTGGAATGGGCTATTAACCGATTACAAGACGACGGGCGAATCATCCGAATCCGCACGTTTGCTGCTTTGCGACATTGGATTCTCAATTATTTTGCCGACGACTTTGTCAGTAATCGTGATCTACGAGTTCAGTTTTGTGACCAGATCAATTTAATGTATACGGCTGTGAATGCACGCGCTTCTGCGGGAATAAGTGACATTAAGATTTTGGTTGATTTAAAGCGATGCTGGCATGGGCGATGTTCACTTCATTGGGACTTCCCATCTTTGATTGGCCCTGACACTCCTGTCATCCCTGGTGGTGTCTCTGGCAGTCGAGATTTGAACAAAACTAGGCTCAGTGATGTGAGCGCCCCCTACCCAGAGGCTGTCATCGACCCAGAAATGGATTCTCCGTTGTCGGTACAGCGGTCCACCAAGGCCCATGACAGTACCCCAGAGCACAATCCCCAAAAGATTCACGTGCGAAACGCCTCCTCGGGAACCTCACGTAGTGTTCCAGGCTCTACAAGTGATCAAAGTGTCCAAGCACTCTCATGTTCGTTTCCTGGAAAGCGGATTTCGATTTCTTTGGAATCTACGACACCTCACCCGGTTGTTGTCCCGACTCGGTCAACGGTGAGCCCTCCAAACCCTCGTTCCCCTACTGCCAGTAGCGCTCGAAGGCACCCAGCCCATGCCCACAAAAGAAGTGGTAGTTTTTCTGATTCAATACGCGACGATCGCGCGCCCCTTTCTCAAGCCGTCATTGAAGGCCAAGAACAAGATTTGATGCCCAGAAATGGAGGTAGTAGCCTCATTCGCGGAAACCTACTCCCACCTGGAGAAGCATGTGTTGACACACGTGCTCCGCCTTCCCCGCCACTTCCACATCCTTCGGATGCTTTGCTAGAGCCTCATGCGCGAAGTGCTTCAGAAGGGAACATCAAACCTCTTAGTGCAAGCCCAGGTCTTAAAACCGTCATTGGATCGATTCGCCGTGCATTGCACAGTAGACCACTCGGCATAAGTACTACAGCTTTTGGTGGACCGGTCAATTCTCGTTTCCCCAGGGGCAAGACAGCTGCACTTCCAGTGAATTTGGCTTTCAGATCTGATTTCTATAAGGATCGGAGAGCTTTTCCGATTTCCAAGACCCCATCAAGAGTAGACCACCTCTGTCAGCAGAGCATGCAAGAGTATCGTGAGGCACTTGGTCTTGATGCTCCGCAACCACCACATCCTTTAATAAATACAGAGCCTAGTAAGTCTGACGGCGAACCTTCTCAATTGCAAGTTGCAAACTGGCACCGTCAGCGTCTTGCTAGTGAAATGACAATGGGTAGCAAATCTATCGTCATTGTCGATGATACTGGGCTTGACCTTCCGATGGTATCGGGCGGTCTTGGCTGGTTGGAGGGATATGGGGAGAATCGTCATAGTAGATCATCTGCAACCCCGAAAAACGATTCATCTTCTCAACTCGATGAAGTGACTGTTGCGGCCTCGGCAGAACTTTTCAAAAAAGATAGAAACCTCAATCCTCAATGGTTTGACTCTCCCGTTCAGCGTTTTTTGGAAACGGCTTCGGTTCGAAAGACCGATTCCATTACTAGTCGACTTCGCAAATACGCCTCCTTCCATAGCGGCACCAGGAATTCAACTCCTGATGCCGTCAGTGAAAATGGAAGTTCTGAAAATGGTGCCGAGAAACCATTGGCTCGTATGCTACGAAGACGGCCCGGTGGTAATTTGCGCAAGATCCAAAACGTCCATGACCTTGAGCCACACCTACGCCCGCAGTCTTTTGCGACAGATACTTCTTTGACGGAGTCAGTTGCGTCTTCAGCGCGACATTATTTTCGAAGAACCTTTTCTCGCCCCTCGCAAGTGAGGGCTTTGTCAACCCCGCCTCGTTTCGACCTGATCAATACCAATTCAGCCCAAAACTTACGTCCTTCATTCGAAGCTGCAATCGCGGAGTTCTCGCGAATTCCAGATGACATTGATGGAGGCGTTGAATCCACTCTACTGAAATTGGAAGGAAAATGGCCTCTGCCAACTGGTTCTGGTAGTCGCTCTGGCGTAAAACGACCCATCGAGTCTCGGGAGCAGAATAGCCAAGCAGTCTCTAACATTCCCCCGAGAGGACTCGTCAATCATAATGCGGTATATCAAACGGCAGACCCAAAAGTTGCTGCGGCAGAGACTCCACAGAATTTAATATCTCAGCTGTACAGCGAATCGGTCATGTCAGAGTTTTCGGACAGCTCTATTCCTCTTCTTGAAAGAGGGTTGAGTGATGAATCAATGAAAAAACCGCCATCACAACCACCTGATACTTCTCGACCTCCTAATGAAAGAAGTGAAGATAATACGAAGTGCGAGTCGTCACATCCCTCTTTTCAGATTATCGACGATACAGAGAGTCTCCGACAATTTTCCAGGGGCTTGGACTTGCCGCAGAGATTTTCTACAGAAGAAAGTGTTAGGGACTATCACTCAGATCTTTCGTCTGAAGTTTCGGTGGATGTGATCGACAGAAATGAAGCGATGCACAATTCCAACAGCACTGGTTACTCTCTACCAGAATCTTCACTTGAAATCCCTTTCCATCCTCTTGCACACCCCCCATCTCCCCCAATAACGATCCAACATACGACATCAGCACCTTCTTATCCAAAACCGGAAACGCCCGTAGCCTCACAGCCACCTCTAACCCCCGGTGCTTCGCCCACACGGAGAACAGAAGCTTCACGAACTATCCCTGCTTTTAGTGATGCAGGTCATTCTGACACTGGCCACGTTGGGCTTCGCCTTCAAATTCCACAAGTGGCAAATCATATTCCATTCGTCTTGGCGTACAATTCGCAAGTGCTGGCCCAACAATTTACAGTGGTAGAAAAGTCGGCTTTAGACGAGGTTGATTGGAAGGATCTTGTCGAAATGAAATGGAACAATAATTCCTCCGCGGCAGTCAATTGGGTTCAGTTTCTGGCTGAACAGGAACGCAAAGGTATCGATCTGGTAGTAGGCCGTTTTAACCTCATGGTAAAGTGGATCCTATCGGAAATTGTTCTCACTCAGAATATCGAAGAACGAGCTCAAACGATCTCGAAGTTCATCCATATTGCAGCCCATGCCAGATGGATGTGCAACTATTCTACTATGTTACAAATCGCCATTGCTTTGTCATCTGTGGATTGTACACGGCTGCAAAAGACATGGGCGCTTGTTAAGCCGGCAGATAAACATCTTCTCCAAGGCATGGAGATATTGATACAACCTGTCCGCAATTTTCATGAACTCCGTGTCGAGATGGAAACAGCGAATCTACAGAATGGCTGTATACCTTTTGTTGGACTGTATGTCCATGACCTCACATACAACGCCCAGAAACCATCACAGATAGTCGGAACACGCGAAGGAGATGCGCTTGTAAACTTTGAACGCTATCGAACTGCGGCCCGGATTGTGAAATGCCTCCTCCGTTTGATTGATGCGAGTGATAAGTACAATCTGGAGCCAGTTCCTGGCATTGTTGAACGGTGTCTCTGGGTTGCTTCTCTTCCGGAGGAACAGATTCAAGCTCTTAGCAGCAGCCTTGAATGATATTTCTTCTTTTTTGTGTCTTGCGCATATCCATTTAGATACCTCTTGCATTTTCCTTGTCATTCTTACATCATCGGGAGCGGTTTGCTTGTGTCTGTTTGCATTTACACCCATATTGCACATTATCCAGTCATTTCTCCACATACAGTCTTGAAATATTTCTCTACTGTCCATCCTTTACATGCATTCTATATCCCGCACCGGTCACTGTCGCATCTACGCTTTATATCGTGTCTTCTACAAGTGCATATAACGAGTCTTGAATATTCCAAGGCCCTTACATATTATCAATCAAGCAAACATTGAGCCTTACAAGTGTACATTAATTGTGTATAGTAACACATTCTTACACGAATCAATTAATACCTCAAATGTCGGGCGTGATCACGTGCAGATGATCACTTGGTCTTCTGTAACACCATCGGTGTTTGGTAAAACAGGGCTGGGTCAGGCAGTGTGTGAAAAGAAAAACATGCAGGCTCTTAAGATATGCCAGTCACCCTAAAGCGTACGTCGTCAACATTGCAAGTGGATTTGCTGGATGTGTTTCTAACACCTGCCTACGGCATCTTGCGCTGCGTCATTCTTTCCGACGGGGAAACTAAGGCTGGTCCCGCAGCTGGCGATCGTCCTGCAACTCAACGTTTCAACCCGCGCCCCCAAAGCATTTCAACCAGGAAACTTGTGTTTCATCCTAGATTGAGCATCAGCCTTATATGGCGACTCTTTCATCGAGTCAAATGCATTTGAGTCTACCATTGTTTGTTTGAGAAAGAAGAGGGACAAGAGTCACAGCTTACCGAATCTCCCGGGCGGACATCAACAATCACAACAATCCGAACAAACGAGCCATGGACATGGGAGACCCCCCAATAGTCGAGGATGAGCATTCTTCTTCTGATAACGAGCAAAAGCAGCCCAAACCTCTACCCGCAGACTTGCCGACGTCGCTGGACGACCGGCGACGAGCGTCAGAATACGCGGGGGAGACGGAAATGTATGACGGATGGCAAGGTGAGCGGGACACCCTTTTTCGGAGCAGGAAAAGTGGGAAATAGGGGAGAGGAGGAGTTACTAAAGAATGCCGTTTACTCACATATATCGATTCAGGACAAACCCAATATTTGGCCACTCCGATAGCCACGAAACCGCTATCATTCAGCCTTGCCCTTGACGACCATTCACACGATGAAGAGCACGAAATGCGCGCCCGTTTCGCTCAGTCATTTTACGAACGAGACGACGACGAAACAACAGCCCGACTGGAGGATAGTGATGCCCGGTTAATGGAGATGTTGGCGGCACAGGCTGCCCACCGAGAGATGACCTCGCTAGCTGCGGATGAAGACGATATCGCATTGGATGAGAAGCTGTCGGACGAAGAGAAGACCGGTATACTACAAAAGAGCTTGAACATGGCGGCGAGCAATGGCGATGTGGAGCGAGTGCAGAAATTAGTTAATGGCGAAGCCAGGAAATATGTGGATGTCAACAAGCCTGATGAGGAGGGGGCTGTGCCATTAATATATGCCAGCTGCTTCGTAAGTGGTTATTTTCATTTTTGAAGGAGGAATGGAGTTATTAATCCCAGCTTTCAACAGGGACATCAAGATGTCGTTTCAGCACTTCTCGACACTGGTGCATTTGTTGACAAACAGGATCGCAATCAATGGAGCGCTTTAATGTGGGCAATGACAAATCGACACAAGACAATAGCAAAAATTCTCCTCGATCACGGTGCATCACCCGACATCAAATCTTCTTCTGGTGGAACGGCGTTGGACTTTTTACAGCCAGGGACAGACATTTCGCAGTATCTTCACGATAATGGGTATAACATAGGGGCCGCTGGTATCGAGGACGATTTTTATGACTCAGGGTTTGGCCACGGCCGTTTTGAGGAAGAAATGGCACAGAATGAATTGAAACGTCGCATGATGATGGAAGAGAGCGCACTGAATCTCGAGGTCGATCTATCAAGTCTTGGGCTAGACGAAAAGATGGAAGTAAGTTTATTTCAATTACCTCAATAGCTACCACTTTGGTCAATGCTTAGTTATGAAATATAGGAGCCAGATGAGTTTGAAGATGATCAACAAGAATTCGTCTGGGACCGATGCCTGAATGACCAAATGTTTGTGTTTCAAGAGAACGAGTTGGAGAAAATTTTGGATATGATAATCACGAATATGACGCCGCAACGATCGCCGTCACAAAAGCCAGTACCAGCCAATTTGCTCTTTCTGAGCGCCCGATATGCTCATTATCATGCGAGTCCTGAACTATTGGAACAGCTGCTTATGTCTGCGACGGACAAGATCAATGATGTTGTCGAGCGTCATCAATGGGATATGACTATACTTGCCTTCTGGATCTCAAATGCTACTTTGCTTCTCCATTATCTGAAGAAGGACACGGGGCTCATGGAGTCTACCGTTGAATTCCAGCTCCATCTCGCCGAGCTGATCAATGAGATTTTTATTCTAATCATTCGCGACGCGGAGCGCCGCATGAACCGGGTACTGGACCAAGCGATGCTCGACCATGAAACCATACCGGGACTCAGCGATGTCACTTTCCAAAATGAATGGAAAATATTCAAATCGAAATCAAAGCCAAAGGTCGAGCCTCTCGAGAAACGATTTCGCCCACCATCACCAAAGCGCCGAGCGCAGGTATCGCCCCGCAATATCACTTCTCTTCTGTCATCTACGTTGTTTGTCCTGGATCTATATGATGTGCATTCAGTGATCACAACGCAAATAATTTCGCAATTACTCTTCTGGCTCGGTGCAGAACTCTTTAACCGCATTATGCTGACCAAGAAATACCTGGCGCGGACGAAAGCAATGCAAATTCGGATGAACGTATCTGCGATCGAAGAATGGGCACGAAACAGCAATAGGAGGCCAGAGCATTATGAGAACGGATCAATGTCAACGACAGGCGACACCACAGTCGACTCGGCTCGGAAACACCTTGCGCCTGTTATCCAGCTGCTCCAATGGCTCCAGTGCTTCTCCTCATTGGGCGACGACCACGAAGCGCTCATCACTACATTATTACAATTACAACAACTGACGCCAACCCAGCTTCTACAGGCCGTCAAATCATACCGCGCCGAAGTCGGTGAGAAGGGCCTGACGAAAAGCGCAATGAAATTTCTTCTCAGCCTCCAGCATGACCCCGACTTGTTATATCGCGAACACATGAAACTCCAACAACCAGACGCTATCCCACCTGCCACCGCCGACAATCGCAATTCTCTTCCCCCTCCTCCGTCTGCTGTTCCTTCATCATCATCATCATCACCCCCACCATCAACACCACAACATTCAACGCCAAATCCAGTCCCAGAGCCTCCCCCCACCAAAGTACCCCCTGAAAATAACTACCATAATGATAATATCAGCCCGTCAACTCCCCGAAACAGCGCCCTTCATCAATCACCCATTTTGGTCCCCTCGCCAAATTTCCACCACTCTACAGGCCCCGAAACATATCTTCTCGACCCATCCATGACACTGCCTTTCTATCTACCAACCAGCACAGATATGCTGATCAGCTACGGTGCCGGCTTCGGTGGGACGAATAAAGAGCGAGCGAGGAAGTATGTCCCCACTGTACCGACAGAAGTGCTGAGTCGGTTCGATCGGGTATGATGCGCATCCTTGGCAATAATCGTCAATAACAGAAAGCAATAGAAATAGACTCCCACTGGGTGAGCATTTCCTTTCGTCTCTTGGTGGGACTAGCAGGCTATGCCAGGGGTATGTATATTGATGCAGTCATTTTACATTGATGTAGCTAGGAATCATATATTTTATAGCATACTAAAGTACTTTCTTTCGAACCAGGAGTAACTGTTCGTCTTGTAAGATGATTTTGCATTTGTATTCCATTCCTGGTACACGGTTTCAATCCCGCTTTTTGATTTACTCTACTCTTGCACGGCCAAGAGTAGCGATCCAAGTACGAAAAAAAAAAATTTGAGAACACCTCCATGGATAGTCTCGGATCCAGCCGATCCTTTCTCCAAGTAGCGTGTCTTCCGTAGGTCCAAAACAAAACAAGTAAAATCCAGCAAAGGTCAATCCCAGGCTGCTTTGACATCATAGCTCAGGTGATATCTATATGGCGGAGGAAGAAAGTAAAGATACAGGTTAAGTACATGAACGAAGTAAAGGATAAAGTGACGAGGATCTATAGTTTATTGTTGATGGCCCCCTTCGTTAGGTGGGCGGTACGAACGGTACCCTCCAGCGTGCGGCGCAACGCGAGAATCATAAGGACTTGTCGAAACACTCCTCGGCCGCGATTTATCATCTTCCCTCTCCGGATTTAAGATGGCAGGGCCCGTGCTGGACTCGTGATATGGTCTTTGAGAGTGTTTTTGAGGCTGGTCCCTATCAGACCCCTGATCTGACCGACGTCGTTCTTGCTCGTATTCAGAGTAATCCCGATACTGAGACTCATAGCTAACGTCACTTTGTTCCCGAGAGTGGCCCTGGCTGTGTTGTCGGCGACCTGGAGTGTTATGGCGCACCGATACATGCGACGTAGTTGGAGATGACGGCCCTGGATGTGATGAGGGTGGTGGGGGAGCTTGGTGTGGGCCATGCGCTTTGCGTTTTCGTCCAGGGGGGCTGTGTAGTTCTGACCGATGGTGTGTGCGGGAGCTGGTCTCTTGCTGACCCTTCGCTGATGAAGTGATTGACTGAGACTGGGCTGGTGGAACCCAGTGATGGAAGTAAATCGATGATTGTGCAGTTTCGGATTTAGCTGATGCCGAAGAGGAAGGGGTTGGTACACTGGGCTGATACTGAGCAGTGCCTATGTTTGCTGTTGGGTGCAAAATGGGCATGTCGCGAATCTCACCAGTGTTGAAACGCGACACGGACGACAGACGTGACTCACTTTGACGGGCAATAGCGGACTGAGAAGTGATGCTATAATGTTGTGGTTGACTAGGAGATCGAGGCACTGGCTGAGATGATACTGGTGCTGGCGGAGGAATGGCGTGGGTGGCGTACGGATTCGGTGGAATAGCGCGGCTGTCTCGACGGACGTCTGATGATAGTGATTGTGCTGATTCCGAAGCTGGAGCCGGCAAAGGAGGAGGGGCAAGCGGAGGAAGGGATTGCTGGCGCTGTTGAGAAGATGTGCGCCGATGCGGGGATGGTGTTGACCACTCTAGCTGCTGGGCCATTTCCCAGGACGATCGCGTCGAGTTCCCCCCGCCCATTCCACTAAAAATCAACGGTACCATGTGCGGGGGGACGCCAGCTTGGAAAGCGTCTCGTAGGATACTTTGTTCGATCCGTCGTTGTTCTAGCCTCAAGCTCTCCTGACGGGTACGCTCTTCTTCCTGCCGCCTTCGGTCTTCTTCTGCCTTTGTCTGCAGCCATTGCCGCAAGTCTTCGCTTTGCCATTGCGCTGGAGGAGGAGGGAGCTGTGCGATTGGGGCGGTCGTTATTGATTGCACCTCGGAAGGAAGATTCATGGCCGCCGGAGGAGGTAGCCCTCGTCGCGAGCTGTGATCCATCACTTTGGCGGGGGACGGCTGCGAAGGGGGTGTGTTGGGAGGAGAGCTGCCTACGGCAGTTGACGAGGAGGTACGAGGAGTCGGGATCGACTGTCGAATGATGGAGTATTCATGAGGGCCCTTGAGTCCGTTCTGTATAGGAGGTTTCAGTGTGAGCAACATGAGGAAGGTTGGCAGAATTCGACACGAGCACGCGGGTTATGGATGATGAGATGGGGATATCGCAAGGTAGAATGAGAATGCGGGATATATTCAAGATATTCAACGCGCAGAGAAGGGGACAACGATGGTGTCATCCAAGAAGACAGACACAGCGGCAGTAAGATATGTCAAGACATGTAAATAATGCCGCGGAGAGAGTCAATGGTGGGGGATGAAAAAGCGAGATGGCAGCGTGCTCTTTCTTTGCGTTCCTTTTCTCTGGCGATTATTTTTTTTGGATGCGGCGGAAAATAACCGCTCTAGAAAGCTCGGAGGGGGGCTAATCATGCGACAAGCACGGCGATGGCTGCATTGCACACGAAGGGGACAGGGGGGTCAGAGACCAGATCGAAGCTGCATCGCGACTATGCTTGCAGAGGGATCGTGGATGGTGGATGGGATCGTGGATGCGATGACGGAAGGCAGGGAAAAGGCAGGCGCAGCCGGACAGGTGTTGCCTCTGCTAGCCGAGGAAGGAAAGGGGGGACGCAATTACCTTGTCAGGACAACCCACAGCCAAGCGCTAGGCCTGATTGGGAGTTTTTACCGGGTGGCTAGCGGCCGCCTGCGTGCGCTAGCCCGGAATGGCAGGTCGGGGCCCGAAAGAGGAAACCGGCCAGAAAAGGAATGTACCAAGCGCTAAGACCCGCTTCGATGCGGGGCGGGATCCGTCGAACGAGCGAATCAGCAACAGCCCAGGCCGGGCAGCCTCAGGCTGCAGCTTTGCAGAAGTGCAGAAGGGACGAGGCGGCTGATGTCCGTCTCTGCCTCTGTCTGCTTCAGGAACAGACGGCGGCTGCGACAACAATAAGATTGCACAGTATCATGCCTCCAGCAGGATTCGCGCTCTGTGACGTAAACTGCCTCGGCCGGTCGCTGACGCACGGCTTGCTGACTGCTGACAGATCGCACCCGTCGATCTGGATTCTGCAGGTGAGTGCGTAGTAGTAGGTCAACCGCAGAATCGGGTCTGTTGACCGTGGGTAATGGCAATACTCTTTGCTTCCAGGCAAGAAGCAGAGATACGGAGCTGTATGATGCACAGGGGAGGAAGTGGAAAGTCAACACGGCAAACAATTGCAATAAGGATAGCGAAGAAGGCCAAGAGAAGAGTAATCAGGTGGTGAAAGGGGAAAGGAAATGAACGTCAAATAACCACAATAAAAAGCAAGAGCTCAAGGCTCAGGTTCTTGCGGAAGTGGATGGTGTTTTCCACATAAGCTGCAGCAAGCCTGCAACAGCAATAATAAACGCACGGGCGTGAGCCCCAGTAATACGAACACCTATCTAGCTTAGACCTGGCGTTCTTGAAATTGGCCCGGCAGCATTGGGCGGTTTGGTGGATCTAGAATGGATGCTCAATCGTTTGATGAGCAGTGGACCGACACCCAGCAAACTCGACAAGCAACTGGCAAAATTACGCGGGAAATGAAGCCAGCGTGGCGCGGCGCTGTAGTCGGCAAACCATTGTAATAACTTGACAAGTCAATTGCTGTTTGTCGGCAGGGACAGGAACCAAGACTCTAGCCTCTTTGTCACATCGGCGGATATAAGAGACAAAAAGAATGATGTTCTTCATGGAGACTGGGATGATAAATTGGTGCGTGGTACAAGAGGCGACTTGAGAGTATACGGAACAATTAATATTATTTGGGAGTGGAGGAGAGGAGCACTGGCCCATGGGTGGGAGCGCCGAGCGGCTACGCTTGACCGAATTAATTTGGCTCCACCCTGGTGCGTGACGAGGCAGAAGTCTAACAATAATTAATGGCGAATGGCAATGGCTGGCGACGAGATGTAATTATTGTTCAGGGCCGGGCTTAAACGGATATTCGATGAAGACCACTTCATACACAAGTAATATTGATAGTTGGTATCTGCTTCTCTGTTCTCTGGTTAGGTCAGCACAATGGAGTGTGTGTAGCCATACTCAACCGAAGAGCAACGCATAGTGTAACTGTCTCTCAGGCTCCTTTATCCCGTGTCCAGCTGCGACGAGGAAGGGCGACGACGACCCGTTCCAGAGCATCGGCATCGCACACGATTAGAGGCGGGGCCTTTAACGTTGATAGATAATCAATGCTGTACGTACTCTTCTTATGATTACCCAGCCGTAATTACGTGTTCCCCGGCTTGCCCAATTCCACGCTCCACCAGGAGGGAGGGGTACGATAACATCCCCCGTATACATGTCACACAATGCTCTTGTTTGGCATCACGGCAGCCTAGAGCACAGAGAGCACATGTGGCGGGCCGAGTTGACAAGATTTAGAATTAGCACCAACCTCAACGTTCACAGTCAGCAAGTTCGGTGTTTCAGAACTGCTGCTTGTCGATCGACAGGAGAGTCAGTGACTTGCCGCATTGGGATGAGTTGGCCCTTTCCAGCTAGGGGGACTCCCAATCAAGGCTAGTGCAACCGAGGGCCACCAGTGGAGTCACCGGCCGCGCGGCGATTGGCCATGAAGCCTATTCCGAATCCTATTACTTAATATCTTATTAATAGAATCTATTAATATACATGACTAATATTTTAATATCAAGTAATATTAGTACAAATTCATCTATATTAATCTATTTAAGGTCATCATTCCAAGGCAAGTGTATTTGTGTAGATTCTTAGAACAACAACTTAACAAGCCATAATAATGCCAAAAAGCCGCTGTTGACTTTTAAGGCGTACGGCTGAGTCTATACTTGCATACTGCAGCGCCTCGATTAGCTCCCACAAGCTTGCACTCTTTTCCCATACTGGCCAAACTTGTGCGAAAATGGCCATCCAACTTTACAAGTGTACTTCCCGGCCTCCTTCGACTCGACATTCAAATGTTGGAACAGGGTTGGCATAGTGAAACGCAATCGACATCATCACTTCCCTTCTTGGGATGTGGTTATCCTAGCTAATCTTGATAGTGCATATGGGTACAGTAGATCACGATGGCTTTAGACCATAGCGAGGGCTGCGGTGCTGACAATAAGTTGTATTAGTATTATTAATAATTAGCCCGGCTTCATTATAATACCGTTTCTCACTGGCGGAATGACCCCGCTCCAACAGCCAATATATGTATTTATCTTTGACTACTACCAACATAGTCAACTAGTCCAAATGTTAATGGGTTACATAAGTACTCGTAATTGGCCCCATACTTGACAACATATGAAAACGATCTATCTGCCTGGTGTTTTAAGATAGAAACATCGACGACCAATTAGGACATTGCATTTAAGACTCTATGCTATTTTCAACATTAACAACATCGATATCGCCAATAATACAGTCACATTGTAAAATCATGAGCAACCCAAAATACCAATCTTCTAAATTCTAATTTTATTTGTTACTGCTTTTACAATGTATGCTGCCTTCGCCTACACGTATGCGAAATGCTAGTGCCTCGGCAGTTCGATTGTGACCAACTTGTGCGCATATTCTTGAAACGATCTAGTCGTTTTCCGCTCCCGCATAGCGGTATTAGTGACCGGAATGCGTGACCAGAATGCATGAATCAATGCCAAGATGAGACAGTTGCAGTTCGTGAATTCTTGAATCAGGGTCCCAGCCGAGAACATGTATCAGATTTGCGACATCATTTCTGGGCCGCCATCTAGCTTTGCCTCCTTTCCATCCCCTTCCAATAATGGAAGGAAAGATTAGACGAGACTAAGCGGATTTGTCCGCGCTCTTAATTACTCTTTCGCTTTTCTAGTCGTCATGCGCTGGAACACTCGAAAAGGAACGAGGTTGTTCCCTCCGCGAGATTCCGTAATTCATCAATACAATGCCAACGGTGTTGATTCAAATTGTCTTGCCGCGAACTGGGTACTTGACATGCATATGAAAGTAGCTCCAGAAAATCCGATAGAAGTCGCATCCGAAAACAGTTTTGGTAGTTGTTAACATATGCGTGTGATCTGTTCGATATAGCATGCTGGTGGGCATCTTGTGAAGCATGCTGCCCCTGTGACACTTGGTATAGTTGTTCCATAATTTCCATGCCTTCGAGTATATGGGGTATGGTGGATAGAATGTCATTAAAATTGCCCTCCATTCTTAGCTGTCGAATCCGAAAACACATATTCGTGCAATGCCAAGTGAACTGGAGTATCCGGTGTAGCAAGTCTTCATAGGGACTACTACAGTGTTCACCAATTGCATTAAGGCACAGCATAATGTCTGTTGGATATTCTTGACCGGTCAAAAGGTTTTGTAATTGCTTAAAAGGAAGTCAGTAGAATGCTGGGCGAGATTTAGGTAGACTGACGATAGTTGTGGAAATAACCCAGAATAAATCCCGGCCATCCTGACGACTAAATTGCTCAAGACCACGCTCATGAATCATCGTTATGAGTCCCTTGCTGTGAAATTCCCAGCCAGGAGACACAACTCGAGGGGCTCTTTCATCCTGGGTACTCACCATAACCTATATAAAGATCAGTAAAACAGTCGTACTCAAATAATAGCCTTCAGTCACACCTCAAAAAGACCTAGAAACCAGACCGCCAGTACCGTGCTATCATCCTTACAATTTTCGGGATCGGCTAGTAAGCTTCGAACGACAGATAAGGCTTCATAATGGGCATTAACAGGTCTAGAAGCAGAAGCGATTTCATTTCCTAGTCTTTTGGCGTGATATGCGCACCCAATCGCTTTATAGGCAAGATAAAGCGCCGAGTTACTATCGACTTTATCAAGCGAGGAAGAAATGAACTCCGGTAAAGTTTGAGATTGTCCGTTGATCATACCAAAAGAGAATCGGTATATAGTTAGCGGGAGCAGGTAATCATTCCAGGAGTCAGAGAGTGATGACCATGGCGAAGAATAAGGTCGTTGGGCCTGAGTGGCCTGGATGGATGTGTTGAGGTAATTGCAAAACTCTCTCCACGACCGAGTGATATCTGCGTCATCCACGATACTGGCCACCACACAGGAAGCCTCCGGTAGGGTTCGCGGTGGAGATGGTTGACTGCTCCCTTCTCTGGCACCCAGTCGACGACGGCTTCTTGACATGTTGTTTTGATATGATGCCACGCTTTGGACATGGAAGAGAACATCTAAATCATCTCTATACCCGGGGCATTTCATTTGTCGCCGTTGACATTGTCGACACTCGGGCCGTTCGAGATCGCACTACCAATTGTTTAATATTAGCCCTAGAAACGACATTAGGATATCCCAAATCAATCCGTAAGCAAACCTTAGTCCTGCGTTCTCGACATGCATGGCAGTCGCGACTGGGTCTTCCAACATTAGGCATGTTGATACAGGTGTCAGTTGTAACTCAAAAATCCGTTTTCGGTATTTATGTAATAGAATATGTAGTTTTAGCTTTCATAAGGGTTTGTATCAATTTGATTCAGTATTCCAAGTCATAATTATGCCATATCGTTGACAATTTATATGTCATATTCCCCCCTTTCAAAATTGCTTTTCTTCATAGATACCTATATGACAAGATACGTAGCACAGTGCATAGAAGACCTGCACTGTTGTTGAATTTACGCCGAAGCACGCCTTGCACATTACATTATTTGGAAGTCAATACTGAATGGTTTTCCCCTTTCAGATGCACTATCGCCACGATCAAATCAACCATGACCCGAATAAGGGATTCATTCGGTTTTAATTCTGCTGAACAGACCAACGAGAAGACACAACTGGGTAAAGGCCATTGGGACTCCTTTCTAGGCTATAAATGCAATGACGCGGTGATCTGCCTGGAGTGATTCTCATTGGATCCAACTGAATCGAGCAGGGGGAGGCTGATTTAGTGGGGTCACATCTAAATCTTTATAGTTGCACCCGAGATTACATACGTAGATTCGGTGGTTAAACATGCACTATAATTAACAGAATTACTATTATTACTGGATCAGCCTCGCTAGGTCAGGTTAGAGCGTCGTCCAGTCGGCTATTCTGGGTTGCGATTGCTCAGCTACTATCTTCAATCTCGACGGAGTTAGACAGCTCTAACGAGGTTGAAACGATAAACGCCTGTGACGAGGTGCTGAGGCTTGTGCTGCCACCTCGGCGGCCTGAAACACAGAAGAAGTGAAGTGGATCTAATTCGTTCATGTAAGACATCCACAGTTAGTTTGACTATCAATGAGGTCACAACAGCCACAGTAACGCTCATCTACTCAGTACATATGTAGAATAGTAGAAGAGGGCGAATCCGTGAACACTCTGGCCAGAGTCCTTAGCCGGGTCAGCCTTGCCGGATTGTGGCGCCACACACGGCCAGGGTCTGAGGATCTGCCAGCCAGTTGTTTTGAGAAGGTCATTCCGCCGCAATGGTGAGCTGCCTAGACCCTAGTGCTTTCCTTTGACTCATGTTAACTCATGTTGACAGCTGGGGGGTGTAAGGCCCAACGTCATCAAGACAAGCACGGCTCGCTTAAGGGTTCAGCTTAAGGGTTCAGCTGCCTTTGGGAAGTTCCCGCAAGTTACTACTCGGATGATATACATTGTCAATTTGCACGATAAACTAATGTTCTAAGAAAATAATAGTCATCATTGGTCATTAATAATAATGTTGACTGTTGGAGGTGGATATTAAGGTTTACTATATGATGACAGCCTTTGTGAAATAATTGGGTGAAGGCCCCACTAAATCCGTTATAAGATTAAAATGCCAACGTCTCTATTAATAGGTCAAGAGGATTCATATCTTGCCAGCAACAGTGTAAATTCTAAATAATAAAGGTAAATCAGCAGGAGGAAGACCACAACCAGATCACTAATCACGTGTCATAATGATCCTTCACAAGTTCGATGTCTGTCAGGCGCCCCAGGCGCTCTTCAGGTGGCGAATACATACCTCAAAGGCCCAATAAGAATGGTTTATTGCCCCGCATACGGCCGAACTACAGGAGCTGAAGCGATGCATATTGCAAAGCTGCGCACTGATGTTGGGAAATCCGATTCGCTGCCTAGAATTAAGCGGACATGGATGCTGGGCCAGTCATCTGCGATTTTCCGTCAATTGATCGTTTCTTCAACCAACGCACTTCGTATTTGGAATCAATATCATATTCATAACAGTATGTAATCAGCTTAATTATATGTGCTCTTGGCAGGCTAGATCTTACTCAGCCCACGTTAAGGTTCTCATCGGATCAATCCGAGTGCCTGTTGGGTCTTCTGGTGAAGATAGACTGAACGACCTGAAACGATCGACGCGAGAGGAAGAAGAAAAGACCGTGGTAGTGTAGCGAATAAATGTTTGTGTGTGCTTATTATGTATGGACGGGGCCCTGTCGGCCAAAAATAAGGGGCGGGTGCCGATCCGGGCGGGAGTGGAGTCCCACTGCTACCCGACCCCCTGATTATTCGTCTCAACTGCCAAGTTTAACATGTTCGCACTTCGCAAAGACTCCCAAGAGTGCATTGTGGTCCCAGCTCATTTCTATCCCTTTCGGATTCGCCATTACCTCTTTCATCGGCATCATCGCGTCATCTTCCTCGACTGTTATCTTTGGCACTACCATCTGGAATCCGCCGGAACTGCTGTCTCAGTTCCTTGTCGGCGCAAGCTCTGGTGAGCGGTTCGGCATTTTCATTATTGCTAGCGGCTTCACGCTGGCCCAACTGGGAACAAATATTGCTGCAAACTCGGTTTCTGCTGGCACCGACATGACGGCACTGCTACCGCGTTTTCTCAACATCCGTCGTGGAGGGTATATCTGCAAGTACCCGTAAGGTTTGTTGTATAATAGCTCAATCGATCATTACCTGTGCGGATGCCAACAACCTCACCATCAACAGCGCCTTTGGAAGGCTGGCAGTTTGATGACAATTCACGCTCATCATGGGACATACTGTGGACTTGTCTTTCAGCCATCCTTGCCTGTACCTGGACAGCTCTGCATCTATCAGTCCCAAAGAACCGCCAGCCAGAATGGAGAGCCTTTACCCAGAAAGTGCTAATCTGGCTATTCGTCGTCGTATACCCCGAGTTGACATTGGTGAATGAAGCAGTAAGCCAGTTTTTCTTGGCCCAGAAAACGCTTACAAACTTCGAGTCTGCCCAAGAGGAGATTGACCAAGGAGCGGTGCCTCCTTCATCAGTACTAGGAGAGCCCGAATGGAGTCCCGAGTCATGGTCTCTAACCCATGCTTTCTGTGTGAATATGAGGGGGCTCGCCTTGCAAACCAAAGATAAACGAACATATGTAGTCGAATCCAGGCATGTTCGGATTCTTCTCAAAGCTGGGATCATCAATTATTCTCTTTTCGACAAACGAGACATTGACGACCGATCCAAAGTAGATTCCCTTGCAAAAGTTTTTAGTCTTATCCAAAGTATCTACACAACTGTCAACTTATTGTCCAGAGTTGCATATCACCTACCAATCACGCCGCTTGAAATCACGACTTTAGCCTTTCTATTTTGCCCTTTCATTTCATATGCCTTTTGGTGGAAGAAACCAAAGGATATGAGTGCGCCAATTCTCATTCATTTACCATATAACCATGATAGTGATGAGATGGCCTCAGAGCTTCGAGATCTTTTGACCGACAACAGAGAGGGTTGGATTTCTTACAAACCACATTCCGATGAGCGGGAAGCGTGGGTGCTATGGAAACTGCTCTTGATAATATGCAAATCCCCTATTCGGACATGGAATATATTTCAAGGTCAAAGGATACGGCGACAAGACAGACTACAGCAAGAAACAGCACGAAAAATAGAGAATATACCTTCACGCGAAATAGTATCCTTGCGTAAAGAACTCTTGGGCAACTTGTGTGTTTTACTGGCCTCACTGGCCTTTTCCGCCATCCATATTGCAGCGTGAGCCCTTTCTTTCCAACTCCTTTCATTCCTCTTCTGTTCCCCGCGCTAATTTTAGATGACGCTTTCTTTTAGCTGGAACTCTAGCTTTCCCACACCAGCTGAGAGACTGGCTTGGAGAGTGCTCTCAGTGATTTCCATTTGTTTATGCTTACCTATGTTTCTGGTGATGCAGATGCCGTTCCTGAGGGGGTGGCTGGCAAGCTTTCAATTACCAGGCCTACCAAGCTTTGACAATCCATATCCCGATGAAACAAAACCCGAGATTGTGGTTTTAGTTATTTTACTCTTTACATACGCGCTTGCTAGAATAGGGACCTTTGTGCTCATGATTATGTCGCTGAGAGCTCTCCCAGCAGGCTCTTATGTATCTATTGACTGGCTAAAATCCATTCCACACATATAAAAGTACTTTGATGCTGCTCTTGATTTCCGCTAATTTATCCATTCTTCTGGAGTCAAGTAAAAAGGTATTAGTATTGATCCTTTCAAAGTAATATCACATTAAAGCCCACACAAGAAAAGATGTAACAAACGAAATTAATAGTACAGCCCAACACGCTAAACCGCCCAAATCAAAAGAATGTCTAATTATGGTAATAGAAATAGCATTAAGGTGAATAGGAAATGAGTGTCAGCATATATATATATATTATTAACCGCGACCCTCGTATGTACTCTATCAGCCAGTCCCCCGACTACTCCCGCGACTACTGTTACCGCCTGAATTTGGGCCGTGCGCGAGTCTTGTAGTGATGGGTGATATTCTTGTCTCAACATCGACATCGGGCAGAACTGGGACTTCGTTTGCTGCTTCTAGACTTGTTGCCGAGTTGCCATGAGATGGAATTCGCACATTACGCCATTCCATGAGAAGCGTCGATGCAAATGCAATACCGGCGAGGGGGATTGCTGCAGTGAATACTTTTTGTAAAGCTATGTTGTAGACATCTATCATCGCTGGGAGAGAGTCTGCAGGGACGGTGGAGCGGAATTGTGTAGCTCCGGCCGATAAGACAATTCCAATATCTACCCCTGGTAGCTCGTTGGCTTGGCTCGCACTGCGAAGCTCGTTCGCGAGAATGCTATTGCCAATTGAGATAAAAACTGCTCCGCCAAGGCTTTGGAAGCAGGTGACTGCTGCCGTTGCAATGGGAATTTGATCCAGACGAAGAACACTTTGCACTGCAGTAAAACTTTGCTGAATTGCCATGCCGACACCAGCAGCTACAAAGCAGATAAAGCCGGCCCATTTCACTGTATCAGTTGCGGGTTGGAGAGTACTGATCAGTCCAGACCCAGCAACGGTAATGGCACAGCCGACGATAGCCGGAGGAGCGAAGTACCCAACTTTGGTGATGAAAATACCGGTAAGTAAACCAAATATAGCGTTCGGAAGAACGTATGCTAGCATACTGACACCGGAACTTTCCGTAGATGTGCCTTGAATGGCTTGAAACCAAATGGGCAAGTAGTATCCATGTAGTATTAGAACAGCATAGATAAAAAATGCAAGAAGACATGCCGCAGCAACCGTTCGTTGAATAAGAACATTTGGCACTATAAGGGCCCGTTCTTGACGATGCCATTGCCAAGCAACGAAAATCAAAAGAGTGACCCCAAAACCACAAAATAGACCGATTACAAGTGCACTTGACAACTCATATCCCTGTGTGTTGTACTCGAGGGCCAGGAAGAGCATGGTGAAAGATATTAGGACTAGGGCACTGCCGAGAATATCGACCTGCCTCATGCGCTGGATAAAGCTTGTTTTATGAAGAGGTGCGCTTCCTCGTTTGAAAAAGAAGGCAATGACAATCAATGTGACACTACCCACTGGGAGATTAAAGTAGAAACTGGAAGAGTTAGCATTATTCAGTTCATGAATAGGGTCTCTCTACTTACCACCACCGCCAGGTCACCATTCCAGCAAAAACCCCTCCGAGAACGGGGCCGGCAGCAGCTCCAGCGCCATACATCACCCCAATTGCTGCAGTATAGATCGGTCGCTTCTCTAACGGTACAGCAAATGCTATTACGACAAATCCACCGGTGAGAATTCCTGCACTACCCCAGCCTGCAATCGCTCTGCCTATAATAAGAGTCGTCGAATTTGGGGCAACCGCACAGATTAAGCTGCCCAGTTCGAAAAGAGCAACCGCATGGAGAAATGTCCATTTCACATTAAACAATGTGTACATTCTACCGTATGTCGGCTGTAGTGCACAGGCCGTAACGAGATATGATGAGCCATACCAGCCTACGGCTGAGGTAGATTTGAACTCATTTGTAATTGCAGGAATAGCCTAGAGACTTTGTGAGTTTTGCGTTGCGGCATATGATACCATACGTACCGTCGTGATAATGGTCCTATCTAGAGACACCAGCAATACGGCGAGACAGAGCCCAAGAACCACCAAAAATAATGCCGATGCGCTCAGAGACTCAGGCTTGGTAATTTCGTCATCCTCCTCCACTTCCTTAGACATAGGTGACGTCTTGTTCTTCTCTACGGTGGCGTTGGTGGTGACGAGTGCCGTAGTCAATGGTTCTGCAGCTTGTGAATTCTCAATATTCACCGCTTCGTTTTCCATGCCAGGTTCCTCTTTATTCTCGTCAAAGTTTGGAATTGACTCAAAATCATCCTCAATCTTGGAGTCTCTCTTTGAATCTTCTTTCTTTTCATCAGCCTGCTCTGTCATTGTGTGCTCTTCGAGCGCATCGGCGAACTGCTCATCCTCTTCTAAGGAGCTTTCTTCTCCATGAGATTCGAATACTGGTGACAAGGGAAGAGAGATGTTAGCCGCGTTGGCGACATGGCTAGAGGAAGGTTTTTCTAGCGGCATAATTTTCTGATCAACCTAGCCCCATAGGTACGATAATGATGTGAGATATAATCAACCGGTCAGACTATGCGTTGGATAGTTGGGGGTCTAAGAGCTGGGTTAACTAGCACCATTAGAAAGAAAAAAACAAAAAGACCTAGGTTGGTTCTTGGAAAACACAGCTAGGGAAGCAATATCAATAGCACGGGTGCCTAGACACAATGCGCCCTGTGCTCCTTCGTGTGGAGCTGCGTGTAATGAAGGTGAATGCACATTATAGGCAGCCGTATGACAGCACCAGAAAATAGATGGGCGCATTTTGCAGGATTAGTGTATCCACCAAGGACGTGATCGGTCATCCACTTCATTTTCCCCTTTACTAGCAGTGATAGATGGGAAGTTCAGAACGAGTGGTGTGATGCTAGGGACAAAAGTAGGCACATGGCTAGTTTAGGGCCCTCTGATGGTTATGGGTCCCATTTCCTCGACCGTATATCCGGCACGAATCGTCATTCCATGCAGATCTAGAGCACACAGCTTTGTACTAGACCACAAACTTATTTTGAAGACCCGATTCTGGTTGACCGCAATGGCGTATGAGCTTTCTGTCGGTCTAGATTCAGCTGAGTCGAGGTTCTACAAATGAACGACTCCATGGCTGCATTTGACAGCTAGCCATTTTACCTGCAAAAGTACGAATAGGCTGAGGCGTAAAAAAGAAACGTCACTTTGGAGCTGGTAATCCACATTGGCCTGGCAAGCACCCTAGAAGCGATTTAGTAGAAGCAAACCAAAGGGGCACGAATCAAGGTACGTGGGGATGAGCGGTGTCATCCGGGAGATTATGATCTGATTCGGGTTGGCGATAGGGGCAAGCAAGCCTTGATGCATGGAAAGCAATCAGTGAACTGGCAGCGCAAAAACCCACATGCAGGTCCTTGCGATGAAGGATGGCAATAGGAAGAAGGAAGGAGGAAGTTGTGATAGTCTCATAATAACCCACCACCCCTCGCATCTGACAGGTGGGACTGTCAGGTTACGCGTCCTTACCGTAACGACAACCCGTATTAAATACCGGAGCTTGCTTCCGCTTTGATCTATGATATCTTTTCCTTTCGCCATCATGCAGGAACACCGCTTCATGAGGAACGCTTTTTATTGATACACCGTGCAGCAGTAACGACTATTGGATGCTGATAAGATCTGCAGCTCCTCATTGAAAGTCAAACTCTCTTCCACTCGTGGCTCACACTCCTACAAGATGGCGCATGCAAGGACAGCACAGAAATGACGCTTTTCTTTTGTTTTGATCTCGCTCACCAAAGACTCTGGCGGTCGAGACAGACGCGCGCCACCAGAAAGGCGGCTAATTCCTCGGAAATTGCGCTGCACAGGAGTCGTGCGCTCCTGGCGCATATTTCATATTATGGCTTATTGTTTATCCCGTATCTTTTCCAGAAATGTGGCTCCAGATACACGTCGCAAGACCAAATAGGGCCGAGTGAGAAATCATGATAGTTTTATTGCTTGCATTTTCCAGATCCATTTGACAATAATGATGTGATCCCTGGCCAATCCCTAGCATTCACCGCTCGGTGTCTTCCTTTTAGCTTCCGACATCGTTCAGCATCATCTTTAGAGTCCACACAATATCAGTTATAGGAAATTAAGAATCTTACTCCTAGTATTTCTCTTGCTGATGTGTTTCTGAGATCTCTGCTTGGGACCTCCAACGCTGTTAGGGACGATTTCCTTAGAATAGCATCAGAATGGCTTTGAACTCGGAGCCTTTTCATCTGGTCGAGTTTTGGATTCCCTTCTCATGGTCACTAGTGTGGAAAGTGCTTGTGACGATATTTTTGTTAAGCAACTTCAAGAGTCTCCCATTCGCATGGCATGTAAGTTCTAAGACTTGAGTTCCTCCACCAAATATACCTTAGCCTCTGTTCGCTCATCGAAAAATGGTAGATTCGTCTACTCCGAGGATATCGCTGGCTACTACGATCCAACAGACCCAAAGATGGACCTTCTCCAGCTAAGCTATTCCAACCGATGATACTTTCATCCGGAAACTCCCTTGGTGAACTTGATTACAACTTGCACAGTCTGTTCTCATTCCCGCCTATCCCCATCTCCCTAAAAGCATAGTCTAACACAAAGACAGAGTCAAATAGCACATACTTTGCCGATCTAGACATTGCTCGCGCCCATCTGATGTGTACCCTCTTTTCAAGTGGCGTCGACTACGCCCGCAACGCGCGTAAACGAACCGGGATTCTGGGCGTCTCAGACGACCTTATCGGCCTGGCGCTTGGCGCAGTAAGTTGTACTTTCCGAAAAGAAGTGAAGCCCTTTCAAAGCTACGAAATTTGGACTCGTGTACTCTCCTGGGATGAGAAATGGATGTACACAGTTACCCACTTCGTTCGCAAGGACACACATCGGCCACGCAGCTTTACGCTATTGCCGCCAAACTACTACAGTCCGCGACAGGGAAAACTCAACGATCTAGCGAGAAAGGAAGATGCAATATTTGCATCAGCCTTAAGTAAATGTGTCTGGAAAAAAGGCCGCCGGACTGTTTCACCTGAAATTATGCTGCAAGTCTCTGGGCTTCTGCCACCGCGACCAGGACAAGAAGATTTGGTCACCAGTTTGCGCAACGAACCGCTTGAGAAGCTCACTGTTTCCAAAAAATTTGAAGAATACTACGATTTGCCCTTCAAGCTCGTTGCAAACATTGAAAATACCTGGGATATGCTCAAGGACAAATTTTCGCTGGAGACAACACAGAATATCGAAGAGGAGGAAGGCCGTATTCGTAACGGTAAGACTCAAACGCAATCACAGCAAGACTGCCAACGTGCCCGAAATTCTAGAGGCGAGGAATGGACTTGGGAAAGAGTGGAGCAAGAGCGTCTACGCGGCATGGATATCGCCAGGAGCCTGGCGGAAATGGATCGGCTGCATGGTGAGTTCACCGCTGATACGGACGCCTTGTCTTTGCGGCAGGATCTGTGGTGATGTAGTGCATGCTGTTCTGTATGCACTGATAATCAACTTGAACTTTACGGTGGATTGAACAAAGACTCGTTATTATTCAGAGGATTAGTCGATTTTGTATGAAGCGGCCTTGCATTAACACCTCTGTAATTCATGCATTAGAGTTAACTCAAATAGACACATTCTTGCGTTTTCTATTATAAGTTAAGGTTTTAAGATGGTGCGTTATCTACAGTAAATGAAAACACGGTCAACCCGCGCTATTGATAAGGCAGTAGCTCAAAGATGTCGAATTCTGGGTCACATTCACATTCATTATGACATATCACATGCCAATAGCACTGATCCACTCTATGCTGTCAGCTTCAAGCATCAATTGATAGGTAAATGATATCCGAAGGATCTCCGAAAGGACATAAGCGCCTCGAGGATGACTGCTCTAACAATGTTGTGGCGGAACTGTCGGTGGCTGTAGTACGCGTTCTTGAACCTTCTTTTCCGGATTTCTTCAGTTAAACCTTTCTGATCAGCTTGGCATTCTTTAAACTCTATATCTTGATGTAAGAATTGCTTGAGTGTGATCAGTCGACGATGAGAGCAGAGACCGAGAAATTGTGGTGGTAGCGATTAGCATGATGATAACAATTTATGCTAACGTATTTTTACCTTTTTTTCAGAGAGACATTTGAATTTCTTGCAATGTCTTAGTCGTTTGCGCAAGTCCTATAGCAAGAGTTTTAGATTAGAGCATTTGAAGCTTGGTGAAGCGAATGGATTTGTAGTTCACTAAAGAATGTGCAACCTATACAAGGCTTTATTACAACCTCAGCTGCGTCATGGTACAAATAAGAATGACCGTTCAGCGAGGAATTTTCAGGATGAACAACGAATTAAAAAAGAGAAAAGGCCCCCGAATATGGCCCCGTCGGACCCTCAAGTATAACTTATCCACATCATCCCAGCCATCTAATCATGAGATACAGCCCACTGGCCCTTGGAACTGTGTTCAACCGAGTCCATGCTGGCATGGCCCAAGCGACTCCGGGCAGACTTTAGAGTTTCGGCGGCACGACCAGTCGCGGTGATTGCTTGGTCTGCCTTGATACCTAGATTCTTGCGGCTCTTACCACTGGGCTTGCGGTATGTGGCAATATAAAATGAAATGAAGAGAACTAGGTAAGAGCTGAGGGTAACACATCCTGTGATGGCGGCAAAAAGATCGCCCTCACATCGGCCGATATGAAGACCATCGAGACCCCATTCGTCAGCATGGAAATCCCATGTTGCGAAGTAAACAAAGCCTGTCAAAATTAGTGCAACTCTATGAAATCACTTGAGAGAAGCCTACCTAGGTCTAGAACGAATTGAATGATTTGAAGGCGAGTGATCCACTCCTTCCACGTGACGCGAACACCGCGAGCACTTTGGAAGTAGTACCAGTACATGACCACGTGCACAGTCAAATTCAAAGTAATCGGTACCCAAGATACTGGGGTTCTGCCAACAAGTTGAGTCCAGCATAGGAATGCCGTTGCTCCGTGGTGATATGTGTGTAAGAAGGCTGTTAGGGTTAGTCAGCATTCGCGAGAAAATGCAGCGAAATGGGTACATACTCAAAGGCTTTTTCTTCAAGATAAGGAAGACGGTGTCGAGAAGCTCCACGTATTTGGTAAGGTAGTTCAGCTACTCACATCGTCAGTAATCTACCTCCAGCGATGAGAGGTAATACGTACGTAGTATAGGATAACCAATTTATCAGTCCAGCCAGGAGCACTGCAGATGCAGTTGTAAAGACCATGATTCCACAGAGAAGGAATGAGCTGCTCGAGGAATAACACAAGCAATGCTCCACTGACGGCGGTCAATATGAAATTGTGGATCTTGAACAACGTCGACAACTTGAATGGGTCTCGATTCTTCATAGTCCTCCACCCAGTATAGATGGTAACGTAGTAGAAGGCAATCATGAGCCCTGTTTCTGTGAAAGTACTCATGGGGGTCTGGCCCTGCTTGAACTTAAACTGATCAGCTGGATAGCCCATGACCGAAGTAAATGCTTGATCGAAAAGCGACCAGGGTGAGGCCACCGTGAGCAGGACTGGCCCATAAAACGCATCCATGGTTGATCCTGACATTGTGGATGGTAGACTAGGAATAATGAACGAAAGCAGGTTATCAGATAAGAATATCTAACGATAGTGGAATAGGTTGGGTGGCAAGCAATTTGGTCCTGTTATCTCACAGTCGTCAGTACAGATGACCTGCAAACCAAACAGTCGACGGGGGCAAAGAAGAAAAGGACAGAGGGAGAGCAAGCTCATGGTCGAGCAGACAAGATATATAGACGACAAGCAAGAACTGATCGAGCAGCTGCAGACGAAGGGGCAGCCAGAGAATGACTGTTCCCACAACGACGCCCTACGAGCCCCACTGTCCTGCTGCTGGTCTGATCGAGTCGATGCATCTCACTGGCTGGCCGTGGATGAAGCAATCGAGCAATAGGAATGGGAATGGGGGATTACCTTGCAGGCGAGGACTGTAGGGCCCTGCAAAAGGAAATGAGGTGTCGGAAGGAGGCGAGAGCGTGAAGAGTACTCGAGGAGACGAAAGCAAACAGGAGTAGGAGAGAAGGCGAGCAGCGCTGAGGAAGGAAGGCGGGCGGGTCTTTCCTGGCCTGGAGAGAATCGATAGTGCAACCTGCCCTTCATGCAGTAGATAGGTCGGGCTATTCAGCTTGCGACACCCGTCCTCGCGTGCGACATTAGCAAGATAGAAATTTAGATTGCTTGACAACTGCCATCTCACGTCTCGTTGTTGACAGCGTAGCACAGCGGAGTAAAGAGACGGCAGACCGGCATCAGACGCGTCTGTAATCAATTTTAGATCGGCTGCTGCGCTGAGATCGTGGACTGACGCCATGGATCGCTGGGCACCTGAGATCATGCAAGGACGAATGCTAATAGTCGTAGTCATAACAACAACAGTAGCCCTAATCCAAGGAAAATAGTCGCGATAGCCGATGGCCGATGGCCGCTGCTAAGGCTTGGCTCACCGCCTTATGACTCAGCAGCTTCCTCGTTAACTGACTAGTTATTATCAGCTGGAAGGGAAGGAAGGTGCGACTATGGACAGCTGCCCGATGCGGAAGGTGCGACGTCTGAGACAGGAAGCTGCCAGTGGGGCCGGTAAATTACCGTCACAACCGAACAAGGTTTGACAGCGAAACAGGCGTACGATACCTCACATTTCACTATCTTCCACACACTATGTAGCCCTTCCTTACAGCAGGCTCGGCAGACCAGATATAGTATTGACTCGATGCAGCGGCACCATTGGCTTTGCTTTGCAACGTCCAATTCAGCGTCGCCCCTGAAGGGAGATGACGTGTGATCCACCAGACCATTTGGCTCGCCTACCAAGGAGACTCTACCCCTGTGCATGTGAGGGCCAGGGCTCTGGCGAGAAAAGAGTGCAGCGACGAGTCCTGGGAATATAACTAGCAACGGTCTTGTCTTGCCCTCAGAGCGAGGCTTGTGTTGTTGCTGGTAAACAATTGACGTCCATCATGGCGACACAGCAAGTTCCCCCCAGCATGGCCCCGTTCAAGCCGCGGTTTATGCCATTGATGATTGCTTCAACTCTCCTCTCGGGTGTTGTGTCAAGAATGTCATCACTAAGCACAGCAGCTGCCCTGGCGCTGATGTATTGCCTTGCTGTTCCTGCCTATGTCGTCTACTGGTCTTGGATCTACCCCTATTACGTGTCTCCGCTTCGCCACGTTCCCACTGTGCCGGGTAACCCTCTCTATGGCCAGCTGTTTGACATCATTGAAAATGAAGTGGGTGTCTGCCAACGTGAATGGCACAAGCAGTACGGTCCTATCGTTCGCTACTTTTTTCCCTTGGGCACGGAACGCCTTTCCATTGCCGATGACGATGCCCTGAAGCAGATGACAGTCAAGAACCCTTACAACTACCCTAAACCCGTCGGTGCACGCAAGTGGATGACCCGTATTCTGGGCGAGGGCATCCTTTTAGCCGAGGGCACCGCTCATGTTCACCAACGCAAGGCTCTCACCCCGGGCTTCTCCATCGGATCCATCCGTACATTGACTCCAATCTTCTGGCGGAAGTCTTTTCTCATGGCCAGGCTGTGGGACCAAGAGATCTCCCTGTCTAAAAACAAAAGAACTGGGACTTTCGAAGCCTTGGAATGGCTCAATCGTGCCACCCTCGATATCATCACTGAAGCCGGCTTCGGCACCGAAGTCAATTCTTTGGAGTTCCCTGAAACTCCCTTGCGAGAGGCTTACCGCAAAGTTTTCGTTTTTGATGGCCTATCTCGCATGATGCATGGTCTACAGACTCTTTTCCCTTTAACCAAGTATATCCCAGCGAAAATGAATCGTGATATGGAAGCATCTCGTAACATCATCTTGGGCTCAGCCACGAAGATCATCAAGGAAAAGCAGGCTTCTGCAAACCCCGCCGACAAGGACATCCTCGCTCTGCTTGTACGGGATAATCTAAAACTCCAAGCTGCTGGTGAGGCCGGGCTTTCCTTCGAAACAATGCGTGATCAAGTCATGACCTTCCTCGGAGCAGGTCACGATACGACCGCAACCGGTGTCACTTGGACATTGCATCTTCTCTCCAAGCATATCGAGATTCAAACTAAGCTGCGCGAAGAAATTCGTAAACACTATCCTTTTCTTTTTGACTCCGAAACCAGAGAAAAATTCGACACCAGCACTATCGACCCGGATCATTTGCCCTACATGGACAATGTTTGCCGTGAATCACTCCGGTATATCCCTCCTATTCCAATGACTGTGCGCGAGCTGGTCGCCGATGATAAACTCGGCGAATACATGGTTCCGAAAGGCACAACCGTGCTAGTTTATTCCAACGCTATCAATCGTCTGCCTGAATACTGGGGTCCAACTGCCGACAAATTCGACCCTGATCGTTGGGACAAGTTACCCGAATCATACACTACCAATGCCTTCATGACCTTTCTTCAAGGTCCGCGCGGCTGCATTGGTCGCAAATTTGCCGAAACTGAGATGAAAATCCTCCTTTGCGTGCTGCTCAGCCAGTATACGTTTGCGCGGGACGAGTCAGTGCAGGATCCTGAGGAGTTGAAGATGTGGCGGCTGGTGTTGCGGCCGCGAGATGGAGTGCAGTTGAAGGTTACAAAACTGTGAAATAAATTGGTCTTTATTCTCATTTGTGATTTATCTACTCTACCTTGTTGTTTCTCTTTTCATTAAGTATTTTTATATTTAACAGGATTTTACTACAAGATGAGATAACATTTTCCATCCATTCAACGATTGAATGATAAATTTAAGAGAAATTATAGATAGTCCAAGTAAATTAAATTATAATTTTTTTATTAAATTAGTTGTTTTCCGTTTCGTATCTCGTATGATTCATCAATTTTATTATATTTGACATATCAATTGATGTTGTTAATTACATCCACTCTGCGATGATCATGTTCACTTAATAGCTGGTATGTGAATACTGGTAACGTTAACTGTTCTCGTACCGAATATTTGAATATATATATATTATTATCTCGCAAAAACTATCGAAGATGAAGGTATAAGACGAAGGAAATCAAAGTATTTGAAACAGGCGATATCAGAAAGAATCCGCGGTCGGATTGTGTCGATGGAATGCGGGTAACCCGCGTCTTCATAAATCAGTGAGCAAGCATAGGAGGGGGTATCACTCTGGTTTGAGATGGTGAAATGGAAAGATCAGACTTGGAAGACGAACAAAACAAGGAATAAAGTAGGTTGTTGTTTCGAAAGACAAAGGAAAGGATTGGAAGGGGGTTTAGGAAAGACAGAAGTGAAGCAAATAAAGACGAGATTAGAAGTTATGAATATAGGTAATTAAGTTCGTTCAAGCGTCTGGATCTTCGAACCGCATTTAGTCATCTTCCATATATATTATGTTATTTTAACGGCCGTATCGAATGCGTTGTAGGATTTGTATACTGAAGCAAGCTAAACTCCTCTCTTGCGGTGACGGTGGACTTTATACTCGGCTCGCGCGACTCGCATGAATAGCTCAATGTCTTTGATAGGCACCCAACTTGTAAGTACTTTCATTGCGTTCTCAAAATCAGATTCGAGGACAATGTCGCGCATCCCGTCGATTAGAGCGGCAGAAGTTGCGTGTAGCACATCTAGTCCCTTGCCGAAAGAACTGGTCGGCTGAACTGGCTGGGGTTTAGAAGTGTGGGCGCCGTTTGCGCTCGCTTTTGTGGACTCTTCTGGATCGCCGAGGAGAATGAAGACATCCCAGACACGCAATTGTGCTGGGAATGGTATTGAGTAGTTGAAAAGGGTCAGGTACCATCGTGTTCCATACGATGTAGGTGGAATGCACAGTTCGTTCTATCAGAGAAATCAGCCAGGTTCATTTTAATACACCATGTGTAAAAACTTACCAACTTGCCGGCGACTTCACCATTTCCTAACCACTCCTTCTCGAAGTCACCTAGAGCTTCCATCAAACCGGCAAATCCTTCTTTATATAGTTTTTCGAGCCCTCGCAACATCCACAAACGAGCTAGCATGACAAAAGCATTTTCCTCGTCATAGTAAGCTAACAGTGTTGCAGTAAGTGCTGCCATACCCTGAACATAGCCCGTGTCTGGAAAATATAGTGACATGGCGTGCAGAACACGGAACAAGAGCCGCTGTCCACCGCGATATCGTCGGCGAAACATGATGTGACTGCTGATCGTACGCGGGACATCAATATCAATCTGAACGTCATCTGGCGATGATACGTTCTGGTACTCATGAAACGACCGGATAAGCTCACCCGCTGTTGGGCTTCCCTTTTTCTTTCTAGCGCTGGAATCCAAGAAGGCATACCACGCGGAGGCCCTCCAACTATCGGGAATACCCTTCCACGTGCGCTCGATCAGTTTCGCACTGCTGGTATCAAATTCGAAGGTCATTCCACTGCCATCCTGTGTCTTCTTGGTTGGCTTCGCCATCTTCATCCACTTCTCTTCGCGTTCCCATTCCTTCTTCTTCATTGCCTGACTTACTGGCATTTCTTCACGGGCTTCTGGAATTTCGAACGGAAGTGTCAGCATATCTCCAGCCTCGTCTCTGATCCGACGATCCTTATTGTAAGGGAGCCTGTTTGTCGCGTAGCGAAATTTAGATGGTGATCGTTTGAGTGAGGGACTGTATGCACTTTGTGATGAACTCGGCCGGTTCGAAGACTCGGAAATCTTGCGCTCTCGAGTAGGTGACTTGCTTGCGAGAGACCTGCTGCTGCTCTTTTGCATCGATATCGAGCGCCTAAAAGTGTTTTTTCGTCGCGGTGTTTCAGTTGCTAGAAGCAGGCTTGTGGACACTCTCTGAATCGGATGTGGTTCGGCACAGTCACCATCTTTTGTTCGTGGTACAATGAATCCATATCTGTCAACGTCGGCTGCATTAACGTCATTCCAGTCTTCGATTCCGCCAGCAAGTTCCTTCGACTCGCGCTTAAAAGCGCCATTAGCTCCAGTGGATGCGATACTTCTGAGATCCGCTGTCGATCCATTCACTTCGGGAAGCTGATCCACCTCACCCTCTTCGACAGGCGTTGGTTCTTCCCATAAGATACCATTTTCCTCTGCGATCGATTGGGTAATTTCAGCATCAGTTACATTATCTTCGCCTTTTTCGTACATTAACCTGACACGCCGCGATAGCATGTCCTCATCCGCTGACACAGCTCGAGTACTGAAGATCGAGTGTCTTGGGCGCAGAGTGTTCGACATTCGTTTGCGTGGGGAATTTGTTTGAGGTAGAATAGAAGACTCAGTGCTGAGAGCTGAAATGGAAGAGGTGGATTTCTTCTCGTTCAGCAAACTTCCCCGCTTGGAGAACTCCAATGTATCTAAAGCCAGGTCTTCGAAATTCGTCGAGGGAATGTTCATCTTAATGCCTTCAAAGGGAGCTTCTTCCTCTGTCGCAGGGCCAGGTGACGTTTTTGCCCGTACGGACTCGGTCGATTTACGACCTCTCAGCACCCCCCATCGCCGCTCTGACCATCGTGAACTAGGGCGAGACGATTCATCTACCACTATACTCGGGATACTCCGCGGAGATTTTAGACTGCGTTGTTCATCGGACGGCAGGGTGGTCCGGCTGCTTTTATTCCGTAGGCTCATTAAGCGCGGCGTGTCCTCATTATTTGTAGACAAGTGATCATCTAACGGCGGTTCTGCGATATCGTCTGCTTGGTAAGGGGCCGGTTCGGCTACTTGCGACTGCGACTCGATTCCTTCGGTGTTGGCGCCGGGGTTGGTGTCTGCATCTTCTATGCGCTTGGGGGTAGTTACAGTCTTGATATGAATGGGCGCGGTAGACGCTACAGTCTCGTCGAATGCGACGACGCGCACAGGGGAGAGCGGTTCCGGCATGTTGTCTTCAATACTGTGAGAATAGCAGCGATATCATCCTTTTTTGTATATTTTATTTTTGCTCGGCGACAAGCCCAATTGTTGTCGGGAAAGCTGTGTAGGTTGCGCGACCAGTTCTCGACATGCGACGGCGAAACACGACGTACATGCACAGGCCAAGGGTCAGCGAGACGAAATACACGAGCTCTGCCGGCAGGAAAGAAAGCGATCACAGGAGAAAATCAGCGATGAGATGATCGGACTGTGGAGCCGGGGCTGGGTGGACGACTTGACTTGCAGAGGACCTGCTTCATTCCACAGCCCGCCAGACTCAGGGAGGATCTCGATGCGGATCAATGGGCGCGAAACGAGGGGTCCCAGGGTCGTCCAGCCCTTGATTGCTTGTCGTTCTGGAAGAGAGCCTCCTACGCGAGGATGGAGAGCAATAAAGCGATACTGTGCAGGAAACACCATGAAGGAGCTCGGTAATAACTAAATTATTAGTGTTAAGTATGTCGAAAGGGGGAGCCCCACGGCGCCGCAACAGCCAATGGGAAGGGAGCCCGGCCAGCCCTGCCCGCGATGATCGCTGTGGGCAGGCTCGGCATGTATCGCGCCGGAGGGTTTGTTTTAAGGCCACTGCTTCCACGACTCTATCCTGCTGTCCAGCATTAAACAACGCTGACACAGACAAAAAGCGAGAAGAAACAGTAAGAGAGAAAGATAGAAAGAAAGAGCAACGGCAGATGCTAAACCCTTCTGGGCAGACTCGACCTAGAGTCATTCTTTGCTCATCGCACACGTCACTTTCTTTCTCTCTCTCTTTCTCTCGTTCCGTCTTTCTGTCTTGCTCGTAGCATTGAACGGCAGCACGGGAAAGAGTTCCGCTGCTGGAGATAGGGCAAAGTATACTCGTGCCCATGCCTTCAGCAAGCCGCTTTCTGCTACGGTTCCTGTAAGGGCGGAAGGATGATGGCGTGCCGTGGGAGAATCATTGGAATGTGAACCCCAAACAAAAGAAAAGGTCCGACGCGGGGCTTACGATTTGGAATAATGGAGAAGGGGGTGATGTGTATCGATATATTGGAATCCTGGTGTAGTATATGCAAAAGTTTGAGTGTAATGGCATCGTCCATTGGTAGATACATGTGCTTCCGACGCATTGCGATAGTATAGTATACCCTGCTCGGAGAAAGAATTATGGACTGGGATAGAATCATGGAAGTGACAAGACTAGAGAAACCTGCGCCAAACGCCGATAGCCAATGGATTTTCAGCGCATAACCATACAAACTCAACGCGCCATCCCTCGCAAACAACAGGTCATCTATATTCAATCATAATATCGTAAAACGAGTCCCCAAGACCCGATGACATGAGACACACACTAAACAGTGGGTATCAAAAATGAAGCATGTAAAAATAGAGAGCATCGGCGCTTACACCGCAGCAGCATTAACATTGGATCGTGATGTGGTTGCATGTTCATTAGGAAGTAGCTCGATTTGCCGAACGAGGAAAGCTTTTTCATCAGTGAATTGGTCATCATCAGTGCGGTCTTCCAGAAATTTGGGTAGAAATTTGAGGAGCCGTTCCCTGTTGTTGATGAGGATCCTCTGCACCGCGACTGACTTGTTCGGATTTGCAACGAACACCTACACCACATTGGCCCTTAGTCTATATCAACCTCCACAATTGAATTACATACCTTGAAAACGTGGAATCCTTCATACTGTACCATTTTCCGGTCGTCCCGCAGCAGGGTCATACAGGCTTTCAAATGTTCGCCACTGTCCACATACGCCGTCATAACGTTATAATTAGTTCGATCGAGCAGAATTTCTCCCAATAATTTGATACTTTGACGTTTCGTTACATAAGAGTCCGATTGAATGAGAATGTTATGGTACCGCCCGAAGAATAGGTTATAATTGGTCGTTAAATAGGTAGCCACGAGCGTCTTGTGGCGCGTCAGAAGATCCTATGCAACGACCCGATTTAGCACAAGTATATATCGTGGTCACCACGCGCGATGATGTTCTGCAATTATATCCTTACTCTGAAAATCGTAAAGGCATCAGCGCTCACTTCAAAGCTGCCTCGGTCGATCCACTCAAAGAATCTCCAAAAAATACCATCGCCCGACTGAGGTTGTTCCGCGTTGATGTCTTTCAAACGAACGGCAGCCTCGTGCTCGGCTGATTGATCATACAAAATAAGGGCTGCTATCACGTCGAATTTGACAGCCTCCTTCAAGATAGAAGCACATGACAAGGCACTCTGAGGATCATCGAAACCCCTGCAGAGTTCGATAATCACCTCTGGGCGCTGATGGACTATATAATTGATCGCAGGAGGGTCTCCGGGATTGTCGTTTGGCTTGTAGCGCAGGATATGCGTGACAATGGTCTGCGTGTCTTTGCGGGCCTCAAACGACAGCTTATGGATGCTGTGCGCCAGCTCAAAGAGCAGGTCCTCTCGAATTACTGAATCGAAAAGCGAACGCACTAAGGCCGGGGTACTGTCCATCTCTGTAGAGGCGATTAGCCTACCAGGGAAGAAAATCGCTGTCAACCTGTCACTGACCTGGGGTTCCTTGGGTGATCAATTTCATCTGAGAAAGCTGTTTGGCAATATCATCCTCTAACTATGCGATGCTTAGCACACACAAGTCCCTGGTGGGCGAGATCACGCCTACCTTGGGAGAGCTCGGGCTGTCCCACAACCTCGACAGGAGATCTTTCGCGGTCCTGGCGACTTCCGATGGAGATCTCGGTCGGGCACTGCGGTTGAAAAGGAAGGCCATTGTGGGCAATGGGGATCTTGGGCCGGGGTAATCGCATGCAATTGAAGGATATAATGAGAATATACGACGGGGTCGCCACGGAGTTATACTATGCAGGTGATGCTCGACCTGGACCAGCGTCGAGAAAACACAAACACGCGAAACAGGACGAGGCCTGAAACGGGCAGTTTGACAACAACGTAGGCGGTGAGCAAGGCGGGGTGCTGCCCGTCGCTGGGCGACGATCGACAGCGGGCGCTATCAGTAATTACTCCTCTTAGTTAGTGATAGGCGGGGCAGCTTTTTTTTTTTTTTTTTTTTTTTTTTCTCTTGTATAGACTCCTTCAGTGTCATATTACATTGCGTCCTTGCCGCCGCTTCAATCGATGTCTTCCTCTCTGCGCGATGCCATTCCAGAGCCGGACCATGCGTCCTCAGATAGCGATTCTACTTCCGACAGCCTGAGCCCCGCCAACGACGAAGGATGGGAGGACGTGGAGCCAGAAGACGATTCGCAACCCGTGGTGGGACTGTTCAGTGCAGACGTATATCCTGACGTTCGTCTGATGCTGAAGGAAACGAAGGAAAAGTACAATTTTGACCTGGTAAAGGTGCGGAAGGATCTTGGTGTGTTGTCAATTGTGTTGTTCCCAACGCTTCATCTCCCGCTTGTTCAATTGCTAATTCAATTCCAGATCTTGGCTTTCTAGACGCCATCAAACTAGTCAACTACATACGGTTGGAAGTACAAAAGGGTAACAAGAGTCCCGATGTTAGCTCAAAGTCGCTCTTTAATGACGATGCATACCTGAAGCCGGTCCTTGACGACGATGCGTTGCTCTATAGCTTGGATGACTTGGCGGATGACGGTGAAGAAGACGGCACCAATAACCAGAACACAGAAAAACGTGTCCATGACCTTGAGGAAGAGCTGGAGCTCCTTCGAGGTCAATTCGCCAATTACAGATTAGACGTGCAAAGGTCCATGAGTGAGCAGCTTCAGTCAACTGATGACTCAATGAGTGCGAAACCTGCAGTTCCCAAAACCGAGAGCAGCAGTAGGATTGAAGAGGCTGATGCAGACTACTTTACCTCATACTCCACCAATAGTGCGTTATCAATGTTATTGTTAGTTCATATTTGGCAGCCGGTAACTAAAATCTGACCTGCAGCAATCCACGAGACTATGCTCAAAGACACGATCCGCACGGACTCATACCGAGACTTCATCTATGACAATAAAGGCTTGTTCAAAGGCAAGGTGGTTCTAGACGTGGGTTGCGGCACTGGAATTTTGTCCATGTTCTGTGCAAAAGCAGGGGCCAAAACGGTCATCGCAGTAGACAATTCCAATATCATCCAAAAAGCCAGAGAGAATGTTTACAAGAACGGATTTGCAGACATAATTCAGTACGTCGATTGGGATGTTAAATTCGTCGTGTTCGTCCGCTAATTTGAATTCTAGCTGTGTTCGTGGAAAAATCGAAGAAGTCACTTTGCCAGTTCCCAAAGTCGACATCATTGTGTCGGAATGGATGGGATATGGTCTACTCTTTGAAGCAATGTTGGATTCTGTCCTTTGGGCGAGGGACCATTACTTGAACCCAGGTGGACTCATGGTACCTTCCCATACGACTCTACGGATCGCCCCATATGTGGATTCTGACTTTGTCGACTCACATGTGACATTCTGGAAATCGGTTTACGGCTTTGACATGTCCGCTATGCTTACCAATATCTACGATGAGGCTATTGTCACTACTACGAAGCCCGAACACGTCGCCGGCGATTCCGCCGTTTTCCTCCCACTTCCGCTCCACACCATAACCGTGGATGAGTTGACTTTCTTGAAGAATTTTGAGGTCACTCTCAAAGAAGACATTGATGCACTTGATGGATGGAATATTTGGTTTGACACCTTTTTCATGCCGTCTCCCTCTACAAAATTTGACAACAACGCCGTTCCGTCAGTCATGAAAAAGGAAGGGTTTGTGGCATTCACAACGGGCCCGTTCGGAACAGAGACTCACTGGCAACAATGCGTTTTGCTCGCTGATCACAGTGAGACAAAAGCCGTGCCGTTGAAAAAGGGCCAAGTCATCAAAGGTAGCATAGCCTACCGAAAGAAAGAAGAAGGGTCGCGTGCCCTGGATATTGACGTTTGCTGGAACATTGAGGGTCTTCAAGAGCGAAAGCAGACTTGGTCGTTGCAATGAGCGGAGAAAATGGGAATGCTGGTTGTGGAGTTTAATAGAATTATACGGCGTAAACTTCTCGGTAGGGTAAAAATATTCATACATTGTCTATGTTTGAAAAGGCCGTTGTCTAGGGCAGAGCAGTAGAAGCCAGTGTAGCTTCCAAAACGTCATAATAATAGATCTCTTATCTCAGTCTCAGCGGTCTCGACTTTCACGCTCATGATGACTAGAACGATGTCTTGAATGATGTCGGTCTCTTTCGCGATACTCCTGGGTTTGTTTACTACTAGCGTCTAGAGAGAACCGTTCAAGGCTGTTCAATGAATCTCTTGATCGCGACCGTCTTCGCCGTCTATGTTTATGCTTAGGTTTTTCTGCGCGCTTCAAAGCTTCCAGCTCGCGTAACTTATCTTCTTGCCATTTCTTGCGCTGTCGTTGTACTTCCTTGACGCCTCGAGCACCAGCCTTCATCGCCGCAAGGGGATCGTTTGCATCAATACGCTCCCTTTCTCTTTCTTGCCTCATGGGATCTTCATTTCCCCATACGTCCGTATTAGGCATTCGATCCTGCGCTAGTTTTTCTCGAGAAGCTGACGACGAATACCACGGAGCCTGCCCAACAGACTGTTTATACCCCGCAGCATTTGAGAAGCGCATTGTATACTGGTCTTCGAGAGCTCGTTTCTTCTTAGCTGCTTCTGCCTCTGCCTCTGGATTTTTCTCTGCGCGTTGGTTCCGTGTCATCTCCTTCGTGAATAGGTTGATGTGACCGGCGCTGTCGACGATTTCGACATGCGCATCTTGCTCCTTCTTTTCACTGGTAGCGAGTAGCTCCGTTCTTTTGGCATCGTTATGCGCTGCGTCTTCTCTCGCGAATCTAATATCGCGATCAGTGTCATCTTCACCGGCGAGGCGCCGTCGTTTTCGATATCTTGCAGACCCATCGTCGAGTCTTTTGTGTCCGCGCTCCTCTTCAGCTCTAGAATCAGGTGGCGGAAGCGGCGGTGTAGGAACGTGCTCGCCACGAAGTATTCGTATTCGTCGCTCAGCGTCAACCTCTTGCATGCGTCTTTCTTCCTCCTCCTCTCGGGCTTTGGCAGCCTCCTCGTCGCGCCGGACTCGGGCTATGTTGTCTGGATTGTAGACGTTCCATGATTTTTTGCCTAGGAGGTGTCTGGCAATAAGTTAGTGTCAGTAATAATACCCGCACGTTACTTACTAACTACTTACAAAGGCATCGTAGAAAAAGATATGTCGCTTGGCAATAGATGATTTAGAAGCCGAGTTGAAGGTCACGAAATGACGCCACTGCGGCTGGGCGGTGAGCCGAAGGGTTATTGTGATGGCAAAATCGTGACTGCTTCACACTTCATTTACCTTCTTGGACATCTTCATTCCCATATCGCACGTATCATTATATACTATTAATACCTATAGAACCCAGACTATACATGTGAGGCTCCGCTTGAAAGAGCTTTGACTGTTAGCAGGGCTATTTCAATTCCCTAGGGCTTCAAAGTCTGCTCGAATTGATCTGCATATCTCATCAACCAGCGCATACTCCTCCTCTATCGGCACATCTAACGCTCCAGCTTGCCAGGTTACTGTGCATACCAAGTTGCCATCCTTAACACTAATAAGATTAAAGACAAGCGGCCCACTGAGAACATTTCCAGGCTGAGCGAAAACCATCTTACTGATCTTGCACTTATGATTAGGGTTGCCCCCAGTGCCGTCAAAAGCAAGAAGATTGCTCACTTCGTACGAACAATCCCGTTGCTGCCCGATTTTACTTAGGGTCCAAGTTCTGATATTGGGGGCGTATCTCAGCAAGCCAATTGCTTGATCATGCAGCCTCGTCCCGCATTCAGCGAGTTTTTTGGTCATTGAACTCGCAGCCTCCCACATCTCATCCGAAAACGTAGGATCCGCGACATCAGATAAACGTGGATGTATCTCGTAATGGCCAGAAACGAAAAGACCCCATGTGTAGTTCGGTATGCCAATAGACCCTCGCATATCAACAGCGGTGCCCGAAACGAAGTTTGTGACGTCGCGGTTGGGAATGGCCTTGCTTAACGCCCGGACGATCATCTGGTGCACTGTTGCAGTGACCTTGGCGTCATGGTTTCTCGAAGCTTGCAGGGCCTTTTGTACTAAGGGAGCCTCGATCTCGAGAATTCTTGCTCTGCTATTGTGGGTAGGCGCTGGTTCGAAAATGCGTGAGCCACTCCAAGTGCCAGCATCGACAGTGCTGGCGGCTGCTCGGAGCCCGAATATTCGCGCTAGGAACTTTGGCAAGTATACTGCTATCAGCGGCCCAAGGAGGAACTTCCAAGATATGGGGAGCCTTTCAGGCGTGTCAAATGGTGGCGGAAGTGTTCGGTTTGGTGGAATTTCCAAAAGAGGCCCTTTCTCCTCTGTACCAATAGTATGTTGCCATGCCTCTAGAAAAGTGCGATGAAATGTGAGTCCGACGATGCCGTCCCCGATAGTATGGGAGAATGCAAAGGCTACAAAGCAGCGTGTCACAGCAGAGCCATGCGGCGAAGCTAGAGGGAGAACAACGATTCGCCAAGGTGGTATATCAGCAGGCCATGGCCTGTCGAGTATTGGTAGTAGGACCTTTTCGAAAATTGATGTCTCTCCATTGCTATTGATTGCGTCGTCGTGAATTGTAGACAAATGATTGTCCAAATTTAAAGTCGACACACTTTCGAATGCTGGTTTTTCGGTATCCTTATTCTTAACGACGACGCTCAAGTATGGATGCTTCGAGATACAAAACTTCAATGCCGGAAAGAAGGACTGAGCCGAAGTGACGTCTATGCTTTCATTCTCGACCTCGTAAACTGCTGCTATGACGAGTGCGTTGTAAAAACCGACGTCTTCGCGACTAATTGTGCGGCGTTCATTAGGGCCTACTGTCGATTAATGCTTCGAGCGCCATTCTCATTCAGGAATTGTCACTAACTTGCGAATCGCATGAATGTTCGTGGCTGCGACATTTTAATCGTAGACCGAGTAAATCTGCTGTTAAGGCAAGATTATCGGGATTATCGATAATTGCCTCAGGTTCGTATGGCAACATGTACCGCCAATACGGACTATGTTAGGATGAAGTTAATGGGCAAAAGTTGTATGGATTCTTTGCCGTAGGATGACCAACATTCTCGCGCGTACTCAATACGCTAAAGCTCCACCTATTTTCAGACAACGCCGAGCTGTTCTAGAATTGTCAGAATATTTGGAACTAACAAAATTTAGGGATATGTTCAATCCGTAAAATTACAATCTACAATACAAGAATAAAACTGATAAAGAGCAGATTTATTTCATTTAAATATAAGATAGAAATGGTGGTCGCTGCTCTACAAACACATTTGTTTAAGAAAGATTTTGATCCATGACCAGAATGCAGAGGCCCAACGAAGAAATGCGGACAAATAATCAATCAGCCATATATAAGAAAATGATGGGGATATCAATTTATACAGCCAGCGGTATTGACAAATAAAATGCTACACGCAAGTTCTACTCTGGTATTCAGTCCCTTTTTATGTTTGAATCCATACATATTGAACACGGAGGGAAATTCTTCAACGCCCCTATAGCGTAATGGCTAACGCGTCCGACTTCCAGTACTTAATCCATCCAAATTGCGAAATGGGTTTTTGCTGATCTGAAGATTGCGGGTTAGTCTCGCCAGGTCCTTTCGACTCCTTTTTAAGCACGTGACCAGGCCATAGTATAGGCCAACCAACAAGTATGTTAGGCATTTTGCAGTCTTTTTAGATTGCGGGTCGGTTTATTCTAATAGTCTATTAGGTCATAGTATTGGCGATATTCTGTTTGGAGTAGACAGTAGATGGTTTGTTATTTGCTAGGCTGTTGCATATACTGTACGCCGCCGCCTCCTGAGAATTCTTCACTCTTTTCCACAATTTCCAAAGAGAAAAACCATAGAAGCAGCTCACTACAAGATTTCAAAAATCCCGAATATATTTCTCTTTACTTTAGTTGTTCTATTGGCTTTCATGGCGTCAAATTTCCACTCCTTCGGTACAGACGAATAAAATGCGCGCATTAATGCGTTCAGTAAAACTTCAAACTATTCTTGATTTCTTGATTTCATGATTGGTGAATCTAAACAGTCCTCAAAAACGGTCTTACTCAAACTACGCTCTTAGTCAAGCCCAGATTTTGTTTCCTGCTTTCGAAAAGTCACTCCAGATCTAGAGATGATATATTCCAAGCTTGAAACAGCCATCCCACGATCTACCAAGGCAATTCATGGCTACAATAACCTAAATGATATCCACTTATAATCGTTACCCAAAGCTGATCATGAAAGATGCCCTGTGGTGTATCTAGAATTTGTTCGAGACAATAACCGTGAAGGAGAGGGAGGCTTATACAATGGGTCAACTCGGATAACAATTCGTCTTCTTCTTCATCTTCTAACTATGGCTGGCATATGTTTATGGAGGCTTATCGTAAACTCATGGTTGAGTATGATATTACTGAATCGCTGTTCTGCCTTCTTAACCAATTATTTCCAGCAAAAAACCCTCTCATATTCGTCAACAGAGAAACAGAAAATTTCTATGTTATCCCACTCTAATACGAGGTATTCCTTCCTTATCCTAGACCAGTGCTGCAATCCTGCCAAAGCTAAGAAGGTGTACTTCCCAGGCGTAACCATGGCCATGGTTTTCTTCCATTCAATGACTTGAAAATCTCAGTAGTATTCTTGTCAAGGAAGAGCCCGACAACATCAGCATAGCGACTGCTAAGCTGTTTTGCCGGCCTCTTCAATAGATTGTCCAGTTGGCGTTCAAAACTAGTATTAATGATACCCACATTGGTACCTACCTCAAGCAGTGCCTTGACACATGACCCCCCAGCAAGAGAGACTGCCCAGTGAAATACTATATTTCCACTCTTATAAATTCTCTGCGAAAGGGCCTTCTCTATTTTATCTCCTTGAGCACTCGTCAAAAGAAGTCGTAAATAATCAGCACTATAAATAAATAACGACACGTCATTTTAACCGAAAATAGAACCCAGAGAGTAAAAGAGTCATGAACATGTTTAGATGTATAACTGTGGTGACAACGATTAATTGATTGATTGAAGCATAAAATTTACACTAAGAATGACAACTCCGTGGGTGACATACATACCATCAATTGACGTATATGTACTTCCAAATTTATTGTATATTAGGTAATTCGAATTAAGGTTTTCTCAAACCCTTTGGTGAAAGGTATATATTCCATATACCCGAAGGCAACTGGCCCAGAAACTGACAAAGATCAATGCGACGTGACGGGAATGTGATGACTTTTGACAAGGGAGGAGGCGGCGGCAAGCTACACCACCTAACCCTAACGTAGTGAGGGGTTTAGGCTGGCACTGACAGAGGAGGGGCTATCTAGCCCTAGTCCTATACCAGACCGAGTAATGATTCAAGGCTTTGCCCTAGGACGAAGGAATCGTCCTGGCGATTGTATTAATAGCGTCACGTCAGGTAATGAAATAGACGAAAATGGCAGGTGGAGGAGCTATTTTACAAAGGGGGTACAGGCCTACAGAGGTATTCTGGAAATAAATACTGTATTTTTATGGCTTTTGTATGGGCGAAGGCTGTAGCGACGCACTAGGAGCCCTAATGACCACATTCACCATAGATTGCCGCCGTGGTCAGAGGCCGTGGAAAGTGGAAAAGTGATTAATTGTGGTATCTGAAACACAAAAACACGAAAACTAGCACAGAACCAAGACAAACATGTATCCGCCCAAACCAGGAAAAAAAAATACCAGCCCTAAGCCCTCCCGTGACGAATTCGGGGGGTCAATACACACAAGAAAGGAAATAGAGGGAAAAACCAGTCATACAAGCCTATCCCGATACGGCAAAACCCATAATTTTTACGTGCCCTGATATAGCCAGTAATTCATTAGCGTCGTTTCAGTCGGTCGTTTCAAGAATCGTCGTGGGGGTCCCCCTCCTCCGTGGGGAGAACGAGAGACGATCGATCAGTACTCGTCGTCGTAGGTGTACTTCTTCGTGGCACGGCGATACTCGTCGGGATGGGCCTTCTCGGCCTTCACTTTGAGGGCACTAGTGAAACAAATGCACGTCAGTCTAGCGATCTTCGCACTTTGACGCAGTGGCTCGTAGAATTTTCGCCCAATCATCTGGAGCACCGTTTCGTTGCATGCAAGGGCACACGCCAAGAAGCAACGTAGCGGGATTCTCGCTCCGCTGGCGGAGCGGAGCGGAATGTATCATATAACACACGGCAGGTGGGGAGGAATGCTCATGCAAGGTACATCAATTGAGGTACTAGTGACTGCACTCACCTCACGCGCTTCTGCGTCCATTCAAGATCTCTCTTCGTCTCCTTCGCTGCTTTCAGACCCTCGTTGAAATTGGCGCGAACGCCTTTCAAGCGCCGCTGAGCAAGCGCCTGCAGTTCCAGCAGCTCTTGCTGTTTGGCGTTGAGGTGGCCGGAACTATTCAATTCACGTCGTTAGACACCGGAATCGTCACGATTGTGAGCCAAATTCAACGTCACCAACCGACCGCATTCGCAGCAACCAATTTTTCAATTCGAAAAAAAAGCCTCCTGCGATGGCGGAAAGCTGTCGCGCGAATTTAGCGATTATATAGGATCCAGAAACTTACGTCTGTGCTTGCGTGACCAATCCTCGATCCAGCCGGGTTGGGTCGAAAGTATCGTGCACTCGGTCGTTCAACATATCAACAACATCGACGCCAGACATAGCGCTGGAATCGTAATCGCCGATACTGCCGGCATAGCCGCTCGAGGGTACGCTGTACCCTGCGGTTGTTCGACTGCCGGCGGTTGTGCTGGCGTCAGAGAATTCTGACGGGGGAGCTGCAACACGGCCGACTGGGTAAAGACCAGCTGGAGCTGGAGCTTTTGATGGCACGTTCATGGCCATTGTTGGCTGGTAGTAATAGTGCTGGGCAGCCATTATGCGTCTGTCGTGAAATTGCTAGAGCAGAGTCGAGGGGGTGATAATGAAGACTCGGGTTTAGCAGTGCTTTCTGCGAGTCACGTATGGATGAATTCAAGCAGAAGGGGAATAATTCCCGAATGCAGATCAATTGATTTGAGAAGGCGGTCGAGGCTTGTGTGGTTGAATGGTCTTAGGCAGAAGAGCAAGAAGAAGGCACTAGGGAGCTATCGTCTTGGTCAAAGAGAATCACAGTTGGGGGAGTGGAAGTGATAAGAAAGGAAGGAGGAGGAGGAGGAAGACTCGAGGAAAAGAAGGCGCCTTTTATACCCTTCACCCCGGGGGTCCTCCCCCAAAGAGGAAAACGCCATCAGGACTCGTCTGTCCGTCGAGGAGGGGTGTTATGGGTTGCCCGTTTGCGCGGGGGTCTCTGGTGCATCGACTGACTTTCCTCGCTCGTTCCGGATATCCCTCAACACCCCGGCCGGCGAGGTCTGGCTCCTGGCTATCGGCCAATTCGATTCCTCCCTCGCCCTCCGACCCCGCTCTGGGTCGGGGGGGATTGAGAGGAGAGTCCAGCCAGACGCGTCTCTTTTTCGAAATGGACCCCCACTCAGTCCGTGTTCCGCCGGGCCGGCCATTAAGATGGTGGCGATGGACGGTCAGAGGTCTTGGGGGGGGGGAGGGAGGAGGGTTGAAAATTTGGTACTAGAAGTCTCCGCCGGACGCCTCTTGCAGTCCGCTCGGATGGGCTGTGCCCAATTAGACTTTAGATTGTGTTACCAGATAGCTCTAGCTTTCTGACAAACTAGGTGATGCTACCCAAAGTGCTTTGCGCGTTTTGGGTAGAAAGCAGCAGAGCAGGGATGAGAGGGGCCGAGATGAATGGAAAGGGTATAAAGGGAAGAGATCGCACGGGCTACATAGTTCCGGCGCAGATTTCAGTGTCTGCCACTTGAGAGTCATTGATATTGTCGTCGTTGATATCACCCGATATATTGTCAAAAACGGAAATTAGTGCCATTACGGCATATCTACGTTTCCTTGAAAAATGTCCACTAGGATGTGCTTAATGCCTGGAGACAAGCATCTTGTTTGGCTGTGCTGATTTTTTCCTCTTCCGGAGGTACCTTTTTTGCTTGGTATCAGTCAGGTATCAGTTGCTAACGGGCTGCAGGTAATTCTCAGAAGAGTGAGCTAGTCAGAAGGGACTTGAGGACACAAAAACCGAGTCCCGGTACTTAGTGTGCCTTGAGAATGCAGCAGCAGCGTTGTGGCATTGCGCGTTAGAGAGTGAGAGCCATGCCTCAGCCAAGAGCGAGTCGGTAACATGGAAGAAACAAAATCACTGGGAAATTAGCTGTGAACGGTTCCCGCAAAGCAAACAAATAGACGACTCTAACGCTGCGGGACGAAATATGGTCGGTGCATTCAGCGGGCCCCGAGGACAGACAAGAAGTTAATCTGCCGCACCCAATTCTAAAACGATCCTGCTCCTTTGTCTTCAGAAAAGGGCCTTTTCAGGTCACTCACTACGTCACTCATCCGAAAATCAGCGTCTCTATTCTCCTCGCCCTTGCTACCCTTTTCTTGAGTAGTAACCGCCGCAAAAAGTCAGTCGACGACAAAGGAGGCGTCAAAAACACGCCCTTAACGCGACCCCCTATATGGCAGACCCTGTGCAGCCTGAAGCTTTTGGATTGGGTGCCTAGTAGCAGTGCCACTTGTCACCTGTGCCATTGGCCGATCCTGCACGAGATTTTCATGAAGAAGACTTCTGAGCGGCACATTTCTGCAGTGTTGTGCATAATGTCCGAAGCCTTGCCTGAGATGTTGCACGCTTGTCTGGTGTTGGCGGGGGTGACGCATGTTACAGCAAGTCATTCTGTCTCTGGCAATCATGGATGCGTTGCCTGAATGTACTGCTAGTCTAGTTTGTGCATCACGAGTTACCAGAGGGTCACTGCCATCTCAGATGGCTATCGGCTCTTGGCGATACAAGCCTGGTTTATTTGGAGGGCTGGCAATTGATGTTTGCGACAGCAATCGTCATGATGGTTATCACTCTACTGAGACTATCTAAATGTGGCTTGGCCTGAATTTCCTAGAGGCTCAAAGGTGACCACGTCTCCGATGGCAGAATGGGAGAAATCAAACCGATTCAGATACCACCAAGTCTCGGGCAATCGCAGTTTCCATCTATTCATTCAGGTATATCAGATATTCTCCAGATCGACATCACATGCTGTGTCTTCTCGGAGAATTCGTTCGGGCTATCTGTCACTTTGTTTAAGGCAGAATCTGACACCGAACATGGTGCCTAATTATTGCAGTCTGCAAAAACACTCTACCGTTTACTATGCGGAAGGGACTATTATTAATAATAATGGCCCAACACCATCGACGCCCTCCTCCTCTTAGAGCGAAGGGGAAAATGACGATTTGGGGCTGACCCGCTTGCTCGTGCTTCCCGACAACTCATCCCGAGAAAAGAGAGAAGGGAGACAAAAAGGGCTTTCTTACTGCTCGCTGCACGTCTGATTCGACGACAACCACAAGGCCACTCGGAACAAGCCTATCAGCTGGATCCGCCGAGAAGCCGTTCGCAGAAGGCCTATTTTCATTTGCCCATGGGAATCGGCTATCACTTGAAACAATTTGGTGCTCGAATCGTCTTGCCCTCTCTCTTGAGTGTGTGTGTGTCTGCGACCACATCTGCCCAATTGGTTTACGGCCCATTCCCGTGGGCCCTTTCTCTTTGGCGATGTCAATCTAGTAGTTGTGTGACGTTACCACTTCTTGATTAACGGCTGAAAAAAGTTTCATCTGACGTATACAGTCAATTATCGCGATATCAAAGTAACACAATACCCCTCATTCCGCAAAATGGAAGACTTTTGTCTTTTGGATTTCGAGACGAGTAAGAAGAGCAGGGATTTCAAATCTATTACGAAACGCAGGCAGTCAGTAATGTAGGCGCGTTAACGAACTACCAACGCATGGCCAGCGGATAATCCACGCCGTTTATGCATTGAATGCATGGCGAGGTCGCATTGGACTGACGACCCCATCTGATTGTTGTCGATTAGTTCATGACAGCAGACAGTAGTAGTAGTAGTAGTAGTAGTAGCACGGAGGACGCATTCGTTGTCAGAAAAGGATCATCCCCCACTTGAAATCCATTATTTGAACGGGCTAGTTGGCATTTGCCCCTCTATATTGCTACTAGATAGTAATAATACTAACACCGTCATAATAATAATAATAAAAGCGCCACTCAATTCCTCGTTCATTTCAAGAACAAAAAAGAGAATATGCAAAGAAAGCTAGCCCCAAAATACCAAGTACAAGCCTGTCCCGAATTTCTAGAAAAGAAACGAGCCGCTCTGATTCGCTTCACTCTATGCCCCTCCGTGCCCCTTAAGGTTTGTCTACACCGCCAGAACCAAAAGCAATGAGACAAAACAGGGCTAGGTCTGTCTGTCCAATCAGCTCCGTGCGTGTCCGGAGTGAGCGCCCCCGGACACAAGGAAAAGTATGGAGCAAATAAGATTAATCAAAAGAAAGCGATATCATAGTCGTTCCCATAAACAAATTATTATATACAAGGAGATCTAAATAACGTTCTAAATAGGTCAAGAGGCCTATGGTTTGGATACGGCCGGCACCGTACCATGGAAGATACAGCCATGGTTCGATCATCTACGAGCAGTTTAGTCTATTGCAGTCCCCACCGCTGGCTCCATGTGATGGGATTGTTAGGTGATACGTAAGTAATGAGTGATAGTGACCACTATGTCACATTTGTACATAATCGCACCGCAGAATGATTGAAGATTAAGAAGTGGTATGCCAACTCCAGCCATGCGCTTGCTACCCTATTATTCAATGGATAAAATGAAGCAGATAATGCGCCGGCTAATTCATAGATATTAATAAATCCCCTAATGCTTATCGTACACATGCATGTTTAAAATAGTCAAAACACCAACTTCCTTGCCGATGAATGAACCCCTGTAAATGTCCGCATAACCCAATCCATGCAGTGAATGCCAAAATACTTTCTTTCTTCCCTTGATAACGACAAACGACCCAGGCTCAGACCATAACCAAATACCAAAGTAATCATTGATCAACCCTCAAATTCCGTTGAACAAAAACAAATGCGGCTTGGTTGTGCGAGACAAGAGATTGATGATTGGGGTATTCAAAGAAGACATGAGGCAAAAAGTGTACAATAAATGCTGTCCCAAAACTGAAATATAAGAAAGGAAAACGCAGGGGTATGAAAGTAATACAAGAATCGAAGTGAAAAAATAGAACATGCAATATAACTCCCGTTTATGCATTATATTAGTGCTAGTAAATTTTTTAATCTTGGAAGCGTACTCCCTGTCGCATGTCCTAATGAGGATCATCATGTCGCCAGTCTTTGCGCTCTCTAAGTAATACTTGAGGCAGAGTCGGGTCGAGAAGCGTCATCATCATCTTCCCAAGCTCATTGTGTTTAATTGGCTTGGTGACGTAGTCATTAAATCCGGCACGAGCTGCGTCGTCAATCTGATCTGTCATAGCATTGGCTGACAACGCCATGATCGGAATATGGGGGAAATGATTTTTCGCCTCCCATGCTCGAATTTCCCGACAAGTCTCATATCCATTCTTAATTGGCATCTGGATATCACACTTTTATAAAATTAGTATCGTCAAGCCACATATAAACGAAAAGAAAAGGCGAGGACTCACAATGATCAAAGAATAGTATCCTGGCTCGTGGGAGAAGACCATATCAACACATTCTTGCCCGTTGCTTGCCGTTTCGGAGACAAGCTTAACTTTGTCTAGGTACTTCAACATGACCTGCGGAATTGTTAGCAATACAATACGGACTAGAGCATGAGCTGAACATACCCCTCGGTTAGTTTCTTCATCTTCTACTAACAGAATGCGGTAGCCCTTGTTCCCAATCACTTCCTTGACCATCTTTGACATAGTCTTGAAGTTGTTGTTGACCTCCCTTGCCTGATCTTGGTTGCGGTCCTTGCTCAGATCACGTCTATTGTCAGGATCAAAGATCCTCGAGAATGCTGAAGGTTTCACCGGCTTTAGCACCGTATCAACTTTGAAGCCGGCCGAGACCAGTTCTTTCATCTTACTGGCAATTTGACGCTTTTGATAGAGATCGCAAATAATGACCACTTCTGGCTTCAGCTTTCCATTACTACCTTGAATGTGCTGAAAGACTTCCAAAATTTCATCGGTTTCAGGAACGTCTAGGACCAGGTGTGAAAAGCTGGGGGAGTCACTTGCGTTTCTGAGATCCTTCCAGTCTTCTGTGTCGGATAGCGCGGTGGTAGTCGCCGGGACCTCTAGAGGAATAACCTGCTCAATATGCTGCTTGACAGCCTCTCGTGCATGATCGAGAGGACAGAGAATCAGAACAGAGTAAATGATAGGTCGTAGGTAGCTTGAACCTAGCGTTTTCTCTCCTCTTGGGCTAGGGTGTACGGTCGACCCACAGCTTTCAGGCGGCGCCGTGCTGTGTTCTTTGTGCAGATGGGATAGTCCATGCTTCGAAGACTCCTCAACAGCAGCAAAATCAGGAGTATGGGCTGCAGAAGATACTGAAGAGCTAGATCGATAATTTGACCCAGACTGAAGAGAAGGGTCTGAGCTGCTAGAAAACTCCGCTAGGGGAGAGAGATCGTGGGGAAGAGATAGGTCTTTGAGCGTAAGAATTTGGACATCAGTCGAGTTGTTTGTCAGGAGGGGCATTCGATGCTGGCTGTCTCTAGGCGAACTTGTGGTGGTTTCTGACAAATCGGAATGGTGACGTATCAATGCTGGGTCCTGCCCATGTTGCGGCGCGTCGACTTTGATGTAAAACGAAAATTTAGCGCCCTGTCCCTCTCGACTGCTGGGGGTTAATCTTCCACCATGCATCTCAACAAGTTGCTTCGACAGGAACAACCCAAGTCCGCTACCAGAATGTTGTTGCGAGCTGTTTCCGCCTAGTTGGCTAAATCTCTGCATTAATTGTTCCGCGTCCGAGGTACTGAAGCCTTTACCAGTATCAACAACTTCAAAATTAAGTAGTAACTCGGTCGCTTTCAGAATATTCGAGGGCTCCTGGAGTACGGAACATCTAGTGTAGATCTCGCCTTGGCTAGTAAATTTGACGGCGTTGCCCATGAGATTGATCAAGACTTGTCTGATGCGGAACCGATCACCAATGACCATACCAGGAACATCCGTATCCATTAGATAGTTTATTTCAAGCCCCTTGTCGATAGCCCTAGAAGCTATAGTGTCAATGGCATCCTCGAGAACTGACCGGACGTGGAACCATGAGTTGACCAGGTTCATCTTGCCAGCTTCAACACGAGAAACGTCCAAAATGTTATCCACCAACTCACGAAGATTTGTGGAGCTATTTTGAATAGTATCCAGCATTCGACGCTGCTCATTGTCCAGATGTGTCTCAAGAATGAAAGGTATAGTCCCAAGTATACCGTTTAGCGGAGTTCTAATTTCGTGAGACATGTTGCTGAAGAACTTTGATTTAGACTCCATCTCCTTATTTAGTTTTTGCATCGCTCGATTCAATTCGCGCTCTAATAGTTTTCTGTCGTTGATGTCGGTGCAAGTGCCATACCAAGATGCCTCTTCATCACCAAAAGTAGTTGTTTGGACTTTAATGAGTCGAACAAGGTGCCAGCGATAATCACCACCCTTGGATCGCAGACGAAGTTCGGTGGTGTAGAATGTACGCCCATTTTCATCTTTTTGGGCTGCAACAATACCTTGATTAACAAGCTCATTAAGTGCAGGAGTCACACCTTGAGCAAAGAAGGCAGCCACACCAGGACGAGATTCTGAAGATACGACTGAGTTGCGGTCCTCGGCTGGTGCAGATTTCAGTTCAGCGATCCCAAAGGACAACACACCGCACTTTTCTAAATCATCTCTGTGGATGTGAGTGGTAAACCCGAAGTTCATTGCTTCCTCAACAGACTGGCCGGTATAAAGCTGCCATTGCTCGTTCGCTGAAATCAGACCGCGGCCCTCAGTTGCTTCAAAAACGATCTGAGGAATAGAATTTGCAAGCGCCCGGTATTTTGCATTGGTTGCATAGACTTCTCGCTCTTGGGCTGCTTGCAACTCTGAAACATGTTGTTCGTGAATATCGAGGAAAGATCCTATCCAGGACACGACTTGGCCGGTTTGTGACAACAACGGATTCGCCCTAAAAATGAACCATCGATAAATGGAGTCATCACCGAATCGTTTCACCCGTACCCTCTCGGTAAATTGGGCTCCTGTTTGGAGGGCCTTAGCCCACTTAGCACATAGAGACTCAAGCTCACTGGGATGTACATTCTGCCAAGGATCCCTGACCGCTAGATCCTGGGGTTGACTTCGTCGGTACGTGTCAAATTTGGAATTAGTCCAAATAACCTCGCCGGTCTGTGCTTTTGCCAAGAATAAATGTAGTGGAACGGAGTTAAGCATCAGTTGGAAAACATGTTCTGAGATAGAATAGCCATCACGATGTAATTGGGCAATGACAGATGTTGAATTGTTTCGGGACGATGTGCGCGTGGGCACAGATGCTAGGTTCGGACGAGTATTATCATTGCCTTCTTCAGCGACTAGTGGCTCCCTCAACATCGAGTCTACCTCGCGAGTTGACTTCGACCTAGAAACGCCAGGTGAGGTTGGTACAGACGGTAAAAATTTTGATTTCGATTTGGATCCACGACCTCGCGAAAGATTCGGAGTGGCAAAATTTCGTCCTCGCTGGAGAGTGAAATAGCTTTCCGCATTATCAATACCGTACCTCAGCCCTAGTGTCGCATTGGATTCACTAGCAGGCCCCATGTTTCCCAACTCAAGCCCAGGTGTGCCGATAATTGACAGAGATGGGCTGGCTTTAGAGTCGCTTGACATCTCACCCGGACTAGACAGACTCGCACGTGCTGAAACAGATCCAGCGTCCGTCATAGTCTGACCGCTTAGACCAGCGAAAAGTTCCATTTCGCTGCTAGCATCAGAAAACGTGCCGCCCAGACCAAGAAGATTACCAAACCGAGTCTTTTCAGCACCCGGGGCAAGCTGGCTTTCAAGCTGAGAGTATTGATGAGCCAAAGAATATGAGGTAGTAAAGTGTGGTATCAAGTAACGAAGGGAGGTTCTCAGATTCGCAGGGTATGGTATTGTAGGGGACAGAAAAGAGATAATGGCTAGGGGGAATCTTAACGTCTCGGCGCCAAAGTCTTTGATTGTAATCGCATGCAACAACGGAATGTGAACAATTGTCTTCGACCCATCAACGCCAATAGCATTGACAGGCTCAGCTTGCGAGTAGTCGTGTGGTGGTGGATTCTTTGCGAATGCTTCCTCATCAACAGCATGATCCAAAAAGAAAGGATTCTGGTCTGGATGCATTCGTGGTGCAGGTGATGGAGCGGGTGATTGTGACCATGGTGACGGCGGGGTTTGCTCATAGTCTTCATATAGTTGCAAAGACTGTCGGTAAGGCGTTTCCTTTTTGCTTGGAACAGTATGTGGATTTAGAGTTGTCGATCTCGACCTTCCATGACGACTCGGTGGGGCAACTGATTTAATATCTGCTTTTAGTGAGGTCTCATCTGGAGCCTTGGGGGGCTCGGTAGCTGGAGTCGTTTGTAATATGTCATTCGGAGAGTGTACTGGGGCTATCGCATTCCCTTGAGGATACGAAGAGCCCAAAGGGTCATATGCATATTCTCGCGTCAAGACTGCAGGCTTGTTGCGGCAGAAAAGCCGGGTAATACCAGTGCGTTTTATTAACGGGTCTCTCTCTGTTTCAAGATCTCTGGGGATCCTGAAGACCACAGTTGAAGAGGATTCTTGAAGCCCGGTATCACGTGGATGTAATATTGATTTAGTACTATCATCTTCGGGAGGTCGAGACGCAGATGTTGTAATATCAGTGCTGCTGCCAAAAGCTCTGAATTCGGAGGGCACCTTTTGGAAAGATTCTTTCTGTCGTGAATTCTGTAGCGGTCTCTCTACAGAGCGTGAGCTAGTAGCCATCTTTTCCTTTGTAAAACCTGCGAAAGAATGCCGCACTAGCAGGGACGGTCGTCTAGGAGGAGAATGTCTAGAGATATTTAAAGCTGAGGCGTTTCCGTACTCCTCAGTCTTGTCTGAAAAAGCTTCCTCAGTGGCGCTTCCAGCAGAGGCGGCTAGAGACTCTGGGAGCGTTGTGTCTACGTAGTTTTGAGTTCCATGAGCATTGAAGGCTGCTTTTTGTCCCCAAGGCACATTTTCCAGATCCGTGGAATCTCCCGGAACAGCAAGAGACGCCCGTTCTGCACCAAAATGGACTTTTAGAATCTCAACAACGTTGGTCCACCAATGATCCAGCCCGGGGTCCGAGTTTAATTTCAAGATCACTTCGTATAGACTCGGACTTGGGTATAGAGGATCATCAGGAACTACTTGGCTGCCAGGCGGAAAGAAAGAACCACCCGGAATGGGGATTGTTCTTGGAGGGCCCATACTTATGGTTCCTGGTGCCTTTGTTGAGCGCCGATGTGATTCATGAATGTGTCCCATACTCTTATTCTTGGTTGTATCAGATGAAGCCAGCGGATTACTTGCAGTTTCAACCACGCTTCGCGGCGACATAACCGGGAAAGGATATGACGGGGTCTTCGGCACATTGAGGTCTGCTTGCTTCTCGCTCGTAGCAGCGACTCCTTTAATCGTCGTTCCAGAGCCACTTGATTCGGTATGCGAGCCAGAGCGCAAGACATTCGTCGCCGATGGAGATCTCGAACGAACAATGGTCAAAGGAGAACTTCCCTGGGAGGAGATTTGCGTTTGTTGTTGTGAGAGTTGGGTCGGGGTTGCACTCGATCGTTCATGGTGGTGCTGTGCTTGTTGATTGGCCAAGGTCTGCTCCATTCTTCTTCGCAACTCTTCTAGCGTCCGCGCATTGCTTTCAGAATGAGAGGATATATCTTGGGTTGGCTGATCAGCAGGCCGTGGCGACGGCAGCGGCTGGGACAGGTCCTTTCGAGACGTCCTGACTGCTGGACTGTCGGCAATGGCCTGACTGTTGCTCAATGGGTCAGCACGAGATGGATTGCGACTATGGGTATGGGCATTCACGGCGGTTGACGGGGAAGGAGCCTTGGTGGGCGTTAAGCGGGCTTGATTCCGCCGCATGTTGTGTGCCGCCGGGGGATCCTCGCTCGATCTACCATGCGTCGACCTGGGTTAAGTTACTGAAGCTCCCTAGCGGGCGTGGTGGTTGTAACGGGGTATCACAGGCATCGCTTGCGTTCGACCAGCGAGACGGGGTTTGTTCGGGTTGACTGCAAAGGAGGAAGGATTCAGGCACAGCTACTCGCAGCGGCGGAAGATGGAGGGTTAATATTTGGTTTGAGGATGGTAGTGGCGTTTCGGATGAAAGCCGATGTGTGGGTGCGATGGAGGTTGAGGCGAAAGCACGGTGGAATGAGGCTTTTGCCGTCGGTTTGGCTTCGGGGGAGAAAACGAGATCCACGCAGATCGGGTGTGGGTGGCAATCGAATAACGGATGGATTGGTGGGTTGCTGGATAGAGGCAGGAACGAGTGTATGAGCAGGTTGTAGGGAACAGGGAACAGGGAACGGGTTGGAGGAGCCTATGTTATGGAATTGGGATTGGAGATGGCATTGGCAGAGCGTGGCAGATCTTGGTCGGGAGTAGCGAGCGACGACACTGCATTCTGGGCTGGGCCATTCTGGATTCTGGCGGCTTTTAGGGCGTATAGTTTCGGTGACAGGCAGGCGCCGCTGGCCGATGACGTAGCGTGGCTGCCGGGCTGCACGATGGAGCGGAGCTAGTGCCTGTTGGGCCTAGTCTACTTCTCTCTTCCCCAGCCGCACTCTGCACTCTGCAATCCCTCATGAACAATAATGATATCCTAACATGTTGATATACATACTGCTATTGCTCTGTTACTACCATGATTACTTCTCTGACAAGACAAGTCCTCTGGGACTCATTCGACACAGTCGACACCCGTCCCAGCCGAAGGTGCGCTAACAGCCGACGTCGCGTCACACAGCGTCTAGCGACTTACTGATCATCCTCTGTTCGTACACAGTAACGTATTATCTCCTTCCCGTGATTATTAATTTAATCCTACTAGTTACTCACTACTGCTACCACTATGATCGATGATCTTTCAGCTTGACGCGGATATCGGTAAAAGTTACCGTCTGCATGTCAGTCCATTGTGCTGCCAGCCAATCCTCGACAAGGGCGTGCAGCCAAGCCGGGTGCGATAGGCTACGCTGCCCCACAGTCCCACGGATCCAGAAGCCGCCTAACTGTGTTCGGCATGGCCTGGGCCTCGTCAAGCAGGGCGCCCAATCAAGACAGCAAACCGTGTAGAAATCCAGAGTCCATGTTGGACAGCATGAGACGCCAGCCAATTAATGCTCAGTATACGTACTAATAACAATGAAATATCAAATAATAACCAATTCAGAGAAGCCAGATACGCGCAAAGCAAGCGCTTTGGTTGATCGTTGGTCCACGACGACGTCACTGGGTCTGTGGTGACTCCACTCCAACTTGACCAGCGCCGACACAATGCGCGTGATCCTCGTCCCCAAAACGGCATAGCCTCCCCCTTGTTGAACATGCTCCTTCGTCCTCAGAGCAAGCGTGACCGCTATTTACCTTGACGGCTTGACCTTTCAAATTTCAACCAAGTGATGATTAATATTTGATATTATCGCTTTGCAGGCGTCCATTCCAGGCTTAACCAAAACAAGCTTGCTACGCTGATCACTGCTAGTTTGAGGCTCCGTTCCGCCATTGTGATGGCGCGAATCCCACATGGATGGGCCTAGAACTAGCCCTCGACATTTAAGACGACGTTGAAGAGCTATTATTACGCACGACGTAACAGTCACCCTCCAGGGTAACTGATTTGATCTATTGTCCTCCTGGACGCGAATTTCTGCATTCTTCTTTTCTTGTCGCGTTCGACGTATTGTGGGACATATGATGCGAGTGTTCTGTTCTAGGCTTGAGGTTATTACTACAAATGGATCTGGTTGATCTTAAATAACAGGTTCACGCCTATTCAACGTTTGAAGAAATCGTTTCTGGCAGATAGCGACGATCTATACAAACTTTATCCGAGGTTAATAATAGTTCTTATCTCGAATAACTACGTATGTTGCGATCATGACGATGACAATGATTGTCTATTGAATCCATTCCAGGGTATTGGCTCGTAACACAATGATGAACACGCGCCTAATCGTTTTGAGCATAGCCGATTGTCTGAGGCGTGGCCTGTAAGCAGAACTGACGTGACCTGGTGTTCAAACGCAGAATAACCCTCGATAGAACGAATTACTATAAATACCGCCAATTGAGAAGCATCCAGTGTTTTCAAATGTTTTCAACGCTGAGCTGAGACAACGTAGTCATCTATTAATATTGGCTTAGTAAGATAGTTAAGTTGATATTATATAGAAAAAAGACGGCCAATGAGCGTGGCGGTGCAAAAGGAACCGGATGAACGGGCTAATCTGATTGGCCCCAGCCAACGCTCTGTTTCCAGAAGGTGTCCAGGCTTCTGACTAAGCAGGCTATCCTCCGCGCTAGGCCGTTCCTGGCGCTCTTCTCTGATTTGCAGCTATCGCATCACACCTCTTCCGTTCCCGTCGTCGTTCCCAATCGAGTCGAGATCGTGCTCCCTCGTCAAAATCGGATCCCCTCGTCCATCTGTGCGATTCACGATAGTGACCTTCTCTTGTACACCCCTCGCACCACTAAATCCCCACCGCAGTGCTCCCTCCCTCCCAACACCATTCATCTCGCAACGTCGGTTCTTATATTCTCGTCCGGACTACGCTGCACCTTTGAAAGTCCTTGATTACACCGATCTACGCCGAATTTGCTTGTATACAGAACCCTTTTCTCTTTTGACGTTACACTAGTGACAGCCTTGTGTCGCGAACTGGGCTAGCGATGCGTTGAAGCACACACCCCTCCAGGCTACAGGCATTTCTCGGCATGGAGGATCATCACATCTTGGGAGAAGACCTTCCGTTGCCGCCGGCGCGACTTTTTGAGCGCCTGGCTTCCATCCCTGGGTACATCTGGGACCCCTCAATCGAGCCGTTTCATTCCACATACGACAATTGGCACGTCTTCGGAATCCGCCAGTCGTCAGATCATGACCACTCCACCCCCGGGGCCACCTCCTCGGGGCCCTCGAGTACTACGCGAGAGTCTCCCCGCATCGACGTGAGGCCACCGTTTCGACATCACTGGCGAAGCAGCTTGAGCGAGTCTAGCAGTGAGTTTTCCACATCACGAATTGAACTAGAATCGCCATGGCTCCCCGTTGTAGCTCGTGTTTCCATCCACGTCGTCCGTTTGGAGCGTGAATTTCATATGATGCGCTCCCTGGTTCAGGTTTCCGATCCGGATTGCATTCACACCGTTCGTCCAATCGAACTGGTGAGACTACCTCCTGAACCTGGCGATGCGGGTCCCATCCTCGTCGCTGTAGTCGAGTCCCCGGGCCCCAACTATCTTGGAGACATCGTTGCCTTTGGCCCGGCCTGGTTCGGCTTGGGAATTCAAAGTGACAGTAGTACCACTTCGACACCTGGAGAGCAAGTTGCTCTCCCTGTTTTCCTGGATTTTGCTATTGGCGCTTGTGATTGTCTAGAATTACTGCACTACGGCCTAAAAGCGATTCATGGCGAAATTCGCGGGGATGCGTTCCACTTCAACCGCAACACTGGCAAAGTCAAACTAGTCAACACTGGAAACGGGGCCAGAGCTTTCGATAACGCATTAAGTGAAGGATGGTCAACGTTATCACGCGAAGTTGGTGCGAAGACTAAATTGCAATTTGTTGCCCCCGAACAAACAGGACGGCTGCCAACAGAGCCTGATACTCGGACCGACATTTATGCATTAGGTATTCTCTTCTGGAGTATGCTCGTGGGCAAACCCGCTTTCACAGGTTCTAGCCCAATGGAAGTGGTTCAGAATGTGCTAGGCAAAAAATTACCCCCAGTGTCGTCCAAGCGGATGGACATTCCTGATGCTCTCTCCGCAGTCGTGCAGAAGATGACGCAGAAAGAGGTCAAAAACCGATATCACACCATCACATCCGTGAAGAGAGATCTTGAAGGGATAGCAAGGCTTCTTGGTGACGGGGATAGCAACGCGCTGGCCACATTTGAAGTTGGTCAGACCGATGTTTCTTCATTTTTCACGCTCCCTTCTCAAATGTTTGGGAGAGACACCGAATATCAAAAGGTCATAAGCATTGCAGAGAAAGTCCATCGACGTCACCAATCTGCATATGCCAGGTCGGCTACTCCAGCAAATACCAATGCATATGCTGTAGGATCAGCGTCATCTGTCTCCGAGGGTCGTGTGGATAGTTTTGATATTGAGGGCTCGAGTGATTCTGGATCTTTCAACATTGTCACTTCACGAAGCAATTCCAATGCCGGCCCTCATCTCCTCAACCATGTTCTCACGCATGACTCAACCCATAGCACAGAGTCTTCTGTCTCCACGGAAAGAGGTCTTAGTATATTCTATAAATCGAGAGGCCCCACGGAACTCAAAACTATAAGTGATGGCGGAGACCGGGATTCTACCCATTTATCCTTGAATGGTAGTACTCAAAGTCCAATGGACTCAATAAATTCGGGGCCCCGGCACAAACCAACCCAAAAGTTCCGTCGACATGGACGCTGTGAAGTCGTCACTATTACAGGTAATGCTGGAATTGGAAAATCTGATCTGATCCAACGCGTACACCCCGCAATTCGAAAGCTAGGATACATCGGGGTTGCCCGCCTTGACCGTGCACGAAGGATTCCCTTTGAACCCTTTGCTAGGATCCTAGCCAGCCTTCTTCGTCAGATATTCTCCGAGCGCGATGTGACTTCTGAGTATCATCACATTGTACGATCGTTTCTTCGGCCGTTGTGGCAAACCTTGTATCAAGTACTTGAGCTGCCGGAGTCGCTCATATCGCTCGGCCAGAAGGAAAAAACTCTTTCCCCGAAACCGACAGTGGCTCAACATCTTTTGAAAGAGTGCTCAAAGAGCGACACGGCCAAACGCCCAAGCTTCGGACATGGCTCGGCTCCCATAGAAATGTTCTTATCTAAGGCATCCAACAAAAACATGCGTTTGATGGAAACGTACTTGGAAATATTACGAATACTCTGCAGTCAAAGGCTTGTTTGCGTCTGCCTGGATGACCTTCAGTACTCGGACGATGAAACGTTCGAATTAATCATCAACATTGTTAGAGCCAAGATACCTTGCCTGCTTATCCTAGCCGCTCGCAAGCATGAAATCGAATCGACGGAAATGCTGTCTTTTTTCAATACCGAAAGCCCGAACATTACGAAGGTTGACTTACGTCCTTTAGGTGAAGATGACATTACGAAATACGTAGCGGCTACGATGCATCAGTCCAGCAATACACCGACACCCCTGTCTGTAGTGGTAGTTGAAAAAAGTCAGGGTAATCCTTTCTTCATGCGGATGATGCTGGAGACATGCTATCGCAAGAATTGTATTTGGTATTCTTGGAAGCATGGTACCTGGGAATTTGACCTTGATCGAATATTTAGCGAATTTGTCTCTGCCGAATATGGGGACAGTCTTGGGACGGATTTCCTTGTCAAAAGATTCCAAGAACTACCTTCCGCAGCCCGGTCAATTTTGATATGGGGCGCTTTCCTAGGCAGTCCATTCTCAATCTACTTGATAAAGAAACTTTTGACAGGCGAATTTTGGTATGATGGCGGGGAAGCAGCTGTCAAACACAATGCTACTCGTTGTACTAAGCCGGTGGAATCTCCACGCTCTGAGGCCGATATAATCGCTGGACTTCAAGTTTTAGTCCAAGGATATATTATCTTGCCAGGTGATACTGACGATGAATTTCGGTGAGCCGTTACTATCTATACAATATTCCCATAAATTTTCTGACCTCTATACAGTTTTGCACACGATCGATTTGCGCAAGCTGTCTCAACGCTCAGCGAATGTCATGACGTCGAAAAAATGCATTTCATAATTGCACAGACTATGATGAAACAGGATCTAGGTGATAAGGACATGTATCCAAAAGCACATCACATATGTCAGGCCACACGCCTACTTCGAGCGCGAGTACAAGTACGAACTCGTTACAGGAAAGTCCTTCAATATGCAGCTCAAAGAGCGCTCGACACAGGTGCTCGACCAACCGCGCTCTGGTACTCGCGACATTGTCTTGATCTTCTGCAGCCTAATTGTTGGGACGACAATTCTCCAGATGTGGATTATGAAGAAACCCGTCAACTTCATATCTCAACAGCAGAGCTATTTTGGTATCAAGGACAAAATACAGAGGCTTTGACACTTTTAGCAGAGGTCTTTCAGCACTCCAGAACTGCTGCAGGAAAGGCTAGAGCATGGATTATCAAAAGCCGGATATCAACCCAAGCCGGTGACTTCAACGGATCTATGGACGCGTTACTAACATCATTGGAGGAGCTCGGTGTTCATATCCGTCAGCCTACCTCTTACGAGCAGTGCGATGCCGTTTTCCATGGTCTAGCCCAGCATTTGAATTCCATCAATGTAGAGAAAATGATACGACAACCACCAAGCGAAGATCCCAGATTTATCGCTATCGGAGACGTTCTTGCTGAGGCCCTGGCTGTTGGTTTTTGGGGTGATGACCTCACATTTTTACATATGAGCACTGAAATGATGAAGCTTCATCTGTTTTCCGGCCGTTTCGCACAGATTGGGATAGCCTGCTCCCATCTGGCTAATATAGCGTTTAGCCGTTACAAAGAGTTGGATGTAGCCGTCAGAATGAGTGATCTGGCTCTCCTGCTTTTTGAAACGTATGCAGACCCTTGGTCTCGTGGTGCTGGCCTGACGATTCATACATGGATGGTAGAGCATCTCAGAATCTCACTACATGCTGTCTTACCGGCCATTGAGGTTGCGGTAGACTCATCTTTTACCAGTAACGATCCACATCTTATGCTCACCAGTTTTGCTGCGATGGCGGCTACTCGGTTTTATTTGGGCCAAGACCTGTCTGAATTGGAGAATTTCTGCAATGAAGCACCTGAAGAGCTTGCTGATTGGATGCTCGAAGCTCGAAGCGGAGTGCTACTCGTTTCTGTCAAGCAGGTAGTACGAGCTTTGCAGGGCAAAACATCCTGGCAGGATCCCGATTTAATTATGACCGACAGTCAGCACAAGACTTCGGAATATATGGACCACATCTTCAACCATGCAATGCGTATTGACCGCCCTTACGACATCTACTGGGGTCATGCGATGGTTGCCTTATATGTATTTGGGCATTACGAGAAGGTAATTGAGGTTGGCATGAATATGCTAGAAAGCGTTAGCCGGTTGTGGTCTTTGAGAGTAGCCCATTTGATTTACTTCTACCTTGCGTTGTCAATTTTTACGCAGCACTTTGAAAATCAAAACAGCAGCACTTTAGAATCGCATCTGGATGATGTGGCAGTGTGCAAAGAAAAAATCGAATTCGCAGCAAAGGCTTGTGAGGTGAATTACAAAATGTGGTTATCCATCATAGACGCACTGCTCTACGAATATAAGGGAGAATTCAACCATTCAGTGCGGTCGTACGAAGTGAGTTTCATTTCAGTTGTGATGTCGCCGGCGCCTCCAGAACTAATTAGTCTTAGGATGCTATTGACCATTGTGAAGTCCACGGCTTTCCGTTTGAAGAGGCATTGGCTCTTGAGCTTCACGGTGAGTGACAATGGGACATTATTACAGTTGGGTGGTAATTTAATATTGAAATTTAGGTGAATTTCTCGTGCGCCGTGGAGCGAAACGGCCAGCCCGATCAATGATCAAGGAGGCGATTGCAGCTTGGACAGGTATCAGCGCGACTGGGAAAGCAGCACATTTATCAGAAAAACACGAATGGCTGCTCAAAACAGCTACCGCATCCAGATATCATGACAGTACCACCCAGACTGTCGACTCACTGGTTAACATAAGCCAAAATTCTGCTGTAGAACCTCCTTCTGTTCAGCAGCGCATGGAAGACGATAGGAAGAAGAATTGGCTAGAAAACAACGGCGGCGCCGTTGATAATGGTCCTTTGGACATACCCAGTGTTGGGCTAGGTGGGATAGACAGGCTGGTGTCGTTATTGACAGTAACTAACATACTACTAGATATTATCGATTTGTCAAGCATCCTCGAGTTCAGTCAAGTCATGTCTTCTGAGCTTCAAATAGATAAACTCTTGGCCAAGATGATTGAGATTATTTTGGAATCTTGCAATGGTTCGGACACAGCTGTTATTGTGACCGACTTTGAGGACTCGGGCTTCGCTATCTCTGCGACTGGCACGACAGAAGACGGCCAGAAAGCATTCGTTGATGGGCTGGCGTTCTCCGAGATGGAGGACAAGATTGCACAGCAAATCACTCATTACACCTTGCGTACCAAGCAAGAAGTGCTCGTCCACAATGTGCTTGAAGACGAACGGTTCTCTATCGTGAACGAAGGCTATCACTCACGATATCCCCTTGGTCGATCCGTCATCGCCCTTCCAATCGTTCAAGCCAATTCGCTGCTTGGTGTAGTTCACATTGAAGGCAACCCAAATTCCTTTACACAGCGCAATGTTGTCGTTCTCCGTCTTCTCTGCAACCAAGTTGGTATTTCTCTCTCCAACGCACTGTTGTTCCGCAAAGTGGGCAAAGTTAGTGCCACAAATGCCTCCATGGTCGAAACCCAAAGGCGTGCATTGGCCCTAGCTCGTGAAGCGGAACAAAAGGCCAAGGTTGCTGAGGCGGAAGCGAATCATAATGTCAAATTGAAGGAAGACGCCGCAAGAGCAAAATCTGTCTTCCTTGCGAATGTTTCTCACGATCTTCGAACCCCAATGAACGGTGTTATTGGTCTTTCTGAACTCCTAAAAGGCACGCCCCTTGACAAGGAACAAGACGGCTATGTGGAATCGATTCGAGTATGCGCTGATACCCTATTGACTCTCATTAACGACATTCTTGATTTTTCCAAGCTCGAGGCAGGTAAGATGAAGATTTCAACCGTGCCATTAAATCTGAAGGAAACAATCACCGAGGTTGTTCGAGCTCTTCGGTATACTCACCGTGACCGAAATCTAGAGACAATCGAAGATTTGGATCATGTTCCACCTGATCTAGTCGTTATGGGTGATCCTGTACGTCTCCATCAGATTTTCATGAACCTCCTCAGCAACAGCTATAAGTTCACGCCTAAGGGTTCTGTGAAGGTCGCCGCTTTTGTTACTCGTGAAGGCAGGGGTCGAGTGCGTTTGGAATGTTCGGTCGCGGACACAGGAATAGGTATCTCAGAAGAGAACAAATCCCGTCTTTTCAGACCGTTCTCTCAAGCGGACAATTCAACAGCTAGGTCATATGGTGGCAGTGGGCTAGGATTGAGTATCTGTAAAGCCATCATTGAAGACGTACTCGGAGGGTCTATTTGGCTAGAATCGTCTCCAGGCGCAGGTACAACAGTGACGTTCCAGCTTGTTTTCCACAAAGCACCCAGGGAAACGGTAGCTACTGCACCATGGTCGCAAAATTTGAACCAAGCTGAAAGCCACGACATCACACATGCGATTGCTCGAGATCTCACCAACGTTCCTCGCGACCAAATCCGCGTCTGCATTGCTGAAGACAATCCGATTAACCAAAAGATTGCAGTTAGGTTTGTGAAAGGCCTTGGTCTCGAATGCGAGGCTTTCAGTGACGGTCAACAAGCAGTCGAAGCTCTATGCCAGCATGCGACTGAAGGCAGGCCATTCCATATAGTGCTCATGGACGTTCAAATGCCTGTTTTGGATGGTTACGATGCCACGCGCATGATTCGCAAACAGTCGGACCCTAATGTTAACCAAGTTTTGGTGATCGCCATGACTGCTAGTGCTATTGCGGGAGACCGCGAAAAATGCTTGGAAGCTGGCATGAACAACTACCTTGCAAAACCAGTGCGATCGTCTGTTCTCAGTGACATGCTAAACCAATATCTTGCGCCTATCAAACATCAAGTACGTCGGCGTCCGGTTGTCCGTCACAGCGATAGCGTCCGCAGTGACAGCGTGGGTACGCCGGGAAGTAATACGTCTTCGTCTTCAGCCAGTCAAGTTATCCTGCTTACACCGGAGGATGAACGACTGCAACCTCGGACGACAACGCCTAGCACTGAAAAACAACTTCCCGAGCGTCCTGCGGTGTCGCCGAAGCAAGATCCCAGTTCTGCACCGTCCTAGTAGCTATTTGCCCTTGTTTATTTATCACAAGACTGCCGATATCTGCTTATTGTATAAACTTTGTTATACATGTCTTCCATGTTCACGAGACATGTGTTGACATTTCACTTTTGTGTGTTTTGTGATATCCCCTACGAATTATGATGGCGTCACTACTATGTTTTGGTGGTTTTGTGTACATTCGTATATATTCTATATAGATATGTTTATAGTGCGAGGGCATAGCGAGGAGAGGTCAGTCTCCTTGGATACCGAGACGGTTTGTGATTTAATAGTTCAATGTTTCAATGTTATCAAATATTAAACTGATGGTTTAACTTTATCTACGCCCTCTGTCCGAAAATCCTGAACCTCTTTACACCCCCATCCGGAACCAATGTCAGTTTAACGTGAGTAAACACTCGCTTGTCCTCTCCACCAGCAGCCAAATCGGCACCTTCAAAGACATGCTCGGTGTCCGCCTTCGTCTTCTTATCCCCGCTCAGCAACTCTACCCAGCCGGGATGGTTGTGGCCAGGATCTTGTGCATTATCAGATTTGACAATACCATGAACCCGAACCTCTCTCGGGAAATTGCCCCGAAAGTCCTTAGTGTCGATAACAATTCTACTCACTGTGCCCGGAAGCCCCAGTCGGAAAATCGCCCAGTCGACGTGGCCAGGTGTGCGTGACCGTGCTGTTTCCCAACCATCGCCCATGTCTTTCCCACGACCCGGAAGAATGGTGTTGGAGGCCGGTGTGTAGTGTTCGTCCGATGCAGAAATTGCCAGACCACCCAACAGCGCAGACGATAGTTCCTCCGCCACTCCAGCCGTAGCTGCTGCTGCCGGTGGCGGAGGGATGGCATGGCCGTACAGTCTTAACCGCGAGAACCCTCCATCTGGATACATCAGCAGGCGGACATGAGTATATGCTTTTGGAGAATCAATCTTCCAAGCACGCCGCTGACTCGGCCCGCACTCGACGATGGGCAGAATCGTACTCCATCCTTTATAGTCAGGGCTCGCGATCTCCTCGTCAGTGGCCTGTCCCTGCGGTAGGTATGCGCCTTGCAGCTCGGCCTTTTCGCCGTAGTTGCCCACGAAATAGGAAGTGTCGACTTCGACGCCCTCGATGACGCCGCTTGCCACGCCGAGTTTTATGACTACCCAGTCGTATGGCGCGGGATTGTGTCTGCGTGTCTCCCAGCCATCATACCACGCGCCAGTGTGCACGAATACGCCAGGTTTGTGGATAGGAATGGTCGGCGTGAGGAGGTTCTCTGCGGCGGCGAAGTAGTCGTCTGAGCGAGAGAGGACCTTTGCGTTGAGCGCGGACGAGGCGAGGTTGGTGGTGCGAGCAAAGACTTTGTCGATCTGTAAGTTGGGGATTCGCGTGACCGAAGCGGGGGCTTCCATGGCGGCGGCGTCAGGCAGGTTTAGTATTGCTTGGTGTATTATGTGTACACTGTATAGGACTATGTGTGTATAGTGACAAATCTCTACTCTGGCTGGGCAATTGAAGTCTCGACAAGGTCCTCTGAGACAAGCCTCTATGAGGGGAAGAGGGGAACCCTTATCTTATCGGCCTGGCTGATTGATTACTCGATGAAATTTATAACTCTCGCCCAGTACCAGTAGTAACTAACCTAATTAAAGCAATTGAAGTAGTTAATTAGTCGCTACCGAGATCCACTGAGGGAAGTAACTTCTGTATGCGTTGGTATCGATCTGTATCGGCTTATACCGATATTATCACAAAGTTAAATGCGACTGTCGGAGCTCGCCGATGACCACCACAGGCTGTCACACACCTCTCGGTTGTGAGAGTGCAACTAAGTAATATTGTGTATATTGTGTAAGCGGTATTTCTAACAGTGTACATATTTTACAAACATAGGAAAGCTCAGTTCAAGAAGAAGAGGACGGCCAGTTCTTCCCAATGGTCTCCATCCCGCCCATCCACTGTCGCAGCACCAGCGGGATCACGACAATTCTTCTGCTCTCGTCCCAGCAGTTCTCTAGGATGGCCGCCAGCACTCGGGGCACAGCAATCGCTGTCCCGTTGACTGTATGCGGATAACGCGGTTTCTTGCCGTCGCGGCCGCGCACTCTCGTGCCCAATCGACGGCTTTGGTAGTCTGTACAAATCGAAGCAGAGGTGACCTCCCCCCATGCAGTCTCCAAATTGACAGCCTCGCCTGACCCTGGCTGCTCGCTGGTTCGTAGACGTGAAGGAAACAATGCCTCAATATCGCATTTCCTCGTAGCACTTGCCCCTAGATCACCTGTGGGCATTTCTAGCACTCGGCACGGCAGGCCGAGGGACGTGAGAATCTCGAATTGTATATCTAGCAGTTCGTTGAATAGATCATTCAGGGGCGCGCAATTGGCATGCGTAATATCCGAGGCATCAGACCTCACATTATCCGACCAAGCAAATAGCTCTACCTTGGTAAACTCGTGGACGCGATATAACCCCTTGGTATCCACACCTCGCGCTCCAGCTTCAGCGCGGTAGCATCGACTTGGACCAACGAATTTAAGCGGTAAGAGAGATTCATCGATCTCACGCCCCGCGTACATTGCGGCCAAGGGGATTTCTGCTGTGCCAGCTAGCGACCGTTGAGGCTTCACGCTGTCTTTCTCGCTCTGCTCAATATGCCAGACTTGCTGCTCGTTGTTCTGATCCCTTGGCTGGTACCCGCAAGCTTCCTGGAGATAAGAGTAGACGATCGAAGGAGGGGAGACAGGTTTCCATCCACGTCGCAATGCAACGCTCAGTGAATACTGGATAAGGGCTTGCTCCAATAAGGCGCCCTCGTTGGTAAGGAAATACCAGCCCCAGCCGGTCGAGGTCGCCGAGCTCGTAAAATCAATCAAGTTCAACGACGTGCCAATCTCGACATGGGAGCGACTCGGGTCGTGCTTTGTTGCCCACGATGGAGGGTTTGCAGGGTCGTAGTTGAGATATTGAATAAGTCGAGGTGCATCACCGACGGGGGTTTGGAGGGAGGTGAGATTAGGCAGTGTCAACGCAAGCCGTCGAATTTCGTCATCTATCTGTTCCTTCTGTAACATTGCCTTCTCAGAGGCATGCTTTAGTTTGTGCGCGTCCTCCCGCAAGGCGGCTATCTTCAGCTTTGTTTCTTCTGGTGTCAGTCCCTGGGCAGCAATGCGCGAAATCGCCTTTTCCACCTCTTTTATTTTCTGGCGCGGGCTCTTGAGCTCCTCCACCAGTCTCGCAGCTTCCTCGGCCAGCTCTCGGATGCGGAAGGGGTATTCTTTGTGGGAGGCATAATTGCGATCGACGCAGTTCTGCGAGAACAGGCTGGCGTTGTCCTTGATCAGCTTGACATCGGGGACAGCTTTCGGGGCGGTCGGGGGGCGCAATTCGGCACTGCGACGACAGGAAGAATTAAATGCTCGCTGCTGTATGCAGTTGGACCATCTGTTTAGCGACGGCACTCGACGGGCGAACTTCGCAGTCGCCATCAGACATGAATCATGAATTATTGAAGTCATCCATCGAGGTAGAAAATGCGGAGCGAGTCACTATTGCTCCACCCGCTAGGCTCGATCGGGACAATACTTACTTATACATCTATCTCTCTATATTTTATAGAAAGAGGTTTCTTTATTATATATTATTATCATTTATATTATTAAATAGATAAAAACTCTCTGCATCTTTGTTATAGAGCTTAGTGTGTATATTATTAATTAGCAATTGCTATCTATGTATTGGGTGACCGATTCTGCAATTGTGGGCGGGACAATCGTCATCGCGTGCTAATCATCTAATTATTAGGTTACATATATGCATGCAGGAATGTACAGAGTAGTTAACTAGTTGGCAATAGCAACCCCTCACCGGCCCAGCATTATAAATCCAGCCCTTCGCCGAGCAGTCGGTTGCAGGTATTATTTAATTAAATAATATCACTGCCGCTGTTGTTTGTGTTTGTGTTTGTGTTTGTATCCTACTGCGGTGACGTCAGTCATGGCTTCTGCAACAGGCATCCCCGAAATCCATCCCAGCTCGATTGCAGCAGAGGAAGAGCCTCTCTTGGGTCGCAGCGGAGACGTCCAGCAAGGGCAATCAGAGCCCATCTACCATAATTTCCTCACAGGTACGTCTCTGGTCGGAGAGTGCGTTAGAGACCGAGTTATTGATTCTTTGCTTAGGAACTGCTGTGGTCGGCCAGGCTGGAATATGGGTGGTAAGCAGATAACCATTTCTCAGAACTGAAAATGATGGAAATACTGAAAATGCTTCCTAGCTCACTGCTGTTGTCTGGACGGCTATTTTCTCGCATGACTTGATCTTCTTTTCGGCGCATCCGGTAAGTATTCCTGGCATTTATTCCTACACCTTCTGGCGAGTTTGCTAAGTCTCTATTAGCTTCTCAACTCTGCTGCCATTTTACTGCAAGTTCAGGCCATCCTCGTACTCCAGCCCACTTCAACCCGTCAACAAAAGACCCTGGGGACCTACATTCATTCTGCCCTGCTGACGTTGAGCCTCGGCGCTTTCATTGCCGCCTTCACCATCATCGAAATCAACAAGGGAGACCATCAGCGACTCACATCCCCACACAGCGTTCTTGGTCTGATCACATATATCATCATTATACTACAAGCGTCGGTCGGGGTCGCTCAATTCTGGGCTCCAAAGTTGGTCTTTGGTAGTGTTGAGAATGGGAAGAAGATATACAAGTATCATCGCATTTCTGGATATCTCCTCCTAGTGCTCGAGTTCGCCACAGTCTCTGCGGCGACTCAAACAACATTCAACTTGGACGTGCTGCACATCAGACTGTGGGTGGTTCTTGTGACTGCTGTCATTACTATATTAGGCGTGGGTGCTCGCATCAAGAAAAACAAGCTTGGCCTGAATAGTGCCTAGAGAAAGGCATGGACAATACGCATAGACAGGATGGAGGATTAATATCTCTGACGGAGTATCTTTATCAAAGCATTTTAATCTATTGTCTAGTAAGCAACTAATTCTTGCGCATTCATCAAATATATGTCCTCAGATACTCAACCAATGCCATAATCGCCATCGCCTGCCCGTACGGCATGGAAGTGATTGGTATCTCCCTGTAAAAATCTAAAGTATCTCCCATAGCCGTCCCAAAGCTCGTGTTTTGGAGCTCGCCTCGATGGTCGATCGCGCCCAGTACTGCATTGACTGCCTTCTCAGCAACCTCCCTGTATTGCCCTCCTATGTATCTCTTGCGTTGCGCTTTTAGGATTCCAAATGCAAATCCCGCAGTGGCTGAGGCTTCAACATATGACCCTTCGTCCGCATGATCAAGCAGAGTGTGCCAGTAGCCTGTCGGTTCTTGGAAATGTAGCAGGGCGGCACACTGCGCTTCTAATGTGTCGATGAGGTGCAAGCGTATTGGGTCATTGGCAGCAAAATCAAGCAATTCCAATATTTCCGGAATGACAATAGTTAACCAGCTATTTCCTCGAGCCCATCTGGCCTGTGCAAAGTTATGTCCCCCTTCTTCAAACGTCCATCCGTGGAAAAAGAGACCCGATCGAGGGTCGAAAAGATATTTGATGTGTATGAGAAATTGCCTCTTAGCTTCTTCAACATACTCTAACCGTCCAAGCAGCTTTCCAATCTTCGCTAATGGGAGCACCGTCATCATCAAGGTATCATCCCAGAGCTGCTGGTGGTTTTCCGTGACATAAGTCGCATGCTGCATGCCACCGTATTTTGTCCGCTGCAGACCGTGCATAGCCCACTCTGCCCAGGTATCCAACCAGGGGAGATATGTGACATTTCCAGTCCTCTCATACACATATGCCAGTGTTAGAAACACTGCCATTGTATTGATATTCTTTGTAGTTCCCCCTTCCGCAAACCGTGCAGCGAACCAGTCTTCGATGATCTTCAAAAGAGAGTCATGGCCCGTCACCTCGTAGTACTTCCACACGCCGTAAAGCCCGATGCCGTGCGTCCATTCCCAGCCAGCCCAGGACTTCGTATCGATGATGCGCCCATCGTCGAGATGCAGCAGGAACTTGCCAGACTCGTCTTTGATATTGATCAGATTGTCGATCAACAGCCTAATCGCATTGTGAACGTCGGCGGCACGGGGTTTGGCGGAAGACATGGTCATCGGTTTAGTATAACTGGGATGATCGCATCTCACATGGCGGCCTGCTGTTGTATGTATATACGATCTCGGTGTATGTATGTTAAAGAACATGAGCTCGGGATATCGACAGTCCGAAGGAGGCATCATCCCCGCATGCCAAGCCGAGCTTCACTCGTGCTTCTCTCCGACAACTAAAACTGCTCTGGCTTTTCCACCAATCGTGGAGGGCCGGTTCGTCTTTCGACAGGATTAGAGTCTCGTACTTTGCTGCTGTCCCTTTCGAGATGGGTTTCTGATCTGTATTGGGCACGCACGGCCTTTGGAGCTGGCCTGCAATCCGGGGTAATAATGCCCGGGGAAGGACGAGGGTGTGAGTATATTATCTACGCCTTATACTTTGAGTCCAGTGCATGACTATCATATCTTGCTCGCCAGCACCTGTATACTGGGCTGATAGTCATGGCAGAACACAACCGACCTGAGATGGAGATCACCGATTCCTCAGCAGTCGATCATCCAGCGTCAGTCGAGTTGAGCCCGGCCAAACACCATGATCCTGAAATAAGTCACATCGAGCGGGTTATATCTCCCGAGGTCGACAATGCAATCAAAAAAGACCAAATTGACATGTCCCGTGTCGACAAGGAAGTCCAACAGTACATCAGCGCTGGTCAAATTGAGATAGATCCAGAGACCAGTCGAAGACTGCTGAGGAAGATTGACCGTCGCGTGTTGTCGTTTATGGTCATCACGTATTTCTTGCAGGCTATTGACAAAGGCACCCTGGCGTTTACATCCATTATGGGCATACAAACAGATACACATCTAGTCGGACAGCAGGTGAGACTGTCAATCTAGATAGCTTAATTAGAACTCGCTGATTCGTAACAGTATTCCTGGCTTACTACTTGTATTTATATTGCCGTCCTCATTGTCGAGTATCCGACGAATTGGATCATCCAGAGGGTGCCAATCGCAAAGTACCTCGGCGTTAATGTGATCTGCTGGGGCACAGTTCTTGCTTGTCATGCAGCTTGTCATTCCTTTGAAGGCCTGGTCACTGTTCGAACTTTGCTCGGCATATTCGAAGCTTGCTGTCAACCATCGTTTATTATCCTGTCAGGTATGTGGTACAAGCGCGAAGAGCAAGCTGCCAGGGTGTCATATTGGTGAGTTTTCCCTGTTAGTAATATAAAGAAACATGAATTCTAATCACATATAAAATAGGTACATGATGAATGGTGGTCAGCAAATTGTCGGTGGCCTCCTCGCCTACTGCTTCAGCTTGATTGGAAATGATAAATCTCTTAAATCCTGGCAAGCCATTTTCCTAACGTATGGCTGTATCTCTGTTCTATACGGCATCGTTCTTATCATACTTATGCCTGATTCGCCAATGCGTGCCAAATGTTTCACCGAAGAAGAGAAACACCTCATGATTGAGCGTGTCCGAAGCAATCAAACTGGTCTGCAGAATAAGATATTCCGTGCCTATCAAGTGAAAGAGGCTATCCTCGATCCGCAGACATGGTGTTATTGTGCTATACAAATATTCACCACCCTGCCGACGAGTGGTCTGGGCGCCTTTGCCAATATCATCATCACAGCCCTGAACTTCACCGTTCTGCAGACACAGCTACTTGCCATGGTACTCGGGTTCTATATCATCATCGTTCTCCTGTCTTCTACCTGGATTGTCAATCGTACGGGCCAGAACCTTCTTGTCATGGCTATATACCTAATTCCGTACGTTTCCACAATATCCGCTTCTTATATTTAACTAACAGTAGTCATACAGTTCCTTCGTTGGCACTATCGTCCTGATGACCGTCGTCAACCGCAATAAATCCACCCAAGTCGGTCTACTGATCAGCTACTACCTAACACTCTCATTCTGGTCTGCGCAGACCCTGACTCTGAGTATGGTTTCCCGCAATATCGCCGGCCAAACCAAAAAGGCATCCGTAGTTGCAGCAACCTTCATTGCTTGGGCCGTTGGAAACGCCGTGGGACCACAGGTATTCCTGAAGAGAGATGCCCCGCGCTACTTTATCGCCTTCAGCGTACACCTCGTGTGCTATTCCCTCATGCTCGTTGCTATATTTTTTCTCAGATGGTGGCTCAAACGGGAGAATGCTAAGAAGGACGCTCTCCTACGCACTGAAATACCAGAGGCTGGGGATCCAGATATGGTACATGCCTTTGAGGATCGCACGGATCGGGAGAATGTGAATTTCCGATATGTTTATTAAATTTCAATCATAACACTGTCTCAACATGATAATTGTGGCACTCTGCGTCAAAGGGTATAGAAGACCAAATCATAAAAACATAACCCTTCAAAAATGACTTCCTCATTAGCATCCAAAGCATTTTCAATCCTAGCAAATTGTAACACTCGCGAAAAGGATATCATGTTTTTCATCAATCATAATCTCGTGTATCAGGTAAAGAAGATAAAAAGGGGAATGCCAACACGTCTAACCCGCAGACCAACGCAGCAAAATAAAAGTTTGCGCTCAACGCATCTGAATGTGATTGATATTAATGTAATTTCATCTCCACGGGAGATCAGCCTCTTCGACCCTAGTGCAGGTCAGATATGGCAGTCCTCCAATGCCGCCATCACCGACGCCGCTTCCCCCGGCCCCTCCGCCAGTATCGCTTCCTTTGAGATCCAGCTCAAGGAAGTTTCTCATTAGCGGTTTTACAATCTCGCGTGCTAATCGTTTGATCTCGTCCATCTTGCGCTCAAAACGCTTGAAGCCATCGCGTGTATAGAGAGATTCCGAGGACGAAGAGGCTCGGAGTTTGAGGAATCGTTTCAGCTCGTCGTGCGGCAGGTATGCTTCAGTTGATGATGAGCCGATGAGACGATATACACGGCCTGACGGAATAGGCGCTGCGGAAGAGTGTCGTGAAGCACCGCTATTAGGCCCAGAACCAGCGGAAGTGGTCTTCAATATCGGTGCTGGGGGTGGAGTTGTGTTCTCTACAAACCACTGTCTGAAAAGTGAAACTGCAAGCCAGTCCAAGTAGGCATTCGATGGACTGACCCGCTCGCCCCGTGAGGTGGTTAGAGTCAGGCGGAACAGTTTTGCGTCGACACGCGTCTTCAAATCTTCGAGATCGTCTACTTTATCCTCGATTAAATCTAGGACTGAATTCGGCAGTGGTGAAAAACTAGCATTTCGTAGCTGACTCTGTGCTGCGGGCCATTGCCCCACAACATGAATCAAAGCTTCGGAAAATATGACACGGCTGTGGGCTAGATAGCCCAGTTTTAGATAGCTCGGCGGATACTTTGCGATTTGTTTGAACAATCGAGAGGAGAATCGTAGCAGGTGGTGGTCGATACGTGACCCAACAACTGGAAGTGCATCGTACATGTCTGCTAGGTTGAGCAGAGACTTGGATTCCGCATAGGCGGTTGCGATGTTCACGCTGTTTAGAATTGGAGAGAAGTTGTAGAATATCCGGAAGAGATTATCATAGTCGCGAATGAGCGGGTTCATTTCAGCGTCTGGGACGGCTCCGTTGGAAGGGATGTGCACAGCAGATTGCATGCCGGCTAGGTTCACGACAGACCGGAAAAAGCCTGCTCGAGGAGCAGATGGTTTTGTGATTGACTGAGGTGGAGGGTGCGCAAAGCTCGAGCTTGCAAACATGGGTTCGGATGTTGCAGGCTTGTTCAGTTTAGCAACCACAATACTACACAGATCTACGTATGAGACACACCTTTTGTACCAGAATAGGCTCCTCATCTGCTTCTCTATGCTGCCAATCCAGTTCATATCTCCATCTTTGCCTTGGCGGCCCAGAAGCTCCCAGCAGACTACCCCTCCCGGACAAAATGGACGAGCCATCCTCCGGGACGCTGGGCAAACTCGGGTCTGAATCGATGGCAGCCGCGGCATCCTTCTGTGTCTGTGTCTGTGTCTGAGTGGACGGCCATTCTTCACTAGTACTTGCTTCGAAAAAGCCCGAGCATTGCGATAAAATCAATCGGTGGAGCAAGTACCGCTTCTCTTGTCGATCGACTGCAATGACTATTTCAACATCGCCGGTGTGTGCAAATATCGGGAAATCGTTCTGCGGCTGGTAGGATGATCCGCCATGGTGTGAGCGGCCATGGCGTGGTCGTCGGCCGGACTGCGACAAACGCGATGAAGTCGAAGCTGGAGGAGGAGGGGCAGTGTGATCGACCGCGTCGGGGTAGGAGACCATGGCCGCGACAGCTGTGTGTAAGCAAAGGAAGCGACTCCCTTACTCGGTCATCGTCGAGTGTCTCAACAGGTTCGAGAGTCCGCAGCAAACAGTCTTCTTTTTCCTTTTTCCTCGAGGAGTGGTGATCTCTGGCGCTTTTCGTGGTTTTCGAGGGCCGTACAAGCAGCGACTGGGACAGTGCGCCAGAAAGACAGAATACGGCTTCCAGTCCGATTCCGCTACGTCAAAGGAGGGGATGCAGGGTCGAAGGAGGGCAACACCAGAGAGTCTGATCAACAACGCGAGGTGAAGAAGGGATGAAATGAGAGAGTGCAGCAGCAGTAGCCAATAAGCCCGCAGCGAGCCCGCTTCCGGCCACTCTCAGCTGGCACGAGGCTGTGTGCAGCCACTGCACATCTGGCAGTGGCGAAGTTGAATACTACTGCAGAACCATTACTGGCAAGTTATATCGTATTAATTTATCAATTAATACATAGTAGTACTAGTTAAGTGCGGCATGTGAATGTTAATCTCCGGTTTTTGATTCCTCTCGATACGCATTAGTCATCATATCCTGCCAGGTTCGCACCTTCTTCACCTGACTGCAGCCGCAGTTCTCTGCATCTCTATGCTCTGTTGACTGTCTGTCAAACAGTTGACTGCTAACAAGAGGCACAGGGATGGCGGCTACCCTGGACCATCCGGGTTGGACCGCCAGAGCATTTCACGACTGACAGAAACCGATAAGACAGCGACCCCGCTCTCGTCATTCGTGAATCATGCCCAAAGGATGCTATACCTGTCGCCGACGCCGCATCATCTGCGACAATCGTCGTCCGACCTGTCGCAAATGCCATGATGCTGGGAAGCAGTGTCTAGGCTATACGAAGCCATTGGTATGGGTGAAAGGCGGCGTTGCAAGTCGGGGGAAGATGATGGGGTTGAGCTTCGATGATGTGAATGGTCAGGAATGTCATGAGCGAAGCAGTAGTCATTCTCGCCTAGAGCGAAACACAGAGCAACAAGCGGCACTTGATCAGTCACATCAAGGCTCGTATGAAAATGAAGCGTGGAATCTACAGTCCCAAGGACAACCACTGCCTGAAGCAACCCTAGCCAAATACAATAGCAACGATGAAACACTTGTACACATGCGAGAGCTATCTGCAGAGTCTCCTTCATTTTCACTAGTGGATCCGTTGTTTCGAGATGTGGCGGCGCTGTCGAGGTTCTACATCTCACACTGTAAGACGCCTCTCAAAGAAATATTCAAAAGCGCAATCATTGATTAACCCAACTAGTCAACCTCCATTGCGTCCGTACACTTGCTCTATACGATTCTGTCAGAAATCCCTACCGAGAACTTATACCCTACATCAACGAATCCCCCGTGTTGACTGACTCGCTGGCCGCGATTGGAGCAATACATCATGCATATATGTCAACCTGTGACTACCAATTTCCTCTCCTACCCGTCAGCGACGAGATAGCAGAGACTTCCGCCTTATCACTCTCCAGACCAGCCCAAAGCCTCGTTCCATTTTCCGCACAGCCCGTCAATTGCAAAGCATTCGAACATTTCCTATCGCTAAAACAGCGAGCATTGCATCAGCTATCCAAGGATGTGGCACAACCGGCAACCCGCAATGACGATCGAACAATTGCAGCCATTTTTGTCTTGATCTTACTCGATGCTGTTGAATCGGGCAATGGGGCATGGAAATACCATCTTGAAGGCGCAAAAAGCATCCTGCGAAATAGACTCTTAACTGCCAACGAATACTCGATGATGACAGAAGGTATCAGCACATTTGTGATCGACGCTTGCTTGATCACCGAAATCATGGGTTCAACCCTCGCCCGGCCTGGTGCTCTATCCGAGCCCTTCTATTCCCAGAGTATGGGCGCTACGGTTCTCAAACGTCTCGAGAAAACCGCCTGGGTAGGCTGCCCTGCGTATCTCTTGGACATTATATTCTTCATTCACGCTCAACGGTATTCAAACCTCAACCAGACTCCACAGAATTACTCATTATCATTCCTATCTTCATCAGGCGAAGCAACACAAGCAGAGTCACCGCTCGCCATTCTACGGCACATCGACGCCTTTGACCCTTATGCCTGGGCCGAGGAAATGCAGTCCTATCTCCTTTTATCCGATTCGTCCCAAAAGGTCCGGGTTGCTCTTGCATGTGCATACAAAGCTGCAGTCTACCTCTACGCGCGAAGGGTGGTATCCAAAATGAGCAGCTTCTTGTCAGACTGCGAAGCAGCAGGTAATCAGGCACCCCGAGATCGGGAAATAGTAGAAAGTGAGCTAGTGCAGAATCTATCACTGATTTCGCCGGATGACGAGCATTTCAAGTGCACCATCTGGCCGACGTTCATCGCCGGTGCGGAGAGTATGTATCCAACACAGCGGATCTTCACGCTACAGCATTTGAATCTCTTGTGGAATGATTATTGCAGTGTTAATCTGCACAATGCAGCATGCGTGTTGAAGATTATGTGGCAGAAACAAGATGAGAGGGGTAGATTGAACGAGAGGCGGCGAACTGAGTTGTCTGCGTTCGCGTTGCAGGAAGATGAGGTGGATTGGATTCAAGAGCTTGATCAGTCGAGGTCAGATTGGCTTTTTATATGATGCGACTAGTTAATATACTGGAGCAGTTATGTATTCGGGTCATTCGGAATGACAAGATGTACAATGGAAGTGAACATGATATAATACACGTAAAGGAATACCAAGGTTCTGAATAGTAAATCTATACTATTCTAATTTTATAAAGTAAGTAGCCTATCATTATTAATATAAAATCAATAAATCCATGTATCCAGTGATAGAAGACCTTGAAAATAATAGAGACTTTAATATTTAACAAAGTATCCATTATATCGCAAGTAAACCAATAAATCCCATCACTACATATGTACCAATTATCAATTTCAAATGTTAATCCGGTGAATAATATATACAACGAGCAAGCTAAGACTTATATAAGTCCGAGGGAGCTTCGTCATCGTTTCTCTTTTCTTTTCGCTTCACATTTTGTTATTTTAATTTGTTCCAATGCCTCTCATGAGATGCTCGGTGTATACAGTTGGCATCAATTATACACCAGACGAATGAGCTCAGAATTGGCGAAGTGGTTAATATATCAATATAAGAATTAAAATAAACCTGACCGAACCCGGAGCAATTAGGGTCACCGGGAATGTACATTCCTCCTTCTAAAGCAGATAATGCGTTTTCTAATGCCTCGGGGAACCTGTTTATTGATGGAGTAATGCCAGTAGGAGAAAAGGAATGCAGACTATGCGATCTTTTTGGAACTCAGGGTTGGTTAATAGTTGAGCCGAGAGTAGCAAGGAGTAACGACAAAGTACCTATATCCCCCGAGATGATGAGAATGTTTTCAGAGATTTTGCGTGGAAAGAGCTTCGCTATTGGACAAGATGGCGTGCAAGACCTAACTAGAAATCTCTTTAACTAGTTCCAGGAATACGGTGCGATAGGGTTCTTACTACAACCAGGCCACTATATATATGGTATAGCGAAGACTTCTACAGACCTCAAAGACCTTGTACTTCGAACTGTATGACATGCAGGATCCTTTGACGATTCCAAGGCTATATAGCTCGAATGACAGTTCATCCTGTGAATGAACAGCAGAAGTATCCGTCACACGCTGCTGATTATATATTAGATAGGGCAACATGTGCAGGTATATCCATGAAATCATACAATGGTCAATGAATTAGAATAAATAATAATAGGAACAATACCGGTAATACACGTCACATCACCACATTCAATGTCGGAATCAAACACTCACTAAATGGCTTGCAAAGTTTCTAAAAATGCAGTATGTTCTCATTTTCTCAATAGAAAGGGGTAAAGAAGAAAGAAAAAAGAAATTCTTCGTAGCATTGTATGCCGAGTCTGTATAAGCCAAAGATTGAAAAGAAGTACAACGCCCACCAAAGTCTCATTGGTAATGCAAGTAAATAAATAACTCGAAGGTGCGGTATATTCCCCGAACAGGGTAGCAAGAGAGCAATAACCAACCATGCTGGCAAAGTATAAATATGCATACCATGATAAAAACGCTCGATGAAGGTCGACAATTATGTGTTGCGTAGAAAGACGGGTATAAGGGGAAAAAAAATTCAACGAGCAAGGATTGAATTGACGTCCGCTAAAAAACTGCAGCTAAGCCATTCTTCGAATGTCGCTTGCTAAATCGCTTTTTCCCTTTGATCGACTCTGTATCTCCAGCTTGGTGCTTCTGCAGGGTCGTCCTCCCGGATACTGCTCCGGATTCATTTTGATGGTGGAACTCGGAGCTGTGGTCAATGGTATTTGCCTGGCTCGAAAATGCTGATGACAGGTCACGATATTCGTCTGCCGAGTATGTACTGCTTTGTTGTGACATGGCGATATCCTTGGCCCGGTCAAGTGCGTCTATCCACTCTTGCGTCGATGTAGCTGCCGGTTGCGAGCTAGAAGAGGCTGCTTTTGATGATTCTTCAAAAACAAAGTGTTTATCTCGCTAATGCAATAAGTTGGTTTGAAAATAATAAAAAAAAGGAGCGAAGCTTACCGTAGTGACAACCCAAGAAGCGGAACCCTTTGCATCAACATTGCTTCGATAGGTAGTGTCAGGGGCTAAAAGTGGAATTTCAATCTTGACTCTTTTATCGTCGCCACCAGCAGGCGCCAGAATAATTCGAGCCGACGACGTGATCATAACTAGTCTCTGTTTCTTTTTAGTTATACCACTACCAAAGAAACGAGAGAATTTCTTCGATGGTTCCGGATCTCCATTGCCACTGCGCCCTGCTGGGCTGTGGGGGGCCGGAGAAATATATACGGTCAAGTTCCCTAGCTTTAAGATTCGCTCATTGTTCTTCGAGAGAACAGGCGACCATTCAATGTCTAGCTGACTAGGAGGTGGCAACTCGGTAATAACCCGCGGATAAGCTCTTGAGTTAGGTGTCGCAGCACCAGAGGGAGCTGCAGAAATGTTCGGAGGAAAGCTGTCGGCATCGTCCCCGCCATTCAACTTGATCGGTTCTCGTGCTGGAGGGACGTATGGTTTTAACCGGGGTGCCTTTTGCTTCCACAGACCTCGCCCCCATGCTATCCCGTCAAAAAACTCGTGATTTTTGATGTGTTCAATGGGAAGGCGGCGTGCCGGGTCTAGAACAAGCAGTCTTTCGACAAGATCACGAGCAACAGGAGGGAATCCTGCTGGAAATTCGTATTCAAGTGCGACAATTTTTTGGAAGGTCAAATATTCATTGGCAGCCTTGAATGGTGGGCGACCGGCTAACAGCTGGAAGACAATGCAGCCAAAGGCCCATAGGTCACTCGCTTTGCATGCATTCTTATCTGTGAGTAACTCAGGACTGACATACTCTGCGGTACCGACGAAAGAGCTAGCGCGGTCTTCTTCCGGAAGGTCTGTTGTGTCCAGCGAGGGAACGTCGCTAAAGCTATCCTCGGTTTTCTTGGGCGTATTAAGAATCTTGGCAGTGCCAAAATCCGTAATCTTGGTGTGCATTTGACTGTCTAGCAAGATATTCTCTGGTTTCAAGTCGCGGTGGATGACTCCTCGTTTGTGCATGTAGTCGATGGTATCAAGTATCTGAGCACAATAGAACTGGGTGCATTCTTCATCAAATGTCACCATACGCTTTAATACGCCAAGCAGTTCTCCATTCTTGCAAAGATCGAGGACGAAATACAAGGAACGCTCGTCTTGGAAAGTGTAATACAGTCGTACGATACCCGGGTGATCGGTGAGACGATTCAACGTATCTTTCTCGATGTTCACGTACTTGACCTTTTTCTCCTTAATAATGTGTCGCTTATCTAGGATCTTGATGGCGTATTCATTCAGAGTTTGGCGATCCGTTGCCAAACATACCGTACTGTAGGAACCTTCGCCCAATGTCTGACCAAAGGAAAAATCGCGCACACCTTTCTTTATATATCGAGAAACAGTGCGTCCGTTGGCGTCGACCTCCTGTCTGACGCCAACAGCGGCACCACGGTCTTGCCAATCTTCACTGCTCGTCGGAGGCCCGTTTTCCAACGAGTATGGTGAACCGGAAGAGGCGGTACCGTGCCCAAGCCGCGAGCCTTGTCGCAAGGGCACCGGCCCATTTCCGGGCATATACTGGCTCTGCTTGTAGGAGCGATCACTGTGACTATTATCCCGCGACAGCACACCGGCCTGAAGCGCAGCGGATCCGCCTCTCGAATCTGAACGATACATCTTCTCGGCGCCGGACGCACTCGAGTCGGTGCGGATTCGGTAATTGTTCAGCTCTCTGACAGCGGCGGCGGCGGATGTTGTTCCATTGGCATAGTGGTTATTATGGACATGAGTCGAGGCGGAGCGGGGGATGGCACTCTGGTGGTGTTGGGAGGTCGAGTGCGAGTCTGGTAAATAGGCTACCGAGGACCGATTCGTGGGACGGCGAGACGCGGCGGTGTCGATGGACGAGACCTGAGATTTGTACGAGCTGGCAAGATCCCCCACTGAGTCTGTGCCGAAGTCTGATTTCACACCATCGAGACCCGTGATCAGTGGCAGCGAGTAGTTCTGTTGTGATTCGGCTGGTAGAGGCAGAGGGTGTTGATGAGGTTGCGAAGAAGGCAACAACGCGGCCCTTGCTTCGTCGGAGGGCAGCGGCGCGTCATCTGGGTTCGCTATCCTCAATCCACCCAGAGACTGAGAAAGGCTTAGATCACCGTCCATCGTCAGATCTGTCAAGATCGTCGCACGATCGATAAACAAGCGAGGTGTCGGTCCGACGATGCGCAGGTCGACGGCGGGATACGCAGGGGGAAGTCAGTGTCGGCACAGCACCACGTCGAGAGAGGAGAACGGCGAGACAGCAGCTACGAAGGCATGGGCGGGCAGATAAGACGTAACTAGACGGATGGAGGCGGTGATGGTGGCATCAACAACGGATGCATGATAATCAAGATGCACGCAGAGAGGCAGACGCACGGCACCGTGGATGATGCACGTTGGACGTTGGGCTGCACAGGCAGCGGCACTAGGGATTAGCAGAAGCAGGCTGTTTGGAGAGCTGGGCCTGGGCGGGCAAGACTGTCGGGCAGAGAGGTCAATTAGATCAATTAGATCGATTATTCAGTAATTATCGATGGCTCGAGGACAGCAATGGCAAGATCAACAACAGTAGCGGAGGGGAGTGACAGTGTAGCTGCAGGCGGCGCAGCAGGCGACGATAGGGGCGGCGAATCCTCGCCCGCGCCTCAAAAGGGGGAAGGACACGCAATCTGCTGCTACGTCTGGTATGCTGCATCTGATCTTAAATAGATTAAAAAAATTATAGAATAATAGAATAACAAAATAACTAAATAATAAATAATAGCAAACAGAGGCTTGCTGGATACGCCAGTCTGCTATTTCATCAGCTTTTCATAGCACGAATAACAGACATCAGTCTATCTACATCCGTAACGCTGGGATCAACAGTCAACACTGGCATGGCATGCCTGGGCAGCCTGGTCGAGATAACTCCAGCAATCATTCTGTTGCCTTGGCGCAGCGACGACACCACGCGGCGCCTGTATTACGAAATCCTCACAACATTGAACTTATCAACGGAGTACTGGGTTCGAATTCAATTGGATTTGCCATCAATAAATACTTGAATTTTTGACATTTTGCAGTCGCGCCTTCCCAGCATTATCCATGTGCACTACGTACATGTGTCAATTAATATATCAAGGGCAGGCAGGACCATGGCAGGTGTTTCCGCCATTGCTGCTCGCCTGCCTCGAGAGTCCAGATGTCCTTGTTTATATCGATCGATAACCACTATTGCTGTATCAACCCGCCATCAACCGACACTTCTACACCTGCAGCCCGACCAACATTGAACCCTAACACTGTCTCCATTGATAATGTTCCGGTCTTTGCCCTCCCGCATTCAACTGACCGACAAGGAAGTACTTCACACCCTGCAAGAGGTCTATATCGACCGAGCCATCCTCCGACGCCTCGACAGCATAGCGAGGATGAACGATATGGCTCCGAGCCAGCACGGCCTTTTGCATCGAGAAGAAAGCCTACCGTCATCGCTCTCACTTTCGTCAGACTTGCTTCTGTCCGATAGGGATAGGCGCGATGCGAATTGCTTGCTTGCATCGAGCTCGCGAGAGAACTCGCCTTTTTGTCCCGACGACGCCGATCATGACGAGAGTCTTTCGTATCAGATGCGTATACCCGCTCGCCTACTTCGTTCGAGAAGAAACCTGTCTCGTGGTGGTGGCCAGAGGTACAGGCAAGAGCTCACCTTCCTAACCGGTAGCTATAACACACCCACCCCTGCGTCAAAACCATTCTCTTTACTAATATAGTTTATATCGCAAGATGATGGGAATGACAAGCAACGAGAGAGTCCGGTTTCTTCAGTATCCTTCAACTCTCTTGTTAGCCCGGCTTCCGATTATCGCCCTTCTCCAGCTCTTGGCTATAAGATGACGCTGCCTGATCCGCGTTATAGGATTCGAAGGGTTGTTGGGTCGGATCATCACGCTGCTTTTCGAAGGTCTTCATGTTGAGTGAGAGTTCGATGCTGTGGTTGGGTTGTGGACACGGCCTGGGTCGCTAATCATATAATTAAACGAGGTAATTAGTCTATTGGTGAATACGTGAAGGATTATCATAGGATATTCATAGTTGAGATTAGATAGACATTGAAGCCCACCAGGACTACATATGTACAGTCTAAGACGGAGTCAAAATTGACTGTTCTACATTGATATTTGAAATTTGTATAAAACAATTGTTATTCAAGTCTAAGTTCAACACTCTATGTTAAGCCGAACAGAAAGCGGCGGAGAACCTCCACAAGCCTTGTAATGTGATATGTATGCGAATTTTGTCGGGGAAAAAGGAAAAAAAGAGAAGAAAAAAGAGGTATATCCCAATTTATAAACTCTGTTTATAAATACTTCGATGCTCCGTTCCATGTACCTTCGTCACAAAAAGATAGGAAAATAAAGGGGGGAAGAAGAAAAGGAATTAAAATGGGTCTAAATATTTAGAAACGACTATAATATAAACCCAGTCGACGATGCAAATGCCAGTTATTAGATTTGACCAAAGAGACAGTCTTCTTTTTACTTCTTCTTGGCGAAAACCTGGGCACCGTCAAGAAGACGACGCTCGGTGTTCTGTCGGCCGTTGACAAAGTCGGGGTAGTTGAGGGTCAACTCGACAGCGCCGTTCACAATGTTGTCAACAGCTTCGACACCCAGCATGAACGAGTGGTCCTGGTTACCAACCTCGTAGCGCCAGCTGCCGAAGCGGCCACGAGACCATATGCCCTTCTCCTGAAGCTTGGGCAAGATCTTGGTGAGAGCACCCTCACGCTCCAGAGATGGGGTAGGGTAACCGTGGTCAAAGCGGCGGTGGTAGGTGGAGACGATCTCATCGCCGGGCTTGAGCATCTCAGTGTTGACAAGACCCTGGATGGAGTCCTTCAGAATAGTCTCCAGGTTGACAGGCTTGTAGGAAGACTCGGAAACTTCCAACATGATGGACCAGTAAGGACCAGCTTTGGCCGCGCTGCTGGCGGGCTTCGAGCCATCGGCAAGCTGGAGAGTGGGCAGCTTCTTGGATTCGTCAGGCTGGTTGTATGGAGAGTAGTTGGAGAAGATGGTGGCACGGTAGAAGGGGCAGTTGTCCTCAGGGAAGTAGAGCTACAGAGGTGTTAGTTTTCCGATTGAAAAAGTGATTCAGTCAAGGTCATAAACCTACCCAGCACTTGTCTCCAATTCGCTCAGGGCGCTCGCCGCGAATACCAACACCGATAACGTGTGTGGAGGAATAGAAGAGATCCTTGCTGGCTTCAGCGAGCTCATTGTCGCCGATCTGCTCAATCAGGTGGTCGACGGCAATGGTAGACACAAGCTTCTCATAGCCAACAGTGGTACCGTCACCGAGGGTGATGACCTTGGAGTTGGCGTTGACTTTGGTGACCTTACCGTGGTCACCAAATCGGGTCTTCTCCTTGGGGAGAGTGTCGGCAACTGCAATCCAGATGCCACCAGTACCACCACGAGCGGGGAAACGGAAAGTGGCATTAGGACCCCAGTTACCGGCAGTCTTGTTCAAGATGACATTGGTGGTGACAGCCTTGACATTAGGGGCAGCAACACGCTCGCCGAGCCAAGAGCATTGCATCTGAAAGAGGTGAGGGAATGGTTTGAGGGGGCATGGTTGGATAAGCGCTTACCTTGGTGGTGGGGACAGCCCACACCTTGAAGTTGTAGGGTCTCATGAAGAGGTCGGCCAAACCAGTGCCCATTTGACGGAGAATCCACTCGTCAAAGGTGGTGGGCTTGGAGTTAGAGACACGAGCTTCGAGGGCGGCATCAATCATGCCCTCAATGCAGCGGACCTGCTCCTCCTTGGGAAGCATGGAGATGTTGTTCTGGAAAGGGTAGGGAACCCATTTGCCCTGGCAGCGAACGTAGGAGATACGCTGGTGGGTGTACCAGTCGTCCGGCTTGGGAAGAGCCTCGTCGATGCAGTCATCGAAGTACTTGTAGTGGGAGAAGATGACGTGACCACCGACATCGTACAACTGCAGATGATGCGTCAGAAACGTTGATAGATAAGCACGAGCACGAGCACAAGCGACTTACGAAGCCTTCGGGGGTGACGTCCGTCGAGGCCAGACCACCAGGGGTCTCATTCGAGTCGAGGATGAGCCATGAGGGACCGTCCTAAGCATTGTCAGTTCTGCCCCCTTTTTTTCACACATTGTGTGTCGCGGCGCGGGGAGCGGGCACGCACAATCTGATTCAAACGCTTTGCGGCACCCAGGCCGGTAGGACCTGCGCCAATGACGAGGACGTCAACGGAACTGTGTCGATGAGGTGTCAGTGAGGCGATGCGGGTAGCAAGGTGGGATAGGGATAGGGATGTGGTGGTCAGCTCACATGTCGGGGTGGCTCATCCTGCCTTGGAGAATATCCTGGAAGCTGGGCACACGGTTCAAGGTCTTGCGGGCGATGTTAAGCATAGAAGACGACGTTGTGCTGTCGACAGCAGCAGAGCGATAGAGCAGGGCAGAAGGATTGAAGAGATGATAAAGGTCTGATGCAGCGGGAGGTTTGAGTGGGTTGGCGCAACAAGCTGTAGTGTGCTGAGCTGTCCCCTGGGCGCGCTGTGGGGTGGGCAAGAGAGACAGAGGGCGGTGTGCGGCGTGTGGTTTCAGGCCCTCAGGCTCTCGACTTGCTATTATTATTATTATTTTTTTCGCTTCTCTGCGATGGCGCCCGCCTGGTTCGGGTCTGGTGGGGCCTGCCAGGCTGGAAAGGGGCGGTGGCTAAATCATGTTAGATTACACGATATTAAGCCTTGCCATTTGCGGCTTCTGATGGGCCAGCCTCGTGCTGCTGCCCCTGAATCCGCGTTAGGCTTTCTTTATTCGTTATATTCATTATCATTTAATTTTAAATATTGAATATTGAATATTCACTCGACGTTGAAAAACTTGTGGCCATGGGAAACAATGGATGCATCCAATAAACGACAGAATAGACCTTGTATTGCTGTAGACAGGAGAACAGCAAAGGCTGAGATAAGCGTTCCAGAGAGCCGGAAACGGCCCCCTCGCCAATTGCTGGCAACTTGACAAAAAGAAGAATACAATCAGTCATCACAATATGCGATAAGCTAATATGAATCTCGCCGGAACCAAAACGTCTGCTGCAGCCAAAGAATTTATGCTTCCGTCGCGATCTAGGCATAGTACTATCACAGCATACACCGTAATCAATCGCACTATTATTATACTCGAAATTATTGTTATTGCTATCAACCACATCTTAAGTGTACCACTGCCAGGAGGCCCAGGGACCAACCAGTACACATGCCATAATATCAATGGCGTTACATTGCCAGAAAACCAAATAACAGCAGTCGGATTCGCTGATCGATGATCTTCTGGATCGCTGCACCGTTTGCCGCATTTGGCGGGCAGCGGTCAAGCAGCGAGTCGGCACTGGTAAAATGAGACCCCACCGATGAACAGGATGGAAGAATCGGCTGGTCGATCGTGACGTCGTGGGAATCCTTCTCACTCCTGGCGTTTCATCTCCGGACAAACAAACATTGTGGTCGGCTGCGCGCAGCATCGCACAGAAACGGGTTTCACTTAAGAGATAAGCTCTTGCATGCTGCATGAAATTGCATCGCGACGCTCGCGGTGGGCGTGAATCTTGATGTGGCTGCGTTGATGATTGATGTGGTTGGGAGTCGCTAGTGTTGATGACAACCCACTGCTGAGTGGGTAGCCGCGACCCACGTTCCGCTAGATGCGGTGGGCCCAGGAATAGCGCGAGCTTAGGCTCCACTGGGCCAGTGCTACCCTGGACTGACGCCAGGCGGGGCTAGGATAGCCTATCTTGCGCGTCAAGTGCTATATAATATATGTAAAACTATATGTCTAACATATATTATTTCAAGGCTACATACCTGCTACGTCAATTGATGTATACATGCAAGTTTGATGACGCCAATCTGGCTATCAATATCACCAATATAGAATAGTACGGATCAATTGATACCGTGATGATAACTCATTCCCATGATCCATCTATGATCAGACACAGACGACGTGATCCTCGTCCATGCAAGTTCTCCCGAACCATACTCCGTTGACCATCTCTGTTGTTTGTTCAGTATTACTCCGTTTGATGTGACTATCGGAGTTACACGTAGACAAGAATGAGGCACGTTGATGTCTTGTGTACGACAAGACAAGTCATACAGGCATACAGGCATTATGAATAGACTTGTTATGCGGTTACAGTCTCATTTCTTCACTACTACTTTGATGCTTGATGCGTTACAACTCCAAGTTCCAAGTGACCGGTGATCCAACGTCGATCACGGGCGGATCTACCAGTCAAGCTTTCTGAAACGCATTACTCAGTAGTCAGACTGACTATCCGTATTGTTGGCGTGAAAAGACAGATCAACGGCCGGCTGGCAGGTCGATAGATCCACAAGTCTCCATGCCGTGGATGACCATGGTGATGTATGCATGTACATTACCACGACCATCAGCGGCTTAATTATACAGTATATTGTATATGATAGGTAGAGTAATATTGATCAGCGCTGGATCATGATTGGGCAGTCGACTACACCAATGGCCTGGCCCGAGCGGGCAGTGGCGTCGGGGTGCCATGCTGGACCTGAAACCGTGCGCCATGTTTCACCCAGGGCGGCGGCCAATAAGGTGCGGCCTCCAGCGTGGCCGTTCCTGCCCGCCCTGGTTTTGGCCCTCCTTCCCGACGACACACAGCCCACCGCAGCCCACCCCTTTTCGCTATTGCCACGTCTGCAGCCCACGTTCGCTGCTCCCGGCCGGTCACTTGCCCTTGCCGCGCTGAACCCAGCCATCACAACACACTAATCTCGCTCTGTACGTACTAATCACTACTTCCCTCAATCTGGCCTCTTCCAGTCCCCAGCAGCTAAAAAAAGACTTCCCCATCACCAATCTCCTCCCAGTTCTAGAAGTCTCACTCAGGCCGATTCGGACTCATATTCTCTCGAGTCTCACACAGCCCCCTAATCCCACTTTGTCCGTCGCGCCAAAGCCCACAGAATTTTCTCCCGCTCCATTCCATCCCTTGACCCTTCCCTTGGCTCCCCCCGATTCCGTCTGCCATCATAATTACTGCTTCCTCTCCTCCCTCTCGCATTCCCTCCTATGCCCGTTTACGTCCTGCTCTTCTGATTCGAGTACCCTTTTCGTTTCGTCCTTTTTCGTCTTTACCATCCGCAATTGACCACAGCCACTCGTTCAACCCTTTTCTGACGCCGTTTCCTTTCCCCGCCACTGGGCTTTTTGATACTCTTTTATTAATCCACTTCTCTTGTCCCATCCGCTCCCCGTGGCATCCTCATCGTTCGGCACCAGCAGCCTCCTTCGGCAACGCCCTTTCGAACTCAACCAATTCTTTCGTGACCAGGCTCGTTTCTTGACCGCGACAATGTCTGAAGGTGAAAAGGCTCGTACCTCTGGCGAGGTTTCTCGTCCGGAACCCACCCTCCCAACCGTCAACCCAGATGCACAGAAGTCAGAGCCCGCCAAGGCCGCCCTGCATCCTGCTTTCTATGTGAGGTGAGAAGAACCTGGGTCACCGAGAAGAGGAAGATGAAAGAAGGCAAATGGCTAATTACTCTCCGCCAACAGCACATGGATTGCCCTAAGCTCTAGTGTGATCTTGTTCAACAAGCACATCCTTGCGAACGAGAGTGCTCCATTCCGTAAGTGATCAATAATATGTGTGGAAGCGGTTTTGATACTAACGGTGTTGACAGCATTCCGTATGTTGAAATCTTTGCACATCGCTCGTTGCTACACTGATCTGACTGATTCACAGCCATTTTCTTGACGACATGGCACTTGGCCTTTGCGACTTTGATGACCCAGATCCTGGCCCGCACCACCACCCTCTTGGACGGTCGCAAGTCTGTCAAGATGACTGGCCGTGTCTATCTGCGTGCTATTGTTCCCATCGGTATTTTCTTCAGTTTGAGTTTGATCTGCGGTAATGTCACCTACCTGTACCTGAGTGTCGCCTTCATCCAAATGCTCAAAGCCACCACTCCCGTTGCCGTGCTGTTCGCTACCTGGGGTCTGGGAATGTCCCCTGTGAACTTGAAGGTCCTCTTGAACGTCTCTGCCATTGTTGTCGGTGTCATTATTGCTTCTTTCGGCGAGATCAAGTTTGTCTTCATCGGTTTCTTGTTCCAGATTGGAGGTATCATCTTTGAAGCCATTCGTTTGGTTATGGTCCAGCGCTTGTTGAGCTCTGCCGAGTTTAAGATGGACCCTCTTGTCTCCTTGTACTACTTTGCTCCCGTCTGTGCCGTCATGAACGGTGTTACCGCGCTCTTCTTGGAGGTCCCCAAGATGTCCATGACCAACATTTATGACACTGGTCTCGTAACTCTCACTGCCAACGCTATGGTCGCTTTCTTGCTGAACGTCTCCGTCGTTTTCTTGGTAAGTTGATGTGGCTCTCGTTCCAAGGTCTACGCTAACCCTGCTTTCACAGATTGGCAAGACTTCGTCCCTGGTCATGACCCTCTGCGGTGTCTTGAAGGATATCCTCCTTGTCGCTGCTTCCATGGCTATCTGGCACACCCCGGTCACCGCCCTCCAATTCTTCGGTTACTCGATTGCCCTCGGTGGTCTTGTTTACTACAAGCTCGGTGGTGACAAGATCAAGGAGTACACCAGCCAGGCTAACCGCTCCTGGGCTGAGTACGGATCTACCAACCCTGGCCAGCGCCGTGCTGTCGTCATTGGCGCTATTGTTATTGGATTCTTCCTTTTCGTTGGTGCGCTTGCTCCCAGCTATGCACCGGAGTCCGTTGACCGCTTCCGTGGTGCTCTGGGCAGCGCCTCTACCGGCAACGCCTAAATCAAATATTAATTATCGTCGAATCTTGAAACGCTTGCCATGTCAATTTACTCCCCGATGCCTGTAGCATACGACCTTACTGGTGTGAGTTGACTCTTTCGGGGATTAGCGTGGAGAGTTACATCAAGATTTGGCATTATGAGAGGCCGCTCGCCCTCAGGAAAGCCTTTCATGTATATGGCTATAACTATACCGTGTGATGAATCTGCACGGGTTTCGATGAGTTGCATTGACCACGACGGAGGCCTTTTTACATGGCCTGCAACGGTTGGATCCGCTGGAAAATGCAGCGAATGTCCCAAAGTTTCTTTTTTGACATGATTTGCTCTTCTTTCGTCTTCATCTTTTAATCCCCTCCTCTTTGACTTTCGACTTTTTTTTCTTTTTCTCTTTGACAGGATGGGGCTGCCAAATACTTTTTACTTCACCTTCGGCTCTTGCAGTCGCCCGCATGCGCATTTTCCTCCCTTACTACACATTGCATTGTGACTATACGCGTGACTACATTATTTCGATGTTTAGAATAGAAAGGTGCACCGGGGTTCGGATTTGTCATTAGTTTTTGTACCAAGATACCGGAAATCAAAAATCCTCAGTTCCCGCAGTCCCTTCTATCTTCCTATCTCCTATCTATCTTGCCCTCTGCGCCATCAGCCTCCTGCTTACTGCCTAGATACGATATCTTCTCAGCTGAGCTTATCGCGCGTCAATAGTCTCGAGACCGGTCTTACTGCAGACACGAGGGTGATGGCGTGCTAGCCTGCCAATTCCAGTGGCCTCAGGCGGCTTGGGAAATGGGCTGCGAATCATGACGCGTGATCCGTGATTACTACATGCAGTAGCAGCAAATAGCCAAAGCTTCGCTGCCGCTCGGCCCCACAAATTCTTTCTGTGCAGGCCCTCATTGGCCCGGTATCCAGACTGCCAGAACCTGTCCAATCAAGGCCTGTCCAAGGTGGAACTGTGGAACGTGATGCCCACCATGCCGACGACCGACCACTCACAGCAGCCCGCTTACCCGGATGCTGGTCTCGCAGGCTCAAGCGCCGGATTGATCTTCCTCTTTCTCGGCGCGACGCGTAGTGGCCAGCCCGGGCGCATTCCGTGTCATGGATGGCGCCGGCTTTGGGGACTCAAGCCACCAGTTGCCGGAGCAGCCTTCCCGCCCTGCCTTGCTGCCTTCCTGCCTCAATTCCTGACAAGCGACACGCACCAGTCACCACTAAGCAACTGCTAAGCGGCACTAACAAATTGCCAATCAACCGCCCATTCTTATTGGCTGGCACAGTACGTGCTCCCATTGGCTGTAGCCTGCTCCGCCGCCCAGGAACTCCCTGCCCCGATCTGCATCGCCATTGGCCTTGTGCCTCTCCGCATTGCATCGCAGTCGCGGCAGAAAGGGCGTTCCGCATCCGTCCATCGTCAGCCTCGACCTTGGGGCTTTCTCGTGCATCTCTGGAAAGCCCCAGATCTTCCGCCTCGCCTGACCTTGCCAGTCCTTCTTCTGCCACGCCGCCCTCTCTTCTTTCTTTCCCTCTCACATCCTCTCACATCCTTCCTCGCCTTCCTCCCCTACCCATCCATCCTTCTATACTGTATATTGCTCTGGGCTTCGTCAATTGCGCCTCGATCTACACTGCCTGCTTAGTTCCACTACTCTTCTCTACTGTATACCTCGCCTTTCTTGGATGGCCCTCGACACCCACGCTGCCGTCACCCGGGATTGCTTCTGAATTGGTCCTAACTGCTTGCGCACAAAGGTTGCTATAACTCATTGTGACTTAAACTCACCTCTAGCTTATAGGTTCCTTACTCTGTTACTCCCAACCTATACACCATCCTTCCACCCCAACCCTATATATCATCATCCTGCCAATATGGGTCCAGTCCTCTACAATCACTTCTCGGAAGGCCCAACCATGGTCCTCCCTCATTCCCAAAACCACCCATCCTTTCAATTCCCGTGTCATTCGACACAGGGTCTACAGGCCTTCGACTCCAGCTCGTGGTCCATGGACGCGCCTTATGCGAGTTCTTCCAAACCCCAAGCGCGTTTCTCTACATCCTGGACACCTGCACCGGCTGCAAAGCCCATATTCATGAAAACCTCTCGCAAGCGTTCCCGCGATGACAGTGAAGAACCCAATGAGCAACGCAAAGAGGCTTTTAATCCCGCTCCCAAATTTCGTGCCCCTGTCATGGAAGAACCCATATATGGCGAAGGCATGGTCTTGCTCAACCCTCGAACTGGCATGGCACTGTCTGCAGAAAGTCAGACGGGCACTTGGTATGAAGAAAATGTGGAGAAACAAGTTGCTGTAGCTCCCCCGATCTCCTCGCGACGGCAGACACAGGATGCGAGCTCCTCAGCGCTTCTGAGTCGCAAATCTCAACGTCTCGACATTTCCGCTCCCGGATTAGACGATGTATCGCTTGCTTGTATCCAGCAAAGACTTCAATCCAATACCAGTGATGACGACCGCCGTGCTCTCGGGAACACTGGCGCTTTCAACGAACCTCACATCGATGACGTGACCCTTCTGCTTGGAATCAGCTGGCAGCGCGTCAACCGGGATGACCTGGCTCCTGCAATTTGCGGGTGGGAAAGGTATATCAACAACCACTTCCACCGATACCTTCATGATGCCCGCATTCTTCTTAAGAGTCGCAGCCTGAACGCCTATCTAGTTGCTGCCATTCCCGCAATCGACATTGCGCCTGCCAATACCGGCTTTGGAGTGGCTAATCCTGCCATATCATCTCTAGAGTTCGACCCGCGCTCGTATTTTTTCCTCTTCAAGGAGGATTTGACCGAAGCCCAGCTCGTTGGGTCGACTGTTGATAATTGCCTACAGAACCTTCGTGCTACACCCATTCAATTCGAAGGCAGCGAGGTTCTTCGGGCTTCTGAAAGATCACCAGAGCGTGTCATAAATAATACAAACGGCTTTGTCGCTCCAATCAGTAAAGACGACTTCAACAATATCCCAACTCACAACAGCGCATTGAAGGATGAGGTGGTGATGGGAACGGGGATGGATCTCGACATGTGAACAATTGACGCCGATGCAGGATTTTCGCGTTTTCTCGACGATTTCGATTTCAGTTCCTCTTTTCTCGGACATTGTCCACATTCTATTATCGACATCGACCTTTGTATATCAGTTTACGATTGCCTTTCTATTTATATGGCGCAGGATGTGAAGGCGTTAACTTTGATTTGACTTGAATAACCAACTATCTAGCTCAGGCACTGACACATCAGACAGTAAGTCATTATTAGCTGAGCAAAAGTTCAACTGAATATATATGATTATGAATAATTAGACGTGTACATTGTAATGATTTAATATTAAACAACGTAGCTTAACCAAGTCTACCAACAAAAATTGATGATAGGTATGACTCCGAATTACTCATTACCTAGCCTGCTTATGGCCAACAGAACATGAAGTTTTCGAAAGTACCCCGCCTCTGCCAGATAAACTATTCATTGAAAAGCACCGTCAAACCGTCGTGTTTTCAACCCAGTTCGCCTTATCAATCAATTTAGTGTTGAAGTGACTTGGACAAAATGGCGGCTCCTACAATTGAAATTCGCCAAGCAACGGCATACGATATTATTCCCATATCGCAGATCCACTACAGAGCTCTTGAGAGATATCACGAGTTTTATGCAGCTTTCCTTGCGACTCACCCTCGAGATATTCTTCCCAAATCTACAGAATCGGCGTTGAAGACGCCTGATAATATCTTCCTCGTCGCTGCTGACTCGGTGACGGGTAAGGTTGTGGGTTTCACTAGATACTATATTGTACCAGAAGAGAAAGAAAAAGAGGAGGACCGGAGGAAAGCATTATCATCTGCAACGCCATCGGCAGAGGCAACCCAGGCCCAGTCAAAGCCGCAGGTGCAGGTGTCATCGCTATACGCTTCAAAGAGTCATGTGAAAGATATATGGGACCGATTCAGCGAGCGAGATGATGAGATGGAGGCCGTGTACACTGGAGAAGTCAAAGGCCAAAGACATCTCTGTAAGCCTTCTTCAATGTGATAAAAAAAAAATGAAAACAACACTAATACGACTGCAGACGTTAAACATCTCATGATAGACCCAGCCCATCAGCGCAAAGGGATCGGGCAGAGATTACTCTCGGCGGTTCTCGCGAAAAGCGATGCAGAGGGGATACCTACTTTCCTGACTGCGTCGGCAGAGTCGCATGCGCTGTATGAGAAGTTGGGATTTGTGGATATCGGGCCTGCGTTTAGGATTGATAATGAGGCGTGGGCGAGGGAGGTCTTGATGCGGGAGAGTGTGCTAGGGATGGAGGTGAATACGAAGTTGGAGGAGCAGTGCAGGGAACTGTCTGAGGTGGAGAATTGCATGGTTCGCTGGGTTAGAACGTAGAATAATGATAGGAAAAATAATTATAATATTATTATCATTATAATAAAATATACGTCTCCAGAATCGAACACTGGGCCAGCCGTCGCATGCGGAACAAACCTCAGGCAAAAACCACGTGACTCGCAGCAGTACTCGACCAGTCCCTTCGGCCATCATCGCGCGCGCCTCAAAAAATCCCAACTCACCTCCGACGCGAAGATTCAGCCTGCATGAATCCTTCATGACTGACTCAACACGACGAGAGACGCCCGTTTAGGAAATAAATATTAATAGCTGCCGGCATGCAGTATTGCCTGCCTCCTCGACTGCCTACTGTCTGACTTGCAAGACCCCAGTGCTGACTGGACTATTTCATCATCCACTTCTTATAAATGCCTCTGCAGGAACTCACTTGTGTTCTATATTCGCTCGATATCACCGCGCTATCTACGATCTTACGCGTATCTTTGCTTCGTTCATAGTATTTGATTTATCCACCATGCCTCTCTCAAAGCCTATTGTCCGCCCCAGAGCCCCCGTGGGCCGGCTGCAGAGTCTCAAAGCTCCGCAGTCCGGAGTTATTCCAATCAAACGTCCTACTGGGCAACTCCAACCACCAGCCAAATCAAATCCAAATCCAAATACCAGGACAAGCACTGCTCATCATAACAGGACTCCAGAAAAGCAAGTCGAGTCGTGTCCGAATCCCAGCTGTACAGATTCTCGCATCATTCAGGATAACAACGTGAAGGTCTGTGCTAGTTGCGGTACTGTCATCAGCGAAGATACCCTCGTCTCTGAAATCTCCTTTGGCGAGACGTCGTCGGGTGCTGCTGTTGTTCAGGGCTCTTATGTTGGTGCTGACCAGACCCATACCCGTAGCGCGGGGCCCGGCTTTCACCGTGGTGGAGGCATGGAAAGCCGCGAAATCACCGAGCAGAATGGAAACCGCTATATTCAGCAAATGGCATTGGCATTGGATATTCCTGAAAGCGCCCAGAAAGCCGCCGGTCAGGTGTTTAAGCTGGCAATGGGCTTGAATTTTATCCAAGGCCGTCGTACTAAGACTGTCGCAGCTGTTTGTCTATATATTGCCTGTCGACGCCAGGCTGGGAACACGGTTATGCTCATTGATTTGTCGGATGTACTGATGATCAATGTATTCAAAGTTGGCCGTGCGTATAAACTGCTGCTGGAGGAACTACGTCTCGGTGGAACGGTCTTCACCATGAACCCGGTCGACCCGGAGAACTTGATTCTGAGGTTTGCCAAACAGCTTGAATTTGGAACTAGAACAATGCATGTGGCGAAGGAGGCTGTCAGGATAGTCCAACGTATGAGCCGTGACTGGATGACCATCGGCCGTCGGCCAGCTGGTATCTGTGGAGCGGCTCTGATTCTTGCAGCGCGAATGAACAATTTCCGTCGAACTGTGCGAGAAGTTGTTTACGTCGTCAAAGTCACTGAAGTCACCATTAACCAGCGTCTGAACGAGTTCAGCTCCACCGACAGCGGCGATCTAACTGTCGACCAATTCCGATCTGTGCATTTAGAGAATGCCCATGATCCGCCTTCTTTCAGCCAAGCAAAATTGAAACAGCGCAAGAAAAAGGCTGCTGCAGAGATTGAAGGCGAGGAGGCTGATCTACCAGGCCCTTTATCCAAGAGAAAGCGTGTCGACGCCGACGGCTTCGCTATTCCTGATATCCCTGATATCCCTATAGATCCTGCCTTGACTGCTGGTCCATTATCTACAACAAGGGGAGGCGGAAAAAGCAGTACACCAGCGGCGAATAATGTGCGAACTGATTCCGAAACCTCTTCTGTCTCTACGACAGACGATGATACCAGTGCTGCAGACCGACCGGAACAGAAATCCTCGCGTGGCCGCAAGAAGCAACCCTTGCCTGAACCCACACCTGAAGAACTAGCATCTGAAGAAGCGCTCGAGAATGAGATGAACCAATTTCTCGCACAAGGCTCTGATATGGTGGAAGTCGCAGCCAATGTGAATGCAGCACCACCTGCGATTGGGAGAATCCCACGTCAACCCCGGAAAGAAGTGTCAGATAGCGCTGAAATCGATGCCGCTGAATTCGAATATGACCCAGAAGTTGCCAACTGTCTTCTCTCCCCTTCGGAAGTGGAGATCAAAGAGCGGATCTGGGTGCATGAAAATCGTGACTATCTCCGTACACAGCAAGCCAAGGCCTTGAAAAGAGCACTCCAGGAGGGCGAAGGCGTGGAGAGCAAGAAGCCGCGTAAACGAAGGAAGGGACGCCTTGGCGATGTCACTTATCTTCAAGGTGAGGATGGGAAAGGCAGCCGAGCCTCGACGCCAGCTGAAGCGACGCGGCTTATGCTTGAGCAGCGCGGTTATAGTAAGAAAATCAACTATAAGATGTTACTGGATCTCTATGGAGAAGAAGGAGCGGCGGAGGTGGACAAGGCTGAGGCGGAGAGGGCAAGCCGCAGTCAGAGTGTTGCATCGCAGGCCCCCCCAAACCGCTTGAGCCTAGCCCTCATCATTTCAAGGAGATCATCAAGCCCAAGGTCTCGAGCTCTACCGAGAAAGCTGCCGACGAAGGCAACCTCGGTGGATTCAACGAAGCAGACTATGACGACGAGGACGAGGACGCTGAAGATGCGGCTAGTGATGAAGCTCGCGACGACGAGCCTGATCTTGATAATGCGTTTGCTGGAACTTACGACGACGATGACTATTATGCATACGACGACTAGAGACTCTGCTCTGCAAGTATTTGTGGCATTCATTTTGACACGCGATCCTTTCATATAGGGCATGTATAGATTATCTTCTACATATCTATAATACTTTCGTAATATGTGAGGCTGAACCCTAACACCATCCTTTACCTATAACTTATATACGTTCTGTAATAGTAGCACACGAAATAGTGATGAGACTCCATAGTCAATCACTGTGGCGGATTGACTGCATGCTGTGATTGGATGTTGCCACCCCACATGGCGCTAGTGTGCTCTTGCGGCATTTGTGCGCTGTTTCCGTTTTGGGACGGCCAGGCACAAACCACGCAGACCTCAGGTGCACCTGCTTTGCCTTCGTCCATATTAAGAGTATTCTACTCCTATAAATCATCCGATGCCATGTCCTCTTCAGCTTGCTCGTCTCGTTTACCACTGAGCCCTATTTCATCCCGCCCGTGAGCTCTCGGGAGTGCAGTGCAATCATTGTGGCGGATTCATTGTCCGTATCTAGCTAGACACGTCACTTCGACATCGTACAAAAATACTTCAACATGCCACAGACCGATGCTCTATCAGGCACTCGTGTCACTGTCCTACTAGCAACAAACATCCACTGTGCATCATGTGTCACCTTCGTCAAGGAGACGCTCTATTCCTGCCCGTCAATCAAACATGTCGACGTCACGATCCTCACGCAGGAGGTGCGTGTTACGCACACCCCAGATATCATCGCCTCGCAGCTGGCGCGGATGTTGATTGATGCTGCTTTTGAAGTCCAGCTGGCAACTACCCCGAACGAGGCTGGCGTTGTCCTGGATATGGTCGACACGTCTTCCTGGAATACATACCCCAAGGATGTGATGCCGTCGCTGTTCTCGGCTGGTTCATCCAGCAAGGCCAAGCGCGAACGAGAGTTGTATGAAATGCAACGAAGCAGGCACATTGAAAATTGTGAGGCGTGTCAAAAGGAGCTTTTCGGGAAAGAGAAAGAAAAACTCCATGAGCTTGACGAAAAATCGATATTAGACTCAGTAGTGGTGGACAACCCAGGACGGCAGTTTTCTGAATTGTTCGATGCCCGCATCAGTATCTCTGGAATGACATGTGCAGCGTGCACCAATACAGTTACAGATGCCCTAGAGCAGTTGCCTTTTGTTAAAGAGGTCATAGTGACCTTGTTAACAAATAGTGCGACACTAACTTACTCTGGTCCAAAAGAGAACATTGATAAGGTGGTTGAGGAAGTTGAAAGTGTTGGGTTCGAAGCTGCGATTGATACCGTTGAGAAAGTCACCATATCAGACCCATTAGAATTCGAGGCTCAATTTAGTATTGGCGGCATGACATGCGGTTCTTGCGTGAACTCGATTACTCACCACGTCAAGCAGCTAGAGCCTGTAAAGGATGCCACCGTTAATTTGGTGACTAATAGCGCCAATGTCATTTTCACTGGCACGCAGTCGTATGCCGAGAAAGTACGCGACGAAATCGAGTCTCTCGGCTACGAGGCTTCCCTAGAAAAAGTCACCCAACAAACAAAGCTTTTGAAAAATACTCCTGCTTTCGATCGATACGTTGCAAACATCAGCATCGGTGGCATGACTTGTGGTGCATGTGTTGCAAGAGTCACACAGGGCCTCCAGGAGCTTTCTTGCGTCAAAGATGTTGTTGTGGATCTGCTTTCGAATAGCGCAAAGGTGGAGTTTGATGGAAAGGATAATCTGGATGTGATTCTAGAGGAAATTGAAGATTTTGGCTACGAATCAAAGCCTATCGACTGCAATCCTCTCGAAAAAGAGGCTTCGGCAGCGCCTCTGGCCCGCACTGTGATGATCCGTGTAGACGGCATGTTCTGTCATCACTGCCCTGAGACAGTATTACAATCTCTCCACGAACTCGACCATAGCATTGATATTGTTCAAGGTCCTTCTCAGATTATACCAATCGTCAAAGTTACATACACACCCGATACGCCAAAATTGACCATACGAAAAATTGTCTCTGCTATCGATTTGTCAAGCCCGGCTTTTAAAGCGAGCATCTATCATCCCCCGTCTATTGAAGACCGCTCAAGGGAAATGCAGCTTCGTGAAAGACGACATTTTCTTTCCCGTCTGCTTTTTGTGTTTATTGTCGCTATTCCGACATTCCTCATTGGCATTGTCTTTACGTCTCTCGTCCCTTCTACGACCCGAATCCGCCAATACTTGTCTGATCCAATCTGGAGCGGAGCCGTGTCACGAATGGAATGGGCAATGTTAATCATGACCACTCCAGTGATGTTTTATGGGGCAGATGTTTTCCATATTCGCGCTATGAAAGAGATTCGGGCTCTATGGCGCCCTGGCAGTAAAGTGCCGGTCTTACGACGGTTTTACCGGTTTGGAAGCATGAACCTGCTAATTTCAGCAGGTACTCTAGTCGCGTACTTAGCATCGTTGGCTGTGCTTATAGCTGGTGCTGTAGTGAAGCCATCCTCTACTCACAGTCTCTCCACCTACTTTGATACTGTTACCTTCCTTACATTGTTCATTCTGGCGGGTCGGTCCCTGGAGGCATATAGTAAATCAAAAACGGGCGATGCTGTGTCGGCTTTGGGTAGGCTCCGACCGAATGAGGCCTTATTAATGAAATCGGAATCGTCGGACTTGGGCGCTAGTCCCACGGAGAGTGAATCTTCAGATACAATCCAGCGTATTCCCGTCGACTTATTGGAGGTTGGAGATATTGTCAATATCCCTCACGGCGCTTCTCCTCCTGCAGACGGCGTGGTTGTGAGCTCCGGAAAATTCCAATTTGACGAAAGTTCTTTGACGGGCGAATCGCGACCAGTCTCGAAAACGACAGGCGACCAACTGTATTCAGGCTCAGTTAACGTCGGTCAGCAAGTCTCGGTCAGAGTGACGGAACTGGGTGGCACTTCTATGCTTGATCAGATTATCAAAGTCGTTCGTGAAGGACAAAGCAAACGAGCGCCTATGGAGCGCATCGCTGATGTCCTTGTCGCTTACTTTGTTCCAATCATTACATTAATCGCCATTCTCACTTTCGTTATCTGGCTATCACTTGGCCAATCAGGTGCTCTTCCTGTAGGGTATCTTGATGATTCTCTTGGGGGCTGGGCTTTTTGGAGCTTGCAATTCGCCATTGCAGTTTTTGTCGTGGCATGCCCTTGTGGTTTGGCCCTGGCCGCGCCTACGGCCCTCTTTGTTGGAATTGGGATGGCAGCACAAAGGGGTATTCTCGTTAGAGGTGGAGGTGAAGCATTCCAGGAAGCGACACGGCTCGATGCAATTGTCTTTGATAAAACTGGCACTCTGACGGAAGGCGGAAGCCTCAAGGTCTCTGAACATGAAGTTCTTGACACTGATCCAGAAAAGGTCGCGGTAGCCTGGAAACTGGCACACGAGTTAGAACAGACTAGCAATCACCCTATTGCCAGGGCTATTGTTGAATTCTGCCAGACACGCTCTAGCTCCAGTATATCTGTGAAGTCTTCAGATATCATAGAGTTGCCAGGGCAAGGTATGAAAGGAAACTTCACGTTGTCTACAAGTGGGGAGACAATCACATACGAAGCCGCCATCGGTAATGAGCGTCTTGTGGAATCTATTTCCGACAAGTCCAGCGAAAATTCAGACTCACAATCAGGTTCATACTTTCTCTCCAACCTTCTATCAACGTATCAGACCTCGGGAAAATCTACTGCAGTGCTGCTTCTTCGCAAAATTTCGAGCCAGTCCTCATCCCAGTTTTCGCCTGTCCTTGTCTTCGCAACCTCCGATCCCATCCGTCCAGAATCATCTCACGTCATCGCCGAACTTCAAAAATGCAATATTGCCGTCTATATGTGCACCGGCGACAACGAAAGGACAGCACACGCGGTGGCGTCTGGTCTCGGGATTCCCCCTTCCAATGTCGTCGCGAACGTGATGCCAGCACAAAAGGCAGAATTTATACACAAAGTTCAATCGACCAATTCAAGTCAGCCTGGTCAAAAGAAAACCATTGTCGCCTTCGTCGGTGACGGCACAAATGACTCTCCAGCCCTGGCTGCCTCTGATGTTAGCATCGCTATGTCCTCTGGCTCAGATGTCGCCATCTCCACGTCTTCCTTCATCCTGTTAAATTCAAACCTCAACACCATCTTCGAGCTCATTGTACTCTCGAGACGGGTGTTCAACAGAATCAAGATGAATTTCGTCTGGGCTGCTGTGTATAATCTCATCTTGGTACCGGTGGCGGCGGGCGTGTTTTATCCCATTCCCCACGGAACCAACGTCATCGAACACGGTAGTTTGCACATGACTGTCGACGGACATTGGAGGCTAGATCCAGTGTGGGCGTCGCTGGCCATGGCATTGAGTAGTGTAAGCGTGGTGAGCAGCAGTCTGGCGTTGAGGATTGAGGGCAGAGCTATTCGCGAGTTTTTCAACCGATTAATGAGGAAAAACAGTTTATAATCCACGACAGACGTGATAGATGATCACAATGTCAATTATTTTCAGCATAGCGACACGTTGTTTAATTCTAATGTAATAAATTGATATTAAGAATGTTGAACATTCAGATATGGACAAAATTCTTAGCAATTATTTAAAATATGTTATTTGATGTATATCTTTTTTAGACTTCATTACCTAAGAAAATGCTGAATCATTGAGATAGTAAAAATGGCATTTGGTATATGTATTTGAATTGGTCGAGGGGGTGTCCGATTACATTGTGTAATTTATTTGTCAGTTTAGATGAATTTAATGTTACACAAAATCTCAACAGTCTCCCACTACATATAGAGTTTCTTGAGTACTTAGGTGATGAGCTAGGCGTTGTATCAATGTTCTAAATGCCTAGACGTCCCTATGAGTATCACGAAAATGCTGACAGGTCACATTTCAGTTTTTAGTGTTTCCTTTCCATAGTTGAAAGTTTCACGGTCAAATTTCTGGCGATAATATGGCCACATAAATGAAGCCGCAAACCCCAGAAACCAGTCCCAGACAGGGCGATCTCGTGGGCTCGGACCACGCATGTTGTTTAGTAACAACGCTGTATCACTATCCACAGTAATAAAGTAATGCCCCTTTTTGAGTCCTGAAAGTATCAATTCCGCAACTCTGCCTGCAGGTAAGCCACCACCATCTTCATCAGAGCCTTCAAGCTCTTTCAACAGATGAGGTTTTCTTAACTGCTCTTGAAAGAAGGCGTCTGTGTATATTGTCCCTGGAAAAGTACAATGGACTCGAATGTCCTGTTGAGACCGGTAGAGAAGCAATTCCTGCCGAAGTGTATCTGCCAACGCACGCGTTGCAGCTTTCGTAGGGCAATATGCGCTATACCCTGGAAGTCCGACAAATGCTGCTGTAGATGCTGTGAATATTATATGACGAGTGATGTTCTCTGAAGGTGGTTGTTTTAGCCAACGTCTCAAGAAGGCGTGCGCAATAAACGCAGCTGATAAATAATTTCGTTCCAGGCATGACTTGATATCGTTTGGCGAGATATCAGCAAAGAACCCGACTTCATCTGCAGTTCCTCCTGCGACGCAGAATAGGGTCGATGAGGTATCGGAAAGCGACGCAACGAAGTTTTCAACCTATATCAATATTATTAAGTCAGCCGTGTAAATATGGCTGAAGTTGGTATTAACTTTTGCTGCATCCGTCAGATCAAGTGCTGTAGAGCTGGCAACCTGGTCTGATTTTTTCACACGAGCCTGCATTTCCTTTTGCGTGTCGTCCAGCGGCTTCTGCGTTCGAGCTATTATGTTGACATTTGCACCTTTCTTGATCAGTGTTTGCTCGTGCTTATCAATATATAGAAGCGGAGGATGCACCTTGGTCAATTAAATGCAGCGCCAGCTCGCGACCAAGACCCCTGGACCCCCCGGCAACAGCTATAGACTTCTGCGATCAGCAATAATCATTATTCGTCTGTGATGTAGTTACTTGGCCTCGAACATCGAAGCAATTTTCTTGCTTCATCTTGATTTTGGTATACTCAAATCACTGCTCAGTATAATCAGGGGGAATTGGAAAATAAAACGTGCGGTAAAAATACCTCAGCTTAATGCACACGGAGGAACAGAATATCAGTTAAACAGTTTAGGGTTTGTTCCTGAGACGTATATATATGTTGGTAAAACAGGGGCGAGCGCACAATAGGCGCGCTTATCGGTCTTATCTTGTCAGCCTATATAAAAGGGTAACGTATTTCACCAGCGAACGAGTCAGGGGGTCACAAAGAACCCTCCGTCTGTTTACTCTCCGAAATTCTTACCGATCGCGGGGCTCGTTTCATAAGACTATATATGTCGTTTGAAAGAAACAGTGACGGTTTCTTAAGTAAAGATTAAGTGATTCCAAAGTCTCGGACTAGTGTTTAATATCTGCTCACCACCATGGCTGTCCAGATCTTTCCCTCCATCAGCAACAAAGCCACATTGTCAGATGGCACGACTTACGCCTACATTCGGGTTCCAGCGGACCACAAGCCAACCTTCCTGCTTCTTCATGGGTTCCCTAGCTCTAGCTATGACTGGCGCCACATTGTCCCAATGTTGACGGAGCATGGGTACGGAGTCATCGCCCCGGACCTGCTGGGATATGGCGACTCTGATAAATCAAAGGACTATACAGATTACTCTTTAAGCGTATCGCTGATCATCTCGTCGAGCTAGTCCGCCATGAAGGTTTGAATCATGTGATTGGCGTTGGACATTTACTGGTAAGTCTCTCTGCCTCTTACTATAAATAAAAAAAAGTATTGACTTGAACTGCTGCCTAGGGGCTCATGTCTACTATCCACCGCAGCAGTTGCTCACCCTACTCTGTTCTCTGCGGTTGTGTTCCTCGCAGTTGGCTATTTTCCTCCAGGACGTATGGACATCGACGCTGCCAACTCCATTGGCGAAAAGGTGCTCGGATATACGAATTTCGGGTATTGGTACTTTTTCAACGAGAATACTGCAGGCAGTATACCGAATGCCGCCCCAGATTCATTAAACTCACTGCTCTATTCCACCACAGCCGAGGATTGGAAGACCATTATGGGCCCGGTTGGTGCAGCCAAGGCTTAGGTTAGTAGTGCGAAGGTTGCACCTCCACCCTCTTGGCTCAGTCAAGAGGAGAGAGACACACACATTCGCATATTTCAAAAGGGAGGGTATACAGGACCTCTGAGCTGGTACAAATCTTGTATACGTGGTGTTGACGAACCGTTTTATTCAAAATTCGAAACCGATGAGAGTAAGACTCTCGACTTCCCGGCATTAGTGATCACAGCCGAGTATGATTATGTCTGCCATCCTGAATTCCAGAAACCGGCGGCGCAGAAGTATTTGACTAATGGCCGCGTTGAGCAGCTTCAATGTAGCCATTGGGTTCCATTGGAGAAGCCTGCAAAGCTATTCAAGTTGTTGGATGAGTTTGCGAGTGGACTATAGAATATCTTATGTATATTCATCACTAAATTAAGTAAGCCCTAGTCAATTAATTTGTACCCAGTACGTATCTCCCAGGGATTGTAAATATTCACAATTCTGTCGTAGTTTGATTAACCCAGCTCTGGGTTGCGGCCTAAGTGCTAGTGGGACTTGTAGAGAAGCCCTAAGATCCCACCTCCCGCCCCATTTAGCGCCGAGCTGTCAAACTTTAACTAACCAGCAATGCTATTCTTGGCCCAACCCCCTTATATGGGCGCGAGGCTTTGTTTGGGGGGGGGGGGGGGGGGGGGAGTCATCTGGGGGCTAAATTTTAGACAATGGTTTTGGAGCGAAATCATTCATGATTCTTGGAGGTAGAAGCTTATGTTCATTAGAAGCGGCATGATATTGGGGAATAGGTCGTACATCAACATGTAGTCGTATACTTTAATGGTCTACCCACCTTCGCCCCATATCTCAGCTACCTTTTTGGCAAGCACACCAGCAACTTTCCTCTTTGGGATCAGACTCCCCATCTTATCCGTTATCATCTTCTCCATAGCTTTCATCGCATTATCGCCTCGGATAGTAGCTTCTCGCTCTGCAGTTTCAAGCGCTTCGATGAATTCGCGTGGAGTGTGCCAGTGGCGTTGTATTTCAAGGGCTTTGTCGCCCGAGATACCTCTTGTGCACATCAGCATTTTCAAAAATAGGTCACGCAGGGTGAGAATATCGGATTTGGAGGTCAAGGCACAGAATGATGAAAATGTGACTCCATATGTTGTGTTTTCACAAGGGTCTTCGGCGCGTAATTTTCGTATTATCGTGAGGTAGGAGTCTGAAGAGGATAGATGGAAGCTAGGAATGAGTGCCACCGATGCGCTCTTGACTGCGCTGCTGCTAATTTGACTCGACGATAGCGTGGTAGGTTCATACATTTTCCGCAGGAGAAAAGTCATACGTGCAAGATAGCGAATAGTATCATCGAGGTTTCTAGTCTTTTTGACAAAATAACCATTGACGACTTGTGTCGATGCAATCGCCGATGCAACAGCATCTTGATAATTTGGTGCTTGTGCGCCGTTCGAAGAGTGGGATACAGCAAACTCCTCGACGAGATAGACGACGTTCTTAATTCCTGAACGACGAAGTCGGAATTTCTGTTCGTGAAATCGTCCGTCTTTGATGGATCCGATCAAGTCGTCCAGTCGTTTTCGTTCGATAATCCAGTCCAACATGATTTCGTCACCTTCCTCACCATACTGTGCTAAATAGCTAGGATCTTTGCATTTGGCAACCCACATTACGTCGCCAAGTTCAAGGGCTCGGACGTGAGGGGTGATACCTTTTGTTTCGAGTTCTTTCGCAATATAGTCACGATCGTTTTTTGCCCGTACCTCGCGAGAGTCTAGTAAAAGTTCTATGGTGAATCCTCCTGGCGGCAGGACAATAGATCCTGTTGGCTCTTTATTTAGGGTTACTGGTCGTTCAGTTGTCGCCCTAGGTCTGACTGATGCTGGCCCAATATCATCTAGTACTTCAATATCAGAATCGTCGAATTCAAAACCACGTCGGTTTGTTCGGGACGAAGCAGTTGTCTCCTTTGTCTGGACCGGTCGATGTAGTTCTGTAGTGGTTGCATTCGAGTTCAGTGCCTATGTAAATTAGATTATAGTAAATTCCATTCGAAATCAATCAGCTTACCACTTGATCCTTTGAGTGCGCCTCAGTACCGCTTGCCTTCCTGATTCTCTTTGCACAATCCCAGCCTTCTTCTGTAAGAGCATATTTTCTAAGAGGCCGCCCGTGTTCATACACCAGCTCCTTTTGTACCAGTGTTTTCATCGCATTCCAAGCAGTATAGAATTTAGTTGGATCACTCGGAGCCGTGAAAGACGTGTCTGAGTACGGCTGAGCAACGTCAATGAGTTGAGCCTTGGTCATGCTTTGCGACGAGTTTTCATTCAACGTCGAAAGTCCCCAGATCAATGCATATGCACCAGATCGCAGAGCTGGAACGTACGGCTTGGCTTTCCGAGTCTTCTTAGTTGGTTGGTCGGCAGCGCCTGGTAGATCATCGCCAGACGGGCGTTTCTCACCACGATCTTTATTTGGTGGTTCTGGCATTGGTAAGCCATTTTGGTCACAGTATTCTTTCAGCTTTTCGGTAAGGCGATCGCAGAGCTTCGGGCCCAAACCGTTTAATTGAATTGCTTCCGATGGGTGGTTGAATGCTAGCGGGCAGGCCTTCATAGACTCGTAGGCTTTTTTATATCTATAAGGACAATGGTCAGTATTTGCCATGAAAAGTAGCCGTCGATCTGGATCTCACACTGTGAATCCCTTCGAATTCCGCTCTCTGGCTTGCTCCAACCATTCTTTGATCCAACCCAGCAGCAGTGGGTTGGCGCAATTTTCTGCCATCGCCGTTTCCAGCAGAGGAGCCACCTCTCATTATTTTATTTTAATCATTAAAGGAGATGCTAGACCAGTTCTAGCAAATGATTGCAGTGTCGTTGAAGACCTACGCGTACTTTCGCGACATCCGGACACGCTAGAACGGGAGATCACGTGGTCTAGTCAACGCTCATTTAGCGGTTAGATATTGATACTATTGGTAATAATTTGTTGGTTTTGTAGTTGTATACATTTCTTGGTACCAAATATCAAGGATATGTCAAGAATAATTGACTTCGTTCGTTTCAATATTGTCAACGCTGAAAGAAATGTAGTGTGTCGATCCAAAAAGAGCTGTGTATATATCGATGCATCCTTTCAACTGATCAAGTTAACATTTCAAAAAACGAAACTACATCAATGGATGCAAGGGCGTTTTACTTCCATTTCTACGAATTCTAACATCAGCAATTACTACGAAGAGAAGGGTGGATTATTAAACCAATTATTTTGACGTTGGATAAAATTGCTACAGCAACCCTTAGGGATCTTGAACGAGAATTACAATAGGAATCTGTAGTTTATATAAGACTAGGTATCATTATTGTCCAAACTATCCTTAAAATCCCTAACTGCTTGCTCAAAAGATTCGTCCCTCTTGAAGCCCAACCTAATAGCCTGACTATTGTCAAATCTTGTAGGCCACGAGTGCACAATTTTTTTCACAACTGGATCTTCCTGTTCCTTGAGCAATGCGAGTTTGTCCTTACCTCCTACTTTCTCTAATGCGTCCATCATTTCCTGAATCGTCACACAGATCCCCGGAATGTTGATTTGACGAATATGCAACGGAAGGGAGTCTGCCGGCAAGGAAAGCGTGACAATCAGGTTGTGTAATAGCGTTCGCGGCGAGCAAAGCCATGACTTGAATGATCGATCCTCGAGAGGAATTAATGCTTCTTGCCCGTTGAGAGGCTCTCGTATCATGCCAGACAGGAATGAAGAGGCAGCTGCAGTAGGTTTCCCAGGACGCACAGAAATCGTAGGAAACCTTAATGTAAATCCCGTGATAAATCCTCTGCGTGTATAATCATTGATCAATGCCTCGCAAATAAATTTCTCGGCGCCGTAAGACGACTCGGGCGTGGGTATAACATCATCGGTTACAAGTTTGGGCAATGGCTGGCCATATACAGCTTGACTGGAGGAGTAAATGACGCGTACGCCAGGGCACTTCTTGCGTAGCGTCTCGAGCAAAGCACGAGTTGCATCGACATTTACCCTCATGCCAAGCTCAAAATTTGCTTCTGAGCCCGAAGACATGACTCCGTGAAAGGCATAGACGGCGTCTAGTGTGGAATCAACCAGAGCTTCCAAACCGCCCTCAACGAGATCTGCAGTGACGGCTTTCGCATTTCCAGGGTATTTGACGCCAGTAGGAATGGGAGGGTCGACTAGATCTGTGAGAATGACCTTGTAGGAGGCGTCATTAAGTAATTCTTTTGCGAGAAGCTGGCCGATAAAACCGGCAGCACCGGTGATGAGGACATGCATGTTCAGGCCTCGAGGTCCAATGATCAGACCTTGGAATGGCCAGCTGTCAAATCTCAGACAGCCAGGCCATTTTAAATAGACACATCCACCCCACTATTTGCATCGGGAGAGCCCGCCCGAGCCTCGGAGTTGCTCCGGTCGCTTGAGCAGGGTCGACTGCGATCATTAATAGTATTTGTCTGTGGTTAATAGGAGTCTAGCTTTTCTGGACCCGTTGCATCTGGCGTATCCTACATTAGGAGGAATATTTGAACAACAGATTATTAATGACTATGGGCATCTTTATCTTTTGTACCTGGGATACAGTGAGGCGGCGGTTGTCTGACGGCGTATCTCAACAACGCCATGTATCTGCCTGAGTGCTGAAGGACGAAGATAGAATGCAGGAAACATCAACAGCATCTGCATACAGTCAGGATCGATAGATACTGTTGATCGAAGAAGCGCAAGTACGAGGTAGGGCTGCGCCGTGCATGTGACTGGCGGGCGTCGGCGATCCACCGCGGCGCTAAACGGCGGAATGAAGGCCGGTCTGGGGTAGTTGCTAGGATTACAACTTACAACAGCTCATGACTACAGGCACGACGCAATTTAATATTACGCACAACTCGACCAGCCTGCGCTGGCACGGGCTATCTCCGAGGTCATCCACGGCATGGTGCGATTTGATTCTCCCAATAATACGGCCATGTCGAATGTGACGCCGCTGAAACGTTCCGCCCTCGAGGCTGGGCTCGACACGCCGCGAAAAGACGACGATGCGGGCGACACTGACACAAAGGCATCGGTATCGGGCTCGGTGCCGAGGGTGTCGAAAGCGCGTGCATGTATGTAGGATCCGGCGCTGTAGAGTCGAGGTGGATGACGCTGACCACACCTGTGTTGCAGGCGCAGAGTGCAAGCGGCACAAAATCAAGTGCGAGGTGAAGCCCGGCGAAACGAGCTGCACCAAATGTCTACGCAGTGGGATCAAATGCGTCGTCAACGACTTTTCGCAAAAGTTTGTGGACGATGATTTGGCGTCAGTATGGACATGACCTGTGGAGTCAATGCGGCTAATTGTGAGTAGATGGAAATCCCAAGCAACCGCCACAATACAGCAGCTCCAAGCTGCTGTATCACACCTCCTTCGTCAAAATAGCCTTCCAGATCTCTCCAGCTTCCCCTCGTCAGATGGCAGTGTTGGCCGCAGCCCATCTGTGTCACATACCCACCAGGTGTCGCAGGACCGACACCTGAATGTCCCGACGGTAGCTTCTGGTACAACCATCAGTGCTCAAGCCATGACACGAGAGAATTCACAGGACCCGAATACCGAGGATCCTGAGCTCGTGTCAGCGCCTATGCGTAGTTTATATGAAGTCACCAAGCTGCGGAATTTCGGAAATAGCCACGTGGAAAAGCCCAAGTCAACGTTGCTGGAGGAAGACTTTATTTCTCGGGGATATGTATCGTTGCACGAGGCGGAGGAGCTGTTTGCATATTTTAGTCGGACGATGAATCAACTACTATGGGGTGGCATTGTCGTGCCTCATAGAGATTTGACATCGGTTCGACGCGCATCGACTCTTTTGCTGACTGCCGTTCTGACCGTGGCTGCGTTGCACATCCCCAACCGCACAGAAACGCTCAACACGTGCTACAATGAATACGTCGCCTTAGTATCCAGCATGGCACTTACCAGGTCTCATACATTGGATGATATTCGGGGGTTATGTGCCGGTGCATTCTGGTTGTCCGATCTGAGCTGGAAGCTTTCGGGCCATGCTGTACGAATCGCTACGGAAATGGGTCTTCATCAGAGTTTTCACAAAATGACTCGTGGACATGGAGATCGGTACGAATACGAACGAGCACAGCTGTGGTATCTACTCTACGTATGTGATCATCACTTCAGCATTGCCTACGGGCGACCTCCCGTGATCCATGAGGACGCGGCTATCAAAAACCACGAAGTTTTTCTGCAGTCTCGCCATGTTGTACCAGGAGACATCCGATTGATGGCACAGGTTGCTCTCTTCGTGATCCTGACCGAAGCATACCGAACTTTTGGATCCGACGTAGAGCAGCCTCTAACTGAAGAAGACTTTGGCCAGTTACGGGTGTACAACGTCGCAGTCGATCAATGGCGGCTTCTCTGGCAACCGCGATCAGGTATTTTGCTACTATCTGACAAGAAACAACAACAACTAACTTTTAGTTATAGCCGATAGCCCGTATGTTCGCACTTACCCGTCCAAAGGCGTTGTCTTGCATTTTTTATTTGCTAAATTCCAAGTCAACTCTCTCGCTCTCCGCGCTCTGTCGCCCACCAAAAGCCCCGTATTTTCCATGGACCGCAAAGAATGCGTCAACAGTGCCATTTCCGCGGCCATGGCATGTCTGAATATGGTGCTCGAGGAGCAAGACGTCCCCGACGCAATCGTCGGCGTCCCCATATTCACTCACACCATGGTTACCTTCTCTGCCGTTTTCCTGCTCAAAGTCGCCGTGAACTGGAACTCGGCGTATCTGAATATCGACGGTCGCCAGGTCCGGCACACGGTCGAGCGCGTGATCGAACTCATGACCTGCGTCAGCGCGGGCGATCGCCACCTCACACGCCATATTGCGCGGGGATTGAGCAAGATGCTCGATCGATTTAATGCCTGGGAAGGATGGTACGCGAATCAACCAGGAACAGGAACGTCGATGGATGGCGCAGCAAATGGACACGATCAACACAACAATCCCAATCCAAACCTCAACAATAACAACAGCAACCCTAACCCTCTCGACCCGTCCACATCAACCGCAGCACCTGGCGGGAGATCACGTCGCTCCATCCCCGGCGGCGCCAACGCTATGGCTCAGGGGTTCCCGCCGCCTGATCTGATCTATGATATGGTGGGGACATATGGGTTTGGCCTGGACGAGCATTTGATGGATCCTAGCATGCCTGGATTTGAGTTTTTCATGCAATGATCTATCATCTTAGTATCATGATGGGATTCATAATTTGGTTATTTTTCTGGTTTGCTATTAGCGATGAGCTGGCATGTAGTGTACGTTTAATGAGATGTCCATTCACTTCATCTATTTATAGGAAGTATATATATGTAATAATATGTATCTCAATTGATAGAATAAGATCAATTGGATATTATCCCCAATAATGGCAAAGCGAAAATTTGAATTAAAAATTAACATTCATAATCTACTCAAGCTAATACGTAAGTACTACGAGTATATATATTACGCTACAAGGACGTGGATCATAGGTGATGAGATGATATACTAGATCTATCCGAAATTGTATCCTGGTTCCTAATCAGGAAAATATCCAGGGCCACTTTTAATCCCATCCAGACGCGTCAAAACACCACGTAGACTTTGGTCTGAGCAGAAAGAAAATCACTCCTCATCCTCGTCCTCGTCCTCGCCCTCGGCCTCGGCCAGGTCGTCCTCCTTGGGCACGGCGCCGCCCTTGTGCTTCGCCGCGGCAGCAGCAGGACCAGACTTGTCGGCAGTCTTGTCTGCGTCCTCGTCTTCCTCCTCCTCGTCATCCTCTCCGCCGGCGCCGTTTTCACCCTCGACCGCATCGTGGGCTGTCTTGCGCTTTTTGGAGGCGGGCGCTGGAGACGTGTTAATGGGTTTGCTTTGTGGCATAAAGCGAGAGCGAGAGCGCAACTTACCCTTTTCAGGCTCCTCGTCCTCACCCTCGTCTTCTTCCTCTTCCTCCTCTTCCTCGCTGCCTTCCTCGTCGTAGTCGTAGCCTTCAGCGTCTGAGGATTGGTATCTGCGGAGGATGATAAGCACGAGGTGGTTTCTCGAAGTAGCTTCATAGATGTTGCAGGTGTGAATCCACGCAGACAATGGATTCATTGTGCCCGGTCGCGCTTGGTACGCGACAAGGTCTTGCACGCCGAGACAGAGCGGCGCAACACGGGCACAAAGAAAATAACGACGAATAGGCAATGCATGAAAGAAAAGGAATGTCTTACTCTTCTTCCTCTTCGCTTTCGTCACTGGGAAGAGCCTGGAGTTCTTCCTCGTCGTCCTCGGCCTCTTGCTTCCTCTTGCGGGTAGACATGGCTAATGTGGATGGATGAGATTGTGATATAGAGTGAGGGACGGATGACGCAGGACAGAGACTGGGTCAATTATAATGAGGGAGTCCCGCGGTCAGAGACAGATGCAGACCGGAGACAGGAGGGTTGAGAGGAGATGTGAGAGGAGATGTGAGAGGAGATGTGAGAGGAAGGGTGAGGGAGGAGGGAGTGGGAGGGAGCAAGTATAATAGTAATAGAGTAGTAATGGTAGTGGCCGCGCCGGGGGGAGTCAGCAGCGCCGACTGAAAGGGCCAGCTTAGCCTGGTAGCCGAGGAGCCTAGCTCGAGTCAGGCAAGGCTGGGACCAGATAGAAGGCAGGCGAGCGAAAGCAGGGAGGGAGGGAGGCGAAGGGAAAGGGAAGCGAAAGGGGGGGGGGGTTGGAGGTGGCAGAGAAGGGAATGGAATGGGCGGGCACCGGGCTGGGGCGAGCTGGTGAGGCTGGGTGGAGTAGAGCAAGCAATCTGGAACCTGGACAGAGGAAGGGAGGAGAGAGCTTCCCTTCAGTCACAGGCAAGGCAGGCCGCAGCTCACATCGTGATCGGTCGACCGGTGGTTGTTGGAGAGTAAGCAGAGGACGCTGGAGCTGGACGGACGAGCTTCTGTGGAGAGCGCGACGAGAGGGGGGCAGACCCGCTCAGCCTGCAGGGCCGTCGTCCGAAGCTCGCGCCCGCAGTGGCCATAAGCTGTCGATGACACAATTACGGCGCGCCGCCCAATCACATGCGACACACGCGGTGGGTGCCGCCGGGCGATCGATGTCGCGTGCGTGGCCCGTGCGGACGTGCGTGTGTCAATCCTGCCATTCGTGCCATCGTCGCCCGGAGTATTACGACTGCATTATGATTGCTGCTGGGTGCGTTGTTTATTCTTTGTCGCTTTATCTATTTATTATTGTTATTGTCATCAATTTGCAATAGGTAATTAATTACCCCTCGGTCGCCGTGGTGGAGATAGTCGTATTATGACCTGATTCGCTGATGGCATCCTCATATTGTCTCATACTACTGCCGGCTCCCTATCTCCGGCTTCCTGCTGTGTACGTAGTGTACGCAGTGTACGCTATGGTATTCCAGGTTCTACATGCAATTATGCGTCATTTATAGCTAATTACATACTATTCTGTGGTATCAGATCCCGTAGTGACAGTAACGAGCTTGAGTCGCGAAGAGACGTTGACAACATGAAAACTAATCGTCTGAATGATCCTGTCACAAGTAGGGTGCAAGGTAAATGAAAAAATGTAAAACAAATAGAGAAAAATACGATGATTATGCTATAAATTGCCATACGCTCTACCTACGCCAACCGCGGATCATACATCGCTGCCAGTGCTCCGGAATGTGGCACAAACCTGGCAATAGTGGTGCGTTAAATCGAGCACTGGCTGTGGCAGGTTCGTCGCTTGCACAATACTGCGAACTTTGACCGCGCCTTCGTCTTCAATGAGCTTGCGCACCGAAAATAACAGCTCGGGCGAGAACTAACAAAGATCACCATCAGTAAATGACTTGGAAGAGGGAGAAAAAAAAGAAAAAAAAACACCTACCTCGGAGTACCATCGGTACTGCCAAGCAATCAATCGGATCAATGCATTGAGCATTCCGCGTGTATCACCCTGCTTCTCGTACAGCTTCAGGATCCCGCGCATCGCTTTGGGGGAGAATCGTATCGACAGACATTGCCGATAAGCTTCAATTGCCTCGTCAAAGTGATGCAGTCGGTCGGCAAGCTCGCCCAGAATCTCCCACTCCGTCGCCGTCTTCTTATACTCGAGCGATTGATGGCGTGAGTGAGCCATCTCGGATCGCCAGATGGTGTAGATCCGCAGATCTTCGTAGAGCACCATGAAGAGATTATCTAACCACCGTTCACAAAGTCGCTTGTTCTGAAATTGCGTGTAATTGGAATGAGATGGGTCCGGCTGCGTGAAATGTCAGCAAGTCCCTCCAACTATGATAATACTTGGCCAGTACTTACGTCGTCGTTCCCTGACTTGACTGTTTCGGATGCAACGGTTTGCTCAGGCTTTTCGATCGTAGGGCCTTCTGCTGCTTTGCTCTGGGCCTCTCCGTTCGCTGCAGTGCCATCTTCTTTTCCCTCGTCTTCATCCTCTTCGGCCTCGGTACTATGACCGTTGGTCTCCGGGTTAGGACTTGGCGGATTGAGCGCTACCGTGCTGGCGTTGTGTGAGTGTCCGGTCTTGGGTGTATGTTGACGTTCTACCCGATACTCCTCCTCCATGACAAACACTTCGCTACGAATCTTCAAAAGCTGGTCCCATCCGATAGCCGCCGCAATCTTGGTGAGGAGGTCGTAGGCTTTCATAAACGTGCCTTGGTATGCTGTCGCATGCAATTTTCGGAGAGATGGATGGACAAAATCGTGAGGGTCTCCTTGTTTGGGTTGTCCTTCATCAATCTCGTCCAGGACACTCTCTGGAAGAATTGGAAGTAGCACTCGGGAAGGCGGCGGCATCCGTGGGACATCCTTGTCTTGATATGTGAACATCGGACACGAATTCAGAGTCAATAGAGCCAGATCCCATTGTTCGAGGAAGATATATACTTCAGCTAGCCGAGCCCATGTGCTGAATTCGCTCGGCGCTGCTGTAACGCTTCGTTTAGCACACTCTAGGGCTAACTCCCCTTCTCCTTTGCTCATACAGAAGGCTGCCTGACAATCAAGCAGCGCATAATCCATGGGCACATCCTGCAATGCATCATGCATGAGTCGCACTGCCTGGACTTCCTCGTCTGCAGAGATCATGACCCGCGCCAAAAGCGAAGATACCTCCACATCCTTTGTTCGCAGCTTTTCGAAAAGGTTTATGCCGGATGCGTACCGACCAGTTGTATGTATGTATTTAAGGAGACAGGAAGTCAAATGATTGGCAACGGTGTTTGGAACTTGCGTCTCGGGGTCCGAACTAAGCTGTCGTCCTGGACGTTTCTTTAGTTTCATACCAACTATCGATTACCATTGCTCTTACCCATGAAAAATAATTTCTCCGCTGCGTCAAGGAATTTGTGTTCCATCTCAGTATTTGTCACTGGGTTGAACCTGCGCACACCGACAATTTTCTTGATCGCATCGCCAGTCCCATCATCGGCATATGTGTAAGATCTGAGCACGGCACAGAGAAATGTCTCGAGCCAAAGAGCTTCGTTTGCAACTCTTTTATCTCCTCGTTCGTCAATACAATAGCTCTCGAGGCTCCCGGGGATCTTGACCTCTACGCGCATGTCCAAGTGAGAAAAGGCATTATAGCAACTAGGCATCAACAAATGTCAGACAATCAAGTCGAACGGGGTTTATGGTGGAGCTTCCAACCAATAGATTCCAGAAACCACCTTATTCAATTTATCAACTGGCGAGTAGGTCAATGTATTGACATATGCGGCGAGACTAGCCGACGATGAAGCATCGACACCTGTGACATGATGGTAAACCCCCGTCTTTGTTCCATCGTCAGTTAGCTGCACGACCACAATCCAGGACCGAGTAGGGTAATCGTACCTGGCGGGTCGCATTGGCCTTGGGTTGTTTTACGAGGTAGACCAGGTCCGGAGGGCCCAGCTCCCGTAGACTCTGCAGAGATTCTGTGCGGGCATCGATAGCGGCGTAGAGATCCTCTTCTTCGTAGATCCTGGAGCGAGTGGTCAGCCACATTAGACACCGACCTTGAGGAGGCCTAATCCACGAAGACGTACTCAGGCACTGAGGGCGTAACCATCGCGCCAATTGACCAGCGGCCTCACCGAGTCCGCACGTATAGGGAGTTGATAAGCTGTTCGAGCGGAATGCAAGTCCACACGGCCTGCATACACAAACACCGCAACTCTGGCTCGGTGTCGCTGCAAGTTCTGGGCTGGCCTGGGATTGTCAGCCACGAGCTAGGATTTGCCGTACGTGTAGACGAGCGAGTAGATTGAAAGGCTCAAATTCCTGATATACCTTCACAGGGTCAGATTTCAGGGCGAATTGGTGGTCCAGCTTTAAAATGCTAGCCTGAAGCCAGCCCGGCTTAGACACGTGGAGACTGCCGCAGCAAGTGCAAACACGCAGTGCAAATGTGGCAGGCACGGAAGCGCTCGCAGCTTCCCCGAGCGCGCCCAGATCAGGGCGTGTCGCTCCTTCTCTTCTTGTTCCGATCATTATTATGCTCGCTTCGACGACATGCTCTGGATGCCATCCAGCATCCAATCTGTCAGAGTTTTCTTGTTGCTATAGATGCGAGCCTTGTTTGATTCTCAATTATATTTCTTCCTGAGCATTTGCGGTGCTTCGCTCTTTGATCGCATGTTCCTTCTCCAACCCTCACCTTCGCCATAGAGCTGCTCACCAGCCACATAACCTTCGATTTCGTCAATGAGAGCTGCCCGGCAGCTGCTTCATCGGTCTGAGAAATGGCAAGCTTTACCGCATTGAATATCGAGCCCGCAGAGGACGTCCCGGAGGAGGTTGATGACACCAAGGAGATCCAAATCGAAGAAGCTCTTAAACTTTACCAGAACGCCCTGAAACTTCACTCGCAGGGCCCAGACTTCTACCCGCAGGCCCGGGAGGCCTATGCTGCTCTGCTGGAATCAGACATCTTCAAATACCCTGAATCGATTTCGGACTATCTGCGAAGCACATTGCCGGACGCCGATGTCGACGATGCTGCCGCCGATGCGCTTGCCGAGATCGATGTCAACGACGCGGCAGCAAGTGCTCTACCGCAGACTATATACCTTTCGTATAAGAACAATGGCCAGTTTCATCTAGATGTCCTAAAGGAGACCCTTCGCTCCAATTCCGGAGCGCCATCGACGGTTGCAAAGGAGTCCCAAGCTGCTCTAAAAATGTTTGCCGAAGCTTTGGAGAGAGACGATACCGACCTCGACCTTTGGAGGAAGGCTGCTCGATTGGGTGGCGCGTTGAATAGTTATCGCCTTGCTCGGTATTGCTCTGAAAGTGTACTGGTGGGTGACGATAATGAGGTAGAGGTGCGCACCGAGCAATTGGGATTGGATGAGGCATTCTCTAGTGAAGAATTGCAGGGACTCCTTCGAGCAATTATTGATGATCTTTCGACATTACAAGCTCCGCCTTCTAAGAAGCCCCGAAAAGCATTGCTTCGGTTCGCCAGAAGTCACATTCAAGACCCTTATCCTTATCTTCCAGGCCTGCCAAAAGAAATATCTAAAACTTCTCTGTCTACAAAAAGTTGGTCGGCGCATCTAACAAACCGTCATATGATTGTCTCCGCCGATAGAACATGGTATGCTATTGGGAAAGCGATACTGGGGTTGATCCGGGCGGAAGTACAAAAACCAGGCAATTCTACATTTATCGGAATCTCATTACCCTTACGCGAAGAATCTCCTCAAAGTCCAGCCCATAGAAGCCTGCCAATTCTGCCCAAAGATGTCGAGATGTTGGAGACCTCGGTGGACCCTTTGACAAGAGAGGAGGCACCAGAGGTCCCGGCGCCTGTCCCTACGTTGGAAACAGTTGATGATCAATCTTCAATTGATCGACGGGCGGAATCACAACTGAGAGAGTCATTGGAAGGCATTTATAAGCCGCCCGTGGACGGCCTAAAATCGGCAGAAAGCCATATAGCGGAGGATGTTGAATGCAAGTCATTGAACCCCAATCCCAGAAAACGTTCGTCTGCTTCTGTTGGGAATGACGAGATGGTCGATGGTGGGAGAACAAAAAGCCGTCGAACCCGCGCTCGAGAGTCAAATGCAGAGAGTCTACTACAAACAGAGGATGCTAGCCTGGACCAGAGATATTACGACGACCGCCTGGAGGACTACTCGCATGCTGACCAGTGGATGTTCGGTACTGTTGGTGGCATCCTTTCAAAGATCGGCGTTGAAGATTTGGGAACAATTGATGAGCTCAAACACCAAGTTTGTGAGTCCATCAATAAACTACGACCTGCGATTGATATTCAACCACCCGCAAAGTCCCCTGATATGATTCTTGCAAACGACCTTCGTAGCGCTTTGGCAACTTGGGATGACGAGAAGGCTCGCTCAGCTATGCAAGGTGATAGCTCGACAGCTTTGCAAGACCTTCGTGGCATGAATCGTTCTGGCCTGGCAATATTTCTCGAGCACTCGAGAAAGTCCGCTCAGAAACCCAGCAAAGATGATCTACTCGGCGGAGGCTGCGGCTTGGATGAATTTGTAGAAGAAATTAACGCAGGTTTGATTCACTACCATGAAGTCGCCTTTACTTGGTTATGCAAGATTCTACAACCCATGGAGAAGAAATCTGATTCCGTCTTCAATGGACTTCTATCAGAGTCCCTTTACATTTCTTCACCATGGCCTGAAGAATTGAAAGAGACTGTTGTGCAGCTCATCATCCAGGAAGATGTGTACTTTTATGAGAGAATGTCTACTATTATTTGCGAGCTAGAGCAGGATATCCTTGGCCATGCCTCAACATCTGAAGACCCTTTCATTTATACTGCCGCACATTATGCTCAGATGGAGATGACACAAACTCTTCACGAACTCCATTTGGATGTCTACGCTCTTATCAACAATCCTAATAGTGAAGTTGACCAAGCTACACGTATTTCACAGCGTGACCGCCTGATGAGATGGGGGATGTTAGCGCAGACTGCAGTCCGTCTCTTCATGGATCATGGACTGGAAGGGGATTACCGCACCAAGATTGCCCTTCGACATCTTTGGTCAACAACATTTCACTCGAATATGGCCGAAGATGCTACGCGTGAGCATATCTTACTTTGTCTACATGATCTCAAACAAGTTCTCACCTCATTTGATGAGCCTGCTATTGTACTAATCAACAATGCGATCATGCCGGAAATTTCTGTTTCTGCGCTAGACCAGGAGATATCGCGTCTCAATTCGATGGACTTTTTTATGAAGATATTTGGGTCAGAAAAGGAGGATTCGGTTTCTTTGATAGAGAGTATTGAACCCATCCTTGATCCTTCTTCGGTAGAGTTCATTCAAGAGGACATTATTTCAGGCCCTGATGATGGCGTATCAACCCCGTCACATTTTCAGGAACTCGCGTCATTCCTTGATAGAGGGGATGCCACACTTCGTCTCTTCTTATGGCGACGATTACAGGACGCATACCGAGATATCGACTATCTACCCAAAGTAATTTCTTGCCAGCTTCGAAGCATCGAGGCTGTTGTCAAAGAAATCCGGGGCAATTCTTTTCTGGAATCTGCTAACGACACTCGGCCTTTAATATTGTTGAGGTGGCTGAAATCACTCAATAATATCTTGATTAAGTTGTTACCGGAGCTTATTGAAAAGCCATCTACCGCTTTTGAGTGTATAGATCTAGAACACTTGCGTTCCTCCATGGTAGCAGTTGCTCACATTTCTCGACTACTTCACACATTCACTCTTTACGAAGACATGGTTCGCGTGGGCCTGCGTCCTGCTTTTGAATTACGTGGCACACTAGGAAAGTCACTTGAGTCTTTCAAAGACAAGCTCAGGGATATGCAAGTTCGCTGCTGGGTATTGCAGTACACGCTGGTCAAGGAATATATGTCACAAGAGAAGGAAATGTTTGATACCCCGTCCGATGACCGAATTCAATTCCTTCGCGCCGTTCACAGCGCGTTGGGTGTTCGGTCTGCATGCAAATATGCCGATAAAATTCTTCTCAAGCTGATGAAATCAGAACTTTTTAGCACTGAAACCAATGAGGATTGTGAACTTGACATCGCACAAGTTCTCTTTGACTTGCATGGCTTCAAATTCTCCAATCAAATAGCAACATCCGATCACGGTTGCCCTATAGAGAAGTTGGATTCACGTTCGGCTGCCATGATGGTAGATTTTGTTCTCATGCAAGTTGATCGCCTGAACATCAAGGATCTGTCAAAGTCTGAACTGAAAACAACGATTGAGAGGGTGCAGCAGGCAATCGGGACTACCAGACACCCCACTTTAGCCTTCAATAGGCGCATCATCAACGGATATTTGAAGTCGCCCATTAATCCATCAGAATTGTTCCGTCTTGTACAGGGTGTGGGCGGGTTGGCATTGACACCTGTTCCTGTGCCAACCTCCGAAAACGCAAGGAAAGGATGGTATTTTCTTCTTGGCCACGCATCATTGACGAAATTTCGGACCCAGAAACGATTGATTCCAGCTCCCACTAACGACCTGGATGATGCAATCACATACTTTCGGCAAGACTTGGAATACGCCACAGAACGTTGGGAGACATGGTATAGACTTGCTCAAACATACGATTCTAAGCTTGAAGACGAGATTACATGGTCCTCAGACAAAATCAACAACAATAAGTCGGATCTAGCAAGCCTGCAACGTAATGCTATTCACTGCTATGCTATGGCAGTAGTTGGTGCGCTAAGGGCTGGTGACGAGGATGAAAAGTCGCGAGCAGTGATATCGGAGCTTTTCACAGACTACGGGATACGCCTTTATGCATCATCTCGGCAACCGCTTGATATGGCTGCTTTTAGCGTCAATGAATTTCAGCGCCATTACAGCGACTTTGCGAGCCAAAAATTATATACGGGGAAACCGTTCAAAGAGATGAGGCTATACTCTGTGTGGGGATTGGCCAGTAACTTGTTCCGGCGTGCTATGGTCGATAGGCCCAACTATTGGGTGAACCACTATATGCTTAGTAAATGTCGTTGGAAGATGTTCAATAGTGACGAGGCAATGCGGGGGAGCAATAAAGCTGTCACTTTAGATGGTGTCCTTGATCCACTATTGGATGCAATCGAAACACTGCCAACTCGGAAAGAAAAGGGTGCGGATCCCATTTTTGAACCTCATTTCAGACTTGTCTCGGTTCTTCACAAACTTGTAACCCGACAACAAATTGAGCCTATCAAAGCTGGTGAGATCCTGTCGGAAAGCCCGTATGCAAAGAAGCTTTCGCCTCCTCAAGATATGGCAAGCTGGAAACCTTACGTTCTAGACGTTTTGAAGTGCCTAAAGAACGCAGACAAATCGAACTGGCATCACCGAATCATGTTACGGATAGCTAAAATCCATTACGATAGCCAGGAAGATGCTATCTCTGCAGCAAATGCTGCTAAGAACGAGCTAATGCCCCAGATATTCACAAAAACCATGGCACTGCAAGTCTGGCGCCCCGAGTTTGAACGACCTGGGCGTCATTTTGTTTATACCACGCGTTATGTCTATTTCTTCGTGAAGTTACTAGATCAAATAGGTGATCGATCCAGCCTGGAACAGTTGCTCCGTCGTCTCAGGAAGAAGCAGGGCGATTTTATAAATCATGCCAAGCTTTGGGAGGATATGTGCATGGTATATGCAAAGGTAAGTAATTCTATTGGTTTAACACCTTGGTGGTATGTAACTAATTGGGACCTCAGCTTATTCGAAGTGCCGGTGCTATCCCTGAGCATCACGAAGATGGAATTTTCAAGCCCCTGAGTTGGGACGATTTTGTTGCGAATTCAGCTCGCTTGGACAACCTCAAAGACCTTCCTACAACCAATGGGCCGACATTGGACTTGCTACGCGAAGCTTTTGAACTCAAAAAACTCAACAACAATCTCATGAAAGTCACCATGTTCGAAGACCTCATCGCTGATATGTATGCTCGTTTGTACGAAGAGAGCAAGCATCGGTTCATTGAGCAAGTAAACGAAGAAAATCGCGAGAGAATGAAAGTCGATCACCTCTTGATGAATACCGATGGCGCTGCTGATGATCCTACACCCCCTACGTCCGCTCCTGCATCGGAAGCACCTGCTCCTCCTCGTGGACGAACCAAGGGTATAGCTCGCCGAGACATCCAGAAGCGCGCCGAGGCTATTGTCAACCGGTTTGCTCGTCCATCTACAACGAAAGCTGCTGCTGCTCCTGCTGAGGAAGAAAAAGTACCACCTGCACCACCCCCAGCCGCTGCTCTTAGCCACCTTCGGGACGATGCAGCAGAAGGCGCATCTGCAGCACAGAGTAGTGCTCCAGCGAGTGTGCATGATAGTGCCGATGAGAGCGAATTAAGCGAAATGGACGATGACAAGCTTGACAAACTAAAGGTGGACCAGAGGGCCATATTTCCAAATTTGAATTCTCTGAAATCGGTTGAACAGAACTCTGAAATGTCCGCCCCAGCTAGTATCAATGAGTATGGCGATGAAGCAGTCGATGATACGAATGACAATGCGCAAGAACGGGTAGGTAGTAATGTTGAAGGTGACGCTGGACTTGCAATAGAAGAAGGCGAAGAAACGGAACTTCAAGCAGATATGGAAGAAGATGAAATTATAGAAAATAATACTGGCGAAGGCGACGGCGGGCAGGAAGATATTGACATGGACGGCGATGCCGAGGAAGGTGGTGAGGCGGAAGGAGAAGAAATCACTGAAGATGTCGGCGATGAGACGATGGCCGAGGCTGATGACGTTCAAGCAGAGGGAGAAGCCTTGCCTCAAACTGATGTCAAAGCCGAGGAACCAGCCATGGAGGTTGAACCAGCTGCTTGAGGATGAAGCGCAGTAATCTTCCTTTTCTTTTTGGTTTTATGTTTATGTTTTGTTGTACGATTAGGTGTACGGTTGGCTGTGGGAGTGATGGTGTTTTAACATTTGGAGGCTCATTGTTCGGGTTCGATGTTCCTAGATTCGTGTCATGACTGGGTTATATGTACTATGGTGGGAGTTTATCATTTTAACGATACCCATTACTTCAATTATATATGAATTTCGCTTCACTCGAGTTTACCAGGACAGCATAGGAAATCACGTTTGTATATGATAGGTATTTGCATCGTGAATCAGATAAAGAGGAAAACAAAGGGGTATGAAAGCATTAAACCATGAAAAAACCAAGACAACCCAACGCGTATAGAAACCAGCCGTTTCCCATCTGTCATCCGAAGGTTATATAATACCTGAAGTGAAGAGAATATTTATTAAATAGTTAAAGGCATGAACAAGAAGATAAAGAATGAAGAACCATCTACAAATCCTCTTCGGGTCCTAGATCTCTCTTTCTTGCAGTGACTCGTCGTGGCTTTTTTGCGCTGGCTGCAGTGGGAGTAACCTTGGCAGCCTTTGGTGTTAATTTCGTTGAGCCTGTGGAGTGATGATACTGGTCGGCAAGTTTAAATGTACCGATTTTCTGGAATGCGTTTTCTAAGTCACTGCTTTCGTTGCTGAGTAGACTTAGCTCACTGGTATCATGAATTGTTGACCCAGCTTTGGGCTTGTGTGTTGGGGATTGTGCGTTGATTTGGCGCTCGAGTGCAGCAATCTTGCTGTAGAGATACTCATTTTCGCGTTCCAATTCGTCGACACGTTCATCGGGAGTTGGTTCGGGATCTTCATAGACTGAGTAATCTTTAGTTCACGACCTTTCTCATACGAGGACGCTATGTGTAGGACAACTTACTCTTGATATCGCGTGAGACAAGTTCTAGTTTCTTATCCAGGTGTTCCTCGTTCCGACCAATCTAAGAAGTGGATTAGGTTCGTCTGATTTTGAATGTTGTAACAGTATCTCACCTGCTGGTCCCACGCTGTCTGCCATCGTTTTCGCTCCTCTTCCATTCTCTCCTCCATTTCGGCCCAGCATTCCTCACGGATTTCTTGCTCGATCAATGTGAATTTCTCTTCGAAAGCCTTGAGTTTCAGTTCTGCTTCCTGGCGAGCAATCTCCTCTTCTGCAAGCTTGAGAATCAGTACCTCACAGTCGTCCGTGATACGGACGATTTCCCGAGCGGCTTCCTCAAGATCTTCTGTAGAAGCTGAATAAGGGGTTGTACGGCCGTTAGATGTTTGTGGACGACTTTGAGATGATATAGAAGAGCTCGACAGAATAGTGCTCGTAACGGAAGGTATGCGGGGAACAGTGACCTCCCGTGCTAAGGCCGAGTAGCGGAGAATCTGAGATGTAGCATTGAAATCCCCGAGAGGATCGGCGGTGACGATCATGATTGCCTTTTGGGGATGGCGATTGTGAGATGTCAGGTGTGAAGATGGGAAGGAGTTAGAGAATAGAAGCTCTGTAAGCTTGCATTGTCTGTATGGGACGACCGTCTACGACCATATGGTTAGTATTGACATGGTAACTGCTTTGAGTATTACTTTACCTTATTTCCATCTTGAAAGTAGCTTTGCATCTGCAGGCATTGACCCAGATACATCAAACTTTCATTAATCTTGCCGGCTTCAGCGAGTGTTGCACCAGCAGTCTTTGCGTTCCGTGCTCGCTCAGAACCTGAAATATTTAGCTTTGATTAGAGGTACTTTACTAATGGTTGGTACATACCAGCAAGATCGACTACAGTCAAAGTATTGCCAGCCCAAGTCACTTCCCCATACCTACGGCTTTTGACCTTTTTCTTGACTTCGAGGCAAAAAAACCCATGACTTCGAGAGCTGACATTGTTACTTCCCGTACCGGCAATACGGCGCTCATTAAGGCCTGTTTCTAAGACCATCATAGCTTCTTCATAGCTACTGCACACAACCTTTCGAAGTCCGGCGACTACCTTCCGGTCAGGTGAGGCCTCTGTTGATTTGAAAAGCAATGGACGTCGCCTATCTCTCTGGCTGTTTCCACCCTGGCGAGTCATAACTCCTCCGGGTCCAGGGACGAGTGAAGGAGAGAGAAGGTCGAAGATGCGGTCGTTATAGACTTCATACATTGATACGAGCACCACATGTTCCGAGTCTGGGTCTACTAGCTTTGTTAAATGCGAAACATCAGGTGTACCTGGAAGAGCGGCTAGGCGTTGATTTAAATGGCGTCGTGGAATTACAGGCGTTTGGAAAGAGTCCTAAAATATGTCAGTACAACGCCTCGCACGTCTTGAACTGTTGAACCGGTCGTACCAGCATCGGGGTTTGGGCTCTTGACATGGGAGTTTGAGCTCTGGAAGCTCGACTGCGTTCGCTAGGATCTCCATAAATACTATCAATGAAATTTCTAGCAGAGAAAATTTGAGCTTCGGATGGATCGGTTGCGCTGAGCGATGGAAGGAGAGAAGGGTCCTCAAAGTTATCAGCAGATCGGATGGTGCTTGACAAAGATCTAAAGAGAACGTCAAGAGACATTTGCGTCATCCCGCGTTGGCTCTTGGAGCCAAGAATAGTGTGACTCTACTCCAATTCAGTATGCGCTATTTCAGATAGCATGGACCAATATAGTCTTTACCTTTCCACTGCCTGTGACTCCGAGAGTCGCAACCAATCCATCCCGACCTTCACGTAGAACCCCGTCTATCAGCGAAGCCATTCCGGTGCTCTCAAAAACCTCGAGCTGTTTTGACTCTTCTTCAAAAACCCGTGTGAAAGCGAATTTTTCGACCGCGCGTTTCCGAGAATCATTTGGTGGCTGCAAGGTGATGTGTTTGGGATGGGAATCTTGTAAAGATTCATCTTGGCTCTCTGCTGCAACCACAGGTTCGACATTAAGATATCGCTCTCCTCGCTGAACATTTGCGGCTTCTTCTTTGGTGATAGGCGGTCGGAGTCTGAGATAGACCTGAAACAGCGAGGTCTGGCTTGACGCCGGTTTTGGCGGAGGATTCATGGTGATGTGGTGTGTTCAATATTGGCGCTGATATTGAGGCTGATCCAAAAAGTGATTTGCTTCTATTTGGAAGCTGATGCTCGTTTGGTATGAGCCTGAATTAACTTATTAACTTCCAGGTCGCATAGACGGAATGTGGAAGAGTCGCTGGGCCGTCGGTGTGAAACTGCCTTGTGGTGTTGATGGATCGACAATCCCTCCCGATCGGGCTAGTGCTAAAGTTGTCCTAGCAACGCTTATCGCTATCATCACGTGACTGTATACTTTATTTATTTTCCACCACCGAAACTGTTGGGGCAATTTTCAAACTCTTTACATCCTCTCTGTTCATCAATTACAGCCAGAAGATTGACAGGCAGAAGTAATCTTTTCCGGTGATTTCAATTTGCCCAAACGAACCTACGAATTAAATCTGTTCTTCGAGTCATATACAAGACTGCATCCTGAAAACTAAATCAACTCCTACAACTCGCGGCTACTATCGGAACTCAATATACCCATCGCTGGAAAAAAGATCATTGAAAACTATACTAACATCCGACTATATTTACGCGGTCCATTGATTTAGAGAGATTGCCGAAGATTGTCATTTGAAATCAACTTCTCCCACCATCCCACTCGGGTGGGATAGCCATATTAGTAATGAATTCTATGATATCGCTTTATTCTATTGGTTATCAATTACGCACAATACCATTTAATAATACAAAGAGACATCATTAACATGCTTATATAAAGCTCTGAAAGGCCGTCTCTCAAAGATATTGTTAGTCCAGTGATTTGTGTATTCAGAGTTCAACGAAACAAAAGTGTTATATTGCCAAGCCAATCCGTGCTTTTAAACATGGCCCGAACATCCCAAGCAGTTGTCATCCGACCAGGTAAAGAGAGTAGTGACACTTACAAGCTGGTCAAAGACTCGATTACTACCCCGACTCCAGGACCTGGTCAAGCTCTTGTCAAGGTTCAATATGTAGCTCAAAACCCTACAGACGGTAACATCCCCATATCCATAATGCTAGGACATTAGTTCTTATCCGTCACCAGTCAAATCATTCGACAACAAGGTCTTCGGGGACGGTCATATTTTAGGCTGTGACTTTTACGGCACTGTCGTGGAAGTTGGGTCAAACGTCACCAGAATTGCCAAAGGCGATGTGGTCGCTGGGCTAATCTGGGGAGGTATGCGCCCATACATCCTACCATCTTGGCGTTACTGATTGCAAAAAGGAGAGATTAAGGGATTGGGTGGGTATAGTGAATATACCATTGCAGACCAAAACATCTGCTACAAAGTACCCCCGAGCATTTCCGGGGATGCTGCAAGCACAATCCCCTTGGCCAGCGGGACAGCATGGCTAGCGTTATTCGCCAAGACCTGTCTGAACATTGATAGAAAGAACGCGTCAAGCCAGAGTGTTCTAATCTGGGGCGGAAGCTGTATGAATCACTGACACTTTCATGTCAAAGTCCACGTCTAACTATGCCATTAGCAAGTGTCGGACTATTCGCCATCCAACTTGCTGCCATATACGGTATCAAGGTGGTAACAACCTGTAGCCCACGCAATTTTGATCTCGTTCGCTCCTATGGAGCGTCAGAGGCATTTGACTACCGGGATGAAAAAGTGGTGGAAAAAATCCGAGCTGCAGTGCCAGGCCTGCACTACGTGTTCGATACTATCGGCGAAGACCCATCGTCTACGATTGCTTCACAGGCCCTGACTGAGAATGCGCCGGGATATCTCTGCACCGTGCGGCCGGGTAAAGCATGTACAGAAAATGTCACCAAACAGACTGTCGTCAGTGATGTGTTGGTGTGGACGGTGTTTTTGAAAGATCATTCGTACCGAGATATTCTCTTTTGGCCGGTGAGTATTTCCAATCTAAATATGTATGAAGGGAGATCACGGAACTGATAAAATGTGTGTAGGCATCAAAAGATGATCACGAATTAGCAACTGAGCTTTTCGACAATTTGCCGGTATGGCTCGAACAGGGCAAGATCAAGCCTAATGCGACCAAGGTATTTGACGGCTTAGATTCTGTTACTAAAGGGTTCCAGGAGTTCAGAGACGGAAAGGTTTCGGCGTATAAGATTGTTTACAAGCTGTAGTCTACTGCCCTCATGGCTATTGCCCTAGTTGTCTAGAAGAAATCAACCCGATGTCATATACTACTTACACGACTAAAACTTGCATGTGGTATGCCAAAAATATGTAAAACGTCAAGCCGAAATATAAGACCCTATAGTAAAAAAGAAAACCTATTCAGCTCTTCATAGCCGTCTAAACATCTCCGACTTTCGCCCCAGCCGACAGTCCTTGATTTCCCTCCTCCCAGAACTTCTCATGCCTCTTCTTCTTCATCAACATACCCCCAACATCAAACGGGTCAAGGAATGTCAGAATAAACGGCCTCTTGTCCTGAAATCCCGGTCCCTCAATCTCCGTAACCCCATCCTTTGCTAAATAGATTTTATTTGACTTTGGTAATTTCGTCATGGGATGAAGGATATTCAGCATGGTTGTGTTAGAATACATAACCATCACTTCAAAGACCCAAAAGAACCACTCCTGTTTCAGGACAGGGCTTATCTTATCGATATCCCAGACCGTGATACTCGCCGCTTCAAAGTACTCGACAGTGCGGTAGACCGTGCGGATTGTGATGAGAACGCAACTGGCAAGTAGCACGTGCAGAGGCCGCCTGATTTTGTAGGACAAGAGACCAGCCCGGTAGCATCGCCGGTAGAATGTAAGGACAATAGAGACGAAACCGGCCATTTGCACCAACTGCAAGATGAGCGACGCCTTCATCAGTGCTTTCCCGGCGTCTTGCACAGAGGGAGGGTTAGAGGAATTCGATACTAGCGAGGCTCCGCTGCCTGTCAGAGACTCGATTATCAGGCCTAGCGCGATGAAGGTGGTGAAGACTCGCCCGGGGTGGATGGGGGAATGGTAAGGGACGTAGTAGAGAATGCGACCGAGGGTGAGGAAATTGGCGGCTTCATAGATGGGTCTATATTTTCATTTAGTGAGGGTGTTCTATTCCAAGCTAGTAAGGATACGTACGGTCCTACAAGTAGAAGACATTGACTGACAATAAACAGGTTCAGATTATCCCATTGTCCGAATGCCGCGATGGATCGTACGACGAAACCAGCAGTAAACAACGTTGCGGACCAGGGAAGTAATCCGGTGACTTTCCAGCAGTGAAGTTTCCTAGACATGTCTATTAGCGAGAGATATTCAAATAAATTGCAAAAGAAAGACGATACGAACAGGCATAAATAAAAGTGCCAAAGACCCGAAACTGCGAATAGAATGGCAAAGGCTATGGGAGCGCCCTTGTTCGGAGCATAGTACCAGAAGCTGCCCTGCTCTATGCGAAGTCAGGATGAGAACGCAGGGAATACTGGGCGTATAAATTACTCACGGTAAGAATCTCGTTCTTCGAGCATCTTGGACAGATTGTATGAATCAATAGACGCAGAGAAAGTTCACGTTTAGCAAGATTGGTTTTGTTAAAAGTCTGGATTCGCATCAAAAATCCTATCCTGAGTTGATAGAACCAGCAAAATGAGCAGGGTGTTCAGCCTCATTATATAGTCTGTAAAGCGAACCCGGACCTACCCACAATGGAAATTCACTCGTACCCTAGGGACTGCACAGCCTAATAGCCTCAAAGCTGAGGCTAAACTCGTATTCGCCCAATCCAGGAATAACGCTAATACGAGCGAGCATTCTTTCTAGAATATTGCCTTTCCCGGGCACTGCGAAACGAGGAACGCCCCGGGAGGCTTTGACATGATTGATCAATGAAGAAGTCTTGTGGAGAAAACTGTCGATCATTTTCTTTTGCGCAGACTAAAGTTGACTGAATTGCCGGTACGAGGTTCCCAATCAGGCAATCTCGTATTGCTAGCGCATCGTCATGGCGCCGAGAGCGAGATGCCGCAGATCCATGACTTGACAGTTGTAGAGAATAGTACGCCGGAAGCATCTATGTATTCAGCAAATCAAGTGAATATTAAGTTCGAATGTGGATATGCGCTCGCAGGACTATTTTCCCGGAAAAAAAGAGACAATTAATACATTGTAAACTAATACATCGAATCCCTGTTCTAACATGAAAGAAGATCCCGTGACAAGTAGATATTTTCGCAGCTCACATAGACCTATCAGGCATAATGCCAAACCAGCATCGCGACACCCTGACCAATGCAGAAAGCGAGGAAACTACAATGATCTTTCCATTCTCCCATAAGTCGCGCTACTCGTCTTTTGCAGCTCTCTTTGGGCGACGACCTCGCTTAGCTTTTTCGCCATTGGTAGCCTCCTTGCGAGCTTTCTTGGCTGGTGGTGCTGGTTCAGGTTCCGCATCGTCAACACTCTCTTCCTCAGCAGCAGCAGTCTTCTTCTTGCGTCCTCTAGCCTTCTTCGGCGCATCCTCAACCGCTGCGGCGGGTTCTTCAGCAGCCTTACCGGCTCTACCACGTTTAGCAGGTTTCTCGTCAGCAGCTTCGTCTTTCACTGCGGCTTTGCCAGCAGTCTTCTTAGTCTTCTTGGGGACGACCTCTTCGGCCGCTTCGGCGCCAGCACGAGCGCGTTTTTTAGACTTGGTTGCAGGTTTTTCTTCCTCGGCAGGCTTTTCAGCGGCCTATTCTTTTAATCAGCTATAATGTGAAAGACAGTCGATAGCAGCCACTCACCTCATCGCCCGCCTCATCTTCGCGCTGTAATTATAGTATGAGCCTTATGTTAACGAAGAAGAGGATCGCTCAACTTACAACAGTCCTGTCGCTTTCGTCAATGTCGCCATCCTTCAAAGCCTGCTTGACTTTGTCTTGCTCTTCCTCAGGCAACTCATCAAGGCCATCAAGCAAGTCAAAGTCGGGTTCATCACCATCCCCAAGAGAACTGACAATATTGCTAATGACCTTTGTAGTCACGCAACCCCTATCGACAGATGTTAGCCCCTTCAAATCATACCCTTGCAGGCGAAATGTTTTGGTTAATGAATGGCACGCACCAGTGGCGCCAAGACCAGCTCTGGAATTTTTCTGTCTCGACCCAACTTCCAAGACGTAGTTCGCCTTTCAGGATCTTGACTTTGGTCTTTTTACAGGCTGGGGCGTTGCAGCCAGCCCGGTTGTTGGCTGATACCTCTGTCGTGCTGTTAGTTGGTGTTTTCGCTTCTCATCGCGCAAATTATCAAAAGACTAAGGGAAAAATCATAGCGATGATTGTATTTACGAATGAAACACAACACATGAAAGAGGATTAACGATAAATACAGACATATATTGATGACTTACCGATGCGATAGCTCCCCATGACGCGAGAGACCGCGAGAGACGGTGAAGAAGGAAAGCTTTGGGTATCAGAACATCAACGGGAACAAAAGAAACGAAAAAATCCGATTCTGTGCAAAGTTATGGGCTTTTGGATTTCCTGCTGCGATGCAAATGATTTCGATGGGATTAACTATTTAGGAATATGGATGGAAAAGAAGGGAGAGCAGGGACAAACGAGGCGAGAGAGGAGAAAGAGTGTCGTGTAGGCAAGGCCCGCGTCAAAGACTGCTGCCGCGCGCCCGGGCCCGGCACTGCGCTCCTTTTGTCGCCTGTTTGTGCTGCGACCTGCAAACACATATTATATTATTATTATTATTGCACACTACGTGCCTAACGCTGCCTGCTATTCGCTCGCTTTTCCTTGTCATAATTCATGCATTTCATATCTAAACAGTCTTCTTTTGTCTATTCCCAGGGCATCTTAATTCGCGAAAAAGTCCTAACGGAAGAAAAAGTACGGCAATAAGAATAATGCACCATGCGCCAGCGCTCCCTGTAATCATACTCCTCAAAAGCTGCACTGTTGAATGTCAACATTATACGCTTAATGTTTCCTCCTTCTAGAGTTGGCCAACACGCTCCTCTGCATCATTCTGTAGTTTTTCTAATGCGTCGAGATGTTTTCGGAGCATCACGACGGCACCTAAGCTTAACCGAGAGACAAAGGGCGAAGCCGGGACTATGCTGTCCTCATCCTTCTTATCAGACGCGGAATTGTAATGCTCAATCATCTTGCGAGCTTCTGAGATCGCCTTCTGTAATAGGCAAGGCCGCTTTTCAGACTGAGATCCCGGAAGATACTGCCAGGCGAGAATATCCTCAAAGTCAGGAACGGATCTTTCTAGTGCGCGTTTGATGAAAGCCCGTGTCATCACGAATGATTTTTCGGTGTATTGACTACTCTCAACACGCTGGTTTCCTTCCGCTGCAAATACCTCAAATCCGGCTTCATCTAGATGTGTGTCAGTGCAAGGGAGGGGAAAGAGTTGAATATTAAGGGAAGAAATACTATAGAATGGGTCCTTGACCAGCACAAGACCCATGATCGAGACTAGGATTTGTAACAGCGTCGATTTGCTTGGAGACCACATCTCATCCGCATTTTTCCCTGACCATGTTCCTAGAATACTTAGACAGATCTTCCCATCTTCGTACAGGTTTGGATTAATCCGACCCATCGAGTTCGTCCATGAATGGAAGAAAGCGTTTGGAGGCTGGTTCGGGAAATTCTTGTCAAAATGAAAATCAACTACGTGAGGTGCATATTCATAGGGGGTTCCTTCGGGTCCAATGATTAGAACTCGTAGGAGATCCATTCTCGACTCCCATGTTCGCGCGAAGATTCCTGGTGGGAGCGATGTCTCAAGAATTTTGTACTCTTTGGTTATGCGACGTAGCGCAAGTGCATTACCATTTTCGACTACTTTAGTATGGGAAAAGTGGTGGTCAAACGGAGGGGGCGTATCTAGAATGGCAAACTTTGGAGGATCGCTGTTAACCCTGGCAGGGTCTAAAATAGAGGTGCCCTCAGTAGTAGAACGTTCGATGGCGTGCTCACTCGACGGTGGGACTACGCCAGGGGGAGCATCTTCCATGATAACGTCGTTGTCGTTGTCAACCATTTGGTAGCCATGTGAAAACGATTCTTCCACATATTCCTCTTCGTCAGACTCCTCTTCATCAGACTCCTCTTCATCAGACTCCTCTTCATCAGACTCCTCTTCATCAGACTCCTCTTCATCAGACTCCTCTTCATCAGACTCTGTGGTCCAGTCCTCGTTTTCTGGATGGCCACGAATCCATTGGGATAGCCCCAATCCTGTAAGGAATTCGAGACGGTCGTCTCCGTCCCCAAATTGGTCAACCAAGGCATGCATTAGGTCGGCAGTTTCATCATCTTGCCCAGCGCTGTCCTCGTCAACTACCATTAATACCCTTTCAAGCGGAAGCCGAATATCTCGACATTGATCCAGAGCCCCTAATCGAACAGTGACAGTGCCATCCAAATTAATCTCGACAATGTGCCCAACCCAATCAAGCGGTTGGTGAGTATCAAACGGTGCCATTTGATTCTCGAGTGTACCCCCAAGTAGCGCATCGTAGTCAACTTTAACCGACCGTCGGAACCACTCCGTGTTGACTATGACCTTTTTGATGTCCTCTAAATACACGTTCATGTAGGTAAATGCGACAGGCCATAAATGACTGAGCGCGCACTGGCCAGCAGTTGCCGATGACGGATCTTCGGGAGTATTCACTAGACTATATGAATGAACCATCCCCGGTACTATGATAACTATTACTTGCTCCTGTATGTTGAAGCGTAAGGCGTCGTAAGTCGCAAGTTCATACATGGAGACTTCATTACTTTCATCTCCTGGCTCTCCTAGTACTGAAGTCGGTCGAAGAACTTTGCCTTGGTAGAGAAGATCCACATGGGGATCTTTGAACCAACGAATCGACGCAACTTGCTCTCGACTGTTCACATTCTGGACCACTCCAACCTGGTTCAACTGCAAAATTGAAGCATTGGTGCCTCCAAAATTGGTACTGTAAGTGGACGGGTCAAATCGGCGGGTGCTGTGATTAGGAATGGTCTGGATTGTGTCTTTCAAAGCAACTATTTCCCCCGGCATAATCACATCTTCATGAGCCGAAAGCCTGTGGAGAGATGTAGATGCCTGAGTAGTGGTAGATAGATCTTGCCACTGGACGACGACATCCGTTTTCGAAGACACTATAGTAAAAGCATTGACATCATAACTAAAAGTCTCACTTGCAGGTATTCGATCAAACCGTGAATACTTCACTGCCGCCCCTGCAGGGTCTTTGAATCTAACGATATCTCCAATGAACCTTGCGCCATGTAGCTGGTAGCCACCGCTTCCACGAACGCCAGGAGTCTTCAGGAAATCGTACACTTTAGCCTCGTTTCGAATATCAGACACTCTTAAAACCTCGCTAGTCTGGCCAACGGAAGGAGCACCGATAGCGAAGACATTTGAGCATACCCATTCGACTGAGACTTCATTGGTGGCCGTGAACAAAATATTTCCAGAAGAATGGTTGTCAGAATAACTTCCGTGTATCCAATCACCTCGCTTCAAATTCATTAAAGGAGTGTGTACCCAGTCTCCGGGAACACGAAGAAAATCTGGCATATACCGGCCCTCATCGAATGGATCTCTGGAGAACCTGGGTGGCTGGGATATAATTATGTCTGGGTCTGCTTCTAGTGGCGTGTCGACCACTCGAGGATCTTGTGGTATAACGACTGACTGGTTTGGCAACATGAGCACTACATCACGGCTAGTCCATTGGACGATGCCAACTTTCTGCCGATATATGATGTATTTGCCAGCGTAGTAGTCGTCATAGCTCGTTAGGTCTTCTTCATCGACATCTTCGAGGAGAGGAGGGTTTGAGGTGTCTATTTCATGTGGGTGATACCATTTTGGTTTCTTCTTTGTGAATTTAACGGGGCCTCGTTCCCCTAATCTCGGGTCGACCTCTCTGTAAGCGATTGGTCGAAGGGTGTATTTAGCAAATATGCCAATGACCCTTCCAATCATGGTGTCAGTCTGGCTACGCTTCACAAAGTTTCCAATATCGATGGGTCGATCAACAAGGTCAAGTTCATCTTCAGAGACAAGTGAATGACCGTCAGAGTGGTCAATCCACATGACATAGACATATCCTTTCGGGGGCTGACCAAAAAGAGGTTAGTATAGTGGTAGACAAAAACCTAGAAACATCATTTACCACTCCGGTTTGGAGAAATTCCGCTATCTCCATGTCCGGGACTGGGACATGAGCAATGATAAGCTGATCTTCGTCCCCGGGAGGCTCGTGCGATTCAACCTGAGAATTGATTAATATACGACCAAAAGGACCTTCTTGCATACATACTTCGTAGAACGTCCTCTGCTAATTGTTAGACCGCTCATTACCATTATCTTTCAGTAGTGACTTACATCCACCGTTCCCACCAATGACCTGTTGGACTTGAGGGCGCAAACATCTTGACAATAGAACTTTGAAGTAGATACTCAGCGGGGTTGTTGTTTACAGATCTTCACTGCGAAATTCACCTTTCTGGTCTGATTATTGTCTTGTGCCACATTTGTAGCGTTCCCACTGAGAGCCGCCATTCAACCAGCGGGCTGCCCGAGCCAAAGCGGCTTAGGCGTTGAGTATTAGAGTGATATTATAGGCAATAGTGTCAACATATGTTTGAGGAAAACGAAGAATAGGGAGGCGAAAGTAAAGATAGATCGATAGAAAGAAGGAAATAAGGATAGGGCAGTGTCACTCATAGAAACAGCGCCACGGTGTGAGATCAATCATCCCAATATCGAAATATTACATGCGTCACGATGAGACCGATCACATAGGAGAGATCCTAGCATCCCAGCTCTGGCTGCGCGTAATAATGTTTGGAAATATTGGACCTAGCTCCCAGAACGGTTGCTTGTAAAACGAAGGAAAGATAACACGACGAGGTTGTGTTGAGACAAACAGCCCATTAGAGCGCGATATCAGGTGAGTCGCAGCTTGCTCCAAACGGCGAGCGGCCTCGGCGCGGGGAAGGAAGGCATGCCGCCGCCGAGCGAGGAGCTTGCTTTGGTCCGATAAGAATTTGGAAATTGGCGCCACCAACTCGCTAGCCCAAATCATTGTTTCCAACGTCGCATAGAGGACCTTATTGGTGTCAAGGAGCTAGTTGGTGTCCAGCACTGTTGACTATATTGTTATTGACTATTTATTCATTGAGCCCTGAGAGCCGTCCTCTCACGTCACCCTGGGAAAGACGCCACGCCTCCATCGCGACATCGCAGTTACCGCATCTTTTCTGGATAACTCGTTGCTTCCTAGAGACAAACAATACAGACAGAAACGATGTCTGAACCGGGCAAGGAATCAATTCCTACTAGCGCCGATCCCAAGAGCAAAAGGCCAACAAAACGTCGCCAGCTCACGCCCGTTTCCGAACAAGCAAACCAGATCAGCAGTCTTTTCAAAGACCCCGGCAAGGAAATCCGCCTGCCCTCAGCACCGAAGCCGCGGACCGCCGATTCACTCGCGCCTCCGCCCGAGATAGTTGCCAATGTGCAAGGGTCGTCGGCCGGTGCTGGCTCAGGCGAGTTTCACGTTTACAAAGCGAGCCGGCGTCGGGAATACGAGCGCTTGAGATTGATGGACGAGGAAGTCAAGCGAGAAAAGGATAACGAGGAATTTGAGAAGAAAAAGGCAGAAGCGCAGAGGAAGGATGACGAGAAGACAGAAAAGAATAGGAGAAAGCGTGAGAAACGCAAGGCTGTGGCTGCCAAAAATAAGAACGGCAACAAGGCCAACGGAGATACAGAGAGCATGAATGTCGACAATGACCAGGAGGCTGGGCCAAGGAAAGTTCCACGACTTGGGCCTCTGCCTCCACGGGGAAAGAATGTCGACGCGGAAGTGGAAAATGATCAAGAGCTCCAAGTTTACGAGGAACAGGGTGTTGTTATCCATGACGATGATTAAAATTTAAGTAAAGCTCAAAGCACCACATTATAGTTCGCCGGATCAAAATGGCCAGATACCCCGATGTACTTTCTTATTAGAACTATTTGTACAATTCGCACATGTAATTCATGTAACCTTAATCAAAGCCTCTATTTTTCGCCCACTTTTGAATTCCCAACATCCACTTCGGGCTTACTCTTCTCCACCACCCATATTCGCGCCGGCCTGTTGGGCAGATTTGGCACTGCAAATATCATCCACACGAAGCAGAAGGCATGCAGACTATAATGAAAGATTAGTAAGCTTGTAGCTGTGAGAATTTCAAACAACATACCTCAACAGCCGTTTTGATACTTTGGAGCTTGACAGCTTCGGGTTCCCAGACACCATACTCTTTCATATCAACAATTCTGCCAGTCTCACCGTTAACACCCCAGCTGGTGTGTCCCTCCACATGCTTAGCACGCAGGCTGGTAAGTACTCGGATAGGGCTTTCACCAGCATTTTCGACAAGGGTTCGGGGAATGACCTCCATGGCCTCGGCAACCGCTTTGTACGGCCATTGTTGTACACCCTCAACGGACTTCGCCAGTTGCTGAAGCTTGACGGACAAGGCCATTTCTGTCGCACCTCCTCCCGGTGATAGACGAGGGTGGAAGATAACGTTGCGAGCAACAGACATGGCGTCTTGAAGGTTCCGCTCTATCTCATTTAGGATGTCCTTAGACGGGCCTCGCAACAGGATTGTGCAAGCTTTGGGATCCTTGCATTTTCGCATGAAAGTGAAATACTCATCACCAATCTTTTCGATCTCGAATAAGCCGCACTTGGTTCCGACGTCGGATTCTTGCAGATCGTCGACACGGTTGACAATAGTGGCGCCTGTGGCACGTGCGATACGGTTGTTATCAGTCTTTCTGACACGGCGAAGGGCAGTAACGTTATTTTTGACCAGGAAATGTTGTGCCAAATCTATGCTAAATTAGTCCTCCTCCGTTGTGCTATCCCGGATTCCACTTACCGGAAACACCCTTTTCGGTGATAACGATGTCTGGTTTGAGGGCCAAGATCGCATCGCACATATACTTGACTTGTTCTTCTTCGATTTGCAGTATCCGATTCCAGTCCTCCTCCTTCGAAACCTCGATATTGGTTTGAGATTCGCCTTTCTTATACTCAAGGGGACAGTCCAATAGGACGATCCTTGGATTTTCGATCCGCCTTCTCATTTTTGGGTGAGTAATATCTTTATTGACCATCACACCATCGATAACCTCGCTGTCCTCAATCTCGCCGCCAGGGACCTTCTCCACTCGAGCGTATCGCTTAATATCCACCTCTTGTTTCCCACCACCCACTTGCAACGATACCGTACGGACTGCCTTCAGAGCAAGGCTGCACATGAGATCCGACCATCTCGAGACAAATTTTGTACCAATCGACGACTGAATGAGGCTGTACATCGCTTTATCGCTATCGATATCGACAGGGACTGAGATTTCCTCGACAATCTGAAGAGCGTCGTTGAGAGCTCGCTTAAATGCGGAGATGATCTGAACCGGGTGGATATTTCGTTCAAGCTGGGGCAGAGCTTGCGCGAGCATTTCACCGGCTATCAACCATTAGATAATGGCTTGCAAATGTAGATCCAGCGGGTGTATACCTAAAATGATGACCGTTGTAGTTCCGTCTCCGACTTCCTCGTCTTGCGTGCGGCTGAGCTCAATCATGCTCTTTGCAGCGGGATGTGCGACTTCTATTTCTCGGAGAATTGCATGGCCATCGTTCGTCAGTACAATACCACCCATGGGGTCTAACAACATTTTCAACATGGCTTTGGGGCCGAGGCATGATCGAATAATATCCGCAACACTATGTCATCAGTTAGCTCATAAAAATAGCGTCTCAGGCAAGAGTGCATCGTACGTCTTTGCCGCAGTGATATTCGACAATTGAGCCTGCCGACCGACCTGTCGGTCCCCCTTTTGGGTGTCTGAAGCCCTGTTAGTCGCAGTCTTGCCAGCAAGTCGAATCTGTAGAAAAAGGCGGGGAGGACATACTCATCACGACGACCGGTGCCTGCATCTTGACGGGCGCAGGCTTTCGGACCTGCTACTTGACTTTCTAGCGAAAGGAGGAGGGTAGAACAGTAGCACGTATGATAATAATATTAATATTAAGGTATCGAAGATGCCTGTGCACAACAGAACGAGGCGAGGCGACTTGCTGCATTCAAATTTCCGTGAACTTTGAAGTGGGATTGCTCCTTCCCGCAGCACTGCTGTTGCCCGCTAGCTGTTCCTGGCCTAGCGTATTTATGTTCCTGACCTCCCAGCACTAACATCAATTAGAAAGTATTATTTCATCTTCTCCTATCATACAGTATGGCCAATCTACAAAAGGCATCATGATCATGAGATTCGCCAGTTAGCCAATTTATTCATACACACCGTGTCTCGTGGCGATCGTTCATACATTAGAAATCGTAAAATGCGAATCAGGTACCAGTACCAGCATAAGCTCGTATCAATTTATCGGCTTATGCTTTCATCCACTTGTTCAGGCGCGAGAAGCTTTTCTTGACATGGTCGCGTAGGTTTGACGCAACCGGTTTAATGGACAAAGACTTCAGTCTAGAGCCTCGACGTGTTCTCTGCTTTTGGTGTTTCTGATTGACTACCAGGTTCGCAGGCAAAGGCTGGTGGTAGCTATTGAGGACTCGAAACTCTCTCTCAGGCTTTGCATGAACCTGGCTATTCCGTCTGAGATGGCGTCTGTGACCATAACCCATCGATTGCGATGCTGCAAAGGCGTTTCCTGAGGTCGTCGGCTGGGCACTCCATCTGCGCGGATTTCCAGGCCCAAGGCTTTGGACGAATGCCTGGCGATTAGACGTATAATCGGGCATGCCTCGAGGGGTGTCGTTTCTGATGATTGGCTGTGGCAATGCGAGAAGTGGTGTCGGGAACCTACTCAAGTACGTCGGCCGGACGGGTTGGAGTGGCCTGATCCAGTAATCATCTGGCATCACTCGAATGTCTGGATCCTCCATTTTCAGCCTGACGTAGCGCTCAGCGTGCATCTCAATTATGATCATCTGGAGATGTCGAGGTAGCTGCGCCATGGCTCGTGGGTTCAGATCGACGATAATTTCCTCTTCATCCTCCTCATCGCTCAACGAGGAGCCGATGGATGCCTCGTATTCGCTGTCATATTCCAACGAGTATTTCATGTTCATGCTGTGCATATTGTGCAACTTCTTTGTTCTGATTGAGTAGGCTCCCAACTCACTCTCAGATTCAGAGCTCAAATCAACAGTTTGCACAGACGAAAGGCTGCAACTGGAGTATGTTCTACGAAGGCCCATGATGTTTCTTAATTTCTGCTTTGAAAACAAACAGGAAACGTCGGCCGGAAGCATTCAGTTCTGATCGTATCGTGTCGCAAAAGATGAGGGTTATGGATAATGCACGCACGCACGCACTCAACTAAGCATTGCGTACGAGCCGCCAAACTGTACCAGCAAAACCCCGCAAATCTAGCAAAATAAAGATATCGAATATGCAAAATTCTCAAGAATGTAACTGATTCTCCAAACAAATGCTTTGTTGGTTTTATTGCTGAAGTTTGCAGACTGGAGGTGAATCAACATGTGAGGGAAACAGTTGGATGGGAAGACGAGGCGGTAACCAACGACCGCTGTTGCTGTTTGTTCCCAGCCAGGCAAACGGGCGGCGAATATTGTCGACGAATCTAGATTGCAAAGCGTGTAAATTTGGTGGTCAACAACCTCTTGATTGATTGGATTTGTTTGTCAAATCTGGAAACTGACTGATCTAGATCTTCAAATACTAAGTATAAGTAACAATAGAACAAGTCTATCAATAAGTCACATTCTTATTTTGTATGATACAATGGGAGTGAGTTCTCCTCGCCAGCCTCAATTCTCTATATCTGATGAGCGACACTGGGGTTCAATAGCCGCTTCTTTGTGATATTCCGTCCAGTGTCTGCATTATCTTAAACCTTGTCAGTTGATTTCCATCTTTCTACCAGTACTATTTGCATAAAACAGAAACTATACAGCAAGCCTTTAGCAGTATGACCTGCAGACACACATGATGTATTGGGAGGTACTAAGGCTGCTTGAAGATCACATGTATGGATAGACAGCATGAATTCTATACAAAACAACACGCACCTAGCTTTTAGTTATGATATTTACAGCTTTTTCAACTACTCTTACTAATACTAAAGTATACCAATTTTAAGATCGATGCCACATGCGCAGTGTAGAAATACTCCAGAGTGATGATTTCTGATAGATCTGGCAATGCTTGACCCTGATTGGCCCGTCCCCGCTGAAGCTCCGCGCGGATAAAAAATAGCAACGCTGATAGAAGCTCGTTCCTTCAAGCTCGTTCCTTCCCACCTTCAAGACTAATATGTAAATTCTCGCCAACAGTTTGGAATGGACACAAATGGGTCATCCACAGCTCCAGAGTCTCCGGCTCCTGCAGATTTGATTCTTCAGCAAAGAAAGGAAGCTCTGCAGGGGCTTCCGCAACCGAGCGGAGATGGCGGAGGCATTTTGTCTCAACTCTCTAGTAACCCTTTCTTCACAGCGGTAAGTGCATTGTAGTATATATGACCTTTGATATTGACGGCCAATTTCTAACTATTATCCGTGATGCAGGGTTTTGGTCTAGCTGGTCTAGGCGCGGCCGCAACATTCGCACAACGAGGCCTCAAGCACGGCGCAGCACTGATCCGGCGGCGCATGCTGGTCGACGTCGAAATCAACATCAAGGATGACTCATACACATGGTTTCTGCATTGGATGACAATATACCAACAATCACAACTAAACGGAGCTCGCGCGGCCGCCAAAAATGGGAGCGAGAAAGTCGGGTTGGTGGAGACCTTGTTGCGCAAGTTTACACCTGGAATGCGACAGCTGTCCATTCAAACACAAAAGGTTGAACACTCCAACGGCGCGATTCATACGAAATTCACGCTTATACCTGGGACCGGGAGGCATATTTTACGATACAAGAATGCGTTTGTTCTTGTCAACCGTGTTCGCGAATCTTCGTCGCGGGATCTGCAATCAGGTCGGCCATGGGAAACGGTCACATTGACTACGTTATACGCGCATCGGCATATTTTTGAAGACATGTTTGCCGAGGCACATGAGGTGGCTGCCAGGTCACACGAGGGAAAGACTAGAATTTACAACAGCTGGGGCGCGGAATGGCAACAGTTCGGCCACCCGCGGCGGAAACGTCCGTTGGAGTCGGTGGTTTTAGACGATGGCATTAAAGAAAGAATTGTCGAGGATGTGAAAGACTTTCTTGATAGTGGGCGGTGGTACTACGACCGTGGAATTCCTTACCGCAGGGGCTACCTCCTTCACGGCCCTCCTGGCAGTGGCAAGAGCTCGTTCATACAGGCATTAGCAGGGGAGCTAGATTACGATATCGCGATTTTGAATCTTAGTGAGCGCGGTCTGACAGATGACCGACTCAACCATCTCCTCACAATCATCCCCAACCGGACTTTGGTTCTACTAGAGGATGTTGACGCGGCCTTTTCCAACCGCCGAGTCCAAACAGAGGAAGACGGGTATCGCGGGGCCAACGTCACGTTTTCTGGTCTCCTGAATGCGCTTGACGGGGTAGCTAGCGCAGAGGAACGCATTATATTTTTGACAACGAACCACGTTGAGCGGCTCGACGAAGCACTCGTCCGTCCTGGTCGTGTCGACATGACAGTACGCCTGGGCGAAGCCACTCGCTACCAAGTGGCAGCGTTATGGGATCGATTCTACGGCGAATTCGATCCAAACGGCGCCTATAAGGAGAGATTCCTAGACCGACTTTCGGGACTCGGACTCATCGAAGATGGGAATGGCCAGAAGGCTGACCATTCCCGGACTGTCAGTACTGCTGCTCTCCAGGGCTTATTCTTGTACAATAAGGGAGATATGGAAAGGGTGATCAAATCAGCCGACTTGCTAGCGCAGCCTATTTACAATTGATTCATGGGAATGCCTGTATTATAAACGGATTTTGTTCTACTGTATAGTAAATACTCTTTAATCTCTGACAATTACACGTCAGATGACGACAATAATTAGACTCATAGAATTATCTACAACCAGTTTCTAGATATTCACTCATCTTTATAAGAAAGAAAAAAAGAAATGCATGAACGCTAAATCATTAAACTACACAGATGCAATACACTAGTCATCGACTTCAGTGCGTGTTACGTCAATATCCACCTTTTCCTCCGATTGGGAGCGTAATAAATGTTCTTCTTCTGGACTGATCGGACTATCATCATCGTGTTCGCGGCCATTACCATCCAGACTGAATCGGTAATTGCCTTCTTCAAGACCATCGCGCCTCTGAATTATACCGGCACGTCTGCAACGGAAGTGTATAAACAAGGCACATAAACCCCCAAATTAAAAGCGATGCAGAAACAACAGAACTAAACCCGATCAAAAAGTGTGTGAAAATAGTAGCAATGGTATCCATCATTTCTTTTCTTCGTTGTTCTTTGTCCCTTTCGTTTTGCTGTGTATGGGCCAGCAACATTTGAAGGTTACATGCACTTTACCATCGCACTACTCCTGTATTAATTATGCGTATGTAGTAATGCACATTACCTTCCATTTAGGGTTAATTCATGTGGCTATAGCAATCTAGCAAGAGAATAAAGCGCATTCTTAATACTTCATACCTAGTCTATTTATGCTGGCAGTAATAGAAGCGGTTTGTAACAGGCACTAGCGTTAATTCCTTGTCGACGCCATAAATTTGCATTGCAAGAGTCGCTCGGGCTTCAACACACGGGCTGTTCAGCCATTCCAAAGCCAACTCGTCATTCTCTGGAATTATCTTTTCCAGCTCTTGTCGGGCGACCCTCCACCCGGCATCACCGACTTTTAATGCAAGGACCATAGAAGCGACATGGGTATGAAGCACAGTGTGCATATACCTGTAAACCTTGTCCCGCGAATCCATGGTGGTTATGAATGATGTGGTGTCAATATCTAGTGAACTGGCTTCTATGAAGGACTCTCGGTGCACTCGATACGAAGTAAAGTCCCGAATATAGAACCCATGAATCGCCCGGGTTTCGGGATGTAGCCTGATAAGGAGATTCTGCGCATGAGCCTGCAGTGCAAAGCCATACAGCAGAACGGAGGGCGCAATTGCGCGGAATAGATGGTGGCAGAACTCTCGAAGCAGCTCAAGCTTCTCTTCGAGCGTCTCAGGTGCCCAAACTAGGTGAAGATGTTCCATCAGTGCCACGCAAACAATCAATTTATCTCCAGTCTCCGCTTCAATTGATTCAAGGCTTTGACGGAGAACGCAGCCCAAGTGCAGGCTCGAAGTTGACGCGGCTCCATATTCGCGAATTACAGTCAGAGAGCCGCCAAACGATTCGGCTGCTTGTTCAACCAAATGCAGGACCGGCTGCAGTCTATAGCCAATTGTGATGGACCAAGGTTTGATGGTACGGACATTAGATGTGATTTTCAAAGCAAGCGGCATCTTGACGCAGCAGTCAGCGCCAGGTATTGTGATGGTTCTCACAGAGCTCTGTGATCGGCCGGTAATTGTCTTATCCAAGACTTTGGCTTGGGGGAATTCACTTTTGACGCGGGGCAACTGAAGTTCATGAACAGGAAAGATGATAGAATCGTCGTCGACTTGCTCGATTGGAGCGATTCGCCGAATACGTTCATCGTAGTCCCCAACAACTGTGACACCCTCGCGGGGAATAGTTACAAAGTAAAGCTTTGCGTCCAGAAAATGTCCTACTTCGGGATATCTACACTTGTGCCAGGGATGCAAACCGTGAGCTTCGATGAGAGCCTGTTCCCACTCGATGGCGGGGGAGTCATAAGTAAGAGATAGTTGGCGGCCGTATGCAAGCTCCATATTAGCAACCGAGTTATCAAACTCCCGGCATACTCTTTTCAATATCCCATACTCTATGTTGGTCCATTTTCCAATGATGCGAATTAATTGTGCCCCATCATGTACCGCATCTCCCTTGTAGGTGACATGGCCTGGTAGTTCCGAGGCATCGAGGATATCTTCGAAGAGGAATGGTTGAGGAAGGTGGATGAGGACCTTCTCGTTCGTGTCCGGGTGTGAGAGTGTGATATATTCATCACTGAAAGTGATGGTCACGAAGCGTTCGTTTATCAAGCACGCTGCTACTCGAGCAAGTGAGGCATGCTCGGCTCGCTTCCTCTCCGCTGATTTGTCCATGAATAAGTAGTCAAGCAGTCGTCGTAAAAAATCTGTAGCAGTATAAATGGGGGTTGGGAATCTAGCTCTGCTGATAAGGGGTATGGAATGACTGATACAACTCAGTTGATGGGCGGTGTAGGCTACATATACACCGGAGCAAACACTGGGGGATTTTACTAATTAACTGGTTTACTGCTTAGAAAAAGCAATGTGATGCATCCATCTTGTCGATCTGCGACAACTCAATCAACTCGTCACTTGGCAGCGCAAGCCACAACATTAAGTTGGATAGAGCATGAAGATCAGTCTGAGACTATTCCTATAAAAGGGGGTACGAATGCCGTCTTTGGTAAAGAAATATTTTCGCGTTGCTAAATCTAGTATAGCTTTACGGGTCAGATCGACAACTATTTAGCGACATCTTAACCAATGTCCTCTCAGTGGCTCTCACTGTGCTTCGTACAATCTGAGATACATTATTGGGACACATAGAGTACTAATTATTAGTGTAAGGTGAAGCATATGTATACATATACACACGCAAGGAGAGGTGAATTCCATCTCCGGTAAGGAAGTCTATACTACTCCCAGTATAGCACTACATTTAGTACTTTCTAAATTTTAGACTTTATGCTAACACTTGGACCCCTACTATAGCGCGTAGAGTTACGAGCCTATAACATCGTTGATGAAGAAAGCCTTTTGTTTTTTAACTCTTGTTTAATGACCATTCCTAGCCTCTAGGCTATGACAGTCTCGTTTTAGTGGGAGCTACGGGTCCCCGGCTTATAGGGGTCTCAGACCCTAATTTCCCACGTCGCATGCCCCGAACTGGTGCCAAAACTTTCAAATGCACTTACGCTCCTCGACCTAAGAACGTGCGGGTTTCATGCCAGACAGGCTGCCCAGAGGTGTTTGCTCATTGACGCATGACCTTGGCGTTAGTACACATCAGCACCACGGATCTAACCAACTGGTCTAACCGACCACATGAGTTGGAGTCCTGTTCCATAGAGTGATAGAATAGTTTGTACTAAAAGAGAACATAGGTCGATTATATTTTCATTATTTTATAGCATAAGATGATTAAATAGACCATACGGGAATTTCCTCCACTTTCTATCTTAATAGGTCGCATTTCCAACCATAGTGGTTAATAACCAGCTCCATTATTTCGTAACTATAAATCAGGCGATTATATTCACATCAATATTACTACTATTAATTGGGTAAAATAAACCTAGAACCATCTTATTTCTAATAGTTAGAGAATACATCAGGACATTGAGAGCCCTTGAAAACAGAAGATCTACTATATTTGTGGTAAAGGCCATTCCCATGCACATATTATGGTTGTGGCTAATAGGGTTAACCCTAAGCAAATTCTATTATTACAAGGTTTGCTCCGTCGCTGACCGCGTCATTCGCGACCCTCAGTATCGTGGCGTTGATTTTATGTTTCGGAAAGCTCGATCTCCAAATGCATAGCAAATAATGAAATATTTGTCGTCGTACCTCCATTCAGAACATTGACCGAACTCGGCCCAGTCACCCGTTGTAGTCGTCTCCAAACCTAATCCGAGAATGGCTGTATCACCGAACTGGCGCGCCAGATCCTGGCCGACGTGAGCTAACCCAGCTACTTCACCGGTAGCTGGGACTTTTCAAAGAAAGGATACGTAGTTCGATAAATCTAAGCCACCAAGACCTTTAGATCTAGTAAAACTAGGGAAGTCACTGTTATCAATTGATTGGTGGTGTGGCCTGCAGCCCCGCCTCGAAAACCTGGGGATGTCGGTACACTCCGCAATAATGACAATTTCAGTTTCAAGATGGAGGCTTGAGTCATTACGGTCCGTTAGGGGAGAACCTAGCATAACATATAGCGAGAGGCTCTTCATGAATCGTTCTCGGGTCATGTCTGCTACGCCACTCGGCGAACAAACACCGAAATGCATATAGCGGGACTGCTCCAGGACCTGTCGACAGATGGTCATGTGAGATTACTAGTAATTGTTGTACGGGGCTAAACTTGGAGACGGAGTACTAGGGAATTTCTAAGCGACGAGTCTCCAGCTTTCCATTCCAAGTTAAAAGCTATTCAGTTAACAAAGGAGTGCCGAGTTTCTGCCGAGTTTCCCGAACTTACATGTTACTTATGCATAGCCTGAAGGCGGTTTGTGGCTTGATTGCCAAGCTAAATTTGTCATTCCTGGACAATCGAACTTAGTTAACTTATTGGCTATGAATGGGAAAATATGAAAACAAGAATTTCATTGGAGAATTTCGTTGGCTCCCCCAGTACACTGATTGTGTCTACTTTCATTGGCAATTATAAACATGGAATGGGTGGCAATAACAAATAACATAAATCCTGGTTTTTACAAGAGAAAAGTTTTCAGTAAGAGAACTAGAATGCGACAACAATAAAAAAGGTCTAGGAACCCAACACCATGATTATTTGGATCAAGGTCATGGGCAAAACTACCCAGGTGATTGGAAGGAAGAACCAAAGACAACCAGCAACAAGGATGTTGAACCTATACGAATACGAGGGCGCATTGTATTTCGACCAGGTTCCATTCCGAGCATGGCCGGGTGCTTGAATCAAATAATCACCCACAAAGGCAGAGGATCTCTTGTACTGTCTTCCGCAGGAAGTATTATTAAGGTGGCGACTGCGAAGAGTTTCAGGGCTGCCTATAGCCGGGATATCTAGATATAGTCACTCGAACATTCATATAGTACTAGCACCAGGTCCTTGAGATGAGACAAGCAGGGAAAATTCCGAGTCGTTGTCGTTACGCCGGGACCCGAAGGTTGTTCCTTCGTCTGTATTGGATCTAATCAGTAGAGGGACCTTTGTAAATCGACCAGTATCAAGCATTGTCGACGTTACATCCTGCATAAAATCATCATCAACTGCAGGTCCGAACGAAGACGAGGGGTTATATTGAGAGCAAGGTTTAGGATGTCAAATAGCACCGCGCGCAAGCAATCCAGGCTGTTGGAACATCTGTTACAACCTGTGGCTGCAGTAATATTATTGTATGGCAGACCGCCTAGTGTCGTGTTAGAAGCACCTGTAAATTTCCAACTGCTTTCAGGAATGATGGCACGAAAGAGATCATCATCTCGGCCACCATAAGCTTGAGCCTGGTAACCAGCACTTCCCCCGCCTGTGCTTTCACTCCACATGGCGACTCTCCACCGAAAGCCTCGCGTTTTAAATCACTGGGCTCGTACAAACATCACTATGAGAGGCTTTCCGAGTATAGCAGAATTGCGGACAATAAAGGTCATGTTGTATTGTTCATCTGTATTCCTGCCCATAACGTATCCTCCTCCATGTATCTAGACTAAAACTGGCGGAGAACTAGTTTTGTGGCTGGAGGGTCTTATCATATTTAAAGTAGGGCAGTCTTCAGAGACTTAGTATTCAATGTCGATTATCGGTATTCTTATATCAGACTTACAGTCCGCAGATATTATGACAAGTTCAGTATGCATTTTACCACATACCTAAAGGAGACGAGTTCTTTGCATCAAATATTTCCATAAGGGGTGTGTTTGGGCTTGGGAGTGGCCTGAGCGGGAGATTCCCTAGAGGTATTGAGCATCAGTGATCCTTAGAGAAATCTTGGTTATAGACAGGGCTGTGGATTCCAGCGTAGGTACGTTCTTCACTGTGGCAATAGGAGAATCAGCACACTAAGCAAGTATTAAATTTACCACATGACTGAAAAGATGTACTTACTTCTTAATCATGGGCAATTCATTTATCAATACAACAGCAAGTGAACGGGGAGGAGCCCAACGAAGGGCGCAAGAAGTGGGGACTAAGCTATAAGTAGAGGTAATCAAGAAAGCACATGCATGATGCCTCCAATTAAGTTTCTTAGAGTCGCCTCCTAGCGTTTATTTATATAGCAGCTGGTTATTATTAAAGGGAAAAGGACCCTCGTCAGAACTAGTACATATGAGCAGATGAATGGGGAATGGTGACAGCTCCGGGGGGTCTGTCATTACAGGAGCAGGCGACGCCCTCACGTTTGGCTCCAGGAGGGGCAACCTGGGCAAGGTCGTAAAAACTAATTAAATAATAATAATAATAATAATAATGAGCAGATGAAAACTGTGCTAGTTTTCGGTAAAGCGGAGTTTGTCCATTAGAAAAGGGCAACTGTTTCGCACTACTATAAATCGCCATCTGATCTCATCGCCATTCATCTTTTCGCAGGCTTCTACGCAGGCACAACTTAACTAAAACCATTAAACTGCGTGCTAATGTTGAGTTCCACCTCCGTTCGGCAATCTGAAACCCCAGTCGCCTGGGGCTGAGCGGTTTTTCTGTAGGCGCTACTTTTTAGGATGATGTTAAACTCTCGGAATCCACTACTAGGAAAGGAAAGGTCTGCAAGAATACGCTCACGTGTACGTGGCTCTGTCTACGGAGTAGTGTCTGCGGAGAAGAAAGTATTTTGTGGGCGTGCGTGGTAAGCGGGTCCACGAGTCGATCTAGACCGCTAGTACAAGTAGAAGTCAAATATATTTCAGATACCACCTCATTAAGTACTGTGGTAGTGCAAAATTGGGATGCTACGGATACCCCGGAATGCTTTCGGGCACGCCAAATTGGCGTGTAAAATTTCGGATGAGTTTTACTGGCGAACCACAGACGCGATTAGTGTTGGATCGCATGATTTACATCTATTTGGTCATGTGGTAAGCCTTACAATTAGTCTGTTTTCAATTTGGTCTGGAATATTCTGACAGCCACGATGGCCAACAAACTATCACCCACTCAACCAATCAATTCAGTCCACGGCTTGACGAGGCTTCGGCCTTGCCTTTTCTATTCTTGAATAGAGTTCTGTTTCATTTCTATCATACCTATGCCTAGGGCTATTTTGAGGAAGAATGCGGGGATACCGCACAGAAACGCACCCCTGAATGGAGTGGATAGCCAATAGCTTTTTTCTTGCTAAAATCTCCGAGTGTTACCGCAGCATGGGTTTTTCTTCCCTCAATTTTTATTTTTTTCCCCATCTTTTTCTCAACATCGGTATATGTGATGGCCGAATACGTCGCTGGAGCAGAATTCCCTAGTATCAAAGATAATTGCCAAACTATTGATCCCTAAACAAATAGATGAGAAGAGAGTCATGAGTAGTGATGCTAACTGCATCACTCCCCATGGGGAATCACCCTTTCTGGGCAGTCATGAGGAGGAAGAGGATGAGGTAAATGCAGAGGAGCAGATGGTGGAGAGACTGTCGGGTCTGAAGAGGCCTTTGGCGGTTACCGCGTACGTTTTACTTTTTCTTTCCAGTTGTACGTATCCATAGAAGAAATCAGTGACAGAGTCTGACGATTTGGGACCTTAAAGTTGCGAGCTTTGCAAAGCGAGAAAGGTACGCTGTGATCGCGTAGAGCCCTCGTGTGGATGGTGCACTCGCAATAGCCGGTCCTGCGTCTACAAAGGGCGTCAGAAGCCAGGATTCCGCGCTGGACATATGCGCGAACTTGAGAATAAGGTCAATAAGCTTGAGGTTATACTGCAAGCATTGGGCCACCGTGTAGAAGGCTTGATCTCAATATCCAACACAGCCAGATTGGCAGATGATCAAACAACACATCCCCTTCAGTCTCCCAGAACCCCCGGTGGAGTAGGGGCACAGCAATCAGATGGTATGATATGCTATGACTCTCGCACTCTGGAGCTCATGTCAGTTCAGTTGACGACGAATCCGAGTGGCTCCACTGAGGCGTCGTTGCGGGACCTGCCTTCAGGTGAGTTGCTGTACAATCTTGTTGACTTGTACTTCAAGTATGTCAATACGTGGTGTCCGATCCTGGATCGCAAAGCCATATTCGATAGCTTCTTTCTTGGTTCGTCTATCCCAGATAATACAGACCGAATAGTTCTCTATGCTATCGTCGCAACCGCACTGCGGTTCAGTCAAGACCCATCACTGACGGAAGAATCTCGCAAGCGATATCATTCTGTCGCAACGGCCAAGGTTTTGCTCCGTGGGATAATACAGACTCCCTCGATAGAGTCTCTTCAAGCGCTTGTGATCCTTGCTTGGGACTTCCTGGGGACTTCTGATGGGCCACAGAGCTCAAATATTATCGCTATGATAGCTCGCACTGTCCTGCTACTGAATCTGCATGTTGAATCAAGTTTATCCCAGTCATCTGCTATACGTGCGAGTGTGCCTCCTAGCAGACTTCGCGATAGCCTTTTACCCCAGCCAGGCTCCTGGATTGAGGAGGAAGGTCGCCGGCGGCTGTTCTGGATGGTCTACATCATCGAATGCTATGCCTCAGTTGCCACAGAATCAGACTCTGTCTTTTGTGATGCCAATATCGACCGTTCTCTTCCCTGTCGTTATGATTTATTTTCGAAAAACCAACCGGTTGAAACACGCTGGTTTAAGGGACCTGGACGCTCCAAAATGATAATTAATCAACCTGATAATTTAGGAAGTTTTTCCTATCACTGCGAGATCATTCGCACTCTGAGCCGTGTTCAAGCCTTTTTACGAACCCCTGTGGATATCTGCTCAATGGCAGATGTGGAAAAATGGCAGAATACTTACTACGAACTAGATAACGAACTAAATACTTGGCTTAATAACCTGCCACAGGACTATAGTAATGTCTCACAGCTCTGCCATTCAGACCCAACAAGCAAGATTTCGAATTGGATAATTCTACACTCTGCATTTGTTACCTCAGTGGTACGTCTGCATTCTTGCGCAGCATATCCTACTGTTCGATCACATATTTTTACACCGTCCTATAATGCCTCTCAGCGCTGTCTCACCGCGGTAGAGAGTTTGCGGGAGATTGCGCAGGATGTGTTCAAAACTGGCATGATTAATCTTCTTGGTCCTCATTTTGTGTTTTCTTTATATGTAGCTGTCCGGCTTTTGCTTGTCCATGCAGCGTGCACTGGAACAGACCCAAATTGCGAGTATTTTATCTTCATCCTTGACCAGATGAGTCAGTATTGGGGTGTGGCAGGTCAATACGCTCGGCTATTAGATCGGATATGGAAGCGGTCTCGAGTAGGATGGCCTTACAGTAACGGCACGATGTCGTCTGCTCCAAAGGCACTCTCTATGATGCGGAGGTATGTATGTTCATTTGAATTATTTTTGAACACACTCTCATCCTAGCAAGTCCTAAGCACTGAAATTTGACACCATAGAAGAGCCTACGAACTTCATATTTCGGCTGTTCAGCGTCCATCAACTACAATTAAACCTCTACCAACCAAGTCAGTTACAGCTGAGGACTTGGATTACCTTGAAGTGTTTGATTTCTTCAATTACCCCCGCCTCCCTACCGGCATAGTAAGCAGCCCGAGTCTTCACGGGTCGCTGTTGAACTTGGATGGCGTTGCTTCTGGAAAAGACTATTTTGTGGCGACAAGTTTCCCAACAGATTTGGGGTTGTCGTACGGGGCAACTTGATCAGTATATATGTTCTCTTCTCTTTACACACATCCTATTTCTATCTCTATTGGGCATGAACCATGACGTGACGATGCTAATAATATTTTGGGGCCATCTCGGTGTATTCCTTCTAATAATAATATAACCCAGTGACAAATCTATGTACATGTAATTATTAGACTTGGAGGAAAGAAAGCACTATAGTCAAATGGACATAATATTAACTGCAAAGACTTCATAACCGCCTGTGTTCACATGTCAACCCGGTTCAGATCCTCGCCCATGATCGAAATCATAGTAGGAAGTCCGAGTATTACATGATTAAATAAATATTTTTTTTTGCCATCAGTCTTAGTCTGCATACATGCATGTGTAGATGTATACCCTTAAGCATACGATTCCTCCTTCGAGCCTATTTCCGGCCGCACTAGCCGTCGCAACCCCATCCACGGCGTATTGATCGGGCTTTCACCTGTAAACACAAAGGTATCATACAGAAATCCGCCGAAAAGACAACCGAAAAATGGTGCAACCATGGGAATCTGGTAAAGTCAAATCACTGTTAGCTCCCATGCACGCAGCATCAAGACTTCGCAGGTTGAACTTACCCAAAAGTAATAATTTCCTGCCATAAACACTTCCTTCCCATATCCCAGAAAGAAGGACATTAATCTCGGTCCAAAGTCCCTTGCTAGATTAATCGCATAGCCCGTTTCCCATCCAAAGCACGCCCCAATACCGAAAATCACAAAAAATAGCCCCAAAGGTGCCAGTTTGCCCGCACCCGTCCCCAATCGACTATCTCCTTGCAACGCATAAATGCAAAACATCAACAGCGTACTGGCAATGAATTCCGAGAAAAACTGCCCTGTTCGCGTCATGAAAGCCGCAGGGTACGTGCAGAAGATGCCAGCTGTTGAGGTATTGGAGTATCCGGGGACAGTGCGGATATTGGGGCCGCCTTCGACGACATCGATGGCCGATTTGTAATTGGCGTAGACGACACCAGCTGCACAGAACGCGCCTAGAAACTGGGCCAAGGCGTATATGGGAAATTTTCGCCAGGGAAATTTACGAAAGACGCAATTTGCGAATGTGACGGCCGGGTTGAGGTGGGCGCCTGAGGATTCTGCTACGTATACGCCCAACATTACACCTAGCCTAGGGAGATGTTTAAAAAGCAGTCCAAATATTCAAAACTGTGCACAGCAGAACACTTACCCCCAGCCCCAGGAAATCGATTGGTAGTCACCTTTTTGGTCATTGCTCAGTGCTACTTGCGCCACAACCCCATCACCGAACATGATTAGTATAAAGGTGCCAAAGAACTCAGCAAACGGCGCGTGCAATTTCTGGCGAATCCGGCTCCAGAAAAGAAGATCGGAAGCTAATGGTTCGATTTCCATGACAACAGGGACTCGATCGTGATGTTGCACTGACCGGCCATCATCAACAGCTTGCTCCTTGACTGTGATCTCGTGATCCTGAATTTGGGTCTTAGAAGCCATCACGAGCAGCAAGGGGAGCAACGACCAAGGAGAGAACGAAATTGAAGATTGCTGTTTGTGGAGAGAGAGAATTGAATTGTAAATCAACAATAATCAGCCACCATGTCTCTGGCCGTTTCATTCTACTTATACACCTGGGCGCCGCCTGTTTAACATGCCATATTATCCATCTTGAGTAGTATTCTCGGTGTTGGTAACCCTATACGTGCGATGGCTAAGGTTTCTAGAACCTCACGTGCTATGCTTCTGGTAAGCGTTAATTTAAAAGGCTTGGGTAGTTTAGTAGTTTACCGGCCATTTCTGAAGCCTGCGAGTAATTCGGTGGTGTGGCGCACCGAATGCTCTAAATATGGTTCGTGCCATGGGCTCGGTATTATTTCTCCGTGGGGATGCTTACACCGAGGCCGGGGGTCAACCTACCCCGAAATGAGAAACTTATTCTCCCCGCATTGCGCGTACCGGACTGAGTGTGGGCTGGATATAGGTGGATATTTGTAGGTACTCCATAATGGTAGAGATGAAAAGACATAAATTTGGTGTTATTACCGTCTTTCATGGCATTCGAATTCATACTATTTAGATGTCTTGTACACCAATTCTGCAACGTTTTTGCCCTACATAAATATTTTCAAAATGAATGGTACTTTCAATGAGTCCTTTGTAGGATCCATCGACCAAGGAACGACGAGCTCGCGGTTTTTGATCTTCAATGAGCGTTGTGAGGTGGTTGCATCCCACCAACTTGAATTCACTCAGATCTATCCTCAGCCAGGGTAATGTTGCCCGCTCCCCTCTGGTCCCCAGCATCACACACATATATCTATGCACCAGCTAACCATACAATTACATGTAGTTGGCATGAGCATGATCCACTAGAGATTGTCGAATCTGTTGAGAAATGCATAGACGGCGCCATAGCAACCTTCCAGGCTAAAGGTCACAGCATCAATGCCATCAAATCTATCGGCATCACCAACCAACGAGAAACAACCGTTGTCTGGAATAAAGAGACTGGCGAGCCTTTGTATAACGCTATCGTCTGGACAGACACACGCACCCAGGCGCTCGTACGGAAGCTGAAGGAGCGTGAGGGTCATGAGAAACTTCAATCACTTAGCGGCCTACCACTGTCCACCTACCCTTCGGCCGGAAAGCTGCTGTGGCTGATCGAGAATATCCCTCGTGTGCGTGATGCGTACGAGAACGGTACCCTCGCATTCGGGACAATTGACGCCTGGCTCATTTATAAACTAAATGGTGCTACTGAGCGAGACGTCTTTGTGACTGACCCCTCCAACGCTTCCCGGACACTCTTCATGAACATCCATACCCTTCAATATGACCCGGTCCTTTTATCCTTCTTTCATCTTGACCAAACCAAAGTCCATCTCCCCACCATAGTACACTCCTCTGACCCTAAGCGCTTCGGGTCACTCTCTTCCACGCTCCTAACTGGCACGCCGATTACAGGTTGTCTAGGTGATCAATCTGCTGCCCTTGTCGGTCAAAAAGGCTTCTCGGCTGGCCAGGCCAAAAATACGTACGGTACTGGTTGCTTTCTACTATACAATGTTGGCCCTAGTCCCGTGATTTCTACGCATGGACTACTCACGACAATCGCCTTCGACTTTCAGGGCCAAGTAAGCTATGCGCTGGAAGGTAGCATCGCCGTTGGAGGTTCTAGTGTCAAATTTCTAAAAGACAACTTTAATTTTATTAACGAGTCTGAGGAAATTTCAGCACTGGCTGAGACTGTCGAAGACAATGGTGGCTGCGTTTTTGTGACTGCATTCAGCGGCCTGTTCGCACCATACTGGATCGACGACGCGCGTGGTACCATCTTTGGTATCACCACCTACACCAAACGCGGGCATGTAGCACGAGCGACGCTAGAAGCAACTTGCTTTCAGACCAAAGCTATCCTGCAGGCAATGGAGAAGGATAGCGGAAAGAAGCTAAGAGAGTTAGCAGTCGATGGCGGAATGTGTAATAGTGATTTGGCTATGCAGGTAAGCCTTATATATGACATTGACAATGTCTAGGAGTATATTTCATACAAATATTTGAACGAGTTGCTGATGTCAATAAACACAGACCCAAGCGGATCTTATATCTATCCCCGTGAACAGGCCCGCGATGCGTGAGACAACGGCTCTGGGAGCTGCTATCGCAGCTGGTCTCGCGGTGGGTGTATGGTCAAGCCTTAAGGATGTAGAAACATTGAACGCCGACGGCCGAACAACATTCAACCCGGCGATGACAAAAGATAAAGCGGACGGCATGTTTGCCTTGTGGGAGAAGGCAGTAAACATGACTCGGGGGTGGACTAACTAACATAGTACCCTGTAGCTTACATCTGGGCATAGGAACATACATATGTATATAAATATGTCAATATGTACAGTAGGATTTTCTGTTTATTCCTTCGTTAAAGAAGATAATGAATTACGCAACAGTATCGGCTGATATATGACTACATGATTACACAGGTATATAAGATAGCCTTATTTAAGCCTATTACGCTACCAATTGGTCTGGCTCATCTGTTTTTGACAACTTTAACCCTAAGAGCTAACTAACCCTAACCCTAACCCTAACCCAGACGGCTAAGGATAAACAGAGTCAATTGAACTTCGGCTGTGATCCGACTCATGGAAGGTGAGGATTTCCGAACTATACGAGGCTGGTCCAGCGCAAAAGGGCTGTAAAAGCGGCTCCTGAATTGCTACAGATGTGGCAGGTTGTTACCGCGATCAGGATGGAAGGATATAAGAGAGATATGCTAATGAGTCCTATTTAATTATACTATGTATACTTAAATGAAGCTCAATAATATTTGAATATAAGTCAAAAGCTCAAAGGTTATTTCAATTTATCCTAATAGTCCGAGCCGATCCTTGAAGGAAAGGACGCTGTTGACTTATTGAGCTTCCCGTTTGTGTCGACATTTATGACATTCTCAAGTGGCTACCATGATCTTTGGCATTGCCTGTATCATGAATAAAACTCGAGGCTCCTAAAACCGAGGAACAGTTTTTATGGTAATAGCCTTACTGCATGATCTATAGCGCGGGCGACATTCTCTACATTCTTTGTAGTCACTGTAGATAAATCTTCAGTAATATAATAAGAGTCATCTGTTAAATTCAAAACTTACGTCCAGCAATGTTGATACGTCCAGATTTCAGCATATAGATATGGCTGTATTCTTCGATGATTGCCACTTGCTCAGCAGTAAGACCAACATATGAAAACATGCCAATCTAATAAAAAAACATTAGTTTCAAGGTTGACTTCCTTATATACATTTTCTCAGATGACTCTTACTTGTGAGAATATGTGTTCCCAACTTCCAGGAGTCCCCAGAGAAATCAGTCTGTCGCGTAGCGCTCGACGCATATTTCGAATTCGGGAACTCATCTGCTGGATATCAAACAACCATTCCTGGTATAAGTCAGGGGTCCTGAGAATAGTTGCGGCTATTCTCGCACCCCTTGTGGGTGGCTGCGAGACATAGCCTCGCTGTAAGCGGCTGAGATGGCCTTTTGCATTCGAAGCTATCTCGGCCGTGGCAGTTACTAGGTGAAGAGCGCCAACGCGCTCGCCATAGAGACCCATATTCTTAGAGAAAGACTGGGCAACAGCAAGCTCTAATGTCCCTCGGGACATAAAGTGTCTTACTGCCCATGCATCTTCGTCGAGGTCGCCACTAGCGAATCCCAGACTATCGACATATTGACGATCAGGGTGTGTCTAATCTCCCATGGAAGGTAAGCTGTACTTACTACGCGCAGTCGAAGAAGGGAAAGAGACCTTTTGTCTCACACATGGCTGCAATTGTCATCCACTGCTCCTTTGTGGGATCAACACCGGTTGGGTTGTGAGCGCATGCATGTAAGATCAAAACATCGCCCTCAGTAGCTTCATCGCTCAAGACTCGCAGCATTTTCTCAAAGTCCAGAGCCCTCGTAGAAGAGTTCCAATAAGGGTATGTTTTCACGTTGACACCCACTTGACTCCAAATATTGTGGTGATTTACCCAGGTCGGATCAGGCAACCATACAGCCGATGGATGAGTCGTCTCTTTCAAAAACTGGGCTCCCAGTCTATTGGCGCCTGTTCCCGCAACCGTGTGGAGGGAAACAATCCGACTCGCATTATCTCCCAGGTCCCCGAAAAGGAGGTCTCGTGCAGCTGTGTAGAATGGTGCGTAACCTGGGATAGGTAGATATTCATATCGACCACAGTCTTGAGTTTTCGCCACTATCTCGTCGGCCTAGGCAGTTTGATATCAGGATAACGCCATTCTTAGAGGGCCGATCGCATGGCCATGGATACACGTACCTTTTCCACCGAAGGCAATACCCACGGTAGGGATTGATCGTCTCGGTATACCCCGGAACCTAGAATTATCTTGTTCTCATTGCTATCGGCCTTGAAAGTTTCCTTGAGGGAGTAAATGGCGTCCAAAGGCATAGGACGGAGGTGCAAAAAAGATGACAACGGTTTAAAAGAACCCATCTTGATATGGAGCTCTTCTTCTGTGGGCTGATTAGGATACAGACCAGATTTAGGCGAGACTTTGTTCCACACCGTGTTGATAGTATTTGCATTATCCGGTTTACGTTCGAAAGATTGCCCGCTTCCCTTTCCTCCGCTCTTCCATCGATGTTCATCATATATCTAATTGCAAGTAGTTCGGTCCCGGGTGTTGCAGCGTGCCTCTCGGCACAGAATAAAATGGCACAGGAACGCTCCGCTAATGCTAATGGAAATGCTAATGGAACACTCCGTTAAGGGAACTATCCGTCTCTGGATGGCTCCGTTAGTAACTACTACTCCCCACATTCCCCTCTCAATTCCCCCAGCTTCGGGAGTGCTCGCAGGGCCCAGAACGATCGTTCTAATAAATATGGCATCCAGGTTTCGATATTTCCAATCTGCTCCTCAAACACATATTCATCCTTACCGGAGAACTTCGGTTACGGCTTCCTCACGATGTCTGACAAAAAATCACCTAGGCATACTGATGTAGACGGCTGTTCTGTCATAGACCCTCCAGAGGAGACCAAAGTCGACCCAGAAATGTCCTGTGATAAACAGCAGGCACCGCCTCCTGAAAAGCAACTTCACCGTGGCCTAAAACCGCGTCACCTTAGCATGATTGGTGGGTCAAGAACCGGTTGCGTTCAAGCATATCTACTAACTAGAGCTGTATAGCCTTGGGAGGTGCTATAGGGAGCGGCCTGATTATTGGCAGCGGTCAGGGTCTGGCAGCATACGGCCCGGCGTCGCTACTCATTGGATATTCCATCACTGGCCTGCTCTGTTTCATTGTCATCACAGCTCTCGGCGAGATGGCCACATGGCTACCTCTGGGCACAGGTTTCTCGGGATATGCCAGCCGCTTCGTAGATCCAAGTTTGGGGTTTGCCTTGGGATGGTCGTCAGTGCCACATATATGACTTGGTGACTGGACTATCTGTCCGCTAACGGCATCTGAGCAGATATGCGTTCAAATACTTCTTCGCTTCAGCTAATCAACTGACATCTCTGGCCCTCGTTCTTCAGTTTTGGGTAGATCGCGGCCGCGTGAATCCTGGTGTATTTATTCTCATCTTCTGGCTTGTTGTTGTGACGGTCAACTATCTGGGAGTCCATGTCCTAGGAGAGGTGGAATTTTGGCTATCCGCTACTAAACTCATCATTCTCCTAGGCTTTATTATCTTGGGAATTGTTCTTGCTGCTGGCGGAGGTCCTAATGGGCATGCTACAGGCTTCGAGTAAGTAACAGGTTATATCCTCACACCCTCTTTTTGCCCTTACTTAAAAGTCGCCAGGTACTGGTCAAATCCTGGAGCCATTAAGCCTTATATTGCCGGTAAGATCTCACATATATCAAATATACTCACATTACATTGATCACCGTTTACTACAGACGGTGCAACAGGCAAGTTTCTCTCGATCTGGGCTGCTCTCAACTCCGGTATTTTTGCCTATATAGGCACCGAGATGGTCGGAGTTACCGTAGGCGAGGCCAAGAACCCGCGACAGGCTATCCCTAGGGCGATACGTATGACATTTTGGAGAATATTGTTTTTCTACATCGCCAACATCTTTCTTATCGGCATGCTGGTGCCATTCAACTCTCCCCAGTTGAGTTTTGCACAGAAAGCTACTCACAGTGCGGCGGCATCTCCCTTCGTTGTCGCTGTCCAGGTTGCTGGTATTAAGGTGCTTCCTGGAATCATCAATGCAGCAGTGATGGTGTTCAGCCTCTCAGCCGCCGTCACCGACGTATATGTTGCATCTCGCACATTATATAGCCTTGCTATTCAGAACCAAGCCCCAGATTTTCTCGCGCGGACAAACAAGAGAAGAACTCCCATCTGGGCGTTCACAGTCGCAGCTTCAATGGCACTGCTGGCGTTTATGAATGTTTCAGACGAGTCGACTAAAGTATTCGGATACTTTGTGGACCTCAGTAAGTACTGCTAGTACCACTCAGGACTGACCTTGGATTGATTCTTACTCACTTCATTGCGGCTCTAGCTACGACTTTTGGCCTGCTTACATGGATTACTATTCTGATCAGCCACATTCAATTTGTCAGGGCACGAAAGGCACAAGAAATCACTGATTCGTCTTTGCACTACCGGGCACCTTTCGGCGCTTTTGGTTCCATAATCGCATTATTCTTCTGCATTCTCATTGTCCTCACCAAGAATTTTTCAGTCTTCACCCATGGGTCATGGGGTAATTTTGACTACCGAAATTTCCTCACCGGTAAGCTGTATAATTATGCTGTATTGCTTTTATGGGTTTGATTTACTGACAGGGGCGAACTGTGCAGGTTACCTTGGCGTTGTCGTCTATATCTGTTTGATAATTGGATGGAAGTTTTGGAATAGAACCGAATTCGTCAGCCCGCTTGAAGCTGATATTTGGACTGGCAAAGCAGAAATAGACCAAAATGAAGCTGAATTCCTTGAAATTCAGGCTCCAAAGACAGTGATGATTAATACGAAGCTGCGCTGGTTGTACCATTATAGTATTGGTCGTATCTTGTGAAAGACATGTCAGAGGTTGTTACGTCGACAATGGACTTTCAATATCTCAAAAAAATTATTCTTTATTGTAACTTCGTACACTCAGGCATCTCGCATAATCAGATACCATATTCTTTCTGTCGACTTCCACCTAGAATGTATTAATGGAGATTATATAAATGTAACGCATGTAGGGCATTCCCAATTCGGTGCTTAGTAATCAGTCACTCAACCCAAGTTCCCTCTCATTTATAGGACTTGTCAAGTCGGTCATGTGACCACTCTGTATTATAGTTATCCCAGTATCCTGATCCTGAGGAAAACCAACACTCGTACACCTAATCTTATTCCATCGACCTTGACGTGTAGTCGACCATTTGGAGTATTTCTAGTAGTATACCTGGGATCTCCAGTGTCTACTTTATCTACGTACAAAGCAAAAGGCGGAAGGATCAACAGCTGAACATGGAACATTGAATAATCATCGCTGCAACGGTATTATCGTAAACCACAAACGAACATATAGCTGGAGGCTATTTACCATTCAACAAACTTTACAGAAATATCTTCCTCTGTAGTTTCATGACGCACCATCTTTCACCAGGCAGCGAGCCGATCAAAGTGCGGAGTGCTTGTCAGAGATGTCGTCAACGACGCATCAAGGTCGGTGGGATAGGGCATTAACCCTGAGGCGCGATAGGTATACTAATGCTACCTAGTGTGACAGACGAATACCGTCATGTTCCAAGTGCGCGAGAGCTGGCGTGACCTGCATTGATGTCGACAACTTAGGGTCTGGCGCCGGGATGCCACGAGCGTAAGCCTCTTCATTAGATTCTCAATATGGACGCAATATCACTGACATTGCTCGATCCTATTCCGAATCCAGCGCTCTCACCGACGCTTTAGCTCGCGTGGAATGGCTTGAGGACCTGGTCCGGAAACGCCTACCTGACATCGACCTCAATGAACCAATACATGGCAGCAAGACATGGCCTACGCCACCGGCTAAGCGTCGGAACACTGGAACTCAAGCAGAGGATGATGGCTCGCTGCTAGTAGAAGCCCAACCGGCAGCATTCGATCTCGGTCTGATCTCTTCCAATCTCTGTGTGCCACGCTTAAACTACTTCGGCGCGTCGTCAGGCTCCCTCTTCACGCGTCTGCTTCGGAGTAACAAAGGTGGTAACCATGCACTATCCAATCTACCGACTCCAACCAACTTAGATGATTCCGCCCCACTTGATGGTGTGGTGCCGCCTGTTCATGGGGGCTCATGTCCCGAACCCGCCCGTATACTGGCCTTGGTTGACGAACTACGCACGGTTCGTTTTGTCCTTAGGATTCATACGCAACGATATAGACTTCTAATCTCTCCGCTGTCTAGATACTGCCTCCACGAGATGAATGCGATAGATTAGTGCGCATGTTCCTCTTCCACTATCACCCGATATATCCCATCCTGCATTGGCCAAGTCTGTATGCGTTGGTTGCTGCACTGTATTCAAGCATCGAGCCTTCATCAGTATCATCTCTACAGGCTAATGGTTGGCCGGCCCATGTAGCTCCGTTTTCATATAACGGCGAGCTCGCTTGTGTTGACAGCGAAGATGTGTCTCCCATATCACTTCCTACCGCCGCTGCTATACTGCTCTCTGTCCTTAGCGCAGCCTCATATCTTCAAGCTCACAACATTCGTTTTGGACCAGATCCTCGACGATACGACGATAAAGCTTTCGCCCTAACGTCTACTGCACTAGCCGAGATATCGCTCCCGTCAGTGCAGTTGGTCGTTCTTTCCGTTATCCAAGGATTTCTCAGCCAGCGAAGTGGCAATTCCTGGGTGCTGTTAAATCTCGGTATGGCTTATGCTATCGATATGGGTATCCACCGCAATACTTCACTTTCTGGCCGCTTTTCGGTGCTTACTTTTCAGATGCGTCGACGTTCATTCTTTTGCCTCTACAGACTTAATAGGTATGTGACAATCCCCCCTCCCCCCCTTCTTGTTACTATTGAAGATGAGCTTCAATGGCAAGCGATCACCTAGCTCTAGAATAGTTGAACGAAAACAGGGTGGATGGACAGGTGTGAACAATCCTAACCATTATATTTAGGCTCATCAGCGCAATCCAGGGGAGACCATTAAGCTTTCATGATGATACGCTTGACCTCACAATGCCCGAAGTTTTCCCAAGTCCAGGAGATGAGGTTTCAGAAAGTGACCAAGCCCACCTGAGCTACTCTATTACTCGGTTTCGCTGGGCATGCTTAGTGTCTGAAATTAAACAAAAATTATACCAGATCTCCTCTTCTAAACTTTCTGAATCCTCACGATCGTCCATACAGTCAGATGTACATGCTCGGTTGGATGCATGGCTTGTTGAAGTCCAACAAAGTGTTGAATCGATCTCCAAACCTAATACTAGCCCGCTCCTGATCAAAGCCCGAATCGATTATCACTACGCAGTTGCGCTGTTATATCAGCCATCTCTTGCTTGCCCGCGTCCCGATACAACCGCACTTCGTCACTGTTTCGAGAGTGCAACTGAGCGTGTTCACCTATTCTGGTCTCTATATGAAGAAAAGGGCCTCATTCTGAGTTGGCCGACTGCACAAGGTATTTCTCTCGCCGGAACCACGCTAGCTTACTGCGTCTGTGCCTCAGAGGAAATTCTTGCCTCACTTTCCTTTGCAAAGCTGTCGGCAGATTTGCGACTGTGCTCCAGCTTACTAACTCTGGGAGGCGAGTGGTGGGAGTCAGCACGAAGAGGGAGTAAAAACTTTCACCGTCTTGCTAACCTCACCATGGACGCACTGTTTAACAGGGGCGAACATGCACCGAATGGTATTGAGACAAGGAATCAAGCCAACCAATCTAATGTTGACATCCTCACCATCCCGAGTACTTCATCAACAGACGCCGAAGCGGAAATCAACGTTGAGGATATGCTATATTCTTTTCTTCAAAGCGGCTTTAGCCTAACGGATATGCCTGGGGATTTGAGCCCAGATGCTTTTGTGTCACGTACGGAAACCGACTGGGATAATTTGCTTCAGACTGATTATCAGTCATCGGATAATCTGGGGAATTTCAACTTGGGTCTCTTTGAACCGCCTGCCTGAACTTCTTTGTGGTACGCGACTCCTCCCAATGCGGAGGGTGCTAGAGGCCGAAATGGCGCCCCACTTATTAATTAGGTATTGTAGATGGAGGAGGTAGCGGGGGGTCTGCAGGGGCGATTTATGGGGATGGGACGCTATAAGAAGCGGAGGCCCCGGGGAGGGCTTCGGAAGGTGACAGACAGTTCTGGGTGGTATATCACTGGCAGGTGACACCCGCACGTTCAACTCCTAGGATTGAGGCCGGGCCCCCGCTAGCCCCTATAAGGCCCCCAAATGGCCCTGCGCAGAGAAGCTGTGTAGACACAAAATGGGGCGGGCGGCGTGGGGAATTAGGGGATTAGGTCCTTGACGGCCGCCCTGGCGGCCACTAAATCAAGACTGTCATCACCTAGAGGCCGGGTACGGTCGTTAAACTGCGATATAATAGTAATAATAAAAATAATAACAAAACATATGTATATGGGATGGCCTTATTTAAGCTTATCACGAGACCAATTGGTCGACTCTAAGAATAGTCAATGATATTCTTCCTGCTGCAGACAACTGCACAGAACAGCATGCCATTGGCTGCGACCTGTCTGCCAGCGCCTACACTCCTCGCAATTGCAGGGCTAGAGCAACTGCCGGCGCTGATTGGCTGAAGACAGCAAAGATGTAGGCGCCGCTATTGACGCCGCCCATGTCCGCCCTGCCCAATCACCGCCCGCAACCGCTGTTAAACGCCCAGCAGAACAACACAACCGGCTGCATGCACGATGTTTCCTGCTTTCACATCTGCTCGTACCTATGAGAAGCTCGCACTGAGACGCCAGCCATGACAGGCCCAGATAGGGTGCCATGACTTTGGAATTCTTCAGCATTGTGATTGGCCTGTAGGCAAGGCTGGTCTGCCCTCTCGTTATGAGTAGAAGATATCGGCGCGACTCATAAGCCGAGCATCTCGCGTCTTTCTTTCGCTTTCTGCCCTTGCATCAGTCATTATATTTTTACTTATTTCCTTTTCTATTCCCCTTTCTCTGTCGTCGGGTTGCTGGCTCTCCTGATTCAATTGTTGTGTTTTTTGTCGGGAGCATTATATATTCAATAGCTCTACATACATAGACACAGGCCGGTGTTTCATTCGACTTCATTTGATCTTGCATCCTGAAATAGAGCCGGTCTCTTGCATATAAAGTGCTCTCTTTTGTTTTATTTTTATTTCCTATTCAAAATTCAACCATAATGACTGCTAGCGCTCAATTCCAGCTCTTCCCCTCACCAGCAAAGAACAAAAAGAATCCATTCCAGAATATGTCTAGCAGAGAAAAACCAAAAGACAACTCCCCGGTCAGTCCTGTGTCTTCGACGGCCTCCAAAGCAGGCATCAAGACAGAGTCAGTGATCATTCAAATCATCGAGGACACGAATACAGACGCCGTCCAACAACAGCCAAAACACTATGCTGCCGGGGTTGCTGGAAACTCGCCAGAGAATATGCGCACACAGGACATTGAGGTGATGAGACAAGATGAGCGACCAGACTCTGCATTTTCACATGACGATTCAAGGCTACACCCCAGCAATGAGCGGCTGCCTCGCAACAGGTCGCCTATTTCTCCTGGACAGCCTATTCGATCCATGTTCCCACAGTACAATCCCAACGTACCGCTAAATGAACAGCAATATTTCCCACAGAACGGGAATCTGAACAGTACTACCCAGCCAAGTGGTAGCTCGTCAACTGCAGCAAGGCTCCCACCAGCGGATGTCGATGTTCTGTTGGGGCCGAAAACCGTGCCGGCGAGCGTGCTCAATTTCCCTTCCGACGAGCTCAGTCCGCGAGTACAGTACTCGACCGCAGAGGACTTGCTTACATTATGGGAATCTGCAAACGGACAGGAACTGCAAGAGTCACTAGGAACTTTCAACATGCGCGTCGAGAGGTAAATCCCCTTTCCAGCTGAACTTTAGGCCAAATCTAACTCAACCTAGAACCGACACTGCTACTTTCACCTTTGGCGATCCTCTCTTGCCATTCTACACTCTACAAGCAAGCCCTAATGGACTCTCTATTATGAGAAACCACCCGCTCAAGTCAAACAGGGGTGTGCATGTCATGTCACTTTTATTCGAAGACCCCGCTCGTCGGCAGCCGCCTCATGATGGGTTGGTCACTGTCATTTTCTCCAAGCTTGCTTCTATGCTTGCAGTGGAGCAGGCAAAAGAGCTCACACGACAACACCGTCTTGCCCCATCAGAGGCTGTTGAAGTCGAAACACACGCAGTCAACCGCGCTGCAGCCCAAGAGTCCTGTCGCTTGATCTGGAACGCCAACCAGAACCGCTACGAGTTGCAACATCCGTCACTCCTCAAACAACACTCTCCATTCCTAGTTGGTGAAGATGGGAATCCCCTCTCGCGCGTCCAGACCATGAAACCAGGTATCCTGCATATCTCTGTATCCCCGTCGCCCGACAGCGATAGCGTCCAACCACCCACTATTGTCGTCACAAGCCCAACTCCACCCAACAGCGTGCGAGCCGCCGACACTGCAGCGACCCCTCGCACGTCAACCCTACCCCAGCCAGACCATGACGAGCTTCTGGCCTGGTTCGATCTCGGCACAATGAGTCTGTCCATATGTGCCGGATTAACCACGGCGATCATCCCATCGCTCTACGCCATCGACTCACTGGTCGCAGCCATTCTAACTGTTGCAGTCACCGATCCAGCCACAAACCCAATCCTCGCCAACGCAGACCTTTACGTTCCAAGCCTGGGCACCCCGCGAACACCCGGAAATACGAATCGAAAGACTCGTCTACGCAACTCCCTCGCATCAACTGCACAGAAAACTCAAGCAACATTTAGCGGGAAGCTATTCGCTACGCTGGCCGAACGCGAAGAAGCAGAAGAGGAAGCCAAATTAATGGCCCAGATCCGCACCACGGAAGCAAAGGAGAGGTCCAAGAAGAAGAAAAAGGAGAAGAGTAAAGGCGGGTTCTCTCTTTTCCGGAAAAAGGATAAAGCGAAATCGAAGCAAATCGTGGTTGAGGAATTCGATCTTGAGAAATACAGCCAGTTTGGTAGAGGGTCTACTAGGGAGGGAGAACAGCTTCCAGGAACCGCTAGGGCGTTGGTTAGCATGTTGGTTTTTGGATTACAGTTGGTAGTGACTATCTTGTCGGCAGGAGTCAAGTGTGCGGTTTGGATGGTGGTGAATGTGACGAGATGCGTTACGAGTGAGAAATTCTGATTGTTGTTTCTTTAGGACGGTTCTTTGGGTTTACTAGTGCATGTTTTGCGTGTTACAAGGATGGTATGGTACAGGAGTTATTAATGTTAATGGTTTGAGATATCCAGGGCTACTTACTTACGAATCAACGGATGTGTTATTACAATGTTCTTCACTCTTTATACATAGTTCTACTAGTAAAGTGAACTAGGGTGTAGATATGTATTCGGTGTAATATAATTAATCAATTCATTATCTATATTACGCCACAATTCCAAACAATGCGAGGCTGTGTTAATGTTTGGTATAATTTTACCCACTAACAAAACCAAACCTCAAAACAGGATACATAAAGAAGTACACAGCAAGAAACAAATCATCTGTCATCATAATACTCAACCGTTAATCCAGTTCACAGAGCCGCAAAAACACCGACGATACCGGCGAAGACACCACCGGCGACGACAGTCAAGCTCGGGATGGTCTGGACTCCGGCACCCCTGAAGGGCGCGAAGGCATCAGCGCCGCTTGGCGTAGCAACGCGAGATGAAGTAGGAGTGGTCATGGCACCGTGGCGGGCTGCAGAGGACGAGGGTGTGGCCATCATACTAGACGCGTGGACTCGACTGCTCTCAGCGCCGGATTGAGCGCCGTTCATCTTGTTAGTTGTGGTCTTGTCGGCTGGGTCTTCCTGTTCAGGTGTATTTGGAGCATTTAGGGCATTTGGAGTATTTGCGGCCTTTGTGTTGGCGCAGGTGCATCCCTGGGAGTCAGATTCTTCTTGGACGCCGTTGATGCGAGCAGCGCTGGCGGATGGTGAGGCAGCGGTGCCGTGCTCGGTGGTGCCAGAGGGGGCGTAGGCGCGGCGAGCCTTCTTCACGCGGCAGGCTTGGGTGGCGAGTCTCTCAGTTTCTGATAATTGTGTTAGAGCGGTAATAATTAGAGAAGGAATGGATACGTACGTTCACTTTGCTCAGAGCCGCAGGCGTTCTTGATCTCGCCCATGACCGCTTCACGAGCCTCGTTGGAGCACAGACAGGCAGCGTTACCGGTGTTGCACGCTGTGCTAGACAGGAGAGTTTGCATCTAGACAGAAAATTTAGAAAAGGCGATTGTCAGCAGTGGAATCAACGTACAGCACAGGATTGGGCGTCGCTCATAGCTCCCATTTGGGTAGCAGAAGCAGCAGCGGCGAGGGCGAGGACGGGGATAAAGGCACGCATTTTGATGGCTGTGAAAATGATGAAGTAAAATACAGTTAACGAGTGAAGATGAACGAGTGTCGGTGTCGAGAGGCGTTATTATCGTATTACCTGATTCAGCTGATTAGAAGAACAAAACGGTGTGGCTTGGCCGGGGAGAAGACTCATTGATATAGGCGAACTCTTGAACCAGAGAATCACGTTGAAGCGGCTGGCAGAATATAGCATATTTTCAATGAAAAATGCTTTTCGGGGTTGGGCCAGCAACAATGTGATAATTTCCTGCTGGTGGAATGTAGTGTGGGTGGTGCTGTTGATGGCGGGATGTTTCAGGGTTTCGTGAGGAATGTACGATCTCTCCAACTAGCCCTAAGTCGCTGTACAGTCGCCAGGATCCAGCAAGTCACCGGAAACAATTCAAACCGCGTACCATTCTAAATTCGCCATGCGGCCAGAGATAGCTTATGCTTCTGCTGATGCATTTCAACACTCTCAGACGCGATATCGTCAAAGCAGACATTCGAGAGAGAAGACCCAAAATACCCAAGAGCCAAGTGCAATGCCCGAATTAATTCTAGGCCCCATTAAACTCAATGAATTATCTTCTTTATTTGCTTAGCCGCATCCCAATGAAGTCATCCCAAATACCGTAGGTGCAAACCAAAATTGATCGATGTGCATCAACACGCATATCCTAATAAGACATAATGTCGGTCCCGGTATGGAATGCCTCTTTTCCTCCTTGATCTACGGATTAGAATCTACTCGACCTCCCCGCACTTCTCGGGCCTTCCTATCCCTGGAACATGTGAAGACGATGGACGGCGAATTAGAGGCAAGGGCAGAATCGAATCGAGATCGAATTTGTTTTTCATTCCAGCTTTATTGGTGCGTGTCTCAGAATTGTTGCGCTCGATCTGGGGTATAGGTATATCGGTGACTGGCTATCAATTACATTTGAAGAGTATGGTATCTACATATGGCGTCACTGGACATTCCAGATGTCTAGCCTTCACAACTAATTTTGACCAGCCGTCACGAGTCTCTTGGAGATACCTGTGCAGCGCACAGTAAAGTATTGCGCGTTTTCTGCCAACAGAAGAAATGTAAAGTCATCGCCTTTTCTTGACGTAACTTGTCTATCTAATTCGACCATTCGATCAACGAATCCATGCATGCTTATATCAGTGATGATGCAAAGATGGAACATGAGAAAACCCGTAAAATGCATTCCAAAGAAATTGGGTATCAACGCCAGTTTTCCGCTTGGTAAAAATGATTCGCTCATCCTGAGAGCAACCATATGCAAATGTAATGTCTACAACGAAGTAAGAGGAAGAAAGAAAATGCAAATCCCGCGCCCTGCGTGTTCAGTTGAAGGTGTTCTTCATTGCCCGCCATCCGTCCAGTCGTGGAAGAGGGCTTTTGCCCCCACTACGGGTTGATGGTCGACCGAATCCCATTGCCTTGCCAGCCATGAGCGACAGTCGTGTCTTCTCCTGTCTAACAGCTTCCCTTCGTTCTGCGCGCAACGCGTCAATACGACCTTGACCCACACGATATTTTCTACTCATACTCTCATCCAGCAAGGCATTGGCGTCAAGAAGCTTTTTTGGAATTGTCTGAACAATTTGGAAAACCTCCATTGGATCTGATACTGATAGGATCTCCCGTTCCCCAGCCTTGAAAATGCCCAAGGCGACTCGGAAAAATGTTTTAGATCCTTCATAGAAAAAACAGTCCCAGACACGGAGTGTTGTTTCCAACGGCAAACTTCCAATAAACACCGACATAAGCCAATTGGTGAGACCAAGTGTAATGTCAGGCAAGCGTGTATTGACCGTTAATGCTGGAGCCTTGACTTTTGATGTCGTTGGATTGGTGCTCACAATCTTCGTATAAACATGGGGCAGGTGCTCTCTGAGCAAAACCATAAGGATCCACATATCGACGTTTGCACCCTCCAGGCTGACCTCATGCGTCGCAGGTAGCAGTTCCGATGTAATGACATGAAGCATCCAGAAAGTCTTCTCCTCAGGCAGGAACAGGAGCAAAAGTCCGGCAATGAAATTTAGCGACTGCGTGTATCCAATACGAGGATTATGAAGTGCAAAAGCATAAAGTACCCTTCGGAGCGAGCGAATCATTTGCGTTTCCACGACCACATATTGACTATTAGTACCAGTCATATCACTCGGCATGTCGGGTTTGAAGTGAATATTGTCAGGGAAAGTGCGATATAGATCGCGTTCGATATGTTCTTTATCCCCGTTATTAGGTGTCGACATAGCCTGGCGTACCAACTCGTTGTAATGTCCAGGATGAGGATGCATGTGGCCATAGCCACCTGCATAGTAGAACCAAGCTGCACCTCGATATTCGCTTGGGATACCTTTACGCACGTATCGCTTGATCACATTAGTCTTCGGGGGAAATGTGACTGGAGATTCGGTGGGAAGACCCGATGTTTCTAGCAACCTGATCCATTTTATACGGCGACCTTCGGCGAATCCAGAGTACAGTTTATTCCAAGATTCAAATTGATCGAGGGATATCTGATGGGACGCCTTGCGGAAACCATATCGATCTCGACCATCAGTACCGGGAAGAAACGGCGGCGGCACGATACCTGAGACCCGTACTATAGTGGAGTAGCGAGGACTAGGAATTGGTTGGTCGGGCGTGTCAGCAAGAGATTTCTTGGCTATTGAGGTATCAATGGAGAGATTCTTCTGAGAGTGTACGTCTTTGGGTGAAGTTTTGCTTGGATCGACACTCGCGGGCTTGTCTGAATTCGAGATTTCTTGAGAATGTGGGGGTTCCGTCTTATCATTCCCCTCAGATTTTTGATCCTGTAGCGCTTCAACTTCGGGAATTGCGTTTTTGTCGAGGGAAGGTCTCTGTGGTAAGTTGTTTTCCTCGATGTGAGTTGACGTGGTACCTGCCGAGTTCTCACGCTCGTCCGAGATCGAGTCGACGGAAGACTGCTTAGTGGGAGAAGAGACGGCTTCGACAATCACACCAAGATCGCTTGTGCGCATCGTTGTTTGTATGGTAGAAGTCTCTTCCGGAACATCAATGATATCATCGAGATACATTCCTATAGCATCCTCCACAGTCATGTCCTCGTCATCCAATTGGCCATTGGGATTATCTGGAAAAATGTCTGTCATGGAGCTGCTCTTTGTCAAAACACTACTGCGCTCCGTGCCACTCATTCGCTCGAAGCTCGAGAAGGATGTTTTGCCAGAATTCTGGCTGGAGCGTAGCGGGTCACTATACTGGAGGTCGGGAGTAACGCGGGGGGGAAATCGCGGTAGTGGGCGATTGCCATAGCTCATTTCGGCGGAATTATGATCTTGATGAGGGGAGCGGTGTCTGCTGCGGAGGGAGGTCGTCGACATCGATATTTGCAAGCCAGGTCGCGCTGTCCTCATTCGCGGGAGCGTGTGAGTACTTTGGGGTGTGTCAGCCATGGGCAAAGGCCACCCTGGGTTCCCGTCATCTGGCCCAATCGGAGATGGGGAGGCCCTAGGTGGCGGCGATCTCGCAAATGACATCTGCTTGTGCGATGGTGAAGTAGAGGTAGGTGAGTGGTGATATGGATTCTCATTGCGAGGCGGAGATCGCGTGGCAATGCTCGAGTGCTGGCTGGTAGATCCTGGAGGACTGAAAGGAGAGTATTGGGTCAGAGATTGGGGGGTTGAGACAGGGGACGTGTTGTTCATATCGAGGTGGTTGATGTTCCGGGTGACGAGGTGCGGAGGAGTGTGGCCGCGTGGAGCTGAGGCCACCGTGCCATTATCGCCATCGAGTGTGTAAAGAGGCGGGCCTGCATGCTGCGTGACCATGGCCACTCGAGTATAAGACACTATTCTGGCGGTGCATTTGCTGGCTGTTGGGTTTCGAGTTTCTGCAGTCCGATCGGACACGGGATAAAAGAATCGCAATTGAATCAAAGGTCAGCGGAAAATATGCAATTGGCAGAGTACCACGAAGAGGCAACGATGAAATATTTTTAGGAGAGCCAGCCCTTGAGCGGCGAGCGGGATCATCGAGCAGCTGTGGAGGACAAAGGAGAGAATATGTGCGGTTGGTCAAGGTGGTCAACGAATGGAAGAGACAGCTTTACGGTCTCGCGAGTCAAGCACAGCAATTGGCTCAATAGCAGCCACTCTCACAGCGAGCAGCAACCAGCAACAGGCATTCTATGCCTTTGTGACACGTAGGAAGAGACGACCCGAGTCTTGCTGGGCGATGGGAGGAAGGAGACGCCAGCTGAACGCCATGGATGACTGCCTGACTGCCCGGATCACCATTTCTCGTCCGTGTTTTCCCATTGGCCTGCGCTGATTGGCTGCGGCTGCTACCGCTGGCCTGATGTGTCGTCTGCCAAGCCGACCCGGTCACGTGATGCATCTTTGGGGTGGGATCAGTCATATTCCAATCAGTCGACCGGACATCGTATTGACTTTGAGAAAGCCCAGCAGCCTGGGGTTCTTGATTGGAGATATGTTGTAGCCAGCCACAATATTCCTTCGCTGTATACAAATTGGCCCTTCATACAGGTATCCATTTGGGCTTGAAATGATTGGCTGTCGATTGAGAACGAACCCCACTAACGGCCACTTCCGAACTCCGAGGCGCGATTATTGGCTACTTCCCACGCCGCTTACCTATCTTGGCCGATTTATGGAGATCCTCTGTACCTTGACTTCTCTCCATTGTCTGAACCAATGAAATATGCGGCCATAGCGATGGCACTGGGGACTCGAGCAGGCAGAACCGTACATGTAGTCGTCATTTGTGCAACAGCCTGCAGTGTTATTATACACGAGCAACCTGATGACTTCGACCGTTCGGACGACCGCCCGAGAGGACTAACAAAAACCCCCTGTGACTGGTTGCAAAACTGGAAATACCGCCGAAAAGCCGAGGGCTGAACCTCATGGTGAAACGCTAAATGAATGAAGACCGGCTCTATCTCCATGTTTACCAAACCTAGAACAAATGCCAACTGCACTCCGTTATGCACAACGTTGAAGATGGGTCTTCGGCCTTGTGTCTATTCGTATCTCGATATTTGTCTAAACTCCACCAAACATCAGCACAAAAGCGAGAGCCACAGAAATCGGAGATGGGGATAAAACCATGCTTGATACTTGCAACTGTTTTCGGCTTTGCTATACTCGGAGTTTAGGCGCTTTTATTACTGAAATGTACTTGTCGTTATGAAGTTTTGAAATATAAAAGACTGTGTTGTGTTTCCCTTTTGCTCCTCACTTTCCAAAAACTCTCATATCAGAATGTAATACGCTCTATGCGCTTCTTTAAAAGCCGCTGCAAAAAAGGAGAACCCCACTGACAGACCACGAGTCTTGATCCAAAAATACCCCAGCTTTAAAATCAAAAGAAACCACAATCATGGCCACCGCCCCGAATATGGAATACGTCAAGTCAGTGATTTACCTGCCCTTTGAATCAACCTTACCTGTTGACTAATACAATTTATAGGCTAGGCAACTCTGGCCTCAAAATTTCAAAGATTGTCCTTGGATGCATGAGCTTCGGCGACCCTGCCTGGCAGGGGTGGGTATTAGATGAGGAGAAAGCCCTCCCTCTCATCCACCATGCCTATCAGCGGGGAATCAATACTTGGGACACCGTACGTCCAATTCTTCTTTCTTCGTTAGCATAACTTGAATTGATGAAAAATAGGCCGATTCGTATTCCCATGGGGTTTCGGAACAAATTGTCGGGAAAGCATTGAAGAAGCACAACATCCCACGCAATCGTGTGGTGATCATGACCAAGCTCTTCCCTGGTGTGGATGACGAGGGTCAGCACCCGCCATTACATTTGACCCTGGCGAACAACGGAACCTGGGTGAACCGCGTGGGCCTTTCGCGCAAGCACATCATGGATGCAGTGGACGATAGTGTTCGACGTCTTGGCACCTACATTGACGTTTTGCAAATCCATCGTCTTGACCGCGAGACGCCGAAGGAGGAAATCATGCGTGCACTGAACGATGTCGTCGAAAGCGGCAAAGTGAGATATATCGGTGCTAGCTCGGTAAAATTAACGCTTTCCCCATATTTGCTGCTATTCCTACTAACGCAATCGCCAATTCAGATGAGAGCATGGGAATTCCAGTCCCTTCAAAACATTGCCATCCGTAACAATTGGCATAAGTTTATTAGCATGCAAAGCTACTACAGTTTAATCGGGCGAGAAGAAGAGCGAGAGATGATCCCATACTGCAAGGACGCAGGAATTGGGTTAGTTCCCTGGTCTCCGTTGGCACGAGGTGTACTCGCTCGTCCTTGGAACTCTCGTGTGTCCAACCGTGAAACAACTGACATCGCTTTGAAACTGCTCGTCCGAAGCCGAGAAACTGAAGCTGACAAAGCAATTGTGGACCGTGTTGAGAGGGTTGCGAAAGCAAAGGGTGTGGCTATGGCCCAGGTCGCGATTTCCTGGCTTCATAGCCGTGGAGCCTATCCCAGCTTAGGGCTTAACAGCCTCGAGCGTATTGATGAAGCAGTGGGAGCTTTGCAGGTGCATCTTACCGAGGAGGAAATTAAAGATTTGGAAGAACCTTATGTTGCTAAGGGACTCTCTTTAATTGAAATGTAGATTTTAATTGTATCGCTCCTATATGTCAACATTCATGTCAGACAAGATGGAATACAATTACAGACACAGCCTAAGCGTTTACGGTATCTAGCTACGTGTACACCCAATATTTACGTTCCGATGATTCATAGAGATGGTTCATCCACATATGCCAATGGTATTTCGTTCATGATTTTGTCTCTTGTCGAATGAAAATACGTAAACCCCGAAAATGAAGCAAAAACTGAAGAGGGCAAGCTCGTAATATATACTTAGGCATACCTGCATGACCTTCCTTCCCCGCGACAGATGCTGCTTGATTACTCACTGATGATAAATCTTCTCGATCACCATAGGCATTCACATCAGCACCATTTTCGATGAGAAGATCCGCAATCTCTACATATTCGTGTAATATAGCCACTTGTAGTGGCGTTCCTCGATCTTTGGTCGCTGGAAAATTTACTTCTGCTTAATTTTGAAGTAGAAACCCGACAACCTCAATGTGGCCAGTGTAGACAGACTTCTGTAATATACTCCCCACACCCGAATTGAATGTATCAATAGCTATAGCGTTTATATCAGCACCAGCCTCAATAAGTGTTCGAAGTAAATCAAGATCGGATGGATTGTTATCATAACCGAAGGCCCATGCTAACACTTTTCGAATTCTAGTGACATAGTCGTTTTCCGTGTTGAAAAAGCATCGATATCTTCATAAGGAGGAAGAGCATCCACATCTGAATTGTATTTTAGCAAGGTTTCTACACCCTCCAGCCATCTTGGAAAACTGCGAACTGTAAGGCTGTTTATTAAAATCCTCAGAAGGAAACGCATTATCATCCGCTCCCGCAAGAAACAGGAAGTCGAGTAAGAACAAATTTTTACACTGATTTTATTAGTGATAGAGGATTCTAATTTTTGATTACTATACTCAATATGTGATGTCATGGTTTAGACCACATTCCGGATTAGTGCTATATAATTGTCTATTTAATGTGTGCTTTTATGCTACTGTTTTATGTTAAAATTTGATTTCATTTTCAAATCTATGCTATATCTGAATATCATCAATATATATATACACTAGCAAAATGCCACACAAATATGTCAGACCTTTCTACAAAGGGTTGGCTGATGCCAAATTAGGCCAGATGGTGAGCAATTGGTTATGTGGTAGCCAACCCCCTTCCCGCCTTGCCGTCTCCCACACCTCTTAATGATAATGAGAACAAGAACAAGGACTAATTGGAACCATCATATGGAAGTGCTAATCTATGGGTATTATCGAACTGCTAAAAATGGTTTGGGGCATGATTTATAAGCAAAGCTCTCAGAAATTCAATTTATCACTGAACTCAAGCTAACTTAGACTAGCAAAACTAGCGATAGCAAAATTTCCCAAAAAGGAGGAAACGAAGGATGGAGACTAGTCTTCCCTCTTAGCCCTGTCAGCCGGCCTTTCCTAGAAGGGTCTGAGTTGAGATAAATAAATATGGCTTGCACACCGCTTTGTTTACCTGCCTTTTAACCCACTGTTAGTCTCGCTTATTATGGGATCAAGTTTGCAAATCTTTAATCAGCCTAACCTATTTCAAGATTGGGTTATCCTTATTTTTAAACATTTATTGCTCCAGAGGTCCAATTCTTAGTTTCTCGGACCCTAGAGTATTCAGGATTAGGCGCATTTATTGGTAAATCAGGGCGTGGCACACCTCCTGATACTTGTAGGATGTTTTTTCAGGCAAGGAGCAACAACCAAGTTGCTTTCATATGATACATTTACGATGTTACGTCAGACACAGCAAGACAGGGCAAGACAGCTTCATGGAACCCTCTCATTTTTCAACCCCGCCAGAAGGCCACACTTATTGGGCTACTTAGAAAGTAGACTTATACACAGGTGCGTTTGGGCGAAATTAACTGCACCGGCGGAGAATAGACCCGTCAGACATATACGTTAAAAAAATTTTGGACTCTAGACAGACAAAATTCAAATTAATTCAATAATCAATTGCTCTACCACGGCGGGTTCTCCCCTGTGTAAAAAGAGTCTCCTTCTATATATATGTCCCGGAAACAACCATTATCTTTCGCTTTGCTAGACTTCAGGATTATGTTGGTAACGGAACGAGCGCCATCAATCGGCTTCAAGTGAGCGTGAGATCCACCGAGATCAGTTTGCAACCAGCCCGGACTGATAGCGAAGACTGTGAATCCCTTAGGACCAAGTTCGGAAGCATATTGCACGGTCAACATGTTCAAAGCCGCTTTAGAGATGCTATAAGAGGGGCAATATATTACGCCGGATTGCTTCGCCAGCCCGATTGAACCGAGAGTGCTGGTTATATTGACAATCTTCTTTGCTTTACCTCTAGTAAGAAGAGGCAAGAAGGTGGAGGTGACGCGATGCACACCTGTGACATTGGTCGAGAGCGTGGAATCTAAGGTGTCTTCTTTCATTAGACTAGGTGCAGGGTCATTGTGTAACTGTATTCCCGCGTTGTTGACTAGAACGTCTAGACCTTCTGAAGGGCCTAATAGCTGGTCAACCTTAGACGCTGCAGCGCTGATGCTGGATTGGTCGTTGACGTCTAGCTGCACATATTTCACGCGACCGTTCGTCGTTTTTATAACCTGAGTGAGGTCAACCGATGGGGATGCTGCTCGTGCTGTTGCAAAGATAGTTCCAATAGTTGCTGCAGGAAAAGAAGCGAGATGTTTAACCAGTTCCAGACCCAGCCCACGAGACGACCCTGTGATAAGGAACGATGTCATTTTCCTTGCTTCCGCTCAGAAGATCCAAAAATTGTTCATAGACTATTGTCAAATAATGGGAGGTAAAAGTAAGTGTTGATTCACACAGTTGTGATCGAATTATTGCTGTACTTGAGTGTCGCATTTAGGTCTTCATCGAGGGCCGGAGTTTATGCGTGATGCCGGGACCTCCACTAGGACCCGGACGCTAGCTTCCAAGCGTTACTCCGCCCAAGGCTATTTGCTAGCCCACGTTACGGTATGCCCGGACATAAGCCCCGCAAGGCCGAGGGCGACTGACGCCTTGATTTATTTTAAGTGAAACAGAATCAATTCTGACAACATTATCGTATCTAATCGGAACTATGTGAAATAAAATTACAACCGCTGGGTCGATCTTGAAGTCATATTAAGCCTCGAATGCCTGTAATATGAGACAAATGCATCTCACATTGAAATTTTAGCAAAATTTAAGTGGTATACTTAAACGCCCTATTCTCCTTGTCCGTCAAATCCAACCAATCCTGGTCGGCAGCTGTCACCACTCCATTTTGAATATCGGCAGCTCGTTGCTGATTTTCGCGATGACAGAGAGCACCATACGAAAGAACAGCAACTATAGCAACAATATAACACACAATCATAGCGACCGTGCCACCGGTGTATGTTGGCGCTTGGTCGGCACGAAATGTCTGGGGACCGATGATGTTGCCAGTAGTCCAAGCAATATAAAACCAGGCATAAAGAGCAATTCTGATACCAAAGAAGTTAGAAACGAAGAATATAAAAAGGTAAACAAGTACATACTTCTTTGTGTGGCCGGCAATGTTAGCTTGATAGACGGAGACGAGGGTCACGTAGGGAGCCCAGTAAGTACTATTACAAGTTAGAATACCCAACGATTAAAAGAGGGACGGAGATATACTTACTAAAGAATATACAATCCCACCAGTTGTCCGGCAAGGTTCGACCTCGGTAAAGCATAACACAATACCGCGCCCAACAAAGGCAATAGAACACTCACAGCAACGATTACGGTTCTGTATCGCCTGGTTGTGGCTGCCAAATAACTCAGCCCAATTCCGGATAGCGTACTCATCGCTCCAGGTGGCATGGCCAGCAGTGAAGTTTGCAGGGAATCAAATCCAAGACCTGAAATGATCAATGTGTTGAAGGTGGTGAGTCCCCCGTTGGGGACTTGCAATGCAACGATGGCGAACCATATCAGCCAGGTTTTTGGATCCATGATGGCCTCCCATATTTGATTTGGCTTGATAGTTTTGGATTCTATGCCAGTATTGTCGGCAGCTTTGCGTTGGATGACGATAAACTTTTCGCGGCGACTGAGAAATTTCGCTTCTAGGGGGTTATTTGGTCTATTGCCTTATCAGTAACACTTCCATAACCGAGGGGGTGAAAAGAGTCTTACAGGAAAAAGTACACAATACCTGCCCAAACTGATGTAATCGCGCCTAGTAGAAGGAAAATGATTTTCCAGACAGGGAATGAACCTGGATAGTATCCGACTACCCAGGCAACAAACCCATTAAGGATGGGAGCAATAACATTGAGTATGATACTGTTGCGTTTCGGCTGTTCATCTGGACGATACCACATTGAGACTACGAGAGTAACAGCTGGAATTAGTAATGCTTCACATCCTCCCAGAAAGAAGCGACAGATGAAGAGCCCTGCGAAATTGGTCGTTGCAGCCATACACATCTCGAGGATACCCCAAAACAGGACATTGAGTGCAAAATATTTAACTGCAGATACTCTGTTACAAAATGTAAGTATTTCACCATGACTCAACTGGTGAGAGATTAACTACCTCTGAAGACAGTAGGCCGACGGTCCCATAAAGACCAATCCACCAAAGAACGGGGCTGATCCTACCCACGAGTACTGCTGACCCGTAAGGTTAAGATCCTTTTTAATATCATAAATAGCAGCGGCCGAAATGGCTGTCTTGTCTAGTCCGGACAATGTGGCGCAGACAAATAACTAAACAATGTCTCAGTCTCATTCGAATATAAAGTATAGAATGAAAAGGAAGAATTACAATTGGAATCAACCGCCAGTCAACCTTGCGAATGAGTTTCTTTTCTTCCTCAGCGGACCAAGTCTGTCCGCTCATCTCTTCGCCATATTCGGCGATAATTTGAGCTGCAATATCAACGTGTTTGTCGCCGGCTTTAACAGCCTTGACAGCCGCTTCGGCTGTGACTTGTACAGTCTGGGGCTCGTCAGCCACAGTACCTTTAATTTCATCAAGCGTCATTCTGCCTTGGTCTTCTTGGTTTTTAAGAAGTGGTAACAAAAAGTCTTAAACAGAATCCATTCGCTTCAGGCTGGAGGGGAGGGATGCCAACATCTATCAGATATATACAATTTTGACATGATTTAATCTTCAAGTGATAACCTCTAATAGAATACGAAAACCAATCACCATAATTTCCCGCAGCCAAAAAACACATGCGGCAAAGTAATGCTTTTATTCCCATTGGCTCGACCGACCGACCCATATTTGATAACGGCCTTGCAGAATGCGGTTATCTTCATTCGACTACTCTATCGGAGTCTCCCCGTGGCGCGGCCAATAGTTACATGAATCATTGGATAAAGTTGCCCGTGGTCCACAGCGGCCAAGTGTGCGGCGAACATGTATGCCCTCAATTACCCACGGCTAAAGGTTGAGGCCGCAGCGTAGGGAACATTTACAGGTTTGGCCGTGGTGCTAGTTAGATTCAAATTTCAGAGGTCTACATTGAATAATGTCATTGAAAATCGTAATTGTTTCACAAGACCTTCGTTCATTGCATTTATAAGTTTCACTTCTCACTTACACGTGTAAATATTGACCACAATTGACAAGAACTTGGAAAATTGACGGAAAATAAAGACATTCTTAAACCATGATTGCCAAAAGTGAATCTCCGGATAAGGGTCCTCTTTACCCAGATTATCTTCGTAAGTGAATATGGCTTTAATCGCTTTTAAAGGTTTTGAAAAGACAAATTTATCTAACATTTCACTCTTCAAGCCCATTATGATCCCTTAGAGAAAATCCAGCCAGTTGGCCCATTTGAGCATGTAGACCCTGGGCATCGTGCAGACCCTGAGTTGCCGAACCTTTTGAAAGATGCAACGAAAGTGTTTGAATTAAGTCCGCATTGTGGGACTGAAATTCACGGTGTCCAAATTGTGAGTCTCTACATCTTTTTCATCTGAACACGTGAGAGTAAAGAACATGTGGCTAACTACAAACATGCGTAAAGTGCGACCTTTCCTCTGAAGGACTAGATGAGCTTGCACTAATGTGTGCGGAACGTGGCTGCTTGGTGTTTCGTGACCAGACGTATAGAGATGCGGGGTTCGCCAGGCAGAAAGAGGTTGCTGCACATTTTGGTATTTTTATATCTGTTTTCGGCTGATCCGAGAATGCTGCTAAAGACTAATATTAAAGGGCCGTTGCATAAGCATGGATGGATGCCTCATCCAAAGGCTGCGGTGAACTCTACCGAGACCGAAGAGTTTGTGATTGTTTTCGATTCAAAAGAGTATGACCTATTCCAAAATTTACCAAAGATAGTTGAAAGGGCAAATATTAATTTGAAAAGTGACCTTCGAGTACGAAAATCTTGGTCCAGGAAAAGCCCGATTCAATTCCATGTCGACCAGGTATGTTGATTATTTCAGATCTAACTTGGACATTAGTATTGATTTAACAAATCGAAGTCCCCAGAATTGCAACCACCTGGTCTGACATTCTTCTGTATGCTTGAATCACCACCTGGCGCTGGCGGAGATACAATTATTTCCAATGTAAGTTTGTCTTCCCTCAGTTCTCCATCTTAGCAACAGTACTAAACCTCAGCCTAAGATGAACCGTGCATTCGAACGTCTCTCTCCTTCTTTCCGCAAAAGACTCGAAGGCCTCAAGGCAATACACACAACTGCGAACCCAATTGCACGCGAATTAAGAGACAATGGGGATCTTGCCGTTCTGCGACGACCTATCACCAAGGCCACCCATCCAGTAGTCACTGTCCACCCAGTCACCAAAAAGAAAGCCCTTTTTGTGAATTCCTCTTACACGCAGCGAATTGTAGGCTGGGATGACGAGGAGTCAGACTATATGCTCAAGTTTCTTTTTGATCACATTAACCGTGGACAGGATTTCTGTTGTCGAGTTCGTTATGAGCCTGGAACGGTCGTAGTATGGGATCAAAGAGTGACACAGCATTCTCAGACTCTGGATTATCAGCCAGGTGCACGCAGACATGCATTCAGGCTGACTCCCCTATCAAATGTTCCCATTCCGTCTTTGGTTGAAGAGGATGACGGAGAGTGCGCAAAAGAAGAAGAAAGGATGATGTTAGGTCTCTGTTAACAACTTGACTTTAAAAAGTCAATTGCCATTAATTAAGGTGCTTCGTATATCACCGTGAAATTTAGTATTCTCCATCAGTGTTTCAACCTTCATTAAACCGAGATTGGTGAGACCTTTAACACCAGCAGCACCATTAGCAGAGACACGATTTGCCCATCTCCATCTTCGAATCCAGACCTGAAGATCTTTATAATCGTCTTCAAAATTTATCCAACTCGGAGGAATTCCCGCGGCCTGAAGTTCGTCTTGGCGCGGAGAGTCTAGTGGTGCAATTGTATGTAGAACATGCACCATAAATGAGCCAGCGATAGCAAAATTCGGTCGACTCCCTGTTCAATTAATCAGTCTCTATTGCACCGCAATAGCCAAGATAAAATAAATAATAAATAAATAAACGTACAGCTATGCCAGAACGCATTCCACTGTGTCTCTGTTAAAGCCTCAATAAACTCTACAAACTCCTTGACGCAAAGAAGAGCGCCTCTGACAACAGCCTTTGCCCCTTCTTTGACTGCATTCGCTTGATCTGACGGTGACTGGAGCATAATAGCCGGCCAATTGTTTAAAGGTCGAAGGAGGGCTCGAAAAAGGGTCATGTGGGCAACGATATACGATAAATGTAGACCCCCGTTTCCATCTAGCGTTTCTCCATAGGATGACTGCACACTGTCTCCAGCACAGCATCGAGCTCGAAATCGTAATTCATCTGGAACGTTACCGCGCCAGTCTTTAAGTCGTGCTCGTAGTGACTTAGCTGCCTCGAGGGAATACTGTAGATCTGAAGAGGTACGATTAATAGCTCGAACAGTGTAGTACGTATGCTGGATATCAGATAATATTCCCGTCAGGTTGACTAGATGGTAGAGATGGGCATGATTGTCACCATGTGTTGACAGCGTATTTTGAATGTCGGAAATGGCTATTGAAGTGACATCTGAATCATCATCGTGGAGATGACTAGGCATGCCGCGAGCAAGAGCGACCCATTTCTCCATTACCCACAACGCCCACCACAAGCGTCGACGGAGTTGTCGTTCCCATGTTGGTACACTAAGCCATGCAGATGGGTCTCTGTGTAATCCTATTGTCTGGGCCACTGAAACGGCCGTTGACATGAGAGTCCAGGTGAATGCGGTGTCGGAAAGGTAGAGATTTGTTGGTAGTCGTTGTTGGAGGATTAGGCATGCTTGAAGAGTTGTCAAGGATGGAGCGTGCAATTCCGATGTCACTCCTAACCATGCAAGACGGTAGAGATCTTGGCTCGAAGGTGGCCGTAGTAGAAGCGTATATAAAGCCTCATCGTACATGATGAACGGGAGCGCTGTTGCGCACATGGCTGTCAAAAGGCCCAAGGGCATATTGCTTAGTGAATCAACATTATTGGGTATCTGGTGCCGAGAAACAATTGGAAAGTAAGGATCGACAAAGCGGCTATACAGGCCGATCAAATGCCACGCGCCCATAGGATCGAGGATCTGCCACAGTTCCGACCATGCCGACTCATTCGTCTGGTAGTCAACCCTCGGCTCTGCCTTGTCTAGAAGAGCACGGTCTGTGATACCGAATATAGTGGGTGGAACAAAATTATTGTCGTCCATGGTTTTATCTCCGCTCTCTGGATCGATCACTCGATATTTAAGCCCCCTGACTTTCAGCCGGGATATTTTTCGCTCATCATATTGTTGCTGGCTCAATAAATGAATATCTGAAACTCCTGTCGGACCGATATAGAAACTGAATGCATCTGGAATAAACTCAAGGGACGTTTGCTGCATTTCACTTTCAGTACTAAGGCGCTCTAATGAAGCTGTAGTTCCAAGAGGTTGGGTGGGAGACAGGTAGCGTCCGGCAACAGAAGGCGAGCTGCTAGTACTTGAGTGATTCTGAAAGTAGACTTCATGCACAGCGTCCACCTGATTTGCCGCATTCTCAGTAGTTTCCTGAAGGCCGCGATAGTGTTGAAGCTCAGAAGTCAACATGTACTGAAACGAGACATCTTCCTTCTCTTCATGTGGGTTGACGTAAAACGGAGTATAAGCATCGCATTCAAATTCGGCGTTGGTTTGAGAATGAGCAATTCGCCGCTTTCTCTGACTGGGCCCTTCCTCAAATGTGCAGGCTTTATCCATGTGCACGCATCGCCGGCATGGAGGGCCTGTAGGCATATCGCAAGTTACCTTGCGTCGACGACAGGCATCGCATGGTCGAGATTTTCGGGACTTGTAGATCCTGCCCTTTGGGGTAGATTCCAAAGACATCTTATTTTCTACTCACTTTCTCGAGTTTAGCTATTAATTTAGAAGGGAAATATGGTCAAGTCGAAATAATGGATGGACTGATAGAACCAGCCGGCGATATCGGCTGGCCGGGGCAGATAAGGCAAACCCTAATGCTATCTCGGAAACATCGCCGAGTCACTGTCTATGCTGTTTTGCTTACTTTCGGTCTTTACTTTACGAAATAAAGAATGAAGGAATTATATTGAAGCTTCATAATTTAAAAGATTCTTGAAGAATTGATCCTCAAAGACCGACTTAGCTTTCGCCTCTGTCATAGGGGTAAGTGGACGCCTTGGCTTATCTCCGTACCCAAAACGAAGATTCAAGAGCTTTTTCATTCCTGTGATCTGAACAATAAAAGTTAACGTGCTCTACTCAAATTATGGAGTGTTTACGTAGCGTAGCTTACCCCAATCTTCAAGGCAATTCCATCTGCCAGGGAAATGATGTTTTGTAATTTTTGTGCCTCTTGGTATGTCTTGGGATCGTCAAGGAATTGGCAAAGCCTCCATAGCTTAACGCAAGTTTTCTATATATTCATTCACAAGTCAGACATTTCCAAACAAAACTGATCATTGTCACCCACAGGAGCAATATTCGGGAGACCACTGATTGCACCCGATGAACCAACAGCAACTGAAGGAAGAAGGAAATCAATAAATCCATCGATGGCGCGAAAAGGAATTTCGGAGTTTTTTCGGGGATATGCTGCTTGGAAGCTGGGACTGTTGACTTGGGCCATGATGCGAGTGAGCTTTCCAACATTAGCACACCTATTTTAGTCAGGCACCTGGTATTAGCATTTTTATTATCAATAACAGAGACTGATACTCACGTTAATTTCACACCACAAACATTTGGTGCGTTCTTAATAACGTCCACGATGAGGTCGCTATCTAAGTCGATCCCATTCGATACGGCTGGGAAGTTGTATAGCATTCTTTGGATATCAGCTGATACCGCAAACTAAATCAAGTCCTCAGACTCACACTGGCACGAGTGACGCCTCTGCAATATCAATAAAAAACTGTTTAATTGAACTTGGATCCGACAGCAATGCGCCAGCATAGTATCCCGGCGGAATCACCATGACAAAATCAGCACCAGCTTCGGCTGCTTCTTTGGCCAATTCGATAGATTCGCGAGTACTTGCAGCCCCGACTCCAGCAACAACAGGCATATCGGAGAGTTTGATTTCGTCTAGTGCTGATCTAGCTGCAGTTATGAGTTGCGATCGTTCAATATGGCTCTGTACGGGGATTAGACTATATTGGACCGTGAACGAGAGGATAACAGTGAGTACATACAAGATGTACAGCCTCTCCCATGGTTCCAGAAACGACAGGAACAGTTCCTGCTCCCGCAGTAACTATCATATCCCAGTCAATATCAAGTAAATTGTAAGGATGATTTCACGAAGCTCACATCTGACATGTTTTTTGAATGACTCTAGATCTATTTGAGGAAGATGATGCTCAGCCAACTTTCTTTCCGAAAATTTGTTGGAACTCACCTAGCTCTTCATTTTCGTAGAAGAAACACGGCAGCGGCGTGTAAATTCCTGTCGGGAGGAGGCGCATTGTTGACAATAGTTATTTTGTGCGTGGAGTGTTGTCTCCCCCGGTACCAATGAAGTCTTTGAAACAACTTTAGACGAAAGTCAAGCAATAATAAACTAGAAACATTTAAAGTTTAAAATAACATAAACAAATCAAATAACGCTTAGGTGCATTCTATCAGCTGTGTATGGATACCCGATTATCTACAGCTAGTCAACGGCCGTCTCCACAGCGGCCAACTCTTTCACTACCTACGGAGATGTATACAGACTCTAGAGCTATCAGCAATTGCACGGGGGCAAGATACAGTCCACACGGGCTATGTTACTAGTCCATTTTAAAGTTAATGGGTACAGAGTATCAAGATTGTAGCCAACCTGATTTGTTCTCAGAAGCAATACTAGCTCAGGGATTCAGCCTATGTTCGTGAAAATTTTTTACTTTTGAGAATACATTCAATTGATGGTAATTATACTAGATATAAATTCTCAGTCTATCTACAACTTTAGAAGATGACAAGTTGTGAATGGGTTTCCCTTGCGTTCAAGGGCCGCGTTGTGTTATTTCTATCATTTTTTGATCACCATTGTCGATTGCTATCGAAGGAGACAGATAACGCTCTTATGAAGGGCGAATCAGGTTTCCATGAGCGATAAATCGACTGCAAGCATTCGACTGTAGCATCTCCTCCGATACTACAGCGTCAAATCTATGAAAGTTTATATCCTCATCAAAATCAGCAACAGATGGTGGAGGTGCTTCATAATGACGGCGCAATCAGTGGACTAAAGTTGGCCACGGTGGATTTCTTCCCCGCGTTCTGTTATCGTAGCTTTATCGCTATTATCAGCTTGGCCACTGATTAATATCACTGGTAGGATATCATCAAGACCGCACGTCGGGACGGAGATCCACGGCGTTCAGTTGTCGCCGCTAGATAGCGCAGGGCTCGATGAGTTGGCCCTTTTAGCGGCTCGTAGAGAAGCACTTGTCTTCCGAGACTAGGACTTGTAATATCGGTTTCGAAGAACAGAAAAAGATTGTTGGTCATTTTGGTCCATTGCACATCCATAGCTAGGCACCGCATCATGCGGCTAAGTCGGAGAAACATATGATCATTTACGACCACACAGAGTGAGAATATTTGCCTCGCACCCCGACCATAGGATCTAATATTGATAGTGATCTTCGTGTTCGACAATCCTGGGCTGGTGGGCGGCCTGTGCAATGGCATAGGGCGATACCTAGAATAAATGCTATTGTGAATGTTAGTATAGAAAAGTATGGTCAGTCATCGTCAGCTGTTTTGAATTTTCATAAAATAGTCGCACTCTGTGTTATTATTCGTGTATATCTGGTCTGGATCTGTCTTCTGTCTGTTTCCGAGGCATCAAGCCAAACTGCCCATGTACACCGAGACAATCAAACCAAACGCCATGTAATGATCCACTCCATTTCCACCCCTCTTCATAAATCGTATTGTTTTTTTCGTAGAAAAGCAAATGGTGAGCCGCAGCAGCTTTATTACTACTCCAGAGTATCTGCATATTTCGTACCCACTTCTAATAGAGGAGACCGTGGCCAGGTTAAACGTACGAGTCCATCCTTCTTCACAGATCACTTCGCGGATAGCGTTGTCACTTCTTTCCTTCCTCCCGAGCATACCTCCTTGTCCAATCCCTGGCAACCTCGTCAAACCTCTTCCTGTCATTTTGGTACTGCTCGGCGATCCTCCCCTCAACTGCATCATCTGGCATCGGCTCCACTAGGAGCTGTCTCGCAAATTCGAGGACCGCCCCGATCCGGGACGAGGGTTTCCATTCATCCGATTTCAGCATACCAAGGCACATGGACCCTTTCTCATCGTTGGAGACGTTAGGATGGTATATCTTCGTGGCAAAGGAGACGGTCGGCGGCTTGAATGGGTATTCTTTTGGAAGTACGATATTGACGATAAACGTGCCGCCCTATTTCCGTCAGTGTCCACGTCATAGAGATATATCGGACTCGATCAAAGTTTGCATACTTGGTACGGAGTGTCCACAGGCCCTTCCATATAAACCTTCCAGTTGTACAAATCAGACTCGTTTGTGAGCTCGACCTTGATCCCAGTTGGGGGAGTTTCCGTTAACTCGGCAAATTCCTAGATGATTGCGAGAATGCGATTAGCAACTAAGTCGGGACTATTCTGTCACAGATCACTCTTCGAAGTGTAGGACAAGAAGAAAATTACCTTGCCGATGCGCTTGACACTGCCCATTTTGGTGGCTTTCTCAATTTATTGACTGGTAGCTTCAATGCACTATGAGCACTGTTTCGTGAGGGGCGTAGAGAGCGGGGTAGCTTTTAGCTCGCAGAAAGGAGTACCGCCGAGAAATCAAAGTCAACTTCGGAGACGAGGAAGAGATTGAGGTGCAAATTTCAGTTTACAGTACTGTTAAAGGCTCAAATATATTGGCTGAGAGAAAAATGTTTTCGAGATTTTCTTCTTTGCATGGTGGTTGGGAGGAAAAAGAAGGAGAGCAGAGCGCGGCGCCCGAATCGTGAGTCAGGTGGGTAACTGCCATTTCTGGTTGCCTCATACAACAATACTGTCGCACTAGAACTTTACACATACGCTACAAATACAACACAATGTGGGAACTCGCTAATAGATTTGATTTTTTATACAGTCCAAGAACAACACAATCCGTTATCTCACACATTATTCGCGCTGTAATATGACCATCAATCCCATGACACCCAGAAGTACTGTTTTCAACCACGGGTGCTCGCTGAGCATGATGGTCACATATCCAACTCCGGGTACATAGCCCCGTACACTGCCTACGATATCTTCCTGGCGATCGAGGTAGTCCTGTCCACGGGCATCTAGATCGACATTAGTATCGCTTGTCTCCCTCTTCAAACTAGATGGGATCGATGGAGAACATACATAGCTCGGTGTCATCGGCCGGGTTGTTGTCTCCCTTGGTGAGCAGTTTTTGCGACGGCGTGACGGTGATGGTTTTGGGTTCAGAACTGCACATGCCAAGTCAGCTATTTTCATATAGAACGCCATGCACATGAAAGAACAGTCTCTATTCTTACCGAGCCTTCTTGGTCTTCAACTTAAGGTCCTCCTCTGTGAACGATCGAACAACGCGATGCACAATTGGGATATCTTTGCCTATAAACGATGAGACACCAGCAAGAGCAGACCGATATTTTATTTCATACCCTTCACATTGTATACTACGATCTCCCCAACCTCTGCCCGTTCACTTCTGTTCCAAAGAAATAGCAAATCTCCACGTTGAAAAGCGGGCTCCATAGACCCGGACAAAACCACCACAATGGGGCTACTGGAGTTTGTCGCTATCGATAATCCCTTCCATAGCATGAACGCCGTAGAGAGAACTAGTGCGAAGTTCAGGACTTGGGCGAGCGATTGTCGCGCATTGGACAGGTTACCGCCGAGAGCTGACAGCATGGTGAGGGAGAATTCGTGGACGGTCTCGTCAGAATGGCGATATTCTCACAATATTTGCAGGCGATTAATGTGTTCACAGTGACGAATATATATTCCTAGAAGTAATAGCAAGGCACTGGTTGCTGCTGGGTGACTGGATGTGATAAACAACATGCAAAGTTGAGAGGTGTCCCTTCCCTTGCGGCGAACCAGCGAAGCTCCGGCGCTCCACTTGGCCGGAGTCAGCCAATTAAGTCAGCCTACGAGAGCTTCTCTATGCAATGGCCATCAATTGATGCTTTCATTCCTAAATACTACTAATAATACGGTGTGATAAGGCATGCTATGCCGAATTTTCAATGACTGACCTCAGTAATGTATGAAAAGAATATCCCCAGAAAATCCACCTCAACTCCTCCCACACTGGTACTCCTCCAGTTACTCATCCTCCGCAATTTCGTCTCCCGCTGGTTTCTCTTTTGGAGAGCGCTTCTGATCCATAGAGTGCTACACCCCTTCATCACTCTCTTTCGATTGCGGAGTATTTCCCAGGCACTCTTGACTCATCAATTCGTCTTCCAGTTCACCGAAAGGCTCGATATCGTCGACGCACAATGCCGCACGGCTTTTCAAGATAGCTGCCTGGATTCGTGGGTAGCTTTTTAAGAAGATAGTAAATGGTTTCGTGTGCGTAGTGACCAACACCATGAAAAGCCCTCCCAAAAAGTCGACAGCCCACTGCAGCAACGGGTCTTTGGCGTCTCCCGGTGTTTCGTACGCAGAGGCATACACCTTTTCGGCAACGAAGTCAATGGTTTTGAGAAATGAGAGAATTTGGGGCTTGCCACTGTACATATTCCATGCCACTTGCAGCTTTTTAACAATCGCCTTTTTCATCGCGTAGAGGCCGAACACAGTGGCTATCTCGTAGGTTTTGCCGAGATTATGGATGAATTCATTGAGGTGATTCTCGTCTTGGAAATTGCGAAGTACATATGTCTTCTCGATGCCTAGAACGTCCCCTAGGATGTGTTCACCTTGCGGTTCCCTCACTAGCTCCATATCGGAATCAACAGAGTCTTGGGTGAGAAAAGTTACAATTGGCTCAAAGCTCGCCGAATCCATTTCGAGGAGCATCGGGTGCATGACGAATGGAGGACTTCCTCGGAAATTCATATTCTCCTGGAGGAAGGATGAGTTGCTGATAGCATCGCCGGTGAGCTGGAACACCTTGCGGCCCTGAGCCTCGCCAACATAGACGTTGACTATTTCGGCGCCATCTAGTGTTACCGGTGGTGTCAATTTAACCCGCTTTGCGACTGGTGTTTCATCCCGGGTTTCGACATCATCATCATCATCATCTGAGGGGATCTCCACATTCTGAATTTCTTCAGCCAAAGGCATAACCAAGTATGGCTCTCTATTCTGAAGGCCCTTTTCTGCGCGCTCCTTTTTCGCCATTGCAATCCAAAATTTCAACGACTTTCCCTGAGAGGCCAACTCATGGAGGCTCTGGTATAACTTCCCATCCTCGGCGCCAGGCATAACACAGTCACTTGGCGGGTCCTCCAGAACAGGGAAAATGTATTTTTTTTCGATCCATGCACTAGTATAGCGTGTAATCAGCATAAAAATCAACAATTGAGGCCAGCCCGCCCATATAATGTTGTACGCCAAGGTGACCTCCCATATAAGATTTTCGCTGGTATTCTGGGGTTTCAACTTACCAGCAGTTTTTGCCTGGTATGTAGAACATGTGCAAACGCTTGTCGTCTGGTGTACTGCGGTATGAGTTTTTGGGGGATTGCTAGTCATTTGTTTTGGAGCGATGTCGTGAGGCACATGAACCCCGATCCATAATTCTCTCTTGTTCTTGCCGCGGTTGAGCCAGTTCACCACGTATTCCTGGCCATGGATAAGGTCCGTTGAGGGGTCAATTGGGCGCACGCCAGCGGTGAGACGTGGAGCCATGCTGAGATATAAGTGACCTTGGCTGTACTATGAATCGAGGCGAGCAAGGGTGTCATAGAGTTCTGGAAACGGGTGCTTAGTGAGAGATTGGAGTAAAAAGATGGATAGTATAAGAAAAAGTACTTAGAAGGTAAACTTGAGAAAGTGAAGACAAGCTCGAGATGTATTTAGTTGTTGAAGAGGAATGAGTTTGGTGGAGGATTTGAAGTTTTCAATGATTTTATAGATCCATTGAATGAGAGAATCGGTAGTGTGATGGAGGATTGATGGTAGATTTTTGGTTAGGCTCTTTTGAAACCTATTAACAAAAAGTGTACGATTGAGGGTATGGGAGGAAGGCGGGAAGAAGATGGAAGGTGATGATGGAAGATGTTACTGAGGGTGATATCGATCTGGCTAGGAAATATACATTAGTAGAAAAAGGAATGCCCCGGCTTGTTACCATGAAGTTGCCAGTTTAGAAAGCAAAGGAGGAAGATAAAGAATACGAATTCAAATGACAGGTGGGATTTAATATGAGTTGGTTAGCTCACTGATCAATGAGTTGAGAGAGTTGAGGAGAGAGTTGAAGAGAGGCTTGGTAAGGAACTTCGTGTGAGAGTTGGTGGATGGGTTAATGAGGAGGTTAGGTTTGGTGAGAGTCTAAATTTCAGGTTCAGAAAAGTGAGGTGGCCGAATTCTCTCATTTCCTATAGCTTCAATCATATGCTCTCAGAGCTTCAGAGTATCATACATAGTAGACACCTCCACTCAAGACAAGTCGCGAGGCGGTATTCAATCTAGTGTTCAAAACAAGCAAATTCAAAGGCAAACATAAAACCGAAAAGTTGCAGACTTGCATGTACAGTCCTCCCAGAGGACTCAGTAGATAGCGAAATCAACGGATATTGTTCAGGCAAACTGTTCACAAACGTCAAGGAAAACAAGGTTACTTCGGTTATTAAAATGGAGTAGGGTGGTTTGGTTCTCGTGAACCATAAATTGGCGGCCAACCTCGATCGAAAAGAGTGGTGTCGCGTAAGAGCAAATACCCTCGGGTCTTGGTTATCCTGCCATTCTGGTTATGAGACCCATCCTCTGCATTTATAATACAAATCCAAGATGCTCGATTGTAGAGCTAGGAGCAAATCTCATCTCTAGATGAACTTGGGTGATCGGCTATTGCTATACGAAAGTCAGCGTCATGCCTGCGTGACAAAGATAGTAAAGGAATGTAGTCAAAATAGCTTGCTGACATACCCAATTTCCACAATATCATCAATATGATTGCTCATCGCTACAAACAAATCGAAAAACAATTTACCTCCAATTTCCATCTCATTCTGCATTGTTCCGCTTCTTTTGAACGTTTTGCGACTTCTGATAATCAAAGCCAAGTAATGGGCGCGGAGCCGTGAGTCGGTGTCGGGTGTGTGTTCGTACGCAAACCGTGCAGATCGCAAGATCACGTCGACTGGAATTCCGCTTTGCAGGCCCTGCTTCCGAAGAGCAAGCCGCTTCAGCTCCTCCAAGCCGTACTTTTCGGCAGCGCAGTAGATGACGGTATCCCGAAGGAGCTCGCCACCCACACCCGAATGAAACATCGTAGCCTCGCTCGAACCGCGGCCACCGATTTTATGGACGTCCTGAGCGTTCTCGAGTTCCCAAGAATTACGGCGTTTGTTATGTAACAGACGAGGAAAGTAATCGCCTTTGTAGAGATACTCGAGAATACAGGACAGAATTTCCGGTTCTCTGTGTCGTATTAGGGCAAGTTATAAAGGTAAACTGTAATAAACCTACTCATCAGGAAGGTCCACCTTCTTTGCGCTGGATTCAAGGAACTGGTCCTTTAAGGCAGCTTCAAAATAGGGGGAACGTGAAAGGACATCTTCATGCGCAGCGAAAAGACGCTGTTCATGGCCTACGAGCAAAGTCACTATCGGGCTAGTGATAGGGCTACGCAACCGTTAACGTTGGAAATGGCCCATGTTGAGAAGGGTAAGTGACATACCTTCCCATAGGCGGGCTGTCCAATGACTCCTCCATCTTCACCACAGTCTTGTCGCGGTAGGTCTTCTTGGCAGGTCTGACAGCCTTGCCCACCCGATCCTTCGAAGAAAAAGAGCGTTTGAACATGGCGTTCGTTTTCCGGCGTTTACGAAGATCTAGCGAGCGACAAACAATAGGCAGGCGGTGAAAGAAAGGCAGAAGAACCCGGGTATAAGAAAGAGCGTATGGGTTGATCGGAAGGTTGGGAGGGGGTGACGCTGCTTGATCATGCATAGAATTGGGGGAGCCCTGGAAGCCTCGTCAGAAGGATGACTCGTCGCAGTGCTTCGATGAACCGAAACAAAGGAACAAATCAAAATCCCGAGCGAGACTCTGCACACGCAATTCCGAAGCAAGGCCCAGAAAAGCACGCGCGGTGGTGTCAGCGGTCGACTCTCCGAAGCGTGAGGAAGGAAAGAAGAGAGAGAAGAGAAGAGGGAAGCGACATTGCGGTTGATACAGCAGGCTGCCGTCGCCGATCCGGTCACATGATCGAGACGCGGGCTGTGACAGGAGCGTCTGGCCAACTACGCTGAGCCTGCGGCACGATTTTGCGCGGGCTTGCTGTTTGTGGCATGGAGCGCTAAGCTCAGCCTGATATTCAAGTGTTTTGGTGGTGCGATTGGCGTGCCTCTCGTGAATCAGCGTTATCGCCGGTCGTGATAGGCGGGCCGTGGCACTTGGCTGCGGGGGGGCTCGACTGGGGTCGCCGCAGAACGGGGCAGCCAATGGTGCAGCTTAATTTCCACGTATCACTACTGTATGAGTTAAAATGTATCTTGGTTTACAGGGCAGTCCGGCGATTATAAAGAGCACAAGCAGTCAATTGTTTCGCAACAGCTCGTCAGTAACTATCAACTCTGCCTCCCCTCTTCGCTCCTCACGTTCGCATTCCTTCTCACGCTTTGCATATTCCCAACTGGACCAAGTCCCCAATCAGCACCCCAGAGTCAAGAAACATCAATCAAGGAAGAATTTTCGGTATTGAAAGCAAGATGATACTGCAAAGAAACGGCTCGGTATATGTCAAACCTTAGGTCGGTCGGCTTTTTGAAGCCGGTTGATGTACGCAGCTTGTTTTTTGCGAGTTGCAAGCAACCTAGCCGTCTTCAAGTCGGGGTGTTTTTGCTTCTCAGGCACCATAGGCGCGGTACCACTGCGTAATTCTTCGTAATGCTTACGGCAGGCTTCCCCGGAATACATGGCGACTGGTTCGTACCTCTGGATATACTCTGCTACCAAATCCCACTTGCGCTTTTCCAGAGACCGCCGCTCCTTGTTGATCTCGGTTGTAGCAAAAGCATATGCCTTTGGAAGTAGTGATTCCTAGAATTGACTTTATTAGTTTCTGTTGATTTTATGAGCCCAGGATTGAGGTGCCACTAACCTCTGACTCGAACCACACTGCATCCCCCTTCACCAGGCGTTTGTCGTTATCTTGAGTGATAAAACGGCGCATACGAGAGAACCGAGTTCCGATTGTCTTCGTGCTATAGTTGATGCGATTTTCGGACCCGAATTTCTTATGGATTTCACGCTCTGTCCACTTGGCTAGCTTCAAGTGAAAAAGTAACCTGTCATCTTCGTCCATTTCCTCTACAGCGCACACCCTCTTGCCTTTTCCGCCGACTGGCGTACAACCCACAACCACACGTTCCCCAATCTGAGGTCTTCCAGTTGTCGATGTAGTTGAATTGTTTATTCCATCCGGGTTGGCATTTTCAGCGTTGGAGCTCATAAACTATCCAAAGAAAGCCAATTTAGCCTCTGTCTAACTGATACTAAGTGACGGAAGCTTACCTCTGGAGAATTGTCCTCCAAATTCCATTCTTCATCAGAGTCTGCAGTCTTAGTATCGCATGGGATAACTTTATTGTTTAGACAATCAACCACTGCAAGCGTCAGGTCTTAACCAAGTCAGCCAAGTCATTAACAAATAAAATACTGTAGAGGCTTGACAGTAAGCGACATGAACACAAAAGCCTCAATTCCACATACCGCCTTGGTAGAGAGTATCGCTTAATCGCTCATGGCTGAAATATGGTGGCATAAAGCGCGGATTTTGGCGACATTGAATGATCATTTCATCATTGATCTTAACGCGATTGGCGAGATGAATCTCTTTCTTAGGGGGTCGCCTCCGAACCATCTTGATTCAGTGAGAATTAGAATCCAGATTGAGTTCTATCAAGTTGTTTGTAAATCGCTGAAGTATAAGCGGAGGTCAGTCACTTCAAAGCCGCATTAGGATGTGGCAACATCCATTGAATATATTCTCACCTTGGTCGCTTTGCGCAGGATGACTTAATAATAAGTCTCGGCTGTAGAAGTGATAGTAGGGCGAGAAGATGATGAGAAGTAGGTAAGACAGTAAGATAGTGAGAAGACAAGGATCTTACTCAAGGCAATATTTAAAAGAGAGGTACCCTGTTCATACATAATAAGTGTGTATGTGAAGGGCTCCGGTTCACGAGGCGACCTTGAAAGTGAGGCAAGCAATGTTCCATGTATATAGAAAAGAAATATAATATATTCAATCCAAGCCTCTGATTGGCCCATTGATATAAAGACGCACTGATAGCTGTGGCTTGACAGACTCCACCCAGTCCAAAAGTATGATTGGATATTCCTGCATAGAGCATTAGTGTGGCGAATTTCCCCGGCCCCGCCGCACGTGTGGCTGTGTTATGGTCCGTGCGGTGTGCAGCCTGATATCATCATCGCAAAGCTCGGAGCTGTTACTTGTTATATCTTCCGCCACAGCTGATCTGCTGATGAGATGATGATTTTATGATATATTCATGCCTAATACCCTTTCCTTCATTATCTGTCGTCTCTGATTCCCCGCGCGATCACGACATAACCACCCACCATGACTCTCCAATATATTAGCAGTGTGGCGTCAAAGGCCAGCCCGTGGAGCTCCAAGCCGGTCCTGACAGACGAAGATGAGGCCTTTCTACAACGCGTTATTTCCAACTCGGAGGAAAACGACCGGATCGAAAAATCTAATCCCGTGGGAAAAGATGCACAGACTGCTTTAATGGACGGAGCACAAAACGTCCCTCTGCCGACCTCGCCTCAAGATGAACTCGTCTCGGATCTTGCCGAGACACCACGCACGGAAATTTCCAAGGAAAAGGAAGCGCCAAACCCTGCCCCAGCCTCAGCATCTGATACCAAAAAGAAGAGTCGACCATGGAGTACTTGGCTGAAGCGGGATGCAAAGAAGGTAATGACTAATCATCCTTTGTCATCTGGATAGAAGAATATGCTGATCACATCATTATACAGACCAAGAAAGAGCAAAAAGAAACAATAGTAGCCGACCCAAAAGACATAGCAACCACCCCTAAGACTGTCGAAGGCGATCCCGTCAGCGACGATGAACAAAAGCAGGAACAAGAAGATCTGGCCACCATTCTCGAGCGTCTCAACCTAGCAGCTGAGAACAATCGCGTTGTTTCAATTGGTGACGAAACTCAGGAGCTGCTTCAGAAATTTAAACTCATCTTCAAGGATATAGTGACTGGTGTCCCTACAGCATATCACGATCTCGAATTGCTCCTAACCAACGGTGACAAGCAGCTCAAAGATGCATTTGGACACCTGCCCGGCTTCTTGAGGAAACTCGTTGAGCAACTCCCAGAGAAGTTCAGCGAGCACCTCGGGCCTGAATTGATGGCTGCAGCTAGCGAGAGGCCTTCACAAAGTGGGATCAATATGGAAAATGCAGGCAAGGCTGCTGCAGCCGCTCAGAAGATGCGGTTCAAAATCCCGAATGTCAAGGAGCTTGTTGGAAAACCGACCGCACTGGTGGGAATGCTCCGATCTATTACCGCGTTCCTTCGAGCTCGGTTCCCAGCAGTTCTGGGAGTAAATGTGCTGTGGTCTCTGGCTCTGTTCAGTAAGTCAACTCTTCGAGATACTAACCGAAATCATTTCTGACAACTTCCTCTACTTCTATAGTTGTTCTACTTGTATTGTGGTACTGCCATAAACGTGGAAAAGAAGTACGACTGGCCAACGAGCGTCTCGTAACCGAGGCAGAAGTAGCCAAAATGAACCAAGAATACAATCAACACATTCGTCCCACCGAAACGTTGAGCACTACTGCACCTAGAGACGCTCCGATTTCAGATGTTCGAGAGGGCGTCGAACAAGTCCAAAAAGCGCGAGAAGACTCTACCAACTCCGCTGGAGAAACAGCACAGTCGCCAACACCTCAAGAACCAACAACCATCCCGGCAGCCCAGTCTGCTGCTGCCAAGCCCGAAGCCTCTGGGGGCAGCAAGCCTGACACTCGTCGCTTTTCTCTCTTCCGATCATTTTCGAAGCGGGCGAACCATACCGACAATAATGTTCAACCGTATCCAGGAACATGATCTCTTTTTTTAGTCGATAAGTTAGTATTAAATGTGGCGTATGCATCTGTCGACCTAATGACCCTGAATTTACGAGCCTGCTGCTAGTTAAAATTTTGAAATAGTTTTGAGACTACATACATATTAATATATATTTTCATCTCACCTTCCTTCATTCATATACATCGATCTCAATTATATAACTGAACATAAATATGTATTATCACTATGTGAGAGCTCATTTTCTCGTTGAGATATCGAGCAGCTTAAAGCAAATACAACCACCACTTCTTGGCTATTGGGGTGATGGCGAATATGGGAGTTAAGGGCTTGTAGTGGTCATCTGACCGGCGGCTGCCTGATTTTGCAGGTGTCATCACCTGGGAACTACAAGGCTGAATTCTTCTCGACGGGACTTCGTCTTGAGAGATAGAGCACACGTTACCAATTACCATGTTTGCACCTGAAACTTGCCACCTGGTTGATCGTCAATCATACAACGGCAGGGAAAAAATGGGTTGCCCGCAAGTTCTTCCCGATGCATAGTCATTGGACTGTTTAGTATTGCCCATTGGGCCGCTAATGCCCTAGCGGCTCGCCGGAACCAAGCGAGCAGGGCGGGCTGCACCCCACAATGACTGCAAAATACTTCAAAATTCTGAAACCTTTTCCTAAATGATCCTAACGGCGAAGATGCAACCGCGGCAATACCGCCATCATATAGTCCTGATTGGCCAATTGCTGCGCAAATTCCCAAATTAGCAGTTAAAAGAGATTTCTGGCAACAGTTTCAAATAATAAGCTCGCTCCTTCGTCCGCCTCATTTTGTGACGCGTTCGTTTCTTTCATAGGCTGCGGAGCGTCGCATTTTGCTGGACATTCGATGAGTGGGACCTTGACCGCCACAGGCTGCGTAGAACATGATATTTTTTCTCTCCTCTTGATCATGCGCTTCCGGTCGCAGCCGCCGTCGAGCCGTCGAAACCATCGAGGCAATCATGATTATGAAGGAGAAACCACACTGACTCTAGAGTCATAGTCCTCCTTGAAGGAAGCGGCGGGACTCCGCGATTTGGAGGAGATTTTCACATGATTGGTTGGATGTGACATGTTATGATTCATCGGTTTGAGCATTACCGACTAAAAAGGCAATGAGTCTACGATATGACATAACCACTTAATAACAGCCAGCATAATAAAGCTTATAATGGGTATACCATATTGGAGCGACATTCTCGAGTCTGCCTGATTATGAGTCACCACAAGAAAGCCTTGCTCTTCTATTTTTGCAGCCTTCAGCAGAGCCATAGCTTTCAAAGAGGTTATTATTAGATACCGAGAAGTCAGACTGTTTGTTTTGGAGACGGATTAGTGGCAGCCTGGTGACTGCGTGGAAGATATTCGCCCACTGTGGAGATGGGTGGAATTGTCAGATGGCGTTCGAAGCACGGGCTGGACTGCAAGAGCAGTTTAGTGCACTGTCCACAGCATACCCATTCGCATGATGATCACTCAATCCCACTACTTACTCACTTAGTACGTACTATGTTGAGCGCCGTGGCTTTGATCTCAGCATGGCGCTAGACACATACCTACATAGATACGTGTAAAGTTGGCGGCTCGTAGAACGCATGTACTTGTAGTTACTCTGCGCTGGCAGCTGTCCCAACCGCATTTCACGTCCAGCTCGAGGAATGATGGCAAACCCCGCGGCAGGCTGTGACTACCGGCATATTGTCTGCCACTCACTAGCCCGCAGTCGCAGGTGAGCATCCGGTCCTGCGTCGTCCGACGATTGCTCGAGACATGCCAGATTCACCATAACAGCGACGATACTGACGACAAGAATGATGATGGTGATGAGGCAGAGGATAATAATAATAATATTGAATAACGAGCCATGGGAAATATGGCCCGAATCGATAACGGGCGCTCACTGGGCGGCGAAAAATGCGGTGAGCTGCTGCGGCCAATCATGGCGCGGTGCCTGCAGCGGCGCCAACCCCACCTTCCTGCAGCGCGCGCACTAGGCCGAAAATATAGGTGGAAAAGCGGGGCGCGCCTTGCAGCAGCTGAGCCAATCGAGGGCCGCCCCGATCAGCGTCCGGATTACCGCCTGTCTGCTTTTTTTTCCCTGCCCGCTCTGCGCTGACCTCCTCCCTCTTTCCCTTCTCTCTTCCTCTCTCTGCCAACACCGCAGCACCACAACCACTTTTATCCCTATCCCCAGTTTATTGAGAATTGCCAGTCTCCTTCACCCATTCCCAGATATCGTCGACAGAAAAATACCGCCACGATGGCATTCGCTGGGCTGTAAATCCCCTGCTGGAGAGGGCGGCTGTGACCCCCCTCTCCAGTCCAGTCAGCTCTGCGAAGAATTTCAATCGACCTTTGACGATATCTGCTTCCTCTTTTGACGCTTGCATTGGCACGTCGAAATTGCCCCCCCGAGAGTTATCACGGAAAAGACACTTTGTACGTCCATCGAGACTGGAGAGTGTTTTCCTGCATCGATCGACCCAACACCGCCCTCCCCCTTCCCCTCTCTATTTTGGACTATCAACTTTGAACTCTCCCGACTTCCTAACAGTTCAATTACGCACACTTGACCAACACCTCTACCACGAACGCTACTCTGATCCGATATTAGCCCAAACCAGCCGTGAAAATGCCGAAAAGCAATTCTCAATCGCCGAAGACGGCCGGCAAGTACCGTCGAGCTGACATGACACCACTAAATGGTGCCCGAAATAAGGGCCTTAAACATCCTGCGGGCAAAAAGGCTGCCACATTGAATGCCCTCAACACAAACAGAAAGCGCAAACCGTCGCTTTCTTCGATATCTACAATATCATCACTATCTGGGTTCGAAGAGAGCGACCAAGATGAAGCAGACTCGGAAGCGAGCTCAGATGATGATGATGAGTCTGCTCATCGTACCCCGTCTTACGGAGGCAAGAGCCACAGGGGCCGTAAGGCGGGGTCAACACTCTCATCGTCCCCCCTGTCCATCAAAAAGAGGAAGCTGTCCTACGATGAAGGCTACGATGGCCAGCAGAGCAGTGTCGGTGACTCGGACAGCGACTATGCCGCTGTTGATGAAATCTCAGATGATGACGAAGAAGTGGATGTCGAAAGGCTAGAGGAGAAAATGATACGCGAGTCTGAGGATGAGAACAAATCTCTCACTACCTCCGACGCTCTTGATCCCAGTCAATGGCATGGTCTCGGTAGCTTTGATGACCACATCCTTTTCTCTGCCGAGCCCTTCCTCGAGGATCAGCTGTACAGTGCTATGGAGACCTTTGGCGATACTGACCTGACCAGCGAAGCCGTCGAAACTCCAGTGCAAAGACACGTACATTTTATTGTGGAAGAGGATTCCGACTCTTCCAGTGACAGCCCGGATGGCAGCACTGACGATGAAATTCCAAGTGATTTCTTGCAGCAAGACAGCCTGGATCCTACTCTTCGTCGTATGATTGACAACGACAATGATGGTAGTAACAACCAGCGTTACAATGACATTTTCGGAGAGTCGGATTTCAAACACCCGGCTAACATCTATCATGTCGAGTCGGACGCCGTCTCAGAAGACGGCTCCAGTGGCTATGAGAGTATGATTTTCCCGTCTGTGGCTATTTCACCGCTTCTCTAACTAACACATTCTAGCCGACGACGGTGAAACCACAGATGAAGATCTTCCCCCACCAGCTACCATTACCCATCCTCGGTCTATTCTACGAAGAGATTCAACTACTTCTCTCACCGCAACTGGAGACTCTATAAGCCAACCCCCCAACCCTCCCCGTCGTCGTGGACCAATTATGGGCACATTTATTGCTGATCCAAAGAAGCCAGTCGCCCTTGTCGACTGCACTGGAAAACACCTCGTAATCATTCCGGCATATGCCTCTTCTCGTCACGACTGGTTGGATTCTGCAACCAACAGCATGTGTGGTACTGCCCACAATAGCCCGCGGGCTACCACAATGCATTTAGTTGAGGAAAGTGACACTGATGCGCTGACTTCACCGAACGGGCTAGAATTGAACCCTATGTTGAACTCGGGCAACCTGATGATGACAGCCTTGGGAAATGACGCCACTCCTGGTGGCCAAGTTATGGGACCACCTGAAGCATTCTATGCTACTCAAACATTCGGTGGTGATAGCTCGTATGAGGACGAAGACGACGAGGATGATGAGGCTATGCTGAATGTTGATGACTTTATCGATTTTGGCAATGGATCCTCGGACGAAGAGGAAGAAATCAATAAGAACTCGGATGATGAAGTTGTCGCCACATCCCCTATGGTGGCTTCCTCGGTTCAAGATATGACCACGCCAACACCAAACAGGGACAATAAATCTAACAGTGCCGAACAATTCCTCAATCATCTCGATAAAGGCATTGTGACCGCCTTTCGTCGTAACAACACTCGCTACCAAACTCTAATCCGCCTCCCTCAGCATCGTGAATTCATGCCTGCTAACTCACCATCCCGAGTTGCCAGCGTTTTCCGACACTCGAAATATGCTGATCCCCGCACTCCACCTCGGAAACGCAAGGCGAGTAACTACGCTGGTGGTGAAGCAGTGCGTCGTAAACTACTAGATGGTCATCGTCGCAATCAGCTTTCTTTCTAAACATCTCTTTTCTTACTACAAAGTAATTGCTCAGTGTCATTGAATCGATACTGAAGTCTACTGTGTGATGTCTAACATTCAACCATGTCTTAATAAATGATGTGAATCTTTTTGACATAGACATGAGCGGACAAGGGGCAAGGCGCACCGGCGCAACTGCGAGCGAGGTCTTGTGATCGTTGGTCTAAACAGTCTATACTGCCTTTACTGCGTGACGGCCGTAACGATTTTACTCAGCATGAATTATTGGTGGTCGATAATGGATCTTGACGACCGAAGACGACCGAAAAGTTTCTTATGTATTTGAATGTGTTTGATGAACTGTGGGATTTGTTGATACCTTGGAGTATGATGCGTTAGTATTTGAATGAACATACTTGCATACTTTGAATTTTCCAACACCTGTTGCTCGCTGTAGATGCGTCGGAAGGATTACCACATACGTAGGAGAAATAATCAAAGTAGGGGCAGTAACGTAATGGTCATTATTCTCGACATCAGGTGCGCATTGCTGACAATGCGTTATGGCCAGAAAATGGGCAGTATATGATTGATTGGCAGGCACATGGGTGGTATAGGATTCCGCATATTAAGGACAGGGGCCAGGCCACCAAGGGCCTGCCGCCTTACCTGCAAACACCTTGTTGTCTGCCATACCACAATCCCTGTCAGAATACCCCGGTTCATACAGTTGAATTGCTGATCACCCAACAGTGGGGCCTAGCACTGAGATTGCACTTTGCGGAAAATATTCCTATGCACATGCACATTCATATTGCTAAAACGAAAAGCCAATGTCGAAATGCTACAGATGATACAAACACGGGACGTCGGCCGAGGATAGGTGGCAAGTCCCGAGCTCCAAGCATGTACCAGATGTGCAAAACAATGATTTAAGTGCTGTGAAAGCGACGTTTAGAACCGTTCCCCCTACACAGCCACCCCCGGGCGAGATCCGGTGCAGACTATGCAGCTCAGCGTCACAGAATCAGAGTCTCGACCGCGGCCTAATTTTAGGTCGAGGTTGCGGATGTGAACCTAGGCTAGGCAGTTATCCCGATTCCCGAGTCTTTTGCTTAACAGCACGTATTATACGTGACTGGTAGGCTTAACAACCTGGTAGTTGCAGACTACAGGTGATAGGTCCGATGCAGCCAAGAAAGGCAGCGGCATAGCATTGGGCTGTCTTTTCCGTTCATCACACCGCAAATTGATCGGTCTCGAGTAATGCAAGAAGACGCTTTTGAGATTAGTTCTTTGTTTAATTTGTATCATCTAACTAAACATACTCGTTCATGGAACGCAGGAGTCAACATTCGAATTAAATTATCATCCCTCGTTGGTTGGTTGGCTCCTTAGCCCGTTAGTGACCGAAGGCTAACGCTCCTTGGACCTTGGCTGACAACTGACACAATCCACGTTTCACGTCCAGCACTTTCTCGGCACTAATGCGAGCCTATCGCTAGCGCTACAGCAAATCCGTGCTTAGCTCTTCATTATGCGCATTACTCAAAAGCTCGGCGGTTGGTCGTCCACAACATAGGATATTACTGTTTGGCCACTTCAAAACTGGGCCGACATTTGTCAAGAAAAAAAAAAAAGAAAAAAATGGAAAGAGATCGAAACATAATCGAGAAAATGACCGTGGTCAAATCCCAGTCAACATACCAGCGAATCAATGGTTCAGTTAGCACGTTGCGGAGGGAGCAAATCTATGAGTTCAAGCCCTTTGAAGGCCCCCTCTTACAGTGTATTGTCCTCACCCGCAACCGCAGCCCCTGTGGCGTTCAATAGAGCGCCGCCTCCCCAACTCTTCCTTTGCATTTCCCCTGATGACTTGAACCTGATCATCAGGTACGAGGTACTAACGTAGTATTGTGGCGGCCAGACGGCAGACGCCAAACCTGGTTCCGGATGTTGCGGCTGCCTAACTTTCCCTATTCGGCTAACCCTGACCACCTTATTTGGCAGTACAACGCGGGAAAGAGTTTTAGCCTTGTGCTTTTAGCCTCTTCTTGGTTCGATGAAAACCTGTTCCTGCGCTAATGCCTATGTTAAGCCGTTCTGAGAGCAAGGATCCCTGTCCCGAAACAGCCTTGCTTATAACTCTTTCTTCCTGAAGATCGAAGTCATTGGACCGTTTGTTTTTGGTTCCTCCAAGCCGGCCTCAGAATGTCTTACCTTTGAGGACTGCTCTAGCTGATAGGTTCCAACATACTCGACCCATAGCAGAACCGCATGACCGCCTCGACCACATGGGGCTGGGTAACGCTGACTTACTGGATGACTCCGTCCCTAGAGTTATCCTTCCATCAGGCCTGCTCGTACTCGTGGAAACATGTGTTGAAATACTTCGGACCTTAAAATGTCCCACCATCCCCCACCCCTTTCCTTCCTTTTCCTCTATCCACGTCGCCTTCTCTCTCTTTCATCTTGTTGGCTATTCGTTGCCACGTTCGTTCTAGCTACCAGCTTTGCTGAGACATTCGTTTCTTGAACACATTTACTTGGTGTTCATATACACTCACTCGCTAGATTCATATACGTTCACTTGGTCTATTTATATTGTCGTTTCTGGTAATCGATAATCTCTCGTTTCAATATGAAGGTCTCCTCAGTTGGAACTCTGGCCGCTTTCCTGGCCATCCAGCAGGCATCTGCCCACGTAAATGCTTCTCCTCTATCCCAAACTTACTGAATGCATGTTGACACTTTTGACAGTGGCCCAACCCATTCTGCCTCTTGGACCCGAGCAAGTGTGACTGCACATGCTCTGACGACCAATATACTGGCTGGGACTGGGGCAGTCTTTCCATTGGAGCGTCTTTCGACTCCTATGATGGTTACGACTTCTCTGGTTTCACTTGCTCTAGCAAACAGCGCAGTGGTAGCTGGGGAAAGCGAGACTCGGTTGGTTGGATCCATCTATCACCGTGTTACACCACTAATATACATGTAATGTAGGATAAATGCATCTCCGGCGACATTCACAAGTCTGGCCACGGTTCCGCTCCTAGCATCAGCTGTGGTGCCGACAAGAGCGGTTTCTCTATTGGCTCCTTCAGCGTTTTCACCGACGTCGAAGTTGACGTCCTTTTCAACTATGGCATGCCCGACGGTTCCACTTGCCAGCACACCTCCAAGTGCCACCCCGATGGTGGTGAAATTTCCAACGACGCTTGCGGTGGTGCAACCTCGGTTAGCTGGAGTATTCCAGACGACAGCGGCGTTGACTCCTGCGGCATTGGTATCTGGGGTATCAGCTTTGACTGCCCTCCCCCAGGTGGACATACCAGTGTTCCTGGCCACTCTTGGACTATCCCCCCCGTGACTATTCCTACTGACACAGCCACCTGGCCACCTCAATCAATTTCAATTCCAGGCGGGTCTGTCTCCGTGCCCACCGACACTGCTACTTGGCCCACTTACTCGGTCACCGTTCCTTCTTACTCAGTGCCTATCCCATCAAACACTGGAACTGATACTGTCCCAGCTGCTACTGGCACTGGCACTGGTACCCCCGGCGTTCCTTCACAGACTGTCCCGGGTGGTTCAGTGACTGCTATTCCTCCACCAGCCCAGACAAGCCCGCAGAGCTACATTACTTCTACCTTCTTCACTACGACAGAGGTTACTATTACTAGCTGCGCTCCAACTGTCACCAACTGCCCAGCTGCGTCGCACACTGTCATTACTCAGACCATCGCTGTTTCAACCACAATTTGCCCTGTCACTGCCACTGAGACTGGTCCTGCAGCCACTGCTACTGTACCAGCTGGTACCGCACCTGCCCCTGGCTCAGGATCTGCCCCTGGTAGTGGTCCTGCACCTACTGGTCCTGCACCAGCCGGTACCGCCCCTGCTCCTGGTTCAGGATCTGCCCCTGGTACTGGTCCTGCACCTACTGGCCCTGCACCAGCTGGTACCGCCCCTGCCCCTGGCTCAGGATCTGGCCCTGGCACCGTTCCTCAAGTCGTTCCTCCCACCATCGCCACCGGTGTCGGTGCAACGAACACAGTCACTGTCCAGCCTGGTGGCACCAGCGCCCCAGGTTCTCCCGGTTCTCCTGGTGCTCCCGGTGCTCCCGGTGTCTCCATTCCCGGAGGATCAAACGGTGCTACCACTCTTGCGACAACTGTCGGTGGTGCTGGGCCGACAGGTGGAGTGAAACCCACATCTACACATCCGTCAACATTGGCTCCTTTCACTAACGCCGCTGTTCCTGGCGCGACTGTCTCGAGCCAAGGATTCATGCTTGCCGGAGTCATGGGATTGCTTGCTGTTTTTGCCTAGACCGGAGTTTCAAGCAAGTAAGCGAAGAAGACTAGTGTTTAATTAATTATTTGATGTTTATAGTCCTGTTGGATTTATGTCGATCTTGTATGGATACGTGGAAAAAATCTGATACGCAAAGCTTGCTGATCAGGTCATGTTTATATCTAATTCTTACACTCCTTTACTCATATTTGAATGATATCACTAATTGACGAGTTTTATTTTTATTTTATTGAAAATTTTTTTTTCCTTCTATATGTAGTATCGGTGTTGTTCAATCAAACAACGTAAATAGGAGAAACACTGACGTTCGCCGGTAAAAACGATTTCCAGCAACCCAACATTTGTCCGCATTCACCTGCGCAGTTGATAGACATTTGACAGGCGGGGGTTTGAATGTCAGCACAATGGATATAAGCATCGGAATCCGCCGACACTAATCTTATCAACGTGGATCATGAAGCACGGGCCCAGACCTTCCCTCATCTTTGTTTATTCATCCTTTGGCTGAAATAGGCAGCCCCGAAAAGAAGAATATGTAAAAACAAGAGTACCCTCGGGGAGGTTAAATGACGATCCTATCATGATCCGCAATCTTATCACGAGGATCACTTTTCTTCTCATCAATCTCCTCATTAGCCCCGCCAACCGCAGACCTTGACTATACTCGGTAAGCCAATGTTACATTGTTTGGTCGCGACACTAATCTTCAGCATAACTAATTCGTAATGTCGTGAGCAAAAGCGAATCGTTTCGGCCTGATAATACTTTTAACCACTAAACTAGTTAAATAGTTGTGTAATTTATATCATGATAGGAAGGTAATTCTGTAGATTAAATAGCTGGACTCGACATTGATGTTACCTTGAATCGCGCCAAGTGCCGAAGGGGGTTGTTGATTTAGAGTAGAAAAGGGGGCTGTTTTCCCTTCTTATCCTATGTTCTTGTAGATCAGATTAAAAAGAAGAAAGATCATCAATATGCAGATCTCCAAGGTTCGTTAGGAAGAATTGAAAAAAAAAAAAAAAACAAAACTTCTTCTTCCTCCCGGTACTAACAGAGCTATCTAGCTCGCCGCAACGCTCTTCCTCCTCACCAGCAGTGCCTACGCTGCCACTCAGCTCAAGCAGGCCCGCGCTAACAGCTGTGTCGAGACATGCGGAAGCACCTGCTACTGGCAATCCGACATCGATGATGCGCTGAACAAGGGGTACTCGCTGTACAAATCCGGCGACACCGCGGACGACTACCCGCACACATACCGCGACGACGAAGGGTTTGATTTCCCCGTCGATGGCCCGTACCAGGAGTTTCCCATTCTGAGCTCCTACGAAGTTTTCACTGGTAGTGGAAGCCCAGGTGCTGATCGGGTGATTTTCAATGAGGATGGTGATTTTGCGGGATTGATTACCCATACTGGTGCGAGCAGTTACGATGGGTTTGTCGAGTGTACTAAGGATTAAGATACCTCAATTGGTTGATCCCGGAAAGAAAAGAAAAAAGAATATGATCTAAAAAAAGACTGATGACTAGTGTCTCTATGGCTAGTATTTGTATGGTTTTTTTTGGTGTCCATGACTTGGTCCGAAAATAAAAACGCGGTTACTAAAACAAACATACATGTTGCCCTAATTACTTGGAAATTTCCCGATTCAGGTTTACAAATGTACTGTTAGGTTTGGTGCCCCTTTGGAAAAAAAAAAAATGATATATTATACACTTTAGACTTATTTAATCTACATTTAAAATGCATTTCATATCATCGATTTGAATGCAAAGCCAGTTTCGCATAATTCAATGATAACAATGCTATCAACGGTTGTGTAAGATCATTAGCGAAACCTGAGCAGGCAAATGGAATTGTGCAGTTGCTGTCGCATCAGAGATCATGAGAACTCCAATGTTCACTGAGGATCCTGACAAATTGGCCTTAATAGACATGAGCAAAGACTCGGGCTCAGAACCCGAGGAGGTTGCTGAGGTTATGATTGGTTTGATTGAAAGAAATTCTATGTGAAAACGAGTTGGAGACTACAATCTGAGTAAGCAAATCATACACATCGAATGTGGAGTTGTTGTTGGAGTCACTCGAAGCTGTGTGAGAGTTGTGACACTGTATAACCACCCCATATCTACTGGTCCAGAGGCAGTAGCCTCAAATATTACCAAGCTAGAAAGGCAGGTATTCGACTTCTTGGAGAAAGGATGGTGTGATGTTGATTGGGATTATTTACTCCAGTACATATGGACGGTATAAGTAAGTCAACAGTTGAATGGTGGATAATAGAAACATGATATCATTAGTACAATAGGACAATAGGACAATCATTTGAAGGGCCATTGGATGATTCGATGGGAAATATGTACAAAAATGGTATTTGACTGCGTATATGTAAATGACGCCCGCGTCTTGCATAGTGATAAACATAGAGCTAAACGTCGCTATTGTTGGCATATACTAACTAATAATTCATATTACGACCCCCACTGTACGTGGTACAATTGTCAATAAAGTTAGCGCATAGAATGCGTCACCAGAAAAAGAAATTGCGGTAGCTGGAAGATGCATCTATGATGGTGTACCTTTACTACTGTTGACCACAGTGTGCAGTCATTGATAATTACTGCAATTACAGGTAAACAACCTACTCCGTACTATCAGGAATTAATCCAAATAGTTAAGGCATGGTCCAGGCGGTATCAATACTGGGGCCGCGTCAGGTTGAGGGTCGGTGCCAACCTCTTTCACTTTTAGACTCAGTAAATGCGGAGTAGTAGTATGCCCTAATCCACTAACTATCCCCAATACATACATCGAAGCCGATCGCTTTACCTAGTGTCAATTTCGGACCGCGTTAACCATTTGGCGTGCTGTGCGTTTTGTTCAGGCGGCCAATGATATTCCTCCAAAGCCCGAACATGCAGGAGTGCATCCGAGACGAACTTGGGCTACTTGACTATTTTGCCGAGTAATCTTGGCATAAGTAACCGACCAAAAATTGCCAGTAGCTTCTTGTACCTTTCGTGAAGTCGCTAGAATTAGGACCAGGCTGCACCTTTTCGAGACTCCTCCATTCTCTTTTTCCGTGATGCCACACACTAACACCAGGGTAGACTCTCCACGACTAGGACGAGAGCTCAGCAATGTTGGATTTTATCTCTGGGCTCGTGCTTTATTTCCAACCTGGGACACAAAATGTCGCCCCAGTCACTGAGCAGACGCGAAATGAGCGACTGCCGGAACTCTGGTTTGCTGATATCCCTCAGTGCACAGTACATACTCCATCTTCCATTGTCAACAATGTCTTATTTGAGGCTAATCTTACTGCGATTCTAGCTACAATGCATCTACCCATTGGCTCTCGAGTGTGGCTGCGCATACTCCGACTTTAAGTGCATTTGCGAATCTATTAGCGAAATAACAGAAGATGAAAAGGTCGAGTCCTGCATCTCCCTCTGTCCTCATAACCAGGACCAACGATGTAAGTATTCTTCTGCTATTTAAACCACATCCTGCTTTGTATTTCTCGATGCGCCTAATGTTAGAACATTCCTAGGGGCACCTTCTCGAATTCTTGACTTTTGTGGACTCTTAGACGTTGATGTTTATCTCCCGGAATATATGGGCCAATTTGCGGCTTTACACAGACGACAAGCTGTCGACAGTGGTTCTTTCTGGCCATCTTCAGTTGCGTCTTATAGTGATTATCCCGCTTCCGACCATTCTTACGAGCCTACTTCATCCTATAATGGGACAACGGTGATAACCACCTCGACCTCGACTGCAGTCGAACAAACCGCAACCAACACCAACACTGACACAGTAACGCACCTAATTACTTCAGCACCAACTTATACCAACCCATCTAGTAATAACGGATCAGGCGAGTCTCCGTCGTCGTCATCCTCAAGCGGCCTCTCCACGGGCGCAAAAGCTGGAATAGGAGTCGGCATACCGATAGTTGCCATAATTCTTGTTCTGGGCGTATTCTGGTTTTGGCGCCGACGAAAAGCGTCCCAAGACATTGGCAGCGACAATATCCCTGAAGTTGGCCAACAGCCAAAGAAGTTTGTGCCTTTTGGCGGCGTCGATGGCCGTTTCGAAGTCGAGGGAGGATCACTACCGGCGGAAGCTGATGGGAATCCCCTCAATGAAGCGGACAGTAGATCGATACTCCCCTCACCCGAAAATCAGAATCAGCTCACGACATCTCCAATCTATGAATTAAGTGGCAATTCAGCTGCTGTCGCGCCTCCTCCAGCAGCTCTCGTTCCCCAGAGACGGAATGAGTCGTTTAATGGACAGTATTCAGAGACATCTTCGACAAATATATCGCGAAAAGCAGTTGGATCTCATCCTCTCCAGGCAGGGTCAGAACTTGAGAGTGGTAAAGTATCGTCACCCAGTAAGCCGGCTAGTGATGTTGTTGATAACGTGCTCGCATCGCCTCGACTTTCCGAGAAAATCAATACTACAGAACAGTTAAACTCAGAGCAAAATGAGCAGGAGACAGAATCAAATGCACGCACGTCTGCTAGCATCGAACAGAATGACCTGCAGCAGCTAGAACAGGAAATTGCGCGTGTGCGAGCGCAAAGAGAGCGCCTACAACATTTGCAAATGTTAGAAGAGAGGGAAGAACAACTAAAGAGCCAAATCGCTGCGAGAAAAACAGCGGATTCGACAGAATAATATGGTTATGACCGGTGTTAAAGATATATCCATTGCTTATTTAGCCAATAATTTAATTTTTCACGTCTATGGAGTGAAAAAGTCATATATATGACCCACCAATCATAGATTATAATCATTTTAACATTTTTCAGGGAATTATATTAGGAATAATGAGGGGTGTTCAACACCCCAGAGCCGAGACCCGCGCATTTCCGCTCTCATCCGCACGAACCTTACATACATCCATGGACTATTTCAGATATTTATTGACCGAATGTGCATGTTCACGTTAATGTTTTCCATGATACCCTAACATCAGAAGCTCAGATCAAAGATACAATGAGCCGAATGTTAAATTTCGTCTCTCGCAGATCAGCCAAAATTGAGGAGCTACCTTTCATATCCGCCGAGGGGGTCAAGCAGCAGAATGGAAAAGAAAACTCTAAATTATGTACGAAAGAAACGAAATCCTGGGTAAACGGATCTATATAACAGGGAAAATAATAATTTTATATTTCCTAGGGCTTGTTATTGATGATATAGTCTATGATTGTTCGACCTTTGCCCGTCAACATCCTGGCGGGGAGGCGGTCCTTAAAAACTTCGGAGGTAAAGATTGCTCTTGTAAGTGGGCGGGAGACATCTTTTAGAAGAAGAATATCATTTACTGATGATATCTTCCCAAAAATTTTCTTGCATCAGGGCAATATCACAAAATCCATGGCATGAACTCCAACAAAGCAAACAAGTTGCTGCCCAAGCTCAGGATTGGCAGGACGAAAGCTGTGGAAAACCCATACGATAAGCCTAAAACAGACCATGTTGAATTCATAAGAGTTTCCACTGGATATAATTAAAATGTACATAGTGCTTTGCCGAACCACTCATTGTTTAAAGTATGGAAAACAAATATTTACTACCTAGTTTGGCCGATATCGTACTATAGAATAGTTATGGCCTAAAAGAATGCTGCTGAAAAATCCAGATCCCGTACAAAGATCTCCCAGTCCACCGGGTTTGCTAAATCAGATAGATTAACAAAACCGTTATTACCACCATTTTGCCAATTTGACGTCCCATTGTTATTATTATTATCTGTAGCAGTTCCTGGCTGCTGTACAACGATCTGCTGCTGCGATTGTTCCGGCTCAAAAGTTTCGCTTTCAAGAAGAGATCTTCTCAGAACATTAGCGTCCTGTTCCTTTCGATTTAAAGATTGTTGGACTAATAAGTCAATTGTCTCAAATGCTTGGCGAGACTTTAGAGTTCCAAAATGAACAGCAGCCTTTTTCAAAACTGTAATTGAATCGCGAACGTGGACTAGGGATTCTGGGCTGTCGATCGCCAACAGAATACAAGTAAATTGAAAGGGCACGTTGTTTACATGCCACCAGGGACGATTGGTATCAATACATCGGCGAGTGGCCTCCAGGCCTCGACGTCCAAGGTTTATCACGCGCTCAATTACTGTTTTATTGACACTCAAACCAAGAAGCTGAATTCGTCGGTAGATTGTAAATGCTAAGACGCTTTGAGAAAGAGTCAACGCATCAATTTTGAAATCATAGTTTTCCAATTGTTCCAGGTTGCTTTCCAGAATTGTAACTGGTATGTCTTTATTTGGATCCAGATTTTCTGAAATTTGGAACAAAGAGATCAGGGAAGAAGTATAGTCGTCCTCCTGGTCATCCGATTTAGGGACAGGGCTGGACTCCCCTTGAAGAATGATTCTTGATCTTCCATATTCGAAAGAGATCCATGTATTCAAGAGTTTTGCAATCCAAAAGATCCGTCTCTTTGTCTCAGTCTCCTTCTGCCCTAGTCCAGCTGATGGGGGAGTTGCGGTGTCAGCGTAAACCAATGACACGGTACCAGTCGCAGATTCCTGATGTAAGCCCATTGCTTCAGCAATATGAAGCGAAATGCAGCTTGTCATCCATGCGGCGTGGGGTGAACTACTACACCGCAAGTACAATGTACGCAGAAGCCAACCTGTCGCGTCTTGAAGGGACGGATTGGCGATGGTACCGGAGGTTTCAAGGATCTCTTTGGCGCATTCTACAAGATGGCGCTCCAGCTCCCAATTTGCTTGAGGTGAAAATAAGGAGCCCAATGCCGCAACACCACATAACACACTATCGTATTCATTGGTTACATGGGGGTCTTCCCATCGTCGCTGGGCAGTCGCATACAACGACTGTAGATCTAGAAAACCGTAGATCGGATGGACTTGTTTTGCGTATACATTGCATAGCTCCTTCCAGGCACTATGGGCTAGAATCCAGTTGATACTCTTCTCCGAGCGCCGGGGGTTATGGCGGATGCCCAAATTCCATCCTGGGCACTCTCCCCTTTGTGTGTTGTTTCTGGAGTTGAACTTCAGGCCGAGAGTACGCGGAAAGAGGACACCCGAGTTGGCTTCCATGTACCGCTCGCTAGAAGCTGAGGGAGTCGGATTATCATTGCCATGATTATTATCCTCATTATGATTGTTGGCATTAATCCCATTGTTACGAGGAGACCGCGACAGCAATTCTTGAGGCGACGTGCCCTGGTTACCTTGGTCACTAGCCTGGTGATATCGATTCTGATGTTGCCGCAATAATGCTGCTACTGCTTTTCTAGGCCGAGCTGGTTTATCATAATAACACTGATAGTCATATCGAGTGCAGGCAGCACACGGATTTCCTCCATCGCATTTTCGTTTGCGAATCTTGCATGGTGCGCAGGCAAGTCTAGTCCGGTTCCGACGTGCAACTCTTGCATTAACCGGCTGCTCTAGTGAGATATTACCATCCATGATTGTCTGTGACTGCGTATGATTAGTGAGGGGCGCGATCAAGGAAGACTGTCGTAGTTATCCGCTCATTCCAGTATGAGAAATAATTTTGCCTCTTCCGCTCTCTCCGATCCATCCGCCCTCTCCGCAAAGTGGGACACAATGGTCTTGGCATGTAGGTAACCCTAACCCTAACCCTGATGACCGTCCAGAGCATCTGTCGACACAGGAAGACCCAGTGTTATTCGGTTTGTTTTACTTAATTCATTGAAGATTTATGGTTAGGTTAGGTTTAATTCCTTTCTTCTTGCTGTCAATTTACTATTATCTCAGATCCGATTCCGAATACAATATATTCAAATTGGCGATTCAACTTATCCACAAAAGGGCATCAAAATCCAACAATTAAAGCAAGAGAAATATTCCAAGGTTCAAACTATATTGTATTCTCCAAAAGAACGACTAAGTAGAGTTCAAAAACTAAACCAATACTACAAGTTCTCTTTTTGTACAGCTCCTTCTATGATGTTCTTCTCACTTCAGAAATTCTTTGATAACTCTTGCCGTTGCCTCCAAATCCTCAAGAACATGCCAATGTCCCACGCCTTCCAGAATTTCTAATTTTCCATTTGGTAGACGGTCTTTGTACTTCTCTACTAGCTGCAATGGTGAGATCACGTCATCACGTCCAGCTACGATCAAAGTTGGCATCTGTAGTGTCTCTACCGCAATCACCGTTTCCGGCGATTTGGCAAGCGCGATACACCCTTTTGCATAGCCTTCCGGATGTGTAGATACAAGGAATTGCCGTACCGCATAGAATGATAGGGGTCGAGACGATTGTGTCTTCCTAGATGTCGCTGCCGTTGCCACCAGTTGCGCCATACCAGACGCTTCCATGCCTTGTTCTCGAACAATAGCAGCACGTTGAGTGAACATTTTCACAGCTGGCTCCGGTAGCGGAGAGCCTCCTGGGCCCAAAAGCACGAGTTTTGACACCAGTGAAGGATGTATTTGTGCAAAGTACATGGCAATAAGCCCACCCAGTGACCAACCAACAATCGTCGCAGAACTGATGCCTTTAGCCAACAACAGCAATTCCAGATCCCTCGCGAATGTTTGTAAAGTGGCAGTGTTTGATGCCCGGGTAGAAGTCAAACCGTGTCCCTCAAGGTCATAGAGAATTATGCGGTGCCCGCCTTCTTCTAGCCCTGCAGCGTGGATCAAGGGAAGGTAGTATTCAAGACTAGCTCCGAGACCGTGAATAAATACAATTGCATCCTTCTGCGTGTTTTCCGGGTTGATTTCGCGGATATTGACGTAGTTCTTAGGGCTGATTTCCTTGAGACCTGTGCCTCCCCAAGTGCGATCTAGGTTATGGACCGGAATACTGGTATTGTTGAGAGTTCTGCTAACTTGTGGGTTTTTGGAGGATGGTTGTCCAATCCGGTTAGTTAGTTTCCCAAGACCTGTAACAGCTACTTCAACTAATATAACACAAGCGAGTCAGTATATACGACTCGATAATCACGCAGGAGTTGATGAATGGGAACCCTACCAACATCGCCCGGTTGAAGAAACTTGGGTGGGCGAAAGCCTATTCCTACACCTTCTGGAGTTCCTGTCGCAATCACATCGCCCGGTTGCAGAGTCATTCCGCTAGACAGAACTTCAATCAGCCGAGGAATACCTGCAATGAGATCCGCAGTGCATCCATCCTGTCGTTTTTCCCCATTCACGTATGTCTGAACCTGGAGCGTCGCTGGCAAAGCATCCGCAGGTACTGCTACAGGGCCCTTCAAGTTTCTCATATCAGCATTATCCGTGACAATTAACAGATTTATAGAATTGAAGGAAAGATATTATTCGCATACCATCGGACAGAAAGTGTCAGGTGATTTTCCCATATAGAATTGATGATGATCACGCTGCTTTTCTCTAGCAGTGACGTCTAACGAAAGAAAAACGTTAATATAGGAAATAAATTTCCGTGACAATGCAGACTAACCATTGAGAATAGTGTATCCCCAAACATAATCCATTGCCCTTTCCGCAGGAATATTGAATCCTGCCTTGCCAATAATCACAGCCACTTCTCCTTCATAGTCAATGGTTTTCGTAAATTTGGGATGCGGAAATATGTCTTCATTAGCAGCTATAATGCTCGTGTTTCGCTTTGAGAATATCACTGGTAATGGCACTGTATGATTCGATCCATTAGCATAGGTTTCATACAAAAAGAATGATGTCATAGAAGAATATACCTTCACTTTCATCATTGTTTCTACTGTATCCACTGTTCTTATACTCGGTGGCGTGTTTTCCGTAGTTCACCCCGATACACAATACATCCCGGTCTGCAAGGGGAGGTAGCAGTTTTACAGAACTCAAAGGAACAGGAGAACCCAAACCACGAGCAACCCCTTCCTTACCAAGCTCGATTACTTGATACATATTCTCAAGCGGTGAACCTGAAGCCATTGTCAACGGATAAACCTTGTTATCGTTGGAGTCGAGGTGGCCGATTCGTGGATTCCCAAGATCATCCACATAAGAGATGTAGCTAAAATGATGCTCTTGTTCAGATTTTGCAGAAGACAAAATATCTTGCGATTTTGAAGTGAGCTCCAACTGCGATATCTTGTGAAGTCTTCCATTTATCATGATCACGTTCAACTTTGAATGGTCTTGCAAAATGGAGATATCTTTCAAGGGGTCACCGTCGACCAAGATGCAGTCCGCATAAAAGCCAGGGAGGATTTTACCAAGTTCATCTTCCTGCATGAAGAGCTTGGCTATACCAGCTGTTGCTGCAATAATTGATTCCATAGGAGTGAAGCCCAGCAATTTTACAAAATGCTCTAGGTCTCGTGCATATGTCCCGTGAGGGCACCAAGCAAAACCATAATCGCCGCCTGGGAGAATCGTAATGCCACGTCGGCGCATCTCCCTCAGAGCACGGATAGCTACCTCGAGCTCCTGCTTGTATCCCACTTTCTCCGCTTGCTCAAACGTGTATCCATATGGCTCGGCCTCGTGGACAGTAGTATAAAGCCAGTTAATAGCAGGTGCAACAACATGCTTATGTTTTGCTTTTTCCAACATGTCCATTCCTTCGTCGTCGATATAAGAGGCGTGGTAAATAACATCTACTCCGTGCCTCACAGATTGAATTATAGAGTCCCGGGCGCGAGCATGAGAGCAAACTCGTAGCCCGAGACGGTGCGCTTCATCAACGCAAGCCGCTGTCTCTTCATTCTCGAAGAAACTCTCCTCGGCCGATCGCGACTCCATAATAGCCTCCCCCGACATGCTCAGCTTGATTTGATCCACTCCAAGCTTTGCGTGATGCCGAATCACCTCACGCATTTCAAGTGGGCCGTCTGCGAAGGCAGTGATTCCAGATGCCAACTCGGCATCACGCTTGGCAATCTCCATTGCATTAGCGAGTAATCTTGGACCGGGTAGTTGTCCAGAGTTTATTGCATCTCGAATGACACAATCTAATCTGTTCTTAGCTGAGGCGGCTCCATAGCACATTGTATAACCGGAATCTATGTAGCTAAGAGCCGACCTTGCAGTAATGAGTGTATGCTCTTCAACGCCAACATCTCCCAGCAGCTCCAGAGCATTGTCATTCCATGTCAAATGAGTATGGGCATCTCCAAGTCCAGACATCAGGGTCCGGCCCTTTCCATGGATGACCCGCACTCGGTCATCCTTCTGGAGCTCGTCGACATTAGGCACCTTTCCAACCGCAGCAATACGCTTTCCTTTGACTAAGACATCACCCGTATACGGCTCTCGTCCTGTGGAGTCGAGAATATTGACGTCTAGGAACAGGACTTGAGAATCGGGTGGCGTGCCAGCCATCTCGTAAGTTTTTGGTTTTAGGTTAGGAGCAAACTGCAAGTCATTGTGAGGGTAATGCCTGGGATCCCAGGTGGATGGAGATATGACCTGGCCAATCCAGCTGTGAGAAACAGTCTTTGGTGAAGCCATTACGATCAATGTTAAAAAATGAACGAAAATGAATGTCTATATCAATCTTCTTTATTGAGCTATTCAGGTTTATGAAACAAATAGTTTCAACCTGGGGAAAGATGTTGTAATTTATACTTCTCCGCTCAAGTCCCTATACTTATTTACCCTCGGTTCTCGTCAAGTCGGGTAGTTGTATGTTCTCTAGGGCCTCCGCGATATCCGGTAAACGAATTTCAATATCCCCACATTTTCAAGTAGATGGTGCATGCACCCCGCATTCTATAGCTCTCTGTGTTGGTGATCAGGTTGGGGGAATGCGTGGAGAAGTAATAGTTAGTTTAATGGACGGAAGAGGTGGGAAGAAGGGGGATTTCAAGCCGCCCTTTCCCATCATCCGCTCTCCAAAGTTAACGTAGTCAATTTTTTTTCCTCGTGTGGGCTTTAGGGGTTAGTTTCGCTACGTTCTGGCTTTCCTTGAGTACCGGTAAATCAGTATGGTTTAGAATACGGGGTTACCTTCAAGGCTACATTTATTCATTGGTAAATTTTCTTTTAAGGGTATTATTATGTGCAGCTCGTTGAAACAAGTTATACTTCAATAATAATCCCGTTGAATGATATTTCTATGTCTGTCTCTATGCCTATTTCTATGTCTATTGCTTCCAAATCTATTCTATACAAACTGCCATTAAATACAATTACAGGCTTCACCAACCCCTTAATTTATGATTCTGCTTTTCATGAAACCGCGATTAATCACTTTCCCTGATATCAGGAATCCCTTCCATTTACACTGCAGCGTTCTTGCTGCGCTGTCGAAAAATGCGCCCATATTTGTAAAAGACATATGGAACCGGCGTCATCACCAATGAGATGCAACCGAGTAAAGTCAAGGACCAATGCACGCCCAGATTCTTGTACATCGGCAGTGAAACTATCACCATAGCTCCAGCCGCAATATATCTGAAAAAGGTCGCACTCACTAGAGCACTAGCAGCGTATTGCTCGTATGTATCAATTAGATACTGGTAGCTTGAGATGAAAATCCCTTGGACGGCGAATCCGAAAGCCACCGATGACACGAGACTCGGCCAGTATGAAATCGATGGATAGCTGGTCCAACCCATCCAGAAAAGTGAAATAGGGAGCCACGGAGCACCATACATGGCGAACCAGAGCCTTTCTTCTGGCTCAGGGTGACCCTTTTCCGTCTTAGCAGCTGCTTCAAGAACCATTTTGTACTTGAAGAAGACATGAGGGGTGATTATTAATGCGATCAAAAACCCGACATTCATCCCAATAAAAGCGAGACCGACAGACCCTTGAGAGAACCCGTAGGTTTTGCCGTAGATGAAATCATAGCCAGTTAGAAATCCGAAAAGTACAATGTAAACCACGACGAGATAAATTGTAAAAAGTGCGACCATGAGTTCACCAAAGAATAGTTCAAACGGGCGAGAGCAGCTGCGCATTAATCTAGTTGAGAGCGAAGTATGCTTAAGCTCAAATGGCGCTTTGAACCGATCATCACCAGTAATAGCACGCAGATGACCCGCTTTCCATTTGAGAAGAACAGGTGTATAGGTTTCAGGCACGAAAAAGAATATTGAAGCTGTTATAAGGCCAGCCAAGATGAGGGTAGTCCATTCTGACCACCTCCAGCTGATTAAATCGCTTTGACCAATAAATGCTCCTACCATTGGTGCCAAAAACGGGCCGAGAAATGACAACGCGCAGCACACAGGAAATGCATAGGCTCGATGCAATAAGTCGAATATGTCGGCCATACTCCCGCCGAACGTAGTAAGTGGTGTACATCCGAACAAACCGGCAATAAAGCGAAAAGCTAACTGACTTCCAAGATTTGGCGAGAGTCCGCTGGCCATTATAAAGATCATGAACAGTGAAAGCGTCACCAAATACACTGGGTTTCGGCCAAACGTTTCGGAGAACGGTGCAGCAAACAGCGACCCGAATGCAAAAGCGATTAGATACAGTGCGGTTGCCAACGACTCTGTCACGTTGCTCACTTGAAACTCAGCTTGTGCCTGCTTCATTACCATTGAGTCTATAGATGAAGCCCAGCCAACAAGGAAACCTGTCATCCCGACGATACCCAATGTCCTCCACTTGTATGCTAATGACCAATTTTTTGGGTTCAGCTGGTCATTTTCGCCATCAAACCCAACAAGAAAGATTTCCCTCTGTCCATTCCCAGGGAGATAGTCAGTATAGACCACCTCAACGCCTGGAATGTGAGCTCTTTGGCCGTTCCGCAGTGTCACTACTGTAGGCAAATTCGTCTCTGCTTTTTCTGAAGGTCCATCGCTAAGGGAGTATTCATGCTGCGATGTGTTCTCTCCCAATGGAGCTCTACTAGCACTTCGTAGCGACTGGTTCGAAGTTCGTAGTAGTGAATCATCCGTGGAGCCGTATATTTGAATGCTCTTCTCAAGATCTTGCCTGAGGCGCCTGTAGCGAAGGAAAGACAACATGTTGGTGATATGATCGACAAAATTAAGCTTAGTTCTCAGTAATTTACCGGTCTCTCAGTGCTTGAAATGCCGGTAAAACTTATTTATTTGGCTAATAGCATAGCTTCCAGCATGAGGTGACATAGGCTTTAAATTATATGGTACATCCCGCTCAGTCCGCATAGCATCCGCACAGCTTCCGTTCCGTCCACTTCCACCTCCGCTTCATTCGATTACTTTACAAATTGGGCATACCGACCGATATATTTTGGCACAAATATCCTGCCAGTATTGCAGTTACACAATTTGGAGTTTACGCTGATCCACAGCTACTCTCAGAACTCGAAACCGAGACTCGCGATGCGTAACCCTAATTCTAAGGCTCTCAGGCATCCACGAGGGCCCGGGCCGCTCCGCTTTACTCCAACTGCACTGGTGTGCAGCTAGCCTTCGTATAGCTGAGAAAGGTATAGTTAACTCTCTTAATCAGACTCGGCGTATTCCAGAGCAGTCGTCTCTCGCTGTCAGCCTCGCGTCTCAGCCTCACAAGTCGCCATCGTCACGCGGGGCTGAAGATGGGGTCATAAACTGGCCAACCACCACATCGCTCCTACCATTCACGACGCAACATCATCAACAAGCATTATTATTCAATTTCGAATACCAAACCAATCTCTTCACCAATCTCTCTCTCTCTTAATCGCATTGCAGAGAGAAACTACCGAGGACAAACCCAGGAGAACAGACCTCGCATTGCCGGCTACCGCCGCTGCTGAAATCGTCCCAAGCAACCCCTCCGACGTCCTAAATGTCGCTACTTACCGATCTCGACGACTACAAACTCCAGACTGAGTTTCGCACAAACCCCAAAACTCTCCTACATCGATCGTACCGGGCTGACTGGGCCCATGGAAGACCGAAGGTTGTCGTGCAAGAAGAATGGGTTCCGCAGAAACCGCTACTCGGCGTCGGGTCGTTTGGCCTCGTACGGCTGGAGAAACAGCAAGCGGTAAATGGAGAGACATTTTCGCGTCATAAGGAGAGGGCTGTCAAGCAGCTACGTAAGATCGACCTGCAGCGTATGAGGGTCGATTTCCGCAAGGAGCTACAAGCCTTGACCAAATTTTCGCGATCGAAGGTAGGACAAGTTATTTACCTTGCTCGTGAATGCATATGGATGACAGTGGCCTTTGTGTAGTTCGCTCAAACGCAAGCCTTTGTCGAATTCTTCGGCTGGTTCGAGGACGAGGATCATGTATACCTAGCCATGGAGTATTTCCACAATGGCACCCTTGACAGATTTATCACCAAGGGACTGTCTGAGCAAGATTCGCGGATCATTGCACAACAGCTGTTGGAAGGTTTGAGAATCATGCACCAAGAGCAATTCACCCACCGAGACTTGAAGCCTCAAGTAAGCTACTACTCCTTCCAGTCTCTCAACATACACGCTAAAATCAATCAGAATATTTTTGTTGTCCAGCAGTCGCCGTACTGGTGGGTGAAAATCGGTGATTTCGGCATCTCCAAACGCGCTGCAAAAGACGATACAGTGCTGCGGACGAGCACAGGAACGCCGCTATACCTTGCCCCTGAAGTATTCCACTATCTACCCATGCAGGACGAGGAGACCGGCACCTATACTAATGCAGTTGATATTTGGTCCTTTGCCTGCGTGGTATATGAAATGTTAACTTTACGAGTGCCGTTTGCCGACTGGCCAAAGAATTTGGTTGCCTTTTGCAATGGAGGTCCATTCCCAGAAGTCCCGCTCAAGGATCGTGTGACTTCCACTGCGATTGATTTTGTCAAGAGTGTTTTGGTTGCGTCTCCGGACCGGAGGCCTACAGCTAAGCAAGCCCTTGAATCGCCGTGGTTCGGGACTGAGGTGCTGGGTGCATCTTCAAGGCTGAGTATGCACGTTGCAGCCCAGGATTTCGACCCTAGCAATTTCAAGGAAATGTCCGAGGAACCCAGAGCGCTTGCTATCAGGCAGAATGAGGGAAACTCTTCACATGATATGTGGGCAATGCTCAAGGAAGATTCGCCTTGGCCAACTCTGGACTCTTCAGAGCAGGATAAAAGGTCACCTACACCTGAAAATGGGTCTTCAAATACCAGCACGCATACAGATGTCTCCATAGCTTTGTCCGAGAGAGAAAAGGGCCTAATTCTTCCCACCAATGATCAAGAAAACGAAAGGCTTCACCCACAGCAAGAGAACTCGGATCCAAGCGAATGTAGCAAGTGCCACCGCAAAGCCACCATGGAGTACTACTTTTGCCGCATTTGCAATTTTAGTCTCTGCGGACGCTGCGACAAGAGGGGCTACCATTGTAGTTCGCAAGATCATTGGATGATCAAAAGCCACATGGAGGACAGCAGGGCAGTTAACACTGAGACGGAAATTCTCAAGACTGGTTGGGCTTTGCGAAGACTAGATGGAACAAAGGAACCTACATACATTCCCCCACCGAGACCCAAATGGAACAAATCATACAAAATCCGTGCGGGGCAAGCCCCGTATGATTTTTGCTTTCAGTGTGGCATCACATTTCCATCCGACGATCCTCCCAATCGACACGAGTGGGAGATGCATGGAACAATCGACGCACCTGTCAGAGAACCAGAGAGCCCCGAAACCCAGCCAGAACCGGCGAACCGAACTGTGATCTGGATGAAAGACTTCACTGAGGAAGAAGCGGCATTACATGCCGCAAAGTTGAAGAGAATGGAGGATGAAATGAATAATGTTTTCAAGATTAAAGTGCAAGACAAAGAAGGCAAACTGCAGCAATCCGAAACAGAGTTATACGCGAGATACAAAGAAATGGACGGTCAGTTACAGACACAGCGTAAAGAGTTGGAGGAAAGACTGGCCACTTTAAAGCAAAGGCGGTCAGAAGAACGTGAGAATAAAAAGAAGCTTCGATTTGGGCTGTGGTGAGCAAGGGTCTGTTTTATTCTTGAGTGTATGAAAGATTGTCTGCGAGATGCACGGCCGGTGTATGCTTCAAATGTTAATTGTGGACTGTGAATGGAACCTGGTATGTCAATATAACCCAGACTTGAAAATCATTTTCGCTCATTAAGTCTATTCAGAGTCAGATATGAGTTATGATGTTTATATACATGTGTATTTTTCAATGTTTACTAGCGAACCAGCATCTTCAATGGAGCAATTTAGAGAATCAAAATAAGTCCACTTCAATGGTACTTTCAAAGCCTGAGGTTCAAAAGCCCGCTTAGAATCTATGATTGTTAGTCAATGCTTGTCTCACTGATCAAGCTGTGCTCACCTTCTCAATAAACCTCACGCCAACAAGCAACCCGTTCTCATCCAAAAACTCGCTTTCTAGTCCAAACGCATTATCACTTTTATCTAGACAAGTTAAACACGTTACAACGGTTTCCGTGTACTTGCGGCCCATTTTGGAAGGTAAAAGATCTTCGGCGAGTTTTACCAATGCCCTTTTTAACTCGAACGCATTCTTCCTAGTGTCTTTGGTATGATAACTAAATAAGGCAGCTATTATCGGACTGGGTTTTGCTACTTTCTCAGTTTCATAAAGAACAAGTGAACCGGCGATGCCGATCTCTAGCAAACAAACCCCGAGCGAGTAGATATCATGTTGCATAGAGTAGCTCTCTTCCGGGTGCATGCCTTGCCGTGTGGGATGACGATATAGATTGAACTCCCAAAAGTCGTCACCGCGAAGCAGCGTGCGACCTTCTTCAAGCCGGAAGCTTTTGAACCCTGTGAGGAAAGCATTCGGGTCTTGGTGTTGGTCACGCAACACCAGTATAGTTTCCGGACGAATGTTTTTATGTACAAATCCGGCAGAATGCACAAACATCACTGCCTTTGCGAGCTGTCTCGCCAATATGAATCGCTCGTCGAGCGGTCGGTTTCCGATCTCGCTGAGGACTAGCTTTCGCAGACTCTGCGGCTTCGTCAGGTGATCGGGGATTGAGAAAATGAACCGTGTGAGAGACGACTCTTTCTCACTAACAATATGTAAATCTCGCCTCGATACTCCATGGCACTGGAGAATACCAAATTGAGCGGGCTCGACGTTTTTCAGTATTTTGGCGAGTTTGCAAATGCTAGCCAGTGAGGTGGTGTCATTTGGAGGATCTGCAACATATGTACTAAGGCCTTGCACATCGCGCCATACAACCAGCGAGGAGTATTCCAAATCTATCGAATCTTGCTCAAAAGAATTCGACTCGACAAATACCGTTGTGCTTTCTGCATCGGCCTGTGTAGTGATAGTGGATTTGATAGCTTTTCTAAGCTCTTTCAAGGTCAACAGCGAAGTACTCTCCGATCCGTCGACAGGGTTTAACTCATGATCAATCGCCTGGTCTGACTGTCTTATAATCAAAATCCACGAAGGATCAAACAAATCCTTCCAATCTTTCAGGTCATTCAGGGCATCATTTAGCTTCTCTTTAACCAAAATCGCATACCTAGCCCGTTTCGTGTTGCCTTTCTTAGCTATAATGCTTCTTGACGAGACCTCGTCTTCGGCCTGTCCAATAAGGCCATCAACTAGCGATGTTGCAGCCATTGCCTTCACCTGTAAAACCTGCAGAACGGTATTCAGGTGGATTTGGTAGTCTTCGTCAAGACTGGCCCAAATTTTTCGTAAGAATTCTAGTTGCCGTTGGATTCGGAGCCAGTGCGCTTCGATCTTCAAGATTATTTCTCGGATTTCCTGGTCGCCGCTCCGATACGACTTGCAGACCTTCACGAGAATGGTTCCATATCTGATACAGGGTTAGTTTAAACCCAGAATTTCTCCGGTTTTGTACATACTTGATGCAGATATCCGCAATGCTTAGGACGGAAACTGCGATATCCATGGTGCAGGGCTTCTCCGATACGAAAACAATCAATAGCGAGGGCAGAAGAAGTCATAAATTACCAGCGTTCATGATGTAGAGAGTCCGTGTCTATGGCTGCGGCTTCGGGCTGAGTCGACTCGGACCCGCCTGCAAGTCGCCTAATTTGCCGTCCAACGAGGGGCTGTGTTGATCTGCGTGTTCTGAAGATGATCTCTTGCGTTAGCAAATAAGTAAATGCGTAGTTTACTGTTCTGCATTGGTCTTCGCCAAATAATAAATCATAAATACTTTACAGCACGTTAGCTGTGCTCTCTTTCTTTTCAGAGGAGTAAATTTGATGCTGGTACTATTACTTATACTTTTAAGGGTACACATGAATCACAAGAGGTATATTAACATTGTCGTTTTGAGATGTTTTTCAATACATCAATATTACATATGTCTACTGTAGCTAGATGCGTTGTTGAGGTGAATCTTAGAGTCACCCTCATCCGTACCAACCGCTCTCAACCTTGTAACAAAATCATGAGTCATTAAATTTATGTATGATCTATCATATGTATATGACAAGTCGCTAAACGCTAACACCAGAATACAAGTAAATATCCTATCTATAACTAAAACCCAACGCTATCCTCCCACGGCGCTTGGGCGTGCCTGTAGCTCACACCATGGACATACTTGCTCAGCATAGGCTCTTCATCTATTCCACAGTGCGGTTTTCCGTCTCTGCCTCGGAACCAACCAAGCCCATAGCGTTTGTTCAAACCAACAAGCATGGAGCGCATCTTATCATTGCTGAAGCGTTCCGTGTTGACAAAGTCGTCGAGCATGCGAGATTGATGAATAAATGCGAGAACCGAGGCAATGGTGGATGGTTGCCGAGGCAGAAATGCATGGCGACGACGGAGAAATATAAGCGTCGCGGAACAGAAAAGAAAAATGATGACTGCTGAAGAAACGGACGAAGACGCTTCAAATGAGGTTACAGTTTCGTACTGAAGGGTGAGAGAAGATGACGTGACAGTCAACACATCGGCGAGAACAGACCCGAAACCAGCAAGCGCAACTGTATAATGCCGATTCAAGATGGCTTGGAAGGGAACAAGGCCGTAGGGAGATCCTTGATAGTCTAGCGTCAAAGTACTTTCCGGTCGTGCGTTGCCTCGCGATAGTGCATAGTACGGCTCCAGCATTTTAACTGAAAACTCGAGAGTTGACCAAATCTGTTTTGCTACCACTGCCAGCAATACTGGCAGCCACGGTAGATCTATCGCAACAACTTTGGCAGGGGTATAAGTAATGATAGGGACTAGTGCGACAAGAAATGCAAGATATGTGAGAAATGCAATCCCAGGAGCAAGGCGCAGTATTATAGGATGGGGAGAATGCACTTTGTTCTTCTGATCATTGTGGCCGAGATTTTCAGTGTGTCGCATGTATTCTCCTTGCCAGATACTTGATTTATACAATACGTACCGTCGATGGCGCAGTTTCTTATGGATATCAATTTCCGTGGCTTCGTCCATTCCCTGAAAGTCATTCAGAATGTGGGACTTCGTCGCCATCGATGCAATGCCTGCTATCCCTTTGGGATCGCTCAGTAACCCCGATTTCCGCCGTAATTGAAATAAAAGCACCGTTGCCATGACTGCTACCAAGACAAGGGTCACTGTAACCAAACGAGACCAAACCGAATGTACCTGGACAATATGTTTGGTCTCGTCCTCTGCTGTGCACTGGCGATTTTTACAGTTAGGGTTTGGAGTTGGCACAAGAGAAGGGTTTTGCAACGACGGTGCTGCTGTTGTAGCGAGTATGGCTCCTATCGATGCAACAGCCACTGTCCAGTGCCCATTTCTAATGGCTTTAATCGGTACAAAATAAGGGAATGTTGTGATATAATCCAGGTTAAGTGACTTGGCAGCAGAGTTTCCCGTTGGCTGAGATAGTTGATAATATGGCTCAAGCCTCTTCACATTATATTCCATCAATTGCCACAAGACGCCGAAGGCAACCATTACCATAGTCGGGAGATACTTCCAAGCAAAGAACTCCGCAACTGGTATATCATTGATTGTGTCGTACTGTATAAGACCTTGTCCTTGATCTTCCAAAGATCTTGACCTCTGGTAGAGATATTCCTGAACACCAGCCAATACAAGTGAGGTGATAATGAGCATCAACATGTAAGGCGTTTTCATCGAAATTGGTTTCCAGTCAGGCTTTTCTGGATCGGTGGGATAGTAAAAACTAGCCTCATCGTGACCAAGTGTGGTGCGGTTTCCCAAACCCATGGTACCTGGCATCTGACGCTCTGCACCTCCCAATGTGCTCAAATCAACGACCGGGGCAGATTCTTTTACAGAAACAATCATCCTTCTCTCTTCAGCTAATTGTTGTCCGTATAATCGCATTGTATCTTCAATTCCGCTTTTTGACATGGTTGACTTCCTACCAAGTGGTGTCTCAACTCTGACCGTAGGTGCTGGACTGATATTTGGTCCCGATTTGGAACCCATGTCAGGAGGAGCAACATGTCGAGAGAAAGTCGCTGTAGACTCAGGGCCTTCAAGCAGTGAGATATCCACCTCAATATGGTCTTCTTCGGCCAAATCATCAAGCTCTTGAATGGTTGAGTAGCGTTCGGTTGGAGTCAGGATAGTTCGTCGAATAGCCGATGGACTCAGTGCTTGGAGTAGGGATTTGGATCGTTCCAGGTCCTGCCTGGTGTTGTTCTCGCTTAGGTTCAAGGACCTGACTCTAGCTGGCCTCCCTCTTATGCTTAATCTGTGGGATTCTCGAGGTGAGAGGCGAACGTCTTCAAATCGGCGGTTTTCATGGCGCGCTGGAGTCTGGGGTATTCTAGGTGCCAAGTACTGTGTTGATGCGAGGGTAGCAGCATCGTAATTCTGGTCATGGGTAGAGGGGGGCGGCCGGAAGGCAGCGTAATCCAGCGCTGATGTCGGTTGCACCGCGCTGAAGCCAGTCAAGTCCTCACTATCATCGCGTTCGTGTCCGTATTGCGAGCGAGCAACTGCGGGAGAAGACGTGCGGTTACTATGCGCATGCGGTGGTGGTGGTTGTTGTTGTTGTTGTAATAGTGGAGAACTATCTACATAATTCTCGTTTTCCATACTTGCCATCGCTTTGAATGCCAACCATGTCCGTTATTCCACCGGAGATTGAAAACGGACCGCGAAATTAGAAAACACAATGTTGTAAGTTGAAATCAGCGAAAGGGCGACAACCCCATTCAACAAGCGATGATGCAAAACAAAGATAACCCCGCTCTGAGGCGCGTGTCACCCTGTTCCTGCCGTTGCGGTGTAACTATTACTTTTGAGTCTTGAGTATGAAGAGAGAAGTAGACATTGTGCCGCATGACAAACTCCTCATCATTCATAAACTGCGCGTGTGCGGCTGAATCTTGGTTGAGATCTGATGAATGCACCATGATAGGGGGTTGCCCTGACAGACGCGCAAGAGGGCTGCTACTTGCTAGCGCTAAGATGGCGTCAAATCACGATTGCGTTTTAGCCATTCACACAATTAGACTGCGACGTTCGCACCGCGGTCGCTTAGCGAAGCCCAGAACCCTGCAGAGCCAGCAGCCTCAGGTGTTTAGGCGCTGGCGTGATTCGCCCGCAGCAGCTCAGCTTGCGTGTTGTTTTAGGCTTTAGCGCTGAATGGCCAATTGTTTAATCGCTCAGCTCACAGCCGGACGAGTAATATATGGCCCGGTTTCGGATGATGCCAACTCGCATCTATAAAAGGCGTAGAACCAAGATCGCAAGGCGAAGCCTGCGCGCAGTGTGTGAGAGGTAAAGATGGAAAGACATCAATTGATGTCGAGCGTTGTCGGTGAAAGGTGGACGCGGCAGGAACCAGCCGACATCCGGCGTCATCTCTCACCATGCATATCACGTCGGAACATTCGAGGCAGTCTTTTTCTAACGATTTGTATGTCGCTGGAACAACAGCTAGAGAGCTGTCGAGGGCTGCAATGCCTGTCTTTATATACACACGGCCTGTTTTTCCGCTATTATAATATTTGTTTTATAAATATTATATTACGGCATGGATTCCAAAATTGAACTCTCCACTCATTGACCAGGAGGTGAAGGAAGACAATCCAGGAATTGCGGACCTGAAAGAGCTCAGAGCGTGGAATTCCAGAGACATCACGCATGAATGGTCATCTAGGCTTAGCTAATCTTCTCTTTGCGCATAATTTATTCTCGAGATCCGATCTACTCAATCGATATCGCTTGAAAGAGTAGATGCTCTGCCAGTGCCCGCTGAGACGAAGCCGATGAAAGTTATCGTCCTCAGCCTGAGCTGGTAAAATCCCTTAATTCTCAAATCTCAAAGACTCTGATGTCAAGTTCATACTCACTGAGAGAGATCCTAAGGAATAGGCCGCTTCTGTCAATAACACGAGTGGAAAGGTAATTGAGTGGCTTATGGCTTTCCGCTTGGTATTCTCAAATGCTTTGGTTCCACGTTATATCATTTTTCTCGATACCAACGTGCTGGTTAATCGTGCTTGGTCATGCGGCACACATCCCTAAGGTCCCGGCAGTGAAGCCAACCTCTGCCAATTTTATACGGACTAGCAGGTCCCTCCTAAGCTGTTCTTTCGAAATTAGATCCCACTAACAGCTCCTAGCATCAAGAGAGTGAAGACAACAATCCCAGCTGACCGTTTATGCCACGTTCAGCTCGACCAAGGAGGATTGAGCTGGGAGAATCTTTGCCTGTTCCTTAGTGTGTCAATCCCCAAGGAATATTACCCGGATCGTAATGAGCCGGATAAATTCCAGGCCATTCTTGAAAAATTCTTGCAGCCAAGGGTTATTGTTGCGGTATTGAGATTTGGCGCAGTGATTGTGCCAGTCTTGGGAGCTTCTTGGCTGGGGATCCATGAAATATGGGCCATCTGTTCTTGCTCCGAAATAGAATAGTCGGCAATGTAAATCATCGATTTCGAAGTTCGTGCTGCTAAGGAGCTGGCGGGAGTGAACCAAATAGTCCTAATATGAACGTCAAGATTAGTATCTACTTCTTCGAGCTCACATCATTAGAAAATTGATGCCTAAAAAGTATTTATAAAAGAATTGCTTTAGTCTGTTTAATATAAAAGCTATATCAAGGAAGAAGTTTGGGATGCCAGTCCTTGGCCGCAATCAACATCAAACGCCGTAGCTCTCTGCCTGAATATTGGCGATATCATTATCATTGCTCAGGACTTCGAAAATCTTTATGAATGTTCACTACACCAGACCTTGATACACTCTATGCTATGACAAGTATGAATATAGTATTGAGATATTCAGCCTTTCATCTGCATTTACCCTACCTAATAGGCCTAATACGATGTGGACGGTTTACACTCCCGAAATAATTAGTAAATACCAGTTGACGTCACAACCCTGGATAAAATAGAGTACAGCATTCCTAGCCTATACATATAAACTCTCTAGCTATGATTCGCCATCAAAGACATGGCCAATTAAACAATATCAAACCCATATTTGATCGTGAATGTAGATTATCCAAAAACCAAAGCCCTCACCTCAATACTCTCTCTTGGCTTCGCACCCTGAGGCGTCCTTGGGTCGGTAAAGGCAGTGTGCGGGCACCTCTTGCCCACCCCAGGCTGACTATCTGAGCACTTCAATAGAAGCCTCTCGTCGTTGTCCATGCCAGACCAATACTTCCACTTCAGATCCGGATTATACACCACACCAACGGTTTCTCCAGTTCGCGTGGGATAGCGATGCTCCACGGGTACAAGATCGGTATCCTTCACTGACGCCGCAGATGCAAAGGCCAGGGGCGATGATTGCACGCTTCCGTTCAGAGGACGCCACACATTAATAATCCGATATCGCCCCTTCAGTAACTCCTCAGCCTCATCCTTGTCTTCAATATGTAACCGCACCCGCCACTCTGTCGCTCTGTCGGTCTGGTCGGAATGTGCGCGGTTGACAGGCTGACGTTTGGCAGCGGGGTTCTCGCGACGGATGGTGTGGTCAAAGAGAATCACTTTGTGAACGCCAGGCACATTGTCCAGCAAGAACTTTTCGACTTCGGGGTAGTACACACGTTCAACATCCTCGTCGTTGTTGAATGTCTCGTAGGTGGTGGCAGTGGATACGCCGCTAAATACTTGGAAAGCGTCTTTGTCTAGACTATACTCGACCTCGTGGGATCGGATGTCATCGACGGTGACTTTGTGTATGGCCTCCTTGTAGTTCCGTTGCGGCTGGCCGGCTGGAGGGCTCTCGACATAGTTGAACGGGGCTGAGCCGTCCGCGGGGGGAACGTAGAAGGTGAGGTCAGTCTCGACCGGGCCGCGGGGTATGTAATCGCTAGGTTGTGCTGAGGTAGTGGTTACCGTTGTGGTGGCCATGTTGAGTATGAGTAGTGCGATAAACTGAGGCTGATGATGGTATTGTATTCTGAACTTGCTCTATCTCTCGCAGCAGCAGGAAGGACTATTTATATTTATTCTCTCCCTCCCCGCAGAAATGGAGAGAATTGGCCTGGTTTGGTAAGCAGATCTAATTTGTAATTTGTAATCCAGCAGTCAATGCGATTTGCGGGCTGGCGCAACGACTTAAAAGCATCAGAAGTAACGCCATTTCGGTCCAATCAGAAGACACATCGGACAGACAGCCGAGGCATACGGCAAGCAACTACATGATTATTCAACTTCGTATGTGAAAGTATATGACGGCAGTCTGCAGACATATGTTACGCGACATCCGTGGATTATTAATTAATATGACGTCATGTATCTACACCCTCTCAATCGCCCACTCACCACTCCACGGGTCGAATTTCAGCAGATAACGCACCTCCTCATCGCCGTGATAATCGTGGACAAGCTCTAGGTCTGGCTCGTTATAATGGCCCATGAACTCAAGCTCTAACACTAGCTGCGACACACCCGACTGCAAGGCCTCACGCACGTGAATCACAAATGGCTCTGCGCGTGCAACCCGGCGGCTGCCCTGCAGCTTGACGGACTGGAGAAACGACGCTGGCGTACCGTCACTATCAACCCCCGTGGCCGTAACCCGGGCGTAGCTGTTGTGCTCCTGCGTATCTGCTTTGACCACGAGTCGTCGCTGGAGGATAAACGAGGGGATGGGCAGGTCCAGCTTCTCCATGACTTTGGCCATTAAGACATCTGTCTCGATGAAAACGCGAATGTCGCTGAGGCTGTCGATGGGCGTTTCTTGAAGATTGCATATTACTAGCTTTGCCGCATTCGCTCCTTTCTTCCTCTGTCCGACTATTTCGGGGATCTCGTTAGCCGGGGTAACTGTGAGCGATGATCCGAGAACGAGACAGAGATCAGCCATATGCGCGTTATCGTACGCAAGCTGCTGGGCGCGCACAGGGAGGCTTTCGCCGAAATTGATAATACTATCGTACAGAGGGCCACCGCAGCACGCGCATTGACGTCCTGTGCGATGGTCGTGGTCGCCATTGATATACTTTGAGACTGCGCGGAAGTCTGCCCCATAATCAATATTTAAGTAAGAAGGCTTCCAGGCGACAACTTTCGTACCTCGAAGATACTCTTTCCCGCAACCCTTACACCATTCCCTATTGCTATTCCCATGAAGCTCGGATATTTTCTCCTTCAGATAGTCAACCAACCCATTCAAAACACAAAAATGGGTGATTAAATGATCAAACATACCGGCACAATCCCACTACGTCTATGGAGCCCGTCACAATTCTGACTAACCAGATACTTCAAAATACCCCGGTTCTGCAACTCCACAAGCGCCATATGCGAGCGCGTTGGGATGGCTTGTAGCGTGTTGGCCGCTTTTGTTCGTGGCCTACCCTGAGCTCTCAGCGTCCAATTGCCATCGGGGCCGCGGAAGTCGGGGATTCCTGATTCGTCAGCATTTCTTGCTCTCTATTTCAGGCGAAGAGCAGAACAGTGTACCAGCTGAGGTCGAGATTCCGGCGCCAGTGAAAGCAATCATATGTTTGCTTTTCTTGATCTGGGTCGCCAGGGCAGATGCTTTTCGGTCGATTGCCGCGAGAGACTCGCGATGCTCTTTTGCAGCGACTTTGGGTGCACTGTCAGCCATGATGACGTATATCTAGTTATATATACAGATCTGGACGGCAAGTTTCTGCAGTCTGTTGACTGTTTTGCAGAGCGACGAAGCGTAAACAAAACTAACCAACTATCCGTCGGCTCCAGAGGGTTGTTGTCACGCGGCACTGCTTACTGACCAGTAATATAAAGCAATGTCAGCTAGTCTAGGCACCAGTGGACAAGCTGAGGAGTTGGGTCTGTACAGGTTGTCATTGATAGACTGTTTTGACGTGATGCGGGGATCAGCGGCAACGATTTCAGCCGCATAGCAACTGTAGCGCAACGAATTGAATTTTTACTGTAGTGCATGAAAAGTCTTCCAGATACATGAACGAAATCAATTCCAAGCCGCTAAGCAGCAGGAGTAATTTAAGGAATAAGCTATCGTCCAGATTAGTTAAGATCACACCATGGAACTAGCATGTACAAGCATGTACACAGCTATGAAAAAAGCAAAGCAAAAATTAAACGTCGATGGAAATTCTGATTCAACGCCTGTCCCAGAACAAAATAAACCCGGATTGCCGCGCCAAGTCTTTATACTGTTTATACCGTGATGCCTGTTATGTTTGCCTATGTACCGTATACATCGTGGAGCGAGAATGACTACCCCCGACGTCTCGCGCTTGTACGCTCATTCAACTGCGGGAACATCTCATTGCTAGTCGCACTCTTTCCGCCGATGGGATACCACTTGATACCCAACTCAATAGGGAATTCAGGATGCAGCAGACTGAAACGGTCTGAATTCAGGGGGTTTCCGTCAACTTCGCTGGGGAAGGGCTCGGTGATCGTGTCAATCAGACCCTTATCGATCCAGCCATGAGGCTTGGTCTGTAGCCGGTCCATACGGGAAATATCATCGTCAATCTCTTCGTTCATCAGGGAGGTCAGAGGCGGTGCGTTTTGGTTGCTGCGCGAGCTGTGGTTGGCCAGGATGTGGTATGGCAGATTGGGGCGCGTCGCTGGTTTATCGGAGAGCTCGGCGAGAATGTTCAGTCCAACGTTGCCTTGGTTTCGCGTCGACCGAGTAGCGTGGTAGCTCTGGCTAGCAGTGCGTGTCATGTCTGCTGCAACGGGGGTTCCGAGATCATCCATGAGAGCAGCGCTATCGGCATCATCGGCGTCGCTGTTGTTGCCATTCGTTGCAGTGCCAACGCCTTCCTGGTTCTTAGACGTAGAGAAAAAGTGCGCAGTAGCAACATGCGCATGATTGGCGTGCAGGGCCAGCTCTTTGTCGGTGAATAGCGAATTGATGCTGTATACCTTGTCCGTCTGCTGTTTTTCGGCAATTGCCTTGCCGCGCTCTGCTGGAGTCGACAGCCCATCACGAGCGGGAGACCCGACATCATCGTCTGCAGCTTTGCGTTTTCTCTTGTTCCCTTCAATACCATTACCAAGGTCGTCAATTCCAACGCGATGTCTAGTATGGCGAGTCTTGCGATTGCTATGAATACCGCCGGGACTAGATGGGTTGGTGATTGTGAATTGATTCGGGTGAAGGAGAAGGGCATTGGTATCGGAGATATCCATCTGCTCTCTTTCACGCATGAGGCGCGTCTTGTTCGCAGTGACTTTCTGGATCAGTCGCTCCCGCAAAGTCCCCGACAGTTGTTTATATTCTTCTCTGGCAAAATGCTGTCGCCATGAATATTCGTGCTTGTAGCGTTGGAGGGCTTCGTGGTGACGATTCTGCCCGGAGAAAAATTTTAGTATCTTTTTTTTCTTCTTTCTTTTTTCATGACCACTTACCATGACTGCAACGAGCTCTGCATCTCGGTCTTCCTTGATCTCATTAATCTCCTGCACAAAGCGCGAAAACCAAATGCCCGACCGGGTCGCCATTTCTCGTCCGAACTTGCCGCCTCCGACGGTCGTCTCAATCAGCTGGGCGATATCCTCAGCCGAGTCGGACAAGGGACCGGGCTCGTAAGGGTTAGCATTGTTGATTAGCGTCATATCGCACTGAAGGGCATGGAGTTGTTGGCGGAACTGCGTATCGCGATTCTGGCTGAATGCGATCGTCAGGTCGTGCAGTCGCTCCTGTAGCTGAGTGCGTCTTTTGTCGCGTTTCGACTGGGGCGGATTCGTGCCTGGTGGAGGGCTTAAAGACTTGCCTCTGCCATGCAAACCGCTGCGGTCGCCAGCCGGTATGGGCGAGATAGGGCGTGGCGAGTACGCCATTCTCGAGAAGAGCCCAATGTAAAGAGTACAATGGGAGGCTGAATCACTGATCAGGCACGGATGACGATCCTTGACGGTATGCTCTGCAGAAGAATTAAGAGGAGCTAGAGGGCAAAGACCATGGCAATCATGAGACAGGAGGCAGTATTTTCGAAATCACATTTGCACAACGAAGTGACGAGTCAAGAGCATTCATTGTCCCAAAAGTCGTGTTGACTGGGCGGAGATGGACCAATCCGGTGCACGGAGATAGGTTTATCCGGACTTACATCACCGGACCACGTCTGTTACGCACGCGAGGATGAATGATTTACCATTTACATTATTTGTAGTCTGCGTATAAAATGGCTAACCATTATTTAAATAGACCATCTATTTAAAGTGACAAAAGCAAATGGGTATTATACTATATGACGCTCCTATATAGCATTCACAGGAAAGCAATCCCCATCCCAGGGAGACAAGAGAGCTCCCAACGCCGCGTACCGAAAATGCCCGCTCCATAACACGCTTTTTAATTTTTCATACTCCTTATCACGGAATTATCTTGATCAGTCTGTCGGGATACTATCAAGATGAGAGGTTACGAGACCTGCGAATGACGAAAACACCTAGTTCTATATCTTCCTTAGGAGACACATCATATCGGCGTCTTTTGATTCCGTCCATGATTTCTCCAAGTAGCATGGAGGAGCTCAATTGAACTCCCCCGCCTTCAGGGCTGCTCGGAGTGAGTCTGCCTGAGGTTTGCCAATTTCTACTCAGCAAATATTTCATTCTTGGCCGCTCTTGCTGGATGTACCATTCCATCCATAGATTACGGTCGAGAGGAGCAAGCCCTTTGCCTGCATTAACCAGTTGAAATACTGAGGGCATGTTTTCACTCATTAGTCGACACAGAAGCTCGATATTAGCTTTCATCGTTTGAAAATCGTCCATGCTGTTGACTGCCTCTAACCGTCCGAGGTCGCGGCTAATATCAGCAGAAAACCCATTGACGACCACTAGCTGTCGCAATAATGGGTCTAGGATTGGCCCTAGATATTGACTTTTGAAAGTCGTGGCACCCTTCTTAGTTGGGTAAATGAATAAAAGACATCCGCCGAGCGGAGACAGCTCGAGCATACGGTCGGCCAAGGCCGACGGTTGCTTATAGGTGAACAAATCACGGTATTCGTGTTTTGTGGAAGGCGGTATATACCGTTCTAGGACTGAGATATGTGTACTGTAAGGGGGGACGATGGGATGAGGATAGTTGACCTTTTCGCAAACTTGTCCCTTTACATTGTGGTATATCGGTACTGTGCTAGCGCTGGCGAAAACTGGCGGATCGAAATAATCGTTCGACTGGACCATCGGCCCTGGAGTGCTTGGTGGTGATGTTGGGAGATTCCCCACGATGAAATCGTTCGGGACTGCGTGAGTTACGTGGATGTAAGGCGAATGCTCTGGTGAGTGGCGATTCCGTAATGCTTCTATGATCGTTCCAAACACACTGGCCAGGGTCGGCAATTGTACGTTATTCTCGGGAGATCGAGGAAAGGGGAGAGTCTGCGAGACTAAACGCATCGAGTCTGCACGATGATGGGGGTCAAATAGAAGAGCCGAGACTTGGTTCCAGTCAGCAAATTTTCATCAACAAATACTTTGTCTGTTCAAGGCCAATCTTACAGATGGCGTCAAGGGCATTTTCTAGCCAGTTCCTCCCCGGCACTTCATCCTGCACGTCTTGGCCTGACATGTGCTCATCTTCATCTAATGACGGCCTGTTGGACATTGGGTTGAACGAGATGTGTTGGGGTTGGTGTGGGTTCGACGGAGATGCACTGTGCCGATCCCGACTCTGGTCCATGAGCGTCTGATGTTTGGGTTCCCGCTCGGTGACTGGCTCGTCCTGTACTACTTCCCAGGTGGTGTGCTCATCCTCTTCGTCCGCCGGGGGTGTGAGAGGCCCGGATAAAAGGTGATCTGAAGGGGAGTCCAGCGACATGGGCTCTGACCCGAGCCGAGAGATTGGCGGGTTGTTCAAGGACTGGTAGGATATTCCCAGGCTGTTGAAGAACGGGAGTTGTAGTCCTGGCTTGTCTTTAGAGATTAATCGAGAGAGAGGAGAATTCAGACGGTTGTAGGCGGAGACGGAGCCTTGCGATGCCCGTCGACGCGGTCGAGGAGCAGGCGACGAGTGGGCTCGCGAGGGAAAGGCGGACGACGTGGAGGAGGAGAGTGACATGGATCGGAGCGACTGAGGAGCGTCGGACAGGTCAGGGAGGGCAGTTCGCGGGCGAGCGTCAGTATCGCAGGCTGCAGGAGGGCTTCCCATGTCAACAATCGAGACGAGGTCGTGGTTGTGGTTGTGGTTGTGGTTGTGGTCGTAGTCGTGGTCGGCAACGAGGCGCCGAGTCATGTCCGTCGTGAAAGACCATGCGTGTGTTCTTTGGTTGTGAGTGCAGGGCTGCCAGCAGGATAATATGTAGTCGAAGCAGAGAGCAGCAGACTGGGTTCTAGAAGCGAAGGGCAGAGCATAAGAATCATATTAATCACAGCAAGGCTAGTTTGCATGTGGGCCGGCGCTCCACTCTGTACGCCGCAACGGGTAAAGAATCGAGGCGGCGATCTCTGCAGTGTGGAGACGGAGACTGTTTCTCGCTTCGTCTTCACCACAGGGCAGGTTGGGATGGCCGCGGTACCGTGCTGGGAGGGTTGCGATGGTGTTGCAGGCACAGGCCGGCAGTCAAAATATATAGAGGAGAGGAAGAGCCACAGCACGCAGCAAGAGGCGACCGGAAGGAAGGAAGAAAGGAGGGCAGGAGGGAAGAAGGGAAGCAGACAAGGGAAGGGAAGGCGCGGCCTTGACAGCGGACGGTCTAGACCCGCGGCGCGGCCCACGCAGGCTCCCAAATAGTTAGCTAGCCGGGAGCCACTGCAAATTTTCAGCTCTAGACCAGCCAGCCGTGCGCCGGATTCATTTATGCGTTCTTCAATCTTAATCATATACACGTACGAGTCTCTGCGTGGTATGTACATGGCATCGTTGAGACGCCGTTGTATAGAATCTGTTTTTTGTTGCTTTCATTGATTCTGTCCCGCTGCTATCAGGATGATGTTCCTTGTACACTGCCTATGTGCACTACTATATACACTACTAGAAACACTACTATATGGATTCTCGTATAGAGAAGCTCGATCCGACACCATTATGCTTACCCCTCTTTAAGACTTGTGCTTGTTCTTCTCAGGGTACATACATGGACAGTACACCCTGACTCGAGCCTTGATTTCTTGTCTTTCGTTTCTTTTCTGTTGTAGATCGCCGATTCTGGATGCTTTGCGTCCGTCACGTGATCCATCGGCGTGTCATAACCTGCAATTATACAGTTGACATGTACAGGATAATATATCCATGATAGATCTCGGCCCTAGCCGGACTCCGATACACATACATACAGACATAGCACATACATCAGCGGTTCTCACGTCAGTATCAGCCCAATAGTGCCGGCACCACCGATGACCCTGAGCCAACCATTCGTATTATTCCTGGCGTACAGTACTGTGTGATCGACAACCGATATGCTTTCTTTTTCCAGCTGAATCGTGCCAACACCTGACTAGCTGCTAGCCGAAGCCACCCAAGTCCAGAGGCAAAACCCTGTCTGGCCCAAGCCATGGCGCCGGTGAAACTTTGATTGTTCACTGATTATTACAGTCAGATGTCAGCCTGACACGGTGTTTGGTTAATAATGCTTGAATACGTGGATATCGGCACGACGGTAAAAGAAAAGAAATGGAAATCCATGTAGGCACCAGCATCCCCATTCAGAATCAGACTGTGCTTGCTTGACCGCAGTTTCATACATGGTTCCCTGCTGTGCGACAGCACATTATGCCCGTCCCGACCCGTTGAAACCTGGCCTGCGACGTATACATGTCAACGTCCCGTCTTAGGCGCCGAGCCGGCTGGTCTGGTCTGGTCTGGTCTGGTCTGAACATGAACAAAGATGCGTGCGGCGCAGCTGCACTTCCCTTTTATAGCGACCTGCTTAGGTGCACGGATATCATCCGTCATCTTCTTCGTAGCAAGGACCAAGAATGAGTATGAGTATCGCTGCCGCCTGCCTTGGTTGGTCGTGGCTCGTCTCTTTTGCTTTTTCCTCTCCTTCTGTCTTGTTGTGGTGCTGCCTGCGAGGGCATGTCAGTTGAAACGAGGCTTTGTTTCGGCTGAATCATTTAGGTTGATTCGGCACGAGGGTACATATTAAGCCGCTGGAGAAATTAATGGCGTTTTAATTGAAACTTCATCTGCTAGGTTATTCTCAAATCAACTAGCACGTCCATTGACAGTGCCACCATGCTAGCTCCTGTAGCACATGCAATGCTTCCTGCCCAATGAGAAGACTGTTTGGAATAAAAGAATTACTAATGGCATCTTTGGTGTTAGATAATTGTGGCATAATAAAATCCATTATAATGAGAATGAAGCGTATGTATACCAGCCAGTAAGCTCTGGCCGTGGCAATAGTAATCAAGTACTCAGGTAATACCACCTCTAATGATAGACCGGTAATGCACCATACAATATAAAAATAACAGATAGCCACCTGTCATACTCCAGACTCCACGCTCAAATTCAGTCTAGGCGCCAACACCAAACCGTAAAAAGGAGGGTATAATGTTGAATCAAAAATAGGGAGAGAGAAAAAAAGAAGAAGATAAAGATTAGCTCATCACATCCTTGGACGCTCGCGAGAAGTCGATCTTCCGCCGCCGGTCATTCCAGCACATAGACGCCCAGCAGCTGATTAGAAACTTGGAAGCCAGTTCTTGCTCCTCCCACACCATGTGCAGCTGCCGTCGGGCCAGCGCCGATGACTGAACGGGGATGCTCTGTACGTGCACGCGATAAGCACGTTTCTCCGGCCGTGTCGTGACGGCGCACGAGGGCTTGATTGAGGTCTTTTGCAGTTCGGTTGCGCTGCGGAATTCGACGCACTGCATGATTAAATGTTTGATTTGCCCACTCAAACACTTTGCGCGATGCTCGATTTCTGGCCAGAAGCTTTCCCCCCATAAGGTATCGTCGCATACTGCCTTTTCCATCGCTTTGAGCCAAAAGGCGAAATCGGGCAGGCTTCTTTTCGCTTCCGAAAGCTCTGTATTTGGCAGTAAGTCGCATAGCATACAGGCGACCGTCACCAGGCGGATTGTGGGTTCTGATGATAAAACGTGAAAGACGATGCAAGCCGGGCAACCCTGGGCCAAACAAAAGTCTTGTTCCTCGGTGAGAATGCAATGCAACCAGGAAAAGGCGTCGCGGGCTTCTCCACGAAAGGCTCGTTCGGGTTCGATACCCTTCCTTCTGGCCAACACACGGGTTGCAATCTGAGTGGCTTGGTCGTGAACTTCGAATAGGGGGAGGAGAAGGGCGTAAATAATATCACGGTGGAAGCGAAAGGTCGATAGTTCTTGCTCACTGCATTCGTCGATGTGGAAGGGGCAGAAGCTAGACAATGTTAGATCTGGCAGCTGACCAGTGATGATTATGTCCTACCTGAGCATGCTGGACTGTTCCTTGAGCTTCATATGGCTGCGCACATTCTGAAAGGCGTCACTGCGCTTTAGCTCGGCGGCGGCCTCGGGGGGCAGCTGGAACGGCGAGACAGTATCGTCAGACATGGTTGCGCATATGAATAGTTGGGTCAATTAGATAGAAGGAGATATCGTTCATAGAATAGTGAGGAGCGAGTGGTCGTGGAGGAGCATTGGTGAGTGAGACTCAAGACTAAGTGGAAGTGGTCGCGGGGTGCAGGTCGAGGCTCAAGCACGCAAGGTCCCGTCGATGATGACGTCGAACAGAAGTAAGAGGCAGTCACCGCGGCCTAGGCGATCCGTCAATCACAGACTCGGCTGCACAACATTGATCATTCTCGAACTCGGCGAAGAATAAGGTCGGGATATGAGGAGAAGAGGAGCGGTCAACTAAGTACTAAGTAGCAGCCAACGGCCACGGCCTCGTCCGATCTGGCGGAATGATGATCGAAAATAGCGCAAAAGGGGAGAGGGTCAGAACGGGCGAGATCAGCACGATCACCGCAAACGGCCCCAACAATATGTGTACAAGAGGGGAGCGAGTGAAACGCTGCTGACAGGAACACAATTTATCTCTATCTTTATATTCACACACACACACACACACACACACATATATATATACATACATATACAAGTACAGCATTGCATGTATGATTAATATCTGTAGGGCGGCAGAGTCGCCAACTCATTGACCTTTTAGCGCGGTCTAGACTGGGTCTTATCTGCGAATCAGAATGCGCATCGTGCTTGTCGGGTATCATCGACGTCTTCTACGCTATCAGTGACTCGGTGAAGGTGCGAGGAGATGGAAGTTGAAGCGATAGGATGGCAGATCAGAATAGGATAGAATAGAGTTCCCGGCAGAGTTGTACTCGGCACTTCGCGGTTGATGCAACGTGCCATTTATTCTCCTACATACAACTGAGTTACTATTAATCTCAATCTAATCCTGGCACACTGCACTCAGGGGAGACCCACCCTTCATTTCCTGCGTCGTATTCGTCTGTAATTGCAAGATTAAGACTACCTGGGAATTGGGAGATCTAATCAGTCATGATGTCAGTTCTGTCATCGACAGAACAGCCATAGAATAAAGTCTCACAATGCATTGTTCGAGAACAATAATAGCACGAGCATGAGCCTTGGCGAGCAATGTGAAACACATTGTGAGCCTAAGGCAGCCGATCACCTGGTCGCCCGCCTGTGATTGGCTGGCCGCTCCTGCCGAGCATTCTACGTACTTGTGTTCTTCACACCTTCGCTCCTTCCATCTTGACTCTTCAAGTGACACTTTTCCCCTATCTTCTTCTTCTTCGTCCTTTTATCTCATTTTCTTAATTTTCTCCCTTGGGCGCTCTGTCGTCCGTCCTGTCGTTCGGTCATCGATCGTCGTTATCGTCATCGATCTGCACTCGTTTATCGTGATTCATCATTCGTTAATCACATCGGCTCAAACTCGCAATTCTGCAGTAAGCCGTAATCGTCGCCATGTTCTCTCGCGCTCTAGGCTGGGCGAGTCTGCTCGCCCTGGGCCTCCAGGTATCCCAAGTCTCCGCCATCGCTAAGATCTCTGCCGTGGGCTCCAAGTTCTTCACGTCCAACGGCGATCAATTCTACATCAAGGGTGCGTTGCTCTCTTCCTCGTATTAAGTTGGCCTATACTGACTCACCAGGCGTCGCATACCAGCTGACGGATGATGATCCACTTATCGACACCGCCCAGTGCAAACTGGACGCTGCATTGATGAAGGAGCTCGGCGCCAACACCATCCGCGTATACCACGTCGACCCCAACGGTGACCATGACGGCTGCATGTCGGCCTTTGAAGACGCCGGCATCTACCTGTTTGTCGATCTCGAGACCTTCGACACCTCGATCAACCAGGTGTGTACTCTGAATATCCTTCTTATGTCGTCAATATTCTAACTTTGCAGGATTTCCCCTACTGGAACTCTACCCAGCTCGAGGCCTACGAGAAAGTCTTGGACACATTCCACAACTACGACAATCTGGCTGGTGTGCTCATCGGCAACGAAGTTTTGACCCGTCTCAACGGTTCCCAGGCTGCTCCCTACGTCAAGGCTGCCGCTCGCGATGTCAAGGCATACCGCGATTCCAAGGGCTACCGTAAAATCCCCGTCGGCTACGCGGCCGCTGACATTCCCAGCCTGCGTCCTATGTTGCAAGACTACCTGGCCTGTTCGACCAATTCCTCAGAGAACGTCGACTTCTACTCCCTCAACGCCTACGAATGGTGTGGTGACAACAACTATGCCGGCTCTGGCTACTCCATGCTGCAGAAAAACGCCACTGGCTACTCCGTGCCCATCTTCTTCTCTGAAACAGGCTGCAATGTAGCTCCCCCGCGCACATTCCAAGACCAGAGCGCCATCCTTGGCCCTGAAATGGAAGACACCTGGTCCGGCGCCATCATCTACGAATGGATTGAAGAAACCAACAATTACGGCCTCATCAGCTACGGCCCCAGCGTCGCTGCCGCCACTGCCACTGCCACTGACATTGTTGGTGGTTACACGCGCAGGGGAACTCCAACTCCCGTCTCCCCGGATTTCTCGAACCTGAAATCTGTCTGGAAAACACTCACCCCAACCGGTGTCAAGCTGTCCGATTACACAGCCTCGACCTCCACCATCACTCCTATTGCCTGTCCTGCCTCGACCAGTGGCGGCTGGGATCTCAATCCTAGCGCAGCGCTGCCCACTCTTGGTCAAACCGCTACTCTTCACGCTAGCGGTTCGACTGGAGCATCTGGATCTGGGTCTTCCAGCGGTAGCACTTCCACAGCGAGTGCATCCTCGTCCAAGGGTGCTGCGGCAGTTGGTGCTCGTCCCTTCTTCACCGAGGGCGCGACGACGGGCGTGTTTGTTGTGTATACTGCGGTTGTCGGATTTACCGGATTCATGTGCTTATGGTTGTAATCTACCCATTACTCTTTCTCAATTTCTGATTTGATTGATATCCCATGCTAGAAAGTTGTACGGGCTTTCCTTTTTTTTTTGCTTCTCTGTAAGAATATATTGGATGTTGGATCGATTTCGGTTCTCACGAAGACATGTCTACTTATTGAATACGCAGACAATCAAAATACAAGAACAGGATAAGAATAAGATCAGCATAGTTCTACCAAGTTGCTTTACCAAATAACCTGGCATGTGTAAGTGATAATGTAAAGAAAATCTATGCGCTAGTTAGTCCAGAATCACACTCATCCACCCATCCATCGTAATACATTGAGCTTCCCATGAATTATACAATATAAAATTAGTAGAGAGAAGAAATTTTCAATAGCGACAGAGAATTAAGAAAGAAAAGGAAACGAATCAAAGGAATGTTCAACAGGAATCTCAATTAAGATTGGCCAGTCGATCGTCACGCCTCATATCGCGGCAGCCCGAACTCGTCATCATCAAACAACCTTGGCTGCAGAACGAGATTTCGAGGAAGTAATTTGACGTCGTCGTGTCGGGGTTGCTCATGCCCGTACTCGGCACGCTTATCATACTCGTCGTGCGTCTGTCGAAGAGCCAGGTCATACTCGTTATCCGTCATCCCGTCCGACACGGGGCTTTTCGTATCACTGGGGCTGCTGGTCTCGCTGGCATATTCCGGATTCCGTGCGTGTCGCGACTTGAATCCAAAGTCTAGCAATTTCAATGCCGCTTTTGCATTCGCCGTTTTACTGGGTGGTGGGGTGAATGGGGAGGAAGATCGTGAGGTGAATGAAATAGGGGTGAGAGGGCTTACGGCCTCTTGGTCACCATGGGGTAGGGGTTGGGAGTGACGCGGGATTATGGTTAAAGGGCTTGGTTTGCGTTTTGGTGGTGGATTCGGGTTTGCCAGGCAGTGGATTGTGATGATGCCTTCCAACTGCAGGATTGTGCTGGCAAACTCGCGTTGCACGTTTCTCGCCAATATGCGGTTTTCCGGAGCGCGAGTCATCATTTCACGCACAACCTCGAGCATGGGCTCGACGGCGCGAAAGGCCAGACCCTTGCGTTTTTTGGAGTCGCGTGTCAACAGGCTGATCCATGAGGATACTTGGCCGAGATTAGGTGCAAGATGGAAAGAAGCGTCTGCCACCCCGCCTCCTCGCCCGGGCGTGCGGTTTTTGGCTGCCCGATGGCTAGCAAAGGCGGATAGCTTTCGTTCGCAGAGGACTGTGAAGATGTCGATGATGATGGCGCCGAGAGAGAAGATATCGGAGAGTTGGGTATTGGATTGTTGCGATTGCCATGTCCGGACAATCGTGGAGTTATAGGGGACGAATGGAATGGTGGTGGCATTTTGAGGGGAGGAGAGAGGTCGAGTGGTCGCATCAGATGAGTTGGAGGATGTTATAGAGGGGGTATAGAGGATAGGCTTTTTTCGGAAATACGCGCCTCCTCGAATTCCGTTACGACCAGAGCCTCCTGACGACGATGACCCGTTGGATGATTCCCCTGATCCCACTCTAATCACCGTTCCTTTAGACCCGCTCGAAGTCGATTGCATGGTGTTTTCCGTCATCCAGCTTTCCCGCACTTTTCGCTGCTGTTGCTGTTGCTGTTCCTGATTCTGCGAGAGTTTCGAAGCCGAAGCTGCTTTCCGAATGGTTCGGCCACCTGAATGATGGCTGATTTTTGATGTGTTAACCTCCTGGATGGCCGTTGTACGGATCCATCGTTCAGGGGCTGCGTATTGGTACGCTTCAATGTCATTGATCTTAGGCGGGTCAAGTAATGTGTCCATAGCTTCGAAATGGCCGAGAAAGATCCGATATTCATGGTCAACAAGAACATTGGAGGGCCGAATGCCACCGTGGCCCTGACCATGCGCATGGAGCCATGCCAGGGCACTCACAAGACAATGAGGCCAATTCACCAAGATATCGCGACGCTCGGGCTTCGCGAGCCGTTTGAAAGACTGTGGAGTGTCGGACAAGAATGAGGCCAATGTCCGGTCATACTCGCCCTTGAAGAGTACGTTGATACTATCATCGACAAAGTATGAGCCGTATATAGAAAACAGATGTTCGTGTGCCAACAGTCTCAACGACCGCACTTCTTCGAGCACCTCATCCTCTTCATAAAAGTGGGGGGCGGCGTTGATCTGGATCTGCGTGCGTATATACACCCGGCATACCGCGCCTGACAGCACAACTTTCTCGACCCCGTCTCTGGGATTTGAATTCACCAGCCCATTTTTGACGACTTCCACGGGGACGCCTTCATTACCCGTGTACTTTACGTGGTCTCCCTCAGCAATACCGCGCACAATATAGCGCCATTGTGCGAGGAAGAATTTATTCTGAAGCCCTGCTGCGGCACTCGAGCCTTCTGGCGCGAGATGCAGATCACTAACTCGTGCCTCGGCGAATGGGAGGTCAGAATCGTCGACACAATCATCGGCCAGGTTAAAGATCCGCTGGGGGACGCCGATGTCGTTTAGAATAAGAAAGAGTTTGCCGGCTCTGGTCAGAATCCATTCCAGATACGACTCGCTCGTGAGCCCCTCACCCCATGGCAGCAGCTCAAATAGACGGGTCTGATATTCAGGTTGCAGATGGGAAAGCACATATTGACGGCACAGAGTGGCATCTATCCTTTCATCCGTCCACCACAAGGAGGATACTTCCGACATGATGCCGGTGCTGGCATGCTGAGGGGCAGCAACAAGGGCAAGGTTTGTCCCAGAGCGGCGGGACCAGGTGTTATATGCCTCAGGACTCTAAACAGTATTAGGCTGGTACTAACATTAGGACTCTACAGAGACGGGACACTAACCACCAGGTATAGGAGGAGTCAGGACCAGCGTCCTAGCACGGTGTGGCGGTAGTCTCGCGGTTATTTAGCTGGAAATAGTCTTATCAAAGCTAGAGCAAGGGTGCCAGGAACCTATCGATCCCAGGCCAATAGTGTGTATCGTCCTGTCTTCGCCACAAAACAATTTAAATTGAGAGCACCGACAGAAACGTTTCTGCAATGATATCAGGCCAGGCTTCGTTTGGGGACTACGACGTTTTACCAGACAAGGGAAAGCGGGCTGCGCGAGCCATGGGCTTGTCTGAGCGTGGGACCAATCGGTGGGATAAGATAAGACAAGCGTCGAGAAAAGGGAACTAGAAAAAGCAAGTAAAAGCAGCGGATCACCGGGTCCACCCAGCAATTAACTAAATTAACTACTCAAGCAACAGGCCAACGGCTGCGGTTGCCGCCGTGCATGACGTGCGCTTACTGTGGACTCATTATTTCGTGCGGTGTTTGGAGCTGTATATATATATAGTCCATCCCCGAAACGGCGGGCTTTGCATCCGGTTGGCTGACATCCTGGCTGCTTCGTCCCAGAATTTGGGGGGAAGGGGATCCAGGGTGCAACGTCGGACAGAACTACGTCTTGAATGCCATAAGAGAGAAGACCTCCGAGGGATTATTCGATGGCCAGTCATCGTCCTCTGAGCGGGATCATATGCCAGCCGGGGCGCTATCGTCGTCACTATCGAATATCGATCGGGGGTCTTCACAGGCCAGGAGTCCAGGACATCAAAGTTCAGACTTCAAACTCTAGTCAGTGACTAGCACTGCAGGATCAATACACAAGCATAGCAGGGACTACTCCTAGGCTGTACTAGCCGCCCCCCCAAGTCGAGCCATCGGGGAACGGCTGCTCCACGCTGAGTGGAGTGGAAGGTCGAGTCTGTAGTATGCGTAGTACTGCCTGTTGGGGTCTGTAGTTGAGATCTTGACTCGCAGCCGTCTCCTTGCGCCGCAACCGCCGATAATTGAAATTAGACTGGCAGCTGCTGCAGAATGGCACGCGATAGTCAGCAATAGTCTGCCGTGAAAGTCAAACTGTCAGGTATGATCGAGATGCAATCTGCAGATCAGGAGAGCATCCCCATTCTCCCGCGATGCAAGGCCGGCTTGTTTCCACGGCCGCCAAGCAGAACCAAAGAACAAGAGCTAAATAGAACACTGATGCCCTCCGTGCGCACTGGAGAATCCGGAAGAGCGGGAGAGGGTGGAAATACACTATGCACCGTGACACACAACCGGAGTGTGCAGGTGTTGAGAAGGAAAGAGATAAGACATGTCTAGATCCGCTGCCGGAGCACCCCGCAGCCAATCAGCTCCCGCGCGCTATCAGCCACTCACGGGCCGAGATAAGCACTATTGACGACGCGTTTAGTCATAAAGCTTATTAGCGACTACACACGGTTGTGTCCTAGTGCTGTTGCTATGTGATTGTATCTTGATGGTTGATACTATTGTTGAATATGACGTTGAAGACACTGGTATTCTACTACTATAAGATCATCACTGGGAGTCTCGTATACTGCGGAAACAGTCATGCCAAATATCAGTGTAATATCGCAATATCTTAATAACAGTGTAGTATGTTCAAGAGTATGGTTAAAAAGTACGTTGTCGCCGCGCCTCCTGCCCCTGCTCCTTCTCCTCTCTGCGAATCTGCTCGCCTACTATGATGCTGAACAGCCGTTTGTGGAGATCGTCCTCCGTCCATCCCACCTCACCGCTGCCCCCATTCTGCATGTCGGCCTCGGCCAGGTCGGACACAAACCGGTCCACAATGCCAAACTGGATTTCAGCAATTGGGAGACCATGCTCGCCATCCGACGTCCACAGTGAATCGCCGATCATCTCGTCTCGCCGTGCATTCGAGTGGTAGGGGAATTGCTCCGGCTGTCGCTTGGCTAACGCGTAGAGACGCCTCAGCGCAACGTAATGAGCGTCTGTGAAGTATCCGGATGTCGCCAGTGCCCTAAGGCGAGGCTTTTTGACTTGCGGATCACGCTGATCACGGTGATCTTCGGCATCCACAGGCCAAGGTGGATCTGATTCCACCTCTCGGGTACGCTTTAAATTTGGCGTCGCTTCCAAGCTAGGAGAATGCGGCATATTGCCATTGTCGTGGAAGGGCGGGCTGAAAGACTCGTCCAGGGGCTTATCTGCCTCGACAAAGTCCTCTTTTTCAGACTTTGTCCACCACCCAGGAGTGAAATTGTTCGTGAGTCGGCGGAACCATGACGGATTTGAGGCAGTATTCTCACGAGTCGGCGTGATTATTGGGTCTTGGATTCGAGAATCGTGTTCTGGGGTAATCGTTTCTTGATAAGATGCACCCATCTCATGCTCTTCTTCATCTGTGGTTTTATTCGGGGCTTCATCTCGAGCGACTTCTTCAGGTTCAATGTCGTCAAGGTCGCCATCATCAGGACGACCGAGCCTCGAAGATGGTAGTCTGTCACGAACCGTAACACCCTTGGGAACCTCAATTCTCCCATTGGCAGAGGAGTGGGATTTCTGGCTGGCGACTGTGTGAGGGCTGCCATTTCCGTAGTATTTTCTAGACTTGGGTGTATCACGGGGCTTCAACAGAAACGAAATATCAACATCTTCGTCTCGTAGTTGTTCCATTCGGGACCTTCCCAGCGGTGGCAGTTCACCGCTGTCTGGATTCCAATCGTACTGTGTACTGTATCTCGTATTCAAGTCACCTTGTTGTGCCCGCTTAGGGGGTTCTGGTTGAAAAGAAGCCTGATCCTCTGCTCGAGACGCGCGGAAATCCGAACGCCTATCAGAACTCCAGTCATGACTCCTGGCTTCCACCTGCCATATATCCCCGTAGTTTGTATCATCCGCCTCTCCCTCTTCCTGATCTGCTTCGTCAAGAAGTGACTCTTGCTCCTGGTCCTCGCTCTGCAATACATCCTCTTCGTCGCTTTCGAGCACAATAACATCACTTGATGCAGCCATCTCAATTTTTCGACTAATCTCTTCCCTTTCTTGTTGCCACTGGGCTTCTTGTTGTGCCATATTTGGATATTCTTGTCTAGGGGAATCGTACCGACGAGCCGGTTCTTGTATAGAGCTGTTTCGCCTTCCCTGTCCTAATCTCGTGGTTCTTTTTTCTTCCTCATTAATATACCTCTCCGTTCTCATGTGGCTACGAGCGAGTTGTTCTCCAAATTTAAGACCAGCTTGAAGTTGGCGTTGCATATTAGGGTTCAGGTCACTGAATATACGTTCTAATCTTTTCCTTGAGTTCGTCAGCTCTTCGTCGCTTGCTCCAAAGCCTATCTGCGGTCGCATGGTACGATGTAGAGCAAGTCCAATTCGAACAATTCGCGCAATATTCGGATAAGTTCGCGTTTCCTCGTGTTGATCTTGAATTACAGAACGGTCTCCAGCAACGTTGGAGTATCTTTCTTCACTTTGTTGGAATCCAGAAGTAGTCTTTGCGGATGTCGATGCAGCACTCTGTGTGCTCTTGTCAAATGCAACTGGTGATTTTGACTTCTTATCGTAAGAAATTAGATTGTGTCTTTCAATAAAAGGGTTGAGTGACCCTTTGGCGGAGTTTAGAGTGGAGTTAAATCCCTCTTGTTTTGCAGAGGGGAGGGTGTCCAAGGACACCATGCTGAAACCCTCGCTCTCCATAATTGTGTCGAATTCATGGTGCTCGTCGGTCGGGTCTACAATTGTAGTACGGGCCTTGTCGCCTTCCTGATGTAGCTGCTTTCTTGAGCTGCCCTGATTCTCGTCAACAAGAGACGATGATGCGGGAGTTGGGTAGCTTCTTCGAACTCGAGGTGTGTGCCCCGCGTGTAAGGTATTTTCCGGCGATGTCGCTTGCACTCTGCGCGCAGCGGCAAGTGTTTTGAGGGGTGTCGAATCCGAAGTGCCTTCTATTACACGGGTAACCTTGATGCTTTCTGGGTGGGAATTTTCTGAAGCACTTGGTGGAGAGAAGCGATATAAAGACCTAGTTGCCCGTTGTCCCGTACCTAGAGTGCCAGACCCCACAATGTCGAGAAAAGGATCTAATTCAAGCTGAGAGTCCGCCAGCGATACGTGATCTGCTTCCATAGAAGGCACCGGGGAGTTCGTTTCGAAAGCTCCATCTAGAGAGGTTGGGCTGGTGACGGGATGTTCATCGGTTTCAATACTCTGCGCAACCATCGTTGATTGCACGCTCTTGCGTGGTCTGCCTCGCGGTCGTTTTTCAGGAGATGCAGGCTTCCGCTTTGGTGTGCGCCCAGGGCTTCCTTTGTTTGGAGTGGCATCTTGATCTTGTACGTCCGATTTACGAGGCCGTCCTCTTCTTTTTTTTGCAGATGGGGGGTTCCATTCTTCGTCCTTAAGGGGTACCTTGGTAATCATGGTCGAAGGTTTGAGCTTCTTGCGTGGGCTGCCTTGCGCATTTTCGTCCTCGTCTTGTTCCGCCTCCACTGTAACTCGAATTCTCCAGGGACTGAGATTACCCTCCGATTGCATCTTAGTTGGGGATATGGATCGCTGTCTATTGGTGACAGACATGGGCGACTTTGGCGGCAGCACGATGTCATCGAAGTGGATGGTTTGCGCGCTCTTGTTGGGGCTTCGACTGGGAAGCCGCGCTTTTCCTCTGGGAGTCTGCAGACCATACCGCGGAAGCCGCCCCTGGCGCCCCAAAAAGTCGGGTGCCGGTGACGAGATGAGGTACATCGCATCGCCTTCGGGGCCAAGCACATCTGGCGACGAGGTCGGGTTTCGAGATGACGAGGCGGACATGGTGTTGGCGGCATGCGATGGGCCAGGGCAACGATCAGCCGAAAAGAGCGGTTGCTGTGCGGGCAGAGGTCGCCAGTGTCACGAGTGTTGGTTTGGCCGCCGCAGCGCGCAGTCAATCCGTCTTTGCCACAGGCGGTCAATGATTCCTGCTGTACTTGAATCGGTCGCAAAGCATCTTGAAGCGGAATCGGGTGTCGCGGGGCGAGCTGTGCCGTCGACAATAAACAACTCTCCCAATCTAGCAGTAGTGCATCGCAACGCCCAAAGAAGACTAGTGTGGTCAGGTGATTTACTATTCCCCTTTTGTATTACAGAGGACTGACGGGTGGGTCTAACTTTTTCCTAACATTAGACATAATCGTGCCAACAGATATACTATCATCAACCAGCTTAGGCCTATCTAGATTGTAAAGGATCCCACTTTTTATTATGTATGATCAGATAAAATCTCAGGCTCGTGTCGTGTTACATACCAAATGGTCCCCATAGGTGTACAAAAACCCCTCAGGAATAATATCGTACCCTGCATTGCTGCCGCCAAGATCTGCCTCCAGAATCTCTCCGTACGACCACCGTACACTCAGCACGGTCATGGAAAACAGCTGCAGGAACAATGTTACATCAATCGGCAAGGATGACCCGTCTGAGCCAGGCTAGCTTAGTTGCAGCAGGCGTGGACTCCTCATGCATGAGCCATCGGCGCCGAGAAATTTCTACGAGGAACCAATGAATCGGTCATGTTTGGGATATATCCGCTGCTGCACCTTACAATCGAAATTACGTGGATGTCACCAAGAACTACATTTACTTCGCTTGGAATATTTGCACGTTTGAACACCTATGAAATAAGTATTACTTTAAATCTTGATAAAGATCGGTGACATTTACCCCTATCTTAATCTGGCTTACTTTGACTTGGTCTGCCGCTTTTTCTGAGCAATCAGTCTACCCTTTCCCCTCATTTCAACAGTTAAATATTAATTTATTAATTGAATATTAGTCGTCAAGCGGAGCTTGCTTGGTTGAGGGGCAATGAGAACGTTAACTCTTCAATGGCTTAATTTTATTGAATACCACAAAGTGGGAACTTTTTGACATCAACTATATTTTACAAGTCAATATTCTTCATTTATTCCATGCTGGAGACAAGAACATAGGGTATACACAAGTTGATGAGACCTTAAGTTTTAGCTCTCCTTTTGTCTTGTCTACGAGTGCTACACAGAAGCTATTGGCCTTATAGCAATACAGTCCCTCATACCGACGTGCTTAGGTTTAGGGCCGTCACATCAAGCCTCATCTAGAGTCATCGCCGTTATACTTAGACACCAACGCAGACATAGTACCCAACCCAGAGAGACTGACAGGTGTCCCCAACCGCCGGGTTCCAGCTATAGCTATACAGATTATCAGCCACCCATCCTGATCAAGTTAAGGAGGGGAAGGAGGCTAACTTACAACTGAGAGACTGAAATGCCATACTGCTGGCAAATCTTCTCACAATAATCACCAGACTGCACCTTATAGTACTTATTGCAGTTGCTAGTAATACCAGTCTGCTCGGGTTGAGGGCCAGACGGGGCAGTAGAAGTAGGTTGGGTAGGAGTGCCGGGAACAGCAACACAGTAATAATAGCCCGCGAACAAGCCAGAGCAACTCGACCCGACTGCAGGGTTCCACGACTCAAAGTCGGAGACGGAAAAGGTACCAAAACTAGTGGCGATAGAGTAGCAGCTATCACCAGACTGAGCTTTGTAGAATTTCGTACAGTCAGAGACAATGCCACTCTGTGTGGGAGAAGGTCCAGAGGGAGCCGTGGTAGTAGTCGGTCTGGAGGTTGGTGTTCCAGGGATGGCGACGCAATAGTAGTAGCCGGCCCATAGACCTGAACAGCTAGAGCCAACGGCTGGATTCCACGATTCAAAGTCGGAGACTGAAAAGGTTCCAAAGGCACTGGCGATGGAAGAGCAAGAGTCCCCTGATACGGCCTGGTAGTACTTTGTGCAGTTGGCAGCAATACCGCTCTGTGTAGGCGATGGAGCGCCGTTACCTGTGGCAGTGGCAGTGGTAGTGGTAGCGGTAGTGGCAGCGGGGACAGTGGTCTTTGTGGGAAGGGGACCTGACCACTGAACGCAATATGACTGGCCCACGGTGACACCGTTACTGCAGTTGGCGCCGACTTGAGAGTTGTACTCTTCAAACTGAGTCGTTGTGATACCCCAATCATCAGAGATAGACTGGCAGGTGTCGCCGTTGTTCGCGGTGACGGAATAAGAGCAGTCTCGAGGCCCAATTGCAGCAGAAGCGGCGCCGGCGAGGGCGAGGCTAGAGGTGAGAGATACCAGGAAGCGAGCCATTTGCGATGATTTATGGCCAAGATCTTTACTTGCGGTGAAGAGAAGAGACAAGAGAAAGGATCACCATGAGATAAAGAAGAGAGCGAGAAAGGAAATTGATTGGCTCTGAGACATATATCCTTGCTCTCTGGAGATTCCCCGGGCTGGTGTGAACCGGCATGCGAGGAATCGGGTGTTCCATGGTACTGTGATATCAATGGGTCGTATTGTCTAGTTAGCTTAAGAGTGAACAATGGCCTGATGTTTGTACCTTGTACAGGGTATGTAGATTAACGGTGCTCTAGACCCATGAGAAATTTTCAGTATGATGAAGTTACACTGCACAAAAATGGGAATAGGAATGCGATGGGCACAGTGGTTAGTTCCGTCCGTGGTTACCCGACACCTATCCTGCCGATTGGACCCTGCATCTGTCCACACTCGGCACTAGAGAGGTAGGGAGCTTTAGAGACCAAATATACCCCAGTTCTCGAGAAATGCCTCTTAAGAACCATCTGGCCAATCATATCAGAAGTCCAGCGATCTAACATGCATAATGAACTCGAGTTAGACAGGGCAAGACTGTGACGGCCAATAGGTAGGCTACGATGCTGATAATGGCAAGGAAGTAAAGGCTTACTGAGCATCAGCCCCCGTTAGCCTTCCCAGCGATCACTAACTCGTGTCTGTCATAGCCGAGAGCTGGGTATGGACGTTCGGGCTACATATAATAATCATAATAATCATAATAATGATGAAATGAGTTTAGCCCAGATCCCTTGAACCTAAATGAAATTGCCTGAGATACCTTCTCTCTCAGTACGTATTACAACCGGGTGGGAGCCTGTAAGCCTCACTGCTGGTGTACCTTGCAGGGCTTTTGAGAATAGGGGATTTCTGCAACTGTGATCGGCCTCTGGGACGTATCCATCTCGGGTTGTTTGAACACGTCAGCCGAGCTGAGAATGATACCGAGTGGAAAGGCAACGAAAGTGTGAAAATGAAAGAATAGCTCAACGACAGGGAGCCCGATTTAAAGCACGTTGATCTTACACTCTTCAGTAGTAGATATATTTATGCATATAAAGACGGGAAGACATAAACTAGGTACACATAAAATTGAGGACTAGAATTACGGGCCATGGATAATTTGACCTGATACTGTCCTTGACATGACTATACAATCAGTGAACTACTAGCATGCCATTTCCATATTGTCTAACACTTGCTTCAACTGGGCCACATTATCCACATGCCCACCCTCCGAGTTCTTGAGCCACCTCTTTTTGAAATCCTTCACAGTCAACCCCTGATTTGCCGCCACAGTCGCCGGAGCATCAGCTACGTTCACGGTAAGGGCAGGAGCCGCACCATCATAGAGGGGAATCGATGTAGTCACCACGTGTATGTCACTATTATCTGGATTCCCCGTGAATGTCGTCATCATAGCATTGCGGCGCATAGTGCGAACTGCCTGAATGTTCGTCTTGAGCAAGTTGGCGTTTCCCGGGGAGCGAATGGCAAGATCGATGGCAATCCACCCAAGCTTGAATAGGAAGTCGCTGTACTTTGCTCCATTGAAGCCAGGCAATGCAGGTCCTAACTTGATAGGTCCGGCGAAATCTCGCCCCTCAGAGTCTTTGATCGCGAGACCTTGGGCTGTCTGGTCCATGTTGGGCAGTGTTGGGTAAGAGGTCGCCGGGGCGGCTCGGGTAGGAAGTTTCTCTGGTTCTTTGGCCAGATAGCGGAGGAGTTGGTCCAGTGTACAGGGACTGCCCCGTGTGCCCTTGCAACCGGTCGCAATCTGCTTCGGTGTGCCGCCGTTGAGCTGGGCATCGATGGAGTATAGGTAGTAGAGGAGAACACGTTCATAGCCGCCAGGCTCTGAGTATGCGCCTGTCTGCGTGATTCCGAAAAAGAAGAGGAGAAGAGTAACGAGACGCATTGTGAGATGAGACAACACGTAAAAGTTGGTACTGGCTTTGAGAGGTGACACTATAAGGGAAAAGAAGATAATTTTAGAACAACGGTCAAGAAGTGACCGTCACGAGTGTGAGAAGGAGACTGTCCAGCATCAATGTCTCACAGTCACACGGAGATAGACCCTACTAGAAGCATAACCTAAGTCGGGCATTCTGTCATGTATTTCAAGCATGGCTGCATCAACCAGCTTAGGCCTCTCTAGATTGTAAAAAGGATCCCACTTCCTATTATGATCATTTAGGCCTAGTAATAAATTATTATGGGTTTGGATAAGCACTAGTCCTTAGTGCTTCATTAAAATTACTTCAGTGCCACTGTACCACATGGTCTCCATGAATGTACAAAAACCCCTCAGGAATTATATCGTGCTGTGTATTGCTGGCGCCCAAGGTCTGCCAGCACAGCCACCAAAAACAGCTAAAATCACAATGCTACATCAATCGGCAACTTACCGTCCGAGCCAGGCTAGCTTAGCCGCAGTGGGCGTCGACCCCTCATCTATCTGCCATCATTCAACGAGGAATCAGTGAATCGGCCATGGTTGATGTTTGGAATATATTAGCTGCTGTACCTTACAATAATCGAAATTACATGGATGCTCGATCCGCCTTACTTTGACTTGGTCTGCCGCCCGTTCTGAGCAACCAGTCTACCTTTCCCCCCCATTCCAACAGTCAGACATTTATTCATTGTTTGAACATTTCCCACGACATGGCAGACAACAACATCGTAGACCGCTTGAGGTCGGTGGCCTTCGACCTTGGTGAGGCCAGGAACGCTCTTCGTGGCAAAGCCGTCCCTACGGCTCTTGGGCGCAGACTCACGCGACTTTGCATCATCTGTGGCATTCGATATCACGAGCAATTTGCCGAGAATCCAGACCTAGAACAGCTAAGCCACTATGTGCCAGAAGTCTTACGTGCCTTGAACGCTCGCGCGATCATGAGCAACAAGATCCCCTCCATGCCTGAAGCGCGAGATAGACCCTACTGCATCTGGTACCCTCAGGTGGCATCGCAAGACACTTACAGGAAGCTGTGGCAGCAGTATCCTGACATGTCGTACCAAGTTGCTCGCGCGTGTGCCGTAGCCAACTATGTGGAACTGTATCTCGAGATGGATTTGTTACCTGACACCTCTGTTGCTGAGGAAGCCCGTGCAAGTGGGTCCATGGAAATATATGAAGCCATCATGCGGAATCCTGTTCAATATCGCATCATGAATGATTACACAAGAGAAATTACTGTGCAGAATCCGAATCCTGCATGTTTGAACGATGATACCGCCATCGTGTCTTATCTCGATGTTAAACAACGCGTCAGACACACTGGAGGCATAGAGGAAGAACCTATTTTGGAAAACACTGAACAGCCCCAACAAGCCGCCGATGACGATGATGACATGGGGTTTTTATTCCCCTTTCCCGGGTTTGATGAGCAAATTTTCAACATTACAGAGGACATGAACGTGGGGGAGGTGGATTGGAAAGACGAGCTGTATGCAGAAGGACCGCCGATAGATTACCTACCTGAACTTCTCTCTCAACCTCTTCCCGTTCATTTGCCACAGGGCAACAAGGACCTTCTGATCCTGATGGCGGCCTACTATGGTAACATCGAAAGATATGCTAGACTGCGTCGTCCTCGCATGATTGACAAGGAGCTAGGGTGCCTCGTGCGTGGGATCTATCACAACTCTATGTTTGCCCTCTGGTGTGCGAGCCAAACTATGGAAGACTATGCAGCCAGCCATGTGAAGACAGCAATACATGCTCGGATGATTATGAACAATGACTTGAGTCGTATCATTAATCTGGACACGAGGCAACCTTCTAGAGACTTTTTCTGCGCCATGCCATATTTAATCTGGTTCCCTACAGTAGCTAATCGCGGGACGTACAAGCTTTTAGCGACTACAGTCCCTGAGATGAGACCGTCAGTCTTACACGCAGCGGTCTTTGCACAGGATAAAGCCCTCTTCGACTGGATGCTAGACGTGCTTCACGTGGCCCCTACTCCATTTGCTTTTCGAGAAGCCGCGATTCAGCTCACGGGAGAAGTGCACTCTTCGTACTTTAGACGTCGTCTAGAAGCTCGCAGTCAAGAACTAGGGATAGATCTTCTTGCTCCTATGCAAAGTTGGAAATTTTACTCGGCACGATCGGGGCAGCAAATACCGCCTAGTAACTGGTTGGCAAAGAAGGTGATGCCTCTGCAAGTTACCAGCGAGCAGTCGGATTGGGGAATCTACAATGGATTCTATGTTGATGCTTCCTCAGTGGAGTTGTTTGCATCAGCGCCTGAATCTTGGCGTCCGGACAAATGGCAAGTTGAAATAGACTATCAAGACTGGCCGAAGAGTGGAAGCACTCACGAGTAGCTTAGAAGCCATTGAGCTCCTAATTGAACTGCTTTACTAGTGTCCCGCTAAAATAACCCTAGGCAAATAATACATGACAATACTACGTGCCAAATACCACGCACTTGCTACTACATGTCCTAAAACTGTGGTCTAATCAGCACCTAAATCCACCTTCTTAATTAATATTGAGTGCTTACTTTGCTGGTTTATAGGCCCTGTTCTCAACTGGCTATTTGTTGTGTCTTGTTCTTAAAAATTAAATATTAAAATATTAGATTGGCTTCAACATAGCGCTTAATTACTGGGGGCGGTCACTGTGAGGCTGAGCCCCTTGGCGTCAAGCCTTCGGCTAAGGATGCCGATATGCCGCTAGGTGAGTGACATGTGAGCCTCGGGCCGACCCTTATCTAGACCAGCCAATCGGAACATATCAGGGCGGGGTACATGCAGCATTACTGCTTACAGTGGGCCGTTGATTTTTGCGCCGCATAAATTTAGTCTGACCCTGCTATGTATACAGGGATACGAGTCAGGGCCAGAAATCCGATGTAGCATTTGTTCCTTACAGGAGACTCCCATGCATGGTAAACTATGTGTACTACAAGGTTGCTATTGTTTCACTTCCCCTTGGATTTTTATTTTCTGAAGCGGAGTAGGCAGGGCACTCCCTTCTTGAATATGTACCTCTTCACTCTTCCCACTGTGAATCATTCGTCATATCAAGACTCGTCGCGCTCATCACGCTTTCCTCAATCATCTGGCTTCATATGTCCAAGGCCCTTGCAAGGTTACCCTGCACTTTTACAGACGCGACTCGGCCTCTGGCCTCCAACGTGTACAATATGAGCTGCTCTATCATATCAGCAACGATATGGCTTCTCTTTTATTTTCAAGCTGTATCTGGCACCTTCTTGTCCCAGATCCAGCCATGCCCTGACTATTGCGGAGATAAAGAACCGAAAGATTGGACTGTCTACTCGTCATTGACGCCTCTGAGCCAGTGTAGCCAGCCAATGCTTTTTGACTTTAACATTCACAGTCCTGTTGACATAGACACCGTCTTTAAGCTGCGTGCTTGCAATGCTGGCCATGCCATGCCTTCATCTGTGGCTCACGTTGGCGAGGGCCACACCAACAAGGCCGCCCGCTCCGTTGCAGCTCATGTAGCACGCGGGAATGCATCCGACGGCAGCTCTGGAACGGCTATCGAGGTTTCGTTTCAATTGCTGGCTGGAGGGCCTCCAGCATCCACAGTTACTGATGATTACAAAACCATCCTCTCCGCTGCGCAAAAGCGTCTCCAGAGCCAGGCAAAGAACCAGACTGATGCAACTATTCTCTTTGGCTATTCCAACGGGGTTGCTGTTGGCATGTTTGTCGGGGCTGGCATAGATCCTGCCGCAACTCCTCAAGTTTTTAAATATTTACTTGATCAGCAACCGGGAAGCGAAATGGTGGTCCAGCTTTGTGATGACAACCGCACAGGGAACTACGTCTATGGCCTGTCTGTCAACACGGATGGCAACATTAGTTCGATTCAAAACAATGTCCTCACCTGGTGGAATGCCAAGTGTGTGGAGAGGAGCTCTTCTGATATCACCAGTCAATCCTTCAAAGTCAACATGGTAGACCGGAACTCAGGCGAGATGACTTCTTCATCTGTCAAGACTCGCAGAGACGGAACTTGTCGAACTGTCACTGTGGTCAGTCTCGATTCTTGCGGAAGCCTGGCCTCAGAGTGCGGCATATCCGCCAATGATTTCGCAACATACAATTCGCAGCACACAAATCTCTGTTCGACCCTCGCCGTCGGAGAAAAGGTATGCTGCACACCAGGCGGGCTACCCAACTGGCAGCCCTCAGCCAATTCGGATGGAACATGTGTGGTGTACAACGTTCAGCCCGGCGACAACTGTGATGCCATTAAGGCCAACTATGGATGGCAAACTACCGACCTCAACTCTTTTAATAACGGGACTACCTGGGGATGGACAGGCTGTGACCCACTCCAGGCGGGACTCGCCATGTGCGTTAGCAAGGGAACTCCCCCTTTACCTGCGAGTGTCAGCAATGCCATCTGCGGCCCCATCGTGCCGGGGACAACACAACCTGATAACGGTACAGCCATTGCTGATCTGAACCCGTGTCCACTCAACTCTTGCTGCGACATTTGGGGTCAGTGCGGCATCACAGAGGCCTACTGTAACCCTAACAAGGGCCCTACCGGGAACCCGGGAACGGCTCCTCCAGGAGGATATGGTTGTGTATCAAACTGCGGTACAAATGTAACCAACAATGGATCACCGCCGTCCAACTTCATCTCGGTTGGATACTATGAGGAATTCAACTGGGGCCGCGAATGTCTAAACATGCGAGTCTCGGATCTGCAAGGCAGTTCCTACACTCACATTCACTGGGCGTTTGCTGGGCTGAACGGTGACTTTTCCGTCAACATTACTGACGACGGTAACCAGTTTCCAGTATTTCTTAACCTTACGGGGGTTAAACGCATCGTTTCCATTGGAGGCTGGGGATACTCGACTGATCCGTCGACTTATGCCGTGCTCCGCAGTGCCATGACGGATGCAAACCGGGATACGTCTGTGAACAATATTAAAAACTTTGTGACTCAAAATAAACTTGATGGCATTGACATTGACTGGGAGTACCCTGGTGAGGTAAGCAGCTAACCCGTGGAAAACTTTCCCTTATCAGATACAGGTCAGTGTTAACATCATTTCTTTTTAAGCCGGATATTCCAGGTATCCCCCCAGGTCAATCATCCGATGGGCCAAACTACCTCAAGTTCCTGCGAGCATTAAAGATTGCGCTCGGTGAGACAACCTCAGTCTCAATTGCTGCACCAGCTTCCTACTGGTATCTGAAGGAGTTCCCTATCCGGCAGATGAGTGGAGTGGTTGACTATATTGTTTATATGACGTACGATCTTCACGGACAGTGGGACTACGGCAACAAATTTGCACAGGAAGGTTGTCCCGATGGTAACTGTCTCCGAAGTCACATCAACCTCACCGAAACAGAGTATACCCTTGCCATGATTACCAAGGCGGGAGTCAACGCCAACAAGGTCGTTATCGGTATCTCTGCGTATGGCCGTTCCTTCGGAATGACGGACCCGAGCTGCACTAGTCCTGATTGCACTTTTCAAGGTGATGTCGAAGGTGGCACGGGGAGCGGGTCAACGGCAGATTTTGGACGTTGCACTGCTACTCGTGGCTATATCTCGAATGCTGAGATCTTCGAGCTGATTGAAAATGGTGTCGCTAAGGGATGGTATGACGACGGTTCCAACTCGGATATGGCCGTTTGGGATTCGACCTGGGTTGCGTATGAGAGCCTTGCCACCCGCAGCTCCCGGACCAGCTTTTACAAGGGTCTCAACTTTAGGGGCACCATTGACTGGGCTGTTGACCTGCTCGCCTTTACCGGTGACGATGGAGACGAAACAGACCCCAACAGCAGTGACGGTGGCGGTACTGGCGGACCCCCCTTGCCGGATCTTTCTTGCCCTGGCAACTATACGACACTCGACGATATTGAAGCTGCAGCTGACTCGATGCCATCACTGTGTGCTGCCATATACATGGTTCAGGCTCTGCAAACTATTTACAACAATGCCATGATTCAGTACAATTCCATGATGACGAACGGGTACGACTCAAAGTTCCAAATCTATGCAGGCGTTGTTGTCGATCACGCCGGAGACTCTATGACGCAAATGATCTACCAGAACGGAACCAATTACTTTGCTTGCATCGTGGCAGAGATGAACTTTTGTTGTTCTGTCTGCAATTCTGCAAATCGCGGTTGTGACTATTGTCGTAATGACACCACGGGCTGTACAAAAGTTTGCAACCCCCGTTTCGGTTGTTCTGAAGAACCCGGGCTCGGCGAAGCAGGCTTGTTCGTCCGTGAAGTTGAACCCATACCTGGATTCTCCCAGGAACCCGAGCCGTGCCCGCCTGACTATTCAAAGCACGGCTATGGTGAAACTGACATAAGCGGGACCCCTTCCACCTCTATCTGGTGGAGTTTCCAAAACGACAACACCACGGCTCAGTTTTATGCCGACCTTTACTCCCAGACGGCTATTCCAAAGAACAAGACGTCAATCCAGACCCACGTTCGCACTACCAATGATTGTCCGCCATCGGCGTCTCAAGGTGACGGTAATGACTGCTGGAACCTTGGTGTAGATTATACCATGCCATACATCAACAACTATACAGAGGCCGATGTTATCAACCCTAAGGACGTTGTCACGAAGGCTACATCCAGCGCAACCAACCTAGAAGGTCAGATTAGCGATGTCCTCGAGTGGATGCAGGGTATACTATATGATGGTGAATTCATGGACGTTGTCGATACCATCTCTATCCCCATCATGATGATCAACTCATCCATTACAGAAATGGCAACCATTGAAAGCGTCGCAGATGAGATTACCAGAGAAAAGCGTATGGAAATAATCTTGGCCTTCTTTGGTGCTATCCTGTTCCTGGTCCCTATTGCCGGGGAGCTCCTTGGCTCTGTTGCAGAACTTGCAGAGATTGGAGCCATCGTCACTGCTGCTGGAGATGTTGGCAATGTCGCCTTTGACATTTATTCCGTCGCCAGCGATCCTAAAAACGCGCCTCTCGCCATCATGTCGGCCATTTTTGACCCGTTGGCTTTGCTGGATGCTGCTAAGGTGGCTAAGGCGGCTAACATCAGGAGAGGCATGTCTGCTGGGGATATTTTGAAGCTGGGTGACCAGGTTAAACCTGTATTAGACAAGATTGGCTCCATTAAGTCAAAGTCTAGCTGCAGTTTCAAAAGGTAAGGAGGTATTAATATAAAGATGAAGGCTCTATACAACAGCATCACGACTGCAGAATGATACCCAGACAGCTACATCACCAGATTATAGCACGGTTAAGGTCTGAGTGGCCCAAGACCGATGAATAAATTTGATATATTATATTCAAAATATTTAAAGTATATTTCTAGTAAATAGAATAAACAGTTTTTTATAATAATTAGAATAAAAAAATTAATATATAGCATAGTACATAATAATATACATATGTATATATCAAAATACCGCACAAGGCATTTCTTTCTATTACGAGTTGGAAGTAGGTAAGGAAGCAGCTTGAAGTATACATGTACATATATGTTCACATTTGTGTGCGAACAAGCCAAGCATGTCATACACGTGGCGAACGTTCCAAGAACATGATTTGCTATAATAGCTTCAGCTCTGCTCAAGCAATAACGGCTTGGCTGGGGTAATACACATACTGACTGTCTTTTGCCTATTTACTTACTGCGATATCGCAGAACTCGGATAAACTGATTCACAACAGCCAGAGCAAGTCAAGTAGTCGGGTGCAATGACGCACGCGAGACAGCATTGACCGCGAGCGACGGTTAATAGCATCGCAATACAGCTGCCGCTAATGCTGCCAACAGCGTTCTGAGATGTCGTCACGGGGCTGTTCCCAGTGCGGAGGGACGTACATGTACAGGTCACGGGAGAATAACAGGCCAAGTTCCAGCATGCCTTGAATCAATGTTTCCCCGGCCGAATGTCGATCAACTGCGGGGCACGGCGCTAGCACCAGCCTACCGTGCAACCAGCCTATCAGTGACGTGCACCCCGCCGGACTTACTGTTACTGGCCTAGGACGCCCCATTCGGTGCCTTTCCACATCAGGACTAGCGGTCAGCTTGCGATCTTTCCTGCTTGCCATGTGTGTTCCTCGACCAACCACGCTGATCACCGCATCCAACAACTCCAGCTCCACGTTACATTCAATTAGCTGGTCTCTAGAGAAGCTTGACCCCTCTTCGCTGCCTCCTCTCATTGGGGGCTGCTGCATCGCCCACCAATCGCGGTCGGACTTCCAAGCTGTACCCCAGACGCTGACTTCATCTCCGAAATCAAACAACAACACCAGCCTCCATTCCTCTCTAGTACAATCGCGTACCGCCAATTGTCCAATCCTAGCCATTGTTTCTTTGTTTTCTCCACAAGGCAGCTAGCGTAGCTTTCCCCGCTTGCTAGAAGGACAGAGACAGAAAAAAAAATGCGCGCGTACAGGTCGGCGGATTGTTGCATTTAAGTCCCGGAATGCCCCTTGCTGCACACCGAGGAGTGCTCCCCCGGCTCCATCCAAGCTTGTCCTCGCTGCTTCATAAACCCCGTCTGTGGCGTCTTGTTGCAGCTGTGTATGCCCTGGTGTTCCTGGTTGTTTCTATATCCCTGATCTCCAGAATGCATTTCAAGAGCTATCTCTCTGCCACGCTGTTGGCGCTCCCCGCACTGGGCAGTGCCACCGCCAACGACCACCCGGATCCCTTCAAGGTCTACAACATCACGGCCGAGAACATCACTGCCTCGTTCATCGGCTATGGTGCGCGCCTTATTGCTTTATACGTCCCAGACAGCAATGGCACTGTGCAGGATGTCGCCGTTGGTTACGATGACCCCAAGACCTATCTGCACGACACAGAGACCAACCACACCTACTTTGGTGCCACCGTCGGTCGCTATGCCAATCGCATCAAGAATGGCACCTTCACCATTGATGGGAAGACATACCATGTTCCCACCAACGAAAATGGCGGTGCCGACACGCTCCACGGCGGCTTCGTCGGCTACGACGCCCGCAACTGGTCGGTGACCGCGTCAGCAAAGGACAGCATCACCTTCTCTCTGCTTGATAGCGGCTTTGAGAAGTTCCCCGGTGATGTCCTCAACCATGTCACCTTCACCGTGGATACCGAAGTCACCCCATTGAACCCCAAGGGTCTTCCTCAATTGACTTCCAGAATCGTGTCTCTCTCCCTAACCGAGAAGACTCCAATCATGCTGGCTAACCACGTCTATTGGAACTTGGACGCGTTCCAGAGCCCGACAATTCTCAACGATACTTTGCACATGCCATTGGCTTCGCGCTACGTCGGTGGTGACAGCATCCTCATTCCCAACGGCACCATCATTGAAGTCAGCGACACCCCGCACGGCGCCATCGACTACACCACCGGCAAGCAGGTCGGCCAGGACTTCGCCTACGCCGAAGGTATCTGTGGCTTCAACTGTACCGGCGTTGATACCTGCTTCGTCAACGACCCAGAGCCTTTCTACCCGGCCGGTGGTCTTGTCCCCATCATCCACCTCTCCTCTCCCTTCACTGGCATCACTCTCGATGTCGCCACCAACCAGCCAGCCCAACAGATCTACACTTGCAACGGCCAGAATGGCACTATCCCCATCAAGGCCTCGCAAAAGGCCCGCAATGAAGCCGCTGGCAAGGGTGGTGTTGACTACGTCAACAAATGGGGCTGCATCGTCATTGAGACTGAGGGATGGATCGATGCCATTAACCAGCCTGAGTGGGCCCAGCATGAAATCTACGCCCCTGGTGATGTCCCGACGGTCAACTTGGCTACCTACCAATTCGGTACCATCTAAAGACCGAGAACGCTATATATCTGTGGAGCATACCTCTACATAATGTGCAATTCTAAAATCTACGCGAATACAGTCGCTAGGTTAATTGTATATAATGCTTTATAATACCAACATATCTCCAAGTGGGGTGAATAATATTTCATTTTTGAATAAATGGCCCATTCCAGTAATAAAGAAAAAGGGGTATCGTTGTATATTCAGGATTTAAAACTACACTCACTCGTCTCGAAACTCAATCTCCATTATTCTTAACATAAATCATCCCCACCCAGCTAACGTCCAGCTTGATCGATCGCTAACCATAGACGACCTAATCCCTGATCGTCGGTCCGCCACGTGGTGACTATCAGGGTCTCGTGTCGCACCAGCCATGCCATGCTGAAGGAATTTCTCCCGCTCGATCTCCACGAATCCTCTGATTTTCAGACTGGTCACGAGACTGGCCCCAGCCCAGGGTCCTAAAGAATCGACCTGCCGGAATTGGCCTTGGATAAAAGGTTTGCTATCACGAGGCTGCTTACGGCGAAGTTTCTTTTCGACAAAGTCAAGCTCTTCTGACTGTTGCTGTGGTTGTTGTCCGGGTTGCTCTGCGGACTTCTCTGGCTCGTCGTCTTCTTTTGTGCCATTCTGGGATTGGTCTTCGTCCTGGTGTGGCTGTCTAATGGCAAGCTCCCACTGCTTGCTTTTTTGCTTTCTCACGGCACGTCCTCTCATCGAGTCCCATCCATGTTCAATGACCAGCGAGGACACATCTTTCATAACACGCTGCCGAACACCGGGAATTTTTGATCCCCCACCGACAAATACAATGCGCGACATGCATGCTCCACGTACATCAGGCGGCAGCGCGAGCAGTATGTGGTAAACTAATACATGGACTGGCTTTTCATGATCATCCAGTTCATGGTCATCGGCACCATTGGCAAAGAGAGCGTCTTCCACTGGTTTCGCAAACCGCGATAGCGGCACCTGTACATAGCCCGAGTCTGGCTTCGATGGTGAAGGGATAGAAACAACCTTGTCAGGAGTTTCGTCTGTTTCGCGAAATTTGCACCAAGCAAATCTGTTGACTACTTCCTCGCAGTACTCGAATTTGACAGAGATATCATTTGCCTTGTCCGTTGCTTCCTCGGTAGAAGACTCTATATTTGATAACATTTTGCCCATCTCCTGTAACAATGACTTCATAGCCCTTGTGGTTCGCTTTGTGCTAGTCTCTCTATATTCATAGATAGCAGTGACTGTGGTTTCTGCCCATCCAATATCTACAACCAACGCCGTGCGCAGCCCCGCAGCCGCTGCTGTCATGGCGGCAGAAGGCAGAAGTGTTATGGATGGAAACCGCCATCGATTGAAGAGCGATGTGAGAATTCGGGAAAGGAGTGGGTGAGGTATAACTGAGGGCAGCACTAAAACAAGTCGCGCGTTCCCCGCGTCTGTAAGCAAATAATTATTGTATATCTCGCGAAACGCTCGCTCAATCTTGTCGTCCACTAATCCCAGATCAGTCTCTCTTAAGTCCATCCGCCATAGTTCGTGACGTTTGGCCCATTCTTCGGCATCAATCCATTCCTTCTGCTCGCCAGTATTTGCGTCTTGTTTGGTTTTCATCCATCCGCGATAATCTCCAGATTTACGCGATTCCTCCGGCCCAAAGCCTAGTGCGCAAACTGGTGTACTCTCACCTTCAAATCCAGCACGAAGCCACCGAGACCCGAATTCGAATATAATGGCATCTTCTTCGTTTCGAAAGGATGAGAGTGGTGACGACGAAGATCCAAACGACGAGACAATCGATCGGTTGCGATGGGGAGGTGTTCGAGGCTCAAACGATTGATCGTCTTTCCGAATGCGAGCTCGGGCAGCTTCTAGGGCTGATATGGAAGATTTGCTGGAGTGTCGCAGGTGCGAAGCATCGGTTGTCGCCATATTCTCGTCAACGATTTAGCCGAAGAGCGAGCGGCAAGTAGTCAGTTTTTTTCTGTCGGCAATAAGACGAATTAAGAAATAGCCATGCTCGGCGATATTCAAGGGCGGCGCTATCAGGTCTACCGACATATAGAACCTAGGATATGTAGTTGAACACTCGAGGATTGGAAGTGTATGTGCAAGGCCGGGGTACTAACTATCTGACGCCGCTGATTGGCAGGAGCTCCGTTGCTCCGCAGCTGCCCGCGATCAAAACAAGCCAGTTGAACTTCATGTCGGTTGTCCTTGCTATACTGGCTTTCAACCTATTTTGCGGTCTCCTTTCTTGTATTCGCTTTTTTTTTGGGCTGCATAGAGATGTGCTTGGGCTAGAGATGGGCATTCCAGGGTCAGTTTTATCTCAAGTAAACCCTCTGTTGTTGTATCCCTCGCTGTCTCCCAAATATATATCCGTTGACATCACCTTGAAAATATCCATTCAAAACCTCATTCATTTCATGTTGTTCATCACTAGAATCTCACTAATCCGAAAGTCATGTTGTGCTCTCCAGACTTAACAAAGCAATCGGGAATTCCGACCGAATCGCATTATCCAGACTTGCAGTCAAGCACCTGGAAGCCACTCGACGGCCCATCAAAATTGCAGTGGACATATCCATATGGCTTTTCCAACTCCAGGCCGGACGCGGTGGGCAAAACCCCGAGCTACGAACTTTATTCTTCAGACTCGTTCGACTTCTTGCCTTGCCAGTACACCCACTTTTTGTTTATGATGGGATGCAAAAGCCCCCCTTCAAGAGGGGCAAAGCAACTACAGGGCGAAGTTATGGCTCTACGCCAATTATTAGCCAGTCCAAGATTTTGATAGACCTTTTTAAATTCCCGCGGCATGACGCTCCTGGCGAAGCTGAGGCCGAATGTGCTAGACTACAGCAGGCTGGTGTGGTTGATGCTGTGATGAGCAATGATATCGACACTTTAATGTTCGGGTCTACTCTCACGGTCATGAACTTTTCAAAAGAAAACTCCACGGGAACGAGTGCGGCGACCCATGTCGATTGCTATACTACCAAGGACGTACTTGAGATCGGGGCAAATGTCAAGCTGAGCCGTGCTGGCATGGTTCTTTTTGCGTTGCTCAGCGGTGGCGATTATCTACCGTCAGGAGTTACAAAGTGTGGGCCGAGTCTTGCCGGAGAGATTGCAAAGGCCGGCTTTGGAGAGGATCTTTTTGAAATCGTCTACTCGGAAGAATCAAAACTCAACGAAAAATTAGGGGAATGGAGGGAACGGCTACAATATGAGCTAGATGAGAATGAAAGCGGTTACTTTCAGTCTAAGCACAAAGCCGTACGAATCCCCGAGTCTTTCCCCGACCATAAAATACTATCCTTCTACGCGAGGCCAATTGTCTCCAATGAGTTTGAAATCGAAAACCTACGCCAGCGGCTCATCGGAGCCTGGGACCATGATATCAATGTACTTGAGCTTAGGAGATTCGTTGCTGATTTTTTCGACTGGAAATATCGATCAGGTGCGAGGAAGCTAGTTCGAAATCTAGCTGAACCACTGGTTATAAGTAGGCTCCGGCTTGCCCGCTCTCCTATAGCGCCAGAGGGCTACGGCAATTATGTTCCCAACCAGGATCTCCCGGTAATGCAGCGTGTTTATCGTACCAGAATGCCCTTTGTAGCCGGGGGGCTACTTCAATTACAGATGGAAATGGTCCCGCTTGATGTCGTAGGGCTTGATCTAGATGCAGAAGAGCCCAATCCGCCGCCCGAAAACTCGCAGCTCACCCAACCCGAATCGCAAACCACAGATGTAGCTGACGAGGAAGACGACGGAGGAGGAGCAGATGTTGAACCTACAGTTAATACTGCTGTTGGTGTTCAACTACCGAAGAAGATATATGACCCCAGCGAGCCTGAGAAGATTTGGGTCTTTGAAGCCGTTGCGAAAATAGGTCTTCCAGATGTGGTGGAGCGATGGAAGAAGCAAGATGAAGAGAAGAAGGCACCAAAGAAACCTGCTCCAAGAAAGACAGCGGCAACTAGAAAGAAGAAAGTGATTGATCCTAGTATGAAACCTGGTGGAATTCTGCGCTATACAACTGTCACAAAGCCCGGCAGAGACATGGATGCAGAGAAGGAAGCACGATTATTTCAGGCGTCGACCCTTTCGTCATCTCAAAAGCAATCATCAAGCCAAGGCTCGTTTAGATCCTCCCCTCAGACCCCTTCCAAAAGCACGACTTTTCTAAGTCAATCGTCATTTCGAACGCCTAAAATGATGAAAATGCCGTCGTCAGGTGTAAGCTCTCTTGCCTATCAGTTGCAAGCTACCTCTATCTCAGCAGATGGTACCCGGTTCATCCAACGAAGGAGTCCGCGTCTTGCGACAGGATATCCGATTTTGGGCTCTGCGGAGTCTCCAATAAGACTTGATTCGGACGACGATGTCGATACGTATGAAATGTCTCCACTCTCAAAATTCACAATGAGTTATACTCCTGCTGGAAGTCCGGCACTTCGTTCAGCAAATATCCCGAAATACCTTGAATCACCAGTATCCGCAAAACTAAGCAGAAGAGCCCATAATATTCATTCACCATCTATTCATACTGAGGACTTCGAATACTCTCTTACTTTATCCAGTCCAACACCGTCTCAGAAACACAATGGACGTAATCGTCAAACAAAAGGCCCAAACATATCCATTCCCCAAGTCGAAGTGGATAGAGCCGAGAGCCCAGAAAACAATGTTTCGGACTCTCCTCGTCTATCACACCCAAAACCACCGATGTATTCTTCAATAACGAACAAGACATCCCACGAATCCAAAACCGTGTCCCGCAGACAGCGGGAAAAACAGCAGCATAAAACACTGGAGTCGCCTGAAGACCCTTCTGCGACTTTAGTCTCGGTACCGAGCAGCGATAGTGACAAAAATAAAAAGGCGGAAAAGAGCCTTGAATCTCAAACAACCAAGATTGAGACGATTCGTATTCAAGAGGGTTTCTGGAGTGTAGAAGTCCAAGAAATGGGGCCAAAGGACGTTCTTGAGACCAACAATCCAACGAAAAAGGAAACCAAGGACAACGTCCAAAAGCCGATAAAAAAGCGGATTGGACGGGTCAGTCTTTTGGATATGAGCTAGCATACTTTGATTTTCCTTTTGTGCTCATGGTATTGTTTAGAGGCAGAGTTAATGTAACATGAACATACCTACATATATGATAATAGACATGATTTATATGAATTCCTCAGATGATTTCATTGTAATGTGCGTAGGTTTCAGCTAGTAGTGATGGAATTGTAACTGATAAATCTACGTTGACGTAAATTAATATATGTAACCGACCACCACAGCCTTCTGCTTACGAATATCAGTTAATATGTACTTTCTACATATGTACAAATAGATCACGCAAATTTCAATACAATTCAGTCCTATTTTCATTAACAAGAGATAAGGCTCATTTCCCTGATCAACGTCGTCATGTCATGATATGTATTTAATCGTCTAGTCCTAAATAGCCTTGTTCTTCTAAGTACTGGTATAAAGAGTAGGAACATGATATCGTCAGTGATTATGTACGTATGAGATTCCAGAGGTGAGAAAAAGATTAACCCAAGACAAAGCACATAGCAGAATCCTAAACAGAATGCCTGAAGCCTATATCTATTCTAATATATTCAGCCAAAGACCTTGAGAAACCCCCACAATCCAACACCACTCAAAATGGGGATAGTGAGATTATCGTCCCAGCCAAAGAAGTCAATCATTTCACTGCCAGCGGCAATGATGCCTGAAACTACACTCATGACACCTAGCGCCAATGAGCCCGTGATGATGCTGCCTGAGTTTGCATCGGACGGGTTCCACCCGACCAAGTTGCGCACTGCGTCGGGAATGAGGTTCAAACGACCCGTGAACATGAATGCGTCCTCTGGATCATCGGGGAAAGCGCCAATAGTTGGGACAAACCAGCCCCAGAATAAAGCGGCGGTGACAACGCCAGTCAGCCAGGCAGCCAGCGTGCCAGCAAGGCTTTTTCCGCGACGCAAGGAAATGGTGTGTCGACCGTATAGTCGGCCGAATGTGGATGCGGCAGTGTCGCACCAACTTAACAAAAGAACGCCCATGACACCGACATCCTTGGGGAAAAAGCGTAGCACAATGAATGCGCCTAGAAGGTACCAGATCACGCCGTTATAGCCGCTGACTTCGGATTCTCGCATAAGTGCCCCCAAAGAGCGGACGTAAAGTCGGTTGATGCGATCTGATTTGTGTCGCAGTATATCAGTTGCAGCAATAGGAATAAGTGCAGATAACAGCCATGGGGTTATCGCAGATGTTTGTATCCCACGTCTGTAGAAATCTAGCGTGAAGAAGCCAATAGACACGTGGAGCATTTTGCGAGGGATTTCATGCTTGTGGATAAACGTTCGATAGTGTTGGTGTAACGGAATTAGGCCCAGTGGCGACGGAGATCTGGAAAGGTTACGCCAGCGATCTTGAAAATTGGATGGCGGAGATAAATGACCGTTCGGAGATAGATATCCATTTGTTAAAGGCTGCGATTTGGCTACCGGTGACGACGAGGTTGAGGATGCTTTCGCATTCGACATACGTCTCCGGGTGCTGTTGTCAGATCGAGATGTCTTCCGTGACGCTGAACGCGCATGGTGCTCATCTTTATCCTCAGCGTTTTCTTCCTCTGGGATTGGTCGGGTGCTGTTGTGACGTTGTCGCCGCGCAGCTGAACGTGTCGTCGGAGCACTATAACCATCATCGTTCTCTATGGCATCTGACGGTGTTGGTGACGGCGAGATGACCCGAGGAGTGGCCGGTATAACACGCGGCGAAGACATCTCGACCGCGCTTGCTTCGATAAGCAGCGGGAGGGACGGATGTGGGATGACGCCGTTCGTAGTGTATTGAAGGAGCGGAGAATATGTACTCGAGCAGCTCGTCGATGTCGATAGTAAGATAGCAATGAGCGTTGGGCGAGGAGTAGGGATCGAAATATTGGCGGCGAAGTTATTGGTCTCGTGGACAGAATTAATCAGAATTAGCGGATAAGGGTTGCGCGTGAATATTTTCAGGGCTAAGCTGTCGCATGTCGATCAACAAACGCCACACAAGCAAGGTGTATCAGTAAAGCGCGCGGGTAAACATAGTCTAGGTAGACTCTATATTCGTGAAATCATGAAAGATGCAACCACAGATCAGACAGAATCAAGGTTTGCAACTCCAGGTGCCTGACGGCCGACTTTTGCAAGGTCCCACTCAATCACATGCTTCCGCCGGCTTCCAGGTCACGTGACGTCAACTATCGATATTTTTGCATATATCTATGGGGATGCCTTATATTGTTAATAAAGGCATGTTTCACGTAAATAAACTATCTGCTTGTAATGGATAGGATTCTGACTCAACCCTGGCTGTTCAAACCAGACACTGCCACTTTTTATCTTATCGTAGATCGAAGACCATCTGGCCAATCATCGTAGGCTGATGCTGCGGCAGAAAGTTACCGCCCAAAAAATAAATTTGATAACCATAGAGGCAAGAACAGTTCTCTGCATATTCTCATCACAGAGCCCATGCCCCGAGCACTCTGTGAGATTTGGGAAACGGTATTCGGGGTATATCGAAGTTCCTTTTGACCTCAAATAATGGCCCCGAAGTTGTCGGCGTCATCCTCCAGGGCATGGGATGGCCTCAATCCCCCACTGTCAAATTGGGTCCTTGAAGCTGTTTCGAATTTAGGCTTCACCCGCATGACGCCGGTCCAGGCCTCCACGATCCCTCTTTTCATGAGCCACAAGGACGTTGTTGTTGAAGCTGTAACTGGAAGCGGGAAGACATTGTCGTTTTTGATACCCATCGTGGAGAAATTGCTCCGACTAGACGAACCCGTAAAGAAACATCATGTTGGAGCAATTGTTGTGTCACCAACTAGGTAAGCACCTTTTCGGTTGCAATTGTAACTTGCATCAAGATTCTTACTATTATTTAGAGAACTTGCGTCCCAAATATACAATGTTTTACTATCGCTGCTGGCCTTTCATGGCCGTTCTGCCTCTGCGATTACCTCACTGAGCGAAAGCGAAGACAACCATCGAGGGTATCCGTCAAGCGCTTTGAAGGTCATTCCACAGCTTCTACTAGGAGGCTCAACAACACCAGCGGAAGACTTAAGCTCGTTTTTGAAGAAGTCGCCGAATGTTTTAATTGCGACTCCCGGTAGACTATTGGAGCTTCTTTCATCTCCTCATGTGCACTGTTCTCAAGCATCATTTGAGATGTTAGTCTTTGACGAGGCTGACAGGCTTTTGGATCTTGGATTCAAAGAAGATATTCAGAAAATTCTTGGGCGATTGCCGAAACAGAGGAGGACGGGCTTATTCAGTGCAAGTGTTAGTGAAGCCCTGGACCAAATCATTCGAGTCGGGTTGCGGAACCCGGTCAAGGTTGCCGTCAAAGTGCGAAGCGCATCGGGTGTTGAAGAGAAGCGAACACCTGCGAGGTAAGATCCAGTCATAATCCATCGTTTAGCATTCAGACTTACAGTTTATAGCTTACAAATGACGTATCTCGTCACCCCTCCCACACATAAACTTCCCGCAGTGAACAATATTCTGAAAAGCTTAGAGCCGAGACCACAAAAAACTATATTATACTTCGCGACATGCGCAAGTGTTGACTATTTTCAGCACATAATCCCCCTCCTTCTTGGGGATGAATTCACCGTTATACCACTGCATGGCAAGCACCCGTCTAATGTCCGACAGAAAAACTTCACCCGATTCGTTAACTCTATAACTCCTTCGGTCTTATTAACGACGGATGTGGCAGCGCGTGGGCTGGATATTCCATCGGTCGACCTTGTCATTCAAGTTGATCCGCCATCCGATCCGAAAGTATTTATACATCGTTGCGGTCGAGCTGGTCGAGCAGGTCGCCGTGGTTTAAGTGTCATTCTTCTTCACCCGGGCCGTGAGGAAGACTACGTTCCCTTCTTGGATGTACGAAAGACACCAGTGACTTTATATGAACAACCGGATTTTGCAGTATCAGATAAAGATGCCTTAAAATCCACGGAGGTAGCTCGCAAAAAGGTCCTGTCAGACCGAGCCTATCATGATAAATCGCAAAGAGCCTTTGTTAGCTGGGTGCGCAGTTATAGTAAGCACCAGGCAAGCAGCATATTTCGAGTTGTCGATTTGGATTGGGAGGCATTGGGGCATGCTTGGGGCCTGCTGAAATTGCCAAAGATGCCGGAGCTAAGAAACTTCAAGGGCGACAAGTCTTTAGGGGTGGCAATAGATTGGGGTAATTACGCTTATCAAGATAAACAGAGGGAGAAAAATCGTCAAGAAACTCTCCAAGACGGAGCAGAATTGGCAATACAGTCAATTAAGAAGCGACCTGCTAGTGAGAGTATACCTTGGAGCGAGAATTTGGAAAAGAGGAAAGAAAGGGAACAACGGCGAGATAGGAAGAAGGCTCGTCGTGAACGAGACCGATGGGAAAAGATGACCGAAGACGAGAAACGTACTGCCCGTGAAACAGAGGCAATGGTCGAAAAGATTCGCAAGGAAGCAGAATTAGAAAGAGCTAGGGCCAAAGCTAGTCAAAACACGGGGGTAATGAAAGTGAAGACGAGTTCCGAGGCTTTGACTAAGCCGAAGATTCGTGATAATCAAAGGGACTAGTGATTTCTTATATTAACCAACCTTTTCAATTTCAAATGCTCCGGTCTATACCCGACCCTCATACGTGAACTCCGGTGACAAATTGACTTTAATTCGATTCAACGCTTGTCTTTTCCATGATACCCAGCATAGTCGATAACACTAGCATATTTATGTGTACATATATCAACAACTCAGTCTCATTCTTTATTGATGATGATCTAGATATTGATGGCTGTGGTGGACCTAACAATGCTCTTCTGATATTGTATTCAACCACCGATTGTTTCCGACTAAGACCACCTTACCAATGTTGTAGTTCGCTCAAAATAGGAATTTTATATAAAAAAATATGAAAGAGGATAAGCATTACACGACTTCTAAAAACTCGCCTTGAAATTAGACGTTGAACAATACCATCGAAATGTATAGAGGCCTGTATTTAGGAACAAAGCAAACCAACCACAGCTTGGGGTGCTCGAAGAAAAGATATTGATGAGACTACATCGCAGTATTCAATGGCTTTTGTTGCAAGTCGATTGAAATGTGCTGGTTTGAGATTTGCAGAGTATATTGAGAAAAAATCAATTGATAGCGATATGTACGACAAAGGGTTTCTCCCGCCCTCTAGCCCCATTGAAGGACTGGGGAATAGAGCGTCAATAATCAATTGACGAGTACATTGCTTATACCCAGCCCCTTTTAGAGCTCTTCTGTTGGATACCTCCACCAACGTGTGTCGATGTCGACAATTTAGTTATATCAGGGCGATTCCAATATGTTGCGGTCAGATAGTATCTGCGTAGAGCATCAAACAAACCTTGCAGGATGAAGATCGAACTTCCATCAAGCATCACCGTATCGATCTTTGCATACCTTTCTCCTCCACAGCATCGAGAGCGTTACTGATTGGGACCAGCACACAGAAGGGAACGTGGCGGCTGGTAAAAGGCGGTCGGTAGCTCTGCACCTATCACGACGGTCGCCGGCATTCTGCCGCACGTCAGATTGGAATTCTTGATGGCGCCCGAACTCCAACTTCTGGATGTCTTCACACCTCATTACTACTTTGGTTACCGACAGATCAAACGGGCTGCGCGGACGCCCCAGGCAACCGGGCACCGTCACAGCAGAGAAACGCGTACCTCTCCCATTGTGTTTATAGCAGGTAAGTGTTTGTGTTTCTTACCTTTTTTCCCTCTCCCCAACTTACTCGACATCCGCTACTCTTTCTCATCTCATCCATCCCCAATTATCTCTCCTTTCTCAAGCGCTAGTTGAGATATCATCTCTTCTTCCATTCGACTGTTTTTGAAAGGCTCCTTTCATTATCTGTCAAACCCAACTTTTTGTGTTTCCTCTCTTCTTGACTCGGCCATCTTGAGGGTCACGAGGCACTTGTCGATACACAACATTCCATGCACGCCTACCCATCCTCTCTTTCCCTCCTTCACTCTCTCCACTTTAGTCATTCACATCCTCAATTCAATATTCTTTCCTCAGATTGACATTGCCTGACATCTGAAGATTGCTACAATGCCACGTACTCGCTCCCAAGCGAGCGTGTCTCCGCTCGTCTCTCTCGACGCTCCACGTCGGCGAAGAAAAGCTACAGCCTCGTCACTAGATGCTGACGACCAGGAAGAACCGAAAACAAAAATGAACCGCGTACGCAAAACAAAAAAAGCAACAGTTTCACGAGGCGAATTGCTTGAGGAGGAAGCTTTACAGAAAAACAGTGAGAACCCATATCCAATTACCCCAGTGCACCAGGAACCCAAGGACTCCAAGGAAGTACCCAAGGACAAGGAATCTACCATATCAACAAACACTATGAATAAGGTCGTCGACGACTCTCCGTCTCTTTCTGATTGTGGTGTAACGCCTTGCTCTCCACCGGCTATGAAGAGGGGTTCATTCAAGCGCGCTTTGATAAACGTCAAGGCAGTTCTGAAGAAGCCTACGGAATCCATTCGCCTAAGGTTTAAAAACCTCAAAAAAGCGCGTACCTTAAAAGAGGATTCTCGAAACAAAACAATAACCATTGCAGATGCGACCGGGTCTCAATACTCTTTTACTGAAGATGAAATTCTAGAGTCAGCCATGAATATTCTCCTCAGTCGCATGGATAGCGACTATTTCGACAACGCGTCTTCTGCGCCGGCCTTGCGCTGTCCTTGCTGCCAGGGCTCTTTGGAGTGTCCCGAAGGGCATGATCTTGCCTCCTGGGTCCCAAACGACTTGAAGGAATCAATGAATGCTTTGCTAACCAATTTTTTTGCTGAAGGAATCTGCAATTCTTCTGAAGAGGAAGAAGAAGCCCGCGAAGCCGACGAAAGGCGACAATTCGAACATCAACGACAGGTTGAAGAAAAGCGCATGGCTGAAGAAAATCTTCAATCTGAAATACGCAAAGATAAAGAGAAAGGGCAGGCAAAACCCAAGGCCAAAGATGCCGAATCCTTATCGAAACAAAAGGGCAAAAAGCGCTCACGAGAGACCAATGATCATGAAAACCACGACGATGATCAACCTATTTCTCAGCGTCCACGTCTTACACCCGCAAATACACCATACAAACGTCGCGCTACAACCACACCTCGACGCAAATTGACTTACGCTGAGATACGGCAACGTACCAGAGACCGCGAAGAAGGAAACGGTCCACCCTCCATGTTTCGTTTAGATCAAGCGATCGCGCACCACGAAGCACAGGAGAAAGCTGAAGTAGCTGCTCGTCAGGCTGCTGAGGAAGCTGCTGAAGCAGAACGAATCCAAAAATTTTCACGTGCCGAAATGGAGCGCCATACAGTTGCCGGCCCAATTCCTGAAAATGCTCGTAACCCTCTCCAAATTCCTATCTTTAGAGATGAAACCCAGGACTCTGAAACACCCGACATGCCTGATACACCTGGCTCTAGTTCTTGGGGCTTCCAGGTCCGCAATATTTTATCTTCTGTGAGCGGTTCCGTAAGACGGTTTGTTCCGCGTTTTAGAAATGTCACAGACCAGGCAGTCCCTTTTGGTAAGGAATCGAGAAATCCTTCTTTCGCCTCCAAAACCCTGCTAACTATGATTACTTAAGTTGCTGGGGGGGTGGAACATCCACCACCCACGATCGTCCTGTGACTGACTCAGCACAGACAGACGACTCGGATCAAACTTTGAGCGGCAATATTCGTAGCACTGCTGGGATTGGAAGGACTGGTGACAAGAGCACTGCCGATTTGACATTTAGTTTGTTTCCACCTACAATTGAACCCCCTAAGACTTCACCCCGAAGCACAGATACTGCTACCCAAACGACTACCCAAACTACTACCCAAACTACTACCCAAACTACTACCCAAGATGCTGAAATAGCCGCTGGCGCCCCTACCATGCCGAAGGATGCACTGAACCAAGTCACTCAAAAAGCCGGTAATGAAAAGCATCAAGAAGCTCACAAAGAAACAGAAAACGGTGGTAAGAAACGGAAGCGACCCCTTTCTCCCGATGTGATCCCAAATCCTGTTGGTTCAAGCTATGGCCTGGACTTGGATTACTTCACATATTCAGACGAAGAGTGGGAAGAAAACGAAAGATGGTGCGCTTCCCAATCAGCAACAGCAGAGAAGCCACCGGAGAAAAAGGTCCGCATTCAATCCCCTCCGAAATCACCGCCTACCTCCAAGGAACCCACCACTGTGGAATCGAGCAGCAGGACTGAGCCCGCTGCGCCCTATATCCCGCCTGGATGGGCACGTCCCACAACCACGGTTTACAATGGGACTATGTTCAAGGGTATGAGACATGACTTTGCACCCCAATATTTTACACCCACCCCAAAGCGGAAGGAGGCATGGGACATGGCCAAATGGCAACCCCTTATCAATTCTGCTAAGAACCCACCCCCAAGAACCCCTAAGATCCCCCAACCCTCTACTGGCTCCCTCTTAGCCCTTCGAGCAGAGAAAGAGCAACGTAGAAAATACACCATTACTGGATCATTAGTCCCTGGATTACGCAGTGCATCTGTTAACAACAATTTAGAAAGGACCAAACAACCCCAATTTTCACGAACACCACGCTCGTTCAGTTCCACGCCGTTCACGTCCACTCCCAGTACCATACCGGAGGAACCCACGGTTAACACCTCGACTGATACCCCATCGGCGACCTCGCAGTCATCCAATGCCGACTACGCCGCCCAGCTGTTTAGCAATGGCTCACAGGCAGTTAGCAATACCCCCCAACTATCGAACAACGCCTCTCAGCCCCTCAGAAATGGCGCTCAGTTATTCAGCAACACCTCCCAGACGCTTAGCAGTGCCTCAGAGCAGCCCGCCGCTCCTGTTGTCAAAAATAATGTTGAAACCGTCAAACCCATTGTTGAGACTAATGGCAGATCTCTTAGTGAGCCTGCCGAAACAGCACCTAAGCCACGTGATGCTAGTGAGTTGCACAAGCCAAAGAAACCAAGTGCCTTGCGCAATCCCACCCGATTCTCTTCGAGCCCTATCTCACAGAGGCAAACGAGCCCGACCCCAATTTTGGATAAAGCAAATGAAAACGATCTGCGGAGCATCTTCGGAGAAGATGAATTCGGACAGCAGGCTCTTGATATCTACAAAAACTGCCCATCTGGCGATCTCAGCAAGTTAGAGTGGCCCAAATTCGCTCTACTTCCTAATGATAGAATTCAGCAGCTGGTCAATTCCACTCGCTACAGTGGTACGGATGAAGTCATCCGCGATACCTTCCAGCAGTCCTTTGCGGATTTTCAGGACCAACTCAGCCGGGGAATGATTGATACGGAAGAGATTTTAGAAGATCTTTAACTGTGTAAAGTGTTCTGCCGAACCAACTTTGTTGTATGAAAATGGTTGGTGATGGATTATTCATATTCAAATTGACGAAATATCGATGAGCAGCATGTGTGATTAGATTCACGAGGAGTTAGGGCTTTCTATTTTTTGTGTATTTTTGTCAGTGTACAGCGTTTGGCATCGTTTTTGAATATCAGCCTCTCATGTCGGAGTCGTATTTTTTTCGGGTTTTTGGGGGGCTGGGTACCCACAGTCTATCTGTGTTGAGTATAAATCGGGTGGTTTCTTTCACTATGCTTAAACCATTCATCAATTTCAACTTAGTCATAACAACAAGCTGCGTCTTCTCAAATTAGTATATCATGAAATAATAGGGTGTGCTGAACCTCGATCCAGGTTGACTTCGACCATGAGTTTGTCGAGGGTAGGCAACAGTGCACAGGATGGACTAAAATAAAAGAGGACACTGCTCAGTTGAAAGACCTTAGGAAATAAATGATGGATTTTCATCATTGATATGGTGGCTATTTGTACATTGTTATTAAGATCAGGCTAAGGAAATGTGACAAATGAAGTATACACGGAGACTAAGAAATCCGTAATAATAAGAATGTGACCCAAGTCTTCAAGCCCCTTAATAGTTGATACACAGACCTTGTATCAGACTCTGTTATGCATATGTTACATGCTGATTTCATTCTTCCAAGCAGCGTCTGAAAGACCGAGTGACGCCATAAGATTCTGCCAACGTGGCCCTCCACGTTCCTTCTTTCTCAGATAGCGGAGCAATTTTTGCCTTTTGTGTACTAGTAATCGTAGGTTTCTTTTGTTATGCCTGTCTTTGTTGGTGGTTTCAAGATGCCGAGTCAAGTTCAAAATTTTGGTAGTCAATATAGCCACTTGCACTTCAGGGGATCCGGTGTCAGGACCAGCCCGAGGAGTCTTGGTTGGATGATCTTCTGAGAGTGAAGTCGCAGGTTTGGGAGGGAGAACTTGGTCTGTGTTGTGTCGGCCGAATGTTTCAATGCAACTTTGAATATTCACCCTGGTACGATCTTGCGTGTTTCCATTGGCAAGATTCATGATACGTCGAATCGCTTCTTGAGCATTGTTATCATCTTGCTGGTGTGCTTTGAGTTCTTTCTCAAGCTTAGCTGGGTCCACGAGGTTTTGGTCTTCGGCAGGTAGCGGCTCCGTGAGGGTTTTGGAGTATTCGAAGGCATTTTCAAGTTCTGCAGGTTTGACGAAGTAATTCAATGCGCCCGTCGACGATTGTTTACTCGTGTCACTTTGAAAGGATTGACCTGTCTGGACCGCTTGTATATCCTGGATGAACGGTGTTGGGTCACTTTTCACAGCGTCGCCGAGAGCGGATTGTCTCTGTTCTTCAAGCTCGCGTTGGCGGGAGATATTGGCAGCTTTGCGCTGGCGAGACTGGGCCATCAAAAATGGATCGTGTCTACGCCTCTGTCTGGCCTCGGTTGAGCCAGCCCGAAGGGTGGTTTTGCATGGCTGGCGAGGTGCAATTGTCAAGGGAGAATGAGTATGAGCAGATCCTAAACAAGGATTAGTTTACCCCAAGGAATTGCCGACATTGGGATGGCATACCTGAAAGAGATTTGAGTAAAGACGACGCTGCAAAGCGTGGCGGCATGATCAGGTAGTTTGGCAACCCTTTCTTAGGGCTTATTGGGAAATATCACGTCTGGAGAGTTGTTGCTCAACAAGCTGTCTCCATTCCGGTCGGCGAAATCTCAACATGCGCCGGAGCCAACCCCCGCTAGCCCACTTACGGAGTAGCTCCAGAACGTGACTTTTACAATCTTGGCGCGCTACTGCCCTAACCCACAACGCAAGCGAAATTTCTCTATCAAATGGGCGATCATTAAAGAGCGCGGCTTCCTCACCACCTCCCAATCCCTCGACAAGTGCCAGACGATTGAAACCTCTATACTCGAGCTTTTCATACACCTCGGTCGTTCACCATGGCTCCTTCTAACCTCCCCCCAATTTTCAATCCCACTTCGCAGGATATTGAGATGCTGCTTGCAGCTCAATGCCACTTGGGATCCAAGAACTTGCAAGTGCACATGGAGCCTTACCTCTGGAAGACTCGCGCAGACGGAATCAATGTGATCAACATTGGCAAGACCTGGTAGGAGCTCTTGCTACTTAGCGAATGCACAAACGCCGCCTAACCTCAACATTAGGGAGAAAATTGTCCTTGCTGCCCGTATCATCGCTGCCATTGACAACCCCGCCGACGTTGCTGTCATCTCTGCCCGTCCCTACGGCCAGCGCGCTGTTCTCAAGTTCGCTTCCCACACCGGTGCCACTGCTATTGCCGGTCGTTTCACCCCCGGTAACTTCACCAACTACATCACTCGCTCTTTCAGGGAGCCTCGCTTGATCATCGTCACCGACCCCCGCACGGATGCCCAGGCTATCAAGGAAGCCAGCTACGTCAACATCCCCGTCATTGCTCTCTGCGATACCGACTCACCTACCGAGTTCGTTGACGTTGCCATCCCCACCAACAACAAGGGTCGTCATGCTATCGGTTTGGTCTGGTGGTTGCTCGCCCGTGAGGTTCTCCGCCTCCGTGGCACTCTTGCCACCCGCGAGACCGAGTGGGACGTCGTTGTTGATCTCTACTTCTACCGCGACCCTGAGGCCGAGGAGGTTAAGGAGATCACTGAGGAGACCAAGGTTGCTAGCGCCGACGAGGTTGGTGCTGCTGCTATCGAAACCGGTTTCACTGGTGACAGCTGGGATGCTGCTGGTGCCGGTGCCGGTATCCCTGGCACCGCCTTCGCTGCTGCCACCGCTACTGCAGGTGCCACCTGGGAGGCTGAGGGTGGTGACTGGGCTGCTGAGACCCAGGCCAACCCTGAGACCAAGTGGTAATTTTATGCGGTGGGAAAAAAGTGAATTTGGGATGAGGGCCAAGGTATTTTGATCAAGTTGAACAAAACGTCTTGAGTACTCGGGAGGTGGTCGTGCAACATTGATTGTCGCAAATCCTTGAATCGAAACAATCACAACTTTTTCTTTTGTCTACAACCCTTTATTATCTACTCTGTTCTTCGACACCTCACACTTTACTTACCTTTTGAGTGGGAGGGAATGGAAGCGAGAAAAGCATCATCCTGAAAAAAACCACGATTTGGCTATGATGGTATGAAACGAAGAGTTTTACGTTAATAGAGATTTCTTATCTGTTGCGAATTTTTTTTACCTATCTGACTGGTACTTACGAGGGAAAGATATCCAGATTGTCAATTTTGTTGGACAATCTGGGGGAAAGCCCTGTGCTGTCAGCTTCGACGAGGCGGACTTAATCGTTGTCTCGGGAAATCTCTATGTAATTGTCTTTTAAAAGGTCAAATCAAAAGAAGATATAAACCCATTTAACTAAGTACCGAACCTCTCTATTCATAAAAGTAGAGATGACTATGAATTGAGATTTGTCTGGTCGCTATCAAGACGACTCTCAAGCCAGCAACAGTAAGCTCTAGCATATGAAAACTGGGTGGAGTTTTTATGAAGTACTGCACGAATTGCCATGTAATCTAAAGAAAACGGACTGGGTTCATGATAAGTAATTTTATTGAGGTCTGTTTGAGTAGATATAAGCAAGTGGCGAACCCTAAGTTGCATCCATGAGCAAGTAAATATTCTTCCTTGGACTAACTACTTGGATCGAATTGATGTCTCGATTCGATCTCATATAATAGTACAGCCACCCTCGCTCTGGGCACCGCTCTCTATTGTCGTCATCGCTGCCATTTTTGCGATATCTTCAAAAGCTTCTGCTATGAGTTCTCCAGTAACAGCAGAACATTCAGCATAGCGGTCACAATGTAGTTCTTGTGCTATGCGACAAGCCTGCAAAATTTAGGAAAAGCTAACTCGAGATTTGTATTGTAAGCTTGGAACTTACCTCTTGTGGGTATATTATTTGATCATTTTCAGTTCTGAGATCTCGCTTTAAGCCCAGCATCATTACAGGAATTCTTTCACCAGAGCCGCTTTGAAAGTATCTGGTTATCTCACTCCGCCACTAAACTGCCGTCTTAGCTATATATAGTCACGTTGTGATTGTAATTAGAAAGAACATACCCCTTTTAAACTATCGAGTGTCGTTCTATCTGATATGTCATACGCGAGTATAACAAGATCAGGTCGCAAGGATGACCAATGCTGGTTCGGAGAAGCAGTGTCATACACTTCTACCCTGAAGGACTTCTTTGAGAAACGAACGTCATAGATAAATGGTTGATCATGATCTTTGAGTAAGGAAATCTCAAGCTCTTGGATGTTCTCTGTCAATGGCTTTGGCGCTTTCAGTCTCCTAGGTAATAAGTAGGTTTTAGTAGAGTTGATATGGAGGTGGTCAACGCAGAATGTACTGACGACAAGAAAGTTGTCTTTCCACATCCACTGTCTCCGAGTAGCAAAACCGTAACAGTTGTGCTATCAACCATGCTTTATTGTGTGCAAAATTGACACACTGTGGTTGTGAGTACATGCGATACATCTGGGAGACGAGGACTTCGCGGCGCTTACTTTACCATACATTAATTACATACAACCCCCGCGGAACCAAAAATTTACAGATTTTAAAACAGCGAAAGCTCAACCCGCTTGTTTTCTTTCTTCCTCTCAGGCCTTTTCTCTCCTTATTTCCCGCTTTCAACCTAGGGGATGTGGAGTTCTTCTCGGGTGTTACTGACAAAAATTTGCGTCCAAGGAACCTTTTCGCGTTGTGCGAATCGCAACTTCAGCTCGCAAGCTTCGTGCTTGTCACGACGACGAAAAGCTATGGCTCAACCTTTGACCGAAAGCCCTAACTACGCGAAATGGAGTACTACGAGTCTGATTAACCGTATCACAGAGCTAGAGAGTCAATTAAGGGATCAGAAAAATCAAACGACCACCCAAGCCATTTCCTCCGCAACAAATGTTCTACCTATACCAGCAGTACCCGGAACAAATGAGCTGTCGACGATATCACAACCTCCACAACAGATGCCTCAGTCCGATATACCTACGCGCTTAAAGACCAAAAAAAGTGAACCGAAAATATATAGAGACATCGATCCCTCGAAATACCATACTCGCCACATCGCGCTAAAGTTCGCCTATCTCGGTCAGCGATACAACGGGTTTGAGCATACGAATGGGAATAAAACCCCATTGCCAACAATCGAGGAAGAAATATGGAAGGCCCTTCGTCAAGCGCGTTTCATATTTCCTGCATCGTTAATGGAGGACGACGTTGTGCCGGGCCGCGGTTTCAAAGGGAGTCGAGTATACACACTGGACTGGGAAGACTGCCAGTATTCAAAGTGTGGACGGACTGATAAAGGTGTCAGCGCCTTTGGACAGGTTATTGGGGTCAGGGTTCGGAGTGCACGTCCAAAAAGGGAGCCGAAAACTACGGCTAGTTCAGTAGAGACTGCTACTGGTACAAAAGGAGTATCAATTAATTCTACTAAGAATATCACACCGCCTCAAAGTGCTGATATTAAAGAGTCTGATGCAGGTGATGAGGTGGACGATAACTGGGACGATATTCGAGACGAATTGCCATATGTTCAAGCACTAAACAACATCCTACCGCCTGATATCCGTGTGCTGGCCTGGTGCCCTCATCCGCCCGCGGATTTTGATGCCCGTTTCTCATGCCGTGAACGACAGTACCGGTACTTCTTTACACAACCGGCTTTCTCTCCCACCCCAGGAAACCTTGGTTTTATTCGTAGTGCCGCGCAACATCGAGGAATAGCCAAAAAGAAACTCCGAGAGGGCTGGCTGGATATCGAAGCTATGCGCGAAGCCTGCAAATATTTTGTAGGAACGCACGATTTCAGAAACTTCTGCAAAGTCGATACTAGCAAGCAGATTACAAATTTCAAGCGTTTCATCTACCACGCAAGTATCGATTTGGTTGACCCAAGATGTCACCCTCTTGGTCATCTCGGGACGCCTGAGTTTCGCCCTTCTCAAGACATAGCCGAATTTAAAGACGAGAAGTCGATAAACGAAGATTCGCCATCAACTCCACTAGTGTATACATTTACACTCCATGGATCGGCATTCTTGTGGCACCAGGTTCGCCACATGGTTGCCGTTCTGTTTTTAATCGGCCAAGGCGTTGAGTCGCCTTCTATCATCCCGGAACTGTTGGACGTATCAAAGAACCCACGTAAACCGACGTATGATATGGCATCAGATGCACCGCTTGTTTTGTGGGACTGTGTTTTCTCGGACCAGCAAAGCGGTAGTAGGGAGGATGCATTACAATGGGTATACTGTGGTGACCCTAGGCAAAGTAATCCGTCGCCTGGGAAAGGTGATAACAAATTTGGCCCACTTGGGTTAGTTGACAACCTGTGGTCACTATGGAGCCAGCGTAAGATGGATGAAATTCTTGCGGGAGCACTGATGGATCTGGTCGTTAGCCAGGGCGAGACCAATTTTATCCAGAACGAGCCTCCAAAGAAAACATCTAAGAGTCAGAAAATTTTTAATGGAGGCAATGAGGGGAAACTCGGCGGCGTATATGTGCCTATAATGCAAAAGCCGAAAACAGACACAGTGGAAGTGCAGAATGCAAGGTACAGTTCGACGGCAAAGTATATTGCGTTTCAGGAGCGAAAGGCAGCGAAGTTGAAAGAGCAAGATCAAGAGAACGGATCAGAATAGCATTCGTATTATAGAATTTAGTTCCCGCTCTCTCTGCCCTCGTTTTGGAAAGTTATAGTCGTCTCAGTACTTGGCGAACTACCCGGGTGACGGCCCTGATTTAGATTCGTAAAGGCAATGACGAGCGCCACGCCAGACTTCCTCAAGAATCTTGCGCTTGGGTAGGATGTTCTACTCGCTTTATATTAGTAGAGTTTGGAAAACTCGAGGGATATCAAGTTTGGAATTACCGGAAAGACAACCACTACATCGCCTTCGCCTTCCACGATAATTGCTAGGTAGAAGCGGACTTCGAATCCCTTGAAAGCTTCGTGGATCACAATATCTTGAATTTGTGTGGTCGGGATGAATCTTGTTGCCGCACTAGACCAGTACGTGGAAGAGGACGTGGAAGTTTGAATACCAAGCCCACGGATAACCAAAAGGGATTCCTCTGCCGCAGGATTAGATCTCGACATTATTGTACATGAGTTTCTGTAGTTATACACACCAGTATATCCTTTTCGCCAAACCAGATATAATGTAACGGCACTTGCAAGAGCCACGATCGAGTAGGGATAATGGTCTGCAACCCTACAGGCCGTGGCTCCAGTCTTGGTTGACCACCATTCTGTGGGAATCCCCCAACTACAGTCTTCGGCAAAAACAGAGCGGCGGAGCTTTGTTATATTAACCAGGAGCACTGATATGAAGCCAAGCGCTTTCAATAGAACCTCGACACCGAAGGCAAGCATTGCTGGCCATGTCTGGCGAGATGGAGCATTGGAGACTGTAAACGAAGCCGTTGTTGGCGACGGGCGCCTCACGGAAAGATGGGCTGGCATTGGGACGGGAGAGAAACGGCCTGCAATATGTATGCCAGCGGCATCCTTTAGCACGGAATCATGGCGCTGGAGGAGGTCTGGATGGACATGTTGGGTGAGCGACTGGAGTCTGGTAGTAGCAGCGATTGGCTTGATTGAGGCTACAAAGGCAAGGGGCACTAACAACAGCTAGTTAGTTAACTAGTTAACTTTGGGTCACCAGTAACACTTAAGTTTGTCGGACGGGTCACGTGTGCGGAGCTATGCGCAGCTGCTTTTTGCCTGGTCACGTTGTTGTTGCTCCTTCTGTATTTCCCCTCGCAACTGTGCCTCCTGCACTGTGACACCCCAGCACGCACTATGGCAGGTTCGCGTTCGCGGTCGCGGTCGCGGTCTCCTCGATCCGACAGCCGAAGAAGGAGCAGATCTCCCGATCGCCGTCGAGATTCACGCCCAAAGAACTCGGGTGGTTTTCGCTGGAAAGACAAGAGACCGCGAGATGACAGGTACAGAGATGGGGATCGCAGGTTGGAACGGGGATATCGTGATCAAGGACGCCCTCGTTCTCCTGACCGGTATCGAGGGTCAGGAAAATATGACGAGGTCGACAGACATGACGAGCGAGATAGAAGGCGCATGCGCGATGAGCCCTCGAGCGACAAAGCGCCCAAGGACAAGGATGAGGACAAGGATGATCGCAAGGCTAAGAAGCCCAAGGAAAAGAAAACCCCTGTGCCCCAGTCGACCGAAGAGATGATAATTGTGCATGTGAACGATCGCTTGGGCACCAAAGCTGCCATCCCGTGCCTGGCTTCGGACCCAATAAGTTAGCATCCTCTATAAACCTCGACCTTTATACTATGCGATGCTAATAAGTTCCATATGTAGAGCTATTCAAGGCACAGGTTGCTGCTAGAATTGGCCGCGAACCGCACGAGATATTGCTCAAACGCCAAGGTGAACGCCCATTTAAAGACCAGCTTACGCTCCAGGTTAGAGACCCGAAAGACCTTGATATCAAGGCTTCATGATGGACTAACGTTTTGAAGGACTACGGCGTCTCGAATGGTGTGCAGATTGATTTGTAAGCTCTAATTTTCTCCCATATTGCTTTTTCTTCCAGCGCATCCATCCATCCATCCATCCATCCTACAGTGGACCGTACACTGCGCATGCTACACAAGCTAACAATCCCTGCAGGGAGGTTGACACAGGCGATTAGACCAGTATGATCTATATATTGCAATAACTTGTTATCCGCCCAATCGAAGGCTTCCAGGAAGTTGCTACGAGTCCAGTTGGCTGAGAAGGGTTGAAGTGCTGCGATGAACCTCGGGTGGAATCGTTGACCTTAAATGCCAGCTCGCTCGCCTGGAGCTGGATTACGAGTTCTCGCGCATTGTCTTTTATCTCTTTCTCTCTCTCTCTTTTTCTCTCATGTACCACTATCTTTATGGCGTGGGTGGACAAACGTGGCTACTGGAATTCATTTTTCATCTTTCCTGTCCATATCTTATCATCTCACACAAAGTTGCTGTCGTAAGGCTGGCCACCCCAACACCTTGCTAGGCGCTGTCTGCAGGATGCGTCCAGCAGGCGGCGCAGCCATTCCCTTCTCTTTATGATTGCCAATGGCCACCGGCATTCATCATTCTGACATTGGTGTTTCACTCACGATGGCGTGGGCAAAACAACGCGGGGTACTTGCCGGCGCTCTGGCGCTTTACCCGATCGGGGCTCCTATTGCTGGAAAAAGTATGAGCCAAGACTGACAGGCCGTTCCACTCCGCTGGAATTTCTCAGCTTGACCGAAGTCGCTCGCAATCATCCTCCCCATCCCAATGCTCTTTGACTGCACTTCGCCCTCCACCACCATCCCCGGCCGTCCCCTTGCAAACCAGCCAGCCATGATGATTTATTAAAGCTCCGTGCCTCGAAGTTTTCTGGTCGCTTGGCTGCTCCCGAGACCGTATAAAAATCCTTTCGCCGCCGACCGTTGAGCTATTTTTTCTCTCACGTGCACCACATCTCTGAAGGCGCCGGAAACAAAAAATGGTTAGAAACATTGTCGTCATTGGGGGCACTTCCCACCCTCAACTCACTCGCACCATCTGCAATCACCTCGGTGTTCCAGAGGCAAATGTCCTTCTCTCCAAGTTTGCCGTCGGCGAGACTCGAGTCGAGATTCAAGAATCTGTCCGAGAAAAGGATGTCTACATCATCCAGTCTGGAGGGGGGAAAGTCAATGACCATTTGATTGAACTCCTCATTACAATTTCAGCCTGCAAAACTGCGTCTGCGAAGAGGGTCACTGCCGTTCTACCTCTGTTTCCATATTCTCGCCAAAGCGATATCCCATATAACAAGACTGGAGCTCCTTTGGTCAAATCGTCGACTCACCAGCCGTTCACTTTCGACAGCATGCCTTCCACACCGCACCCCAATAAGCCGGAAAGTCAAGGTGTGTACAACGGCGTCGACAGTTTACAAAAAAGTCTTGCAAAAGCTCAAATAGAAACAGATGCCAACGGATCCCCAGTCAAACGACGCCATATTGCCAACGGAGGAACACGCAGTGACACTCTTGACTCAGTTCAGTCAGATGTTAGCATTCCCAATGGGGTGAATAATGATGACAATACAAGCATCTCCGGCTCCTCGATCAAGGGCCCGCCTGCCTTTGAACCCCGTCCTGGATACCGGCAATGGGTTGCGCAAGCAGGAACTCTCGTTGCAGACCTTCTTACCTCTGCTGGAGCTGATCATATTATCACAATGGATCTACATGATCCCCAATACCAAGGATTCTTCGACATTCCGGTTGACAATCTCTACGGCCGACCATTGCTCAAGAGATACATCCAACGTCATATCTCGGATTTCAAGAATTGCATTATTGTTAGCCCAGACGCCGGCGGAGCTAAGAGGGCCACGGCCATTGCTGATTCGATGGGCGTAGAGTTTGCATTGATTCACAAGGTGAGTAAATTCCATAAATCGCCCTTCAGACCCAAGATACTAAATCTCGCAGGAACGACGCCCAACCAAGATCTCCGACAGGCAAAATGCCACTATGATGCTAGTTGGAGATGTTAAAAACCGCACAGCCATTCTTATTGATGACCTGGCCGATACCTCAAACACAATTACACGAGCTGCAAAGTTGCTCAAGAAAGAAGGTGCTGCAAAGGTATATGCTTTGGTTACTCACGGCATTCTCAGTGGCGATGCTATTGATCGTATCAACGCAAGCTCCTTAGACAAGGTGGTCGTCACCAATACTGTAGATCAAGACGACCACTGCAAGCGTTGCCCTAAGCTTGAAGTCCTCGAGGTTGGTAACGTGTTCGCCGAGGTAAGTTATATCATTATCTTCATCACTTTTCGATCTCGCTAACATCTCATAACAGGCTATACGACGTGTCCATCATGGTGAAAGCATTAGCGTGCTATTTCAATATGACTAGTCCCACGTGCCTTCATTACATACTTCGAGTTAGCGCTTTCCAAATTCGAAGCATCCTAGTTCTCAATTCTATGTTATTCTAAGAATCAACAGAATTATAGAGAGCGCCATCGTCTTTTACAAGCAAACACTCCAATGACATGACCAAGTGCTGGTGTCTTTCCCAAGTAGAATCTTGGTTTTGCTTATGCATTTGCATACACAAATTCACGTTTTTTTTTTTTTTTTTTTGAATTTTTGAGTTTTTTCATTTTTCATTTTGGTGCTGGGCTTAATGATGAAATTTCAAAACCGACTGAGTTCGGGATCCATGTACAAGTATTTGAATATCAAACAACTACATTTTTTATAGAACGGGAGAAGGGACTGGTATCTCCTTAGTTCGAGAGATTACATTGCAGTCTGAAACATGTTTTGATATGAATGTGGAATATGCATGGGAGTGTTGCTAGTGTGGCAAGTGCATGTATGATGTAACATCTAGCTATCATGCCAGAAGGAAAAACACAATAAGATTTGTAAATACATTAGAATAAAATTTTCGATTGTTAACGCCGACATACATACAATGACTCATAGCAATTCCCAGGAAACTTCAAGGAATCAAATTTGGTTGAGATAAAGGAGATGTAGAATGTAATATAAGCCATGGGGCTCCGATTGGAGCCTAAAGAACGGAGATGTAGTTTCCTATCCTTTCCTTCTGGTGTTGGGCGATACACTCGGAGATCCAGGTGACGTTACGAATTTCCTGAGAAGGAGTTAAATGTCAGCGTGTTCTCAACCACCCATCTTTTGGATAGTGAATGGCCTTACCTGCTCCCGTAACCTCACCCAAGCGTATACAATAGACACTGTGAACTGTCGTGTAAATACAATTTTGCACAGCTCCATTTCCTTCTGGTAAAATAGATCTTCTAGGCTCTTCCCATCGGCACTCCCTCCACCAGCCATGTTTCCAATGCCGCCGCCACCGCCCTGAGCTAATCCGACAGCATCGAAGAATGTCTTGTAATCACCTACTCCGCTAACGGCAAGAGCAACATTCTCCACGTCATCCGCTCTTGAGAGCATCAAGGAGCCTTCAGGATACAGTTTTCCAAATTCTGGGTAGAGTTTCTTCCGCTCTTGCTTGGATAGCTCTGTTCCGAATGAGTTCAGGGTAATATTGATTGCTCGGCGGTCAGCTTCGAACTCGAGGATCTCTGACATCGCCTCTTGTGTTGGGGTGCCTTTAAATTCAGGGTTTGTGGTGACAAATTTATAGAAGTCTTCTAGATAGTTCTTGTATAGTGTGTTCCGGACAATCTCGATATTCAGTTCGTCCAGATCGTGATGGCTTAAGCTTCCTTTGAAATATGGCGCCAGCGGTGTTTCCACGAGCACCGAGTTGTAAAGCTCTTCAATGTTGGTTGCGACACACAGAACGGGCATGGTCTCGAACCAGCCCAGAGGATGGCAACGCTCAAGTAGTTCACGAGTATCTCTTTCATGTAATGTGCCGGTAATTAATAGTGCCACGTTATCGATCATGTATCCGTATGTCAGGTACTCCATGAACTTGGCGAATGAACCTGTTGCCTGGGCCTGGAGATAACGAAATTCGGCAACCAGCTTCTCGGTCATCTTGCCTGCAAGAGCGGAGGTGGAAGGGTTCGGAGGCAGCGAGGCAAGGAAGTCTCCGTATGCAGGGCCGAGCTGGAGCTTGACATCTATATATACAGTCAGACAAGGTTCAACCTTCTATGCGTGCCAGATAGACAGACCATCTACCGTTTCACATTGGGTCAAGTTCGCATAATGCTGGCTAGTGAGTAGGCTGTTTCGGTATCCACGAACGATACCTTCCAGGTACCTGGAGATGTCAGCATTGCAGCCCAGAATGTGTCGGTGGTCAGTATCATCTTACCCGCCATTGACATTAAAGAACAGGCCTTCCATTGTGGCAGGCTTGGAATCGAGGGAGGGTGTACAGGAGAGAGTGAGGCTGTCCAGTCAAGAGCTCCAAACAGCAACGGCGGGCACGAAGCTCCACGGGTTACATAAGCCCACACTGGCCTTTCTATTCGACGGACTGTCAACCGTCACTGCTACGCCCTCAAGTCTCAAGTTCGACCACCATGATCACTAAGGCGTCCACATAGTCAAGCACGGTCAGTACTTAAATATCCTTTCATGTTTCCACAAGATAGAGAAATAAACTAACTCCTGTCCTTGAATGGAATGAAACTGGCTTAGATATAGACAGAGTCACATGACCAATTGCTAGACACCAGTCCATAACTGGATTAGCGTTATGCTCCGCCGGCCGCCAGCCACTCACAGCCCGTATCGCTTTTTACCGCCTCGACCACCAACTTTGAAATTTTTGAGCAGAAAAAAAAGAGGCAGAGAAAGCTCTCCCACTCCGTTCGCCGCGCTCCCCTCCCGACGATACGGCTCTTGGTTGCGGTCTTTCCATTTATACAACCATTGGATTCCTGGGAGTCGCTGTCATTCAAAATGACGCTTTTCATTCTCACCGAAACCAGCGCAGGTTATGCCCTGCTAAAAGCCAAGGACAAGAAACTTCTCAAGCGTGATGATATCGCTACTGAAGCCGCCACTCCTGAGGGCATCTCCAATTTGTAAGTCTTTCTCTATGGCAATTGATACTTGGGTCGAGCAAGACGTCTTGTTTCAAGAGTTTACGCTTCGAAAATTTTTATCGTCGGGTGGCAGTTTCTAACAGCAATGCAGGTTGAAATTGAAGAACTTCCAGAAATTCGACAGCGCCTCCACAGCACTTGAGGAAGTGTCTGCTATTATCGAAGGGAAAGTTACCCCTCTTCTCGCTGGTCTCCTCGACGAAATCAAAGATGAGAAGAAAGTGTCTCTTGCTGTCGCCGATCCCAAGCTCGGTAGGTTCCTTCAGATACCAACGGCTGCTCGATCAATGTTTTAACAGCTATTAGGAAATGCCATTGGCAAACTTCCCGGCCTTGATATCCAGCCCATTGCCGACTCCTCTACTGCTGACATATACCGTGCAATTCGCGAACATATTCCCACTTTAATTCCTGGCCTTGTCCCTGCAGATATGTCCGCCATGGCTCTTGGTCTATCGCATTCCTTGGCTCGTCACAAGCTCAAGTTCTCTCCCGATAAGATCGACACTATGATTGTTCAGGCTATTGCACTTCTAGATGACCTGGACAAGGAATTAAACACATACGCCATGCGCGTGAAAGAATGGTATGGCTGGCATTTCCCTGAAATGGCCAAAATCATCAACGACAATATCGCCTACGCTCGTGTGGTTTTGAAGATGGGCATGCGGACAGATTCTGAAAACACCGACCTTACCGACATTCTTCCAGAGGAAATCGAAGGCGCCGTAAAGAATGCCGCTGACCGATCGATGGGTACAGAGATCAGCGCCGAAGATCTGGAAAACATTCAAGCTTTGGCTGAGCAAGTTGTTGGATTTTCTGAATACCGCCAACAACTCGCAAGCTACTTGACGGCCCGTATGACTGCCATCGCCCCCAACCTTACAGCGCTCGTCGGTGAGCTCGTCGGTGCTAGATTGATTGCCCACGCGGGTAGTCTGATGAGTCTTTCTAAGAGTCCCGCTTCTACTCTTCAAATTCTGGGTGCCGAAAAGGCCCTTTTCAGAGCTCTGAAGACAAAACATGACACCCCTAAGTACGGTCTCATCTACCATGCGTCCTTGATTGGACAGGCCACTGGCAAGAACAAGGGTAAAATGGCCAGAATTCTAGCTGCCAAGGCCTCTCTTGGTCTCCGTGTTGATGCACTCTCCGAATGGGATGACGATGTCACTGAAGAAGACAAGGCAGCTCTGGGTACTGAAGCTAGATATAACCTTGAGCGCAAATTGGCTGCCATGGAAGGAAAGCCCTTGAAACCCAGAGGTGTTAACATTGCACCCAATGGCATCTCAACTCAGCCCAAGAAGTTTGAGATCAACGAAGCTCGAAAATACAATGCCGATGCTGACGGCTTAACGGGGAATGAGGAGCCTGCTGCTACTAAGAAGTCCAAGAAGGAGAAAAAGCTAGTCGAAGAGGCCGAATCTGAGAATGAGTCTGATGAGGACGAGGAAATGGAAGATGCCGAAGATTCGGACGAAGAAGAAGAGCCAAAACCCAAGAAAGAAAAGAAGGACAAGAAGAGTGATTTGGAGAAGCTGGCCGCTAAGGCTGGTCTCAGCGTGAAGAGATATCAACGAAAGCTTGAACGTGGCGAGATCTCTTTTGATGCTGCCGGTAACCCTACCGCCATCAGCAAGAAGGATTTGAAGAAGGCCAAGAAAGAGGCCAAGAAGGCCGCCAAGGAAGATGGCAAGAAGCGCAAGAGAGATCAAGAAGATGGCGATGACAAGGCCGAGAAGAAGAAAAAGAAGAAGAGCAAGGAATAGACGAAAAGGTGCTTGCTGAAAATGTTTTTTGCTTCTGTATGATATCTATCTTCACCCCTTTGATATTCCTTTTCATTTCTTTTCTTTTTCTATATTGTGACATCTTCTGCTTTGTTCGGGTGGCATTTGCGGCGAGATTTGTGGTTCCTATATGGCGTAAAAAGGGTTCCCTTTTGGCATAGGCGAAAGTACTTAGCCGGAATAAAATTTGGATTTCAGTTCAAGATTGGCTCTTCTTAATTCTCGATTCCATCTGAAAGTGGTATTTGCAGTAATAAAAACCGATATCACTAAACACAGCCGATATTACTAGAACACAAACGCCTCTGCTATGCTAGCTATACCACTTCACTTTAATAAAAACAAACTCAGAGTACCACAAAATTTCATACGCCTGGGTTATTCCGCACTGCCCAATGTCTTATTCATAATCCTGAAGATATCCTCTTTATCACCTTCCTTCAGTCTCGCACCCAGTTCTTCAATCACGCTCTCAATCAAGACATTATTACTATAAGCATCATCATCTTCTTCCCCTCCCTCTTCTTGATTTCCATCCTCATCCACCGCTACTTCGCCCCTATCCACCTCCATAGAATCTGCACCGGCGTTCTTGTTTTTCAAGCCTACGCCGAGGTTGATCATCATCATGACTTCGCCTTTGGTAAGCCCGTAGGGTTTGAGTTCTTGAAGGAGTTTTCGAATTGCGTTGTCTAGAGGTGTCGGTTCTGATGGTTGTATGTAAGGCTGTTGCTGGTCCGTGGAGGGCTGTTGGAAAGTATGTGTTTTGGGATCTTGTTGAATGTCATGCGTATAGCGAGGATAGTCCAAGAGATGGGGAGATATACGCTCAACGTAGTTATGTATCTGAGAAAGTATTCAGTATTATTTGTTCGCAATACGAATATGACGCGCAGGTCTTTTCTGAAAGAGGTGCTTTTTGTAACTAACCTCAGTCACAACAGTGCAGTGGTCTCTTAGATCAGGTTTCGGGTTGAAATGTCTCGCGCCAGGAGGCGCTTGTGGGGGTTTTCGAGGCGCATTAGCGGTAAGATAGGATAGGACCTCGATATTGGTCAGAGTTGCCGTTTGAGGGTCGACAATCTGAATAATATGTCGGTGTCAGCATGTTCTTCGATAGTGTGGTGGCGAGATCTTATGAACCTTCATTGTAGATGGGGTGTCTTTAGCTTCAGTCGACCCCGGAAAGGTGAGAAGACAAGAGGAAAGCAATTATAAAGAATTTAATCTTTTAAATATTCTTTCCTTTCTTTGCGACTCTCATTGGCTTCAATTTCGTAGTTGGTCGATGCCGAGCACGTGGATTAAGCGGAGTTAAGAATTTTTGCCGGCAATATTTCATGCTCTTTCGTGGGGTACCGGGCGGTGAGATTGAAAATGAGATATAATTGCGATTTATCATGCGAATTTTTTTCAAAAAAATAGTAAATAGTAAATGCATTCAAATAAACTCTGCGCCTTGATAATGATAATGGAGACTATATACATTTTTGAAAGTCAAATTTGGGCTTTGACTGTTCTAAAGGGTATCCGACGAACCAACAGCTTGGTGAGCTATTCAAAATACAATGGTAAAGTAGTATACAAGAGAAACAGAGACAAATGCTAAGCTCAAGATAACAAGAAAAAGACGAATTCCAAAACACTCATCGTAATTGTTTAGAGTAAGAATCATTCGTCATCCTCATCCTCTATGCCGAGCAAATATTTTTCTATTTCCTCTGCTTCCGATTTGGATTCCCCTAATTTGACATATTTTGGGCCTTTGCCTGCCATTAGTTTGCCCCATAAGTTGTAAATCGGACGTTTGTTGGGTTTCTCTTCGCCCCAGGCTCCCAGGCCATCGCCGAACACTGCTTCTTCATGCCCAGAACAGAGGTCCTTGAAGCTCATCCACCCATCGTTAGCGAGCCACATTCCTCCCTTTCTCCCGGGATTTTTCAGCACTTCGGAGGCTCCGAGGGCTGGATGGGTATGTGGTTGGACTATGGAGGACCGCACATGATTGCGCAGTAATGCACGAGCCCAGGGATGAAACCACGCAGTATTCCAGTAGTCTTGTCGTAGTGCTAGGTCGTCATTTGTATGAACAATAGCAGGCACTGCTGCTGTTTGAATATATGTTGCTAGTGGAACATCATTCCACGTAAAGTTCCAAGCGGGAGGGAGCACATCAATGCTGGTGTTGAATGCTGGCCGTACAACTTCACCAGTGCCTGGCTTTGTTTGTTTAAAAGGATTCGAAGCGCTTTGTTCGATATCAAGAGGCAAGTTCAGCCGTACCTCCCTAGGTACTCCGTGTTGTATCTGCACAGAAGACACTTTTCGTACATCCCGATACTTCAGCCATTCTATATCGGCTGTTGCCTTTCTCGTGTTGAGGAAAAGTTGGCCCTCATAATCAAGACTGATGCCAAATTCGTGCCAATCTCCTGGTTGTATGCGGGAGCGTACGTTCGTAATGTTGGACGCATCTGATATGCCGACAGAGTCCCCAACCCACTCTTTGAGACGGCTGATTGATCGCCTTCTTGCAACCTCCCTAGAGTATTCTTGATTGCCGTACATCTGTGTCAAGACCGTTTGATCGGTGGAGTGTATAGGTTGCTTTTTCATATCTTCCAGTACCCTTTCATAGAGGGGGATCAGATTTGAAACTTGACCCATCACAACACCTGCGTCAATCCACCGTGGTCTATTCTTAGTGCCATCACGTTTCTTGTCCGTCTTTGGTCCGTAGATGTCGGGTGGTAACGGAGACTGGGGTACACTGGCGCAGGCGACGCTGTCGGTTACGTTCAAGGAGCAATCCTTTCGAGCCGCAAATAGCACTTTTTGGGTATATTTCTGGACCAGTTGTCTATTATCGCCCTCTCCAATGTACCTTGTACCGTACTTCCTTTTTAATCGGTCATTATTTCGTCGATACAGGTCTCTATAGCGTTTGATGAGGATTTCAGGCGGTAACTGGAACAGAATGTCGTCGTTATCTACAACCAGAACCAGATCATGTTCAAAGACTCGCCCGTTGGTCTTCAGAAAGAGGAGGATCGATTCCACTTTCTCTATCATAACTCCATCGTAATCAGGAGACTTCTTCGAAGATCGGCGAGGTTCGGGATTTTGTTTCAGGAGGGTCATTGGAGGATAGTCTAAAATCATTGCCGACGTGATGGTGCGACATAAATGAACGTTTTTGGGTTGCGCGGATAGGAGAATGTGGAAATTGAAGTCGTCTGGTAAGCCTGCATCTTGAATCACAAGGGACGAGCCCTTGAAAATGTTGAAGGAGCGATGCTGGAGGAGGTTAGTGTCTCACGTTGAAATGGAGTATTCTTGGTCCAACATACCCTCGCAAAGCTGTAGGATAGCAGGCATAATAAAAGAAAGAAGACTCCAACAAGGTGGGAAAGGGGCCTGGAGGCGCGTAAACGCCGTAGCGATTGTAAGGGTTGTAGAGACCGGAGAGACCGTAGAGAAGACTGCAGAGAGGCTCGGGAGGGTAGAGAAGATCGCAGAGAGGCTCGGGAGGGTAGAGACAGAGAACGAGGGCTTGGAAGCTTGGCCGCTAGATGGACGGTCCTTCTCCATAGAGATCTAGCATGGCCGACGGCTCGCTGAGCCTCCCAATCTATTTGTACCATGTTGAGAGGCTGGAACGAAGAGAACGACGCACCCACACCCCAGCGAAGGCGGTTTATTGGAATAAACACACAGAGGTGTAATGAATGGACATTTTCCTGCCTGGTGTGCAAGAGAAGAAACGGGGGGTGGGCAGGGCGCAGGGCGCAGGACAGGTCTGGACTGACTCCTGATGCAGGCGAAAACAGCAGTAGGCAAGTTCAGGAGTTCAGTTGCAGTGACCGAGGGTGCTTGCGGAGAGAATCTAACGTGGCCTCGCACGGCGGGGCGAGCTGATTGGGGGAGGAATGCAGGAGGCGGCCGGCAGCGTCTCGGCGCCATCGGCGACTCGACGAGAGCAGCCCAGCGTGGGGCCGCCGTCGTTGCATCGGGGAAGTGGTCCCTTATCAGATAGTGTGATACAGTATGCTGTATGTTGTGCGTCGTGTGTTGTTTTATATTACTATGTATGTGATACAGTATGTTGTATGTTGTTTATATTACTACGTGTGCGATACAGTATGTTGTATGTTGTGTGTTGTGTGTTGTTTTATATTACTATGTGTATCTATCTCATTATGGCTATACGCATACTACTCCAGGTACATCTCGTCGCGGATGCGCTGGAGGTTGCGAAACAGGCCACCTCCTGGGGCGCCGTGGTCGATGCTTGCTGGCTCGTCTGCGATCTGGTCCCTGCCTGTCGTGCTCGCCCGTTGCCCTTCCAGAGTCCTGCGTCGATCGTCCACAGTCTTTGCCAGGCCATCCAGAAAGCGGTTGCGCGCCTTTTCTTCCGACGTGCCCTTCCAGACATTTCCTAGACTGCGTAGGGTTTCAAGGCGTTCGGTGGCCGCAGCCAACCCGGCGTCTCCGCCTCCATTGCTATCAAGTAGCTCTGATATTTCCGCCCGTAGCTTTTTGGCGACTTCTTGCCCTCGCTCCTCGCGACTGTAGCTTTCCGACCCTGGTTCTGGCGCGGAAACAGAAATGAAAGAAGACGTCAACGACAGCTCTGATGGGGGAAGCGGCCATTCCATCGCGTCTCCAAACGTTTGAACCACCTCTTCCAGCCGCCCGCGAACCTTGGTCAAAGTTCGCAGCTGTGTAATAAAAGGCGGTTCTTTCACGGTGTCGCCGTCACCATCTGCAATGTCGTTTTTTTCGCTTCCATCGTCCTCTGCCGATGCTTCCCTATCCACCCCAGGGGCGAATTTGACAATGTCCTCGGACAAATTCTCGGTCAGTGCATCTGCGAGGCTGATTGTTTCTCCTCGTAACACTTCCACTTCATATGCAAGCCTGCCGCCGCTGCGCAGTATTTCATCGGTAAGCTGGGTCAGTATGTCGGACAATCGGACATTCTGCGAGCCCAACTGAGAGAGAAGGGATTGGATGCGGGAAGAGAGGTCGGTCAGGGGCACTGCTCCTGGAGATTTGGAAGCATGGGGCTGGGAGTTGGACAGCGTCAAGGGCGGGAGGGTATCGTTCAAGAAAGCGGCCGGGTCGAACGAGGAATCTGTAAAGGGTCGCAGGGACGGGTCTAGATGGGATTGTTGAGCAGTGGTGGCATGTCCGCTGGCGCTACCGGCGGCAGCAGAAGACGCTTGCATAGAGAGGGAGAGGAAGAGGGAGAAGGAGAGGAGAGAATGATGATACCAATGAGTAATGAAGAGTCATGAATAGCAAGTAATGCCAGGTGGAGCCGGCCCGCCTCCCCGCCTCAGGCTCCCAGGCTGCCAGGCACCAGCGCAGGGCAGGCAGGAGGAGGATGCGGGCGCCGCCACACGCCAGCCGCCCTAACCCCAAAAGAGCAGGCGGCTTTCCTGTTTAGGACTGCTATACCTGCATGGCACAGCGCAGCCTGCCACTTACTGCGCCGCCATTGACTCACAGGTACACAAAGAATCTTTCCTTCTCCTCGTCGTTTCTGCTTCTGCACTGCTGCTTTTGACTCTCCATGAAGTGCCCATCATCTCATCGTGATGGGCGGAATCTGCCGGCAACTGCACCACCGGAACTTGTATGCATGCCATGTTTATTATCTTCGTGTCATTCCCATATCATCGTTGACGTCTTCTCCCCTCCAGCAGGCACCTTCAATCCGTGACTCGCAGACCGCCCAGCCTCTGCAATATTTGAAAATTGAAATTATCTGATATATCGAGTCTCGTAGTCGCCTCGCCTCGACTCGCTCCTAACCTACATGCCTCGAAAAGACTTTCTTCGAGATCTGGAGAGGGCCAGGTCGCCTGGCTTATTTCCAGGTCTGCACGGAATACGGCTTGGAGATGACGACGAATCAATCTCTTTCTCGTTTTCCCATTCACCTGAAACCGATCTGCCACTAGAGTTCCAGGTTGTTATATCAGGTAAGCGCAGACAACCTTCCAGCTAAGCAACAGCATGCTCATATTGGCTATAGATCTTTCCGAGTATCCAAAGTCTCACCAATACCTAATTTTCTCCACGTCAACTACCGTGCCGCCTGCTGCTGTCGATGTTCTTGACGTTGTTCGAGTTGCAGTCGCAGGATCTCCCATCCATGATCTCTTCAACATGGTGAGCGATGCTTTGAGAAACGTCCTTTCTGCCGACATACTTCAGACCACCGAAGTAAGCCAAGATTCAGAAAATGATGAGGTAGATTGGGATGCTGCGGATTCTGACTTCAGCGTGGAAGCTGCCTGGCAAGATGATTCGTTCGATGAGGACCAGCAGTTCTTTGGTTCTGTGCGCACAGACACAAAGAAATCCGAAAGCCTTAAACAAGATCTTCGTGCTGCGAAGAAAGCAGGGTTTAAGGTCGGCTACCTAGGCAAGTTGACAGGGTCAGTCATCATCTCAATTTCTTGTCGGGTCTCCAAATTGGGCATTTCAGACGAGGCAATGCAGGCATGGAGCGTGGAGCGCACTCAATACTTGGTGGTATTGATTCGCTATCCAAGTGGATATGCCAACTTACAGCAAGTACTGGAACAAAAGAGGAAAGGCTTGACTACTCAGGTCCAGATGCACGTTGGTCTCTGCTCTTCGTACAAACCCACCATGACGGAAGCCTTGGATGTATTTGCTCGCTTCAATGGCATTCCTACTCCGCAAGGGCGTGATACTTCCGAATCTCATGGCTCCCAGAAACTGGTTCCTCTTTTCATCGAAATGCCGTTGAACTCGCTGCTCAATGAGCGATTGCTCAAGATAATTGAACTAAGATATCAATATGCCTTCTCATGGTCAGGGGCGGAGTTATTTTTCAATAACGCCCAGGGCATGATGATAGCCCCAGAAGATTTTGGAGGTGACGAATACACATTACCAGATGATCGGAGTGCCTCGCTTCCAGAAATTGTTCAGGCAGATCAACTCTCTGACGCTGCAAGTCCAAATGCATTGTCTTTCCCCCTAATTGCCATGCAGTTTACACTACGGCATTTTGTGAAGTGCACTGAGTTCTGTCTAGTTTGTCATTGTAAGATGGATGCAAACTTCGAAGCCCTTAAGCCCTACGTCTGCTCAAAACCTTTATGTCTTTATCAATATATGGCACTTGGCATGGGCCCCAGTGTAGACTGGGAGATTCTCAAGCAGCCCTATGTAATTGACCTACTAATAACCTTTGCGTATTCTAGCGCTGCTACGGGAAATCTTTCTGATTTTCCTCATGGCCTTGGAATCATGGTGCCTGGAAGTTCAAAGAGCACTTATTCACGAAAAGGAAAGTTGCGATTATCAGATATGCAGCTCACAATCACTTCTGCCTTCGAAGATAAAACCTTCCTGAGCCCCGGTAGATGGATTGTTATGAAATCATCTCCTCAAATCTCTAACGATATATGGCATTTTCGAGTTGAAGATACGCTCAGTTGGCCTTTGGTCTGTCTTTCTCAACCAATGGTGCATGGAAATATCCAGCACGCGTTACCAGTCTCGACAAATCAAGAATCGTTAGAAGTCAATTTTGCGGTATATGACCAGAATTTCGACGATATCAAGCAGGATAAAGACAAGTGCCAAGCAATCGCGACGCTTTTGGATACATTGCCCGATGTGATTGCGATGAGAGATTTTCTAGAGTCCGCGCCACCGGGTTCTAGGGAAATTCTGGCATTGTGGAACAGGGTTTCTAGTTCTGCGTTTGATCTTTTAAGATGGGTTGTTGCATCCAATAGATCATGTATAATGCAGGATGGAGATCTAAGCCAGATCAAGGGTGTTAAGTCAAGTCCTAATTTGGTATCTGGAATGGATGGCTACTTGCAATTTAGATTTGCCCAAGGATCTCCCGATAAAGAGGAAAAGTTTATGATGGCTGTCACGGCCAAAGCCCCTAAGATTGATCGAAAGTACCCAACTATCTTCACATGGCACGGAAGTCCACTTTCGAACTGGCATGGAATTATCAGAGAAGGTCTACATTACAAGAAGGTGACAAACGGTAGAGCTTACGGAAATGGTGTTTACATGGCTCAGCATTTTTCTACATCTCGGGGCTACACCCAGAGAGGGGACCAGGGATCGTATTGGCCGAACAGCATACTTAAAGTCCAAGGTGCGATATCACTAAATGAAGTTGTCAACAGCACAAAGGATTACGTCAATAGCTCTAGTGGCATTTATGTTGTCAAAGACATTGAGTGGATTCAAACACGATATCTTTTTGTTGAATGTCAGCCACGTGTCGATCTCCTAAAGGACTCACCTTCATATTCAGAAAGTTCGATTAAAGATTCCTCGATAAAACCGAATTTTTATCCACAAGACCCAAAACACGCGGCAAACGGACCCAAAGGCCGTACGATCGATATCCCCATGACCGCTTTGGGCCAGCGCCGACGTCTCCTAGTAACCCAGCTTCTACAGTCAGCCTCTGCTACAGTCAAATTAGGAGAAAATAAGGAAGATGTAATACTGGCGGCCTCCAGCGAAGACGATGACTCAGCAAGCGTAGCCACTTTGAACGAAGATCTAACAGTATTGCTTTCGGATTCAGAGGACAGTGAATCACACCTAGTAAGCGATTACGCTGGGGATTCTGAAGCAGTGGCCCAGACGACGGGATTGGAAAAGACAACTAAAACCCACAAAAGCACCCCTTCTACCGACTTTCAGCCTGGAATGTTGACTGAATCATCTATGACGCTACTTGAACCTCCATCTTATGCTACTACCTTAGCTACCAAGTATCTCCAGCAACAACTACTGCAAACACTGAAAGTGCAGCAGAAGAACTCATTGGTTGAATTGGGGTGGTACATCGACCCACAACTTATCAGCAACCCATACCAGTGGATTGTAGAGCTACACTCCTTTGAACTCACACTTCCATTGGGCCAGGACCTGGAAAAGACAGGGATACAGAGCATCATTCTTGAGATGCGTTTTTCTCAAAATTATCCGATGTCACCACCATTTGTTCGCATTGTCAAGCCTCGACTGCTTGAATTTGCCCATGGTGGTGGTGGTCACGTTACCGCAGGAGGCGCGCTTTGTATGGAACTACTCACGAACTCTGGCTGGTTACCGAGCTATTCTATGGAAAGTGTCTTGCTTTCTATTCGTTTTGCTTTGTGTTCCACTGAACCCAAACCAGCACGCCTTCTAAGTGGTCAATCTGGTGGGCAAAAGGGCCGAATATTTGAATACCCAATCCAGGATGCTATCTCGGCATATGTTCGAGCATGCACCGCACATGGATGGGAGGTACCGAAAGATTTCTCTACCCTAGCCTGGTGAATGAATTATGGAGTGGGGAGCGTTGGAATTAGCTTATACCTACAACGAGCTATGGGGAAGGTGTTTAACCGGAATGCATTTAATTTATGAGACTAGGAAAACAATACCCAACCAGTTTAGTTACTTTGATATCTCGGGTTCCTCGTACACTAATATTACAAAAGTCCGAATATAGTACATCAGTTGATGTACTGATAATTCCTGCCTTCATCTGCATTTATACTAATTTATGTCAGATCTGATTAGACATCCTGGACATCGGAGGGTCTTCCGTAGATAATGCAAAAAGTTGAAATACTATTAGTATTGATCTGGGGAGGGCTTCTATACCTCATCCACTTTTGTGGTGCTATGTTCAAGCTTTTGTCGCCCTATTACACAATGAAACAAAATATGACATGGGGCAGGTGCCAACACCAATTTATCGCTCTCTAGAATTACGTCTTTAAGAGTAATGACACGGTGTAGATCTAGTAGAGCTGTTTGATAAAGTTAGACATGAAGTAAAGTTGAGTCAGAGTCGACTCACGGAGAATAGCTATGGGGATCAAACAAGTCTCCGAACGGTGGACGACACAAGGAGCTAAGATCGATATTGGTCCCATCTGTTACAAAAGCACCTAGAGCCTCTTCACTAGTGCTGTATAATCGTAGACGGATAACCCAGCTGCGGTAATGTATGTTCGAAAAGGCTTGGGTTGAGGTTGACACCAGTAACAGCCCTGTCGCTTGAAGTAGACACAATCGAGATTTGGAGTGAGTAATCTGGTTGGGTTGCCTCGGTGGTGCCCGGACGCCCAAGATTGGTTTCTGGCGGGAAGGGCGTTCGGTGTCAGTTGACCGATCTTCTCCTCTCAGCGGGCTTGTTCAGCTTCAAGCTACAATACAGGCAGCCCTGGCCGCTGAAATACTAAACCCCGCTTGCTCTAATGGTGATGTGTGATGTGGACAAGGTTCGGGACGGACTCAGTTCTGATTGGAAGCCATCGCAAGATGAACTTGATAAGGCGCTCCAAAAGGCTACTTGGGGAGGTGATGCCACAACCACGGCATTATTTCTCTCAAAAGGAGCACGAATTACCCACCATGCCTTCATCGGCGCTTCTTACAACAAAGACCCTGCCATCTTCCAAAAATTTCTTAACTATGGCTTGGATATTAACTCAACCGAGTTTGAAGGTCCGGCATTAAGGTTCAATTCTTGCCATGCCGTATTCTAATTGTAGTTTCTAACACTATCAGGCTTGTGGTATCTAATAAGACCTGTGTTTGTTGGCTCTTGGAACACGGTGCTGATCCCAATCAACGGAATGATAAAGGTGTTACACCTCTTGCTACTGTATCACTTTATTCCTCAATCACTACTCTAGAACTTCTTATCACTCATGGCACAAAACTAAACCCAAAAGCATTATTCAATACCATCAGCCCGTTGCGGCAGGGATGGAGTTCCAATCATGAGATACCTTATTGATCAGGGCATAGACATTAATGCACCTTCGCAACAATACACCTCACCTCTCCATTATGCTGTTTCTGTTGCAGGCGTGGATCGAGTCCAAACACTGTTAGATAAGGGGGCAGACTGGTCAATTAGAAATAGCTTAGGTGAAACGCCGGCGGAGATGGCTAAATCGAGAATAGCTCAGTCGGAAGAAGCGATGAAGGTTTATGAGATGCTTTCAAAATAGTACTATTGTTCGCTCTCCATAGTGTGTGGGATGATTTCTATTTTACTTGTTTTATCTTATAAATTATATGGGCTGTCTTTACAGATGAGGCGAGTCTTAACACTTAATTAGGCTCATTAAAAGAGAATACGAAGCACGGAGACGGAGTACTCTATAGTGTTTTAATTCATAAATCCCCCTCTTCTTTATTATTAGATGATTATCTAAGGGGGCATTATATTTGATCAATGATATTTTTATGTCTCGACCACGTTGTAGTTCTATGGTATGTACATGCAAGTATTAGCTACATTAACCCCTGACAACTTCGACAGATTTAACTAACGCACTATCCGAAATTCAGGAATCAGATATAAAATGTCTTAGATTGATATTCTAGGTCTTGACAGGAAGTCCCGCTTAGCCTCTTGCACGTATCCCTGAATTGATGCCATTATCTCAAGATAGATCCAGGACCACTCGTCCATTCAATTGACCACGGTGCATTTCCTCAAAGACAGCTGTCAACTTATCCATCTTCTCAACTTGTATATGCGGTGTAACCACACCTCGCGCTGCGAAATCAAGGGTTTCAATTGCATCACGTCGGTTTCCAACTGCTGATCCTTCAATAGAAATTTGCTTGAAAATGATCGGGGCTGGGCTAGCAGTCCTGATCGCCTCCAGCTCACCCTCAGGAATACCAACACAAACTAGAACTCCATTAAAGCGAAGCATTGGGATTGCCTGTCCGTACGCCACATTAGATGCTGTGCAGACTATGACGGCATGAGCACCATGGCCACCTGTCAATGACTTAACGTGCTCAGCAATTGCCGCTCCATTGTCGTCCTTGGGAAACTTGGTAATGTCAATAAAAGCTTCTGCGCCACTTTCCTTCACAAGATCTGCCTTGCTACCATGATCAATTCCTATGATACGAAGGCCAAGGCCGCGGCTCCCTAGCTGTGTCGCCAGGTGTCCAAGACCACCTCCTGCGCCTGAAATGACCACAAAGTTCCCTGCCTGGGCTCGGCTACGCCTTAGGGCAGCATAGACCGTGACACCCGCACAGAGCAATGGGGCTGCAGCTTCTGAAGAAACTCCCTCTGGAATTGGAGTAACATAGTCCACTGGTCCGAGAACATACTGCTGAAATGTGCCAGGGGTGTAGTATCCGGATATCTTACCGTTGAGGCAGAGACCATCGGACCCTGAAAGACAAGGCACTGCAGGTAAAGGTCAACTGTCACTGCTTGTAACTTACGATAATACTCAAAGTGAAAACATACAGCAAGTTCCACAGACACCAGAAACCCATTTGACGCCAACACGGTCTCCAACTTTCACTTGAACATTCTCACAACCCGGTCCAAGCTTCACTACCTTACCGACGCCCTCGTGGCCACCGACTTGCCCAGGCTGTATTGGATAAGGGAGCACCTTCCACTAATATCCGCTATGAGCAAGCGGACCGAACTTCGAAGGGGCCGATTTTCGCTGGATTGGGAACTTACCGAATTCGTCATAACACCAAAGTCTGAGTGACATACGCCTGAGTGGGTTCTAGAACCGATGGTAAGTAATCATAGACATTATATATAAGAGTTATAGGGTGCATCTAACAACTCACAGATTGATCAGAACCTGTCCATATCCTGGTTCCGGAGTATCAACCAACTTCACTTCTGTTGATACAGTACCTGGGTTGTCATAAACAGCAGCCTTGTGCTGCTTGGGAATGACAATTGGGGATTCCATATCGGATATATATAGTGAAAACAAGGGTTATGTAACGTTGGAATGTTCTGGTGACTGTGCGTTCGAATGGATTGTAGCCTCGAGAATATCAGGCCTTATGGAAGCTTGTTGACTTTACTTACACAGTAGCAACAAATTTTGAGGGGTGACGGGACAGGTAGTTAAGGGTATATTAAGGTTACAGATTCTGGTATAAACGCCGATATTTGATTACCTTCGCTATGAATCCAGTCTAGCATGGCTCAACCCCCCAATTGGCCGGTTAACATGCACAACAGGTGCGAATCGTAATATCATAACTTAAAATTGTCGCAAGCCCTCTGATGGACTTTAAAAGGACTGCGGTTCGTCCAGGTGGCAACTGCTCTAGTGCCAAGTATAACTAGTAAAGGCTGCCGTGTTAGACAATGGAGAGAATATGTGCGATTCGCACAATAACAAGGTCACATAATCTCGAGTCCAATGATTATTTTTAGGACACGCTAGTAATTAAAGTACGCTTCAAATGTGGATAGGTATCTAATTCAGGATATATTTTAATATTATAATCAAGATGTGTTTTCAACAAGGTATCTTTCAATTTGGAGGCATAGATATATTTATTATACCTTATAACATGTTTCTCTACATGTGTCACCCCCATTCTTTCCTAATTTTTAAAGCTAAGTGAAGAAGTTGACATATATGTCCTAATGAAACTTTTGACTCTCTATCTCCGAAATAAAAGCTCTTTCCCAAATTAATAGTGTTAGGATGGTGAATATAAAAAGAATTGCTTGATCCCTTGCCAGATCTATCAATTTCAGGATATCGAGGCCTGGCCACTTGGCATGAAGAACCTCCTTCCATTATTGTTAAAGCCTCAAGGCAAAGGCATTCAGGGAAATACTCAAGCAACAAGCACGAAGTGCAATACACGGGCATCTAATTCTTTATTGTAGAGCAGATTATTTGAATTTGTATAGAAGATTGAAATACTTGCCCTTCATTACATCTCTGAAATTACCCACTTAACTCCAGCAATAGTATCGTTGATAAATTTCTTGGTAGCTTCGAGATCTGGGAAAATCCAAAAGTAGTGAGGTAGGTTGGGGTATTCCGTCAATTTTGTTGGAACACTTGGATAAAATTAGTTACGTTTAAGAAAGGAGGTGGGAGTCAAGCTGAAAGAGGAAAGAAAAATACGTACCCGGCCTTTCTGAGAGCCTTCTCCATCACTGTACCATCATCGCGAAGGGGATCAGCGCCACAAGTACAGATATAAGTAGGTGGGAACTTCGCATGATGAGGCGACAATGCAGTAAATATGCTTGAATCCTTCGGATCCGCGTTCACAGCATCTGGTAGAATCAGCATTCAAATCGTGAAAATCCTATTTTTATACCTTAAGTACTCACCAAAGAATGATTCCATTGTGGGCTTGTCGATAATCGGCACATTTTCTGCATTCTCCCTGTATGAGCTGTAGTGCTCTTGGTACTCTGAAGGAATATTATTCCAGTGCAAAGTAACTGGTACCATTGCAACGACCCCATGGATATGTTTGTGGCCATCAGGCTGTTGAGCAAAATGGTTGGCAATTCCCAGCGCAAGGCCCCCCCCGGCACTCCCACCTATGGAAAATAATTTCGATGGATCGGCGCCAAACTGACGAGCATTATCCCGAAGCTGCCGGTAAGAACAAAACTTGTTAGCAGGGCATCTCATCTCTAGTGAATAGACAGTACCAACCCACGAATAAACACTCAGGACATCGTCCAACATGATGGGCAGCTTGTACTGAGGACCTAACCGATAGTCGACGCTTACGATAATACAGAATGCAGCCCCTGCAATCGCCCTGCAGAGAAAATCTTCAGACTCGAGGTCACCACAGACGAATCCACCTCCGTGGGCATAGACACCGAGAGGCAAATCTCCTTGGAAATTAATTCTGCTTGGCATGTATACCCGACAATTAATCCCTTTGATTACTGTATCTCTTGTCTCGACAGAAGGGTCGGGAGACGGCCGAGACGATGCCAGCACTGCCATAAGACCATTAAATTGGGAAATGATGTCCTCAGGGCTTCCTTTGAGGAGTGGGCGAGACCCGAGAACCTTTTCAAGCTGTATGATCGAAATATTAGACGTCGTTTTTAGGTCCGTAACGGTTATACGTTACCTCTTGCCATTCTGGAGCGAGAATCGGAGGAGACATTGTGATAAGAAAACCATAATCTTCTTTAATATGGTTGTTTAGTTAGAAGTAAAAAAATAGATCAAAACACTGCACGCGCATATCTTTAAATGAGTCTAGAAGCTGTTTATTTGTACCTGATATAAGTAAAGTGGGTAGTAACGGTAAGCCTGGATTTCACTTGGTGCGACTCGCATCATTTTATTTTAACCTAATCATATTTACCAACATCTTTCTCCACGTCATATTAGTTGAAATAGCTCCAGGGAAATGTTCATAATTGGAATAGTTTAACTGAAAGAAATGATGTATATTACATACTCTAGGCTATTGAAATTTATCAGCCCAACAATGCCCCACGAGGATGGCATATCGACGAGGCGGCCAAGGTTAGTAGGCCCTCAGCGGCCGAAGAGGCTCCCGAGGCGCGCATATTGGCAGACCCTAAGGCCACTAAGGCTCTACTCGCCTTCATAGAGGCCCGGAGGGCCGATTTATGGGGATGGGAAGCTATAGAGGAGGAGGGGGGCCTAGGGGGCCCCAGGAGGAAGGATGACAGCTCTGAGCGGCCTGTCATCGGTCGGCGACTCCCGCACGTTCAGATCCCAGGAGGGGCCCCGCCAGCCCCTATAAGGCCCCCGAATCGTCCTGCGCATACAACTGGCTTGGGGTGAGGAATTTGTCTGTACATTAAAACGCTAGGCACCTGTCTGGGGCAGGCAGTAGGGGGGATTAGGGTCTAGACCCCTACAAGGCCGCCTAGCGCCCACTGAAACGAGACCTTCATAGCTTATAGCTGGATAAGGTCGTTAAACCTGAATAAATAAGTATTAAAATTTATGTTTTGGAATTCACTTTAAGAATTTATCAATTATACGAAGAAACAGCCTACGCACGCTCTAGAATTTGAAGTGTCTATTCAGTCTTTGATTTTTTCAAGTTTGATAAACTGTTGACGCATATTAATATATAACCATCAAGGATGTGTCATGTGCTCTAACATCACTAAATGGTGAAAGGGTCGCCTCTAGAGACAAATTTATTATTCTAAATAGGATCATATTTACCTAATAATGTGATATACTAATACACCTCAACTTGAGCAGCGCGGGTGATAGAACACGCGTAATGCATATGTTCCAATCACTTCAAGCAGTAGCGCCAAAAGTGTCTTCTAGAAGCTGTTAAATAAAATTAGCAGGAGGTGGCGCTAGATAGTAAGGCATCACGAAAGCATGCAGCACATTGGTGGAGCAACTGTGGTGTGCAAATTTATTTCGAATTAACGTCCCTATTAAGTCTACTAATGAACTTATTTGCCAGTTTACTGGCAAACATTATTATTCTTTGAAGAGAATCAAATTTAAATTGGTGAACGATGACCTTAATCTCATGGTCTCAGAACAGAAACAACAATAACTAATACAGAAACCAGCATTCGAACCACGAAGAATGGTCATCTGATTCATGCTATATGATAATTTCTATATTCATTCTATTGTGCGACTGATTCCTGTGATGCCCTCTGATCGCAAGACCCCACAATCAATTGTGCGAGTCGCACTATGTCAACTACTACTTACGGAGGTATTCCTGACCTTGATAGGGGGACTCTACAAGAGGGCATGATGTTACTCTCATTGGGAGAAGAATCAAAGATAAAAAGTCTGGTGATATATATATAGCATTGAGTGTTTTCAAAACTTGCCCCAAAAGCAAAAGAAAACTTTAGTTTTTTTATTATTCACAATTCCCAGAGCATTAAAATTGATACCCCCATCCGACAACCAAAGAAAATTAACTAGACAGGACAAATACAAACATGACGATCGTCCAATCTCGTTCCCCTAGCCATATAAATTTGGATGCTCTCATTATCGGTGCTGGCTTTTCCGGGATTTACCTTCTCCACAAACTGCGGGATGAGTTAAAGCTGAGCGTTAAGATCTTTGAAGCGAAATCAGATATCGGCGGCACTTGGCATGCAAACCGCTATCCCGGCGCACGAGTTGACTGCCCAGCACCGTTGTATGCCTACTCTTCGCAGAAGGTGTGGAAGTCTTGGACATGGGGCGAGAAGTATCCAAATCAAAAGGAATTGAAGACCTATTTCGACCACGTTGACAAAGTTCTGAACGTGCGGAAGGACTGCTTCTTCAATTCTGAAGTCAACAGTGCGACATATGATGAGGTCTCTTGTCAATGGACTGTCCACACCGTGAATGGCAAAGTGGCAACGGCTAAGTATCTGGTTGTGGCTGTTGGCTTCGCCTCCAAGTCTTATGTCCCGGATTGGAAAGGAATTGCTTCCTTCAAGGGTACGATTTATCATTCAGCTCATTGGCCAGAAGGTGATGTTGTTGTGAAGGGTAAGAAGGTGGCGATCATTGGAACTGGGTCAACCGGCATCCAAATCACACAGGAGTGGGCTAAGGAGGCAGATGAGACGTTTCTCTTTCAAAGGACCCCCAACCTATGTTTACCAATGAGGCAGCAACAGTTGGATGCGGGTCAGCAGAGTAAGGACAAAGGCGGCTATGAAAAATACTTCGTCGACTGCCAATCAACTTTTGCGGGACTCGATTATCAGCCAACACCGCGAAACACGATGGACGACTCACCAACAGACCGCGAGGCATTCTATGAGAGGCTGTACGAACTGGGAGGTTTCAGGTTTTGGTTCAACAATTATCAGGACTTAATATTCAACACAACTGCAAATCGAGAGGCATACGAATTCTGGGCCCGAAAGACCCGTAGCAGAATCACCGATCCAATTAAGCGCGACCTTTTAGCTCCATTGGAACCTCCCCATCCATTTGGAGCAAAGAGGCCATCTCTTGAGCAGGACTTCTATGAGCAGGTCGATAAGCCAAATGTCCACATTATCGACACTAAGAGCCATCCCATTGTCGAAGTCAGGCCTGAGGGGATCGTTACGGCGGATGGAAAGTGCCATGAGGTTGATATTATCGCTGTTGCCACGGGATTTGATGCAGTAACTGGTGGCTTGATGCTCTTAGGATTGAAAGACACTGATGGAATCGATCTCTGTGAGCGTTGGAAGGATGGTATGTCGACTTACTTAGGGATGGCGATCAGTGGATTCCCGAACATGTTCCTCTCGTATAGCCTCCAAGCCCCAACTGCCTTTGCAAATGGACCTACTATAATCGAACTTCAGGGGAATTGGATTACTTCCATCATAAGCAGAATGGAAAGTGAGGGTGTTCGATCAATCACGGCTACCAAAGAGGCCGAGAGTTCTTGGAATGACGAAGTAAATACTGTGGCAAACGCGACCGTCCTACCTCTGGCCAATTCATGGTATATGGGGTCAAACATCCCCGGCAAGCCAGTCCAATCACTGAATTATATTGGAGGTCTACCTACGTATCGCGAGAGATGCGACAATGCTATCAACCGAGACTTTCTGGGATTTGTTAAAAACTGAAGACTGCATGATGATTTGAACAAACTACATTGTTTTGTCGAACGTACGACTCCCACTCATACGCTACTTCAACTGCCCTGGATGTTGCCTGTCGCTGCTTCAATTTGCATTTGATACCAAGTTCAATTAGCTGTGTTGACAAACTTGAAAAAGATAATTCTGTTATATATACACGACCTTATTATACACTACTTTTAATCCTCGTGGGCATGCTATATGTATTCATAAATGAAGTAGAAGAATTAGCTGGTAAATCCTCGAAATCGGTTATCCGAGAAGAATTACCATTAGCGATATGAATGAATGATATAGAGATAGCAAATTAGAAAGTGTCTGCAGCACTTGGAACTTGAATGAAGAAACATTCAGCATTGGTTAGAACTTGAATGGAAGTTTATCATACAACCTTTACCCTCTTTGATCCTTACTGGTCGCCTTCAAAATTGAAAAGAAGGATCTATAACAATTTTCAGCTTCCCTCATCACGTTGACACCTAATTCCTAACTATACCTAACAATTGCGACGCCTACCTTCCAGTTGAAGATACCCGTTAAGCTGCATCTAGATGCTAAGGCATCTTTTTTTCGTCCTAATCTATAAAACCGGACAAGGATAACAAACGCTCAGGTTGCATTGGAATGTGTTTAGGAACTGAATAATTGATTACGTTAAACAAGGGGGGGATAGTTTAAGTCGACTAATCATTGGGTTAATGTAGCTGTTTATCCAGAATATAACACCTCTGCCACATCAAAACGGTTTGGTGGCCAAGTGTTTCAAAAGTCCACTCTGTGACACAGCTCCACGATTCTTAATATAATGACTCACTGATTTCCCTTGTTCTTTAGTCAATACCCTTGCAAATTCCGCTGCTGTAGGGATTAGCCCAAGCGGCCAAGGCAGTTCGGCACTCCTTGACGGTGGTACGCGAAGAAGTCGTAAATACTGAAGGACTCTTAAATTACCTCCCGTAAATTAGTCGTAATGATTTGCTAATGGATACGAAGGGTGGCGATTTGCCGTTACATAGTGGTATCAAACAGGCGGACAGATGGATGTCTGTTACCTGGAGCTAGGCGTCTTATTCGACAAGTGATACGATTGATGCCTATTTGAGCTAGTAGTTACTTCTTTGGGAATGTTAGTTTACAGAACAGACTGTGTGCGACTCGCACAATTACAGGATTCATACCATCCGAAATCCTTAAAAACCGAGCTCAAAAATGTGCCGGTAAAATTATGAGCCTTTATTTAGAGCGATTCTTACTCTCACAAACCTCCCATTATTCGACATTATTGCGTTGACCGCATTTGTTCATCTTGAGCAACTATATATCATGCGATATCTGTAGCTTTAAATGACGCTCATCTATTCCCTGGATAGAGAGAATCAAACCTTCATTGGTTCTGCTATCAGTTTATTGGCCGGTAGCTACGGACCGTAGTGATTACCGAGAAATTGTGGCGAAATGTCAGTACTAGAAATACCACTATGTGTCGTTTCTATAGCAGCTGGGGTTCTGCAGATGATGATCGGGCGTTTTTAGATTCGAAATAGGAGACCCGGAATTGCGGGGATTGTGCGGGGTTGAAACTCTGTCCAAACTCTCGAGTCTCTCTTCCTTTAATGATCAGGCGCTCCCTAAGTCTCATAACCACATCATCATGTTCTGTACTTGCTGCTCAAACTTCAATGGCCGCACCAGTATCGCTACACTTGCCGACACCAGGCAATCCCTGGGCTTCTGGTCGGGTGCTGACTCCCTCTCAACGTGAAACGAAGCGCTATAACGACAGAATAACTAAGAGAGCAAAAGCAAAAAAGCAAAAAGACAGCATTAAGGAGCTCCAGGACCAAATTGCTGCTCTTCAAAACATGATACAGACTCACCAGAGGTACCTGAATAACGAGTCTCCCCCTTGTGAGTTACTGAATACATCTCTAACCTGGCGTTGAACCCTCAAGATCCTGCGAAATTTCGCGAGAATATTCATTAGACACCTGCTTGTTACCATTAACCGATCTACCTCCTTGCTTAAATAATGGCCTATCCACAATAGAGTCATCACAGCCAACTCGGGAACCATCCGGTCCGCCTAATTCTGACACGGAAATTTGTATCACACAACAGCAAGATAGCTGGGCTACTGTCATACCGAGCAGTCAACTTGCTCTCTCCCCGTCACTGCAAGTTAGCGGTAGTTGGAATGTTTTAGAATATGCCAATGGAGTGCTTGATAAAGCACGTGAACTCGACAAAATGGAAGTATGTTTTAATAGGCAACTCAACGAAGATGCTATCATCCGCGGAGTTCTCGAAGGCTGGCATTTTCTACAGGGAAGAACCTATTCATGCCCGCTGTGGACGGTGGTTAGCCAAATCGACGAGAAAATCTTTATGCATAGCGGGATCGTGACACGTCTGTCAATGCTGAGTACAATTCATAAGATGCTGGCAGTATAGTCCTCCACAAGTGACCATTTCAGTTCTGATGTTGAATGTTAATCTTAGTCTAGGCAGTCGTACACGTTGACCAATTTAATAGTCTCCCCACATGGTATCGTCCAAGGTGTGTCTAGAAATTCTGACGTTATTGTGTTAATATATTGTGTTAATATTTTCCAAAAAGGCCCTCACAGCTCAACTTCCCGCATTATGCCACTGCAGATTACTTTGCATGGTACGCATTCATTCCGGTCGGTAATTTTCATCTTATGCTCTGAAGAACTAATGGTTCCTTGTATTTCAGGCCTGGCTTTCGTGAACGTTTAGTGATCTCGAACTGTGAGGTACTAACGGACAGATTCTTCAAGTACTTTGCATCTTGCTTTCGACTATTTTGGCCCCATTCAATTAGCGATTCTTACAAGATGGTCTCTGATAGTGGATTGTATTCTTTTTCAGATGCTTTCAGGACGCACGCCCAAGATATCTCAACGTGGACCATGTGCAAGGAATTCTTCCTTTCATTTCCTGAGCTACAAGAAGATATGCAATCAGAAATTTCAATCTCCACCGGTAGTTTGAAGGTTATCAACGACAATCTTCACTGAAGAGTGGCCATTCACAATCTCCAATACTCCAAACTGATACTCAACGTAGGACCGAAATATCCACAGAAAACCCAGGATGAAGGTTGATGGCCTTTTATGGCTCTTCTATCGATACTGTCCACGTTTTCCATACACCCTTTGGTAGCAAAACCGTTCCCTCTGCTATGATTAAATATCGCAAGATATGCCAAAGAATTTTTTTCATTTAGCGTCGTGTTGTAATGAGGTCTTGTTGATATTTTGGACTTCACTCATCCTACACACAACTAGATATTACCACGATTCAATTTACATAGTATACAGAGAACACTTTAAGGTTCTTTTAGATAAATGTGTATACTATTTGTAGATATCTTATTAGTCTACCTATGACGATCCTAAACAACCAATTATATCTCGAGCTTATAGGGTAAAAGCATTACGCAGCATGGCCAATCAAACAAGGATTGTAGATCACTGCGGCGTAAGAAATGCCGCACGGTCTGATTCTCCACCTAGCCAAGACCAGTAAAAGTAATCCTGTGGATGAGGTAAACTTAGACCTCGTATTCATTTGACTACAGGCAATTATTAAAATGGAATGGGGGGTTGGGCCTTGTCAAGGAAACTCGTTGTGCCACATGCAACTTACTTGAAAGAAAGAGAAATAAAAAAACACAATAATGACATCCAAGTTAATCGTCTTGACCGAATGCTTCATCCATAGAAGCAGTACCCACGAATACTCCATCCGCTGGACAAGCATTGGATCAGACAACAGCCCCCCACTGATTTTCGTTCATGGAACTCCTTGGTCCTCTTACGTCTGGCAGCGTTATGTAGAAGCCCTATCCTTGCGGCACAAGATCTATATCTTCGATAACCCGGGCTTCGGTGAATCACCCGGGGGTAGGCCTCTTCAGGCCCCTACATCCACAGATGATAAGATATCTGAATTCGATTCATCCCTAGCCGGCCAAGCAGAGGCGTTTGCTGCCCTATACCATTCATGGAACTTTACCTCTGACCGGCTTCCCCACATTGTCGCGCACGATAATGGCGGGCTTATCACCCTCCGTGCCAATCTTCTTCACAGCTGCCGATACGCGAGCCTCTGTCTTGTGGACGTTGTTGCTGTTCGTCCCTTTGGTAGTCCATTTTTCCGCCTTGTTGCGCAGAATTCATCTGTTTTTACTTCTATTCCGGACACAATCTTCCAGGGCATTGTGCGTGCCTATATACAAGATGCGTCATTCAGACCGCTCCCGAAGCATGTTGAAGACACGCTGGTGAAACCGTGGATTGCGGGCGGAAGTCAGGGCCAGGTGGCGTTTATCCGACAGATGGTACAGGCTGATCAGCGGCATGCAGAGGAGGTCGAGGGGCGATATGCGGAAGTTGGGAGTGCGATGCCGGTGAAAGTTATTTGGGGGAAGGATGATAGGTGGATTCCTGTTGAACGGGCTGAGAAATTAGCCAGCATGGTTGGGGCAACGGAGGTTGTTTTGATCGGGGAGGCTGGTCATTTGATTATGTTTGATCAGCCTGAGCGACTGGCAACGGAGATTTCCATATGGTTGATGGAAGCGAGTCGGTAGATAAGTAGAGTAACCAACCTAAATTAGCTCTTCGTCTACTCTGTATTCCTTCAATGCAGCTTTCAATCATGCCACAGTTATGACAGCAATATGGTGTTGCTAATATTTATTCTTTTGAGTCTAGAATAATCGCACTCGTCTTTGGTGACAAAGCATATTATATCCCCTACCGTATATATTTCTGAACCAGATATTCTGGCTAACTATATTGTCAATCGTGTTGTGCGCTATAAATCTTATGGCATAGCGACCTAGATAGAATATGAGTCTTACTTGCTTCTGCAACTGTGTTCAAATCGTTTCAGGGCCACTGCGTGCGCATCAGCGCGCATCTTCCAGTACAGGAACAGAGGAAGTAAATGCATGCACTGTTTTTGCAATCAGCTGTAAGAGCCATTCATACCTTGCAAATTACTTCTATTGTTAAGTTTCAAATGGCGGCCTGGCTTGTCGAATCCACTAATACGGTCCATTTACCTGAGAATACATAAATAACTGATTCTACCAATTAATATTCATCAAAGCTGTCATAATATTGCTTTTTTGTCGTGAATCACTCAAGATGCCACTATGTGAGGTTTGTGAATCGATCGATTTCTCCAAAGATAAATCGAATCTCTTCGGGACTAATCTTGGCCGGTATGATGAACTGGTTAATTTAAAATATGATGACTACGAAGGATGCAAATTCTTTTTGAACATTCTTTAGTCTTCCTATAGGCGGAAGGAGAACTAACCTATGGAATTCGTTCGCCCTGACTCAATCAAGAAGTTGGAAAGCCTCAGGTTATGTGTTGCAGTTTAATATCGCCAGCCAATGGCGGCACTTGATGATCATGCCCTCCATCCCAGATACATGGGACTGAATTAAAATTCGCGAGCCTTTATTGGTATGCGACGAAGACTTTGCCGCTAAGCATTTGTTTTTCTACAGAAACTGTGTGAGCTGTCCAGGCGAACTGCACAGCACAATAGCAAATCAGAGACAGTATTAATCAAGCTCTTTTTTTCTTAAGTATGGCTGGCAACGCCAACGCTAAGACCAGTCCCCTGCAGTAAACTGAAAGAAATCTATAAGTGCGCATATACATAACTGGCCCTTAAGTGTGTCTATTGTGCCCTGGGAACGTCTCTAGCCAATGTCATACTGTACTCCAGATGGATCTCTCGCCCGTTCCGTACCAATCTATTTAACCATGGAATCTCATACATACGACCGAACTCGTCGGAGGATACATGTCCTGTTTGCGAACACCAGGGAACCCTTCACGATTTCTGACGTGGTGTTTTAGTTACATTTTTCTTAATCAAGCCTACATTAGTGCGTTGTTTCGAGGATTCCATCTATCCATTATTTGGTTTCAATTGCAGGGTTTCTGCCTGGACAACCTGATTTTCATGACTGCACTTGTAAATGTGGCAATGTCCTAATTCTGCCGGGGTCCGAGCTATTTGCCCTTTGTAGTCTTCTTTTTGCCCGATCATACAATCGCAGCTGTACACTCTAGTCTCATTTCTGCCCAGATTTAGCTCTCTTCTTGCCCCTCAATCACAATAGAAGCCCCACCTGTCTTCAATAACATTGACATAGTGATGGTGTTCTGCCCAAAATGGCGGTCCGAGGGTAAGTAAAATTATAAATCAAGAATCATACGACCCATGAAGTTGACAAACACCTATACTAAACAGTTACACCACGATAACTTTCCAAAGCTTTTAAATATGGTTCATTGTCGGAATTCGATAACTGTCAACCTTTCCCCCAAAGGCCAGATATTTATGAAATCGCAACACAAACTAGCTTACAAGAAATTGCAATACAATCGGAAACTGGTGCAATTATTTCCTTAACTTCGATGCATGTGATAGCATTGTCCCTTAACATAGTTTGCAATAAGAGCCAACTAACTAACAACCCATGCTACTAGCCAGATGCCCGCAGAAGTCACGTTGTACCATGTAACACTTATGAAAAAAGCATGCTTGCTAGAGACTTGAAACTTGCTATCCAAAATAAAGAGGAACAATGCCAATGAAGCGCATTTGCAGGTTAATGAGATCTCTATCCCTAATTTGATATTGTATTCGCAGTCAACAGATCAAATCAATTAAATTGAGATTTTTACAAACATTATTCACCCCCGGAGTCACTGATCTGCATTCAGACCGGTCTAGAACAGTCCAAGAGAATAGGGTGGTTGTGGGGTGGTCGGGATCAGACAATACAGCATGTGTCTAGGTTCCGATGGCTACATGACATAGCCTCGCTCTTTATAAAATATAATACCACATTACAATATATCAGCCCACCCATTATGATATGTATACATATATATTCGGGAACTTCCCGGGGTCGAGGTAATCATGATTATTTCCTTATTATCAGCTTATTGAAAAGTATAGTCACCACAATGGATAGTTCTCGCTATAAATATCTCTCACCGAGTTCCATGGCGTCTCGCCGTATCATCGACGAATGTTCCTATTCTACAACACCAGCTATCTCTTCAGGCGAAAAAACTCCCACCTGCGGCCAAGCAACTCACAAAATGCATGATCTATGCAACAGGGGAAACGTCAAAGCTATACATGAGAAACTAGATATTTATATAAAGACGTCAGAACAAGAAAAGCAGGAATCAGAAGCTACATCGAGGCAAAATGAAGGGATAAATCGAATTACACCGACTCAGAGATGTACTCTCAGAACGAAAATACAAAAGCAGGGGGTTGAACGACCGGATTCCACTGAATGTGAACCAGATGCAATCTTCGGGCCAACAGGGAGAGCTCGTAATATTGCACCGACTTCAACTTCCAATGAAAGTACTCTTCAAAGTTGATGTGCAGTTACCTCTTATCTATCTGCTTTGTGAATTTATACGCGAGTTTGTGCCTTAAGCATAACAACAGATCGAAGAGTGCCTGACCAGCAAGGTCAAGCATTGTTCAGGTTGTGTCTTCTGTCCAGTGGAATGTTTTCTTGGTCAATTGCGAGCAACATTAACGGTATCATCTGCTACTTGTGGCGAACTGGGGTATCATTGGATAGGCTCAGAATACTCTGTTCGCTCTCTGCGGTCGTTTGGATCTATTAGAACATCAGAGACGTAGAGGACTGATGGTTCCTCGATGATGATGTGTCTATGCTGTGAATCAATCCAGGTCGCGGTTTAATTGACGTCCACGTGGCAGCAGGTCATGATGGGGAGATATGCAGGACCATTGCCTGACACTGAAATAATGACTTACCTCGCCATTCGTACTTTATTCCATATCCACATTGCCCCAATTTACTAATTTGCATGACCAAGCTTGCGGTGCGTCAGTTGTTGCTGAGATGCTTGGTCCTACTCCTGCTCTGCGGTATCTACTCGTTATATAGACATTCGTTACATTCGTTTCATCCACGTCATAGCCCCACATGTGAACATTAACCAAAGCCAGCTGAATTCCCACACTTCAGCCACTATGTCAGTGAGGTACCCGAAATGCACTGTAACAGTAAAACTACCAACCCTGTTGGGTGTTATAACATCTTTAACAATGGAAAAGTGAGTTATAGACTTGTAAACCAGACGAACAGTTGAATCGCGCGCGATGCTCTGGAACGAGTGTCGTACAGAATTAAAACTTGTATAATAGCTCATGAAGATATTCGACATGCTTCCATTCATAAAGGCAAAGTTGCGGGGAAGACATGTCATTATCATCCTAGGTTTTGATGACCAATTGCAAAGCAACATGAAGTTGTAAGGTACGCCGTAACATAAGATACATGAAGTTCCCCTGAGCTCTGCAATCAAGCAGAATAAGGAAAGGGAAAAAAAAGTGGCAAGGCCATCATTAACCTTTTGAATGTCCTGGATCTGTCACATTCGTTGAGACTGACATTGTTAGACTTAACTAGCTTCCAGATCTAGGTGATAGTTAGTGGGTGATTTCATCGCAATGGAATGGATCATATCTTTTCGAATATTTGGAGAAAATCCTTCTCGCGAATTCTTTCTTCACCACCTGTCCAACTGAGATTCGAATCATCATTTATTGTTTCAATGTTGAGCTTTCATGTGAATGGCTTTCTAGTAAGTTGAATAGCGTGCGTAACACACGGTAAATGATAAGGAGAGTCAAGAATAATCATCACCATTTTCGATATTTGCATTAAGTTTGTAATTAGGACTTGGAAAGGTATCTAATAAACTATACAAATCCATCCATAATCCTATGCAGTACACGCCATTGAAGAGGAAGAGAAAGCACCCTCCCCATTTCCTCTAGGCGACCCTAAGGCTCAAAGAAACAATTGACCAAGGGATGATAAATTGTATGACAGATCAAATTGCAATACCATGCATAGACAGGGAGAATTCTAAAGACTTAACTAGTATGCCGCCAAGAAAGAGGAATGAGTACAGTTTATATATAGAAGCAAGGAAACAGAAAGGGAGTGATCTAGTGAAGTTCAAATGGAGAAGTATGCAAGGCCCGTATTGTCACGAACGATTAGAAGCAGAAGATCTGGTCTGTCATCTTGGTGACCGTTCCGGGAGCTTGAAATCCTAGAGACACCAAGCCCTTCTTAGCAGCATTTATCATTCCTGGAGGTCCGCAGAGCATGATCCTAGTATCTGGAGTAGGCCTAGGTAACTTATCAGCCATAACGGTGGAAGTAACGTATCCCTTCCCATATGCCCACTTCTGAGGAGGGTTATCGAGCATATAGAAGACCTTGAAGTTCTTAGGATAGTTCGCGGCAAAAGCCTCCAATTCTTTACGCAAAAGAATATCTTCTTCATTCCGGTTAGCATAGATGAGGCTGATCTCAGTTGTGTCAGTGTCGTCTTCACAGATGGCACGAATCAGCTGATACATAGGAGTGATGCCTGTTCCACCAGCGATCATGCCAATCTGTTTGCAAAGGCCCTGTTTATACTTCATAGCACCCTTAGGGCCTCGGAACTGCACCTTATCTCCAACGTTGAGATTGGCGAGGTATTGGCCGGTAAGCAAGCCGTCGGGATAGCATTTAATGACCAACTCCAGTCTCCCCAAATCCAGATTATTAGAGGTAGGAGTGTACGATCTGGAGACAGGCTGTCCATTGATAGTAGCCTTAATAGCGACGTGCTGGCCAATAGGGAGGCCAATCACATCTGTGGGGTTCGGCAGCAGGAAGACAAATCTATAAACGTTGGGTGCCAACAGGTCTTTGTGGACAAGTGGAAGGTTCTTGTATTCCTTAGGATGGAGGAATCCCGGGTTAAAGTGCGGGCTTGGCTTGGCCACTTGATGACTCTTAATGTGAATGGGGTATTTGGTAAACCCGGACTCGACTTGAGTCAGTTTAGAGAGCTTGACTCCAATGAGGCTACCCACAGCCGTAAAAATGAGGGCAGCAGCGGCAAATCCGTTCACGAATCCTCCATGAGGCAAGCGAATATCAGTGACGGCGGTAGGCAACAGGGGAGAGACATGAGGGAGTTTGGCCAACACCTCTCGCAGGGTTTGGGATGAGGCGAGACGGGAGGAGGCGAAGTACAGTGAGAAGAGACCACCCAGGGAGCTAGCGGCTACCGTCACTGTGCGAATACCAGACGATGATTTCTCCGTGCTAATTTGCTGAGGAGTCTGCTGAATGACCCGAACGGCAGCTTTGCGTTTAAATTCGTGAGCGTCCTTCAAAGTGCCAATCAGATATTCCTGCAAGATTTCATTCGCATCCTCTGAGTGCCCAACATCCTCATAAGCTGCAGTTGCGTCCGTTCCAGCAACATCGATCAGGACATCAACTCCACCGGGATGGTCTCGTACGTATTTCGTGACATCATAAACTGATACAATTCGTGTGAGCGATGAAAGAAGATAATGTAACCGAGAAGACTTTCTTACCTTTGCTGTGAACAATCACCCACAAATCGTCACGGGTCTTGTGGGCCGCAACGTCTTCGGTGGTATACTCTAGCATGGCTGCCACGTTTACTGTATCACTTGGATAGGAGGTTGAATAGGGAGCTGTGACGGTTCCTTCTTTTGACTCGACAACAACAGGAGGTGAAATTCAGTGTGCTGGAAATAGGTTGCTTTTCTAAACGCCAAAGTCTTTGGAAAACAGAGAAATATTGGAAGTTTCGAGTCCAAGTCGATTGCCAGCTGTTGCAGTTTTTATAATTAAAACATTTTCCCACAGAGCTCCTCCTTTCATTCCACCGACAGGATACCGCGGTATCCCGATGGGGAAGTCCTATGCATCGATTTTCGATTGGTCGGAAGGAATCCGTATGAAGTCAAGGTTTCAAATCCAGGAGGTCGGCATTCAGTCTTCTTCTTACTCGGAGAGGGGGATAGGTAGGTCCCGAAAGTATGGAAAGATGCCGACCCAATCGGAAAGGCCTGTGTAGCTCGGCACAGTTCCAAAGCCGCGGCTTCTTTGTCTCCGAGCTTTGGAAAACTGACGCGCTCTATACTCATAAAATACCCATCAAGCACTATATAAGTTTTCCAGGCTCGATGCAGATTCCACTAGAGTTTAATCACAATCATGAATCAATTAATCAAATACACCTCTATGAATATACATCAATAATCGAATATCCACTGCATATTACGACGGAAGACAAAAGAGAAGAGAAAAAGTAGACAGGAATTCCACTATGCCTTCTCAGCAATTCTACCTCCTTGGAGAGCCCGGCCCAGCAAAAGAAATCGAGGTCGATACCTCTCAAAGCATCGATGACCTGAAGGACCTAATTGCCTCGCACTTCGCTATCGTTGAGCCCACTGGTATGTACTCTGAGTGGAGTTGGTTCCCTGGAGAGAGTAACCTTCGATAGCTCTTACTAACAATCCCTCAGGCATTAATTTCCAGGGACAAGACATTGTACTCACAGATATTGCGGAAGTCACCTCTTCCAATGGTCCAGTCGCCATTACCATCGATGGGCATGGCGTTCGTGAAGTACCTGCTCCCAAGGGGTTACCAATCGTTGGAAACTTCTTCCAAGTCTATCCTGACCATCTGGGCAATCACCAGCGCCTGTTCGAGCAATATGGGCCTGTTATCAAGACTGAAAACATGGGTCGTCTCACCTACCAAACTAATGACCCTATTATCGCCGCCCTTGCATTCTCAGAGTCAGACTTCTTCACAAAAAAGATCAATGAGGCTCATCCCCTTCATGCTCTGAAAACCCCGGCTGCTGGTGTCTTCTTAGGTGATACTGATACCCCAGAGTGGAAGGTAGCTCATAAGTTCTTACCTCCTGCACTGGGCCCTAAGGCTGTCCGTCACTATGCACCTACAATGCAAAAGACAGTGGAAGATGCTTTCCAGGTGTTTGATAAGCTAAGTGAGCAGGGTAAAGCCTGGAATGTCTATCAGTACATGCTGAAGCTAGGTTCTCAGGCTGTTGGCAAGCTCACCATTGGCTTAGATTTCCAGCACTTCACTTCTCCTGATGCTCCCCTTCATGAGATGGTCCATCTTATAGCTGAAATTCTGTCGTTGAATAAGAAGGTCACTTCCAAGGGTAACTGGTACGCTAGCTTGCCTTTCGGCGATCCTAAGCGTCTCAAGGTCTGCAAAGCTCGCATAGAGGAGATGGTGGATGAGTCCATCAAGCAGGCTACTAGTTCTGGTATTGAGGACCTTCCTCTCCAAGATGCTGCGTTGAAAGCTTCCAACATGGTTGGTAAGTAATATTATCTCAGTTCGTATTCCTCCACAAATGCTCACTAGGATCCAGACTACGCCATCCGTGCTACCGACAACAAGGGTGAAAAGTTGCCCAAGGAAAGCTTGGTTTGGGCTCTGGTTGTCGCCACTGGTGCCGGTTTTACCACCACCAGCTCCCTTCTCTCCTGGCTGATATACGGCCTTGTCACCTATCCTGGCATGCAGGAGCGACTGCTTCAAGAATTGATCGATCATGGCTTTACTGAGGACACCCACATGACTGCGGATCTCACTGATAAATTGGGCTTCCTCGATAAATACATCAAGGAGACCCAGCGCAGACATAACCCATCATTTCAGCCAGGCCGTACGGCCAAGGTTGACCTGATCCTGCCTGGAGGTTATAAGATTCCTAAGGACTCGGTATTGATTCCTGCTCTTCACCACATCCATAACAACCCTGATATCTGGGATAACCCTGCCCGGTTTGACCCTGATAGATGGGATACCGAGGAGGTTAAGAAGAGACACAAGGCCGCTTATATTCCCTTCGCCATGGGCCCCCGCATGTGCATCGGCTTCAACTTCGCTCTTCAGGAGATCAAGGTCTTCTTGCCTAAGCTCATTTACCGCTACAAATTTACTCGTGAAGGAGACAATCACATTGAATACGACCCCATGTTCCAGCTGATCAGGCCCAACAACTTGTACGTCCGTGCGGAAAGAAGATTTAAATGGCCCCCAAAGTCGGCGAATGCTGCCAAGGTGAACGCCTGAATATTAGGGCCATGTTCTTCTCTTTAGGCCTTCTGCACAATTAATAGATGGGTTATTTGAGAGTTTTATGTCACAATCTATGCATGAGCCAGAAATGCACGTGACTGGCCCCCCATGTGACAATCCTGCCGATAATATTTGTTCCATTGATAGAAAGCACTGGTTTTCCAATCTAGCACTAAAGTCCTAGAGTTTCCTCCAATAGTATTTTGTATAACAATTCTTGAAAGTTTAGTGTTCAACTATTTCCCCCCTAGTCTTCTGCTATATACAATGTAGTCCGTATATGCTTCCCACATTTGGGAATCACTTTAGCTGGGGGAACAACTTCTAAGGAACGAGGTTTCATTTATCGAATTATATAGGAAAAAATCAGGGCAGGGCTGGGAGTAGTGCGTGTGATTCAGTGCAACACACTACACGCACTACTCTGCAATCGTACAAAATATGGACCCTGATCCAAATTCATTATATCTGCTTCTTATACCTACCGTTGATTCAGTCTAATTGAATCAAAAAGGGGAAGCAAACAAGCATCCCAAATGATATGGGCCTAAGGACTATGGTCGTTGAGGAGACTCAATTGTATAAAGATCAATCAACTCGGTACGTATATATTGTACAGAATTGTCATTTGATACTTCTATTACTGCTATTATGCAAAATCATCTTAAATCAAAACATCAAATCTCTGTCGTTTCTATTCAAGTCCACTTGAAGGAATAACTAGCTGATTAGAAGGATGTTGCTCAGAGTGAAATAGACAATGACCTCTCCATTTCTATGTAGAAGTCTGCAGTGCAGATCTTTATTAGAAAAACACTTGTCATGGACCAAATGTTGTAGCATCTTTGTTCAGTGATTCCCAGAAGTTGAAAAACGAACTATCGCTCATAAACTGATCAAGTATATCACCATGAAGCATGAATTCCATCGACGGGTCATCTGTAAGTGGCGGCGCTGGATCTGATACATGCGGCTCAGGCTCAGCTATGTTGTTCGAATTGCTGGGGCACAATTGCCGAATAGCTTCTGAGAATATGCCTCGGTAAAACGAGGCAGCCGACCAAATTTTCTGCAACTCTTTCATGACCATCATGCAGAAGTCCAGCTTGTTAAACCCAAGTTGTCGAGTAAGAAAATCTTCTGATTTACAATTAAGGAGATGTATATGCATCGCAGGTACCAATAGAGGAGGCCTATCACAATTTAGCGGCGAATGAAAATATAACAATTTCCATTACTCACGTCATCGGCCCAGCAAAGGTGAAAAGTTTCTCTCGGGCTAGGATATCGAGGATGGCGTTAGTTGCCGAGGCTGCAGCATCAACTTTGCTTCGTATCATGTCTTGCCATGTATCTCGGTTGGCAAGGGGAAGATTTTGCGGAATTTTGGTCAGAAAGGGGCGGTAGAAAGTAATTAAGAAAGCCCTACAACAGAAAAATTAGTGACTTGGCCTGATTGGCATAGCGAATGGGGAAACAAACTGGTAGTGTAGGTGCAGGTGGCAGAAAGCGAACATCAAGAGGCGATTCTTTTTGTATTCACATAGCTCTGGAATGTTCAGCCGTTGAATCTCATCCTCCAGAACTTCGACGTTCTTAAAAGTTGGGCTAGGCCCGCAAGATTGGTAACTCAGCAAGAGAGCATCACCCAAGAGTTTAGTCAAATTAAGCAGGAGTATCCAACACTCGGCTAGCTGCGGTAATTCATGCTGATCAAAGCTGTCAACAACAGATGAGACTTCATTTAAGTCATTCAGAATATCCGCGACTGATGGCATCGGTGTATTGCAGTCACTAAGATTGATCCTTAACGGCCGCCCAAGGGTCAAGCTCAGCCAGCGATCTCGGAAGAAACAGCACCACCATAGGCGCCGCCAGAGGGAGCGCTGACGATCTGAAATCGATGCATTGTATTTGATCGCATCTGGATCACGGTGAAGGCCCATGATCTGAGCAAGATTGATTGCAATGCCCGTCCAATACCAAGGCTGCGTATGGTTGTCAAATTCAGAGTGCCAGAACCCCAAGAGCAGCGCCGTTTGCAATCGAACTATCTTATCTTCTTCATCAACCGTATTGTACACGCACTGGAACGTTTTCAAGGATATCGTTAGCAAGCGTAGACAGTTTGTCTTTCAATTGGACACGGCAACAGGGAAAGCCTACCTTTGCACGCGAGTACATAGCTTCGGTCATTTCCTTCCTGGTAGAGAACCCCGCAGCTATATAGCTGCCCGTGGGAATAAACTAGCGCTAGGTTAGTCATTAGAGAATGAAGTTGCACAAAAGACGATCACCCACATTCGACGCCACGAAAAACATGCTCCATAACAACGACAAGTTCCGTTCGTTCGCTTGAAGACCACTTTTACTAAAGCTCGGAAACTCCGTGACATCTATAATCGGCATGATTGGATGTATATAATAGAAGTAGGCGCGTAACAGATCACGGCAGGTTTCATCGGCCGGCAAGGTCAAACATCCCTTACTATTGAGATAATCAACATCCTGGCGGGCCAAGGATATGGTAAGATTGGAAGGGCGGAAAATATGCCGGGGAACAGCATGATCTGGAACAAGAGTGTCGAATACGGCAGAGAACCCCGGAGATTCTCCTACATATAGTCAGCTTTAGTTTTCTCTAGTTCTCAATTTTATTTTCTTTGAAATTTCTTTTCAGAATATTGTGTTTCGGTTTCATTTCCTTAGGAAATTGTATACAATTACCAGTATAAACAGGCATGTCACTTGCTCCTCGGTCTTGAGGCTTTAACGAAGCCACAATGAGGTTGGCGGCACTACGCTCCTCTTGCTGATTTTGATTTAGATCAGACGAGCCACCATTATCGTCTGCTGCAAATGAACCGCCATCAAATCCTTCGGGAGATCGTACACTCTGCGCCTGGTGGTTCAGTGACGTCGGTGGGTTAAGGGCCGAGTTGGAGATCCGCCTCCTGCTCAACGGCGAACTACGCGGAAGCCCAGCAGTCGGTGAAGTCTCGCTCCGGGGCGGATCTCCTCGATGCTGAGATTGACTACTGATTGATTGTGTTAGTATCTGCCACAATCATGTAGAGGGATAATGTCGATTGTTTTGGGTAGAAGTACGTTCTGACTCGTCGTTTGGAGACAATGCATTCGGCGCGATCTTGAGTACAGCCCACGCACGGAATCCCGGTCACTGTGATGGTACAGCGGACTTTACGTCGCCGGCAATTTTGGCACGCGACAGCGGAGCGATAGCGAGGGTTTACCATGTTGTGAGATCCTTGTTGATGCCGAGCCAGAACATCCGATATTTGTGCCAGGTAGCCTTCACGTCGCAAGTTGACGGCCGAGAGAAACCGCTGAGTGGCGCCGCGGCAGCTAAATGCCTCGGAAACTAACCCAAATACGGTTTACTACTCCTTTAGGAATAATTACGCGTCATGATTCGATTTCAGCTGTTCTAAACATGTCACGAATGCCCCGATCACATTGAGTTTCTTAAAGTCTATCGCGCAAGCAAATTTTGCTTACAAAAATCGATTTTGAACGAAGATGGCCTTCCTACTTTCGGGCCGCCCTGCGGAAAAGGCCTCAAGAACCGAAAAAATGTCAATTGCTAACCACTCAGGATATTGAGAGAATTCAAAACATCATAGTGCTGAGATCTCTTTCTAAAGCTTCATGTAAAGTCTTTTTCAGCTTGATCTTCCTAGTCTTTACGCTCCTGATTGCCCTCTTCTTCCTTGCCTTCTCTATGGCAGCTTTGACACTTGCAATACTAAGAAATATTTCTTTTGGGTTCTTCCTATAGCGCCGCCTGAATAGCAGGCTCATTTTAAGTACGCCGAGGCATATTGTTGTTGAGTAGATAGGGAGATTGTAGGGAGTGGGCCGAAAGTAGGTTAGCCGTCTTGTTTCATACTTTTTTGGGCCTCCGATGAATCATTGATTTTCAAGCGTGGTCTCATTTGGCTGCTTTACTCAAGCGGGGTTGTGGCGCTGCTGTCTTCCCGCTGGATGATAGTTCATCTTGAAAATGATTGATAAATACTTCAGTTTATCGTTATTTGCTTTATCATCCTACAAACCACGATAATACTCTTGCCCTTATTGACTCGCCCAACTCCACCTTCACAATATGTCTTCTCAACCACAATGCCCGGCCGTGAAAGCTGCAATGGATAGAAGCGGTTTGGCCAGCCTTTTAATATTTATGTGTTGTGAGTTGACAATCTAACAGGATACTCTTTTGGAAATATTGCGGAAAAAATGGGGACTAGCGAAAATCACATCAAGAAGAGTACGTATCCTATAATCGCTAATGTCAATTCACATTGACTGACAATGCCCATAGTCTGCACGGGGACTGAGGACCCTACTGCAGCAGAATTTTCGCTGCTGGCTGGTGTTCTAGACATTACAGAACCTGTATGCTTGCCTTTTTATTATTATTATTATTATTATTTTGATCAGCAGGATAACAGCACTAAACTTCCAAGTTACCAACAAGCCATAATGTGGCTAGAAAACGAGCGTCTAGCGACATTGAGCAGCCAGAATTATGAACCTTCAAGTCTCCAGATACACCCCTCTCATCAACTTCGTTCGCAAAAATAAGTCGTTAAATGAAGTTGTGCGAACTTGTCGAAAACTGTTCAACAGGAACTCGGTGAAAGTCACAGGGAAAGAAATAATATTGTATGCTATGAAGCAAAAGTCTCACACAACAACCTAGTCGCTTGTTCTTTGAATAAACAGTGCCAATATCAATTTGATGTGACTTTTCCCAATTTCAAGACTGATCTTTGAGAAAGGTTGCGGATTAATATTTTTTCGAATGATAAGCAAATAATACTTGTCTTGAGGGAGTGATGATTGAAAACCAGCTGCAAATGGTGACTTTGTCTCAGATTGAATCTAATAGGCTAGGTGGAGAAGAAAATATGAATTTAGTCAAACATGCTGGAGCAGGACATGTTGACTCAGAAAGCTGCTGGTGGATTTGTGACGTGGGTGCTGTCGGAAGATATAAATAGGCAAATTGGTAATTTTGTGGCTTCACGTGAAATTCATGGCGTGACTATTTTGTTCAGGTTGGCTTGAACTCATTTGCATTGAGAGCAGGTTATGCCATCGTAATATATTCCGAGATACTTTATTTCCAGGCACTAAATGCTATGCCCCGGAACCAATTTCTGTTAAAATATTTCGAAATATCATGTCCCTTACTATAATTTCAAAAATGATTTTGAGGTCAGCAGATGTATATTCACACAGTATATGCTTGGCAACTGCAATTCGATTTCGGCACTATCATATCGGATCCCTTGTTAGACCAAAGTTTTCGAGGGATTCCTGAATGTTCCGTGTATTCAAAATGCCAGGGTAAATATTACGAACACGCTGTGCAATCTTTCTCTTCCTCATTAGGACGAACTCTCATGGGCCTGGAAATGTTTCGCCTCAGCGTCCCATCCTTAGTTCCAAGACATTTCAAAAATCCTCCTTGAAAGACGACCGGGCCTTCAATCGGGGTTTCGTTACCCTCAACGTTCTGCGGATAGAGTGTGTTAATAAGATTTCGAGCCTGTAGGTCTAGTATTGGCTTGTCATGGTATCTCCAATTAAGTGTACCTCCGTAGGCAATGGGTAGACTCGAGGGATCCATAAAGGATATTAATGTGGACGTGTCTTCTGAGACACTCAAGATGTGAAACTTCGACCGTGTCACAGGGTCGAACCATTTGCTCACAGCTGACCATACTGATTTGAAGAATGACGGCATGCCGATGATCTTTGATTTTATGAGTCACAGATTGCCCAAAAAGGTGATATGACAACGAAGAACAAGTGAAACGTACAAATACTCGACCAAGTGTCTCCGGATAATATGTGGTGGAAAGCATACTGAGGATCTGCAGGTATCTTCTGATACCCCAAAATTGCTTCAAGCTAACTCCGCTAATGTCGATGATGTACGTTGAAGCCGTAACAGGAATCTCCATACTCCGTCGCGGCAGTTCTGAGCAGAGAGGAGTCACAAAGTTTATCAGGTTCTGATAAAAGGCGTGAAAATGCAAACGTGCGGCCGATACACCGGGCTGTGAGTACTTTTTGGTAATCGAACAAGACTCCAGCGTTGAGAAATAGTTCTCAATTCTGTCCTTAGTGAGATGGCTGAGAGGAAGAACGTAGACTGGGAGGCCGTCATAATCTCGTCTGCCGGTCCATTGTGGGTACTATTTGAATATTAAGGAATGTTAGCCGCCAGAGTTGCGAGTTAGATGAAGTTTCTGGAACAAGAGGTGAAGAATCAACGGATTCTCTAGGATGGGCACATAGGTTGGTTGTCAATCAGAGGTAACGAACCATGTTTCTTGTTTCCTCATAGGAATTTAGATCCATGTTCTCATAGAATTCATGGATCCTCAGTTTCTTGAGCTCAGTAACTGCGAGATTGAATTGGTCAAAAGTAGAAGTAACATCAAATTTGCGCGCTCGTAAAAAATTCCTACAATTGTTAAGCAGACCATTTGTCAGCAAATCAGGGCAAACACCACATTGAAAACAAGGACCACTTCAGTTTGACTGACAATAAAATTGCTTCTTGCATGTCGTCGTCCTCTTTGGAGTTGTAAAGACCATGTCTTCTGCAAAGCTCCTTGAGCTCGATAAATCTATCCTGTTGCTCTGGTCGCAAAAGCCGTCGAAGGCCAACGGACCATCGACCGTCATTCTCTTCAGTCAAAATACTAGGAACGGGGTGAACTAAGGGCGATCTAATCTCGCTCTTGAGCTTCTGGATATGTCGTTTCCTGTCGCAAAAATCTTGGACATCTAAGGTATTCGCTTCCATCATGTTCAGTGGCTACCGTCTGACACAAGACATCGAGTGGCTCATGTCAAGAATCGAAACGGTCTCAATAGCCAGCAAAGATGGCTTGGTAATCACCAATATATATAAATATAAGTATCCCGAGACAAAAGGGTCTCACAGTACTTCAGTTGGTTGTTAACTGTTACAGTACCCAATATTAAGGCATTCGTGTGAGAGAACAAAATGAATAATATATACTCATTATATGCGTCTCCTTTGGCTTATAGATGATGTCGTAATTGAAGAAAAAGAAAGTGAAAATCGTTCCGGCTCTCATCAGTCATGATAAAATCCATGGATTCGAGCCGAGGTATACTGGCTTTGAGTACCTCGGATCTCCCCAATACATTTTGCTGGGAATTGTTGCCTTAGGGTTATTTTATTAGGGTTAGGGTTGGGGCACCCTCGCTTTCTTTGCGTCTGCCGGATCCAGGCGCAACGTCGGCTCTTTCGACACTTAGTAGATAGCAAGAATTCTATATAAGTTTTGTTGAATACCGTGCTGTCATAATCTATTTGATAGCAGTACAATTTATAGTGAATAATTACTCATAGCATTTCCCCAGGGCTGAAGAACCGACAAATGTCTAGATATGAATTGATCACAGGGATTCTGCGGACTTCGCACATCCCCTCGACGCTCGCAACAAAACTCAAAACCAAATGATGACTAAATCGTAAGGTTACTTTATAATAATCCTCCATACTTATACCGAGGCTGCCTTTTGCAAGAATCCCCTATCAAAATAGCATCTAATTTGCCAGATTTGTAATCCATCGGTACCAGACCCATCCTCAGCCTTCGCAATTTCGTACGTAAATGCTTGCGGAACTGTTACAGTCCCTCTATCACCTTCTAAATGTAGAAGATTTTTAACTTGCACCAACAAGGTATGTTTCCCACTTTGGTCATCATTCAGCACGATTGCCGAAATAAGTTCGTAGCTACACTTTTCAAACTGCCCATACAAGGAGATGTAGTAGTCCCAGATCTGCTGCGCGCCAGAGATGGTAGAGTTATCCGTATGCACCAGTGTCGCTGTCGAGGCATAGTAATTTGTTGGAGGCGTGGTACCTTTGTTATGAGCAAAATCGGCGGCATATTTAGCGTACCAAGAGAGTATCGGATTGGACGAAGACGCCGAATGACTGAATGGGCCTTGTAGAACTGTGGCAGTGATAGTCGTAGCCATGGTCTAATTGCGCGAAGGTTATTTTTCTTCTAGTATGCACAGATGCAGATAATGAAGTAAAGTAGTTACTGGGAAGAAAAAAGAAACCAGGAAAAGAATGGTTCAACTTCATTTCTCGGTTGGGAAACTCGTTGCGAGCTTGGTTAATATAGGCTTGATTGCATAAGTACAAAGATATTTTGAGACCGAGGCAATTTTCCAGCCCCGGGAACAGTTGATAGATATTTTTAGTTTTTCTTCGCTATTATGAGGCAATTTATTGATCATTCCGCGGCTCGGTTCCTTACGGCCCAACTGGACTTTAATCTGCACAAATTTCTGTTTCTTTAATATGATGCAGGAGTCATATGTCTCCCTTGTTTCAAGCCGTGAGTTTGAAAATGAAGGGTGATAAGCATATTTTTCCTTGAATGGGGTGCTAATGGTTAATCGGAACTACAGTTTACATATAAACCTCGAAGAAAGTGTTTAGATGTTAATCGTCCGGGGATTCGGTTCCGATTGAGTACGGTCACCATATCGAAAATATATTCGAGACATGGTGCGATCGCAAATTCCGGCATTCGTGACTTAGCGCAAGACAAAATTATCTATTGAGAGTTCAACCGTGGCAGCTATCACAGCGCCACCATCTAGCATGGTTTCGTACATATGTAACAGTCTAAGAACATAACGCTTGTATCTAGGCAAACAGAACATTCGCGCACAACCCTGGAAATGAGACCGACCTTTCGATACCATTATCTTACCTCAAGGTGATGCCAGTGAAAGCACGGTTATCATCTGAGTGAATTTTCTCCTTCTGTTTGCCATCCGCATTGGTGCGGTAGACGTTGCCCATGAGATCAGTCAAGTAGATGTGACCGTGTTCAAGGTCCAGGCGTAAGCCAATAGCCTCTTTAAAGTGTCTAGTGAGAACTTCATAGCCGAGTGGGGCATCAGTAGGAATAGGCAGGCCATTACTATCAAGACGGATTCTGTTCAAAGAGTTACCGAAAGGAATTTCACCACGGTCAGTCCAGTAGAGGGTGTGAGAGGCCTCATCAACCTCAAGATCGACAGGCTCCGGAAGGCTATTGAGAAGACACTGGATATCACATCTGGAAGTGGCAGTCTGGCCCTCAGGAGTCTTGATATTTGCGGAGAAAATACGACCTTTCCCACCTTTAGAAGGTCCCTTCTGAGACCAGAAGAACTTGCCTAGGGTAGGAGCTACAGCAATACCAACGCACCACTTTGAGCCATCCTCGCCATCCTCGGGATCCTGGTAGTTGCCAGTTTGGATTAAGACTTCAAGGTCGCTGCCATCGAAGTTGCAGCGGAAGACACGGAGGCCTTCACGGTCACAGAAGTAGACTTTTCCAGCGGTCTGATCAAGAGTTAACTGCTTAGGTGTGTTGGTGGCACCAGGAGCGACAACGGTCTCTATATCCGTGCCGTCAAAGTTCGCGGAGTAGACAGCCCCGTCATCCTTGCCAGGAATGCCCATATTTGTCCAAAACATGCGCTTGCTCTCGGGGTCAACAGCTAGACCATCAGGCATGGCCTGGTCGCGAACGAGGACGCCCTGGACCTTTCCATCCAAAGAAAGCTCCAGGATTTTGCCTCCTGTTGTACTTGGCACGGCGGCGGAGAGACCGAGATCCAAAGCCAAGATCTTACGTTCGTTGGTGTTGGCGGGCTTGGCCTCAACGGGAGGGTAGAGACCGCCTTTATCGCACTTGGTACCCAACTTGCCAAGGTCGAGGTAGTTCTTCTTCAAGTAGTCAACGGTCTTCTCAGGAGAAAGGCCACGCTCATCAACATAGTGGGTTTCAATGAAAGCAACGGTATCAAGGCCAACATCTAAGAAGTGTATCTGTGTTAGTTTCAGATCACCGCCGAAAAGAAAGGTGACATTAAACTTACTGTCCATCATTTTACAAGGGGCAACGTTTCCCTTGATGAACATCTCCGTCCACATGGAGTCAATCTCCTCAGGAGTAGACACCTCTTCAGCGAGTATGGTCAAAGCCTCACGCTTCACGGCGGCCCAGAGACGATTAAAGATGAAGCCTGTCGACTCCTTTCTGGCGACATATGGCAGGGTGGCTGCCTCCTTCGAACATTGAACCATAAAGGGGAAAACCTCCTGCGTAGTAAAGCCGTCCGTCATAAGCTCAACAACCATACACTGAGGAGGCATGTAGTAGTGCATATTCAGAATACGAGTCCTTGTTGCGTCAGAGACCTTGGCCAACATTTCAGATGACTTGTATGAGGAGGAGTTTGAGGCCAATATAGAGTCAGCAGGAGCGAGGGTTTCAAGTTCCGCTAGGGTGTCAATTTTCAGCTGGATCTTCTCCGGGACAGCTTCGATGACGAGCCATGCATTGGAAACGGCATCTGCCAAATTTTCAACGGCTTCAGATTTTCCAGGATTCTGCCCCGTCTTCTCGGCGTAGGAGGCGACGTTCTTCTCAATGTAGGCGATGCACTCAATGCGTTGTTGAGGGCTGGGGTCACGAATCTTTACATCGTAACCGGCGGAAGCCCAAATGCAACCTGCATAACAGACAATGGTAAGCTTTGATGGAAGTCATCATGAGATGGACCTACCAATACGACGGCCGAGCACACCAGCACCAAGCACAGCAACAGGCCGCTTGCGGTATTCTTTGGGAGGCTGCCAAGTTGGATGCATTTTGTAGCGTGAAGTCAAATATCTCTGGTATATGTAGGATCAAGCTGCTTAGGTTGAAAGCAAGGTAAAGGTATATAAGAGACCGTGTAGCTGTTTGTATGTGATCTATGAGCAGAAATGAGGGAACAAGAGAAGTAGACATGGGTAAAGATAGAGAATATATATAGGATCGAGACATCGAGTTTCGTCATCTCCTTCCTACTGTGAACGCCTCCAAAATGAAGATGGGTGGGAACAAAAAATCTCGGCCCGAGAAGAAGCCAGTGAGATATGAAACAATACATTCGGGATGCCACATCCACAAAGCCGAGATATATGAGGTATCAAAACCCTAGCCGAGCAGTGAGCCGTGGATTGGAGTGTATCCAGTGGGATTCCATGGGAGCTTGAGGAAGCCGCCATAGTGGAGTCGTTGGGACTTGGTGATTTAAGGCCCTGAATAAATCTGCTGCAATTTGACAGCCAGACTACTGATCTAGCACACTACTACTTTTAGGGAAAATCTGGGTCATCAAATTCCTTTGTGGCTTGAGTCGAATGCTGTTTGGCATTTAGGGCATGGCGATAAATCAGTAAGGATTCTCGAAATATCCGCGGATCCCTCAGGGTTCCGATTGGTAGTCGTTTCTTCGGGTGCATATCGAGGTAAAATGTTTCTTTAATATCTCGGGATCTCGCAATGGGGATCCTGTTGTGAATGCACCCGCCTCGGTTCCCAGTTGATTGGGCGACACCATCTTTTTGGCTTTGTTCTATACCTCGGCATGGTGGCATGAGGTAGTGAGGGAGATGGCTTAAAATATCAAGTTTTAAAGGTTCAGATCAACCTTTTTCCTCCCTTTTATATTATTGTTACATATTATCAAGAATTAGTTTCGGCCCGACCCAACCTGAAGTTAACTGAGGAGTGGATTGGGTTGAGTTAACCGTCATAGCTTATTCATCACTCATACAGTTGTCTTTCGAGAATTTAATAAAGGCTGCAGTTTTCTGAAGCCCTCCATGGTGAAATTTTCCGAGATGATGATAATCGGATCCAAGCAGAACGATATTAATATTATTAAGATATGCGCGCAGTGTATAACAAGCTATATACAGCTGTTCTTGAACTTCTTATATTAGTCTAGTACCCATTAGTTCCGTTATCATTAATCAAAAGAACAGCCTCGAAATGCTTTCATCTTGAACTATTTATTAAAAACCTAGTGAAATGCTCACTCAGCCAGCCGCGGCTGACCAACTTCATTCTTTAATAACCCATACTCATACTCATTCCATGTGACCAAGGGCTCCATGTTTGGGGTCCACTTCCCATTGTAAAATTCATTCCTGTCAAGCTCGAGGCGTTTCAGCCTCGGGGACTCTTCATCAGCGATCCCTCTAGATGGTGGGTGCTCAGGGTGAAGAACAGACACCTTAAGCACGAGACGGTCTAGTCCACGCAATTGACCCAGGACCTCTCTCAGCCACGCCCAAAAGAGCTCCGGCTGCGGTGGTTGTCCCTCCGTCAATGCAACCTCAACGTCTAGCTGGCAGAGCGAAGTCATCCTTGAATTCAGACATTGGACTGCATCAATAACGGTCCTCTTTTGTTTGGCTTGATTCCATTCTAGTGATGGAATGCAAATAGCTAGATGTGCGTATCGAATACGTGGCAGCCCTTCTGGGCTAGAATTATTTGCAAAGTACAGCACACCTTCCGCCCCAAAAAAGGATATGGTGTTACCTCCATAAATAATATCCATGACATCCTCATATACAGTTCGACATGTACGCATCAGGTCGGTATAGTGGCGTTCTTGATCAGGGCTTACGAGCCTATATAAACATATTGCTGGCGGCTCGCCTGTCTGTATAAGCGCGCACATGCGACCGTACCTCACACATCCTTGCCTAGTCGGCACAGGCATATCGTTCCGGATAGAACCTCCTAATTCGAGAATAGTGTGTAAAGCAGTGCTTGGTGGGTCTTCATCGCTCCTGATATGCTGTGAGGCTTCCCAATGGCTCGGCAGAGGACCGCAAGTGGAATGCATTCCTTTATACCCTAACCGGGGCTGAAAGATAGATTTGGGGGGAAGGGCGAGCCTGTAGATTTCCAGACGGATTTCTAGAGGGAGGCGAAGGAAGCCCGGTTTCATCGCGTTGGCGGTTTTTTGAGGTATGTTGTCCGCCAAGGGTTGCGAAGGTGGAAGCCTATGGCGGCGTACATGGCGTCGCTCTTTGATGTCTCGACAAGCGCGTTTAGTGCGGTCAACCTTCTTTCCGATAAAATTAATGGTCACGACTGAGCCTAGTGCAATGACAGCAATTGGCAATGCGATTCCCACGATAATGCTCTCAAGCGTCGCATACAATCGTTGCTTTGCATTTTTAGGACGAGTCATGGCTGCCTATGCCGGGTATTCTGCTGGGTGTCAGGTTCAAGTAGTTGGTGTTGTGTTAAATAACTCTGCCTGGTACTGATTTAGGCTGAACACGGCCCTACTGGAGGTTCACTCTGATTGGAGTACAATACGCAGGATTGATAAGTACACACTGAAAGGACACGGACAAGAGAATTCCAAGTCAGCCTTGCGGTCAGAAGGAGGACATGTCTTACCCAACAACCAATCAAAAATAGCGTTCAATCTCTAATAACTATAGTGATATAGATTTCAACCCGTGAAATGAATTAGACATACGTGTGTACAGACTATCAATAAATTCATTGTATGAGTTGAAGAGTTGGAGAAGATGAATCTCGGGTTGCGCCACGGGAAGAACCAACACCCTCTCGCAGTCTATTGGCGCGCCAAGACGAATGTAGCATACAGCAGTACTCAATCATGTTCATGTGGTTTCTGCTTCACGTTCGCAGTGATGGATATCGACTAGCTTCATAAGGCTGAGTATAGCTTGGCTACTTTATTCCCTCTTGTGTACAGCTAGCTATTAATCATGATTTGTAGCATAATTATAAATATTAATTCGTTGGCTAGAAGAACAATAATAAACAAAAAAAAGCATAGGGGTATAAATCAAGGGGTATCGCTAACTAGCATGAAAGATTGATCACACGAAAGATTCATCAAGCAAACTCTTCTCTCCTCTGGGCCATACTAATGGTGCAGTTTCTTGGAGGTCATTAAATGTTCTCCACAACACGCGCATTGATAGCGCGCTGGAACCCTTCGTCGGCTTCACTGTTGTTTACGTCGAGGGCGCCTTGAGATTGATACCTGCTAGGACCCTCACCAACAGTATCGGCCACGGCAAGCTGGTTCATGACGGACTGGTTGGGTGCAGGCAAAAAGATAACCTTGCTGTTGGCGGATTTGGCCATGGCTTGCATCGCCTCCAGATAGCGGATCTGCATGGCAGGAGCGGAAGACAAGATATCAGCGGCTTGACGCATCAACTTGGCGGATTCGACCTCGGCGCGTGCGGCAATGACTTTACTCTCACCAATACGCTTAGATTGAGCAGCCATGGAGAGCGAGTCTTGCAAGTCGTTGCTGAAGATGATATCTTTAATCAACATGGATTCAACCTTGACACCCCAGCGGGCAGCAACATCTTCGATGATTTCACCGATTGACTGGGCAATTTCCTCGCGGCGCTCGATGACGTCTTGCAAAACGCGAGCACCGACGACGTGTCGCAGAGTGGTCTGAGTGCGCTCAACGAGGGCTTGACGAACATCGGCGATGCCGAACGCAGCTTTGTGTGGGGAGGTGATGTGGTAGTAGATCACAGACGTGAGGTTCAGAGTGACATTGTCTTTGGTCATGCAGACCTGGCGGGGCACTTCGACAATTTGGATCTTCACATCAACGGTGGTCAATTTTTCGCTAAAGGGGTTGACTTTGACCAACCCGGGGTCGACGGAACGCTCAAATCTAGATAGTCATTAGCCGGGTCTACCGATTTCAACAGTCAGGAGAGTGCTTACCGGCCGAATCGCGTGACCAATCCCACTTCACCCTGCTTGACATTCTTGAATGGATTCGGGCAGATGCAGCAGCCGGCCGCGCCCATGAAACCGAAGCATTGACCAAGGCCGTGCTCTTTACGTCGACAAGTCAGTTACCATTACCATATACGCAGAATAGCTAGAATCGCAAGATGAATAACGTACGCAAGCCAGCATACCAGCCGTGGGAATCTGGGTTATCATTATCGTGCTTGAGGGTCTGGGCATATTGTGGCTGCAGATCCTCGACACGTGCAGGCTGCACTTGGACCAGGCTTTCGTTGAATCGCCGCTCGGGGTTGGCAGCAGCTTTGCCGTTGGTGACACCGTTGGAGAGCTCAGATGGACCAGACATGGTGGAGTTGGGTGTAGTCAATGGAGTGTGAGTATGAGAGTGCAGGATGGATATAGGGTGGTGCAAGGTGGAAGGTGGAAGATGGAAGGTGCAGAGAAGCAGGTGAGCGATGCTTATATACACGGGCGACAGCAGGAAGGTGCAGGGTCTCTCCGGATTAATTGCTGGTGTTAAGGCAATAGCTATTACCACTGGGCAACATGCAAGGCGCACAGCCCCGGCCAGCCACGCTAGGCCCACTCAGGCAGTTCGTAAATCCCACGGCTGCATCGGCAGGCTGCCTGATTGGCCGGCAGAAGGCTTGTCCCGCTTTTTGCGAAGCTTGGCTCTTCCCGAAGGGGATAGGCGCGGTGCTTCTGACGTCGAAGCTGTCGCAGCTTTCCCTCATTCTTACGCCTCCTCTGCTCTTAACTTTGGACTGATCGCGGTGCTGAGGAATCATCAGATGGTCAATATACGGCCCTAAGTTAGATACGGGTTATACGGCAGTGCTCTGTGCCCCGCAAGCATGAATCTGCCGTTGTCATATTAAGCGAATACGCCGTAACTCTGGAGTGCGCGATTTTCTCCCCGCTATCACTTCAATCAGCATCATTTCTCTGCTACAGCACCAACGTCGAGCTTCCGACAGCTTGGCACAGCCCTGCTGCGATCCACAGCCAAGGTCGGGCGTCGTCGCTGAGCCTCAGGCGGGACCAACACGATTGCTGGTTTCTACTCAGCAACCAACAATCGCCGGACGCCAGCATCATGATGATTTCTGCCCAGAAATCGCTCAGTTGTCGATCTTGCCTGCACTGCCGCCCGCAAGATGGAGCATTGCATTGGCTTCGCAGTCTGGGGGCCGGTTCCGTTGGCGCCTTGGCGCTGTCTTCCATGGGGCGCTTCTGTGGGGTTTCCTTTTTGGTGCTCCTCCTCCTGCAATTCCAATTTCCAGCTTACTCGACACTGCTTTACAACAACGGAACAGGATTAGGAGTCAAAAGCGTTCTAGGATTTTCTGATGTTTAGCACGTGAAGTTATGGTGTCCAACATGACAGTCTGCAACACATGAGTTTATGCCGAGTTTATCTATCCTGAAACACCCTCTATCCTCAAATCCATCCCCCAACTTATAAATCAAGTCAACACTCAACACTCAAATCCCATACCTTCAAGCACCTTGCCAAAACTTTGCCTCCATATGTCAACATTCACCTGGCCAAAGCCCACCGCAACCTCTTTCTTCAGCCGGTCATGCTCATTAAGCTCGTTTAGACTCTTGTACGCCTGATCGATATACTCTTTCAGAGGCATCGGTACAACGGGGTTTTCCCCCTGCATCGCAATCGTCGCCTCTCGGTGCTCTGTATCCAAAGCCGTGTCCGTGTATGGTGGAACCACTTCAACAAGACACAAATTCCGGCGGACCAGCTCCGGCGCGAACCCCAGTTGCTCGCGCAGGGAGATGCACATGGCATGTACACCTGCCTTGGAAGCACAGTAGGCCGGGTAGAATGGCAGGGGCGTGTAACCAATAGACGAGCTGGTAACGAGCAAGTTGGCCGGCTTACCCGCCGACGCAATCGCCATCAGATGCGGGATAAACAGGTGAGTCAACAGCGTTGGCGCAGTCAAGTTGATGCTTATCTCCGAAGCGATGCTATCAATACTCGTGGTACTTGGATCAAGCATCGAAAAGCACTTTTGAATCCCAGCATTGATAAAGACTGTGTCTAGGGTCGGGTAGGCTGCGATGATCTCGGAGACGTGCGTCTGTAGTCCGGCGATATCTGCAATGTCCCACTTTAGCGCCGATTAGCCTCATATCTCCCCGATTCCTCACTAACTTATATTTCGTGGGTATTAGAAAGAGACGACTAGCTGGATTCTTACCTGTCGAGACTCCATTCCCGGAAGCTCAGTCGTCAAGGCTAACAGGCGGTTTGCCCGTCGACCAGTGACAATAACTCTTTTCCCTGAAGCATGGAAGCGACGGGCAAAGGCCTCACCAATACCCGAGCTTCCTCCGATAATAAGAATCGTATTCATCCGAGAAGTCATTCTGGCTGGGAGCGCGTAGTATGGAAGAGTTGAGAAGGACACCGAGGGGTTAGAGATCATGTTGGGCATGCATCTGCTTGAATATTTGATCAGCGCCGCGAATTTATATCAAGATGCGCTGACAAATTTGCTTGGGTCTTATTTCTCTTCCTTATTTTCGCGCCCATCAGCGCAGGGGCTGTTTTCCTTAGTGTTCGACGAGGGGCTGTATAGAAATCCTTAGCTGGCGGGACCGCTGGATATAGGCGCCGCTACTATTGTTGACTCTTAAATGGTCAACCCATAGAAGTAGGTTGTGTGGCGTGGTACCTGGCTCTTTGTTACCTACCAACATACTTGCTAAGCTAGGCGTGGATTCGGAAACATGTCTAGATAATTTATCCTTGGTTCTACATCTATGAATAGAATATAAGGCCTGAAGTACTAAATTTACTATACATACTCACGAGACCCAAAAGAATGGCTGATAATGGCAAGCATCCTAATGTTAATTGTTATATGTATTTGACCCATTCCCAAAGCAGTCTCGAAGTATTAATTACCCCATACCAAAAATTAGTCCTCTCGGCAATTGTCAATTTTCTGGCTTATTCACCGTGTCTCTCTACGTGGCAACATATTGGCCATTGAGAACTTTTTTGAGAAATTGTCTCTGAAAAAATTAGTTCTGATAATGCTCTGAAGTTCTTCATCTGACATCTACCCTCCTTTCACGTCTTTAAAACTACTTCCAAACCCTCCGATACAACCTGCCATTTCAATGGTCTTGCCATCTTTAGAAGTGAAATCATACAGAACTATACTAAGCCAACACCTTATCTTAGCGTACAACTTGTCGTCTGGCATTTAAACGAACAAGGGAGGGCACGACATGTGTAAAGTCGAAGCTTTTTTAGGAAGCAGAACTAGACTAATCCGCAGCGCAGTCCCAGTTGTAGATCACTTTCAAACTTTAAAGTCAGCTCGCGTCAATCAAAGTTAAGAAATGCTGATATGGCCATGTCAACTTGTATCAACGAGGATGCAATAAGCTCTTGACAGCCTTGGGTAACGAAGGGCGGACGTTATATAGACTTGGTATGGAAATGGATATCTATTAGTCAAGTACTGCAGTTAGTATATGGCGTTTGATCTATATACAGCGCTCTGATTCGTATTAAGTTTAAATCCAGCAGATTAAGTAGCGTCTTGCATTCATTAGATAAAAATGTCTATAAACAGAGAAACAGAGTAGAGAAATGTTATCTCAATACCTCACATATCAGGGTAATAATAAAAACGAGTCGAGTATTCAGTTCAGTCAAGAATTGAGGCCTGCTAATCATCCGAATAAAAAAATCCCACCATAAGCAACTTTCCTTCTGAGCCATGCAATGACTTTTGGAAACATGAGACAAACATTTTCATTTCATCAGCGTGGTGTTTCAAATGACTGTTTAGTGGTTGATCTTCTCGTTGACGGTCTCCTTCGCCTGCTCCTTCTTTGCGGCGAGCGTGTTGCTCAGCCAGGCAAGCGACTCCTGCGAGATCACCAAGCCTGTAGTGATGACAGCCTTGCCGCTGGCCACATAGCCGTCGCCACCGCACTTCTTGTACTCGGCGCCATAGGTGTCAAAGAGGTGCTGGCGGGCATCGTCGGCAAGACGGAGGGGAAAGTATGCGGTGTCGATGATTGTGCTCTTGATCTTCTCGGTGTCCTCCTTGACGATGGGGAATCGCTCGTCGACCTTGCTCAGTCCCTGATCTCCGAGAGTGTCGGCCTTGGCGACGTAGGGGGCGACATAGGCGTAGGGGGTGGAGAGGTATGGCAGATAGGGCTTCGCAAATCGCTCGTAGCCTTGGTCAGCGTATGTTAAGGACTTGGCGCCGTATTTGTTGCTCTTGATGATGGTGATGGAGTCGGAGACGAAGGGGTAAGAGGTGAGGTGCTGTGACTGTTAGTGCTGCACTCAACGTTCATTTAAATAGAAAGGGGACCCGTACTGAGATGAATTGAGAATGGGGCTGCGCGCCGTTGATAGTAGGTTCTCCCATGGTGTCTCTCTCTGCGTGAGGCATGAAGCTAGATACGGCGGCAGTCAGCAGGACACTCATAGCACAAAGGGCAAGAGTAGAAACCAACCTTATTCACGATTCTTCAGTCAGGTGAGGGTGTGACACAGGCGAAAAAGGGATGGGCCAGGTACGAAAGTGATGAGAGAGAAGAGAAGCAAAACAGCGAGAGGGAAGAGTAGCATGATGTGCTGCACCGTCGATGATAAGGCGTTTTAAAAGTCGCAAGCTGTGCCCCGCCCAGCCAATGGCAGGCACGCAGCCAGATTTGCCTCTGGCATGTGAAAACAGGAAACTGGGCAAACAAGGGTAACCCTACTGCCTAGAGCATTTATTATCTACGCACATGTATCGGTATATAGATACATACACTATACATCGACTATGCATCTACTATGCATCTACACAATCTCCTGATATATCTGTATATCAATATATACTCTCTATCCGTACACCTTGCACACACCTCCTGGTCAATGACGATGAGATAGCTGGCGCGCCCTCATTTGTGATATTTTTTGCAGCTGACATGTGATGGTGGGGCCGCCGCAGGGCCAGACTGCTGCAACTTATTATCATACTCTACTACGACTGCATTTGCTGCCGTCCAAGCGCTTCCAACCATCATCCTCATCGGAATGTTGTTTATTATTCGCTTATCTGAAGGGTACACCCGGTTTCGCTAGTATACGACCCCAAGACGAGTTCCGAAAACGGAGTTATCGCTAGCACTGGCTAGCAACTCTACTTATCAAGACGCAATCGGGTCCACCCTTCGCATTGGTGCGCCCGGACGTCTCACCTCCACGACCCCAAGCTAAGGAGTCTCGTCTCAAGAACGAGGGTGCAATGCGCATGTTGTGTGGACCGATAGTACTAGGTTGGACCCTGGCTGATGGCGCACTGACACTGCTCTCCTCCATGGCGTGCTGCCGGCCCCCCGCCAGTGGTTGCGTTGTCGCAAGTCATGGTGTTGATTGCATGGGTATATCAAGTGCAATGAACCTTGATAACCTGATTGTACCCTGTCAACGGTTATGCATGGTACTCATGCATGCATCTCGCTAATTGAGCACGTATGGTCGACATTCGCATCCCCCTGGTCAACCTTCTATATTAAGGACATGAAGGATACGCGAGAAATACTATCCTGTAGGTGGAATAAATATTCTTGATATATCGTGTTACAGATTAGCAGCTTTTCACACCGCCCGAGCAATCCGACTTGAATTGATATATTCCCACTAAGCTGTGCCACCCGGAGCTGTATTCCAAGCATCCCACGGCCTAGCTGCTGAGAGAGTGCTTTGATGTCTGGCCATTCAATATTGCATATGTAATATTAAATTTATCTATCACTGACCCTCAGACCTTACTGGCCTGAGGCACGACGTACAATTATTATTTGAAGTAGTATAGAACGCCCCACATCGGCACAGCCCATGCAAGCAACAACAGAATCCTTCCTTTTGGCCTCAAAAGAGTCGAAACATCTGATACCGACCACGGTGCGTCGGTTTTGTTCGGGTTTGCCACCTGCGATAGGTGGAACCTTTCGCCTTACTATATTCAACCTGCCAGATCCGAGGTTGAATATATTCAATGCTTCGGATTTCGGTGTGTGAAGCGAAAAGCATTCAATTTTTCGCAGATTTTTACAAAATTAAGAATTTCCATGTTACTTCTTACCCGAGCTGCAGAGCTATATCAGTCAACCATCAATGGCTATCATGTGAATGTGGCAAGCCTTCTATAGAATCCTTGCGCGTAGCTTTAAGAAATAGTCACCGAAATTTTATTATTATTAATTCGCATGGCTTACCCTGCAACAATATCGATCCACTGTATTGTTGAAATTGTCAACAAGCTCAGGCTAGGATGAGATGTAACATTGAGTTACATAAAACAACCCTTCGAGAGATGCCCGATATGTATTCACATGCCAATTTGCAGATTGATGCTAATCGCAAGCTGTGTGGAAGTTCGGTCATATTTACTGCCCCTTTCGACAGTAATCGGCTTGTTACATGTTACGCAAGGTACAGATATTGCCATTAATAGTATTCAATCCGCTGTGATCACGGGTTTGGTACGCACGGTTCTGATCCATAATAATATCGCAGTCTCTGGCGAACCGTAACTACAAACATTACATTTGTAGATCAATACACAAAGTCAAATTTCGTGTATAGATTCTATGTCAATCAATTGACGTCCTGGCTGACACCCATCTGTTACCGCAGAGTGGTATTATTAGTGTAATACGATCCAAGTATCCCACTGCGTCGCTGTACGGTGGTTGCCAAGGAAATGGAAAACTACGTGATCACATCGAAATGCACGGGACTTTTCATTCATCAAGACTTGACGCTAATGGTAACGGCTTCCCTCGTAATAAATAATAGGTAAAAAGTTTTGTCTTTTCAACATGAGTCCGTAGTCGTGGACTGTATATTCAGACACATCCCATTTCTTTTCCAGACGCCCACCAGTTCTCTCTACTGGCGGACTACGCCTGAGGGATGAAGATTTCCATGCCTCCTCCACTCTTCTCGGCTATGTCGATCCTTGCACCAGACACCTCATAACAATCAAATTTGACGAATTTAGAACCCTGTACAGTTGTCAGAAACAATGTCGAAGCCACATACCGCCTGCTCTGTTCCACTTACGCAAAGGAGTGAAGAACCATCTGTTCTTGCCGCTGGTGTATCGCTCCTCAAGAGCCTTCTTGACGGTCTTCTTGGCATCCTCACGCTGGGAAACCTCCTTGAAAGTATCGTTCGAGATAACGCCCTTGAGGCCCTCGAGCTCGAGTGTGTAACGGGTGGGCATCAAGTGGTTGTAGTTGACGACCTTGACGAAAGGCTTGATGCGGCTGCGCTTCTCGACCTTCTTGGTACCCATACGACGGGTGACCTTCTGGGGGTAGCGCTCAATACCGGCAACGAGCGCATAGGAGAAGGGGTGAGCCTTGGAGCCGGAGTCCTGAGGCTGGATAATGACGACCTAAAAATTGATTCCATGTCAGCGCTGGGCTTTGAAGACACTTGACATTTGTTTCCTTCCACGAATCTGTTCGCATCGATTCTCTGATTCATTGTCCTCCTTGCACTTGCAAAAACTCGCTTCATCCAAGCGAAACCCTATATCTGATTCATAAAAAGAAATAAAGACATGTCGTACCTTCTTTCCGGCGTAACGGCCTCGGGTGATGATGGCCACACGGCCCACTTTCATGACTGTTTCATCGATGTCAGTTGGCGAAACAAAATAGAAAAGACAGAAGATCAGAACTAACACTTCATGGCGAAAGTCCGGTGAGCGGTAGCTGTGTCGATGGGTGTTGTTGTCGAAGCTGGTCGATCGGATCGAAGTGAAGGTCGACGCCGGCGTTAGACTTCTTTTTTTCGCTTAGGAGGCAGGCTCTAGGGCACAGCCTGCGGAGAGTATTGTGTGCTTGCCCATGATTGGCTCGTTTAACGATAGCGCCGGACAGCGCTGCTCTAATCCAGGAACGGCTAGGCTCAGTCACCTGACCTGTGCCAGGGTGTCTGGCCTGAATCGGCTTAGCGCTAGAGCCAGCGCTGGGCAGACCCGTGACGCAAGCGATCGCGTGTTTGTTTATGGTTGCTAGGCGCAAGGCCCGTTGCTACAGAAGTCGCTCTTTTACCATCCGCCGTTCCGGCAAAGGTCCAAGACAACACCGATTCGGGGCCTAGATGATGTGGCATCGCATCGCTCGCTCCACTAGCTACCATAGTTTTGTCTAGTTGGGCTCCATTGTTTTGGTCTGCCTGAGAGATAAACTGCCTTGCAGCTCCATATCTGTCGCAGCCGTTGGCAAGAGAGCCAATATTCTGTTCTGCCGCCTTTACGAAGCGTTTTAATCCGCTTCTTCTTCTGCTGCTGCTGAGCATAGCACAGCATTGTTGTTTTGTTGTTTACAAGTTTTTTTTTTGTGTGTTTCGTTATTCGACATTGTCATGCTTGTGTGTCTCCGATAGGAGCCTGCGCATTCCTCACTTTACCCACATTCCACGACTTGTGTACCGTTTATGTCTCACGAAATCATACTCATGCCGTCCAGCGACTCTGACGGCTCTCGTCAGAGTACGGACTCCTCTATTAAGGCCCAACATCACCATTCCGTCTCCGAGGCCGGACGGGCTCTGAGTATCCCGATGTATGTAACCTCTGACCCCCGGAATACAGCGTAGGTGCCACCAGTCAACATCCACTGACCTCAATGTCTTTCAATCCATATAGGTGGGACAGCTCAGATCCTGATCGGGCTCCTCCCCCACTGCCTCTGAATCCAGGCAGTCCAAAAACGAGAGCAAGTGCTTCTCCAGGCATCCAGGCGGCCACGGCGAGTCTTGCAGAAAAGATGCGCGAAAATGCCCCCAGCTCATACACAACAAATCCTATGCCCAACAGATCATTATCTCCCGACAAGTCTCTAGTAAAAGGCCATTACCATAGGAGGATGCAGTCCTTGCAGCCCACCAGTGATACGCGTTCGGAATTCCGCAATTACCTCGAGAACAAGTCGCCAGAGCGACGCATACAGCTGTCACAGCTCGAGTCTAGTGATAGGTCTATCGAGAAAAGCCCGACCAGGTCGGGTACAACATCCACGCAGGACTCTGGTCGCGACTCGCCATCATCTCTTTATGTCTCCAATCGCTACCTGATGAAACCTCTCCTAGGCGAAAGCACTCCACCTTCGGCGACAATGCTCGCATTACAAAATATGCAACTCCCAGGTGATGATCCGAAACCTCTACCAGAACCAAAATCTATCACTGCCGCACCAACTTTATCCGAACAAATCCAGAGTCTTACAAGTATCGCGACCAGCTTGCAGAAGGAGATGAGCCAATTGAGTCGCCGCAGTAAAGATAACGCAACCGACCTTCTTAGTCTGAAAGCTGCTACCAATTCTCGTGATGAAGACATCAGGAAGAGTATTAAAGACTTGGCCACCAACATTACCTCAAAATTCCTCGACTCCGACAGCGTCACCACAAGGTCAGCGACTTTAGCCTCCACTAAAAGTGGATATAGCATTGATAGCAAGCCTTACGACACTTCGCCTAGTTCTCGAAAGTCTTACATGCTTCCACGAATTCCTAGCCCAGGAAGTTTCACGGCCGCTTTTGAGAAGGATCGTTCTGGATCTCCTGCCCCAATCAGTGATGGGTCTGCAAGTATCGCCTTGCTCGAAAAAGTGTTGCGCGAGATGGCAACAAAAGAGGCACAGGAGAAGCTCTTGGAGCTTGTTGACGAGGTCAAAATGAGACCAGCCAAAGATGGAGCCAACAAAGATGCCGATGCAACGATCAGTAAAATGTTGGAAGAAATTCTGAACCATGTTAAAGAGAGTCCTACCAACCGAGCCCTGGTACGATCTCATCTGGGAAGTTCAGAGGAGACTTTTAGTCCCGAAAGTACAAGGGCGGGCCCGATAATTCTTGGCTACGACTCTTCTACAGATGTCAGTACTCCTGGCGAGAAAACCGTCATTAGTGAAGATGTCATCAACCTCCTTAGAAGAGTCAAGAATAGCGTGGCCGATAGTGGCGGGTTAACAAGCGAGGTGAAAGCTTTGGTTCGTGAACTACGCGGTGAAGTGCTCGGAATGGGCCGGGAAATTGGCAGGAAGCTCGATGATGCAGCAGCAGCTAAAGGTAATGAAAGATCTTCGCAAACCCTAGCAGCTGATGAAGTTGCGGAAATTGTACGTTCTGGTCTTGCCGAATTGAAGGAGCAGATGTACACTATGATCCAGGACCACCAGCAAACTGTCGCCATGTCTGTTCCGCGTGGTGTTCCTGAGCCTTCAGACTTGTACACTGTTGTTAAATCTGCTCTTGAAGAATTCCCTCAAACTCAACAATCCACTTCTGATTCCACTACCGATGGCATGAGAAAGGAGGATATTTTGGACGCAGTCAGGGAGGCATGGGAAACGTACAAGCCGGAGATTGAGTTACAAAACTTTGGACTTGAACGAGAGGAAATTCTTGATTGCTTGAGTGAAGGCCTCAAGGATTATCAACCTAAAAATGAGGAGGCTGTCACCTACGACCAAGTCCTTGCAGCGGTTCAGGCTGGAATGCAGAGCTTTGTTCCGCCTCCCGTCGAAGCTTCCCCTGGCATCACTCGCGATGAAATAATGACAGCGGTTAAAGAATGTCTCGAGTCCTTTGAGTTGACAATTCCGGAGCTAAATATAACACGAGAAGATGTATTTGCTGCCGTATCCGAAGCGATGGCAGGCCAGCAACCATTATTAGAACATGCGTCAGCGACTAAAATCACTCGTGAAGATGTGTTTGAGGCTGTTCTGGATGCAATGGCTCAACGAGAACCTTCAGATCAGGCAAGGTCTACAATGTCTCACGACGACATCTTTAGCGCCGTTGTTGAGGCCATGAGTGGCCAACGAGATTTGTATCAAGGGGAAACACCCTCTGGTATTACCCGCGAGGATGTTTTTGAAGCTGTCACAGAAGCAATTGGTCAACAATCTTTGTCGCATGAGGAAACAGGTACTTCAATTACTCGTGACGATATTTATAGTGCAGTCGTAGAAGCGATGGCTGGTCAGCGAGCACTACCGCAAGATGAGGCAAGTACTGCTCTCACCGCCGGAATGAATCGTGATGATATCTTCAATGCGGTTACCGAAGGCCTGGCAGCGCATCATGCTGCCACCAAAGAAATGGGCGAATCTCACGCAACTCGGGAGGATATAATTCACGTCGTTAACGAAGCATTCGCTACTCACCCCCACTCTGTCAACGGCCTAGAGCCAGGGCTTACACGGGATGACATCCTGAGTGCTATTGCAGAGGGCCTGACCAGTCAAACTTCCATCAGCCGAGAAATAGAACTAAACAAGGATGATCTTTTTGAAGCTGTCACATCCGGTCTTCAAGAAGCAGCAGCTTCCTCTCATCTCAATGTCGGCGAACAAGTTTCAAATCGCCTTCAAGAATTGGTTCAGGACATCAAAGACGAATTCAAACAATACTCCGCTGCCAACGGCAAAGACACCGAGCAGGTTCTCGATGCTCTGAATGATGGACTCCAGGTTCTACGAGGTGAGATTGAATCTTATGTTGACAAGGCCGCCGATGTTACCGGGAAGGAGGAAATAATTACAACAGTCAAGGAGGGCTTCAGGTTATTACAAGCAGATCTCGAACGAACAATCAACGAGGCTGCCGTCAGTTCTTCCTCTCGCGGTAATCCTGATACTCCAGAGCTTCTTGACGCTATGGAAAAGGAGTTTGAACATCTTCGATCAACGCTTGGCAGCCTTCTTATGCGCAGCGAGTCCACAAATGACAAAGACGATATTCTCGATGCTATTCATGAGATTTCCAGCGCTAGGAACAAGGAATCCGATCCATTCAATGTAGTTCAGGCTGTGAAAGACGAGTTTGAAAATATTCGCGAAACTATTGGAATGAGTGTCGTGAGGTCAGGTCCAACTGACAAGGATGAAATAATAGCTGCTTTGCGCGAAAGCTTCGACAACCTCCAGGCAGAGACTGGCCAGAAACGTGACGGGAATGAGAGTGTACTGTCTAACACTAGCGAGCTGCTGGAAGCGTTCAATGATGGCATCGATACGATTCGAGCGGATCTCGATAGGCTACTCAACAAATCGGAAGAGCAGAGTAGCACTCAAATTCTCGAAGCACTACAAGAAGGATTAACATCCATCAAAGGAGAAATGGAGGCTATGCGAGAGTCACAAAAAGAGTTTGAAGAGACATCCACTGTCCGAGGCCGCGAAGTTATGCTTGCCAATGAAAGTTCCATTGGCAGTGACATCGAAAGCTTGAAAGTCTTGATCACCCAGCTACAGATAAAGGTTGAAGCGATAGAGTCCAACCCTGCACCTGCTCCGCCTTCGGAAGATGCCTTGAAAAAAGAGCATCTTGACGAAGTTTTATCGGCTCTCCACGAAATCCACGGATCTGTTGCCGAAGTCAGTACTCGTGACATTCCGGTTGACCCTGAAACTGCCCGTAAGGTCGATACAGACGCTATCGAAGCCGTGGTTCGAGACACAGCTGCTAGAATCGAAACCATAGACCTTTCCTCGGCCCAGGGTCTCGCCAAGTCAGACCAAATGCTAGCATTAGAAGCCCTCGTGTCGGAATTGAAGGATGCTGTTGCCGAAGTTTTTACACGGTTAGAAACCGAGGGTCCTACAAAGTCTGAGATCGGCACACTAGAGACCCTCATGAAGGATTTGTGGGTCGCTGTCGATGAACTCAAGGAGCAAACAAAGACCTCTGATGAAGAACCAGAACGCCTTGCTAAGGGTGACCTGCAAACAGTGGAGGCTATGATATACGATGTCAAGAGTAGTATCGATGAACTAAAGCTTCCAGATGTGGAAACTATGCCAACAAAATCAGAAATCGAAGAACTTTCTAGTCTTGTCGCTTCTTTCAAGGAGAAAGTTGACGCAGAGGCAGAGCTTACTGCGCAAGCTTTCGAGGCACGCAAGGTTGAACACGGCGGTCTTGCTGAAAAGATCGAAGAAGCTAAGATCGTTGTTTCCGACCTGCGTGAGGAGTTAAAGGATAAACTGGAAGACAGCCACGAGAACCTCTCGGAACTGAAGACTCTTTTAGAAGGCTTGGCTGTCGCTTCTGACTCCTTCACAACGGTCGATAGCATTAAGGAGATCAATGACCTCATAACTAAAGAATTCGAGCGCGCACGTAATGATCAAGAATCCGCGAAGCTCGAAACAGAAGAACGAGACGCCACTGCTTTAATCAAGCAAGACGAAATCCGCGCAGCTGTTGTTGCAGATATCGGGACTAAAGTGGATGAGAAGACTGGCGAGATCCTTGCCAAGTACGACGAATTACAAACGGCACTTGATATGAAGTTCTCTGAGAGCGAATCGCGAGATTTGGCCAATGCTGAACATATGACGAATACCAAGAGCATAGCAGAGGACATCAAGCTGGTGATTGGTGCTATGGGAAATAGCGTTACTGAAGCCTGCGAACGAATGAGCGATGATGCAAAAACGTTCTTTACGAAAGTTCACGAGTCATGTTCTCAGTTGGAAGAAATGCACAACCATATCAAAGAACAAGGTGAATCATCCAGGGCTGAGTTAGAGAAAACTTCTGCAGCGACAGACCGTATTGAGACCCAGATCCTTGAATATCATCCTCAAATTCTATCCTCCATCAAGGATATTTTGGAAATTGTCAGCGAGCATTACAATCACTCTCAGAAGACGAGTGAAGAACTCAAGACAAATCTCTCTGCAATCCCGTCTGCAATCCCAACACTCCTACCTGCTTTACCTGCTCCGGAACCTCGAGAAGTCATCGTACCAGAAAAGTATGATGACAAAGAACTACATAGCAAGCTTGACTTGATTATGGGTCACACGGAGAGCGCAAGTAAGACAATGGCAGGCATTGACAAACTCGATGAGATTCATGAAAAGGTCATGGGTACATCGCGAGAGATCACCGAGATGGTCACCACCCAGTCACGACTAGTGATTGAAGATTATGAGCGGAAGAAAAGGGAGGCTGAAGAGGCAGCTTATGCTCTGGAGAAGAGACTTGCCCAGAAAGAAAAGGTCGAGACTGAGATTATGACGTTGACTGACGAGAAGGATTCTCTTCTGAACATGATTCAAGCGCTGAAACATGAAAAGGAGGAATTAGCTCAGCAGAACCTGAAAATGAGCAATGAGTTGTCGGGTCTGACAACGGCGCTTGAAATACGCCAGCATGAGATGGAAGTGTTTGAAGAACGCGCCCAGGGCCTCGAGAAACGAATCCTGGCAGGTGTCTTCGATCATGCTCGTACCATGATCTTAAAAGAAACCGGTCGTAACAAGAACAGCATGAGCCTTAAGAGGGTCTCTAGCTACGGCAGCACGGCTACAAAGATGAGTCGGAACAGCACCGCCAGTACTGCCAGGGACTCCCGAGTCTTGATTAGCAGTGGTGTGGAAATGGCATTAAAACGACGAACTCTCGCCAAATCCCCAAGCCAAAATGGATCTGTCGTCTCATCTAACTCCGGCAAGGAACGCAGGATACTCAGTCTCAGTCATGTTACTGGGAACAGAGGCTCGGTTGATCGTCAAATCACAGCGCAATCTGCTACTGGAGGGCTGAGCAACCTCAAACGAAGCCATTCAGTCCGTTCTAATATGCCCTCGCGCAAGACCTCCTGGGCCGCGAGAGATTTAAGCTCTAACAAAGAGAACGAGAACTTGGCTGAGGAAGAGGAAAGAGATAGTGGTGCCGAAAGCGACACTGGTACTGAACGCAGGACAAGCTACACTGGAACGTACACGGACAGCATGTCTTACGGAACAGGGAGTACGGTATCAGCAAACCGCCAGCCTAGCTTTGCTAGCTCAATCAACGGACTGGTTGCTGAGCACGCCGGGTCAATTCTTGAGGACGATGACGAGTACGAAGAAAACGATAGGTCCATATCGGATCATTCCGAAAGTGGCTCTGAGAACTCAACGCGCGACGAAAACCAGCATGACGCCGACGACAACGAAGATTACCAAACCACAATTGATGAGCAAGAGCACCTCGATGTCAAGGATCTAAGTGGTGATGAATTGTCCGAGCTTGAGCCGCCTCCTGGGTTCAAACATCCTGGCCAGACCGACAGTGGAATAGGGAGCGACATACATAACCCGCTCAGCGTTGCTTAAAATCCTATGAGACGGAGCTACATGGGGTGTCGTGTACATTCAGCTCTGATGACTGCTCCTGTGTACCCATCCCATCCCCATTTTTATATTTTAGCGGTTACCTTTTTTCTACGTCTTTTCTTGTGTCTACTTATTTTGTATTTCCCTTAGTCGTTCGGCTGTTTAATGAATGATAACGAACCCACATGATTTTTATTATCATCGCCATTCCCCTCTCTCTACCACAGTACACCACTAGATACAGCATTAGATTGTAGAAAAGAAGTCACTCGGACAAACCAGCGGACCAACTGACCGGCGAAACTGCTCGGTACAAAGTTGGCAGGTGGTCACATGCCCGCCGCGCTTGGCAGTCCCAACAGATTTATATAGACAAGCGGCAACGTCACCTGCTTCAGCGTCCTCCATGACCCTGTCACCAAGTCCAAAGCCAAACAGAGCGCCGGACATGATATTTGCAGCTCTTGGTGCCTCTTAATTACTGTCGCTCCCCCACGCTTATCCCTGCTCTTACCTCTCCTAATCTTGTTATCTATCTTTATCACCACCGTGCGGCACCAATCGACATCCTGGCCATGTCTTCGGCTTGCTTTTAGTATATTTCTTCTTCCAGCATAGTGGCATCCGTCTACGAATAGTACAGTACTCGGCAGGGTATTATCCTTGCAGGCACTTTCAAACTCCAGCTCCAACGCCAGGGCTTTGAGCGGGCAAAATGCTGGACCCATTTCCTCCGCCGCGCTGGCTCCAGGACTTGACAACACCGTGGGCAGCTTCTCTCCATTTATATTCGCTCCCGTATCATATCCACGAGGTTATTCTTGCCTTCGCTTTCTACCAACTTATTCATTCATACCTCTCGCCACGACTCTCCCGCGCTTTCTTTCCTCGGCTCTACTCCGAATTGCCACCGCGTACGCAGCTGAATTGGGATATCCATGTCGTTTCGTTGGTACAAAGTGTTTTGGTCAATGCAGTTGCACTATGGGTTACGTTCGCAGACACCGAGAGGAAAGAAATGACCGTTTATGAGCGGATTCATGGTTATACAGGCGCCCTCGGCTTGGTGCAGGCTTTGGCTGCGGGCTATTTTCTGTACGACATCATCGTCAGCATCGTGCATATCAAGTTGTTCGGGCTGGGAATGGTATTCCATGGACTCAGCGCTTTTTGCGTCTATATCCTCGGGTTTGTTAGTATCCACCTTTGTTTAACTGAGTCACCTGGCTGGGATATCTTGGGCTAATTTCTAGAATAGAGGCCGTTTGTCAATTTCTATGCGCCGACATTCATTCTTTACGAGCTCTCAAGCCCATTTCTCAATATCCACTGGTTCTTGGACAAACTCAAAATGACTGGCAGTAAATTGCAATGGTACAACGGGATGACCCTACTCGTGGTTTTCTTTTCCTGTCGTTTGGTCTGGGGCACTTGGCAGTCCTTCGTTGTCTACGCAGATATGTGGCACGCTCTGAAGCATTACCGCTCATCGTCAACCTCGCCATTCTTGAAGGGAGTAGAAACCAACGCTCCCATTTTCGAAGTCAGGGACGGAGCACTGTGCACAAACGAAAGCTGTCTGCAAGCAAATGCCGAGATCGCCCGGTTTGCCAACTATTACATTGAGGAAGGGCTCCCGCAATGGCTTCCCATGGTATATGTTGCAGCAAACTTGGTCCTTAATTTCTTGAACTATTACTGGTTTTCTCAAATGATAGACGCTGTGATGAAACGTTTCCGGGAACCAGCAGCAAAGGAAGATAAGATTAAGCCTCCACAAGGATCCGACCTGGTTCTGGACGCTGCAGAGAAATTGAGACAGGAGGAGGGCTATTGTGAAACCGGTGACGGGGCTGAGCAGGCGCTCTTATCAACAGGTGTGCAAGCTGCCGAAGGGGATGCTCTGAACAAACGGAGGTCATGAAAGGGAAAAGCGGCGTATCAATTAAGTACATTGCAACGGCTTGAACTGCTGGGATATACTGGCCCCCGCTAAATATGAAAGAAAGGCTGCATGGTGGCTGGCTTTACCATTTATTACATAGATCAGAATCCGTGGCCCTTTACTTGTTGCTGGACTGGAATCAACGCCTCTAAACATGAATTGACGAAATTTTTTAAGATTTGGATGTAATCTGTATCTTATTGATCTACACATACAAGTAGCTGAAAACTGAAATTAAAGCATTCAAACTCAAAAATACATAGAGAGCACCTAGCATCTTCGAACACGCCAAAACTGCCCCAGCCGTACAAAAATAGAAGGGAAAAAAAAAATGCAATACGGGAATATATTACCAACTAGGACCCGTAAGAGCCTGACACAATTACGCGCGCTCATCGATAAGCACTAGAACGATCCGGTCTTGCAAGCATGTACCGGACCGCTTCTCTCGCAACAGGAGCATTCCAAGCACTATTATCACCGCCGCGTCTGAACTCAGGTCCACTGCCATCCTCCCCGCCGCCGCGAGTAGCCTCTCCGAGAATAGTCTCAAGATCTCGGCGCTGGGAGGTGTGCCAGCGACGGATGAACCTGGCTGGATCCTTGCTAAACTGAGTGTAAAAGTCTTGACGGGCATAAGAGTGCATGGCAGCCTGAATTATGAGAGCCAGCTGGTCATCGAGCAGGCTGATTTGGCGGAGGGACGCTCCGTATTGTTGGTTAGAAGTAAAAGCAAGCATTTTCTGACGCAGTGGATCCTCAACCGCTACACGAATATCGTAAATAGTTGGCGTCGGGTCATTATGAAATTCTTGGTCCAGTCGAATTGTGTAAGGCAGCTTAATTGGGTCAAGAGGTGTGGTGTGGGTGTTGGTGATATCTGGTATTTGAGGAAAGAATACAGCTTCGCGGCCAAAAAGCTATAACACATTAGAAATGAGAGAGTTTACAACGTAGACAGAATTCAAAAAATACCTTTCTCAAACGATGATCACAACGTACTTGACGTTTTTCGTGGTCCTCTTGGAGGCCCATGGATCGAATATAATCCCAGATCCCTAGAATGACGCCGCTCCTTGATTCTTCGTCCACATCAAGAACTTCAGCGAGATCTTTGTTGAGTTTAAATCTTTCGGGTGACTCATCTCTGATCAAGGTCACAGTGATATTGAGATTCGACTGCGCTCCCCGTGAGAATGTGACAGAATCAAAGTCTGCATTAGCAGGTGGAGATCCAGCATTAGGTGGGAGCTGAGGCTTTTCCCAGGTAATAGAGGTAAGATTCTCCTCTTTTTTCAAGTTTGGTGTCTTTTCGAAATCAATGGTCATGGATTTGAAGAAATGCGACAGTTTCTGGCGCGGACGCTGATGTTTTGATTTCTTCGACTTCTTTCCGTCTTGACCGTCATCTTGCATAGCTTCTGTATCCTCGTCATCCTCTTCATCGTCAGTGTCATCTGCTGGAATAGTTGGGTCGCTATTATCATCGATCAGTCTGCCTTCAATCCGAACTTTGTACTGTCCATATCCCGGGCCGTTAGGATCATTCGGGTCAGTCGGCTGCTCAACGATGCCCTCATCTTTCTGCCACGGTTGGCCTTCGACAGTATTCGAGATCCAAATACGAAGAGTTCGGTATCTCTTCACTGACCGACTCAAAGAATCCTGTATCTCCATTCTCTTTCTGACCATCGACGCATCCAGCTGGCTCTCATATTCCCGCAATCGTTTATATTCCTGCACCCCATCTCCTATAACGATGTCTTCAAAGCTCTCTGGAAGGAATTTGTCTGTTGGCTTTCGGCTGCGCCTAATGGCGGCCTCGTTGACCTGAGGCATGTTGCGCTGATGGGCAGCAGCCAAGTATTGAGGATGGGGAACTTGTTGGGGATGAGGCATGGGCATGCCGGGTCCTGTCAGAGCCGGTTAAAACCCGGAAAGTTAGCAATTGTATCGAAATGTATTTTTGAGAGCCACAACAGAGGTAGGGATCTTAGCTGTACCGGGAGGACCGCGACGAGGTGTGGCGGGTGAGCGCTGTGCAGGTTGGGGGTAGCCGCGAGGAAAATTTGGTTGCATCGGAGCGTTCATAGCCATGGCTGCGATGGCTTCTATAAGTGCTGGAATAAGTCGCCCCGTCTGTCGGCAGATAGTGCACTTTTCACTAGCACTATTGATGGTACGTTGGTTGGTGGAGCGATTGCTTGAACTGTTGGTTTTAACGGACAATGTTCGTCGAAGTCGCGATGGGTTGCTCCTCCGCGACAGCGCTAGCCCGATTTGGCCACCAGCCAAAAGCAGTCATTAAGAAGACAATTAATGCAAGCATCCTTTACATTATTGAAATTTTCTCCTAAATTCATGTAGAGTAATTAAAGTAACCCGTAGTATTTGGAAATGGCTACATTACATATCCCAAGACTGCATCCACACGTATGGATTGTATGGAACAACCTAATGTGCGATCTATTCCAATAGCGACGCCTGATTAGAGTACAAAACCTCCACCACATTGTTGAGCTTTTCGATAGTTTGTAGCGCCGCATCATAGCCTTTGTCTCTCTCTGTCTCATCAAAAATGATCAGACAGCCTGCCCCCTGATCCAGCACACCAATTATGACCTTGTCTAGAATCATCTGCGACAGTTTTCTCTCGACCTGCTGAGTGTCCAAGCCAACCATCTTGGCAATATGATCAATCTCTACCCGGCTGAATGGTTCGATCACTTTGATCAGATTCTGCTCCAACATTGCGTCATAAAGTCTGCGAAGATGATTACGAATGAAGACGTCGCCTCCTAGCTCGTATCGGTAATCTGAAAGAGCTTTCTCATATTCCTCCAGCGACCTGTTCGCATGGGCACGGGCAACAGCCTTCATAGCTTCGAGACGTGTGCTAGCGTACTTCAATGCCTGTTTCGAGCTGAGCAGGTTTGTCACATCATCAACAAGGTTGAGCATGATTTTGCAAAGCAACATATACTGCAGTGCTGCTGTCGCTTTCTCGGAATCATCAAGAGAGCTATAACCTTCCAGAGCCTCAATGAAGTATGAGAACGCTGTGTTGAAATCCTTATCTTCGGCATGCAGCATTCCACTTTGCATGTCGAGGCCAGCTTGCAATATCGGTGGTGTGTAGACAGCAGAAGCGGATGTCCGAGCAGATGTAAGAGCGGCGCGAGCCTTGGGCTGGTTACCGAGAGCATGGTAGACCCGGGATTCGAGGAGCTGAATTTCCACCAGAACGACCTTGTCATCCAACCGCTTGAGTTCCCGAAGCAAGGAATTGATCAAAGTCAAGGCATCGTAATAGGATTGTTTTTGCATGTAGATCATCACTAAGCGGGTCTCGAGACTCTGTCGGAGGAAAGAGCGTCGTTCTGATACGGCCCACTCTATGGAGGACTTGATCACGGCAATCTGAATCTCAGTTGTGTTCGGTATCTCGCCGAGCAGGTCCAACAATTGCCGAACTATACACATTTAGTTAGATGGATATATAACCTGTGGCGAGATTCCCTTACCCAGCTTGGCTGTCTTCGCTTTGGCGTATGAAGAGAAGGCATCACGACTTGTTTTTATCAGCTCAGCTAGCTCATTAGCCTTCTTGTTATCCCGGTAGAGCTCTCCTAGCCCAACTAAAGCTGTCTCATAGTCCCTTGAGGCAGACTCTGTTTTTCCAGTGCCTTGAGAGAGAACCTCTTTGTATATCTGCTCTGCTTTGGGAGGATCCTTTGGTGCGACGGACTTCGCCTCCTCAATCCGCTGCGCAGCGGGCGTCTGGGCCATGGTGGACGGCGTGTTACGTGGGACCGCAGTCAGGCGGGAAAGATAAACGTATAAGAAAGCAGATGAGTCTGGTTTTGATGGGAAAGGAAGCTGTGTTCGTTGGCAGTCTGGAAGCTTGAAGGTGGACGACGGCTAGGCAGAGTGGCCGGGCGTCACTGTGCTAGCTCCTGTTGTCCGGCGAGCGAGCCAATTACGCCGAATCTTTTAGTCTCCACTCAGTCTTAAAAAAAGTTCCCCAAAAAAATACATGTTATGATATTTATGATATTGCACGAAAAAATAAATATCCCTGGACAAACAGGATGGTAAGCATAAATATTTACCGATCCCTTGATTATATGCTTATAGCAAATAGAAAATAAAAGCACTATCGCGCTCGGCTGCCTCGCAGCAAGCGCCAGGTTCAAGCGTTGCGAGAATGCAACGAAATCTCGACCCATCGCAACATCCATTCGAACGAGCACGAGAATACACACGAGCGCTGAATGCTGTCAAGATGGAACGCATGTTTGCCGCGCCATTTATTGGTCAGCTTGGAAACGGGCACATCGATGGCGTGTATACGATGGCCAAAGACCCTGGGTCTCTTGAACGCTTTGCAAGTGGTTCAGGCGATGGGATTGTGAAGGTTTGGGACATGCAGACCCGAGAGGAAGTGTGGCAAACTCAGGCCCATGAAAACGTTGTCAAAGGTATCTGCTGGACACCAGACCGTAAAATACTGTCCTGTGCTAGCGATAAAACCGTCAAGCTCTTCGATCCTTATAACTCGACGTCAGAAGCTCCACCACTTGCAACTTTCCTTGGGCAGACACCGTTCACCGGGGTTTCGCATCACCGTGATCAGCCTGCATTTGCTGCCTCATCCTCTGTCATCTCCATCTACGATCTCTCTCGCCCTTCTTCGACTGCTTCGCAAACCCTTCACTGGCCAACCAATACAGACACTATCACCTCGGTTGCCTTCAACCAAACAGAGACTTCTATCCTCGGCTCTACTGCATCCGATCGGTCGATTATCATGTACGATCTTCGAACATCGTCACCCGTATCCAAGACTATTCTGACTCTGGCTTCAAACTCCATCGCCTGGAACCCCATGGAAGCATTTAATTTCGCTGTCGCTAATGAGGACCACAATGCATACATGTTTGACATGAGGAAAATGGACAGAGCTTTGAATATCTACAAAGATCATGTTGCTGCCGTGATGGATGTCGAATTCAGTCCAACCGGTGAGGAATTGGTTACAGCGTCATACGATCGCACAATACGCTTGTTCAATAGAAGCCATGGACGCTCGAGAGATGTCTACCACACTCAAAGAATGCAGAGGTATGTGCAATTTACCCGTCATATTTGTATCACATTATATTATCTCTCAGGCAGCTTATTAACGTTCTCGTATAGGGTTTTTTCGGCGATGTTCACTCCAGATAACAACTATGTTCTTTCTGGATCTGACGACGGAAATATTCGGATATGGCGCACCAATGCCTCATCACGGGCTGGCATAAAGAGTACTAAGCAGCGCCACAAACTTGAATATGACCAAGCGCTTGTCCGCAGATACGCTCATATGCCCGAAATCCGGAGGATCAAGAATCACCGCCACGTGCCGAAGGCTATCAAGAAGGCCGGTGAAATCAAGAAAGAGGAGCTTGCAGCAATTAAGCGCAGGGTGGATAATGTCCGAAAACACAGCAAGAAGGGCAGCATGCCTCATCGTGCCGAACGTGATAAGGTCGTTCTAGCAACCGAAAAGTAATGCGTCGACTTGAAACAGATTTTTTTCACACCTATACGCCCAATTTCACAATTTCCGTCATAATATATGTTGTGGCATCGGTCGCACCAATAGCGATTGAAATCTAAATACTTATTGCACCTGCTCTATTTCGACTTCGCTCTCTGATCCGCTCGAAGTTGAAGACTCCGGAACACGGGTCTGCCCGTTGTACGCCTTTGCAACGGCTGTGTCTATTCTGCTCAAATAACGTGCCAGTCTCTGAATTGAAGCAGGTAATACGGCATACCAATTCACCAATTTAGCAAAAGCAGGGAGCCTGATGATACCGGTATCACCATTGTCAATAGCAGAAACAATGTCATACGCGACTTGCATGGGCTCGAGTACAGGCGCGAAAAATTGACTTGGGGTCTGAATTTCGTCGAACAATGGGGTAAACAACTGTCCCGTTTCGACTAGTATTGTTTTGATTTTCTCGTCATGTCCCGATGCTCTGAGCTCAGCCTCTAGGGATCTATGCATGGCACTCAGGCCGGCCTTACTTGTAGAATAGTCCGACAAACCAGCAGCTGTAAGCTGTCCAAGGACGGAGCTGACGTTGACAATGACGCCGCCGTTTTCTGTTTCCATCATGCCGGGAAGAAACACCTGCAATGCATGGAAGGGGGCGAGTAAATTGGTTTGTATAGTTTTCTTCATGGCTTCTGGAGATAAGGACAACAACGGCAACCCATGTATTCCGGCAGCTGCGCAGTTTATGAGCACAGTTGGTTTGCCCAGCTATATTTAGGAAATAATTAACATGAATGCCAAAACACTTAACCCTTTTCGAGCTATCTGAAATCACTTACATCATTTTCAATCCTCTTTGCCGTCAACTCTAAGGCCTTGCGATCACCCACATCACACTGATAATACTCGACACCAGAAAGTTCATCCCAGCCATTCACCTCACTTACTTCTTTGATGTCTAAAACAGCAACACCGGCACCCCTCATACCATAGATTTGGGCAATAAGTTGACCAAGTCCACTTCCCCCACCGGTAATCACAATTATCTCATGGCTTGGCTCAGCCTCTCGAGGCATGCCATATGCAATGCGACGGTTCAACATAGCAGCTGCTGTCCATAGTGAAAGAAAGATTGCATATCCAAGCGCGCCTATCCATACTGGATGATCGGGAGGTGTGACTTGGGCGCGTAGACAGAGAACAAGAATCCATGCAATGAATGGGTGTAAGAAGGTTTGGTTGAGCACTTTGATGATCAGATCGAGCGTTACATAGTGATACCACTTTTTCGCCGGCTGGCTTCTCAGGATACGGGATGTTGTTGTGATTTTCTGCATTGTTAAGTAGAGTGGTCAGTCGCCGATGTGGCTGGCTTTTATTATTTTGAATAATGATATCTCCAGCTAATATTTTCTGGATCGAAATGCGAAGACCGGCGATGTGTATTCTTGATTCGTCGACAAGATGAGAAGGCTGAATATCGCAAGTCTCGCAAGTCCTACATGGTAATTTTGCGTGAAGTGGTCAAAGGCGAAACTAGAAGCATCCCGTTTCATGACAGTCAGTCGGGCGTTGTGATCAATGCTTCTGGCCAATCATGACGCATGTTTGAGGTGGGTCCCGTGTGCCACCAGAACTTCCATTCTCTTCACACCTTCTATTGTGAATAGAATGGCAAATAACCGGTGGCCTTTGGAAGATTTGGCTATGTTTGCTTCAATGAGAGTGAAGTTAGTGATAATTCCAGTCAAATACGTGTGGAATATACGCTCTGCGATTGGCTAGTCTTGTTGGTGGATAGAGATTAGGCTGGTGGTAGAAACCAATTTTCCTACTTTCAACTTGTATCGAAGCGAGAATTCTAGTCTATATAATGAAATGTGTGACATGAATATTCTTCAATATCCCTGGTCTGTAGAAGTGTCGGCATATACCGTGGAGGAAAATATCAGGTGCAGAGATGATCTGTGAATATATATTCATCCGTGGAGATGTTGACAGATATTCGCACGTCGATAGAACAAGTTTCGGGCATACGTAACCAAGTATACCCGTAGGAAACGTGGTGGGATGATTCGGCCTGCAAGAGCTCCACGAGTCTCAGAAACTGGATAATTTAATAGCAATGAATTTAAGCTGTTCAAACTGCTACTGTAACATCGAGAGGCCCCTTAGAAATAGTATTTGCTTTTGCATAACCGTGAAATGTATAGCTGAATGTCGGGCAGGCAGGATCTTCCAATAATATGTCAACGTCATCTTCTTCTAAGGGCAAGAAGAATCCATATCCAGGTTGCGGATATAGGCGATGCTCTTCGACTTCATATTCAGAACTTGATTCGTCAGAGTCCTCACCGCGGCCTCGCTTTCGGTGATGTTTTCTTTGCTTATCTGGCTCAGGCGTTTCTGGTTTGGAATCTTGGACCTTGGTAACTGTAGGTGCATCGACTGGTGATGCTTGTTGATGCTCATTCTGTGGTATTGTTGTATTCAATGGTTTCATCGCGAATTTTGATTTCTCCAAGTCAATGAGGTTTTCTGGGAACATTGGTAAAGTTGGGTTCGTTTCCGAAAGCTTGAATAGCATGTCGACAAGAGTTGTATGTGATAGACTGGACAAATATCCGCGTTGCTGCTCTGCTGTGAACTTCTCGCCTGCAACAAGGGGTTTCGGCAAGGATTCCACCGAACTTTTCTTTCGTGGTAGCTTGAGTTTTACCAAAGCAACTCTTTGTTTTTCTGGAAAAGGCCGGCATTCCCTACAAACCCATTCAGCTTCTTTAACATCAATGAGCTCTTTGGCTATAGGGGGCTCATGACAGAATTGGTGCCACGCAACATTGCATTCGTCACAAAACACAATCAAATTGGTAGAAGAACTGTGACTTCTTTGGCAATGTTTGCAAGTGATGTTGAGGTCTTTCCCATTCTTGCGGTATACCTTTTTCCGTCGTTTTACGACACCGGCAGGTGAAGTTTCCGATGATGACATTCTCGGTGTTGCGCTTTGTTTGGTTTCAGGCATAGGTCCAAAGTAGGTTGGACGATTCACTTGCCGCCCTGATTTAGTCTGTCTCGCCATTGGTACCATATCCTCCGAAGATTCATCGGAACTCGAGGAGTCGCCGGCTTTGATCTCATCATCGCTAGCACGGACACGTTTGCGCCGTTTTGCACGTTTACTGGAATTGACAGTATTCTTGCGTACAGCCGGCTTCACTGGAGTTAGTTGCCCTGCTGATGGAGTCAACAGTAGCGGAGGCGCCGGAGGAATGACAGAAGACGGCAATGCCGGCTCATTTGTGACATGTTGCTGTTCAGTCTTCGGCTTTTCGGGCTTGGGAACAATCGAGATGACAGTTTGAGCAACCGGTTTTGGCTGTGATGATAATGTAGACGGCGGGAGCGCTCGTTGGATTGCGATCGGTGTGCTGACCACAGGAGCAGTATCGGTTTTGCTAGAAGGAGCCGGTGCCAAAGGGCGGGGCGCAATGGTTCTGTTGCGTAGAACCGTCATTGAGGCATTTGTTGATGCTGAATTGGGATTAAAGTTCCAAACAGAACTTCCATTTACAAAAGTGGGTGGTGGATCAATCCATGCTTTTCCAGCATCTGCCTTGGCCCGTGACTCTTGCGGGGAATTTCTGATGGAGGCGAGCAAGTTGAGGGTGGACTTGGAAAGCTTTGGGATGATAGAGGCTTGAGAGCGAGATCTTGTGCTGGAGTCGCCGGTGAGAATATTGGGGTTATTAGATTGATCCGGCGAAGGGGCATGGAGTCCCAGCAAATGCCGACTTGATGTATCAACCGAAGTCACTGACGTGGAGGGCTCCGCCACTTGTCCTGGCGACGTAGGGCCCAGTACCTTATTATGCTGCGAAACCATCATTCAAGCTGTATGGCTCTTTAGGCCGGATTGACCATGAGCTGCATTGAGGTGTTGCCCCTTACCAACGAAAAGGAAATTATCTAAGTACCCAAAAGGTTGTCCTTAGCCTGGATGATCACGTGATTGAACAATTCAATCGAACAATTGTGGATTTTCGTGTATTGATGGTTTAGAAAAATGATAAAATGCAATAAGCCGACAGGATCTTTCTATTGATTTACCAAGTCGACTCGCTCCAAGAAACTGCTATGTGTCTAGTTGGTAGCCGTGAATATCTCACAAAGTGGGAAAATATGTACAGTTCATGTATGCGAAGACGCCACAAGTTATGATACAATGCCCTTCTGCTTCAAAGAAGCAATGTCCTCCTCTCTATAATGCAAAATATCTTGAAGAATTTCATTGGTGTGCTGGCCTAGAGTAGGAGGCGGCGTCCTGACCCCAGGTTTAGCGTGAGAGTATTTGATCGGGGTGTTGACAACCTTGAGAGGTCCACACGCTGGATGGTTGACCTCTGTGACCATGTTGCGGGCGAGGACTATGAAAATACAACGTTAATATCATTGCCTGTTTTATAGCGCTGTTGCGTTCTTGTACTCACCGTGCTCGTGGTTCAGTGTGCCCTGGATATCATTAACGGCAGCATAGGGCATGCCGCTGCCTTCAAATATTTCGAGCCATTCTTGCGTCGTTTTCTGCTTCGTTATTTTCTCAATCATACCATCTATCTCAGCTCGGTTTTTCACCCTAGCACTATTCGTCACGAAGCGATCATCTATTTTCCACTCCGGGCGTCCTAGTCGATCGCTAAGAACACCGAAAAGGCGATCATTTCCACCCCCAAAGAGAATATCGCCATCAAGAGTCTTATAGCTCCGGTACGGAACAATTGAAGCTAAAATATTGTCAGTCGGAACATTTTTCCGTGCCGAAATATCAACACGTACGGTGCGCCGTTCCCCAGCGTCCAGAATCCTTCTCTCCACTTATCAAGGCCGAACTCGCTAAATTGGCAAGCGTAGCAACCTGGACATCACTTAAGCATGCATCAATGTGCTGGCCTTTTCCAGTGCGCGCTCGCGCTATGATTGCTGCCATGATGGCGTTTGATGTATAGAGGCCGGTCGTTAGATCGGTAACTGCAACACCGACTTTCACCGGAGGCCCATCTCGAGAACCTGTAATATGCATCAAGCCAAACTCGGCCTCTACCATGACATCATATCCAGCTCGATTGCTGTAAGGCCCAGTTTGGCCATACCCAGTGATGCTCGCATATATCAGCTTTGGGTTGATCTGGCTTAATGTCTCGTAATCCATTGCGTATTTCTTCAAACTTCCAGGTAGGTAGTTCTCCACAAGGATGTCACATTGCTTTGCAAGATCGTGCAAGATGTCTACGCCTGAAGGATGTGCAAATGACAGACCGATTGACCTCTTATTCCTGTTTACCTAATGAAAAATAAATGTTAGAATATAGCCTATAAAGAGTCGATGCCGGTCATACCGCAAGATAGTAAGCACTTTCGCCAGGACCCTCTTTCGAACCATCCTGGTATTTAGCAAAAGGCGGACCCCAAGCCCTAGTATCATCGCCTCTTTGTGGATGTTCGACTTTGATAACATCTGCTCTGAACATCATTTCAGTCAGCAATATATACGGACACTTGCGCAAAAGAAGATGACATACCCTAGGTCCGCAAGTATTTGGGTACAATAAGGCTATTTCGATAATTAGTATATACGCTCAAACACAACTGATTCCCAACCTCACCCCAGCGAGAACCCTAGTCATATCAAGCACTCGAACGCCTTCCAACGGCAGAACCCCTGTTGTCGGGAGCGCTGTGGACATGAGCCGCCATTGGCCGACATGCTTCGCGACATGCTTCGCGACATATTGAGGACGAACGCATAGCTGCCGCAGTCGCGACAAGTTGCCGTTGACTAATGTGCGTGCCGCCATGTCCAGACGATAGAATTGGCGTGGGGTTCAGCCCTGAAGGCAGCATGTTAGAAGAATAAATACCCAGGATGCGTGCGGAGACCATCATGGTGGTGCGGGGGAAAAGCCGAGGCCACGGCGAACCGATTCACTGCATAATCGGCAACTTGGAAAGAGCCCGAACTCTCATTCTTCTTCCACACCGGCACATTGCGATCACCATGTTTACTGGTCTCGTTGAAACAATCGGGAGTGAGTCTCTCACTATTCATTATGCAAAGCCCGATAGACTGAACACAGCCTTGCAGCGGTGACGTCCCTGGAGCCCCTCGACACCAGCGTCAGCGGGGGCGGGGGTACGTCGCTAACCATCGGAGACTGCGCGGAGATCCTTGGGGATGCACATTTGGGAGATAGCATCAGTGTCAATGGTGCAGTTTATGCCGAGAAACGCACGTCTTTTGTTTGATGCTAATTCTCTGCAATGATAGGAACATGCCTGACTGTCACGGCTTTCGACAAGGATTGGTTCAAGGTCGGCGTCGCACCCGAGACTCTTCGTCGAACGAATCTAGGATTGCTACAGTCAAATTCCAAAGTCAATCTTGAACGAGCCGTCTCCTCTGAGACACGGATGGGTGGTCATTTTGTTCAGGGCCACGTTGACACCACCGCCACGATTCTCTCGGTTACCCCGGATGGAAACGCACTCACGTTCAGACTACAGCCCAGGGATAGGAGCATTTTGAGATATGTTGTGGAGAAAGGCTTCATAACACTCGATGGAGCTAGCCTCACTGTCACGAAAGTTGTCGATGGCGAGGACGGCTATTGGGAGGTCATGCTGATTGCTTACACCCAGGAGAAAGTCGTCACAGCTGCGAAAAAACCTGGCGACGATGTTAATGTCGAGATTGACATGGTTGGAAAGTATGTCGAGAAAAGTGTGCAGGCTTATTTCAGCCAAGGTACTGGAGGTGACTTTGCCATACTGGAGAAAATTGTGGGGAGAATTGTAGACGCAAAACTCCAGCAGTCCAAATAGATTTAACATTTGATTTTGTCTAATCAAGAATAGTGGAACGACTACATATGTACTAGGTGGGGCAGACGATCAAAATATAATCACGTTGGATACTACTATATCCACTTCATAGTGCAATTACTTATTCTTCCATACACTCATCTTCATCGTGTTCAACCTCAGCGTCATCATCGAAATCATCGCTATCCCATTCGTCCTCGTCATCCATACTGACGTCCTCATCGTCCTTATCATCAACAGTTTGCCCATTGGCTTTCGCTTTGACCTTGTCCTGTTTCTTCTTTTCAATGTTCGCTTTTTGTTGCTTCTTTCGTGCTTCCTTCTCATTCTTGCGACGGTTCCATTCATCATCCATTTTCTTGATATCCTTCTCTGACTTCTTGATGAAGTCATGCCACATGATTCTTCCTCCGCACAAACCTTCTTCGACTTTCATCAGCCTCAGTTTCATACGTGGACCCAACTCTATCAGCTTGACAGCTCGTTTCTCTACATTGGGCTTGCTGGTCTGTTTCTCTGACGCCTTGTCGCCAGATTTCATCCGTTGCAATTCACGCCGACTGAGAACTTTCTTTGTAGTATTCTCGGTAATTTCGACTTCGGCATCCGTGTCTAGCTCGGTTTCGCTAGCTGATGTGTAACCACCGCCCGTGGGATCAAGAAGATAATCAGAAACGTCCTCAAGCTTTCCAAGATTTGGAAGACCCTTTTTCCTGTCTTTGTTGCGTTGTTCTGTGGGATCTAGTCGCCTAATTCGCTTTGAGATTCCCGTTTTCCTTGTAGCAATTGCATAGTGCCGGAGATTTAAGATATAAGCATCATCTGCAGAGCCATCAGTTGATGGTTTCTCTCTGTTTAGCATCATAACACGGCGAATAGAAGTTAGAGGAGTAGCCTGTGGGTTGATTGGAGAAAAGAGGGACTGGAAAATGGTCGTGGTGAGAGATTCGAGGCGCTTGGGTATCTTTGAATTTTCATCGGCATCAGGGGTGTTAAAATTGTTCATCACCAGCAGCGGGGGGGTTTGATGGTTCTGTACACCGCCACGGGGATGCTTCAGTGCTTTTGCGACGTCTTTGCACAGAGAGTAATTCTCAACTTTGAAATGTAATGTCGGTCCTCGAGGAGTAAGGGCAAGGCGCATGTTTGTGTTTCCGGTTTGTGACCTGGAGAAAAGAAATAAGTGCGTGACGCCGAGTGGCCCAGCCATCATGGTGTAATCCTTCAATTTGTTGGCCCTTCGTTCCTATGCGTCTCGATGTTAGCGGGTTCCTCGTGGAATATTGGCGAAACAGCCTTACTCTCAGACGACTAGCTGTATCCGGTTCCATCATCAACCGGAAATCTTTGACCAGCTGGCTCACGCTGGATCCAACTTCGCCAGCTCCAATTCGAATTACCATTGACTTTGGAGACTGGCTGGTGGCGGAGACGCCGTTTTTTGGCTTTGCAGGATCATTGCTGACCTGCACATGAGTGCGCTTCTTGGTGCGACGTTTTGCCATCGCTAGAGTATAGATCAGGGACTCAGTAAGTTTTTTTTCCAGTGGTGATGCTTCCTGCCGATAAGATAAAAAACAGAAAAAGTAGTCGGCGGATCGATTTTGCGGCGCTAAAATTATTTTTTTGCGGGTCGGCAACAACCACTACTATCACTATCACTATCGAAGCGAATACAGCATCATAATACTAATTCCAGCACTGAAGAGCTAGCTCGATAGTCGCAAATGCCCGCCTTCAAGAAGCGCAAAGTTTCGCACGGGAAGAAAGACCTTCCGGCCGACCAGAGTGCTTCAGAGATTGACTCCAACGACTAAGAAAAGGCCCAAGACGAAGCCAAAGTCAAAACCCCTAAGACATTCAAAGAGTTAGGAGTAATCCCTCAACTCTGTAAAGCTTGCGATGCGCTGGGGTACAAGGCGCCAACCGCTATTCAAGCCGAGTCTATTCCTTTTAACTTTGCAGAATTGCTGCATATCGACTAAAAACGTCCGGCCTCCGGTTAACTGACTGTTGTTGGAATAGGACCGTGGTTTAATAGAATTAACAGAAACCAGCTCTAGAAAAATTACCGCCTTTGCATTGCCTATTCTACAAGCTCTTATGGACAAACCACAGCCCCTTTTGGGGCTCGTCCTGACGTCGACTCGCGAACCAGCGTATCAAAGCTCGGAGGTCTTTGAGGCTCTTGACTCCAAGGTTTCTGTTCGAACAGTCGTACTAGTCGAAGGCCTGGACATGGTTCCGCAGTCTATCGCAATTGGAAAGCGACCACATATGGTCATCGCTACCCCCGGTCGACTCCTCGACCACTTTGAGAATACGAAAAGCTTCAGTCTACGGACACTGAAGTATTTAGTGATGGGCGAAGCAGACCGACTACTGAATATGGATTTTGGCCCGATTATAAATGAAACCCCGAAAGTTCTACCACATGAACGACGACCGTTTCTTTTCTCGGCGACAATGAGCTCGAAGGTGGAAAGATTGTAGCGTGCATCTCTCAACAACCCCCTGCGAGTCTCTGTTTCTTCCGACAAATACCAAACCGTTGCAACCCTGTTGCAATATTATCAATTCATTCCACACAAGCATAAGGATCTTTATCTGATTTGGCTGCTCAACGAACACGTCGAACAAAGCGTCATCATATTCACAAGAACCATCCATGAGACAATGAGACTAACGATCCTCACGAGAGCTCGGGCTTTGGCGCTATAGCTCTTCATGGTCAACTTTCACAATCGGCACGACTCGGGGCACTAGGGAAATTCCGTAGTCGGAGCAGAGATATTCTAATGTAGGAGTCGCATCCCGAGGTTTAGATATGCCGTATATCGATTTAGTCCTGTGTTACGACCTTTCTGACGATTCAAAGATTCATGTACATCGTATAAGGCGAACGGCTCGTGCAGGGAAAAGTGGCAAGGCCGTGTCTTTTGTCACTCAATACGACGTCGAAGTTTGGCTGAGAGTAGAGAAGGCACTAGATAAGAAACTGCCGGAATACAAAGTTGAGAAAAAGGAGGTTCAGATTTTGTCGGATCGGGTTAGCGAGGCACAACGACAGGCGATCACCGAGTTGAAAGACATGGACAAAAAGAAAGGTGGTAAGGGATCTTCTCTCACGGCCAGGAAACCGCGGTATGGTGGAAAACGTGGAAGAGATCATATGGACCAGGAGGAAGGTTGAATATGAGAATGAGATAAATGTTTACTAGAGAAAAAGACTATGTGGAATTGCATGTAGATGTCATTTGAAGAACAGGACTTTTCTATCCCTAGGAGAAATTGTTTTCGTCACGGCATTATACCCTCAACGGGTTCGCCCACTATCATTGCATTATTGGACAGTCGGCTATTCATATCTGTAACCATCCAGAATTGAGACTTTTTAACCACATCATCAGTATCTTTCACTAACGCTTTTAGCAAATTTATGGCGCTCTCTACGAACCAGAAATTTTGAAATGAAAATCGTACTAAAATATGGCGGATCCTCAAACACGCAACAATCTCCTCCGGTTTAAACATCACTAGCAGAGCCGGCTTCTTTGACAGCGTTCGCAACACGAGTCGCCAGGTCATCAGCCTCAGATCTGCTAGCGGCTTCTGCGTACACCCGCACAGCGTCCTCCGTGCCACTGGCCCGCGCAAAGCTACGGCCCTTGTTGTAGCGAGACTGTAAAGCGTCAATTCTGTCTTGGAGCCCGGCAGGGGATTCGAGTTTGCGTTCAGCGTCGACAGCTTTGAAGATCGATCGATCGGCCACCTCAACGCGGACAAGGCGTGAAGGGAGGTCGGTGTAAGTGCCGAGCCATTCCTTAGTAGTCCATCCTTTGTGCGCTAGAATGGCCTCAACCAGGAGCATGTCCGAAAGAGCGTCACCGACAGCTTGGTTGATAAGGTCAGTAAGCCCCTTCAGAGATTCCAAAGCATGTTGCTGTGCGGGCGACTGTGGCTCCGAGCTCTTGATAGTCTTCAGTGCATTCTCGGAAAAGGTGACAGTTCCGTGACCATTCGCCTCGAAATAAACGCCGACGTCGTAGCGCATGGCAGCGTGGTGCAGATGTTTAACTCCGGTCTTTGTGCAGACAGCCGGGAGCTTCAACACCTTCTCAATATAATCAGTGCTTGCTCCATTGGCATAGGCGGTCTGGATGACTCCAATTTTGAGCTTCTGCGCGATTCCAGCATTTCGAACCAAATCACCAATGAATGATGCAGCAAGTGTTGCAATACGATCACCATCAAGCAGCCTGAAAACATTATTCTCATCCACGAAATAGTACACCAAACGGTCAGCATCCCCGTCAAGAGATGCACAGCGATCTAGGGGCGACGCTTTGGATGATGGAGGGGCTCGCTGTTTTGTTTTCACATAATCGGCACCGCACTAGTTTTCCTATTGTCAACGAAACCCAGTCATAATTGTTCGCATTGGTAACTTACTTCAAAGTTCAGACTGTCTGGGTTGATGACATTGTCGTTGACAACTTTGATATCCACCCCACCTTGGTCTGCGGGTGGGAGAAACTTGAGGAGTTCTCGCAACTTGGGTCCACCGACACCATTGGCGCAGTCAACAGTGAGGTGTCCATGAATCTTGACACTCTTCATGACCTTCTTAAAGGCTTCGCCAAGTTTTTCATAGTAACCCTCCTCAGTGGGCTCCCCGTATTCGTACGGCGTACCAAGGGTGTTCTTGCAGCGAACAACGTAGTGCAACTGCGGGGTAGTCATATATTTGAAGTCCGTAAATTCGACTTCCGTAGCAGTGAGAGCTGCACTCAAGATACCGACAAGTCGAGAGCCCGATGCACGCGTATCGCGAGCAAATACAACACGAGCAGGGTTTTTCATGTTGATGTCAATCTCCTTGATCAATTCATCGTAGACATCTGCTACTTTTTCAAGTGGAGCATTTGCAAGTTTGGTCGCATATGCCTCCCATTCGGCCTATTTTCATAATTAGCAGTGAGAAAACAAGTATCAGACCTAATTGATCCTAACCTCGAGCATTTCACCCTATAATACAGCCTTGTTAGCATTGAAACATGAAAAGCTTGTCGCACATATAAGAATTGGGTGAAATGCCCACTCACCATTGGATCGACCAGCTTCACGCCATTGTCTTCAGCGGGGTTGTGGCTGGCTGTAACCATCACACCAATCCACTGGCCATTGAGTTTCTTTGAGCGGAGCCCAGCAAGGAGACCTACGGCAAAGACGACAGTGTTAAGCAAGTCCCTATTGAGAAGCGGAGACAGAGTTAGCGATCGCCCGGGGAGGAATCGCGGGAAAGACGTCGACATGAACGTGTAGGGTCAGCTCACGCTTTCATGCGGAACTAAGATGCTAGTTAGATACAGATCGAAGTGCAAATTGCGGATTGAAGTTCTCAAGGACCTACACCTGCAGTTCCATACTCGAAAACGCGACCTTCTGGAAAGCGATATTTCAAAGCAGCCTCCTTGATGGCCTGGTGAACAGCAGGAGACGCCATTGCGGCGCGAATTTGGGTGATGTTCTTGTTTGTTTGGTGAACACGATCAGAGCCGGGCGGGCGCAGGAAGAGAAGAGGAGAGAAACGACAGGGAAGGGGTTTTCAGGAATATTAATGGAAACGGAAACGGAGGGTGGTGGCTGTGAGGTGAGACAGGGCAATGCTTGGGGAGGGGCAAGAAATAATAATGACTACAAAACGGGGTAAGGCTGCGTCGTTGCCGCAGGGAGCTCAAAGCTTTGGCGGTCGGCCCGTCTTAGCGCGCCGCGGGGTTACCATGAATACCATGAATGCTAAGGTATTTAATAGCTATGAGGAATAGTATATTTGCTCTCTATTTCGTACCCACACGGTATATCGCTCTTTGCCCAACGCAAAGCATGCCAATGGGAGAAAACGCAACGTTACATTATATATTACACTCAGGCCTTCAGCCTCTCGACCGTCATGTCGTCTTGTGCATCCTTGATGATGAAGCTGCAAGCGTTGTCAGTCAGTGGAACATCAGCCAGGAACGCTCGACCGAAATGTACTTACGCATACCACCATGCCGCCGGGATCACGGTACCCAGGTGCCACAGGCTGTGTGCATCGATCAACCCCCACCAAGGCGGGAAATCCAGCAGCTCGAGGCTCATCGCCAACGAAATCCAAGTAACAATCAGGCCAGGCCACGCTGTCCACGGTTTCTTAGGCTCCTTCCGGTACCGATACACGCTGAATACTATCCACAACACATTCTGAATGCTGCCAATGACAATATTCGCGATCATGTTGTAGGTATAATCCCACGACCAAAGGCTGAGGTAGGAGACATGGGCAACATACAACAGGATGCAGAGATAGGTCCATGTTCGGCGTATGGTTGATTTGGAGCGGTTCTTCTGGTCGTCCAAGCGGAAAATTCGAATAACCGCAAGGAACAGCCCCATGAGCACGCTTGCGCCGGCCGCCCAGTAATCCAACTTCTCGGTTATTGGGAAGTCTCTTGCGTGGAATATCATGCTAAAAGCCCAGCTTGTAAGGCCACAATATCCAAAAGCGACATAGTATTTGCGAAGTGGATATGAAGTCGGAATCGATTCGTCAATTCTCTTCAAGCCGTAATAATGAGCAAGGAGGTTTAAGAACGAAAAGACCACAGAGAAGATCTCCTGCATGCCGAGCACTCTATAAAATGGCCATTTACCATGGAACTGGACGATTGGTTGTAGCATAGGGAATTCCCGATTGACCCTGCGATCTGTAATGACATGTTGGCAAGTATAGTCGCATTCTGCACCGCACGTCCACCACATCAAACGGAGGTGAAGTGCTACCCAGGTATTCGTTAGCATCCAAGCAAAGGGTTAAAACTAGGGACTCACGTATAGCAGAGTTGCCATTATCGCAGTTCTCTTCTTTGCAGATCTACTGCTGTCAGATTCTAGAGCATCAAGCATGCGAGAACAGGGACTACCTTGACGCATTCTTTGAAATCCGGCAATCGGTCTCCAATTGAGGCCAGTGAATGGCCCACGAGGAGGGTCAGGGCCAATACAATTATAGTAGACCGCAATGAACACCGGAGTGCCATCATCTTGTATTCTTGTGTTGATAGGGGCGGTCTAAGAGAAGAATCGTGATGACAACATGCCACTAACAAGACGCGAGCCGTTGCCGCTTTTCCCAATCAATCGACTGATGCTCAGGTCACAGTGTACCGCTGAATGACGCTATTATAAGTATCGTAGATGGTAACCTAGCTCTACTCAAGCTTGTCGATTTACAAAATGAACAATATTGATAGGCCCCGAGGATTTGGCTGTTTTTTTGAGTATGGTTGCAGCTGCGGCTGCTGATTGGACAGATGGTCTGGAAATGGTCCATTTTCACGTGACATATCGCTTTTAGGGCTAGCGGCAGATAGGCCGAAGTGGGCTGCCTGAGGCTAGCCGGGAATTTCAAAAAGAAAAAAAGAAAATCGCTTGGAATGTTCGTCTGTCTCTATAGATCAGCATCTGTCTTTGAGTTCTGAATTCATCATTTCTTCTGAGATCTAGCTCCGATATAGTTAATTTTACATTCTCTTTGTTTCTCTCTGTGTGTTCAGTTTCTACTCGAACGTTTTTGGCAATATGGCTGCGACTCCCAACGCTGCCACCACAAGCAGCGCCGATCGTATGGTTGGCGCTGACCACGCTGAAGTTCGCTATTTCACAAGGTAAGTCCATTCCTAACAATCGGAAAAAGAGGCGAAAGCTGACAGGTCTTACTACAGTTATGATCATCATGGTATTTTTCATCACTCGTCTCGAATTATAAAGAAACTCAACTGATAAGGCTTTGCTCTGTGATAAAGGCATTCATGAAGAAATGCTGGTATGTGTCATCTGGTCCCCCAGCTGGCTGTTACTAACCAATATGGCACATTGCAGAAAGATGATGTGCGTACTCGATCCTATCGTGATGCCATTTATCAGAACAAGCATATCTTCAAAGACAAAGTCGTTCTTGACGTCGGATGCGGCACCGGCATTCTCAGCATGTTAGTCAACCTACGGCTGCTGGCCAGAACTACATATACATACTAACCACCATCTTTCCACATTAGGTTCGCCGTTCGCGCTGGCGCTAAGCACGTTATCGGTGTTGACATGTCCTCAATCATTGAGAAGGCCCGCGCGATTGTTGCCGTCAACGGCATGGCCGACAAGATTACCCTTTTACAGGGTAAGATGGAGGAGGTGGTACTGCCTTTCCCTCAGGTTGACATAATCGTTTCCGAGTGGATGGGATACTTCCTTCTATACGAAAGCATGCTGGACACTGTCCTTTATGCTCGTGATAGATATCTTGCTCCTGGGGGCAAGATCTTCCCGGATCAAGCCACCATCTACGTTGCTGCTATCGAAGATGGCGAGTACAAGGATGATAAGATCGGCTGTAAGTATTTACGAACCCATACTTGAAGAAAAATACTGACAATCCCGTGCTAGTCTGGGACAACGTTTACGGCTTTGACTATAGCCCAATGAAGGAGACTGCACTCAGCGAACCGCTCGTCGATACCGTTGAGCTGAAAGCGGTTGTCACTGACCCCTGTCCAGTCCTTACGTTGGATTTGTACACCGTCACGACGGCCGACCTAGCTTTCCGAGTCCCATACTCTCTTGCAGTTAAGCGCAGCGATTTCATCCACGCCATCATCGCTTGGTTTGACATTCAATTCACTGCGTGTCATAAACCAATCACTTTCTCCACCGGACCACATGCGAAATACACCCACTGGAAGCAAACCGTCTTCTACTTGCGCGACGTTCTTACTGTTGAAGAAGAGGAAGTCGTCAACGGTTTTCTTGAGAACAAGCCCAATTCCAAGAACAAGCGCGACCTGGACATCAGGTTGTCATATAACCTTGAAACACAAGACCAAACTCGTTTTGCGCAAGGCGAGTGCGAATACAAAATGTAAGGCCCGTTGTCCTGTATGGGAATACTGTAATGCTAACTTCTCCAGGTGCTAAACACGGGGATATATGGACACTTCACCAATCTAACATACGCATATCTCTTCCCCTGGCTTTCTTCCTTTTGCTCATTGATTACCGGCGTTATTGGAGAGGTGTGTGTGAAAAGGCATATAAGGCGCTACATTCGGTCGATGGAAAAGATAACATGAAGAGATGATGATAATGAGCTCCTCGAAATTCACAGATGAGATAGATACCCCGAGTTGACGCTGAACATATTTAATCTACTTCGATTATTTTGGCTTGTGGCTATCCCTTGCATGGTGTATCTGTGTAACTATTTGTCTGTAATACTCATGTCGGCATCGGTGTCAGGTTAGGCACCTCGTGCCTCGGCTCCACAACTTTACCGAGCCATCCCCAGATTGCTCATTGAGCAATGCGGAGTAACCAACCCTATATCAACCATTTACGTACGTATCATTCGTAAGCAACCATTGAAATATCCGCCGTCAATTTTGAATAAATCTGTCTCTCTTTCAACTACCCTGAAAACAATTTCCTCCTCAAAATTCGCTCGTCATGTCTGGTCCTGGAGTTGGCTTTGAATATCCCAGCGAGGAAGTAACCTGGCTGAAGCGAGATGCATTGCTTTTCGCGAATAGCATCGGATGCAAAGCCGACGAATTGCATTTTCTTTATGTGCGCCCCTTCAAGCAAACTCTTTTCCATCAGTAAGTGGACTAAGCTGACACGACAGCAATATCCGTAGGAACTCCACCCAGATTTCGCTGTCTTTCCTACATATGTAACCATTCTACGTAAGCTTCTACCGTTTTGTTTTCCTTCTTATTCAAAGTAGAAAAACTCACTGGTTTCCTTAACCAGCGTTCAAATTGACAAATCCCGATGTCATCGACTTCTACGCATCGCGAAGCAAAACACCCATCCCCGGTGTTCCCAATTTCGACTCTCAACGCGTCGTCGACGGCGAGCGCAAGATTGAATTTCTGAAGCAGTTGCCCACATCCAGTGAGGGAAAGAAATTTGAAATTCGATCAAAGGTTTTAGGTGTTTATGATAAGGGCAAAGCATCCGTTCTTGAAACGGAAACTACTATCGTGGACAAGGATACGGAAGAGGTTTACTCGAGAGCAATTGGTAGCGCCTTTTTCGTTGGACAAGGAGGCTGGGGTGGTCCAAAGGGTATAATTGGCTTCTATGCTTGGGTTTTCATATCCTTCTAACACAAGGAAAATAGGCCCTAGTGCTGTGAATTACCCTCCGCCGCAAGGGAAGAAGCCGGATGCTATATCTATTGATCAAACCGGTCAGGAGACCGCCCACCTTTACCGGTGAGTATCGAATTTGTTCTTATGATTTAGCATCATCTAATCAGTTGATAAGTCTGAATGGCGACTATAACCCTCTTCACGCCACGCCTGAGCCTGGCCAGAAGATGGGCTTCGGCGGCACTATCATTCACGGGTTGTACAGTTGGAATGCCACGGCTCATGCCGTCCTAAGAGAACTCGGCGGTAGTGACCCTAAGCACCTGCGAGAATTCCAGGCTCGTTTTGCATCCCCTGTCCGTCCAGGGGATAGACTCACTACGGAGATGTGGAAGATAGGGGAGGCCGACAACGATGGGTTCCAGGAGGTTCGCTTTATTACAAAGAATCAGGATGGGAAAGTCGTGTTGAGTAATGGCCGTGCCGTTGTAAAGGTTGTAAGTAAGAGCGGCAGTAAGCTTTGAGAAATATATAGTTGCTGAAGTCGTATGAATATTGGATGGATTTCACGTGTATTTACAATTGTTAAAGGCCATCATCTATCAACATACACAACTTTTTTTCTAGAGCTAGTCCTCAACTGGTTTGATCAAGAGTTTTGGGGTTTCAAATGTTGTTAACCGACACCGTGTTAGCACGTAATTCGAGTGTCAAGTGTTCCTATTTTGTTCAATGTTTTCTCCCTTCCGTCTCGGAGGAGTCGATACCGAGAGATGAAATCATCGTTGTTTACTGTGAATCCAAGTAATCAGCAAATCAAATACATTTTCAGTTAATTCAAACGACCCAAATACATACTGTATCCGCCACACATCCTACGCTTTCCTCGGAACTCGGTACGCCCATGAAGCATTCTCCAGTTATCAAAAACTTTCACTATCGTCAGCATCATCGAAAAGACTTCATAAACAGGCAAGACAACATACTAAACGCTGTTCCCGGCTCAAGCTGCATTTTGATCTTTATATTCGCTCGATTGATAATGTTATTGTAATGCCGTGCAGCTTCGTACCACAACTCGGCTTCTTGCGGTGTCCAGTCAACTTTGACGGCACGATCATAGTTGTTCCAGCGAATTCTACGAAGTATCGCGGTGGATTCATCTCTTTCAAAGACGGGAAACAATTGATAGGGCTGAATACAAACATCGTCATTGCCGCTTGAGTGCCAGGGCTGTGGAATATTTGCGAGGGCTTTTACGTTGGCCTGGCTTTCTGCATACATGACTGCTGCCGCGCGAAATCCATCGACAAGTAAGGTTTCACCACCTTCTCCTCCTGTGTGAGACAGCAGATGGAATAATTGCAACCTTGCCGGGTCCGAGAAATATGTGTTGTCGGTATGGACGTCGAGGGCTTCGGAAGTGTATGCGGTATCTTTATATGTCAAGTCCGATGTAAAGTCCCAAAAGCCGCCTGAAGCTCATTAATATCTTAACTCTAAATTGCAGTATGTACTAGAGTTTAGTCATACCATAATGCGTATGTCGGATGAATGCGATCCTTTCTAGAAGGCCCTGCGTAATTTCCGGTTCCAATGGAACGCCCCGAACCATACAATAGCCATAATCAACCTACTGACAGTAAGATACTAGAAGCACAAATATAGATGAAAATTCATACAATATGCGCGAGCCAAAGAGCAAGGCCATCTGAAGTTTCCATGACTTCTTGAAAGTCAACCGTTGGGTGGTTAAAGTCGTCAGACACATATTTAAACTCCCTATAAATAAGACCATGTCAGAATCACTAATCATTGAACTATTTATAAGCCCACCTAAAGTTCAAAATCTCCTGACTGGGGCGAAGAGCTGGTGGTAATTGATGGTCTTTCAACCAAGAATGGGGGTAGACTCCAGTATGCCCATCTGACCCTAATTATTTGAAATTCAGCATTGCAAAATAGAAAGGAATATAGTAATAACAATTGACATGCATACATTGTACTGTAGCCTGTTCAGAACTGATACCTACGGCATTTGCTTGGACGTCTTTAGGTAGCTGTTATATATCTAATTTAGTTATAATCTTGAAAAAGTTTTCAGTGTCTCACCATAAGTGTGCTAACTATTCGCTGTCGTGTGAGAGGGTGTATACAGCTAGAGCACTGGCAGTTTTCCCTGCATGGGCATCAAGTCAGTTCTATACATCACTTTCGTCCACGTGCAGGCTATAGTAAACTCCACACACCTAAGCCAAAATGAAGGACTGATATGTAGTCAGTCATTAGTCTTAACAATTGAAAACCAGACTTACTACGGCTGGTACTGTTCAAGGTGCACCATTGGAACATTTCCATTCTCAGGGGTTTCAAGGCGGGAGCCGTTAACGTGTGTTGAATAGGAACGTCGTTTGTATACTTGTCCTAGCGAGTTAATCCGTGGGTTATAAACAGGATTCCCGGGGTTTCCCTGCGTGGAACCTAAGAAGATTGTGGACTATCAAACTTAGGAGATTGAAGTTAATAAGGGATCATGCACAGCACATACCCGGTGGATCTGTCTTCTAGATGTTGCTTGTAGGGATATTCTGGTGCTTAAAAATCGTCAGTCAAGTTCCCGTCAAGTCCAAAATCCCCTTACCAAGACGCCATCAGCAAATATGAAGAATATGTTCTGGCTTGACTGCCCGGACAGAAACGCTGCCATGGCATGATGCGTTCAAACATTGCCGAGGATATGCACGAGGAGGTATCAAATCCGATTTTGGATACACAATTGAGATGGCCCTCACGTAAATGAGCTAAATATTGAAATCAGACGTTCAATTGCACAATCCTTCACAATACTTCCGACGAGCACATACCGAACTCTCAATAATTGTAAAGCGTTCTGCGCGCTCAAATAAACGGAGGGGAACCATCTCGATAAGATAAGAGGGCTGTATCAGTGTATCCGCGATACCAACTTCCCACGGCACCACGTGACCATCGCAACGACGGCCTCAGGCAGGCTAGGCGACTACAGCTTGCGTCTTACTAACACTAACACCTTTAAGCTGGAGCTCACCCGAGACTGGCCTCCGTCATTACAGCCACCTTCGTTCTCACCGCATTCCCCTTCATCTCCTTGTCAGCTATATATCCATCATCGATTCAACGTATCTACCTACTAATTCCACAAAATCCCCGTCACTGCCATGTCCACTCTTGAAGATCTCGACGACCTCGAGCGCGAGGACCAGGACAAAAAGCAACAGCAACAGGGCGATGGTGGCGACGAGAAGAAGCCGAGTGAGGATGGCGATGCTGAAATGCAGGATGCAAAGAAAGACGAGGCCGACGATCTTCTTGATGAAGAGCTCCTTGGAGCAAGCACAGAAGACATCAAGAAGCGGCGGCGACTGCTAGACAACGAGCTGCGGATCATGAAGAGCGAGTTCCAGCGGTTGACACACGAGCAGAATACGATGAGGGAGAAGGTCAAGGAGAATTTGGATAAAATTGAGAATAACAGGTAGGCTCAGCTTTGACTACTTAATGGCAACTGGACGTTGGCTTGTATAGCCGCTTACGGGGACTAGACAATTACCATACCTTGTCGGAAATGTCGTCGAGCTCCTAGATCTTGATGTTGAAGCAGAAGCTGCCGAAGAAGGTGCCAATATTGATCTCGACGCTACTCGCGTCGGAAAGTCTGCTGTCATCAAAACATCAACGCGTCAAACCATCTTCCTTCCACTTATCGGTCTCGTCGACCACGAGAAACTCAAACCTGGTGACCTTATCGGTGTGAACAAGGACTCATACCTTGTTCTCGACACTCTCCCGGCAGAGTATGACAGCCGTGTCAAGGCAATGGAGGTTGACGAGAAACCGACAGAGAAATACAGCGATGTCGGTGGCTTGAGTAAACAGATTGAGGAGCTTGTTGAAGCCGTTGTCTGGCCAATGCAAGAAGCCGAAAAGTTTAAGAAGATTGGCATTAAAGCGCCTAAAGGTATATTCCAATAATAACACCAAAAACTTTTACTTGTCTGATCTAATTCACTTCAGGTGCCCTCATGTACGGACCTCCAGGTACCGGTAAAACTTTACTTGCCCGTGCTTGTGCTGCTCAGTCAAATGCCACTTTCCTCAAGCTCGCAGGTCCTCAACTCGTACAAATGTTCATTGGTGATGGTGCTAAGCTAGTGCGTGACTGTTTCGCTCTGGCGAAAGAAAAGGCTCCATCTATCATCTTCATCGACGAACTCGATGCGGTCGGCACAAAACGTTTCGATTCCGAAAAGTCCGGAGACCGTGAAGTTCAACGAACCATGTTGGAACTCCTCAACCAACTCGACGGCTTTGCATCAGATGACCGCGTCAAGGTGCTCGCCGCCACTAACCGTGTCGACGTACTCGATCCCGCATTGCTACGATCCGGCCGTCTAGACCGCAAAATCGAATTTCCTCTCCCCAACGAGGAAGCCCGAGCCCAAATCCTACAAATCCACTCGCGTAAAATGACCACGGACGACGGCGTCAACTGGGCTGAACTGGCTCGTAGTACCGACGAATTTGGTGGCGCAATGCTGAAAGCCGTGTGCGTGGAAGCCGGTATGATTGCGTTGAGGAAGGGCATGAACAAGGTCAACCATGAGCACTACGTGGATGCAATTGGAGAGGTGCAGTCGAAGAAGAAGGACACGAACATGGGTATCTACGTTTAGAGTTTCTATCTAGGCTCGCTTTTCACATTGGCCATCTGTCCTCTTGTATTGTTAATTTAAATCGATGATAATGATATAAGCTGCCACCCTGCATAACTAGAGAATACACTAGCATTTACATGACCTGAAAATCTCACAGATTCAACGTTGAATCGATACATGTAGTGTGGCTATCACCCTATATACTTATTTCCAATTTACATATCAATTTGATTAATTTACTGTTCACCACATCCTCCACATATGCAGACTTACAACCTATCTACATGTATATGCATGTATATGTGGTGCTGTCTCGGGATAGACACGTGAGTTGACTACTGTTCCCAAAGTTATTACATGTAGATGTAGATTTCTCAGATGTTACCTGAACTAATGTTCATGCTGTACATATATACCTAGTACCGGCCTATTAATTATATACATGTATACACCACCCATCCGTCCATCCATTCACCCATGACTAAATCCCGCCTAAATATCAACAAAAAAAACCCAGCGATTAGGTAGATAGATCAGCAGGTCAAAGCCGAAAGCAATATTGTACACACAAAATATCGTACAAATATGTCCAAAGTAATTTCTCCAAGGAACAAAAAAGAGAAAAAAGGAAGGATTTTTAAGACATTAGAAAGGAAAGTAAATCCGGTGAACGCCGTGGTGCCTGCCTGTCCTCAGTAGATAGGGTATATCCAGTAGACTGATTGCGAGAATAAAATAATGTGAATGAAAGCAAATAATGCACAATGGCGAAAAGTACACTGATTAGTTTGTTCAGTATGTTCGATATTTTGGGGTATGTTGGGATAGTATGTATAGTCGGTTAGAAGAATCGTTTCGTTTCGATTATGTCGGAACTCGTATGTCGTTCGCGCTCGAAATGCATCCACCAGTCTTTGGGACGTCCTGAATTCCATGCCCCGTTGCAAGTGTCTCGCACCCAAGGAGGGTTGGTTGTTGATGAAAATGTGATTGGGGTTGGAGGGCTTGCGGGTGTTGCGACCGACGCAGCAGATGAGGATCGTCCTCCGAATCCACTCCAGCCGGCAAATCGTGATGTGGCAGCTGGCGACATGGGTTGTTCCATGCTGAGATCGCTTCCACTTCGTTTTAAGTGTTCAGTGCTCGAGGCCTGGGCGGTGGAGAGATCTGAGCTCAGGAGATGTTTCCAGCCCAACAATCCCCCATCCGAGTCGGCGCCAGGGAGGTCAGGTCGAAGAATGAATCGAGGTATTGATGCATCTTCCGGATCTGTTGATCCCTTCAAAATACCCATCACAGCCGGCATTCTGAATTCATACATCTTTCGTGGAAACTCCGAGTTTTCTTCCGCGTTTGCGCATTGAACGTTCGCGCCGAATGGAGAGGAGCCTCCAAACAGATCACTTTCGGCTACCGATTCATCATCAGAAGGCGATTCAACAATGCTGTCGGGTACGTAGGAGTCGGAATAGTCGGTAACAAGAACTTTAATTCCAGTTTCGCTATCCTTAGCAGCCATGTCAATGAACGTTTGAGCCCGAATCCGTGCTGACGTCAAATTGTTTCCAGCAGGCAAAGCCATCGGCCTTATGCTTACGGATCCGTGAGAGCTTCTCGGCAAGCTATATCGATCTGACGGAATCAAGGCTTGTCCACGAGGTACCGGTCGACAAACGGATTGGAGAATGCCTGGAGGTTCGATATCGGAAGGCGCTCGCAAATCGCCTAGACGCGGGAATCCCGAATGAAGAATGCTTTGAGCCAAGTGATAATTAGGGGAGTTTGATGGCTTGTGGGGAAAGACGAAGGGTAAAGAGTCCAACCTGCCGAGTCCAGCGGCGGATTCAGGACCTACAACGTCCCAATGGAGATATTTGAGGGAAGCAGAAGCAAGGATCGGTTGGAAGATCATACCACCTGATGGCAGAGAAGGTGTTCCCGTCGACTGTACAATACTGAATCGTTCCAGATTGTGTAGGGATGCAAACAACTTAGAAACGGCCAAGAGAGAACCAATGTTCTGCTCAATCAAGGACAAAGATTTAAGGCTACGAGCCTCTGGGCGTGAAACGTATTGTGCAATGCCAGTATCGGTCACTCCCCGCAGTTTCTCCAATCTCAGCGATGTAAGTGACGGAAGGAATTGAAGAGTACGATCGGTGAAAGAATCATTGTCGAAAGACGAAATGCACAGGTGTTGTAGGGAGGGCAGACGGTTGAAAATTCTTAGGAAAATACCATGTTCGAGAGAGCCGGTCGAGTTGAGAGAATGCAGCATCAGGGTTTCCAGGTTTCCCCACGACATATGATAATCCAGAAATTCAAATGACTGTTGTTGGTCCAGCAATTTCGTCTTGGGAGGCGACCCACTTCGAGAGCGTTCTGCACTGGCATCTACCGGTTCTCCAAGGAGCCATTTGTGTTCCCGCAGACGTTTTCTCGTCGATAAGGCGTATGTCAGGCGATCGAACTCGTGGTGAAAAGACATATGGAAGCCAACAAGATTTTCCAAATTCGGGCACACCATGACAACCGAAGCAATCAAATCACGATACTCTTCCCACTGAGGATTTATTTTACCATTCACAGTCGGCAGAAGATCGAATTCCGGAACACGTAACTCCAGGACTAGATTAGCAAGAAGTTTCCGCTCACGTAACGTCCGGCGTAGGAGCTTGAGTCGACTGCCTCTTTTCAAACGAAATTTCTTCAGCTGTGAGGGTGAGTCTGCTCCTAGAATATGAATGTGATTGTAACTAGAAGGTATTTAGCATGGGAAGTTTATGTATCGCAGATCGGCTTTCTTACAGTTTACTCCGGACGGCTCGTTCCCAAGACCGACTCGTCAGGGCCAAGGCATGCAAATCACGTTGGAAGCACGTCGTACAGCCATACTGATAGGAGCCAGAACCCTCATGCAGATTCTGGAGTTGGTTTAAGATGCAGCCATACACCGCCACAGGCATCCGCCTAATGGCCGGTTCGAGGAGTTGCTGTTGTTGCTGCTGCAACGACTGTGGTGGGGTGTTCTGCCTGAAGAAGCGATAGGAAGGCGATTTAGGCGAAGTTGGGGAGGCGACAGAGTAGGCAGTTGTAGCGGTCGAAGAGCTGTGGTGACTGTAATTGCTGGAATAGGAAGAGATCGAGGGGCTTCTGGGCGGGATGTCCTCCATGGAGGCTGCATAATGCTGCTGGTAATTGGCGGCAGCCATGCTGTCGAAGGTGACGGGGGGAGATTGCGAAGTGGTGATGACACTCATGATGTACTGCGGGTTTAGCGACGGCGCATCAGGTTGTGGTCATGAGTGCGCGCAGCAAAGAGCGAAGACACAAAAATGCAGCAGTCAAACGAGTGTCGTCTGTCGAATGGTCAGGGATCGAATGGCCAGGGACATATAAACAGAGGTGCTTCAGTATGATCATTGAAGGGAGCAGGAAGCAGAAGCACAGGAGGTCGAAAGAGGAGCAAGAGAGTGGGTAGACGTAGACGCTAGGACGATCGCTCGCGGTGTGAAAGTACTCTCATAGGATGGCAGACATCCTCCACAGTCCACAGGCCACAGTCGCTGACACACAGGCAGGCAGCGGAAAGGGGCCAGAAAAGGCAGCGAAGCTACGTAGGTTCAAGGGCAGCCAAGGGTAGCTAAGGACTGCTAAGGGCAGCTAGGGGAGGTAAAGGGAGGTTAAGAGAGCAGAGGCCATCCAGAGCCCGCCAGCACGCCGTATAGGCCCGTGCGGGGCAGCTAGCCAAAGCCTCGTGCGCGCAAACGATCCTTGGCTGCACGACCTGTGCAGTATATATTCTGGAAGGACGGCTATTATTCCGCCTACGCTGGATTCAACTGCGTTGCAGTATAGTAGCACATCATTACTATGCTATGCTATTGTTATGTTGTTGTCGTTGCTGTTGTGTCCTGAGGCATTAATTATTAATATGGAGAAACGAACCGGCGGAGTCACGAGCAGGCAGCGGACCAACCATAGACACGCAGTCCCTGAGCCGTGGGAGCATGTGGGCTGGTGGGCCCTTGGCGACAGCGCTAGTCCACAACAGGCACCACTGGCCCCTTTTCGGCCTGCCCCTTTTTGGTATACACCGTACATATACGGAATGCTGATAATTCGCTACTTATAAGCTAGTAGTCCTTACGGAGTACAAGTATTCGAAATCAAGATTCGTCGCCTGCTCCAAATTCAGACGTATCTGGTCGGCGAGGTCGCCTGTGCCGGCATCGATTTGATGCATTGCAATGCGGTCCTGTATAACAGTCATGGAATGGACTTTGGATGATAGTGCGATCCGTCGTGGTTTTAATAATAGTGCTTGATTATAGTTTGTTGCTAATAACATATATAGGAATTGACATACCCTCGATACGTGATGATTTATTTCTTTCAACTTTAGGAGCTTGTATTAATGTGAAAAAGAAAAAAAAGATGTGTGTGTTTTTGGTGGCCAAGGGAGTGTCCGGCTTCCTAGCTAGGATATTAAACAGACACTAGAGCGTACGAGCGAATTCGTGTCCTCCCCAACCAAGTAGGTTATGCTGTCAAGCATGAGGTATGCAATACCTTTTTTTCCCCTACCAAAGCTCTGTTGAGAGACTACTACGGTTGAGCTTTGTGATTTAGAATAAGGATCAATGTACAGGCAAGGTGATGGTTACATAGCCAGTGATTCGGCATGTGGCGCCGGGTGGAGACAGCACGAGTAATTATCTGCGGCTACTGCATGTAATACTATTCATGCACATTCCTCCACATTCTCTATTAATACTTGCTTTACATATGATACCCCAGTGGTTGATTGAGCGAATGAATTTGCCAATGGTCCGTGGTGCATGTACTTAGAGTTATCTGCTGACATGATGACTGCTGGTATCTAGCTCAAAATAGTGTCATATTACGGACTGGTTTTTATTGTCTAGATCATGGCAAGACTATCTGGATAAACTGTGCACGCCTCGATAGCAGGTAATAGTAATATCTGTATCAAGGGAACGAGTATCAGGCGCGAACTCGTCTTTTCGGTAGCCAACAAAATAGGATTGTATGGAGAAGAAAGAAGAAGAGTGAGAGGTATTGCAAATAAAGCAGCCAAGGGAATAAATATCTGAGAACCTTCTGCCTCAACCCAGATACCGTGAACATAATGCAATGCTCCTTGTAAAGCAAGAATACTACGCCACAGACAAGAAACTTATCAACATCAGAATCAGACGACCGGTGAAAGTAAATCACAAATATGAAAGGGCCACTAGGTGCGGTATCATATGACGATAATTAACCCGCCTTACACAGTGGCAACACCTAAGTTATGCAAAGAGAAGAACATGAGACGTAGACTTTTGCTCCTCATGGCATGCATCCCATGCTTCGAATCGAAATTAAGGACACTGAAGAGAACTTGACCAGCAGGATGATACAAAATTCTGGACAACAGATACAACTGAAAAAAATCGACCACCTCCGGGAATGCATGAAAACCGAGTATATGCAATAGAAAGACTCCTCGTAACCGTGCAATGAAAAACTAGATGTCAAAGTTGTTGAAGACACCACCTTCGCCTTCCCCAGTCTTGACCACGCCACTCATGCGATGTTCCGTCGAGTCCACCGATCGCTGGTGCCGATGCCAAGTATCGTCATCCTTCATGTCCTCATCCATACGATCACCATGATCTTTAAGGTGATGATCCATAGAACTTTCATTCACGAAAGTGAAGCCTTTGAAGTTGGCCTGCATGCCTGGTGAAAGAGGAGTCGATCCAGGCATCAGACCACTCGCTAGCGCTGCTGCCCGGTCATTAAGCGAAGTCGAATGATCCAGTGCAGTTGTGAACTCCGGGTCAAAATTCGAAGTGTCCGATTCCGATTTCAGCTTCGGCTTGAAGGGGGGAATAACTTCCTTACGACCCAACGCCTCCCAGTCAACGTCGTGGAAGAATGGGTGAGCCATGAGTTCCTTGGCATCATCTTTTGCACCTAGCCGGTGTTTTGGATTGCGGTTGAGCAATCCTTTAACAAAGTTACGCCCTTCCGTACTGAGGGCATCGCGTGGGAATCGCACCTTGCCGAATGCAATGTTCTTATACATTTGCTGTGTGTCTTCGGCATAGAATGGACTCCAACCACAGCACATCTCGAAAACAAGGACACCCAAAGACCAGAAATCAACCATCTTTGTGTATCCCTGCTCATCTAATAGAACCTCAGGTGCCAAATACTCCGTGGTGCCACAAAACGTGTTAGTCGTATCGTTCTGTGTGAGATTAGCCTTGGATAGTCCAAAATCACAGAGGGCAATATGTCCATTAGCGTCGAGGAGAATATTTTCTGGCTTCAGGTCACGATAGACAATGTCGTGCTCATGAAGATGCTGCAGAGCCAAGATCAACTCTGCAATATAAAACTTGGCTCGGGCTTCCTGGAAACGACCTTCTTTTTGAAGATGCCAAAACAGTTCACCACCGGACATGTAATCTGTCACCAAGTATAAATCTGTAAGAGTTTGGAAGGAGAATTTCAGCCCAACAATAAAGGGAGAAGCTGCCATGGCCGTCCGGACTAGAATATTTCGTTCGCCCAAAGTATGCGCAACCTCCTTTTTCTGAATGATGACTTTCTTAGACAGAACCTTCATCGCATAGATTCGCTGGGTGTCCTTCTTCTTAACCTGATACACCTGACCAAATGTACCTTTACCGATAAGTTTCAAGATTTGGAAATCATTCGGTCCGACCTGTTTCTTTTCGGTCTTCTCAAAATGCATCTCCAGATGAATCTCGCCAGAAATTTGGTAATCGCCCTGTGCCCGCGCGGCCAATGGAAACCAACCCTCTAGGCTTGATCGTTCTTCTCTCAGGTTAAGACTCATTCGCACATGACCGAGGAACGCCTCCTGGTTGTAGCGGTCATACACGGACACCTCGATTTCGGATTGCTCACCCAACACGTCACTTTAGCACAAATTAGCCACAGATCATTTTCTTCATAAGACAAAGAGCCCAATCACTCACAAAACAGCTTCATGGTTCCACTGGGGATCGGTAACAGGCGCTTTGCCTTTGATATCCACGTTATCCAACTGGCTGTTATGACTGCTCTGTCGGCTCTTCATGGGAATAGCCATGGGTCGACCAGAATCATTGTCAAGCCATTCCTTATTCCCGACTTTGCCATTAGGAGTTTGATCACCACTCTGGGTACCTTTCGATATATATTCATTCCACTCAAACACACACACAACATATGGATCCGTACTGGGGCGCAAGCCACGGGCTTGAGAGATTTTCACTGAAAGCTTCCCTTTGAGCGAAGCAACAGTGGGCCCGTCTTGCGAAGTCTGGGAAGCCGAGTCACTAAGCCTTCCAGTCGGCTTTTCTGACGAAACTTCCACAACACTTCGGTGCTGGCTCGATGATGTTGACGGGGCGGATGTAGAACCATTAGAATGTCGGCCCGTAGAACTGTTGTCGTTTGACATGGCTCGTGGGGTCAACGGCGGTGTATTCTTTAGACGTGACACATTGGCCACGTTTTCAGTTAGCTTGGTAAGATTCTCAGAAGACTTGGAAGTGTGATGAGGTTTTTCATGCTCCAACAAGGGTACGGCCGGTGAAGGTGAAAGGTCTGAGGCGTCAGGGAGGGATGGGTTTGAGAAATGGGATGCAAGAACTGGATCATCCGACACGCTGGATACTGGGTGACATGTAGGACGCCGTGAAGAATGGGATTCGGGGAAATTGCTCGAGGAGGACATGATGTTTTTCAACGCAGAATAAATGGAGACCGCGTTTTTGTCGGTGGCGGCAGCGGCACTTTCCATCTCTTCCGTCTCCTTGTGTGATAATGAACAGGCAGACGAGTAAGGGGGGGTAGGAAGGGAGCTAGGATTCAGAGTCTCTGAAGCTTCAATTTGCGCTGGTTTCTCAGTGCTATGAGGGACAGGCACATCGACAACTTGTGACGACTGGCTGTGCCCTTTGGTAGCAATCTCGCCAGACGATAAAGAAGTGTCTCCAGAGTCCCCATCCTCCTTGTCCATCACAGTCTGTGTACTGGACTGTATACTTCCCCAGCAACAGGTGTTGTGGAGCTAGATAACCGTGCTTTGATAGAACTCAGTGGGAAAGCAGAGCTACCAACCTGAGAGAAATAGTGCATTATAGAGGGTAACCGTTTGTCGGCTGGATCAGGCTGGGGTGTAGCTATTCCAGAAGGCGTAGAGCCATTTGAACCAATAAGGTTCTCTTGAGAATCTTCCTCCTGTGCGCCGCTGCTGCTATTCAAGGGGTCAGTTTCCACAGGAGACACACAAGACCTTGTGCTCGAGAGCAATAATTTGGCGGTTGCTAAAGCCAGGTACAGGTTGAGGCAACGATCACTGATCACCAGCGGACCGCGTATCGAAGCCGGTTCAAAAGCACATGGCAAAAGCGCGGGGAGACAATATTGACAGGATCAAAAGCGCCGCAGGAGATCATATCCGCGGCAGGAAGAACATGTGTGCATTTACATCGAGCCCCATTGATGTTGGGATGAAAATTTTTCCAATCCGCGCACCAACGAAGCCCGACGATCATCCGGGAGCCCATGCCAGTTACGCAAAATACAGACGGGACATCATGCTTTGGAAAACGGGTGAAAGACAGAAAGAAGACTCACTTCTGAAGCACAGCCTGCCTCATGAGGTCGGCATCAGCATGCGGGTTGATTCCGGCTGGTGCAGCCATGGGTGATTTCCATCCGACAATTCCCGTCCTTGTTGACGCCAGGCTGGGTAGGGATAAATAGATCACAATGCAGCAACCTTTTCTCTAAATAGGTCTAGGAGACCGCGCGAATGGTAGAGGCGGGTGTTGTCTTGATCGAAGCTGGGGAATAATGGCCTACAGATGCGGGATGATCGACTCGCCAGCTTGAGGCGGGAGTGTTGCGGGTCTCAGGCTGGAACCAGATGCACACAGCAGACGAGCGGGGGATGTGTCGGCAGGAGCTTTGAGCACATCGAAGAAGAAGGAATCAAGCGACCGATCGTGCACAGCGTGGACAGCAGTCGTGAGCAGAGAAGGGCAGGAAGCAAGATACAAGATTGAAGAGAATCGCAGCCGCGGTGTGTGGAAGCTGGGATTGGAGGGGGAGGAAAGAGAGCAAGCAGGCGCATACAGGCTAGATAGCGGCGGGTATTGGGCAGGCGCGAGTGACTAATTAGGACTAGTGCTCAACGGGGCTAGCGTGGCTTGCGTGAAGTTTCGGGACACTGCACGGCTCCTCTTACTCGTTATTCGTTAGTCGTTACTTTCTTACAGCGCGTGTATTTGACGGCGTTCGCGCTGTTCGTGACTGTACAGGACCGCCGCCGAACCAGCTAGCGCTCGTCTAGCAGCTAGCTGCTGCTGTTCAATATTACCGGCGTACAATATCTGCGAAATGCACCGGAGTGCTGTGTCCCAGCTCGGGAAGCCCCGGTCAGAGACAAATAATAGCCGGACCACCGCTTCCTCTAGTGGGAAGTGGCTGAGAAAAACGAAAAAAAAACCCCCCCTCCCCCAAAACCAAATGATCAAAAATCGTTTGCGATGTATCACGAGCACACTGCTACTCCTTCTATTCCGTCGTGTGTTGATATGAGCGCACAGCACACCACACTATAAGTGGATAACACTCTCTCTGTATCGCCGGTGAGGACGATTCCTTCGGTATCGTACGTATTACACAGTATTGACGTTACCGACTTTCTTGCAAATTTGGAAATTAGCCACGACACTACGAGGCGACTGTTCCGACATGAGGCAAATATGCGTGGTTGCGGTGGAGCCAGGATGGAGCCCGAGTCCCATAGCCCAGTGCGCTGCCTCTGCCAGCGTTTCCAGAATCCACAGTTTCGCCATTCCTCAAGATTCAGAGACTGCGGATGCTCAAGTGACCTTTGCTCCTCCACTGACAGATTTGGCTGTGTTCTTGGAATTCAACTGTCTTTTAATTCGTTGCCTCGGTGAAGTGCGCGAAATACAGGCTGCTTATTTGTCCCATGGATGACAGATAGAGACCCTCTAGGGGTAGAATTGCCAGAAGGAGTCTGGTATTTAGCACTTACTACTCTAGTCCAGGCTCTCTCAGTCTAACCGCAAGGGCAGTACATATCATAACTCCCCGCACACCCCATATCAAGCAATAAGCATCCCACAACTTGTATGCTGGTATGATACCAGTGCAGCAGCGGATACTGTTAAAAATAACGCATGTGAAACAGGAATTTCTAATTCTCTGTCAATATGTGACATTCTTCGGCTTGCAAGCGCAATTGCTTTTCTGAAGGGCGGGGAAGCTATTAGCAAGATAGACATGGAAGGTTTAAAACACTCCCCTCACTTGCGGCGGGGTGTGATCCGTAGTGGAACGCTCGTTGCAGGAGCACCGTCCTACGAACTACGAGGAGTCAACGATGAGCATGGAATAACACTTTATTCTATTACAGGGTTCTCTCGGCGTGTGGCTTGTTTTGCTTAAGCTGACCTTCTCACAGGATGTAAGATCGACAGTCTACCAAGTCCACGTCTCCGTATTCAAAGAGTTGATGCTATTCCCTGAAACTGCTGATCACTCTGGTTTAGAGGGCGGAATAATCTACCGGAGGTGCTGACATCTTCACGATGCATTAGTATTTTGTTTATTCAAGAACAAAGGAAAGGATAATACAATTTATATTTTAAATATCAACTTGCATTGACACTGCGGTCAGACCCGCGTATACTAGTCGGTACTATTTTCCGAGTATTGAATGTGTGCTTGGGTTGGAGGTTGCACCGATATGAGTAATAGTGCAGATGATCCCCGTTCAGCTGAATTCCACTTTCAGAGGGCGCATCAGCCCACCACCAGGCGTGCCTCTAAACACCATTATCTTAGAGAATAGTGGGAGGATAATAGCTGGAAACCCGGAATCGCTGGTACTCGAGACCTTCGATGACATAGTAACTGCATGACTAGGCTGTCCACTCTTGATCGTCGAATAACCGCTAGGGGGCTGCGATGCGCTCCAAGCTCGATGTAGAGAGGGTCTGACCGAAGCCACCTTGCTCCTCTTTGGTTGTATTACTGTCTATCGTAGACAAAGTGTGCTGCAGCCCATGTCGAGCAACCTGCAGTGCGTGGCTTACAGATCCAACCGCAGACTGTGACGTCAATGGACTCGATCCAGATCTGCATAAAGCCCGTCCTGCGCTAACTGTACCAAGCCAGATGGGCAGGGGCTTAGGGCTTAGGGCAACGGTGCGTCGACGCCAAGCTAAAGGGATCTTGCATCACGTGATTTACCGGAACAACAGTAGGGCCGGGGTCGCGCTGATCTCGCAACGAAGACAGGAAAGAGCACCTTCATGGCACCTGCCGTGCAGCGAAAGTAGAGCTCGTCGCGCTTTCCCTGTGTGTTGCTCCAGTCTAAAGATGGCCCGGAAGCTGCGTGCGGCTGCCCAAGCAGCTGCGCAGTCAATGCGTGAGTTCCCACTCCTGTTTCTTGTGACTACAACAGCCCTTACGATGAGACTTGACTCTGACAATAAATGTAGGAACCGCAGCTCCTAGTTTACCAGACGCTTCAGACGATGAAATGGCAGATGCACCACCTACTAGAGAAACTAGCGCCGATGAAAATCTGGATGCCGACAACCCTGATGATGAGAATGACCCTGAAATCGAGCCCGAGCCTGAACCAGAAGCGGAAGCAGACGCAGAAGTAGAAGCGGATCCTGGGCCCGAGCCAAAACCTGGCCCAGTGCCTGGATTGGAAGCTGGAACAGAGGCTGATGACGCGCCGCCAAGTTCAGCGCCAGAAGCAGAGCCACCATCAGAGTCGAATACGCCTCGTGGTGGCAGGGTTTCTGCTATCATACCTCGCAAGCGTCGTGTTGGCCGACCTCCCAAGAACCGGCCGCCTGAATGGGACCTGCCTGACGATGGTTCGGAGCAAAAGATAGTCGTGACCACTCCAGTAAAGAGAAGGCGCGGCCGACCTGCCGCAAGTGGAGGACGATGGGGTCGCCGAGGAGGTAATCCTCACATTACTCAAGTGGCTGTCGATAAAGAAGGAACGATGATGGATGTTGTCAACGACGAGGTGGTTCTCCCCGATGATGACGACGGGGAAAAGAAGGTAGACAAGATGGGCAATCTTCTCGGCGGTCGAGAATACAGAGTGCGGACATTTACCATTCTCAATCGCGGTGATCGACAATACATGTTATCCACAGAGCCTGCGCGGTGTATTGGATTTCGAGATTCGTATCTGTTCTTTCAAAAACACAAGCTGCTGTATAAGATCATCATTGACGATGATGCGAAGCGCGATCTTATCGAGAGAGACATCATTCCCCACTCCTACAAAGGAAGAGCAATTGGTGTAGTGACTGCGAGGTCCGTGTTTCGTGAATTCGGCGCCAAGATTGTCATTGGAGGGCGCAAAGTCATCGATGATTACAGCGAGAAGGCTGCATTGGAAAGAGGAGATGTCGAAGGCGAGGTTGCTGTTCCAGAAGATAAGCTACCAGCTCCTGGTGAGCCATACAACAGAAATCAATATGTGGCGTGGCATGGTGCCAGTGCTGTCTATCACACAGGAGCGCCATCCATTCCTTTACCCAACGGAAAGGTTATTGATCCAAAGAAACGCAAAGTAGCTGTTACGGGAGATAATTGGATGATCGAACACGCTCGGGATGCTAGGTGAGTTTTGATACTGAAATCGTTATCTTACCTTTAACTAACACTGTCTAAAGTCGCTACAATTCGACGATCGCCAGTGTGCGGCGAGAGAATCTCAATGGTGTCTATGAAATTCATACCAACTATATACAATATCCCAAGATCATGCAGCCATCACATGCTCGCTGGGAACAAGCTCCCTCGTCCGACAACCTGGCTTCTACAGCACTCGCTGAAGGCATATCTACCCTCAACCTCACAAACGGCACGACGCCAGAGGCTGGAGACGAGGATGCAGACCGAAGGCGAACCGAATCAGCCGATGAACCTGAGTCTTCTATTCTCCCACCCGTTCCGGAAATTATTACCCGCCGATTTGGCATCACTGATATACACTATGAGACACCAGAAACCAGCACTCTTGGGCGTCCAGGACCGGATGGCGACATTCACGATGTCGGGTCTAATGGAATCCTCAGTTTGGCTGACCCTCTGCACCCCGAATTCGCAAGCTTGGAGGTACTTGCCGAGCTTCCACCCGAATGCAAAGAAGCGCTACTTGAAACAGCGGCCCAAGAATGGACGTGGAAATCGAAGTGGCGCACAGAAGCAACCGATACAACGCGGGGTCAATTCCTCAAGAGTTACGCTTGGTTTCCATAGGGACAATGTTATTAATGGGTTTCCATCTGCTTTTCCTTTTTGCTCGATTCTGGCGTCCTGGGACACGAGTGGGGTTTCATATGTCTGCCATTTAGTCACGGAACAAGGGCAGGAGTTAGTAGATATGTCCTAGGCCATTGATTGGTAGTTATAACGTATGTAGAATAATACATCGATTGTTAGGTACCAGGGTTATCAGAATATATTTGCAGGATACTTTATTCAATAACATGTAAACTCCGTGTAAGTCCGGCTGTGGCACAATACCCGAGCCCAGTAGTGGAGCTGTCATCGGAGTACAAAAGGAAGATGGAGGATAGAATGACATCAATCGAGGGCTAATTCAAATCGTCTTGATTATCAATACATATACGTGCAGGCCGGGCGACGGAGTACATCGAAATATCTAGTGCGGGGTAAACTTTTCACTCTCAGTAATCACATCTTTCTCCATCTCCGGCGGCTCCTGCCGGCCGGCTACGGTCAGGGCCGTTGTCGCTGTTGTCAGCCTAGCCGGTGAATTATTGATTCAATAATTAATAATACTGTGCCGTTTATTGAACCCCATGTCTTTGTTGCGATGTACCATATATAACCACTTATGGCTGGTGGAAGTCATGAGGGAAAAAAACGCAAATTCCAGATCCAGAATCATGCATCCCTTTATGACTCACTCAATCGGAGATAATTATTAACACAGGCATTGCTTTTTCGAGGAGCGTGAGGGGGTTGAAAAGATGGGTCCTGGTGCTCGGCCATTGTCGGATAGAACGTGCATGGCGCCGGTGAGGACTGAAACCTAGTTGTCAACTGGCAAGAGAGGGAACAAATTCTTGTAATGTTAATAATGGCATGTTTCAAACTAGTTACAACTCACCGCAAGACTAAATAATAACTAGGGGTTATGCTGTCGATTTTGTGTCGCGAAGTGCGGTAGGCTACGGGATTATTGATATGGAGATGCCCGGTGGCTGGTATAATACCACATAGTACATACTGATGCATCACTTCGTTATTATGTCAAGCTAAGAAGTTAAGAGAATATTCGATACTTGTTGACTGCCAGTAATAAATATGATTGTGCTGATATCAAATAATGATGCTAACATCGAGCTGTCTGGATCAGTCGACGTCATATTATCGGGATTCGGCCCTAAGCTGACTGCATAGGGACAACGTGCAGATCATCCATCTTGCCGCTGACAGTTCGGACAGATGAATCATGAAAGTCTGGTGCTTTGGTTGATAGATTTCACATGCTATTACCCTGCTCATGTGGCCAGGCAGTCAACCTGTCAAAAAGTAGTATCCGTAGTAGTATAAGCCCTTGCTGTATACTACTCAGTGTAGGACATGGCTGGCATATGATTGGACAGGCCATGGGCCAGTGAACGCGAGAAGCCGAATGAGTAAGGCAGGCGAAGCAAGGCGGCCCAAACACATTATGATTCTAAATAAATAATAATTTACTAGCCAGCGAGGCACAAAATCTGGTCTGACTAGTGCGTATTCATGTTATGTGCAAAGTCCTCGTGGCAAGAACAAGAACCAACAGACTACAGGAATCGTCGGGAGTCGGGACCCCTGACGGGTTCCAAGTGCGACCTCCCGTTACAGTTTACCGTATGATACCGCGGCTGTCAACGGCCCAGTCACCAGTGTATTATTATTTGGTTGGGAGTGAAGATGTCCGCAATCCTTCGAGCGAGCTAAGCAGCGTGTGGTTACGTGGTTACGTAGCTAATGATAATCACTGAATCCTGTTTAAAATAATAATTGCAATGTTGTTTCTCCCTCACAACACAATATCAAATATCACGAGAAAAATGACGATATGAGAAATATTCGTTTCATGACCGCGATGCTGAGGCGGGTGTATCAGCCCCATGGCTGTGTAGACTGATCCTGCTGGCTACCGGACACATTCCTAGATAATTCTTGTGGCCATTATTTGCCACTGACGACGATATGTTGAAAGAACACGGGCGTGGCGAAGCCGTCTACGGCCGACAACCTGCCATGGGTTCAGACTAAGTATTCTACACCTGTAACACTGGTTAGGCCGTTTACATCCATGGACGCTTATGATATTGGCGGAGGGCCGTGTTTCAAGGCTATATTAATTAGTAGAAGGTTCACTGCAGTTGTTAACGCTGAACTGAGACTGAGAAAAGCAATGGTAATTATTTATTCAAAAAAATTTTTATTCAGTCCTATGGTTCCTACGCTCGACGGGTCACGGAAGTGTAATTTTCCTGGGTATCCAATCAGCTTCGTGCAATTGTGTTTTTAATTTTTACTTGGGGCGGCTACACAAAAAATTCTGCTGCTACCACCACAAGGGTGCTGTTATTATTACTACCACTGGTGACTTGGTCGATTAGTGACCGTTTCGCGACTGCTACTTCCATGCTTGGGCTCTTATTTGGCTGGAGCAGTGCACGGCCGCTGGCTGAAAGGGGCGCCTGACCAGGACGGCTAGTCAGTAGTCCGACCAGTATTCTGATGCCTTATGATATTTATTATTTAATCACTTGTCATATACAATAAACAAGACTTTCGAGAGAAAAGCTGGCGCCTGAGCAGGAAATGGAGGAGGAGTGTGACTGACCCAGACAGCCAGGGCTAGAAGGCACAATAAATTACGCAACTCTCCCCCTATACGGCCTAGCGCAGTATCGTATACGCTGGCCCTTAGTAATCCCACGTCGGCTGGCGCAGCAACGGTAATTTCCTGCCCACAACTCTAGCCCATGACCAGCCGTTACCGTATTGGCAGGCAGTCTTGTCCTTTCCCTTTCCTTTTTGCCGTCCGCCTCCTTCTCGCTCGCTCTTCTCCCCTACACCTTCACCTCACTCTCTCTCTCTCTCTTTCCCCCCATCTCTCCTCACCACCCACACTTCCCTCTCATATCCGATTTTTTGTCATCTTGCCCTTCGGACCAGTACAACCAATCTCCCCAACGAGCTTTTCATTAAGTGTCGTTGACCTTGCCCGTTGACTGCTTGTTCCCGGTTTCGTCGTGGTTTTTTGGCCGGATTTCGTGTTGTGCTTCCACTATACGCTACCACAAAATTCGATTTTTCTTTCTCGCGTTGACCTTGCTATTTACGCCCGACTAAACGCGGAAAAATAACACAACTCATCGCCTCGGTCCGAAATTACTCATTCGCCTGTTTTTTCCCACCTCTCGCGCCGCTTCCTATCAGTCAACTTACGACCTACTGACAACCTCACGCCCATCGATGAGAGCCAACTAGAGAGGGGGTCTGATCTTCCTTCAAGACAGAGCGGCCGCTCGTCGAGCAGCCCTCCCCCCGGCCTTCGGGAAGTGGCGGAAGAGTAGACGGTTGGTTTCACACCATTCTCGACTATCAATCACCTGGTCGGGCCTTAGTCCTTTGCTGACTTGACGCTCGGGGCTGTATAGCACTGATCCGTCTACCCTCCCGTCGTTGACCAACCCTCACTCCGCAGCCATGCCGTCTTTCTACAACCCTGGCCTTCATGGCCTGCCACCTACACCACCCCATTTCCACGCATCCGACAAGATGGAGGTTGATCAGCCATTTTACGTCGCCGGCCAGCCTGTTTTTCCTCCCCGATACTCGCAGACGGGCTCTGAGTTTATTGAGCAGTACTCCCAGGCCACTTGTTTCGTCAAAGCTGCTCCAATGAATTCTCACTCCCAGTCGATCGGCCAACTGCGCCCCGGACGTGACTTTGCTGCATTGCCCCAGAGCATCGCGCAACCACAGTTAGGAGCCCAGCAACCTGTGTACGGATCAATTGCGACTGCACCCACACTGCCACCTATTAGGTCCAATGTACACACCTTCGCCGACAGCGCAATTCCACCGCAATACCGCCATCCGGATGTTTCAATCGAGCATCGCCCCAAAGAAGAAAAGCCAACTGGAGGTGTCGCCGCTCATCTGGACTACGAGATCGATCAAATGTCGGATTTTGTTGCCGAAATGGCCCAGGGAATGTATGCATTGTACAGCTCTCGAATCAACCTAGATGATATTGACTTGCTTGGAAGTGTCTACCCAGGACAGACAGTTGTTCCACCCCCGTTTCGGAAATATGTTCACCAAATCCTTTCTTCGACTCGTCTCCCTAGTTCGACCATCTTGTTGGGTCTCCTTTATCTGGCAACTCGGATGCGTATGCTCTCCGCCAAAGGAATTTACGCGTCTGGCACTGGCCAAGTATACAGGATGCTGACGACAGCTCTGCTATTGGGCAGCAAGTTCCTCGACGACAATACCTTTCAGAACCGCTCTTGGGCTGAAGTCAGCAATATCTCCGTGACGGAATTGAACTCGATGGAATTGGACTGGCTGTTTGCCTTTGAGTGGAAGATTCACGAGCGCATTCACAACAAGGAAGATGGTTTTGGCGTGTGGCTGGCCCGTTGGGAAGCTTACCGGGCGACATTGATCTCCAGAGGAAACCCGAGTCGTCAGAAGTTGGCGCCCATTGACACAAATATCACTAGGCAGCTCAATATTCCCAAGCCCCTCATGTCTCCCGATGGCCCTATCCCACCGCAATATCAACGGCCGACCAACTTTGAAAACACTTGGCTGAACCCGGCTGCTTGTGAATACTCTCCTCCATCCGCTCCACACAGTGGTCCCAACACACCGGACTATTACAACGTCGGAACATGGATGCACAACAACCCCCCACCTCCGTACACGCGTTCTTGGGTGCCACAACATTATCTTGCCGCTTCTCATCCACCCCGCTCACAGCCACCTTCTTACCACCACACGCCAGTTTATACTGTATCCCTAAGCAACTCAGGTTGGACTGGTCATGGTTCATCGTGTGGTTGTAACTACTGCATTAAGCATCAGGAGCACTATTTCCCTGCGAATACTTTCGGTTCTATTCCGCCTTTGGTGGCAAGTTGATACTTTTCGCGTTGAAAGAAGCATTCGCCATATGTGTGGTGTTATCTCATTTAATTTCCCTTGTTTATTTGTTTACCACAGTGATACCGCTAAAATATTTTCAACGACCAACACATCTTTATGTTCTTATCGAATTTTCGAGTCAAATTTGCCTCACAAAAGTTCCGGGATTGTCTAACTTCTGGGTTTTTACGGAAACCTACCGCCGCGCGACAGTGAGGCCGCCATCATTCTATTTCGCATCTATTATTTTTTGACTTGTCCACCTGCGTTCTCATTCATCTGAAGCCGTCAAGAGCACAAAACGCTTGGCCAAAAAAAGTTCATGACTCACGACAATTGGAACGCGATTAGCTGTCGCATGCGTTATCATTTATTCTCTTCGACATTTTTTTTCTTCATTTTTTTTTTCAATTTCAATTTCGCATCTTCGCGGATACTACCCATAGACTTGAATTGTGTGTGATGTTAATTGTTTGATGCATTTATTTCCACCTCAGAATCGTGGCGTTAATACTTTCGATATTTTCGATATTTTGATCATTTCGGAACATGGCATGTCAGCGTGGAGGTTTTATGTTCATAGCTTCATTTCCCATTTCACTCGTGATATAGGGTTTCCCCATTATTTGTCGCGCGATCTCAATCAGCCTAGGCATTGTGACAAGGCATCGCGACAAATACAGTGTTGTACGAGCTTTCGAGCCATGACGATGAGTCAGGCTCGGAGCGGCAGCTTTGGTTTGTTCTTTATATTTCTTTCCTGCTACCATTCTGGTGCATTTTACTCGATTCCAATTGCAAATCCTAATTGCATGGTCTTTATTCTCTTTTCGACTGATGAATTTCTCAATCAACAATTTCATCTCTTCTCCTTTTGTCTTCGTTTTTCTTCCTTTGGATGCCAGCTTTCCTTCTGTGCTTTCAGTTGAAGTTTTGCGAGGGGAGGATTTGGGGTCTCTTAGCAACAGTAAGCTGTCTATTATCGCATCTCTACAATAATCGATAACGATGGACTGAAAAACATGTTAAAATAATCCGAAAGAAATAATACAAACTGGTATTATCTTCAACTCTAACCACAGCTTGATTGTAAACTTACAATATTGCAAAAGTTTGAATATAGTATTAAGAATTTCTGTCTTTCATCTGTATTTGCACCAATTTATAAGGTTATATTTAGAGATCTTAGGGGGTCGCCCGTAGATAAATGCAAAAAGTTGAATATTTTTAGTATTGGGATGGGGAGGGCTCCTATACCTAATTCCAGACACCTTGGTGGTGCTATATTCAAAAAGTTGTCACTACTGTATAAAGAAGATCCTCTATGTCCAAGGTTCAATAAACAGACTCGCCAACACTCTCTTCCTGCTTCCTCAGCTGATCAAACTCACGATTCGACTCACCCTTATTGTTATCGTCATCCTCGTCTTCATTATCAGCCTGCTGAGCACCATCCTCTTCGTATACACTCGAGGCTGAATCCGCGTCTCCCAACGCATTTGCCTTGAGCTGAAATGGGGCACCACCACCAGCTGCCGCCGCTGAGTTGACGGGATGATAATATGCTGGTTTGTGTCGACGAATCGTTCGTCGTGACCCAGCCCCTTCGTCATCGCCATCATCTTCGGCGTCTTGAACGGTATGCGTCGGCTGAGGAAGCGACTTGCTCCCCTCGGGTAGCATAGCGTCGTTTTCTTCCGAATCCGACGGAATCGGGCTGTTGACGCCGCTCTTAGAACCTCCGCCATCTCGGCCGCCCATGTGTAGTAGGTGCCCGGACTCTTCGTTGGCGATGCTGCTGCTGCTCAGTCGTAGCGGGGATATAGATGATCGCCCGCCCCTAGTGAGCTTCCGGACTGCTCGTCCGTGTGACTGATGGTGATGATGGTGATGATGATGACGGTGGTGGTCGTCAGTGTTGTTTTCTGCTGCAGTGACTGAGACTTCAGGCACAGAGGAGGGATTAGGGGATCCGACAATGCCAGCGAGAGATATGTACGACGGTGTTTGATCCGGCGAAGAGATAATATCATCAGCAGATATCTCAATAGGTAGGCTATTCAGTCTGGGTTTGCCGTGATGGTTAATTCTCATCGTCGCCGCCGATTTCTTACGCTCTGCAGACGGACTACGGTTTCTGGCATCTGTCGTTTCACCCCCATCATCATCACGGAATAAATCAGCCTTGTCTTGTCGTGCGGGTCGCCATGTTGTTGGTATGGAGGTCACGCCATGCGTGCAGCCGTCAGGACAACCACCCCATTTTCGTCGTACTGGAACCTCATTTTCAGCCGGCGTTGGTGGGAGCCCTTTCAACTCTCTTTCCCTTTTTCTCTCTTCTTCCTTCTCGCGTCGAAGAGCCGACCATGTGCGGAGCTTATTTTGGAGAATGTACTTCCCATTATCTGGGTTTTTCTCCATGATCACGAACTCGCAATGGTTGACATTGCGTAGATCCTCAAAGTACTCCACGCTGAAATGATACCATTTCATCAAAAACACCCTAGCCATCAAGCCATGAGTAACCAGAACGCAGACACTCGCGAACGAGTCTTCACCAAAAAGGCGCCACAACGACTCATTAAAGCCGCTCACTCGATCATACGCATCAGCAGCAGACTCGCCATTGGGGATGCGGTAGAAGAAATGCCCATAGTCTGCTCTCTCCCGCCACATGCGCGACATTTCCGCCGAACATGGCTGGAAGTTACCAAAGTCCTGCTCACGAAGGCGCGGCTCTTCGTAGACCTTGATAGTGTGTCGCGGGAATGGGGACGGGGATGGGTCATCGGAGGTAAGCGACTCGAGGATGTTCTCTGTGGTCTCGCGGGTTCGGCGGTATGGAGAGGTGTAGAAGTGCAAGGTGTCGTCGGGTCGTAGTAGTTCTCGTAGTCTGCGACCTGCCTCTAGCGCTTGCATGTGTCCTTCGGCGGTGAGTTTTACGCGGTGGTCTGGCACAGACTGGTGAATCTCGCGGTTCTTGTTTCCTTCGGATTGAGCATGGCGGATGAGGATGATCATCTACTTCCTTTTGTCAGCTTGACGGTACTTTGGATTGCCTGAATGGTCTATGTATGCTTTGCTCACCCGTGGTTTGCCCATCGTGAGTATCTATTCCGACTCTGTCTCATGTGCTCTTAAATCGATGAAGCGTGATGTAGGTATATTTGAAATTGAGTCGTAGATATGCATAAGATGTGTATAAATATTGCACCATTACCCTCGAGTCTACATTTCCAGGGGTGGCAGTGTCTGAAATGTTTGAAATGTTTTAGAAAGCGTAGACCATAATTCGCATCGTAATGGAGTAATGCTAAACGCTCTTGCTAAGTCTGTTAGGCGCGGGGATGCGGAAGCGGAAGCGTACAGATCACGGGCGCATCTGATTAGCTGGCGGCTTCGATCATGGTTAAACACCACACCGCCCTCTACATCTCTACTTCCCATTCAGAGCCCCAGTGCACAGCCGCCGAAGGCTCTACACGCCATGGCAGACTCGATCCTTGAGGTGCTGTCTCCGCATCTCGACAGCAATGGCCCACCACCGCCATCGTCCTCGCGCACCTCCCCATCTCTCTCAACAGATGCCACGGCGCTGAAGTATATGAACCGACTGACCACCCTATCACTCGACAGCCTCAAGTCTACCGAACCCCAATCAATCTCGCATTCCGCTCATTCCACCCTGCTATCCCTCCAGGCGCTTTCGAACCGTTCGCATAAAGCGTTCATCGCATCCTCCGACCACCTTTCAAATCTCCAAGGCTTAATACCATCATTGTCGCAAGAGGTTAAGAAATTGCAGAATGAGATACCAAAACTTGACGAAGAAGCCGTGCGCTTCTCGACCCGATATAGCAAGGCCGGCGAAAACCCCGTTTTGGATCGCCGAAGGAAGGCAATGCAGCTGTCACGAAACGTGGATCGTATATCGGATATACTTGAGCTTCCAGCTCTTCTGTCAACTGCAGTATCATCTTCGGCTGCGGCCTCAGGCCCTGCGGCTGGAAGCTTGTCGACGAACAAATACTCGACCGCGTTAGACCTTTATTCGCATATCAAGCGTCTCCAGACACTCTATCCAGATTCCCCGCTGGTAAACGATATTGTTCTACAGGCTGAAGATGCAATGAAAGATATGACTACAAATCTTATAACTGGGCTCAGGGCGCAAAATATAAGACTGGCAGCCGCCATGCGGACAGTTGGTTGGCTTAGACGGGTGGCTCCTGAGCTGGAAAACCCGCGAGGAAATGGTGGATCAACATCCGATGAAGGGGCATTTGGCGCATTGTTTCTTGTATGTAGATTGGCAAGTCTAGTCTCTACGCTGGAGGCTCTGGATCCTCTTAGGGAATTGGCAGATCAGGAAACCAAGCGCAGAACCGAGGCGCCCTCATCAGAACAAAGATCATCAAATTCTGCTAAAACTAATGCATGGTCTGGAGGTCAGCAGACTGAGCGGTTCTTGAAGCGGTACATTGAGATATATCGCGAGCAGAGTTTTGCGATTGTATCGCTATACAAAAATATTTTCACAACAGAACCATCATCTGACACCGAGCTGATCACGGCTAGCATTTCTGGATTGAAAACACAACCACCACCGAAACAGGCCAAGAAGATCGACCCTCTACAAACGCTTCCTCCGACAGTTGCAACGTTCCCAATTCACCTTGTCCGCTTACTTACAGATACTCTCCGTACTTATCTCCCTAATGTTCGTGACAAGAGCTCCCGAGAAAGTCTCCTGACGCAAGTCCTCTACTGCGCCGCCAGTCTCGGCCGGCTAGGCGGCGATTTTAGCATGATACTTACAGAACTCGAAGCCGAGGATGAGGAAGAGGGAGAGGACGAAGAGTCAGAGGCCGATGGAGAACTTGTTCGTGAGTGGGAGCAAGTTATGCGGAAACATCGGGCTTTGGCAGGAAAGCTCGAGCAGCTTACGAACGGCCCATCATCGGCTGCAAACGCTACGAAGGGCCTTTTGCCTGTGTCCTCATAGTAAACAGTATATTTGAAAGCTATAAAAGCCGTTTTGGCATGTATGATAGGATCACGAAATATGATGAGTAATGCGCCGATTAGAATAAAGAATATCTGACCAGGGGCTGAAGATAGTAGATAAAACTAGTTGCAAGAACCATAAGGACCCTTTGGAAAGGAAAGCTGGTCCAATATAAGAATAGGGCTGGAAGGAAAGCATTGAAACACATTTATATACGACAGCGCATTTGTGAGAATCTCGGATTTATTTTGCTGTTGCTCCGTTCCTTCTCCGACTGCAGTATTTGCTACCGCTGAGTCTCGGTTCTGACAATGTGAGTGCTTTCTTGACCATTTATAGATGCTAATTGAGTGACAATCTGTCCCGATCGAGGAATAGCGTTGCCAAGAGCTAGAAACTTGGCGCTCATGTTTGTACGATACCTTTTTTCGATTGCATTGTGAGCGGCTTTTTTATTTTTCTTCGCTGCGGTTGCGTTTTTCTCTGAAGTTGTTGAAGAACTGCCGGGTCGGGAGATTGAAGGTGACTGAGATAGAGCAGAGGAGGAAGAAGAACTGGAGGATTTTCGGAGTCGAAGGGATGATTCGTTGGTGGTATTCTCGGTGGGAATGGCGGCGGCACCGCTCGCTTTAGAGTTGGCGATGTTGGTGGCAGGTGGTGGCTTACTTGCGTTTCTGTGACTTGGAAGGGGTGGTAGGGTACTTCTTTTCATACCAATGATAGGAGCAGCAGTAGTGGCAGTAGGAAACTGGCTGCTATGGTTATATGTCCGAGACCAGGCTTCTCTTTCGCCATCCTAGGACAGAAATAGGATTATCAGCTATTTAATCTGAATCTAAGAATAAGAAAAATAGTCAACATACCATTACAGGCGATAGCTAGGATAGGGCATCTTCTCTCTCCACTATAAAACCTTTGGGGTCTATGATGGAAGAGTTGGCAGCAGTGTTGGAGAATGCTTTTAGAAATTCTAGCCCATCATTGACTTCCCCTGCTACGTCAAACATCTGTTCATTATTATAATCGGCAGAAAGATCCCAAGGTGTGAATTCAAAAGCAGTGTTGTTTTTACTTATCCAGTCCGTGACAGAAGAGGACAGTATTGGCGAGAAGCCCGATGTGAGCAGACTTGACGTGCCATTGTCCTCTGAGGAAACCTCTGCTGGGTAAACCATCATAGACCTCATCAAGTCGAAAGATCTAAGCGTTGATTGATAGTAGGCATTAATATATCCCGGGTACTCAAATTGTGACCGCTCAAATTATCAAAAGGCTAGGCAGAAAGACACATGGTAATCAATAATTACAATGTATTTCAATATTCATTTGCTTTTAGGCCAGGGCACCGAGTATATATCATAAACCTACAAAGTCAACCAAGTAGAAGCAAGAAAAAATAATGATGTGATCGGTTCGAAGTCTTAAAATTGGTAGCCCATAATGTGAATGAAATCCATTAGTTAACTCTGACTATATAATATATCCAATTCAACTACCTGTAAGGGATTCCACCTCCGTTCAAGATTTGATGCTCTAAGCTGCTTACCATTATTATACGTCACAGTAGTTCATTAACAGTGTAGCTGACCATTCTCTTTGGCTTCCTAATAATTTTAATACTAAATATTAAATAACGTAATCTGACATACAAAAGTTCGCCTAATGATGACCCCTTGCTAACAACAAAGCCACCTGCCGTGTCTCCTCTAGGTGATCCACTACTAGTTGCAAAATATCAAAGTGTCTTGCAGACTTACTCTCCGATCTTTCCACCTCTGTAGCATCACCTTCAGCAGAATACAGCATCTCTACACCTCCTGAATTATGCTGGCCCAAAGGACGCCAAGGCTCCTGACCGTTAGCGAATGTAAGCCAGTGTCTCATTATTACCTGTGACAAGTAAACATCCTTGGACGACTCGTTGCCACTAGTTGGTAACACAGACGGTGTACCGTGTAGATACAACAGGTCTATGGCATGGTGCGCAGCATTCGCAAATATGGACCCGCTGGAGGGAGAGAGCCATTTGTTTGGGCGATTCATTCGATATACAAACGTTCGGTCCGGATTGGAGCGAGAAATTACCCCTTCTGCGGGCCCAGAGAACATAAGGACACTTTGCATGGCAAGTATCTTTGGAGTTAATGATGTGGGATCTGCGGTTGACGGGTTCAGTAGATCAAAGTGCCTTAGTAGAGGGGTAGGGAGAGATGAAATCATTTTGGCGAGGTTTATTGTGGGCGAAGAAGACATGGTCAGCGCAGTAATAATCCCCTGTTCACATTAGCAATCATGCTAAAATGAGATGAGAGAATAGGGGGACCAGTTACATCATTTTCACAATCCCCAATAACAATACGCTTGCAAAAGGGCTGGATGCCGAGGAAATCCGTGTCCGGGGGGAAGAAACCATCCTCCATTTGACGATCATCGAGCAGAGTGAAGGCCGCCAAACGGCCTTTAAAGGTCTTTTTCATCGCTTCCACAATCTCTGTCGCACTAGTACCTCTCATGGTTTGGAGGTCAACATTTTCCGTAAAGCCCAATGCTTCTGCGAGCCGGTCGTGCCCCTGGCATGCGCTTAAGCGCTCCAACGTCACCGGTGAGCAGGTTCCAAGAGCTCCGGACTGGACAATAGCCTGATGGAATAGCGGGCTTTTTGCAACCATGTGAGAATGTACAGAAACTGTCTTTACGTCAAATACGTCGCAGAGCCGGCCAAAGCATCAGAGAACTAATTACCTGCACCTGCACTCTCGCCAAATATGGTAACCGCATGCGGGTTTCCACCGAATGCTTCAATATATTCTTGGACCCATTCCAAGGCCAGCCGCTGGTCCCAGAGCCCTACAAACGTTAATCTCAAATAAACGCACAGGCATGTAATTCCAGATCGTACCGTAGTTGCCCACACTCTTACCGCCGCTTTCTACGAGTAATTTTGCACTGGCGAAAAAGCCCAAGTAGCCGAGCCGATAACTAGCCAGTCAGCCAGAAGTCTGTGTGGAAGAAGAAAGTCCGCAACGTACTTAATGGAGACATATATGACTGGTTTCCCCAGCGATATCGACTCCTTCACCAGTGGAATTCCATCAAATGCGATCTCGCTGTTCGATCCGATGGAAAAGCCGCCACCTGGTCCGATACCATCAGCCTACGCCGTCGAGCAACTACAATGAGACAACATACCGTGGATCCAAACCATGACGGGAAGGTTGCTCGCGGGTGTGCAACCGCTAGGTCGAACAATATTGAGATGCAAACATTTGAATTCATCTTGCACAACCAGAGGACTAGATGGGAAGCCGGGTACACTTAGTTGCGAAAAGTCGGCGGCGGATGGCTGAGGGCATCTTGGGCTATGTCACTTTGGGTCAGTGAGGAACTTCGCATTTGCTGTCGAAAGGGGTCGTGAAGTCCACACCCGTGCCGAGTTCCATCATGCTTCCCACATTCGAACCGCGTGATTGCCTCTGGCCGCGTCCAGCGGGTTTTCAGCAAACCGTACGGTATTCCAAGAAATTGGGAGACACCGTCCGACGTTGTAAAGCCTTTTACTTGGCCTAAACCTGGGACAGCGACAAAGGAGTCGTCTTCTGGCGGCTGCGACGTCGACATGCTGAAGGTGAGCGCCAAATAGACTGGGATTTAATAGAGAGATGAGTATACAGTAGGACCGTTTTGAGAACGTGTATCTAGGGGTAACTAGGCAATCAGGCAACATGTAGGAGTCCAGAGCAACTAAGATGCGACAGGTGGTATGCTGGCTTGACCAGAGAGCGTGACGGGAGTTAGAATATAGCGTGGCGTATACGTATATTCTTTCTCCTGATTGTGAGCAAAGCTTTCTTGCATGAACCAAGGCTGGTTCTGGCCTTGCCTCGGCAGTGTTCTGACGTGGTTAGTAAACACTAAGTCTGGGGAATGTCGAATCAGGCCTACCTGCATAGGTAATATTCACCGTTGGAAGGACAGCTGTGGGTTAATTCTTCCAACTTAGGCAATTATCCTTGGCGACCTGAGGCTTCTCTGGCTGTTTATTAATCTTGATCAGTAAGCGTCTCTGCTCGCTGACTACCTCGGCAGCCCTTAAGGAGTACCCAGTATTCTCCGCAGTATCAGGGTATATATCTGCGAAATGGTGACGTTGTAAGCCTCCAAGTGAAGCAATCTTTGTCCCTTCCAAATACGCATACGTGCCCTTGGTGGTATGTTTGATAATGGATTCTGTTCCCGGAATTCGTATGCTAATGTTTGTCTACAGTGACAAAAGAAGGAAAAGTTACACTTATCAATGCCTCAACTTGTCAGCCTCATCTCCGGCGCGGACTGGACCTCATTCGGCCCCACGACGCCTGCGCAACGTTTCTACAAAGATTATGTGGACGCCGTCGATAACCACGGTTTTACCCATGGTTCCGGCCTGCGGTACTACGCGAAAGATGCCATTTTTCACAACCAGAACAATGCCCAATATAAAGGTGGCGACGAAATGTGGGCGTGGATGAAAAAGCTCTTCGGCCAGTTCCAGCGTCTAAGACACGACCACGTTAGCATCTGTGAGATCCGTCATGAAGATGGGACTGCACAGATCATGTCCCAGAGCCATCGGAACATCTGGCTATCCGGGAACAGTACCGACAAACCCAGCGTGAGCATCCCGCTGTGTTTTGTGTGCCGTATTGGTCCAGCCGATGATCCCCGTGCCATTTCTGGCTTGCAATACAAGGAGGTCTGGCTGTATTGGGATACGGCCTTGCTCTCGCCATTCCTCCCAGAAGATGCTATCGTCTTCCGCACAAAAAATATCTTGACAGATCCAGAAGAGCACTAGACCAGCCTAATACTTAACGCATATTGCATATCTAGACAGACATGGAAGTAAATTTCTTGATACGATGAGCTTTGTCCCCAACCCAAAGCTGGTGAAATATTCGGGGCACTCAATAGATTACTTGTTAAAGTACAGACAAATTCGAAACTCCCTTCACCTTCTTACACACCTCTCTCTTTGTTTTTGTCGCACAGCCAAGGCTGCCCCCTAAAACACGATGAGACTGGTATTTTTCTGTCATCGTAATACCGGCCCTCAGATTTAAAGCACCTCAAAGAGATTAAGGTCATGCTCATTAAAATGAACCTTTTGTTAAAATTTAATGAGGGGGCAATAATTAGCCTCAGGTAAACATTATGTATAGAAGTGGTATTATAAAATACCAGTCTAATCGTGTTTTAGGGGGCAGCCTTGGCTGTGGGACAAAAACAAAGAGAGAGGTGTGTGAAAAAGTGAAGGAAGTTTCGAATCTGTCTGTATATTGACTAGACAGTGTACTACATATTTCTTAACGGGTCTGCCTTCACAGTATGAATAAGGGAACTGTGGGAAGTTGCCATAACCCCCTCAATAGCAACGCCAGGCTTGTAGGAGTGCTAGCCGCCTTTAGATAGGAAATAAGTTCGAGACATGGGCAACGGCAAAGTTGGTACGTAATTCTATAGTGTACGGAAATAGTACGTGGCCGGGATGCAGGCACTCCGTCAACAATCGCACCACTTCCTTTCTTATAAACCGAGGCAAGCAGCCGCGTCAGTATCATTCAGAGCTAAACATGTTTGCGTAGGAATTCAATCTGGACAGCTATGTTTTTCTCAAAGGCTTCTCCAACATAGATGTCAAAGTGGCCTACGCCATCGATAACGTAGAGCTGCTTTGGTTCGCGTGCCTTGCCGAATGCTTCCAGTTGAGAAGAGGTTCGTACAGTACGGTCATTCCCTGGAACCACCATCAGAAGAGGAGTTGGCGTAACCCGGTGGATCATCGCCTGAGCTTCAAATTCCAACATATGGAGCTGCGTTTGCTCGGTGACCCAGTTCTCCCAGCGCCCACCGGACTCGTAAATGCCATTAAGAGCCTGGTATGCATGAAGGTCAGGGAAGAGGACCGGGGCGGTCCCCGTTTTGGCTGCCTCCAGGTCAGATGCAACGCACGGCACTCTCCCACGAGTTTTGCCGGCCACGATGTTCGCACGATCTTGAAAAAGAGCCGGGATTCGATCTTTGAAGGCCAGCGACCGCGTCTCGCCAGACACCGCCGGCGCTTGAACGATGGCAGCCTTGATTCGCTTGTCCACCGCCGCGGCATAGATGACATTGCCTCCAGAAAAGCTAGTGCCCCAATACACGATACGCTCGGGATCAACACCCGGAAGGGTCACGGCGAAGTTGAACGCATCATAATAATCTGTCTGCTGCAGGGCCGGGTTAGATTCTTGCCGCGGCTCGCCGTCGCTGTCGCCCCAGTTCCGATTGTCATACACAAGGACGGCAAATCCAGCTTGATGGAATCGTTCTGCGAATGGCGGAAGTAGGAAGTGTCTGATTCCCGCGAGCTGCCCCCTGGTCAGTCGCCGCGTTCGAGGAACACACCCCATATCAGTTTACTTACACCGTGTGACATAATGATGCACGGGCTCTGGGACTCTCTTGGGTAGTGCCATCCTCTCAGGGTCGTGCCGTCACAGACTCTAAATTCGATATCTTGACGAGAGAGAGTCATTATGTTGGCTATTCTGAATAATAAAAAGTAGGAAGCGTGGAAAGAGACGGGGGCAGTGGGGGTGCGTTTGACTTGGTAAGAACCTCTTCTATTTATCACCATGATCTACATTGATTTGCAATCAATCATAAACTTGTCCTATGCTACTAACTCGATGCTTACTACACTCATCGCGTCTAATTATCGGAGCTATCTATTAGTGCGCTTATATCAACCGAGGAGATCTCTTAAATGATTACTCACTAACCTTAGAATAATTATAGCTTAAAGCTTATTTTAACCGAGGAGATCTCTTAAATGATTACTTACCAACCCCAGAATAACTATAACTTAGAGCTTATTTCAACCGAGGAGATCTCTTAAACGAGATTATTCATCAACCCCAGAATAATTATGGCCTATAGCTTATTTCAACCGAGGAGATCTCTTAAGCAATTAATTACTCATCAACCCCAGGATATGACGCCATATGAAGTGATGGCCAAATTCACCCTTTCATGATAATTATTTATTTGGCCGTGGCCATGCAAACCCTCCTTCTAAACCAAGTCGAAGGGATCTAGGACAAGTTAGTCGCACTATGGGTCTTCAGTACAAAGTCTTTTACTCTCGGCGACCTGGGGTGAACCGCTCCGTGCCCGCCGGCCACGACCACTTGAAATGGGTCCCAAGCAGCTCGACTTTGATCTACGGGGAAATCGATGCAGCTCTCATCGACACGCCTCTTACGATTGAGGCTGGAAAGCAGCTCGTGGAGTGGGTAGTTGCCAGTGGGAAGAACTTGACCCAGATTTACGTCACGCACGCCCATGGGGACCATTTCTTTGGGTGCGCGGCACTGCTCCAGGAGTTTCCGAAGGCGAAGGTGTTAGCGACTAAAGAAGTTGTGGTTCGGATGGAACAAGAAATTCGACCTGAGAGGCTGAACAGTTTCTGGGCTCGACTCTTCCCCGGCGAGATTCCCACGGGATTGGTGACGGCAGAGCCTCTCCCCATCGACGAATTTGAATTGGAAGGGGAGAAATTGGTGGTTGTGAGGACTGGCCATACCGACACCGATGATACCACTGCTCTCTGGGTCCCTTCAATTGGGCTGGTTGTCACCGGCGATTCGGTGTATAACAATACACATCCTTACCTCGGAGAATCCGGGAGCAAGCAGAAGCGACTGGAGTGGATTGCCTCATTAGACAAGATTGCCGCCCTCAAACCAGACTTTGTGGTCGGTGGACACAGTGATCCGAGCAAGGGACACAGCCCGGCTGCTATCGGTGAAACGAAGAGTTACCTGCAAGACTTTGAACACTTCCATGAAATAACTACCACGGTTGATGAGCTATATTATCGGATGTTGGAAAAACACCCGGACCGCCTGAATCCAGGTTCCCTCTGGGGGGCTGCAACAACCGTGAAGAACGCTTCCCAGGTGTGAGATGTCCTCGCTATCTAAGGTGGCCGTAGCGCGTGATCTGCTCATCTCGACTACACGCGTATCTTGGTTTCCGCTGCTTAGTTGTCATTCTTTGCAATATCATGACTCAATTTATTCCTTGCTACTATAAAGTGCTGTCTTAAAAGTCGCTAAATATACCTATTATGTAGATGGGTCATGGTGTAAAACACGTGGCCTTTTTCACGTTGTATAGGAACAGCTGTTAATGCCATATACGTAAAATATTTCTATGGTGTGAAGCTATGTCCATCTTTCTTGAATCTGCTTAGTTTTACACTCATGTAACAATACCCATGTCTCATTAGCATGCAATGAAAGATCGGCAAAGGCAAGAAGCATGCTTTGACCTATGCAATGCCATGTCGGACGCGCGTATCTTGAAGATAGAACATCCCCTGTACTGTGCTGTTACGAACTAACGAAGAGGGGGCGTTATGGCCGCAGCTGAGGTTAAAAGCTGACACGACCTTAGGAGAAGGTCATTTCATTACCGAAGTTATGTGACGGACTAATGGCTTGCTAATGGTCCTACGATAAATACAGCTGTCTAGACGAAGTTCCATATAAGTCACAGTTATTTCCTTAGATAGCAGCTTAAAAAACTCAACTATAGTCTTCAAACATACTTAATAACAAACCGAGTTTACACTCCTACCTCTTGCTCAGTGACAGCGTCCCTGTCTACCAGCCCAACTCAACAGCTTCACCAGCACCCTGTCTAAGCTTTCGCTACACATATGTACCTCTTCAACAATTACTGGCCCATTATAAAGCTGATACCAGACATGACATCTCCCAGGAAGTCACCACTGGGAGCTGGACAGTCAAACGCCCAGAACACATGGGGTAAACTCTTGAAGTGGTCGAGCTTCACGGGGATACTAATATGTACGAAATTAGTTGCACGGCTTACGCAAAATCTAGGAAATTAGTTGTGAAGCTTACCCAGCTCTTTTGAGGACCTCGCGCAGAATAATTCCATCATCACGCAGAGGATCAGCCTCACAAACAGCAATATACGTTGGTGGAAAGTTATCTAGGTGCTCGCTGTGGATAAGAAAAATGTCAGGATCATTGGGGTTGGTTTCGGCTGCCTCTGTAGTATCTCATGGTTATTGATGTACGGTGAACAGCTGCTGTGGAGAATAGACATACCAAAAAAGATGTTCATGGCACTTGCTGTGTTTACTGGACCATCTGCACACTCGTGAAAGGATGTATATTTGTCCGCGTAGCTTAACGGCACGTTTTGAGGATGGATAACGAATGGAACCAGTGCTGCAACACCCTTCGCCTCAGACTTCCGCCCTAGAGCGATCAATCGATTCACTGTTGCCAGGGCCAGGGTTCCCCCGGCACTTTGACCAATGGTGAAGTATTTTGTGCGGTCACCACCCAGAATCGGTGCGTTCTCGTATGCCTTGGAGGATTGGGTTAACAGCCAGGATCCCTCTATCAGTTTCCGTGCAAGGCCGAGTTTAACTCACCCAGGTCCACGCTTCTACTGCATCTTCAAGCTGTACTGGAGACTTATGTTCTGGAGCGAGTCTATAGTTAACTGAAGCAACGATGCAGCAGAACCGTTCTGCTAGGATGCTGCAGAAGCCATCTTCAGAGTCCAGATCCCCACAACAGAATCCACCTCCGTGAAAGTAAACCCCAACTGGCCGAAGGTCTGTCCCTTTTTCCGTCGGAGTATATAGCCTGATCAATAGGTACGGGGTAATATACTTGTTCTCTGTAATTTATTAGTAGCTGATGCTGCTAAGGGACACGCCCGCTTGTGCATAAGTCCAGAGACTACATACCCACTGATACTTTATTGACCTTGGAGGCAATTCCTTGGCCTGAAAGAGCTTTATATTGCTCTCTCATATCCAAAACATCCCCTGTTAATCGTGGTCTGTATCCAATTTTTTCTTCCACCTAGACCATTGTTAATATGGGAAGTACAGACTGGCTTTCAGGCTCATACCTGAAGCCACTCTTCAGCCAAGGATGGACCCATGGTGGCGTCAAAACTCTGGGCCGTTCCTGAAGACTTCACGGGTAGGAGTAGCTAAAATTAGAGGGATTTTCTCGTTAGAAGTTGATTGTTGGATCGTTGCAAGTCGAAAAAATTGGCGCATACAAAGTATCTATACCTCCGCTCCAAGCTCTGCTACTCCTGAACCACGAAGACATAAGTGCAGTATAGATTATTAACTCAGTATAATTGCTCAGATAAAATATTTATAAGCAGCAAACGTAGAATACAAGCCGAGCAATCAGTAATCCAAAAAGAAAATCCCGAGCCGCGGGACGGGTGGAGCTCTGAGCCCTCAGATTTGTCTTACTGAACTTGGAGTCTGGAGATAATGACTTACCTTGGCTCTCTTGCAGTTCGGCTGCGGTCTTTTACCACACCTCCTCGGTTTGTGGTGAACGTCGCTCGTTTCGGCTTCCACAATCAATCCCAACCTCATGGCCTCTGGTTGACCCGGATCTTCCAGTCTGCTCTCTCTTCTTATATACTCAGAAGATCCAGAAGGTCGGCTGCAATATCGTAAACAGCTTGGATATCATGAGCAACTCCAGTTTTACTTCCTAATTACATCATATTTCTTCCAATATTACCTGAGTAAGGCATAGGCTGCCATTTGCTTCGGTTCTGGTCCTGGTCCTTACTATTAAAACTAGAACTGAAAATTGAACAGTTCTAACCCTATAAATTAAAACGAAACCATATTAATTGAGAATTACTAACTATAGTTATATTATTCTATTTTTAGTTAGATTAGTTGTAATAAATTTTAATTTATTACATTGTATCACAGAATATACAGAATATAGTTCGAAATTTCTTGATAGATGAGAACTCTTCCCTGAATACCTAGTTAATATATATTCTGGTATCTTGTGTAGTTTTGGATGAGATCTATCTACATTTAAGAATAGCCGCATATGTAAGCAGTTAATACGTCTATATTCCTATAAGAATTCATCATAATTTACTCCGAAGTGTTGGTATATAATCCGGAATAAATTAATCCATTCTACCTCTCCACTTTTTCGGAATAGAATCCTCCACTTTTCGGAATAAAAATCTAAGCTATTTCACATTCACTCGGAATTACTATCAGTCGTAGATCAATAAATATATTATCTCATCTGGACTGACTACTTCTTTTCCATTACCAATATCATCTTTCGAGTACAAAATCGCCATGCTACGTCGGAATAGAACACCCGTCTCCTGTGAGCCTTGCCGCATAGCCAAAGTACGGTGTGATCATGTCACTCCAGTTTGTCAACGATGCCAGTCAAGAAATATTGTTAATCAGGCAAGTATAATTCTACATCTATCACAAAAACTAGATATTTATTTCTAATATATCTACCTTAGTGCTACTATCATCCTGCTCCGTTAACTAAAGCAAAGGGTGGAAATAGCGGTTCGCTCACAAAACAGAAACACCGGAGTCAAGCCAGGTCGAAATCAAAGGCAATCACCTGCACTTCAATAAACTCGCAAAGGAAAGCAAATCAATGTTCTTATGCAAATTTTACCGGAGTACCCGATAGTTTCTTCTTTCTTGGGCCCACTAGCTACTTATCTGTATTCAGAGACGCCCCCTTATTGACGGCACCGAACGACTCTCTGAAAGCAGAATTCGAGCAGTGGCGAACCGACTTTACATATACGTGTTCCCGTCTAGTTCACTTGATTTCTATGGTCGGATTTTACTATGACCAAATCGCTTGGTACTATGGTCGGGGAGGTTTCAGTATTATTCCAGGGCCACTTGTCCTACGTTCACTCCACCTGGTGCAAGAACATATTGAGAAGAATTACCGGGACATGACAAGTGACAAAATTTACAAGGAAATCACCAGTGCAACATCACGTCCCATGAAGGTCACTACTAACGTATCACCCAATGAATTCTGTTCTTTATTCACAGGGGAGAACCTTCGGTGGGAATTTATTGGTTTTATTTTTGCTTTGGCTGGACTTAGTGTTCAGCATCGATATAAAGGCACTCATATCTTGAACCTAAAAGGAGAAGAGATGGATGCTGAGACATTTACAAAAGAGATGGTACTCGCAGGTAATGCTTGTATTCAGATATGTGGACAGCATGGACATGTTAACGACGTGATGATTTGGATGCGGTACACTCATGCCCTCTTAGTATCAGAGGTATTAGGGGAAACCAGTACGTTCTTTCCTCTGATAACATGCGACTAGCTAACATTGAATAAACATCAGGTCAGAGACTATATAGTCTTCTTGGTGACTTAGTCTCGAGTGTTTACGCAATGGGTTTACATTATGATTGTCATTGTGTTAATGCTCCATTCTATCTTTCTGAAACCCGAAAGCGAGTATTAGCGATTATACACAAGGGAGATAAGGGTGTATCGACACTTCTAGGACGGCCACCCCGTCTACCGCATAAATACTGCGATACCACCCTACCGCTAGATCTAGCAGATGATCAGCTTTTTGTGGCTGATAAGGCTAGTGTACTTAAAGGACTTAATGAAGACGGCTGGAATCGCCAAGGACAGTTCTACCCGGCAACTGTGATACGCATGCGTTCGATATTATCAACAGTTAGGGAACAGGTGCTAGAACTGGCCTTGGAGCGCAAACATGAAAATTATGATGAAAATATATTGTAAGATACGGCCGCCTCAATATTCTGTCTTTTCTATCCAAATATCTAATTGATAAAATAGGAAGACGTACCAATCATGCCAAACAGCCTGGGACCAGATCCCAGTCAGATTCCGTTATAATTCTTGTTGTTGGCAAGAAAAAGATATCATCGAATGCCTAGCACGAGCAATTATATATTTTGAATACCTCTCTAGTGTTTTTCACCTGCAGAGAATAAGAACGAGATATACAGAGAGTCCTGATGCTACTAAAGATTTACTTGATACCTCAATGCAGGTGCTAGCGGTTGTCATGGATCTAATAAAGCAGTATCATCGACATGACGTTCAGAAGCAATTTCAATGGACTGTATGTATCCATCAGCATTTATTTATGGTCATAACTAACTACATAATTTCCAGTTTCTTGTATACGGCATTCCAGCCGCTGGTGTGCTTGTCACTGAGCTCCATCGTCATACTATTTCTAATCACCCTCTTCCGTCATCATCATCCCGGTCAGAAATTATTCGCACTCTCAGCACTTTGATATCGTGGCTTCAAACTATTGAAATGCCGTCCTCAGTCACCACTAATGCGTGTGTGGAAGTCATAAACGTGATAAGTCGGCTTCTTGATGAGGCGCTAAACTACCGGTCTTTCCATTCTCCTCCTCCATGTTCTACTTTTCAAGATCCTAAACACCAGTTGAAAAGTCACAATACTGGTGTGCGGATCTCCACACCTTTTCCGGAACAGTGTACAGAGGAAATGGCTCAATCACCGCAACCACAAATAACTATAGGAGAAACATCAATGGGACCATCAATGGGACTATCATTAGGTCTCGAAATGGACATGAGATTTGGTGATGACATAATGAGTGAAGGACTGAATTGGCTTGATGATTTGGATTGGGATACAGGAAATACAGTGACAGCGGACAAGGCTTCGTAATCACATCATCTTCTATCACCCGAGTGAACCTACAGGCTTAAGATTGACTCAGCATATGATCAGCGATCACATGAAGTTGCTGTGGTGTCAGCAGTTATGATGACCTGCCCAGTTGTTTCGATTCTACACCAAAATTTTCAGAAAGCGAATGCCCAACCGCCTTGCCTTTACCTGGCTCTAACCTCGCTCTTTTCACCCGCCCTCTATTCGGTTATTATCAGTCTTTGTAAACCCGTCAATTTCAACTGGAGAGAATATTTGAGAATTCAGCCACTCGGAAGCCACAACTATGTCTCTATCGAGGTGTCTGGTGTGTCTGATAAGAATGTTGCCGTCCAGGAAGACGTGGAGATCAAAGTTCAAGAAGACCAACCCAATACGTCTGTTGCTATGGAAATAACAATTGTACCTCTGGATTATCTCGAGCATCCGTTCAATGCCGAAACGATCTACGGCTTACATCGTTGGCTCAAGATTAATTGGGTTACTATGTTTGTTGGGATTTTGATCACATGGTTCGCCTGGCCGCTGTCCCTATATCGAGATTATATCTTTAGCAAGAGCTTTTTCACTGGCTGGGTAGTTGTTGCCGTCATTGGCAATTCTTTGCGTTCATGGCGGTGGTGGTGCATCCTCTATGGGCCGGCCAGAGTCAGATTCTACAGGCCTTCTCTAGTACCCATGTGTCACGAGAGACATTGGTAAAGGGAAGATGGGCCAAGTTAATTAGTAGTTCGTTGCCTACATATGTAATAGGAATGTACGACTGATATCTTCAATACTGCTCATATATTGTCACTCATCTTTCCCAAGGCTTATCAGTGCAGAAATATATACGAAAATAGAAGGCAGCAGGGGGGATTTGCCGGGTTGCTTACAGCCAAGGGGGTAAGAGGGCTGAAAACGGTAGATGAATCATTATTAAATCCTACATGTAGCTTTCTTTGATAGTTTTGATTACATTCACACAATATTAACTAGCTATTTATTATTTAGTATTATTTAGTATTATTATTATCATTACTATTATTACTATTCTATAGGCCATTATCGATGCCTTGGGATGCTTTATGGATGAGGGGTAAAACAGCGTTCCCGCTAGCCCGATTAAGGATGGCCCGGCTGACTGCTGATTCCCCGGCCTTAAGGCTCAGGCCCGATCCTTGTCTCCTACAATGCCCTCTTGAGTTTGTGTTCCACGCTTTGCTGACCTGACTGGCGATGGCCTTTCTTTGCGAGGCGACCTTCTTTGTTCTTTTCTAGCATTCTTAAATACCCGCGCGTCCGTAAGTAGGTAGCGTGTGGTATATATATACACTCTATCCGAGAATACCGTCCATTTGCCGGACCGTGCCTATATATACCGGTCTTTGCAAGGCCACGCCCGACAATTGAGTCGACAAATTTGCTTGTGAAGGCCCAGGTGCTGTTTTGATTCTGGTGAAAATGTCTCTAGGCAGTGGCACGTTGATCGACCCTTCGAAACCAGGAGAGTATCCCATCTTACTCGGCGACAAATTGGCTCGGAAGGGGAGTGTGGGGGGGTCGTCGTTCGTTAATATAACGTATAATCACAAGAGCAAGTCAGCGACACCGAACCAGCGCACGAAAATAACCCGATCGTCCGTTTCGCAAGACATCTACAATCTCACCATCACGGACAAAGCGGGAAATGCCGAGCAGACCACGTTAGAGTACAAATACAAAGGGAGCGTTGATCCATCGTTGCCCGTGCAGAATTTGGAGACTCGGAATTTAGTGCTTGTTTTCGATGCCAATCGTAAAGCTTTCATCCTAGAGCCGGTTGGTACGAACTTGAATTTCAATTTGCGGTCTGCTCCTGGAAAGAACAAGGAAGCGATTGACCAAATCGAGCAACTGCACACTCTCGATGACGACGCTGATCATGCGTCGAGAGATGAGACTGATGATGAAAGTCAAGAAAGCGCCGACCGGGATAACCCGTATGACTTCCGACATTTTCTACCCAAGCCTAATGTCGAAAGCAGTAAGCCCACGCTGTCGACAACGACCACTCCAGACCCGCATGGTGCAGTTAGTAGGATTGATACGCCTGTGACGAGGCCTACGAAGGTCGAGAAGACGAACCCGAAAACATTGCCCAAAGCTAGACAGCAAACAAATCTTCTACACAAACCGAAACAAGGACTGAAGTCTGCTCCAATGAGCACGGCACCGGCTACGTCGGCAACGAAAAAGAGACCACCCAAGTCAGCGGAGCGCGTGGAATCAGAAGATCTCAGCTCTGAATCCGCACCGTCTGATGATGAGCAAGCTGAGCCGCAGCTGGATTCAAACAAAAGCACGGCCTCTCCAAGCTCTAATATTATTATCGATGGAGATCTCATTATTGACATGGGCTCTCCGCCATCACGGCCCAGCTTCAAAGTTAACCCTGCTCATTTCTCGTCCAACAACAGTTCGGCAAACGAAGCCGACGACGATGATGAGGAGGAGGAGGATATCGAAGACTTGCGACTCCCATCTCCGGCTCGACAAGACACAACAGCGCCATCGACTGATGCTAAGGGAGAGGATGAGGATGATGAGGATGCGCTGGCAGCAGAGATGGAAGCTGCTTTTGAAGAGGAGGCATCAAGGACACAAAACATGCAACAGACTCAGCGATATATAAGCGAAGACGAGAGCGAGGTCAGTGAGGAGGAGTAACGTATCTACTTTTATCCAGCTTCTGCTTCTGTATCTTGCTTTTGGTTACTTGGACAGGATTTACTTTATATCATGATGGCACATAGCGTTGGCGATAAGTTTGGATGTCACACAATATTGGCAATTCAGGTGTTTAGGATAGGGGTTTTATACCATGAGTACTTATCATTATCTTTATTTTCCAATTCTCTTCCTGGCTCTTCGTCCGAATGAACAGTAATTACTAAGGTGTGTGAAACCGATATACCTATCAATTGATACGCTACTATTCGAGATCGGGCGGCCAATCAGCGCGGCGCGTTGAATGCGGCGAGGCGGCTCTCGCCCGGCCGCGAATTTGCCCATCCATCAGCCCAGCCCTTTCTTTGGCGGTTGACCACATCCCCCAATACCCTCGTCTCCGTGGAAAGGCCAATCTGCGCGTTTCGCCATGCTTGAGCCTTTATGTAATACCATTCCAGGCAAGCACGAGATAATTCGAAACGACTGAGAGCATCTCGCCAACGACCCGGAGCTTGAACCCGATAATAGCACCGTCTCCAGAACGCGAGCGCCATCTGTTCTAGGTTCTTGATCTACGAATTCACTCATAATATGGCTTCCACGTCGTCTCAGCACCGGCCGAGACGACCGGTCCCCGCGCCGTCGAACCACGTCCTCCTAGAATCGCAGAAACAGTGGTACTTTACAGACGAGGAACTCACGAGAACGCCGTCACTTCTCGATGGCATGAGCGCGGACACAGAGCATATACAGCGGAGCAAAGGAGTGAATTTCATTGTCCAGGTGGGTATGATTTTGAAACTGCCTCAGCTTACCCTCAACACTGCGGCCGTCTTCATGCACCGCTTTTTCGTTCGATACAGCATGGTCGATCTCCCCCGTCGCCCGGGCCTTCACCCTTACTCCGTCGCGGCAGGGTGTTTGTTTCTCGCGAGTAAAGTGGATGAGAATTGTCGGAAAATACGAGAGCTTGTCATTGCCTGCTGTCGTGTCGCACAGAAGAATCCCAACCTGGAGGTCGACGAACAGAACAAGGAATTCTGGAAATGGAAAGACACGCTACTTGCCTACGAGGATTTGTGCCTCGAGGCGCTGTGTTTCGATTTGCAGTTGGAACAGCCGCATAAGATTTGCTACGAGTTTCTGTGCTATTTTGGAAAGAACGATCACAAGCCCTTGCGAAACGCGGCTTGGGCCTTTCTCAATGATTCTAACTTCACCGTCCTTTGCCTCCAGTTTTACCCGCGAACGATTGCTGCTGCTGCTCTCTGGGCAGGCGCTAGATTGTGCGACGTGGCATTTGAAGATGACGAACAAGGTAGTCCATGGTGGGAGCAAATCGATGTCAACTTGACAGAAGTTCGACGAGCTGTGAGCCGTATGGTCCAATTATACGAGAAAAATACCGTCCACCGCCAGTCCCATCAGTACCCTACCAATTCTACAGACAGCGACGGCAATTCGGAAACCACACGGATTGTCAACCCTCATCCAAGCAGCATCCCGGAGTCGATACCTGACGAGGGAGAAATAAATGGGCGCAAGCGGTCTAGAGAAGCTGAAGATAATATCAGCCCACCCCATTCAGCGACAAAAAACCACTCATCCTTTGGAAACAATAGTCGAGAACCCTCGCCAAAACGACAACGCTTAACCCCGGACCCTTCCAGAACACCAGCAGAGAGTTCTCAAAAGACATTATCCTCATCATCGTCACTTACTCAAAACGGTCTCCATCAGCTCCCCCGATCGAACTCCCGTATTCCTTCTGCTGCTTTTGACCAAAACCGCCGACAACAACATCCTCTTCCCCCACCGCCACCACCCGCACCCGCCGATACTCGCGATAAGAGCAACGGGACCAGTAATAATCATAATAACAGCCACGGTGGACAATTCACCGACTCAGCCGATGTCGTCCAGCAACGTATCGACGAGATTGTGCAACAGGGGTTAAGAGGGAGTAGTCGGAACAATAACCATAATTATCATCACGCGGAGCACGATCGAGATCGAGATCGATACCGTGATCACAATAAGTATAGGGATCGAGACCGAGAATGGGATCCTTCCTCCTCTCGACGTGATCGTGATGGCGGTGGTGGTGGTGGTCGGCACAGAGCAGACAGCTACGAACATGGTAACTACAGAGATCATGATCGAGATCGAGGCCGGGACTACTACCGTGATAATGACAGACGCCCATCAACAGCCGCAACGAACACATCGTCAACAAGCTCCGACAATCGCATGCGGTTAAGTGCCGAACCTGCTGCTGCTGCCTTCTTACCAACCCGCCCTTCCCCTTCTCATTCCCGTTCATTCAGCCGGATAAACCCGAGTCACAGGAAGAGGGAGGGAGACGACGAAGAGGGGAATGAAGAAGGAGAAATCAACTCCGATCGAGAGGAAGGCGAGGTGACCAGCACCAATCCACCGTCAGCACATAAGAACGACGAGGATGAAGGCGGTGGAAGCGAGGAAGGGGAAGTTTGAGCTGTTGTCTACCTCTTTTAAACGGATGAAAAGCCGATATAGTATTCTGCCGATCTGAATTTAGGCTAATATTATTATTTAAGAAATATCAATTTATTATTAATAACGTCGTAATAGCATTAAAAAAAAGCTTTTCTCGCTGAATAAGTCATCAATAAATCAACTAACATCAACACAGATTTAACAATAGCATCAATCGACACTATACAGGAATCTTTCCAACTGTTTGTAATGTCCCATCACTTCATCCATCTTGATCTGCCTGTATCATATATCTGAACGCGGTGGTCAACTGACTTTGTGTCTTCTCAAAAAGAAAAGAAAAGATTCGGCCTTTTTTCGTCTCCTGTCTTGTACCAACCGTGAGGTCGTAACAATCTCGTCTAGTCTTAAAAGCAAAGTTCTATGAAACGAGAAAGGATGAATAAAGGAATAGAATCCGCATGAAACAGGAGAAGAAAGAGGTTAGGTTTCGGCATCAGAGAGTAATGTAGTATTATGTACAAAGATGATCCTGTTTCACTGGACGGAAACAGAGTTGGGAGGTAGCCAGTCCCATAATCTATCCATCCCATAGAAATACATGAACAAGTAGACAGGAGGGGATAGATAGAACAGGAATGTGGAAGAAAGAGTAGGTATAGTAATCACATGTACAGAAGAAGAGAAGATCACACACGGACAAAACACACACATAGCGTACAAACCAGAGACCATGCTCGCATGTCTTGATAAGAACAATGTAAGAAAAATCAGGTATCAAAAGTTCCAGGAGAGGAGATAGAAAGTTGTAAAGTGGACTTTGTTTCCTCGACAGGAAAGACAAAGAGACGCAGGCAGAAAGTTGGTATTAAAAGAGTTAGGAAGAGCCGGGTAGAGTCAGGTTTCGCAGTGATATATTCAAGGTATCGAAGTTAGGACTTGCTTGCAGAGTCTATTCAGATATCTCCAAACATTTCGTCAAGCTCATCAACCTCTACGGTCTCAGGGCTACGCAAGTCACTCCAAGAATCGATGACCATGTCAAAGTCAAATGTGCTAACCTGCTTGGCCTGCATATCCGGCTTGATCGAGAGACCAGTCTCGAGCATATCAAAAGAGCGTTTCAGGGCCGAGGAGGCTGAGTTGTCCTCAACTACAGAGGAAGGTGTAGCTCCTCGCGCACTATCAGTGATGCTCTGCTTTAGTGACAGAAGACCATCTGAGGTAGAGTCTGCTTCCGACGCAGTCGTACCAGACGACAGTGAAGATGCGAGGGATGGTGATGGAGATGTACCGAACAATGTAGCAACGGCTGCATCATCCAAATCCTGATGCTGGTCATGAGAGCCTCCGTGCGAGAAGTAGTCATCGTACTCATGTTGCTCACTTATCGCAGTCAGGGGACCTTCATCCATGGGAGAGCCAGGGAATCCCCGGGATTGGGCATCCGTTTCGTCCCCTGCAGGGGTGGTGTGATCGAAGCTTCCCTGTCGGCTGGCCTTTTCCTCCGACGCTCGCTCGCGCACAGAACTCGCAGTCTGCGTGAACTCGCGCTCGTCACCCTCCAGGGGTGGCGAGGCCGCGCGATGATTATGCGACAAGCGGTGAGTACGTTGATCGGAGAAACCGGTTGCAGATCTGCTCAAATCATTGGATCTATGTCCATCAAGGTCGCCTTGCTCCTCGAATTCAGGGGTAGAAAGATCGATTTCGGGACTAGGGCTCAATCGAGAACGTTCGCGCGCCATAACGTCGTCATCGTCCTCGTCATCTTGGTCAACGCTGCCACTGGACAGGCTCGGCGTCATCTGTTTAGCATCCAAAGCCACCATCTCATCCAAGTTATCGGGTAAGGGCTGGTGCGGGTAAGTCGTCAAGTAGTAGAAAACCTTCCGAGGGTGTACGTTGATGAGCTCCTTTCCAATGGGGCAAGGCGACAACGCAGTCCAGGAGCGCTTCATGTAAGAGCTCAGTCGGGATGAGAGTAGCGCAGCCGGGTTTGCGGAACTAAGAACATGTTAGCTAGACTTGCGACAACGGGGACTCCGTGAATACTCACTTAGCAACGGTTTCGTTGATATTGATCAGGACAGCAGCAAGTTCGCGCACGAGGTGAGGCTTGTTCCCAGTCTTTTCCAGCTGGGTGATGGCGGCGACCACCACATCGTCATGAATGCCGTCGGTATCGATCTTAGGCACGGCGCCGACATCTCCAGGCGACGGGGGCGGCGTATGCTCATAGACGCCGCGCGCGAGTTTGGGACGAGCAGCATCTATTATTGTTGTCGCTGATACCGATTTATTCGAATCCGTAGCGGGCAACTCAGCGTCATGCGACCTCTTGACTTTCTTGGGTGGCGGAACCTGTTCATCTGTCGCACTAGAGCCCTTGGATGTGGAAGGCGATCTGTGCGAACGGGAAGCATTAGGCAAGTGAATGCCTAGCGACGGCAGCGACAAGGATTTTCGGCGTGTGTTATAAGGCATTTTGTGTGAGGGAAGGGGTGTAAGGGAAAAAGAGCAAGAAAAGACAACAACAACAGCAGCAGTGATAATCTTCAGGATAGGTAGAGCGACTGGCGGCGAAGGGGGGAGGTCGCAGGGCGGAACAAATCGGTAGGAGATCAAGTGGGTATCTGAGCAAGTGTGGGTTGCCGGGCGGCGACAGCGTGAAAATATTAGAGAAAAAAAGGAACCGCGTAACGGCCGTTTGTTTGTGGCGAGCCTGATTGGGCAATGTAAAAATGGCCCAGTGGGTTTTGTCTGTGTCTTGGGATGGATCAATAATTTGTTTGTGCCGAGGCCAGGAATGCTGGGGTGAGAAACAATTTGTTAAAAAAAAAGGGAGGCCAGGCGGACAGGAAATAACGACTGCGTCAGTTGCAGGCCGCAGTCACAGTCTAGGCGGAAAGTTGGGTCCAGCGCGACGCCGGCTCACCGCTAGGTCAGGGTGATAATGATGCAGGGGCAAGACGAGTCACGATACAGATACGGTGTAATAATAATGCACAGAAGTCGGTGAACGCAAAACAACAACAATCGGCGGGCTAGTATGATAATAATACTATCATAGTAATACGGCGCAACAAAGGGGCAGACACAGAGGATTACGCGAACGTCATTGGCAGCTCACCGTTGGTAGTATCAATGGGCGATCCTGAATATCAGCGATGACAACACAGCTCCATCCACACTGCAATAAGACAACGATCAAAAGTATGGGTGATGATGGATGATGATGATAACGACGATCAAAAGGACGGGATGAGGAGAATAAGGAGAGCCAGAGAGGATGATGATTATAATACGATGATGCTGATCGAGGAAGAGACGAAGCTAGGAGGCAGCAGCAGGGCCATCCGCAGCGCAGGAAGGAGCTAGGCGGGTGGGCGGGGCTGTCCGAAAAGGGCCTAGGGCAATGCATGGAGTGCATTTCAAGGCCAGCCGGCTGGAACACTCTAGCCTGAAACGGCAAGGCGCCGAAAAAACAGAAAGAAAAAAATTTCAGGCTGGGACCGGTGGGGTGCGCGGGGCCCAGCCGGAACCCAGGGATGGCATCCGGCCAATCATGTCGTTCTCGCTGATACTAGTCCTAATAATACCCTGCACAAATAGCGTTCGGCTAGCACAGAATCAGTGATGCAGTCATAGACTCTGCTAGCGCCGTCCGGGTGGCAGATCAGCGTGGCGAATAGCGAGCTCTGCATTCTGCCGGGGCATAATTATGCCAGTACGGAGTAGTTGGCTGGACTCGTACTGTGCGCTGATAGCAGTAAGCAGTAAAATCTATGTGAAATACTACATTGATGCTAAATACTAATCCTGGCTTTACTAACCAGAAGACGAGTCATGTTTGGGCCATTTGGGCCAGGATGAGCCTCAAAGCCTGCAGCAGGAAGGGTACCAGCATGTCCTGCCCCACTGTCGCGTGGAATGTATTGACGGTATGTATCATTGAACATGATTATTTCATATTTGTTAATTAGTACGTATTTAAAGGAATTAGTAAACTTAGTATATTGTGATCGATTAACTATGATGTATCCGTATCTCTCATGCCGCCTACCTTGTCACTGGACTGGTGCAGGCCAAGTACTAACCATACTACGACTCTATATACTCACTTTATCTAACAGTTTCATGTCGGGCGAATGAGATAGAGTCATCAACAATTATGAATCCAACGCAGCCAATAGCACAAGCCACAATCGTCAGGATAATAGAAATTAAGTTACGACTAGTCACTTTCGTTGTTGCCAAGAATGATAGGTCATCCATATGTCATGAACTCCTCCCAATCGATCGCAGCGGCATGTTATGCGACATGCCAGCCATCACCATAACAAAGATGACAAGATGAATAACAATCAATCAATCAGTCAATCTCCACACCGTTACATCGCGGACTCCGATGCTTGTCCAATACGAATCGACTAGCCAGCGATCGATATGTATCATATCATGTACATGCCCGCCACCTGCATCACCCGGGCTGCATTCGCATAAACCAAACCTTAACAATGCCTGGACCAAAGAACTCGAACCAAGATCTATCGTACTTTCCGGTGTTCACATACCTCTGTCGCGGGGTTTGGCTAACCTCATCGGATTTTGGATGCTCTTCTATAGAGCACTACTGAACATCACCACGGAATCCATATCGTAATGGAACTTGATAATGTTACCCTAGGGCTCTGATATCAGTTTGTGGAGAAGCTCTCCACCTCTGAATTCTCTGCTATAATTCTCGTCCCTATCCGCAAGCTAAAATGCGTTATGGAGGTGCTAAGTCGGGCCAATAATGGCGGGGCATTGGTTATATATCAATATCCGTATAATACAACACCATATGTACAATCTAGCAGTACAATCTAAACACTAAATCCAAGAAAACTGCGACTCTTCTCCTCTCCTCCTTGTGGCTGTTTCTCAGGAGCAGCTTGCTCAAGTCCCGACCGTGGTCCCGGCTTGGGCCTCAAAATAACCCTCCATGTCGTTCCCAGATGATATCGTTTAATCTCCACCACTTCCAGCCCACTCTGCTCCACGATTTGGCCAATATCACGGTTCCACCAGCACCCGTGTCGGTGCGCGTGTGCCGGCGCGAGGTTATCGAGAATATTGTTGACCCAATCATACCTCGACCGTCCGTGTTCGAGAAGCAGGATGCGGCCCTTTTCCGGCTCGGTAATCGATCCAAGATGACGCAGGAGGCCGACTGGATCAGGGGTTGAACATAAGCCCATGGTTTCTAAGACTGTGTCGAAATAAGGTCTGGAATAGCTCCACTCGGCTCTCTCTGATGACTGACTTCGTGCTGATTGCGATTGCGATGATAATTGCTTTTTAGATGGCAAGTACTTCCGGGCATCTTCTGTCCAAAACGCAGCCCTTTCAAATCCGGGATACTGCTGTTGGAATTTCCTTTTAGCAACCTCTACCATCTGCGGACTCAGGTCGACAAAGGTCACGGACCGACATCCCTGTATTTCCGAATGTCCTTGCGCATCCAGTCCCCTCTTCTCTCCGAGTTGATAGTAGCCCATATTCCGCCCAGTGCCACAGCTGACCTCGAGCACATCCCCGCGGGCCATACGAACCAATTCCTTCCTCTTTGCGCCCAGCTGCATGAACCGCTCGCCAAGGTCGACTTCATCATCATAGTAGGTCGCCGTGGTGTTGTATCGGTCTGATACATCATCAGGAACCTCCATGGTCTTGGACTGGATGACTGCTTGCCGGTAGGATGAGTAGAGATAGCCGCAGTACATGCCTATTCCCAGCATGCCCACACCAAACATGGTCAGTACCCGTGGCGATACTCCATGGTGGGAGACGGTGGGTTTAACCGGGACAGTCTTAAATGGACTGCTTCCTTTTGATGGTCCTCGTGTCGCCGGAGGTGGTCTGGGCGTTCTGCTTCTGTGAGTATTTGAATTTGATATTTGGTTCACAACAGTCGATTTACACAGGCATATGCGTATGCATGTTTTAATGACTGTTTGTACGAATTCAACTTACGCTGTTTTTTTTGGTCGTATAACCTTGGGTTTAGTACCCGGTCTGGTGCGTTGTAAATGCGAGGCTACTTCGGTTGCCCTGTCTCCAGATGTTGGAGGCATGTTGATCAATCGATAGATAACCAAAGGTTTGAAATCGCATCGGTCACCTATGTATTGTTCAAGTGGGTTGCGTGCTCCAGTCCACATAGTCCATTTCAATATCTTATCATGTAGGTGATTTGTTGTTGTGGTAGAAGCCAATCTACGTATAGATCAACGTGAGGTCCAATTCCGATGAAGTTGATATCGAATTTGGAGGCTATGCACTAGTCCTGATTTGGAATAGATGGTCATGGTCCTAGGTGAATACTAGCAATATTTTGCTTCTATAACACTTTGGATGTAATATTGTTTTATTAATATACAGCTTTTATCTTCGCGGTTTTATGTGGTTATGGGACTCATGGACTCTAATACATCAAATATACTTGCAAGAAAGATTGTGTTCTGAAGAAACCCTATAATGATATATATATTAGATGTAGCAGAGGTACACCCAGTGTAGACACAGCTATATACTACATAAAAATTGATATATAAATTAAATAGAAGTTCCCCATGTATCACCAATGCATGATTACACAATCGTCATCGTCAATGCAACTAAGATTCGTAGACGACTTTAACTGACTGACATGGAACCCTCGGAATTGCTCCGAGGCGCGGCGACGTCGGCGAAGAACCCAACCTGAACATTTCAGCACCTACGCAAATACATTGAAAGCCCTTACTCGCCGTTATTTAGACAATCAACCTGCATATCACCACTGCAGCACCGATTATTCATCCACATATGCACCTGTTATGTGTATAACCCCTCCTACCTATCTATGGCGCTGCCAGACTCGATATTGATCGTTGGAGGAGGGGTATTCGGATGTATGTCACCGCAAGTGGACCGCCCAACTGGATGTTGATGTCGCATCCAACACCTTCTATCACGCTGCTTTTGAACTATACACTGCTTGACCATCACCTTCTAATACGAACAACAGTATCCACTGCCCTGTCCCTCTCAGAACGCCATCCAACCAAACAAATAACCCTCCTCGAAGCATCACCCACAATCCCCAACCCGCACGGCTCCTCCGTCGACACCTCACGCATTATTCGCGCTGACTACGCAAACCCGGCGTACGCAGCTCTCGCAGCATCGGCGATCCGGAAATGGCGTGCTACAGAATGGGGCCAGGACGGGCGGTACACGGAGAATGGGCTGGTGTTGGTCTATTCAGACGGGAATCGTGATGCGGAGAAATACACAAGAGACAGCTATGAGAATGTCAGGAGGTTGGAAGGGGATGAGAAGGTGGTCTATTTGCCGAATAAGGCGGCCGTAGAAAAGAGCGTTCCGCGATATATAGCAGGGATGAATGTTGCTGGGGGGTATTTGAATCGTGGATCGGGATGGGGGGATGCTGAAGCTGGAGTGCGATATGCGAGACAGATGCTGGAGGAAAAGGGGCGCAATGTCACTATCAAGCACGGGGAGGTGGAAAGGCTGATATTCGCAGACGGCAATGGGGAGCGCAGAATCACCGGCGTAAGCCTGAAGAGCAGCAAAGGAACGCCGACAATAATTACCGTGGATCTCGTTATCCTCGCGACAGGCGCTTGGACGCCTAACTTGATCGATCTTCGTGGCATTGCCCAAGCCACGGGCCAGGTACTTGCCTATATCAAAATCACGGACGAGGAGCAAGAGCAGCTGGCGGATATGCCCACGATTCTCAGCTTCGCTACGGGTATGTTTATCATCCCACCGCGAAACAATGAACTCAAGATCGCTCGTCATGCGTACGGCTACTGGAACCCAAAGACTGTTACATTGCCTCAACGCAAAGGCCGTGAGACGATGGTGGTTAGTGTGCCAGAGAACGGCGTGCCTATTCCCCCGGAAGGCGAGAATGCCTGTCGACAAGCCCTGAGAGAAATGCTGCCCGCATTTGCCAACAGGCCTTTTACTCGAACCAGAGTTTGCTGGTATACAGATACGTACGTCTTCGCCCACTCAATCAAGCTGTTCGATGGAAGCTAACCAGGGTGTTGTAGACCACGAGGTGACTTCCTTATTTCTTATCATCCAGAATACTCGAACTTGTTCCTAGCCACAGGTGGCAGTGGCCACGGATATAAATTCTTCCCTATCCTGGGCGATAAGATTGTCGATGCTTTGGAGGGAAAGCTGGACCCGGAGTTGAGGCAGCTGTGGCAATGGCCTGAGGCGCAACACTCGCTTACCCCTGTGGTGACCAAAGATGGTAGCCGATCAGGAGCCATGGGGTTGAATTTGATGGACGAACTGGCCAAGTCTCGCGTAGAGAGTCCAAAGTTATGAGATGTACGAATTTATTTGTTACGTATAATACATATGTGGTGCTATCACTTTCATTGATTCATAAGAACTAAGAGTAGTAAGATGCACCGTTCCCATTGCAGCGCAGGACACCGCCAATATTCAATTTTCTCACCAAATAAACGAATTTTAACTGCCTTTATCGACACGCAAACGATTGCGATGCCTGCAAGCATGACAAATCATCAGGGTCCAAGTAAAGGGAAAAAGGATAAATATGTAAACAGGGTAACACAGCCCGGCCAGACATGCAAAAGCTTTATAGGTCTGAGCAAGTCATGAGATGTCGAGCTGAGCAAATAGTCATTAGAGAAAAGGCAGGCACCCATTCGACCAGCGCACATGTACCGCCTCATGAAAAAGCTTGTGGAAGCGGAGTGCGACTTTCTAGTTTAACTGGACCATTCTTTTAAAACATAGTATGATGGAAACTGGGTAATCGAATCGCTAAAACGCCGTGTAAATGCTAAACATGAACCAATCGTAAAAGAGGGATCAAGCGGGAGTATTCAGTGTGACCGGCATTGCTAAGCGCAGACGGTGGGCGACACATCCCGACGGATCCTGAAAAAACAAAGTGTTAATACAGGAGGGAGGGAAAAAATGTGAAGTAACTACAAAGATAGCTACCTCACTGATTGACCGACCCTTAAGTTTTACGGAAATCTGTGTGGTGTTAGTGAAAAGTCCAAAGTAGGATGAATAGGTCATCATACCAGAAAGCACAGGGTAGATCAGCTCGAAAGCTTGATAGATCTCCTCACGGACTTTGGCGCCGGTAAGGACAATCTTTCCACTGACGAATATTAAGAGGACAATCTTTGGCTTCATCATGCGGTAGATAAGACCAGGGAACAGTTCAGGTTCGTAGGAACTGAAGTTGTGATGGCGGGAGGCAAGACCTTCGAGGCGGATAGGGAATTTGATATCACAAGAACCAACGATGTTCTGAATCTTGAAGTCGGTGAACTTCGCGTTGAAACCAAGCTTCTGAATGATACGAGCGTATTTCCGGGAAGCAAGTTTCGAGTCATCTTCGGACTTGGCACCGGTGACCACCATTTTGCCCGATGCAAAAATCAGAGCGGTGGTCTTAGGTTCACGAATACGCATGATCACAGCAGCGAAACGCTAAATGAAGAGATACTTCAGTTAATCTGTGGATCAGATTCAAGCACTGTGTAGCAAGTACCTTTGGATTATACTCCGCATTTCGTGCATGGAGTGCGATGGTCTTAAGATCCAAACGACAGTCCAGGTTGACGGTGGCGACGATGTTTCTTGAAAAAAGTCTGTTCAGCTTTCTGGTGGGCCAGAAAAGACAGCTAAGTGTATACTCACTGCAACGTAGGCACAATGCCGCTCCCCACATTATTCGCACCTGGGGTGGCAGCAGGAGTTGCGGGTGTCACCCCGTTGCCATTGGCATTCACTCCCTGCTGCTGACCGTTCAGACCAGCCATGTGTCCATCCTTCTCTGAGGAGGGCGGAGTGAGCTCCCCGGCTCCACCAGGGAAAGAGAGCGATGATGCTGAGGTGAAGGCTTTGGCCTGTTGTGCGGTCGACGGATGGGTAGTAAGCGATTCCATTGTGACACGCGAGTATACCGCAGTCTTTGACGAGACTATTATCGAGATACTGCCGTCTGCGAAGAGGCCAGGATGATAGCAGACTGGGGGAACTTGGCGAGTCAGACCAAAACTTTGGGAGATGCGACAGCGGATGGAAGACAAGGCAGGATTGAGGAGCAGAGGGTAGAGATGCTACAAGACGAGGTGAATATGAAGTATGCCTACCTGAGTGGAGATGAACAACTAAATGCCTCCCCTACAGTTGCTGCTCCGCTGATAAAGCGATGTTTTGAATTGGAAGAGGGGTTTTAGACAACGGCGCGACAACGTCGAGATGAACGAGGATGGTCTCGAGGTTATCTCGCGAAGTGAGGCGGACGAAAGGACCCAACCAGCCACGAAGTCAGGTGACTTCGATGCACTAGGCGAACGTTGTCGTCGTTTTAAGATCTGGGGTAACAGAAAAAGCACAGCGACAGGGATAATATCAAATCTCAAATCCTTTTTTTTCTTTGGTGGTGTGACCTGGTATGAGTTTTCTTTCAATTTGGAATGTCTATCTGCAGCACAAAAAGAGAGGCAAGCGACTCGAGGCGCCTTGGGTGGTCGACGATGGTCGAATCTTGCTTAGGATGTGAGTGGCGTCTTAAAAACCTTCTTCCCAAGGGGATTAATAGCGCAGGGTGCAGGATAGCGACGCTCTGCAGTAGCCAACGAGGACAGATGGCTCGGAATGTGGAGAGAGGAGGGGCTGAGGGAGAGGCAGCGAGATGGTGATGGCGATGGAGATGGTGAAGGGGAAGAAGGTGACGTTGTAGCGTTTCCGCGTGGTGCCAAGACCGAGAGCAAGATTTCGAGCAGAGCGCGGGAGTGGGAGACGGGCTCCTTTTATACAGCTGGCTTCAGGGGGGCTGGCCCGCGGTGGCGGCTAAAGCAGCGCTGGATCTTTTCAGGCTGCGCAGCCGTTTCCACGGCTCCAGCAGGCCCGACGCGGTTTAGTGGATTACTAGCGGCTCGCTTGGCGGCGTCTCGCGGTGGGCCACTGCTGCCTTGTGGGCGAATCTGCGCGCGCAGGGCCGTGGTTGGCCGGCACCGCCCCACCTGCATGGACCGCAGGGAGGGATCGCCTCGCAATCCCCCCCGAGACGCCCGATGGCCACTTCTGATTGGCAGCCGCGCCCTGTCTAGGCCTGGTGCTGGTAAGACGTCGTTTGTCTTATCGGCCACTCAGAGGCTGTCGCCCGGAACAATGCAGCCCCGCCGCCCACTCTTTGTTCAACCCAATCACTGCTTGCAGACGATCCTTATCCGTCCCAGGACAACCGCTCGCCGCTTTTGGAGGGGAAAAGCGAACAAAAGATTCCTTCTGAATTCCAACTTTTAGTTTTCTTTTCCCTTTTTCCCCTTCCCTTCACCTGCCTGTCCTTTGCCGCCGTGTTTACCAACGAGCAGGCAAACAGGTCCATGGCGATGCCGTTTTGTTGCTGTTGTCATCGTGAGCCTCGCGAAAATGCCGTTTTTCGATTTTTGGTGATTTTGTTCGATAATCCGTGCGATGTTGTGCAAAAGATCGCAGTTTGTATGTAAATACGTGCACCGCCAGGCTGCTATTGGAGGTGCCGACATCGCTGCCACCCGGTAATCGCGAAACCTACGAAATAACAGTGTGTTTGCCACGCTTGTAATATCATCGGGTGTTTTGTTATTGATTCTTTCTATAATAATAAGCATGAACAATCATCATGAATACAATATTGTGATTATTATGTGGAATGTTGCTGAAACTGCTCCTTCTCTTGGCGCTCCCTTTTTTGGGCGTCTTCTTGGCATGGCAAGCACGACGCACTAGTGGGAGCAGTAGGCTAGTATGTAGTCTACGTAGGACGGCTATACGCGGGGTGTACGCTGTATAGGCTACATAGTATCATGGTACCGTAAGTACTGGCTGATTTTGAGCCGCAAGATGATGATCTCTTGAACTTCCTGACCGTAGCCATAAGTAAAAATCTAATAATAACAATGCAGATGGACAGCCACGGACGTGTCATGACGCCATCCAGAGCGCATGGATTCCTGCATGTGACTGGATTAGATCGCCTCGACGCCTATTGGCCGCCGGCTGCCGATTGATAGCCGGGGTCCGGGACATGTCGAGTAACCGCAAAAATATCGCTCGCATCGATGCATTAATTGAATTGAAACTACCCTCCAAGAACCTGCTTCTCGCACTGCTGGGACCTGGCAATGGCTTCAAAACGAGCCGTCTTGCCTCTGTTGAGTCGCGAGATCCGTGTTTCACCATGGGGATGGCGCTCGGCCTCATCGCTCTCGGCAGTCAACCGTCTTGGACGCCATTCTTCTCTCCGACCGCCGAAGCGCCAATGCTTTGCGACGGGTGCTTGTAAAACACAGTATGGCTACGCAAATACACGGGATTTCTCTCAATCAGCCCGAAGGAGGGATGTGGAAGAAGAGGAGACTCTCGATCCCACCAAGCTCGACAGAGAGTCAGATGAAGTAGACGTTTGTATTGTGGGAGGAGGTAAGGACCATCCAACTTAGATATTGGTTGGGTTGCCACTCACAAAATTTCTTTCAATCACTAGGCCCTGCAGGCCTTGCAGCTGCAATTCGCCTCAAGCAACTCGCAAATGAGGCCGGCAACGAGGAGTTCCGAGTCATTCTCCTGGAAAAGGCAGGTGAGCTGGGGGCTCACATAGTTTCCGGAAATGTTCTTCAACCTACAGCTTTGAACGAGCTTCTCCCCGACTGGCTTGACGAGAACAACCCCTCTAGATTTGAAAATGTCACACCAGCGAAGAACGACAAGATGCGCTTTCTGACTAAAAACTCCTCATTCCCAATTCCTGCGCCGCCGCAAATGCACAACCACGGAAACTATATTGTTAGTTTGAGTCAACTCACTAAATGGTTGGGAGAACGGGCTGAAGAGCTAGGAGTGGAAGTCTACCCGGGATTTGCTGCAAGCGAAGTCTTGTACAAGCCAGACGGTTCCGTGCTTGGTGTGGCAACAAATGATCTGGGTATCGGTCGTGATGGAAAGCCCAAAGATAACTTTGAGAGGGGAATGGAATTCCATGCCCGAGTCACCTTGCTCGGCGAAGGCTGCCATGGTAGCTTGACGAAGCAGGTCATCAAGAAGTTTGATCTTCGCCGAGACAGTCAGCCACAAACATACGGACTAGGGATCAAAGAGGTATGGGAAGTCCAACCGGAAAAGTTTAGACCTGGCGAAATTGTTCATGCAATGGGTTATCCTTTGCCTAAGGACACTTACGGAGGTGCTTGGATATACCACTTTGGCGATAACCTTGTCAGCATTGGGCTGGTTGTCGGCTTGGACTACCCTAACCCGTGGCTTTCACCATACGGAGAATTTCAGAAACTCAAACATCATCCTTTATTCAAAGAAGTTCTTGAAGGCGGCAAGTGTATCTCATACGGGGCTCGGGCCCTTAATGAAGGCGGCTTCCAGTCAATTCCCAAAGTAGCATTTCCCGGTGGCGCCCTGATTGGGGACACCGCAGGTTTCCTAAACGTCCCCAAGATCAAGGGTACACACACGGCAATCAAATCTGGCATGCTTGCCGCAGAAGCTACATATTCTGCTTTGCAAGGAAATGGCGAAGGTAGCATCTTTTTATATAGCTACGAAGAGGCTTTGCGAAAATCCTGGATTTGGAAAGAGCTTTATGAAGTACGAAATATGCGACCTTCCTTTAGCACACCTTTGGGTATCTACGGTGGAATTCTGTATTCGGGATTGGACGCGTTTATTCTTCGTGGCAAAGCTCCATGGACACTAAAGCACCACAAAACTGATGCAGCGGCTACAAAGCCAGCTTCTGACTGTGAAAAGATTGAATACCCTAAACCTGATGGTGTTCTCAGCTTCGATATTCTGACTAGTGTCAGTCGCACCGGCACTAACCACGAGGAAGACCAGCCCGTCCATCTCCAGGTTAAGGATTGGGACGCGCATACTAACGCAGCATGGCCAAAGTACCGAGGAGTGGAGAACAGATTCTGCCCTGCCGGCGTCTATGAATATATCGAGGACCCGTCAAAGGAGCAAGGCGTTCGCTTCCAAATCAATGCGCAAAAGTGAGTTCCTTGATTCTCTGTTCCACATCGTTGCTAATATATCTGCAGTTGCATCCACTGCAAGACCTGTGACATCAAGGTCCCGACCCAGGATATCAATTGGCAGACGCCCCAAGGCGGCGAGGGCCCCAAATATTTCATCACCTAAGGTACATGTTAGACGACAGCGGCAGTCACTGCTGCTATCTGTAAAATAATGCATATGCTCGGGGACAGCCCGGAGTATCGCGTTTGGTACATGTATTCCGTTGGCCAGGGATAGCCGCCCTGCCTACTGGCTCTATGTATTACAATGCACAAATAGATATAGGCTTGGACAATATAACTTCAACGTTGTTATAGTCGCTAGTCTTTATACAGCCACGGAAAATGATGTGGTTGCCAGTTCGTTGGTGAGACACGGATAGTATATTATACTGTAACTTAAACATTCATGGAGAAAAAGCACTCACCCAGGTTATCTGCACAAGACCTAAGTAGCATAAGCAGCGTTTTGGCATGTTGAGGCTATACCCGGCATCCAATGATCAATCGACAGCCCCACGGGGTTGGAAAGGGCCGAACCGTGGATTGGTCACGTTTTGACTTCGCCCTTTCAACCTTGGCTTTTCGACGATAATGGCACGCGATGCGTGGCCTCTATCGAGCATCGCCGACCAAGAAGCCATCCCTAGGAAAGGCGCTCTCTCGTAGTCTTGCGGTCTTACAGTCTTGAGACAAAGAGAGCCAGTTTTTGGAGCGGGCCCACGTGGATCGCTGCGAAGCTGGCCAGGGCGTTAAGCGCTGTTTAGCTAGCCCCGACAGACACCGACACCGACACCGCCCGCCTCAGCCTCCTCTTTTCTCGCCTGCAACAATCTGCGAGGCTTCTCTTCGTTCCATCTCCATCACCACCCCATCAACACCAGCTCTTGTTACCGACATCCTCGACCGTGTCAATCACTACCGCCTATCCGTGTCGACGAGTTTTGTGGATATCCTCTAGCGCCGAGGTGAGTGTATCTCACTTCGACGCAAGCGCCTCCGGCTGCCGTGGGCCTCTGCCATCCAAATACTCATATTTTCACCTCCTGAGTCACTGTCGACTGTGCGAATACCTGGCCGTCCCTCCATAATCCACACAAATAAGCGGTGGCTTATTGAAATTTTTGGAGTCTTCCAGAGGTCAGCAATACCAGCAGTCTCCAGCCATGAGTGAGGTTTCTTCCACACGGCTTTATCTTGGGAATCTTCCCCGTAATGGTACGCAGGCCTTTATCAGTCTACCCTGAGATTCCATCCTTCCTGGTCGGATTCTCCCAACGCTCGTTCTTCATGAAACTTTTCTTTTGGATACACTCTTCTCCTTTCGTCTTCTTCTTGGGCCCCCCATGTCCTTGGCGCATGGATAGGAAGATATCGGGCTTGCATATTGCAGTGTTCACATGGACCACGGTCGGAGACGATATCTAATTACCTTCCATGGCTTTGGGCAATATTATTTCCCGCATTTCCCCTGGACCGCACGCTAGGCCACCAAGAGCTGACGTTTCAATTGCGCCCCTCCGGGCGTGCGGTTCCTTCCAGTTACCAAACAGGATATCGAAGACCATTTTAGCTCACATGGCTCCGGCAAAATCACGGAAATCAAATTGATGAGCGGCTTCGGCTTTATCGAGTACGAAGATGCGCTGGATGCTCGCGACGTTGTTCCAGGTATGTGACATTCCAAGAAATATATGATATGACGAGAGTTTGCTAATAATATCTTACTCTTTGCTAGCTTTTCGTACGTAATAAATAACCTGCGTCCCAAACCCATCCAAAGTTCCGCGTTTAACTAAAATTGATCTTGCAGATGGCAGTGACTTTAAAGGGGAAAGACTGACAGTCCAGTTTGCACGAGGACCTCGTCACAAAGAAACATTCAATGGCCAATCGGACCGCTTTGGTGCATCTAAGCCTCGCCGAACGGTGTTCCGCATGCAGGTCTCAGGTCTTCCTTCTGAAACTAGCTGGCAGGTAGGCAGCCTATACCAAGAGCCCATGATCCCATGTTTATTCCCATATGATATTACATACTGTCTGATTGCTTTATGGCATAGCACGAAACATGAAGTGAATGTCTCTTTGGACTAGTCAATTTTTGCTCTGCATACCAACACCAGATGTATAAATGAGCAAAAGCTGACAATCAATCGCTTTCTAGGATCTCAAAGACTTTGCTCGTCAGTCTGGACTGGATGTAGTCTTTTCTGAGACCACTCGGGAGCGTGACGGTAGAGGGTGAGTACATTATGTGGCTTGAAAAGCTCGTATAAGCCTAGTTCGCTGAATTTCACAACACAGCTTTGTCGAGTTCCAATCGGCTGCCGACTTGAAAACAGCTGTCGAGAAACTGGATGGCAGAGAGTTGAAAGGCTCTCAAGTCACATGTGTGTCTGACGTACGTTGAAAAATTCTTTCTGACAAGCTTTCTCCGTCTTAACCCCCTCTAGATTCAGCCTGTAGAAGACCGCGCCCCGTTTCGCGACCCTTATCGATCTCGGTCACCTCCGCGCCGTGGATATCCTCCTATGGATGACTATGACCGACGTCCTCCACCCCGCGGCTATAGCCCTAGAGGTCATTACCGCGAGAGATCCCCTCAGTCACTTCGCCGAGACTACTATGAGAGAGATGGATATGGACGGCGAACCCCTCCCCGTGCACGTCTAGAGGACTACCCGCCTCCTCGCCGCCCCTACGATGACCCTTATCCTCCTCCACCACCTCCTCCTCGCCACTACGACGACCCATATTTTGCTGGAAGACCACCATATGGCCGTCCACGCAGTCCTCCGCGGGGTGACTACGCAGCATATGATCGCCGTTCATATTGGTAGTTTACAGCCGCTTGCTTAAACTGTATGACGCCATACGCTAGCCTTGCATACTGCTGGTAACTATTTACTTTGGTACAACTGCATGAGACTCGCCCTCGAAGGATGATGGAGAGAGAATTCTAGTAAATGGATTGATTGTCTAGCTCAGGATTGAGCGCTCTGAATGGAATGAAAATACTCGGCTTTCCTAACTACGGCACTATTTGCATGACATGTCATTGAAAATTGATTAGACTACGATGACTTCAGTGTTAGTTGATGGAGCATTCGAGAGTCAGATCCTTGATGAGCAAGGATCCTTATTCTGGCGGCTTGTTTATTCTTGAGCAAATTGAGTTGGAATGCCGGTTAAATATTTATGAAACCTTCAAATTGACACGCACTTGGCGGAGAATCTCTTTTATTTTGCCTTTTTGTGTGTTTTTGTAATTAGCTACTGATGGATGGTTTAATAGTTGCTGCGTGGGAGAAAGAGGTTTGAAAGCAGTTTGAAGCTAACGAAGACATGACATCAAATGAATTTTTATTCTGAGTCCAGTTTCGTTTTTACACCTGTAGATGGTCGTCACAGTATAATCTGGCGATAATATTCATAAAGAGTCCAAGAATTCGAAGCCAACGTGCGGGGCAAAAGAATGCCTGGAGCGGAACACAAGGGAAACGTTCAGAGCTCCACTGACGTATATTGGTCCATCGCCGAGCCCCGCCTTGATCACTCTTATTTCGCTCTCTCCCATGAGTCTGTGACAGCTCCAGCTAGCTAGCTATCTTTCTGTGTCCATAGCTGTAATCTTGGTTAGTGGTCGCAGCCGTTCTTAACGAACGCTTAGGACCCTAGCTAAGATCAGTAGTCCTGTCTATCCATCTGACGTTGACTACACGAGAATCTCTTTTTCAAACATTGGAAATGGCTAGTAACAACAATCTCAGCCCTGCGCCTCGTCCGGCTATTGTCGACCATGTCCTTCTCCAGGACGCCAATCTTCATCTACCAGCAGGGCCAGATCCATGGCATCGCCCAGGCAAGGCGCAGCCATGCACGGTGTCTGTGAAGCTCTCGTATTCTTCCGCCATTGCTGCGGCCACTGCAGATGACGTTTCACTTTCCATCGACTACGGCAAGCTCTACCGTCGAATTGAAACTGATATCCAGAACGCCGGAAAGAACCCGCCGCCGGATCTGACTGACAGTGAAAGAGCGAGGAGAACCGACATACTACTAGGGCACGATGTGCGAATCATTGCCGGGCTGATTACGGATTGTGGTCTGGGACTTTTGGACGAGACTATTGCTGGGGTGCGACGAATGGCTCATGTCCACCCAAGCTCGCCGACTCGGAGGCGAGCGAGTCAGGCGAGCCGGAGAATGAGCGGCGGCTCTTCAGCGGGCTATGCGCATCCCGATTCCGTTGGATCGGAGGCGTTAGATCCGACGTTTGGAGAGTGCGAGGTCTCTGTGCATCTGCCAAATGCGCATTTACGGGCTGAAGGGGGATTGAAATTTCGTAGCATGTCCACATGGGGTTATGACAGGGCATATGGATCTACAGAAGATGCGGTAGAAAGTGGCAGGCAGGTATTGGTCGTGGAACAGGAATTCCGTATTGAAGGCATCCGCTGTTATTGTATTCTCGGAGTGAATTCACACGAAAGAATCGAGAAACAGTGCGTAAATATCACGCTTGCGTTTCGAGGATCTGGTGAGCCCGCATGGAGCGCGACAGTTGTTGATACCTACCAAGAAATGGTCAAGGTAGTCGCAGAGGTAAGTCATGCTTTCTAAGCTAGTAATCTCATCAAGTACCATACTAACGACCAATGCTTGTTCTTCTAGAGAGTGGAAAATACTTCGTATCAGACCGTTGAGGCCCTTGCAACGTTTATTGCTCGCATAGCAACGCTCGACTTTGGCAACCACACTGTCACCGTTTCAGTGAAAAAGCCCAGCGCATTGGCTTTCGTAGAGAATGCAGGTGTCGAGATAACGAGATCCCAGGCGTTCTTTGCTCAGCAGGATTTCTTGCGAAGAAAGGAAGGCCGTGAGCCTTACTCTTAAGTCGGCTGTGTCTGAAACCCCGGGTTATCCCTGCATCTTTGTATTATAAAAGCACAGAGGGTGACTGTCAGCAGCCGAAATTGTAATTGTTGATTGAGGCGTTGTCACTGTTACATTGACGAGTTGCTTTGCCTTCAACGTACAATCAGTTTGAATATGCACGTACTTCAAAAACCGTAGATAACTGCTTGGACATGATCTAGGGTCCGGCTGCCGACCACGTGTGATTACTACAGGCTCGAGATGTTCTCCATAAATGAGAGGGCAGTAGATGATACTTTGTCATAACAACCATAATATAGACAGTCGGACTAATACATAATAGCCTGCGGAGTACAGGACTAATAGTAATGCAGGCCACAGCACGTGAGATGGGGCCGGGCCGCATCGGGCTTGGTGGCAGCCTGGAGCCGAGATCTGAGGAATGATGATCGCCCTCCCTGCCAAAATATATCTCTCAGCTTACGACCTCTTCTTTCCAACACCATCGTCCCAGCAATACAATATCGGTACATTTTCTAGTGCGCTGCGGGCTTTCCCATGCTAACGTGTTTCTTAGATATCACAAATTCTCGAAATTTGGTTCTCTATGTGCATTCCTGCGCCCTCATCGTCCAATTTCGCTCCTTTTCTAGCAAATGTCTCGCCCTTGAGCCTTGGAAATCCGTCGAATTCGCTCGCCTTCCTGGATCGCTGCGTGATTATCTCTGTCAATACCGAGCCTTCTCAAGTTGCTCCTGCGTCGCCACGCTTGGGTGCTCTTCTTGACAACGTGGTTTGGGTAGGGGTCAAGGGTCCGTCCTGAATAAGGGCGGACGGTAAAAGCTTTCATAACGCTTGCGATATCTTTCTCATGCTATTGAAGGTATTCTACTATATGAGGCTCGTGTAGCAGAAGTTATATTTGGCTTTACGCTTTTTTTTGTTTTTTTTTTTTTGGCTAGGAGCCGCTGCCATCCCAGCAGAATTCATTGCGTCAACATTCAACTTGCTTGACGAACTAGGACCGTCGTTGAGCCGCGAGTTTCTAGTGTCCGTTTCAGCAACATGTTCGACTCAATTTCTCGCCCATCGTCTGCCCAGCGTCTGGCTAATCAGATGCGACGGCTGGATACGGGCCCGCAGCCGGATTGCACAATGGGGGATTTATCAGTGGGCGACGTCTTTAGTTCCCAGGTAGATGCTGAGATGGAAATGGAAGTACCCCAGAATGGCGACAAGCCACTCGCTGCTCCCCACAATCAACAAAACGGCATACCGACTCAAGGCCGGCCTGGTTTTCCCGCGACTGGAGCCCCTACCCCGCTGCTCCATGGAAAAGCGACAGCCGGAAAGAAAAAGAAGAAGCACCTTCGTCGTATGGCTGATGTGGAAGTTGGCCACAGCACGCCGGCTTTGTCCACCGTCAGGGGATTCACTCCCATGCCCTCCGGTGATGAAGATTCTGACTTGTCTGCGGCTGGTTCTCGAACCATGTCGCCGCAGCTCAATGCCGTGCCTACTACGAACACGTCTGGTGGAATTAGCGCCCTGAAGCTGCAGCTGGATGCTCTGAACTTGTCTGAAAGCCACCTGCCACGAGTTGCTGAGCCCAAGGCCTTCATTCTTTCAAGCAACGCCAGCGTTTCGTCTGACAGCGACCGGACCGAAGTTATGACCAGCTATGAGGTTCCTCTCGAAAATGATTTTATCAGTAACGAAGCTGTTGCTGAAGAGGAGTCCGTTTTGTTTCCGAGTAGTATCGATATACAAAATGACTTGTGTCGGAAAATGACTAGTCGAGACTTTGAACAGCTGATGTGCCTCGGCAAAGGGACATTTGGGACGGTTTTACTCGTACGCCACAGAGCTACCGGTCGACTCTATGCTCAGAAGCAATTCCGCAAGGCCTCTATTACGGTACATAAGAAGCTAGTAGAGCAGACTAAGACCGAACGTATGATTCTTGAGAGTGTTAATCGTCATCCATTTGTTGTCAAGCTCTATTATGCCTTTCAAGACCATGAGAAGCTGTACCTTATTCTGGAATATGCCCAGGGTGGGGAGCTGTTCACCCACCTTGCAGCGGAGCGAATGTTCAGTGAAGATGTCGCGGCCTTTTACATGGCCGAAATGGTACTAGCTCTTGAACACTTACATAAGACTGTTGGTGTCGTCTACCGTGACCTCAAGCCAGAAAATTGCCTCCTGGATTCCGATGGCCATCTTCTACTCACTGATTTCGGATTAAGCAAAGTCGCAGTTAGCGAAGATGACAGGTGTAACTCATCTCTAGGTACGATCGAGTACATGGCACCTGAGGTTATCCAGGGCAAGCCGTACGGCAAAGCTTGCGACTGGTGGTCTCTCGGGGCTCTCGGGTATGACTTGTTAACCGGCTCGCCGCCATTCAAAGCCAACAACCATGCCAAAATCCAAGAAAAGATTGTTCGACAGAAGTTGACGTTGCCCTATTATCTTGGACCGGATGCGAAGGATCTCCTTATTCGGTTGCTCCGTAAGGATCCGCACAAGCGATTGGGCTATCACATGCCGAAGGACTTGGAGACAATCAAGAAACATCGCTTCTTCCGCAAGATTGACTGGAAGGCGCTTGCACGGCGTGAACTCGATGCGCCTATCCAACCTGTCATCACCGACCCGGCTCTGGCGGAGAATTTCTCTGCTGATTTCACGAGCATCCCACTCAGTCCCGTTTCAATGGACGATGATCGGATCAGCGATATGTTGAAACAAGTCGGGCTGTCGTCTGAGTCTAATGCTGGTGTCAACGATGCAGACCCCTTCCGAGGGTTCAGCTTTGTTGCATCCAGTAGCCTTCTAAACAGTGGGTTTGGCCTCGCGACATGACTATCACTGGTCCGCGATTGCGATATATCAGTGTTTTTGCACCTGCGAATGATCCCAGTTTGCTGTTTGCTATTTTTGTTAATTGAACTCCTTGTGCTATTGCTATTTTTTGACAGATCTCGTCATTTTCAGTATTGTAGACTTGGCAACTATTCAAGTTTGCCTCTAGACAAAAACAGACACACTACTGTGAAATATATGGAGAACTAAGGTTCAAAGTAACGAAAAAGTCGGCATGCCGTCCAGAATGCAGGACCGGTTCGGCAGCTGCAATAATAATTTTATTAAAATAGTCCACTCCCAGTCCTGCGAATCCTGAGCCGTTCCAGTTATTCCTACCCCGCCCTCCACCCAGAGTCGGGCTTTTTGTCTTTCGCCACTACCACCAGCATCTGACCGCAGAGAAAAGAGGAGAACAGTATGTTATCGCATCTGCGTTCTGCGCTATTATGAGTCTGGCCATCTCTAAATGGGATCCTCCGTCCAGACTCATTTTAGTTGTTGAGGGAGCTTAGATACTTGTGCGCCGCCGCATGTACAGTCTCTAGGAACTAAATCTGCAAACAAACGCCTTAAAAGTTTTTCGTCGCCATGGAGCCACCAGATAAACCTGCCCTCGTCTCTGCCAGCACTCTGCTGAATCATAACCGGGCGGAAAATACAGGCCAACTGTCGCCATGGACGTCCTCTCAAAGTCGAGAGACGCAATCGACGCCAGAGTCCATTGAGAATCCAAACTCGCAGCACCAGCAGCAAGGGCAGACTGCAACCGCTAAAGTCGCTATTCCCAGGCACCGCGGGGGAGTTGCGCCTCGATTCAGTCGTCGCGTGGCGAAAGCCTGCGAATCTTGTCGTCAGCGAAAGACAAAATGCTCTGGAGACACCCCGGTATGCAGACAATGCCGGGAGCTGAAGGTCAAGTGCCAATACCCTGACGGATTGAGAGAAAAGACAAAAAGGTGAGAATTTGAGAATTGAATATCGGGTTGGATTAATCTATTGTCAGTGGCTGACCGATAATCACTCTGCGCAGGCATTTGGAACAACTCAGTTCGAAATCGGATGATTATGAAAGCCTCCTGAAAGATTTGCGCTCATCTGTGGACGATGGTCTGGCCAAGCGAATTACAACGACTCTGTCCAAATATGCGCCTGATGACGAGCATAACAGGACAGAACCCCTTTCGTCATCTTCACGCACACCTCTTGACGATGTTGAGCTGGAGCCCTCCTCCCCATCCTCCATTGGATCTTTGGAGGCAATTGATCGAGTGGAGGAAGACCTCAATCGGGGCGAAAATGTCCGAGCGACAGGCTACATTGGCAAAAATTCGGAGATTAGTTGGATGCAACGCGTACAAAGGGAAGCAGAGCAGAGATCGCGGAAACAGCCTGGTATGGTTGAGGGCGGACCGCAAGACTTTTCAATCAATGCCGTGAGCTATCATTTGGACGATCTTGATATCAGCGTCCCTGACCCCGTGGACATGTATGCTATACCGTCTCGTGAACAAGCAGAGAGATTCTTCGACGATTATCTAACAACAGTTCACCCATTTTTTCCAATCATCAACCGCCCACTTTTTCGCTCACAGTTCAAATTCTTCTTCGAAAATCCTTGTCAACCAGGTGACAAGTGGCGAGCAATCTTGAACATGATATTTGCCATTGCTGCAAAACATTCCCATTTAGCCCAAGCCCCATGGAGAGCAGATGATCACCAGGACCATCTTCTTTACTTTACGCGGGCTAGGTATCTCAGTATGACGGGCGATGTTCTTTTCAGCCACCCAGATCTCCAGCAAATTCAGGTAGAGGGTTTGATTGCCTTTTACCTCCTGTCGACAGATCAAATCAACAGGTTAGTATACATGAAAACGGCATTGAATTTCGCGCTAACATTTGGTGTTACTAGAGCTTGGAGAATATCAAGTGTTGCTGTTCGCTCAGCGATAACTCTTGGGATCAATATGAAGAGCTCGAGTGAAACAACGACAAATATCTCAAAGGAATCACGCTACCGTGTCTGGTGGGCACTGTACTCATTCGAACATCTTCTTGGTGTAATGACAGGCAGAGCAACATGCATCCTTGATGGAATTTGCACAACGCCCATGCCAATTCCCTTTGAAGAAGAAAGGTTCAGCGATCCAGATGTGAATGAAATTTTGAGTGATCCATCTCTACGTGAGAAAAACGTTCAGGAAGCTGTTGCAAGCCATTTGATTCGTTTGACGCCCGTGCACCCGGTAGGTAGGAACTCTGAGAAGTCTAGCCGCTCCAACTGGCTACAGAAAATACCTTTCAACACTGGACTGTCATTCCTCTTATTCATAGACATATCTGTCATTACGCAGGAGATAATTAACAAGGTGTACACGGCAGATGCAGTCAAACTCCCTTGGTCTACCATTGAGAATCGCATCGGTGAATTAAAATCACGGATTGACTTGTGGTTTAAACAATTGCCGGATGCATTTAACTTCGTTCAGAAAGAGAGCAACTCAGCTGAGCAAGTGCGTTCAAAGCTGGGTCTTGCTTTCCAGTACTATAGTGCCCGGATCACCCTTGGTAGGCCGTGCCTATGCAGACGCGACTCACAATCGAATGAGTCTACCTCGTTCAGTCATAAGATGGCATTAGTCTCCCTTGACGCTGCTGCCCGGATGCTTGATCTGATACCTGAAACTCCAGATCCTTTGCAGCTTTACCAATTAGCTCCATGGTGGTGTATTCTCCACTATCTGATGCAAGCCGCCACCGTTCTGCTTTTAGAACTGTCCTTTGGCTGCGTCCATGTTCCTGAAGATGAAAGCAGAATTTTCGAAGCCGCAAAAAAGGCTATTCGCTGGCTGTACGCAATGTCTGAATACAGCACTGCCTCGCGACGAGCATGGCGTCTGTGCGACGATTGCATGCGACGAATCGCTGTTGGCATGGATTTCGATGTCAGCGACCTCCCTCCATTACCCAACGATTCCATACCTCAAGAACGATACCAGGTACCTCATTCACAACAGGTCGCTACTACCGCAAGTAGTGCTGCTCCTGTCACGTCCGTTGGAAGTGGCCCTGCTGGCGGGGAGACTTTTGACTGGAGCACTGGAATGGAGCCTGTAGGCTCATTTTCTGCTGAAACACAGCCTCAGGAGATACAGGGATTGTCTGAGTACGACAGTTCCATTAACAATCCAGAGCTGGTTTCATACCCAATGAGTTTCCCGCCCTCAATGGTCTTTACTTCCAGCAATGAACTGCACTTTCCATATGACCCTCTAACTGGCGAGTTTATGGGCTCGTTTTTCCCACATCCAGGTGATGATCATGTCTGGGAAAATTGACATTTCCACTCCCCATGTATCATTTCATTTTGTAATACTTCCTTTTCTCGATTGGTTTGTTGTCAGGACAATCATTCCACATCTTCCACGTTTTTGTTAATGGGTTACCTTTGGTTTTACAACAGTAGTCGTTACAGAAAAACCAAATTATCCTGTTTTTTTATACCTTCAAAAGTCATTTCATTCTATTTCAAGACGAACTCTTGAGGGACGTCGAAATAAACTTTTCATATCAACGAATATGCCTGTGGTGATTCGTTTTGGGAATTCAATGTTCGATGTCGTCGTCAAAGTGACTCATGAGGATATTATGAATTTATGAATTAATGCATGTACTATAATCGACACGAATCCAATGCAGACATTGAAACCTTAAGTAATGCTCACTTTGATATTGTATTACCCTATAAATAAAAAAGAGATGATTTACTAGACTTTAGAACGCACCTGGCATCAACGGATTGGAGCTTCACGGTTTCAAATCTTATTTATACACAAATATATACACGTATACGTATTACAAGTTACTCACAACAACCAGCCACCTCAGGTGTATCCAACTTCATCGGTCTCGTCATCAGCCCCCTTATCGTAATACTTTGTAATGAGCGGGCCGCCAAGACGTCTCCTCTTTTTTGCTTCTGATTTTCTCTGTCTTCTGACATGGGAGCTCGTCTCGAGTTCAATCTGGTCTTTATCGAGACCGAATCTTCGATACCGTTCCACACAGAAATCCAAAACATCATAGACATCCTCTCTTAGGACGAGGGACGAGGCTTGTGTAAGTTCCTTATACTGCTGAACGGCGGCTCTGGAAATAATCCGCACAGTGGCAAGGTTTGGAATCACGGCTTTGTGCTGTTTCTCGTGAAACCATTCCCAATCGAAACTAGGATTGAGATGTTCTGTTCGTGGATCAGCGCTCTTTTCAAGCCGGAAAGCTCTATCTTCAGTTAGAAGAGCTGCTTCAGAAGGTTCAATGTCGATGCACCATCTTTTCCACAGTTCCATTCCAGCTCGAATACCGCGGGTTTCGACGACAGCGTCTAGCAAAATGTGGAAAGCAACGGATGGGACATAAGGCAATGAGTCGCGACCGGACTCGTTGGTGTAACGAAGTTTTGTCTTATGACACACCTGAACCAGAGATCCGTCAACTGAGGAGAGAATAAGGTACCATCGAAAAATTGCTCGATTATAGTGTCCCTTGAGATGACTGTGGGAGAACTTTGCAGGGTTGTAGACACCGTTGAGAATACGCCCCAAGAGTGCCTGGGCTCGACCAAGAGATTGCTTTGCATCTTCTTGTGGGGTTCCTCTAACACTCTGCTCCAATCTAAGGATTACAGCTGCCAATGTTGCCAAGGTGCTTTCGCCCCATGTTTTCAGTCTATATTGACACAGTAAGTTGAGAATTGCATCCGCTTCGTCCCACTGATGGAAAGAAATGCGAAAGTTCAGCAGGGCATTGAATGTGTTGCGTGAAATTGGCGCAACTATCCTTTGAATAACAATATCGCCGAGTTGCTGATTTCGAGTCGCTGAGGCGAAGCGAAGGAGAGATGGAGCCAGACTTTGATCTCCATAAGAGTCAAGAGGAATTGCAGGCCCATCTGCATCCTGCGAGAAGAGTAGCCATTCACCGAAGCTAAAGGCTTTGCTGATAGTAATCAAGTCTATAAGGTCTGCTAGCGTACTTTTAGATATACTTGGAATCGACGACTGATCGATCTGGATAGAAGCTTGAGGCATGGGAATTAAGTCATTTGAAGATTCAGGCTGAATCTCGACGATATCTTTCTCTTTCTGGAAAAATCCCTGTATACGTTCCATTTTGCTTGAATCAATAATTTCTTGTAGCCATGCAAAACTTCGCATCGCATCGTCGATCTGACGATGAGTTGAGTATGTGCGCATGGTCTGCTGTAAAAGACCCGTAAGCATCGAGGAAGAGTTGTATATGTCAAATCTATCTATCACAGAGAGACTTGGATAGTCTGTTGGGACGGAATCGTCCCAGAGCGGCGGAACTGGAGGCAACGACTTTAACAGGAGCTCAAGTGACTTCGGCTCGGCAGCAGTGTCTAAACACTGCGACTCTAGAACGCAAACTATCTGACGATGTGTGGCTGTTGAACTTTCGATCCATCTATCAGTGGTAGGATTTGTAAAAGAGTTGAGGAGGGCAATATTCTCGATATTATCTCTGAGGAAAACTTGTTCCATCTCAGAGCTTTTGGTGGAATTCGCTGCATGAGTTGCTAAGGCTGCTATGACCTCAGAACTGATCGTTCGTTTCCCAAACCCATGGAAAGCCCCTGATTTGTTCTCCATCTCTTCAGTAGTTCTGTGAATGTTGGGGTGCGGCCAAAAATCTTCAGAGTCTATATTTGTATCGTGAAGAAGATCTGGTTGATCAAGAAGGGGATTCCATGATACTGCTGTCCATGGAGCTCCATAATTCGTCGTCAGCATATGTTTAAGAATCCACATGCCTTCTTTGATATGTCCACTCTCGATGCAGGACCAAAGAATGAACTCCAACCATATACCGTGACCGAGATGTCGAATGCCCATTTTAAACGGGCGAAAGGGAGAATTCTGTCCAGCAGCTTTCGCCTTTGCCGACACCTCTGCTTCATGAGCTAGCCATGCGGTATCCGTCAATACATTCATGATATGTGTGGACAACAGGTACATTCCTGGGGGTCGAGACAGTAGTCGATCATGAGTAGACTTTGAATATTTATATACAACGTCCGATATATTTCCGGAATGATGGAGGCGTCCGATTGTTTGATACACATATGACATAGCTAATTCAGACTCCCGCGATGATTTATCCGCGGCTGCTAGGACGACGAAACCTAAACTTTGCCAAATTTCTCCCATAATGTAGGATCCTGTTATATCAGCTTCCGGCTCACTTGTTAAACTTTCCATAGACACTGAGACTGGCAATTGCTCAAATCCAGTGGTCATGGACAACGCTTTATTCTCTGATAAATTGAAGCGGTCACTTGTAATCTGTTTGATGTCCCCGGCGTGCCAATTCAAATTGGATGGAAGGCTTTTCATGGAAAGTGCATTCTCTTGCAAACTAATGGTAGCATCTAACATTTTCGTGATGAGTACATAGACGGCGGTCCATCTCTGTAGAGTGAACCCAAGGTAGGCTAGAAGATCTAGATCTTCTAATAGACGAGCATGGTGCAAAATGGCTGCTATTTCCTTGCCTTCACGGACAACGCTATTTAACTTGGTGGTATTCGGAGTGGAAGCAGGTGACGGGAAAGTTTCAACATCTTTTGAGTGATCGGCGCGTGTGCCTGGTGGCAAGTATCGTTCTAGATGCCGTACCCAAGCACTGGCATCATTCCTTGCCTTCGGAAAGAAGGCAGAAAACCTTGAGTCAAAGTATACATCGCCTTCGTTTAATTCTTTAGCCCTAGAGGGCAGTCCATTAGGAGCGGTCTTCCTGTTCTGAACAAAAGTTGCGAGTCTCCGACACCATGTTGGACGGCACAACGTAGCCGGTGGCCCCTCAACAGGCCAAGTGCGCGGGGGATATATCAATCCATTGCGATGATAGACGAAAGAACTGCAGCGCAGCTGTGGAGGAAGGCTAGGACGCAGGCAAATTCTCATGATACGGAATCGGCATCAGTTGAATAGGTGAGCGAATACGGAATGGGATAGTAACTAGTAAGCTCGAGAAGGGTTGGACGCATGTCTAATAAATGGATCGGTGTTCATTATCCAGTTAACTTGGTGAGGAGTTTAAAAGAAAGAAAAGAACGATATATAACGAGCCACGAGCCTTTTGCGTGCTAGAATATAAGTCTGGCGATCCGCATAAATTTTGAGCTATTGGTTAGTCAGCTGGTAGCTTCTTTCAACGGGACCAATCAGAAGCAAAGCGTCAACTTTTGCATGTATCTGCTACTTCCAAACTTCGAGGAGCTATTTTGATGGTTAAATGTAACTAGATTTAAATCAAAGTTGGGATATCTATAAAACTCGCTGGGGAATCTCAGAATTAAATCACAATAAAACTCCTAGTGGCTTGGCCACCTTCCAGGCTGTGAATAATATCAGAACAAGATTATCAATATAATAGGCACAGTAGAATGATCCTGATAATGAAATGAAGACACCGTGTTCGCTGAATGAGCACCAAACTTCCTGTAAGCACCAAGGTATCTAAATCAAGGGAAGTATTACATTCGCCAAGTCATCATTTATTCATAGAACTCGTAAGAAGACACATGAGAAGGCAGGTATCAAGACACAATTTGTCTTCACGTCGCCTTCATGTGAAGATCCTATCGGAGGCCAATCGATCGTCACGAAGGAAGAGAGGGTAGTAAATGCCAGATGGGTTCGTCAATTTAGGTCACCCTCTGTCATTTCGATGGCTTCTGTTGGCGGCGCCTCACCACCCAATTCTTGTTCGACTTCGTCAACGACAAAGCTTTCGTAGTCTTCTAAGCTTTTTTGTACGTGAACTTTAAAGCGAATAATATCGTTTAGCATGCTCTCGACTCCAGTATGGAGCTCCTCGCGAAGCTGGTTGGCGCGTAGCGTAAGTTGCTCGTATTCAACATCAGTGTTCATCTCCCTTTGCTCCATGATCTGAACGCTCTCGATCAACGAGGCACGCATCTTTGCCAACTCCTTTTCCATCTTTTCTATTTGTGCATCGGATTGCACTTTTTGAGTAGTTGTGATTTCCTTAGTGCGTTCAAATTCCTCCTCGGCAGCACGTCGTCTATGCTCCAAAGCCTCAATCTCACTGCGCTTCTCATCCATTGCCTCCTTGATTTCGTTGAGTAGATCACGATCAGAGATATCCTTCTCAGCAGCATTTTTGCGTCGCTCATTGATTTCCTTTCGAAGCGAAATAAAATTTGCTCTCACCACACCTCTAAGGTCAAGCTTCAACAGATGTATGGGTTGATACCCATTATTCGCATCCGCTAGAAGACGATAACCTTCTGGGGAATTTTGATTTTGCGAACCACCAAGTTGCGAAGAAGAAAATGTGGCCTCGTTCATGTTTAATCGAAGTTCATAGTCCTCACCTTTGGCATTTACAGCAGTCCCAGGAATCAGACTGTTCTGGTAGCCAAGAGTGTTATAAAGCTTTACCACCAGCTCCAGATCTTCGAGTTTTTGGTTTGCTTCACCTTCCTTCTCCATTAGACGCGCGTGAGTTTCGTCTAGTCGGCCCGCAGTGTCCTCGAGATTTCGCTGCAGTCGTTCGCGCTCGGTGTTCATTCGATCAATATCCTGGATGGTAATACCCTGGCTATCAACACTTGCTTGCAGACTAGTACGCTCCTCATCTGCGGTCTGTAGCTCATTGTCGGCCTTTTTGGTCTCCTCGTCTAGAAACTGAATGCGACTGTTATACTTGTCGATTTTCCCCTGTACATTTGAATTGTAGTCTTCAAACTTGCGTTTATCATCTTCCAGAATGCGAAAGGTTTTGTCAAGTTTCGCCATGTCTGGGGCATTCTTCTCTAGTTCTTCTAGTTGATCACGAAGGGCGCGGTTTTCGGCTTCTAAAGCTTGTAGCTCGTGCACGTATTTTTCATTCGAGCGTTCGAATTCAGCTGACATTGCTTCCACATGGGGGACAAGACGTTTTTCAGCCACATCATCCTCCTCGTCTTCACCTCCTTGAAGCCAATCATGATAAGCTCCTGTTAAAAACCGAAAGATAATGCGGTCGCCGGAAACATCCACGCCAGCTTCGGCACAGGCATCGTCGTACTCGCCAAGAGCAAATCGGTCCAACATTTGTGCAAGCTGCATCATCCAATGAAGCATTCCAAGAAAAGTGGACCAATTTTGACCTCCGACCGCGGCGATTTGCGATTTGGTTATGCTTTTCTCATAAGGATAGCGCAGTTGCTTTAAGATCGGTGGGACTTCGGCTTCAATGCTCTTCTGGAATTTATAGCTTGGATCAATCCGGCGATAGAGCCATTGAAAGATGTACGTGAAGTCTTTTTGTGTTGGCGATTTCATCGAATTTTGTCCTAGGGAATGCTTCATTTCTAACTCAAAATTGTTGTGCGTGAGATACTCTAAAAGTTCCTGGCCGATTCGCGCCTGGAAAGCGCGATCTTTGAGGGGCCGTGGATCCTTTGGAACACCTGCTGGAACAGGGCCTTGAGTAAAGAAGGATTGATGCGCCATTGGGCCCCCGGCCATAGACGGTCGTGAAAAAACGCTACTTCTTCGTTGTTGGAGGGTTTGCTGCGAGGATGAGTTGGCGGGGAAAGAGCCAGGCGCGTAACTCAGGCGGCCGACGTTTGCATTTTGAAAGAGGTTACTGGACACAGATCGCCTAACAGACGAGAGGCCTGCATCATGACCGAAGCTGCCTCCTGATGACGAGCGCTGGAAGTTTGGCTGCTGCGGCCGACCTAAAGAATTGAGCAGCGACGTCGAGCGCGTGTGTTGTGAGGTGTATGGAGGGTTTTGGTAGCCAATTGAACTGGTGCGCTTCAACGCAGATGATGGTTGCGGTAATGACGAGAAATTCTGTACACTTCCAAGAGTCTGGGCCGAGGACTAAGTCAGCTTGAGTTAACAGAGAACCCAGGAGGGGGTGTGTGCAAAAATGGTATTCGTACTTCGCGGGGCCGCTTGATGCTAAACAAACCAGTATCTTGCGACATGGTGAAAATTCCAACCCGCGGGTCGGGGGGTTACGTCTTCCAAAAAGGCAAACAATATTATGGTCGCAAGTGTAGGTGTATTCAAGCGAATGGTACAAAGTATGCAACAGCGAGGGGAGTAAAGTATATATCCAAGCAGAAGGCAAGCCAGTGTTTGGCAAAAGCAATGAGGAGAAAAGGCGTGAATTGGATGTAAACAAAGCCTAGTCGCTCTTGGCAGCCGCATGGGGGCTTTCGAGTTGTCCCACATCACGTGCCGGGGTCGGCCCATTCTGGGGAAAGCGCGGCGAGCAGAGATCCCGAGGTCCAGAGCACATCTCGGCTGCTGCTGCCGTTCGCAGTGACAAACTGACTGTCTGTCCGAGACATGCGTCGTTATTTGCAGCAGTGATATCTTTTCTATCTGCAGACCCAGGCTCTGGTTTGGATGAGTTCGTAAAGTCCAAGTATCTCGAACTATCCTCGCACAGAGCGGAGTTGCCACCATGGCTCGCGAGGAGCTCATCTCCTCGGCTGTAAGTTGCCTTGACTCTTTGCCAATTCTTTTTTTGTGACAATACTGATTCGGTGTGCACATAGATTACGTGTATGTGTTGGTTAGAGGAGTCTTGATGACCTTTGAGTGCTAATTTGCCATAGTCCTCCAAGATCCTTCCGTCGCATCGTCGCCGCTCGAGAAACGGATCGCTTTCCTTCAGTCTAAGAATCTGACACAGGAGGAAATTGACATCGCTATTGCCCGAGCAGGCGATGAAACAGTTCAATCGACGACAACGACGACAGCGCCTGTAGGATATAGTCAACAGCAGTCTCCTGTCTATCGCCAGTCAGCTCCCCCGCCCGGTTATGGCTATCCCCCATATGGCCAGTGGCAGCCGCCTCCAGAGTAAGCACCTGCTATTGCTAGGCCTGTTGGAATAATGTGTTAACTATGAGCAGGGTCCCTAGAAGGGATTGGCGCGATTGGTTTATCATGGCAACGGTGACAGGCGGCGTTGGCTACGGTTTATACTTCCTTGCAAAGGTTAGTAGATCTAACAACTACTGGTGAATATCCGTCTCATTTAGTCATAGAGATATGTCGTTCCTCTTATAGCGCCTCCCACCCCCCCACAACTAGAACAAGACAAGCAGAGTATCGACGAGCAATTTACTCGCGCCTTTGCTTTGATCGATCAGCTATCCTCAGACACTGCGGCTTTGAAGTCAGCAGAAGAAGCACGAACAGAGCGCTTAGATGCCGCTCTTCGCGAAGTCGAAAACGTTGTATCCGAGTTGAAATCGTCAACAAGGCGGAGAGATGATGACACTCGTCGCATAAGCGAGGAGGTTAAGAATCTCAAAGACAGCATTCCCAAAGCTCTTGAGGGTGCCCGGGAAGGAAACGAAACGCGACTCAAAGAACTTGGGACAGAGCTGCGAAGTCTCAAAGTGCTCTTGAACAACCGACTCAGCACTGGTAGCTCGAGTACAAATCCGGCTCCATCGCCAGCGCCACCTGTCAGTGATCCAGTATCACAGCCATCTATCACAGCCTCCAATAGTGCTACTCCTGTAACGGTCCCCACCACCCAAACAGCCAGCACTTCCAATACCAACAGCCCTCTTTCCCAGTTGGGCAGATCTGCTTCGATTCCAGCCTGGCAAATGGCTGCGGCGAACAAATCAAAGAACGCAGCCCAATCGCCAGCTACAGGAGCAAGCGAAGAAGCTCAAGCTTCCAACTAGGCCGTTGTGGCATGAACATCTATCAATATTCTAATCGTTCGCTGTACTTTATCAAAGATATGGAATGTTAGTTAATCCAATTTTGCGTGGAATTTAAATTTCGTACATAAAATTAAAATATATATACTAGAGTAACATCTATTACCGACATTATGGTTTCGCACCGACATCGTTTATATAAAAGCCTAGTGTGGGTCGGTATTATTTTCGGAAAGTTAGCGCGAGTACCATAAGCTTTTCTTTTCTATCATCGATATGACCTCATTTATCACCGACCTTTCGACAACCCAATAGCCAAGCAAACTCCAACGAAATCACTCATTAACCTTCCTGGAAATAAATTAACATGAAACCCCAAATTGATACTCCAGGCCTTGATGGCCGTGGTAAACGTGTTAGATCTCGAAGCCGTTCCATATCACCGCCCTCACAATCTCGCTCTGATCTCCGCGATGGCGCCCGAAAGCGAGGCCGGAGTGATAGCAATGAATTTAGTCGCGACACAAAAGCCAGACGGCACCGCCATCACCATGAACATAACAGTAATCGTCGTCGACACAAAGATCTTTCACCGGTTTCGGCTGCACCACCCGTTTTACCCTACAATGCGCGACAGCTTTCAAAGGGAGAGTTTTCGCGCTTCGAACCCATGTTTGCCATGTACTTGGATATACAAAAGGGCATGGTCTTGGAGGACTTGAGTGAGAAAGAAATGAAAGGGAGATGGAAGAGTTTTATCAAAAGATGGTAAGCCATGATCTTCTGTTTTTAGTATACAAAAGGTTGGCCTTGAGTGATTAGCTGATATGTCAGGAACCGTGGAGAGCTTGCTGAGGGATGGTATGACCCCTCTACCTTCGAAAAGGCTTCTAGTAGTCGAAGTGCCGAAAGAAGCCACGGCAGGTTTGCTAAGAGAGAAGCCAATTTACCTGAACAATCTGATGATCACGGAGTGGGATCACCCGAGGAGAGGTCTCTCCAGATAGAAAATGACAACGACGAAGATGATGAGGAGGAGGAGGAGGAGGAAGAGGAGGAAGAATACGGCCCAAAACTTTCCAATCTGACCATATCTTCCAGAAATAAACGGTCCGGTCCAACCATACCGAACCTACAAGACTTGGAACTGCAGCGAGGTAAATTAGTTTCCTAAATAGCCACACCTTGATTTCTGCAGCTTATGGCTGAAATCAAATTCTAGAAAACACTCTCGAAGACGCCGTTTTTGCTCGGTCCACCGCCTTAACGAGGCATAAAGAAGAGCTCAATTCACATAAGAACCATCTACGCACCATTGAGGACGAAGTTGCTCCGCGTGCGGAACCTGGTACACACGAACGCAAGATGGAGAAAAAAAGGGAGAAGGCAGCTGCAAACCGTGAGTTCGCAGCTGGTAAGCGCGGGGGGTCCCCGTCAATGGATGCTGCTCCAGACTCAGAACTACTAGGTGGTGGCGGTGATGATGATCTCGAGACTTTGAAAAGAGCAAAGGAGCAAGAGAAGAAGAAGAAAAATGAGAGAGAGATTAGGCGAGAAGAAATAATGAGAGCGAGACGGGCGGAGAGGGAAGAAAGGTTGACAGAGTACAGGAAAAAGGAGGAGGAGACGATGGGTTGGCTAAAGGCCTTGGCTAAGCAGCGATTTGGTTGAATTTATATCATATGAGTCTTCATTATGTAGCCAAGTTTTTATCTATCCCATGCGAAAATATGATACAACCATAGCGCGTTTTAAACAATCCTTTTCCTGTCTAGACTACCCGTAATGAAATTTCGTTAACAATGATGCATCAGTAATCTTCAATCACTCCACCTAGGTATAAACTCAGGGGCCTCTGGTTTGAATAGGAACTTGTCCGCAGTCTTGATCGCATTCCCCTCTCTAGAAAGGCTTAACTCTCCTCCGTCTGACTGTTTCTTCCATAGTCGGCAGTAGTAACCATTTCGGTTGATGAGTTCCAGATGGTTACCTCGTTCAACTATATTGCCGTCTTTTAGAGCCAGAATGTGGTCAGCATCGACGATGGTTGACAGGCGATGCGCGACAACTATTATAGTCCTCCCAGCGGCCAGACTACTCAGGCTTTGCTGAATATATGATTCGGTTTCACTATCAACAGAGCTTGTTGCTTCATCCAGAAGAATGATCCGTGGGTTCTGGATAAGTACTCGGGCTATAGCTACACGCTGTAACTCTCCTTCGGATAGTTTCACACCTCGCTCACCCACGTTTGTTTGGTAACCGTGCGGGAGACTGAGGAATTTATGGTGAAGTCTCACTGCAGCACATGCCTTATAGATCTCCTCGTCTGTGGCGATCAGATTTGCGTATCTTATGTTGTTCAAAATCGTGTCGTTGAAGAGAGCAGGATCTTGAGGAACGACGCCTATATTAGACCGGAGACTCTGGAGAGTAACATCACTGATATCATGGCCATCAATCTCAATAGAGCCATAATTTGCCTTATAGAAACGGAACAGAAGCTTCAAGATCGTGGATTTTCCGCTTCCAGTTTCCCCTACGAGTGCTATCGTCTGTCCTGGATGAGCCTCAAATGAAATGCCTTTCAAAATCTGCCGTTGGCCATCATACGAGAATTTGACATTCTGGAACCGAAGAGCGCCGCGCGGGGCATATAATATCTTTGCGTTGCACTTCTCCTTAATAGAAGGGTCCTTTTTCAAAAGTGCGATGAACTCCTCAGCATCAACCAGATCGATTGTGATGGAAGTGAAACCGCTTGCGAAAAATTGAAGTGGACTGGAGAGTCGAGCCCAGTATCCAATTAGCATAACAAAGCTCCCAACCTCTTTCCTACCAGCTGAAACCTGGTAAGCAACAAGAAAGCAAGCACCCATTAAGCCAAGAATGAGGACTAGAGACTGCACTGCAGTCTCTGCGTGAGTCCACAGTCTGAATGAGGTGTCGGATTTCACTCGTTCATCGACTACTGACGAAAAGCGATCTTTCTCATAAGGGATTCTATTAAAGTAGGAAACCGTCTTCCAATTGGTCGTCGATTCACACAAAATATTCTGTTCTTTTTCCATAATTGAAATCCAGTTCTTGCGTCTCAGTTTTTGTAAAGCGAGAATTCTCCCCGAAGACCACAGAAAAACCATGATAACGGTTGCAGTTATTAAGCCCATATACGGGCCGAACATAACGTGAAGAACTATAACTGCCAGAAGAAGGTCTGTGATCATCGGTATGATTTGAAATAGAAGTGATCTTATCATGTGGCGAATTGTTGTACCTCGGGTCACCGCATGCCATACCTTCCCTGAACTTTTATCATCATGAAAGTCACTGGAAAGATCCATGATTTGATTGAAAGCTGCTGTTGCTATCTTTTTGTAGGAGTCGTTTTCCAACGGTATCCATAGATATGCCCGTAGAGCCCACAAGCCACCACCTGAATCGAGAAGCCGTAATAAAGTATAGAAGATGATATTTCTCCAGGGTAAGACGTGCTCGCTTGTCAAAACGTCTGTGATTGCACCGAGCTGTATTGGGAGAAGAATATTAATAAAGCGATCAGCAAGCAAGCAAAGACCGACTCCGAGATAGAGAAGTTGAAGTCCAAAATTTCCCTTGGGCCATAAGAATGGCGCAATGCACTTCAAAGTTTCAAATGTTTTTGACAAGTTGTTTTTCACCTCAAATGGTTTTGTATCACTTGATTCGTCACTAACATTGTCAGAAATAGTTGAGTATCCGCTATTACACCCTGGCGGAAGGTGATGCAGCAAAGGGCAATTGTCATCATTCCTGGGAGTTCCGTCATTGAATCTCGCACTGATCAAAGGGCTTTGGAAGGTGGATAAACCGCAGAGAGTGAAAAATATCACCACTCGAGTTGTTCGAAAGATAAGATAACATCTGTGAAGCCGATCATGAGTTGTCAGGTGGTAGAAAAGAAAGGCACTCTCCGCAGCAGTGTAGATCATCCAACAGCCCCAGCGTGGAAACCCAAGTGACCGTGGGCGTGTTCCACTTGTAAGCCCAAGAAGTATTGTGGTCCATACGAGCAGTGATCCAAGTGCAAAGACAAGGCGATCCTCAGAAGGCTGCTGGTTTTTGCCAAGGAATTCATATAACAGCAAGGATGCTTCACTGCCGTAGGTAGCCAGGACGATCAATATCAAGCCGATAATGCCATTGTGTAAAGGCAACGGTAGAGGCTTGTCTTCGTGACTCTTCGAAAGAACATAATCAATGGCAGACGCAATAAGATAGAACAAACCGGTTGATAGGGGAAGAAGGGACTGAAGGGCTCTAGCGGTATAGCACAGCCAGTCCCTCGGATCCGCAGCCGGCATAGTTCGTATGGATGTCAAAGGATGAAGTAGAGTGTACGACCGCAAATTATGTGATTTTTTTCGGCTGGAGAGCACTTGAGGAATATTCGATAGAGAGAAACAAGAGAGAACAGAGGAGGCGGATAGACGTTGTTGTCGGTGAGGAGGAGGCGCCAGGACCACAAGCGACGTTGTGGAAGGAAGTCGCGGTTTGCCGAGGAAGGCAGCCTTGTGCTTGCCTTTTACTCTCAGTTTGCTGCATGCGATGCTTCCTGTATGACTTCCTCTATACTGTACACGCCAGGAATTAAATCAATGACTCATCGCGGGTCTTAGACAAACGCCGCTGTCCAAGCACACAAATACACAAACAAACACGAGACAGCCTTCCACAATGGCAAGCGACCTCGGTGCGTCGAAAAGAACCAGCCATAGGGAAACGAGACATGGAACCAGCATCCTAGCCGCACACTGTTGTCTGACGGGACACTGAGGTAGGTGCACGCAAAGCACCGGTGTGCATGCACTCATATGCCGCCGATTGTTTGGGTATAGTGCTTTCTTACTCCCCAAAGTTTCCATTGTTCTTTGGCGGTATCACCCGCCAATTCTGTTCCCTACCAGTCCCATTTGCAATAACCAGAAGCTGGGGTAGATCTCAAATTAGAATTCGAGGTGAATGAGGCGAGGTGAAGCGAAGGGACCAAGCGATCGCGTTCCTTGCATGATCTTACAGGGCAGTTTCTCACACGACCACTGTGACTGAAAATACAACTGGTAATAACTTACACAGTCTCGCCAGCAATTTAATACTTCCACCTCCTCAAAAACTCCCTAATGCAGGTATACAATGTTCACAAGCGGTGTGAATGCACTTGTACCGTGATTCGACGATCTCTGCCGGCAACGCTTCCCCGACGCCAGTCTGAATGGGGTGCATGAAACCGGGCGGTCTTGTTGGCCAGTATTTTTCTCGGATTCGGTGATGCTTCTGAGAGTGATCACAATCGCCCCGCCGGTTATTCATTGGTAATTGCGGATCGACTTGGCCAGGGGTGCACAACTGACTCGGTCGTCCATTCCGCCTCGCGCCAATTAAAAGGGAAAGAAAAGACGGTTTCTGCCCAACGAAGCCTGTCCTTTTTAATGCGGTGTCATGAAGATCTGTCATACGTTCCTAGGAAGTGGATCGAAGGTTCAAATTTGCGACGAGCCTCAAATCCGAGTCCTCGCCAACAGTGCCTGGCGCCCTAAAGAATGGCTGGATAGCAACCTTGATCGTAGCCTCAAAAAGGCGGCCAACCACCCTTCGTTTCAGCTCCTCTCCAGTTTGTCCAAAGTCGGGGTAAGCATTGACTTCTAGTAGCCATGATTGCCCAGCAGCATCGACCAAGAAATCTAGCCCGTAAAGTTCAAAAACATTCGGTAGTGTTTGGAAGTGGACGAGCATTCCACGAGCTGCAGCCTCAAAAACTTCACCGGTAACACTGCATATCTGGTTAAAGATATCATCTTTCCAACCTTGGCTCAATCCTGGGGCGGATTCTTCCAAATCCCAATAGCGTCGCACACTCCCTTCCACAGAACTGCCGTTTTCTTGAAGACAGGTATTTGTCAAGTGCCTGCTCAGATCGCGTACCTCGTCATCTTCTTCCCAGGGGGCTTGGTAGGGCTTTTCCGCAAAAAGAGCAAGCATTTCTCGGAATACGTAAACTTTTAACGAGCCAACTGCAAGGACATATGTGCGAATATGGAATTTTCGACCAGATGAAGAGGGCAGCAGGAGAGGTGGGTGTATATATGGCTGGGCAATAAAGTGTCGAAGTTGGGACGTCACTATTCCCTGGCCTTTTTGAGAATTTGGCCCAGGATCTGTATCATAATCTTCTTCTGACTCAGATTCGTCGACATCCCACTCTTCAAAGATTTCTTGAAGCTGGGCCTCACTGTTGAAAAGACGAATACCCTGTCCACGGTCACTCATGCCCGGTTTTAATATCCACCATTCTTGCTCAGATGGTGATTTAGTCTCATTCCTTTCTAGACTTTCGCGCAGTTCATATGCTTCAAGAAGGGCCTCGTCCAAAAATTCAGAAAAGTCTAACTCGAAATCAACTGCCGGTTTAAAATGATTTTGCAGGTTGCTCTTTGGATACTTAGAAATCCAATTGGCAATTGTTGTGGAAAGGTAATGTTTTCTGATGAGGGCTTTTCGAATAACATATGAGTTCGCTAAAGATGTGGATGGGCGTGATAAGATATGATCAAAGTCAATATCTTCATAGGCCATATACTGTAAGACTCGACAAGTCGGATCAGAGAGTTCGCTCATCGATTGGATAATTTGACAGTTGCCTTGGTCCACGAGTGGGCGGAAGAGCTCCTCAAGCAGGGGCTGCACATATTTATCTTCATAATTAAGGATGCAGTAAAAGTCGGGTTTTTTATTTGATCTGGATAGCGAGGAACAATCAGAATAAATTCGGGTATGATATATGTAATATTGACAAGAAAAAAAAATCTATGTCTCTTGTCTAGAAAAGGCCTTTTATTCATGCTTGTCTTCGTTGTATCCACTCACAGCTTTATCTCTCCTTTGATACCAGGGGTATGCATGAAGTTGGCTCTAAGAGCGGTGACACTATGAAATAATAGAAATTAGCGACCGTTCCAACGCAAGACAGATACCCGACATATGACCGCAGAAGCTTACCTCGTCATTCCTTCCTTAACCACCCAGCCGTCGTTCCCATCCTTACTCTCTTCGACACTGCGATAAACGTCGGTGAAATTCGGAGCCCACTTGAAATGTTTGTGTTCCAAAAATGGGTTCTTCCTTGGTGTCTGACTACCGGATGATTCGATCCCAGTCAATTTGCTTTCGCCTTTCTCTCGAAGATGTTGCTCTTGAAGACCGGCTTGTTCGCCTGATTCTGTAGCATTAATTGCCTCGAAGCAGCTGCCGGACGTCCAACGGTTGTCTAGCATATGGGTGTATAGAACCTTATTTTCACTCACTCCGGGTTCTAGAGGCACATTCACAGTGTAAAGATCAACGCCATCGTCCCAGTGGGAATGAAGGTATTCTATTACTCGCACGGAGTGCTTGGACGCTTCGGCAATAATTATCGGGTCGTGATTTCTAGAGCTGAAAGCGAAGGATAAAGCAATAGCCCTTTTACCGCATACCGCAGCCTCCATGGCTCCTCCAACCGTTCCACTTGATAACGCGAAGAGGGCTGTAGTATTGCGGCCATAGTTGGGTCCGGAGACTACCAGATCGACCGGTCCTCGATTTTGGAAGTAGTGGTATAGTCCAATTTGGACGCAGCTAGCAGGGGTTGAGTCAATCAGAACCCATTCATCACCATCTTCGTCTGAATCGTCACCATCATAGCCCCGAGGGAGTTGGTGGATGGTACCATCGTCGTGATGCAGCGTGCCTGGACGGAAATATGTCGGTTTCACCGAGGCTCCGACAATATGTGCTTTGCCAATCCAGGACCGTTGCTGGTGAGGAAGGACAACCGAGACTGTATGACCAGCAGTTTGCAGAGCATGCACTAGCGAGTGAACATAGGGGGAGGACTGGTTTGACGGAGGACCGTCGTCGTTGGTAACCTACAACGCGGGGTACATATTAGCCAAGCGGGGGTTTGAAGCGAGAGGATGGCAGTTCTCTCCCTGAAAATTCAAGTTTTAAACAATTGAGTATTTTTTTAGAAGGCTTCACTTACCAAAATATGCATTGAAACGTCGAGTCTAAAATTTACAGTCCCGAAAGTATCAGATTGAAGCTGTGAGTAATTTTTTTTGCGGACGCTGAATTCCCGTTCTCGGGCGATGTCATAGTGGATCAGCGATTCGGGATACCAACTAGTCTCCTGCTGTCGTTATTCTGAACAGGTATAAGAGGCATACCAAAATACATATGTAGATTCAAGCTGGAAAGTACTTGAGATTTTTGTGAATTGACTTTTATTGGAGTATTAATACAAAATTGAAATTGTTGATGCCTTGGAATAGAAGTTACCCAAAAGAGGCAGATCAAAACTATAGGGTATCTAGTGCAATACGCCGAAAGAAAGCAAAATCATCATGTTAAGGTTTATGCATCATCATCGCCATGGCCTTGCGAGTGGCTCCGACGACGTTGCACTTCTTGAACAGGCGGTCTGTCAAGTCCTGTACCCAAGCCCACATTGGCCTGATAACTCGTAAATCCGGTCAATTCTGTGTAGTCAGAGCTAAGCGGGGGTATGTTTGTTGATTCTTCAATTTCCTCCTCTTTTATCAGGTCTTCTTCGTCCTTTGTTCCCTGCTTCTTGGTCCGCTCTTTAGTGTCAATCCCTTCCTCATCCTCCTTCTTGATAGTGACATCGTTGTGATCCTTGGGTTTCGAAAAGGTGGAGAATAGGAACCAAGTGACACTGCTAGAGATCATAGACATCGACCAGAACATCGAGGTGAAAACGAGACACGACAGAATTCTCCAGTTGTACATAAACCATCTAAAAATGTAAAAAGTCAGCGAGTTCCCTCGTATGCAGAACAGTTTTTGTGATTCTGACCTGAGCCCGCTAAACCTGGCTTTGAATTTGACCTGCACGTCATACACTTGCATTTGCTCGCGACTGTGAATTTCCAGTCTTAAATTGCTAGGAATATTGCGCCAGCCTCTAGCAAATTCAACCCTTTCCATCATTTGGATATTCAGGGTTTCCTCTTCTCGCTGTAGTCCAACTAAATACAACGGCATGCGAGAGACTTTACGTGCCATGTCCACAACGGGAGAGGCGTAAGTCAAGATAGCTGGGCGCCGCGATCGCGCTATCAAGGAATTTGAAGCATTCTTTCCTTCGGTAGGTTCCTGAGGGGGTATCAATGCTAAATCAAGCATGAAATTTCCCGCAGCAAGGTTTTCCGGGGTGCGTGGCAAATGTAAGCTCACACTAACATCGTATTCTTGGAGAGCGGTTAGTTCGGAGCCGATAATCGCTGTACCCCATGGATTTGTATCTCTGAATTTCCTACGATGAGCACTCATATTTGAAGCACTAGGGAGATAAATAACATGCATAATCCATTACTTACCCGAATTGTAGATGTACCGCACTTTGTAGTCCGATTTGAGGAACATAGGTGAAATAGAATACCCAGTATGCCACGAAAGCGATAACAAAGAGTAGCGTGGATGTAATAAGAAACAAGAAAGTCCCCAGGTAGGCTTTCTGGGCTTCTTTTGAAATCAAAGCGCGAAATGGAGTTGTGACGACATCCTTCACTTCAATGATTAGTTTGAAAGAAACAACATTCGTAGGGGTATTGCTTCAATACCGCGACTCTTGACAAAATCGACCCCTCGTACTCATATTCATCACCAGAAAAATCTTCTTTTTCATCCATTTCTAAGTATTTCGGGACGCAGGCCTACGCATCGGTGAAATTAAGTAAAAACGGACTGCGCGCGTTGGAGAATGCGGAATAACAACAGTGTCAAATCGGGTGATGTCACGAGCTGGACCTACAGCCTAAAAAATGTTACTAACCCACTTTGGAAGACTTTGAGATATTAGGCAAAATCACACGTGAAGAGGGGCGATAGAACATGAAATTTCTAGATCAAATATCCTATCTAATCTTGTTTTTGAAGATTTTTTTGAACAAAAAAGAAGAGAATAGTATCGAATGAATCGCTCGAATTAAAATCTCAAATATAATACATTTGGCCACAGAACGACGCCCCACAACTTCTCAGTCTTCTCGTGGCATCTTCCATATGAACTGATGCACTGAAACCAAATTACATGAAAGATCAAATCTTGATACTCCGTTAGGTAATACATAGCAAGTGGCGTAAGCTCATTTCCTTTTGTAGTCCATGTAAAGTGAAGACAAAAACCTGCCATGCTCGAGTCAATCATAAAGGAACCCCTTCCAAACGCCGACAGTTTAAGCTCAAATAAAAGTCATAACCTATTCATCAACGCCTCCCTCAAATCAAAGCCGGTATGATATTAAGTTATTTCTAAGAAAGAGCCCGTGGGCTCTGCTGCTGAATATGTTGTAGAAGGGCATCAAAAAGGCGGCCAATCTAGATATGGTTAGTTAACATCTTGTTAGGAAGCAATTGTAAACTTACCTCGGGCGCCGCTTGGATAAATGGCAGTCGGAAAAAGGTGTAGCTTCGATTCTGAAGAAGCTCTTGCAAAGTAATGATTAAGCCCCATGGGTGCGGCCGGTGTACAATGAGGCGTTCAAGTAAGACTCGGATGATCTGCTGGCGAATGTCCGAATCTTGTTGCTCGGAGTAATCAACGCCAAACAACTGCAGGATAGCAAAGCTAAAGTAGTAGGTATGGCTATTAGGGTATCGCAGTTGATTTGCCATAGCACTCAGCAAATAGTAACGAGCTTCGGGGTGAAGAACCTTCGCCAGTCTCTCAAGTAAGAGGGAGTGAGGAGAGTCATCGAAAGCAGCCCGGTTTCCAGCGTGAGTTCCACCTGATGAGACCGCCTGTTGGCCAATGTATAACACCATTGCATTGATCAGGACAATATCGACATTGATTGGGGACAAGAAAAGGCCTGTTTCTTTGACTCTTGGGTTGTACAGAGCGTCACAGATTGTTTGAATGCTAGATTCGCTACCCGTGCTACCCTTAAGGGCCGAGTCCACCGCACTCTTGATGTTGGACTGTTGTAGAGGGGCGACAATATCTCCGGTAATCTTTGGAGCCTCACGCATCTCCTCCAAGCGTTCCACCTTCAGTCCCTCGCGGAAAGGGTCGGGAAGCTTATGGAAAGAGGACGGGTATGCACTGAGAATGAGATTACGCAGCTGGGCACAGTGTGCTGGAATCACGTTGCAGAATTGGAAATGATTCTCCGCGACAAATTCGGGGAAGTCATGGTGCAAAATCAAAAGAATTCTTAGCACCCCCTTGTATAAGTCCTTAGCAACATATGTCACTGATACTGGTTTCAGTTGTTCTCCCATGTATGAAAGAAGTGCTTGCATGATTTCACAATACAGCCCCCATCCCTGTTTCAACGTTAACAACAAAACTGATATTGAAATTGGGATCGAAGAGATACTAACCGCTTCATCGGGCATATTCAACATTCCAGACATAAAGACACGATGAGAAATGAGTGAAAGCCAGCCATACACAAATGCTGGGGCATATTTTGGTTGCAAAGTCAAGAATCTACTAGCGAATGCGAACATCATATTTTGATGTTGGTCGCTTGACGACAACCCGGACATTGTATATTCACATAGTATGCTTGAAAAGAGTCTGAAAAAGACGCGTTGGTTGAAAGCATCGCCTCGCATGACTTGGTGGTGATTCAAAACCAAGACTAGGAGGGAAAGGATAGCATCAAGATAGACGTGTTTGCTGGCCCTCACTGCACCAGGGCTCTCACCTTGATATCTGACAAGCAGGACAATCAATTTGGCAAGGGCATCAATATACAAAAATGCTTCGTCGAGGCTGCCGTTAGGGTTTTGCGACTCGTGCTCAAACATAGCTACGGAGATATCGATACTGAGCCTGAAAAATAGGGCTGAGTCCTCCTGACTGTTCATGACCTGTCTGTTATGAAGATCCTTGAGAAACGAATGGTAGGTACGGTCGGTGGCACCAGGGAACTTGTAGACGCCGATCCATTCGCTGAAAATGTACTCCATTTGATCGCGCTTCGACCTGGCTTTGTCGTTCAGGAGAGGGTTGACAACTTCCGGTATACCCGACTCACGTAGCTTGCGTACCATTTCTGTTGCAACTGACAAGGTTGGATCCTCGACGAGCCACTGGTTCATGGCCTCCAGACTGCCAGAAAAGTCTGACCTCAATACGGAAGGCTCGTCATTGAACAGGACACGGTCCAGAACACTGGCCAAAAGATCCAAGGCACTGTTATCCTTCTGAAGGATTAATTTGGTCAGTAGCATGTCTACGCGTCGCAGATCGAGCAGCCCAGCATCAATTAGAGCAACTGTGACGGGAACATTGAACATGTGCTCGTCATTAACATCAGACAGAATTGCCCAAGTATATCTTGCCACGATTGACGACATATCACAGATCTTAGCAAGCAAGTTCACCAGCACCTCAATCTCTAATGGACCCTCCGTTTGAGAGTAGAGATTATTACATATCTTCAAGCATGTTAACCTTGCAAAATCCTCGCCATTCGGAGAAGCAATGATGCTGCGTAGGATTTGGTTGTAGCCTAGAATGACTGCACTATCACGTCCAAGGTCCTTAATATGTTCCTCAGGAGCATTCCGAGTGTCTTGCTGAAGACCAACAATCAGGCTTTCCACCTTTTCACGGGGACTCTGAGCTTCCATGAAACCGTTTAGTTGAGATTGGGTGCTTAGTGCGGATTGCTGTAAACGGCCCTCTTGCTGAGTCTGAGATGTTTGAAGTGGAACTGCAGGGGGTTCTGCAGGGGTTGAAAGGTTTGGAATTGCTGGATATGACTCTTGAAGTACATCCGGCAACTGTCGGCCAGAATCAGTTGACGCACTTTGGAGATGAGTTGAAGTTGGCCCCCTGAATTGACGAGCAAAGTCTTCGTAGATTGCCAACTGCTCTTTGTTTAAGCCACCAGGAACTTGCCGGTAAGGTTCCGGGATGAGAAGACCCCATCGGTTCATCGATGGGTCTATAAAAGGCTCATTTGGTCTTGTTGCCCTGTGACGGCGACGAGCTTCCAGTTGTGGCTCTATCACTTTCTCAATTTCAGGGATTGATTTCTCCTCAGCAGCCTTTTCAACAATGCCGCAAGCAGCATCGAGATTGTCATTTACACACATTAAAATCGTTCCCTCAGGCATGGGCTGCTCAGGATACTCCTTTTCCATTACCCGAATGTAGTTTGTCATGCTCATTTTCAAAGGCTCTTTGCACGTAACGAGAGCCAAGCTGCCAGCGAGTTGTCGAACCATTGTTCTTGCAGCATGTCGTACCTTTTCTTCATCTGGTTCCATGGCATAGTCCTTGGAAATGAGCTGAACGGTGGATATGGATGCAATAGTGATTGATCGTTCCACAACTGGCGTGATTATCTCGGCAATGGCACGTTCAACTGCAGTGTGCACTATCTGTCGAAGGATATTGGGGTCACTCATACTACTTGCAGATGATGGAAATACCAGAATCTTATCCAAGCTTGGGAGGCTAGACAATAGAGCAGCAGGGGACAGTCTCTCAGTCCTAATACCTTGGTTCATACTGGCTAAAGACAGGTCCTCAAACACCTCTAAGCCTTCTGGTATATTAGCTGTTGAGAGTACATCTTCACCTTGCTGAGACCGATTTCTGATGTCGGATGCTGGTTCAATCGTTTTGTGGTCGAGATCGAGGTCTTTGCAGAGAACCTCAATCTCAAATTTTAGATTGAGTTTGAGTTCAGCATAGTGATAAAGCTCCACGAGTAGGCCGAGTATGTCCATAAGCCAAGGATTTGGAGGTTTGAAAACGGTTGATCGAACTGCCTGAAGGAGCACCTTGCATGTGAATGGGATAACCACCATGAGACGCTGACTATCATAGCCTTCCATGAGAAGTTCCTTAAAGTAAATGTTTTTATGCTTAATAGGCTTATCCTTGGCAATCGTCAACAGCCCAAGCCATGCACCCAAGTTTTTGAGGTGGCTACGTTCCGTTGAAGAGCTCATGGTGGATTCCGCATTGAGTAAACGAATGGAACTGACATATGTCTCTCGTAAAACTTCCGACCAAAGTGTCCGATTGCCGATAAGGCCTAAGAGGTCAAGGTATAATTGTTGAAAATTGGGTTGCAACTTGGCACGTTGCTCGACAAGATACGCAGCGAACCACTGATGATGCTCATCTTTGAGCACATCTTTCAAGTCACGCAGTTTCTCTTGAATGTTTTGTTCCGATACGTTATTTAGAACAAAAAGAATCTTGTCTTGGATCTCTTCGTCGGGATCTTCATAAATCTCTGGACGTAAAGGAGGATCAATATGTACTGAGCGAAACGTGCGAGATGCATCACTTTCGTCCAAAGCACCATTCGTGATGGCTTGGGCGTCAACTCCTCCATTTATTCTTATTGGACTTGTCTCATCCGCAGCCTGGTGGCCCTGTTCTCTCAACACTTCTTCTGCTTTTTGAGAAATAGGAGTACCATGTAGGGATGGTATTTGCAGCAGCAGGTGACAAAACCCCACCCATTCCGGCAATCGGCTCATCAATTGCTCTATAGCTTCGACGCCAAAATTGTACATTGGATCATGGGGCTGGTGATCTCGTACCGCCTCTAGAATCATACCTAACCCGACTTTCAACGGAATGCCATCAATAAGTCGGAAGTTGATGATGCCTCCAAACATGACAGCTGTCTTAGTAAGAGCCTCTAGTGGGTACTCGTGATAGCAATGGTATTCGTCAATGAGCCCATGGACCATGCAGGTGAAAAGGTCCTGCTCGGCAGGTTCACGCGATGTTTTATACCGTCGCATCAGTTCTAACATTTCGCGCAGGGACAGCTCTTCATGATACATCTTGCCAAAAAGCTCTTGCATTTGCTCATCAATGGCTTTAGGGATAGCATTGCCGTTCTGGCTGTTTATATCGATGATTTCGTCAAACCCCTCACCGTAGTTGATGAGCCTGGGGTATGTTTGGACACAAATTCGTTGAACAGGGGTCAGGTTTTCGCGATCACCAACATATTCCTCCAAAATGGAAAGCAATGTGTAAACCGTCTTGACAGCAAGGCTAACCATTTGCGGTGCAGCTTGCTCCGTTCGCTGCACGCGAAGTTCATCTTCAGCTTTAATTCGTAAAAATTTAGAAAGTAGGCTGCCCATGTCCATAGGCCCTTTTTGAGCGGCATTGCGAACCCATTTTTCAAGATCAAAATCCCCTTTGCGATGTGCGAGAGAAGCAAGATCAAGTGCAAGACCATTAGTAAATCCCAAAAGGTAGTCCAACCAACCATATTCGACAGCGTTTTCGTAAATTGGAGCCGTCGAAGTCGGATCCTGGGTAAACATAGTGAAGAGTTGCTCGGCAAGCCATTGGCTATCTTGCTTCCATACACCATATAACGCGAGTTGATATCCCTCTTCTTGTCTCAATATAAAGAAGGCAAGTGTACGTAACACTAAGCTCTGTTGGATAGGTGTCCAGGGTTGCGGTATCACCATTGAAGAAAGCAGAAACACAGGTAGGTCCTGGGACAAAACGATTTTGATCAAGGAGCCGCTTTCTGGGGCATTCCAAGATGCTTGCGAGAACAGAGCCAAATCAAAGACTGCTTTAATTGCATCCAAAGATCGGATCGGAGATTTCTCAGCAATCTCCGCTTGCATGCGTACAGCATCAGAAGCATCCTCAAACAAATCCGAAGGGAAGGCCTCTCTGAAATTGGGTATTTCTGATGGATCAATACGTGAGGTGAGATAGGCTGTTAAAAAGGAGATATGAGTCTGTCGATGCTCCCAATCACCACCCCAAAGTTTTTGAACGTCCAAGTCAGAATCATCGGCTGCTATGCTCAAAAGTGATGAGTATAGCTTGGTGAATTGTCCCGACGTAATCCTCAAAGATTCGCGATCAAACACACGCAAGATAAGTGGCCAGTTGATGGGCTTGTCGCCATAATGTGCCTTAACAGCTCGAAGGAATACCTCCAACGAATAATGTTGGGCATTCTGCGACAACAACATAAAGAGCAGTGCATGTCCAAAATGCTCTTCTTCCCAACTTTCGGGCCCAGCTAACGTCATGGCCTCATTCACAGCATCTTGGGTGGCTGTGGCTTTGGGGCCCTTGGAATGAAGCTGTCGGATAATGGTCAGTCGTGGATTGCTGAAATCGAACATTTGCAGCGCATTGTATATTTCCAATGGAATTTCGATTCCGAGGTTCCGATAACGCATAGTAGCAGCCTGTACGAGGGTCGTTTTCACCTCATCGCTAAAATTGCGCGGGGGGAACAGGATAAATCGTTCAAGAGTGAGACCAAGGTATGGGGCACTGAAATCTTTTGTTGATTCGGTAGGATTCAGCAAGCTATGCAGAAATTGGGGAACAGTATTTGTCAAGATAGCATCAGCTGTAAAATGTCAGTCAAATACTTGAAAAATAGTTGATCCACGCATGTGTTAAATCACCTTTGGCACGCAAATCCGACTTGTTTGCAAATTTAAAAGCCAATGACAGCGACACTTTGAGAATGGCATCAAGTTTGAAGTGATCCAAAAACGTTGATAGATCAAAGTCTCGAAATATATCGCCGTCTGAAGTGTCGATAGTTTCTGCGATTTTTTGTGCCTGATCTAGGTCCTGGGACACCTTGTGCATCTCTTGGACGAGAAGTGGATAATTTCCAGCATTCTCTACGGCCTTGTTTATTCCTGGAAATATTTGAGGAGAATTGCCTGTCAGAAGGCGACGGAAATATTTGGAAAAGACCTCCATGCCGTTGGAATCCACCAGCTGTATTGCCCACATTAGCCAATCTCATCAACAAGAAAATAAAAGGTAAAGCTCACCTTGTGGATTTGTGCAGCTTTCGTTTCCCACTTCTCTTTCCCTTCCTTGTCTGTAATAGAATCTAGAAGGAGATATACTTGCGCAATGGAAATTTTCGCGAGGGACGATTGACTGGAGCTGATGCTCGAGCCTGGTTTATCAAGGGGAATCCCGGTTGGAGAATTCACTGTCGTTCCTGACAAGAGTGGAGAGAAGGCGACTCCTCTAGAGGATCCCAACCCACCACCTCCCCCACTGCCTCCTCCTCCCGAGATATTTCCTGCGGTAGAAGCCAGCTGAGAGCCCGCTGACGGTGTCAGGGCTCTAGACTTTGGAGAGGAGACGGACTGCAAGGTGTGTGGCTGCGAGTGTAAGCGAGTGTGCTGGGTTGAGAGTTGTGAGGAATCAATGGCTAGAAACGAGGGGGGTCGCGACAACCTACCGAACGATTGGTTGAACTGAGAACAGCTGAGAATGTGGAAGACAGAGGAGACGGTGCCGAAATTCCTGCACCCGGGCTATTCGACTGGGGTGGCCTTCGGGAAGGAGCAGCGGCTGTTGTGGAGGATGAAAAGTTGGTTGTCGTGAGCGGAGTCAGGCCGCGACGGAGACCTGACTGAGAGGCAGGGGTGCCCCAGACTGACTGTTGGGGCCTCGACAACCTTGCTGCCGAAGGTTTCTCGGTGCCAGAAGCAATCGATGATTGGGTGGAAGGGGGAGGGGGAGGGAATGTCATCTAGGAGACGCGATCATTTGATCTACGGCTGTCTTGACAGATTTTGAGCGAGAGAAAAAGCCAGGTCGATTCCAGCCACGCTGAGTATAAATGATAGCACGACTCAAGCCCAGACGATCTTGCAGCTGCTATAGGAGAAGATAAGGCGGGTAGCAGGTGTAGGAGAGAGGGCGAAATTGATGAGGTGTGAAGAAGATCGAGAACTGGAGTTGGCTGGTTGCCGGAGGTGGGACTTGCCTGGTTCGCGAACAGCTGGATGGCGCAGGTCACGTGCCTTCCACGGGGCCAGTTTTTGGCTTGGGCGCCGCGGTTTGTCTGCACGACCACTGTATTTCATTCGCTGCTGGCGTCTGGAGGTCGCGAATATGTGCTGCGGTGCTCTGTTCGCGGTCCATGTGTTTATGGACAGTATATTCCCGGCTGATATTGGATCAATCAGCATGGATGTTGTATATTGTGTACCGTAGCCTCAACATATCACACGCTCTTACCACCAAATTGAAGTGTGTCAAGATCAGTCAAAGAACACATTTCGAAGAGCTCAATTGATCCATTGATTGATCATATATTACATCAGACCAAGCACGAATTGCTGGCATTAATTGACGAGTTTACACTGCGAGCTCGAGTCTTTCCTCTATGGAGCCTTCCTATTGCGCCATTGACAGTGGCTTTTGACGACCTCTTTCTACATCAATTACTTGGTAATACTCTCCAGCCGAGACCGCCATTGCCATTTGAAGAGGAAACATCTAAAGGCTATTTCTTCAAAAACAAAAAGATCGTCGGCAGTGCCTATGTAGAGATGAAGGGGCCATTACACTAATCGAGTACTTTATAAGGCCTCATTGAGGATTGATGTCGGTAAGAATCAGTAGACTACGTTCTACTATTTCATGCGTCTCCGATCCATCCATTTTCACTGGACGAGAATATAACATAGAGTCAACTAGTGGAATATATCTTTCATATCGGGACGGAGGAGGATTCGAATCACAAATTGCAAGAGAAATTTGAAGCCATTCGAACGCAATACATTAGAGTTGAAACTATATAGGTAGACTGAGAATTAATGCCTACATACATGTAGTATGAAATTGCGAGTGTTATCTATCCAATATAAAGCCGTTTTTAAGATACAAGTGTCAATTGCGGACATGACATGATATCCTTGATGAACACGTAGTAACCATGACTGTTTCGACATGATCCACAGAGTCTAATCCCCATGACGAGATCGCTCCGCATTGATAGTATTAAGCTCGAACCAGAGCCCGGGGCGTGCTTGTGGCTTTTCTCGCACATATCTCGTATGAGGATAATAATACTCTACAGTGCGGGGCGAGAATCGGAAGGTCTGATTGGCCCGTAACGACGGACGTCATGGCTGGCGGTCGAGGCCCTGGGCGGTTGCCCCGAGAAACGGGAAAGCGTAAACACGGCAGCCATCGTTTTTATCAAGCTCATCCATGCTATGCCTGCCTCCTCCACTGCCAGTTCTCATCATCGTTTTATCATCGCTCACGACTGCTCGAACCCTCTCGGGATGCAATTGGCTTGACGTCCCCCAGTAGATATTTGTTGTTCTGACCCTCGACACTCCCTTGACTCGTTTCCTACCTCTCGGAATCTGTCTTGATCGAGTATTCGAGCGCACGCTGGCCGCAGCTCAAATACAGTCCAGCAGTACGAAGCCAGGATGCCTGGAACGACAGTAGACGGCCCAACCGTGGCCTTGTCATGTAAGTTGATGCGTCGCTTTTTCATAGAAACATTGGCTCATTGACGATAAACAGTTGCCAACAACTTCTGGGGAAAAGATGATGCTGGAGTAATTCCCTTGATGGAACGGATGCATAATGCCAAAGTGACCTGTGATGAATTAAAGAATTTTTATAGTAGTATGTATCCACAGCAGTCATGCCCAAAGCACTCGACATTGAATGACAATATCTACAGCTCGCGCTGCGATTGAGGATGAATACGCTCGAAAATTGCTGGCACTTTGTCGCAAGCCACTCGGATCCAATGAAGTCGGCACCCTTCGAATATCTCTGGATGTTGCGCGAGGGGAGACCGAAGCCGTCGCAAAAGCACATTCTGCAATTTCACAACAAATGAAAAGTGAGCTCGAGGAGCCTCTTGCGGCGTTTGCAGGGGGTGCAAAGGAACGCCGCAAAATCGTTCAGAATGGTATCGAGCGTTTATTGAAGATCAAAAATCAACAGACACATACAGTCAACAAGGTTCGTACATGATTTATAACATTGGGCAACAATTAACTAACTACGTTACTAGACAAGAGATAGATACGAGCAGGACTGTCTGAGGATCAAAGGCTACCTTGCTCAAGGCCACATGGTTATGGGTCAAGAAGAGCGAAAGAATAAGGCCAAATTAGAGAAAACGCAGATCCAATTGGCTTCAAATAGCACCGAATATGAAGCAGCCGTCAAAGTCCTGCAAGAAACAACCGGTCGGTGGAATAAAGAATGGAAGGCTGCATGTGACGTGAGTTATTTACCTGACATTAGGTGAATCACCCAAAGTATTGACATGACGGTAGAAATTCCAAGACCTGGAAGAGGAAAGACTTGACTTTACGAAAAGTAGCCTCTGGGCCTACGCAAATATCGCCTCGACCGTCTGCGTAAGCGATGACGCGGTAAGTGAAACACCTTTACATATTGAACCTTTCTAACGGGTTTTTAGTCATGTGAAAGAATTCGTGTCTCTTTAGAGAATTGTGAGGTAGAAAAGGACATTGTTGGCTTCATCAAAGAACGGGGCACCGGACAGGAGATCCCAGATCCTCCGAGGTTCATCAACTTCTGCCGAGGAGATATCAACGATACCAGCTCTGAAACGTCCGACGAAGACAACTACTCTGTGGCTCAATTTCAACGGGCAATAAACCCTGCTTTTCGAAGCTCTTCACCGCAGCCGTCAACCTACGAATCCCACCATGACCCAAGCTCTGATTTGGCTGCTCAAATGGGGCACCCTAATGTTCAAGCATCGAATAGCAGAGAAGCAACTCCTCAGAAAGCAAGCCCCCAGCAAGTCTCATCAGGTCAACCGGCGCCACTAGATCTTCGCCGTGGAGGTCAGCTCCCACCAAATTATGACCCCAATCAGCATGGTGAAATCAATCAAATCCCTCACAACGCCTATCCGACGGACGGGATGACAATGTTTTGTCGAACCGGACCACCATCTGATCGAAGCTCCGGAACAAGTGCATATAGACCCTCTAGCCGCGAAGATTGCCAGAGCGATATCTCCAATCCTACCTCATTCTCAAGCCAGGAACCTCCTAGTGGCAAGCAATCGCCTGTCAAGCCTACCAACGGTGTTGCTATGCCAGGGATGACCCCGGAGAAACAGATACAAAAGAAGCGGAGTGCTTTCTTTAGCAACAGTCCTTTCCGTCGTAAGAGCCGCCATGATAAAGATCGTCAATCGCAGTCCCACTCTCGTAGCCCGACAAAGCCGAACTACAAGGCATCATCACCTGCAGAAGCCCGTTCAGCCAGTCCTGAGCCGGTTGATCCTCGAGCAAATTTTCAGCTCAACATTGGCAATAATGTTTTTGATGTTGCATCCCCAGATAAGAAAGCACCAGCAGCGTCGAAATCCGCGGACAATGACGTTGACCCGATTGCACGGGCACTCGCCGAACTCAAGGGGGCTGGAAAACCATCAGCTGGCCGTGTCTCTGCGGATAGATATCATGGTTTGGCAACCCCAGCGCCTTCAGCACCAAGTTCTGCTTATGGCAATACAGGAGCCGGGGATGCTCCTCCCCCATCTTATAATGACGGCCCTGTGAAACGACTCGATGCACCACAACCGGCATTCACTTCAGCTCAGATGCAAAAGACCACACAGAAATACGTCGGTCAGACGCAAAATATGTTCGGAAGCCCCGGTAATCCTCAAAGAATGGCTACTAGAGCTCAAGCCCATGACGTACCTCGTGCTCGGTCTCCCGCTCCGACACTCAGAAGGAGCGCCAGCCCTCAACCATCACAGATAGATACTCGCATGGGTCAGTATAATGGTGGTGGAGGGATGACTGGTAGCCCAAATTCATACCAGTCAAACAGCTATAATGGTCGACATGGCCAATCTCCATCGGCTAGTGTCAGACCTGATAGCGACCGTGGATACTCTCCACGGCAATACTCTCGACACAACTCCCCTGTCGATGCAGCTCGTCCAGTTTCACCACGGCCTCACTTCTCTCAACAGAATCGTCCATCAAGTGCCAATGGTATGGAACTCCAACTCTCAGGGTCTCAAGTTGAGCCGTATGGCGGCTATGATAATTACGGTGGTAGAGGGCGAGATAATGGAGGTCGACCTCAGTCTATGTATTATGGAAATGGTCCAGATGCCGGCTCACGGTCTCGCAGCAAGAGTCTAGCTGTTGCTGATCCAAGTCGACCATTCAGTCGCGATGGTCGTCCAATCTTGCATTTTGGTAAGGCATCCCCTTGGCTTCTATCCCATTATTTTAAACTAATGAAATTTATCTAGCTCGAGCTTTGTATAGTTACACCGCAGCTATTCCAGAAGAACTTGGATTCTCAAAAGGAGACATCCTAGCTGTTCTCAGGCTACAGGATGACGGATGGTGGGAGGCAGAGGTAACTGGGAGCCGTGGTCCTCCAGGCCTGGTCCCCAGTAACTATTTACAAAATGTTTGATGACGACCCCTTTCTCTTGATGTAAGTTTCACCTGAGGGAACAGTTGGGCAAAACAACCAACAACTCTCAGCTTTTAATACTCGCGATATCAGTTTTCCACCTCACGATGCGGGTTTGTCTATGATCTCAATTACCCTTTTTGTCTCTCCACGTATTTCCCTTGTCATCTTTTTCTATTCTTTTCTTCCTTTTCTATTTATCTTTTTTTCCACTTTTCTTTTTATTTCTATTCTGTTTCCTTTAGTCTCATCAAGAATGTCCTTCGTCCCTTTGAGCGAGTTAGGGTTACCGCATGCCGGATTGTTAATCCTGCCCCCACTTGTGTTTGTGTACTATCAGCCGACTTTCTTACCTTTATGATTCATGACCGTTCAATTTTGATTTTTGGAAGAACACAAATGTCTTTCTTTTTCAATGTGATATACCTGATTCTGGTACATGATTATCCAATAAACTTTTACAATTAATATATTCACCATTGTAAGGATAGTAATAAAACAGTCTACCAATTTGTATTATAGGGCTGCATTTGTAGTCGCATCAATTGATGCTTACGAACAGGCATGAGAGGCAACCTTTCAATGTTGCAAACTACAATTGAAACATATAACCTGTGTCGGTAAACTTCGAATGTGACAGACCAAACACAATAAGAAAAGTTACGAGGTTATCTATCTAGCACAGAATACTGCTATGTATTAATAGATGTATAGCCGTAATAATAAAAATGAGAAGTAAAAACAGTGTCATCAAACTTGAGAAATCTTATGTACACAAAAAAACTTTCAACTGTTCTTCCATTTCATGTTATTCATCGTCTACGAATGAATTCGCCAGGCGTCCGAATATGGGTACTTCGTAATGATCGAGAGAGTCGACTGGGGATAATATTAGCATCAATCGTTTTGAAAAACAAGAAAAAGATATACGGGACAGCGAAATCTGGACATACCATCGTGATAAGCATGAAGACTCAAGAATGCGATGAGAACAATGTCGCCGATGAACATGAGCCATGATATCACGCCTGATCCGGAGAAAATGAGATGTAAGATCTAGCAAGTCGATGTCCATTGTTAGTATGCCTATCCTCGAGGTACGGTAGGAAAAGGAAGGCGAATGGGGCAACGTACGAATATAGCACTAAATAGCATACTCGACTGCCATGCATGGAATCTATAGAAACCATCAGCAAGACGAATTAGATTATGGGATTACTGCTAGAACTTACCGCACGTAGTCACTCTTATGTTCAAGTAATAACAAAACAACACCCCCAGCTGGCGGCAGCAGTAAATATGCAAGCATGGCTTCATAGTCCATCCTCAAGGGCAAACTAGTTTCGAATGCGCCCAGGTCTGCGCGTCCGCCGCCATTTTCTAGGTCACTCGGGGTGTTCTCAAATCCTCCTGATGATGACGCACTGTGGATGTTGAAATACCCATTGCTGTGTGTGTGGGCGTAGTTACCGCTGCTGTCTTTATTGTAGTGATTTGGTGAAGGTTGTTTTGGCGGTGGTGTTGATCGATGCTGTTGAATTGGAGGTGACTTGGTGCGGTTGAATGGGTCGGCGAACGGGGGAGGAGAGAGTGCCCGTTCGACCTCGGGAGATTCGTCTTGGTAAGGAGCAAAATTCATGTTAGTCCCTTTCGCATTGATCTATTTCCTCCTCCTCTGCCCTTTCGCTTTTGTATGTCGCGGCTCGCCTGGCTCATGCAGGCGTGGCGTGTTCAGGAGAGTCCTATTATCGCCATCATGTTGATAAGCTCCTACTGCGCGGCGTGACTCCGAGGGCCCACTTGGTACGTGTCTATCTACCTGTTCGGGACTAGTGCACATAGCCATGTTTCTATGGAGAGCAGATACAATCTCTTCTCTAATGTGCAATATTTACATAAAGAGCAGTAGATCGAAGGTCTAAAACAGTAATGACCTGACAGGCCTGATAGTAATTAGCTGCGTGACAGCCATTATCTATATTCCTCCCATGTATTATTTTCATACAGACTCAAGTGTCTGCTGAGGCATCGATCGTCAGGAATTGGAAACAACCAGAACAGCCACCATCTCAAAGGAAATGACTCTTCCCAAAACCCTTGCGACTGACACAGTAGAGTCGAATCTGCTGATTCGACTCGGTAGGCTGGTAATTTGGCATGATGAAAATTAATTCCCAAGTCGAGAGGCATTTTCGTTCCGAAACCTGTTCCAGCATGCGATATCTCTTATCCAGCATGGCGACAGTAGCAGCTGCCTCCCTAAGTTTGCAAAGGTAGGACGGCTATCTGTCAAGCAGAGTGATGCTAGTACTCTTTGATCGTCCAATGTCTCGTTCTGTGCGAGACAATAGCAGCTATTCTCATAACTAATCGCCATCTGTGGGGAATATTCCGTATAGAGTCGCTAATTTCGAAGCAATGCAGAGGGTCGATGAGTCTCCTTCTAAGGCTTACCCCGGGCACGAGCTGTACCTGAGGAACCTCGCGCCAAACCGCTTACCGGTCGTCGAGTAGAGGTCGATGAAGAAGTCTGCGTTCCAGCCTTGCCTTTAGAAGAGACACTCGTGGTTCTTCCAAGCCCTCCACGAACCACCCTGCCTCTAGTTGTACCACGGCCTCTAGTCGTTGTGACGCTCTCGGCGCGCTTTTTGTCCTCCTCGGTCTTTTTAGCAGCTTCTCTGCGTTCTTGGAGCTCCTTTTCCCTTCGTTCAGCTGCTTGTTGTTTCGCTGCAGCCTCGATCTCCATCTCAGCGATATCGTTCGAGGCACCCTGCCACTTAGGGTTCAAAAGAAGTCTCTGGTTATGTTCAGTTTGTGAGAGGATTCTTGTCCAGGTATTCATTAATGTCGAAGCCGAATCAACAGTGCGAGAGACGTTCTGACCTTCTGTTAGTCGAGATTATAGCCGCGTAGCGGAGAGAAAAGACATACCTCCATGTTTCCTCTAGCTTGCTGGAGGCTATGCAGAACACCCTCAATGGCCTGGTTCACAGCCCTCACACGGTGCAATTCATTGCGCAAAGCTTGCTCGTGAGCCTCCTCTTGGTCGTAGACTGTATCGCTCTCTCGAGGTTGTGGTCTCTCTGCGGGTGTCGGTGTAGTGCTGGTTTTCTGAATGACTGACTTTGCACGTCGCTGGGATGGAGAATTCCATAGTTCTTCAGTATCCTCGTCCGACAACTGAAGACGCTCCAGCTCCTCTGCAGCGCTCGACGAAGTCATTTTGGCGTAGTTCGATGGTTCGCAATGCCAGCAACGTGCTACACGCACGTGGGTTATGGTCAAGCAATGGAATGCAAACGCAGCACGTATGTCGCCCAGACTAAGAAATCAAAACAATCTCAAAGTAGATGGCAGAAAAGGCCCAAACAAACAATTGGACACAAGCTCGCAAATCGGCACAGCGTTTGAGCAAGGCGGTCAACAGCGTTCCTGGGTCACAGACAGACAATCATCAACAAGCAAGCGCGAGCAAATAACAATCACCACCATCATCGAGAAGAAGAGGGGTTTCGTGGCGTGGTTCAACCTGTTAGTGGAAAGTGCAAGGGCTTGGCAGGTCCGGCCGTGGTGGGGCGCGCCGGTGCAGAGAGCACAGTCAACCTCCCGAATTAAAGCAAGTGGCTGGTGGTGGTCAACAATCCGCGCATTCCTCTCCTGCCACAATAATGCGTTGTCCCTTCTCTCGCCCTCCCCCCAACTTCCTCATCCATCCCTACTATCATCGTTCTTTTGCCATATTGCAGTCGGAAATAGCATCTATCTGTTATTTCTTGTATTCTTTTGCCGCCGCATCTAGGGAATGCTGAGCCTGCGCTGATACAGCTTCAATCCTTGATTTGGTGCTGTGTTTGCTTGTGTCTACCGAGCATCCCTTGTTTACATTCAGAGATACGACTTGGTCCACGCAAACTGCCGTCAGTCGACAATTTACCAGACCGTATTTTTATCACAGTACATTGTTTTTTAATACACGCAATAAAACAATTACAGATCAGCTTGGTTGACCATGGCGACCACTCCTCCGCCCGGCTTGTTGCGAGATCCGCATGCCCCCAGGCACGGTGCTGGCTATGACTCTTACGAACCATATCCGACACGGCACTCTATGAGGCTCGAAAGACAGAGAGCGAGGGAAAGGCATACAACTCCCCCACCTCCATCTCCCAAGAAAGACGTTCGTCAGAACAACATAGGCGCCTTGTCTCCTCCAAGAACTCGGTCCCCACGAAAATTCCTTCGAGGAAAAACGCCTTCTGCCAGCGAGAATACTGGTTTTGATCTGTCTGATCTCTCTGACAGTGCACCAACGTCGTCTTTCAAAAACCTACGTGCAGCCATGCCTCTGCCGCCAGGCTCAACCGTCCTTCCAACTCCTGCAAAGACTCCCTCCACCAACAAAAAATCGTATCATGAATTAGGCACTGTTGCGAGATCTCTCTTCCCTACTGCATCTTCATCTTCAGCTCGTGTAAAGAAGGCCAAAAAGGCTTCTGGATTTTCTCTCGATAGCTTTGAAGAGTGTGACGGTAATAACAGTTCAATCGAGATATTTACCGACTCTCGCGATCGCATTCCGCAAGTCAACGATAAAACCGACAATCCTTTTGCAAAGAAGTCTGAGACAATCATGCCTTCTGCAGAGCCAACAGCCCCTAAACGCCGTAAACTGACATCTCGTTCGACCCCTGAGATCGACCCAAAGGAAGCAGTGAAGCGTGGTGATGGAATGTTGTACACGTTGTGAGTTTTCTGCCCTAATGTTATTTCGGTACATTAGCTAACACTCTTCAAGTCGTGGAAAGAAGGTTTTCCGCAAGTTTGACGAGAAGGACGAAGAAAAGGAGGAAAGTGACGATGATGGCGATCTTGGCCTTTTTGCCAATCGACCAGACTTGCTCGATGCCAATATCATGCTTCATACCCCTCGTCTCACTCGCTCATCCATAAAAGGCCGCGTCCTATTTCCCACAAACGAAACCCAATCAACTGAGCGGCATCTTTCCCCAGCTCCCGACGATGATGAAGAGGCGGCTACGGATATTGATGAACATGTCGACGTCGTCGAAGACGACAGTCTTATCGAATCTGCCGAAGATCCCGCAGAAAACACATCAAAACGTTCTCTTCGCACTCGGGCGTCTGGTCAGTCTAGCGAGGAGAAGCCAACTCCAACATTTGCTGTTGTCGCCGAGACCAAGAAGGGCAAACGTGGAAGTCCATTTGACATCTGGATGAGGAAGAAACAGTCTCCTGTTGAAGCTTCTGTGCCCAAAAAGCGTGAGGCTGAAAGCTCCCCCCTCAATGCTGTACCTGCCACAAAAAAGACCCGTAGCAATCAATGACCAGCAAATGAAAATATTTTTCCAAATTGGGTCATTCAAGGTGTTACTATCAGTCAAGGCGCGTCGGTAATGGACTTTGTTAAGTCGGTCTTTTTAGCTGAAGTTTTACAACTGAACGATTTTCTTAGTTGGATACAGGCGGAGTTTGGGAATCATTTTACTCGAATTCCAACGATATCCTTCGTCTTCATTCCTGTTACATGTTATGCCTGTTCAATTTGATGCATGGGAGTATTCAGACTATATGTGTGGTACCTATGCATGGGATATAGTCAGCGTTACCATGCGAACTAGTTAGTTATGAAATGCTTCCGATTCTCAACCCAAATATTTAGTGTCCATACCGTTAATCTGCTCCCAGTAATCATGCTTTCATATGTACTCATAACCCTACGCCACATAAACAGGCGCTTAAGATCAAATGGAAACCTCTATAATCCACCCACCCAGCTAGACAGGCTTGTATCATAGAATAAAAGTTCACCATGGGTGTCATTTGGAATGTTCTGTTGACCAGCTTAATTTTATTATTGGAGCCAATGACCCAGCCATCAGCCAAGATTCATGATAAAAATAATGTATCTAATAATGAAGAGAATGAACGCCCGGGGACTAAATAATATCCAACTCGTCATCATCGTCGTCGTTGTTAGTCATGACCATACGTCTCACTTCGTTCCCTGTGGCACAGCCTATACTCTCTCTTCCAGCTTCACGGATACCCTTTGGAGTGATAAAGCGCGTCTTTTTGACAGATGGAAGTCCCGGTTTAGAAGACTTCTCTGAGATTTCTTCATGTGCCCGTTTTCGAATCGGACTGAGACTTACAGAATCTGCTTTGCGGGATAGGAATGCAAGGCTATTCGTTGATGAAGATTTCGCCAAGCCCGACTTTCCTGCCGATGAGGCCGGTGATGAAGATGCTGCTGATGACGAGCTGTTTGCCTGTCCTAATCTCGCGCGAAGGTATTCTGAACCTGTGTTCCCACTCCTGGAACCGAGTTTTTTGGCGATATCCCGTTCGCGTTGATCTTCCACGAGTCGGCGACGGGTACGTTCTTCTTTGGTTTCATTGCCACGAACGTTGCTTGATGCGAATGGGTTGTCGTCAACGGCGTCGATGAGAGCTGCCGCAGAGCCTCTGCCCATTGCGTTACGGTAAGGGTTCATTGGCATGTCTTCGCGAGACGTCGAGGACTTAGGAGCAGGAGCAACGAAGTATGTGGATTGTGTTCCCAAATCGTATCTTGCGCCTTCCTGTTTGAGGCCCTTGTTTCGGCGATTAACATTGCCGCCGCCAAAATTTGCGATTCGTGATGCATGCCGGCCGCCTGGTGCAAACATGGTCGTTCCAGCGTTCACTCCTGCTCTATGCGCCTGTGTCCGTCTAATCTGCACGTCGACATGAAAATCGCAGTACTCCGTTTTGCGTGCATCTACCCAAGAACGACAGGTTTTACCGTCTTTCCGTTCGGCTTTGCAATACCCTATATCTCGTGCGGAACCGATTTCGAGGACGGTGTCGTCAGATGATGAGAGGCAGAGACTGAATCTTCCGGTGTCAATTTTACCAGGCGGCGGCGGCATAATTGTGGGATTGAGTATAGCAATCAGAGTGCCTTCCGAGAGTCTGTAATACCGTGGCAATGCTGTGTCAAAAAGGAATAGATCAAGCGTCCATTTGAGATCGGTCAAAGTGATAACCATGTATTGCTCCCTATTGTTGAGACCGTCGTCATCAAGGTTGATTTCTTTTGTAGATGCCTTTTTTTCCTTGTGTTGTTTCGGGTCTGATTTGCACGCAACAATGCCGAATACGACGTAGTCCCCATCTATAGTTTCGGGCAATTCGAATTCTGGTGCTTTGACCGATTTCAATATTTGCGGAATGCGAAGGAGAGATTTGTTTCCCAGAGTTCGTTCAAGAAAAGAATGGGGTAGAATGCGATTTGCAAGGTTTAGAGAAGAGTAAGGCTCGACCTTCGGATTATCTGGATCTGGTTTTTCTTCGGTTTCTCTCAAGATTTCCCTCTGCATTTTCAAGGGAGAGTCAAGGCGCATCCCAGGTTTTGTAGACCGTGGATCACGAAAGCTAGGTGCCGTGGCTGATCTTTTCATAGATGGATATGCGCCGCCATACGACTGTAATACGTCCTCGCGGCTGAAAGACTCTACCGGGCTCTGTTTGACGGGAGACGTCGATTGGGTGTTTGAAGCAGCTTCTACCTTGTATCGCTCAAGTTCAGCTTTGTCAACTGAGAAGGCAGAGCTTCGATTTTGTTGGATCTTCTGGGTTCGTTCTTGCTTGGCCTTATCGGCGTTTCTGCTCTCAGCAATTCTCTCACTAAATGATTTAGGTCGTTTAACATCATTGGCCGAGGGTGACCATATGTCCGTTGAATCATAGTCATTGAGATGAGTACTTGATGATGGCCTTGTTCTAGAGTTGGTTGTACTTGAAGGACGCCACCCCGCGTTTGAGCTTGGTGGTCGTTTGAGCGACACTTCGCTTGCTTTCTTAAAATTGAATAGTGCCCTGCGAGGGGATGCTAGTTCCGGGGCTGCAGTTGGCCTTTTCGAAGGAGACAATGGAACCTGCACATCGTTGCTTTGCTCAGATGCAGCCAATCGTTCTCGTAGGGCGTTCAACCGGCTGCCTGGTCGTGCGGAAGGCGATGACAGCCGTCGTTGATGAGGATTGTCCACATCCGAGCTTGATGTCGATGGCCTTGCTGATTTATTTTGCTGTAGCCTCTTGAGCTTGAGCTTTGCCTCAATAGCCGCCAATTGTAACTGCAGTGTCTCTTCGTCCTCATCGTCATCGTCAAGTTGGGCATCACTATCATACTGGCCGTCTTGCAGAAGGGACCGAGCACGAAAGCTAGGCGCCGTGTTCGATCGTTTCAGAGGTGAATGGGATTCTTGCGATTCTCTTTCGCGCCGCAGTTCAAGAAATCGCTTTCGGCCCCCTGGAGAGGCGAGCAGAGCCTCCCTCGGCGATTTGGGAGGCCATGATACTGATTCCACCACTGGCACATGACCTTGTTAGCTGTATATTTGCTAGGACCGGGTTGCAGCGCACGCACTAACTTGGTCCACCGCAGCCTTTAATGTGCACTGTGTATGAACGGTCTAATTCTCCCATCGACGTCCATAGCACTGCATCGAATCGTGTGGCCCATCAACCCCGCACCATAGCGACTCGGCGAGAAAGCGAATTTGGGCGTGAGCTTGTGCAACGGCGATATAGGTCCCAGTGCTTCTTTCAAAGGAGAGCCTGGAGTTCGAAACGAGACCAGGTACACAAAACCGGGTTCAGTGCTGTTCCCTGTGATTGGGTGTTTCAGCTTTCAACGTTCGACGCGCTCCCGAAATTAGATTAGGGCTGAGGGCGCGTCGCGTCGGCCCGCGTAATTGGCTCCAGTCTCCTTGCCTACACTTGAACAACAGAAAAACGAACTGAGCTTGACGAGATGGCGACATAGCTTTCGATTTCCCGATCACGAGGATTACTAAGTCTCACTCCAGTTCCAGATTCTACCCCAAATGGCGAGGACACGATCAAAGGTTCCAGCAGGCGGAGCCAAAGCGGCCTCGGTAGCAGAGGAGCAACGGTCTGCAAAAAAGCAATTGCAACCAGTTGATGTCCCCAGCAGAACGTTTATTTTGCCATCGAAGAGAAGCAATGCAGCCAGGTTCCTAACACTGCAAACGCCAACCTCGAAAGCCTCTAACCGGTATTTTTTTGACCCCGAGCATGGACTATACGAATTCACATCTGTTGCTTCCACGCCATTTGCGCCACGGAGCATTCTTTATACACCCAAACCCAATTGTAGTGATGATAAACAGTCTCAGAAATCTACCGAGGCGTACGTCACAAAAAAGGCAGAGCTGCTGATCGCAACGCCAGTTGATGTCCTATTCTTTATGCTCTCTATCATCGCGCCGGCCGACAATAATAGCTCCACGAAGAACATGTTTCAACCACTCGACGACATCCTAGACTCCCAAGATGACCTCTCACCCCACATGCGCCATATCGTTTATGACCCTACATTCAGGCCAACACTTGAACGAAGAATGGAAGCAATGTGTGACACCATGGAAGCTGGTGATGAGAAACTGTACCGCTTCAAGGAGATGAAACTTGCCAATGAGTTGGTTGCAAAAGCTGAGCGGATGGTTTCGCAAGGATTGCCCGCAAGTTTGGAGCAGCATTTTGTCCGCAAGGCTTTGGAGCCCCCGTTGATGAGCGTCAAGCAAGAAAATGTGGTGAAAACAACAACCGATTCAGAAACCACCACGGGCGGTCATAGTGAGAGCCAGGATTCCGAAACGCTAGAAACCCAATCAACAAGCGCTACAACGATCACAACAACTACAACAATCTCTGAGCAGCAATCCGGCACCTCGACACCAGCTACGCAACTGTCAACTGCAGATGACATCTCATCTTTGGACAATGTTACGAGATTAATGCGGCTCCGCATCTCACTTTCGTTCATCAAGCAATCTTATCTACCGCCTCATCTATCCAGCACCATTGATGAGATTTTCGTATCCCCCGAAAGCCCTATTGACTTCCAGCCTCTTGATGATCGGCTAAAGGAACTCGCTGACCTTCGAGCTGAGGCCTTAGCGTCATATACAGCCGGCAATTATACACGAAAGCGCGGTTTTGATGATGAGGATGAAACTGATACTCGAGCCGAAAAGAAGCGGAGAAAGGAAGAGGAAGAAAAGAAGAAAAAGGCTGGCGAGTCTCGTGGTGTTCGAGACCTGAAGAAAGTCAATACTAGCGGAATGAAGAAGATGAGCGATTTCTTCAAGAAGAAGTGAGGCTGCAGATCTGGTATCTGTTGAAATAAAACTACAGCTCGCTGTCGGTCTTCTCATGACTAGAAGCCGTGACCCTTAGCTGGTTGGACAAGGATCGCAAAGAATGCTAGCCCCAAAACGTCAGCTTAAGGATGGAATATCACTCAGATATATTCGGGTCGAGACAGACTCAGAAGAGTATGCCTTGAACAGCAAAGTGAGATTGGACAGAGTAAAGTCCAAATGGTCCTGAAGTGGAGCCTACAATGGCTAGCATCATCGTCTCTAGCAACCACTCCAAATGCTCTTTGTTGTCATGAAGTGCGTTTTATTAGTTAATACGCCCGTCACCAACGACCAAGACGAGTGTCCACTATGTGTGCTACGGGAATGAATAATATATCACACATAACCTGTATTGATATGCATTTAATATTACATGGGGCACTTCGTCCATCTATATGAAATGTAACATAGCAAGAAAACATAGCACATAAACAACGCCTAAGAGCTTCTATTTCAAATTAGAATTCCAAAGCAGTACCTTGAACCCTGTATCGATAAGTTAGCATCATGTATGAAGATGTATGAATCTGTGGGATATCTTACAAGAAAGAACCATTTGATGGCTTGCTAATGACAATAGCCTGTGCCAGCTTCTCCTGGGAAAGATCGGGGAACTTTTGAGAATAGTACTCATCCTTCAGGGCTTGGCTGACAGCCTCCACCTTCGACTTTGGCAGCATATGCACCGTGCAGCCTCCCCAGCCTGCCCCTGTGAGTCTGCTACCCCAAGTGCCAGCACGACGAGCAATCTTGCAGATTTGGTCAACCTCGGGGCAGCTGCATTCGTAGTCCTTTTGGCACGACTCCTGGGTCTCGTTGAGTAATTGGCCGAGATAGTGAAGGCGCTTTTCGTCTAACTTCTTGGCATGGGAAAGGCAGGCCTTGAAGTCCAGAACTCGACGGGCCTCCTTGAAGCAGTGTAGAGCGCGTTGCCGGAGCAGGAAACGCTCTGCTTGGACGGGGAAGGACGAAAGGAAGCGAGACTCGAGCTCGGGAACAGTGATGTCAAGAAGTTTAGCAATCTCCTCACGTGTGTATCCCTGCTCCTGTGAAAATAGCTCTGTTGTGGTCTGGATAACGGAATCCAATTGATACTCAAGCGGATCTTGGAGACGACCCTCCTTGCGCATGAATTTCTCGTGGAAGTTACGCAGACTGTATCCCAAAGAGCTGTTGTCCTTTTCTAGAGTGACATTGTGCAATTTTGCCAACACGACGGCGGCTAGTGTGCACTCGGCCACTCGGAGGTTGTAATGACGAGGCCCGGTCTCGGCCTTGTTGGAGGTGATAAAACTTTGTGCGACCAGGAAAATAACTTCCTCGTCGGCTTCAGGCACGGGCACGTGTTCGACGGAGAATTTAGGGAAGAATTTTGTGTATAAGAGATACCCTCGCTCGGAGAAAATGGAGGCAGCTTGGTCCATTCTGTCAAAGACCGGGTTCAGTATATTGAATGCCTTTCCAAGTTTGGGGGGGGATAACAAACCCGCCAGAGTAAACACCAACAGATCGCTCTGAGACAACAGCTAAATCCAAAAGATCCTGCTTCGAGACATTGTGGTTATTGGCCTTCAGTACTGCCAATGCACTGGCGCAAACAAATGCAGCACTACTTGAAACTCCACCACCGGGAGGTACATTTCCGTCAAGATGAATCTCAACGCTGGCTGGCTTGATAGATGGGTTGTTCTGCCGCAGGAACTTCATTGCACCGAGCACTCCGGCCTTGAAGTAGTTGATCCATTCGTGCTTGGTAGGGTCGATATCGATATCCTTGTCAGAAGGGATAGTAAACTCGCGCGAGGGGAACTTTTCGGGGTTCACGTTTGATATCTTCACAGTTGCTTCGGCGCCTTGGGTCTCGACTACTTTGACGGCAATGATGACATCGACGCTGACGGCAGTAGGGAGGACGTCGTAGAGGTTGTAATCGATATGCTCGCCGATGATATTCACACGGCCGGGGCTGCGCGCAACAAAATCTGGCTTTTTGCCGTAGATCTGGGTGAACTGGGTGACCAGGTTGCGCCAGCGAGCCTGGATCTCAGGTGCAACAGACTTAGCAGAGGCATCGTCAGTCGCATAGACGTCTGCAATGTTGTCAGTCTGGGGGACCAGTTGCTGCGGGGCCATCGCGGGGAAGCTGGGGGTGTTGCTTCGCTTCTTGCGGTTCGCGTACCGCGGGAGAGTCCAAGCTGGAGAGGATGTGTTTCGTCCTGATGAGGACAGGGTGTTGAACGGAGTATTATATATGTGGGCGGTGTCAATTGCTGGTTATTTGAATGATTCTTAACCTTTCTGATGGAAGACGCAAATAAATCAAATGCAACCCACCCCGCACTGGCGCCCCTCGCACATAACAATCCGGTGCCGCCTTCCCCGGAACAGCGTCTCGGTGGGTTCAATGTTGATTCGGAGCTGCCGAGCTGGTCAGGTAAGCTTTTCCATGTGGTTGACAATAATATTTACGCCTCGTTGGTGTTAACTGCTCCTGTTGCGAATGGACTCGAAAAATCTACGAATTGGCGGATGCACATATGTAAGATTGAAGATGATACTTTACGTGCCGTCTTTTAAAGATACATGTATAATCTGATATCACTGTCTACATATCATATAGTATATCACGAGAATGTCAATAATAACCAATTATCAAATGCGTATCAATTGATAAATTCAGTGGCAAGCTAGTACCGCCGTGTAACCACCGCAGCTTGTTATTGGCGTCACAATTGCCGATGGGCGGCCGATACAGCAACATCCCCGCATACACACATCCAGAGACCAATCAAGCGGCAGGGATTTCATAACGAAGCTGACTCGTAAACACGACTGCATGATTACTGACTCACACGTCTGCTCGACGTTGGGACTATCATCAGTATTATATGGAGAACTCCTATTTACAGACGGAGAGACAGCACGAAATTACTCGTAAGTTACAGGACTGGATACTGCATTTCACACGGCCGGATGAGTCACGTCGACAGTTCCACATAGCAAGCCGAGGCGTATTGAAACCCCAATACCGCGCGGGTGTATTTGGTGTATTTGGTGTTATTTATCGCCCTAAAATCTCTGCGAAATCGGCGCATTGGCCAATCATGAACCAGGGAAGGGTGGGGTCGGTGCACGTGAGTGTGACTCTTCTCTCCAGACCGAGTCCAAGAGAACAATTACTCAAAGGAATTAAATGTCGGTCTAAGCTGTTGTGTGCTTCCACTCACCTCCAACACTCTCTCCTTCTTTTCCATTCTTTCTGTCGGTGGCCTGGCCGTCATCTGTTGCCCAAGATGATGTCTTTGAGACCATCCAGAAGTGCCCTGCGCTTTCTGCCCACTCAGAGGCCGTTACCTTCAAATCGCAGGCATTTTTCTGCTTCTGTGATCGCCGGCGCTGTGTCGCCCCACAACACTGCTCGTACTTCTGTGATCTCAAAACGAGAATCCAGTACAGCGACAGCATCCTCGTAAGAGTCCCCGTCTGCAGAGATAGAGATAAGCCGCATTGGCTAATATATGTGCCATTTAGAGATGCTCGTCCCGTGCCGAGCCCGGCTTTCAACCAAGATCACCCACGAACAAATGTATCGCCTCTGGAAAATCGAAAACTGCCGGAGCTCGATGACTCGTATGTAGCCCATTGTTGCCAGAATTGCTCTGTACTGATAGTCGGGTGTGAATAGATTCGTTGGGCTGAGCGGTGGTGAAATCTTCCATGAGATGATGCTGCGGCAAGGCGTGAAGCATATCTGTGAGTCATACCAGAAGACAACCCGAGAACAACATCAATGCCTAATAAACATTACTCTAGTCGGTTATCCTGGTGGTGCCATTTTACCTGTCTTCGATGCTATCTACAATTCGAAACACTTTGACTTTATCCTACCTCGTCACGAACAGGGCGCTGGCCATATGGCCGAAGGTTACGCTCGCGCTTCTGGCAAACCTGGTGTCGTTCTTGTAACATCTGGTCCAGGCGCTACGAATGTTATCACCCCCATGCAGGACGCTTTCTCAGACGGAACCCCAATGGTTGTTTTCTGCGGTCAGGTGCCCACATCTGCCATCGGTACTGATGCCTTCCAAGAGGCCGATGTTGTCGGTATTTCCCGTGCCTGCACCAAGTGGAACGTTATGGTCAAAAATGTTGCAGAACTTCCTCGGAGGATCAAGGAAGCCTTTGAAATTGCAACCAGTGGTCGCCCTGGCCCCGTCCTGGTTGACTTGCCAAAGGATATCACAGGCGGCATTCTTCGAAAACCGATCCCCATGAACAGTACCTTGCCATCCCACCCAAGTGCTGCTAGCCATGCTGTCCGTGAAATTGGTCGACACCAGCTCGAGGCCACTCTCAACCGGGTCGCAGCCCTTATTGAGAAGGCTGAGAAGCCTATTCTCTATGTTGGCCAGGGTATACATGCCCGACCTGACGGCCCGAAGCTACTCAAAGAATTCGCCGATAAAACTTGTATTCCTGTCACCACTACCCTTCAAGGCTTGGGTGGGTTTGACGAGCTCGACCCCAAGTCTCTTCACATGCTGGGCATGCATGGTTCAGCCTATGCCAACATGGCCATGCAAGAGGCTGATTTGATCATCGCCCTCGGCGCTCGCTTTGATGACCGTGTCACCCTCAACATTGCTCGTTTCGCTCCCCAAGCAAGGGCTGCCGCTGCTGAGGGTCGCGGTGGAATCATCCACTTCGAAGTCATGCCCAAGAACATCAATAAGGTTGTTGAGGCCACTGAGGCTGTCGAAGGTGACTGTGCCGATAACCTGGCCCTTCTTTTACCAAAGATTAAGCCAGTTGCTGAAAGGCCGGAATGGTTCGCCCAGCTGAATGACTGGAAATCTCGCTTCCCATTGTCTCTGTATGAAAAGGAAACCTCCGATGGACCTATCAAACCCCAGGCCGTTATTGAGAAATTGAGTGACTTGACAAATCCTATCAAAGATCATACCATCATTACCACCGGTGTCGGCCAACATCAAATGTGGGCGGCACAGCATTACCGCTGGCGTTACCCACGAACCATGATCACTTCTGGCGGTCTTGGTACTATGGGATACGGTTTGCCTGCTGCCATAGGTGCCAAGGTCGCCCGTCCTGATGCTCTGGTTATTGATATTGATGGTGATGCGTCTTTCAACATGACGTTGACTGAATTGTCTACGGCTGCTCAGTTCAACATTGGCGTTAAGGTGCTGATCCTGAACAACGAAGAGCAAGGGATGGTTACTCAATGGCAGAATCTGTTCTATGAGGATCGTTATGCCCACACACATCAGAAGAACCCCGATTTTGTCAAACTTTCGGAGGCTATGGGTGTTCAAGCTCGGCGGTGCACACGCCCCGACGAGGTTGAAGAGAATTTGAAATGGCTCATCGAAAGCGATGGCCCCGCTTTGTTGGAGGTCTTTACAGACAAGAAGGTCCCTGTACTTCCAATGGTACCGGCTGGCAGTGCTCTCCACGAATTCCTTATCTACGATGAAGGTTAGTCGACCTGTAATAATACCTATCTGACTTTTACTGATTTTGATGTTTAGCCAAGGAGAAAGAGCGGAAAGCCTTGATGATCAAGCGAGGCGTTTATAAGAGCTCATAAGTATGCTCTTCGCCTTTTTTAAATGAAGAAAAAGAAAAAAGGCATACACGATAAGCGCAGAAACTACCGTTATTGACTGCGTTCTTTAATCATCTTGGTCTCATCGTTACGGATATCCTAGGCGTTATGTTTGGTTCCAATTTTGAAATAAAAGTCATGTGATGGTTATGGCAATTTATTCTTACTGTGACGTTCCAACCTGGAGATCAGGTTGTGCATCCTTTTTCATTTCCTTCGCTGCGGCTTGCGAGATGTCTTCATGATTTGAGTGAGGCGCATGTATATAATGTATTTAAACAGTTGGGAGCTCACAGGCAATGTCTTTGACTTGAAAAGATATATGCCATGAAAAAAAGGTTCAATATTTTGATTTGACTACAAGAGAATTGATGTTCGCCCTTGCCCCTAGTAAAATTTACGTATATTGGAAGCCACTGGAACAGAGCACCGTCCACAGCCAGACTGCTCATTTTTCATAAAACCAGTTTCGGATATAAAAGTAAAACGATAGCAACCAAAACAGCCGGTAAACGAAGATTGACGTCGTACGGTCTCCACTGATCTGATAGCCCAAGTTGTGCCGAGGCTGGTTAGTGGCGTAGGGAATCAAACCATGACGGAGGACCGCCGCCGAGCCGGACCATTCTTATATCACACTCGCGACTTGCCTCAACTACCATTCACTTATTTATCATCATTATTCTTACTGAAGCCGGCTCCCTTACCTTCTCCTTTAACCCATCATTAGCTATGAGCACATCATTAGCGTGAGACTAGACGACCTTAATTTAATCCTCGCCTCGCGCAACGACCATGGCATCGCTTCCCCCACGGCAATACATTTCCGGCAGAACACGGTCTTCTCGATACAATTCATCCAACACACAGGCCCAGGAAGACCCAAGCTCGACGGATCATGAATCGGAATCTATGAATACCACAGGGACCTCTGAGAATTTGTGTCTCAATCGCCCATCTCCCGCTGAAACCGATCAACCGCAGCTGCCTCGGACAGCTTCAACGGCTCAAAATGACAAGGGCACGCAAGAAGGCAGATATAAACGGGCACAAACAGAGGAGTTATCAACCTCTGAGGAGCCTCGAAAGTGTTGGATTTGCTACAGCGATGAAACCGAGGACTCGCCACTTAATTCGGACTGGCGCTCCCCCTGCCCCTGTGCTTTAACTGCGCACGAGGCTTGTCTTCTGGACTGGCTGGCTGAGCTTGAAAATCCCCGTTCGCGCAAACGCAATGGCGGTGAAACGAAAATGCGATGCCCACAGTGCAAATCAGAAATCGTCATTGCACGACCCCGCAGCTACGTTGTCGATTTCGTTCGGGCCTGCGAGAAAATCGCTGGCAAACTGGTTTTACCCGGACTGGTCTTCACATTTGCAGGTACTATTTGGGCTGGGTGTTGTGCGCATGGAGTGTACTCGATATACCTTGTGTTCGGCACAGATGACGCCCAGCGTATTTTTGACCACGGGGCGGATCATACATGGAGTCCTGCTCGAAATGTCGGGATTCCTTTCATTCCTTTGGTCTTAGTATTCTCACGCTTTCGATGGGCGGAGGGTGTTCTTCCCGCCATTCCAGTGTTATTATTTGCTACACATAACCAAGGTGAACTAGATCCACAGGGCTCTCTTTGGCCTCCAAGTGCTGCTATGACATTCGCCGCGTTGCCTTACGTCAAGAGTATATATGGTGCTCTTTATGAGAGAACATTTGGGAAACTTGAGCGCAAATGGATCGCCGAAGTCCAACCTCGCAGTGGAGAGGAGGAAAACAGTCAAAATGAAGACCAAGGAGCTGGTCAGCAAGCAGCATTAGGGGTTGGAAATGGAGGCATTCTAATGGAATTCGACCTGGAACTGCAGATCGGGGATGACGCTCCTGCTTTTGCAGCGAATGCACCTGCAGAAGCCAATGTCCCGCTAGATGATCAGAATCGAGACGGCGCAGGGAACGGCCAGAATCAAGAACAGAATGCGTTAGGTCGGCGCCGGCAGGAGCTTATCCATGATACAAGCAATTTTGCAGATGCAATCCTGGGTGCATTATTGTTTCCGGCAATTTCGGCTGGCATGGGTGGGCTTCTGAAACTGGCAATGCCCAAGTCGTGGACAACACCGCCATCTGTATTGGAGAGAAGCAGGGCTGGGCTACTGCAAAGCCGATGGGGTCGCAGCGTAATTGGGGGGTGTCTTTTCGTTCTATTGAAGGATGCTCTAGTGCTATACTGCCGATGGAGACTTGCACAGACCCACCGTAAACGACGGGTATTGAACTACGATCGACGGAAGGGGAAGGTTGTACGATAGATACAGAACATGACTATTAATGACTACAGTGGGATGAACCCTTTCTGGCGTTCAGGACTAGGACTTTTATTTCCTGCGTTTGAGCAGAGTAGGAATTCAATGAGAAATGTATATATGCAATACCTAATTCGGCTAAGATGTTTGGACCTAGGTATTGAGCAATGACCCGGCGTTAGAACTTGCTGGATTACATCTAATACAACCATCTGAATCTACGTATCCACACGCTCTTAATACACTACCAGATATACTTGACAATAATAGCAGCTGAAGTACCATTCCTGACGAGCAAATCCGAAAAAAAGCTAAGCGGCTATTGCCGGCGCTTAACCCTTGTCCGTCGCCTAAGGCGCTTATTTGGCACTAGGACGGGGCTTGCAGCGGAAAGATTGTTCCTGTTTATAACTACAAGACTGGCACTGCAAAGTGCTTTCCATTCCTTCCTCTAACTCATTTAAACTGTCATATATTCTCTTTCGATTATATCTCCTGTCTATCGAATCACAGAGACCGTCAACATGCGGCCTCACTCTTCGGTCCTGGCCTCTTTGGCCAGTGTTTTCCGAATCCCTATGACCAGACCAACAATTACCTCGACCACATCTGCCCTGGCAGAGGCGTCGCAGCAACACTCGTCGTTTTCAACTACACCCTCGCTCGCCAAGCGAAAGTCCGCATACAGGCCAGACAAGCGCGTTAGTACGTACAACCTGCACACACACATCAGTTATCGTCCATCTCTTCATACTCTTTAACACAAAACAGCCTTGATTAGATACTTCCTCAACCACCCACTTACCCCCCGCCCCCTTCGCTTCTCTCGAAACAGATACCTGCGTCACTGGACCATCCATCGCGCATGGAACCTATTCCAGAGCCAAACGCGCACCGCACACGAACACGAGCTTCAGCGGCAACAGCAAGCCATGTCCGCGGCCTGCGAGGAGCTGCGGACGGGATGTGGTGAGCAGGGTTCGAAGCTATTCCGTGTGTCGATGAATAAGAGGGGTGTGTTTACGGATTTGTTTCCGCTTGAATATTCGAGATTGCAGACGGAGAGTCCGCCTAGGGATGGCTGGAATCATGACTGGAAGAAGTTTTGAATGGGTTGAAGATACATATGTATTGGGGAGGTGATTATTTACCGATGGCCTTTTGTTGATATCATTATGTGTACAATACAACTGATTTCTTATTGTTGATGGAATACGTAAATTATGTATAGTGAGGGTTACATGTGGTGTAGTAGATGCACAATACTGCGAAATGTAGAAAACCCACAATTGGTATATTAGCAACGACTGTTCATGACTTAACAGGGTATCGATGGTCGCATATGTTGGGACAGCGACAATCAATGCATAGCTATATGTGAAGAAGTCAATATTGACCTGAGAAAGAAGGAAATTCATCTTCGACGACGATAACAAAAAGAAAGGAATTTTCTGGCCAGCCACACAATAGCGCATACACGACGGAATATGAAAGGAGAAAGCGAAAGAAGAGGACATCTTCATCAAAGGTGACATATATCAAGGCCGAGGAAATATATTTATGCTGGAATGACAAACACCGCGTAACGCCGGATTTATGCAAGGTGGTCTCGCCTCAAGGACTGCGGCAGCTTGTTTTTGTGGGAGATAGCGAGGGACAGTACGGAGTACATTCGGAGATATATGTCTCAAGAGAAGGACTGGGGTGATGCGACCCTCACGGCGTCATGACAAGAGCGACATCGTTGTTGAGCTGGAGCTGGTGCATGCGCTCATAAAATGACGCAGCACGAGTTTCGTTGCTTCTCGAATGTGAGAAGTGCGGCACGGGTAGCTGCCTCAAATACATCGTCCACACCTTCTCCAGTTAACGACGAGCATTCGAGGTATTTTCGAGCGCCGATTTGGGCGGCAGCATCACCACCTTCTTTTGGTGTCAGGAACCGTAACGATTTCTTGCGCATTTCTTCAACTGCGACTGGATCATCTCGGAGATCCTTCTTCAATCCGACTAAGATAATGGGTATACCGGGACAACGCTCGTTCGCTTCCTCAATCCACTAAGCATAAGTCAGTTTCAGCACACAAACTACCGGCGTTGCGGCATCTGACCTTTGTTTTCACATTGTCCAAAGAGTCCGGAGTGTCGATAGAGAAGCCTATTAGCAACACGTGTGCTTTGGAGTACGCCAAAGGTCGCAGTCTTTCGTAGTCTTCTTGACCCGCTGTGTCCCACAATGCTAGCTGGACAGAACGGCCATCCACCCTGCAATCGGTAACATAGTTCTCGAATACCGTTGGGACCTAGTTGAGTCAGCAACTTGTCCGCCAAATCACTAGTAACACGCTTGGGTAGTTTTTGGTTTGGTGAAACTCACGTAATGCTGTCTTGAGTATTAGCAAACAACTAAGTAGTACAGTGTGTAGGAGAGTAAACTAACCGTTGGAAAGTAGCCAAGTGTGAAGACACTCAACAAACTCGTTTTACCACAGGCGCCATCACCAATTATTACCAATTTTCTGGAGTGAAGGATAGAAGTCAGCGGCTGCAATTGTTTCTGTTTGAAGGGTCCCCTGGACAATGAAAATCGCGGCAAGGGGCCATCACGAGTGATTTTCATACGGCATCCGTCGAATGCAGACAGATTGTCAACACTCATTGCCGGATCTAGCATAAACAAGCCCCCGCCGCTTTCTAATCATGTAGTCCTTTTATTGAACCCTCTGGCTTCCCTGAAACCTACCTGCGAATAACATTGTCCGTTGGTTGCTGAGCCATGGCAGTCGACTGTCGACAGATGAATGATCGTTCAGCGAAGAACGGGGAATAACCTCGTTTTATACAGCGGCACGAGGTCGGAAAGAAGTGAGTAATTGGCGTGCAGTCCTCGAGATAGATGCAATGCGATGCTCAGCGCAGGAATAATGAATCTCTTCAGCTGAAGCGCTCGCTCGCTGGGCTGGTGCAAGGAAAGCAATCACAGTGGGGACTGGGGTGAGACAATCATGCAGCACGCCCTGTAAGTGGGTTTGCTGGGACCGAGAACGGACGAGGGGTCTGATAGCATGGGACGATGGTCGATAGTCAATTGTCGTGTCGTGTCGTGTCGTGTCGTGAATCATAGGGAGGGAGGAGAGGCGCCCAGCTTGTCAGCTTTCCTGGTGTTGAGGCTTGGCTGCGGGCTGCGGCACTGCACACTACATGCTCGGGAACGCCGTGGTAGGCCTCAGGCGCCTTCCTTGTGCATTGTCCAATAAGCAGGCTGTACGAGACAATTAGTTATGTAGCCCTATCGATGGCCAAGAATAATCTCTACTATTTCTGCTGCTGCTGCTTATTTTATCTGCCAGGAACGTGCATGCTGAATCTGACCCCATCGACAGGAATCTACATAATGTGCTGTTACGTTCGGCGTCGATAAAGACACGCCGCATGTCATTAAGGAAATGGACCGGTAGAAGAGAAAAAGAAAGGGGAAAAAGGAAGAAAGCCGAAAATATGTTTCCTGCCAATCAGGATCGTCTAATTACAGGTTCTTGTTATCCACTCCCATATGTAACGACCCCAATATAATTAGATGTTGGGGCGCATGGACGTCTGAAACGTCTACAGAGTTTCAAATCAACCCATGCTGACATCTCTAGAATAGCTCTAGGATTCCAACTAGATTATGCTACCGCTCTATCTACTTGACGACATCCGTATTGGTTGCAAACGTTAGACTGTAATCTTTACAGGAAGGAAATAACAAAGGAGTTAAAAAAAGGATATCGAGTAGATTCGTGACATGAAAGCTATTACACATTGAATTTGAAACACCCTACTGCCTTGCCTCCGTCACAACGCCCTCGTAGTCTCTCGTCCGGATGTAGTCAAGAGTGCGCTGAAAGTGACGTTTTGGATTCTCGAGGCTTGGGTTTTCCTCCCCGTCATTGGTCTGTAGATTAGAATGAATCAGCTCGATAAGCCCATTCAGATACTTGGTGGTCACAGTTTCATTCTGCTGGTCGAAATAATAGACATATCGATTGAGTATCTCAACGAAAAGCTCCACTGACACAGCAGTGTCCATGCAGGCATCGGCGACGCGCAGAGCACGTTGTAGGCACTCAAGAACGCGTTTGCCATCGCGGTATAGCTGGGTACTCATTAGCCGATTCGTTCTTGTAAAGACTGAGTGATTGTACATACATTCTTTGGATCTTCCTCCCTTTGCGAATTCTCCACTACCCACCATAAGTGACTGGCCAAGTAAACAGCGCGACATTGATCTGGCTTCTTCAGAAGCTTGCTTCCATGTAAGGCAGCTTTGGTGATGAGAGTGTCGTAGTTTTCCTTTGAAAAGCCACGTGAATTATGAAGAGCGCTGGCAATAATGCACACTGCCTGGAATTGCGCTCGAGAATCGCTGATAGCGTCTTCGTAGATGGTGAATGCTTGAGCGAAAAACTCGTAACTGACTTCTTCGAATCCTGTTTGATCGGCTACTTCGCCGCACATCACGAAAAGGCGCAGCGATAGGTCGGCACAGCCAGGAGTGTTGACTCTCTGGTATAGATTGCTAATGCATTGATGCATAAATCGATGTAATGTCGATGATTGAGACTGCCAATTGTCCTCATAATGTTCGCGAGCTTTGAGCTTTCGTGCTAATTTCAACGATGACGTGACAATAGCTGGCGTCGTATACCTTATACGCTCGTTTCCATCCGAGTATGCGGTTCTAGTAGCTTGCAAGAGCTGGATAACACCTTTAGTACGTGAATGTAAAACGAAGAAGATGACCATACCTTAAGTTGCGTGTCATTATCAGGACCCTGGATGAGATGCACCAGTCTCGCCAACCAGCCCTGCTCCTCAATGGTCTCGTCGGTCTCTCCACGTCGCTGCGGATGAACCCCAGGGAAGCCTGCAGGATGAGGGACGCCTTCCTTGATTAATACTTTGAGGACTTGAAGAACGCGGTCCAAGTTATCTGAATTCGAAATAGCTGTCTTGTTGCTAAGCAGCGTGCGAATGACTTCGGTTGCAACAGCTCGTCGGGTTGGGTAGGTTTGTGAAGTGAGGAGGGAGATGTAATGGGGCAATGCGAGGGCTGTGAAAATAGATACATATGAGTTCAGTGGTGCGAGAAGGAGGTTCAAAAGGTTCTGCTGAGCCGGCGCAGAGTGTAGATCCGCCTGATCCGCATGTTCCGCTGTCTTCTGGGTGGCATATTCTAAAACCTGATCAACATATTGTAGTCGTTCAGGATAGATATTTCTACTATAAATTAGTGCCAATGTAGTATTCAAAGTGTGTACGAGAAACTCACAGAGCGAGATTTGCTAAAGATACCAGTAAGGCGATCGTGTCTTGAATCGGCAGACCCCTTGTCTTAATCAAATTCACAACTTGTTCGTAGAATATTTCGTAAAGTTTGATATCGGTTGTCAGCTTCAGTCCATTTGTTTCTGTTTCCTCTGATTGTTTGTTTTCTTCTTCTTCGGGCTTGGCACCGTTTTCTCGTCTTTGCTCTGTCGTGGTTTCTTCAGCCTTCTTTCCCTCCGAGAGTTTGAATTGCTCCAGCAATTCAGCCACTGCTTCTTCTTCGTGCTCCTTCTTTTTCACAGGATCGTCAGCTTGGTCCGCATCTCTCACAGCATACGAAGATAGACGGTCCATAAGGCCAATGACGATCTTTTTCATGTCGACATGTGGATTCAATCGAGCAATGCTAGAGAGCAGCAAGTCCAAAGTATGGAGGTGATACTCATCGGGGAAGACCTTCGTAATCACTGCAGAGAATGAGCATCTAGCATATTTGAGAAAGGCGGAACGACCTTACCTTCAAGTAAATACTCTTGCGCCAGGACATCGCGGCATTGAACCACTTGCTCCAGTAAAGGGGGCAAAATTGTGGATTTGTAGGCCTCCAAGTCTACTAGCTGACTCAAGCGAACAATATTGCTTCCGACCAGCAGCTCCAGCTCCCGTCGCTCTTGTGTTCGCCTCTCGCGTTCACGAGAATGTCCTTGGTGCTGTAGCCGAACCCATAGCTTATTCATCTCCACGAAGTTGGTCAAAATAAAGTTGACGGAGTCTTGGATGTTTCCTTCTGGGCCGTCTCCTTTCCCTTCCGGTAGATAGTCTCTTGCCTGGCCAGATAGATAATATCTCAAGAACAATCCGCGCACAGGGTGTTGAACGCCTCGACTCATCTCCATCATGTCCTTCATGATCTCCTTCACTGGGGCGTCTTCAATTGCCATATAGACAGTACCTACTGTAATCATAAGATACAGTCGGGGAATAATGTTCCCGGCATATTGCACAAGCTCATACAAGTCGGCTAGGTGATTGACCGGATGACTCTCTCGCAGGTAGACCGAAAGATGGCGCAGAGCATCGAACACGGCCATGTACAGCTCGTAGTACTGCTTGGGACCTAGACTGGAAGTTCGGAGCTCTGATACAAAGGTAGACCTAGCCATTGGGTTGAGAGGTGAGTAATGTGCATGCGACATTGGAGCGTGGCAATGGCTGCCTAGCCATTGCGAACAGGTATGGAGGGGGCGACATACGCGCATTTGAGGGCATCCATGAGTTTTCCGGGGCTTTCAAGGCATTTCCGCATCATATGCGACTGCTGTCGCACTACTCCCAGGGCCTCTTCGAGAAGGCGGCCCTGGTCCTCGGGGGAGTTGGCGTGGTAGACATGACGTTGGGTGGTTCAGCAGGAACCAAACGGAACAGGGACGACGATGACAGAGGACAATGCAGCCAGTCACTCTTTGATTCCCCTATCACTGGCTCCGCAGAGACATAGATGAAACGAGGGGGTTGCACTTGAGCTGAGAGCAGGATCGCCTCGTGGAGTGGTGGAAGGAGCACGAGCTTGTGGTGTCGCCGTCGACCGTTATGACGGCGGACAACAGCCCAGCCACTAAGCGCTGCCTGCGCTAAAATGGAGACAGCCCACCCGGACGGAAGGACGACACTGCATGTCTGTTTTTTCCCTATAATAATGCCCTTAATTTCGTAGTACTTATTACTGATGAGATATGCAAAAATTGGAGGTGACGAGAGGTCCGAAAACCTGCTCCATGGGTTCGTCATTGGCAATCTGCCATCTGTCATACCGACAAGCTGGCAATTTCAAAACTACGTACAGTACAGAATACCGCAAGCTCCCAACATGGCAGGATGGACTTGGGGAGAAGGAAACAAATTTGCAAAACCAGGCGTCCACAAAATAATCCCACTCAAAACAATAACCTTTGATAGAAAGAAACTCCACACCATTGGTGGCATGCTGCATGAAACGTAAGACGAGCCCGTAACATGCGATTGTTCCGCAAAGCCTCAAAACAAAATGATGAAGAGGGAGTATCCACGGGCGAAAACGAAAATGAAGATAAGATAATGCGAGCGGAGCCCGAAATCCAGAATAATCAAGACAGACGTGGGACACCACGCCTGCATGCTTTTGGTGAAATCGAATTCACTCGTGAAATGAAAGATAGAATGAAATAGGTCTAGAAGCTTGTGGGAGGCGAGAACTGCCTAACACCAGGGGCTGGCCCAATCCCACCAAATATGGCAGGTATGCTGCTTCCAGGCACTGGACTACCGATGTCGCCAGGGACAAAGCCGCCTCGATGACTAGGCAGAGGGCTATTGTTATCCGGCTCGAATTTGACATAACGGTTCTGCTTTTCGTCCTCTTTGACAATGAAAGATCCACCTCCATTTTGGGGGTTTCCTTCCGTGTCGCAGATATCAAGCATTTCATTCAGAGAAATCGATGGCTCATTAGGAGCCTTGAGTTGCTCCACCTGTTGAAGAAGGCGACTGACTTCGTGGAAACCAGGGGCAGATTTCGAAGGACTCATCGAATTTAGACTCTTGATCGCTTGAATGACCATCAGTCGAACCGCCACAGGGCGGGATGTATGGGTGCGGTGATTACCACCGGCTCCAAAGGCACGATTAGGCCAACCCCCACCTAGAGAAGTGTCAGAACGTGTTCGTTCGTGCTCGAAAGGATAAAAGAACAACTAACCAGATCCAGTGGTCCATGACGTCTGAAAGGGCACACCGAACGGGCTTTGAGCACCCCATGTGCTTCCTGGCCCAGAAAATCCCGGTTGTTTCGGTGCTGGCATTGAAGTTAGCAAACATGTATTGTAGAGTAATGGAAGTAATGGCACATACGGCTTAGAGGATCTGGAAACAAGGGGGAGGCGCCAAAGCTGGAGCGAGGCAAACCGAAACCACCTGGTACTGGAGGGCCCGGTAGAGACTGTGACAGGTTCGTGGCAAATGGTATATCTGAATCATCAAGAAGAGCACTACTCCCTAGCTGAGCACTTAAGTCATCTACCTCGGAATGATTGGTCTTCCCATCGACTTTCTGAGGACTTGAAGGCCGCTTAATCGGTGTCGGTCGGGAAATCGGAGCATTCATTGGCTGGCCTTCTAACGGCGACCTTTCAAATGAAGCGGAGGCCTGACGTGAGTGCCCTTGAGGTCGTCCCACAGGCTGAGCAGCAGACAACACACCAGGAACAGGGGGTTGGCCGCTAAATGCCAAGTTATGCCCTGGGTCTACGGGAAACCCTCGACCTGGACCTGGCATTGAACGACCAGCACTAATACCTGGAGGCAGGAGCACACCGTTTGGCCCAGAAAACCCTCTGTATTGACTACCAACAGGGACCGACGGAGGGGGATATAGTGGGAGGTTCTCGTTTCCAATTGGCCGAGGTACTACGCCGGCCATTCCCGGAGGAGGATGAGATGGCAGTCCGTTGATACCGGGATAGCCCAAGGGATGTGACCTGCCAGCACCTCCTAATGGCGATAGAGGGGCTGAAGGCTGTGGATGATGAAGAACAGGTTGTTGTGAAAGTCCAAGTTTTCCCGATGAACTGGTTGGAGTTCCGGAAGACTGCGATAAAGGTACTGTTTGAGGAGAGATTGACGTGAGCGGTTCTGTGCTGCTGGCGGCTTGAGAACGAGGCGATGACGCATGTGATCCTTGCTGTGAGGGTTGACGAGGACGAGCAGGAGTAGGTGCCTTGGGGACGATCGGTGTTGCAACCTGAAAATGGGGAGAGTTTGCAACCGTTGCACCCTGCGGGTGTTGTAAGCCGGGGGGCATAGCGATTATGCCAGGGCCGGATTGAGACGTTCGCTTTGGCCCTGTAAAAACAGGTTGTGATGAAGGCTGAGACTGTGAACGTTCTTTAGCAAGCTGGTCCGACTTCGTACCAGGCTCAGAATCGCGTTTCGACTGTTCTTCTCGAAGTTTACGATCGTGCTCCTGTTTGGCCTTCTTCTCCCGTAGCTCCTTTTCCTTGGCCTCTCGCTCGTCACGCTCTTTTCTTTTAGCCTCCTCACGCTTTTTACGTTCGCGCTCCTTTTGCTCGCGTTGCTTTCGCTCCGCTTCAGCTTGACGCTCACGTTCCTCTTGTATTCGTTTCTGTTTCTCTGCTTCTTTACGCAGACGTTCTTCTTCCTGCAATTTCCTTTCCGCCTCCTTTTTCTTTCGCAATTCCTCCTTTTTCCGTCTTTGCTCCTCAAGTTTTTTCTCCTCGAGGGCACGGGCGGCTGCTTCTTCGGCCGCTTTCTTCGCCTCACGCTGAGCCTTCTCTTCCTCTCGGGCTTGTTTCTGCAGTTTCTTCTTATCCTTTTTCTTTTGAGCCTCGCGAGCTTTCTTCGCGTTTCGTTGTTCAGTCAGTGTTTGTTCTTCTAACAATTCTTGAAGGAGCAGCTCCTGCCGTTGCTGAGCGACCTTTTCTCGATAAGCGGTAAGCACTCGTTGCTCGAACATTCGTGCGGCGAATATTTGAAACATGCGCCTCCCTTCTTCCATGCGCTGTTCTTCGGTCATTGTATCCTAAAAAAGCGAGTGTCAACGTATATTTTACACAATATGGATACCAGGCAAACAAACCATGTCGTCATCTTCAAAGTCTTCGTCTTCCTCGCTCGCGTAGGCGCCATCATCTTCTTCGTCGTCTTCGTATTCTTCTTCGTCTAGAGGTCCATGGTTATGGCCTGCGTGTAAAGCTTGATGTGCAGCTGCCATACCGTATTGTGTATCTTCTTCACGTTGCATCCGACGTTCCGCTAATTGCTCCATCATGTCAATGAAATGTTTTCCATCATTCTTTAGGAGGTCATCTGCCACTGTCAGGATACCGTCTGCGCAGATGTTAGCCAATCATTCCCCTAAATATGGTTGCATATCAGCCATTACAATGTTCAGTCTTACCTTTTACCGTTAGGCTATTCCCAAAGGCGAAAAAGTCTGCTCGCTCACTACGACTCTCATCGTCGTCAAGCTCGTCATCGCTATAAGGCTCATCGTCATCCTCTTCGTCGTAATCATCCTCCAAATCATCCTCATCTTCCGGCAATTCATGAACTCTGCCATGGGATGGGTGGTGATGGTGATGGTGATGGTCGTGGTCGTGGATGTGGTCGTGGTCGTGGTCGTGGTCGTGGTCATGGTCATGGTCGTGGTCATGGTCATGGTGCGAGTGATGATGATGGTGGTGGTGGTGGACATGCCTATGTCGATCAAGAGGATGGATGTTGTGATGCATTAGCCTTGGCGGAGGTACAATAGAACCATTCTGAAAAGCGCCTTGGTTGTTGTTCGCGTATTGTTCGAGCTCTTCGTAGTATGCGTCGTACAGCACCTCAAGTTCTTCCTCAATGGCAGTGCGTTTTCTCCCGCATACAGTGCAGCTACACGAATGCTTTTGCTGTTCCTTCATCTTCTTCAGCACTGCATCTTTTTCCACCTTAACCAACGCCCTTCGTTCATCTTCGCCGAGCTCAAGCCAGAACTTCTTGATATTCTCGCGTTCCTCTTGTGTTGATGTATTCCAAATACGTTCCTTTGAGTGATTCTTCGGCATCGGAGGAAATGAAGTTGGTGGTTGATTTATCGATGCGGACGGATCAGTCGGCGAGATCGGGTCGTCATCATTTAAATTCTTCGAAGCAGAGCGGGCCTTAGACTTCTTCTTCTTTTTCGACTTCGCGTTCTGTGCTACTTCCCCGCCATTTGTAATTGGCGCCGTAATATCATCTTCCTCATCTTCGATGTCATCGTGGTCGTAAAGATCCGCGTCATCAACATCAGAAAGGTCCTTGCTCGTATGGTGGGGTGGTTCTGACAGTTCTGTAGACGAGTTTCCGTTATGAGAATGTTGCTCAGTGACAAGACGAGCGGCTTGCTTCTGCCTTCTCTTTGCCTTCTTACGGTTCACTGGAGGCGCCATGGTTCAGGGTTGGTCCTATTACCGCTCTCGGAGGAAAAGCTCTCACGCAACTCGAGGCGTGGGTTTCACAAACACAGTATCCGGTGTTCTTGGATTCGTCTCCAAACTAGAAACAATTATTTTGAGGATAAACAGTAGCTGGGACGGTAAAAGGCGGCGGGCATGCCTTATTGATATAATGGCCGGGCGGGCTAGAATGGAAGTATGGCAAGGGACATGAAGAAGCCCAGAGCTCGAAATGAAAAGCTCGCAGTCCTATCCAAAGTCTAAAGCCGACCGACGAACGAGCCTGCAGGGAAACCGAAGCAATTTCGCAAGACGCCGGCCAGAAGAGTCCAAAGGGTCGGAGATGGAAGGAGGGGAAGTTCGAGGGCGGCGGGTGGGCTGCAGTTGGGAGCAGGCTGCGATGAGGGCAGATGTCGAGTGAATGAATGCTCAGTGATGATAATCAGGTGACTGGGTGGTGCAAGGGAGGGAGTATCAGGGTTGAAGTCGACCTCCTGTTGTAGTAAAGCCAGGCGGATGGGTTTGGTGGTGGACGGAGATGAGATCAAACGGATGATTTGCCTTGACGCGGGTTTGCTCGTCCTGGCCGCTGGCTGGTCGAAGTACCGCTGGAGACAAAAGCGGGCACTGTGCCTGTTAGACGCCGCAAGCGAGGCTGGCTGGCGGCAAGGGAAATCCATTTCGACTTCGCTTCTTCCACCTGCTCTGCAGCACCATTTCTCCTCGCTTTCCACCCTCAGTCCGCGAAGGGGGGGAAAACGCCATTTTCTGGACTTATGATGCAGCATTAACAAATAGGTCCCGCCGACGTTGTTCGACCACATCGTCCACCGCCTTGCCGTTATTCACATCTTCGCCTACTTTCGCATCGTCGACACAACACCAAACCGTCAAATTATTTATAATCGCTGGGACCTCATACTTGCTATTTATGGGCTTGCGTCTCCCGTCCGATTTTACAGCGATCGAATCACGTCGGCTAGAACAAACTGCCCGCGCTCGCTTCAGGGGATGCTCTTCAATGCTCTCATCCGCACCCATCATATAACCTCCCGTAAGAAAATATCCGCATTGAAGAAGGCTGCCGATGCGTATAATTGCTACGTCCTTCTTCGAACAGGGAGTTCTCCTGGGGTAATGTACGTTGAAAGTGGACGCGAAGAAGACGTGAATGCCTGGGTCAATACTGTGCATAAATTGAGATACAAAGACTATCAGTTGGTGGCAAAACCTGGTCCGCAGTCGGATGAGGGATATGCAAAGAGTAGTGCTATCTTGACCGATCCTGGACTGCGAGAGGTTGACACTATTAAGGAATTCGGCGCGCTGATGAAGGATCGAGGCGTGTTGGATTGGTGGAGGAGAGGGATGGGATATACACATCGGTAGAGCTTTGAACTTAGGATACAATTTACATTTTATATCTTTAACTTCACATTATAATAGCCCTCGAAACTAGCGATAGGTAGAATAACGTGAAGCATTACGGAAGGGAGAGCATCTCGTAATAATATTTCAAAAGTTACGCTTAATGCGGAGGAAGCCCAAGTAGACATTCTGTAAATTACGGAAATGCAAATACACTTAACCTCATCCACATCTCTTTGCATCACGATTCCATTCCTCGCACTCTCCTTCTCAAGCCCCCGCACCCATCCACGGCCGGGGTTGTTTTCATTCCAGTGGGGCTATAAAGGATTTTAATACTGCCTACTTACGGTTTGGCTCGATTCCTTGGCCAAGAAGACACTGACCAACTGATATGCAGTGCATATACATGCGTGCACCATGATCCTTAAATTGATAGCTATTGCCGAACTCGAGAAGGATGTCAACACGTAGGTCTAGCCGCCGTTCCGGTGCACGGAAGAGCTATACAGATGATCCATTCCAAGCTATTGGACTTGAAGAATCTGAAGACGAGGAAGATATTGAGCAGTCGATTGTTTACAAAGGAAAAGGAAAAGCTAAGAAGCGCAAGCGTGATGAATCAGACGATGAATTTGATGAGTATGCGGCTAACCAAGCGGAGCTGAACGAAGAGGAGGATGAAGATGAGATTGAAGAGGAAGATGAGGGAATCCAAAATCATGAGGATGTCCAGAGTCGTGAAAGTGGCGTGGAAGATATCGAGGAAGACCAGGTTCAACTTGCAACTACGCCTAAATCTACTTTCAATCGTGGTAGCCGTTATCGTGATAGAAAAATGGACGGAACTGTTCGTTTTCAGTCACAGGAAACCCATAGTCGTGGCGTCTACAATCCGTCAGAGCATGTCAGCAAGTCAATGCATCTCAAACTGACTTTTGGCCTGGACAATCGCGATCTTCTCGCACTAGTCAGCACCAGAACACGTTGGTCTTCAGGGATTGATTCGACCTTCCCTTCGAGGACAACTCTAGATAAAGAACTGACCTCGACTACTTATGGCCCAGGCAGCACTCATGGGGTGTATGTAGCGGACATGGAGCGAGAAGCAACAAGCGCGTGGGACTGGTATCACAGTGACAACCTTGGAGTTAGATTTAAGGAAAGGCAGTTTGTTGAGAATATAGGCGAAGCAGAAGCTCGCCAGAGGTTTCTCTGTCACCCAGAGAAGGACACCCACAAGGTTATATTTGGACGAGGCGATGAGTTATCCACTGTTTATCTGCACAATTGTGAAAGTTTTAATTTCGGGGACTGCTGGAAAAACCGAGACGAGACTCATAAAACGACCCACAAGGAGACGGCTAAAAAGAAAGGCCCCAAAAAGTCTTTGAAAAGAGAACCAACAGAAGATGCAGTGATTTCAGAGACTCCTACGCAGGGAAAGCGTCGAAAGAATCGTTATGGGTGGATTTTGAACTTGTCTGGCAAAATCCAAGCTTTGTCATGGGCGCCTAATCAGCATGGCTCGACACAATATTTGGCAGTGTCGGTCCCTATCAATTCCGACCAGGAAAAGAAGTATACTTCGTTGGCACCGCCGGCTATTTCCTCGGCGTTCTCTCCTTCGCCACCCTACCCTGGTGCTATACAAATCTGGTCGTTTGATGCCGAAGAGCGTGAAGAAAAAATAACAAAGACGCTGGATGTTGAAAGGAAGCCAAAATTGAGACTAGTGCTATGCATGGAATTTGGTCATATTAGAAAGATCAATTGGTGTCCAATACCACGCAAAAGCCGCAATGAAGACGCGCACAACTTGGGATTATTAGCTTGCGTGTTTTCGGATGGCCGCACCAGGATATTCGACGTGAAGATAAGCTGCGATTCAGAAAAAACAGAGTATCGTATGTATTACCGAGTGTTATTTTTTGCTCATTCTGACAAGATGTGTGCTAGTCTACGTGAAGTCTGCGGCATTCACTGCAATACCATCTCCAACTATCTCCACCTGTATGGCGTGGCTATCTCCTACGGACATAGTCGTTGCATGTGCCAACGGATCGGTTGCTGTCTACAATATTCTAACATATGATGCCTCTCAAGGAGACCGAGAACCGATTCCATATATTTACGCCCCAATACACTCTACTTATATTACCAATATGGATACGGCGTACCCACAACATCCGCATATCATATCGACTGTTTCGATGGACGGGAATACCCGCCTTACGTCCCTTATCGACCCTACCAAGGATATGGTCGACACCCAGAGACAGCGGATGGGCACAACCCACATCTCATACTATCCTCATTTGCAAGCATTTGTCTCCAGTGACGAGAATGATTTCCTCCGTGGTCTGACTGTACGGCGATTCTATACCACCACCTTGGTCGGAAGACTTCCAAGCTCCATTTCAGCTATTGCAACTGGGAGCCGCTGGCACCCATCAGCCATGGTAGGCTCTACTGAGGGCTCGGTGTTTGTGATGAATCCTCTTCGTAGGCTCATGCATGCAAAAGAACCACATTACCATGCCCGATGGTTCCTGCACGAGTGGGCCAAGAGCAAGGACTGGCATACCCCTAACACTAGTCGATTCACCGAAAACATCGAAGTAGAAAGCTTGAGTCTGAACCGCGCAACTCATGGTGACGGGAAGATTGTGAACGGGATCATGACTATTACGATATACGACGAAGAACAGCAGGTTTTTTGTCTCGAATGGAATCCAAATCAATCCTGTGCTGGCTGGGCGGCTGCAGGCATGGGATGTGGTTTGCTTCGAGTGGAAGATTTGGCCATGTTTCATTGATTGACATAAGAAGGGGAATCGTGTGTGTACCTGTAAAATATCGTAATCTAGCTTTTGATACGGAATAAGGCATTCCAACCCAGAATATTCCCCTTCATTTGCTGGGTAGAAACTTAATCGAGCCAATTGTATAAGAAGGATCACCAGCTAGCCCTATTGTATTTAGACCAAAGTCTCATACAAGAAGGCCGAGGTCTAGACTCTCGAAATCTAGAATTAGGGGACATCCAAACATCGTCGAAACGCTGATCGAGTCATACAATATCACAAGGTTTGATGGCTTGCGATTAGCTTTGGGAAAATAATATACGCTGATTGGCTCCGATGCTGTTTAATCCGCGTGGCTGGGATATCTCAGCCAATGGAAGCTTGCAAAAGTGTGTCCCAGCCACCTGCTGGACCCACTATATACCTAATTTGGTCAAGCCTGCGCGCCACCCCGCCATCCGATATATACATTTTAGTACATTTCATGGCGGTATATCTTTATAAAAGTGGAAATTTACAGAGAACAATGTGAATTTCTCTTGATCCTGAAAACAATGTCGATACAATGATTCTAGACGTCTAACGATTTTATGACCCCGATACTGCAAGAATTCACGCAGCCTTTGACGCATTGAACCAAAAACACCCCTCTTAACTCTTCTACATCAATTTATATCAACATGGTTGTTCTGAAAGCATACGCCTTCCTTGCGGCACCAGCCGCTGTGCTACTCTCAGTCATGGCACTTCCTGTCGCACAACAGCAACGACCTGCCACCATTGAGCCACGAAGAGCAACTTACTCTGTTGTCAATGTCGATAGCGGCGCAACAGCGACAGCGACGGCATCAGAAACGACAACAGTCACAGAAGTCGTGGCAACAGCCACAGTTGATGTAACAAGCACAGCAGTTTCTGTTGTGCAACCTACTGCTAAGCCTCAGAGCGTTGTCACGGTGACAGTAACCGCATCCAGTTTGTCTGGGGCGAGTACCACGACAACTACACCAACATCACTACCCACTGTACCAACAGCCACCTTTACAACTACAACTACATCTACATCTACATCTACATCTACATCTACATCTACATCTACATCTACATCTACATCTACATCTACGCCATCGTCTACATCAACAACTTCTGCTAGCTCAACACATATTCCAGTGCCGTCAACAACGACGCGACCTTCGTCATCGGCAGTCCCGACCCCACCGCCGACCTCAGCTACTTCTTCTGCAGTTGTAGTTCCTTCTTATACATCCAACTCAATACCGAGAATCCCGTCCTCTTCGGTCACATTATTACCAACAGGCGGCCTGTATCCATCTCAAGAAACTGGGTCTTTTGGCTGGAATGCTCCTAGCAAGCGAAGAGATGTCGTGAGACGCTCCTTGAACGTGCTGTCCGGGTTTCCCGAAGAGAAGAAATAAAAAACACATAAAGTGACTACATTCAAACATCAATATTCATTTCGATGCATATATTTGGGTTTATAGAGATTGTCAATGCTATGACATTGGATAATATTATTGCATAGATGTACTGGCGCTGGAGGGCCTTATTTTCTGTTTGTTAATGATATAGCGTTTCTGTGTATACTACTCACTATTCAATTCTTTTACTTCAATACCCCAGGCCCCGATCAACTTCATTAAAATATGCGCCAGGATTCGATCATTAGCTAAGGCAACTGTTCAACTTGTACATAGAAACGTTGCCTTTATCAAGAGAACACATACACATTCAAATGCCACGCCGGTGATTCCCGTTGGCTATTTTGTCACCGTTCTCGATTCAGGGCTCTACCAGATCTAGATCCAATCCTCACCACCGACTGATAACTACACCGTAATGCTCCGTAATTAATGATCCTTTGTCGACCTGCTGGTCTGCTGTCCTATTTTAAGCGTTACAATTTGCGTGCACTTCTGCCAAGCCTTCGAGGCCTTGGCCATCATTAAAAATGTGAGGTTAGTTTTGCCAATAATAGATATTTTAAGCTCTAAACTAATTGTTACGCCAACCCTAAATAAAGGCAAGAGTGAAAGCCGAAATATCTCATTCCGTTCCTGCTCCCTGTAAAGTAACGGGGAAAGGGCTCCCATAAGAGGAGATAGAGATGGAGTTTGGTCAGTGCTTCAATCAGAGGTCACTGCAGGCCCGTTGGTCGAGAACTTGAAGTTTGTGGGAGTCCGAATGATGTAGGAGGTCAATATATCCCTAGCCAGTCAAACGTAGTTTACGATCTTACGATCTTCCCTGAGTGCAGGAATACTTGCTCTCCTACCAAATAATATCTCTCGATATTCCATTACCTTTATTTGCACTTGTTCGTACTCTGCAAGTCAGACTGCTTTCGTCTCAGAAACAAGTCTATATTGATATATCAATAATCAATAATCAACACCAATGTATTTAAGGGAAAAATACGCGAGCTCTGTTTAAGATGGGCTTTTACATATTCTTGGCTATTCACCCTGCTTTGAAGAATTGCAATGATTGGGAATCGATGGACATGTAGTTAGTCTTCTTGATTTTCCCTTGTCCCCATTCGAAATAAGACACACACACACACACACACACATACAAAAGAATCAGTCTGAATTTTGAATTTAATTGTTATCGGCTACTTAAAAGGACCACAGCAGGCTGATTCGACGAGATTGCTAAACAGCATTGTTCAAAAAATGTCACTGGAAGAGGTTCCATTGTACCTATAGAGAGGTACAGCGGACGTCATGGAGAAGAGTCAGAGACGCAACAGTCCTTATTAAGCAACGGAACCAAAACGCTGCTGTTCGCAGACTGTGTCGATACAGGGACGTCCGATGCAGGATTCTTGTCGAAAAAGTCGGCCGGGTGTAATGAGACGGAAATTGCCTCCACTGGCATTACCGGATAGTCTTCTACCCTCGGATGATGTGTCAGACCATAGGTGTGCCAGATCACAATATCTTCATTGCGAACATTCTCGTTCCGAGCTGCATAGTCAGCCACACCATCGATTTCGTTTAAGCTTTGGTTTGTCCACAAACCGCCTGCCCAAAGATCGCCGTCTCGATACTTGGTTACCCATAGGTGATGCTCAGCAAATCGTGCCCGCTTATGGACACTGGACATTGGATCAGCAAGGAGCAGCTGCGACGGTTGAGGAACAAGCTTGAAACCCACTGGGTTTCCAGAGATCGGATTGAGCTGCTTCTCGTTCACTATCTTGAAAATGCGGCCCTGGAGAGGAGCAGCATCTGCAAACCCGCTTCGCTCTAATGGCGTTTTTCGGATCTTCCACGCATTGCCGTGTGGATTGTCGCCGTCCATGGGCAAACTGACTGCCTCCTCCTGAATGAAGCTGTTGTTGGAACCATCAATCATAGGATCGATCCGGAGACAGAACAGATGCTGGTGATTTGTGGCGAGCACCCCTGGCGAGACAACGTTTCCCCAGTAGCTGGTCTTGCCCGCATCAATGAGGCTGGTGGCCAGGATTCCGGTTGCTCTAGTGTCAAACTCGACCGTTCCGCTCTGCTGGAACTGCCACGCAAAGATATATTCATAATTACCAACAGTGATGATGCTTTGTAAGATTAGAACCCTCTTTCGGGTTACCGCAGCAACATCTGTACGTGGATTGGTATGTTTCCATCCTATCCCGCCATCCTAGGATTCATAGTCAGCTACACTCTAGTAGCTATGCACTCAATTACCTACCTGTTCATGTAAACAAATTACATTTTTCGCATGAACTGGGTTACCTTGATCATCACTGAGCCAGGAATCAAAGTAGTGAATTGAACCTAAGCAATCACAGCCTAAGGCTAACTGATTGGCGCACGAACCAGCCCCTGCATCGCCCAGATCGAAAGCCTGGCGACGGTGAAGTGGAGAACGAGGATCTGCACAAAGATATGGAAGTTAACGATATAGGGAATCATCATAGACTAAACCGAGGGAACAACGCCTACCAGAATATGGAACTGTCATCTCACTCAAACTCAGCCGATAGAAAACCTTGCGACCATCATATCGGACATCGTGGACGGTCATTCCCTCTCGCCAATTGAAACCGACACGAAAACTCCATTTCTGCCATGATACCAAGCTACCGTCTTGCACATCGAAACTCACTCCCTCTGGTTGCACGATTAGCAGCGGCTTCAGGTCCTTCCGCTGCGGCGTCTTCTGCAGCTCTGCAAAGTACTCATTCTCGGTACAATGAGCTAGTGCTACATCGGCTGGGACTGTTCTATACGCCAGGCCATCCTCTTTACCCCCAGTGGCTATAGGGTCGATCCGAACAAGCTTTTTCTGGAAAGGGTCATACACAGGTGATATGGGAAGGGGGAACGAGTACTGATTGCTTTCCGGATGGTTATGAGAAGCGCGAGCGTACAAAATACATTGTATCAATTTTGGATGGTCTGGCTCAGAAGAATTGTCACTGCCATACGGCCACGTATCGCACTGGACCGTAACATTTTCGGGTAGGTTGAACTTCGCTATCTCGCGACGCACATCCGGATCCGTTAGTATCTTAATGTTGGTTTCTATTACTTCAGCCCTGTTCGTTTTCTTTTGGTTAGAGTGGGACGGATGTCAGTTTCAGGGAGCGCCTATTACCTGTCAAGACCCCCATGTTGTCCTTGCTGGCTCCGAATCGTACTCACTTCAGTGTCGGTATCAAGACTAACCACGGTTTTCATGTAAGTCGGGCCATCAGGCTCTCGATATGTAATCTCGGCAAGTCGGGGAACGAAGGGCCTTTCAGAAGCTTCTACGCCGGCACATTCAGCGTCAAGATACAACATTAGCAGCTCCTTTGGTGGTTCTTGCAAGGTGATATGCTGAAACCGCAGTTTTTCTAGTACACCATCATTTTTGTGGTAGATATTTTGGAGAATGGCAGCGGCTCTCTTGATCTCCGCAGAAGAAAGTCCTGTTAGAGGATGTACTTTGCTCTCTGTCATCTTGGAAGATCAACTATTTAGGAAACTTTGAAATGGGATAGGAAAGGTTGATTGCTGGGCCATTGTTGTTGATAATTGAAAATGAGAAGATTAAATATAACTGGATTCACTAGCAAAAGAGGACATTGGTCAGCGGCTACTGAATCAGGCTTCTTTGATCCAATTTTAATGAGTTGGTTATGCCCCTAGAAATTACAAAAGCGGAAGGCGTCGCGCGACGAGGAATTTTCCGCTTTTAGTATCTAATGCGCCTCAAAAGCCGATATGTAACACGGCTTATTTGCTCCCTGCTACGGTAGGTCCTGGTCATCTCAAGGTCAAGTACATATGTTTTTCTGTTACCATGAAGATGCTGCTAGTACATGACTGTCCCCTAAGCCAGTAAAGCCACCACCGTCAGGCCTTTGCTCATTTCGTCTCCCAGTTAAAAACCAGCCTTAGTACACAGCTACATTTTCTCTTATCAGTTAAAATGTTATTAGAAAGCTTTTTCGTCAAAACCGTACCATACAAGGAGATTGATGGCGGCGCTCCCATTTTTCTGGATGTGATGATACCAAAGCATTTATCTAGAAACCTTCATGCAGTTCACATTCATCTTCATGGTGGTTTCCTTGTAACTGGAGCGAGAAACAACCTGGACATAATTCCGCCACGCATCTTCAGTCATACGATCCAAAATGATATCATCTTGGTCTCGCCTGATTATCGACTGCTTCCCGAAAGCAACGGGCTTGACATTCATGAAGATATGAAGGATATGTGGATCTGGATCCGACAAAGTCTGAACCGGACGGTCGAGAGCATGACCACTGGTGCAAGCCGAGTCGATCTCCAAAAGATTGTGGTATCAGGGGAGAGCGCTGGTTCGTACATGCTATACTTATTGATGCACTCGCTTTTTTTTGCCTGCTATCTACCTTACTAATGCCACGGTATGACTTTCAGGAGGCTATCTAGCTTTACAACTGGCGCTCAGTCACCCGACGGAAATCCGCGCTGTCATTGCTAGTTATCCTATGGTTGATATGAGACATCCTCACTTCAGCCAAGCTGGGCAGAAGCAGATAGGCGCGTATCCACAGTACCCAGAAACTCTTATCAGCGAACATTTGCAGCAATCACCAGACGGGGCTAACCCGACCATGAGAGAGTTCAGCCGCCAAAGTCTTTCGATAGCTCTCATGCAGCACGGCCGTTACCTCTATTTTTTCGGACATGACCGAGAGCTCTTCCCCATCGAAAGATTAGAGGACGACGCATCCCTAGCACCGACCCTGCCTTTCATCTGGATTCATCACGGCACCGCGGACTCGGAAGTGCCGATTGATGGTTCCCGGAAGTTTGTTGACTTGTTAAAGCGCCAGAATCCAGGCGCTAGGATTCGGTACGAAGAACTTGTAGGTGCAGAGCACGGTATCGATAGCGAGATGTTTCTCATAAGGTCAGGAGAGTGGGAGCGCGGAATCAGAGTCGTCAACAACCTGCTCTTCGGCGAAAAGGAACCGTAAATTCCTCATTTCAACGAAGCACTCACCAATGATCGTCTAAATCTGCGCTTAAGATAGGAAGTTTTTGTTCCCATATTGTGATGTCCCATTGCTTTCGTAAAAGGTTGGCTATCGACAATGCCTGCAAAATACCCTTAGACTCACCAATCTCATTCAACTTTGAAATGGCCCAGTCCCGTATTGGTAGCGAGGCAGCCCAGTTGGTAGCGACGAGATATAGTGGCCAGAGTAAGAGAGTACCGAGGGCCCCGGACTGACTCGGAGACTTATTATCAGAGAGGTACGGCGATGCGGCGGAGCAAATCTGGTTCGCGAACAAATCCAGGAGATATTCAGACATATGTCGTTGTTTCTCATCGTAGACCCATTCGCCTATGGAGAATTGTTCGAGAATTATCTCGTTAGCGAGTATGCGAAGACAACGATACTTATTCCATAGATTTGCAACTAGAATACACGGGTAAGTATGATCCTCGGACGGTATCTGTGCCGAGCAATGATTGTTGCATATACGGTGGTAGCTATATTCTACTGGAAGGCATCTCGCCCAGTGTGCTAGTTCCCCGTCAACCTTCCATGCCTCATAAATGATGGCCCTTGCATCAGGGAATGTTTGCCGACTAGTTGATGCCCGCAGTGAGCACAGCCGCATTGCAATGGTTTGGAGTGAGAGCTTTGGGCTTGAGTCGTTGTTTTGCACCTGGTCGATTAGGTGGACTATGTCAGGAGGTATATCTTCGCGGTGCTGGAGACATTTGAGGATCTGTACGAATTTTAGAAACATGACATGATGGTTGCCTTGAAGATCCTACGAGCTTTTCACAGATATCATAAAGCAATTCAATCCCGACTCCTTGACACCAGTCTTCTTTCTCCATCCGGAGAAAGGTGGCAGCTCCACTGACGTGGCTTCTCCAGGCCAGCATCGATCTAGGTGAAACGCACGTTGCAGTCTATAGGTGAGTCAGCTTATCGTCGTAAGCCTATTTTATGGACAGTTTTGCTGCTTACTTCATACATAGCCAGCAACAGCACTGCTACAGCGGTCGAATATCTCCAGCATTTAGGCAGATCGGCCAATAATTTGTGGGTGAGGCTCAGGGCCGTTGAGTAGCGGTCACTTGTTGTTACCATTAGATCGCTGCTCCTCTTGAAATTTGCAATTCCAGCGCTTCCCACCGCTATCACTGCGGCGTAAAGAGCTGGGTTTGGTGGGATGTCGACAAACATCGTTGGCAGATATGACATGTAACCTTTCAAGTAATCCTCATCCATGATAATGTAATGGTGAAAGAAGAAGCACGTCGCTTGTTCCTCCAAAGGAAAAGGCAAAGCTGCTATGAGACTAGAGGCCATGGCAGTATAGGATAGGGCAGCGTTACTATTGAAATCGGTCTCGACACAGGGCCTTTCCAGACGCTTCTCCGTTGGCTCATTTATTAACGTTGTCCTAGGCTTAGTCACGCGTTTCGACCTCGGATGACTATACATTGTTTTCGCTTTGGTGATAACTTTTTCTCTCTGATCACGGAAGGCGAGGGAGAGAGGGTCGCGATATCCAGGACAAACACTGCCTGTTCTGAGGCAGAGACCGCACGAAGGGAGCTTCTGGTCACACTGCGATTGGAGTCAGACTGTTCATTAGTTCCAGCCACGAGAATAGAAAGGTACCTTCTTCTTCTTTGTCCGACAGGTTGTACATCCTCGACTAGATCGGCCAGCCAAGGTCATTTTGATGCAGTTTCAGCGCAACCGCGCTTCGTTGGCTTCCTGGATATTGTGAGGTAGAGAGTGATGATTAGAACACAATGGCGATAACAAGAACGAATCGAGACTGGGAAATGGTCGCACTTGGTAGATCTGACCATTTTTGGAATTTTTGGTACACTATACAGAATGAAATCAATGAATCCCAGCTCCAGAACAGCTTGAAAGTATTGCAGAGTATCCAATCCTCGATACAGAACGAAGGTCTAGCTTGAGTGTATTCCACTGTCCACTGAGCAGCTTTCACAGATCGATTCATCCTACCTATTCCGTACTCCGCAGAGATAATCTAGTCTAGCCCTGGTGTCGCTAAACTCTGGAATCAGAAGGCCCAGCCGGGGGGAAAGTCGAAGCTTAGCTGCTATCATTATGATTGGAAAAATCACGCCCTAGTGCTACATCGGCGTGTCCCACTCGGAGTCCATTTGTCACTTGACTCGCGAGCCGTAATCGTGTTCGAATGTTAGAAGCGAACAACTCCAAACGCTAAAATGCGGAGTACCGGGTATGTAGCTAAACGAGGAACGCCTTTTCTTTCCTATTACGGCGGGTCGTCTGGGAAAACCCGGTCTGTTCGCCGCTTTGGGCCACCAAACGAGCTTTGCGTATCTCGTATCTCGTTTGTCGTTTAACGCTTTCCTTCGGATCCTGGCGGCTTTTAACTTTGACCAGGAACGAAAGAGCTACTAATTAGTAAGTCACGAAGCAGAGTCGAAGCTTGGCCTCACTCATCCTCTATCACGGTGAAGCAAAGACTGACTTGGCTCGGAATAAGCAATTCCCAGCACTCGTCGTTATTTACCCCGCAATTTCGGAGAAAGAACCCAACTCTAATATCTCAGCAGGGTCTAGAGCTTGCCGAGATGAAATGGACTTGATACAGAATGGCGAAGAAACTTCTTTGAGTTCTTTCTCCAGCCCCGAAAATGGCAACCTTTGCGCATATGCCAAGCTGTGGTGTTCAGAGAAGATAGATCTATCCCAGCACAGTTTGCCGCTAAGCGGCCTATCTGGTCCTTCTAGACTTCTGCCTGTAAGATAGATTTTTATCAACCATATGGGGAATCCATCGAGTTCTGCACCATATTCCCCCTCCTGCTTGCGGGAAAAGCGGGGACAAATGTATGGGTGATGATCGTAAGCAGTAGTGAAGACCAGTCTCATGCTTCCTTTAAATACCTAAATGAAATAAGGCCAAGGATATAATTCCAATAGGCACCTTTTGATTTGAGCTCTTCAATACCTCTTATACTGCATGACCGGGTGCGCGCCATCCTATTGACATTGAAATCGTCCCAGAATGCTCAAGAACATACTCAGAATTTCAACGTACAATATATGTTTGCTAGCATTCCGAATTGATTTTCCCCCAACATTTCAATGTTATTTCAAAAGAAACAGGAGTCTTTTTGAAGCCCCCAATCATGTAGGTCCTGGGATGTGTTCGCTGCTAAACCCGCTTGTAAACACCAGTTAAGATCGTGCTCTTCACGAGAACATCTTGTCATATTTCTATCGACCCAGATCCTATCATTAAAAATTAACTTTTGTGGCTTTCGAAGAGCAATATAATGTCTATCATATCGTCGACTTTACGCTCTAACGGCTAATACCAAGGCTCAGGATATCAATAATTCACTGTAATATGGCTTACGTCGATCCTGTTTTATTGTACGGCGTAGTAATAAATTTAGTGATACATCAACCCGATGCTCAGCACACAACTTAGTGCATGGTTTATGCGATTCAATAATATGTATTGAGAGCAAAGCATTGCTAGAAGAACTGCTTACTAAATAGGAAGGTGGTGCGCGCTCAATTCTTTGCCCAAGCGACCATATGTTTTGTTACAATGCTAGAGGTATAACGTATGTGGGTAGTTGATATTTGAAAAAGGGTAACTAGCGCGATCTGCACGTATGTGCTTGACGCTCAAGTTCGCCGCATTTCATCGGATTGAGATATAAATCAATTACGAGAGCTTCAAATTGGGCTACGCAGGCCATCTTATAAAGCACCGACCCTAAGGTTAGCTTGACATCACGTCGGCTTATCAAAGACACAGCTTCAGGGATCCAAGTCAAACTTTTTCTACATCTTTATCATTCTAGGCGAATTTGAGTGGCAATCAATCATCATCACCATAATCAGTAGGACCCACAATATGGACGAGGCAACAGAAACAATGCGCGCCGTGCGTTTTCATGGAAAGAGGGACATTCGCCTAGACAGAATACCCGTGCCAGAAATTTGTAATAATGAGCAGGTTAAGGTGAGCGAACAATATGAACTAAACGAAATCCACAAGCCGCCAGCTGCATTTATGGAAACAATGAGATATAACTGAATCTTAGTTAGATCAAACCAAGCTTTACAGGGCTATGTGGTACGGGTAGGATTAAATGCTTCCGCGTGGTGAGATTAATAATTTTTGTGTCTGACAAACGAGAAAGATCTTCACGAGTATCTTGAAGGCCCTTTCATGATACCCAGTGCTCCACATAAAGTGACGGGTGAACAATGTCCAGTCGTTATTGGACACGAATTCAGCGGCGTGGTTACAGAGCTAGGAAAGGATGTACACGATTTACAAATTGGGGACAAAGTGACGGTGCAAACGATCATCTTCGATCGGGTCTGCAATTCATGCCAACGTGGACTAATTAACTGTTGTCCCAACTCCGGGTTTATTGGTTTGAGTGGTAAAATTTGCAAAGCCGTGCATACACGGTAACTGAATAAGTTTCATTTTGCTGATAGATAGTGCAGGCTGGGGAGGAGGGCTCGCAGAGTATATAGTACTCCCACGCTGGGCATTGTTTAAAATTCCAAGTCACGTTTCCTTACAAGTTGGGGGTAAGAGGCATATTTTCCTTTTTATATTGAAAGGTTTCTAAGCAATAAGTAAGCTCTCGTGGAGCCTTTAGCTGTCGCATGGCACGCCGTAAAACTTTCGCATCTCGACCGGACAGACTCAGTGCTGGTAATTGGTGCTGGTCCTATCGGTCTGGCAGTTGTTCAAGTGCTGAGAGCACGAGGTGTCAAAAACGTTTTCGTATCTGAACCGGTGAAACTACGCAGGAAACTTGCCACCGACTTTGGAGCAGCTCGTGTGCTGAGTCCACTGGAGGATGATGTCGTCGGTACTTGTACAGGGTTGACCGGTGGTGAAGGTGTCCAAGCTGTTTTCGACACTGCAGGCGTACAAAGTGGCCTAGATACAGCTGTTGCAGTTTGCAGGCCTCGTGCATCTATCGTCAATATCGCGGTCTGGGGGAAGCAGGCCCTCGTTCATCCAACCATATTAATGAGGAACGAGATCAGCTATGTCGGATCTCGAACATATTCCCAGGGGGATTTTCAAGAGGTTATCGACAGCATCGCATCAGGTACGCTTGTCATAACTCCTTCCAACCGTTGACCTTCACGTCTGATTTGGAATTACAGGAGCTCTCCAGCCACAAAGCATGATCACAAGCGTCATTAAGATGGAGGACGTCGAGCAGAAGGGCCTGAAGGCTTTGCACGAGGACAAGGACACTAACATTAAAATAATAGTGGAAGTCTCCAAGGGAACAGAGTTTGGGGTTTATTTGGATTACATTCGTCCTCGTCCAATCTTAATTTGCCAGTTTAAAAATTGAGCAGCTCCAAAGTCCGGTGTAGGTACCATTATTAAGATACTCACTGGCAGTCAATCCTTGTCAGAAAAAATATGCGACTATGATACTAGAAATCCTTACTAAGGGTTGCGCCCTTTTTGGTATGGTGCTTAAAAGTTTGACAATCCTGTGTAATCCAAGCCCTAATCCTAACCCAGAAGGAGGTATTTTTAATCTCCTAATCGTGCCGGAAAATTTTGATGTGAATGACATCGAAAATGATTAGAATGAAATTCTCCAGAGTTACAATTAATTATGCTTTACCCAACAAGCTCAATTTTCATAACCTAGAGATCCATAGCTTTTTCAACCGGTAAATTTTTCCACTGGGAGATAGACTGGAGGTTCCAAATTTGTCGTGCGTAATAGTTAGCCAAACTATGCATGAGAGGAATCCCCCTTCGGCACGCATATTATTTTATAATGCTTTCTTCGTCTGTCATAACCCGATTCGATGAAGGGTAACACTAGCTGCAACAGGCAACTGGTGCGCGCGCTCACAGCTCGATATTCCATTGGTTTCGGGCACTCGGAAATTGATTGGTACACAGATACCGTATGAAATAAACATTTTGGTCACTGGCTATTAGCATTGAAATATTTATTTAACTCCTTGAATTCAGTAAAGAGAACTTTCTGTTTCATGCATTCAACCATCAAGTCCTCGTGCCGGGTAGAACACAATCGAATAACTCGACCATCATGACGGAGCAGAATAGTGACGTTAATGGGGGGCTTCATCTTCCAACTGAAAATAGAGCAGCAAAAAACTCAAATTCAACCTACGAGTTACTTGATCAAATTCACTCAAGTCCCCGAAGAATAAGAATCATTCACGTTGGAGCTGGAGTGTCGGGACTTTTGACTGCATATAAAGCCGAGAGATTACTTACGAACTATGAATTTATATGCTATGAAAAGTAAGATACCCTGAATATATCATCTCAGGTACCATCAATGGTGCAATAATTATACTAAATAAGAACTTCTGCAGAAACCCCGTAATCGGCGGCACTTGGTGGGAGAACAGATATCCAGGTAAGTCGAATAACATTTCAGCCTCGCAGGTGGAGTTGTTAACGAAATTTCGGCTAGGTTGTGCCTGCGATGTTCCGTCCCCTATTTACTCTTTCTCATTCGAGCCTAATCCCAAATGGGAGAGGTTCTATGCAAGCTCCGATGAGATTCAGCAATACATGCTTGACTTTTGCGCAAAGTATGATTTAGAGAAATATATCCGTCTGAATAAGAGAGTTGTTTCAGCAGTTTGGTCAGAAGACCAGGGGCAATGTACCACTCATTTCCTCTCTGTATGTGGTATGCCACTAACTTAACTAAGGGACGATTCAAATTGAAGATGACTGTGGAATATCATACGACCATTGTGATGTCCTGATCAACGGGACAGGTGTGGTCAATAAATGGAAATGTATAAAAGACGTTCTCAATATATCTCGAGTGATGTTATCTGACAAATGATATTTAGGGCCAGAGGTCGAAGGATTAGAATCTTTCAAAGGCACGCTTGTGCATAGTGCCAATTGGGATCCATCAACATCCTGGAAAGATCAACGTGTGGCTTTGATTGGAATCGGATCCAGTGCGATACAACTTCTCCCTGAGCTTGCACAAGGTTGAGTTATCCTCTATGCGAGCGTTAAAACTAGCTAACCGTGTTACTGATAGGATCAAAAAGCGTTCATATCTTTGGTCGAAGCCCTACATGGATCTCACCCCCATGGGGATACGATGCTCGTGAGGCCAGTTCCGAGTCTTCCGATGATTTACCAACCCACGAATTCGTCTTTACCGATTCTGAAAGGGCTAAATTCGAATCCGATCCTGATGCTTATCTACTATACCGTAAAAAGCTAGAAACTAGACTTGACAAGGCATTCCCTATATTTCTTAGGGACTCGCCGCACAGCCAATACGCAAAGCAGGTTATGCGAGGCATTATGGAGAAACGGCTCGGCCCTGGTAACGAAGAATTGAAAAAGAAAATTATCCCAGAATTTTCTCCTGGATGTCGAAGGCTCACTGTAAGAATTACCTGGCGTTCTCAGCGCAGAATGGTAACTAAATGTCGATATAACTTAGCCTGGAAATGGATTCTTGGAAACATTTAGAGAGGACCGTGAGTCTACCCTGCGCATATACAGAATCTGACCATCAACTGACAGGGAATTTCATAGATATCCATTTTGAATACGATGGAGTGCAGAGCCTAACAGAGAAAGGTCTTGTTTCGATCAGTGGAAAGACATTCGAATTTGATCTGATCGTCTGTGCCACTGGCTTTGATGTGTCTTACATCCCGCATTTGTGAGCTGCAACTTCTCCAAACAAGGACCGGTCCAGCTTAATCACTGACATTGGAGCAGTAATATCACAGGTATCGACGGGCTTAGCATGCAGGAGGCATGGGCCGAGGTATATGACCTTTCAGCAGAACGTTCAAATAATCATTCTTTTAATCGGGAAGTTCTACTTCGATTTACTCACTTCACTTCTATAGGAGCCTAATATTTATTTGAGCCTTACGGCACCGAAATTCCCGAATTACTTTGTTATAAACGGGCCTACGGGAAATTGGGCTCAAGGATGTGTTCTTCCTTCGGTGAGTGCACATATGCTCAGCAATGTTGGTGATACTTTGCGTTTGCTAAGTCTCATATTTCCAGCACGAAATCCAAGTTGAATACGCGTTAAAGTGCTGCAAGAAAATGCAAGAAGATCGGATTAAGGCGCTGGAGGTGAGGCAGTTTCCGACAGCCCAATTCAATGCCCATCTAGACTTATGGCATCGACAATACTCTGTCTGGGCTGAGAATTGTCATTCATGGTATAAGAACAGTAAAGAGGAAGGCCGCGTTTATCTTTGGCCTGGAAGTTTGCTTCATATGCTGAAAACGTTAAGTGTGCCTCGCTTCGAGCATTATGACATTCGGTATCAGGACGACAATATATGGGCTTCGTTGGGACTTGGACGAACAGCTCTCGAACAGCGAGATTTGGATGGGGAGATAGTCGATCTCGCCCCTTTCATACGAAATTCGGATGTCCCTTGGAGTATAGATTGATAATGTACTCGCTTATATGCCTCTCCTTTTGAAGCTAAATCAAATCTATTCAACGTTATATCTAACCTACGAATATATTCATCGTTATTTTTGCAGGACAATTGAGAAACGAGAAAAAGAGGAAGAATACTTTGCTGCATCAAACAGGTAGAAAATGGAACGACGATATTGAACAAAAATTGGAATTTCATACTTTTCACAAGCCATGACTAAAAATTGAATTAATGGAAGGAGATTACTTAGTCAAACATTTAGAGTTTTGAAATATGAAATTTTCTAAATAAACACTCTTTGTTTTTCCCACAACTTGATAAGATTGGCTTAGTTGGTGTGACAAGAAATAATTCAGATTCTGTATCCGAATTAGAAATTTCGAGAAACTTGGGTATTGGTTTTCAAGAGAGAGTATACCTGCATGTACATATGTAGTATTTAAAGATTGGAATTCATTCAATATTGCTACTCACTACCAATATGTTATGCACTTTTACGAAGAATATACATATAAATTTTGAAGTTTTAGTGCAATATGCAAAGTTTCAGGATCGGTCCGTGTATTTAAATACATGTATATTAATTGTTATAAGCTATCTCTCTGAGAATATGTCATAATTAACTACATGTGTCACTATCTTATGATAAAGACAGTAAAAACGAATCGACCGTCTGAATGACATAGCAAGATCACTGGAACAAAATCCAGAGAGCATCAAGAAGCTGAAAACAGAAAATATAGGCTCTTATTTCTTCACAGCATTGATTGAGTCATTGTATCCTCCAATTTTAACCAACCGGACTGACACAGGTAAACGATGTGATGTTGTCGTTGGTAGCGAATGTGATTTGTAATAAGTAAATACTAGAATATATGCCTAAACCAGCCAGGGATAATGAAGCAAGAAAGAAGAGAATATTTATAGTATTCATAATCCAGTGTTTCTTGTAGGCCTTCACCAAGTGTTCAAGCTTAAGCGGTGCAGGGGGCGCGGCGTTTTCGGCCTGTGGATTGAATGGCTGCTGGAGAGTTTCAGCTTCTCGCTGGACGCTTAAACCCACCATGAGGATCGGGGGGAAGGTAAAAGTGAATTGCAAGACACACACAGCTGCTATCAAGGCGCTGAAGTTAGTAAGATTAGGAATTGCGGAGCAAATAACAAATCTACAGAAAAAATTAGTATTTCAAACATTAGCCGTCAGGTAAAATAGAGAGAGAAATTCTTACGCAAGACTCCAGTACACAGGTACCAAACCAGCGAAAAGAATTTTGCCCGTCTGGGTAGTGTTGAGATCGGGGAAATGAAGCCATTCAACACCTATATACTTGTAGAATACTTTGATACCAATGTTCCCGTAGCTTTAATCGGCGGTTAATATTCTCACGTTCCCCAGGTATCCAGAATTTTTGGAAAAACTCACAGACATGCCAGGATCAGTGACGAGACAATTCCAAGAGAATTGGAGGCAGTACGCAAGGAATCAATAGAGATACCCTGGTTCGATAGAAGCACTGTGAATTGCCCTTGGTAGGAGTAGACGAATAGACCTTGAAGCTATAGTTAGGTCTCGGCTGCATACTGGATCGGTGATTTATTTACCATAGAACATGTAGAAACAAAAGATGAAGGTCTGGGCAAGAATAAATGATTTCCAAAAGTCCCAAGGCCGTTTCATCTATAGACATATGTGAACATCTTAAACCTTTCCTTTCCAACCGGTCAAGACATACCTCATTCATGATCTCGCAGTATCTATTACAAAATCAACATATGTGGGGTGAAAAAAATCATACTAGCGGAATCCTCACATCATAGCTCCTCCATAGGCGTAAATCGCTTGCAGTAGACCAATTATCTGACCCTGAAATATGGACCCTTCTGGAACGTCAACACTGGTGACGACTGGACCCGGTTGTACAAGGCTTTGAGCGGCTGCAGCTTCGTAATTAGGGGCTGAGTTGGCAACAGCACCCATTCTGACATGGTCAGCTTGTCCTTCTGAAGAATTACCCATATATTCTGGTAAAGCAAGCCCTAAAAAGCTCCAACTCACGTAATGCAAAGAATGGCAATATTCAACCATATGGCTATATTTGCCAACCATTGAAAGCGCTGAATGCTTCGAACCTGGCCTACCAAGCATCCAGCAATGGTGAATACTAGATTGCACACGACAAAGCATAACCTGCCAAAAGACAGCTGGGAAATTCCTTGTCCGTTGCTGAGAATCAGGAGACCGACACTGAAGAACAACTGGAGACTTTGAAGGACATTGCAAACGCCACGAGCCCATGGACCATAGATGCGATACGCCATCTCTCCGTATGTCTTCAACGGATAACGGCTAGAATCCAAAAGGATAAATATGGTCCAAAGTTGATGTGTCGTACTGCCAAGGCACAAAGCGGTCAGTTTCAAAATCTTAGTCCTCAAGACGGGGCTTCATGTCGGCTTACTATCCGCCAACCGCGCCAAAAACAGTATATAAAACGACGCCCGGGACATATCCCAGCTGAGAAATGGCCCATCTGTGATTGAGCTTGCTTAGTAGATTTCCACCAAACTAGAGTCTCAGACCAGATGCTTACGGGACGGTAAGAGGGCCGAACATATCGGTTGTGATGAGGAAGAAGACGGCTCCCCAGGTGGCATTGCGAAGAGCCCTTGATGCGTTGGCCCATTCCATATCAGAGACATAAGTGGTAGGCTGCTGTACAGATTGCCCAACAATATCTCGCAGAATTGCATCAGACCCTTTCGGATAGAGAAGACTTAGGAAACCAAAACGACTGGTCTCAAAGGAAGACAACTCTGAGCCCATCCGGGCTTCTTCCTCTGCTCTTGTGATCATTGCATATTGGATGTATTCTAGCAATGAAACTTTCCGGTCTCTTAACAACGAAGAAGTTATTTAGGACTGGCTATCAAGGATCTGGTAACTTTCACGGCGAGTAGGGTGACATACAGATGACCTACTGGTCCCTCCTCATGCTTTCCAGCTTTGCTCTTCTCAGCCATTCTTGTACTGTCCAAGTAATGTAATCAAAACGAGTACCCAAGTCGGAGTATTCCACATACAAGGTTGAGATTAAACGAAGACGATATTTCAGGTCATGGATAGTAGCAGAGTATATCTATCTCTACAAACTCCAAACGTAGAGAGGCCCATGCTCCCCCAGTCTCTGCTCATTGGTGAGGTCGAACTGCATTTCAAGCAAGCAGAAGTCTATTTAAGAGCCTCGGTCCGCTTTAAGTTGAACGCGCGAGCAATGCCTGATCGAGCATATATGGTCGAACTCTCCTTGGCACTAGCGACATCAGCCAATTGGCTGGATTAGACCAATCAGTCAAAATAACCCCATGCCTCTAAATCACGAAATCAATGAAATCAACGACAGTAAGAACACTTGAGTGAGGAGGCATTTCAAAAAGCTAGCGCGCTATGTTATCGATCTAGAATACTCCGGCTGATGTTAATTTGGAACTGCTTTGTGAGGATACCCTGATGCCTATGCGTAAATTTTATCTTGCGTCTCAGTGTACGGGTATAGAGTAGTGAAAACCAGGCAGATAGATTCATAAGCCCTAAGTGAGACGGAGATATCGTCTGCAAATGCGAACTCCCTGGTTGCTGGTCGATAGTACCTCACCGCCCAAAGCCACACGCGCAGGAGTTTCCTGTTTGAGCATATACGGCAGAACTCTTATCTAACTCGAAACGAGCAGTGCACCCTGGAAAAAATTATGCCTTCTACGGCGATCGATCAATATTCAATGGATGCGCGAAGATGACTAGTTTGAATTAAATCAGATGTTGGGGTGGCAGTTGTCCCCGCCGTGTAGGTTATTCGCGCAGCTAGCTGACCAACGAAAACCTGGTATAACTACGTATATACGTCGACACAAAGATAACGACAGATCCCAGTGATATACAACACCCCACGCAAGCCGATACTTCCGCCTACCCTTCTCGAATACTGCTTTAGCAATGTCCCAATCTGCTCTCGTTACTGGTTGTAGTAGGGGTGGCCTCGGAGATGCCATGGCCCAAGCCTTTAGAAAGGCCAATGTCAAAGTGTTTGCGACCGCTCGCGACTTAAACAAGATCCAGCATCTGAAAGACATCGGGTGCGAGGTTTTGCTTCTCGACGTGACGTCGGAGTCTTCAATTCGAGAAGCGGTGAGCACTATCACCAAACTAAATAATGGGAGGCTCGATTTTTTGGTGAATAACGCTGGCAGAGGCAAGCTCTTGTCTAACTCCATCCACGATGCAATAGGCTGACGGCGTTAATGAAAGGGCACACCTCCCCCCTGTCAGACATATCCATATCGGATGCCAGGCAGACTTTTGAGGTCAACGTCCTGTCTGTACTAGCAGTGTCACAAGCGTTTCTCCCTCTATTGATTGAGGCCAAAGGCCGGGTCATCAACATTGGTTCTATTGGGGGAAAAGTTGTAACACCTTTTACAGGCAAGTCTCTCTAGGTACCAGGGAAAATGGTCTAATCAATATTGTCTAGGTGTCTATGCAGCTAGTAAAGCTGCGTTGAACATGATGAGCGAGACAATGCGGGTGGAATTGGCGCCTTTTGGCGTTCACGTCATTACTGTAAGTGCCGACCAAGTCCCAAGTCCGAATCTTTTTAGATGTCGCTGAAACAATGACTCAGGTTATTGCAGGAACAATAAATGACACTCCGTTCTACACGAATCAGCCGAGTCTTCAAATTCGAGAAGGTAATTGCCATAATAACCTTCTAATGGGAGGCTCCTCATTTAACGGGTTACATTCTCTAGGCTCCATATATAGCGCCATCAGAGACACCATCGCTACTACTCAGCGAGGAGAGAGGCTAAAAGTGGGTGCCATGAGTGCCTCGGACTTCGCCAAAGGGGTCGTTTCCAATTCGATGAAGCCGAAGCCTCGATTGTGGTTTTGGCACGGGGGCAGAACGATGGCAGTCTGGATCATCACCGTGTTCCTTCCACACACTTTCCTGGTAAGAAGAAGGACTCGTCAAATCATCAAATACTAAGATCAGATGGGACCGGATTCTGGCCAAGACCAGCGGGTTAAATCTTCTCCAGAGGGACTAATCGGCATGTGTACAAGCAATCTGTGAATCAATACCTGCTCCTTGAAAGAATATTGGTTGATTCTCAAATGCCATGTGAATTAGATTCGGAGATACTACGAAATGAGTGCAGATAGTGATAATATGTGAATTTTGATTTATATTAGAAACTGAGGTATCAATTGATTCGAACCTATTACGAGAGATGAAATGGTATACTACAGTCGAAAATATATACTACACACTAAGTACTAGTCAACTCCTCACTATGCTATGATGTAATAGACGATAGTCTATATCTTCATACAGGGCTCTAGTTGTTCGAATTGTGGTCCATAGATCTTCTTCTATGACTAAATAGTGCTTTAAAAAAGATTGTTTATTCTTTTTTAAATACTTTTTATGGTACTTATTAAATTCCTTAGGTCAGTAAAAGGAGATATTGGTAATCCTAATCTTATATATTTTAGATAGATATTTTCAAAGTTTATAATATTATTATTAAGTCTTTAGATTTAATATATTCTGATTTTATTTACAAAGCTTCAATTATAAAAATCTCAGTTACTATTAGACTGTCATTTGATCTGGATCCTCAACACATATTGTGGATCTAGATCTGTAACATGTGTTCTCCTCTAAAAGCTCAGCCGTGTCATTCAAGTAGTTATTCCGGTCTTTTGTCTTTACCTTAAGAACCTAGATAGCTGATTATCACATATTCTCCCGGAAATAAATGCTATTTATATCTAATCCGAGTTGCAAATGAAAAAGGCGAGATCTACTATCTCGCCATCCATATCTCGTTTTTCTTGGTATACTTAGAGATTATTTACTAAGTGTCTGAAGTCTCTGGATGTTGCGTAGTGAGCGATCTCTGAGCTGGGCTGAGCATCAAGTGGCACTGTGCTAGCGCCGCGTATTGCTTTTATGTAGATAGGCTTGAAGAGCGAAAAATAGATCAAAGTCTGTTTGGCGATCCCGAAGATCAATTCAGATAGCAAAAGGATATAATTAGGAACAATCTAAAAGGATCTTGGCTGCAGATTATTTAATTTTTTTTATAAGATCGCAACTAATTATAAAGTTTTATACTCCGCATCGATGTATACATTAGGTCTAGAACCTCCGCAATGGATACCACATACATATGTACTGTAGGTAAAATCCCCGGGCTATGCCGATATAGCTAAAAATAACACCGAATCAGTGGCTTGTGCACCATTATGCACAGATATGGACAAACTGGAAAAGAGAAGCGAGATTCTGACACATGCTTGAAACGGATTTCCATTTGAACTTGTGGAGTTCATGATCTTAATGTCATTATTATTTTATGTTCCGATCGCGATCCTTCAACACCAGTCGTTGAAGAATAAACGAACAATACAGGTATGACAAGCGGGCGGGAAAAAAAAAGGTCGCCTGCATTGTACCTGCATGATATGAAAAAGTCAAATGTGCATGGATATATATGGCCCGAGCGATTATTGTGTATATTCTATTGCCTGATACATTTTATGCTTGCTAAGCTTGAGAACTTAAATAGACCGAAGAAGCTTAGCTGTTGGGATGATTCGAGGGGATCAACTCCCCTGCCATATGATTCCATACTACTGCTGTACGTAGGATTTAGTCTCTGTCTGAGCCGGAGTCTAATGCAAAGGACACTATTATTGCTAATCGCACCCACAACGGCGTCGTTCGTATCGTCAATTAAATCGTAACTTTAGTAAATATCCCCCCGGTCGGAGGACTCCGAACCTCTTTAAGGAGTCTGCTGCAGAATGGGGGCCGTCTTTTTTGCCTACAGGTAGCAAGACAATATACGATAGTCGAATACCCGGATAGATTTACTATTGCGATTGGCCTCTTCTTTGTCGGAGATATGTGGCGCTGCTGACGCACCGCTCGTGAAATGATTTTGATAATTGGTGGGTCAGCCCAAGCACTATCTATCCCCAATAGGGTACTTCCCAAAAATGGCATTATCCCTAGAGGATGCGATCCTTAGTCTCATAGCGGCTCATGTGCTTATACATCTTAGTTAATATAACTGATTGAGCGAATTAGCCCATGGCAATAAGGAACTAAATTAATGGAAATAAGGACTGAGGCGGGGGCAGAGGGCGGGGATTAATTCCTGCAAGCCACTAACCTCTAAAAAGTCCGCACTTGACGTCTGTCGTAGTGTTGGATCAGGTGTGCTGTGCGCAACATGTTGATCTAGATTTGTGCAGGGTGTTGTTAGGCTACTGCCCCTCATTTGCAAAGCTGACACCAGGGTCACATTGAGACCTCAATTCTCGGTTCTCCGATTACTATGCAACGGTTTCCCACGAAGTAAACCCATGTGGCAGGAATCAAGGGAACAGGGCACATGTGGGATACGAAATGAGATAGTGCATGTTCTCGAAGCCCCATAGAAAAAATACATATTGTGGCGGTCTCGTAAAGTGTCATGATCCATCATCCCCGACCCGGTGCGACAAAAACTGGAAAACGCGGCGATGCCCCAAACTGCCGTTAAGGGCAAATTCTGAATGTGGCACGGAAGTTCTACGGCTGAAGCCTAATGAGAGTATCTGCACGACCATCACCACCCTCCCCCCGAAACAATTCCCTCTTACAGCCAACTAGTGTACGAAACGTAATTCATTCGTTGATTACCAAATCATCGCTATGGTCCCAGCAAGTTGATTTGCAGCTGATGAGGATAATAGGATCTTGCTTATAGCCCAATACGTACTCAGTAGTCAAAGATATGCACGTAGACAATGCTACTGTATGGTGCTCATCATAGGGAAAATTCGAGGATGGCGGCGAAGCTAAGACAATTAGATGCCGCCCATTGAATGTCTATCCTCGAATCATTCACCGCCGTCTTTAGTTGATGTTGGTCGCACAAAGAAAAGTGGCACGTAGCACAACAGACAAAGGAAAAGACACAATCTAAGACTCAGTCTTGTACCACGATCGTCGCGGATTGGGCCCGAAGTGGGATGAGAGACGAGGCGAAGCAGGGCCACATAGCAGTCCATGCAAATAGCAACACATTAGTGCGATAGACAGGCCGAGGACCCGAATAATTACGGCGTAGAACATTCGGACAAGCGACGTAAGCGACCACGATTATAAGAAAGTCGACAGCACTAAATACGGCTGAGGATCATTAAGGTCGCTCACGGTGCATGTGTGCTTCTTTCGTTTTATTTTTAGTTGGGCGGAGTGTATGTCCACGTATGCATGGCTTCTCATGGAATAGCGAAGGGTTGTGGGGGGCCTTACAGCGAACCCAGGCAATAACAATAATAAGCTATCGTGGGCTGATATACAATAAATGTATCTGTCTTTCTTAGTCAGTGCCATACTTACTACTTGCTTCCAAAGCTGAGAAGCAAGTTACACAGGCTCGCCTATCAGTGCATACTCGCGCAGTAGATCGTAATAGGCGTACCCAATTACAAGAAGAGGAGGCGTTCTTTATCCCGGGCTCTCATGAGTTTCCACTCCGGACAAATGGGGCGGGAATGCCAGGCGACTCAGGCAACTAAAGACTGGATGTAGACTAAGGACGCACGCTCGAGAAGTGACTAGCTGTCCTGTCCAAAAGATGCCAACTGCACTGGCGCTGCGGACCGACGATCTCCAGATTAATTTTGGAAAGCGTTTGGCGGCGCAGACCGGCAAGGCTGTGGGGAGACAGCTGAATGCATGGGTGCTCCCAAGGAATGTATACCGAAGCCCTGGAGGTAGTGCTAGGCTCGGTCCTGATAGGGCGCAGTTCTGAAACCTGTCATCGAGATACAGACCCCACCGCCAATCCTCGGCGCTGGAAGCTAAAGCAGGGATCCCTATGCCCGTTTTCGTCCCTGCGGCGCAGACACGAGGTGTGTGGAACGACGGAAAACGACGTAGTCAGCCGCCGGGGATAGGGTCAGAATCGATTGGCGCTTGCAGATATGGTTGGAATTAGCTCGATGAGCTTATAGATTAAACGATGGGACTTGCTTTACTTAAAGGCCGCATGGGCAGCCAGAGGTTCGTGTGTTGGAAATACCACCCCCAGATATACCAGAACTCTTCTGCCTTTGCCCTGACTGCTGAGCTTTGAGGCAACTCGCGATGGCCAACACCCAGACACCCAAGCTTCGATCAGCCTGTGACGCCTGCCACGAGGCCAAGGTGCGCTGCTCGGGAGGAACACCATGCATGCACTGCAAAAACCACCACCACAGCTGCCATTACAGCTTTGCGGCGCGCATTGGCAAGCCCAAGGGGAGTCGCAACCGCAAGACGCTGGCGCGACTGAGAGAGGCCGCGCTCAATGCGGCAGTCGCGACCAGCCAGCAGCCCTTCGCGTCCAGCCTGAATTATCCGGCACCCAGCTCGTTCAGCACGATGCCCGCGTCGACCGTCGCCGACTGGAGCGCAGTCGAGTATCCCATGACATCGTCCTACCAGGTACGCGCCCGCATGGACATGGAAGATGCACTCTGCCCCGTCTCCTAGCTAATGCCTTGGAATAGAACGCACACAGCACCTCCTATGCCTGGGTGGCTCCTCAGCCGATCCCAACACCGCCAGAGAGCGTCGATTTGGGTTGCAAGACACTGCCGCTCCATAACGACCCCTTGCTATCGCAGACATCCCACGCCGAAATCACAAGTTCTCCTCCGCAGACGCATGCTGGCGATCTCTACTCGACCAGCAGCGGCTCCCCGAGCTACCACGCTCCCTTCCAGTCGACGCCCTGTGACTGTTTCCACTGGCAAACATCGAGCGTGTCCTCGCTCCAGGCTTTGAAGTCTCCGTCGCGGGTTGGCCAGCACGACACCTTCGACGAGTCGCTGCAGTGCATCGCAGCCACCTTAACCGCATGCCAAAGAACAGCAGGATGCTTGTCATGCGAGAAAGACTCGTCGCTAATCCTTATCTTAATCGCCTCTCTTCAAATGGCCGTCAGTCAGCTCGAGGCCCAGCTATTCGGCCAGTGGAAAGGCCCGGCATCGCATTCGTTTCCCTCACCAGCGAGCACCATGCTCGGCGTCTCACAGTTTACCCCCGGCGGCCAGAGTACGGTGCGTTTTATGCAGCTCCGCCATATGCTGGCCAGAGCCAACAACACCCTACGAGACCTGCGAGAAGCCATCGAAGTAGCCAAGATACGTTCTCCTGGGCGAAAAGCCTCAGACACGGCCTTGCTGGGAAGCGACCAGAACGACCCTGAATATCTTTGGCATGTACTAGATAGACTACAGGCGGGCATTGATACATTGGATAGTACACTGAATGGGTATTCGAATTAAGCGTGGCTTCTGTATTCTATTGCGGCTGGTCTAGATGCGTCTACATTCTTGTCATTTATTATTCTTTTTTTTTTCCACGGGGTATAGATTATCCTATGTTTTCACGAGGGTCGATCTTATGATTAATGTCAAATGCACTTTTTTCTCTTCCTCTCCTCTCCTCTCCTCGTAGCAGCAACTCTCCTGACGTCATCTTCCTTGGGCGGTGGGAGTAGTATTTTCCATAGCTCCAAGAGAGTTTCACCAAGGAACCCTAATGGACCCAGCTGCGGCTCTAAGGAACATAAGGAACAGGCTTGGCGGCGATCGCTGATCCTCGATAAACAAGTGGCAGCCCCTCCACGTTCCTTATCGCCATACAGCTCTCCGACATCCCAGTGCTGACACGCCATTGACCCCCTGGTTTCGAGTTTGTATTTTCGCTGTGGGGGATTATTCTTATCTCAACACTTGTGCTCGCATAATGTGTAGTTTCCACGGTGTTGTGGGCTCCCTTGATGATGGAAAGCTCCATCACGTTGTATGCGACTCCTTCTTTCTTTCAAATCGCCGTCAGCGATAATAGCTAAGAGGGAACCAATTTCATTTAGACAGAAAAACTCGTGGCCTTTGAATATGTCAAGCCCAACACGCCCTCGCGCCCTCACAGTCTCGTCTTCGTCGGCGGACTGGGTGATGGCCTCGGCACTGTCCCGTACTTGAAAACCCTCAGCGCTGCGGTAGCGAATACTCAATGGTCTCTGTTCTCTTTGATCCTGAATTCGTCCTACGAAATGTGGGGCATGGGCCGGCTGGGAAGAGATGTGGAAGACATTGCACAGGGTGTGGAATATATCACAAAGTACAAGAAATCCCTACTGCCCGACCAAGCCCCCAAAATCGTGGTCATGGGCCATTCTACTGGAAGCCAAGACGTCTTGCACTATCTTTACTCGCCTAATCCGCTGCCTATCGACCCCATCTTTGATGAAGGTTTACTTCACATTCATCGACCCGCACTTGACGGTGCGATTATGCAAGCGCCCGCCTCTGATCGTGAGGGGCTGCTTGAAAAGTTTCATGATAAAGGCAAGGGAGCAGAGCAGGATGGCGTATACTTGCAGCTAGTCGATATGGCCAAGAGAGTCACATATGCGGAGGGAAATACACATGATGTCTTACTACCATTGTCATTGACTAGTAAACTGGGATTCCCTCCCGTTCCGCTATCCGCAAGGCGATTTCTGAGTCTCGTGAGCCCAGATAGCCCAGAGAATCCTGAAGAAGACGATGTGTTCAGCTCGGATCTGACTGACAAACGGCTTGATGAAACATTCGGAATGATCGTAACCAGGAATCTACTGAAAACAAAACTTCTGGTTCTGTACTCTGGGGACGATGAATATGTCCCTAAATCCTTGGATAAAGAAAAGCTTCTGCAAAGGTGGAAAAAGGCAGCAGACAAATCCTTCCAGAAGATTTGGGATGATGAGTATAGTGGCGTTGTCCCGGGAGCCTCGCACAATCTCGGAGGCGATGGTCAAGATCAGGCACGGCGTAATCTAGCGGCCCGAGTCACAGGCTATTTGGCAAATGTCGAGAAATCAGCATAACATGATAATCATGCCAAAAGAAAAGACAAGAAAAAATGGTGGATCAATGTTTGGATAGTAGTATACAGAAACTAATATGAAACAGAGCTAGGCTGGACTTTGCATGCAGGTACCCATACAGCAAATAAAAAAGGTAGAAGGAACAATAAAAAAAATTAGAGAGATCCTAGGGTATAGCAGCCGTAGCACAGGAATGGAAATAGCACTCGGAGAACGCTTAGACCTTAAGCCACAGCATAAATACACCTTTCAAATATCCAACAATCTCGTCGCCTCCTAGCTTACTATCTCCATACAGTCGGTCGACAAACGTGATGGGACACTCTTCAACTTTATAGCCCAAAGCTTTGGCGCGGACCATCATCTCCATTTGAAACGAGTAGCCCTTGCTTTCAGTGCTCGTGATAACCTTCTCCAATACACTCTTCTTGTACAGACGGAAACTGCCGGTTAAATCGCTCACGCCGGGCATCAACATAACATCGGCAATCAAGTTGGCTCCACGCGACGTGAACTTGCGAATCAAATCCCATCCATACACACCCCCCTTGAGGTCTCCGCGCTTAGCATATCTCGTGCCGGACACAATGTCCGCATTAGTGGCTTTTTGAATCTCAATCATTTTGGGGATGTATTTAGGGTGGTGGCTGAAATCGGCGTCCATGATGATGACGAAATTGCCTGTCGTAAACTGTAGCCCATGCACGTAGGCCGTTCCAAGGCCTAGTTTTCCAGCTCGTGGCTTGAGGATAATGTGGTTTGTGCCCCAGACCTTTTGGAGTTGTTTTGCGATTTCTTGGGTGCCGTCGGGTGAGCCATCGTCTACGATAATAACTTCCCAGTCGAGGTTGCTGTGCAACAGAAAAGTCAGCAAGGACCAACATAATAGCTATATATTTGTCCTACTTTTCTCTGAATGTCTTCTCAATGAGCCAACATATAATAGGGAGATTTTTTCGTTCATTGTAGGTCGGGAGGATCACGGAGTACTTGTTTTTCGACATTGTGAATACACGGTGTGTACGGGGTCTTCAAGTATAATCGGAAGGCTATATTATATCGGAGAGTGTGGCATTAAACGCAAGGAGCCATGCAAATCGTAATGTTATCGCAAGGACAGCTCTCAATAGGGAGGTGACTTCACCGCCCGGCAGAACGATCTCCCCGCTGCTAATTGGTCACTAGTCATGGCTAGTGGGGTCCAGTCACTGGCTTCATACAGCGGACCTTAATTATCAACTATGACTATTTACTTCTGACAAAGCAGACAGCTTGCTGCTCTGTATTGATCAACCGTTCCAGAGCCATGGCGACACCGCAGAGCTTGAAACATCAGCGCAGTACCTCGTCAAGGTGTAAGACAGTCCTTCATCCATCAGCCCATCTAACAACTCCCCTCGTCGACCACATGTTGATAAGGTAGACAGCTTCACGGCCACGAGCATCGACTAAGGGACCATTAGACTTACCTGACGAGTACGACCTGAACCAGTCTTAGATGTTATTGAATTGGAATTGGCATAGAAGCTAATATAACCAGTGATCCGCTCTCCTCAGACGATCCGGCATCTCCACGATCACCTCAAAAGTCTCAAGCGCGTACTTCCCACTTGTCCAGCGATGTTGGACCATCTGATTCTTTCGATTTGAAATCGCTAAATGCTGAGATTGATAGCATATTGGCGTCGGAAAGCGTTACTTCAACCGCCAAAGACTTGTCGTTTCTCCTACGTCCAGAAATATACCACCCTCTCTCTCAGCTGGAAATCCCGCCCGTCTTTCGCACTCCCTTTTACAGCCCCAGTATAGAAGAACCTATTGAGGTTTCAATGGGTATCCTCAATGGCTTCCTCACTCAAGGTCATTTTCTCCTAGCCGCACACCTGTGTGCAATACTTTTGACCTCACCCGCCATACGGCCTTTGGATCGTCAAACGATATTCACTCTGTTTTATACCCGTCTTGCCTGTCTTGAGTTGACTGGCAATACAGCCTTTGCTGCGCAAGAGTCTAAAGCCTTGGAAGATTTGCACTCAACCTTTTATTATGTGGATACAGACCTCGAAGTTGCTGGTGACACCAAGCCCCAGACACGATATAGAAATTCGTATCATATAGTGCCATGGCCGTTACGGGTCCTTGCGGTTCGACTACAGAGTATCGGGTTTGGAGACTCACGCCGAGGTATCACCGGCTTGTACGAGCTGGGCTTTGAAGCACGAGCAGAGGCTATGCGGCCAGGGCTGGACAAGGCTAAAAAGCAGATATGGCAGGAGAGACTTTCGGACCTAGGAATTCGTAGTGTTAATGCACTTGTGGAGATGGGCGACCTGGATGCAGCACAACGTTCCCTGGGCAGTCTCGGACTCGGCGATAGCGATGCCATCAAAGTTAGGGCCGGTCTTCTGGCTCTACGAATCGGAGACATAACCACAGCTAAAGACATCTTAGACAAATCTAGTGTTTTACGGGAAGGTGTCCTCAAACCTTTAACAAGCATGGCTGATGGCAATTATGATGAGGCCATCTCGGAGTGGAGAACGCTGCTTGAAACGTCGCCAAAGTCTGCGGAGCCTATGATCGTGCAAAATCTCGCCGTATGCTTACTTTACACAGGTCAATTGAATGAGGTGAGTTAGTATGCAAACTCGAGCGCTATGACCATCTGACGGATATTTCAGGCTCGATCGCTCTTGGAATCTCTTATTTCCGCAAACCATTCCTTCCAAAGTCTCACGTTTAATCTCGCTACGATATATGAGCTTTGCTCTGACAAGTCCCGAGATTTGAAAGTGCGGTTGGTGCAGGATGTTTCCAAACATCCACATACCGGAGATGCCAATGTCGACCGAACCACGTCTGATTTTAAACTATGAGAATATTCTATTTCAAACGCACAAGGATGACATTACAGGGCCTTTGTTTCCAGCTAGAGCCTGATGCAATCCCATGAAGCAGAAGAGGAATTGTAACCGGAATGGGAATGGGTCCCTAACGCCGGTAATAAAATTTAAATGATCTACAGCCGGACAGGACACCAGAGTATGCATTATGGTTTGGGTCTAGGTCTTCGAATGATCACCAGGTCACCCTCCCGACCCCAGCCAAGGCCCTCCTTCTCCGCAAGGTCCTCCCATGTCCAGTCTTTGTCCCCAATACAGTTTGACAGCAGCCAGTTCAGGTTCACGCTGAGGTACGTTCGACCAACAGCCTTAAGGGTCTGCCTTATGACATGTTCCGTTGCCCAGCTCATCACGGCGCGCATATACCCGTCTACCCCTTTATGAACCCGCCAGAACAGCACCCAGTTGTCGTGGGTTAGCGCCGTGAGCACTTGATCCACGGTTGGGCATTGGAAGCCGTGTTTTTTCTTTGCTTCAACTAACAAGGCGTAAGCGGGGGCAACGGCGTTTTGTCGACAAGCAAAGTCTAGTATGAGATAGGATGTGAATTCTGTCAACTCGAGCAGCGTGAGCGGATGGGTTGTGGTATGCAAGTGGTCGAGTAGGTAGCGCAGTGAGGAGAAATACGAGGGCGGATGACGGGCCAGTATAGAGAATCTTATCGAGAACATGTGAACCTGTTGCTGAAAAACGATCGGGGTTGTGGAGGCAGTTGCTAGAATGGCTTCGCGCAGCTTACGAAGCGACATCAGCAGGGTGGATAATTCGGCGGCGGGATCCCGGCGCGCTTCATCTTTGGTCTTCTGTGTATTTAGAGTCAGGTTCGCGGTTTTCGCGACCAGCGAATCGACCGGTCCATTGTTTGGCGGCGCACGACCCTTGGGCTTGACTGGGATGCTCAGCGGGGTGTTCTTGGTCGCGTCTGCGGAAGCGCTGGCTGGCAGAGACGCCCATGCGGCCTCGAGGTCATGCGAATTGCGCGAGCAAAAGCGCATATAGCGATCGACGATTCTGTCGTAGAAGTCCTTCTGCGCCTTGTGCTCCAGTAGCCTGCGGAAAGTTAGCTAGTCGGCAGTTGGCAGGGCGGCCTCGCACCAAATGAGCGGCCGACGTACGTCTTGTCGCCCTTGGAGGGGAAGCCGACCGCCTCGAGCGAATCAGCGACGGGACGCAGGCGGCTGGTCCTGTTGTTGCTAGAGTCTAATCTCTTTGGGGGGCGAGCACGGGAATGGGCATCCATGATAGGGGGGTGGTCGTTATTAGGCCATGGTTGTGAACCAGGGTCTCTTTTGTTGGCCCTCGAGATGGTCGAATAGTCGAGTCGTTGCGTGGTGGAGAGTGAGTCGAGATGCTACGTCAGACAAAGCAGTCCGCCCTGCCGACCCTGTTTGTCCTGTTTGCATCCGTTGTGTGGTGGGCGGCAAAACATCTGCGTCGGCATGTGAAGCTCCCCAACGGTTTTTGGGATAAATTACTTGCAAAAGTCAAAGAAACCCCCATTGATGCTTTCATCTGTCGTCCCAGGCGCTCCTACAGCTTTATTATAGTCTCTCTGCGTTTATGCCGCCAGCCCAGCTTTCTTTCCCCATTAGTCCGCTTTCGATGCAGTCCTTTGTCTCTTCCATCGCCCTTCCCCATTAGGAAGCTATCCGATATCCCATTCAGCCATGGACGAGCCTCGACTGCGCCGGTCCACGCGCAAGTCGTCGTCGACCGGGGACATCACTCCAGCGATGGCCATGAAGCAGCCTGCAGAGGCAATAAGACGGCTTCTTCACTGGGACGAGCTGCCAGCCTGGTTGCGCGACAACCATCACATCCACACGGGCTATCGACCCGCATCGTCTTCCTTCCTAGGGTCTTTCCAGTCCTTGACTTATATTCACAATGAAACGGTCAACATCTATTCACATCTGCTGCCGGCCCTGGTGACTATACCGGCCGGCTTCCTCCTCTATCAAGTCCTGGCTCCGCGCTACAGAACAGCATCCAATAGCGATATCGCCGCCTTTGCGTGCTTCTTTGTCGGGGCGGCCTTCTGTCTAGGCATGTCCGCAACCTACCATACTATTTCCAACCACTCGCCTGCCGTGGCTCGCATAGGCAATGCTCTGGACTACGTGGGCATTGTGAGCCTCATCACGGGCAGCTTCATCCCCACCCTGTACTATGGCTTTTATTGCGAGCCCTCTCTACGACGCGTCTACTGGACCATGATCACCACCATTGGGTTCATCTGCACTTTGGTCTGCGTGACGCCGCGCTTCAGAACACCGGAATGGCGGCCCTTTAGAGCAGCCATGTTTGTCTCCATGGGACTGTCTGGCCTCGTCCCAGTGCTCCACGGCTTGTGGTTGTACGACATCGAGCAGATGACCTATCAGATAGGGCTCGATTGGCTGCTGCTCCAGGGCTTTCTCTACATACTGGGCGCAACGATATACGCAGCTCGCGTGCCAGAGAGACTGTGGCCGGGAAAATTCGATATACTCGGGAGCTCCCACCAGATCTTCCACGTCCTCGTTGTGTGTGCTGCAGTGGTGCATCTGACGGGTCTCTTGCGCGCGTTTGACTATCGACACAGCGTTGCAGATGTGTGCTGATCGAGTCCTATTATTTTCCCGCCTTGTCTATGTTCCCTTCCCGATTTTAGTCGCAGAGCGCCAATATCAGACAGTGCCAATAAGTTAGAACTGAAGCCGCCTGTACTCTAGGGGGTCCATATTCGTATCGCATGCGCTGCCCTTTGTTGGCGACACCTGCTTGGACGCCGCATTTACATGTACATAGAGCGCGACGCATAATAGAGAGGAATAAATAAATGAGAAATAAGCGTCGATATTAACATTAACATTAGGATTAGCATTGGCCCCAATAGTTACCAATAACCGCACAGTCGGTTGCCTTTACCGGACCTAGTGCGGAACCCGGGTCTTTGAGTGCAACGCTCAGCCTGTCAAACCGAATCAGGAGCGCGCCGGGCTTTACAGCTGGCGTTTACCACCGCCTCGGGGATGTGGTTATCCTGGCGAGAAACAAAGAACGCAGCCACAAAGCCCAACTCTACTCTCAACCCTACAGGCTACCTCGCCATTCACTCCAGTCACTAGCAGCGTCTCATCGCTTAGACCGCAGGCCGTTTGTTTGTCGACCTGCCAATCACACTCGCATGGCTGCGACTATTTGCGTCAATCTGCGATCGACGCCTAGTTCGCGAGCGTAATCGGTGCCCTCGTCCCATGGCAGCCGCCTGCTTGAGAAAGCTGACGGGGAGGCCCGCGTGCTTTGTCCCACCATCGACGTTGCAAGTGCATGAATGACATCCCAAATCCCCGTTAGCCTGTGAGCTCCTCTTTCTGGAGCCGCCTGACTGGATAGCCCACCCAGCCTAGGCAATGCAATGGGAGAATAGAATGAGAGATATCCCAATCCGGCTAAGGTCGGGCGAAATACAAAGGTATCACAACTAACTCCTGGCGTCCCAATGGCCCTGCCTGTCCACGCTGCCCACTGGGCTGGGCTGGGCTGGCGGCAGCGAACGTTGGTGTTGGAATAAATACTGTATATTTATTCGCCCATGGCTATTGCTTAAATCTCAGTTGACCTTTTAGTCCCAGCTCCCCTCCTATTCTTTTTCTTTTCCTGTTCTCGTGTTTGATGACTTCGCATTACACCTCCCTGCTCAAACAATCCAGCCCTAACTGTCATTTACCTACCCGAAACCTGTCCCTTGCATACGTCCAACGTCGTCAACGTGTTAGGCAATGATTGATATGCAGTCGCCGGATGAGTCTGCAGGAAAACCGAAATTGCGCGCGGCATGCGATTCTTGTCGCCAATCCAAAGTGCGCTGCTCGGGGGGTCGTGTATGTGTGCGCTGCGAGAAGCATGAATTCAAGTGCGTCTACAGCATTGCCAGCCGCGCCGGCAAGCCCAAGGGAAGTAAGAACAAGGCGACCTTGAAGAAGCTCGAGAATATTCAAGCAGTTAAGAGAAACACCTCTCCAAGGACTAAGATGTCGACATGGACTACCCCCCCAAAAGTTCCATCTGATCCAAATTATCTGTGCCTGCGGGACCGAAGGAAGGGCCTTGTAAGTTAATTAATCCTCAGGAAGCTACACCGAGTTTAATGCTAGTGCTAATGGTGTCTCAGTCTACTACACGCTTTGATATGGGATGGCCTTCTCAGGGCCAGCCGTCAGATCAACCCCACGAGCCATTCCGCAAATACAGCTTGCCAGGCAGAGAAATTGTATGCCCGTCACCAATCTCTCCAGCGTTCAGGTCGTATACATGGGGTGGCCCGCTGTCAATTGACCTCGACAGCTATGGCTCAGTCGACACTCCGTATTTACTATCCCCGGCGAACTCTCAATATATTCACTCGCCGGTGGGAGAATCAGCCAATCTACTGAATATTCCTCCTGAGCCGCCGACACCAGTCGACATTTGCTGCTGCATACAACGACAAGCCATGAGCCAGAGCCAGCTGTACCATCTCGGCCCAGACTCTTCAAGGTGGTTGTTCGACCCAACGATAGAAGCTGTCTACTCGTCGCTGTCATCATGTCAGATGATTTTCAATTGCGCAGTGTGCTCCAAGGACACAAATAGATTGACCGCCGCTGTCGGTTTGCTCGACCGTCTATTTTCTGTGTTCGCACAAATTGTGTTCCAAACCCTGCCTCACAACTTACCAGACACAGGCGCCTGGTGCGACCCGTATAGTATCCCACAAGAGTACACCCAAGAGTTCGCACCAGCAGCTCGCAAATCTCTTGTTGAGCGAACGCTCAAAAGGGCGCATAAAACACTCGACCTTCTTAGACGTCATCTTGATTCCGGCTTTGATATGCGTACTGCCGATTTCGCATTCTGCTCAACTTTCGACGTCACGGACAAGCCATACACAAACCAGGTATTTGGAGACAATAGAACCCACTTCGCCCAGCCCGGAAATCAGCTGCCTACTCCGCCTTTACTGGCTACTCCTCTGTTCGACAAAGGTAAGCTCAGCAACGGATTTAACTCGGGGGATATCGGGTTTCTACGGCAAGCCATATCTCACTACGAGTCGATACTCGATAACATACGGGCCTCGCCGTCGTACAATGCTACAAACGGGCCGTCTTCATCGAGCCAGTCGACATTCGGATTCTTTCCTCCTTGGTTTCCTAATGTTCCTGGTGCATCCGACCCCCAGCAACTCCAATACCAGGCATCACCCGCACAGCCATTCCAAAATACTCGGGAACCTAGTTCATATGGAAGGATTGGAGTTTCTTAATACTTTCTTCATTAACTTATCTTATGCCTTGCCTTTTTGATGGCTGTTTTTTATTTTCATCACCTTTGTTATATATGATATGAATCCCGTTTGTGAGGGACTTTTGTCGGATAATTTGTATAATTCCAATTTGACAGCCACATATGTAAATGCAGTGGAACGTTGGAGTTTTGTCTTTGTATATTCATGCCCAATGTTAATTTTTCATAGAAAATAGACCCCATTCCCGTCATCGTTACGGTCAAGCAGAGAAACAAAGGAGAGGAAAAGCTATGAAGATGTCGAGTTCTGTGTTACCTGAGCTCATCGAGGAAGTAGTAAGCAGAATAAAGAGATGGGGAAAAAGCAAACAAAAAAAATCAAAACAAAGGAAACTCGGATTATTTTCAGTCATGCGATAGTACAGTAAGACGAATCGCGGTTTTCATCGTTCATGACGGCATGCATGCGCATACCATGCGCATACAGTCATACACTGAGGCTATTACATTACCCCGTGATGTTACGCCAATTAGGATATTCATTATTCAGTGGAGCATGACATGTCCTCTTTTTCTCCATGTTTTGGACATCTCTAGATCCGCGCGATCCGAATGATCCATCATGATATTTGAATGCCGTTGGTCTTTCGATCTTACCCTCGTTCATTATTCTAAGCGAGGTGTGTGCGTTTTAAATAAGACCACATCCAATCTGTACCATCCCCTGCGGTCGCTGCAAGACGATGCAGTTCGTCACTCGAATCTCCTTTCTTCTCTTATGAATGAGTCCTTGTATAGCCCTATTTTACCGTCAACCGCTGTGATCTATGCAGCAGCCGACTCGGCAGACGTCGGGTAAATGCGTCTGCATACGTTGACTTGACTTCGCCATGGACGATGACAAAAAGCAACCGCCAAAAGAAAAGACATGGGAAATGCAACCACTCGCAAATAGCCATCATTCACACTCTGACGGGATTGGTGGAAGCCGGCTAAAGCAGAGGCTGGAATGTAGAGTGCAGATGCAGGCTGGAATAAAAGCTTCGGCATTGGTCGGCCTTTGCTCGAAACACCCGGGTACATACTGGTACTATTCTGACGTCAGCGTGAGGGTTGGGGTATAGTAGTGTCGGTATAGGTAAATTCTCGTATATAGGGTATCCGACGATCGAGATCAATAAGTCCCGTATGTAGCACAGCATGATTCGTTGACAGTGCTTGTGATCGAGCTGACATTTGCAGTCAAAAATCATGTCTCTCTTGTCGGCATCTTGTTTCCGTGTTGATAGTATGATCCAGGAAAACCAAAGAAAGGAATCAAAAGGCATACAGTAGTACCCAGGTGCAATGGAGGAAGTACCTTGGATGCCTCAGGCATCAATCTCATATGTCATCTATAACAAGCAATTTGAGATGGCCTCAGGCGCCCAGGTGAAAGCGTATAAAAGCACGGCCTCCCGCTCTCTGCTCGGATTTCTTTTCTTCTTCTCTTGTTCTTTCTCTCTCCAGGCACTTCTCCCGCTCGCGCACCCCGCGAGGTCCGGTCGAGTCGTCCTCCAAGAGTTCCCACGCGGGCAGGTGCGCCGTCTGCTCCGTGGATGAGTCGAAGATGGCTACAGAAAGCACGATGCAGTAGCTGGGAGATGCTGGGCCTCGACCTGAAAACTTGTGTTGGAAGGGGTCCCTAGGGCGATTATTCGTACTTGAAGTATCTTAGTCGCCTTCCTACATTCTTCCAATTCTTATTACTCATCGTTAGCTATTCTTAGTCCTCATTTTTACTTATTCTTATTCCTCTTCTTATTCTGTATATCTTACTACGTCGGCATATTCTTATCCGCCACGCGCGCACTTTTTTCGTCATCTCATCGGCTTGTCCGCTGACATGGAGAAGAGGATCTGCTGCGATGGGGCTCCTGCCTGTGCCTAGACTAGACTTGACAATCAAACCGCTTTCTCTTTCTCTCACCTCCATCCACTATGAATTGTAAATCCATCATTCATCCCAGTTACCGATCTGATATAACTTTATTTGTCTTCATCTCATGCTGAACTTCATCTCATCACTCAGATAACTCTACAGTTGTCTTCTGAGTTCGCTAGCGGGTGTTCATACTGTACTGACACTGTTGTTTCAATATTAGAGATGTAACTCGATAAATGAAACGCCTTTAATTGACGCCTCTCTTCTTTTACTGAACCATCGAGTTTCTCTCCCCGCCGCATTTTGAGTCATCGCATATTGACGTCACCATCTACTCCAGAGGCCGCTATACACCTCTCATTCACGCTCCACGAGAGCATGGCTTGTCATGGGGCCTATCACAATGTCTGCGGGCCAGTTGACCTGTAGGATCAGGTATCTCTCATCCTGATAGCCGCAGTCAACAGCTGAATGAGCCCAGCTAGCTTAAGGATATTTAATTATTATAAGCAGCCTCTAGCGCTCAAATAGGTACCGCCCCGCCCTGTGTTGCAATCAAGCCCTCAACTCACCTTTTCTTCACTGACCTTGAACCTCACCAATCTCCTCTTCTCAACTGACCACTTGTTAATCCTTGATCCTATTAGACTGCTGTTTCCCTTCACAAAATGTCAGAACCTTCGCCCGATATCGTCGAGATCGCCCCTGACCAAGACTTGGTCTTTCAGGTGACCCAAGAGGAATGAAAGAGCCCTTACCAACCCCTGGCTAGAAGAATCACTGAATTCAAAGTCAAGAAGTCGGTTTTTCTTGCCAGCTCCCCGACCTTTGACGACTGCTACCACTCCTTTTCTGGCCAGAAAGATAAATCGCCCTCATTTCCTCTTTTTGAAAAGCCTTGGAAGGGAACAACTATAGACGTGTTGGAAATCTGGCTAAGAGCTTTCCATGGCAACCTCAATGAGGCCTCTTTCAAAATCGCTATCCCAAAAGTGTATGATATAATGGCAATAGCCCAAAAGTATTGCTTCGAATTGAAGGATCCGAAACCTTGGTTCGACCAATGGTATGAGAAGAATAAAGGTGACATCAAAGAACAGCTTCTCCTTCTTTGCTGGGAGTTCCGTCATGATAAGGCATTTCTTCAACTATCGGGTTTCTTGGTTTATCATCCGAACGGACGCGTCACGGCCCTAAGCCAAGCATTGACTACAGCGTGACAGTACCAGTCATAGTAACGCGCAAGTCTTCACAGAAAAGTAAGAAAAGGAAACAAGAGCCTCTAACGTTCTCTATTTAGATGTACTCAATGCAGTTAGAGGTCGTTTGAAGAACATCCTAAATGAAACTTTATGGCTCCCGATCAAGAGAAGATTTAATTCAACAACATGCAATTGCAAAGGGAGCATGGTCTTCTACTATCAACAGGCAATGTTCAAGAAAGGTGTATGGCCGCTAGAGGAGCACTTTTCTAAAACCAGCGTTGGAGCTATCTTGACACGGCTCAAAACCATTGGTTGGAGTGAACAGAGCTCATGGGGCTGTAAACAATGTACTTTTGACTGCGCTAAGGTCATCGATGGCGCGGTAGAACGTACCAAGAAATACTTCGACGGTCTCTGCTTGGATTATATGCAAGATGACGCACCATCAAATGAATATGGTTGGAAAGAGAAAGAGACCTGGCATTGCAAAGGAGGACGCCATGGTGAGCCAACACGATACTATTCTCAAATGTGGGCGAATAGTCGAGAACGTTACAATATTTTTGATTTGAATCTATGTGTATCTGAGGGTCTTCACTTCTATATGGGCGTCTTGGCCTCGTTGGAATCACAACTTCCCGCTCCTCTAGTTTTGGGATCGACAGATAATATCAACGGTAGTCTGACTGCCTGCTTTTCGGTATCGACTCGTTGATAGCGTGAGAAATATGTCATGACGGTCCCTTATCGGGTTGCAACGGATGATACATGTATTGTTCAGTTTGGAAGGAGAAGGCTTCTAGGCCAAGTAGAACTTTAGGGGAATATAATCATGTATTATCATCAGGAGTAATTCATAAGCGACTATATTCATATTCTTATGCTATATCAGGTCTCTTAGTGAAAATACCTTTGAGTTGAGAAACTAATAAACTAATAGATGATTCCCTCGCATTCCTTGGATATCCTCATCGATAGTTTTCACTATGACTTCGGGAGGGCAATTCAGCAGAATACTATATGGCAGGCAACTCTGTTCATAGTACTCGCCGTTGAGAAGACTGGTGACAAGCTCATCAATGATTTTAAAGAGATCTGGAAACCAGCTCAACTAGCTCAAGCCTCCCAGCTAGCTCTCCATGATTCTTCAGCGAATCAGAAACTGAACTTATTACACTTTACCAACTCAGTTAAAGAATATATTCTAGAAATTCGATGGAATTCCATCTCGACATCATACCATCCAGTGGCAACAGCTCTAACCTATCAGCCTCAATATCTCTACCGATCAATAACCTTCAAAAATCCAGGAATCGGGACGTCCCCGAATCCGCCACGCTCGCCACACCAATAATGGCTCTGTGGCGGGGAGTATTCTTCGAATGAATTGGTTCTCGGTGTATGGCTCTAGGAACAAATCCATTCTCCTGGGACTTTGGGTTTGGTACAGCGGTTCGGTCCTCAGGGAATAATTTGACAGGTGAGTTTTATTCAAAACGCCACGTTACGTCCAATCGGTACAGGATCCATGATCGGGTTATTCAACGTGGATATTCACCGTTCCTTGGTAATCTCATGGCCCGACACGTGGATATGGTTCAGGCACGGCGATATGCTTCTATCGATTCTCCCGGGAGGACGTCGGTAGATATACAGATTTTTCGACGACAGAAAAATTATAAAGGACATCATCTCTCCTTGATTCTGCAACTCTTTTCATCATCACTCAACTACACAATCAAGACACTCAAGACACTCATTATTGAAACACAATCTCTGCCAGAGACAGACTAAATACTTATTCATTCTCTACATTGCTATTCTTTTCGTTCAACTCCAAGCAATACAAACGTCAAAATGCATTTCACCACAGCTCTCGGACTTGCTGCTGCCTTTAGTGGCGTCACTTCTGCTCTTCCTGCTACCCAGCGCCGTGACGGTGGCAGCGACAACAACCCCAGCGGCAGCAACAGCACCAGCAACAGCAACAGCACCAGCAACAGCAATGGTGGCATCGACATCACAAACAACATGGGCCATACAATCTACCTCTGGTCCGTTGGCAACTCTGCCAACAACAGCATGGTCACACTGGATCCTGGCGATCGGTACTCAGAAAGCTGGCAGGTGAACACTGCTGGCGGCGGCATTTCAGTCAAGATGGCGACGCAACCCAACCAATCCGATGTGCTTCAGTACGAATACACTCTGGAAGGAGATACTATCTACTGGGATCTCTCCTGCATCAACATGAGTGATAACTCCACCTTCACGACTGCCGGTTTCGATGTTTCATCCAACAACACCGACTGCCCATCTGCCAACTGCGCGCCTGGTGACTCCTCTTGCGCCGCCGCTTACCTCTACCCGACTGATGACCAGGCGACTCACGGCTGCCATGCCAGCACGCAGATGGCCTTGAATCTCGGATCTTCCGCACCTTCTTCATAAAGGCTATCAACTTGACGCCAGCTTCGACAACGCAGGCCGAGTGTCTAACACGAGGTGCTTCATACAGCAGACATAGTGGTAGCAGCTATGATGAAAGAAAAGCATTCACTCAACCGTCGTTCGGGGATGTTGAACAGTTCTACTGAGAATATGAACTTTGAATCCTACATTGTCCTGTCTTGTCCCTGTCTATATAGAAAGCATGTGCTTTTTTTTCTATGATATCCGGTTTTAGTCAAGTATGTACATAGAATAATTTCATTAACCGATTAATATTGATCAACCATCCCAATGCAGTAATTAAACCTCGGCATGCTAACGACGAGGCTCGGCGACTCGGCAAGCCTCCCCGCATAATTCTCGACCCAGCTTGATTTATACCCCATTTCCTTGCTTGCCGTTGTCTTCCATCTTGAATTATCTCCCAATCTACCAAAAGGCCTACAAGATAAAAAAAAAAAAATGGCAGACCGTCTCGCCCAAGTCTCCTCACATCTCAACTTCCCGCGTGGATTGTTCGACGGGCAGACAGCCATCATCACCGGCGCTGGCCAAGGCATCGGCGCGGAGGCGGCACGCTTATTCGCAAACGAAGGCGCCAAAGTCGTCGTCGCTGATATTGACGCGCGTAAGCTTATTCTTCTCTCAATGGATTTGGTTTCTTTTTATGTACTCGGTATCTAAAAAAATGCTCAGAGAAAGCCAGCGCCGTCGCAAAGTCCATCAATGACGCTGCTCCCGGCCGCGCACTCGCCGTCGCCGGCGATGTCATGAATGCCGCATATATCGACGATCTCGTCAAGAAAGCCGCTGAATTCGGTGGTGGCAAGATCCATATCCTCGTCAACAATGCCGGGTTTACGTGGGATGGCGTTATTCACAAGGTAAAATCTTCTAACTGCAATCCTCACAGAACTCCGAGAAGGTTAGGGGTTGTCAGGTTACTGATGATAGTTAGATCACCGACAAGCAATGGGATACCATGCTCGCCGTGCACAATACGGCTCCGTTCAAGCTCGTCCGCGCTGCTGCGCCGTACTTCCGGGTCAAGGACAAGGAGCCTAGGGTTATCATCCAGATCAGTTCTACCAGCGGGATCCACGGGAATGCGTAAGTCCATTCCCCCTCGGTTTTTTTAGGGGGGAATCATGGCTAAAACAATGCAGCGGCCAAGCCAACTACGCGCTCGCCAAAGCCGGGGTTGTCGGACTCACCAAGACGATCGCGAAGGAATGGGGACCGCAGTTCGGCGTGCGCGCCAACACGGTCGCCTTTGGTTACATCACCACGCGGTTGACGGCGGCCAAAGAGGCCGGCGGCACCATCACCACGCCCGATGGGACCAAAGTTGCCCTGGGCATTCCGGGACGACCGAACCCCAAGGACGTCAACCCGGAGCAGGCCTACGCGGATATCCCGCTTAGGAGGCCGGGGAGTCCAGAGGAGGCGGCCAGGTCGATTATTGCGGTGGCGAGTCCGTGGTTTTCGTACGTGAATGGCGAGACGATTAGTGTTACGGGAGGAAGGAATATTTAGATCAATAAATCTTCGTTTGCGTCAATATTTCTATCAATATTCAATGTTCAATGTTCAATATTGCCACCAGCGATGTATGACTACATCGCAAATACATGTATGTATGCATAGGGTTAGTGTGTAAAGGAACCTAAATTTGGAAAGAAAACCAGAAATTAGGTTACTATCTAAGCTCGTCTTGCGATATACCATGGTAATCTGCACCTCAGTATATTAAGAAATGTATTCACTCCATCGAATGAGTCATTTTTATAGAGCAAATCACGCGGTGACACATGAAACATAGGGGGTGTAAAGAATGCAGGTGAGATTAGATTTTCTAGTTGATCTTTTGATCAAAGGATCTCCAACACAAGTTGCGGCTAAGGATTCAGCAGTAGGCGTACTTAGGCAGACGATTTCGCTTACTCACTATGAAGTCAGCCTTTACAACCTCACTACGACAGAACCAGGCTGTCAGTCATAATCTTTATTTTCAAAGTATGACAAAGAGATCTATCTATATTCGGGTATCGTGTATAATATAGCGGGATCATCTCGGCAAGGCGTAATCAGACAATCGGACCTTGCAGATATGAGCACCTGACCTGCGCTCTGTGAAACACTGCCGTTGTAGCAGTGGAGCCGGCCGGAGTAATGTAAAGATACATGAGGGGAAATATAAACAAAGAAAGACGACGGTAAACTTCCGCCGAGTAAAGAGTGCGAACAAGACAATGAGGACACCAACACCAACCAAAACAACATCCTTCCATATGGGTATTTTTTTGCAGATTTCAACCAAACAAGCTTGCCCAAACAAAACAACAACAATCCATACAAACGCCTTTCCGTCTTCGTAACTTGTATTTTGGAAAACAATATGCAACCGCCAAGCCAAAAATAATGATACATAAAAAGGTTCTCCGAGAAACACGGACTATTAAAATGAATATTTGCAGTTCTGGCGAATTCCGCTGGAAATTATGATCCGCCACGGTATATGATAATATGGTAAAGCGTAAACCCCGATTGTATGTCCAAGGGAAAGAAATGGATCAAGATAAAGTCGTAACCCAGAAGGCTAGATCCATAGGCAAATTAATCCTCGGGATGATAAGTCGTGATTTTCATAAGGCGTGTGAGATCAGTTGATGTGATCATTAAAGGTATGTATATTTAATAGGCAGCAACGAGTTGGTCCATGCGGTGAGCTGGAATTGCCAATTTTCCGGCGACATCGACCATGTGACCAGGAGTGTCCCAAAAGTCAGGGGAAGCCTGTGGGTCGACAACAGTAAAGCCATCCACCTCATTCTCCGAGGCGTAGTCAGAGTCGGACGAGACCGAGGAGATGGTCTCGTTGTCGGTGAGGGAGGTGTCGGAGATGGCAGAGTCCGAGTACTGCGTGTTGAGCAAAGTAGCAGGGGGGCCTGTGACATAAGGATAGAACACGCAAGAGGGTAGCTCTTCGGGTTGTCCAGGCCTCCTTAGGACAGGCACGGTAAACCTTGGGCATTCCAGGATCAACTGACGCAACTCCGGGATGGTAATGCGCTTCATTGGGTCGCACTCGAAAATACGACGCAAAATCAGATTCAACTCCGGGGACACGGGTAGAATAGTACGAAGAAACTCTGGGTCCTTCAGATAGGCACGGAAAGTCGTGTCCTCAGTGGAAGCGCGTTTCCATGGGTTGCGGCCACAGGTCAGGTTTACAAGGATCACTCCAAGGCTCCATACGTCGTTGATAGGGGAAACGTAGCAAGAGCAGGGTCTCGGGTTGGTTTGTTGACATTCTGTTCAAGTATTAGCACTAGTCGTTCCAAACATGCTCAAAAATACATACCAGGAGACATGTAGAAAGTCGAGCCGCAGCCAAAGTCGGAAGTAAAGTAATCGGTAGTCGCCAGTCCAAAATCGGCAAGCTTGACAGTCAATCCGCCATCGGTCACCAAGATGTTCTCCGGCTTGAGGTCGCGGTGGTAGATTCCAATGGAGTGGCAAAACTGAACGGCATCCAGAATTTGTAAAAACGCACGCTTGGCCAATGGATCGTTTCCGACAAAATGACCACGCTCCGTGATGCTGGAAAAGAGATCACCTTCGGGGCAAAATTCTATGACAACAAAGGTACAGTCCACCGAGTCCATGATGCGCACCAAGGAGACCACATTGGGATGTCGACTAGCCTGATGATGGAGATTGATTTCACGCTGCTGGAACTTTCGTTGTCTGGCATCGAGTCCTGTTTTGTTCAAGGCCTTGATGGCAAACGGGACCTGGGTTTGGATGTCGACGGCAGTATACACGACTCCATAGGCACCGACGCCTAGGATGGAGGTCAGCTCCAGGCGGTTGGCCAGCAACATTCCCAGGCGGTCCTCGGGCGCATAGCAACGAAGCAATGGCGGCGACTGCGGGGGTGTTGGTAGCATACTGGGATGATACATCATGCTGGGCAGCTCGTGTCGAGATCCAAAGGAGAGGGAGTAACAATTATCCTGGAAATCCTGTGGGGGAGGGGGGTCCGTAATGTAAAAGTTCCTCCTGGGAAGTCAATCCGGGAACCGGGGTGGTGGGTGCTGGGCGTGGCGACCAGATCCAAAACAAAAAGAGAGATTGGGCAGGGGGCGTTCTAAAGACGATATTGCTATCGTCTTTATGCAGCCGTTGGAAGAAGACCTGAAGAAGACCCAACGAAGACCTAGGGAGTGGCAGACCGGACAAACAGATGGCAGGTGGCAGTATGAAAGTGAGGATATATATATTATACAGGATATAATATATATATAGATGGAGATGGGAGGAGGCGGTCCGCACGGTCGACACGCACGGGCGTGTGGGAAGAAGGTAGGAGTATATCGAGGAAGAGACGAAGGATAGACGAGGACAAGAGAGAGAGAAGAGAAGAGGAGGAGGGCGGACGAGAGAAAAAGATGAGGATGGAGGAGGAAAGAAAGAGTGAGAGGGAGAGGGAGAGATGGAAGGAGCGGACGAGGCAGGAAAAGAGCGTTAGAAGTATAGGAAGGAAGTGGTGATGTAGTGCTGGGCCTAACTGTGGCCGCAGAGGAAGGCGGCGACGGTGCGCGGGCCAATCAACGGGGCGGCAGCCGCAGGTGGGCGTGCGAGTCTCAAGGACCAAGGCAGAGACTGAAGGCAAATGGGAAGGCGCGGGTGGGCAGCGGGGGCGAATTAAGCGGCCTCCACCGGCAGTCTAGGCTTATTGCTGTTAGTTACGGGGCAGTCGACTAAGTGCCTAGTGCCTAGCGACTAGTGACTAGCGACGAGCAGCACCGCACAGGGTACTGACAGGAGCAGGGTCTAGCTCCTCGGCGGCCCACGAGCTGCGACAGAATCATGCAGCGAGCAAATTAATGAAAAGGGGGGCCTCTGCCGCTGCACATTGGCTGCGGTGGAGCCTGCCTCCACCCGATGAATACGGCCTTGTCTCCTTGGGAGTGAGTGTATGCTCTTGCGTGGCCACAGCATGAAAAAATGATAGTCATAGTTGTACCGCATGTATGGACGGCTGTGTTTGTATCACGACGGCGAGTCATCCACGAGGCTGTCCCGTATCTATTCTGGTGCTAACAGATTACTACGCACACTCCTCTGACAACTAACGTACACTAACTGGCCCTGAGAGTGTCGTTGGCTATGACTGTGACTGTGATTGCTATTCTTGTGGCAAGGCTGGGCTCAATGGAGGGACGGGCGCCTGGAGGACGGGCCTGGAGGCAACGGTGGCGGGTCTGCTCCCTGCGAACGGCAGTCACACGACGGACCGATCAGAGCACCCCCCCAGCACCGTCCAGCCACGCCCCGAAACAATTCCGGGCGTCGTCCGTACCAGGCTCGATGATTCATCGCCTCGAGTCATCCTGTCATACACTGCGCAGTCATCAAGTAAGACAGACGGTGGCGCTGTTGTTTCTGGCAATAACAACATCTCCAGTCCGCATACAAGTGCACACTAACAAGCACATCTGCGGCCGATCAGACCACCCTGCAGGAAGGCCGTTTCATTATTCGCCGTTGCTGTTTACTTGTTATCGTTGCCGTGCTATTGTTATGATGATGATGCTTGTGCTGATTATTTGTTGAGTGCTCTGATCTGACATGTCCAGAAACGCCGGCTGTGCGACTGATTGGCGTAGCAGCATCCACGCAAGCCCTTTGGCTGGGTGGGCCAGGGAAAAGGCTATCGCAGGCTGCCGCAGGCCATCGGCGCGCTTTGATGGTCCTAACTCGTCGCCACGACTCTTGACGCTCAAGTTTGCCATCGTGGACGAATCAGGCCGCGTCTCTCGTGCAGGGTTACTGGCTAATTAATTGATTAAGATGCTCGCGTTGGTTGGGCTGTTCTCCCACGAGACAGGAGGCTGAGCCAAGAGGGGCCCACCAGTGCTTGCAGAGAGGGGGGCTGCCAGCCAATGGCCGTGCGGTGGGCCCAACTTCGAGAACGAGTTTAGGGGCGAGCGAGCCGGGCGAAGACACTACAGTCGCAGCTTGGCCAGGGTGGTGTGCTGGCTCCACCCGCGCCGCGCATTCGCTGCTGCTTGAAACTTCGATTTTGTTGCACCGTGAAACAGAAGGGGTTAGCGCCCCACTAGCCAAAACAGTCGAGCCGAAAGAGCGGTCTACTTCAGTCGCTATTGACCAGGTTATTGACGAGGTAATCCATAGTGTTTACTATTCATGATGATCCGTTCCCTGCAGAAGCCCTCGTTAGAACAGCAGCACCCTGATCGAGGCGTCCTGGAATATCGTCCATGAAGATCAGTTCTCGAGAAGCAGGTCCTAGGGCGCACTTCAAGCAGTGCTGCCTGAACTCACCCGATCGACAGACAGCATTACGCCTGTTGACGAAGCCGTCACACGGCGACGAGCAGCATGCGCATAAGCGCTGTGGATGCTCCAGTCACTGCGCGCGCTGACGACACTAGCAATCCTGTCCTGCGCAACATCGTCGACCTACTACCTAGTGCTTAACACTACTTACTAAAGGCAGACTATCGGGTGGGGTCTGTTGGTCTGATTGGCTGCTGGCCGGCTCGCCTGGCAGCTGCTGGCCAAAGCTCAAAGTGAGGCGCCTAGAGTCAATCCATCGCCCTCCTCCATTCCATAAGCAGTCCACTGCGCTGAGCCCAGACCAGGGCGACAGGAATAGGATTCATACCACAGATCAGCATACAACATACTCTGTACTGTACAGTAAACACTAAACACTCAACACTCAACAGCAGTTGTATCCACGGAGGATAACGGATATACCGTATGACCCGAGGCTGCGGTAGAATAATGGGTAATATCTGCGGTTTCACCTCATGTTTCGCATTAATAATGTTTCCTGCCACCCATTCATTATCAATTAATCTTCGCATGGCAGGGATGAAATCTATTTCTGACAATCAATAATATAGCAAATATAGCAACTATAATAATACCAGCATTATTATTATTATTAAGAATGTGATGTTCACATGGCGTGTGCACGTACATCATACCCTGTAAGCTAACCTCGACTCACCAAACGCAGCCCTCTCATTGGCCACGACGCAGGCTTTTCTTTCCGTGCGCCCCTAAGAACGAAATTAACGGCGACAAGAACCAGCCCCTATCTTCTTTGGTCCATCAATGCATCAATCTACAGCCTGCCAAGCCCAGAGTCGCGCACTTACCCCATACTCGACATATTTGCTTTTGCTCGTGCGTCAGACTGACGGTGAGTGCCGAAGCGGCCCTGTGATTGGAGGAGCCAGCGGTGGGTTATTGATCTTATTGATTGACTATCATGTCAGCCGGAAGTCGAGACATTTATCGATGATGATAGACCAATAGCCATCGGACCACTGTTTGATGGATATTACGATCATCTTCCATCGCCCCTAATAATCTTGCTCTTGCCGATGTTGCCTCTTGGCCGAGTGTGAGCTTTGCAAAGATGCTTTCTTAGCCAATTCCAAGCCCAAATCAAAATCCGAATCTATCGTCCCCGCATTTTGCCCGTACCATAAACCATATTAATCACCATCCATACGTTGCTATTCACGAACCAGCTTCTTAATGCAGCAACTTGGTCAAACTTTATTCTTGCTTTTTTTTACCGCTTTCTTTGTTCTCTCCCCTCGATTCCGGCTTTGACTTTTTAACTCGGTGGCAAGAAAACCTAATTCAGTACTGACGAGCCAGCCTGAGCCTGAGCCTGAGCCTGAGGCCTCAATCCTGTAATTAGACGTTGATCGTGGTGGCGACTGCGCAAACTTGAAAGTTGATCAGAGATTTACTTGGTTTGCATTGTTTGATTTGCCGTCCACGTGACTACTGTCGCCTCAGGCTGCCAACAACGTATCAGGCTATCAATATCGATATATGTATAGTACGGTGTAAAACAAATTGATAATTAATTTATTAGCAATTCAAAAATTATCTTAAGCTGATCATTCATACTTGAAATAGCTCTTAAATCAAATGTGATTGTGTTGCGATCTAATGATTCCTCTCTCGTCACCACATCATTAACAAATATATATATAATATATAAAATGTAGTTACCAAGCACACACCCTTCTATGTCGATTTTACACATGTATAAAAGCAAACATTGAAATCACGGGCGCCAGTATGCAATCGTTATTAATGAGCATGATTCTATGAACATCTAATGGTGTAACCTTACAAGAGGAGCGAAGCTACCACTAAGTGTGTAGGTAGTGAAGAGGAATCGCATGCTTAATATTCTGTAATTTAAACTACTTACTGCGAAATTTATTCATATCGTCGAAAGAACGATGACCTCCAAGTATATATAGTGATGGTATAAACAATAACCAATATCACTTTCGAGAAAGAAAAGGATGCTTCAACGCCTCCACCGGTGTACATCTCTTCTCCGGATTCAGACTCAAACACCGATCTAGCAAGTCTACAAAAAGAGCCGCCTCCTTGGCTTCGCTCTCATTCATCCCCCTGGCCCCCTTGCCCATCAGTCTCGACTTCAAGTCTCGCGTGGGCTTTTTGAAATCGAGTATTTTTGTAACGACCCTACCCGTCAGTTTATCTTCCTCTGTACTGTGGAAATTGAGCATATCGTCGAAATGCATGGATGTCAAGGAGCCCTTGCGCAAAAACTTGGGAGGGAATTTGCCTCGACACTCCATGATCGACCGAAGCATTTGGTTATTATTGCGGCCTGTGAATAGGATTTTGCCCGTATATAGCTCGTACAAAGTGCAGCCAATGGACCATACGTCAATCGCGTAGTCGTATGCAACGCCGAGTATAATTTCCGGTGCTCGATAGAATCGACTAACAAGATACGGGGTGATTTCATTTTCCGAGGCTGGTGATGCAGAGCCCAAGTCGCAAATCTTGAGCACACTCCGCTGCTCGTTCACCAAAAGGTTGTCGGGTTTTAGATCTGCGTGTAGAATGTTACACTTGCGAAGTAGGCTTAGTCCCAAGAACATTTGCTGAGCATATGCACGGATAGCTCGAAGGTTCAATCCGACATCACGTCCGAATTTCTTCAATACCTCTCGCAAATTCATGCTGAGATTTTCAAACACCATGCACAGGTGACCTTTGTGATCAAAATGCCGCTCGAACCGAATAAGATGCTTTTTGTCTTCGGGATCGGCTGCCAATAACTGTTCAAGAATCTGAATCTCCTTCAAACCTGCCTTTCGCATAGTGTCGTTTTGTCGGATAATCTTGATCGCAACATATTTATCTGTCTTGGAGTCGGTGGCCCGTACGACAGAGGAAAACATTCCTTTGCCAAGATTCTGGTGAACGTGATACCGCCCATTAATCAACTCACCAAGTCTGACATTGTAGTATCCTTCCGGATCATCCCAATTGTCGAGCATGGTCATGTCGAGTTCCTGAGGCTTGGGAATTGCTTGCGCACTGGCATGTGCCGGCTTCCCTTCCCGTTCCGGAGCAAACATATCATCATCATCTTCGGCAAACATATCATACGGGTCTTTGGCAGCAGGCGGCTGGGAATCGGGAATTAAAACGTCTTGTCTAGTAGTTTCCGTCTCATCATATGCAGTAGCAGATACGTCTTCGTCCAAGTTTCTCTTGTCGTGCCTTTGGCGCTCTTCTTGCATGTCCTGAGTAGGATCATAGTCTGCTGCCGAAGGTTCATCTTTCTCGACATCTTCCATAGGCTGGCTACTATTAGCAAGATCTTCATCTTTGGTCACAGTAAAATCAGCTCCAGGGGTACCAGCTGAAGTTTCTACAGCAGGAGACATTGGTGAGTCTGTGAAAATTAGCAGCGGATCCAAGTTAAGTTCTTGATAGCACGTACCAGATACGCTCACTGGAGTACCAGGGGTTTGTTGGGGATAGGCTTCCTGATGCAGTGCTTGTATGCGCAGGTCATTCTGGGCTCGATATTTGGCTTTAATAGCCTCGCGACGTTTTCGTCTAGCTTCAAGTCGTGCAGCTTCATCCACGGGCTCTTCTGGTTCTCCGGGAATCGCGTTGTTTGTCACTGGTCTGCGAATCGTGAGTACATATCCAGACAAATCAAAAGGTCCAACATACTCATGAACTTTACGACTATGATCGGAACTAGAAGGCTGCCCCTGATGCTCTCGTTCAGCTTCTGGTTTACCATTTTGAGCGACAGCTGGGGACTTCCCCCGTTCGCTCACTGACTGTTCTTTGAAAGACACCACCTTTGTAGACACCTTTACATCGGAGTCGTCATATTTCTTGGGCTTTCTCGTGTCGTGAATTGGCGAGCGACTTCGTGTCTTTTGTCGCTTGTCACGTCGATCATAGTCATCTGTGTACCGAAGGCCACCGCTATAGCCATCATCGCGATCGTAGTCATGATAAGTCCTGAGGCGTCGGCCGTCATATCTGCGATCGTAATCGGATGATCGCGAATCATAGCGTTGGTGGTGGGAGCCTTGCCGATAGTATCGCTCGTCATCATAGTCATCATATCGTCGGCGCTTCTCACCGCGTCGATAGGGTGAACGCGTTCGGGACCGAGATCGAGAACGACGCCTTGAGGGAGGAGGCGATCTCGCTCCCACCGAACTAGACGATCTAGGAGAACACGACGGACTGAGTCTGGTGCGACGGTTAACAATGCTGTCATTCACGGAATTCTGCGACGTAGTTGCCTTCGTCTCTGAACCTGATTCGACGATCTCACCCTCTGAGGGAGTCGACCGGGACCTCGACCGGCGGGAGGCCATGGTGGAAACAAAGATGTCGTCTCCTTTTTTCTTCCTTTACTCTCCTCTTCTCCTTTGCAAAGTCTTTGATGGAGCTTGAAACGAAAAAACACACTCGGTTAGCCACGCGGTTGTTCACGATCCAAATGTAAAGGAAGATGTATTGAGAAGTCCAACCGGCTAGAGGTGCTTCTGCCTTGCTCCTTGACCCAGATGTCACCTATACATAGAAAGAGACCAGTTCTCGCTGAATCGCGCGACAGATAGTAGTAGCAGCAGCAGGATTGCAAAGCGATGCAGATGAAGATGAAGTGAAGTCGTCGTCATCCCGAGTTTGTTCGACTGGGCGGATCAGGGATTGCCACCAACCACATGCGGCCTAGTGCGGAACATGAAATCATTTCTCTTATCGATACGTAAAGATCGCGAACAGGCGTGATTAGGACAATGGATTTTCGGCGTAGATAGATGGGATTTCTTTGCAAGGTGCTGCTGTATATACACGGTAACACTATCTGACGATCTATATAACATGGCGTATACATGTTATGATAGATTTTGTTCTTACCCGGGTGAAAAAATTGGGATACGGCTTTACTTATTATTCAATAATTTCTGTTCCAACTTTCCGTAACAACGAGAAGAACTAAAATAACATGAAAATAGACATTAATATTAGATGAATATGGGTCAGTATTGGTATTTCAAATACTTAAACAAAAGCAACAAGGTAGCTAGTTTTTCTGCCATTTACCTCCTATCGAGTCCACTGGCCGATGAATTTGCAAAGTCAAATAGGTCCATCACATCGATTCCCAGAAGCTGCTGCATCTCTTCATCTCCGGGTATAAGATATGTAGGATCATCAACGAGAGGGAAGAAGATCGTTTCCGTTTCGGCTTCGGATCTGGTACTGACTGCCTGATTGTGCATGACAAACGGGTGATGAGGGGCTGAATAAGTAGTTGGTAGTTGCTGTGCATTTAAAAGTTGATTCTTCTGCTCTGGAGGAGCTGTGAAAGGCATTGATGTTGGTGTTTCTGGTGGAACTTTTATCGCATCTATCGGCTGTGAAATGTGTGAACCGCTACCAGAAATCACTTGACCCAGTATTTCGCATCGAGGGGTCTGTTGTAAGTATTGTTCAGAAGAGATGCCATTGTAATTTGTTACCGCTTCTTTACTTTGTATCAGGGGGCTGGATGTCAGGTCGATATTCTCATGCTGTTTGTTATTATTCTCATTATGTCGGCTTTTTGGAAGGCGTTCTCTTTGCACACCTCGCACATACTCCCGTGCAATATGCGCGAACTCAGAAACGAGAGAACCTGGCAGGGTTCCGCGACTTGCGTACTCGATACGACCGAAGTGACCACTTGCAACGTCGAGGAGCGCTAGGTTGTTATTGGTTTCTGGATGGGTTGGATTGTGCACGACAAGGTCGAAGAGGATGAAAAGGGCTGATATTGGCATCAAAGCCATGATCCTTTATTTCAATTGATCAAAGTGAGCATGTATAATTCTTAGAAGCAAAGGTAGAATTAGCAGTCGACATACCACATTGAAGCATAAGGGGCCACTTCAATATACTTTGTCAAATCTAATATCAAGCACGCTGTTTTCATCAGTTGCTTCTTGGTCTCCTGCTGATCAGGTGCTGTTGCCATATCACCCACTCCAACGTGAAGTGAAATTCGTAATAGAGTAAGTAAAGCGTTGAAATACAAGTATTGTGTGCTGACAGCGATGAAAATCTCTAGCGTTCCCGGTAAACCACGTCCAGAAAGCTGCTCGCGAGGCCGGTACTGTAGTGGGATTGACACTCGCCACGCTTCCAGCTCATCATTGAGCTGTCGAATCGAAGTATGGTAGGTACTGGCTGTATGTTCTCCTGAGCTCACACTGAATAGACTGCTATATATCCGCGAAACCAGCCTAGCATATCTAGCAAACGAGAGAAGCCAATTGTAACTTCCAAATGTGGATTCGGAAACATACGGGATCGGACATCCAATATCGGAGTCCATAAGGGTCTACGTATATCAATTGATCAGATTCTATATATTCTTTGTTTTTGGGTTTTCTTGCAGTGAATTAACGTACCGAAGCTCTTCCTGTGATAAAGCAGGAAGATTTCTCGAGACAGTATACCACCCAAAACACCCGACGCCGTTCATTCTCATTGGGATTTGGGATAGTGCTTGTAATCTTGTTGTAACCCATGCTTTGGCTCAGTTTCGCTGCTTCCGTAACTAGCAATGATTCGAAATGATATGCGGACACAGTTGATGAGAAGATGGCCTGTCCACAAGGTTAGATGTCTTTCTCTAAGAATAGCAATCCTACTGAATCGGTGTACCATTGCAGTCAAAGCCTGCATTAATATTAGTCACAGAAAGTCTAAAGTGATATAGACCAAGAATATACCTGCACAGCCATCAATGACCCTTTCATCATCACAATGTCCGGAAAATAAGAAAGCGCAACTTCGAAGAGCTTCCATGCCTGCCCGCATCCCGGGTCGAAACTTCCACCATCATTGTATTGACAACCAATGGCCAAGACGGTATGATATAGTGCCGACCAAACTTCATCTACCGTCACCGAAGACTGTGACATGGGTTCGAATGCTCTCTTTTCAAAGGATTGTCGCTCTAGAAAGGGATATATTGGATGGACCTGTTCAAAGTATGCTGTGATTTTGCCCAGGTAAGCTACCACATTTAATAAACTGAGATTAATAGTTCTACATACACCTGATGTAGGAGGCTGTCAACGGCCCTGCGATAGAGGGTGGAACCCTATCTGATTGGCGCAAAGAGTACAACTGAGTCATTTGGCTTGGGCTTTTGTTCAACCTTGAGCTTAAAACTGAATCAATTCGATGCATTAATTGGTTCAGCTTTGTATGCCCGAGTCGACTGTTCAATGACCGAACTCTGCTGGTAGAAAAGAAGGACAGGTTGGAGCTGTGCCCAAAAATTTCTGTGAGCTAAGCAACAATCAGCTTGCAGCAAGAGGAAAACCAAATAGGAAAAAAGGGACTGTGAAATATTTGATGTTATTCCCTGGTTTTGGCCCACCTTGGTTGAAGAAGTTTCATTTTTATGAGCCGCAGGTGCTCGGCAATCTGCCAAAAGAAGATCAATGTAAAGCGGGGACAAGAACTGATGCTTGATTTGACCAATGTGAGAGGTTAAACATAGGTCTTTCCTGCCATAATGTGACCCTCCAGAGACAGTTTTCTCATTTCGATTTGCTCGTGAATCCTGACTAGTAGGGACATCACACGTCCCTGACAATGGAACAGGATTACGAGCTCCTACAGTCGAGCCTTGAGATTCACGTTAGCAATGCTGTACGACATTTTTGCATTCCACGAGAAAGAGTGTCATATCACCGACCGCCTTCAGGGATTATCTTTCGTTTCCGGGGCTGTTTAAGATAGCTGAAATGACATGGTGCATTTCGGGCCTATGATCATAGAACGAAATCTTAGCGTCAGCATGTCTCAGCATTACTTTAAAGATAAGATAATATTGGGGGTTTTACCACACAGTTACGACAGGGTGATTGAGCCTCAGCGCCAGATTCTAAGTAATATGGTATCAGTCTGGCTTTCTAAGGTCGCAGAAGTTTCGGCAACGAACGTACTGAGACAGCGGACTTTGCGAGCCTTACACTCGTCACATGTGCGGGCCACCTTTTTTGAGATAATATCCGTCATCTTTAGCCGGGCGAATAAGAGCTGATACTCACAAATTAATGATGAGAGGATGCAGTTGAAGCTGGAAACCGGAAACAGGGTCGGGGTTCTTCATATACCATTCTTAGCTTCGGCTCCGAACGGTTCGGCTCCGAAGACAAAAGCGACCTCTCATTGGCCAATTGATTTCCGAGAGCTTTTCTATATCGAGATCCGAAGTATCGAAATCTGAATTTTCTCGCAGCCACTATAAAACTACCATAATTTCTTGTATTGTGATTATCTTACTATCTATATAGTATATTTATCCAGGGGACGGACCTCGTTACTCGGAAAACTGGTTAGTCCACCAATATGCACTGTTCGGCACCGAATGATGGCCTAGTAAGGACTAATATGTAGAACGATGATGTCAAATAACCAAATTTCACGGAATGTGACTTCATATAAATAATAAAGCTATCCCTTGAAGCTATATCCGTATCTCTTACTCTCATTCATTGTCCTTCTGTCCTTCTTGGTAGCACACCTCTTTTCCTGATCATCGTCCCCGAAAATTTTCCTGTGCTGATTACATTCGTTTGCAAACACTTTGAACACATACAGAGACTTTCGTTCTTATATTTCTCCCTTCGATTTGTTATATCAAACCATTCCATTTTATTCTAATAGACTTGCACTAATCTTTACTTCATTTCGGCCGAGAATATGTCTGCAAATGAACATCCTGAAAAAGAGTTGTCAACCCCCCATGTCGATTACAGCGACGAAGAGAAGACGGTCAAAGACAACTCAATAAGCCCGTCGGTATTAACTGCGGTATCCGAAGAGAAATTGGACGGTGAACCCGGCGCCAGTGTTGCAAGGCTTGCAAGACAATTCACCAAGGAATCCATCAACCGTTCACGGTCAATTGCATCAATTAACAATAATAACCCCTTTATCTCTTCTGATATAACAGAGCTAGACCCAAACTCCCCAGATTTTAGTCCGATAAAATGGGTAAAGACTTGTCTTCAGGCGTCGGCTCGTGATCCAGAGAAGTACCCTTTGCGATCGTCCGGCATTGCTCATCGCAACCTAAACGCTTGGGGGGTTGGGTTGGATGTGAATTACCAAGCGGACGTTTTCAGCATCTTCCTACGTGGTGTTGACCTTGTGAGGAGTTGGATAGGGAGACGCGAGAGAAGAGTCCAAATCCTTCGAAATTTTGATGGTCTAGTGAAAAGTGGTGAAATGTTGCTGGTGCTTGGTCGCCCGGGAAGGTATGCATCGAGTAATGGAACTCGTCTTACATGGTATTTTTGACTAATATTTGAATCATATAGTGGTGTGTCAACCTATCTCAAGACTATTGCCGGAGAGACATACGGCTTTCATGTGAATCCAGAGTCGCAATTCAATTATCAGGGTAAGACTTTTTAGCATTTCCCCCGTTCCTCCCATCCATCAACCTCATCCTAACCGTTCTCTACTATCAGGTATCCCGTATGATATTATGCATTCGCGTTTCCGTGGTGAAGTCATCTATCAAGCAGAGACCGAGATTCATTTCCCGCAGTTGACCGTTGGTGAAACACTACTCTTTGCAGCATTGGCCAGAACACCACAAAACAGGTTTCCGGGTGTCACTCGCAAGCGACATGCTGAGCATTTAAAAGATGTGGTTATGGCAATGCTTGGCCTGTCTCACACTATGAACACCAAAGTGGGTAACGACTTCATCCGAGGTGTTAGCGGAGGCGAACGAAAGCGTGTGAGCATTGCCGAAGTCATGCTAAGTCAAAGTCCGTTGCAATGCTGGGACAATAGTACGCGGGGACTGGATAGTGCTACTGCTCTCGAATTCGTCAAGACTTTAAAACTAGCCACCAACCTAGGGAATACAACAGCTGTTGTGGCTATTTACCAAGCTTCTCAAGCAGCTTATGATGTACGTGAATTCACGAATATGATAAACCATCGATGGATTAACAAATATCGTCATTTTATTTAGATTTTTGACAAGGTCACTGTGCTCTACGAAGGAAGACAAATTTACTTCGGTCCTGCCAATTCTGCTAAAAAGTACTTCATCAACATGGGCTATCATTGCCCAGACCGACAGACGACCGCGGATTTTCTTACATCATTGACAAACCCGGAGGAGCGTATCGTTCGGCCAGGCTTCGAGAACAAGTTACCAAGAACTGCGCCAGAATTTGAAGCCGCCTGGTTGAAGAGTCCGGAGAGAGCACAATTGCTAGCAGAGATTGCTTCCTTTGAGAAGGAATTTCCATTGAAGGGACAACATTTTGAACAACTAAAGATGGCTCGAAAAGTTCAACAGGCTCCATTGTTGTGCGTTATGTATAAGCCGGATTAGTATACAGTTAGGAATCACTGACGATAGACTTCTAGGAGCGCCAAATCTCCGTATACAATCTCAGTGCCGATGCAGATCAGCCTTTGCATCACACGCGGCTTCCAAAGGCTTCGAGGTGATTTAACGTTTTTCTTCGCTACGATTTTTGGGAATTTGTTTATCTCGCTCGTTCTCGGAAGCGTTTTTTACAACCTTCCCCCAACGAGCGACAGTGTGAACAACCGATGCATCTTATTGTTCTTTGTTATCCTTTTCAATGCCTTGAGCAGCTCTCTTGAAGTATACAATTCCCTTCATCAAATACAGTTAACCATGACGTCTAACTCTGAAACATCTAAATAGGTTCTTACACTCTATGTCCAAAGACCAGTTGTGGAAAAGCATGCCAAATACGCTCTTTATCATCCTTTCTCCGAAGCCGCCGCATCGATGATATGTGATCTGCCCTGCAAAATAATCTCGACTGTATGCTTCAATGTTCCGGTTTATTTCATGTCAGATTTACGGCGTGAAGCAGGGGCATTTTTCACTTTTCTTCTTCTCAGTTTTACGTGCACCCTGACCATGTCGTCGATTTTCCGCACAATCGGACAATCATCGCGAACTATTGCTCAAGCGCTCACCCCGGCGGCTATATTCGTCATAATTCTTATAGTCTATACTGGATTTGTCCTTCCAACATCCGTTATGCAAGGCTGGTTACGGTGGATTAATTACCTCGATCCAATCGCTTATGCGTATGAAAGCCTGCTCGTGAATGAGTTTCACAACAGACAATTTGATTGCCTTCAGTTTATCCCAATGGGCCCTGGTTATGAGAACTTGACGAAAAACGAGAAAATCTGCGCAACTCCCGGAGGTCTTCCAGGGCAGAGTTTTGTGAATGGTGATTTGTACATCGACGGTAGTTTCGGATACAAGCATTCGCATTTATGGAGGTAAGTTTATTCATGCCGTTCTTGGCTGCTGAGACAAATACATACAGAATCGTACAACCAGGCTTATTAACATGAATAATTTATAGGAATTTCGGAATTCTGGTTGCGTACATTTTCTTCTTCACAGTTGTATACTTCCTCGCTGCCGAGTATATTCCTTCCAGTCGCTCTAAGGGAGAGATCCTCGTTTTCCGTCATGGGAAAAATGCCGCCCCAAAGGGTATTGCGCAGCCAGACGATATAGAGAACGCAAGTTATAGTCGTGTATCTTACGGTGTAATTCAGCGGCACGAAGACAAGGAGAATAGTGCCACAATTCAAAAACAGACTGCCGTATTCCATTGGAGAGATGTGTGCTACGATGTTCAAATTAAAGGTGAAACTAGGAGGATTCTCGATCACGTCGACGGTTGGGTGAAGCCAGGTACTTTAACAGCGCTGATGGTGAGTTATATAAACCACAGGATCTGGGATTTAATTAACATTTTTCCTATGTGATAGGGTGCAACCGGTGCTGGGAAAACGACCCTTCTAAATGTTCTCGCAAGCCGTATCACAGTTGGTGTTGTTACTGGGAACGTATTCGTAAATGGCTTGCCGCGAGATAAATCGTTCCAACGAAAGACGGGATACGTGCAACAGCAAGACGTTCATCTTGAGGTTTCAACTGTTCGGGAGGCGCTTGAATTCAGTGCTCTCTTACGTCAACCCCCAAAGTACACTAGAGAAGAAAAACTAGCGTATGTGGATGAAGTCGTTAAGCTTCTTGATATGGAAGCTTATGTGGATGCTATTGTTGGTGTTGTTGGCGAAGGTACGATACAACCCATAATCCGGTCCTTGTAAACCCGAGAAGCTGAAAGTCTACTAGGACTCAATGTGGAACAACGGAAACGTCTCAGCATTGGTGTTGAGCTCGCTGCCAGACCCGAGTTACTTCTATTCCTAGACGAGCCAACATCCGGTCTTGATAGTCAGACAGCATGGTCAGTCACCTCGCTAATTAAAAAGCTTTCTGATAACGGGCAAGCAATTCTATGCACCATTCATCAACCATCTGCCATGCTATTTCAACAGTTTGATCGCCTACTTTTACTCGCGAAAGGGGGTAAAACGGTGTATTTCGGCGATATTGGTGAGAATTCGAAGGACTTAGTTGGATATTTTGAGAAATACGGCTCGCACCCATGCGGAAAAGATGAAAACCCGGCGGAATGGATGCTAAGAGTAATTGGTGCGGCACCTGGCGCTGTAGCTGAGCAAGACTGGGCGAATACATGGCGCACTAGCACCGAATGCGCTGAAATTCACAGAGAGCTCTCCATGCTGGAAGAGGAGCGACTGTCGGAGGGGTCACAAGAAGAACCGGCACCAAATGACGAGACATCTCAGTCAACAGCGTATGCAGCAAGCTTGTATGACCAGCTCGTCTTGTGTACTAAGCGAGTGTTTGAACAATACTGGAGGACTCCGTCATATATCTATTCGAAATTGATCCTATGTTTCGGGACCGTAAGTTAAATACTCCACGTCCCATCACATTTCTACCGAAGAGGATTGTCTGGTTATGGTGATCACTGGCTTACGTATTTTCACAGAGCTTGATCATTGGTGTCTCGTTTTACAAAGCCGAGAACACAGTGCAGGGCTTGCAAGATCAGATGTTCGCCATCTTCATGCTGATTGTGATATTCGCCTTTCTCGTCTACCAGATCATGCCCAACTTCATTCTGCAGCGCGACTTGTATGAAGTTCGTGAGCGTCCCTCCAAGACGTATGCATGGTATGTATTCATGCTCTCGAACATCATTGTCGAGCTGCCTTGGAACACGCTCGCTGCTCTGTTGATCTATTTCCCCTTTTATTATCTGGTGGGTTTGTACCGGAATGCTGAACCAACGGACGCTGTTCATCAACGCGGCGGCTTGATGTTTCTTTTGACTTGGTCTTTCATGATGATGGCTGGAACCTTTTCCCATATGATTGTTGCTGGTCTTCCGACGGCGGAGGTAGGGGCGGTTATTGCCCTGGTTCTTTTTGCCTTCAGCCTGATATTTTGTGGGTAAGTTATCATTGCCTCGATCCAATAAAACCCCCAACGTAATTGCAGTTGAAGTTGACTTGAAATTAGTGTCTTAGCAACTCCTGCTGCATTACCCGGATTCTGGATATTCATGTACCGCGTGTCTCCATTTACATATCTCATAAGCGGGCTCCTCTCAACGAGTCTAGCCAACGCTGACGTCCAATGTGCCTCCTTCGAAATCCGTACCATCCTACAACCACCATCCGGAGAAACCTGTGGACAGTACTTGGCGGAATACATGAGCTTCGCAGGCGGTGCCGTCTACAACCCGGATGCAACCGAAAACTGCCAGTTCTGTAGTCTTGCGAACACAGATGAATTCCTCGCCTCGGTTGATGTGTTTTTTAGCGATGCGTGGCGAAATTACGGTTTAATGTGGGTGTATATCATTTTCAATGTGATTGCGGCGGTGGGACTGTATTGGGTTTTGAGAGTGCCTAAGAATGGGAACACTATGCTCTCGGTAAAATCGCTTGTTGGCACCTCATATATGTCAAAATTTCTGGGGTTAGGACGTTAATCACATTTTGACTGAGTTGTCAAGATGGTCTCTAGAACTGGGTGGTTGCAAGCCGCCAAGAATCACCAATGCTAATCCGTAGATATGCGAGCCTGCGAGATTTTTGTTCCTTTGGTTAGTCCAGAATTAGCATCTATTTCTTTATTAAGCTTAATATCCATTTTAATTTTTAAATAGAAATAAAAGAATTTCTAGATATTTTGGGCAAAAAATTTAAAAATTTTAGATCTCTGAAAAATACTTAGCGACTCTAGTAATTTATTAGTAAAGGGGGTATTTTGTCAGGCCCCCAGAAATTTGTCAAACCTGACAAAAAATCGTGTTTATGTCAGAGACCCACCCTGACATGACCATTCCCTAGGCTGATAAGCCCACTTTTCCACTCCCCCTCTCCATTTTTTTCTTTGCCCCTCGGCGAATCTGAAGCCTTCAGTTGTCGCGAATTTGCTTTTTTATACAACAGCGCAATCTAGCAAAGATGGGCGGCCAAGGAAGAGAAGGTTAGAGCAGGTTCTGGCCTTTTTTGCTACCGGGTTACTAACTACTGTTTCTTCGGCAGGCGGCAAAGTCAAGCCCCTCAAGGCTGCTAAGAAGGAAAAGAAGGAGCTGGACGAGGATGAGCTTGCCTACAAGGAGAAGCTGAAGGCGGGTCAGTTCACAGTCACAAACTAGATGGAATAAGGGAAAAGCAAATGCTGACGCTCGTCCAAATAGATGCCAAGGCTAAGAAGGACATGCTTGACAAGGCCAAAGGCAAGGGCCCGTTGAACACCGGCTCCCAGGGCATCAAGAAGTCCGGCAAGAAATAATCGATTCGATCGCGATCATTGGCGGCTTCTACCTCGATATCAACCATACCAAGCACAAACGTACCGGCGTTCGGGTTTTCGATTAAATGGCCTTGGATTAGGTTGGGAACGCTGGTTCATTTTCCAGCAAAGGATTAGGGTTTTATACGTGTATCAACTTCTCATGCGTGCAGACTTTATGATGTCAAGACCAAGTACATACAATGCTGCAATGCACAAATACAATAATGATTTCTCAAAATTTTTAATCACAAAAGATGGGTATCACGACTCAAATAACGCCACGCTTGACGAGCAAAGGCAGCCAACCACAGGAACAGACTGAGTAGTATTAGATCGGAATCTGACCGCTTGCATGGAAACAAAAAAACAACAAAATGCCATTATCAACCTTGATAAGCCAGAAATCAGGTCACGGGCCAAATATCGAAACGCTTCACATACAAGGCAACAACCAAATTGCAAGGAAAGAGCATTTAGTTGGTAATGCTTTTCACCCACAGAGAGCTATGCTCATAGGCATCTGCACTTTCCAGCTTCCTGTAAGCCCGGCTTAGTTTCACGCCTATGTCATGCTCTTCTTTTGTGATTTCAGCTAGCTCATTGTTCAGAGAGATGACCGACTTCTTGACTTCGTCGCGAGTAGCCATATCATATGCAATCGAACTCGGCTGGATGACCTGGGTCAATTCATGAAGCATAGTCTTAACGCTCGCTTTGCGCTTGGAGAGTTCGTTGGACCGAAGCTGGAAGCTATTGATGCGATATTGTGCTCGGTCATGAGGGGTCATGTTTTTAAGATCGACCTCTGGAGGTGGTGATTCTGACCCAACTGGCTTTCGCTTCATACTCTTTACAGAAGCCGCAGAGCTTGGAACAGGTCGGCGTCTTGTCATGATAGGAGATGGTGGAATGGCTGGCACGGGCGGGGTGTCAGAGCCAGCGCTACCTGGTGGAGTGGTGGCAATTTCAGTTGGTGCATAAGTTGAAGAACTGAAACGACTACGCGGCTCATCGATGAGATTCAAGTCTTCGAGCACGGTAGATAAGTCTTTCGGGGTCTCCGGTAAGAGATCTCTTTTGTCATTGGTTGGTGTTTGGCTACCACTCTCGTTGTCGTAATCTGGACTTAAACGTGGAGTATGGCTTGTCTTTGACGAAATCTCTGGAATTGTCTCCTTGGCGTAATCTGGACTTGCACGTGGACTGTGACCTAGCTTCGCCGAAGTCTGTGGAATTTGCTCCTCTGCGAGAGGTGGGCTGCTTAAATTTAATTTGGATTTGGATTGACGCACTTTCTTAGAAGACTTGTCGTTCGTAGGGTTTCCAGCAGTAATGGTGGTCACCATGTAGGTATCGGAACTATAATTGACAAAATCATGGCCCATACTTGGAGAGTTAGAGCGAGACCGGTCTTTCTTTGCCCGTAAGCTGGTTTCGATTGGGCTCATAAGAGGAGCACGACCACTAGCACCCTTCCACTGTTCACGGTTCTGTCGAGGCGGGCGTTGCTTTGGCTCCCAAGTTTTGGAGAAACTCTGGAGCTTCTCTTTTCCAGAGTGAAGCAGATGAGAAGCCTGATGTTGCTTGGATCTCTGTTTAGCCGGCTGAAGCAGAGCAGGACCACCCACGGGTTCTTGTTGTGTGCTTGCCTTTCGCATGGCTGGTTTGGTCTTCAGATCGGCTCCCGCTGATGCACCAGGGGAATTTTCCTTCAACAGGGCGCCATGACTGTGTCTACGAGAAACTGGTATCTGACTTAGTTTCTTGGTGGGAGGGCTAGCGAAGAAGTGGCCGCCATCGTCGGCAATGGGAGACACGTCGTGGATCGAATAATGGTCCTTTGTCGCGTCGATAGGCGAGTCTGGCGGAGAGATGTCAGGGTCTTCGCCATATCGAGAATATTCCTGATAATCGTGGATTGGGGACAGTGGTGCGCGGGGAGCATCCGAATCGTTGGCCGTTCTGTATTGATTTATAAGTATGTACTCTTGCTTGAGGATCTTGACGAGCATTACATTGGTAGAGCTGGTAGGTCCTTTGAGATATTCTGCGGCGGATCTGGACTCTTCGAGATCGTCTCTTGGGGGGAGCTGCCTCGAGTTGTTCCAATGAGAGAGGGGCCGCTGATACTGCGGTCACGGTCACGGCCGCGGGTTTTGTTTTTCTTTGCCCACATCTAGCCTGGTTGTTTACCTGAGGACAGTCAGTGTGGGGATTGGTCTCGATAATGAGATATACTGACCGCTGCCTTGCAAGAAATCGTCGTTTGTTTGCCAAACGTGGGCGGGCTTAGAGTCACAACGGCGAGGCAATGCTGATGACACAAGATGGTCAATAGCAGCGGCCACCAGACTCGCAGGACCAAGAAATAAAGCAGGTATTAAGGCCAGTATTTATGGACATACGCGACAGCTCGAGCACATTTAGCATCGCAGAGCGATAGCAAGGGTGTCAAGTGTCAACACGAGCAAGCGCCGCGGGGGCCGTTTTGATTAAGTGGTCGGTAGCGCCCGGAGATGCAGCAAATTGACGTTTCAGGTTTCCTTCCAATTAACGACAAGTAGAGCAGTTCTTTTTCGTTTCCTTTTCCTTTTTTCTTTCTTTTCTGCATGTGAACCGTTTAATCTCCGACCCATGCGTTTATTGCTTATGGTTTTGTTTTATTCATTTGACAGTCTCCCTTTAATTTTCTTGTATCAAGTGCAATAATAATTCCCAGACCCACCAATACGACATCAAGCAGTAATCGTATAGGGCCGCAGCGGGTTAGAATGCAAGGTTTATCTGCTGGAGCCTAATGCCATGATGTTGGGTTGGTGTGATTACAAGAATAGACACAGCCCACATCTTGTCCCCAACAGTGACGCTGTGTACACGCAGGAAGGCCCCCAAAGAATCCTATTGCAAACTCAATTTACACCGCAAGGCCAAAGCTGGCCAATTTAAGCTGTCGGCTCCCGTGAGCGAAAACTCATCTGGCGCCTTTGGAAGGCATTCGGAGGTTATGTATTTGTACTATGCAGTATCAAAGGATCGAACTAAAGTGAGGCGATCACGTGACACCCCACCAACTGTTGTAAAATACAGGACTTGGAGAGCTGCTAGAGACCTCAAATGCCAGTAATGAAATAATATTATTAAATCATAGTGTTCTTTATTTATTTAATCGGATTAACGTATTTGCTGTTCAATACTGAGACTCCCCAAACGGGACTAGTGTCGATGCCCGTGGAATCGGGCCGTAGCTTTATCCTGTATCAATCAACAGTCCTATCACTAATCGCTTCATCATTCTCGATCGACCAAAGTTGGGCCCTATATCGGAAACTTTTATACGGAAACTCCAGTCTGAGAGTATACTCTGGCAACCATGGAATCAGGTTCCTACCGCCACCCAAGCATCTATCATCCTGGCTGGTCTTGCTGACATGTTATCCAGAGTTCGCCGATGTGCCGCCTCCGGCCGAGGCGTGAGTACTATTCCATCTGGACTCTATCCACCACAAGCTAAATGTGCTTCAGACTGCCAATCGCCACACCAATAAACCTCATCCTTCTATCCCTTTTCATCGTCATCGTATACCTGCAGTTCCGACCCAAAGCCGCCGTGAGCTTGCCTCGAGGCCCCGCTCCCGTCGTCTTCCGCACCTTCACACCTTCCACATTGCTCCCATTCAATGGTATCGATGGTGCACCTGTGTACTTGGCTGTGCGAGGCCGAGTGTTTGATGTGACCCCTGGTCGGAACTTTTACGGACCGGTACGAATCCTGCGTTTATATCATCCTTCGAGTATGTTTAATAAAATTTGAATAGGGCGGTCCTTACGAGAACTTTGCCGGCCGTGATGCCTCCCGTGGCCTTGCACACCAGAGCTTTGACAGAGAAATGCTCACCGAAGATCTTAAAGGCCCGCTCGATGACCTCAAGGACCTCGAGGCCGAACAATTAGAGAACTTGGAAGGATGGGAAGAACGTTTCCTTGAGAAGTACTTGGTTGTCGGCAAGCTTGTTGCCGAGGGTGATCCTGAGGCTCCAAAGGCTTGAACTTGTGCTGATAATTTTGCAAATCCGGTTCGGCCTACTCCGCTTACGGACAACTTCGAGGCATCTCCCGTTTAGGAAGCTAATGGACTTTATTCTGGACTGTGATCTTTCTCGTTAGCTCGGTTTCCGGCTTATGCCCTGCTAGATTGTTTCATTGGTGCATTTGATATTGGATGTTAAAAACAAAACTCTTACGTATTTCAACTGTCAGCAATGAGAAAATGTCGATGCCCAGGTGACAAATGATGAACCCCTTAATTTTACTGATGAGCAATTTCTTGCCATTGTCAGCTAAGGTTTAGTTGTACTCAATAAAATTTGAAGGCGCAGCGCTTCAACCATGATATATTCGTCCACTGGTAGTAATTTGTGTTGATTTTCACATGCCAATATTTGCACCCCCTGAATCATTCGAAATTTCCAAAACAAACAAGCAACAAAACTCAATACTGTGATTTTGAACCAAATGCATTCAAAACCTACACACTTTAAGCGCCAAAAAATGCACTCCTCTAGCTGCCCATTCTAGAATTGTTTCGACCTGCATCAATGCCACACGTGCCTATCGAAACTTCCAGGAAGCAAAATACGAAGACCATCAGAAAGACCTTCCTTCATAGAGAGAGTTTCATGATGCATATAAAAAGAATCAATTGCCCACAGAAAAACCATAACAGCAACATCCGTACGAGCAGTACGAGCGTCATTCAAAAACACCCAATCGATACCCCTGGCTAGATCTTCCTGGTCAAGCATATACCACATCTTCCGAAGACAATGGTCTTGAACAATCCAGAAAATAGCCCAGAAATCATAAAATGAATAGAAGAGAGCCGACATGCTATTGAAATTCCTCTGGAGTCGGCAATACGTGGTGTAGTTTAGACTACCGAGGAGACTGAGCTCGAAGATTGACTGGACATTGCGAAAGACCCTGATGCTTCCTGTATCTCTTGCCTCAGAGGTGTCTATGGGTCTGAAGTTCCTAATATAAAGGTTGATGTTTGGTACCCCGTCCCATGTTGTGTAGAAGACTTGGCTGGTCGGTTCTATGGCCAGAGAGAGGGGGCTGAGAGGGCCACCGCCCCTGGTTCGCCAATCGCGATAGTCGTTATTGGCTAGCGGTCCTGGTTCTGGCATGGTGTTTTTCTTTCCTTAATTTCAACGACATGTGCGGTAGGTATTGCAGGATAGGGAACTGGGAAAAGAAAATAGTAGAACTGTAATAGCATCCTAGAAAAGGATAGAAAAGGAAGCACCAAGAAATAGCAAATAAATACCAGTATATTTGATATAAGAGAAAAGGAAGATCCCAGATGTTATGGTCTGATAATATTGGCGGTAGATTGCTATTTACTAAGCCGGCAAACACCGATAATCAATCGAAGTAGAATTGTTGGAGATTGCCAACGAGTTTTCAAGTCTTTCCCAAGCCCCAGTTATTAGTAAGTCAGTTCTTATCCAATATTTGCTTGTCATAAAGAGGAAGTTGGGAATTGTATATCGTTGATGTTTGAATAGTCAATATGGATGGTGAGCTCAGCAGTTGTTTTCTGAGTTTGCCCTAAAAGACGGAGTTACCTAAAATGGCAGGTAAAGTGCTCAACCTAGAATTGTATGCTTACGCCACTATATCATTGGGCAAGATTTAAGGGTTAGGGTTTATTGGAAGTGTGCCTCAGGTGTTTATTTCTAAACCACGTTATTGACGCACTTCTTACGACAACCTGAGGCAGGTGGATTTGATAGGACTAGTCCCTTTTGGCAATACCTTAGCCCGTTTCTTATTTCTGTTTCTCATTTCTAATTGAATCGAAGCTTCCTATCTAAGAGCAGGCTTTATAGCGTTTCTTTTCGTCCTAACCCTATACCCAGCTGCTCGAATATTCCTACCAATCTTGCCTCAAGTCCCAATAAAAGCCTGTTTCCACTTAAGAGCATCATCCTCATCACTCACCATGACTTATGTTATAACCAAAATTCTTCTGTTTTCTGATACACACGGACAGGAGCTAACTCCAAGACCCATAGATGAAAAGGTCGACGTCGCCATCCACTGCGGAGATCTCACCGAAGAGTCTAAGCTAGACGAATTCAAACCAACACTACGATATCTTCAACAGCTGAAAGCAGACTTGAAGTTGGTCATTGCCGGAAACCATGACTTCACCCTCGACACCCCAGCCTTTCGCAAACTAATAAAGAATGCGAAGCCCCCATTAGAGCCAGAACTTGTGCAAAAGACCTACGGTGATTATGGAGAAGCGAGAAGACTGATTGAAAGTATGAAGCCGGACAATATAATATTTCTCGATGAAGGCTCATATGAATTCACTCTTCGCAACGGCGCGTTGATGAGAGTATATGCTAGTCCGTTCACTCCATCGTTGAGTGGTGATTGGGGGTTCCAGTATGACCCAAAGGAGGGCCATGAATTTACGATACCGAAAAATACCGACGTGGTAATAACCCACGGGCCGCCACTGGGGGTTCTTGACTATACGTGCTCGCGCAGCAGGGCGGGTTGTCCGGCGTTATTCCAGGCTGTGGCTCGCGTGAAGCCTCGTCTTCATTGCTTTGGACATATTCACGAAGGCTGGGGAGCTAAGCGAGTAGCTTGGAGGGAAAAGCTTACCCCGATGCCATCGCATTTGACTGATATTGATAATTCGAAATCAAGAGTGTTAGGGACTGTTTCACAGCTGAATAGTGCGCGTAAAAATTGTGAGTTGTCTTGTTACTTTGCTGACTGCTTTGCGCCTGAACCGGATCAACAGACTTTGTTTGTTAACGCTGCAATACAAGGTATCGAATCGAATCAAGTATCCTGGGTTGTTGAGATTCCTCTCTCAAAGGTGTGAAGTACCATTTATTAGGTAGTTTAGATGCATTGTGCCAATACAATTGGAGTATTCACGAGAAGCTTATCTGGTGTGTATTGATGGTAATTCATTAGAAATGTTTTGTTATTCCAGATTGCTAATTTAATTCGTATTGAAAAAGGAAATTTGAACATGGACGAAGATCAACCAGATTAGAGAGCAGACTAAACGCCATTCCCAGGTCATCGTATTCGTGAGTCATCACTCCTTCACCCCTCACTTGTTTTCAACGTTTTCAGTTAAGAGTCCAATGTAGATGAGCTAAAATTTACAGTTCCGACCGGATCTTTCCAGCGGCCTCGGTAGCCTTGGCCTTTGCTGATTCGGCAGCATCGTGGCCCTGTGCCTGACCCCTGGCAGCGCCAATCTTTAGTTGCTCAAGGACCCAGTTGTAACCCTCTTTAACCCTGGCAAAGATGGTGTCGAGTGGTGTGGTGGTTCCATAGCGGAAATACTGAGCATTACGACGTACAGCAGCGCGGATTTCATTTAGAGTAGATCCCTGGTAGGTTGAAATACCGTACGAGTCGAGGTACCTCTTCAATTCAGATTCAGACCATTGGTCAAAGGTGTCCTTCTTGGCCGCGCTGGTGGATTTGGCGAGGTACGAAGTAGCAGAGGCATAGTGGTCACCGCCGGCTTTAGATGCTTTAGCATATTGCTCTTGGGCATGCTTGAGAAGCTCTTCGCGAGAAGCGTCGGCTTTCTTTGCTGCCTTGTGGTTGATAGAAGCAAGATATTTTCTGTGACAATCTTAGTAACCAAGTTTATAGAAGTCAACGACAAAGACTCACTGCAAGTCATCGGTAGTCCAAGTGTCAAAAGTCCAAGCGGTATTACCAGTCGCAGCCTTGTGCTTGTAAAGACGGACCTTGGCGAGAAGCTCATCACGCTTGGAATGCTGGGGAATAGGAATACCACGGGCATCGAGATAAGCCTTCAAGCGTGAATCTGACCATTTAGCCACGGTAGCATCAAATGCGTCCTCTGCCTTGAGCTGAGCATCATCGGTAGCCCGAGCCCATTCATTGCCGGCCTTTGAGGTTGCTGCACCAAAAGCACTGGCCGCAGAGGTGGAGAGCGAAGAAGCTTCATCAACAAGATATTTACGGTGTTTACGAGCCAGAGCAATGAGCTCATTACGCTTGGACCCTTGAGGGACCTTGATGCCGTGCTCATCGAAGAACTCCTTCAATTGAGAGTCAGACCAGGCGTTGAAGAGTGCTTCGCTGAGGCTAGACTGAGCAGCAGCAGCGGAGGCAGCCGCAGAAGCAGCAGCTTGCCTGTAAGCGAGACCGGCAAGGCGCGACTGACGTCGAACAGCAGCAATAAGACGATCACGGGTGGTCGGCTGAGGAGCCGGCCAACCACGTTCGTCAAGCCATTCTTTGAGATCCGACTCGGACCATTGTGCATAGAGCCAGTTCCCCGGATAAGCGGCGGTTTCGCCAAGCTTCTTCGCCACAGTGTCGTAGTTCTCACGCGCAGCACGGAGAAGGGTGTCGCGCTTGCGTGGCTGAGGGGCGGGAATACCATGGTGGTCAAGGAACGACTTGAGATGGGACTCTGACCAGCTACAGAGGTCAGATGGAGGTGAAGTCATAAGCTAAAGATGAACAATTACCTATCAAAAATCCAATCTTTCACATTACTCAGATGCTCCGATGCGGAATCGGACGTCTCAGCGAGAGGAACTTGCACTTTGTCGTGCCAGTTGGCCTTGACTATCTTTTCCAGATCCTTGCGATCAGCAGGAGTGGGATAAGGGATGTCTGGAGGAGCTGTTAGCAGGGCTTATGATATGACGTAAGAGGGATATTGTTTACCATGATCAGAAAGCCATCGCTCCAGCTCGGTCTCATGCCATTTATTGTAGACTAAGGCCGCTGTTAGAGAGCGCGCCAAGTGCACAATCTGCAAAAGCAGGCTTACTAGACTTGCTAAACCAGGTGCTTGCACCGACTGCTTCAGATGCAGCGAGCACGACCAGCAGGCTGGCGGCCCAATTGAATCGCATGGTGAAGGTGTGTGGTGTGTTCTGGGGGGAAACGCGTAAAGACGTCCACTGAGAGCAATTAAACCAAAGTTCTTCTGTGGGAAGAGAAGAACAATCTCAGCAGAATAACTCGAATAACTCGAGTAAATCCACGGGGTATCAAATAATCGAGTGATGTGCGGCGGAGAGCAGGTCAGGGAGTGGTAGAAAATATAAGGAGCAGCCGGGTGCAAGGGATGATGAGCGGTGACGTCAACCCGGGGGAGCTCCCTGCGGCCCACTCGCTCTCCATGACGTGTAAATACCAAGTACATCAGTTGATATGTGCTAACCAAGTTGTGTGTACTCTCGTGACATGTCATAGAATTGTCCTCTAGTGTTAATGTTTACTACTTTTCTATCTAAAGCCGATGGCTTGTATCTACGATGGATCATTGGCATTAGCTACACAAAAAGCACCATTCCAGTCGACTGCGCCAGGACCAGCCACATTGCCGCCGCCTGGACTGTAGTTGCAACTCCCGATAGCGACTGCGTTTGTTCCGTGCCGGGGAAGCGACATCGACTGAAGACGGGCCCAAGTATCAGTCGCAACATTATAAGCCTCGGTGGCGTTATATACCCCGTTGGGGATCAGGTCAGGATTTCCCTCGCCGCCAAAGGTGTAAATAACGCCATCGATATAGCTCGTCGCCAAGCCGCCGCGAGCAGTCGGCATTGGCGCCTTCTCAACCCATCGGGCCTCGCCACTATCAGGTCTGTCCAAGTCCAGCGCGAAGGTCGTGTTGCGGACATTGTAGTTTCCATTCACGCGCCCCCCGACGACATAGAATGTGCCGTCGATTACTGCTCCCCCGACATGGTCTCGCGCTTCTGGAAGATCCGGCAGGGTGTCCCATTTCTGAATATCTATGTTGTAGGTCGTCACTGTAGCAACGCTGATTTGAAACGTCGTGGTTAGGTTCGTTAAAATAACACCGCCTCCAAGATAGATATTTGACCCTCGTACCCCTAGAGCGGACGCGCCGCGTGCCTGATCAGCAGGCATTGATGGCAACGTAGTCCAGACATCTGCCTTAGGGTCGTATTCATAGCAGTCTGGTATTGCCTTCCAGTAATTGTCCCCGGTCATGCCGCCTAGGACATAGATTTTCCCATTCACCCCAACAGCATTGGCATGGTTCATTGGCGTAGGAATAGGGGCAATAACACGCCAGGTATCATCCTTCGTCGAGTAGGCATCGGCCCAATCTAGACTGGGCACAGTAGTCGGGTTTGCTGGCACGCGTGGGACGCCGCCAATGATATAGACATCATCACCTGCAAAAGCCACACCGTGTTCTTGACGAGGTCCTCGAGCAATAGGTGCCAGCTCGACCCATCCTTTTTGCTGTGAGATGTACGAAAGACTGGCTGCATAGGTACAAGTGAAAGCCAACGCTAGGCAGACCAACCCAGAAGAAAACGTCATCGTGGTTCAACCTCTAGCAATATCATTCTCGTCACTGGAAATGTTCAATTTGGCAGCGCGTAATTTTTGTCTCGACCCAATGCGGCAACTCACAGGCCGGATCTGGAAGGTACTTTTTGGGTGGATTTGTAGATCGTGTTTTCTGGAATAAAGGGCGACATTATCGTCAACATTAATATCATAGTGAATGGCAAACTGAGTTTTCTGATCCTTTATGTGAGCAGTCAGCTATTATATGCCAAGCATTGCTCTGCAGCCCACTGGTCAATAGCGTGGTGGAGCTGTGATCCCGTCGATCATGGCACCAATACTTGACCTCAATTGAACAAACAAGAGCAGCAGCGGAGGGTTTCATAATTGAAATCCTGGCAGTGAAAGCAGAGTTAGAAAGGGGTTATCCGTTTGCAATTCCATCTTCCCTGTGAAGAGAAAAAAAAGGGAAACCAGCGGACGGATCAGACGTAAAGGAAGAGGAATGACCCTGTCACGGGATGCGAGATCATGCCCGCAACTTAATGGCGATCTATCTTATCGTAGTTGACGCGTCTAACTTAACCACCACGTTCCGCCCGCCCGCTTGAGCTGGTGTTCTGGAGTATCGCAGCTCGTGTCGACATCCTCATATTCATACCAGTACGCCACTTGCTACAGCAGAAAGTCTTTAGCATGGACTCCGTGTCCCCGCAGTGCCGAGAGCTCGTCCTGCCGCCCGGCTTCAACTTCAGCTTCGTCCTATCGCTGTTAGTAGAATCTAGAGCCTCCCCTCACACCCCGAACTAATTGTTATGGATAGTTTGATCCTGATTGGGATTTTGCTCTCCTACATTCCTCAGCACATCCGCATCATCCGGCTCCGGAGCTCCTTCGGCATATCGCCCTTGTTCGTCTTGCTGGGGGCAACCTCGGGAACATCTGCATTTGCGAATGTTTTGACCCTTCCAGAGAGTGCTCGTGATGTCGCCTGTTGCCGGGAGATCTCTGGAGTATCCTGTTTGGCCGGCCTGCTGGGTATATTCCAGATTGGAGTGCAGTGCTTTTGTTTTTGGGTGATGTACGTCCTCTCTTAAGCTTGCTCCTGATATTAAGGTGACAGCTGATGAAATGATGCATGGCAGTCTTCTTCTCTTCCTCGTATACTTTCCCCGCGCAACCTCCACTACAGACCCTACAGCCTCTGCATCCCCAGCCGCCGCATCCCCAGCCGAAGGAGCTCAAACCAGCGACCGCGATGAACTACCCTCCTACCGCTCCGCCGTCTTCGTGACTATTATCTGCATTGTCCACGCCGCCGTGATCTTGGTCATGTCGATTGTCTTTGCAGCTACACAACCGAACCATCTTAAAGCATGGGCGAACGTTCTAGGAGTCATGGCCGCAATACTCGCATCGATTCAATACCTCCCCCAAATCTGGACAACGTTTCGGCTTCAAAAGGTTGGCAGTCTCAGTATTCCGATGATGTGCATTCAAACACCGGGGAGTCTGGTATTTGTGGCGAGTCTGGCACACAGATACGGGGCAGAAGGATGGAGCGCATGGGGTGTGTACGCTGTGACGGCAATCTTGCAGGGCACATTACTTGTTATGGGAATTTCCTTCGAATATCTGGGACCAAACAAGGATATCATCCAAGAGCCGTTCAATCCTGACCATTCGACTGTTGACCAGTCATCGACTGCAGGAGAGGAAGAAAGAGAACGACCATCAGAGTCTACGCCTCTTCTCCAAACCCAACAATAAGAGCTATTCAATACATGTATATACCCCTAATACATAATACAGACACAATCTATCCATTCCAAAAAATAAAAAACAAAAACAGACAACTCAACTGCTCCCCCCTTTTTGATCATTTCTTAACGCATTATCCCCCTGCCAAATCCCCCTATTATGCGTCCCTTCGTCTGCAATCTGATTGTACGCACGATCATACCTACCCTCCATCTCCTTATTATGCCGTCTCACATCCTCCGGCACATCCTCCTTGACACGGCCTTGGGCATCGATATTCGGCGACTCTGAGCCACTAGTTATTGTCGGCTTTGCGCCCGTCGACGTCGTCCCCTCTGCCACTGCCGCGACTGCTTCGTCGCGCTGCTTCTGTTGGTGTCTTTCGCGCCGTTCCCGGTCTGCGTCTATCTGTTGCTCGCTGGGCGGTGCGACCGATGGTTTTCTGGTATCTGGGGGTGGAGGGCCTATCAATTGTCTTAGCTATGACCATAGATCACAATAAGACTATTATTGAAGCGTAAAACATGAAGAAATGGCAGGGCAGATCTAACCTGGATGTTCCAACTCGCGACTCGCAGGCGACGCGGGCAAATCTTTGACGCTAGGTTTTTCACCTTGGCGATTGCTGCTGGTGTCGCTAAAATACCGGTGGGTAAATCGTAGACATGAGACTCTGGGGTTTGCTGGTGGTATTGGGAGAGAGAGAAAGGTGGGAGCTGTGGTGCGAAGGATGTTGAGACTGATGGTGGATCGGGATAGACGTAGAGTTGGATGCATTTTGACTACGAGTATCTTCTTTTTGAATTTTGAAAGATATAAATTGAATGTAGTAGAGTGGATTGTATTTCACGGCAGTAGTCAATGGTTAAGGGTACATTTGACAGCACTGCTGTGGTGGCGATGGCTGAGATCTGACGTTGACAGACAGAACTGCTGCGAAAATACTATGAATTTAGATTAATAATAGTTCCGCCTTGCAAACGCATACTTAAATACGGACAATCTTCTTCGACAGTTAATCCGGTGAGCGGCGATTGACCGTGGTAGAGATCGCTGAATGATTTCATGATGGTTGAGATGGTGGAAGCGATGACGTAGAAGCTTGTCATACCCTCTAACAAACTTGAAAGGTACAGATTCATCGCGCGATTGAGGATGAGAACAATAAATAATTGTATGAACCAGAACCCTATTAATAGAAGCGACTAATATTGCCTGTTCCTCCCCCTCAACGCCGTTAATAACAAGCCCTCGGCCTACCCTGTCTTGCAATACATGGTACAGTTACAGACGCCTAATATATGAAAGAAAAAACGAAAAAAATAATAATAATGAATCGCTGCTGCTGCCAAGTAAAGGTCGAGATGAGAACAATGTACACCAAAAATGTCGACATCGAACGGCCGGGGAATCGTAACTGAGAAATCATCATAGCACATCAAGGGACCCAAAATGTAATTTTAAACGCCAGAGGACCAAAACCAATGCCATTTCATTAAATGGTCAACCACTCGCAATAACACGGGCCGCTGTAATTGTCCCGCTCGTAGATCATGTCCCTTTTAGTACTGCCCGTGCCCGGCTTGACCTCATTGATTTGGACGATGTTGTTGGCGATAGGAGTAATTGAACTGTCTGGATTAACCTGCATTTGTTGACAGTACGCCTGTGGCGCGGTCGAAATGACACGGTTTTCCTTGACCTTGACCTTTCTTGGATAGTTCCCAATAATAACACTCCCACGGCTTTCCAAATCTCGTTTGTGCGGACCCGCTGTTGCTGTGTTTTGAGGAGCCCCATTTGCTCCCACGCCCGCCGTTGCCGTCGGTGGTGGTGCTGAGGTAGTCGAAGATGTCGTGACAGGATTGGACCCTGCCTGCGTCTCATTGATATAGATAAAGACCTCGAGTTGTGTTTGATTCCACCAGCAATACCATGGTTTTGCGCCTGGAGTAGCTTCATTTGTTTGTTGGTTCCATCCATTGTTCACAATACTCTCATCTATGGAGCGTTTTGACATTGTAATTTGCTGCTCCTCAACAACAACAAGCTTGTTGAATGCGGTGGTGAAAAACAGCGCTGGTCCGAGTTCAAGGTCCTCCTTGTCTCTTATCATCTGAAGACCTTGCTGAGGTGGGTTGACGTCGTAAGGTAGTTGAGCACCGTAGCTAAGATGAGAACCATTGGACGATGGTTGGTCAAGCGTGACATTGCTCCGTTCAATAGTGCCCAGGACTTCAATAGCGAGAGGGGTAAAAATCTGACAGCTCCAGGCTTTGACATCCTTGTAACTGCTAGCACCGATACAGAACTTGGACGTGTTCTTTATCATCCAAGGGACTTGGTATTTACCAGTAGGAAGAGCCGCAATATTCGTCGGGGTTCCTGAAAATGGCGACACATCGGTAGTTTCGGTAATGGTCACGACTGTTGGGGTGTGTGAGGATGGATTCGGCTTGTCTGCGGCGTTTTTTCGTGCATGATTCTCAGCAGCTCTCCTACCCAAAACGCCCCCAATAACCCCGCCAATTAAAGCGCCAATCAGCATCCCCAATCCAAGCAGTGCCAGGAGCCAGATTGGGGCACCACAGCACTTTCGTTGCCCTCTTCGACCTAACTTCTCGTCAAATGGCATCAACCGACTATTTCGTTCAGATAACGGAACGAGCGGTTCCGATGAGTCCACGTTAATCAATGTTCTAGAGGACGCATCAGAACGCAAGAGGGATTCATCGTGAGAACTTTCCTGAGGCTCTCGCATTGCACTTGCGATACTGGCAGGACCTCGTCCTGTTGTCGGCCTGACTATGCCGTCGGGGTAGCGAGAATATGGAGGCAGTTGCTCCAAATGTCCATCAGGTCCGACTATATCTCCAACTTCATCTGCTGGTGTCGATTCTTGTCGATTCTGCATTTCATCGGCAGGAAACCCCATTGGAATAGGTCGGTCCCCAAGATCTTCCTCGTAATCAACATTCTGAGAATACATGCCATACGGATGGGATGGAGCAGCTCGACCTCGGAATGGGCCATCTGGCCGTATTGTCGATGTCGTGGCAACGCTTGCTGATCGACTTACGCCAATCTGCGGATACATCCCGTATGGATGACTGGGGCCGGTTGCGCCTTGATACGGACTCATAGCTCTAGGAGCAGCCTGAAAGCCTGATCTTGTGGATGTTGTTGAAATAGTGGATTGACGGTTTAATGCTTGGATGTCTTTTCGAATACTCGATCGACGAGCGGGATCATTCTGTGACGACGTTGGCTGGTCAGCAAATGGATCCGCGACTATTTCGTCGTCTGTTGTTGAGACATGAGACCGGGCAAGCGAGTGTCGACTTGTCGATCGCTGCAGGTTCTCTGTTGTATCTTCCTGCTGTTGACGAGCCATGACAATGCGTCGTTTGTTCTGCTGTTCAAGGAGCATCAGTTGCATGTTGTAATCGGACACAGTGGCAGATCCACCAGGCCGACGCGGTCCTATCGTCGATGAAGAATTGGTGGAGGAGATGGAGATGGAACGTCGGTGGTTAGCGAAGAGAGGTGACTCTACGGAGTCGATGGAAAAATCGTCAGAGAAAACATTCGTATTCGTCGATTGTTGACCGGGTGTGCGGCGGAATGACGGGCCATCGACTGGCACCAAATCTGACATCTGTTGAACAGAGCTATCTATGCTCTCGCGCGGGAGATGGTCACGCCCGGCCATGGCGATTCACGAGCCCCAACGGGCTCGGGGTGTCGGGCTCCTTTCCAGTCGCCTTCTGGTCCGCGCCTGGACCGAAGGAGAGTGGTGAAGACGTCAAAAAACAGCGACGGAAACGGGAGCACTGCTCGGGAGTGGTGCTGGCGTTGTTGGTGATAGATTGGCTGTCCTGGCGACAGGACAGTGGGCGTGGAGTGGTGAGGACAGGCGTGATGAGACAGGACAAGACGGTAACCAAGTCGACTGCGGATATCGGGTGCGGCTAGCCCAATGGCACGGGTAGCCCGGTTGGCGCTGTGTGAGACGCTACAAGCACAGCCTTTCTTAAACACAAAAATAAGACCAGCCACAAAGTCCTCTTGTCAGCGTCTTGCAGACGTCTCCTTCTCTCGGATAATCAATATTAATTAGCTGGCGGCTTGCCCATTCTCTCTGCACAATTATCGGATATTTAGTTGATGCAGCCATTCTTCTGCCGCTGTCTCGACCTCAGCCTGAATGAGGCATATTTTGAATTTTCTGCCTGGTTTTGCAGGCCTCGTGCGATTTGCAGGGGCATTCACCGAGCCCCGCTGGCCCCGCCACAACCATTGAGAGACAAACAGTCTGATTGGCCACAGTCGCCAATCACTGCCACAAACAACAGACGAGGTTACGTATATCTCGCTCTTATTGGCTTCCTTTGCTCGCTAGTCCACATCCAACAATGCTTATTGGACACAAACGTAATATGTTGGGCTTCGACGTAGACTTCGCGCCCATCGGCCAATCAGGAGCGAAGACAGCGTACCGTTCTATTGTCTCTTCTCTCTTTTATGACGTCTATTTCTTATCCGCTTCTTATTCTGACCTTGCTAGGTGCTAGTCGATTCTTATTTTTTACTCGTTACGATGTTCGAAAGACTTTGCCTTTGGAGAGATCGGTCCAATATTGGTTTCGATCTGAATTGCAATGACGTTCATTGGATCCTCGTAAAATACATGACTGTACCCAATCTGGCTCCCTAGGAAGGGACCACAACTGAGGAAACTGTGCTCAAGATAACCAGTGGTTAGAATATTATGATACTGTAATAAGAATTTACACCTGTATTGAGTTTTTCGTTTTCTCGCCGCTGTCCCTGATATGACGGTTTGATGTTGGCAAAACCCCGGTTCCTGACTGAGAATTTTGTTGAGTCTTAGCGACTGCGTAAAGAATGCCGCTAATGAAACCAAGAGCAATAGCAGAAATACTGGGATATGTGACCGGCACGTCAAAGAAGACTAACCCAGACACGGCGATGGGCAGCTTGTTGAGTGCACCGACCATGGAATATGTGGTTGACGAGGTCGCTCGAATACACCAGGCAGAAGTGTACGAAATCAATATCGAGGAAAGCCCAGACAGGACCATAACAATAATGATAGCATGGCGTTCAGCCAATGGAAAGTTCTTATTAATATTCTCACTAGACCAGTCGTCGATGACCATTGTGAGACTGAGAAGAACCGGAATGGACAAGAGATTGTCATAAAACATAGCTATTCCCAAATTGGTCAGCAACAAAAGCAATCCCTTGATTGTTGATTGTCTACTTACTATCAATATCCCTAAAATTGGTCAACTTGATTCGTTTTCGCTTAGCCAAAACGTATAAAGAAGTACAGATGCAGTTTATCAGCACCCAAGTGTAACCAGAATTTAAAACAGGGACTTTGGCAAAAGTGTCGTCACTGCTATCTAGTGTGTGCGTAATGTCGGCCCATGCTGCTACTATGGAGCTTAGAACCATAAGTCCAAAGGAGATTAGGGTTAAGCCGCTAACTGAACCACCGAACCACCGAACCTCGCCATAAGCTGTTGCAATAATGCTCAAGTTCTTAAATATGGTGTATACAGGAATGGATAGAAATTGCAGAGCTTTAGAACCTGTGTATATCATGCAAATAAGAAGCAACGTAACAGGAAACCCTATTGAGTGTGGAAATTATTCCTATTAGCCGGGATATTTATGGCAATAGCAAGGGACTGACACTGAATTAAAGACTGACATTTTTTTGCCTTTTCAGCATTCAATTCCTGGTAAGTAATAAACCCGGTCGATTTGCAGGTTTGGATGGCAACAATGCAAATAGTAGACTAGACACGACTATCAAAATCAAGCAAAGAACGTGACAATTTGATATGGGATATGGAGATGCCGGTACCTGAACAAAGAGTAAAAATATATTAAGATTAAAACTTGAACCTGACAAAACATATTTATTCATCACAGTCATTAAAATTGAAGATCCACAGTAAGCGAGAACCGAAAGGATAGAATTATTTGTTAATGAAACAGTGTTCATCATGCTCTGATTCCCACGTCGTGGTAAGCGGGATAAAAGGAATTCCAGAAACGTGTGTCGCGCGTATCTTGATCTGAATATCATCCAATGTCTCGGTTCAAAGTTATTTGAACGTTTAAATTAGTTATGTTTATAAAGTAAATTGACAGTGGCTGTGCATCAACATTTGAAACAGACCTAGTCAGAAGTAGCAATCTGCCCCGCTACTAATCGAACGAGGAAATTGTCAGTTTATACGTAAACTATTACTCCATTACTATAACCTGAGGTCACTATTAACGTTGTAATAAATATCCTACCACTTTACCCCCTTCAGAGTTGAAGTCTTTTTTAGATATGTACTGTTACCACAATTTTAGAACAAACGAAGTTAAAAAATACTCATATTATACTAGTGTAACACTAATTATATATTTCTTAGCAGACCACACTCCCTTAAGAATTAGATATATCGAAAGAAAGAGTGTTAAAGCCGTCAAGGGTGATAAGTGGTTTTAAATCCTCATAAATTCCGACGCGATATCGATCTTCACAGGACCATGGTGTTGTGAATGTTAAAAAAGGGGCAAAGGCGCGGTTGAATCCGTCTATATACAACCCGTTACGCAAAGACTAGCATAAGCTTTTAAATGGGTCCATTCAACTGATTTCATAGGTGCCCCTTGGGGGACTGCCTTCCAATTCGGGGATAATAAATGCGGGCCGTCTCTGAGGTGCAAGCGCTCCGGATAACAAATCCGCTTGTTATGTCAAGGAGTCTTGGGGTATGGATAAGTAATTATTGACTTATACAGCAACTAGAGTGACTGGCTAGTTGAAGTCAGGCTGTCGAGGCTAAAGCGAGAGTCACCAAATACATTTAGAGGTCGTCCAGAACTGACATTGAGATGGCAATATTCATTGAATGGTAGGGTGCTGGAAGGCTGACGCCATAGACAGTGCAGATAAGCTGGCCACGCTAACGCCGAACCGTGTGTTATGGCCAATCAGCAAACAAGTATTGTCCGTCCTTTTGGTATCTTTACTCCGGTTTGCCTATCATTCGGTATCTTGAAGCGGGGAATGTTTGTCAAGATATATAACTAATCTGGGACTCACTGACTCGCTGATAAGGGTTTTCGTCAAATCGTCGTCAATAAAGTGTGCGGCCAGCAGCTGTGCGACATGAAAATTTCCATGCGAGGTCGCTTTTCACAAAAATTCCTGATTTCGACGGATTTCGTGCAAGATGAAGGATGAACCGATTGAAGTTTCCACCAGTCCTGCGCTGGAGCTCGATAGTATTGCCAAAGAGGGAGAAATACTCGAGACTAGGCATGGTCATGTCGTCGACCATGGACTTCATCGCGGTCTTAAGGGTCGGCATTTGCAGATGATGTCTCTAGGCGGCGTCGTGGGGTATTTTGCATTTGTCCTGGTATACAATCAACCAAAACACTTCGCTTACAGTTGTCGATAGCGCAAGTATCTGGTACGGAACCGGTAACGCATTGTCAAATTCAGGACCGGTATGCATCATCTGAAGATTGAGTTGTTCACTGTCTCATACCTTTACCTAGGTTGGCGCCCTTATTTGCTTCATCGTCATCGGCATCGACGTCTTTTTCGTGATGCAAGCTCTGGGAGAATTGGCGACACTGTATCCAACGCCCGGCGCATTCACCGAACTGGCGGGACGATTTATCGATCCTTCTTTGTCTTTTGCGCTTGGTTGGAACTATTGGTATCTGGTTGAGTACCCATGATCCCTTGCATAAACTACAACGAGAAAGTTAATGTATGCTCACCAGTGGGTAACGAATATTGCGAGCGAGTACAATACATTTTCTATTGTGCTCAATTTCTGGACCGACAAGGTCCCGTCATATGGCTGGATTTTGATTGCATGGGCGTTCTTTCAGGTCTTAGGTCTGTTGGGTGTGGTGATCTATGGCGAACTTGAATTTTGGCTGGCAACTTGGAAGATATTTTGTGTTTTGGCAGGATATATCATAGCCATCTTGGTCAATACTGGTGCCATTGGAGGGGACTATATTGGATTCCGATACTGGAAAGATCCGGGTCCGTTTGCAGAGGGAGGCATCAATGGCTTTGGCCAGTCATTCGTTCTGGCGGCCGTCTATTATTGTGGCACAGAGATGATTGCTATCACTGCAGGAGAGAGTCGAAATCCCAAGAAACATATTCCAAAGGTATGACGCAGGGTGATTGATGGTGATAGCCTGGATGCTGATTTCCCTCCAGGCGATAAGGAATACATTCTTTCGTATTTTGATCATCTTCCTCGGGCTTGTATTTTTCGCCTCGATTATTGTCCCGTCTAATGACCCAGGATTCGTGACGGCAACAAGCAAAAGCGCGTCCTCTCCATATAGTTTGGCTCTCCAACACGCCGGCTGGGAAGCAGCCCCAAATCTGATCAACACGTTCATCTTCACTGCTGTTTTCTCCTCTATCAATTCATCCAACTACATCGCGTCGCGTACGCTGTTGTCCCTTGCCCAGCTTGGCCGTGCCCCAAGGATATTCGCCAAAACCACCAGCAGGGGCGTACCGATATATGCTGTCATTGTTACCAACACACTTGGTTTGATTGCGCTCATCAATACTGGCGCTGGTGCAGGGCCAGTTTTCACCTATCTTGTCACAATATCTGGCTCCGCGACCTTCATTGCCTGGGCATTCATAGGCATCACCCACCTGCGGTTCCGACGCGCATGGAAGCTGCAAGGCCGATTGCCAGAAGACCTCCCTTTTCGAGCATGGTTATATCCATGGGGCACACTTTTCGTGGTCGCGTTGAACCTATTCTTAGTTTTCATCCAGGGGTATTCGACGTTGCTGACACCCTGGCAGCCCGTGGCGTTTGTGTTTAATTACATTATCTTGGTGTTGTTTTTCGGGCTTTGGATGTTTTGGAAGTTCTGGAAGAAGTGCAAGTTTGTTGATCTGAGGAAGGTGGACTTGAACAAGGATCGACGAGACGTGTTGGATGACACTGTTGAGGACGAGGAGGTTCGGAAGGTCTCGCTTTTCAAGAGGGCAGTTGGGTTAGTTCGTAGGATGAAAGCGTAGACGAGTTCGAAAATTGGATGTTTCAAAGTGTCCGGTCTTTCCCGTGAATGTGGTGGCTTCAAGCTTGCATAGTCCTATATCAACAACATAAATTGAAGAGCCTCTTCATATTATCGAGTCGGCTGGTGTAAGTACGAACGCGAAATTAATCTGGATTAGTATCACAGACATAGCTAAAGTAGGGAAAGTCGATATTGAGCCACAAGACGAAAGTTAGTAGACATAAAACTACCGTATGATGCAGATGACAGTGGATACCTTACCCATGTGCAGTTTGTGGATGGCGTTTGCATCTTGCATACAAATGAAACTTTCAACAATTGGCTGGTAGTCTCGGGGGCTCTCCTGCTCGCGAGTACCCAAATAGAGGCTCACAACGGTCAAACAGTTGATATCAACTTATGTAGGACACGCGTCTCATAAGTGTGAGGAACATTTGTGCGGTATGATAGTGATTTCCAGATAGAATTGATTGCGCTGTGGGTAAGATCAAGATGTAGTGCAAAGAATTAGAAATAGAAGCAAGAGGGGTGGAAGAAGGAGAGTAGGAGCAGAGTTGGGATAATGATGGAAAATATGCAGCAAGCAGCATTCTTATAATAAGTCCCTTCGGTGAACAGGGTAAGCTGGATGAGAACTTAATTATCCACATCTATCTCTAGCATCTTTATCTACTCTTGCTTTCGTGATAACCTGGCATTGGATCACAGAAGTTGCACCGTGGGCTCCGCGTTCGTCAGCCCTTTTTAGGTTAAAAGGATAACTCTGCGAAGGATGTGACTAGTATTTCTTGTACATATCTTTTATCTCGGGTTCCTGTGTTTCATGAAACTTACAGCGGTGTTACGGTGCGCGTCGTCGAGCACCCTTGTCGGTGCAACAACGTGAATGACCTCGACATAGGCTCCCCTCTAGTCAATGGCTTCGATATGGATGCTTACAATTGTTAGATATTTACGTTCATCTTCTTAATAACTCTATTTCATCCATCAAGCACATGCAGTAATAACTTGAATGGTGTCCATGAAAAGGAAGAAAAAGCGGTCACTTATCTATCAAATAAGTTGGATTCATAATACACGACATGTAAACAGTAGCCCTACCGAAAGACATGCCAAGTATCTAGAATAACAGCATGTCTAGACCAATATCGAAAGGTGTGTCTTCCCAGTTGGTATGGAAATACTCCTGCGCAAGTCCGCCCCATTCTTTGGTGCGAAGAGCATCTAGTTTAAGCATTACATGATTTTTCGCCTGCACGCACTCGCTTTCAGGTGCGTAGGACATTGGATCTCTTCCAAGTTCATCGAGACAGGAAACATCCAGATCTTCATCTTCCAAGAGTTTTTCAATCACATCATTATGACCAAAAGCAAAAGCAAGATGTAGTGGACGAGTCCTCATGGGTCCTTCAGAGTTAATGTCGTCTTCATCGTTCATCAGGTCTTCAATTACCTTCGCAGACCCATTCATACAAGCGACATGTAAGCTTGATCGATAAAATTGATCCATTTTCTCACTCGCGGTACATAGGCCAGCGAAAGATTCGATATCTGGCTCCGATATCTCGTCTAAAAGTGTTTCAAGAAGTCGTCGATCGAAGATATCCCTTTCGTCAGTAATAGATGGCAACAACCTTGAATGACAAGCTGCTTGAATAATAGAGTTACTTCGTGTGAGCAGTAAAAGCTGGTGAATAGGTGGGAGAATAAAATCGGCATCCTCTGCTAAGTTAGCAAAGTTTCGGCGATTTTCGATGTATCTCTCTAATTGTTCAGCGAGGCTATTCAAGTCGATTGGGGACGGTATTTTCAAAATATTGATCTCTTGCTTGATGAGTTCGAAGCCCCAATCTCCAGTAACAGTTTCATATTTCTCGGTTTGTACTGCTAGGATTTGCACTGCCGTGGACATCATCACGTCAATGTCTTGGTCATCGTTTGGGCTTTTGACTAAGAAAAGAAGATAAGACAGGCAGAGATCGATGTTTCTTAGCAAGTTAGGATTGTTTCGAAATATGCGACGCGACCTATTTCCGGATTCATAGATCTTTTGTGTGTATTTATCGATGAAGCGCTTGATATGAATTGCGATATTGGCCGCAGGTGAGGCAGCACGCTGATGTACCACTAGTAGTTTCTTTTCTAGAGCTTTCGCTGACCGAAAGAGATGAATGAACTGAGTGCATGAGTATACCTGGGTACTCCTATGACGAGGTTAGTATTTTCTTGATTGCATATCTCGCGCATACCATAAAACGTAAACCATTTCCAACTCTCGATCCCAACCCCCGAGAGAAGAAGGCGGAATAGATGTCGAAGCAAGTTGTAGAACCTGGTGTTGATGTTTCTCTCCAGCTCGATGGTTTTCAGAGCATGGAAGTGATAATTCGTCACATCGAATACATTTTTGACCAGGCCAGACTCTTTCAGAGGGTTCGCACTAACTACTGTGTCAATAGATATTTGGCGTGGATGCGGAATATGAGCGTGATAGGATGATACCTTCTTCTTCGCATCTCTACAAAACCGACATTTTTTGTAGCTCAACACTCGTTTTTTCCTCTTCGAGGACTCCATGGTCGCTATTGTAGTAGAATCCATTTCTCACGAGACCCGGGGGAAGGCTACTATTTAAGGCGGCCGTCCACCGCCTTATTACCACGCAGTCATCTAACTCGATAGCCTTTCATCTATGCATTGTGATTGCACAGAAGTAATTCCTTTAGTAGCACACTATCAATGGATGACATGGATGAAAAGGGTCTGTGGCGTGACACTAGCGATGCAGGTTGCCCTAGCTAAACGTAGGTTAAATTTTCCAGGACGAATCGCGCACTATCGCAACTACAAAATGCAGTCTCAAGAGCATTGTGCTGACTACATGGCCGCAGCACCACGGGAAAGAAATTGCACGTTTTAATTGGAAAAGGGACTTAGATCGAAGAACCCATACGTGGCTGTTAGCCGAGACCGATATGGACGGTCATATTTTTGCAACGGTGTACTACTCTTAGAATTCTTTTGTATGAATTGATAGTTTTATTAATAATTTTGTAGTTCTCTAGTCCTATGGAATGTAATAGTGCAAGGTTGATGATGGCCTTGGGCGAAGTGAAAACCTGCCGCGTTCATTCTTCCTCCCAGACATTTAACAACCTGATTATGATAAAAAGGATATCGATATAGTTCCATCTCTTGTAGAATTCTGAACGTAGTGCATGAATTCTTTTCGCTCGGCTCGATTATATCCGATCGAGATAATAGACCGCTCATTCTGAGCTGCTCGAAAAGAGACAGGCCGTCAGTGGGCAATAATGTCACGAGTGTCAGTGTTATAACTAACATAAGTCGAAAATTTGAAATAGACACTGAGGAGGGAAAAGATACTCAGTCATCTTGTAAGGCCAGTGGATATAATATGATGGAATAGTAAGGCATTTCTAGTGGTACCGGAAATTGAGCCGGTGCCTTCACAGTATTTCTAAAGATGTGTGGATTAAATATGTTATAGCCATGGTCTATGAAATGATGAATCTACAAAACATATCTGAAATACATATTCTCTCCGTCAGTCAAATCAGAAAATGCCATCTTATCACGTTGACTTTCGTCTAGTCCTAGTTGGTCTCTTCGCCGGTTTTCGATTTTTAAAGCAATATATAAGGCAGTTGAACTGACGATGGTGATGCAATAACTAGAAATAAAATATATTTGTATCAGCAAACAATGCTTTCTTTAAAAAACACAAAATAAATCAAAGCCAAGTTAAAAATAGAAGAAAAGAAGCTGTACTCACCATATTATCAAGCCAGTCCACAACTCGGGATAATGCCGATCCTTTGTCTTTGAATTCACAAGCTGTGGCCCGATAATGTTTCCCACAGTGTATGCCACAAACACAGTCGCGGCCATTATAGCTTTCTTTGTTGCGCCAGCAACATTGCTCGCCCCCAAGGTGATAATCAAACTCACAACCGGCCCAAAGAACCCTGTCAGTGAATAACCCACGACAGGGGCAACGGGATGATAACCCCATGTAGACTTCCAAACCAAAGCACAGCCTGTGATGACTGGCAAACAGCAGGCGAGCAACATGATAATACGAGTATTGGGTACACGCGAAGCGATATAGCCGCACAGAGGAATGAAAATAACACAGACAGCACCGAGGGGAAATTGGAAGAGAATGCTGTCGAGAGTGTCATAACCGAACGTGCTGACGATCAAGGGGCCAAATCCAGATACAGCACCGTTGATTGTATAGCTTGGCGAGGTTAGCTCAAGGCTATTACGTCCACACGGCTGAGGTCTGAGGTTGAAAGAAAGGACTTACGCCGAAGCCATCATGATGGCAATTAGATAGAACTTGATATCGGTTAAACATTCTCGAACCTGGCTCATTTTGATCTTCTGGCATCTAACGCCGGTCTGGCCCTTCCGGAGGCGTTCCACCGCGACAACTCTCTCATCAGCAGTTAGGAACCATGCCGAGACAGGAGAGTTGGGTATGAACAAGCACCAGAGGCCAAAGATAAAAGTCAAAGCGCCGGCAAGAAGATAAATATATTGCCACCTCTTTAGCGTGCCAGATGTAATCTGACCAAATCCATAGTTAAGTGCACCGCCAATGATGGTAAATACTCCGGTACCGGAGAACCACCACGAATGCCGAAGAGCTTGCTCATCTTGAGTATAATAGCTGCTGACTGTCAAAATGAAGCCAGTTGGGATAACACTTTCCACAAATCCTAAAAAAACCGGTTAGACTAAGGATAAGATGTCGGATAGATGAAAGCTCACCGAGGAAGAAACGCTGGATGAAAAGTCCTTGCCAGGTGGAAACGCCGGCCGTCGCGGCACATACGACAGCCCAGACAAGGACTAACGGGCCAAGAACATGGCGCGTATTGAATCGCTGTAGAATCAGAGACATAGGATACAGACCAGCCAACATCCCGAAATAAAAGATGGACGTAGCCCAGCTCAAACGGGATGTATCCGTCGTGGGAGGATGAGTAGACTTGTCAGTAACTGATAGATGAAGATCCGTAGTCATCCCAAAGAGAGAGGCACTCCCAAGAATGGCCTGGAGGTGTAGGATGTTAATCAAATATATCGACAACTACATCTAGAGATGTTTAGGGTATGTGGAGCTTTCGTACTTTGTCATAGTAGACGAGCCCGTAACCTGCGTCAATCAGCATCAATTGCATGTATCAGAGGACATATAACGGGCATACTGACCAACCAGCATCGCAGGCATGAAAAATAGATCGATTTTTCTTAACACTCTTTTCTCGACTACTGGGTCAATTTCCATAGCGACATCATTGTTGACAAGCGCCAATGCTTCGTCTTTCTCTGTTGCTGGTGCATGGTTCATTGTGCCCTCGACACCGGGCTCATTTACAACTTCCCTGGGAATACCAATCATCGCTGATATACTTTACCAAACAAATGATGTCCAGAGAAGTTATCTATAGGTTCAGTGTTATATGTTCATGCACACGGACGGAGAAATCCACGTGGGGTAAAGAAGAGGCGGGAAGAAATTTTCCCTAAGATGTCATTTTAGAGCCGTTTAAATTGATCGACCAGCCTTCGGGCCGAAGTCATTACATATATAGAAAACGATCAATGGAACCTTTCGTTGGGATGGGGATAAATATTACTATTGGACGGAAAATGTGCTCGAGCACTTTTGTTGAGGTTAGAGTGGGGCGATGAAATGTAAGAACTCTTAATTTTCCTAGCCTGAAAGCTAACGCGGTTTTTATTCAAAGTTGAGTTATAACGATTAGTAAATATTATATTGACAACTGAGATTGACAACAGGTTATACTTTTGTTCTATTAGAGGTATTTGAACACAGTTGGAGAGTTCCCAGTTTTCAATCGAATCCGCATATTAAAAGGCTATCCAACTGATAGCTTAAACTGCCCTTTATCTTCAGGGACACGATAGTGCCATTCATAATCCTGATACTCTTTCCTCCGCATCACTTTGACCAAGAACGGCTCTGCTGGTTGAAACCAAGGAGAGGAGAGTGAGTGAAATCTGAGTTTTGGTTCAGCCCACAGTGGACCACTGGAGGAAGATGGTGGCTCCAAGTCGAAACGAAGAATGAAGGCAGAGACAAAGGAAAGAATCATACTAGTCGCCGATTCTCGTCCGGGACATAGATTGGGTGAAATACCGAAGCCTAGAAATCCCCCAATCTTACGCGAAGACGATGCGTAGAATCGTGTGGCATCGAACTCGGAGGATCCAGGGCCCCAGCTGTCGGCATTCCGATACACAGCAGTAGTTGAGATATTGAGCATCGATCCAGCCTTGATCAAATACTTATTATCTAGGACAACGTCCTCGTAGACAAATCTGGTGGGAGCGGCTAGGCTTCGTAACCGAAGAGACTCATGGAAAAAAGCAAGTAAACGGGGACATTGATCGCGGAGGCAAGTTAAATCAATAGTTGCAGACTTATCTGCAATCTGCAGTGCATTTTGGTTTACTTCTTCGCGAATTTGCTCGAGTAACTCAGGCCGAGAATACAAGTCGAATAAAACCCAGAAGGTCGCGGGGATGGTGTTGCTTAGCAGACCAACGGCCATACCCATTTCAAGACGGCTCACGTCCTCCACGGAGATACCCATGTCGTGCATAGTGTTCCATCTAGCTTGGGCCAACAATGAGCCTTGTGCTGGACCATTGGCATTATAGTATTTCATGAAAGCCTTGGTACCTGACTCCCGGCTCTTCCATGCCTTGCGGGCGACGATGTGTGGTAGAAAATTCAAAATTAACCTATCAATACCAGCTTCAAAGTCCCTTCAATTGAGTGAGCTTCTTCAATAGACATCTATGACAATAAAGGACTCACCAGAATGCATCACGAAAATATTTTGATTTGAATGGATTGAGTGGTCCCCACATGGCATCCGAACTGGCAACAGTAATGGCCTCTCGACACCATTCAAACATGTCAATCTGTATTGGGGCTTTGTGAGCAAGCCCGTCATTCCAGACCTCAACTCCCTTAATCATGGACCGGATCATCTTATCCTGTTCCTGACCAAAAAGCGCTGAATGCATAGCATGAATGACAGCTTGATTGCCGCCTTGCCCACCCGAACGTTTTTCACGTAGGATTTCTAAAGCATGTTTTGAGCAACCAGCCATGCGTTCGGCTGCTACGTTAAGAAAAGGCTCGAATGAAATAAGACGCGCATTGCGCTGCACAGCCTGGATTAAAGATGGCGATGCGATGGTGTATGTTCTGAAGTTGAAGATGGAAGTTGTGAAGGCGGGAAGGTTGGGATATTTTTTGCTATCATACGTTAATCACCGATCGCATTGGCATGAATGCGACAACTACCTGAGGATATCATAGTACACAAGCCCATTATTTATCATCCCGAGAAGATGTCCAATAATGGGAATCGATGCCTTGACCTCGAGTGGTTCACGAGGATCGAGTTTGTTTCTCCCTAAGTTGGAAATTAGGAACAAGAGGGTTACCGCGATGATGCCTAGAGGCATGGGGGTCTGAAGCAGGTTGAAGAACATAATGAAACCACGGACTGGATATCAATTTGCATGGCAAAAACCTGGAAATCAAATCGTTAAGTCCCTCGAAAGGAGGTTATCGAAAGTAAATTGCGAGTGGGGGTTTGCTTATAGATAGCACAAAGACTAGACAATTTGTGGTCCCACTAGAGCGCGCAATCGAAGAATGGAGTTGGCGATCGGACCGTCAACGTGACATGTAAACATTGTTTTCTTTTTCGCGGGTTGCTCGGGCGCAACAAGACTGCGACGGTTGTTTCTTTACTGGAAGGTGCGCATAGCATAGCACGCGATGTCCAAGGAAATGAGTTTGTAAAATGACTCACAGAGCGTGTCATTGTAAAACATGACATGGCAAGGCTTTGGCAGGTCAAATCTGACAATTTGCGTAATTCAAAAGCGCGTTCAGTTTTAACGTTCTGATTGGTCAGTTTCGTTCAAAAAAGTCAAAATTTAGGTATTAAAATAGGCTTCTATTATAGGCAGAAGGCCAGGAAGCAGCGCAGAGCACTCGGTTGAGAATCCCGTCGACTACACAGGGCAGATATCATATAAACCAGGCATCTTGAAAACAACTTGCGTTACTCAAGTCTTCTGACGTCAACGTGCTTGTGTGGATCAAGCTCTACGCTGAACCCTGGCCTGCTGCCTATGATAGAAAGGAGTGCCCTAAGGTCTGCTTTAATATCTTCTACAATTTCAATGTTAGTGAGGAAGATTTACCATTATAATGCTCTGAGTCATAGAAAATATGTTTAAAAGAGACCAATGGATTATACTGATGGCATTTTATATAACTGAAGTCCTAAGAATTAGTTTTTTTGAGTGGCTGGGAGACGCAAAGCAAGAAGACACAGCAGACAACGAACGAAGACTATTATGATGTATGCCAGAATTTCCTGTTCTAGAAGGCGGTGCCACTTTCGGACACTCAAAGTGAAAAAATAGAAAGTGCGTTTGCATATCGCCACACAAAAGAGTAAAAGGGTGACAACACGCATCCGTAGTCCCTCTCTCATCTCCGCTTTTTGTACGTGGACCTCATTCCTCTCCCTCTGGTTGGGACTGATATCTCATTTCCATTCTTTTCATGAGCACTGGTGATAACGGATGGCTTCAGCTTTATTTTCAGTAAGTTTGCAATTGCCCAAACAAACTCAATTTTATGCCAGATGCTTTGAGAGATTTCACATGAAGTTTGATTCCCTAGGCTCTAAACGAAACCTACAAGGATTCTTTGAACCATGAGCTATTTCGTGAATATGGCTGACGAGCTATTTGTATAGTGACCAAGCACAAGGAACAGTCACACCGTGAAGTTAACGGATACTGATCTAAATGAGCAACAATATGGACGATACCATTCGTACCAAACCTGCCCCCATGTCGTCAAACCACAACTCAAACTCAGCGATGCAACCAACCATGACAATGAATTCCAACAAAAGTCCAAACAACGGCTCATTGAGCTCAATTCCAGAGTCGAACGCAGAGGGATGCGACGGTATTGGTGAGCAGAAGCCAGAAAGCCTCCAAGGCGAGTCATCCAAGCCCCATACAAAATATTCAACTAACCTTTCCTAGATAGCGAAGAATCGGAGAAAGTCAAGATCGGATACACAGTTCGCTCGAAACTGGTCAAGAAACATGGTCTCTCTCCTCAACAGCCAGATGACACCGTCAATGAAAAAAAGCCAAAGTCTAACAACGACGGGTTCATTAGAACATCTTCTTATCTCCAAGAAATGTCCATGCCCGATGTGCCTTTGAGCGGATACCAAGTGATGGTGAACGCCGAAAAAGACGAGCGCGACAAAATACTCGCTGAAATCAAGCAGCTTGAGTCAAGCGCACAGTCGGCAATGATTCTTCCACCTTTAGGTAACAATGGGATCCCTAGAATTACCCAACAAGCTCCGCTCGCATCGGTATCATACCCTTACCAATATCGCCTTCCGAAGGTGAGGGAAAGCACCATCACCGAAGACATTGAACGTAGACGAATTCCTATGGGTTTCCATGGCGAAGGGGAAGTAGGAGGATACAATTACAAGACTGGTAGTGCAGTATCAGCGGATCAGCTTACTTATGCCATGGAGTGCTTTAGTATACGGAGTGCTATCCCAGAGGGTCTCGACAAACGCATCGAAAACCTTACTAAGTTGCAAGAAAAATCGATGCAGTATGCCCACTTTGTTACGATGTCTAATTATCGTGTGAAACAATTGAAGATAATGGAAAACTCCTACAGACTACTTGGGGAGCGCAAAATCATTTTCAGTGGAATGCACGAGCGATGGCAATTTGAGCGTCGTCAACTTGAAGAGGAACTCATCGGTAGTACCACCGCTCGCAAATGGCTCCTGGAAGAGATAATCCGTCTGTCAAAGGATTGCTGAAAGTTGACTTCAGATTCATGTATCTTAGATGGAAAGGCGATGAGTTGAGTTTTGCTGTCAAGGGTTGGGAAAGGGAAAGAAAAGTGTTTGGCACTGCAGGTGTTTTCAAACATTTCATAGGAAGACAGATGTTTATTGTCAGTTCAAGAGAAAATATTAACTCGTGGGCTTTTACCCAAAATTATGATTATGTATAGTAATGGTGCCCCTCGCTCACATAGACCTCGATACCTTTCTCTTTGCCCAACATAGCCAAATATTTTAATTCCTCCTGGTAGGGCCCTAGGGTCTGAGAAGATCCTAATGACAGTAAAATCAATATATACGCTTTACGGTGCTTTTCTTTCCCCAGATAATGTTGATAAGCTTATCCACCCTAGATGATTCCTCGTCTTAATATTATCTAAACCTGTCAAAGCAGATGTTAACAAGATGCAGATTTGGAATAGCGGATATCTGATAACAACAAAGATCATACATTGAGGGCCTAGACGTAACTATTGCCGGAATAGTCAGTTCTTCAATCGGCATGGACCTCAAGAAACTCGTAAGTTTCTTCAATGAATTACGGTGAGTTTGAGACTTCTCAAAGACATCAATAAAACTATGGATGGAAGTAATGGCAAAAGTGTGTCGTGAACTACTTCGGTCCTACATACAATCGTGAGTTCCTGTAGAGTTGTACAATAATACAGAATATTCACTGCATCTTATTCCGGAAAGCGTTCGATCCCGCTGTTCCATTTCAAGGATCTCTGACTCAGCTACAATCCATGTCTTATCTCTCTCTGTATCTTGAGAACAAGAGTTTTGGCTCATGATTCTCGTATATCCGATAGGTCTCAATAACGATATAATAATTCAATCCCAATTCGGTTCCATTGTCAACAAACTTGCGTGATTGATTTCGTATCTCGTCGGTAAGCATAAGGACGATCGGGGTAGTTTCTCAAAGTTTTGAAGATGTCGACGGTGAGTTCTTCAGGCAAGTCTAAGATTGAAATCATTTTGCTTTCGACTTGGCTTTGATTTTTCAATAAAGCTTTGCTCATATAAATAGCTCCCGGGAAAGCTTCAACACTGAGAAAATGGAAACCGGAACTAAAGGACAGAGAGTTGATGGTAAGAAAACATTGTGATTTTTAGATAATCGATCTTTCTGATGTCATAGTTGATGTATAGAGGCGTTTGCTGCAACCCCTTTGTACTATTAAATAGTTCGATTGATTGACTTTGTTACATGATAGTATTCTAGGAGTATTTCTGTAATATACACGTAAGTTAAGGAAACCCCATTTATTTGGAAACTAATGGTGCAGTCTTCTGCCACCTCTGTGTCTAATATTGCCTACATTAACAGGTTCATAGAGAGTCCCGCAGTCCTAATTGTTTTATAAGTGATAGATTTCTGTTTTTTCATTATTTTTGTTCCTTTGGTTTTTTGTTCGAGCTTGTCTAGATCCATGCAAATATTCACTGATACCAGAGACTGACACTGATGTGCTATTACGGGCTATTATCGAATTCCCATAAGAAAAGACTGATCCGGCATTTACGGAACGCTTTATCACGAGAACCGGATATATAGATTATAGACTTGACACATCTTCATGTCTAAAGTGACCGAAAAGATCTCTTTGTAGCATCGATCTCATACTGACAAGCAAAGTCTTTAATTGTCTCTGATCCCACCATTGTTCTTCTTTGTCATGGTAAATGGTACTCCAAGTCGCTTGACAACTTTGAATTCCCGAGGTTTCAAAAACATGGGTTCTGTTGTTGACAAGTAATCTTTGTAGTAGTCCTTTGTGAGCTGATTTTGAACAAGCCATTCAACCGGTTTGGACCTAATACATATTAGTTACATTTACATGTAGTGATTCAATAAAGTGCCTTTTACCAATTTTCAACCCATGAAAGAACACCAGGTTGATCAGGTGATTGATAGACTTCAAAGAAAGTACACTCCGGCTCGGCGATAACACTCTCGTAAGCTGGTTTGAATGCCTCGAGGAATTTTGGCACGTTCTCTGGTGCTATAGTGACAGTGACGTGCAGGGAGATGCCGTGAAAGTCAGATGAAGCACTCATTTTTCTCGCTTTTGTCGATTCCAATGTTGATTATTTGAGGCGGTCTTGAATCAATTTAATGGGAGCTCAAAATATATTTAGAAAGAGCGTTATTTTTGCCTTGATGTATGCGTTCTCAGTATTCTGTTGGATGCGGAAAGTTCGGGTACGTCGTCTCCTATTACGGCGGACTAAATCGAAGTCAGAGACAATGGTAGAAAAGTGGGCCTTATTACCATATAAATCCATATATATGCATAACTATATATTGATTTTATTAGATAATATATTATTACTAATAGTAATAAATAAAATAAGTTTATACTAGGCTGTAATATTATACAATATAGTTTTCCCCTCTAGGGTGTCCCGAAGGGCTCCCATTGTCTCAGAGTGGCTCCAGAGATAGTAGCTTGTAATTATCTTGTTTATTTCTATAAAAAATGATTTAATAGTAATAATTTTACTAGTTGCCGTGGGCTGTGTGCCATTGTCTCCAACTTCGATTTAGTCCGCCCTACATATAGCCCAATCGGTGTTTAATGGTGTTGTTGGATCTTATCCTTAGTTCCTTACACTAGAACATTTAGCAAATCACGAGTATCCAATTCAATGTTAAATGTTGTATATACAAATCTATGTATAAATCTAGAAGTTACTATTTTATCCCGAGCTTCAAAAAAGCGACCAGGTGGAGGTAGGAGTGGATTTGTCGTAATACCAGTCGAAAACCATAAATGTATATTGGCATCTTTTCAATACAGGAACAAATAAAGACATTGATTTTAAATAAAAAGCAAGATTGATATTCCTCTTTATTTAAGACACCAAGGCCTATTTGAATAGCAAGTCGGGTCTTCCGATACAAAGTCGATGTCCCTTCTAGAGTCGAAAACACCAGACAGTCTCTCGTTTGATATTGAAGACGTCTGTAGAACAGCCAGTGAGGTTGCCGAAGAAATCAATGCAATACCCAACTCTCTGTTCATGCATTCCAATTGGGACTGGGATATGTGTAGTATGTAATGGGTGTAAAGAGAGATGAAATCGTTGATGCCTCGCTTTTTCAAACGGCCTTCTTCTATTTGGAAAGAATTTTGGAACGATTCCGCTCCAGCGAGAATCGCTGTACAAATACAAGTATATGTCATCACCATACTAAGCCAATATATCATCAAATGCGGTATGATTGAGGTGTTTGGAAATTTTATTGATATCGAGTGGCTATTTTTTTCACCACTAGGCGACTTCGTGAATAGGAATAAAGGGCCATCATGTACTGAGGTTAACTCTTTGTACCAACCCAGAAGTTTCTTTTCAGTATCAAGGCATTTGTGCAAAAGTCCTTTTGGACAGGTAGCGCTCGTGCTGTTATCGATCTCTTGCATATGCTTGACCTCTTCGTACATTTGACTGACTTCGGGTAGGATATTCAGAAGAAAGCCAAAAATGTCTGTTGAATGCTGCCCTGCCTTCTCGAATATATTCGAAAATGACTGCCATGGAGCCTCTTCGTGGTCAAGCATGAAACTGGAAAGAAACTAAATTCGCGTTACTCGGATATTCGCAGACAATGGTGAACCACCAACCTGAATAGTCTCAAGCCTGTAAATGTCGTACTTTCTCAAACCTAGATCTGGTTTATACAAACTAGATTCTGTGGCAAAGTTGCAAGCCGCCCGAACATGTACTCTCCACTTGTATACCTCTCTGGGATAGGAAGTGTACGCCTCATAAAGAGCTAGAACCATGGCAGTGCGAATGACTTCAGACGGATCCATGATCCGCTTCCAAGAGCAGATTTCCTCCACGGCTGATGAGTAGTATATCTCACCTTCTCGTACCCATACCTCATTTTTCTGCGCTCTACCATTATGAACGAGTATCAATGCCGTTAAAGCGACGCCACATATAGAATGTAAGTTTGAATTCATCAGTTTTGGGAATGTCTCGACCCAGGAAACAGACGAGCAATACTGCACTTGTCTTGGCGAGTGGTTTACGGGGAGATAGTCAGTCAAAAACAAAGACAAAAGTTGTGTCCAATGTTGGCAGGCTGAAAGAGGTTTATGTTCATAAGGAGTGATTGTTGAAAGGAGTGTTTGATTGACTCTTCATGCGAATCATAGATAGTTCAGTCTTAATTCAGTTTTGAGAATTCCAATTTATGGCTCACGTACAGTTGAGAATATCCCTCGCATTTTCTAGATGAGGCTTGGCACTGGCGACAGTGCGGTTTGACTTTGTCGCACTGATAAGTATTATTATTAACGTCATAATTATACTGCTTTGTATTGGGATTCAAGACCTTGATTTTTCTTTTGAGGCATGTTCGGCAGCTGCGTGCTGTCCACGTACTTCTTCCCATGCTTATCCAATTTGCAGTATTGTGTATTCTGTTGATGTGATGGTGGTAATAATAGAATTCCCTCAACCGTACGACGAACAATACAAGTGACTGGTCTGCTTAACGCCGAATCCGATTAACTCCGCACCGACACTATTGGAGAAACGAGTCGTTAGCCAACCGTCGTTAGTATATTTAAGTACTGATAAATTCCGGTTCTCTATTTTGGGCTACGGCTATATTGCAAGTACAAGTCGCGTAGTTGAATGGCGTATATGTGATTAGGTATTGGCTGTTTGCTCAAGTGTGTGTAAAAATTTGAATATGCCTTGTCACTATTCCGCCTATTACGGCACTAAGGATTCTTCTCGACGACCAGCGTCTTTTCTTTGTTTCTAACAAGGTAATACTAGCGCTGCAGGTTGATGACAGGTGCATTTTTAGTCTATACCCTTCAACATTCTAGATTAGGGAAACTCTTGTTTATTTTTCGGTCTTTAACAGTTATAAAAGATGAATGTCAAGTTCTCGCATTAACTTTTTCCTTTTTCCTCATTTTATTTACCGCGTGGAAGTTTCATATTGCGACGGCTTTCCATTCAACTACAATAGTGAATACGGCCGTCTTCTGAATAATGGCGCGAACTTGGTTCATTACCGGATGCTCGTCTGGGTTTGGGGAAGCGATTGCGAAAGCCGCTCGTGCACTGGGTGATAACGTCGTCGCTACTTCACGCGAGGCGGCGAAGCTGGGCGATTTGGCGCAGATCGGGGCGTATACTGTTTCCTTGGATGTAAATTCCCCCCAGAAAGATATCGACGCTCTCGTGGCAGAAGCAGTGAACAAATACGGCTCGATAGACATTCTCGTGAACAACGCCGGATATATACTGGAAGGAGGCGTGGAAGAAGTAAGGTAAATTACCCGAATTACCATCCTCTCCCAAGCCGTTGGACTCACTAAAAGAAAACAGTGATGAGGAAGTCCGAGCCCAATTCGATACGAATGTCTTCGGCCAGCTTGCCGTCACTCGCGCTGTTCTCCCGTATATGCGTGCCAAAAAGTCCGGTGTGATTGCTAACATGGGATCCATCGCTGGCTGGCGGGGTGGGATCAACTGCGGCATGTATTGCTCGGCCAAATTTGCACTCATTGGTATCACAGAAGCTCTGCGGAAGGAGGTCGAGCCGCTTGGGATTACAGTCGTTGCCATAGAGCCAGGTTACTTCCGTACCAACTTTCTATCAGGAGGGCACAAAGTTTCGCCGAAGAAAACTATCGATGATCTTGTCCCAGTGATCAAGCCTGTCAAAGATATGTTTGCGATGTATAATCACCAGCAGCCAGGAGACCCTCTCAAAGGAGCCCAGTTGATTGTTGAGGCTTTGACAGGAACTGGCCGCTGCGCTGACAAGAGATTACCCGCCAGACTGGCAATTGGGACCGACGCCGTTGCTATGATTAGTGAAGTTTTGGAGGATAAAAAGAAGGAATTGGATGATTGGAAAGACTTGGCTATTACCACAGATTTAGCGGCATAGGGTAATAGTTAGTCCTTATGTTACTATAGTGGGTTCGTTGCGATGCTATTTGCAACTTAGCTGGGAAGTCGTCCATCTTTTGATTATAGTGTACGTTAAAATGCACTAGGCACAACTCTTTATTAAATCATGCAATTATTTACGAGACAGCTTTTTGAAAAAAGAAGGTCTTGGTTTCAGAATGTGCATTTTCTTCAAGACTGCAACAGTAAGATGGGTTTTACGCTGGAACCAGCATTACCTTCAATCCATTCTTATTTTCCACTATCATCCTATGCATTTCCGTCCATGGTTCCACATCTCGACTTCGGATCTCCTTGAACTCCTGGAATAGCCTCACAATAATAAATGCCGATTCGGTATACGTCATTTGCTGAGCAGGGCAGATACGTGGCCCGCCGCCAAAGGGCAGATATTCCCATGTTGGTCGAGCTGTTTCCCATCTCTCGGGGCGGAAGACATGTGCATCATTTGCGCCCCAGATGTCGGGATCTACATGCATTGCTTGAGTATGTAGCTGAATATTTGTCCCTTTCCTTACCAGAATGGGGGATTTTCCGTCTACGCCGCCGCCGACGGGGAGGACAGTGTCTTTATGGCAGATCCGAAGGAGACGGTTTGGAGGGGTATGAAGGCGGATACCTTCTCAGTCAGCCGGAAACTTTGAACGATGATTTATGGATACACACCTTCGTTAAATATGTAGCGTAGATATTTGATGGATTTAAGAAGTTCAAAGCTGAGCGGCTGGGACTTCGTTGCCGCCATAATATCTGCCCTGAGCCTGGCTTGGATTTTGGGCTCGCGTGCAAGATGAAAGAGTATGTTATTGACCGCAACAGCGGTGGCGTCATGAGCCGGGAAAAATACATTAAGCAAGCTATACCGTAGTTCAACTGGATCTTGCGTTTCCTTTACCATTTCGTTAAGAAGAATATAACGTTTTCCCTTGTGGTTTCTTTCATTTGCATCCAGCTTTTCAGCTTTATGATCTTGTTGCTCAGCTAAAGCCCTCTCCACATGACCATCAATGTAAGCATGAACCGTCTTCACGGCATCTTTGTATGGTTGATCGCGTCCCTTGATAAAAGAAAACTTGCCGAGCATCAGCCTTTCACCGAGGCCACGCATTGAAATGTCAAATGCGTCGAGAAATTGTTTTGAGTCAAAGGTTGTAGTGGGTGAAAGACATTCAACAGATTTTCCAAAAAGGAACTCGGTGGAGGTGTCGAGGATCTATTAGTTGTGAATCAGCAAACTCATCTCGGTCGCGTATCTAAGTGAAAAATACAAATCGTTTCAGCAACGGGGCCAGGTCCACCGTCGAATTATCGCGAGGAATCAGATCCAAGAGCTTCCGGAAATGCCCCTCTAAGGATGAAAAATTGGTAATTTGGTGCTTGGAAAAGGTTGGTTTAATTAGCGACCGAGCATGTTCCCATATAACACCATCGGCCGTAAAAATACCCTTTGACATTAACGGGTTACCACTTTCCGGCTTTTGATTCTTTGAAGGCTTCACTTTGAGAGGCACAACTCCAAAGGCTCCGAAAGAAGTTGACAAGACAGCTTGAATATTTTCTGGTTGCATGGTCCTGATCGCTATGTGGCCCCATGAATTATATTGAAATGTTTTCCCATAAGTGTCAAAAAGACGATGATTGAATGCCAGTAGGCTATTTGATTTCATGACTTTCCCTGATTCTAAGAAAAGGTCAAGGCCAAGAATAGGGTCTTTGTGAGGGTACTTTCGTGGCTCTGCGCATCCATTTTGGCGCTTCAGTTGGGAGAAGATAAGGTATTCAGAGACTCTTTGCATGATATACCATGAAAATAAGCCTATGATAGCCCATGGTAAAACATTGACGAAGAAGCCCATAATGAGATTGGTATTGCACAAAGATAAGTCTACCAAATCAGCTAGTTTATCTAGAAGATGCTTACGGAAGATGTGTCTTGTGGCTAATTGCTTACTCGTGATCAAAATGACATATTTCGGAGCTCAACTCTCTGTTCCCTGGGGATTCCTTGAAGCTAGAATTCAATCATAGATTAAATAATAACAATACATAGGAATGTGAAATTAACGCTTTAAATAAGATGTCGAAGGAGCGTATTCTCAAATGTTGTCTATCCTTCGGCGTGTTCGGGAGCACTATGGAAACGGCATAGACACGCTATTGGCTGCGGTCATCTTGATCTGACCAACCTAAGACTCTAGTTTTGTCCTGTATCGTCCTCTGCATTACCATTATTCTTGAACTAAGGAAAATCCAACATCCTGTACACATGTGTAAGCCATATATATGGTCTACTACGTTATTAAATTTGCCCCGCAGTAAGCAAGGCTCAATCACAAGCAATCGACCCCAACAATTCAATTTTTGGACCTTTTAAAATATATGCTGGCATGAATCAGCCTTGACTTATGATAATGTCCAATAATACTTTATATTGTTTGAAGGGGCGAATCATTTTTGTCACCAACATAGCCTCGTCCGTCCGAATAAACATCAAGACAAGTAACATGAACGAGAATGACAATCAACTCCAGTCAATCAAATTGAGCTACAGGGCTTTGAAGCTAACTGTGTATTGCAAGGAATTATTATACGCGCAGGCGCCAAACCCACCTTGTCATGTGATCGCACAGTCGAGATATCTTGTTTCCGATCCCCGAAGGCTTAGTAGACTACATAGGCTCGATCTTCAATGTTATTTAGGGTATCCCCAAAAAATCCGTATCTCCTCACACTGTTGGTATCCCTTAACAGTGACCTTGAAATGTTTCTTCTGGGCGATATGAGTAAATTGGTAGATAGATAGACTAGAATGAGCTAAAATACACACACACACACAGACACACACACACACACACACAAAATACACCTCACTAATATAACATTCGATGAGGTTTTCACATATGTCTATTGGCATTTAGCGGCACTGGAATATGTGGGTATTTTGATTAGCATAGGCCATAAGGCTCTTGAGGGATGTATACTCATATATCCGTATAGATGAATTCCCTGCATAATATCATGTAAACATTCAAAGTGTATTCACTAAAATAAAGATAATATGGCCAGTACAGATAGCTTGGTCGCCGAAGCTGTCGCCTTGATGACTGATACGCGCACAGCATGGGATCAAATGACTGGCGTCACAGGGATGGAAGCTGGCTGGAATCACCTGGACAGTAGACGTGGCGACGAGGATGCCAACATGCCAGCTCAGATGCCCGCAAGAGGACTCGACTATTTTTTTTTGAAAAAAATTAAAAATGATCCGAGTGGCAACATAGGTGCAGTGATTCTTTTCTAGTCTCTTGCGTCCTTTTTTCACCTTTCGACAACGTGGCCCACAGGAGCACAAACCGCAGTGGTCCACGACAAAATGTGATGCCTAAGCACGCGTATCCGACGTATCTCATCATTATATAAAAAGAAAAAAGAATTGTCCGGTCAACACGTGAAGACGGATGTGTGAACAAAGCGTGGCTTCTGCCGAGGCACTTCCCCATTCAGGCAAGTCCCTGTCGATCTTGCTCCTAGATATTTTCTGTGGCACCATGCAATGCGCCTATCATTCGATTAACCTCATCGGCAGTCGGCCTTCGATTCTCGGGACTGCTCTTTCGTCCGTAAACATGAGCAATATTGCTTCGGCCTGCCGAAGTTGATTGGCCTGAAGCGCGGCCCGAAAGCAACCCGGGCTCGCCGACACGCCAACTAATGGATAGCGATGATAGGAATAACTTATCCAGGCTGATAAGATGAAAAAAAGCACATGCTTGAGAAATCCTTTGTGGTTTGCGCGATGGCGCAAGGCACTTAGGGCTGCGTGGGTCGGCTTTAGGTATATATACGCTTGGAAAGCCACCCTGATGAGACTTGTTTTAGATTCTAGCCATCCGATCTCATTGCAAACGATCTGTCAGAGAATAGTTATATCTGTTTCAGCTTCAGAAATAGTATTCGACAATGTCGACTGAACTCATTCCGCGTCCCGTTGCTATCGCCTTGCGATTTGCGCAGGTTGCTTTCGCAGCCGTACGTGCAATATACTATAATCCAACCTGAAAGTCTCTTTACTCATTGACAATATATTAGATCGTCGCTGGCCTTATTGGATACTTCCTCAATGTCCTTGGCGGTGACGGAGATAGCTGGACAACTGGTCGGTGGATCTACGCCGAAGTTGTTGCTGGCGCCTCCATCGTGCTTGGATGCATTTTAATGATTCCTAGCTTTCATGGCTGCTTTGTTTGGCCAGGTGAGTAATTTGGCACTTCATTTGCACTATGAAACGGAACTTCCCTTCTTCTGTTTAGATCGCTGACAGATACTAGTGGATATCACCCTAGGTCTGGCTTGGCTCGCGGCCTTTGGTAACTTAGTCAACACCCTGGATGGCACTGTCTGTGGACAAATCGACGACATTAGCAACTTCAGCAACACAAATGCCAACTGCGCTCAAGGGCAAGCTGGAGAGGCGTTTGCCTTTTTGTCTGGGATTGCTTGGTTGGTTACTGGGATTTTGGGCATATACTATGTCTGGCGCTCCGAGTAAGTTGACATTTTATTCATTTCTGTCCTGAAATATCGCACTATCAGTACGGCGTGCTGACAAATGTGAACGCTACAGCCAACAGCGTCTTGGATACTGGGCCAAGCACTACGAGGTGTAGAAACGTCCTCTGAGGTCCATCGATGCTTGCGATGTACATGATGCTTTATGATAATGAACAGTGAGATGATTGGTGCTATCGTGATACGCGTCCGATACCCCTGTCAACACGAGCCCAACTCTTCAACTTGATATTATAGATTTGCTTTGGATTTGATATAGACATAGACCATATAGACGGAAACATACCCTAATGAATAATCTACAATTGCTTTTCTGAACACATGCCCATGAACAGATAGCATGAAATTTTGACAAAAGTCATTTCCTCGATAGTATATCTTCTTGTTTTAGATCCTTATCAACCAAATCTAGTATTCGCTTTAATTCCTCGGTTGCATCTTCTCTCGAGTGATCTTTTATATCTCCACGCATCACTCCCGCATCATCCTCATTAAACGAGTTATCGAATGGCCATATTTTTTTATGTAAAGCAAGGCGAAGTTCATCACCCGCAGCAGTATTCATCCAATGTTTCCGATATTCAACGCACTGACGTTCTGCGGATGGAAAATCTTCAGTTAACACGCGGCCATCCATAGGGATGTACGGGATATTTGAACCAGGGAGCTTGTGACCATCCTGGATCAGGTGAAAAGTCATTTCGAATTCAGAGCGAGCCAGTTTCTCTTGCGCGTGTTGATGAAGCTCAGCAAACCCTGGTTGAAGATCACGTGAATAGCTATTTTCAATTGTGATGCGATCGTAATGGTCAGCAAAGGATTGTAGTGCCTCCCGTAACGCAAACATATCTCCAGTATCGGATGCGCAGCGAATCAATTTTAGCGGGGCAATGCGGACAGCATAATCTTTCGGGTCGCTGAAAATTCGCTGGTAGCGAAGAGGGTCTATTTCTTGGATCAATTGCTTGTATAGGTCTCTTGGGCGCATTGTTCCAGAACCCGAGTTTGTCTCAAATTCGGGATCTAAAAAGGGAGGATATGGACGTTTTAGTATCGGTGGTGAAACGACCGTGCCTTGCCAGCCAGTCAAACACACAATTTTCTGCGTCTTTGGGTCAATGAATATATTGTCGAGACTCAGGTTTGGATGTGAAATTGTCGATGGATCGGCCCCGACATACTTAGTAATGAATTGACTTGCTGTTATGAACCGCGAGACTAGAGTATAGAATTCAATGGCATTATCAAGTCCGCCAAAGTGCTCGATCAGCTTGAGAGGGTTCGTTCGAATATTATTTATGTAGTGCCGCTCATTCTGACCTATACAGCGAGCGTATTGCCCCAGTGAGTTAACTATATATCCCTGATGTTAGTAATCAATAAATTATTCATGGTTACACGAAGATGATAAATGACAGCTTACATGGGCCGTGGTGTTGCCTTCCAAGACGGACGCCTCGATACAACATGCGGTCTGTTGATGGGCCCATAGCAAAATCCCAGGTATATTTTGATTTTTCTTCATCCCCCGGTAGTTGCTCGAGGAACGGTAACTGCTTTCCTATTTTCATATCACGCAGTAAGACATAGGGATCCCCTCGCCCAACCATCCATCGTTTCAAATACAGGCTACCATGGTATGGAAACTTGACAGACATCAATTGTCTCTCAATTTCAATAACCTGTCGAACGATATTCAGCTGTGCATTGCAATCCATCTTGAACCAAAATTTTCGAAGGGGTTGGCCATTCGCTTTATCCTCAATGAACCATTCAGCGCCAACAGGGTTATTCTGGTCAAAATTCCAACGATGTACTGTTGGCATGGGAATGGACTTTATAGCAGATGAGATAAACTTGCGGGTTGCCACTTCAGAAGCAACCATATTGAAAGAAGGGCCGGCAATAGGATTGGGTAGCTGTGCGATCATACGGATTCCATTGTCCATGATCAATAGCAAGACTTTATTGTAATCTCCTTCGGGTAGCTTTACCACTTTGACACCTGTTCCCGTTAGCATATACAAGAAACAGAGTGTCAGAATCAACTTAGAACATGCATTTCCAATCATCGAGCATGTACTTTTTTGTACGCGAGGCCTGGGTTATTAAAGCTGTGAGATCGAACTTGACATAGCGCTTATCAAGCTCCTTTCCGTTATCACGCCTGTCGATATATTAGTATATTTTTGAATATCACAGGGACAAGTGACAGCGCATACAGCCACCGATGACGCTGATACTCAAAAAGTTCATTTTCATCGATCGGCTGTTCTGCATTCGTTTATTGTGAGGCTGTGCTCCGGTACAGACTACGACGAGACTAACCATATCCATTTTCATGCATCCTGAAAATAGCAGGGCCAGGCTTGCTGCTCAAACATCGTCTATAAATGTCACGCGACTGATGCCAACCCGCTGGGGCCAGCTGTCGCAACATGTATAGGGACGGGGTCGAGAACATGACATAATCATCTCTGCCTTGCTCCTCGACGAGGTATGATATGCAAATACTGACCGCAAGTACTGGATTATGTCCTTCTCGACCTACTAATAAACGGCGGAGGCTATGCCATCGCTAAATGCGCGAGAATGTTTTGCTGTGGCAACAAAGTCTGGACTTTGTGTTCCGTCTCCCGGCCCCTTGCGCTAGCCCTGATATGGAAGAAATGGATGGACTAGTACAGTTACGGCTAGATTAAAGTGTGCCTGATACCCCAATCCGTCCAATCATGTTCCATCTCGCAACCTCAATGTATCTTCGAGAAGAGCATTCTTTTACAGCTGCAGAGCTTGGGTAGAAAAGCTAGGTCTCACTTATTCTCATTATGTAATTAGAACTTTCTTTTGTTGTTTTGAATTATTCCTATCAAAATATCAAGATTGCGATTCAGCATGAGCTCATTTGGCTATGTTCTATAGCTTTTAAATACACTTCTCTCTATTATGGCATTATCATTAAAAAATGATAGAAACACAGAATACAATTATATATCAGTAACACTCTCTAGGCAGCTCGAGTGATGCACGATGCACACCACCAGAAGGATATCCTGCGCAAGCTTCATACACCAAGCGGGTCATGGTCTGTATCAGCTCTGCTGATTGGTATTGATTCTAAATTGTTCACAAAACCTGTTTCTTTTTTGTTTTTTCTTTGTTTGTAAAAGCGACAGTAGGTGCAGTCAGCGTTATGATATCTTCACACACTTTCAGCTCACTTGGTTTTCAGAAACCTCTTCTTGCACCTTTCTTATCTCAGACACGCATATGCACAATATTCCGGCTTTCTAGCAGGCTTCCAAAAATCTTTCATTTCATCTAACCCAGTCATTGTGGGATCTAATTATTCAATACCGGAACTCCTCATTATCAATTTTTACCATGGTCAACAACCGCTCATCTCACTTGATAAAATGCATGGAGCTTTTCGAAATCGATGACCATCAGCTAGCCAAAATCCGCCACTATATTCGTACCAGAATTTTCTCGGATCTCCTTGAATTTGGCCCTTTGGTGGGAAAGTTATACGAAAAGTTCCTTGTTGAAAAGGCCTATCCTCAACTGAAATTCAAATTTGGTGGAATATTCAACAAAAACTACTTTCAAGACCCGCGCAGCGAACATGCGATGAGCATCCGTCGTTTGATAAAGCTCGAGAAAGAATACTACAGACGCCGCATGGGATTGACTAAATGAAAATCTCAGTGTAGGTAACTTGCTTCTTTACATTTCGATGCGAAACCGGCGAATATTATATCTTATACAGCTCTCTACTCTCGACCAGACGGATTCACGAACCATATCTATTGTCCGGATGCAAGATTATTTTGGAGGGAATGGGTGCTTAATACGTGTTGATCATTGATTACGGTTGTTTATTCTTCTTTTCGCCTTGCGCTGTCACCATGTATGACCAAAAATTATCTATTCTCAAAAGCAAAATTCTCGAGGTGGTGGATACTCTTGTCGAAATGTAACCGATTTCAAGCAAGTGAACGACAAGCTAGAGGTAAATGGATTCGTCATTTCTTCGGATTTTTTATATAGAAATCGATTAATTTCTGCATATATTTCGACTTTTCAAAGCCAGGACGTCTGAATTAATTTTAGTTATAACCTTCAAGAGGTTTCGAACCCTTTGATATGATGGCTATCATGGACTTTCGAGAGTGTCAATATCTCCAAAACATCTGTAAACTATGCCTTTCCTTCGGGAGAATAGAATTGCATAGCATTTTGACTATATATCTAAAGAGAACGAAAAGGGAGGAAGATGAAAAGAAAGAAGAGCAAGGCAAAAGAAATTAGCTTACGTGCATAAGGCTTCTGATTTTATTCTTTCACTGAAACGTTTCTAGCCCCACAGACTTGGTGGCATTGAGTCTGATGCTCATTGTACTCCACTTAATTTTGATAAATGCGGTCAAGGAAGAAGGGAAACAAGACATACCCATTAAGGCTCAAGTAATTCATAAACATTATTTGATTTTTATAAAGTATTGTGGTTATTCTATGACATTATGGTGATTCGCCTTTAACCTAATAGAGACGCAATAAAATGGTATCAATCTGAAAGTAAAAAGAGCTTCGACTAGTACCCCGGCTCATGCCCAAAAAAGTAATATGCACAAAGACAATCAACAATATCAATTTTCGACATTCTGAGACAGCGAGAATGTACAATTGACGGAATGAAATCGGATTTACATGGCAGCAATAGCAACCAAGGCAACAACACCACTCAGTCCAATTGAAATACCCATTGGAGTGGAGATACTAGCGGCACCACTTCCATGAACGGGTGTTCCGGCACTGGGTGTTCCAGAATTGCCTGATGAGCCAGAACTGCCTGATGAGCCGGAGCTACCTGATGATCCAGAGCTGCCCGAAGAGCCAGAGGATGATGATGTGGTACTCGTCTGAGATGACGCTGCGCTGGTGGTTGTGTCAGATGCAGGATCTGGAATACCACCAGATCCAGAACCAGAGCTAGAGCCGGATCCAGAGGTTGATGATGAGCTGGAGGGGGCGGTGGTGGTGGCAGCGGATCCGGAGGAGCCAGAGCCGGAGCCGGAGCCAGAGCCAGAGCCAGAGCCAGAGCCAGAGCCAGAAGGACAGTAGGTAGTTGGGTCGCTGGGGTTATAGCACGTCGTACCATCAGAGCATTCGATGTATCCTGCGCCAAAGCAGCTTGCACAGCTCTTACCATAGCAGTAGTCAGTACCGGAACCAGATCCTGAACCAGACCCTGAGCCAGACCCTGAACCAGAGCCAGATCCTGATCCTGAACCAGATCCTGATCCTGAACCTGAGCCAGAGCCGGAGCCGGAAGAGGCGGAGCAGCTAGTGGTTGGATCGCTGGGGTTATAGCATGTCACACCATCAGAGCACTCAATATATCCAGGACCAAAGCAACTGGCGCAGGTGACACCATAACCGGAGCAATAGTCAGAGCCGCCGGCAGAGCCCTGGCGGGCTACCAACTGGTTGTTGGAAGTTAAGCCTTTGTACAAGGTCTTGTCGTTGCTTGTCGCAAGGATAGGCGAGCTATTTAACGTCGTCTTCTGGTAGTTCTTCTCACCGGAAACGACCGTCGCAGCGGAGAGTGCAAAGAGAAGGGAAAATTCGGTAAAACGCATTTTAGATGTCGAATGGAGCTTGATGGAGAAATAGTTGTTGTAAATGATTGAGGATGTGAGCAAGCTTGCTCGATATATACTGGCACCAAGTAGAGGATTGATAGGTGTGCTGAGGGAATGATAGGAAGGTCGGATCAGTCAATATCTCCCGGAGATAGAGGACGTGAGTCCCCGTATATAACATTTTCCCCGCTGCTTGTTTCTTTCATTCCTCCTTTTTGTCAATACGAGCTGACTGTAAGGTTGGAGAAGTGGTAGCGTTTCCTATTCGTTCCTTGAACGCAGCCTTTTTCAAAAGAGGATAAGAGACCCACGGAGGCTCGAGAAAATCTAATCAACACAGGGAACAGCCGGGGCCAAGAGCAAGTGCTAGGGAAGCAAAGCGAAGCCTCCAGACGCCAGCTGAAGAGATACGAGCCGCCAAGACGCGCAGCTGCATATTTTCACACTCATGGTGGCTTCTGAGCCCCTAAATGGAAGGACCATTCCATATTAGGTAAAGTTACCTCGTGTTGAGGAAGTCAAAGCTGCGATCTGCGTCCTATAAGCCTCCTATTTCAGCTTTCACGCACTGCGGCCTAACCCGAACAGGTGCCATTTCAAAGAGACTAATGGTGTTTAATTTAAAATGACTTTTCGTGCCCTTGTCCTGTTGAGCCGCGCTGGTGGAGCCTCTTGGCCTGGGCCTTGAAGTTGTTGTGGCAGCGCATCGACGTCCCATACCTAGCCTGGCCACTTGATCATGAGTAAGGCATTACAGTACCCAGCCTGGCGTGAGCGACGTGAGGAGTAATCTGAGTATAGCATTGTTGCTAATAGAACAAGTGAGTCCGTCAGTCCGTCAGTCGGGCAGGATTGCTCGCTTCAATTGCAGGGTTTGCACTAAACGGCACTAGTTAAGACTAGCGGCGCCCAAAGCCTGAGCCGCAAGGAATCCCACCGTCACAGTGGTGAACTCTGGCGAGATCGATTTGACAGGTGCTTCTTGGCGAATTCCGAAAAAATAAAAATAAAAATAAAAATACCGGGCTCATCTATGCCACGAATTGATCGCATTAATTGAATGTTATTGGCGCAGGTTGTAGCGGTTCTTGCCGCACTACTTCCAAGGCATTAACAACGAAGCAAAGCCTCGCAGGGGAAAAATAAACGGGGTGGTCTGATTGCTCACCGACCTAGGCTAGAACTCGGACTCTTCCCTCACACCTACAATTTATCTTTAATTTATGGCGTCGCAATAGGGAACCGAGGCACTAATCTTCTGTGACTCTGGCGCCGAGGGAGGAGTCGTAGTATAAAAGAAAAGCATTCTTATTTTTATCCTTGGTCATCGTAAAGTAACATATCCAGTTTTTGATTTGATAGAGGGGGAGAGTTTGACTCCGACACTACAGTCGTGTGATTATTAGGGTTATCTGGTCATCTGGCCATTCCTTCCACACCAGTTGACCGTGGCAGCCCTTTGATTATTTCTGCAAATCATAGCAGAAGGAAAGGTCAAGCTTCAGATAAGAATACACCCTCAATAAGTACGGAGTCAAGTCAAAACTTCGAGCTCAATGGTCCACTGACAAGATCGCAAGGTTGAATATCTTGGTCGAGGGAACGCATATTATTAGTTAGTCGGAGGCCATTTCTTCTAAAGTACCCGTGAAAAGAATCACTGGAGAAGACATCGGCCATACCAGGCCATTTGCTGCACTCCCCTGCATTATTTTTTTGCTAAACCACATATATTTACACGCAGCGCCGGAATAATGTCGGTGCGCGATTATCTTATCGGGCAGCTTCTTATCGGAGCCGTGGCTATCCGAGCATCCATCCTACCCCTCTATTGGGCTGTTGGTTGATCTGTTGATGCTTCGAATTTTCCGTTGTGACTGAAGCGAAGATAATAAATTTATTTCAAGCTCTTTTTCAGCCTGCTTTATTTGCTACAAAAAAAAAACCAAGAAATGGCGACCCCCAAGACGGCACAATTTGGTACATGGGAAAGCCCCATCAACATAGAGACCATAACTGCTGAAAGCACCAACATCATAGAAGTAACTGCAACTGTATGCAATCAACATTTTCTATGTACGACCTGAAAAAGACTAACCATGGAATGCCCGTATATGGGCGTCTCTAATGCATCAAGGCCAATGGAAAGATATATACTGTTGAGGCTCCGCCGAGCGTGGATGGACGATGCACTATCATCGAGTATCAGCAAGGCAAGAGCCGGGAGGTGCTACCGCCCGACTACAGCGCCCGAACTGCTGTGCACGGTTATGGTGGAGCTGCAATTGAAACCACTAGCAAAGGCGCGGTCATATTTGCAGACTGGAATACAAAAGGGGTCTTCTCGCTCGACCCAACTACGAAGAAGGTGACGGCTGTGCTGACTGCCGACCCTCAAGTGTTCTTTGCCGACTTTGATGTTCATCCACACCACCCTGAGTGGATTTTAGCGATTCGTGAAAATCACCACTCACAGCCGGAAGAGGAGAACTCCTTGGTCGCCATAAATTCTGCGGACCAAACCATACATGTTTTAGCTTCAGGGGCCGACTTCTACACATCCCCTCGCTTTAGTCCGACTGGAGACCGCATCTCTTGGACCCAATGGAATCACCCAGATATGCCATGGACAGGTACAAAGCTGTTTGTGGGGTACTGGAAAGGAGATGGAACGTTGAGTGACGTCAAGGAGATTGATGGTGAAGCCCGCAATGTAAGCATCAATCAACCAAAATGGGGACCCGACGGAACACTGTTCTACATAAGCGATCGCTCCGGCTATTGGCAACTACAAGCTTTACGTCAAGACTCAGCGAAGCCTGAAACTATTATTCTTGATGGCCTTGAGAAAGGTGAGTTCTCCTCACCGGAATGGCGTCTAGGCAGGTAAGAATGAAAAACCGACTAAAGTCATTATGTTAAATAACATGGTTATTAGCTCCACCTTTATTTCTCTCACCAGCGATACTATTGTTGCTACATGGATAAAGGATGCAAAAGAGACCCTTATCTCGATTGATCTACCAAGCTCAAAGTATTCCGTATTGTCGGATAGCCTCACAGGCATTAATGGCCACGCCGTACACCGACTCTCCGACACCAGCTTTGTTGTCATAGCAGACAGCCCAACCGTACCTAAAGCGCTCTACCATGTGGAGCTCAGTCAACCTCGTCTCAAAATTGATATTCTCAAGTCGTCACTTCCTCTAGATATACCTGATGTATTCTATTCACAGGCAGAACATATTTCATTTCCACGAACTGAAGGCTCCGACCAGTTAAACACGACTTCTCATGCCTTTTACCTTCCCCCTAAGAATGCGAACTATGTTGGTACACCGGGAGCCCTTCCGCCTTTGATTATAGACATGCATGGTGGTCCAACGACCCACACAAGCCCTGGTTTGGCACTCACATATCAGTATTATACTTCTCGTGGATATGCTGTGGCTCTACCCAACTACGCTGGCTCTTCTGGATATGGACGAAAGTATCGGGACTTGCTAGATGGCGCATGGGGGGCTCTGGATCCAGCTGATGCTGCAAGCTGTGTCACATATCTTGTCAAAACAGGCCGAGTGGATGGGTCACGTGTAGGTATCATGGGCGGTAGCTCCGGGGGCCATGCGGCCTTGGAGGCTATCTGGATGTTTCCATCAGTCTGGTCAGCTGCCGTCAGTCGGTATGGCATTAGTGATCTCGAAATTCTCGTTGAGGACACACACAAGTTTGAGAAGCATTATGCTTTCCGCTTGCTCTTTGCGGATAATGTACCGGATGACGAGGACCAACGCCGCCGCGTATATCGACAGCGTAGCCCGCGTTTTCACTCTAAAGAGATCCGGGCACCTGTGTTGCTGTTACAGGGAAGCGAAGATAGGGTGGTTCCCCCAAATCAAACGGAAATGATGGTGCGAAGCATTACTGAGAATGGCGGAATCGCAAAAATGACCCTTTTTGAAGGAGAAGGACATGGGTTCCGAGGAAAAGAAAACCAACGCAGGGCTTTGGAGGAACAGGATCAATGGTGGCAGAAGTATTTGGTTCGAGCAGAGGAGGCTTAGTTTACCATTCAACTGTTATTCGCAAAATAAAAGGCATTACCCTAACCATATGCAAATAAAAGGCCTGTCTTAACCTTTGTTGTACTCATTCGTAGTGCATTGATCTCAAAATCAAAATCAAATATATTTTGGAAGGGGTCTTCGGAGTGGCTTTTTCAAAATGCACTGGTCTGTAAACACTATTCGTCAATCTTTAGCGCCATCACGAAGAGAAATATCGTCAAGTAAGTATTTCATGCCAACAGAATATTGATAAAGGATCAATGATTAAGCAGGCCGCCTGATTGTTTGTGTTCAGGTAAATCACGTGCGCTACGCAATATGGCGTGAACAAACCATCAACGCCTGAGCTGTGTTTGTTTGGCGGCCACTTTCACGTCGCTAAAGATACAATCATGGTTTCATTGTCCGTCTCGAGAAGTACGATATCCGGTGTCATGTATCAACTAGAAGGGTGTACTTTTCAAGTGACGATGGCAGATCAGACACAGTCGCCGAAGGTGGCAAAATCACAATTAGGTTCGATCACCTTTTTTACCTTTTCGGAGTTTACAGGTGACAGGTTCTAATATTGAGCTTTCAGGATGTTTAGTATGCCGATCTAGAAAGGTATGATCATTCTGGTCCAAATAAATTGGTCTAATATATACTCTTGGAACATCCTTTGTATTTATTAATATCCATTTGACAGGTTAAATGCGGCAGAGAAGCTGACGAATGTAACGATTGTGTTCGGCTTGGGGTTAAATGCCCCGGATATCAAAATTTAAGTAACGAGCTTTCTCGGGACGACATACACTCATGCGTTGCGAACATTTATCAGAACTCTGGCATTGAAAAGAGACGGATAGGGTCATGCAATTAATGCAAAGCCTCTAAAACAAATGTTCCCGTGGTCTTCTGAAGTGCCGCCGATGTATTTAAAAACGCCTTAGCTGCATGTACCCTGCTCAAGCTCTGCACTATATACCTGGAGGTCGCTCACAGGCATCATCCCCGAGAAAAGATTAAGATTACTCTTTGACTTGTTCTTTGAGCGCATAGCGACACTTCGCTAATTTGGATTTATCCAAAAAACATCTTCCTTACAATCTTTTGGTAAGGGATCGCTGATAGAAGATTACGGAGAAGCACTTGTACTGATAATATCTGCTTTGGGTGTGAGGTATTTAATTCTTCTTTTCGCTGCCACTCATCATTTACTGAGTGTTTAAAGGATGTACCATCATGAAAATATCTCAGTTGCAGTTAATTATGCCGAGAATCCCCCGCGTCATTCATGAGTAGTTCGAGCGCAGGAGCTTGCTATGCGTGGCATCTCTTGTCCTTCCGTCACGACTGTGAAGGTAAGTCAATATTGGCTACAGCTTGTTCTAGGCTGACAACATTGACATATAAATGTTGTTAGACCATGATTCTTATCTCGGAATATGCCACGAGGGCTGATGAGCGTGCACTCACTTTTGTCACATTGGGGTGTTGTTACCAGATCATGCGACTACTAGGACTAAATTCTCCCGATAAGATCGACGAACCGCAGAATTCAGATGACTTGAGACGCAAAGGGACCGAGCGTAAATTGCTCTGGTCATGCTTTATTTTGGATAGCTTTTGTACCGGAGTCACCCCGATGGTACGTCAAAGACTGCTGCAATCAAAGACAATCTAACTGAGCTACAGGCCTCTATCCCAAAACCGTATCGAGGACGCGAAAAGGCAAATGATAAAGCTCCACAACGGTGATTCAGAAGCTGAAATTGATTTTAAAATCGAGGCACCTCAGCATGCACAGTCCATAGAGCGCAAGGGCTCTTGGTCTGAAGTTTTCAACAAAGATAACCGAACTCGTACATTGGTTGCTGTGATCGCGATGTTTGGACAGCAGATAACTGGTCAGGTTTTCGCAAGTCAATACTCGGCTATCTTTTTCCAGTCGGAGGGCTTCAAAAACCAGGCATTTCTTTTCAACATGCTCACAAATGTTGCGTCACTTGTCTATCTCATTAGCACTTGGTTTATCATTGATCAAGTTAGTAGACGAATAATGTTGCTTGTACGTGGATCGGGAATAGCTATTTTCATGTTCATCGTCGGTGCAATTGGGGTGTTAAGCCAATCCTAACCCGTCTGAGAATAAAGTATTGGTATGTCTCCTGAGAGTCTAGTGAATTATTGGTGGTATTTATTAACATTGCTTTGATCAGGTCGCATCTTTTATTCTCTACAGTTGCGCCTATAGCTTATCATGGGCACCTTGGTAAGTGGTAATTTCCGGGTTTTCACCTCTCCTAGGCTAGTAAACAAAAGGTCCTACGTATTCGTTAGCGAGGCAGCATCGACGCACATAAAGGAGGAACAAACCTTCTGGATGGTGTTATTTCAATCCTCACAACTTTCGTGACTAGTTTTACGGTGCCTTATCTGCTCAAGGCACCGTACGCTGATCTAGGGGCCAGAGTTTGGTTTATATACGAGTCTTTGTGCACAATGATGGTTGTAGTTGCGTATTTCTTCATTCCAGAGCCAGAATGTCGTAGCTGAGAAAAATTTGATCAACTGTTTGCATCTGCTCGGCCATTCAGGGAATTCTCAAGTATGGAGACGACACCGGTAGACGAGCCGCATCGGGAGCTGGGTGTAGATACGAAGCATTAAGCAACGAATACTAGTGTGCATGTCAGTGGGACCTGAGCGATTTTAATTGGGCATACTATTTGATCTACAAGCTACATTTTAGAAGCAAAAGAGATATCTATACCATTGACCGATACTAAAAAAAAGAAAACCATCTAACTTTCAGATGATTATGGTCATAACGATTCAGATGTGAGACACAACATTGAAGTCAATCACAGGGATGCTATCTCTATCAAGTAATCAATTTATGTTATCGAACACTGTCAATTTTGAACATATTAATATTTATATTATATCCAGTAGCTATAGAAATCAACTCCATAGCCTTTAAATACTTAAATATACAAATACATTTCTCTTTCGTAAAATGTAAAGACGAGCACACAACAGTATTTGTTTTATCATTCCTCCAGATAATCGATAAAATTAACCGACAGAAGCGAAAATACCGACCAGAGTAGCTGCCAGGGGCAGTAAACTCCTTACTGCGTTGAGTGAGGTCCAGCTCTGTAACAATCCCTGCACCTCCACAGCGGGGTTTTCGCCAGACATAGCATCAGGTGCAGTATTAGCTTTCTCATGCAGAGCATTATTAGTACTAATCATTCCAATTAAAGTAAATGGAACAATGCTCATAACGATAATCGCTGCTGTAGAGTACAGAGCCGACGCATTCGGGCTGACTAGTTGGTACAAGGACGAGCCTGACCGCACTGACCATGCGAGATAGAGATACCCAGATGCTGTCAAAACGGAGATTGGTGGATTTTGTGTTTTCCCGTGGTTGTATAATGTTGCCCATAGTTTGGTTGCTTGTGATGTCGACAATTGACCATCTTTGTGGTGTTGGCTGAGAGATGGAACAACGCTTAGGCTGTATGATGCAATGTTACCTATATATAAAATTAGTTGGATATGGAAATTAAATATGGATCTAATGCTCACCAGCTAGCCAGGCAGAGCCCGCCAGGCCAACTGCCTGTGCAACACGATAATCCACTGGGAGCTCGCTCATTATTTTTGTATTCCTGGTATAAAGTGATATACGAAAGCATACAGAATTCGAAGGTCGAGGTGTATGTTATAAGTATCAACGTGTGATATGAAAATGTTACACCGAATTGCAGATTTCAAGGCCCAGACAATCTAATATATAATCGGCTGTTGATATTATTGAGTGACCCGTCGGCCTCGTGCTTGTTGGGATGCCGATAAAAGTCGTAAAAAATTAGGGGATGGATCCTCAGCTCCATACGGCATACGCTAAAGTTTTGCACATGTTTGAGCCCATCATTGAAGCACACCTCGTCGCTAGACACCAACCTTATTAGAGCTTGCGCCCCCTAGCCTCACCCTAAAGGCCTTGAAAGCGCCGGCATTACGGTGCCTCGCAAGGCCGAGGATTACACAACCATAGATCATACAAGTACGACCAACATCTTCAAGCATAGTTGGAATTAAACAATAGGTCTGGAGAATTTCGAATTTCGACTCAGCATTAATACGTAATAATATGCAAGATCCCCGAAAAATTTCGAAGCATCTACGTCCAGCAACTCTCTAGACAACTAAGATCGGCGTCGGAGCCTAAGGCATGCCGACCGACGCTCGCGCTTTAACTGTGTACTTGTTAGAAGTCACAATGCTTATCTAGAAATTTAATTCTTTAAATAGAAAAAAAAATTTACTTAATTCCATCGACACCGAGCCAGCCACGTATGCATATCCTGAGCTTTCAATCTCGTTTCTTTAAGTCGGGTGTCATTATTCATCGCCCTTGCGGTTGGGATGAAACAAGGCCCGTACTTTGGCGAGCTTCCAGTTCTGTGAGAGAAGAAGTTTGAATGAAATGACTATCGAGCTACAGTGGAACTACGTGGAAATATTCTCTTTTTCGTATTGGAGTGAGATCTCCTTTTGTAGACATAAGCATAATTTCGTCTGCTTCAGAACTTACTAGAAGATGTATTTACTAGTGTTGGAAATCGTACGCATTAAACGTCTAGATAGCCTTAAGAGGGACGAATGCGAAATATGAAATGACACTGGGTTAACCTGATATAGTTGGGGCGTAGCGTCTCATTACTAGTGATGCAGTCCCCGCCGCCCCGCATGTTAAAGAACGATTGCGCTGCAGGCTGCAGCAAATATCAGTTCTGTCAACTAAAAAAATCGATTAACATCAATCTTTGCAGCAACAGCAAGTCCAATACAGTAAAAAAGATTTCAAAATTTAGCAGCATCGAACATCTTCTGAGACAAAGGCATTGCATGATATATTAAATTGAGGCGAGCCACAGCCTCTACTACGGATTATCATTTTGCAATCTATAGCAACTGAGCACGTTTTATTTCTCGGTGTCGATATACTGGTCTTTCTTTCTTTTTATAAAACGTTGCGCGCACCCGAAGCATTTACTCGGAAATGGAGTTTATCCACTCCCTACTCTCAACATGGTCTTCAACCGCTCCTTCACCAACCTCCTTCCCCCAATTCGCTCGTCTCCCGCCTGAAGTACGGACGATAATTTGGGAATATGCCATGGAATCGCGAATCATCCCCATAGAATGGCACTGTAGAAGACTCGATACACCTGCAGCCTCGTCCGAAGGTATACAGGATGGTGGTGTGAACCAAAGAATGGCGATCACTACCTGTACATTGGGACCGAAATTTTGCCAATGTAGGAGTTTTCCACCCAGCTCGCCACACACTGTGGCACTTCCTTCTGTTTTTTTCGTCTGTCGAGAAAGCAGAAATGTTACCCGGAGACATTACTCAGCACATTTTGATAAGTATTACGATGTACATGGCCGTCCTCTAGTAAGCCCTTCAGCTGACAGAGAGACTACGGAGGAAGATGGTGATGAAACAACTCCCCAACCGAAAATAGGAGCTTTTATCAATCCCGCCGTGGACGGCATTTATCTGAAGTTTAAAGTGACGTCAGTAAGCGAGATTGTCAACTTGCATCAGTTTGTTGAAATCATGGTGAAAGAAGCGGCCTGTATAACAAAGATTGTGGTTAAGCCTACCATTATTCTACGCCCATATATGTGGTGGCAGAAGGAAAGATTCCAGAAGTGGAGAAATTGGGGTCCGGATGGGCACTGGGTTCCTCCGGGGTTGCACAGACTCAAGAAGCTCAGAGAAGTAGTGGTGCTAATAGATGGAAGTGTTTCTTCCAAGATGCTTCCAACGGAGTGGCGAGAGAGGACTGCGTCAATTTGGAGTGAAGAATTGGAGAAGACGAGGCTAGATTGGCCAATTGAGTGGGAAGGTAATATGCCTCCATTGAGATTTCAGTCACATTTGTAAAAAACGGCTAGAAATTACCATTTTTAATACTTGAATACTTTCCAAAATGCAGCTACTATATCTCCCAAGTAACTGGCAGTCTGGACCGGTTGAACAATACCATTAGAATTTTAGCATGATGACTATTAGGTGTTGAAAATCACTCTGTAAGAGCAAGTAGCCTTCGTTTTAGGTGTTAAAAGCATTTACAATTACATATACCAAGTTAATTAATCAATACATTCTCTTAATATAATTTACATCATGAATGAAGATAAAGTAAGCCTAGAAAGTAATTTAGTAAAAATCGATAAAAATTTCTTTGGATAGCGTACCTGTCAAATGGCCTCTTGCAAGTCGTTAAAAGGGCTCTACAGGTATATCGCTGTACAAAAAAGGTTTCTCGCCCCTCAACTGTCTCCATCTGTTTGTGGATTCTATCAACTCATTACACCCTGTAAGCACCCAACCCCATTTCTTTAAGAAGCCCTCCATAACCTCCCACGACTTTATATCCCATGGTTCTCCCCAGACAACGAGGCCATTCCTCTCGTCATGGGGTTCGAGTTGATCATCCCACATGGCACCTACTACATCATCGCACAGGTCACAGAAATCAAATCTCCCTTGAAGACATATCAAGTTATCACGTAACGCCGGCAACGGAAATATATCCATCCACGAGTGATGGAAGACTGAGCGTTGCAAGGCAGTTGGCATTAGGGCCGGTGGGATGTGGTTGGGGAGAGGCAAAGCCGATACTTTAATATTCGGCTCATCGCAAATAAAAACATCTGGCAGAGAGAGAATGGTCATGTTGGTGACAAGGGCACGAAAGACATTGAATTGCACCAGGGATAGAAGGTGATCAACCGATAGAGGAAGCGCGAATGGAAGGATTTCCGCATTCGTAATTATCGGGCTTCGGGATAACATGCCTGCCGGTATGTGATTGCCCCGAGATTGCATCAAGAAAGTAGAAGCCACATATTGCTCCTTACGACGTCCTACGCCAGTGATCAGTAAAAAGATCGGACCACCAACCGGTGGCTTCCTTGTCGGATATATGGCTTACGCCTTGCCCTTTGATTGAGGCGGTTCTGAAGGCGACGCCGCACTTTTGCGTCCGTCATGCCCGTCCAATTCTCATCATGAATCACGGCCTTGGCGGAAGTTGTTAGAAGATGCTGATCTACGACGAGACAAGTCTAGCTTACATCATACATAGGCTTCATCGGCTGCAGCCTGACGGTACTCTCCATGGTCTCCCCTGATTCACGGCCTCGTACTATGCTTCTGGCTCGAATGGAAGTCCAGCAAGCGCTTTTGCTGTGCAGACTGCTGACAGTAGCTCGAAAGCTCCAAGGCGGACACAGATGACGAAGCGAGTAAGTCACATGACTGAAGCCGTTTGGTCTGTATACGGTTAGAGTGGCGCTAGTACACACTTTAATGCAGGTTGCTGACAGCCACCGCTAAACCCATTCTGGTCATCATCAATCGTTTGCAGGGCAACTTGAATAATGTGATTATTTGGTGCCTCTGTGAAGATGTACCGAACTCCGACTTTCTATGCAAAACCGAGAGACCGAGATAATTCGGCAGGAATATAAATATGGTCTTCTCAACCCTTGCTTGGCCTTGGCTACGATTACTTCAATATTAACTTCAACTACTATCAACTTCTCAGCATCAACGCACATGCACTAGTCACAACATATCCACATACGCTCTCAATAATGTCAGAAAAACCGCTTGTCCTGGTAACCGGAGGAACTGGTTTTCTCGCCATCTGGGTTATTGTCCATCTCTATAAAAAAGACTATCGCGTCCGTACAACTGTTCGGTCGCTATCGCGTGCCGATGGCATCAAGGCTCAGCTACGCGAAGCAGGAATTGAGGAATCGAAGATATCGTCACTAGAAGTCTACGAAGCTGATCTGCTCAAAGACGGTGGATGGACTGAGGCCATGAAAGGTGTCATGTTTGTTCAACACGTTGCGTCTCCGTTCCCGTCGAGCCTGCCAAAACATGAAAATGATCTCATAATCCCTGCACGTGATGGAACTCTCCGTGTACTTCGGGCTGCTCGTGATGCCAAGTCTGTTCATCGGGTTGTGGTAACTAGCAGCTTTGCAGCCATCGCATACGGCCATGATAACGAATACCCCGAATTGTATAAGTACACGGAGAAAGAATGGAGTAATCTTGAGTCCAAGGATACCTCCGCATATCCAAAATCCAAAACTCTAGCTGAACAAGCTGCGTGGAACTTTATCGAAAAGGAGGGTGGCAGTCTCGAGCTTACCGTCATAAACCCAGTTGGTATCTTTGGCCCCGTACTGGGAAAAGACGTGGGTACTAGTGCTCGGGCAGTCACTGAGCTTTTGGAAGGCAGTGTACCAGGGATTCCTCAGTTAAGCTTTCAGGTAGTCGATGTTCGTGATTGCGCCGACCTCCATCTCCGAGCGATGAAGAATCCTAACGCGAAGGGAGAGAGATTCATAGGGGTCGGAGAAGGAACTATCTGGATGGCGGATATTGCAAAATTGCTGAGGAAAAATCTAGGTGATAAAGCTCAGAAAGTACCCAAGTTTGTTTTTCCCAATTCTTTCGTCCGCATACTCAGCCTTTTTATGCCTGTTGTCCGTTTGATTGTTAAAGAACTAGGAAAAGAAAAGTTGGCCAGCAATGCTAAAGCTAAGGAGATTTTGGGATGGCAATGGCAATATAACAACGAGGAAGCTATTATGGCATTAGCAAACAGTCTCATCAAACTGGGAGCTGTCAAAATCTGACAAATTTTTGTTCTTCTTGTTTTTTAAACATCCCCCTGCCCTTGATTATATGCATAAAACCATCTACTATTCAATGATGAATGCTTAATTACAGTTAATTTACTATTAACTATGTACCAAAATTGTCAATAATGCTATCAATATGCCTTTCTACAAAGAAGAATCAAAACAGAACAAGTGAAATTAAACCTTTATATATGGATACCTTCGACACATGTTTTCTAAATGACAGTGGGTGAACATCGTGAGAGGAACAAACCTGGTATGTAGAGACTGCATTTGAAGTCTGGGGAAACTAACAACTGGAAAACGAATTTGCCGTCTGGAAGGAGAAAGCATCATGCCTGGGCAGTTTCTAGTTTGGCCAGATTTCTTTTGTAAATACGAAACGATTATTGATCCAGATCCAGTGTAAAATCTAATTTTCAGAGACGGATATCGATGTCGATCAGGTCGTAATCATGATGAAAACAGCTGAGAGGCCCAGTGCACCTGAATTCCAGATGAAAAGGGGAGCAAGTATAGACCGACGAACTCATTGAGGAGGGGAAGGCTACTTATATCTTCATTAAGTTCCCTGTGATATTGCTCGAACCAGGACAGTTTCGGTATGACCAGCTCCTCCAATTGAAAATCCAGGTGGTGGTAAATATCATCCAATTCGCGAGAACGGTAGGAGCTTCCCGGATTTACGTCATCTTCAGGCTCGACACGAATCATTAGAGAATACATGTTATACCATCGACGTTCGATCCGAATTGATGCAAACTCTGATATAGCATGCAGCGCCTGCTTGGCATCTTCCGAGAGACGACCTTCATCAAGAGGAATGTCTGTTTCTCTCGCCCATTGCGCAGTGTTCTAGTAGATATATACGTAATTGATAGATATGTTATCAGAGGACGTGGTGTTGGTTGGCAAAGTTGTCGTCGATGGATGTGTTATCAGTAGACGTATTGGGCACTAGAATAATATTCAAAAGACTCTAGCAAATTGGGTAGACTTATGATATGTTTAAATTTTGCTATTGGAGATATTCTGCTTCAATATGTCTGAATTAAGCAAGAGGAGTTTATGAATTTACGTTCTATCAAAAGTAGATATACTCGAGGAAGACTTTTGCACTTATACATTTAAAAGGGACTTAAAAATCGTTAAACGTATTTTGGGTTAGAACAATCCTTTCGGACATGTTCGATTTCTCCTTTTCATACATACAAAACACCCCATATTGATTATATAAAGCTGGGATGCTATCTTTTATCATAGCTGAAGATGTTTTTTGTTGAATCCATTCGTTCATTCCTTTAGGCTCAAATTGGAACACATGTTGAAAATTCAGCCTTTCACTAACATCATTGTCGCAGACAATGGGCTCTAGACACAATAGCTATGTATTAATAGAAGAAAACAAAACAATGACACATAAGGAGTGAATTATTGCTCACTTCCTTTTAGAAATGGAATGTCCCTACTGAAATAGCAAAAAGAAAAGACTGCATAGTCTCCTTTCACTTAGAAACCATTATGACTGTCCTTTTCATGTGGGATCATACAATGAATTTTATAGCCAACCTCCACATTCTTACCATATATTGTTTGGAAGCTATCGTTAGAGTATAGATTCAATAGTATATTAGAAAGGTAAATTAATTGAAAAGAAAAAAGCAGAACTCTATTGGAGGGACGGATATTGATCCACTGATTGCTACGGGAGACAGCACAAGATTTCTTAACGTATTGAATAATGCACCTTCTACAATACTACCTTTTGAGAAGCCAGCTTGTGTAGTCAGAAAATATATTATAAAGAATCAGATAAAGGAGACTGAAGTATGATAGGGAGCTCCTATTGGTTGGAAAAAGAAGGCTACCTTATTGGTTGAAAGTATCTTGTGGTGTGACCCTAGGATAAACTATGCTATACCGCTTTGAGGAAATCGCGCGAGCCATCTTAACCCTTTCCGCTTTGGGTAAAGAGCCATCATTATTTACTACCACCTGACCAATGAGAGAGTGCTATGTTTGATAGATTCAAAAGAAACGGGGGATGTTAAAGGAGATAACATGTACATCCGAGCAGGCCCATGAATATTGCTATGAATTCATGGACCAGTTCGTCCGCGAATAGTTTTGGGGGGTGCCTGTGCATGGCCGGATTCAAGATATAAAGGAGAGGAAATGTCCGCATAGGTTTTGCTAGCATTCCATTAAACCATCCTCAAGAACTACAGCAGTTTGGCAGTTACAGTATCGATAAAACAACTGACAGTAATCAATTTTAAGAAGTTTTATTCAGACTTGCCACTTGATAGACTATACATTATGTTTCGCTTTCCTATCCCCCCTTCTCTCCAAAAGTCCCTCAGCGCTACAAAGGTGGAATATGTCAAACTAGGCAATTCCGGCTTAAGAGTCTCATGGCCAATTCTGGGAGCAATGTCATTTGGTGCTTCTCCAATGGCTGCATGGCTTTTAGATGAAGAGGCAGCCTTCAAGGTCCTAGAAGCCGCTTATGACTGCGGAATTAATACGTGGGACACAGCTAATGCATACTCTAATGGCCTGAGCGAGGAAATTATTGGAAATTTCATTAAGAAGTTTGAGATTCCGAGAGAAAGGGTCGTCATCATGACCAAGTGCGCTTTCCACGTTGGTGAAGAGCAGGATGTGATTGGGGCAGTGTTTTCAGAGCAGTTGAACCAGAGCAAGGACTATGTGAACCAGGGAGGTGAGCTCTTGCTTGAGACATAATACATATAGTCCATTAAAAGTCTGACAGATAAGCAGGGTTGACACGCATGGCAATTTTCAAGGCAGTCGACGATTCACTCGAACGACTCGGCACGAAATATATCGATCTCCTACAAATTCAGCGCTACGATGCCTCAACTCCCCCGGAAGAAACAATGAAAGCCTTGCATGACCTTGTCCAGGCCGGCAAAGTGCGCTACCTTGGTGCAAGCTCGATGTGGGCAACGCAATTCGCCCAGCTGCAGTTTATCGCTGAAAGGAACAACTGGACAAAATTTATCAGCATGCAGAATTACTATAACCTCTGCTATCGTGAGGAAGAGCGTGAGATGAATCGTTTTTGCAAAGAGACTGGTGTTGGTCTTATTCCATGGTCTCCCCTGTATGCAGGGCGTCTGGCACGTCCAGTAGGATATGACAAGTCAGCTCGTTCAAAAAGACCATCACCACACCATCCTAGTATCACATCTAATGATGAAGAGATCATTAATCGAGTAGAGAAAATAGCTACCAAAAATGGATGGAAAATGAGCGAAGTTGCTTTGGTATGGCATAAGCGCAAGGGAACAGTGCCTATTGTGGGATTTAATTCGATCGAGAGAATCGAGGAAGCTGCCGGTTTGCGCGGTAAACTGTTAACAGATGAGGATATTGCCTATCTGGAAGAGCCCTATATAGCTAGACCAGTAGCCGGGCATTCTTGAGCGGTGCTTAGACTGAGAAAAAACCCCAATCACGGGACTTGTCTGCTAGAAACCGCAATCCAAAATCTCCTCGAACGACTCAAGTATCGCTGTCCCTATAATGCCGGATATCGTAGCTAAAACGTTTCGTAGCCATTTCTTTTGAGCTAGAGGCACCATCTCAGTATGGACAACCACAGCCAATGGCCAAGCAAGAATGGTGGCCATCTTAGACATAATGCCGGGGTCTAGTTCTGAAAAGGCCGTTGTTCCTCGCTCGGTAATATCTCTTTCATGCTTGTCACGGTAAAGATAGTAAGGAGACAAAAAGAACCCAACACTGTAACAAATATCTGCAGTGAGATACTTGATAGTCTCACAACATATCCCTAGTTGCACATCTAAAAATGGGTCACAAAAAAATTGGCCAGAAGAAAGGAGTCGTGCGCGAATGCTATTTACAATAACACGAATTGCTCGATAGCGATTCCACATGACCGCATGGCCATGAGTTGTGTAGCTATCATTTCGGCCATTATAGCAGAACCTGTCTAGCTCTGCTTGATTTAGGCGATTTATGGTATGAGCTGCGAAATTCCACTGCCCCGAAAGATTGTGAGACCATGCCGCAAGCGCAGCATCCAAACTCCCCGCCTCTATGAGTAAATTATTGACTATAGTTGCATCTGTTGTAATTCCATAGCTAAAGTCTCGAGAAAGACTTTTAAACCTAGATCGAAGGGAGGTAACAGATATCATGAGCATGTCAAGCTTAAGTTTGGGGTCTTCCGAATTATGTAATTCCTCGTCTTCGAGCCATTTATCGACAGCCACCCCTCCAACTATGTAAGCGCGGATCTAGATATAAGATTAGAACTTCTCAGATGGGTGGTCATGACCATGCCAGAGATGCTTACCACAGGCCGTCGAAGAGCCACATCGAGAGGAGTATGTTGATGATATCCTCGTTGTTTGCGTGCTAGCAGTAGAGCTGCTGTTCCTCTATGATGGCCTGCTTTCTTTCCGACATAATGCGATGAATTTGACGGAGATCGCACCCATTCCCTAGGGATGACATTCTATATGCGTGGTTAAGGCCATGATATTATAGGACCTAGCAGAAGGAAATTAGACATACGTCATATGTGTCCAGTAGCATAGTCGCCATAAGAAGTTGGTCAATAGTCTTATCCGATAGATCTTGAATATCCCTCCGAATATGCGTACAGCTCTGGGAGTAATATTTACGCGAAGACTCAACGATTTCACTTGATCGTTGAACTTGCCCAAACATCGCCAGGGAGAATGACATGACCGCCGAATGAAGGCTCGAGTCTGGTCGCAAACTGTCCCAATTGTAGATTGCGTAGGCTCCATACTCGAGAGATATATCAAGTAAATCGTCAGGCCATTTTGTAAAAGTCTTTATCCAATAGTGCAAGGCATAGTGCTCTACAGGAAGTGATAAAGTACGTGATAATACCGAGCATCTTATAAGGTTCCGTGAATTATTATCAGTCCCATTTCGTAACTTGCGCGGCCGCCGTGGCTTGCCCTGAGCAAAGGCATTTTCGCTTCTAAAATGCAAACCAGGCTCCGAATATGGGCCCCAAATGCAGACCCTACTTGCTTTATGGCATTGGCCACAGCTTGGCTGAGCGAAATCGCACTAGTATAGGTATTATCGGCTTAGCAACCTCTTTATGGATAAGGAAATTATTGGAAAATGGAGACTGCACTAACCTTTACCCGTCGCTTCTTGCATGTGAGACACCGTGAGCTTGGAAATACCATTTTATTGTCTCATTCGTTCCAATTTCTAGAATATGGCCTGCTGAAGCAATTCAAAATTTCAAAAAGTGGTCACGTTAAGCTACCGCCCGGCGATAGTGTTATCGCCGAGAGCCCCGAATTATCCTACCAAAGGCCTTTTCTACGGACGAGTAGGAACCTGATAATTAAGGAAATGGTAACCCATTATCACGTGAGAATGACTAGAAAAATGATATTTAGAGCACGTGACAGGGCGAGACTTTATTAACGAATACTATGGTGAAGATGGGCCAATTCATCTCACTACGGGGAGCAAATCAAAGCGAGGCGGGCGAATCGACATCGGAATTGTCTGCTCTCTGTTCTCGAGAGACGCCTTCCAGCCTATACAAAGCTCCAATTTGCGACGTCGCTGCCCTAGAATCCACTTGCGTACAAACCAAGGTTGCCATGTCCGAAGTTGATAAGCAGCATATCTTCCTGTGATATAGTCCAATTCCTTCAATGTACGTTCTTTTGTTTCTGGCAAGAAGAGATATAGGACAACGAAAGTGAAAGTTAATTTGCTGATATTAACTGTTGACTTTCGTAAGAATTTTGACAACATAGAAACAGTATGGATAAAAACATCAAAGTGGTCACACCAACTGGTATGAGCACTAGACCTTGTCGAAGAAGGAATATGATGTTTGTAAGCTCGGTGACATAATTGCAGAATGAAATCAAACTTCACTTTTTCAATAAAATAATTCAAATAGAACCGAAAATTTATATATTCTTCTTGCGCCAGGCCGCCTCGGTTATAGGTAGACTTCATCGGGCTTTCTCAAAATCGACTCGTACAGATTTTGCGAATTCAGAGTCAGCCAAAATTCGGCATGCCACTGCAGCCATTCCAGTGGCACATACAAGACTTCGTTTGTGACCCTCTGTAGACCCTGCACCAGAGGTAAAGCCATGCGTATGGTTTCCGGCCCCGCCTTCGGTTGGAATTGGGAATAGGGCATGGAGCCCGGGTACAACGTGCATGACATTTCCTGTGCACATGATAAGAGTTGACAAATCTTGGAGGAATTTCAATAGTACTTACCCATGTCGGTCGAAGCGCCATCAAGAGACCCCTTTACTCCACGATCGTCAAGCGCACACTCTTGACCAATGGCATTCAAAGTTGCCGCATAAGTTTCGCAAATAGGCTGATTATTTTTCAACTCCATGTAATTGTTGATCCTACAATACCCCCAGTCACTTCAATTCAACGTCAAATCATGAAAAGCAACAATGTCAACTCACCATTCATAATCGACCTTACACCCAGTTGCCTTCGCAGCTCCTTCAAAGCAGTTAATCACTCGATCAGTCAATGGCTTCAACGTTTTCGTATCTGGCGACCGAATATAGTACTCTAGCACTGCTTCATTCGGGATCACGTTTGGACGATGGCCACCATTTGAGATAATTCCGTGGACCCGTTGTGTGGGAAGAATTTGCTGTCGCAACATTGAGACATTCACATAGGAGGACACCACAGCATCAAGGGCATTGACTCCCTCCCACGGGGTGCCGGCCGCGTGCGCAGTCGTTCCACTGAATTTCACTCTGACCTTGTTGTTAGCTAGAAAGCCTTCCGGTCCTGCTGTCTGTAGACCCTGAACGGAAGCATCGTTGTGACCTAGTGTGACAGGGTGGACCATGAGACAAGCATCAACTGCGTTGTATGCTCCGGCATCGATGAGCTTCAATTTACCGCCACCACCTTCTTCTGCTGGTGTGCCGAGTAGTCTGACCGTATACCCCGGTAGGTCCGAAAAGCTTTTCTGCATCGCCTCTACAGTAGCAATAAAGGCAGCGATGGAGCTTGTCGCGATCAGGTTGTGACCACAGGCATGGCCGACTCCAGGTAAAGCGTCGTACTCCGCATTAAAGACTATCACTCGCCCGCCATTTCCATGTTTATACTCTATTTCAAAAGATGTATCGAGGCCATACGTTTTTCGACGAACCCCATAGTTTGGTGAAAGTGTCTGTTTAGATAGACTATCGAAAAGCGCGCAAATATTGTCATGCGCGCTGAATTCATTGTAAGCAAGCTCTGGATTTGACCATATCTAAAAATAATGATAGAAGTCAACATTTGAGAATCAATATATGCCCACTACGCTCATTCTTATTGTTACCGTACTTTTTGGTTGATCTCCTGAAGCTGGTTACCGTGATTTTGAAGGGATGCTTGGATTGCCCTGATCAACTGTTTGCTGACGAAATCGGTCATGCTGTTTCTTCTGGTTTTATTCAATCATCGGCATAATACCATTGAAAAAATTGAGTTGGGAAGATAAGCATGGGTCATCAGTTGCTGTATCAATCTGACGTATGGTTTCCCCGCATTGAACTTTCCCCTCCACCCAATCACACATGATCGTGAATCTCATGTCGGAGCTATTCCATTTTATCCCAATTTAGTCTGAGGAGTTCGGGAGGGATGAAGGAGAAAAATATATCGACCAGTGTCAAACGCATGTATTTTTCATTGCTGTATGACATTCGTTGCTACCTAGGGCTCTTGTAATCTCTTGTAATCAATTTCAGATAAATTTTCTTTTGTAGTGTTCTTTTAAGGTAACGAATAACGCACTTTGTCAAAAGCAATCAGTTGTGCAAATGTATATTAGAGTACCATCTCAGCAACAGAAACGCGTTGAAATGTGTAACATGAATCCAATACGCGCTTCGACGCGGTTTAGTTCGAGTTGGGAGAAATAGGGATCACATTTGGTGCGTGGGTGCAAGATTTATTTCCTGGCAATAATATATATAGAATAAGGACCAATAAGAATTCAAACTAAAAATCACCAGCCAGTCTACTTTAATTCCAGCACCCGCACCCTAAATTCCACACCCCGGCTAGCTGTACTCATAAGAAGAAGATTTAAGACTGTAGCGAGACGGCAGACGAACATAAAGCTGCTGTAAGCTGATTAGCGTCCTTTAGTCAACCAATTAATGATAAACACTAAATTACGAAAGTGGCCCCGCGTCGGGTCTACGAGTCAGTCAGCCATTAAGCGCTAAACCCCCATACAGGCAGCCGTCCGGATTTCAATAGAAGACGTTATCTTTCATGAACTACAATATTGTCCTATAATGGGCTAGGTTGGCCTTTGTCGCATTTCACCATCTCGACGGACTGCAAAAATGAAGCCCTGTGCCCATTCGCGTCTGCAGTTCGAATCATCTCCCTGGGCTGCAGAGGTGGGTTTTAAGCGCGTATCTCCAGATCGGAGACTCGGTGCTGCGACAAGGTCCGGACGAAATCCACTTGCTGGGAAAGGGCAGCAGCCCAAAGAAGTGGAAATTCAGGTTTGCAAAGTTACAGAGGAGCTTTCAGCTGCGTTTCCTGGGCCTCTAGTTCTCCCACATGACGACCTAACCTGGGATCCAAAAAGCCCACCACAAAGCTTTCGTTCGTGGTTAAACCTGCCACAACGTAACAGACCTACGTCAAAACGGAAAACTATATATGTGGCAACAGCACCGGAGATTTCATCTGGTGTGGATTTCATGCACTCGTGGATTTCGCCACAGATTAGGGCTACCAAGCGGTCGAGTAAGAATAAAGGCCAGGTAACAAGTGAACTTAAAGCGCCTGAAAGTAGTGAACTCATCGACTATATTGCCTCTTTCTACCACGGTTTTGTTGTCAAGACATTCCCCACCCCACTGCGTTTTATTGCATGGGACGAGACCGAATATGGAAAGCATACCAGCACCCCGGAATTTGTTGGTCTTGCAGCAGATGATATGTCAGTGCGGATTAGGGCTCGTCCGTCACCGGATGGTGTGTTTAAGGGCCAGCTTAACTTGGATGACTTGTTGGATGCTGCGAGGGATATACTGCCTAGCGATGCTTATTCAATTGTTCTAATCATGAATCACGATATGTACGAAAGTCAGGAGGACGACTTTTGCTGTGGCCGCGCGTACGGTGGTAGTCGAATTTCGGTTATTTCAATGGCAAGATATCATCCTATACTAGATGACTACTGGAGTATTGACCCTGCACATGTTTGGCCAGCCTCGCACTGCGAGGAATATGTCAATAATCTCTGCGGGGAATCAAAAAAGTCAACCCTTAGAGAGAAGGGTGCAATGTCCCCGACAGCTCCATTCCGGCGAGCAGTTGATGCAGCCGCTCGTATAAAGAACAATTCTTCGGTTGAATATTATCGAGGTATTTGGTTTTCTCGAGTCGCTCGAACTGCAGTCCACGAGCTTGGGCACTGCTTTGGCATTGCTCATTGCGTATATTACGCTTGCAGTATGCAAGGCACTGCTGGGATAGCCGAAGATTTACGTCAACCACCGTATCTATGTCCAATATGCTTAAGCAAGATTACACACGCCGCTGTAATTGAGCTGCTGGGGCGGACGGATAGCAAAAAGGAGGATTACGTGAGAGAGAGATATGAAGCTCTCGCTCAAGTATGTGATACACGGAAGCATATCGGTTTATTCGCTGGGTATGGAGCGTGGCTAAGAGCGAGAATCGAAAACCTCAATGAGAGCCAAACGGTTTAGATCAAAAACATAGAATAATTCCTTTTTCAGATAAAAGCGCTTAATAAATGTAAATCCTTGAGTGGTTGGTTCATGAGTCCGAATTTCTTGGTATAGAGTATAGAATCGAAGTTTAAATGCCCAGCATCTTTCCAGAGATTTCATTTCCTGTTCTAAGTATTTATCTCGACTAACTCACTATTTTAAAACACAGGGAAATTTTACCAGGAAGCGGCCGCAGATACTCAATTATTCAATCTTTAATCTTTAAATCATTCATGCTCAAGAAGCTCGGCTGCAGTAGGTCGCTCCAATGGTTCATAGCGTAAAATCTTGAGAATCCGGTCTGTGATGACTTTTGATTCTTCGGTGTCTGTCGTCTAGTTTATTCTTAGCCAAAAGAATCTCCAGTGAGTCATTTATTATCATTCGGTTGGTCAAAAGTAGCGCCTAGTCCGATTGAATTAATATTCTGGGTTGTTATGCATGCGCGTCAGAGGCCGAGAAGTGTAGCATAGGCCAGAATCGTGTAAGTGATGAGATCTTGTCCGCTAATTTCTCGAGTCTAATTTTCTCAAGGAATGGTTCTCATACAAGTCGAAGTGATAGTAGATCAAATATTACTGTGGACTATTTTGACACATATAACCGATTCATTGTCAGAAGCCATGTTCTTTGCAGACCATGGATAAAATTCAGAGAAATATGGTCTGGACTCAACAATAAACACTCGTATCTCAGTTGAGGTATATATACATGAATTATTATTTTGCTTCATGTATTCTCAGCGAACAGATGCTGGTCATTTGGCAAGGGAGATATGCATATTTCGAATTCATCCCTCTCATGTTGTAGTTTTTTATCAATTTGTATTGAAATTTTTGGCGTTCGCGGTATCTTGGTTTTCATCGTTTTCTCTACTATTGTGGTCAACACCTTTCGTACTTTAGATATGTTTGAAGTTCAATTCTGTCTATTGGCTCCTTTTAGTTTGGTAGGTAAAACTGTTAAGAAAGATGAATGTGTAGATTGAATCTAGTCACCCAAACAATGAGAAATAGAGTTCTCAGTCACTACATGCTTCAGCGTTATAGACGTATAAGAACAGCATATAAAGACATGCGGCGATATGATTTTTAACCGTTATGATAATGATTTCAGGTATGAATACGTTTGAAACACAATAAATGATCATATTATTAGCAGTTGTCCGATAAAGGAATTAGTAATCTCGGCATTTTCAGTCAGGCGAGAAAGAGATTGAGCTTACAAACCACCATAATATTAACTAGGTAAGTTAAGCCGGAAAAAACAGCTATTCTGCAGCAGCCAATAGAATCTCGGGATAATGTTGGCAATTCCAAACTATCTACACTTTTCGTCGCCTTATGAATGTCCACGTGTCCACTTTGGATAAATATTGAGGGAAAGGAAAATTTGAAGACATATAAATTAGCATGAGGAGACCTCCATGATGTCGGTGTTTCATCTTTCAGTAGCGATACGCAGTCGACGTTGGCAGAATCCGAACTACTAAATAGAAAATTGATATCGGGTTAATTTTGTGCATATATCAAAGACAAAAATGACGAGCACAACTGAATGGCCATCTACGGAAGTTCCTCAACCTGTAAAAGATCTCATTGCAAAGTTTATGGAAGTTGGCGATACCAAATCTGATGAGGCCGGTCATCAACTTGGTTACGAAGTCTTTGTTCCAAATGGAAAGATTAAAGTCAATAAACGGGTTATCGACGGTGCAGAAGGTAGGCATTAATGTCTTTTCGCTATATACAGCATAGGAGGATATTGACATTTGAAAAATGAAACCGACTGATGCCTCATGTGATAGCAATCGCAGCAACGCATCGAGACCAGATGGCCTCCATAAAAGGCCGCCGTCATCAAGTTCATAAAGTATACACTTGTAATGAGGCAACTGATGACCTGATCTTGATTGGAAGTGTGGAACGGTATTTGCATGATGGGCGAACTCTTGAGACAGACTTCGCCGCAAGACTCGTTATTGAGAATGCTAGTTCGGAAAACCCTCAGCTGAGTCTTTTTAATGCTTGGTCGGTAAGTGTATCATATTCTCATTAAGTTACAAAATGCTAATCCTTCCACCTCGGTCAGGATTTCTCAGAATTCCTTGCAGTATTGAGCGACAAATGAGCCTTTTATCATAGATTGTAATCCATAGTCAGATTGTTGAATTCATCAATCTTGGTATTTCAGAGCTTGAATGACAGATTGACGCTCAAGCAATGCGTTCCATAGTTCCGTATACTTTTCATAAACACTCATTTTAAACCCTAGACCACAACCCCATCGGTAGAAGACTGCCAAAAAGGCATCGACAACGGTCATAGAACTTCCAACTGAAAAAGGTGATTTCGACTTTGAAAGCTTGGCCTCGATCATTTCATAACAACCTTGAATGGTTTTATAAGCCTTTCTCTTTAGCTTCTCTTTGTCTTCGTCGGTAGGGTCTTCGATAAATCGGTCGGCTCGCCACCAACCTGCAAATGCCTGGCCGTGTAAAGTTCCGGAGAGCCAGTTTAACCACTCGTATACTCGGACAGTTTCGAGAATTGTCAATCCCAGAAGCTTCCTCTCAGGAACGTGAAGTGCGATTGCGGTTAGAATGGCGGGAACCTCGGTGATGACATGTTCGTTGTCAAGGACTAATACAGGTACTCGACCCTTTGGGTTGATCGAAAGTATTGTCTTAGATGAATTCCTTCGCTCAACTAGTATCGGTTCAAAATTAAGACCTGCCTCGAAGAGTAATATATGCGGTGCGAAAGAGCATGAGCCAGGAGTGTAATAGAGCTTTATTTTCGGGGGTTTGTTGGAGTCGCCATTCTGTGTGGAATGTATGATTAACACAAGTTAAAGAATGAACACCCCGGAAATTCGTCGTCTTTATACTCTTTCTCGATTGTAAACCTCTGCCATAAATGCTGTTACCCCGCAATTAATGAATAATCATGCTGTGTCTAGGCGCATTGGTTACGATCCAAGTGGAGTGTATCGATGTCAGCAAGCCGGTGGGAGAGACTGAGGATTGGCAAAATAGGACCAAAAAACGGGTAATAGGTTGAATTCAAACCTGGGGCTGTATATAGATCATCAAGTAAAACCACACCAATATCTAAGAGTACAAAACAGGGTATGCTACAGTGAACCCCCTTCATAAGCAAATGGACAATGTCCGAATTGATTTCTCATATAAATTCCCTAAACCCCTCTTTACAAGATTATTTCTTAATTTTTCTCATCTCCCATACAAATTCCTTATAAAAAGAGAATACAAAAAGGATTATTACCTAATCACCCCTTACTCATCCATTCAAAATAGAGTCCGTCTCTATTTTAAAAAAAAAATCGGAAAGCTATTTCTAATACCCAAAAAGCAGCTTTCTGAGTCAAAGCTTAGTCAAATCCTCACTTGACTTACAATTCGCTTATTCGATGATTTAAATCGACATATAATCAATAAATCACGAAATCTTTAATCACCCGGTTATCTTATATCACCTCCCCTCTAAGACCTTGGATGAGCTTGACTTCAAATATTGCGAAATCATCGTATATTACATATAATATAGCGACAGCAAGCTAGATGAAGCTTAATCAACTATGCCGCCGGGCGCTATTATTAGATAGGTAGAGGTTGGAGTGATTTATATAGCCTAAAGATGGATTTGACGACCCATAGAGTGTATTTATAGAAATTGATGTTGATTTTCTATATAAAATCCATATAAATTGAGTGTGCTCCCTTACAAGCAACTCTTTATACCCGCTGCGCAATTTGGTTGCTTATAAAGGGGGTTGACTGTATTGTTATTTTGTTTGAAATGGCGAGACTCGGCAAAATCCCGGTAAGACGGCGAGTACGTCATACCCGGAAAAGCGCTATACCTAATAAGGACTAGTGGAAACTTCCCCACGCCGATTTCGCATGACTCACCGCCAACAAAAAATGTTGATATTTTTTTCATTTAATTCTCAATTGCCACGTCCATCTCTGCATTACACCGGTTGTTCCTCTTTACGGCGAGGTCTTTTGTCAAGCTCTCGAAACCGGGAAAATGGCTCAATTGCCAGATCCCAAGATCGACCTCGATTGGTCTGGTTATGTACGTTCATCCTCCAGGGCGGTGATACCATAGCTAACCTGGACATTGCGCTGCTAGGTTGGATCAATTCAGGAGATTTTTGGTCGAAATGGTAGGTATCCGGCCTAGAAACGAAATTACTTCTTCTGTTCAAACCGTAATTCTTAGGTTCCGCCTCCTGGCTGTTCCTTGATAAAGTAAAATGTCTTAATCTCCGGCTAATTGAAATGAAATAGTCAACAGTCATCCTGATCGCACATGCGTCGTCGAGACAGCGTCATCCGAGGGCCCTGAACGCCGATACACCTACAAGCAGATATATGAAGCTTCAAATACATTGGCACATTACCTGCACGATGCTGGAATTACAAACGACGATGTTGTGATGATTTTTGCCCACCGTTCTGTGGATCTAGTTGTCGCGATCATGGGAACCTTAGCTTCAGCTGCAACCTTCACCGTACTAGACCCCGCATATCCCCCAGCGAGACAAAAGGTTTATCTTGAGGTAGCCCAGCCTCGTGCCTTGATTAATATTGGGAGGGCGACAGAAGAAGCCGGACCGCTCGCTCCCGTTGTTCGGAGCTATATTAATGAGGAACTTCATCTTAAGGCTGAGATACCTTCACTACGTATCGGAGACAACGGAACGCTCTCCGGCGGGGAGGTTGACGGAAATGATATTTTTAGAGAAGTACGGGCTAAAGCATCTACTCCTCCGGATGCTGAGGTCGGACCAGACAGCAACCCTACACTGTCATTCACATCGGGGTCTGAAGGACGGCCCAAGGGCGTATTAGGTCGACATTATAGTCTGTGCAGGTACTTTGCCTGGATGGCGGAAAGGTTTCAACTGAGCGCCGAGAGCAAATTCACCATGCTAAGTGGAAGTGAGTAGTACCTGTTTTACGATAATGGTGGCAGAGTTTGTTATATTAATTCGTTTTTCTAGTTGCTCACGATCCTATTCAGCGTGACGGTGAGTGCAAAAGATGTATGAAACCTAACGGAGATAGCTGATCATTTGGAACCTAGTTTTCACCCCGTTGTTCTTGGGTGCCCAATTATTGGTACCTTCGCGATCAGACATTGCGCATGAGAGATTGGCAGAGTGGATGGCAAAATATGAACCTACAGTTACACATCTAACGCCAGCTAGTATGTCGCTAACTTTGTTGTTGCTGGAATTGAGGGTACTAATTTTGCCTTAGTGGGTCAGATCCTGGTCGGCGGTGCTACCACATCGTTTCCAAGCCTCAAAAATGCATTTTTTGTTGGAGATGTACTCACGACACGTGACTGTAAGGCGCTCCGGAACCTGGCAGAAAATGTTAACATTATCAATATGTACGGAACCACGGAGACCCAACGTTCAGTAAGTTATTACCATATCAAAAGTAGGGCGGAGGATCCAAATTCTATGGATCATCTCAAGGACACTGTGCCCGCTGGAAGGGGCATGCAAAACGTTCAGCTTTTGGTTGTCAATAGGGAGGACCGTACAAAGATGTGTGGTGTTGGGGAGACTGGAGAAATCTACGTCCGCGCGGCGGGTCTAGCCGAAGGATATAGAGGAGACCAAGCACTGAACGAGCAGAAGTTTGTTATGAACTGGTTTGTTGATAACAACACTTGGGTTGAAGAAGACCAGAAAAAAAGTAAAGGCGAAAAATGGAGAAAGTACTACAAGGGTCCACGTGATCGACTTTATAGAACTGGCGATCTTGGTCGCTATTTGGAATCAGGAGACGTGGAGTGTACCGGTAGAGCGGATGACCAAGTCAAAATTCGGGGTTTCCGAATTGAGCTCAACGATATCGACAGTAATCTGAGCCAGAACCCGCTGATCCGAGATTGCAAGACCCTCGTCCGACGAGATAAGAACGAAGAGCCGATTTTAGTCAGTTATATTGTTCCTGAGATCAAATTATGGCCACAGTGGCTGCAGGCTCGTGGTTTGGAAGAGGTCGAAGATGACGGGACCGATTTTGGCGTCACCAAGGTGTATCTCAAGCGGTTCCGGCCAATGCAGACCGAAGTCCGCGACCACTTGAAAGGCCGATTGCCTAGTTATGCAGTCCCGAGTTTGTACATCTTTCTGAAGGCGTTGCCTCTCAATCCGAACGGAAAAGTGGATAAGCCCAACTTGCCATTCCCAGATATTGCTGAACAAACTGAAGCTGCTTCCGATGATGATGTCAAGAGGTGGCAGTCAATGACAGAAACCGAGCGAACTGTTGCCACTAAGTGGGCGGCTCTTATTCGCGGCCTGAACGAAAAGACAGTTAACCCCGAGAACGACTTCTTCACTCTTGGTGGCCACAGCCTTTTGGCACAGCAGATGCTTTTGGATATTCGTAAATCAACCGGTGCCAATGTCTCCATCAACACCCTATACGAGTTTCCGACCCTTAGTGCATTTAGTGCACAAGTTGATAAACAGCTCAAAGGCACTCAGAGTCAGGTTGAGGTTGACGAAGAACCAGCCTACGCAAAGTCTCTAGATGAACTTCTAACCCAGCTCCCAGCGAAATTCCAGACGGCTGAACCGTCTACAATTCGTGCCTCCGCTCAGCCGACGGTGTTCATTACTGGTACAACTGGGTTTTTGGGCGGTTTTATTATCAAGGATATCCTGGAGCGTACCAGCCGGCAGCTCCGTGTCATTGCACATGTTCGCGCTAAAGACTCAGAAGCAGGATTGGAACGCCTTACACGTTCTCTCAAGGGCTACGGCCTTTGGCGGGAGGAGTGGAAAAGTCGATTAAGCTGTGTTGCGGGTGATCTAGCCAAGCCGCAGCTCGGAGTTAGCAATGAGGAATGGCAGAAACTTGCCCAAGAGGTCTCTATCATTATTGCCAATGGTGCTACAGTTCATTGGGTTAAAAGATACCAAGAAATGATGGCCGCGAACGTCCTTTCAACCATGGAAGCTATGAGTCTTGCCAATATTGGAAAGCCTAAGGTTTTCACATTTGTGTCATCAACAAGCGTGCTCGACACAGACCACTATGTCTCGCTTTCGGAGAAGCAGCTTAGTACAGGAGAAAGCGCCATTTCTGAAGACGATGACTTATTAGGCAGTCGACGTAAGCTTGGCACTGGATATGGACAGACAAAGGTAAGTGCTGTTTTGCAATTTATTTATAGCTACTGACGGATGGGAATAGTGGGTTTCAGAGCAACTGGTGAGAGAAGCTGGTAGAAGAGGTCTACGAGGGTCTGTCATACGACCCGGATATATTCTTGGGTCATCTGAGACAGGAGTGTGCAAGTGAGTACCAACATTATCGAAATCTATAAAAATATCTTGCTCATAAATGCCATAGTACGGATGATTTCTTGATCCGACTTTTGAAAGGTTCAATCCAACTTCACTCACGCCCTCGAATTATCAACACTGTGAACTCCGTTCCTGTAGATCACGTTGCTCGTGTCGTCGTTGCTGCAGCACTAAACCCACTGGAGACCGTAAAGGTTATTCACGTCACTGGCCATCCACGACTACGCATGAATGAGTATCTCTCTCTACTCGAGTACTACGGCTACGAAGTTCCTGAGATAAGCTACGACTCATGGAAGCAAGACCTAGAACGCTATGTGTCCGCTGGCGGTCAAGAGAAGGATCAAGAACAGCATGCACTCATGCCACTATTCCATTTCTGCGTCAACGACCTTCCTGGAAATACTAAAGCACCGGAACTTGACGACCAAAATGCTGTGAAGATTCTCAAAGCTGATGCCCACCACTGGACAGGTATCGACGAGAGCGCGGGTTACGGGATTGGCCGGGAGGATGTCGGTCGCTATTTGCGGTATTTAGCTGAGACTGGGTTTATACCCTGGCCCACAGGCAAAGGACGACCATTGCCGGAAGTTCATTTGACTGCAGATCAGCTTCAGTCGGCTGGAGCCGTTGGTGGTCGCGGTGGTGTTTCCAGCTAATCACGCAAAAAAAAGTTTTTGTATATATATTTACGTGTCAAAAATTCAAATACAATCAACATGACATAAATTTCATTTGACTCATTTAATGGCCATGTTGACACGAATTACTTCAAAAGTTTTGACTGGTCGTACACCAGACGCTAGCCATCATTTTCAATACTTTCGACCATTAGTGGCAATGTTCGTTCTAATTGAGGATCACACAAATTTTACCAAATTTGAAGCTCTATATCAACAAGAACGACTATTCAGACTCGATTCAATCCCTCAATTCACTGCAAGTGGCACATTCCTAACAGATAGTTGCGATCAGATGCACTCCGGAAGATGGTGATAGGGGAATGTGCGTCTTCTAGATACTAAGATCCCAAATATTGGACAAGAAGGACTTGTGCTCTTTGTGTATGAAACAGCTTTGACTATTTTATTCCGCCATCGAGAATGAAATCGAGGCGTCCTGTAATCCTTTAAGACTTGGTGAGTCACACGACCTGAAGGGTAGTTAGAAAGAGTTTCTCGGAATAATTAAATAAATTTTGCGACCTCCTTTTGAATGCATTCTTATGCTGAGCTTTCGCCTTAAAAATTTGTTTTGTTTCATTTTAACCCTTTTGCTACATATAAGACGTTGATTTACTCTGCTCGGTAATCCCTGCGACTTACAAATTGAATATATGACTTGTAAGGGCTAGTTCACCATTTCATCTCTCTAAATAGTCAGATATGACGATGTCTTGATCGTAAAATGACCCCTCTTGCCCGAATAGGCTACCGATACTGTGACTACTGTGACCCTCGGCCATGAAAGAAAGGTTTCGGCATTTTGACTCAGTCCCCCAATTTCCTTGCTCCTCAACCTCCCCAACTTGTTCTATCTACCTCTTCACACTCTTATATCTATTACATCGACTCTATCGTTAGTAATTGAAAATGTCTATGAAAGCTGGCGAAGTTGTCCGCGTATCCAAGAACGGAAAATGCACGCTTGAATTCCAACATATTTACGGCGAATGCCGCATTGTCGATGTCTGTGAGGAGATCGAAGGTTTCAAAAAGTTGAAGACTTTCTCCACTGAGCCGAGTGATCGGATGCAGGGCAATCAAGGCATTGGTGAATATATTATAGCCTTCACAAGTGAAAAGAAAGAGAAGATAAATCCTCTCCGGAGCTTTGTGAATGGTTTACTCAACTTGCCTGGGTCTAACAAGGTGCTTGTCAAGGAGTTTCGGATAAAGGTTCCTAACACCGGCGTTGGTGAGCAGCCATACTCGCCTTATGGACTCCTCGGAGCCCGTAATAGAATCGAGTATGTGATCGGCGAGCTCGACAAAAAACACCAAAATAAAGAGATTGACCTTAAGCACTACAAAGGTGTTCTCATTGTCTCTTTGGAAAGCGACATATGCGAAGATTGCCAGAAAGGTTCCGAAAAGGTCCCATATGACCAGCCAAATCTAATTCTCTATGATTATCTCTCTGGGAGAATGATTGCTGCCACTGGCAAAGGACCTGGAGTTCAAAAGGACATATTGGACAATGCGAAGCGTTTTGGCTTCGAAGATGGAAAGGGCCTTGCTGGAATCATGACCTACGGCAATACGGTAGCGAAATTGTTCTCTACTGATAACGAAGAGATTGAGCCTTCCGACTGGCATTCAGTCGTTTGTTCCTTCAACCGTGAAGACTTCATCGCAGAGTTATGTCTGTTTGTGATGCCGGATGCTCAAGCCACTATTATTAGACAATAATTCCGATTGTAAGTCTGATTCCGAATTTCCTGTCAATCATAGTTAATATCAATTACAGGACTATGGTTAGTCCTGACGGACACTTATGCCATTTGGAGTTAAGTAGTTAATGTGATACCCATCTGATAGATATACCAATCTCAAACATTCTACAGAATTTTCATCTCATTATTGACTCTGTAGCTCAGTTATTGGGGAATGTCAAATCGCTTTTTAAATGAAGAGTCTATGAAAATTAGGCGAGTCCCTTGTGACTCAATTTTGAATATCAATTCATATTCTTCATGGATGACAACAAAACAACCAAATTCTTGTGGATATTCAGTGTTGTTATATCAATTTAAAGTAAGTTATTGGTAGAAAAATTTTCTTAATGGAATTCAAACACGTATAAATTCATAAATTTGTTGTTGAGAAAGCCGTACTCTCTTCCAAATTTCATAACGCAGTGTCGGGTTTCACTCGGTATGTTACCCCGCACACGCCGTTATCATGTAATCTCCAGCTCGAAGGACGTAGCATGCATTCAACCTTTCTACAAATGCAACGGATGTCCGATGTTACATATTGCTCGAAACTAGACGCATACTTTAAGGATTGAGCGAGATAATAATAGCAAGCACCAAAATGTCCTCTTCTAGGCATTACGTGGATTCAGCCTTGCAAAAAGCCCACCAAACGTATCAATCCCGCAACCCCAACTCAGCCAAAATCCACCAGGATGCTTCTCAGTACCTACCGGGTGGAAACACTCGCACTTCTCTATATACGCAGCCCTTCCCTCTTATCATCACATCGGCGAGAGGTAGCAAACTTACTTCTGCGGATGGACACTCATACACGGACTTCCTAAGTGAATACAGTGCCGGTGTCTTTGGGCATTCTAACGCCGAAATCGCCCAGGCAGTCAAAGATACCTTGCAGAGAGGATGGAACTATGGAGCTGAGAATGTGTACGAGAAACAACTTGCTCGTAAGATCGTTGACCGTTTCGGTCCCAGCGGCGTGGAGCTAGTGCGATTCACGAATTCGGGGACAGAGGCTAATACAGTGGCTATTGGTGCGGCGATCGCCTGGACAGGGAGAAAGAAGGTTCTTGTGTTTAGTGGAGCATATCATGGATCTACCTTTGAGTTTCCAATGGATTTTTGTCGCCGGTGGTGGCAGCGTCATGGGTTCGGTTCTAACAAGGACGGCCAGCAGGTATACGAAATGAAGACTCTCAACCTCCCCCACGAGTTTGTGGTGGCGCCATTTAACAATATTGCTAAAACAGAGCATATTATCAAAGAAGTGGCTGCGCATGATAATCTGGCTGCTATTTTGATCGAGCCAGTCCAGGGGTCCGGGGGATGTCGGCCTGCCTCAGTTGAGTTTTTGCGATTCCTCCGCGACACTGCCGATCGACTAGGTGCATTACTCGTTGTTGACGAGGTTATGACTTCGCGGCTGTCTTTCTCGGGGTACATCTCGTCTTTGGGCATCAAAGCTGACTTAATCACTTTCGGCAAGTGGATTGGGGGAGGCATGTCATTTGGGGCATTTGGGGGAAGGCGAGACATTATGGAGATGTTCAACCCTGCACGCAATGCCGAAGAAGACAAGTTGATTCATCCAGGTACTTACAACAATAACATTTTCACTATGTCTGCAGGTGTTGTCGGATTGGACATATTCGATGCGGAGAAGGTTCGAAATCTCAATTTGAAAGGGGATACAATCAAGGATGGCGTCACAAGAATTTTACAGGATACCGACATATATCCTCGTAGACAAGACCGCTTTTTGGAAGATGTTATTGAGTTTGACGACTTCGACGGAGATACACACCTCTACAAAGGCACCAACAGTCAGTCAAGGTTGGCGGAAGGTGAGCCATTGCCTCGTATGTTGATTTCGAGTAGCGGAAGTCTCTTGAATGTGAAATTCACTGGCCCGAATGCGGAGATATGGCAGGGGTTGTACTTTCATCATATGCTAGAGAGGGGAGTATATATTGCTAGTCGGGGGTTCACACCTTTGAACATCGAATTGACCGACGCTGATGTCGAAATATACATCTCGGCTGCGCGTGACTTTATTCTCCAGCACCAATTTGAATTGACGAGGTAGCGAATGTGACCGTTTCCAGAAGAAGGAACTTCTAATGATAGAAATCACCAAGAAAATGAATATGGGAAAACACTGTATTCCTAGACTACAAGATTATAGGCGCAGTAAAAGGCTAGAAAGTTACATGCATCGTTTGATGCACAGGTAAGTTTGCGACATCTACTCACACATATTCGGCCTATACGTATATCAGCTAAAGAAAAATAGAAGAATATATTCGGTATTCTAACAATGGGAAAAATGCTGCATCGAGTTAGATGCGAGCCGATTTCGTATGTCGAATTTCTCAATGATAATATTGATATCCGGAAAGGTCTCCAATTGTTCAAGTCAGTCGTAGTTTGCGTAAAGATAATTATCCTAGATAAATGGGAACTCTCACGGAGAATTACACTACCTAAAATTCAAACATAGTTACATGTAGATATGTTTGAGGGTTGTTCTGTATATATGCAGAGTGATTGACCCAAATTCCATGGTATGGTTTCGAGATTTGGACTACAAAATTGGACGAATTTTGGGAGCGTTATTTCTAGAACAAAATGACGACAGTGAAAATAAGAATTTGTAGGCAGCAATAAAACTAAATTCGCATATTCAGCTCATCGAACGAAAAATACAGACTAAACGAGTGAGGGGAAGTGGAATACATCATAATTCCTTGGGACAAGGCTGTCGTCAATTCAACCCGCACGGACTAACACGGGTCATTAAGACATAGGTAGTCATTGTTCAAGCCAATACTTAAAAGCTATGCAAATTAGAGTAAAGATTGGCCCGAAGAGAAAACACATAGGAGTCATTTTAGCAAATTCGCCCAAGGTATTAGCTGGTTTTCGAAACATAAAGGCATGTACAATATATTTGGAAGTTGCTGCTTCATACAATAGAGCAGATACAAAATGAAAATAATCATGACGTATATTTAGTCACATCTATATTTGGAATTATTGGTGCATACGAATTTTAACGACTTATGCTAGTTCCGGCATTTCCCGACCCAGAAGTGGGTGAGAATCGACGAGGTACTGCGTAATAATGGGCGTAGAATGGGTCACAGCCTGAAAAAAAAGAATTATATTCCATAGAAAAGGGGCAATTTCGGACCTAGTAGAAACAGCTAATGCAGTAGCTGTGATCTAGCCATTGGCTAAATTGAGGAGTATGCAGCGGCGCATATACAACAGCCAATCACCAGCTGTCTTCCGGGCTTTCAGACTAGGGTCTACACACGATGAAACACAAAATGAGACTAATTCTATAAAATACTTCTAGAGCTCATGGCTGTGCACTGGACGCGTGGTGCGTATTTCGGTGTATTTCGAGCACTAGACAGCGCCACGACCTAAAAGCCACAATGGTGGTGCCTGAGGTCACAGGAGGTATTTTTATAACAATTAAAGTGCTGAGACAGAACTATATAATCTTTGCTGTCTCCTCGCGATTAACGTTCGGTTGACATCAGACATTCCATTTCGCTTCCATATACAGGATTCATCCACACACCTACTGCAATGGCTCAAACATCACAATCATGCAGTCTATCACACATCCTAGAAGTTTGGCCTAATGAAGACCTTGAATGTGTTGGATTTGCAACTTCGAAGGGCCGCCGGTGCACAGTCCACACAAATCCGAGAAATCGCCGCAACGCCCAGATACTCATGAGAGAAGGAACTGATCGGTTATCCAACGGAGAAGAGTGCATAGATGAAATTTTGAATCAGCTAGCACCTCTGACACTTTGTGTGAGGTTTCATCAGAAGGATGCCCCTGACAAGGCTAGGGAATGGGCAGAAAAAGTACGGAAATTTGTACAAAGACGATCGACTGCTTCTACGACGCGTCCCCGAGAACATAGTTCAACGACTAGACAGTCTACCCCAACTGCGGAAAGACAAAACCAGAGCAACCAAATTATTCAAGTAAACATTCAGCAAAATTACTACAACTTATATACTTGCTCTGGGCGCGAAACCGAGTCTGGAACGCAAAGCCGAAGGACTACAACATCACATTACTCTCCTGCTTCTATATCACTCACAACACCGAGCACAGCATCATCAGCCGTAAGCACTCAGTATGTTCGCCCGGGCAGGTTGACACAAAATCGAAATGTCATTACACCAGTGCATAGCGAACGAACGATAACGCCAATAAGACTGGCATTACCAACATCGTCACCAACACCGGGAAGAGCAACAACACCAACGCAGCAGAGCTCGACTTTTCCAAGAAGACGGACTACCAACATCAGACAGCCTGTCGAAGGGGAATGTGGAATATGTTATAACTCGTTACTCGGTGATAATGAGAGCGAAGAGGATGATGGCTTGTCTGACGATCTTGATTCAGAATCGGTAGCTAGCACACCAACGGGTAACAGAAAAGAATCATTGGTTTGGTGCAGAGCGCAATGTGGACAAAATTATCATAAAGAATGCATGGATTTGTGGGCTGCGTCTTGTACAAACAACTTGCGGCCGGCTACTTGTCCGATGTGCAGGGCGCAATGGAGGCAGTAAGGATGCTCTGTTTTTGAATTGATGTCATGTGTCATTAGATGTTATACAGTTGGCGTTTGGTTATTCAAGTTAAGGTATTGGGGTTCTGTATTTGATGCCATGTTTGTTGCTCTTCTCACACGCACTTTTTACGACATTCAATGAAATCATTATTATTAAAAAATGTTCCTTAGTTTGTACACAAGATAACTGACCACTAAAATACAGGAATCAGAAAAGAAAGGTTTCACTCCTATCGTGAACGGAATTAACAAACATCACCAGTGCGGCTCTCTTCCTTCTAGCTCTTGTGATGGTGTCCCAACAAGTCTGAGTGACAATTATTAGCTCCTCATAAAACCAGTTTTCTATAATGGAAGAACTTACTTTCTGCCTTCTCCTTGAACTTCTGTCCCAGTCCCTCTTTATGACTATGATCAGAGGATTTACCGGATTCGTGGCTGTTATTGCTGCTACCGGTCTCTCCAGATGCGATAGTATCGGTAGTATTGTCACTTCGGTTGCCATATTCTTGGCGGTCGGCATTGTCGTAGCCACTGCCCCCGGCAGCAGCACCTCTCTCAGTCTCATTCTCGCGACGGTGGTGCCCATCTCGACCCTGGCCGCCTAGTTCCTGCTCAAACTTGTTTCCACTCTGGTCAAAGCCCTCGCCATATCTTCTGCCTTGCGACTTCTCGAAAGTCGAAGTAGAAGTATGATCTGCACCAAAGGTTGCTCCCATCACACCAGCATGACCCGCCGTGGCTTCACGAGGCTCGACACTCGGGCCATCCGTAATACTGCCTCCACGGCCTTTATCAGTGGTGCTTTGGAGGTTGTTGCTTTGGAGGTTGCTCTCGCGATCACTGAAACCCGAGGTCGCGGTGTTGGTATCACGGGAGAAGTTATCATTGTTGCCCCTGCCGAAGGAGCCATCAGCACGGCCATCAGTGAATCCACCGGCAGTATTAGTGTTTCTGTTGTTCAATCCACCCTCATATGATCCTCCAGTGCGGTCATTAGATAAATTTCCGGCTCGATCATTGCTACCAAAGCCACTGTTGTAGGAACCCTGGGTACGGTCACTGGTGAGATTGTCAACTTGGTTGAAACTGCGGCCGGCAGAGGCATCATTCGAGCGATCAAAGGTACCAGGAATGTTGCCAGTGGTACCGCCAGTCTCGTGTTCGTTCTGGAAGTTGGTATCGTTAAAACTCATCTTGGGTGGTGATGGAGTATGATGTGCTTGTCCTCGGAATGTGACTTTGAAGATACGATAGTATGTTGTGTGGTTTGTCTGTGAATAGGAACGCAAGATCGATCTAGAGAATCGAAAGTCCTTATAAGCCCCAGGATGTATGACGTAGGCCACTTTGAAGCTCATCTCGAGATTCTGGAATGGCCAAGCGCGCTGTGATTGGCCGCTGTATTCAATGCTGCGGGGGCGGTCCGCGATGGAGTATGACGTATTGTCTGTTTGTTATTCTAATCGAGACATATACACAGCCAATAGAAACCATCGGGTCATTTTAGTAACAGGATTTGGCACTCTATCATTCGCTGGGATTACATCAAAGGCGCCTGAGAACAAGGGAAATGACGCAACGCAGAGAAAAGGAAATGGAAACCTTGGCCTATTGCATATCCACTGCTAGTGGCGTCCATATGTCAGGTGACTATTGCATATTCTTATTTCTTATTAGATTGCACGTGCTGTCATGTGTCGTAGAATTGCAGGAAGTTACTATATGTAGTTGGCGTCGTTGCGTCGAGGATAGCCTAGGATGGTTGTATACGCTAGGCTTCCATGTTCTTTGGTTAATCGCTCCAGCGAGAATGCGGGGTATCTTTATTCAATTGATTTGTAAACATTTGAAAATTTATGCGAATTGCGAGTATCGCATAAAGCAACTTCTTCTAATCTATAGTTATGTTCTTTATTTCACTCCTGCAAGAGCAAGATATAAGTATTTTCTACAGCTCATAGGGCGTGGGATTTCCAGAGCATCCTAATCATGGCATCGTACGATCAACTACCGCACGGTTCTTCTCTAGATATATCCAGGTTCTCGGTAAAAGTACCAGAAATTGACTTGAACGATCTTCGTACCTTACTACGACTTTCTAAACTGGGACCTAAAACATACGAAAATATGCGCTCAGATGGCAAATATGGTGTTTCTTATGAATGGATGTCCAATGCAAAGGCGTACTGGCAAAATAGTTTCAACTGGTCTGTATCACTTGTTGTAGGCTAAAATGTATCAAACAGCTTAAATGTGGCATTACCAGGCATTCAGTAGAAGACCGAATCAACAGTCTTCCTAATTTTATCGTGCAAGTGGTTGACGACGATGGCGAAACCTATCCTATTCACTTTCTTGGGCTGTTTTCAAATAAGCCAAATGCAACCCCGTTGATGTGTATTCACGGTTGGCCAGGTACGTTTCAATTTACACTGATGGGTGTGGGGCTAACTCATCGGCGCACTGGTGTAGGCAGCTTTCTGGAATTCATAGATGTTCTGTTAACACTGCGAGGAAAGTATACCCCCGACGAGCTCCCGTATCATGTTGTTGTCCCTTCTCTCCCTGGATATGCCTTCTCAGCTACACCACCGCTAGATCGTAACTGGAAGCTGGAGGATTCAGCACGTTTGTTGCACAAGCTCATGGTTGGACTCGGGTTTGAGGCTGGCTACGTCCTTCAAGGAGGGGATATTGGAAGCTATACCGCAAGAATCATGGCTAGCTTCTATGATTCCTGTAAAGGTCTGGTATTTTCATTTTACGAGTCGAAAATGTGCTAATATATACTTACAGCACTGCATCGTAAGACTCCCAAAAATGAATTTCTAACGCAAGCCCGAATTTTAATGCAAATGTTTAGTTAATTTCTGCGTTATACCGTGTCCCAACAGGGGTGTACATGGTGATCTACCTATTGAAGATTTTGAAAAAGAAGGTCTCCAACGAGGTAATGACTTTGCGCAGTTTGGCACCGCCTACGCTGTTGAACATGCAACCCGTACTGCCACTATTGGATTCACCCTATCATCAAGCCCTTTGGCCTTGCTAGCATGGTATATATCAGTATTCCTCGCTTCGAACATTAGTGCTGACAGTGCTTCAAGGATTGGGGAGAAATTCCTCGCCTGGACGGATGAAACCCCATCCCTAGACCAAATTCTAGAGTCTGTCACTCTTTATTGGCTAACAGAGACTTTCGCGCGCGCTATATATCCATATCGTCAAGTATGTCAAATCCTTTCGACTGATATCACTGCACTTCTGAGAAGTGACTGACTCAAATAGGAACTTGTCGAAAGTTCGTCGAAAGAGTGGACTGATGAGGATTATTTCTCGGTTTTCCAACAGGGCCCAGAGCGTTATATGACGCACAATGATCACAACTATTACTGCCGCAAGCCGATGGGTTACTCTTGGTTTCCGAAAGAAATTGCCCCAGTACCGAAGAGCTGGGCGGCTACAACTGGGAATTTGAGATGGTTTAGAAGGCATGACAAGGTGTGTTGACACACAGCTGATGCTGACACGACTTGATAACTAATCTGGTATGCAAAGGGAGGTCATTTCGCTGCTATGGAACAGCCACATGCCTTGCTTCAGGACATTGAGGATTTCATTAGCGAAATACCGTTTGAGAATCGTTAATTGGCTCATCCTGTTACATTGGCGGAGAGAAATTTCCAATTCAATGTCATTTAAAGCCTAGATTTCCTCAACAGGTTGATCTGAAAAAGTGGTCTCCCCATGTTTGTATAACTTGGGGTAGTTTTGAATAGCTTGAAAAATAGGATCGTCTATCTTTATAAGCTCAGTTAAGTCGGATTAAGCATAGATAATATACCTAAAAAAATTTTCAGATCAATAATTAAAGATAGATCTAGATAAGAGGCAAGCAGAGAAAAAACAACAGTAATCAATCCATCATTATTATCCAACCAAGAGTTTTCAAATTAGAGATTAATATCACCCTTATTAAGGTCTTTTAAAGGAAGCTACCAATGAACATTATCCAACTATATTGCTAACTAGATAATGCTTTATTCAAATTTACCTATTGGACATATATAAAATCCGTGTAGAAAATACCGCAGCGTACTCCGGCAAAATTCAATGAACAGCTGCAAGAAACTGCGACACAGAATTTGAACATCATATGACCGATATCTTGTCCTAGCGGAAACTTTCAGCATGAATGTTGCGTAGCTAGGCTTGGATTTTGGATGCTCCCATCAAGAGGTATCATCCGAGGGTATCCCCAAGAGCGCTAAACTGCCTTAATGCAGCTCAAAAATGATAGACTAACATTCATTTTCAGCTTTCTAATCGTCAATATAACAGGATAAACCCATTAACTGGTTCAAAAACATCTTTCAGTCCAACATCAGAAGTCAACGACTGTTCTATGGAGCCTAAAAAATAGCCCAAAAACTGCTAGATGTTAGACCACGATCAATACAGGCAGATGCGGAACACAGAAACCGTCAAGACACCATTATCAACTAAATGAAAGTTATTGCGGAACAGGTTCCAAAGAATTCTATCTAACTGGATTTGATACTTTTCTTGATAGAAATACTATAATTATAGCTATAATAATAACGAATCTAGCTTTAGATATGATAAAAAATAAATCAAATACTTTAATTTAATAATAGATTTTTTTTAAACTTCTCTTTTAATCGGCTCGTCCCTTCCACACTCTTCTTCCTTCACTTAAAAGGCACAATTCTCACCAACAGAAATGAATCCCTTGTAGGATCGGTATGGCGAACAGCTGGCCAGAACCATATAGGCGCTAGCACAGTAAAATACAAGACCACCCATAGAAAACAGATTACATATTCCCACGTTCTTAATCTTCCATATATACCACCCTCCCTTCGAAAATATCTGAAATAAAGACTCTCAAACGCATCTTCAAATACGATGGCTAATGGCTGGAGCATAAAGAAATAAAACCCATTGGCTTCGAACTGTGGAATTCCGATGGCCAGGTCACTAAGTTGATGAATGCATCCGGATATCGCAAAGACAATCAACAGGCTGGTGACTCGATACAAGTTGGACTGGCGCGGAATCGACAGCGACGTGGTTACGGATGCTGCAATACCAGTCAGGCTTCGGCGAAGCCACTGATGCCAGAGAAGGCTATCATGCTTCTATGTTAGCAAACAACTTGATATGATAGATGATGGTACGTACCCCCAGAACCTGCGCACGGAATAGCATTCTAACAAAGGACCATATAAAGGAGGAAGCTCGGCTGGTGTGTTCAAACCTGTAGCCACAAGAATAATTGAAGCGACGTAATACGTGATCATAATCGGCAGTGCGGCATTAAGCGTAATTGTCATCGTGAGAATAACCCTTGTGATGAGCTCTTCCAGATCTACCTGGCTTAATCTCGCGAAATTCAGGTACTGCTTTTCCTCCGAGAACATTTCCATGTCCGGCGGCGGCCCAGAAGTTATTGCATCGAGAAATAACGACGCGAGTACAACAATGAGGAGTCTTTTGCGAATAAATTGTGTCGCCGAAGGTACTTCTTTCGACTTGGTTCGGCCACCACTGAACGAAGGTATGTTTTTAACTTCCCATTTCGTGCCAACCCTGCGCATATTCCATGAAAGGAAAATTGCCCATTTTATGTTTCTCCATGATAGCAGCCCATTACTGGGTTCGGGGGCATCTTTAAACCCAACATCAGAAATCAACAACAGCTCTGTGGAGCTTAATAAGTAAGCCCAGAAAATGCTAGCTGCTAGGCCGCGATGCATCCGATTTTGATACCATGTCGTAAAAGTATATTGAAAGACTGAGGTAAGACCAAGCAAGATGGTGGAAATAAGAATTCGCGTAAATTTTGTTCGAGCAGTCAGAAGGCCAAGTGTAGACAACACATTTAAGCCGATGATGCAGGCAGCTGATATACTCAGCAAGTGGTCTATCATTGTGCTTGCTTAGCTATGAACTCGCAGTTTGGTATAATGGGAGTTTTTAAATCTCAATGATAAATTCTTTCTTCAATTGCCCCATTTTTCTCTTTCGTTTTTCACCTCATTGTTTGTGTATTTGTTTTTTCTGTCCGACTAAATTTCGAGCGCGTTGTTCACGTTATTCCCTTTTCGGAGAGCCAAGCCCGCGTAGTCTTGCCGTTTTTGGATTGTCAACCTTGACATGTCATGCTTGTCAGACTGTCATGCACCAGCATTTTGTCAAGTAAACTGTCAAAGCTTTGGTGCCTAATAGAAAGACGCCCAATATCACTGTTGGACAAAGAGTTTTAATGAAAATCAGATGTCTGACATGGTTTGACAAGCGTTGAACTTTCTGATCGTCAGGCCTGACGGTCACTGACAGCGACCCACTCATTACGGTTAGAATTGCCCTGGATGTGCTAATTGTAATTTCGTAGATCATCAAGTACGGAGAGATTCCCTTGGATCGTCTATTAAAGGACTGAATAGAGAAAAGGTTCTGTATAATATCTTCATTTTCTGTGTGTTTTTTTCCCATTACCCTCGTCTCATACATGGAATTCGTCGTTTCATTACAAAATTCTCAACACAAACTATTTGACAACAGCTTAGCTGGAACTAGGAGCGTTCGCAGCAATCAAGTCCAGCCATGCTGCCAATCGGTATCCAGCTCGGGCAATTAGTTCCTCAAAGACGGGCTGGCTGGTGGCGTAGTAGTTACCGGACAAATCATTGTTCTCGATGTAGGATAGGCCAGGCTCCAACACTGTGCTGCAGACGTAGGTGTTGGCATCAGAAGCCCAGATCATCGAAGAGGATTCAGGGTCGGTGATGTCCATTCCGTCCAGCCAGGAGGAGCTGTTGGATGCGTACTGGCCGCTCTTGATACGCTCGGTCAACATAGAAGCATATGCCTTGGCGTCACTAAGAGAGTAGCCGCCGGCGTCTTCCTCGGGCATGTTGGTGTCCCAGATGTGGTGGAGGTTGGTGGATTCACCGTTGTACGTCACATCGATCGTATTACCACCGACGTCCAGGTTCTCGTCATGGAGAGGCTGGTGGATGTCGCCGACGAACTGCATACATGATTAGTTTACTATACACTTGTATTGTGCGACAAGATAGGTAATACGAAAACTTACGTGAACGATGAACATCAGTGCATCGAGTGACTCCTTCTTGGAAGTCGAGCTGTCCAAAAGTTGATTTGTCTATGGCCTTGTTAATATAGTCCATCGAAGAACGAACAGATTGACTAACGTAGTTCTTAATAGCGCTGATACTGCAACCGCTGTCACCACAGTCACGGGAATAGTCAACATTGCAAGTCTGAGGTGGTTTATCCTGGGCGTCAATGAAATGATAAGGCTTGGAGTATTCTCCAGCAGAAGTGTACTTGTAAGTATCGGCCCATGTGGCGACAGAGGCGAGGTAAGACGAGTTGGTGATACCAAGGATGCCTTGGCAATAGCTCTCGGTTGTGGAGTTGACAAAGTTCTGCGCGATATATCCAATGGTCTGGTGGCCAAGGTCCCCCCAGGCATTGCTGCCCTGGAACTGCGCGGCGATAGCCAAAGTAGCGGGGAGGACGAATCGGAATGACGAAGACATGTTAAGCTTTTGTACTTTTTTCAACTGTGATGCCAGGTACCTTGCGAGAAGACAAATAGGAACCGGACAGCCAAGCCCTTTAAGTATACACCATCTGGTCACCGTGCGGAGGATCGACAGCACAAAAGCGGGAGGAGATTAAAACCGCGATCGTGATGTCCTGCGTAGATCATGGTACATACATGCATTGTGCGACATATGAGATCACGAGCCTTTCTCGTATACCATGACTGGGTCTTGATAAGATGTTTTCCGCACGGGTTGACTGGATCGGCTTTCATTCGTTGCGGGCTTTGGATATCCAATGTAACAGTCCAAGTTATTGTTCCTGCAGATCAATCCCATCTTTATGCCATGCAGCAGACATGCGCAATAAACCACGGGTTGTCACGGCATTCACAAACTAACTGATTTAACGGAACAAGCTTTCTGATCTGCGGAAAGAGTTACATTAGTCTTATCGGTGCTCGCCTAAGGCTTGTCTCGGAGCCAATTGAGCCTCTGTCACGCTGTCTCTGCTGCCGTGTTTGTTTTTCTGCCATGTAACATCGGGTCCCGCCTGGCCAACCAAGGAGGGAGAAAGGATCGCTAAGATGCCATCCTCTTGGCACGTGTGGTCTTATCTGGATATAATTTAACTGGCGTGTTTCCGGGGAGGTCCGGCTGGCTGGGTTAATTTTCAGGATCGAGGAGTAAATATTACTCTACAAGATACGATGTCAGTGTACTGGATTTGTCTATTCAAGAGTGAATAATGCGGTGCCTTGGTCGAGGCTCTGCGGGAAACAAAAGACGGAGCCCAGTCCCATTGAGGAAGTTGAATAAACAACACAGGCAAATGATAACACAGGCAAATGACCTATTCTACTTCTCGAGTCGGTCAAACTAGGCGTTGTTTAATTGCATTCACTAAAGCCCAGTAAAATGCAGCTAGGGAGTGATAACTTAGCATTCACTTTCACCTTTCTAATCGACGGAATTACTTTGCTTATGCAGAGCAAATTCGTGAATCTGATCTAGCCTGACTAGAAGAATTCTTTGGATACCACAGCAACGGTGTGTGCCTAAAGTTGCAGGTTAATTGATTGGCTTGATATTTGGGACTCTAATGATCCTTGCTAAGATTAAACTTTTTTGTATTTAGCAAATAGTCTTATTGTTTAAGTTAGTAGGTAGATTCATTGTTACTAACACATTATGATAAGTGTTAGTAGCTCTAACAATCCTTGCCAACCTTAGACTTTTTTGTATTTACAGTACCAAATGATCGATTGCAACAGTCTTAGATTACATATATGGTTTATTCTATTCGGACTGGTTGGTATGGCATATAGTACATGGAATCACTAACTTGATCATCACTCTATTCCCAACTTCACACGGTGACATAACTTACCATCATCCTTTTTACATTGTATCGAGGAGTTCAGCTATTTCCTCCGCACCTTTCTTCAATGCGTAGGCTGTAGGCAAATACTGAATCTTCCTTAGATGTCCAGAGGCATCTCTCCTGAAATAGCACAGCATGCACAGCTCGGCGCCATATTCCAGCAGCAGCCTCACCATAGCTAGATTGCCTTTCGCAATCACAGTCATCCATAGCGTGCGCAGCATATGCTCCGTCAGAAGCTTGCTTTTATGGGTGAAGCCACGAGGCACACTCCAAGATTTAAGCATATGCTGTACAAGATCTATATTATCCTTCCGCACTACGCGATACAAAGGATTAATTTCGGCGGAGTCGCCTAGGTCAAAATGGGCGCCGTAATCTATCAGAGATCTGATAATGGTATCTTTGCCCTTTGTAATAGCCATAGTTAGGAGTATTCCAACTTTTCTTCCCCTTGAGGTACAAATACCCCAATTAATAAAAACGTTAGCATTTGCCCCTTTTGCAAGTAGCCTCTGCACAAGTTTCTCGTTGCCCTGCTCTACGGCTAGCCATAAAGGGGTCTTCAAGTGGAAGTACGGATTGTCTATTTCCGAAGGTCTCTCTGGATCCACTGGGCAGTCTCCTATGAGAAGCCTATCGACCAGGTCGTCTTGTTTGTATTTTATTGCAGCATACAGTGCATCGTAAAATACCATTGATCCGTATCCACATGTCCCAGATGGACCTAAGTCCAAGAGCCAACAAAGGCTGTTCATGTAACCAGATTTAGAAACGGCATCAACAAGCCAGTAGTATTTCCCATGCGCCAGTTCAGCTCCGCGGCCGGAGTAGAGAGTTATCAGCTCTCCAATGCCCAGCTTGATGGCGTAGAAAAGAGGCGCATTGTCCAAATTATCGGTTGCGTTTATATCTGCCCCGGCTTGGACTAAGCATTTTGCGATTTCGACGTGTCTGGCCAGAGTAGCCAAAATAAGCGGTGTCCGACCAGTCGCATTTCGTGCATTCATATTTGCACCACATTCAACAAGCATCTCTACTGCATCAAAATGGCCATTTTTGGTGGCCAATGCAAGTGGCGTGTGATTTGCCACATTCGGATTGTCCAGCATCGACATGTCGTAAGTCATTATTACCTGCAGAACATCAATACAACCATGCTCTGCAGCCACGCCCTCTACGTAGGAGCCTTTGAAATCTCCTACTGTGCGATCGGCTCCTTTGGATAGTAGAAGATCGACAATATCCGCCCAGCCCCAGCGAGCTGCATAGAACAAAGGTGTGCGGCCCGTATAATCAACTCTGTCCAAGTCGAAGAGCGGCCTCTTCTCGAGCATAAGCTCGACGACGTCTTTATGGCCTTCGATCACAGCAAAGAATAGCGGGCTTTGTGCCAGATCATTGCCTAGATTAATATCCGCATCATGGTCTAAAAGCAATTTGACAATTTCTATATGTCCTGCCGTAGCTGCGTTGGATAATGCAGATCTATAAATATTATCCACTGAATTAGGACTAGCATCGAATTCAAGTGCTTTGAGGGCCGTTGCTTTCTGGCCATTAGTAGCAGCCCATAGTAGGGACGAACTCCCGCAGTATCTAACATCCAAGGCATATAGACTGCGTTCAATGAGGACCCAAATTCGGGGGTGGACCAGCCCAAAAGCATGCAGGATTTTGATGATGATGTCTACTCGATTTTTTGATGCTAGTATCCATGACACTATTTCGAGAAGCAGTTCAGTGGGAAGGCGAAGCAGGCTGCCCATTCTTGACAACTGGAAATTCGATGCTCACAACAATTCAACAATTCCCAGCATCGGTCATCGTACGAGTATATATGGTGAGACGATACCTGCAAATCACTTGCAAATCATGGGGTGTCGAAAGCAACGCTTTTATTGTGCGTTCTAACCATCTAGGAAACAACTTTAGATGATAAAAGCAAAGTGTTTCTCATGTCGCGTGTCCTGAGAAAGAATTTTGCGGCGTTGAACTCGTGGAGGCAACGGAGGCCAACCACGGACCACGCCTCACGTGGCTGGTGCTTCCCCGCCCGTCATGATTCATGGCTCTGTTGAATTGGCAGTTTTGGCCATCTGTGCAGACTCAAACAGATCAAGTATGAGGCGATGTCTAGATACGACACAGGCGGTTCAATGAAGATAGAATGAGATTCCTATATAGTATATTTAAGAATATAAAGAAGGGTTAATTTCTCTCTATCGCTTTACTCCCTCCAAGTCGGTTCGGGTCGGTCTCCTAGGCCTCTACCAACCTGACAGGCCCCCAACTCCACACACCTCATCGTCAGTACACCTTACAAATACACTAAATGTGATATCATCACCAGTATTTATCCGGGTTTTATTATTATTTATGAGATTACTAATTATTAAATCGTAGTGGATCCGATCGAGGGTATGCAAAGAATTTATAATAGGTCACTGTCCAGTAATAACAGTATCCAGACTCGATTCCAACAACCGGGATTCTTACTGTTACCATATATCAAGCACGAGGATTAATCGCATTCGCTACTTCCTTATTAATGGTAGTCTGACCGAAAAAGATGAACCCATTTTTCCACCGGATCTATATTGTACACTAATCTCCATCCACGCTATCACAACCCACTAGAGTCGGGTCTCGCATATTTTATCCTTCATTGCTTTGTGCTATTCCGTATAACATCATCTACATAGGTTCGTGTAGACATAGATATCCACGAGGCTTTAGATCAGTAAGTATACACATCAATTGATACCTCAAGTGAAAACCATAATACCCATATAAACTACAGAAATAAAACAACTAGCTCGCTGTAGGATGATTATCACCACTTATGCCTGGGAAAAATGCTCCGAATTGCTCGAACATCCGCTGCCTAAGTGCCTCTATATCAATCCTGGTGTATTATCCTCTGGCTGATCGGCAAGGTGACAAGTCTCATATACGACCGGCACCAGCGTAATAGGGGTGGTCGGAAACAAGGCACATATTCCTTTCGCAGGAGCTTCATCGAACTACTCCGTTATAACAAACTATCGTCTTTTGTTTAAAGTGTCATTTGAAAGAATTCATTATTCAAATCTGGAAATAATCCGAAAACAAACAAGCTGTTCACAAGTGTCGATCTTACTAGATACAAACATTTCCCCCATCAATTCATTCTCGTCACATTAGTCTTTTTACATTCTATCACGCTCTCAGAAATTCCCTTTTTTGCTCATTGTCCCTTGAATTAATTCTAATGGAGAATGTTCCACTTTTATAACATTCGTACAAGCAGGGAAAGGTTTCGCCAAAGTTGTCACAGTCATATCACCTAAAAGACCAAAATGCATAGATATATATAAACCTTGGAGTTCATGGTTCTCAATCAGAAGATTCTTCGGATGGCATGTCAGGGCCCAATGGTATCTCCATCTCAGTATCCAAGAGGGTGCGCGAGGGCAAGCCTCGATTCAATAGAACGGACATGGCGAGGGCTTGGTTTATTCCCATACTATAGCCAATCCTATCCATGTACATGATGGCCCATCGTTTCAAAGAAGGAGGAGATATGGCACGGTCCGCAGCAAGATACAAAGGCCAAATGAGCGCATAACCACCGAGGGCTCCATGCGGGGAGTTCCGAGGATCAATGTGTGTGTTATTTTGAACCGCATTGCCCACAGCGCCTAGGTGGTAAGGCACGCTGGCACAGATTCCAGCCACGAGGTGTTTGGCGATTTCATCGCTTTGGCTCTTCAGTTTCGAGTACTCATTTGTTGGTAACATGGCTGCGCCGAGAAACTGATGTTTCAGTTGTTGGATCTCTCCAGCATACCCAGAAATGTACTCGTGAACGACCATTCGCAGAGCGCGGTAATTATTTAGGACCATAGCCGCACTCAAGTTATTATAAATGTGGTAATGATCTCCATACACAACCCGTGCCTGCACTTGCACTTGAGTGTCGAGGTCTCTATCTACGGGAACTGTCCTGTATGAAAAGAAGGAAGGAAGCGTAGACGACCATCTAATAAGATCATTATCTACCGATAGAGCAGCCTCAAGTATGGACCATGGCTCTGTAAGCTCGCCGTTCTTTACAGCAGCACAGAAGTTGCTGAATCTGACGGCAATGTTGCTGAATTTATCGATGAATCTTGTTTCGCTTGTCTCGATCTCTGAAGCGACCTGACATAGGTGCGTCAGAAATGATGAGGTAGGCTTTCCTGTGTATATATTGTTCGTTATCTGTTAATACGTCACATCTTTAGTTATCTAATTATCCACAGCTAATTTTGGCGGGTTGAGATTTATGTCGGGAGTACATACTATTGAGATCTTCAGGTGTCTAAACATGGAAAGACCACGTAGATTGCGCAGCTGCTCTTCTCCACGCCATTCAATCAACTTGCCTGCGCCTTCAACATGATTTCTCCATCGTTGCATTGATCCGGAGCCGTTACATGTCATAATCTGGATTCATCATTAGTTAAAATCACGGTTGGACGTTTCTAATTAGGTTCTAGGTTTACCTCAAACATGCCCAGCAAAATCACTGCTCCTAAAGTTGAGTCCTCTTTGGAGAGTGATTGATCTCTAAGGGCTTGGTTTGTATGAGCCAAAGCAGTTGTGTACTCTTCTCGCGCGGCTCGCATTAGGTTTGGGGCCGTCTTGATGTTCGCTAATGCCGCAAGTCCTACTGCTTTCATAGCTGATCGTATTGCAGAGTCACCATTCGAAGGCAGTAACTGTTCGATAAAGCTATAGTGATTTGCTGACTTTCCATCGAGAATATAATTGCCATAGACAAAGCATGCTGCTTCGTCATCTATTGGCGTTGTCAGTTGCTGCGATTGCGGACTTTGCTGTAAACGACGGTATCTCTGCTCGCTTTCGTATAGTTTCTGTCGAGATAGAGCGGCCTTGATGTGAATCCGCTTGGCTTTGCGGATCACATCATCGCTCTGGTTTTCAAACATTAATGCTGTTAGGTCGCGATACCCCGTGCATTTCTGGTCGGCACGGATGCATTGTGAACAAGATGGGGTTTTTTGGTCACACTGTCGATATATATCAGCAATGTATCCACCAAGTAATTACTCGTGACCGCAAATCTGGCAGTGGGGCCATTGAATATCGAGGCAAAAAAAGACTCATGTCCTATTTCATACCTTCAGTCTTCGGGACCTGCAACGGCTGCAGCCACCACTTGGTTTACCACGAAACACCATGGTTTAATCGGGCCAGACACCTTTGCCACACGTAGTGCAGAAAAATTATGAAAAAGGTAGGAGAAGCAATTGCCTGAAGGAGTATGCATGGCGATAGCTTTAAAGCTGTGAGTATAAACCCTGAAGAATGATGGACATTCTCGAGCTGAAAGTTCGATTGAGGCTATACCTATTTGGGTAACCTCCTCGTACAGCTCTAGCGCCATGTGTATTTACACTCCGCCAATAAACACGCATTATTCTCCCAGTGGCTTCAGTTAGCGCCAACGTTAAAGAATAGGCTTTCTTTTCTGTGTAGGCGAATGCCTTTAATTCTTTTTTTAGAAGAGCCTCGCTCATTAATGGAGAAACCGCTCAAAATGACATAGTCGAAGATGATAGGATGTAATTTTGCTTTTTTCTTGGAGGGCAAATTCGATTGCAGGGATCAAAGCCATGGCTGCAAATATATTCTCTAAATACGCCAAAGTCCAAATTGACCACATAGATCAACTTATTTCGAGACTCCCGAATGAGTCGGATGACGCTCTGAAGAAGGCATCGTATTCCAACGTTGCTGACTTTGAATAATGCTACTCGAGCCATAGCAATCCATAGAGTGCTGCTCAATCGGGTCACAACTTCAAATTTCTTCACACATCCGAGCTATCGTAGATTCACGACATTGAATCTTGTGTCTTCATAATCACGACGCATCCTTCATTTAGAAATTAGGTATTCATTCGTCGGTATTCGGAAGACGACACAGGATAACTAATCAACTTATTACCAACACTAACTATACTTGATTAACATTAATGTAGTCCGCCGTATGGCATGTGGCGTCAGTTGAGCAACTTGTAAATACCAAGGTAGCATCATAACATCAGCTCACAGCATTGGACATCAACCATTGCGCTAAGCGGACTCAGTACACGTATCTCCATATTCGCCGTACACTAGTATACACCAATAGTGTCTGTGTGGAGCATATCACGGAAGAAGTTCAGCTTAATAAAACATGTCGAATAGTAGATTACTTTGATACGTCCACTGGAAGTGCCAAGATTGAGATCGAAATGGATTCCGTTTTCAATGCCTGGCCCGCGGTGGCACTTGATGCATGACTTTAATGATTGATAGAGGATTTGTTTCAGATATTTACAACCTATTGCTAGCTGTGAGAATTCATAAAAGTTACATTGCCTGCTTTTTTTTTCGTTCCGTGCTGACTTGCTGAACGAACGGTTTGGTAATCTGTCAGTCGATTACATCCCCAGCCACCGGTATAGATGCGGCCATCGACAACAAAATCGGCTGGCGGCGCAGTATCACAACAGATCAAAGGTGAGGTGGACACGATATCGGGTCCCGCAGGGAGATCACCGGGCCGGACAGGCGATGCGCCCAGGAGCTTGTTTTCTGGGTTCCACTTGCCATTCTCAAGTCTCCCGTGGCGCTGAACCCCACTGAGTTTTGTAGTTTATAAGCTTCGCTTGTGTCGAGGTTTTAGAATCCAGGTACTGACCGTTTATTTGACGCTCAGCCTATTGTAAAGCCTCTGTTAATGTCATTTGGCCTTCTGTTGACATCACGTGCCATCATGCCCACTTTCACGTGCGGGTCAGTCAGGGCCGGCGGAGATCATGCCTGAACCAGGCCAACTCCAGCGGTTGGACACCACAGTTACATATGCCTACTGGTCGATCATACGTTGCTCTTCCCTTTTTTCCATTTTTTTAAGAGCCTCGTCTGACTTTTCTGCAATGACGATAAATTGCCTCTAGCCTAGCAGTCGACCGTTTTATACAGGAAATTCTTTCTTCAACTGATTGATTAATTCGACATCAAACAAACAGATACAGCGCGCTACTGTCGAATCCCGGACGTACTTGACACAAACAAAGCTTTGAATATAGTGGTCTGGGAAAAAAGAAGAAATGAAACTGACATTTGCCGGACTCTTGTTGCAAATCACCATAACCCTTGCGCAACCCGAGAACACCCTTTTCAACCGGCAGACAAGCATCGCCAGCAACACCACCGAATGTAGCAACCCGCAGCCCAACGAATGCTCATTTTATGCGCAATGTCTACAAACCCGCTACAATTGTAGCCCGAGCGACTATCCGCTCGCCGACGGGCAAAAATACTGTGAAAAATTCCAAGCCGACGCCTCTGACCTATCGAGCGCGGGCCAGAAGTGGATGGAGACAGTCATGCTCTGCTTGCAACGGGCCTTGGTACCGTACGCACTGGGTGGGAATCAATCCTTTGCAAGTTGCTCAGCTCTAAATGACTATGCGTTTGGTACGCATCCGAAGTGTTATGTGCAAAGTGGGTTGTGCACCTTGCCGCCTTCAGATTGGGAGGCTATTGTGTTTAAAATTGTCGGCTTGAATACTTTATTTGGTAGTTGGGACGCTCTCAAGGCCACCGTCGAGACTGCAGTGGGTTGTGAGGAGTTTTATTTATGGGCGATTGAGCAAAAAGTCTTTTGACCGATCGATCAATCGATTGTTTTCTGTCTCGCGGTCTCTGATTTAGCGCCCGGGAAATTTTGGGGGCGAGAGTGCATTGAGGAAGAGTTTATTTGATCACTTACCTTGTATAGAACTTGAAATTGCATGAGCGGTTGTTTAGATGAGCGATGTGGTTAAGACAAGCAACTGAGCCTCACCTGTCTAAGATTATTGTTATTTAATATAAGCGTACGTAATGCCTAATGGGTGCTCCAACACGTCTTTCTTCACCGCGCGGGGTAGTCTATGTGTATTACATCGAGGATTATCAATCCCCCAAAATCGATTAAATTGGAATCCAGCAACAACATAGGGCTTGGAGGATTTGCAAAAGATTAATTTGTTACTTCGGTGATACTTTGTCCGAATCCCTGCTGAGTGAGATTGATAAATATGGGGTCAAATATGGTTAAGATCCGGTGCCACGTCAAACTAGGCACATTTTCACTGCGGGGTCTCTAGGGTTTCTCTCCGACACTCTACATTGCCAAGGTTGATAGGGTTTCGGGAATGGATTTCGGTAGTGCTTGTTCTGATAATATCATCGGTTGACAGTCAGATTCATCTCTACAAGAGGCAAAAAAGGTAAAGAAGAGTGGATGTCGGTAGCTAGGCACGGCAATGTATCTGACGGTGATTGAGCTTATGAGAGGGCGACTGTTCTGTTGTTGAATATGAAAAATCTACCTCTATGAGTTGCTTCTGAAACCGTACCATATTGCTCTGTTAATACTGGGGGATCAAGATGCTCTTGCGCCTTTGCTTTGTGTACCTATTGCCGGCTCTTTTGTTCTACTTCCTGAGCCTGGCAACATCAACAACATTGACAACAGTGAGTAGTAGCGAAAAGTTTGTTCCAACAGTCAGTTAGCCTCGCTCACTCTCACGAATATCGATGTCATCTCCATTGATGCCACCACTGGACGAGCTCCGTGGCCAGACCCTAGCGATTTATTCAATGGTTTTCCTAGTGCGGAGAACCGGACCACAGAGATCTGCATTGTAACTATTAAATACACTCATCCAGGCCGGAACGACACAATAACTACTTAGGTATAGCTTCTGCTCCATTCTTGGAATGGCAGATTCGTTGGCGTGGGTGGTGGGGGTTAGAGCGCTCGCCCAGCCATTAATTTAGGATTTCAGTGCTGTCGCTCTTGATGAGGCTACTTCTTTAGGCAAACTGGCTACGCAGCTGTTTTACGGGTCCCTTCTCCAGTATTCGTATTGGAATGGCTGTTCAACTGGAGGACGACAAGGACATATGATGGCCCAACTGTTTCCACCTCAGCACGATGGGATATTAGCAAAATCACCCGCAATCAATTGAGACAAGTTTCTACAAGCCGAGAACTGTCCGCAACTTGTTATGAGGTTTCTTGGTAAGACTATGGAGGATCGTATTTGCGTGAAGTCTAAAGATACGAATTTACTAATGGGACTGTTTCCTTAGACTATTATTCATCAATTTGTCAGCTGAACGCCATCACAGGCGTGGCAATAAGCGGTTGCGATGAGCTAGATGGAGTAAAAGACGGTATCATTGCTATGTCAGGACTATGCAAATTCGACCCTTTCTCCGTTGTCTGAAAGACTGTGCAGTGTACACCGCCTAATGGAGCCGTCACAATATCCCATCAAGCTGCTCAGATAGTAGCAGTTATATGGGCAGGTCCAAAAAGCTCTAAAGGGTCTTTTCTGGTACGGTCTGGCCCACGAAGCTCCGATGACGGGTCTTGCAGGGACGATCTGTAGGTCGCTTCATAGCTGTAGGCCCTCTCCTTCCTTGATATTAACAGACTAGGTTACAACGATTTTATCAAAAGATTCTTCACTGGATCTATCCACCATTAATCTCGACGTGTTTAGCCAATTATTCCGAACTTCGATAAACGAGTTCCAGTCGATTCTTGGTACTTGAGATCCAAACCTGACAGGTTTCAATACTGCGGGTAGAAAAATAATTACCTACCTTGAAATAAAGGATCAACTAATTTTTTACAATCGCACAGGAGACTATTACTGTCGCGTATTGGACTCCGATCCAGAAGTTCACGATTACTACCGTTTCGTTTCGGCTCCTGGTGTGAAGCATTGCGGCGATGGGCCGGGATGGTTTCCAGGCGATAGTTTCAGACTTTGGTCAATTGGGTAGAAATAGATATAGCGCCTGATACTCCTTTTTGTCTCTCTATGCCAACAGCAACTGGAAGCGCAACTTCGCCAACAAGGAACGCATATTTGTGTGCTAATCCTAGGATCCTGACTTCATAGGCGAAAACCCTGACGATTAATCGTCTTTTCGTTATCAATAATAGTATTTTGGTAGTCATTTAATCACATTATGGGTATTCTTAACTTTTAGTCTATCTAAACTGCGGAGAGTATGCGCAAGATAAAATTTAGTAAGGAAGGAAGGGAAAACAAGAAGAGTTCTCTATTCAAGCTTGCATGGTCTTTACAAACTTTCAATTCAACTTCATGTTTTATACCAACAATTTTTGTGAACAGGGAGGTATTAAACTTGGCAGGCACGGCTCTGAAATTTCTGCTTCAGCCAATCCATCACAATCTGGTTCTGCAAGGAATAAGCCCCAACTCCAGCATGCGAGCCATCACCATAAGCCGTCTTAAATTGATAGTAATAAGCACGATCCCCAAGATGCTTCGCCAGCACTTCCCCAGAGTTCGAGAAAAACAGGTCATTTTGCGCATCACCAACAAACACAGGTCCCTTGATCTTATCAATCACTGGCGCAAGAGTGTAGTTCTGAAGAGCCGTCATCCACTCAAAAGGGGATGTAGTATCCCAAGACCAAAGCCCTTGGTCGATAGACCACCGGAACTTCGAGGAAACGGAAGGAGTTTCACGGACTTTGTTGATGAGTGCATTGAATAACGTAGCATTTCCCGCTTTGAAAGCCACCTGGAATTCCGACGGTAATGACTGCAATGTTGACGGACCAAAGTCATAAATACCATCAAGAGCGACCACTGCAGTGAAACGGTGCTCGAAGGCTGCTGCACGGGGAGCCAACCAACCACCAAAGGAAACACCGACCAACGCCAGGGCATCCAGATCCACTTCCGGAAGTGTTGTAATGTAGTCGACGACGGGTGTTACGACTTTCTCCCATTCAGGAATGAATGAGAGACTCTGATAACGGCGAGGGCTTGCCTGACCGGGTCCTTCGTAGCTAATGACGTTCCAGCCTCGCTGCAGGGCTGCGTATCCCACTTGATGGTATACTTCTTCTTGTCCACCATCGTAACCTCCACCAATGACTAGTGTTGGACGAGGAGTATTATCGGCCGCAGCTTTGTAGTAGATACATGGCACGTAGAAGCCGTCAGCTTGAATGTTGACTCGTCTACCGGGAACTGGGAGCAGGGACAAGCTGACGTTGAATGCACCCTGAAGCTTTTCCCAGAGCGACAGAATTCGGGGATCCGACTGGTTTCCGTGAAGGTAGAAATCGGCGGACTGATAGTACATTGCCGCTCGGAACATTGTATCACGAACAGAGACCGGGTATTTGCGAGCATCGAGAGCTTTTCCTTGTGCCAGAACATGATCAGCTAATTCAGTGTAAGCGGCCGTGTAGCTTTCGAAATCTCCAGGTGTTATTTTGTAAGCAGCCGTCAGCACTTCGCCGATGTCTGAACCACCGGAGGATGCAGTAGCCAAGCTTCGAAGAATTTCGAAATGGAAGCCTTCATCACAACTCAATTGCACCATGGTCGTTGTGTTAGATGGACTGCATGTTGTAGCTGTCTAGAATCTTTATCAGCATGACATTTTCCATCACAGCACCGGATGGAACATGAACTCACGGCTCCTATATACAGACCAACCAAATGGAGAAAGACTTTACTCAGAAGCTTCATTATTCTAAATTATAGAATGCTGATCCCGATCTTTATTCTCAATAAAAATGATGGTAAAATTATCCCCTCCGCGCAAGATGTCAATTGAGAGTTCCAGTGAATCCTGGAGCAGTTGCCACTTGATGCAAGGAAACATGAGCTATTTAAGCTCTACTTCAACGCACTAATATCAAATTATGCAGCCACATATTCCCCTGGCAGAAGTCCACATGGCCAAAAGACGTCATGCAGGCTGAATCTAAATGACTGAGTGCCTTAGCGCAAATCTTAAATCATTGGGCACGCGGTAAATAAACCTCAAATTCCCAAAATAGACAAGGTTCTTCATGGTAAAGCCCTTTATTGGTGGAGCTGGAACTATTTTGTCCCCTTGAATTACTATGCACGCTCGACCTGAGAGGCTGCGAGCAACGGCCCCCATTCACGGCCCTCGTCTTTTTAGGCATACATCTCGATTGTTTTTAAAGCTGGATCCATGCTTAAGAATTATCCATCGCGTAAGCTTAATTGACGTCCGCCAACTAAACAAAATTTTTGGCCAAACGACAAACACTCTTTCCACGTTGGATGTTGAGATACACCAAGATTCACCAAGGCTCACCGATATGGTTAGTACGTGCTCCGAGAAGGTTACCTAAGATGGTAAGGATCTCGATGTCTCCTCCCAACAACAATACTTCTTCCATTACCGACTCGATCGCCGTTTACCGAAGCGTATCCTAGCAGAAAGAAAAATTCCACGCACTTCTAGACTCTATAGCAGCAACCAATATAGTTTGCTTTGGTGACAAAATATTAGGCGTTTCGAATGCCAAGCGAGAAGGGCTGTAAAGACAGCGCCGCCAGAAAACCTTTAGCGTATGCTTATTTAGGCGCGATAAACCTTGACGCTTCTTTATTTAGAGCTGATGCCTATTTGTTTTATTTTTTCCTGTTGAAACTGTTAACGACGTGAAATTATGACTTACCCTAGGGTAATTTAGGACGGTAACTGGTCAAGGGTCTATGTCCTAGAAACGACATCTGGACGAAAATGGACTATTACTGTGCCCCGGCGAAATCACGGTCCTTTTCTGATACGAATACCGTTCACGTTATGTCTCGCAAAATTTAGCACAGTTTAGAGTATGTATGAGACACCCACTATATTATCCAATAAAACCACTCAACTTTAAGTAAACTATTCCCAAGCCGCTTGGCACCAAAAACTTTTCTTTAGCGTTCAGTTGATTAAATTTGCGGAGTCTTTCATTTCGAGAGTGATTACTTCTACAGCCCTTGAGGTCGCTGCCCACATTCGCTTGACAGGTATGTGGACGAACGAATTGAATGTGAGACCGCTTGGTATATGTCTTAAACGCGTAATCACCGCGGATATCAGAATCGATACGGTATAAAAGCCCTAGACTACGGTAATATCCGTCCTATAAGCTGCTAAGAATGAAGACCCTCGGGTGAGCCAGTCTGAGACTCACGATTTCAAAGGCTGAGTCGCTTCATCACTCGTTACATGGCCGTATTCGGTTCAACTCTTGGGAATTGAGGTTATCTAAAAACGTTGATAAAACGAACAATAATCTCTACATGTCCACATAGATCCAACATTATCAAGTATGTGCAAGATCTGGCGCTTCTTCTTCGTCGCAGAATGATACGTATCATCCGCTCAACTAATATAAACGCTCAAAATATAAGCCAAAAAAATTTAAAATTAAAGTACAAACCACGTACTGATAACAGAAAGTAGGGGTATACACATTTTCAAAGTGTACAGAGAAAGGACCCGAAACAAAGAGAGACGTTACAAAGGCCGAGAGCACTACTTTTCACCTAAACAGTCACAGTCGTGGAGTTCCGCACAACACCGCTTCCAGAGCTTTGCACAGCACCGACCTGCACGGCCTTAAAATCATACGTGATAGCGAATGCTGTCTTGAATCCTTGTTTGGAGATAGCACCTATCTCTTGAAGGCTGTTGCCGCTTGACACACCGTAGATAATATATGAGGTCGACTTGGTAGCGCCATCCCAGCCCATATAACCAATTAGATTAGAAGTATATGCGCTAGCGCAGTCGGCCAAGGCATCTGGGACTTCAGTTTCGGCCGCGACGAGACTTAATTGAGTGTATAGTGTGGCGTGCCGTCTTGCTTGAAGGCGCGGTAGTTGTAGTCAGAGTTCAGATTAGTCAATTAAGCGTTCCAAAAGGTGTATCTTTCAACAGTTAGGTTTGATCCATACTTCTTCGTGATGGGATAGATATTGTAGCCCATAAAATAGTTGCCGATATCAAGCTGGGAAAAGGATTTCTTGCTCAAGTGTAAACTCTACTATTGATATCCTATATACTTGTAATAAGTTCTGGAGGGTTTGACAGATTCAGAGGCAGAGTCAATCAAAGAGAAACCCCCTTTGAGGTGATTTTGAGTGATAGGTTGCTGTTACTGTTGCTAAAACATGAAAATATCACTTTATCTGATTCTCTTTAAACCACCCTGAGGGCGGTTGACAAGCACGGTGAAAAATTGTTGGGAGCTAGACAACCCATAGCAAAGTTCGGGCTCGCCCTCGAAGTCTACTGACATCTTATATCCAAAATACATCGACGGAGTTTATCTCAGCGTGATTGCAAAACCGCCAATAAGTGGAGTATGAAACACGAGACGAATAGGCTATTTAATTATGTACATAGTCATCCTGCAGGGTAAGGAGACATACGGATGCGGACGTCACCGAGTCATTAGGAAGTGGCTGATGAAGATGTGAGTCGAGTAAAAGCGGCATTCGGAAATGTTGAAGTGGTGTTCGCTTTCTAGACGCTGGGATACTTGGTTGTCGGAAACGAAAACACAAGGAAATCTGTCCCCCTTTCGGCGATGTTCGAAATAAAAATTTAGCGGGGAGATGAAGGGTTGTCAATCTGCGCAGTGACTGGCCGCATGATAATTTTAGCATTCTTGGTCTTTGAGTACGGTGGCCTGAGTATCGCATAATACTGCTGGGTATTTTCCCTTCTGTGGAGATGTTTTGGTGGACGTCACGCCATTCTCAACTTATATCAAATACAATTCATCATAGTAACGTAATCGGACACCCACCCGCCAGTCTGTGTATTCCATATAAAATGGACATTCTTAATATTAAAATATCTCAACTAAATGGTATATAATCTTATTGGGTATTTGATATAAAAAATGTCCATTTTATATGCAATAAAGTGTCAGTGGCGGGTGGGTGTCCGATTATGTTATCGCATAACTATACAGCTCTGTCATCCAGCTGGCTGCTGTGGAATTCAGCTCAACAATTCGCTCCGCCACATCGGAATAAGCCCGGGAGCCTGCAAAAAGAGCTTAATGTTTCAAACCTCATGTTTTTCGCTTCTATTCAGCTGAAAAAATGGTCGACTGAAATCGATCGACCACTTAAAGCTGAAAGATGACGCCACTTGAGGCAGTGCACCATCCGAGTGATCAGGATGGTGTAAGGAACAGGGATCCGCATCCTAGCTGCATGGATAGTAGTGGCTAGCGAAGCCTCGCCGAACAGCTAAAATAATACATAGTGCCAAGGCAGAACCTGTGCCATTCCCAACACTCTTCTCAACACACCTGGCGATGTATTTGCAAAATGAAAATACTAGCATGGAGCACTCCTCCGGTGATGAAATCTCACTGAAAGGGGAGCGAATACTCAAAAAGCGGGCACAGGCGCAAGAAACCACAACACGAGACCCGAAATATGAGACTTTAGAATATGCTCTGTTTCTCTGCCGAGGGTACTGTGCTTCTCCAAAGGTAGATCATAAGCGAAATAATAAACGGGGGACCAGGCTGTTAGTTCTCGATGAGGCTGGTCGGTAATTATTTATCGATGCGAAAATTCATTACTTGCTAAAGCATTGGAGTCAACAGAGACACCGGATTTTGAATATCAAATACAGGGCGCTGCTTCAAGGATCCCAACGGATGGTGGAGCTCATATCCGTGTTGTGTATGTTAAATGAATGTCTTTGTGCTGGTGCATTTCCTCATTTCTCTTCTACATATAGGATGATGAACTCGGATGCTGGCATTTTCATCGAGGATCGAAATCGAACCTATTCGCTTTTTGAAAAGCATTGGGCATTTAATATGAGAAATATTACATTGTTATCTTCACAACTCGTGTCGAGCTATCATAGCCGAATGGCCAGTTTTGGTGGCCAACCTTGCTTAGGTATGCAAAGCTTGCATGGTTTAAGTCCTTATCACTAATGAATCCAGAGATTTGCTACAATATTAGCGAGTATCTTTCATATGACGAAGATAATATCTCATCATTGGAGAGCAATCTGACTTTAAACGCCAGCAAGCCAGCAGATATGTGGCTTGAGCATCAGTATGAACCTCTTTATTTCAGATATAATTCTGTAACGGGCCAGTCAACATACATGTTATCGAATGCAACACGCGAAAACAGAGATCTACTTAATAGTGTTGGGCTACACCTTGCTGAGTCACCACCAAAAATGCATCCTTTCACACTTCACACGGTTATTTTATCACAAACTTTGGCAACACGAACGTCGGAAATCGATGATTTGTATCGACGACTATTGTGGATTGAAACACAAATATATCGTGGTTCTATATTTCAGGATACAAACTCTGAGAGGTTCACACGGTATATACAACTGTCACATAAATTATCCCGGAACCTCATCACACTTGAACATCGGAATCAGCGCGACACTTGTCATATTGACCGATTATTGCAAGATCACGCCCGCCTGTGGAAGATGACAACAAGACAACGTCCTAAAGGATCCGATGAGTGCTACATAGATGCGCCGGGTCATGAACGTGTACGAGATAGCCTCTTGTGCTTAAAAGACTTTGCTGCCGACCGAGAGCGGCAAATTATCAATTTGCAACGAAAGACACAAATCTTCATCACACTATTATATAACTTAATCACAGGTCATGACAGTGCGATCAATCTCCGCATTGCTTCCGAGACCGCAAATGTCTCGCACGAGGCAAAAAAAGACAGCACATCAATGAAAATTATTGCAGGTGTCACTATGTTTTATCTACCTGCCACATTTGTTTGTAGTTTGTTCGGCACCAATTTTGTCGCCTTGGACACAAGTGGCACATCTGAACCGAATTTTGTGATTTCTAAATTATGGTGGCTGTATTTTGCCTTTGCTATTCCCCTGACTGGGCTTACGGTGGTATGTTTCGTTGTCTGGCGTCGTTGGCGTGGAGTGCATCGTTTCCGAGCCGAGCAAGATAAATATTTGGTTTGATGTTGCCTCAATTTTGTCGGATGTCAACTGTATGTATATATATCCATCAATTGATGCTCAACTTTCAGGACAACGTCATGAATTGAGTCACTTGATCCCTGGCCTGCTGAAAAAGCTGCATAACGTCTAATTCACATAGCACCTCAGAATCCACTGGCTATTGAACACTGCTTAATCCAACAATAACACCAACCCTTCAGAGTCGCAGAAATAACACCCATCTCAGAATTGTGAGAGCTGATCTAGATGTTGACAGCGTGGGGCAATGCGACATGCACAAGACCTAGTAATGGTGGCAAATTGAAAAATAAGATTATATATTTACGTTTGAGAAAGGAAAATCACGAATTCGATCTACTTCCTGGATGAAACTGTTGTGACTTGTAATACCAAATATAACGTGCAGGTTTACGATGGTCAAGGGACCCATGAAGCATCCATACTTATGGCAACTTCCCCATCCTTACACGCATATCCTCCGATTTAGTCAATCATTTATATACGTATGATCTACGTATGAAATAATGCCTCTAAGTGGTTCTTGTAAAAAAATTCTAATTCCCTTGTTTGTGAAGACAGAAAGCGCATTGCGGGCTATCGAAATTGATCTCTAGTATTATTGGAGCTTGGGGCCTGCAATTAAGACATTGATGTGAAGAAAGCTTGCATGGTACTTTAATCGTAGTAGTCGAGTGATGTAATCGTGTTTTACCCTTAAATTCGTTTTCCCTTGATTTTCTTTTGAAGTTCACAGTCGTATCTAATAATTTGAAGGAACGGAAAGATGGAGAGGAGTTTGTCTCGTTTGCACCTGCGAGAGATAAGATAAATCACGTGCCGGATATAGGGGATCACCTCACAATCGAGAGAACCAACTGTGAATTTGCATTTCAAGTCACTCAGCGATGGTCTACGAAATTGTTCAATAATATGCCATGATTCATAGCGTTGAGATTTATTTGCATATTACTTATCACCGCTATATCTGTCCACATGCATAAAGTGACAGGTTCCGCGTCTTCCTTACGCAGGAAAGTCTCCTTCGATCTCGAAAATCTGACCGATGATTCAGACATTGAAGACTATCGGGACCGCAATATACCAGATTGGACATTTCGGAGTTCGATATCCAGCCTACCACCACGAAAACGCCGGAACTATGCTGTTATTACGATTCTCATACTACTCGTGCTGTACTGGACCTACAGCCGCCCGCAGCCCCCAAAGGCCTATCGCCGTACCTAAACTACGATGCCATTGACTGGTCACGATATGCTTATACACAATATGTCACCGATGAGCAATTCCTTTGCAACTCAGTTATGGTTTTTGAGGCCTTGCATCGGCTAGGCAGCCGAGCCGATCGAATTCTGTTCTATCCGAACCATTGGGACACGTACGTCTCGGGAATCAACGATCGCGTGAGCCAGCTTCTTGTCCTGGCTCGCGATAAATATAAAGTCCAGCTTGAGCCGATTGCCATTGATAGGCTTCACGAATCCCTAGGTATGCTTATCAGCTGCTAAACCGTGGTGTACACATCTAACATGTCTCGCTCATAAGAGGATCAATCTACGTGGGACAGCAGTATCACCAAACTTTGGGCCTTCCGAGAAACAACCTACCGCCGAATCTTGCAAATAGACTCGGATGTATTGATACTACAGAATCTGGACGAGTTGTTTTTCCTACCATCCGCGCCGGTGGCGATGCCGCGAGCATACTGGGATTATTCGAACAACCATCAACTTACCTCTCTTATGCTACTTGTCGAACCATCCTACATCGAGTATAAGTCTATGATGGACAAAGTTCAAGCCGTCGAGGCTGGTCAGCTTAGCAAAGATCAAAACGAAGGACATGCGCTATACGATATGGAGTTGCTCAACGATCGGTTCGGCAACTCCGCTCTCATTCTTCCGCACCGACAATATGGCCTTGTCACGGGTGAGTTTCGCACTAAGGATCACAGAAACTTTCTCGGGAATGACTACGAGACTTGGAACCCAGACAAAGTGTTGAGTGAAGCCAAGCTTGTTCATTTTTCAGATTGGCCATTGCCAAAACCATGGATTATGTGGCCGCAAAAACTACTTGCTGAGATTCTCCCCAAGTGTGACAACAATCCGGGCACGCCACAGGAGAGCGGCTGTCGTGACCGCGAAGTATGGAAACAGTTGTATGAGACTTTCCGCCTGACACGCAGAGATGTGTGCCAGCTCCTCAGCTTTCCTGCTCCGGAGTGGCCTCCGAAACCACGAGATGGATCGAACAAGCCAACCAAACAAAATAAAAGCAAGGGCAAGCCCGTGGAGAAAGATGACAAAGATGTCACAGATACCATAGATGCCACATTGTCAGATTAAATTTTGTATATCATGTCTATATATAGCATTGGCACGGATGGCGCTGGGTTTTTTTTTCTTTTCTTTTTTCAGTCTTTTTACATAGAGTCAAAGACCAAATTACGCTGAGTTGAGAGGATCTGCATTCGTAAACAATATTATTGTTGGCCTCTGCCCTGACCCATAGAGCCAGTCCCTCATGACGTCATAAGGCAACACACCATTTGATCATCCTAGCCCTAAAGCCCTTCGTCACCCCAGGAGAATATTCCAAAAGAAAAGGTGAAATACATCTTTAGAAGTTCTTCCCGTCGCTCTACTTCTCCTAAATGAATATATACCATTTAATTACTGTACGAAACAGCCTCGCCTAAGAAGCTTCTCGGAGATTTTCTGGCTCTCTGTCGCCTTTTAACTTGCTTACGAGACAATAAATGGGGATGACATTACTGTGATTGGATGAGCGAAATAGCACTATTGACGGTGATCCGATCTCCCATGACGCAGTTCTGTGTATGTCACACCTTCTCTTACGTGGGCCAGGGTTTCTTCGGCGTTTCTAACGTTTCCGCGGTCTATATGGAAAATTGTAGAAAATGGACAAATTAGACGAGTCTTATAATCAATCTGTATTTCTCTGTTATCTCAGCATCTTGTAGATATGTCGAATCTCATCCCCCATGGTGAATCTTGGATGCAGAGTGGGCCTGTCAGTCAGACACCCCACACGCCACAACGGCTGCTAACGTCATGGGCTGGATGCTAATTTCTTCGTGGCCTGGCACCGAGAGGAGCATGGCGTGAGTGGCTTCGATATGCCATGTCGCTGGTTATATTAAGAATATGGCGTGTGACGTCAATAGGTGCATGCCGATGATAAACAGCCTGTATCGCCGAAATTCGCTCACTGTTGCATTATACCCATTTGTATACTGGAAAGAATCAACCGAGAACGATACATCTGACTGCTTGAAGAGACAGCAGGTTCGTATGTCGATGAAATTCTAACCCCTATGGCGTATTCCTCTAACCTATCATGCCAGGCACGCTATTACAAACTGATCCAAAGCGAAAATAAAAACGGAAATTAAAGACAACAGAAACAATGCCCCCCATGCACGAGCGCATCATAAACGACTTGATCCTCAAAGAGCGCCAACTATGGACCGCTCTCACTTCCGCAGACCCTGCCCACGCTGTCAACAAGCTCTGTAGCCCGACAGCCAACTTCCTCTTCCCCAACAAAGACATCCTAGCGCTGAACGGAGATGAGAGTGGGAAGGCAGATAAGAAGAACGAGGAGAAGCTGCAAGAAGTCTTGGCGCCGCCGTTCCATCGATTCGACGATTTCTCGCTAATGGATGTCCGGACGATGGTTATTGATTTGATGGCTGGTTCGTTGACCTATAGGGTTAGTGCGTATAGAGGGAAGAAGGAGTATAATGCCACGGGTAGCACGACGTGGGCGCAGGGAAGTGATGGGGAGTGGAGGGTAGTCGTACACCAGGAAACCCTTCTATGATTTTACAATGGCCTTTTGAATCGGAGAAGTGGGGAACACTGGATTGGAAATGGAGAGGTTCTGCTTTCTTATTGTATTGGCTGCGAAGTTTGTTTGAATAGCCTATTTAATGAAGTAATTTGAAATTTGCTTGCCCCATACCTGGCTCTGTATTCAGCATCAGAGATTTAAATTTCCTGCATATCAATATCTCCTTTTTTGCCAAGTTGGCATACAACATAGCCAAATCACCGAGACGCCGCTTCCATATCTTCGCCTTTACAAATGACATTGAAATAACCTCCAAGCTGTGTTGATTTGCGATGTGTCGAAAGTGAAGAAGATATTATCACGACATTAGCTCACTAGGCGTACACATCAAACCCAAATTTCTGACGGTGCTCTTCAACGCCCGATCACTCTGTTGCGAAAGGAGACCCGACATCAATTCACGATAGGCATTCATTTCGGCGAGCTTATACCTCTGAATCTTGCCGCTCGGAGTCCGTGGAATTTCCTGGACAAACACTATTCCACCGGTAATAGATTTGTAGCTAACGAGCTGGCTGCGTGCAAACTGATAAATCGAATCGGCGCTGATGTTTTCAGCAGATGTAGCACCGTTAACGGTACGACGCACTACGAAAGCGCGGACTAGTTCGTCTTCTAAATGGCCTTGCGAATTTCTCCGTTGAATACCAATCACGGCAGCATCGTCGACGAAAGGGTGTTTTAGCAGAACTCCTTCAATTTCGGCCGGCGAGACCTGCCATCTGAATAAGGCGTTAGCTTCGGGGTAATTACAAGCGATTATGCGGTCCAAACATACCCTCTGACTTTGATCAACTCTTTAGACCGCCCCAGAATATAATATTTCCCCTCATTAACAGAAACAATGTCCCCGGTACGGAACCAACCATCCTCCTCTTTCGCCATGGGAATGCCCTTGTAGCTGGTCAGAAGTCCAGGTCCACGGATATACATCTCGCCCGGCAGGTCGTCTGTAGTTATTCTATTGCCATTGGTATCTATCAGTTTAACTTCGTAATTTGATAGAAGGCGACCGATGCTTCCTGTGTTGTCACGTTCACCGTATCTCATTTGAAATGCAACACCAGTTTCGGTCATACCCCACAGCTGCGAGACCTGCGCATCTCTATGAAGCTTGGCTTGGAAATGCGTTGCAGAATGTGCATCTAGCGCAGCACCTGCAGTACCGACATACCGTAGCGAGCGCAGGAATTCCGAAAGTTCCAAGTCTTGGAATTTATTCAGTGCCTGGACCATAGCAGGAACCATAAAGGTCTCGGTAATTTTGTAAAAGTAAACCGTATGCAAAAATTGTGCGACGTCGAACCGCGGTAGGATGTAACAGGTTTCACCGTAGCGCGTAGGGAAGAGGTGAGTAAACAACGCGCCAAATAGATGAAACATGGGTATAGATAGGAGTCGGGATGTTTCGTATGGTGTCTCATAGTGGAGGCTCAGATGATGCATAATGATTGAGTGATGCGAAAGAATTGCCCCTTTGGGAAGACCTCCGGTGCCACTCGTGGTGAACATTGCCGCAGCGGTGTTGACTGAGCGTTCCTTGTCATCGAATCTAACCCAGTCCTCTTCGCCATAATCCAAGAGGCTGGAGAAGTTCATATGAGAGGGCCTCTGGATGAAAAGTCGTTCCTCATTGTCTGGTTTGTTGATAGGCGTAGACGGCCGTGAAGACATAAACGACGAAATACGGGATATAGCAAAGTCATCTAAGACACAGATACGACTCTCTGGGATCCCTTTTGCCCGTGCCGTCTCTGTGAGCAAAGCCAGTCCCTTTTGCGTCGTGATGATCAGCTTTGGATTGGCGAGACCCAGAAAGTGGTCTAGCTCGGCACGTTGGCTTGATGGATTGATTCCCATGTAGACGCCGCCTGCTCCAATAATGCTATAAAAGATGGCCGAATAGAGCACCTAAGAGTGTGTGAGTCACAATTCGTGAAAACTGGTTATCATCAAGCAATGGAGGAGGGAAGGTACGTTATTTGGCAAGTTAACCAAAACACAGTCTCCAGATTCAACATTACCGGCATGTCTCAGCCCGGCAATTAAGGAACGCACAAGCAGTCGGACTTGGCGACCATTCAAAGCCCACGCTGGGTTTTCGGCATCGACATACAGAGGACGCTGGTTGTCATATGCCACTGGTCGGTCATCCAGAGCGAATGTTACCAAATCCTTGTACACTGGTGGCGTGAAAGTCGGGGCGATATTCAGGTGAGAGACTTTACCTCCCATCGTGGATGTCTGCGCCTCGACAAGGCCCAAACTCGCCACCACAACAGGACCGGTATCTAGTATCAATGAACAATGGACCAGATAACTGAGTTGAGTCACCGAGAAAAGTGCAAAGTTGTGCCTTGTTGTTATTTATGCTATGTGAAACCTGCTTCCCTCCTTAATGTGGTGTAGATTCAGCTGCACAAGGAAAAAAGGGGAATGAAAAGAACAAGATCATCAAGAAAGAAGGTTCCACTGCTGCAAGATGAGTCAAGGGATAACTGCCTGTAATTGGAAGGAACTATGTGGGTTTCAGCCAAGAGTTGGGATAAAGGGACGGCAACAACCGTACTTCCAAAGTAGAAAGTGAATTGCACCATGTGATTGTGGCATTGTTAAAGATTCGCAGTGACAAAGGTGGCGGCTGGGCCCATGCAGCTACGTTACAACCGTTCCGAGTATGAGCTGGTGGTTGTTTTCGATGAGCTCGCAAGGCCAGCTTAGTCCCTTTCCGGACAGCCCCGCCACAAGATACTTGAAGAGAATCCGTGCGCGCATTATTGGAAGGCTTCGGGTTAATCGGAGTGGAACCACGGGAAGAGACTGCGAGAGACAAGGATTACATTGTACTTTTTATCGCAAACGACAGGCGACGGCTGGGGAGAGGCGCAGAATGAGGAGGATGGAGGATGGCCGATGGCCCAACGAGGAAGCACTTCCCGTAAGCGGCATGGCGCTTGCCCCGATTGGGAACCCAGCATCCATTGGCAATCGACCTACACCCACCGACATTGCTCACTATCAGGTATCCACGACGATGCCTTGACTGCGGCACCAAATAACCGTCGGCCAATCCTTCTCAGGCCAACAGACTGGCCAAATATGGAGTCGGTATGGCGTCCCCGTCAGCCTCGTGCCATGTCCCACGCCGGAACCGCTCCCGCTACATTATATTGGTGCCCCGAACAATGCTGAGGCTATCCTTTGAATTATGAAGGATTCGACCTACCACGTTTGCATCGGAATCGAAAATGTTAAAGATCAGCTACCTAGTGAGGATACAATCAAATGGGTTACAATCAAGTGGCTATCACGCGCAAAACTAACCTCTTGAGCGGGGAACCCAAACACCTTCGGTCTAGGGGCCCCAGCATGATGCATAGAGGGACAAAAGCTGAATCATCTATGACGAGCCATCCAGTCGCGGAAGAAGGAGTTAGCCGAGGAAATTAAGTAAAAAACCACTGGACATGCAACATACAGCTATGGGGCACACCGGGGACCCGCCAGTGTGGCTCTGGTGCTGGCCTCCGGTGTGGATGGATCTCTGGTGCTTTTATTCTTGGCTTCATCCTCTTAGGATCTAAAGACACGGTTTTTGCAGGAAAATGCTATCAATAACATAGTGAGTGGTCTGCGAATCTCAGTTTGAAGGAGGCATGCCGATAATTGCTCTCGAGAAGTTCGTGGCAGATGCCATGATCTGCGAATCTCAGTTTAAAGAAAGCATGCCGACAATAGCAGTCGAGAAGTTCGTGGCAGATGCCATGGTCTGCCAATCTCACCTTAAAGGAAGCATCTTGACACAGTCTGTCGCAGATGCCACCATCGATGATACATCATTTTTTACATCTACGATAAAGGATAAGTACGCTTCGGCAGTCGGCTCATTGTCTAGAGATCTTCAGCAGAAAGACGGAATACACGAGGCGTCCAAGGAACAGCCAGTAGACCTGGAAGCTCAGCAAGAGTCACCCCATCGAAAGCCAACATATTACGATTTCTTCCGTTATACGGCCCTTAACGTCTATCGACGTCTCTTCTCAATTGTCTTTCTCGTCAATCTGAGCATCTTCATTGCTATTATGGTCAAGGATCGCTCTCTTCTCGTTTTTGTCAATGCGACGGCAGCCAACTTGACGGTGTGTGGGCTGGTGCGACAGCCTCTCGTGGTGAATTGCATTTATCGGGTAGTATGCTCTGTTCCTCGTTCCGCTCCATTGCGGCTCCGTCGAATCGCTGCAAAGGCATTTCATTTGGGGGGCGTGCATAGTGGCTGCGGGGTTGCATCATTCGTTTGGTATATTGGACTAGTTGTCCTGGTTTCGATCCAGTACTACCATCCAGATAGCAACGGCGAGGGGTCGGTCCAAATTCCTATCGCCGTGGTTGTCCTAGCGTACGCTATCTTGGCTCTACTTTTGTCCATAATTGTGGTTGCTTATCCGGCCTTCCGCTTCAAAAGTCACGATCATTTCGAGCTCACTCACCGCTTCTCCGGGTGGCTGGTCGTGATTCTATTCGTGGCTTTACTACTGACGTTTGCTAACGACGCGCGGCATGCTGAAGGGCTTAGCCTCGGTCAGTATGTCATTCGCCTTCCTGCCTTCTGGCTGCTTCTTGTTGTTATTGCAGCCATAGTCCATCCTTATTTGTTACTTCGGAGAGTGCGAGTGCGGCCGGAGTCACTGTCAAAACATGCAATCAGGCTCCACATGAATCATACTACTACGACCTTTGGGAAGGGTATTCAGCTCTCCAAGCATCCGCTGCGGGACTGGCATTCCTTTGCGACTTTTCCAGACCTCCCGACAGGCGATTCATTTTCTTGCCTTGTATCCAAGGCAGGTGACTGGACGGCAGACACCATCAACAATCCACCAACCCATCTGTGGAAACGCGGCACGCTGTTGTACGGATTTGCGTACGTGATGCGGATGTTTAGCAGGATCATAGTTGTGACGACCGGCTCGGGTATTGGGCCATGTCTATCATTCATTGGCGACAGCAATAGACCCGCTATGCGAGTAGTGTGGCAAACACGATCCCCGCTCAAGACGTATGGACAGGGTGTTCTCGATCTAGTCAAGGAAATGGATCCCGATCCATTGGTCCTGGATACAGATAAGACGGGGCGACGGGTCGATATGGTGTCGGTCGTTGAGCAGCTAGCTCGTGAATTCGACGCCGAGGCCATCTGCGTGATTAGCAATCCCAAGGTGACCAAGGAGCTGGTATTTACTCTCGAATCGCGCGGCCTGGTGGCTATGGGACCCATTTTTGATTCTTAGCGTGCTGGAGACAAACCGAACTTCTCATTTGAATCTCGATGATCATTAGCCTGGGCTTTCAATATCCTAAATAGGGTTAGATCTGGCGTAATCTGGACCATGAACAACTCAACAACTGGTTCAGGGCCCTTAAGGCAACATGCAACCCCACCTGTCACTCTGTATACAGTTAAGCGCATGTCAGCACGTCAAGAAAAAGCACGGAAAACAAAGAACATCTGCATCGTTGCTTTGATCCCCTTGATCGGCCCCTCATTAATTTAGCGTCGCTTCGATCTAAACATAAAAGCTCGGTACTATTAAGCTAGCCACAGACAAAGTCACTACTACCAGATCATGAGTTGTACCGTGACCTGTGGTTACATCTCTCACCCTCTCAGCTCGCTCGCCCTTCGTCCCTAGCTAGTGAAATGACTATGAAGCTTGTCACTATTTGATCAACAAAGTTTGCGAATCTCGCTCAAAATGTGAAGAATGTTAGTTTTATCGGAACAATGTTCTCTCGGAATTACAGTGTGGGTGATTCGTCAGGGTCCTGGCTGGTCGGCATGTATTCCCTTTTTTTTTTGGTTGTAATTGTAATAATAGAGATAGAGATAGAAATAATAAACGATTCAGTCGTACAAAGTTTCAGCGGATAATTTCGTGGGCCTTCACCGCGTTACAAAACAAATACCGGTCATACAGCATTCGGATACTTGCAGCGGATTAGGCTGATTGGATTGAACGAAAACCGACAAAAGAAGCCATCAACCAGCTTACTAAATTCAAAATTCATATGATGAGTGACGACACATCTAATGCCTTGTCTATTTTCATTCCGATCTCAGCCCGGTCCCACTGCGGTCTTTTTACGATCAGCCCTCTTTTCTAATGTCCAATTCGGTTGACATTAGAGCTGATTCCCAGCAAAGTACGAAAACGAAGTGGGGAAGAGCAAGGGAAAAATAGAATCGAGAGCACGGTCCATCGGATATCGAACCAATACTCGGTCGGCGGAATCATTAGATGTGGCTAAGTTTTAGCTGCAGATGCCAGCTAAGTTAGTGTGTTATTAGTGCTGTCGCATAGTGGAAGTTCCGGGCTACGAACTGTTGGGGAACGAGGGTGTGCGTTAGTCAAGTATGTAATTATATCGATTGGTTCTCTTTGGTTTTTTGGGCTGTGCTATGTAATTAGCGAACCTATAATGAATATCTGGTAAGTACCATGACTCTCTTGCCCCTCTGTGTCGTGGCATTGGCAATAAATACTCGTTTATTAGTCAATTAAATGAGTCAACCCTCCAAAAATATACGTCAGACGCAAAGTCAAATTTAGGCCTATGATTTTACCGATACTATCTGGACTCATGAGGGGACAGCCTACGGGATGCCGTTGTAATATATTAGTCAGGAATGGAAATGAAATATCGGAGAAGACAGAGAGAAGCCTCGTAGTTATGAAACGCTATATATTAGTACAACAAGAACAAGTATTTGGGACTGTGCTCTACCTACGTGGACTGACTATATTGGTCACCTTTATGCTTAAAGCCTCACTAGCGTCGCATTGATAACCGATTTGTTTTAGTTGACAACTTAGCATCCATTTCCGTTATTGATTGGAGGGGGTGTGGGTTTAATATATCAAGTCTTCTTTTTCTCGTTCTAGCGAGGGTCTACAGGCTAGATAATGTAACTAAAGGTATTTTATGAGACATTTTTTGGGTTCCCTGTCTTTCTCGTTCTAGCGAGGGTCTACAGATTAGCTGATGTAACTAAAGGTGTTTTACGAGACATTTTTTGGGTTCCTTGTCTCGATGTCGCAAGTATAGGTTATTGCGCCCTTTTCTTCTTTTTCCAGGTGGCTCATTCATTAGCAGAATTAGAAGACCCATTATCTTATGTACCTTACACGCTAAATACTCTTCTAGCTAGGAGTACCCCCTGTCAACTGGTGTAGATCCCGAGAGGTATACGATGCTTGGATTCCTTTGAAGGTAGTGCGAAGCAAACACACTTTGATTTCTATGTTCAATCATCAGACAGATAGAGAAATTGAGGCTCGAATATTATCTAAAACATTCTGATCAGTCTGAATTTTTTTTTTTTTTTTTTTTATTGCTGCCGAATCTACATATCGATTTCAACGCTATGAGGAGGTGAGCCGGGAATTCTTACTAGATTATTTTTTTCGGTCAACTTTCTAACCAATACAAGATTATCAATAAAAGAAGTCGGTCTTCATTAATTGTTCATTTTCTTTTGCTATCCGATAACACCGACGAATGTTGTACTATACAGTACCACTTAGCAATGCTGGACTGTGACACCAATTCCGCATGCGGCGCTGCACGGTTCTACGTATCGCCTATGTGTACCATACAACAGATGTGAGACCGATCTCGATGAAGCACAATATCTAAAGACATAGTGCACTTCTATTGCCCGTGCTACCTTAAGAAACTCTACAACAACAAAAGAGTGGAACAAGAGATCGGAAATGGAAAGTATCCACAGGGGATGATAGTTTCGATCCGATCTGGCAGATTTACTTTCACCGGAACATTGGTAAAAAGTAAAAGTCCCACAATCCTTCGGCTTCTTTTTTATTTTATTCCATTCAGCCGGTTCGAGTACTTGGCAATTTCTGCGATAGATTTGACGTTTGTTTCCACAAGAAAAGACAAGGACGAATGCAGCTAGAGATGCTCCAACTAAGGAATGCGGGTCCGTCGCTGATACTATTAGCAAAAGTATACTCTTTTATTCCAACTTGCCTTTTTTAATCTAGGTTCATATTATATCGACCGCTGTTGGACTTGCGATATTTGAAGATCTAGCCCATCGGCGGCCCACACGGTGTTGGCTTACAGGGCGAATGATAAATTACGTTCCTTTTTGGTCAACCCTATTTCACTTAGTGATATTAGTGGTAGTACTTACTTATTTGATTTAGGCGCAGCTGTAGTAAAGGGAAAAAACCAACTGGGGATCATAGAAACGTACTGATTGGCCTTGATTGGCATGTAACTAGAACACTCGCAAACCTTTGGATAGTGTATCATGTATGGTATCAACTTGATGAGCGTAGAGTAACGGTTCATTCCATTGGTTCGCAAATAAATTGGTTGGTATCAGAATACCAATTTGTCTGCATGATAATCATGTCACCGAGTCATACGAAAATTCTTAGCATCTCTTTTCACCATTTATTACATGTATATGTAGATAGGATTAATAGCACGTAAATCACATGATGTTCCGATTCTAATCATATTGTAAATTAATTTTATGAGATTAACAGAATTTAAATTATTTTCCCCTTAAGCATGGGTCTGCAAGTCGGTTCTTTGATACTTCATTCGCTTTAGTATTCATATTTATACACCATGCCTAAACAGTGTTCAAAATTAATCGATTGCTCCTTCAAACCGTCATCCTACAGCCAACGCTGCGGAAGAGAGGCTTTTAAATGTTGGCATCAATGCTATGAGGAAAGAGATAGCACACTCAAGATTCAGTAATAAACACCCATGTCAACTGGCCAGCTCCACCGGAATCAGAGGGTTTGGAAAGGCTTCAAGATATCTATCGGTAAGTATGCCATCTATGGTGTAATGATGCCAGGGTGACAGGACTAAAATATGGAATTAGGCTATTACTTCGTCGAGATATGTGAACGTTCAATCTAGAGAAAGTTAGGAATAACAGTGGCCGTGGGCCATCGAGAATTGATCTGCTACGCGGTCTCCCGGCTGTCATCATCAAAAGTAATAATTAATGGCATTAGACTTACATGGTCCTAGTTATCGAATTACCAACCGATAGGCAAGTTTCAACGGCTTGATGATGCTAAATTTGCAGTACACTGCCACATATTCTATTTTGGGTATCGGGATAGCAGACCAACACACCAACTAGGATTTTTATATATCGGTTGATCTCAAGATGGGATTTCAGCTCTACCACATCATCTAACATCTTAAACTTTTTGGTAGCAACTGATAGTGGGTTGGGTGTCGTTTGTTAGATGGCGAGGCTCTGGCTCTCCACAGTGGTGAATCCTAGGAAGGATCCAGATATCTTTGCTGGTATGTTGATCTTTGGATTCCAAATTCTCATGTTTTTAGAATATACTACTATTTTATGTATTCTTACGAGTGCTGGGAACCTCTCTAATGAACATGATAGAAGCCCGAAAAATGATTAAATTGAAGTTAGAGCTAATATTACTATTGACACCACCAACACCTTCGCATACTTCCTTTCATAAATCCCATACCAACTCCTGGAATCTCAAAATAGCAATCGTATACATAATAAGATACAAGACTCATAGCTTCCAAATCAGGTGAATGGCTGGGTGCGAGCCGGACGGTCAAAATCAAAGTAAAACGTCCCTGTGCTTGAATGCGATTGCGGAGATCGTGGCTGACGCTCAACTTTGCCTTCGAAATCATCGTCATCATCGGCATTATCGCGGGGTGAGTTGACTGCTTCGATATGGCATTGATAAGTCGGAGTGGGAGACTTTTGTTCACTATATCGACTCCTTCCGGACCAGGGGCGCGGCCGCACGGCGTGTGATGGTGGCTCTGGGACAAAATAATGCGAATTCCACGCCTTGTTGATGGAACCATAGAGCTCGTCAACTTGCTCAAGAGACAGACCCTTCGTTTCGTAGACGAGAGACCAAACTACAACACATGCTACCGCACAGCAGCCAGCCCAGATATAAAAGATTTTTGATTGGAGATTGAGATTACCTTTGCCGGAATCGATCATGTACGGTATCGCGTATGCCAGGCCCCAATTTACTAGCCAGTTGGTAGCAGTTGAGATAGACATGGCTTTGGCGCGGATCTTCAAGGTGAAAATTTCTCCAGGAACTACCCAAACCGTTGGGCCCCAGGAGCAAGCGAAGAAGAAGATGTATATGCATACAAATGCCAGTGATGCTTTATCGGCGGAATCGCGACCAGACAAGGTTGTGCCAATAGTAGCGACGATGATTTGTGAAATGGCCATACCGATGGCACCAAATAGCAGCAGTGGTCGGCGTCCCCATTTTTCTACCATCCATAAACCGGGAATTGTTGACACAACGTTCACAATATTTGTCAGAAGAGTAACAGTGAATGCGTTACCCATGTCATTGTTTTCAAAGAAAGACGATGAGTAGTAGAAAATAAAATTTACTCCTGTCAGTTGTTGCAGTGCTTGGAGAAGACAGCCGGTCAGCAGACGCTTGCCGATATTCCCTTTAAAGCAGTCGAGATAAGACGTGCCGCCTAGGTTAAGCTCGCGTTCATGGTGTTGGGCTATTTCTGCAATTTCAGCCAAATGAGGACTGTTCAAAGGGAGTCTCCGAAGTTTGGCCAAAGATCGGGCGGCGGCTTGTGGTCGGTTGCGCTTGATGAGATATCGTGGCGTTTCTGGAAGAGCCAGCATCCCGAGAATGAGGCCCAGGGACCAACCCACTTGGACACTAAGGGGAATGCGATATGAGCCTGAATCGGCCCGGTTCTTGGTTGCATTGTCCACAATCGCGGCAAGAAGTAGGCCGATAGTTATTGAGAGTTGATATGCGCCTATGATGAAACCACGAATCCATTTCGGAGCTCTATAAAACCAGTTAGCATGAACCAATATATGTCCGCTACAAGGTCTTATGTGTTCAAAACTAACGTTTCGGATTGGTAGAGTGGAATCAGTGTCGATAGCATCCCAACGCCAAAGCCAGCCACAGCCCGACCGACAACGAACAACGCCATGGACTCAGAAGCGACCTGCAGTACAACACCTACAATAAAGACGTTGCACGAGGCAATGAGCCCCCATCGACGGCCAATCTTATCAGCGGCTGGGGCGGCGATCAGAGCGCCAAAGAAAGTACCGGCAGAGAGAATAGACACTACCAAAGCCTTTTGTGAGGCGGTGATGTCGGGTTTTCCAGTTGTCGCGTTGGTGTAGCCGGTCGAGTAATGGTTTTTCCATTGCTGCATCGCAACGATGCCATTGATGTTGCCGGTGTCATATCTGTCTGTGTCAGCTCATTCGCTTGAAGGGCGGAATGATGATCCCTACCCGAAAAGAACTCCTCCCAAAGAAACGAAAAGCCCAACTAGAATGGCGGGAATAGCCGAGCCAGGCACCCCGACTGGCTTTCGAAGCGGTAACCTGTCAAGAATCGCGGCCAGCTGCATCATATCTCACATGGTCCCGCCGACCGTGAGAACGAGATGACAGTTTGACTGCACAGTCAACAGCCGTTCTACGAGAAGGGACTCACACGAGGAGCACGGTATGGTGTTAGCAGACCAACAGCGGTTGGGGTAGGCGGTAGGTATGAGAAACTGGCGTCCGGTAGGTGTTTATAATAAAACAGGTGCAGGGTTGCCACTAGCTGGGACTCCACGGCCGAGTCTGCTTCCACTGCACGGAGACCATGTATAATCCCTGTATTAGAAGGAGGCATAAGGTTTTCTCCGGGGCTGGCTAATCCAACCTGGGGACCAACATGGATCGGCTGAAGCCGGTAACCCTCCGTTGGAGGGCAGAAAGCTTGTTGGTGGAGCTTTAAATTACTTTCACCATTCACTCCTCTCCGCGGCGTGATTCGTTGGTACCGACCACGCGAGCAGAAAATTCCGCCGCATCTCTGTTCCTCGAGTGGCTTACATGTGTTAGCTGCCTCCACTCCGCGATCTCTAGCGCAACCCTCCCGGACTTGGGCCTCGAGCAGGAGTAGTACTTTTCCGGGGTAAAATCGGCGCCTTTCTTACACGGGGCGTCGTCCGTCCTTGGTCTTCTTCCGCACGAAGACCAATAAGAGGAAACTTCGTCTACTAATAGACACAACGAACCAGCAACCTAGATGAGACTACACTGCGAGTTGGCAATCGCCAAAGGGCAATTCATGAGAGCGCCGAGAAATGCAGTTTGGGGTCGAGGGTCGGTAGTTAGCAGCACCAAGCACTAAGTCGTAACTAGTTACTAAGGAAGACTGTCATCTCTGTAAGGACGCTAATAGGCCCAAGCCTCCGCGCCCTGCGCGATGTTGAGTTAATTCCCCTTGTCGGACCATCTCATTGGATGATGCTGAGTCAGGCCAAATGACGGCGAAATAGAGAGCAGTCCACCCTTATGAGAACGGCGCAACGGCACCCAGATCCCCCGGAAGGCTGGCGCTGCTCAGCGGGGGCCCGGGGATTTCACTACGAAGACGTACCATCAACCTGCGTCTTCTCGGTTCGTGCCAGGTTCTCCGCGCTGTGGGGTAGCAGCGCCGAGCAGCAGTAGCCCTTAGGATATAGAATTATGGATGGCGATGCAATGGAGAATCGATGATGGATGATAGATAATACGTACTGGATACAACAGAAGCGATCCTTAATAAGAACAGGCGAAGGTTCTTAGTAGCACGTGCCCTGCCCCGCTCTGACGTGTTGCAAAGTGCTGCCATTGGCCGGTGTCTTCGCCACTACGCGTGACATGTTTATGACTAAGCCGGCCGCCAATCACTGCTTCTCCTGCTGTCTCCGAGATACAACATTATCCTCTCAACATTACTCTCTCTCTCTCTCGCTCTCTCTCTCGCTTTGTCTCTCTCTCTAACACTTCAGTCTCTGTCCTCGTCTCGCTTTGTCTTCTCCTGGGGAAATTGGCGCGCCCTGCCATGAAAGGCATAGACTCACGTGAGAGTCGTCGCTCGACGAAAGTCAAATTCGCGCTGCGAAATTCGACCAGCGCGAGGAACACGAGGCCCCCGCCATCCATGTACTGCTCTGATTGGGCCACGCTTTGCTTGGACCCTGGCCATCTTTGACTACCCTGCCAACCTGCTGAGTCCTGAGTCCTAAGTTCCTGATCACTCTCACCAACGAGGAGACGAGGCATAGCCAGCCTTGTGGCCCTGCCTCTGCCGACTCGGAAAATCCAAACCGCGGTCGCTGGTGGCTTGTTGGCTGTTCTGGAGCACTAGTCGTGTAAGTCGGTCGGCCATTGCATGATGCCCCTGATCTCCTGCGGGTGCCTGTCGGTCGACAGCCTCTTAAAAGTGTTGGGTATGGAGTACGCAATTGTTCCCCAGAGTCGGACGAGGCATTTCCTGAAATTACACACCCATCCATCTCAGAGGCGAGAACCACTGTTGGTTGGGGGGATAGTCGAAGGCACAGAGTCCAGGCCATTTACTAGGGTGTTTTTGACATAGTAGTAATAATAATGCCGCAGGGTTTTCTTTGTCTGACATGCGTTCGAAATGAAGCATTACGAATCGCGGACTAGGATCCTAGCCAACAAATATTTCATCGACAAATTGCCGCGATGAACTTACCCTATATGAGTTATTCTTTACAAGCTCTTGGATAAAATGCCAACGATGCCCCGCCCGCACTGACCGTAGAGCCAAAGATCCGCCGAAACTAATAATATCCCTTCGAGAAATCGCCAAGGCTTCCACCGCCTGACATTTGTGTCAGTAATCTTATGAAGCATGGAAGTGGCGGCGTTCTAAATAAGGAATCTCATCTAAGCTCTGTTATTGTCCCGACTCAGCCCTCGCGGCGTCAATTCATTATTATTTCTTTACATCATCCCATTGGCCGCCAAGAAATAGCGCTTGCAAATCACCCTGCCTCCAAGATCATCGATACATAGCAGGGCAAATCAAGCGGACACATATCCCCCGTATCACCAATCCTGTCGATCTGTTCGTCTACGGATCTGAGTTTCGACGACACGCGGACTTTGTAAGTCCATACGTAATCTAACGTGGATAATATCTACAGATTTCTTTTCACTACCACATCTATTTGTCGATATATTCTTTTGGGGGTGGGCTATAGACACCTGACTGTCGATCTGTTCAGAATTCAAATGCTGAAAGCTGCCAACTTTCGCATATTCATCCGATTGGAGGTTCTGCGAGCTCTTGGCGTTCTGTTTGTCGAGATTGCAGCGAGGGTGTAACCATCTTGAGCTACCCCTCACCCTAGTGTCCGAAATTCCGCCTGCTGCATGCTCTGTTAATATCATACTGACTCGAGCAATAATCAAGTCAGAGGCTCGCGTTTTTACAATGTACAAACTGTAAAATGCAGAATCATTCGCAATGATTGAGTACGCTACGCGTATGTGGATTCTACAGTGTCTAGTCCTTGAAGTCCTGTCTTTTACACGATCGAGGAGTATTTTATTTGGATCTTATCCAACAACCTTGGATACAGTTATATAATAAAGTTAACCATGTTAGCCTAATACTAAGTTTTATTCTCGGTGTTGAAATCTAGTCACCACGTGTCTGAAGCTCTTCTAGCTAGCCTGTTCCCAGAATGAGCGTCATCACCTAAACCCACTCTTGGGGCCAAAAGATCGATGAAACAGGCACAATATCTGTGCGATGGTTCATTTTCTATGTAGACTAAGCAACTACACAGGTGAGAATAAAGGATCCAGTCATGGTCAGCATATATTCACTAGTCAGTGCAGGTAGTTGGCGTAATAGCTCCAGGAGTGCTTAGTATCGTTACTGAAGACTTGGAAGTTTGATATTCAACCTAGTTTTACATGTATTTCCAGCCCTACCATAACACTTGAAGGATTCGAAGTTGTTTTATGTTTACTGTCTTTCAATATATGTGCATCCGTAAGAGGCTAACTCTCGTGTTCGCAGGTGTGACAAGTTTACGGTATCGACGAGACTCGTCAACGCTTAGAGTTAACACCATTTAATTTGGTGATAGAGTATGTCAGATAGACACCTTCTTGTCCCAACTAGCATTTCATGGCACAATTAAAGTCTTACGGCAAACAAATAAGATACCACAAGCGCCCCGAAGGCCTCCAAGCGGTAAGAAATAAATATAAAGGAAATTCTTAGGCAGTTAGGACAGGTTGTCCCATATTTTTAACGGACGTGATCGTGATGAAGCCCTGCTTCATCCTGCGGCATTGAATCTAGGTATGCCGAATGCATTGTGTAGATATGCAGAGTGGCAATTCGAGAAACAGATTACTATATTAGACTGGAGATTTGTCGCGATGGAAGTAATCCGATGTAATATGATACTATCGGTCAGCTTTCCTGAAATTAATCGCCGCTCTAATATCATTGATAAACCGAAAGCGAGACAGCGATGTACAAATATGACATTGAACTTTAAGAAATTAGATATTGTTGCTAATGAACTAGTATCCTCGTTTATCGTGTCCATTAAACCCAAAAATGACAATACCAAATAACGCTGAGTCTTTTCATACGGATCACTCAAAGAAGAACAGCTAAACCGCCAATAGCACCCGCAATTCCAAGGATTCCAGCAACACCAGCACCACTGACTCCCAACCCCCAAGTCCCAGTTGAGGCTATCAAGTTGGCGGCCCCAGCAGTACTTGCTGACACCGATACGGTGCGCGTTTGTGTCTGTGTTCCAGTGAGCGTTGTTACGCCGACAGATCCGTCATCTCCCGTTGTTGTGCTAGTAGTTGTACTAGTCGTAGTCCATGCTGAGCTGGTGGTAGATGAGGCTGTAGATGAACTCGTAGTGGAGCCGGTAGTAGTAGTAGTGGTGGTGGTAGAACCACTACCGCCGTATTCGCTTTCGTACGAACTGGCAATGCTCTCGCCGTAGCTGGCGTAAGACGAGGCAAGTGACTCGGCAGCACTGACCTGTGAAGCTGCGTCTGGTGGTATTGTGGAATATTCTGAGGCATATGAGTTTGCGATATTGATGGCTGATGTAGCGATGGGAGGGATGTCAAATTGTTGGTTGGCGAGGGCAGATTGAGATAGAGCAATAGAGAGAATGATTGGGGTTGCTGACGAGAAATGCATCTTTATAAATATGAGATTTTTGGATAAATTCAATAAAATGCTAGCAGACTTTTGCTTAAGACTTGAGAGTCGCTTCGTTATCTGTGACTGTTCGAGCGGAGGTTTAGCTGAACAAGCTCCGAAGAAAGGGAGCCCGGAGTTACATATAGAAAAATCTCAATGAAATCATTGTCTAAACTATCAATTAACTGCATCAGTAAGCAAGCTGCAAGGAGTAAATGGTGGCCAACCTTTTGCTATGACGCAGCCCCCGTAGGATTCCCAATCGGGTATGCAAGTAGTAGAATCTTACAGCTCAAGAAAGTCATAACTGGGTACTTGACATTTGCACCTTAAGTAACATGTAATAATAACTACTCATTAACAGTACGATTTTTTCTTTGTTTTAATAAAAAAGGGTCAAAATACTTTCCTCTGGTTCATGCAGCAATAACCGTTCTTCCTGTTCTGTTATGCCGTTTGAGCAAATTTCGAAACGTCATTGATAGTTCCCCTTGCCGGTATAATTAGAATTGGCTCTAACTTAAATTTCTCAAGTGGCTACTAGTTGCTTTCCTTGATTGTCCACTGGCTAGTTCGACGATTGTCTGCACCGGAACGCAAGGGGTAGAACTAGTGTTTGGTGTCTGACAAAGTGACAAGGCGTGTCATTGTAAAACCTAATATGCCAAGGCTTTATCAGGTCAAATCGATAATTTACGTAATTTAAAAGTGGGTCTATACTTATCACTCTATCTAATTAATTCTCCTTAAAAACTGTTTAAAATTTACAAATGTTTTCAGTGATAGTCTGATGGCCACTAACTTCAAATATAATCTTTAAAAAATAGCTATATTAATGATATATATTTCAATTTTTACATAAGGAGGTATAGTTTATAATATAATTTGTTAGCAAAGAGGATTCAATATTTCAAATCTGTCAAAAATCTGTCAACTATCTTGTCAAAAGTGGCCCCTAAGGAAGGACCATGAAACGTCGACAGGGCAACTTCATGAAATGAGTCAAACACCACCCCCAGGTCGGTGTATGTATCAGCTCCGGATTTGCTACAGCAGGAGTGCTTAGTCACTCATATATTCATTGTTGTCGCAGAATGGAGTGATTCGTAATCCCATCCATCACCGTACTCAAAATATATTGACGCCTTAAATAATATCCAACCATTAGAACTGCATATATATTCCAAATCTAAAGGGCAATTTCAGATAGGTCAAGCCTCTATAAAATTTTGAATAGCAATTTCGCGATTTAAATGCACGCTTTGTTTGTATTCTTGATCTAACAAGGTTCTTGAAGAATCTAGGATTTCCAAGTTCTAAACTCAGGGTTGGGCGAAATATCGAACTGTGTTAATACAAAAAGCACTTTACCATCGTATTTCGTTAGGTAACGCTGTTCGAATCGCTACCAGCTGAAGATCTTTGGTTTCGCCGCAGTAGTTTGACTCTACCTAGCGTAAGAAGACATGCGGAAACTAGATATGATAATAGATCAACATAGGTATCTGCTTTCTAACAGTAGAGAAATAGGAAATCGACTCTAAGCACAGTTTGAATTCCCGAATAGTTTTAGCATGCTAGCAAGCGTGTGACAGGTTTACTTAGCATACATATAATATAACTCCAATGTATGATCCAAACAGGAGGATCATGCACCCATTTTCTTGCCTGACCTCTTGTCTGACCTCTTGTCCGACACAGCCACTAATACATTTAATGTGACAATTATAAAAGTACCCGCTACTCAAACAACAGTCGTCTCCCTTTTCTAGATTCTAACCTCCGCTACGTGTTTTCTCTTTCGACACATGCACCCGCATGATCGCTATAGTCATGGATTTGTCTCTTCTTAGCTTGAAGATTTATGAAAATGAGGTAAGAAATATTGGGATTTAGTCTGAAATCTTACTCAACTTATTCTGAGTTCGATTATCCACTTGAGAGAGACTCTTCAATTATATATATGGAACAGAGAAGATTGAGAGTCTAATGAAGTTATTATATAGCGCTAAAAGACATGGGTGAGTATTACATAGCGACACTAAATATCGCTGGTTTAACATCTGTATTGTGAATTTATCAATTGGTCTTGTCTGGCATTTCTTCCTCTAAGGCTCAGTCCCCAGCTTAATTTTCATAGAAGTAGCTTTGTAGGAAAATTTCATGTTCCAACTACACCAGTTGACACAATGAACCGGATAGCAGATGCGTGCCAACCTTAACCCTAGGGGTGTACTCAACCAACACACGGCCGAAATCGACCGAACATGGTACATTCAACAACACACCTAGGGATAGTGGATATTTGTGGATTGTTCGGCTAGATACACGTCCGATCGATCCATGGGAGAAAGGGGCATTCCGCTTTTGAGCGAAATATAGATTTCTACATCTTGCAAACCCGAGTCCCGAGATAAGTGGCTCCGTGTAAGAAAAGTTACTCTTGGCTATAACTACTAATTACGTATACGATGATGCTGTGCACACCGCATTACGTTAAATATTGCAATTTCCACCTCAATTATTGGATTAGAAAGTAAGTACAGATTTTTATTAAATCTAAAACATTGCGAGGTTTGAGAAGTAAATGTCATATACACACTAGTGCAATGTAAAAATAGGCCATCTCATGGAAACAAACATAGATTTAGAGTACGAAACTAGTCTGTACTATGTGTGCTGTGATGGTGTTGTTTGGGGCTACTAGAATTCTGGCCTTGACGCCCAAAAATGAGCTCAAGTCGCGACGCTAACATTCCATGAAAATATTGGGTTTAGTGAAGTATAAGGAGAACCCAAAAGACTGCACGGTTTTAATTGTGCTGAGACATTGGTGCAGCATGATAGCATCTTCAACAGCTGTTTATGAGCCTAACAAGTAGGATAATACAAACATGAAAGTCATAACGTTCATAACGTTCATATTTTCATATTCCTAAGAATAAGGAAAATTGAAGCCGCAAAGTTTAATAGTGGTATGGTGGAGATCCTCTAGACCCGACGTGGCTAGCGCGAGCCAATCGCGGAACCAATGCGTTCCGAGCTTGGACGGACAAAATTGTGGTTGCGTAACGGAACGGAAATGCAAGCAAGGCCGGTGGAAGGGTTGCCTTTCGAAGCCGGACCGGAGACGGAAAGAGTGACCAAAAGCATTCAGAGCCCCGCTGAACTTGCCGCATACGGGTAGCACCTGCGGTATTGTGACGGTAATTACGCAGGGGCGATCCCCCGTGGCTTGTAATAAGGTTCGTACGAAAACGTCACCACTCTCAACCGCCGCCACTGATTGGACCGCGCTGGCAGAGCTTCAAGGCTGTCCTCCTCTCGTTTGCCGTTCTAGGATCAAGGTAGCTGCCCTTTCGCATCACATAGGCTGGCCAAGACTAACCAGAGATCGGCGGGGCATCGTTATGTATTGTTACACAAGGCGTCGTTTTTGTCTCGCTTTCTGTTTCGTTTTGTTGATCTGCAGAGAACACCGTTACGCTGGGTATATCACCTAGCTCGCTCCTTATATTCACTCTGGCTCCTGCACATCGTTTCGGTTGGTGCTTCTCAGGTTGACCTCGGGCTGTACACAGGCGCCTTGCATAGCTACACTCCTCAATGGCTTCTGAAAAGTTTGAGGCCGGCGATGCGCCGCCAGACCCCCATAGCATTTCCCACCTTTCGTCTGCGTCGACAACCGAGGAGGACAAGCGTCCAAATCAGGACGATGAGATAACAGACGTCAATCGGTCGAGCGACGATGACTTGCCCGGAACATTTGAGCCAGTGCGACCGGGAGACCGCGAAGAGCTGACCCGGATCGCGTCGTCGCTCTCGTCGCGACGTGCCAGCACCCTGGGTCGTCGCGAAAGCAACGCCATAACCCGCCTGGATACTGTCGACGAACTCGCTCTGGAGGATCCTCGACTCGAACCCGCCAATACGAAATTCGACGCCTATCTGTGGGCTCGAAAGAGACTACGCATGCTGCAGCAGGAAGGAATCCGCCCGCAAAGAGCCAGTATCACCTTTAAAAATCTAAACGTGTCGGGTTCAGGAGCTGCCTTGCAATTACAAAATACAGTCGGCTCGGTCTTGTTGGGCCCATTGCGGCCAGGGGACTTCTTCAGTTTCTCCAAATCAAAAACCCACAAAAAGATTTTGTCTAATTTCGATGGCGTCCTCAAAAGCGGTGAATTGTTGATGGTTCTCGGGCGACCAGGCAGTGGATGTTCCACATTCTTGAAAACTCTGTCTGGTGAATTGCATGGACTTGATCTGGACAAGGAGTCTGTCATACACTACAGTGGTGTTCCAATGAACAAGATGCATGCTGAGTTCAAAGGCGAGGTCCTGTATAACCAGGAAGTCGACAAGCACTTCCCTCATTTGACTGTTGGCGAAACATTGGAATTTGCCGCGAGAGCAAGGGCCCCAGCTCATCGCTTTCAGGGTCAGACCCGGGATGATTATGTCAACGAAACCACCCAAGTGGTCATGGGTGTCTTCGGACTATCGCATACCTACAATACCATTGTTGGCAATGACTACGTGCGTGGTGTGTCCGGTGGTGAACGAAAGCGGGTTAGTATTGCTGAAATGGCTCTCTCTAGGGCACCCATTGCGGCATGGGATAATAGCACTCGCGGATTAGATGCAGCAAGTGCTTTAGAATTCGTTAAAGCACTTCGTATGTCTGCCGATTTATCTGGAAGCTGTCAGAGTGTGGCCATCTATCAAGCGTCTCAAGCCATTTATGATGTTTTTGACAAGGTCATTGTCCTGTACCAAGGTCGCCAAATTTATTTCGGCCCGTGTAGCCAGGCAGAGCAGTACTTTTTTGACATGGGATGGTCGAAACCTTCTAGACAGACTACCGGTGATTTCCTCACCTCGGTCACTAACCCACAGGAGCGTCAACCTCGAGAAGGAATGGAGAACAAGGTTCCGCGCACTCCGGATGAATTCGAAACATATTGGAGGAACAGTTCTCATTATCAGGCTTTGATGCGAGAAATCGAGGAGCATGAAGCCACCCATCCCGTGGGTGGTGGCGCAGAAAAGGATTTGGCAGACAAAAAACACGCTCAGCAGGCCAAACACGTCAACCCGAAGAGTCCTTACTTGATGTCCATACCCATGCAGGTTCGGCTTTGTACCAAACGGGCCTATCAAAGGTAGTTATTTTCGCTTTTCTTCGCAATCTGAACATATATACTAAGAGCAAAATGCAGATTATGGAACGACAAGGCTACCACATTGACGACGGTGATTGGTCGTGTATTCATGGCTTTGATTATTGGTTCCATCTATTTCGGGTATGTGGTTTTAATTCTGCAAGTATATATCGAAACTAACAAAACTCAGTACACCGAATGCAACGGCAGGATTTCAAAGCAAAGGCGCCGCCATATTTTTTGCAGTTTTGTGAGATCATACAAACGTGATGACATTTAATTTGGGACTGACAGTTAGCAGACTGAATGCGCTCATCAGTATAACGGAGATCAACTCATTGTATGATCAGCGTCCCATTATCGAAAAACAAGCGTCATACGCCTTCGTCCACCCCTTCACTGAAGCACTAGGTAGTATAGTGGCAGATCTTCCTATCAAATTTGTTGCTTCAGCGGCCTTCAATATTGTACTCTACTTCCTTGCTAGTCTGGTAAGTCAAAATGTCCTCTGTCTTGAAGAAGATCAATATATTGACTTCCAATAGCGCTCTGAGCCATCTCAATTTTTTATCTTCTTTCTATTTACATTCATCGCCACTTTATCCATGTCTTCGATCTTTCGAACGCTGGCCGCCGCAACGAAAAGTCTGGCCCAAGCCATGGCTTTGGCTGGTGTCATGGTCTTAGCCATCGTTATATACACCGGCTTCGTTATACCTGGCCCCCAGATGCACCCTTGGTTTTCGTGGATTCGCTGGATCAACCCCGTATTTTATGCTTTCGAGGCTCTTGTAGCGAATGAATTCCATGGGCGTGAATTTGGTTGCTCGAGCTTCGTTCCTGCGTATCCCAACCTGTCTGGCAACACCTTCATCTGCTCTTCACGCGGTTCAATCACTGGTCGAATGACTGTATCTGGTGATGACTTTATTGCAAGCCAGTACGATTATTCCTACTCACACGTATGGAGGAACCTAGGAATTTTGATAGCCTTTTGGATATTTTTCATGTTTACCTATCTCATTTTCACTGAATTCAATTCGGCAACCTCTTCAACTGCCGAATTTCTTGTCTTCCGCCGCGGTCGAGTTCCTGCATATATGACGAAGTCTGACAATGATGCCAAGAACGAAGCTGTCGAAGCACCCTCATCGCGCGGTAAAGATGGGGAGGAGAAGCAACAATTGCAGGTTCTTCCCGAACAACATGATGTATTCACATGGCAAAACGTGTGCTACGATATTCCTGTTAAAGGCGGCCACCGGCGGCTTTTGGATAACGTCTCCGGCTGGGTCAAACCAGGAACACTTACAGCACTTATGGGAGTATCCGGGGCCGGTAAAACCACGCTTCTTGACGTTCTTGCGCAACGTGTTTCTATTGGGGTGGTAACGGGAGATATGTTTGTTAATGGCAAGCCGTTGGATCCTAGCTTTCAACGCAAAACTGGATACGTTCAACAACAAGATCTTCACTTGGAGACCAGCACTGTCCGAGAGGCATTACGATTTAGTGCCGCCCTACGCCAGCCTAAGAGCACACCCATGTCTGAGAAGTATGCCTATGTGGAAGAAGTAATCAAAATGCTTAATATGGAAGACTTCGCTGAGGCTGTGGTTGGAACACCTGGCGAAGGTTTGAACGTTGAGCAGCGCAAGCTTTTGACTATAGGCGTGGAATTGGCTGCTAAACCCGCTTTACTGTTGTTTCTGGACGAGCCCACTAGCGGTCTCGATTCCCAAAGCTCTTGGTCTATTTGTGCTTTTTTGCGCAAGTTGGCAGATAACGGTCAGGCTGTTTTATCGACTATCCATCAACCTAGTGCCATTCTTTTCCAACAGTTTGACAGACTTCTGTTCTTGGCGAAGGGAGGTAAGACGGTGTATTTCGGCGATATTGGCAAGGATTCCACAACTTTATTGGACTATTTTGAGGGCAATGGCGCACGGAAATGTGACGCTGCTGAGAATGTAAGTTGACTTCACTTTTCAATACTTGTCAAGACCGATAATCTGATAATATCAAGCCTGCGGAATATATGCTCGAGATCATTGGCGCAGGTGCGTCTGGTAAATCAACTCAAGATTGGCCCTCCATTTGGCAAGAATCCAAAGAGTCAAACGATATCCAAGCTGAACTCGGCCGAATTCATCAAGAACGATCTGCTGCACACTCTCAGCCCAATGGCGATAATAGCACTTCCGAAAACCAGTCTACTCTGGCTGCTTCCAATTCTTCAGAATTTGCAATGCCGTTCAAAGACCAACTTTGGCTCGTTACTGTTCGCGTGTTCCAGCAGTACTGGCGTGATCCCCAGTATATCTTTGCCAAGTTGCTCTTAGGTCTGGCATCTGCATTGTTTATTGGGTTTTCATTCTTCAAGCCAAACAGCAGCTTGCAAGGATTCCAAGATGTTATATTTAGCACGTTTATGATGACGTCTATTTTCTCCACACTTGTCCAACAGTAAGTCTACCCTTTTATTCAATCTCTTTATTTCCAACTTATGTCTCACCGAAATCAAGGATTATGCCTCGATTTGTCCAACAACGATCGCTGTATGAGGTTCGAGAACGCCCCTCCAAAGCATATTCATGGGCCGCCTTCCTCGTCGCCAACGTCGTTGTCGAAATTCCGTACCAGATAATCTTGGGTGTAATTGTGTGGGCAAGCTACTACTACCCCATCTATGGAGCAAATCAAACATCAGAACAACAGGGTTTGATGCTGCTTTTCGTCGTCCAATTTTTCATCTTCACGTCTACCTTTGCCGACCTAGTTATTTCCTCAATGCCTAATGCTGAAATGGCTGGTACAATTGCCACATTCGCATTCGCATTGACCCTAACTTTCAACGGTGTTATGCAGCCACCTAATGCATTGCCCGGATTCTGGATCTTTATGTACCGCGTCTCGCCTCTAACATACCTTGTCTCTGGTATGACTGGAACCGGTCTGGATGATCGACCTATCGTTTGCTCGAGTCCTGAGAGAAGCGTCTTTGATCCTCCCACTGGCCTTACCTGCGGCGCATACATGAAACAATATCTTGCAGTAGCTCCCGGTGTTCTTTACAACCAGGACGCGACGAGTAATTGTCAATACTGCTCTCTGACTAACGCAAACCAGTTCTTGGCTGGTAGCAGTATCTGTACGTCCACATACTCCCCCAACCTAAACGTAACTTACTGATGGAATTAGACCCCGATCAAAAATGGCGCAACTGGGGAATCGGATGGGCTTACATCGGTTTTAACATCTTCGGCGCCTTAGCATTGTACTATGCATTCCGTGTGCAGCATTACAGCCCTACATCCCTGATTAGAGGAGTGCGTGACTGCGGAAGCGTTGTCGGACGCATGTTCAAGAGAAGCTCCGAGGCACCAAAGGGTACAAAACCGCAAGATGGAAGAGTTTTCTAGCCGTTCTTTACTTTTCTATATTTTTGTCTGACAACCATCTATCTGTTTTTAATTTGTTTGCTTTTTTGTCCACCTATATAATTACTTCTAGTAACTTTCTCTACGATGTAGATAGTCACTACACCTTTAAAAATACATTTTCTTAAGTTTTATACTCAATTTAATGTTGTTTTTATGTGATTCTGAAGACCCACAAGGCGTTGAACTTAAATATCATACTCGCTCTTTATTAGTTTATAAATATCCTGCTAATATGTACATGACAATATTTGAAATGCTCATTTAATGTATCAACATCCCATTCTCTTCTCAAAAGTCAAACGCAAACCGAACAACTGCAATTCCTGTCGCAGAATAATGACAAACAAGAGTAGACTTATCATTCCAACCGTTCTTCAAATCCACACTTATTTGAACATTTCGAGGAATACTGGAAACCGGAGAAGAGTCTTGTCCTAAAGACTCTTGCTTTATACCCTCGTCTTCAAACTCGGCTTTTGTAGATGGGGAGGGATCACGGCCACTCGGGTTCAAGCGAAGAGTCATGTTACTTGCCAGAGTGTAGATCTCTTGTACACAGCGATTCTGTATTTCCCTGTATGTAGCACGCTGATCGGGAGTACAACTCGGTGCCTTTACGGCACTGTGTAGCAATTTGAGCGCATGATATGAGAGTCTCATTCTGAAGTTGCTTTGCTGGATTTTGCAGGCCAGATGATGCAGATGATGCACATTGTCAAATCGGTTGATGTAATCTTGGCATTCGTTATACGGGGTTAATGGCGGGTCAATACCATAGTCAGCCATCATCACGGTTACTTCAGGATCGGATGGTTGTAATGGGTATATCGTCTTCTCTACGTCAGCAATATCGTGGAGAATGGATGGCACGCTGTGCTGCAATTCGTCGAGGTCTTCGGCGTCAAGCAGGCTCTGGATGCGACCGCATATTCGACTGCAGTGGTGACAGAATATAACTGTACGGAGGATAGGGTATTCCGAAGGGTTGCAATATTTATAAAAGAAAAGAATATATGTGATTGCGTCCTTCCATTCCTGACCGTTCATGAAGGATTGCATCTCCTAGAGCCGAATGAGTCAGAACTATTATTGAGTAAAGAATAGGGGAAGGGTGTGTAGATGAGCTACATGATGATCAATGAGCGTACCATGTTGGTGAAAAAGATGACAAAGAGATTTCTTCCGTCCAGGGTAGAAAATTGCTCTGGTCCCCTTTGGCGCATCAGTTCTGTGATTATGCGGTTGTGGATTCGCCATCCAAAAGATGCGGTGGCCGAGTTGACGTTGTCCTTCAAGCTGAGAAGAAGCTTTCAATATTTGCAATTAGTTTTATTCGACGTTGATAAATCATAAGAAAAGCGAATATTCAATCTCCCTACCTCGTATATCCCCAATAACCATATGGCTAACAAGGTTTCGTCGCTCTTATACTGTCGAGAGTCATGCAGAGCAGAACTTACAGCAGCAATTGCAGTTCCATATGTTTTCGTTCGCCGAGATAGAGTTATAGGAGAGCATATTTTGTGGGCCATATATGCACATGCAACAGCATTACAGGCGTGAAGTACGGCGGACGAAGAGCTGGCTCTGGAAAGGATACGTGGGATAACTGCAAAGTTTCCTCTGCCCAACTGGTACGCAGATTTGATGCTATGCATGAAAAATGGAATATAGTGAGTATCCCAAGATGGAGATATCTGTTGGTTATATGGTAAGGGTAATAATAATTTATAACGATTGCCATTCTCGCTCTTGTAACCCTGGTCAACTCGTTCACGCAGGGTTGGATATTTTCGTTCGTTTCGGCCTTTAGTCGAGACAGACGAGTCAACGTGGGTTTGGTCTTGCTCACTACGCCGTCTCCGCCGATCCATGCTCGTGCCTGATGAAAACGAAGAGGCATTTTCCACTCGAAAGTGTATCTGCGATTCATCTCGATATCCGGAGCATGGCTGTCTCTTTCTCAGACACTGGCCGCACTCTGGACGCCTAAGATCACACTATAGAAATTAAGTTATATTTAGATCCAATCTCATTTTGGCTTAATCAAGCTTTTTTGAAAGGCGGATTGGGAAAAGATGTCTCAAGTCCCACTTACTCTGATACGTCTTTGCCGGCAATTATAGCAGTCACGGCTTGGTCTGCCAACGTTAGGCATGGTATTTCTCAAAAATGGAAAGTATCTGTGAAAAGCAGTTTCACATAGTTATGTAAAGAAATTGCAGTGAGTTTAATGAATTGACGCCGTGCGCTATGCTTTGGAGAATTCCAAATATACATACAATATACAGGACTAACCTTTAAGGCGCCACCGAGACTTCGCTGATGTTCTAGTTTGGCTACGCTAACTTGTTTAAGAAATTGTTTCGCGCCTAACTTTCATGAGCCAATAAGAAATTGCTGTTCGGTACGTATTCTTTTCTTCAGCGTGCGTGAGCCTCGGATTGCTCTTTTGTTAGCTTGATGTTGCAAAAGGGATTATTGGGCAAAATCCGATTTACCTAGGTCAGGTTGCACGGTTTCCCTTAGCTTTTGAACTATTCATGGCCTTTTTATAAATTCTGGATTACGTATAAAGTTCATCGTAAGAAAGATATATTTTTTTCTTGTCAATTTGGCCATTTTTTGATATTATTTGACGAAAGACCTGCAATATTACCTTCTTGTATCCGATTCGACAGAAATATGATGGCATTTTCAAAAATTTCGAACATGATTCGTCTTTGTGAACCTGCTCAACATATGGAAGGTCCGTTGAGCGTACACCTTGACCTCTGACAGTGGACGTTCACCGCCTTCACGTTACCCCAATTATTCTGCCGCCACAAACAACATAGCACAAGTATTGAGTTTCCTAAACCAATCTCAATCCCGACAAGATCCAACTCAATATTTCCTTTCCCCGCTATAGCATCGATATGCCTCCCAAACCTGCGAAAGGCGAATACATTGAAACCGTCAGCTGACTACGCTAAACCCAACTGCCGCCTCGAATCCAAAAGCTAACCCCGTGTAGGACACTGGCAACAAAATATCTCGACGCTCGCTCATCCACGGCACCCAACACATCATCCTCGGCGGAAAAACCGTCATTCAGGCCGATGCAGTCATTCGCGGTGATCTATTCCGCGTACATACGGCCTCTTCACAATCCACTGGCGAAGACGGGACTCCTGCACCAGCACCAAGTAACGCACCGTCCATTGCGATAACCGTCGGGCGATACACGTACATCTCGCGCTCAGCGATTCTGCACCCTCCCTCGCGTTTACATCGTGGCATACACTCGTACTATCCGCTGAAAATGGGGGATCATGTGTTTGTCGGAGAGAGGTCGGTTGTCGAGGCCGCGCAAGTGGGGAATCATGTACACATTGGTAATGATGTGGTTGTCGGAAATATGGTGATTATTAAAGACTTTGCATATGTTTTGGACGGTGCTGTTGTGCCGGCTGGAATGGTTGTGCCGAGTTTTTGTGTTGTTGGCGGGAGTCCGGCGAGGATTGTTGGGGAGGTGGGTGAGGGGTATGGAGTTGAAGGGGCTGAGGGTGGGATGGCGAGGGAGAGATATAAGCTGGTTGGAAGATAATCAGTTAGGTCCTTTTTTTATTACGTCTTTATTTGATACCCAATGTCGTTTACTTGATGGAAGACGAGGCGTTTGGAAAGTTTGAATTACATACAGCAAAACAAAACGATTGTATGTGCTAATACCACGCTACTTACCTATTTCATATTTTCAACTTTCACAGCACGCTTCAGTCTGTTCTCCTCTGGTCGATACGGTTGACCAGCCTCTTCTCTGGCCATATCATTAATCCATCTCCCGTTGGGCTTGAGAGTCTTGCCTTTCGTGAGTTCCGACGCGAGATATAGCCAAGTCAACGCACTGCCTACAGTGCTAACTTCATCACTGACCGTATTCAGTGCCGTATGACTCATGCGATTGTACAGATCATGGTCCGTCCAGAGATCATACAGATGTTTTGCAACAGCATCTGTGTCGCCAACCTCGACTAGGAATCCGTTTACTCCATCCTGCACTTGCAAGGGAATACCGCCAGCCATACTCGCAATTACGGGCTTTCCTTTATGAATAGCCTCCGAAACTTTTACTTCAAACCCTTCTCTAGTGGACAGCTGTAGAGCGATCTTCGCCTTTGAAAGAAGCGCGTTGAGCACTTGGTCGGCCGGGCCGAGCCGTATGATACAGACATGATCCACTAGGTTAGAGAGTTCTTCTCTCAGGTGATCCCGTACCTCATCATAGATCAAGCTGCCATCGGGATCGTCTATGGAACCGTGGCCGCAAATAAGAAGTTTTGGTGGCTTGATATTGGGAGACTTCTTAGTAAGGAGATCGAAGAACTTTGCGTATGAGTCCAGGACATCGATAATGCCCTTTGATGGGTCGAAGCGGGCAACCTGAATAATGTATTGGTCTATATTCTCATTTAGCGCATTTCTTTGACTAGTGGAAGGAAATTAGAATTACCGTCGGGGTATTCGATCGTTGTGACCTGGCTATTTCGGCACAAGGTGTTGAAAAACCGGCCGTAAAAGGCGATATCCCAATCACGCATTGTTTTGTTAAGTCCATCAAGCCTAGTAAGTTAGATTTATATTACACATCTGCAGTATTTCGGAAATGAACACACCAATCAGTTGAAGCCGGCATATAGCCGACTATTTCGTGAGGGATGTCGGCTGGAACAAATGATTCAACAGGTTGGCTGATGAACAAGTCCGCCATCTTGATACGCTCCCAAAGCCATTCCCATGCCTCAGCCTGTGGGGTACCAGGTGTGTTGACGAGATCACTTCGAATCTGAATATGGCTACGAAAAATGACGGGCCGGTTGGGTGCTATTTTCTTTGCTATTGGTATAAGGGATGGCATCTGGGGATCGTCTACGATTATGATATCAGCTCCTCCTTCAGATGGTGGACTTAATGGGCCTCCGGAAGAGACCCAGTATCTATTCGCATTGTCGCATAACCAATCACTCATTTCTTTTTGCTGTTGGGGGCCGAAGCGTTCTTCTGGAGCCGCAACCCCTTGGAGGATGTTGTGGTTTGTCTTGGTGATACGAAAAACACCTGGACGAGGCTTGGGCACATACCTAATAGAAAATTATCAACTGCGACAAAGTAATTGGTGAGCCTGCGGAGGTTATAAATTGTCATACCATTTAAGGTCCACGTCCATATTTACGGCGCATCGCACCAGCGCGTGACGCATAAGAGCAACGCCACCACCCTGGGGAGTTGCGCTGAAAAACGCAATTTTTACCTTGCGATGCTTCAAATCGGCAGCATAATGCTGTACAGCCGCCCAGGTAGTAGGCCCAACTGTACCCTTGTAGTCATCTAGACTGGCAATGCGGATGCGGAATGCAGAGTCCACTTCGACGCGGCCTTGTAAGCCAACCTCCGTTATGGGATTATTACCCGGGCCGAAGAATCTAGCTTCATCAGTACTATTACTACAAGGATTTAGGAGACCATGTACATACCTTAGGCATCTTCTGGCCATTGACTCGGCCATTTCATCGAGACTTTTAGCTTCCCATTTCGTGCTTCTATGTTTAGACCAGAATGTCGAGACTGGTGCACCTTCTCGGAAGACTATTGGAACGATATCCAGCGCGTGCCAGAGACGTGAGCATAATGTTGGAATGCGAACTGCGATATCTTCCGGCATGGCCAAACCCATGATACGCTCCATGTGCTCCTGGCTGTATTCGGACAGGTTCATGAGAATAAATTCTGCTATCTCTTCTTTAGAGATGTGTTTGCCGCCAGATTTCTCAAATTTGTGTTCGTAAAAGTCCAGGAGATAGGTGGTGTCGCGAATCGCAATTGCGACAATGGTGTTCTCATGATTGAACTTTACTGAAAGACCTGCGTATAGAGTCTACTATATGATCAGCAAGCTAGCTACATGAATGATGTTTGCACGCACATCTAACGGCGGGCCGGACCAGGAGTTTTTCTGCGCATGCTGGCGCAGGAGGTCTAACTGGTAAGCCGATCCACGACGCTGAAAGGCGTGGTGAGGTTCGTGCGAAGACATCATTCCTAGGCGAGCAGAAACTGAGCCTTCAAAGTCGTATGCGATTTGAAAACTCACATGGTGGCAGTACCAACTATCACTGAACCATGAGAGTGAGTTTTGTATCCCCGGCCGCGCCGGATGACACGTCGATGACGTATACTAATCAGAGTAACCCATCATCACGAGACAGCTGGAGGAAGAAAGTTGCTCCATAGGAGAGAGAGAGAGACTCTGATTGCCTGATCAATCTGCAGACATGCATGAAGTGTGTTTCCTCGACTCTGTAGATATAGTAGAAGTATAGAGATTGACTAGTAGATAGTAGATCATAGATGGACACGGGCCACGCCTTAGGGTTAGGTAACCCTGCAGATAGCCATCCCGAGCTAGGCCACTCTCGGCCTGGCTTGAAACAAAGTGGTCCATCGCGGGGTGTTAGTCAGCGGCTTGGCGCCAAATGCCCCTTTTCCCTTTCTCGCTGTTTGTGTGGACGGTGTGTGCATACCATACACATCCAAACCCTGCGTGCGCCCTCGTCCACGTCGCATCCTAGTGTCATTCCAGGATTATTTCCCCCTGTCTCTCACGAACCTCTCTGCTGTTGATCTTGTGAGTTGCCAGAGATCGTGTTCTGCAAATTTCCCAGCTATTGTGCGACATTGTTCAGCGTTGATTGTTTGTTCATGTGACCAACGGAGTCTAACAAAGAATCACGACCAGGTTCCAGAGACACACGTGGAAAGCCAATTGCTGTCAGCCCTCGATTGCCGAACCATAACCTTTACTTCTCGGGCGCCATCGCCGAAACAATCCAAGATGGGTGGTTCCGTGTCCAAGTTGATGGGGAAGATCTTCGGATCTAAGGAAATGCGCATTCTGATGCTGGGTCTTGATGCTGCCGGAAAGACCAGTATGTACCTGATATCCCGATAGTCAATTGCCGGCCCGGAAGCGCTGACAATCCCCGGTACAGCCATTCTATACAAATTGAAGCTCAACCAGGATGTCACCACCATCCCCACCGTGGGCTTCAACGTCGAGAGTGTGACTTATAAAAATGTCAAATTCAATGTCTGGGACGTCGGTGGACAGGACAAGATTCGTCCTCTGTGGAGACACTACTATTCTGGTATGTGTACAGCCGTTTGACAGCTTGGAGTCTTCTGCCAAAGTTGGACAGCCTGAGCTAATGATCTGCAGGCACCCAGGGACTCATCTTCGTTGTGGACTCCAGCGACACTGCCCGTCTGGAGGAGGCCAAGTCTGAATTGCACAAGATCATCAACGATCGTGAAATGAAGGATGCATTGTTGCTAGTGTTCGCCAACAAGCAAGACATCGAAGGCCGTAAGTAGCCGTGCTTAACTGCGATGTTGGGTGTATAGCTGTTAACTTTGCCGCAGGTCTTGCGCCTTCGGAAATCACCGAGAAACTGGCCTTGAACAAGCTCAAAGACCGATTATGGAATGTGGTGCCTAGTGTAGCGACGGACGGCAGTGGTATCTTTGAAGGATTGGTAAGCGGTCTATTGAAATACAAGCTTAGTCGGGCATTTCATTTATACTGACAACTGTAGGCCTGGTTGTCCAACAACGTCAAAACTCCTGCACCTGCAAAATAATTCTTCCTATCGGGAATTTCTCTCACGGTCAATCATTGGCACACCGGATTTGTATAACGCCTTTATTAATCACTTGACAGAGATATATATACCATCACGATCACGCAGCATTCCGAGATTTGTTTCCTATTCAGTGTGCCGGTTTTGTATGCATGTCGCCTCTGGCTCTCATGATATCCCTTCTGTATTCCATTATGTATTTCGTTCTGTATTTCCTGGACTTCTCCATTCCCTTTCTAATCTATCGTCATTTCATCATTTTTACTGCCATTTTGAATTGTCATTCGACCTGTTTCTTTCCCTTCACTCATGAAGATATAATACGCAGCGAATTATTGTATAGACAAATGTGAAGATTAAACTAAGTTTCGGACTGCAATCTAGAATCACAACCTTGCACCGCCAACGACGTCACATCCTGCATTTCGGACCTCGAATCCACCGTATCCAGGCCTCACGGAACTCGATGCCGTCAACTGCACCACACATCTTTCTTCTGTTTGGCAGACTATCTAGACCGTGATTACGATAGAATACGTAGGTGGTGGTGGCACAACCATTTTTGCCTCATCTCATACCCTTGTCTCAATATCAATATTCCATTTTTGTTCAGTATTTATGATATCAATCGATTCCTCGCCACTGCCACCGGACGACACTTTAAAAAGATTCCCTCCGATAGTCCCATTCCACATAAGAATCTGTCTACTTTTGCCCAAGTCCATCATACCGCTTTAAATCTCGCCTCACCTTCATATTCATACAAAGGAAACCCTATATCCGAAACCCACGATATGCCTCAGTATAAGGTTAACCAACAAGTTCGCTATAAACCTGTCGGCGGTATGTTCCTCTCCCTACTTACATCGAACCTTGTCTGACAGAAATTAAGGCCCTGAGAGCCACACATCCGAAACAGTCGGTAAAATCCAAAAAGTCATTACCGAACCCGGAAATCTGACAGGCCGCGAAGTAGCAGCCTCAGCTGAAGTTCCACGCTATGAGGTAACCACTTCATATATACATCTAAGTACTAACTCGTAAAACGAGTTGCTGAATTTTTTTTTTAAAGATTGAAAACAGCAATACCGGCAAACGGACCGCGATCAAGGAACCCAACATCCTTGGACCTGCCTAATCTGTTGAAACCACAGGCCGTGCATTACTATGGATGCACGTGGACGACGTGGGTTCAGCCGGTGCGCGGTGAAGAAGAGACGTATGATCATGAGGCGAAGGACCTGTTTCTGAGTATGGAGAATAATGAGTTGACCGCGATGGAGACGGAGATGGGCGTTGTATGTGCGGATAGTGAGTGTGCCGGCATGGGGATTGATGTTTAGAAGTCTATACGAGTAGAGAATAGAGTAGTCGATTATGTATTGCGTTGTAAGCTGCAACCTATTAATCCAGTTCATAACCGTCGACTATATTTTAATTATTGAATACACTTGAATGCCTATTTGCATCCCCCAAATGTCATTGCAAGAAAGTCATATCAAATAAGTAATATCAGAGAAAGAATTGAATCAAGGCTCATTGGGCCAAATCTCGTTTGCAATCTCACGCACCAACTTCAACTTGTCAAACATCCCCTCACGGCTGATAGCATTACCACCGTGGTGACTTGCAAATCCACATTGCGGGCTAACACCGCACTGCTTCAACGCCTCCTGCACAGAGATATTATTGCCCACTGCGATAAACCCGGCAGCCTGCACAATCCTGTTCTTCATCTCCACCTTATCCTCCAGAGTATCGAACTTGGAAGTGACGACACCCAGGATCACGTTCTTGGTTGCCGGCAGTTCTTTCAGCGGCTCAAAGCCGCCGGCGCGAGGAGTGTCGTACTCGAGATAGTACGTGTCGACATCCAGCTCCTTAAAAAGCTTGGCTGCAATTCGCTCATATCCGCCTTCAGAGAAGTGTCGGGATTTGTGGAAGTTGCCGCGGCAGAGATGCACGCCGACGTGCATGTCCGCTGGCCGCTTGGCGATGCAGTCGTTGTATAGTTTGATGTATTTGTCGAGAAGCTGCTCGGTGGTGCCGATATTGAGGGAATCTGCATTCCAGCCTTCGATCATCTTCTCGGAACAGAAATCTGGCGGGGGGTTAGTATAAATATACACGTATTCATCAGTGGGGATAATACATGGACTTACAAGCAAGATTGGGGTCATCGTATTGCACATTTCGGCACCCTGCCTCGTACAGAATGCGCAGTTCCTCCTGGTACGCCTTGGCGATGTCGCCGAAGTATTCCTCGTCGGAACTGTATACATCCTTGGGGTATGCGACACCTTCCTTGTACCGCATATGGTACCAGTTCGGTGCAGCCAATGTGATTTTGAGATTCTTAACCTCTTCAGGCTTGACGAGTTTGGCGAGGTACTTGAAGTCGTCGACATAGGTACTGCCCTTGTGCTTGATCTTGCCCGTGCAGACGACCGTCTCTCCAGGCTCAACTTTTTCCTCCACAAAAGCTGCGATGTCCGGCATGTAAAGGCGGAACATGCCTGGGTCGGGCTTGAAGATTTGCGTGAAGCCTTCCAGACCAGGGAAAAACGAGCCCCAGAACACTATCTCAATTAATACATGTATCTGTGATGCTCAAAGTGTCAAGTTTAAACCCACTGTGTCGACGGTACTCGCCATCAGTGATGGCATGATATCCGAGCTGTTCCTGCTTAGCGACAATATCATTAATATCCTGATCCTCGATGGGAACGAGCTCCTCTCTAGAGACTGTGCCCACAGTCAGGCCGTTACGCTTTGCGACCAAGATGTCGGTGCGAAGCAAAGAACCCAGGTGTTCAGCACGAAAGGGGGGATTCTGATGCCGAGACATTTCGTCTTCCGTTTAGGTATCCGTTTATCTTTGGATATATTCGCCACGTAGGCGTATGTCTCACTGAGCACTAGTGGTGACACAGACTACAATCGAAGAGAAACCCAGCGAGGAAATGAGGAGAAGCCAAATTGCGGTGCTGCAATGAAAAAGAAATAAAAAAGAGGGGCTTTGGTATCTCCAAAGCGGGGAATTACCCATTTGGGATGGATAGGTCTGCCTGAATCTTTTTCTAATAATAATACCAGCGATAATTGGAGCACAGCAGCGTCGTTTTCATTTTAACCGGAGGGGATTGATCTGCATCGGAAATCCCCCATAAAACCAACATACAACCAATACGGTGACGTTATTGGATGGCCCAAGAGAATTTCCTTAGCTTGATGCGACTTGTCGTTATGATTGGAGTAGTTATTATTAGTGAGGGTAAGTGTGCTGGGCTGATGTAGACAGATGTGGAGCAAATCGTGGCTGACTTAGGGTTTGTTCCACGAAGTATAATACTACATAACTTTAACCAGAGCCTTTTATTCACTTTACCGAATTCAATAACAAAACACTTGAAATATATAAATGCCAAACAGAACCATTCCGAGCGTTCCCACACCGGAAAAATAATAAGCGCTCGAGCCATCTAGATAGCTCCACATCAATTGATACACTCAAATTGCATCTCCACATGAAGTCATTCGTAAACAAGACTTATAAATCGGATATTTCTTCCACCTGATGAGAGTATACAGATTTTCTTTCCTTCCTTTATATATAAATAATTTCACTTATTTGACCGAACTCGGGGAATTCATTTCGTTATACCAATTGATAGAATCCAGGATTTGAGGACCCCACATATTAGTGGGGCTGCTATACTTGATATTTGTAGATAAAGATATAACATTTTGAAGCATTGAAGATTGAATGGATGGAAAGAAATGTATTATGCCCGTCAATCAATTCGATACCATGCTAGATACACACGATTACATGAGAATCAATTGATTTCTATACCTCACCACACCTTTCATATGTATGTGGGGCTCAGATACTACCAGGTGACAATGATCGAATTGATCGGCAAGATGGCTACGGACTTTTGCGGAATACATTTACTAGAGTAAAAAAAAAATATGAACCCAACTCCTAATAATTGACATGTAAAGAACTACCCGGCTAGCAACATGAATATACAGATTCCATCGTCAAAACAGACATCAGACATGATATGTATGCATCAGCAAAGAATATAATTTTGTTTACAACTTGGCAGCAGTGCCCGGCGCCGAAATTTCGTTGTACAGCAACGACGTCAAGAAATCGGCGTAGTCCTCGCCAGTGACCTGGGTGGCAAAGTATCGCGCTGCCAGCTGGTATTTGTTGCCCTTCGGAGCCTTTTGCGCCAGCGACTCGGTTTGTTCTTGCAACAGGCGCAGCGCATACGCCTTGTCGATGCGCTTGCCCTCTGCCGTCGTCACGTTGTGTTTGACCCATTGCCACAGCTGGCTGCGGGACACTTCGGCCGTAGCGGCGTCCTCCTGTATGCAGTTAGAAGAAAACTCATTTGATAAAGCGTATATGATAAATGGGGACGAACCATCAGGTAGTTGATAGGAATGCAGCCGACTCCGCGCAGCCATCCCTCCATATAGCCCAGTCCAATGTTGAGGTTCTTGCGGATGCCTTCTTCGGTGATGGAGCCCGGAACGTTGGTGTTCAAGAGGTCGTTGGCGGTGACGTGCACGTCTTCGCGACGGTTGAATAACTGGTTGGGCGTGGGCATGTACTTGTTGAAGACATCAAGAGCAATGCTAGCAAGAGCCGGGTGAGCGACCCAGGTGCCGTCGTGGCCGGCACGCACTTCGCGGAGCTTGTCCTTGCGCACGTTCTCCATGGCGACGTCGTTGGCCTTGGGGTCGTCCTTGATGGGGATCTGAGCGGCCATACCGCCCTGTTTCACATTAGCGTAAGATGTCAATTAGATGGGGAAATGGTCATACCATAGCGTGGACGCCGCGGCGATGGCAGGTCTTGATGAGAAGACGGACATAGGCGTCCATGAAGGGAACGGTCATGGTAACAGCTGAGCGGTCAGGGAGGACAAAGTTGGGGTTCTGGCGGAACTTCTTGATGAAGGAGAAGATGTAGTCCCAGCGACCGCAGTTGAGACCGGAGCTGTGATCGCGGAGCTCATAGATGATCTCGTCCATTTCAAAGGCAGCATTGATGGTCTCAATCAGGACTGTGGCGCGGATGGTGCCGCGGGGGAGACCGATGTAGTCCTGGCCGAGGTTGAAGGCGTCGTTCCAGAGACGGGCCTCGAGGTGAGACTCCATCTTGGGGAGGTAGAAGTACGGGCCGGTGCCACGGCTGATGAGTTCGCGGGCGTTGTGGAAGAAGTAGAGGCCAAAGTCGAACAGAGAGCCGGAAATGGGCTCGCCGTCAACGGTGAAGTGCTTCTCCTCAAGATGCCAGCCTCGGGCGCGGGCGATCAGGGTGGGCAGGGTTCGGTCGGTGCGCAGCTTGTACTCTTTGTTGCCCTGCTTGAAGTCGACTTGACGGCGGATAGCGTCATACAGGTTGACCTGGCCGTTGATCATGTTCTCCCATGTTGGGGCCGATGAATCTGTTTCCGTCAGACATGCTGATACAATGATCAGGTTACTCGAACATACCTTCGAAATCGGCCATGTAAGTGAAGACATCCGAGTTCAAGGCATTGACAACCATCTTGCGGTCGGTTGGGCCAGTGATTTCCACACGACGATCGACCAAACCGGGGGCAGGGGGGGCACCCTTCCAGGCGTCATTTTCTCGGATATGCTTGGTCTCTGGCAAGAAGTCCAGCAGCTGGCCGCGATCGATCTCGGCCTGGCGAGTCTTTCGTCGCTCGAGCAGCGCCTTGCGTCTGTCGTTGAAAGTGCGGTGCAAGAGGGCCAGGAAGGCGACGGCTTCCTTGGTGAGGATCTTGCGGTGCTCGCTGTTGACAGTGCCCAGGATAGACACTCCTTGGAGTTGAGCCTCGACGGTAGTCATTGTGACTTCCCTTTTTATTGTTTTATTAATTGCGGTCAGAATATCGATTGATACAATATCTCAATTATTTCAATTATTTCAATCGTATGTTCTATGTAGGAGGTTGCTGCACCTCGGGCGACAGGAGAGCAACCGATATATAGCTAGCTACGTCAGAATAGCCGCGGCCCATGGACCCGGACTGAGTAGGGCGAATCCCGACAGCCGTGACGCCCTCTGCCAGCTGCTGGCCCAATTACCTGCCCTGCTTGCTCTCTCTCGGCCTGCTTAGATATGCATACTTCCTCTCGGCCGACACTTGTGGTTACGCAGTTCCCCGCTTTGTCTGATCTGTGTCGAGTATATCGAGTGTATCGAGTACATCGAGTACATCCTCAATTGATACTGGCACTGATACTGACAGCACCACTGCTCCAATGCACACTTATTTCTATGCCCAGCTGCAATTCCACAAAGCCATCTTCATCATCCTGCTGGTTTCTGTATATACAATTGATAAATATCTTATCGTCATGGAGGGACAATGGAGACAATAGCCGCGGCAAAAACGATGGCGTGTCGACATCATCTCTCCAGACCCGCGGGAAAGTCATGTGATGCTGCTACGAGCCCTACGCTGAGCCCGGCTGGGCCCGATGTCGGTAATACCCGGTTGATCTCTATTCTTATCATTCATTACTCGATTGCATGTGAATATTAAATAAATAACCACATGCAGACAGTTCTTCTGCGATGTTTGCCGGACGAGTTAATAATTGTAGATAGAGAATGGGTGCTGCCCTAGTCTCAGAGATTGAAGAATACATCACTATTCATGACGTTCAAACATTGCCTGTACTAATGTGGCAAGTATCAATGGCTGTCACATGCAGATGCACGACAATATATATCAGCCAATCAGATGCAACCAAAGCATGTGATTGTGATATTATCATAAAGAAAGCCTTGATGTATTAATAAAACTGACGAGGCATTGATATATACTAAAAACAGTACGACGAATACCCATCCAACAACAAACACGGTATGGAAAAGCGAGTTAAATGTCTCATATCATACAGTTTCAATATACCGCCTCACCTCCCTGTAAACCCGTTAGCATCACTTCGTGTGCAAAGAGTACGCACTAACCAGTCAGTAACAGCCTCCTGCCACAGAATAACTTCATGCTCTCTCGTTCCGCTATAATGGTCGACAAACTCATCGCCAAACACTTCCCGCGCAATACTGCCTGGCCGACGGAAGATCTCGTTGGCTTCTTTGAGTGTTTTTGCGAGTCGCGCCCCCTTGTCGTTGGCGCCGCCGGTGTCCTCTCCCTTACCTAATGGAGGGACAGAAATTTCGAGCTTCTTCGCAACACCTCGCCATCCGATCGCGAGAATTGCCGCGAGCACATAGTGTGGGTTGGCGTCTGCCCCCGGAACGCGCACTTCGAAACGGGTCGCTTTCGCACTGGCAGTTGGTGGAGAGATTAGTCTGATAGATGCAGCTCGGTGTTCTAGACCCCAAGATACCGTGACCGGGGCCCAAAAGTTCTCAACCAGTCGTTTGTAGGAGTTCACAGTAGGCGCCAACAGAGGCATGATATCTGGTAGCCCTTCAAGCAGGCCAGCCAGGAAGTGTCTTCCCATGTCAGACAAATGCGCAATCTCGGGATACGGTGGGGAGGCGTCTGGCGTGTCTCGGACAAACAGGTTCTTGCCATCCTTTGAAACAATAGACACATGCATATGGCCGCTGTTACCTGGCAACCCTTCACGAGGCTTGGCCATGAAGGCTGGCGTGATGCCGAACTTGCTCCCAAGCGACTTGACGACATACCTACACATCTGCATCAGCACGAATCTTCGAAATATAAAACCAGGATACCCACTTGAATAAGCCAGCGCGATCCGCCATGTCTTTGATTTCGCCGAACTGTAAAGCCTTGAAATACCGGTCAGGTCAAGGCCCCTAATGACAGAATCTCAAGAACCCACAGCCTCAAATACCCCCGGTCCGCTCTCTGTATGCCATCCTTCAATATCACACTGAAACTTTTCGCAGGCGTCGAAAATGCCGTAGTAATACTCCTGGTTATGTACCGGCCGCGTAATGCTATATCCAAACATTCCTTCCGTTAACGAGGGAAGCGATTCGACGGGATTGTTCTTCAAAAAGGACGCTGTCGCTGATGAATTTCGCTCGCCGCTGGAGTCGTTCTGCGGGGCTCGGAACTGATAGAACTCATACTCGGCTGTAACACTCAGTACGGATCATCACCTCTATTAATCGGACCTAACATACCACCCGCCATTGCCTTGTAGCCCTCCTTTGCCAGCTTATCGACCGCTGTCTGGAGCAGGCCACGTGGACACGCACATATTGGCTCGCGCGTCTCTGGGTCGAAAAAGCTTACAAGGAAAAAGGGCACATCGTCCTCCCACGGAATGCGCCTAAAGCTGCTGAGGTCAGGAATCGCTAGTAGATCACGGTATCCATTCTCCTTGTTGCTAATCGCAAGCTCCTTGAAGTATGTGCGGTCGTGCATATCCCAGCCGAAAATCACAGAGCAAAAACCGAAGCCATCGGTGGCAATGGATAGAAACTTTTTCTTCGACACCAGTTTCCCACGCAGAATGCCGTCTGCGTCGACCCCAGCGAGTTTGACCTTGCTGTCGTTCTTCAGGATGTCGGCGACGTTGTCGCGTGTGACGACCAGCTCAGCCATGGCGGTCGCGTGCGTTCTCGGCTGGCTCGAGCAACGAACAGAAAAATCAATCGGCGAAAGCTGCAAGAGACCCAACGATCGACGGATTATGGCAGCGACTCGGAAGCTCCTGCTGTGTGTAGAAAACAGGGCTGCTCGATCGAACGAGCATCAGCGGTCACTTATCGCCGAAGCCGAGAGAAGGCTAGCCGTACACAGCCAAGCTCGGCCAGCAGGGATTGTGATAGATCCACGCCGCGACTCACCGCAACAGCCAGTGCTTACCTTCTTTGCTGCCGATGAGATGAATCACAGTCCTGCGCGGTATCGGCAGCCTAGCGATGCCACGATTTGCTCTCGAGCGACCGACAGTGCGGTGTGGGATGCGGGCATTCTCGTCTCGCCGAACCGTGGGATTAGATAAGAGAAACCAGTGGTCCCCACCATAATCTTAGTGATGGTCGCTGCTGCTTGATACCCCGCCATGCCTGGGCCTTTTTCCAGTCCATCGCATCCCAACTTGCCAGCAGGCCGTTCAGGGTTGCTGCCAAACTCGAGAGTCCATATCCCAGCCAGACCTGGCGAACAGAACCTCCTATCGTGAGTTGGATCGCTCAAGAACTGCTTATCAGTAACCTATCTCTGCCGAGATCGCTAACTTTGTCGGTAGCTACAAACATGGCAACAGCTCCAAGAGGTCGGCTTCAGGGCAAGAATGCCATCGTGACTGGTGCCGCAGGGTAAATGCTTCTGTCCACGCCTTCAACCATGCACGTTCAAGCTGACAGGCTTCAGTGGAATCGGCCTTGAAACCTCGATTCTCTTCGCCAGGGAAGGCGCCTCCGTGCTCATGGCAGACATCTCCGAGCCCGCCCTTGCCAAAGCCCTAGCGAAGCTCAAAGAAGTAGTGCCTACCGCTGGTCGTGTCGAAACGATCAAATGCGATGTCTCCAAAGAAGCCGATGTCCAGGCCATGGTCGAGTCGCAAGATAGCTGGGGCGGCACCGACGTCATCTTCAACAACGCTGGAATTATGCACGCCGACGATGCCGATGCTATCGATACGCCGGAGAAGATCTGGGATTTGACGCACAATATCAATGTCAAGGGTGTGTGGTTTGGCTCGAAGCATGCGGTGTTGAGTCTACGACGGCACAAGAAGAACAAGGGAAGCATCATCAACACTGCCAGTGTGGTGGCTCTGGTTGGCAGTGCTACGCCCCAGCTGGCATATACGGCGAGCAAGGGCGCCGTATTGGCTATGACCCGGGAACTGGCAATTGTGCATGCGCGCGAGGGATTCAGATTCAACTCTCTGTGTCCAGCTCCGTTGAAGTAAGCTACCAGTATGGGAAGAAATGAAAGCGAGACTAATGATTTCCCAGCACGCCGCTGCTCCAAGACTGGCTTGGTGATGACAAACCTAAGCGCCATCGTCGTGAGGTGCACTTCCCTACTGGTAGATTTGGCGAGGCCATCGAGCAGGCCAATGCAGTGGTGTTCTTGGCTAGTGATGAGTCTAGCTTCGTAAATGGCACTGACTTTGTTGTTGATGGAGGAATGACCAAGGTATGATTTATTCATTCTCTGTATGACGACTCGTCACTCACGATCGTTTAGGCATATGTCACCCCCGAAGGACCGGCTACAACTCCTCCTCAAAACCTCGGTAAATAAATGATATCCATAGATGACAATGCACTATTTAGGCAGGGACCTAGGTGTTTGTCTGCTCGTATTCAATTTGGTACTAGGATAGTAAGAACCGATTATGAAATTGCATCATCTATATTTTTTCATTCCTTCCAACATATAGTATAGCGTATGATTTCATCATTATAGATCTTGCGGAATATCGTTGACTAGGTGGACATTACACTAGCAGAACATGATGCTTCATTGATTCCCTTAGTCAAAGTGAGAGACCGAAAAATGTGCTACCTTGGTCTGTTCTTAGGTATTATTTCAAATGTTCCATTCTGAAGCACTAAAGCTCAGGTACTGCGTGATTGACATTCTGGATACATACATTCAAAGGAGTGTGTTTAGAGGTAATATCAGTCCAAGGCTTATCTTAAATTCACCCGGTTATTCTCGGTTATTCTTAGGATACTCAGTGCAGCCCTTTTAACTCCTCCTGAGTATACTCATCCTTACGTCGAAACCCGAGACCATTAACTCCACTTTCTCCATCCTGTCTGCCGAGGGGCGTCAAGTCCAACCAGCCGAACGTATTAATTAAATGCTCTCCACCTCGTGCATAGGTAGAGTAAGTGTGGTAAATCTTTCCCTCCTCGCCAATTCTGCCATCACCTCTGTAGAAGACGCTATTCCCAGGCTGTTCTCCCTCGGTAAAGTAGTGTTGGCCAACCTTGAGCAGCTCGTCCTTGTTCTTGAAGTTGTACTCAACCGGTCGAACAGCCTCGTCTTGCGTTACATGGACGTCGTAATTAAAGTCGCTGTCGTAGGACGATACCCAAGGGAACGTCCAGCCCATGCGCTTCTTGTACGCCTCGATCTTCTCGATCGGGGCACGCGACACGGCGACGAGGCTGGTGGAACGAGAGTGTAGGTGTTCTAGAGCAGGGAACGTATCGCCCATTACGCTGCAGCTAGGACAGCCGGCTTCCCAAGAGGGGTCGAACATGAAGTGATAAATAATCAACTGGCGGCGGCCGAAGAACAGGTCAGAAAACCCGATGCTTTTCTTCTCACCATCCTTAGGGCAGATAATGGTAAAGGTGTAGGCCTTGGTGAATTCGACGATTGGGAGCTTGCGTCGCTCGGCAGCAAGGGCGTCCCGAACACGTGTTGCTTCCTTTTCTTTCGCCAGGAGGCTCAGACGCGCTGCGCGATATTCGGCCGGAGACACAACCTGTTGTGATACAGTGAGAAGAGAGCTCGTGAAGTGACAGCAAGGAAAGGGACTTTCTATACTTGAACGGTAGTCATTGTGAAAGAATGTTGAATGAGGTATTGGAATCTCCAAATCAATCTTGACTTTGAAATTTTGTTTTGATCAGATGAGGGCAATCTTAGCTATAGTGACTTACAAGATTAACTGTAGGAAGGGAGGGAATTCAGCGCCCTTTATCTCTTCTCCCCCCAAACTTTATAACTGAAGTGCAGCCATATTCCATGCATCCCTCCTCAGACTCAATGAGTAATTGACCTGCAGAGTCGGGAGTCGGGAGAACGTTTCGCATTCGAAAGCATCCTGTTTACTCGGATTCAGGTGAGACACGCGTCATTTCAACGCGATTGTGCCGGCGCGAGAGTGACGCGGTGTCATATGATTTGCTTACCAGACTACCGACCTCGTATTGAAACTCAGTTTGGATAGGAGCCTTGGCCTGCAATTTGCTAAGGCCTTCATTTTGTGATCAGTAATCACAAATACATGAAGCTCCTGTCAAGTTATCTTCTACAAGCTCATCATGTATTTATCAGCAACCTACGAAGTAATTTGGGTTTGGTTGCCTGGAGGCGGCGCAACTTCAAGCCGAATATGATTTATTCTTTTCAGCAATAGAAATATGTCATGTTGAAGGCCGAAGGCATATCTTCTTGGTAAGGGACCCGTGCGCTATATACTGGGTTCTTGATCTGGGGAAGGGTTTCACGTGACGATGGCTAGCATCACGCGAGGATGAAAATTAAGCGGGTGGCATAATAATGAAAAAGTAGCATTCGGCGAGTGCTGGACATTCTAGCATATGTCTATCCTTTTTCCGGTTCAGGAGTAGTATGGTGGGGTCAACCTTTCTATCGCCTTGATCTAACCATCGACCTTCCTATTCATCTCAAGTATTGGATAACCTTCTCTAAACTACAACAAGCATTATGAAATTTATACAGTTGTATCCGTTATTGTGGGTAAATCTCACTCCCCTCTTACTTCCACATGTCGCCGGAAGCCAGACGCTCTGTGGGGAATGTAGACCTATTAAAATGAAGAATGCACCAGGTATGACTAGAGTTTTGAAATAAGATTCATGGCCACCGAAGTGGATATGGCTAAAGAGTTCTAGGAGTGGGTATCGATCTAACTATGGCATATGGGTAAATCCACCTATTCAATATTTAAGAAATAATGAACCAAGTGTCACTGATAATATTTTGATAGGACGGTCGCAATCCATTTCAAAAATGGCACCACGCGAGACCTTGGGAGGTTTGATGGGACGCCAGAATATCTATTAGCTATGAGAACCCTTGCTGAAGATGCTCAAAATGTGCGAAATGGCATGAAGTCATCAGTGTGAGATTCATTCCTTATATAGACTTTATATCTTGGACTAACTATCTCTCTCTATTTAGCAAAAAAATCGATTTCTTAACACCTCACAAGCCATTAAATCCTCCCAGAGAATACTGGTGGTCTCCTTATACATGGTATAGATCGGCTCAAAGAATGCCTCAACTATCCGAAGAGCAGTCTAGATTGAAAGATGTCGGACATTTGGCTGACAATTCCTTTAAAGCTATCGCTGATATGCTATCTAGAATCAAGAGCTCTGCAATGAACATGATTGATCCACCACTCGACTATAATTATGTTCTTGTTACCCGGCCTGACTTTGAGCAAGGATATATGCATAATGATGGATTCCGCCTGGCATGTTATTTGGCAGGATTAGACAATTTACCTTGGGGTAATATCGTGTCGGGTTACGCTTTACGATATGAAGGAGTATATGACGCCTGTGATGATGAGGGGTGGGAGAAATATTGCGACTTATCGAAGCCAAATCTACCCTCTCTTCTTGTGATAAGCTACAATGCAGCCAGTCTTGGTGTGACTCTGAATATCAGACCTTGGGGCTTGATGCCATCACCTGAACGTCTTATCGAAAGTCCAACACTTGGTGCTGTTCAAGCAAATACCACTAACCCAGAAGCTTTAGCAAAATATTGGACAGAGGTCAGAAAATCTATTGAATCTGTGATTAAAAACGAGACTATTCATTATCTTCTTCTTCTTGGCTCACATGCGCTCGACCCAGAGTTGCTTCGGGTGCTCAAAGATGTGATTGATAGCCGTGATGATATCGATCAATCCATACTAGACCGGTATATGAAGCCTTCTTCTCGCCAAGACGATGAAGCGAGGGCACTATTTGCAGGGGCAAGAAAAGCAGCGATGGATGCTAAATTCGGCCTGGAATTTGGATTTACGGCATGCGACGAACCTTCATGGTGTGGGACATGGTGGGCTGAATTATAGATCTAGGTTATCAATTGGTAGCATTGACTTTATAGCAAGAAATATATCCTGATAGCTGTCTTAATGGCCATTTTTTATTAATTTTTAAGAATGACATCTTGCTAGCTAGTTATAACAATCCGAGACTTCTCTTAGTCAATTTGAGGTTGCCTTGGAAGCGGCCTCCTCGTAGGTGGATCCTTTTCATCTTTCTCGCCAGTTGACGGCAGTGCCACTGGTTCCCTTCTTATTGTCTAATATGGATAATACCTATTTCTTCATAAAGAATAATTCATGACATGCCGCAGCTTCCCCCTTGGTATAGTATCCGGGTATTAGTGCATATCACAGGCAAAACCACCTCTTGGGTAGAAAGCAGATCTCAAGTAGATTCATCATCCCCCATCTATCTAGCTAGACATTATTGCTCATCGCAGCCTTTTTACGGATCTTAGAAAATCTCAAACTCTGCAAAAATCTCCTGCTCACACAAAGGCTGCTCCGCTAATCCACCGATTCATAAGGTCGAAGGCCACATCTGGGCGATCTTGTGGCAGCTAAAAATATGAAGTTAGCGTCTGTTTATTTCACCTTCATGAAAATTGAGATGACTCACAAAGTGACCGGCATTATTCACAGTCACGATAGCAAATCGTGATTCAATTTCTGCGGTATCGCTTGCCCGGACTCGGACCTCTTTCATCGTTCCAACAGTCTCGTTTTTGCCGGTTGCTGCGACTACAGATTTCCAGGGTTGCAAAGACTTAGAGGCAAATTCGGGCTGTCCTTTCCAGGCAAGCGAGTTCGCCCAGCGAAGATTTCCCGCTGTATTGCAAGCAAGATCAAGGTTTCCTTGGTAAGCTAGATAATGCACATTATTCTGAAGTAGGTATGCAACTTGGTCAGACGTAGATGTCTCTAGGTCTGATGACCTTAGGAATGATTCATAAACTGCATCAGAGGTAATATTATACCTTTTGACCTGTTTCGGGGGCGAGAGTGCACTCCAGACTGTTGGAGTGTTAAGGTAGCTCTCGATACGGGCAGCTTCAATATAGCATACGCCATCTATTTCACAAGGGGCTGTGACTATTATAGCATGTGAGAAACTCTGCATACTTTCATCTAGTGGTTATTCTGAACTTACTGTCGTATCTGTTACGGCCACCTGCCCCTGACTCGTCATCGTACCATCCAATAATACCCTCATAGCAAACAGATACCGCGGCATTGCACACGGCTGGGTCTGGGTTCTTGTTGCAAATATCCATAACTTCCATGCAACGAGGCATGTTGGCAGCCATTATGTCGCATCTGGTCTTGTTGAATACCGGTTCTGCAACACCAGGATTTGTGGTGCACAGTGTCTCCCAGTATCCGAAAATTGAGTCTTTAGGTGACATGAAGCCGTCTCCCACCAAGCAAGACCGGAGTTGTATCTGGGTCTCATGGGGGTACAGCTTGTTCTGCTTTACTATCTGTGAACCAAGAGCCGGAACATATTTACCCTGCAGAGATTAGTCTGTTGTACCATGTAGAGAGGGGGCGGCTCTTACAGCATATGATTCCCCGGACAGATGAAACGGGCTATCTAAGTGATGTGGAAACACTTCCGAAATGAAGAGCTGCAGGAATCGGTGCATATCCACAGCAGCCCCTGGTGAGTCGCTAGGTAGATCATAGCCTTCATCGAGATAGGAGAAACCAACCCCAACAGGTTGATCAACAAACAGCAAAGACGAGTTTCGGGACCAACCCCATGGGTTGTAGTTGGTGCCATTTCCGTGCTCGTTAATCAGACAAGGACCAACCTCTTCGAAGAGACCGATCATACTAGAACCACCGGGGCCACCAGTCATCCATAGAGTTAATGGGTCCTTGGCAGGGTCGTTCTGGCTTTCAAAGTACCAAAAAAACAAATGAGTCGGGCCAACATCAAGCCATCCCGTGTACTGTGCTGAGCCAGCTGCGCAGAGTGATTCATTTTGCTTTCGAATACGAATTGAGTGCTCTGGTGAGCTTTGGCTTTGAAATACTTGGAAGCCGCCAGAACTCTCAGTCTCAGGTCGCAGGACCTGCTGGGTTGCAGCGTAACCTAGGCCCAGAAGGCCAGTAAAAGGTAGGAGCAGCATTGGATATACAGCAGATACACAGAGTGGGATGTGCCACGGTATAGTATGTAATATAGCGTTAAGGAGAGCGAAGAAGTCGTCTTGACATCTGAGATTTATAAATTTGTGGTTGTGAATTGAAGAGTGGGGCAAGCTTCCAATGTTGGTTGCCTAGCCTAGTCTAGGTGTTGCCAGCGGTGTTGGCTTTGTTTCTTGGTGGTTGGTAGTCGCGGAGTTGGAAAAGCTGTGTCGAACTCCGTACAACCCGCGAAGGTTTTTAGCTTGAGAATGATATATTATTTAGTGGACAGTTGATATGAATTACTGTTGCCTATCATTCGGACAAGGAGTCTCGGAAATTTTACCAGGATTCACGCCCATTGATGGCATTAAACGTTTGATAGTTTGCAACTATTCACGTAGAAGGTCTTTTTTTCCTCTTTTCTTGGTTAGGTGTCCTAACAAATAGACTGTGTTTTGATCTTCATTTTCTGCTTGTATTTGCTGTTTTACACCCATGTGGAAAATAAAGCTTGTAAGATTCGTATTGAATACGAGTCGTTAACATCGAAGACTCCCACATCTATTTCGAATACCATATTAGTCCTGCAAATTTTGCTAGTGGTAGTATTCCAAATATTACTTTAGTTCTACTCTAGCCAAGTATTTGATATAAATTGGAACCTCGCGGTCTTCTTTGCCTATATAGAGAGACGTTCTACCGTTCTAGCCAGCGTAATATTACTATTCGGATGTGCCCCGCAAGCTAACTCCACCAACATCATTATCCATTTTCGGGGATAAACAAGAAGTTGATATGCTGCATTTTATAGAGCCTCTCACAAGAACGAAGCCTTCAAATGTCTCAGAGGAGGAGGCTTTCACACACCGACTACACGATAGGATGGATATGTGCGCTTTCACTAGAAACGGCCGCTGCAAAGGCCATGTTGGATGAGATTCATCCCCCGCTACCGCAGCCTGCCGATGACCACAATAGTTATACTCTAGGCGAAGTTGTAGGACACCATGTTGTGATAGCTTGCCTGCCGGCAGGGGTTTATGGAACAACTTCTACAACCGCAGCGGCACTGAGAATGAAGTCTACTTACCCGGCTCTTCATTGTGGACTTTTGGTCGGTATTGGAGGCGGTGTTCCAAGCAGTGAAAATGACATTAGGCTGGGAGATGTGGTTGTGAGCAAGCCGTTTGGTTCTTCCAGTGGTGTTATTCAGTATGATTATGGCAAAACAACGGCCAACAGCAAGTTTCAGGTCCACGGGACGCTCAACAAGCCTCCACCTATTCTATTGACGGCAATGAGTAATCTTCAGGCAGACGAAATCATGGGGGAAAATAGGATGGATAGTTATTTGGCGGAGATAGTTACAAAGTACCCATCAATGTCAAATTTTACACACCAAGGAGAGCAGCATGATATTTTGTTCAAAGCGGACTATGACGATTCTTCTTTGAATGAGGCTGGTCAGTGTGACGACACTGTGATTATTAAGAGACCACGTCGGAATACGCAGAGCCCAAAGGTGTTCTACGGATTGGTCGCCTCTGGAAACCAGGTCATGAAAGACGGAAGGACCAGGGATGAGATAGCAAAGAAGCATGGTATTATTTGTTTCGAAATGGAGGCCGCAGGCCTGATGGACTACTTTCCGTGTCTTGTCGTTCGAGGCATCTGTGATTATGCCGACTCTCACAAAAACAAACGGTGGCAGGAGTATGCAGCAGCTACTGCGGCCGCCTACGCAAAGGCATTATTGTCAAAAGTCAATATTATTTCCACTCAACAGCCTGAGAAAAATGGCATTGGAAATGGTGTGTGTTTTAATCGTTTCTTTCATCATAAATAACTGTTACTGACAAAACCACTAGACACTTACGAAATGACACCTGAACACAGAGAATGTCTACGAAAGCTTTTTTTAACCAACCCCACCGAAGACAAGGACAATATGAAACGTAGAAAGGGGGACCGCGCTCCAGGGACTTGTGCGTGGATTATGTGCACAGAAGAAATTGAGCAGTGGATGGGTGACTCCCAATACGAAGAGGACCATCACTCAACTGTGTTGTGGCTGTACGGTAACCCTGGAACCGGAAAGACAACAATGAGCATGTTCCTCACGGAAGAAATTCCCAAATGTGATGATTTTGAACGAGGTGAAAAATCACTTGCATATTTCTTTTGCGACGCTAGTTCCGAAAGCCACAGAACAGTGACCGCTATACTTCGGGGGCTCTTATACCAGATGGTACGACAAAATAATCGTCTCATAGAATATTTACAGGTCAAATTCGAAGAGCTCCAGGAGAAACTTTTTAACTCATTTAGTGCCTTATGGTCTTGCTTATTGCGTATTTCTTGTGATGAAAAGAACGGTCAAAGATACTACATCATTGATGCTTTGGATGAGTGCGAGCCAGAGTCCCAGCAAATACTCCTAAGGTTATTCAATGAGATTCCTAAAACGGGAGTAAAGCCTCATTTCCTCATCACAAGCAGGCCCTATCCCGAAATCGCCAGCGAACTTTGTGAATTTGACCAAAGAGACTTGGCTTCCTATATAGAGACCTTGAACGACACAAGTATATTCATCTCCAGCAAAGTGGAGCAGCTGAAAAGGAAAAGGGGATACACAAGTAATGTTGAGAGGGAGATCACCAAGATACTAAATGATAAGGCGGAAGGTACCTTTCTATGGGCTGGCATTGCGTTGAAAGAGATAGAATCCGTTCGGTCAAGAGACGTAGTCAAGGTCCTCCAAAGGCTACCTCGTGGACTCGACTCTACATATCAACAACTCCTTGATACAGCCCTAGAAAACGCTGAGGATGAGACAGATCAGAACACAATCATGCGAATTCTCAGTTATGTCGCCGTATCACGTCGCCCGCTGACCTTATCGGAGCTTGCCGTGGCATGTGAGCTATACCTAGAAGAGGAAGAAGAGGACCGAATTGCATTCATTCGCGAGGATATTGAGTTATGCCGTCTGATTATTGTCATCCAGGATGACATTGTTCGCTTACTACATCAATCCGTAAAGGACTTCCTTTTTGGAAAGGAAAACCAGAGTGCAATCAACCAGTTAAAGGCACATGCTAGCCTAGCCTATCGATCCATCAATTATCTGCTTGAAATTTCTAAACCAGCCGTTACTGAAAATGTCAGGTATCGGTTATTATTCTTGGATTACGCCAGAATGTTCTGGCCTGAGCATGTTCGCTTGGCCGAAACTGAATTTATCATTGTGGAAGAGCATGCTGCCTTCTTTCAAATCTGGTCGGATGAGCGTGACCGCTGCTTCGACGATAGCAATTATTTTGACAACCATATCCCACTCGATTTCGGCAAAAGAAAATCCTATTTTATTGGCTCGTCGTTTATTGGCTCGTCATTATTTCACTTTGCTGCACATTGGGGTATTACACTACTTGTAATACATGGGTTTGCATTGCTGCTCGACAACAAACCTTCAAGTGATACGTCCGGTGCAATGCATCAATATGATGACAGTGAATTTGTGAATATGTATGGAGTTACTCCTTTAGAGGAAGCTGCTTGGATGGGCCATCTTGATGTCATGAAGTTGTTGTTAAACAACGCAATCCCTAATATGATAATCCGAGAAAAAGTCATTGAAAAAGCTGCAAGTCATCGAACCAATGCGGGAGCCGTGTTAGAGCTTCTCTTTGATAAAGCAGGATCACGTATCCTTGTGTCAGAGAAAGTAATGACAAATGCAATCCGGAACTCACACTGTGGGAAAGAAGCAGTCACCGTGATTCTTCAACGATGGACAGATGAAATTCAAATCAAAGAAAAAGTGATTTCCAGTGCATTATTATCTCTGTCTGGCCCAGGGCTAGACAAATGGTCGGACTTGCAGGTACGCAAAGAAGGCTTCTCAGATACAATTGATCCTCAAATTCTGTCATCAATCGATGTCGGAGTCTTGAAACTTCTGTTCAATGGAATGGGAAAACGTATCCGCATTACAACGGACTTATTGGTTGCTGCTGCCAAAAATAGCAACCTTGAGGTCTTGGCTACAGTGGTAAAAGAATTACCAACCGATGTATCGGTTGTTGATGAAGTCTTCGAACTGGCCATTCTTCATAAAAGAGAGTGGAAAGAACGCCTATCTATACTGCTAAACCATAAGAGTAATAATATACCACTAACAGGACGACTGATAATGGCAGTAGCGTCAAGCGGACCGCATCGCAAGAACATAATGAGGACGATCTTGAACAAAAAGAGACAATATACTTTAGGTCCCGGGGTAATGGAGTTGATTGCCGGTAAATTTGACGTTCAAGTAATGAAGAAAGCTTTGGATTGCATTGGTCGTCAGTTCATAGTTACCGATCAGGCTCTAGAGGCTGTTGATCAGAATGAAAATATTGAGCAGAGAGAAGGCCTTCGAACGTTATTGTTAAATCAGCGTCTACTTATTCAATCAATTCCAGCGGAAGAATCTATGGAATACTCGCATGTCTCTTCTGGATACCTCTCCAATATTCCGGCATATCTGAACTTGGAAATCACACAGAAGCTGGTTGTCAAGGGACATTCTGATGAGGTATGGGTTTCATGCTTTTCTCCCGACGGTTCCAGACTGTCGACTGGTGGTCGGGACTGTCTAATCATCATTTACAATACTCCCAACTATGACGTACACGGTACGCTATCAGGCCATGAAAACCATGTTACCAGCATCACGTGGAGTCCGAAAGATATGAAGCTCCTTAGCGGTTCAGCGGATGGGCAACTTCGCATATGGGATACGGATGTAAGTAAATATCTCTATATTATTGATTTTCACCTACATACATGTAAGGATATTCATAGATTGATATATTAAACCAGGATTGCACTTGTATACGTGTATTGCAACGGCACCAAGAGCAAATCAGTAGAGTTTTTTGGACAACAAGCTGCAACGAATTCATTAGCTCCTCCCTTGACAACCGAAGGCCACTTATTTTATGGAGCGACAAAGGGGAGGTTCTTCATGAATGGAACGAAGAATATCGAGCCCAGGCCAGTACCATAACACCCGATGGTAGCAGAATTATTGTTGCCGACACAACTCGGCAGCTTCATATCTATGCCTTTCCTAAGCGTGAAAAAGAGTTCTCTATCCCTTGCGACTCCAAAGCTTCCTCTATTTCCGTCGATGCAGATTCAAAAAGTATTCTCCTTAGCTTCACCTCAGGCGAAGTAAAGATCATTAGTTTAGAGAGCAGAAAAGTCACATGCTCCTTTAGAGGGCACGAACAACAGGACTTTGTCTTGACATCTCAGTTCTTCGGTAAGCAGGAAGACTTAATTGTGACAGGAAGTGAAGACAATTGCATATATGTATGGGATAGGGCGACAGGCAGCATTCTATATGTTTTAAAAGAACACAAGCGAGGTACTGTCAACTCGATATCGGTTCATCCTAAGAACCCAAACATGTTTGTTTCCACCGGCGATGATTGCACCACACGGGTCTGGCTGCTTTCTCCTAAAACTAGACAGTCATGAATTCCTCCAGAATATATCGAGTCAGTGTGATTTCTATGTCTATTCGATTTATAGAACTAATATTGTGTTAGAAGGAAAAGAAATCTAAAATATGATAGAATAACAAATTTTGAGTATAGTTTACAGACGGGTTGAACTTGAGCTATGCCATGGGAACAACCCAGGGGCCTGAATAATAACAGCAGCGGTCCATTGACAAAGGCTCAAACATTAGCATATGTATCCTCAAGCTGAAAGGAGATGCTCTTCCAATTTTCTCTCCAGTGAGTCGTTTATTATTGTGTTGAGTTTGAAAAGGATCTTTGGTACCCATGTATATTCCAGGTTCAGCAACGGATAGTGTGGCGAACAAAATGGAGGACTTGAGAACAGTCATATTGTAGAAGCTGTCAATCGGTTTTGATCGCCAGGACTGAAATTCTAATGATCTTGCTACTACGATTGTGTGTGATTCGACATCTAAGATACATGGTGACTAGGTGACATGTGTATCATAACTTTTGTTGAAGCTTGTCGCTTTCCACATCAACGTGAATTTATGGCCACCATTTGATGTCACATTTATACACCAAAAGAGATATCTATTCCCAAAAATGGCACCTTCTAGTTAAATAGAAAATAAATAAACAGGAAAGAAAAATTCATGATCCCAAGATGATATCCGGACTCTCAGAATTGTAAATGGCATAAAGAATAATCGGTCAACTCGTAGATTATGTATGAATTGTCGCTTATACATGAACGTGATTTCTTAACAAGGGTAAGTTGAAATCTGGAGCTAGGATGTAATGTAATATATAGTATTTGAGATGAAGTACGTGGATGATTCTCTTAATAGACAATCATAACTTTGTCAAGAAGGTGGCTGAAAACTACACCGCAGAACAGTAGATGTTATGGTAGTTAATATTATCTGATCTTTGTAACGTTCTTCATTTCCCGAGGATAAGGCATCGGATAAGTCACAAAAGAGCATCTAATACTTTATTCTCAGGAGTGAACAGAAGTGAACATGGAAAATGACCGGAAACCTTGCCCGAATCCCCGGAATTGAGTAAACATATAGTAAAAGAAGGCAACAGTAAATAGGAAAAACCGTGCCAGATAATCCTTTTATGTCGTCTGGATCTAGGTAGGGGGCTCACTAACTCTATCATTAAATGCTATCATTAAAATAATCAAATATTCGATCCTTTGTCTCAGCCTCCGATAAGAATTCAAAAATTTCAGAAAATCTGTAAAGCAAATGCGTAGAGCATGCGTTAGTCTAAGCCATTCAAAGTTTTACGAAAATCATGAGCCTTTACATTATCTTTCTCCATTTGTCAATAGGCAGACTCGTATCAAAGGGGGGTATGAGGAACTCTTTTGCCGCATCTGGCTCGTCTGTCGAATCGTGATATTTTTCAAGATATGGATGTTGTAAAATCTGACTAGCAGATAATCTCTTTTCGCTAGAATAGACAAGGACACGTTCCAAAAGGTCAGTTGCTTAGAGGTATCAGTATGTGTCTTACCCTACAGCTAATAGATAGTCGGCCTTACCTAACGAATCCTCTATATCCAACGCTTTGGAAAACGGTACCCGCGAGCGAGGTTGTAGTTGCCGGACAAATCGCTTCGTCTGTTTCATACCTCAGACATTAGACTTCTTCCTTTCTTATTATCAGAAGCGCAGTTGAGGTTAAGTGACCTTTTCTCCAGCTTCTTCCAAGATTTCCTCATCCGGAGTGCCAAGTAATTCCGTGATAACGGAGAATTGATGAATATGACTTTTTCCTTCAAACAATACTCTTCCCAGGAGCATCTCAGCGAGAATACAGCCAGCACTCCAAATATCTGCGCTGGTGTTGTAATGACACCATGCAAGCATGACGTCGGGGGCACGATAGTACCTCGTTGAAATGTAGCCGGTCATTGATCTAGTACTATTGATCCGTGCTAAGCCAAAATCGCAAAGTTTGACATCACATTGCGAATTGATCAGGATGTTATTTGGTTTTAGATCGCGATGAATGACACCAGCGGAATGAATGTATTTTAACCCGCGCTGTAATTCGTGATTAGCGTAGTGCAAAATCATTTGACTAGATTTACAAACCGCAATCTGGTAAAAGAAGTAAAGAGCGTATTCATCTTGAACTTTGCCTTGGCGAAGAACTTGTTGAAGATCTGCATCGAGAAGCTCGGTAACTAGGTATCTAATTATTTTCACTGATCAGCAATATTATTTAATTACTGCGAGAAAGAGAGTATCAACAGCCGGGGTGCAATATGTACAAGTCTTCCGACGGAGAAATGAAAACGTTTCTCAGATTGATAACCTGGTAGACTGTCAATTTTGGGAGTTAAAGTCACAGAAAATGAAAGAGCGACTCACGTTTCCATGTTGCATAGAGTTTAAAAGCTTCATTTCTCGGTACGATCGTTTTGATGTTTCCTTTGAACGAAATGGCTGCGCGATTTTTTTGATTGCAACTTTGCTGCGTTCCACCTTATCGTTGGCAGAGCTGGAGTACATAGATCATTAGCGTATGTCATGTTAAGGCGACACAAGTTGCAATGTGATAACTTACCAGACTAACCCAAACGTCCCAAATCCGATTGGCTTTAGATCGGTATATCTGTAGCACATTACCTTTTGAAGCTGCATTTTACGATTGACTAAACATGTAGATCAGATTGTACCTACCTGTCTAATATATCGAACTTGGAGCCCAAAATATCCGTTGACGTTAATTCAATCATATTTACACTGTCATTGAAATGAAGGTACCGTAGTTTGTTTTGGTTTCCTGCGCAACATTATTTCTTATTTGCTCGAGGATATATATGATATATAGGAAATGTAGGTGGCAACTTACAGGGCTGATTGGTCAATCTCTGATTACATCAACAACCAAGTGCGGATTTTGTATACACTTAATTGGTCGGGTATCAGATCCGCAGAACGATCTACAAAATGTCTTCTCCATGTAGCTACTAACAAATTACTTCTCAGTCATCATTCTAGAAATCTTGATCCGATGACCAATTTCGCTTTCACGCTGATGTCAATTGACACCGACCCACTGTTTACAGTGCATATCATTACCAGAACGATCGCGGAAACAGAACCCGACGTACAAAAAGCCTGTCATACTACCCCTATCCATAATGAACACATGCTAGTTTGTTATAGCATAAGTGGCTTGAATACTTCCAATTTGGTCTCTCTAAGTGATCATTTAGTAAGGATCAGACCTGCACAAGGGCCGATCCATTGCTCTAAATCCAATGAAAAATTTCTTGACTTCATGTACTAAGAAAATTCTGTCGTACACGAAAAGGTTTAGATGACTAGGTGTCATGACTATCTACATGTATTCACTATCATCTGATTCTAACTTCTAGTGTCTCATCTCATGTAATATAAAATATATGCCCGAAATCACCTATTCCCAATGCGATACTTCAAAACACGTGGACTTAAATAGGAATACCCAACCTCGCCAGGTATTTGGCATTCCCAAACTCTTCCCACTTCTTTCGGTCACGCTGGTCTCTGATTCCCGGCATTCCTAGCATTCCCACCGTGCTCGTGCCAAACGGACCATCTTCCGGTCCTACAGTAGTTCGAGGAATTAATGCAATCCATTGCTTTGTCATGGCTACATTATAGTCACCGTTTGCGTCACCCCCAGCAGCAACGTGAGCTTCGCGTGTCAGGTGCAGCAGTCGTTGATGCATTCTTATCAGTTCTCGTGCCGTAGTTCCTGGCTGTATCCGCAAGACAAAATGTTTGAATGGGACACCAAGTATCCTGTCTGCTACTTCGACAGAAGAGGTGGCCTTTCCAGGCCATACAGACTGCGCCTTTCCGTAGAATGGTTCTAATGGTGGAACGGGAAAGAGTTGAAGGTGTTTGTGGCCTTGCGATGAGCCTCCGTTGACACCGCGATTGTAGATAATCAGCGGTTCGAATGAATTGTACGCATGTAATAAAGCCCACGCTGCCGCAATATCGTACGCATCCAGATCATCTGATTGTAAAGCAAACTCCTTCGTGGGTAGAACGAGCATTGGTCGATAGAGGCAGAACTTATTCAACATGAGTCGGTGTTTGGGACCGACATTATCAAGAATAATTTCATCTGCCTTTGGATTTACGAATGGCCCCTTGTGAGTCGTTTCTGTCGTTGTGTTAGTGGGGAGCTGGGAAGGAACCGCCAAAGACGCCGAATTTGATGACACAGGAGTAGATGCGCGAGGCGTTGTTACAGGCGTAGGCGAGTGGCTGCGGCCTGGGTCATCAGGGGCCAAGATTGGCTTCCCTTTGAGAATAGGCACAATCCGAAATTCAAACTAGAGGTTGATCAGCATGTACATCACATCTTGTAACCACGCCATTGAACAGTGAAGACAACATATGAAATTTAGGAATAAATTAATATAGCATATTCCAATTACTCTTGTAAAGTAATTATAGTGCCAAAAACAAGGGCATACGTCTAAAAAGGTGCATTATGCAATATAGGCCCCAATAGAAATGGCGGTGAAGCCAAAACTCACCAAAAACCCATTATCAACGAAAATTTCGCCTGGCTCGGTCTGATGGTCGTAGAATATTCGTCCTTTCTGAACCATGCTGTCGAATTGAATGTTGGTTTTCTCTTCGAGATCGTTAGGAAGGACGATATCTTCCATATCTTCAGGAATTTCGTTGTTCATGATGCAGCGCAAAAAAAGGAAACGCCGGATACCTCCAGTAAATGGCTTTTAAAGTAATAATCACTCGCAGTAACAAATCACCACGTATTGGCTGGGACGATTTACAGCAGTCGCTGTGCAAGAAAATTTGAGGTGAAATTAAAGTAGAGTGAAAAGTTGATGGACACCAAAAGGTACCTGATAATTGCCGCTGAAGCTCCACTGGATATGGTGGAGCCCGTCGCACACGTCCGCCCTTAAAACTTCCTGGGTGGGTCCTGCGGCGTGGCCTAGCCAGGCCCTTTGGTAGGCTATAGTGCAGTATCTGTAGAATAGGGGCATTCCGGCGGTCATAATAGGTACACGCTGAATTTAATAAGAGAGACTATTGCTTAAGAATATTTCAAATCACTTGTTCTGTAGCTACTCGACACGGCCTTTTGTGACAGTGATGATATTTCAAAATGAGTCCCGTCCAACTAATCCTGTCAATGGTATCCTCAAATTCTACGACCAGATGGCTTTAAATTGCTCATCGAATCTGCTCTTGAGCATCGTAAAAGCTCTGAAAACATCAAGCAGATACGCATTCGAATTGTGGTCGAACTCATCAAGACTAGAAAATCCTTGTGTGTCGTCCTGGCTTTCCGTCTGCGTTGCTGATGCATCGTCTTCCTCGCTTTCCTCATCGTCCCAACTGTCACGGATCTTTTGCTCTGAATTCTTAGTCCTTTTCGACACAATGCTGGTTGCCTTAGCTTGGGAAGATGGTTGGTTGTGTTGCTGCACAGCCGCAATCGCTGACTCATCTTTACTCAAAATGGCGTCTTCCACAGCTTGCTCATGTGCCTCACCCACGCCTTGCAAAGCATCCATTTCCGGTTCATCAGGAGAAATGTTCAACAAGTTTGCTAGACTTGTTACAATTGAAGCAAGCACAAGAGAGAAGTCGTTCAATACAAACCAAACATCACCCTGTCGGACTTTATTCGCCCGGATTAGTTCTGTCTTGTTGCCGTGTTTGAAAAAGTCGTACAGGTATGCGTTGAGAGGGCCATTTCCTTCATCTGGATAGACTCCTACGTACGGCACAACAGATTCTTCTAACCAGACACCACTTCGAACCATGTCACATAGTTCGGAAATACTCTTCCACTGACCGTCGCGATGTCCAGAGAGTGCCACAAACGAGGAGTTGACGCGAACAGGGGTGCGCGTGGCTAATTTAGTATTCAATATTTTCGCTGGTACGTCCCCTCCGAATTTCATGTTAGTAAATGGAAGGATACAATCTTCTTCCTCTACATGCTGATCAATGAATGTAGAGACATATGCTGCATAAATATCGAGGGTCTTTTGATTATGATGACGAAGAACTTTAGCGGCTGGCTCCGGAAGTGGTGGAAGTACGACAATGGAAGGTGATTTCTTCGCAGCAACTTCGTAGGATTCGAGAACCGCACTCGGAACGTAATAGCGTCCAAAAAGATGAGACATAACTAACATCATCTCAAGAAGGACGTCTTCAGGGTTATCTCTGATGTCCTTGCAAAGAGAATGAAAATACCCGTTGCTCAATAAAGCATGAAACGCGAAGCTCGAATTCTCAGTATAATAAAGATGAGAAATACACCCTGCGAAATTCAAGGGCCTTCCTTCTGAGCTCAAAAGATTGTTCCGCCGCAGGTATTCGATAGAGAAACGTAAATGATGAAGAATCGTATGCTTTGACTCTTCACCACCGAGACACATCCTCGAGGATGACAGCAGAGAGTCAATAGCGCTTTTACCGTATGAACCCTGACCAGCCTCTGCAACTAATATCATAAGCCGCAGAACCAAGCTCGTCGTTATCGGGAAATGACCGTTGAGATCAGGTAACCTGGAACTCAGTAGACGACATACTTTTGAGTAAGGCACACCTTGGAATACCACATTACCAAGGACATCGAACCCTCTCCGACCAGCTCTGCCGGCCGCTTGACGAAAACTCAATGCTGTTAAAAAGACAGAGTCCCCAGAAAACACAACGGTTTTGCATGGCATGTTAATACCAAGGGCAAGAGTGCCAGTCGCGATGACAACTCTCAAGTAACCTTTTCTGAAAAGGATCTCACAAATCTGTCGGTATTTTCTATTCATACCAGCATGATGGATGCCTATGCCGCGTTTCAATGCATCAATGAATTTCTGAGGAACCTCTCGATACTTCAAATCCATAGCATACTTTTGAAATTCCATATCAGTAAGTTTCTTGAAATTTGCAAAGTGAAATCCATCGATAGGAGATTCCGGATTAAAAGATGCGTAAGGACTAGCCTCTGAGGTCGCGACTTCACGCCTCAAATCATCTTTGGTCATTCCTTGCTCATGATGACCACTTCGCTTGGGTGTTTTCGGAGACGACTTGGCTCGCTTCTCTTCGTCTGTCTTCCATTTCTCCCAGTTATCCAACTTCACTGTCCAAGGTTTCGAATTTTGCTTCCACTTTATCTCTGCATCCTCCAACTCTTTAACAACATGAGATGCAAGGCCCTCGCAAACACTGCGATCATAGTTGAACAAGATTGCAGGTAGCGCATCTCTTTCGTGGAGAGAACAAAGTAATGGGAGAGTGGTATCCTGAAGTCTCTTCTCGTTTACCGCCGAAGTCTCTCTAATGCTTTCCCCTTTCGGCGACATTTCACTCAGGGGTCGTTTTGTGCTTGCAGGGAATTTTCTTAGTTCTAGCAATACTGCATCGAATGGTGAGTCATGGTCTTCCATCCACGTCTTCAAGACAATTTTCAGCTTTTCCTGCCATTTTATGACGTGCACTTTGCAGATAATATCTACGTTGGGAGGACCGTTGGATTCGGCTAGTGGGAATTCCGGTGTTTGATGTTTTCTCATCGCTTCCCAAAGCATGACGCAGTCACGGGACTCCAAAGTCAGATCGTCGGGCATTCCACGTGAGCGATCAATTAGGCTGGCGACTGGATGTATGAACGCCATATCGGGATGGTCATCCAGCCCCAGCGGTTTAATCTGCGCAGATGTAGACGGGAGCTCATTAAACGAGAAGCTATCGGGTGGGTGATACACAAACTTTCTAAGGTCGGAATATCTGTGAGGGTGTTTGATCATAGTCAATTCGTGGCCATTTGCTTGTTGGGCGAGTTCGAGCCAGTTCTTAAATTCTTCAGGATTCCCCACTGTTGCAGATAATGCAATGATGGGGCACGGCGCTAGAAGGAGAAGTTGTTCCCAGACGACTCCATCATCCGATTGCCCGATGCAATGGACTTCGTCGAATATGATACGTTTCACCCGTGGTGACCATGTTTTGGCGTTAGACGGGGAGAGAAGCATTATCTGTAAAATATGTGGGACCGTCACAAGAATTTGGCAACTAGTAGGGTTGTTGATCCGATAGTCTCTGGTGTGAATAGCCCAAACGCATTTTCCAGCGTACTTGAACGTCTTGGAAAAGCGAGCTTGTATCTCAGCAGCAATTTGGTTGACTAACGCCTTGGTCGGTGCAACGTAGACCAGCACACTATCATCATCCTCCTGAAGCACTTGTTTCATTGCATAGAACCTATAGATTATTAGAGTTTTTGATTGGCATATATAAACCATACCTTTCATGGATCTCAACTTACGATATGAAGGTTTTCCCGGCACTAGTTGGTGCTACGACAAAGAGGCTTTTCTTCGCGTCAATCTGATCCAGCACCTTACGCTGCCACTCATCGGGATGAAAGTCGAGGACGCGAGAATCTGGTGCGGATCCTATGCTGCGGTCCATATACGGACCGGCATGGATTAATTGAAACATAGCTGGCGCGATTTCAATGTTGAGACCAGGAATTGAGGTATCCACAAACTCAAATGCAAGTTTAGCGGTTCCATTTGCATGTACAGTTACCTTCGGTAGCCCGATGGCTTTTATCACCTTGTTCACGCATTCTGATATTGTGGATGTTGCGTTGTGTTCAATTCTGACCAACTGACCCAAAGTATCCCATATAATTGCAGGGATATGCATTGACTCGTTTTTCGTGTACTCTTGGCAGCATTTTATCCAAATCTGCATCAAAATGTGAACCAAGTATATTTTGAGTTCTGCCTCTACAGCGCAACGTTTCTCACTAGTAAGTGATGCCAGATGTTGGTTCAATTTCCAATAACGACGCTCTAGACTTGGGTAAGAGTCAATATCTGAGATCGTTGTCACCATAGCTCTCATTGATGCCTCGTTTTTCCGCGTTTGTTTTTTCGCGACTGTTGCCGCAGCCGCAGCAACAATGTGATGTGTTTCGGCGGTCTTCGCTTTCTGAATTTTCCTTGCAGTACCAGAAGAGACATGGATTGTCTCCGGCTCCAGAATGCCACCAGCAGTATTCGTCATGCTTGCAGCATAGACCATCATATCGGCCAGAAAATGATGGTTTCTTCTCTGATTTCTCTTTATAATATGCTCCGGCACGCTTTGCGGAGCGCGAGGTTGAAGTTTATTCTTGTGGTTATGCCAATGAGTGAGTTCCCTGAAAATTCTCAGTTTACTTTCTGACTCCCTTTCAAAACTAGCGTCAACATTTAGATGAATAGACTGTAGATGAGTATCAAAGACGGGGTGTCTGAATGGGAGAACCGTTGCTTTAATTGGCGAGCCTTGAGAACCCACAACTTGATGGTTTTGAGCACCTTGAACTATATTCAACTTGCACGAGTCATTCCTCATTTCAATACCAGAGATGCCCTGCACAATAGAGATTAATTGTTCAACATCGGACTTAACGGAGTCCTCAAAGTAATCCAAAGAACATGCATCCGATGTGGTTCTCAAAAGATGATAAAATAGCCTGCCGTCGATGCAATCGCCGAGATCGCATCTTGCCTCGGTCTGTTTCAGCTTTTGCTCCCATGATGGACACTCCAAGATACAAAGCATTGTTTCGAAAAACTTGCTTAGGAATTCGTTAGCATTACTGTCTTCTGCCTTTTCGGTAACACGATCTCGTATCCGATATTTGCGCAGTAGAACCGCCTGGAGCAGTATTGCGCGATATTCGGAGACGGATGTTGTACCTGTCATAAGCATGTAGCAGATACTAGAGATTATGAGCATATCTCTCTGCGTAAAGTGTAGCGCCTCGGGTATTTTCTGTAATATAACCGTGATGATTGCATCGTCGTCAAAGTTCTTCGGGGTTCTTGGAAGGGCATCTTCTGACGCCGTCATGGCATTTGATGCGAATCCCTCCAGGACCACAGCCATTACCTAGTCATTTTAGTACCCATCTTGAAGAATAATTTTGGGAAGATTACCTTGGTATCGCGGCATTGCAAATTATTAACCAATGCAACGTTGTACCCTTTCCAAATGAACCAATTTATCATCTGACGAAGAACGACCTTGACGGTGGAATTTTCTGCGGACTGCGGACCAGCTCCATCATGAGACATAATGAAATAAGCCCCAACAGTGGTAAGATAACTCTGGAAGTCCGAAGCATGATAAGATTCAAATACATGGACCTTGACAGTATTCCCATCGGGAATGGGGACAGTCATCAGGTTCTGTCGCAGATGCTCCATAATAAGTTTTCTTGCACATAGGTACCGCAATCGGCGTTCTCTAGGACAACCGTCAGGAATACAGACGGTCGCCTGGTTCTCGAAGAAGACAACATGGAAGTTGCATTTTCGGCGATAGAGCTTATGCAGGAACTTCTCTACCAGGTAGGTAGCGTGCAGAAGTTGAAACCCGGGCCAGAGATCTAGCTTTGTGTTGGAAAGTACGTCTATTAAAATCGAATTGCCGTCGATTATGAACAGGTCGTTGCCTGCGTAATCGCCTACCAAGTCCACAGTTCGTGACTGCAGGGTTTGATACCTATCTTTGATTTAGTTTTAGATAAAACGGTGGGTTGTAGTAATCATACCAGTTTAGTATGTCCGAAGTCATGACGCTTTCCGATTGATTTTAGGATGTATGGGTTAGAAGGTTGTAGGTCTTGTTAAGAAGAGGGGGAAATGTTAATGAAAAGAGCGGGCAGGCGGTTGTCCTTGATAGGTGGAAGGACGCAAGCGAAGAAATCTGGCTTAGCGGTCACCGCCTGACTTTTTTTTTTGTGTCATATAATTCAAATATTCAAAAAATCAATTATCTGGGATTCAAACTTAGCTGTATTTTCATATTACCATAGAAGTGGTGGGTTTATTGTGTTGACAAGAGTTGATTGGACAAGACTAATGTCTTGCTCGTCAGTTCAGCGTTGCAGGGTAGATGGTTAGACCGACGCCTAATCCCTGTTGATTTCAATGCTTGGTATTTATTAACCGAATTTTATAAATTGGCTTGCTCAGTAAAACTTGTAAATATCTGTTTGTGAACCCTGCCTAGTCAAATCAAGATACTTGGATTAAGTTTTACACCGAGTTCTCTAAAGTTTTAGATAATCTGTATAGACAGCAATACTCAACATCTATTACAACAATCCAAGTTCACAAGAAATCTACAGTTTCTCATGACAACTGAGAAGAAAAGAAGACTGCCACATCTAGCATCACCTCCTAACAAATCCTGTGATACAAACTACAATGCCGAGAAGACCTCCCATAGCTGCACATGACTTCTCGTCAAACAAACATCTGCATCAAACCAACTCATAACTCATAACTCATATAATGGTTGTGAAGAATTCACAGAAAACTCACTTTCTGAAACTCACACTTGCCTTTTAACAAGACCTGGTTTGCCATTTTCTTTTATAGTGCTTGGAAGTGTGAAAATTACACCCATGGAAGAACAAAACTCTTATCATGAGGGAATGAATCTCCATCAGGTAAGCGTCCCTCTGCCATCTCAACGTCAGTTCGACGAGTTTTCTGCTAAGTTCGAACTCGAACAAAAGCCTCAAGCGGGAACGAGCACACCATCAGTAGGGTCAGAGGTGATAATCAACCCCTCCAGTAATCAAGAAGTTGTGGAATCACCTTTACCATCGACAGGTCCTCCATCCTACCACACCTTGGACACGCGTGGAAATGAGGAGAATGCTGTTCAGCAAGGCGATGCTCCGGCGTCATCAGCAGGATCATCAAGTCAAAGCCTTTGTTCTCAACTCGACAATGAGTCTCGGACGTCTGTTGCAAATTCAGAGATGTTGAGAGCCAGGATGGCTTCTGATGAACATTCTTACTGGTCTCCCGACTCATCAACGTCCAGCAGCAGCGCCCAGAGTACAACTCCAACCGAGCCCGCGGCGGTATCCTCAAGCGATGATGCTATTACCCTGGCACCTATTCCCACTCCTGATTCAAACAATCAAATTGGGGGGCCAAATGCTTCGACAAGACAAGACTCTCGACGGCCTCACATTAGTGGACCATATCCATACTTTGACCATGATAGTCGCTTCCGTACCAATGATCGAACTTTTGGAATGCGAATCGCAGGAACCATGCCTGTTCCGTTACAAGAATGGCCAGAGGGGTGGTTCGAGAATCCTCGGCCTGCTCCACCAGTGCCGGTTGCCAGAAATGAAGCTAGCCCCGAAGAAAACGCGAGAGTAAGAGGACGAAGGCTTCTAGACCGATTCATTCATGCAGCTCGTTTGACCCGTATTGTTGCACGTCTGAGGAATGGTACACGGAAAGCAGTGAATAAGGTGAAATCTCTGGGAAAGTAGAAATGTTCGAAAGACCCACGAATAAATTTCCTTTTTCTTTTTTATCCCTATTGGCTACTTGCCTGAGACTCATAGTGTCTGTTTTACCTCGCAGGGTACGCAAGGAATAGGGAATTTTGTTGGAATAAGCTTGGTTTGTACGGAGTTATGAGCCCAAAGTTGATCGGTGTTAAGATTGGTTCTAAATATCGGGAAGGGGTTCCCACGGTCGAGTCCATGGCGTCGGATAGGATTCAATTCAATTGGTTTAGGGGCTTAACTTGACGTGCCAAATAAAGAATGTAATCACTCATCCAGAACGCTCCTGTAACAAAATCTCAATATACTAAGCCTATCGACAAGCAAGGCCGCTTATATAAGTGTGTATATATACAATATGTACCAGCAGACATATGTATCAAGTTATAAGATATTCACGCATGCTTCACAACCTGTGTGTCAACATACCGCCAATACCTCTCTGCGCATTTGGTCCTAAACGTCTTTCCCTTCCATTCCATAATCAAAAAGGAAAGTCCAAACCCACAAGACAACACTGCAACAGCGATGAAGGTTTTCAATAACCCTTGGTCGTCTATCCACGGAGTTATGGCATAATTGAAAGCAAAGCTAATTGTATTTCGGCACAGGATCACGGAGACGATGGACTCCCCCGCTAGTTCCTTAAAGCAATCAACTGCATATGCCAGAGCGTAACTACCACCGGCCACATTGCAATAGCCGCATAGGATACCACCGAATAGTAGGACAGCCCAATGCAGTCGGTAGTATGCACCCAGACCCCAGATAAGGAGACCTGCTGGCATCAGAATGCAATAAATGATGAGTCCCCAGAGACGCTGCTCAGGTTCGCGGAGACCTTTGGAGCGGCGCGCCAATTTTAAAGTTAGCCAATCGGCAAATGGGCCAGAAATAATGCCAGCAAATAGTGTGCCGATCAGAGGTGCGACATATGACAAGCCCACAATCGCGGCGGAGAAGTTGTAAGGGGGTGAAGACAGAATAGACGATGTAGTTGCATTATATACATTGTACCTGCGTTTAATCAGTATCAAATTATTGTGAGGACAATGTTATGAGATTCATACCATGCCAGCGAAAAGCCATAGGTAAAGCCAGACCACATAATGTTCGGGAACAGGAAGAAAATAAAAATAGGTCGATACGCGATACGAAAGGCCTGAGTTAGGGAAATTCGATTGGACGACCACAGCCTCATCTTCTGCATAAACCGTTTTCGCTCCCCAAAAACAGGGCTATCTGTGACATCGGAGGTCTGCAGATTCTTAAGTGGACCGGGTGATGTATCCGGGACCTCGTCGATCTTCTCGGCTTCGACACTCTCGCGTGTGTACATTGATTCTTCGTAGAAGAAGAAAGCGATGACGAAGTTCAACGCCAGAATGAGTGCCGCCCAGTGCTGCACCCAATGCCATCCATAGGCATCGTTCATGAATCCGGCAATGAGCGGGGCGATAAAATTACTTGCGCATAATACAAGCATATACCATCCAATATAGGCACCGCGTTCATGGGCGAAGAACACGTCGGGGATACAGATCTCCGGCAGCACTTCGACTGGAGCACACACCAGCCCGTACAAACAGCGTGCAGCCGCCCATGGTGAATAGCGGTCAATCCACGCGGTCCATTCGGACACGGCAACGCAACCTAGCAGGCTTAATAGAATAACAGGACGTCGACCGAAGGTGAGAGCTAGTGGTTGCCAAATAAGGTTGGTCCATCCGGCCATCAGGAATAGAAACCCCGTGCCAGTATTCAGCTGGCCAATGGTTATGCCAGTGTCCTTGGAGATGGGGGTCAATACCGAGTAGACGGACGTCCCGCCAATGCCGGTAGTGAACACGTAGAACAGCACCAAACCCACATTGAGCCACTTGCGTCTCTGCGACCAGTTGAGCGGGTCATCTGGGTCCGCTGAGGGCTTGGGGATGAGAATAATGCCATCCGACTGCGTTTCGACCAAGTGCACCGTACCTGGAGGTAGGACCGCGTCGGTCGGGGAATGGGCTTTCACAGGCATGGGGAGGAAGAGAGCCGTTCCCTCGACATAGACAGATAGGTGGCACGGCTAGTATACCTGTTACACGGGAAACAGATCAGAGGACGAACGGGGGATCTTATATACAACGCGAGTGCTTATCATTGGGCGGCGTGCAGCACCCCAGAGCAAAATCAACTGGCTTCCAGGACCAGAAAAAGATAAGCTCAAAGACCAGGCGGGCCCACATGCGGGACCACTGGGAGGCGTCGTGATTGGCTGTGTGGTGCGGCGATAGAGTCCCCCCCCGCACCGTCCAGAGTCAATATTCTCCATGATGCGCCCCTAATACAGCATGCCATGATAATAACCAGCCCAGGCCCCATGGTGGAAGGAGTTGTTTGACAACCCCCACATCGTCTTATTACCGTCGTTTTCTAGCTCGCTGTGAGAAACTTAGATTGTCCCTATTATCAGACGCTGGCGCTATCTTCTTTTCCGAACAAGGAAGGCTATCTGTCGAATTCATGAATTGATCAAGTGCGTCCGCGTCGCCAGCGAGAGAGAGAGAGGAGATGGGAGAGATGCCCGGCGCCAAGCGGAAGGGCAAACCGCGCGGCATCCGCAGAGATCGCGATTGCCAGAGCTGCAAAGACCGCGGCATCAAGTGCGATTTGAATCGGCCGCGATGCCAGCCGTGCGTGCAGTCCGGGCTTCCCTGCGGTGGCTATCCACAACGAGTCGTCTGGGCCGCCGAGACAGTCTCCAAGCAGAGGCGCACTTCAGAATCCCATCAAACGCCCAGATCAACGTCATCGAGAGATTCACCTTTGTTTTCTCGTTCAAAGTCAGTGAATACAGTATCGCCCGCCAGTCCGTCCAGTGCCGCGGCGACAGCGACCACCAGTGAAACACCAACACCTTGCTATAATCCGGCCACAAATCAGTATAGCTTTATCAAACGCCTCACAGAATTCTACGAACAAATCAAAGACGCCGAGCACAAGTCCGGCGGCGCTTATCTATCGCCGGAAGCTGTTGATCTCGTATCGCGCATATGGAATTTTGTGCGAGCGAGAATGCAAGGCTACGTCACGGTTGGCTCCCCGGAAAAGTCGTCGATGGACGCCGTCCGATTTCACGTAGCGGCTTTGATGGGACTGGCGGAAGCCGTTGATAAGGCCCACCCTGTTGCGCTATTTGGAATAGCCACGTTCGCCTTCTTCGAAGTATGCGAGGGCTCCTTTGGAGAGTGGCAGCGTCATCTAAAGGGGGCACGGTCACTCCTAGATATCCACTGTCGCAGCAAGACTGATCTCGACCGACTGTCACAAGATATCACCGGGTTGACCGACATCGTCGCCCACCTGGTGTGGTTTGACACGATGGGCGCTGTCATCCGTGGTAGCCGAGGGTTAATCTTCGACGATTGGCATCGCGAGACGCTGAGAGATAGTTTCTTTGCCAGCGTCGGCTGTCCATCCGATGCCTTCCACCTCTTCGTTGCCTTGTCCAAAGAGAATACCAACCTGAACCAGCTTGACCTTAGTTTTGAGGCAACTGACCAGCTCATGCGCGCCGAGTCAGAGCACGCCGTATCAGACACGGTGCTGACGGCTGGCGCATGGCGATGCACGGCGGCGATTGCTATTCTGAGCCGGATAGGTGATGGCAGCTCCTCATCGCGACAACGCGCTCTATCATCGGCAGTTGATCAGGCATGCAGAGCAATCGCCTCGATCACGCCGGCTTCGGGCATCTACATCCACCTAGCAGCAACCGCGTATCTGGCGGGGATCAACGCGACACATCCCCAGCAATGCGAGGTTGTCCGCAACTACTGGCGCAACTGCCAGGCCTCGGACTTTCCGCATTACCCAGATGGACAGGCGCGGTGCGAGGAGAAATGGCGGGCGGAGGGCCTGGCCTGATAGAGGCGTTAGCACGCAGGGCGTACTATAGCTGCTCGAATTATTGTATCTGTGCTGTTTGTGACCTCTATCTGGCATGGCGTGTACGTACTGCATAAGTAATGATATTAACCTTTTGTTGCTGTTGTCATTATTATTGTTCCTGCGTGCTCTGTCATTTGCTGGCGGCGGCATGCGCGGGGGAGCAGAGCAAGTGGGGGGAGTAAATATGCAATAGTAAATAGTATCCACGAATCAGGAGCCAAATAACATTTATACGTAACTGAGGCAGGAGCAGGCCCAGCACCGGCAAGCTCTTTCCTCAGTTGCTCCTTCCAGCTGGGAAAGGCACTGCCGATCTGGATATCTGGATCGGTTGCCTCTTTGGGAAGGCTACCTACCCTTGCTCGCTGCTTCCCGAAACCTTCAAGCACCCACTCTCGAAACTATTGGCATGCGGCCAATCAGCGGGCAAGCTGGCGGCCAACGTCCAAAAACGCTCGCAGAACGTGGGGAGTTTCCTCTTCGAGCGCACGGCCAGGCCAGATCTGCCGGCAATTCATCGCCAGACGGCCAGCAGTCTCCCCAATGACTCGCTAGCGACTTGCTAATTATTCACCATTTCCTTTCCTTCTCTCGCCAGCAAGCAACCCACAGCACCAAGTCGCAGGCTTATCGCGATTGCTTCTCCACCCTCCCTCCATCCGCCGTTATATAGACCTGAGGCTATGTTCGCAACTGTTGTTTTTTCATTCTCTGTGTGCATCTATCCAATCTCCTAAATGAGGACCATAGAGAACACACAAAAAGTATAGACCATGTCCGAATCCTCATATCACGACCGCGCCCGCATCAAACGCTCCATTCAGGCATCTCTGATCCCTCCAGAATGGCGCCTTGAGTCGGTCCCTTCCGTTGGGGCTGTTCCGGATGCAGTGACGTATATTCGGAATACCAGCAACAAGCTGCTATCGCCACGGGAGCTAGCCATCACTGAGACGTCCGATGTCAACATTTTACTCCGAAAGCTGGCGAGTCGCCAGCTTTCTTCGCTGGAGGTCACCAAGGCGTTTGCGAAACGAGCAGCTTTGCTTCACCAGTTGACCACGTGTTGTACCGAAATCTTCTTCGAAGATGCATTTGCGCGTGCAAAGCAGCTGGACGACCATCTGCAGAAAACTGGGGAAACGGTTGGGCCATTGCATGGATTGCCGGTTTCTATCAAGGATTTGTTTGGCGTAGAAGGCGTAGACACGTGTATTGGTATGTTGACTGTGGAGGAAGCCGACGGTCGGATTTAGAAGGATTAGAAATGACTCTCGGCTCTCTTCCTCGTTTTTTATATACTCAATGAACTGACCCGTTCTACAGGCTGGGTAGGTCTCACAAACAAGCCTGCATCGCAGGATGGAAATGCAGCCACAACGCTACGCCGATTGGGCGCTGTCTTATATGTCAAAACCAACGTCCCACAATCAATGATGGTACGTGCATATATCTAGAAATAATCTCCCAGATACTTTGAAAAGTACATATTAACGATAAACAGATGTCTGACTCATATAACCACGTCTTTGGCCAGTGCGTCTCTCCACTCAATCGTAACTTCATATCTGGCGGCAGTTCAGGTGGTGAGGGGGCTCTCGTGGCTGGAAAAGGCAGCATATTAGGCATCGGGACCGATATCGGTGGTTCCATCCGCATTCCAGCAAACATATGTGGACTATATGGGCTGTCTCCTAGCTCAGGCAGGCAGCCATATGAGCGCAATGGGTTAGAAGAAATCCCCTCAAAATTCAGCGTACACACTAATCCTTGGTATCAAGACCCCGACAAGATATAATCCGCTCAGTAGCCGGTCCAATGACGAGAAGCTTAGCCACCATAGAAAAATACATGGAGGCCTTACCGACAGCACGACCGTGGGAAATTGACCCCCAGACCATACCAATTCCATGGAGAACGGAGCTTTGCACGACGACGAAGCGCCTTAAAATCGGATTTGTCTTTGATGATGGAGTTGTCAAAGTTCAGCCCCCAGTTGCTCGAGCAGTAAGAGAAGTTTTTGATTCTCTGAAAGCTGCTGGTCATGAGGGTATTTTCTGCCGTCCTCTTTATACAATAGTTTACTGACATTTGGCATAGTATTCGAATGGGACGCTTCATCGCATTCTTATGCTTATGATCTGTGGGAAAGGGCCATTTTAGCAGATGGTGGTGAGGGATGTCGAAAACTGTGCGAACTCAGTGGCGAGCCTCTGATCGAAGGCATGCTTGTTGGGAAACCGGAAAATCTCTTGACTACAGCGCAAACGCATCAAGTATGTGCACTAGTTCTCCGCATTGTATGGAGAGGAACTGACCTGTTCTAGCTTATTTCTGATAAATATATATACGAAAGTGATTATTTACGTCGCTGGTTTGCCTCCAACATGGACGCCCTGATTATGCCAATCACACCCTGGGTGAGCTACCGGCCACGAACATGGGTGAAAAGTCATCAATACGTCGGATACACATCAATATGGAATCTGTTAGACTATCCGTCTCTTGCTATTCCCGTCACAAAAGCCGACAGGCTCAAGGACAGCTTGCTATCTCAAGACTGGCGTAATCATCAGCCAAGAAATAAAAGCGACGAATTCAACCATACCCAATGTCCGTTTTCCTTCCCCCGTCTACCACTTCTATTACCAGGCTAACTTTTACTCAACAGTTGATATTAATCTCGTGCACGGCATGCCTGTAGGTGTACAGATTGTGACCCCCAAATTACAGGAGGAGAAATGCATTGCTGTTGCAAAGGTCATTGAGCAGAGTCTCAGTCTGGCTAGTGACGTGGCTGTGAAGTTATGAATTGTGAAACGAAGAGTATTCTTGAATCTAGAGTTTTGCATTGAGATAGATACGACTTGGATATATTTTCTCTATGATTTTCATCTACGTGTACATGGCATGTCTAGTCCTTGATATCGATTGATTGTTTTACTTAACATACAAGCCTATTTGGCTAGCAAGCGATTGGAAAACACGCAGTAACATTGAAATCTCATTCACCATATGACAATAAAGCAGCTAGCCACCTAGAGTTCAAGTAATTTAGGAAAATACTGTTTTGACGGGCTATGTTCATCGTCCAAGCTATTCAAAAAGATTTCTTTGACTATCTCGGTAGCCTTCATAATTCGACGTTGGTTTTGTAATCCATGAGACTTTTGGAAAACATCGTCGGTCTGCAAATAAAGTTTCTCCCAGTCCAATGCATCCAGTCCCGGAACTTCGTCAATAGGCAAAAGGATGTCGTTGACAAATCGACGGCGCCAGTAGCTGTGCGGCACAATCGAACGCCATTGTGGAAATGCCAATATCAGCAATCGTATTTCCCCGCAAGTGGGAAGAAAATCCATAATCATCGTGACTAGTTCTGGAGGAAGCATAATCCGGACGGTCTGGGAATTGTTGATCTTTGGTGGTCTTATGCTCAGTTCACGACCTGGAATTGAGTGAGCCTCGATTTTTTCACCTGAGATTTCCCTGATTTTCTCACGACCAAAAGATTTTTCTGCCTCGAGGAGCATGTCTCGAACCTCTGGAATTCGCCAAGGATCACTCAGTGCCAATATCTCATCGGGATTTTTAAATGCTTGGTAAAGCCAAGCAAGATGTTCTAGGTTGGGGTGACTCGTCGCTTGCAGCAGATAAAAGAATTCACGGAGTGCCTTGACGAACAGATCCAAATGTTCCTTAATCAATTCCACGTCAAGAACACGAGTCATCAATTGCCAGCAGCGTTCATGGATCATATACGTTCGTGGGACCTCATACTCTAATATCTCATCTAAAGGGTCTATGTAAGCCTCGATTAATTCTTCGGGGCATTCCCAGTGCGGACCAAAGAAGAATTTATTGTCGTCTCTTGGGAGACGCAAAATAAATTCATCTGTGTACGTTGTTAGGCCGACTCCACAGAGATGGAATTTTCGACTATTTTTCTCGCCGACCTGAACGACTTTTTATCAAATTAGAGCTTGTTAACACAAAGTACGCGGGAAGGAACAGGTGTTATTGGTATAAACATGATACTCACTAGCTCGGCAAACCGTTGTCCAGCATGGGGTCATGGAATACAGTTTATCCAAATCGCTTGTTCTTCCACAAACATAGTCCTTCGGTTCAAGGACATTTTTCCCTTTGGTCAAATCATCAAAAATGTTCTCTTCTGGAATATCAATAAACAGAGCGTCTATAAATCCAAAATCTAGATATCCTCTGCACAGGGAGCAGCAACCCTCCTGGAAGTCAGGTTCAGGAATGTAGTTTTCATTCATTTTCGTGAGCAGTATTAGATAGTTCTGAGGTCTGGGGGATTCAAATCTCCAAGAGGTGAATGATCTGGGTTTAATCAAGGCCGGTTTTGGAGTTTAGAGAGGTTGACTGAGTTATCAAAAGAGTGAAACTGAAAGGGCGAAGATTTGACTTAAAAGCAAACGGGTGTTTGCTCTACACGTGATGTGCCTTTGTTGAACTTTTGTCACCGTGGCCAAAAGAGTTCGCGCTTAATGACTATGGTAATTCTCAGTTCATACATGTACTTTATGGTAATATGCCGACAGAATCTAGCGTCTAGATATATCTATGGGAATAGCATCTCGGTTGCCCCTTATGAGCGAGATTACTTGTCAAATGAAAATGTGGTGCTTAAAAAGGCCAAATAAGTTTGTAACTGGAATTAAAGATATATGGAAGAGAATATAGAATATACACTTCATGTCACTGAGTAGAAGCCATAAACCAGGGATTAGATAAAGGTATACATGACTATCAAGAGAATATTAGACATTACAACGACTTAGCCATGTAAACCCTCTTCAGTCCCCTTTCTAGCACGCGACGCGTCTCTAGATATCCTAACTTCGAATAAATAGCAATATTCTCTGTCATAGTCTCGTGCGTATAAAGTTTGATAACCACATACCCCGCATCCCTGGCCGCCTGCTCCGCAAAATCGAGCAATATGCGGCCTATCCCCATACCTTGCGCCGAGGGGGATACGGCGATGTTGTCTAGAAGCATAGAATCTTGCTGTGGGATAAGCACGAGAAAACCTTTAATGATGCTATCCTGTTCGGCGATGTGGATATGTTGGTTGTTGATTAGGGTTGCGTAGTCATCAAGCATCGGGCCTGGTGGCTGGCCAATGCGAGCGATGTATGGGGTGTAGGCTTGTTTGACAATTTCTTCGATTGGGGGTTGATCGGATGCGTCAGCTAGACGGATATTGACAGACATTTTCAATAGTTGTATGCGATCTGTCTTTGGGGATGTTTTCTGTACAGTTCGATACTGAGTTGAGTCACAGTCCCTGCTTAATTCTGCTCTCTGCCCCACTGTCTAACCCTAGTTCCATCTCCCTTTTGAACCACTGAATACCCACAGAATATCTGGCACCATAATCTGGTATTACCCATATACAAGATAAATATTTTCCCGTTTACCAGATACTGGGACATTCGCTGTTGCCTTTCCCCTCAATGCATTTTGGACCTCTAATCACAATGGCCAATGATAACCCATAAAGATTGTCATCCTAACAAATAAAATCTATAATGGAGAGTTTGAATTTTGGATGGTAATTCACTTTGTACTCACAGGTCTCAAATAAAGTGCGGCTTCAATTTATACCGAGGTATATGAATATGTTACATATATATAACCCCTAGTTAGCTTGCTATAATTACTGCCGAGGACGATCAACATTCTCCCCGCTCAACTTTTACCCATTCATGTCAATTTCATCACAACACCCTTAACGGCATCGAAATGGCCCACAGCTTCTTTACCTACCTTCGCCTCAAACTTATCGTAACCCTACTGCGACCTCTAAGCCTAATATTTGGTTTCACCAAAGTACGCCGAGACAGACTCCTAGTCGAGTCAACGGGGATAGAGCGACGGCAAATACGCATCCCCTCGCGCGACAAGGACCGGTTCATCACCGCGTACCTATACACTCCGCCAGCCCAGCCCAATACCAAACCAGCCAAACGGCCTATCCTGGTCAACTGGCATGGAAGCGGGTTCATCTTCCCAATGTTAGGAAGCGACGGGGTCTTCTGCGCTCGCGTTGCGCGCGAAACCGGCATGTTCGTGCTCGACGCCGATTACCGCAAGGCACCCGAAACGCCTTTCCCCGGCCCTCTCAACGACGTAGAGGATGCGTTGAAATGGGTTGCCGCGCAGCCCGACCGTTTCGATCTATCTCGCGTCGCGGTCTCTGGGTTCAGTGCCGGTGGCAATCTGGCTTTGGTTGCTGCCACAGCGCTGCGGAAACAGGCATCGTTGGCCGAGGTGATCAGTATCCCCGTTGTAGTAGCTGTATACCCCGTTACAGACTTCACTATCGCGTCCGAGGCCAAGAAAGTGCCTCGTCCGCGACGGCCCATTCCACCAGCTTTGGCGCGTGTGTTTAATGCTTCCTATCTTCCTGATGCGGAATTGAAAAAGGATGTCCGCGTATCGCCGGGTCTGGCTGCCGCGGCGGATTTTCCATCGACGGTGGTGATTATTACTGTTGACGGGGATACTTTGGCGCCCGAAGCAATTGCGTTGGCAGAGAGACTGGGGAAGGATCAGACGAGGAAGGTTGTTAGTAGGACTTTGACAGGGGTGGGGCATGCTTTTGATAAAGGAGTAGTTGAGGGGACGCATGAATGGGAACAGCGAGAGGAGGCATATACTTTGGCCATTGAGACGTTAAAAGACGTGTTTCATCTGTAATGCACAGTTGATGCCGGTATATACTACATACATGTATATATGTTTGATCGAGATTAATAAAAATACAGTATATTTTTAGGTATTTTATGTAATTTTATGTAATCATCGTAGGTATTTATATGATTTAATTTAGTTTCCAATACATTATCCATTAATATAATACAAATACGTGTATTAAATTTGAGCGACTTTCTATATATAATTTTGTTGAGCTATAAGCATAGAAAAATGGCCGTTTTATGTGGTGCATGATAGTGATCGGGTCGCTTACCGATTACGTTAGTTAACTATGACTCCCCTCGGCCTTTTTTTTAATCATCTAATTGCTACGGACTAATAGAGAACAATAGAGTCGAGGTAAATGGTTGTGCGAATTGTGGAGGATACAATTTGATGGATTAGGTCTTCCAGCAGCAGGCGGCAGCTAGAGTGGAACTGTTGAAGAGGATGACTAAGCTCTTTGTTTACGATTGAAATGGAGGCTGACACGGAACGCAACGCATACTATGCATTTTTGTCCTATATCGAGCGGGGTATTTAGGCTGGGTCTGCGTGACCAGACGCATATAGCATGGACTAATATTTCTGATTGGATCTTAAATTTCATCCAAACCCTGACCAATTTCATTGATGGATATGAGAGGCAGCAAAACCAAGAATCACAAAAAGCGGCGTAAGGCGCATGGCAAACGCGACGGATTTAACACAGCAGCGCGGTCAGCTTCTCGCATAAGAGCTGGGCAGAATCCATTCAGGCATGTAATACCGGTTTCAGGAGACTATACAGCATACTCTAGGTCGGCTGAGTTGCAAAACTGTAGCGAGTCGTTATCAAGGTCCATCCTCTTTCCTCTCAAAGACCAACATCTATTGCTATCCCATCTCCAGTGCATTCTCGAAGAAATGTGCGAAAAATTTGGAGCCAAACACGAATTCTGCCGATCACTTTTAGAAGAACGTGGCTGGACAGAACCTAAGTCACTGGAGTTGCATTCCTGGTGTCGCATCATCTTAGATTATCCTGACAAGTTTCTGCCAGTGTTAGTTGACATTCGCGAAGAAGAAATAGGAGATATCCTTAAAGCGTGTGTCAATATTCGTCACTCTGCAGTTCACCGTCGCCCACAGGATGCTGAAACCATTCTCGGGAGCCTTGAAGCTGGGATAGGCTTGGCCAAGATGCACCAAGATATAGCAGTTGTTCAGCATATTCAGAATCTTCGGACGGACTTCCAAGCCATCATCAAAGATATCTACTCACAAAAAGACGTCTTTCAGGACAAGTTGCGAATACAACTTGAACAAATCTCGGCAGAGCGGGCTCGGTTAAGGCAGAAAGCAACGGAGGATGCCAAAACAGAAGTAGAAGCATATATGAGAGAAGCTGGTGCAAAGCTTGCGGATTGTGTCAACTCTACGTCACAAAAACTGGCATCGGTCACAGAAGTTGTACAAGATAGTGACTACTTTTCCGAGCCTGACATCGACAAAATCCTGCTAGAGGCAGAAAGAACAAGCATTGTTCCGGGCGTGAGGTTGTCTAGATGATCTCTTCGCATGGCATATGGTCTTGATAGTCGTGACTAAAACCATCTACGGCACGGACAGTTTTTGATTCCCTCCCAGTCAACATGAATCACACAGAACAATGACTAAGATGACACTCTCCTTCAGTCTGGGCGTGTGGATAGAGGGTTAACATTTTGACTCCCAGACAACAGAATATGTGCCGACTTGTCTCCACAATATCATGCAGGGCCTGGGATGATACTCCGTCATGCTTTATACAGCGCCGTGCAAGTTCGGCTTTACATGGTTCGCAACTCTATGACTCTTTCTCAACGCCACTCCAATAGCCTAGTCTATACTTGGTTTAGACTGATATTGGAGTAATTTACGATACGTATGGGACGCAAGAGTACCGCCATTTTGGTAAGCTATGTAGAGCTTTACACATGAAAACTTTGTTGTCACTTGCTACGTATAACCGAAGAAGCTGTTGCTTCTGTGATGCCATATGTTCTGAAAGAACTGGCCTCAAAATTAACCTTAATCTGACGAGCTTCCTATGCATAGTTTCAGCACCGCACGCTTTAAAGGATGTTAAGAGGATATGAGATTTACCACCATATGGTATCCAAACTCCATCCAACCCTTCTACGGCTATTCACCAAGGAGAACCTATTATCAGGCTGAGAAGGGTTAGCACGCAGACCTTACTCAGTGAGCGATCTAGGAACCAGGCTAAGCATAAAGCGACAACATGCTGGGCTGTCTAGCGTCGCACACATTTGTTATATAGGTATATTATCTTGTACCATTGGTATATGCAAAAGAAACATTTGAATGTGTAGCTATCTCGGGTTCAAATTGTTCTCGCTTTCAATATTTACACTATTGCTAAGCTTCTCATTCATATTTATTTTTCAATTTATGACTGTGCCAACTGGCGCTACATGGCCATTTAATAAGTGTCCCTACGAAATTTCTTCACTCAAGCCTATCCTCCTGTATCATTACGCTTTTTCACTCCCATCACTCTCACGACTAACCCTAACCCTGCCATATCTCACGACTTAAGTCTATCTACCCCTCGCACAAACTCCTCAACAGCCCCCTTAACAACCTCCACCACCCTCTCTGGCTGGCTCACCTGTGGTACATGCCCAGCAGAACATCTCTCAACCTTACTGCCTGCCAAACCAGCCAATTGCTCCTGCAGAGGCATCGGCAGTAACTCATCGCCTTCACAGACAAGGTACACACTCGGCACATCCTTCCACCCCGTATACTCAACCCTCCCATCCCAACCCTGCGCCGGCTGCGGTTGGAGTTTCGCCAACCACGCGGACTTTTCGGCTGCTGGGAGGTCGCCGAAGAGCAGTTTCTCGGGTTGGGCGCAGTGCGATGCGCCCCCCTGGTACATCTATCATTAGCCTGATGAAATATCAAGTGGGTAAGAAGGGCACACGAACATCAACAACCGCGAAAGGAAGCGGCTGATGCTCATGGCCCAGAGGGAAAATCGCGCCTGCTAAGAACACAATCCCAATGACGCCGGGCGCGCTAGATGAGCCGGTTTTATGTAGTCCTTGCATTGCCTCGGAGCCTAAAAAGCCGCCTGCAGAATGCAGGACTAGGAGGACGTCCTCCGCAGTGCCGGTTTCCGGGGCTGGTTGGAGGAGGTCTTGGAGATGTCGACGGATTGCGGCGATGTCGTCTTTCATGCTCGGGTTACCTGGGGATGTGGTTCCGGTGCTGGGGAGGACTGCGGTTGAGGTTTTGAAGCCGGCAGAAGATAAAAGGGAGGAGACATGGTTGAAGACGGAGGGGCCTTCCCAAATGCCGGGAACGAAGAGAATTGTGGGCGGCATTTTCCTGATTGTAATAACGAAGCCAGAGACCCGGTATGGGGTGAGAATTGAGGAAAATTTGGGTGGGTATATTCAATCTTATGCCTCTAAGTGTAGATGTTAGGACAAGTTTCGAGCTGAAGCTGCCAAGTGGACGACCTAAGCTTTAAATACACTCTTATCTATAATGCGGGCCTATTACTGTAAAGTGTAAAGCAAACCATTTAGATTGGCTCGACAAATGAACCTGTCGAGGACGTAGGCGACCAAGAAAGTTTCAGCTGAGCGGGGTGATGAGGGAGCCGAGATGCGTGTTGGTTTTTTGTTCCTTAAGTAAGATTAGGCCAGAACTAATGATGAATCGAGTCATGGTTCGTTCAGTTTAGTGGGACGGCAGGAGAGAGATACGCTCTGACCAATTAGAAGAAAGAGAAAATATACCTAACTTATACATACAAGAATAAGACCGAACTATTCATAACAAAACCAATGCTGAATCCCAATCGAACCCCAAGGGTATATATACTAGTCACCAACGACAAAGCAAAAATAAACTGTTCGTCCCCGTCTTCTATCCCGCAGGCGATTTATCATATACTTCTGAATCGACTCTGACTCATGCAAAAGGAATGGGAGGTGAAGATGGATGTTGTCTACATCACCACGCAGTCACCCTGGTTCTGCTGAGTGACGGCGGAGCGCGATACTCGCGTCTTTTGCATACGGGCACTGCCTTTCTTGAGTTCTTCGAGACGTTCTCGGGCTTTGTTGAAGTTTTGAGCTGGAAATAATCAGTTTGATAATGAATGGATAGAAAGCAGGGGGGCTTACACGCTGCTCGCCAGTACCATCGCTTGGCATCCTCCAGGTTTGATGGAACGCCAATACCGACTTCTGTGAAGTAGCCCATGGCGTACTCAGCCTTGGATAGTCCGGCAGCAGCAGCCTTGCGTGCCCAGAGATAGGCTTCGGTGTCGCTTTGCTGGAGAATACCATCAGCACCGGTCAAGTACCATCCACTCAGTGCTAGCTCCGACTGATGCTCGCCTTGTGCTGCTGCTCGCGTATACCAAATGATACTCATGCGCGCATCTACAGGCATGCCCATGAATCCATACTCGTAGGCGGCGCCCAGTCGGAACTGCGAGAATTTGTAGCCCAGATCTGCAGCCTGTGTAAATAGCTGTCGCGAGTATTCCTCATCGCGGACGAGGAAATCGGTGTTGTTTGCACTTTCGTATAACAGTCCTAATTCGTGAAGAGCATGTGGATTTTCCGTATCTGCTCGCTCCGCTGCCCGTTTTAGCCATGTAACGGCCTCGCGAGGGTTTTTCTGTTGACCGAGAAGTCCTTTCAGCAGTATGATACCCATTTTGTACATGGCTGGGGTATTCCCCAGTGATGCGGCGCGTCTGTACCATTGCACTGCTTTGAGAGCATCGCGTTTCGTGCCACCGCCGTCTTCTTGGCCAATTTCACAGCACACCGCCGTACGATAAGCAGCCTCCGCATGTCCAGCCTTAGCAGCAGACTGATATAGAGCGAATGCTTCCTTTGCATCCGTCTGCAGTCCTAGGCTACCGTGTCCGTAACAATCGGCCATGTAAAACATTGCATCGGGAAATCCGTCGTGGGTGAGCTTTTTAACAATCTTGTACGCGTCATTGACATATTTTTCTCTAGCCTTCGCTCTTGCTTTTGCATCAACACGACCTTCATCACCAATCAAAACAGTTGAGGCCTCGACATATTTCTTAGCCAAGAGCAGGGCAGATTTGAGATCATCTGGATTCCGTCGAACAGTTAGCTCTAGCCTTTCGAGCTCGACCTTCGTGATAGGGGGAGATTTCGGACGCGTCGCGGCGGGCCCAGGAGGCGGGGTTTGCTGAGGAGGAGGTTGCTGCTGTTCAGCTGGTTGAGGCCCCCCATACTGCCGAACTGGGGCCGGCCTTGGGCCGGAACCTGCTTGGTCGAGACCCGGTCGGTAAGGCGATGGATGAGCAGGAAGGGCATCTGGGTTTTGACTGTCCGGGCTGACCGGTGTGTCATAGGCACTGGACGGGTTTGAGCGATATGAAGGTGGTCCATTGCCATTGGCGCCGCTAGGTAAGTCGAATTGGAATCCAGCGTTTGCAAGCTCGTTGGAGCTGCCCGCAGGCTCGGAAGGCCTGTATGCGGAGTACCCAGGTCCAGTCTTTCCGCCAGTACCTGACGACTCTTCGGGTGTTAAATGATTTTCAAGACTGCCATTGCGGCGATGGTTTGAGTCATTGGTTGGCATAGCATCAAAATTGGGCATGTCAAGTTCTTCTTCGCCGTCATCCTCATCAAAATAGTCTGCAAAGACATTGTGGTGCACATAAGTACTAAAAGTTTTGTATTTCATCTCATCCCCTCGTCCGCCGTTCGCGCCATTCGGAGCAAGTAGATCCTTCTCCGGCGCAGAGGGTGGTTCAGGAAAGTCCGCTGCTTCGGGATACGTTGACTGACCGGGATATTTAGGCGAGCGCATGGGAGATGCGTAGGGCGAAACGGGATTTGTTGCACTTCTCTGCGGTACTTTGAGAGGCGGCGGCGCGCCTCTATCGGTGTATGACCGTTGCGGCGGTGGATAACCAAAGCCACCATTTGGGTCGCCATGATCTGGAGGGTAATTTCGGCCGTTGGGTGGCGGTCTTCTATCATGACGAGACGAGTTTGACGTATGCGGGCGAGTAGGCGGAGCATTGAGATCCATCTCTCCCATTTGACTTGATATGCCATAGTCGTCTGAGCCTCTGCGTCGTGGCGGAGGGCCTTGCCCTGGGTTTCCGTACGGATCATCAGGAGGCCTGCGCGATGGAGGGGGTCGGCCCATCGGTCCTCCACGACCAGGTGGTGGCCCTCGTCCACGGCCCGGGGGAGGTCCGCGGCTGGACCCTCCTCGCGGAGGAGGATAACCGTTTTTTGAAGATCCTCCGGGACCGGTATAGCCTCGGGGTGGAGGGCGCGAGCGTGGTCCTGGCCCTCCTCCGCCTGGAGGGCCGTATCCAAGCGCACCTCCATTGTCGTCATACCCATAATCCTGCGGGCCCTGGTCGTAGCCGTTGGCACCTTGCGACCGATAGCCTGATCCAGGAGGCGGTCCTCGTGGAGGTGGCCGCCGTGGCTGAGGGTATGCCATTTGTAGATGTTAAACTAAGTGCCGTATTCTTCTAGCTGTTGTATCCGTTGCCCGTAGGTCGTTTCGTTAATCGTCAATTCATCAGAACAAATGAAACGTTGACCAAACAGTCGACAACCGAGGTGGCCCTGATGAGAGCAGTTGCGTACGGTGACGCAAAAATAGAGTAGTTGAGTAAGAGTCTGAAAATTAAAGGGACCGATCGGGGTTATAATAGTGCACAGATGGACTGTTATTTTACCTCCGTGGTTAGCAGTCGGAGTTTTCAGTTGAAATGCAAATACAGATGCTCGGAATTCGCGACATCCAGGCAATGGACTTCAGGGGCATTGCAAGGTGAAACGCGGAATGACAAGGTAAAACCCGACACAGAGGATGGCGACTGGCGAGCACAAGCCCACACGTACCTGGAATCCATATGTGCCAATAAACTTGGCGTTATGAAGCGGCAATGGCTGTATCACCTGGTGCGCCCTGAGAGGGGGGGTCCCTGGGGATGACGACTTAGTCGAGCAAGTCAGAGCAACTGCGGTAGAAAGAGAGAAGATGTAGAGTCGGTCGCAGACTGACTCAGCCCTATGCTGGAAGACAGCGACAAAGACGTAATAGAGCAGTAGGCAGGCGTGGAAGTGTCTCCTGAGCCCGGCAGGATGTGCCAATAAGTTCGTTGAGCGACGGAGGGGGCCAGGTGGGGCGTGGGAAATGATGCTTGGTGGTTGTGATGGTTAATTGACTTATTTACTGCTGCCGATCGGCTTTGCGCCCGCACGTGACATGCCCAGGCGGCCTTCGTTTCAGCTGTTCTGTCCGTTAATATTTGCTGGTTAAATCTCGTTATTATTGGATTCTACGTCTGCCTGCAGAATAATTATAATTGCAGTTGGAGGCAATACCGAGAAGCCTTACGCTCAGTTCGGGAATCACTACGCACCAAGAGTTAGCAGCCTTGGGGCAGTCAGGCACCGACTGCTCGTCATTCGGCGGCGGCTGGCCAATCAGCTGCCACCGGTGCCTGCTCTCCCTTGCTTCTAGTATTCTACTGCGCTGAGAAAGGCTGAGAGTCTTCAAATAAGAAGGAAGATGATATCGTGTAATCGTAATAATATTTATTGGCCGGCCAATCATGTCGCAGGTACACATACCCCACAGTTAACTCGCATGCGCCACATATACACCGCCACTGCTGCGCCCCTGCCGAGCGGAAGGCGACGAGGTAGCAATTCCGCACTGGATTCTTCCTCAGACACTCAGAGCCTCTCAAGTGCTACTGAGAGCTGTTTGACAAAATGCCGAGCACGGGGACCTGGGTCAAGATGATCACGTTGTACGTCGGCAACGCCCTCCTGCTGTGTGCAAGCTAATGTTTGCAGGGGCGCCGCGGTGAGCATCGGGGGCCCTCTATTCGTGCAGTCCATCAGACCGTCCGACGAAGAGCTGTTCAGCGTGAGCTATTCTACCGCCGATTGAAAGAGATAAACTGAGAAATACTAAACGAAATACTGCCAGAGATACAACCCCGAACTGCAGAAATCAGCGCTTGAGAACCGCGACCGCCGAGAAAAGGAATACGACGAGTACGTGAACAAACTCAAGGAATGGTCCAAGTCGGACAAGTCGAGTAAGCTCATCAAAGATGAATCTGTGTGCACATTCAACTAATCCCACGATCAGTTTGGTTCGCCGTCAAAGAAGAAGAGGAGCGCCGCAAAGCCCAAACAGCCGAAGTCATCGATCAAGCCAAAGAGGACGAGCGAAAACAGCGCGAGGAGATGCGGAGAGAGCTCCAGGGCGAGAAGTAACGATATCCACGGTGACACAACTCGCTTGGTAGAGCATTGCAACTGTACTTTTATTCTATACATGTACCATATCGCCATATCCATACCAGCCAAATATTGCCATCTACGCTCCACAGAAGCTCATGTTGTTCCACAATGCGATACACGCACAATAACATTCGCCACGCCAACGTCGATTTACGTACGTCCATATATATCAGGTCGCATCCGACGCATCCCACGTAGGCGATTGATGTAACCCTTACCCATATTCTATTTCCGGTTTAAAGTGAACCTATACAGAATCAAGTCTGAGACAAAAGGCGGGGCCTGATTGGCCAGTCCCTGTCGAGCTTGCTGATCCTTCGTGATTTTACGTGGGTTCATTATTATGGTTATGAGATCATAATCATGTAGTGTCAACTGGAAGGTACATGTACTATATCCATGTTGCTCTTTTAATCGCTAATATACCAATCGTTCATACTATCAGATTCTGTTGTTTACATAGAAATGAAACAGGCAGCCAGCTAAGTCAGCCACCATGCAATCCCCATATATTAGTAATGCGGCTCCCGTCTGATCTCAATGCTGTTTCAATTTTCTACTCACCGCAGAAGAATAACAACATTAATCTTATTCCGAGATCAAGGAATATACTCATTGGCGGCGAGAATCAGAGTCCCGCCGTGGATGGAGCATGTCTTAGAATAGCGGTGCTGATCGTCCCGTCTGCCGAGGAGCCTAAGTCGCCAGGTCACCATTGGGTCACTCAACCTGGTCAACCATTAATTGATTATACACCACATGCACTGTGCTTGGCACGATGTCATTGCATCTCTGCTCTCCCACTTGTCTCAGTTGTTGCGCCTCGGGAGGATTGAGCTGTCCTCCCGACTACATTCCAGCTGCCCGTCTTACGGTGCTGGGATATAAAGTGTCGGCCTCCCACGATACCAGTTGACTCTCGTCCTCACCATCTCAAGCTTCTCTGTCAAACTCTAGCGTTTCGTCATATATTTAATTGATAATAATAATCCTTCTCAACATGAAGTTCACATCCTTTATCCCGGCCTCTCTCCTCGCCGCCAGCGTCGCGGCCGCCCCCGTTGCGAAAGGCAACTCTGCCTTCACCGTGATTTCTGCACGCTCTGGCTCTCCTATCCATCTGCAGGCCATCAATGCCGCTGGCTCCAAGTTCTGGGTAGGAGGCTCACCCGCCACCTTCTGTCCATCCTTTGTCAACCCCTGTCCACCCGGCAACGAGACCGTCTGGGCCAACGCCTTCAACATGGTAAGTCAACACACTCCACTTGCGTACCCCAAATGCTCGACTAACAACCACCCAGGACGTCGAGGTCCCCGGCGGTCAAACCCTCTACGTCGCCCCCAGTGGAGCCCTGTCCTTCACCACCGCGCATTCCATGTCCATGCCCGCTGGCTCTCAGCAGGGACCGTTTGACAATCAACAACCCTCGTCCGGCGAGGAGTTTGGCACCTACACGACCAGCAGCTTCGGTGCCACCGGCTTCATGGCCTGCCCTGACGATGCCACCAATGCTAGCTCCTGGCAAGTGTTTGCCGCTATCCGCAACGCGACTGTGCCGACTGGCAATGTCGACGATTGCCTGGGCTTCGATGCCTTGACCACTAGTTACACCGGTAGCATTCCCACCTGGGAGTACACCTAGAAACGTGATATGATTGTCTTGCATTGATGGTTGAGGCGTTTTGTCTTATCTTTCCTTGAACGTGATCATGATAGTTCAACATAGCTTAATGTATGTAGTTTAATTACATATCCATCATCCTTGACCCTAGGTAAACCTACACTAGAGCCATCACGCAGCCATCATTATTCAAACGTTGAATTAATCAAGAATCATTCTAGCCGCTTCATGACATCCGTTGTATCAGAAGAATTGGCCCTCTAAATTTCTTTCCTCTTCCAATCCAAAGAGACAAAAGGACAAAAGAAAATCATGTATTGAGACAATGCCTAAGTAAATTACTAAAATAATCTCCGTCTTTCAATCACCCGAACTAAGAAATCTACTGAGACTTAACCTTATTTTCCACAGACTCAGCAACACTCTTCGCACTCTCCGTAGTCTCCTCAGCTAAATGCTTTGCGGCGGCGGCAGTCGAACCGCCTTCCTGGCTGCGACGCCAGAGCAATATTCTTGTGACTTGCACGAGACCAGTGCATCCGAGGAAGAAGTTGACCGTGGCGAGACTAGTCAATTAGCGGAGCTCATACAATATATATATATATACATATATAGGTAGGTGACATACAGAACGTTGCGCGGCTTGATGATGAAGCACCACCGAGTCCAAATCGCACCGGTAGCCGTCAATGCGAGGTTTTGCGTCAGGGAAAGCTTCTCGGCGGGACGTGTCATATCAGAGATTCCAGCGATGACGAGACTCCACTGCGATCAATCAGCGACGAAACAGAGATATTTGAATATCGAATATTGTATCAACGGTACCGTACCTTCATGACGGGGGCCCTGCAAATGAGATTATCAGCATCCCAAACACCAACCAAGACATTTAAACATTAAACACAAAGTAGAATAACGCACCAGAAATGAACAGTCTTCACGCCAACAGGGCTGTTCCACAATTTCTGAAAGGTTGTCTGCTCGGCGCCCGCGGCCGTGGCTTCGGAACTCTGGAACCGGAACCCTTTGCTGCCATTCTGGCGGATATTCTTGAACGCGGTGCGCGAGTTTGCGAAGAAGCGAAATCCGACGCGAGAGGAAGACATCTCGTCTTTATCGTTAATCGAATGGTGTTAGAGGTGTTTAGAGATAAGAGTGATGTGGTGGTGCTGTAAACCGACCCGGCCGATTTCGATCCGATATGGATTTGATTCTCGGTGAAGGAGAGAGAGGGAGAGTGGCGATGGGTCTCGACAGGGATCAACAATTATCCCACTTCCTTCCTTCCTTCCAAAAAAACACTACCGCTTGACGGCGTATAATATACCACAAGAGAATAATATAGACGCAGAGATCAGAGAATCGGCCACCCGAGGGAAGTTCTTCAGTCATCGGAGGCAAAATCGGAGCTGTGGGCTTAACTCCGCTGACATAAGCAGTGCGGCCTGATTGGCTGGCGGGCCGACGCAACGTTCCGTCTTCTCAGTACGCTGTGTGCTTGCACCGTACAACAAGACAAGCAACCCTCAATTCCTTCCTTTCGTTGTTTTGTTGTCGCAGCAAGCTTGTCCTCATCATGTCCGCCAGATACGCTTTTAACAAATCTCTCAAGGAACTGCGGTTCCTCTTCTGCCAGACCTCATCGCACAGCGATGCTACGAGGTGCGTACCAATATTCCGTGCGAGCAATTGCGAGCAGACAATCGCTGATGACAGGCTGCTAGATCGTTTCTGAACCGCGCATATCCCACCATGAAGAAAAATAATCCCTACGTGCCGATTCTCATTCGGGAGGCGTCTGGCACCGAGCCACGGGTGTTTGCACGATACGGTATGTGCAGTCATAACAACCAAGACAAAGACGACAGGGCTAATAAGTGTGTTGAATAGAGCTTGGCAAAGAGAAACAAGAGCTTCTGTCCGGTACGCATCACCGCAATCGTGTTGTTCATACACGTCTAATTTGTAATAGGCTTGACAGATAAAGAAATCGAGGAGAAGGTCACAAGCCTGGTGAAGCAGAGCCTATAATGTATAACAAACACTCGAGAAAAGGAATAGAGTAGACGAGAGATAGTTCTGCCCTTGGAGACGATTCGCTGGGCGAGGACGTGAAGAGAGGTGCGGCGTTATGTATGTATATTAAATGCGATATGGGATTTTGGCAGGAACGTATCGTATTAGCTTCAGAATGTACTGAGGTTTGGTTCGCTGCACTGATGAGTTGACATTGATATTCTACATGGCTAGATTTGAACATTTCAATTTAATCTCAATACACATATGTCAACCATCAATGGATGCATGAAACGATACCAGAGGTTGAATGCCCAATTGCTGCGTTTAGTGAATACGATGTTCAAATACTAAGTATTTGATTTATTTGACCAGTATATATAATTCATGTACTTATACAGTCCATTTACTCCTAAGCCGAAATAACATTCCGAATATAATATGCAACCGCGTATGCCAATCATGTATATGCATATCGCCACCTCACTCCAACACCGAATAACAAAGACTAAAAGATATCCATCCAACGCAATGCATAGTTTCAAATACGTAAGGAACTCGCAGATGGTGAAAATCACGGCGTCGCCAACTCGCCCTCTTCTTCCTCGATAGTGGCAAACTTTTGCAGCACCTGTTTCAGCGCTGGTCGTCTAATAGGCTTCGATAAAAACATATCCATTCCACTTTCCATACAATCCTTAATATTGCTCTCCTCGGCAAATGCACTCAACGCCACAATCGGCGCAGAATACCCCATTTCGCGGATCAGACGCGTGCTTTGCAGACCATCAACGTTGGGCATTTGGATATCCATGAATATCAGATCGAATTGATTGCCCTCGGACATCGCGGCTTTGACGGTGTCGTACGCCTCTTGTCCGTCCTTGGCAATGGTGACGTCGTATATATCCTCGAGTTTCAGCATGCGGAGAACGACTTCTTGGTTGACGGCATTGTCATCGGCGACGAGAACGCGGGTTCGGCCGCTTTTTGTTGACGAGACAGGTGTGATGGTGCTCATGGCTTGGGTTTTGCTGTCGCTAGTATTGATGGAACCTGGCACAGAAGATGTGGGTTGTGATGTTGGTGGCGGTGCAGCAGCAAAGAAAGGCTGACTGAGACCAACTAGTCGGGGCTGCAGGTCTTGGGATTCATTGGATTTCTTGGATGGAGTGTCCGGTCGACTGTTCGGGTCGTCAACGAGAAACACCTTGCTCTGCGGTCGTGAACTGGTATCGCTGGAGCTGTGTGTACTCGAGGCCATTTCTTTAACAAACTTCAACGGAATCTTGACAGTGAAAGTCGAGCCCTTGCCAACGGTGCTGTCGAGGGCTATTGTGCCGCTCATCAACCGAGACAATTGCGAGCAGATACTCAGACCAAGACCTGTACCACCGAACTTGCGGTTGAGACCTAAATCGCCCTGTACAAACGGCTCGAAGACTCTTTGTAGGAGATGCGGTGGGATGCCCGGGCCTGTATCTTGAACTTCAAAGGCAAATTCTAGGGTTCTGTAAATGATAGAATTTTCCCGTTCTTTGATGTTGTCCTGTAAGATCGTTCCGCTCGGTTGGCCTGGCTCTATTTCCCTAGACCTGGCGGACGACGTCCGTTCTTTAACCCCAGAGCTATGCTTGGAATCAAAAGATACTTTTCCACCTACATCACGCGACTTCTCATAATCCCCAACACATCGAATGCGTACCTCCACAGAGCCACCTTCCGGCGTAAACTTCAGACTATTACTGACCAAGTTGATGAGAATTTGCAGAATACGATGATGGTCGCCCCAAAGCACCATGTCTTTCATACGGCCCGTTCCAGGCGGCCCAAAAGCAGGGCTGACTGCAACTACAGGCTGCTTCTCTGATAATAGACTCTCGTGAAGTGGGACCTCTCCAATGGAAGTGCCAATGAACTTGACGCTAAAATCCACACGCTTCTCGTGAAATTGCCTTTCGAAAATGGTCAGGATCTGCGACTTGATATCGGCCAAGTTGAAATCCTTCTCATCCAATCGGACAGCTTGTTCAATCTCATTCTTGCTGAATGTCAATAGATCATTCAACAAGTGCAAAAGTAGATCACCCGACTTGTACACAACTTTCAGCGATTTCTTGATTCTTGAAAGATCCTCCTCGCCCATGCATACTGCACACATTCCAAGAATACCATTTAGCGGAGTCTTCAACTCGTGGGAAATATTGGCAATGAAATGGGTTTTGCTCTCGTTAGCAGCTTCGGCTGCTCTTTTGCTGATCTCCAGCTCGCGCGTCCTCTCAGCAACCCGTTCCTCAAGTCTAGTATATTGAATCATGAGCTCGTCTGACATTTCGTTAAATGTGCCAGTTAACTCTGTCAATTCGTCCGTGACACAGTGTTTTGATTCCTTAACTTTTAGCGGCACCTTAAAGGGCCGTCTATGACCTTCTTCACTTTCGGAAAGTTGCGAAGAATACCATTTACCACTCAAGAACTTTTTCAACTCAGTTAAAAAGTTACTTTTCGAAATATCACGCTCATCAGCGTCGTTGCCATCATCGTTAGCAGAGTGATTGACTGAAAGCGCACTTCCGTAAGGATGTTCTGGTCCTGGTTGAATCGCTTTTTCCGTGGCCGCCTTGAGCTTTCTAATTGGAGTGACGCTGTAATGTGCCAAGGGGAATACTATCAAAGTAATAAAGCCTGCTGTGCCGAAAACGCAAGCAAGAATGATATTCCGCAATTGCACAACCGAGGCGAACGCCTGTGCGTGGGTTTCCTCCATTATAACGACCCAATCTACTACGTTAGTTTGTGGTCGAGCGACTCCGACGGCCACCTCATAGCCTTGCTCGTTGGTGGTTGCGAGAGAACTCGTCGAGTTGTTAGCTGTCGGCTTTGGATTGGAGAGTACGCCCAGAACCTGAGGGTAACTGCTGAGTTTGAATGGGGCATCGTTGTTGCGGTATTGATCATGTCGGTCACTTTCGCCTTCGGTTACAGGCGGCATGAAAACGTAGTGCGCGAGAGCATTGGTAAGGTCGGTCACATTAGCAGCCGGTTCGTTATCCTCTGCCGGCCGCACATCCCCTAGGAATAAATTGGACTGATCCGCAGGGCCTATGAGAAGCACCAGGGCTGTGCTGTCGATAAAGTCGCGGCTGACCAAGGTCGACAGTAAGCTGGTGGCGCTTGCGACGATTCTTGTTCCTAGATTAGCATCAACATGAAGATAGGTGTTGCGATCACGCACGTCATATATCCCAGTATATCCGTGTTGGAAGTATTGTTGATGATTGGCAGAGTAAATGAAAGAAGCGACAAAGTGGAATTCATAGATATTGGTCCTAACAATAATGCAGAAGTGGCATTGAAGATATAGTTAGGGAAAGCGCTCGCCGTGCCATCGTTACTCGTTGCATTGGCGGGATCGACACCATTAGCGAATGTATATGTTATGTTCGGATACAGTGAAGGAGGGTATCCCAGGCCAGGGTCACCCAGCATAACACTCTATCGTTCTCGTGAGTCAACATAATAAATAATGTAAATGAATACTAACCGAGCCGTTTGCATATGTATAGGGAAGGGCAATGGAAGCTCCCGCATCGCTGGTCACATTCAACAAGCCACCTGAGTCACCAACTCCATTGCGAGAGAAGATTTTGGCCTGGTAGAGAGGCGCAATACCACTGGTTCCCAGCGCCGACTGGAGATCGATGATGGCATTAGCCCAATTCTCATATGAGGTGTTCCCTTGATAGAACCTTCGCAGGGAATTTTGAATGAGAACGCGCGTCGAGACAGTTGCGCAGGTGGATTCAATCAGTTGAAGATCGGACGCGATCTGGCCGGCTTTGAGAGACGCTGTTAGGACCAAGCCCTGGGACCTATACAGCCGATGAGTTAGTTCGGCAAATGCAAAGGAAGGGCGTATACCAACTTGATGCTGGTCACAAAATGGTAATTATTCTTCCACTGTATTCAAAATAAGTCAGTTGTTGCACTCGCATTCGCATTTTTGTCGGGGTGAGATGTTCTCACTGTCGCAATGGAAATCACAGCCAAGCCCACCAGGGAGGTGATCAGCACCAGCAGTGCCAGCTGCAAGGCGATGGGGACCCGCATTGGCCTTAAACAATGCGATGGCCTTCAAGTAGACATTGTCAGTAGGCGCGGGTTTGAAAGCCAATCCACTTTGCCAGACGGCGAGAGGGGGCAGCAGCTGCACAGGGGAAAATAATTGAGGAAGCTAAAGAAAGCGAAGGAAGAGGCCGGAGAGGTAAGCAAAGCAGTCTCTCTGTGCCTGCCAAAAACCGGGCGAGCCAAAACCGAGTTAACTGTCCAGCAGACCCGACGGCGCGATCTAGACCCCGGCTGTCAGCGTCTGGTGAGGCGACGATTGGTCCCACGCGGGGAGAGGCGTTGTTGGTGCTGCAGCACTGGCGGCCAAGCGTTTAGTCGCCCCTCGGTCCATCCCGGATCGGCTGCTGAAGAGACTCGCCAGCCTGAGGGTGCCCAATACAATGTATGGACTGTATGGGCCGTGGAGAGGGGCCGCCAATAGTGTTTATACTTGGGGAGAACACAATAGAATAAATAAAGTATGTAGTCGTTCCATTACAGCTAAGCCGATATAAGATATAATAGCTAATCAGTACTCGCCCTGCAGCGGCAGATCCCTCGAACTGCGGCCGACCTCGATCTTGAATCGCCCCTCGACAGGCATCACCCAGTTCTGGCGCCGTGTGCTCCAGAAGCTCAGGTCCTTTCGGGTCAGTGCCATCTCGACTCTTTTGGTACGACCCGGAGCAATCTCCACTTTGTCGAATGCGCGCAGAACCCGCGTAGGGAATTCGATAGACTCACGGAACTTGTCATCGCGATCCTCGACGTTGTCGGGAAACGACACATACAGCTGCACAACTTCTTGTCCCGTTCGGTTGCCAGTGTTGGTGACGTTGACTGTGACGATCACGAATGTCTCATATAACGACGGGTTGCCGCCGGCGCCACCGCCAGCCGGGGATAGCGGTTGTGTTGTTTCATAGCCCTTGGGGAATTCAAAGTGCTTCTGCTTGATCGCTGAGAGATCGGATAAATACGGGTAGATATACTTGTGGAGTTTTTTAAACCCAGCTGGGAATAGGACGGACTTTGCATCTGGCTTTTCCTTGCTGTATTCCGGAGGCGAAACTGGTGCTTGTGGTCGGGGTGGTGGTAAGAGCGATTTATCGCGAACAGGAGATATTGTGAGGTCCGAGTAGTCGAATGTAGCGTAAGATAGCCCAAATCCAAACTCATACCGAGGACTGATATCGTGCTTGTCGAAATACCGGTAGTCGATGTACAGGCCATCCGTGAAATTGACCTGCGGCACTATCGCATTCGGAAAGTAGAGGACTTGTGCACTCTCACCATAGTCTTCAAGACTCCTGCCGATCGTGTATGGAAGTCTTCCACTAGCATCAACTCTTCCGAAAAAAACATCTGCTAGGGCATTCCCGCTCTCCTCACCTGGCAAGTGAGCGAGAACAACTGCTTTCACGCGTGGGTGCTCAATCCATTTCTCCAGTATGACAGGGCCCACAGCATGGACGACGACAATAGTATCGCCAGCAGAACCGCCACAATTATCGGCGACTTTCTGGACTAGATCATCGCCGTACTTCTGGAGATATAGGTCATTCCGATCCCCTCTTACGCTCTCCCACTTTAGGTACCCTTCGCCGGAGTCCGAATTGACGAAAACCATACATAGATCGTGACGCTGAAGGTCTTGGTCGGAGATTTCATTGGTCAGAAATCCTTGCACGTCGACTTTCCCCGCATCGAATGACTCTTTCAGAGCGTCGTATGGAGTAACGAGGTACGGAAATTCGACAGCACCACTGCCCCAGCCAGATCCTAATGTCCCTTGGTTGCAGCCTCGATCTACGCAAGCATTAGGACCTTTCCCAGGTCCAGCATCCTCTCCAAATATGCCTACATGATAGATATTACCCTCTATACCTTGCCCCTGAGGGCTAAGAGGAAGTATCCCATTGTCGTTCTTCACCAGCACGGTGCCTTCAGCGGCGACTCTGCGGGCAGTGATACTATGGGCTTCATCTCCACTGCCTTGAACATCAACGAATTTATTCACCTTGCCAGATGTCTTGTCTCCTGATCCTTCGTATAGATGCCCATATTCATCATTTGTCCAGGAAGAAAAGTTGGGCGATGTTGGATTGTCCCCAGGCTCGTCCTGTCCTAGCTGATACCAAGCGGCCACAATGCGAGTTACCATATCATTCAAACGTTCCATAGGCATAGTCCCATTCAGGACAGCGATTGTGAGCTTCTCTCCCCAGAAGGAATCGCCATCTGCCCAAGCGAAACCGTCTCCAGGCATTGACATATCAAGACCGGCAAGAGCACTTGTTATACCCGATCTCTGAGCAAGCCAGTCGGATTGAACAAACCCCTCAAATCCCAGTTCATCTTTCAAAATCCCATTCAAAAGTTTGCTATTGCCACAAGCGTATGAGTTATTGACCATTTGATACGAGCACATCACACTAGCCACATTCGCGCGGATGCTTTCCGCAAAAGGCCAGATGAAAACCTCGTGCAGAGCCCGGTCATCAATATTTGAAGATATGGCATTGGGTAGAAGCCATTCTCCTCCTTGTCTGAAATGTTCTTGTTCATTTAGAACAAAATGTTTCGCAGTAGCCATGACCCCAGTCTTTTGAATTCCCTTGATAGTGTCGGCAGCAGCGATACCACTGAGCACGGGATCCGGAGAGAATCCCTCCCAGTTTCTCCCTCCCGCTGGTGCGAGTCCCAGCGGACCCATGGACGGGCCTAAAAGAACATTTACGCCTTTTCCACGAGCTTCCTTCCCCAGTAAATAGCCACGTTCTTCGATCAAGGTGCGGTTCCAGGTAGCTGCGGTTGTTAAACCAGCGGGAAAGGCAGTGATATGGTCAGCAAACCGTATCCCCAAGGGACCATCCTGAAGACACAGCGAAGGAAACCCAGCTTCGATCGCAGGACCTTTCATATTTCAGTAAGTAAGCAACTTGGAACCCATCTCGTGTGCTCTCACCAGTATTCCCAACACATAATCCCATCGACCAGCCCACGCCGGTTGTGACATTCACTTTCTCCAGCAGCGTCATATTCTGCACCATAACCTTCGCCTTTTGATAGCTGTGCGCCCACGTCTCCGATGTACCGCCTCGCGGAGACGGATACCATGGAGGAGAATCCTATCGTAACGTTAATCTACCGAGGAGTCACTCAAAGACCCCTCAGAAGGGTTAATAGAACCACTCACATAGCCATGCTCCCCCAGAAGAAATTCCTAATACTGCGTTGATATGAAATCAAAGGCAAAAGGATAAAAATAAGACCCGCCATCACAATCAGACACAGACGATTCTTTACAATGGAAGCTTTCAGCACGTTCCCGGCGCGGCGCAGCCTGGAACTGTCGCTGTCGTTGTCACCATCACGCTTCCATTTCCTCTTCCTCATCAGTGTGGCCATCGCGTCATCGTCTGCTTCATCTTCTTCGGAAAGGTCGGATGCGACAATATCGTCTAATGAATGCCAGTTTTGGTCATGATGGTCGTGGTTGGATATGGGAGTGGAATATTGATGCTCGGGTTCTGTTGACTGCGGGTGAGTGTCGCCTGCGTCAGCCTGCGACACGGGCTGGTATTTGGCGTCTGCCATTGCTATTTCTTCTTTCTCGATCTGCCTAGTGCTGCTTCTTATTCACCAAAGGCAATCACGATGGCGAGGCTGCTGCTTCCATGTGAGCCTGGGGCTTGCTGCTTGCTACTTGCCGCCGTGGCTCAGTCCACTTGAAATCTGTCGTGCTGGATATCTACAAGTATGATGTATTATGTACAAGTAACCATCATAAATGAACATGGATTGCAGTCTGAGCCAAAATGCAGTCTTTATGACAAGTCGTGCACGACTGAAAAGGGATGGGTTATCAATTGCGAGCAATGGAGTTTGTTGGGCTGGGCTTGGCTTTTGCGGCATCCAATGACGTCGTTTGTCTCGGCAATTATATCCAAATCTCTAAACACCAATCGACTATTTTTAATACAACCATTATTGGTGCCGTCAATAATTTAAAGGATTTGTTTTCCGAGAGCTGAGAGTGCTAGAGTAGCTTCAAGTCATCCAATCAATAACTATGGGCTCGATTATGTATATATAATACCATTGGATATATCTCCTATACCTGGAGTATAAAATGATATGTACGTATCATTGAGTACTGTAGCATTGAAGATGACAAAAGTTGAAAATAGTATTAATATTTTCTGCATCTCATCTAAATCTACAGAGTGACCTGTAAACAATGTAAGAAGTTCAAATATTATTGATTTCGAAATAGGGAGAGCTTCAAAACTATGCGAATTATATCCAATCCACTTTTGTGGTGCTATATTCTCAAACTTTTGTCATCCTACTCTATACAAAGTAATTGATAACGTTAAAATTAGTCGATATCAATTGATCCGTACTCCAGCTCCATTTATGAATCTTCAATGTTTAATAGAGTGCATTCTAATCTAAAAAAATCAACAAGATATTATCAAAATATACTAGAATTTTCATCACAGCAAAACGCCGACCCAGTCTATAGTAGTGACCTAAACATGAAAACAGATATCTATCACGGCGTTCCTCATCACATCGAGCGACCTAGTAATATGAACAAAGGAAAAGCAACAAAAGAGATAGTACGCAATGCAAAGATCAAAAACCCAATAGCTATGTTCATATATTACGCCTCGTCATCAGTGTCCACAGGCTTGGGGGTTCCCTTGGGAGAGTTGAGCCATTCGATATGGCGGAGCCGGCGGCGGACTTCACGTTCCTTCACTTGAGCGCGAGTCAGCTTCTTCTTCTTGCGGGCCTTGAACTTCAACTCTCCAGTATCCTCGGCGCCAGAGTTGGCGGCAGATGGAGCTGCGCTGGAGACGACAGAGCTTGCTACAGTGGAGGCGACTGTGCTGGCGGGTGCAGGGGAGCCCGGCTGGCTGTCTTCAAAGCGATCAAGCGCAATTGCGGCGCTGGTGCGGTGGGTGATACGGCCATCGGCAATATGAATCTGTTCCGGGCAGAGGGCGCCGACAAATTCCTCGTTGTGAGAAATCATGACAACACCACCTTTGTAGTCGCGAATGGCAACAGCCAAGCCTCCCAAAGAGTCACGGTCCAAGAAGTTAGTAGGTTCGTCCAGAACCAAAAGGTGTGGGTTATTCCACATGGCACCAGCGAGGACGACTTTGACTTTTTGACCACCGGACAGACCAGAAATTTCGTTGTGGTTGGCGATTTCTGGGTCCAATCCAACGTCCTCGAAGTGCTTGGCGATCACCTTGGGCTCGAGGATACGATAACCCAGACCCTCACGGGATGCTTCATGGTCGTCGAATTCTTGAACGAGTTTGGCGAATCCAAGCTCGGTCAAAGTTTCTCGAGAGATCATGGTGTTAAACTTCGGAAGAAGTCCAACCCATTTCACTTCATACTGGAACGACTTCTTCCACTTCTGTCGGCCAATAAGTGCTTCGATACGACGTCCACCTCTGCCATCGCCAAGATCGACGGGCTTCTCCATCTGCTCGCGTTCTTCATCGGACAGGATACGAGTCTGCTTAAGATACACCTCACGGTCATCGCCATTGGCATATCGCCATTGCAGGTACTGGTTGGGGGTCTTTTCAAGATGCATTTCGACGTGTTCAAGAGCATGCTGCTTGATATAACCGATACGCAAGTTGGGATGCTTTTCGACTCGGCCAGTCTGAGGAATGGTCTCACCTGTCAACATCTTAATGAATGTCGACTTGCCGGCACCGTTACCACCGATGATAGCCGTACGGGATGAAAGGGAGAGTGTGATAGATGCATCCTGGAGAGACGGTTTGCTTGCTCCGGGATAGGTGTATGTACAGTTGGTCATGCGCAGAATAGCCCTTGTCTGTGATTTGATACCAGTCAGGATACCAGGAGGAGGGAACTTGAACTGCACATTCGATGCGGAAAGCGTGTAGTAACTCTTTCCTTCAGGCTTAACCTTGACGAAGTCTGCGAGGTTACCTTTGTAGCAAACTAATTTCTTGCTTTCATAATGATATATGTCGGTACAAACTTCATCCAAGAAGCCAGAGTCGTGACTGACGATCAAACTAGTGATGTCAGTATGCGCTTTGAGGTATTCCTGCAACCATTTGACATTGGCGACGTCAAGATGATTGGTAGGTTCATCAAGGAGAAGCACATCCGCTTTCATGAGCATAGCACGTGCAAGGGCAAGCTTCATTTTCCAACCACCGGATAAAGACCCAACTTTTTGTGACTGTCGTCCCTCGGGTCCATCAGTGAAGCCGAATTCACTTAACACGGTGGAAATCTCATCCTTGTTGACGCCTTGGAGCTCGGGATCATTTGCGCAGTACTCCAGAATACTGAGTTCTGCACTTTCACCTTGATTATGCTCGACGAAGCAGGTTCGGAGGACCTCTTTGGGTGGGAATCCTTCCAGTTTTCCATTTGCAATACTGCGCATCAATGTCGACTTACCGGCACCATTGCGACCGCATAATCCATAACGGTGACCCTTGAGTAGTCGGAGGTTGGTGTGTGACAGCAAAAGCATACCTCCATATGCGAGAGAGAAGTCTGCATTGACAATTTCAACCTCCCCGTCGTCTTCTTGCACAGGCACACCAAACTTGCGTTGATCCTCCTCAATGAAGTGAGCCTGAACTTCGGAAGCGACGGCGTCATTCTGTCCATCCTGAATCAAGGAGCGCAAATACGGCCCAACACAACCAGGGATTCGATCAAGCATTCTGACGTTGACATCTTCGCGAACCATTGATGCAATGTATGACTTGACGTTGTCAAAGAAAGGTGCCTCAGCGGGCTGCGCTGGACCGCCGTGAGCGATAATCTTGGCATCCAAGACGCCGAGTACATCTTCGGAGCTAGTTTTAACAACAGCACCATCAGCAACCTGTCCATTGTCTTCTCCCATTGCCTTGTGAATGACATCGAGCGCTCTGGTGGCCAATTCACGAACTTCTGGAAGCGATGCACGGTCCTTGACGCCTTGCACACCAGGTTTCAATTTGGGAAGGAAAGTCTTGGCTTCTGTGGGATCATGAACCAGTTTCGTCAAGTTTTCAACCACAACGACTGTCTGACGAAGTACTTCTTGCGAAGTCGTAGGCGTGTTGAGTGATCGCTCAAGAAGAGGCGTAAGGAGCGCAAGAACCGGGGAGGTAACGATAGCGACAAATGTTGTCTGAGACAAAGCATGGATTGTCTTTTGCAAGCTCTCTGAAGAAGGCTTTTCCATTGCTGTGATAAGGAGCGGGATGCGAGGGATGACGTCTTCGTTCGTGATGAGCGTGGTAACAGCAGTCATCGTCTTGACTGCTTGTTTGGTGACTTCGTTTTTGAGATCATGCATGCCGGATTCTACAACGGGAATCAATTCTTTGAGAGTGTTACCCATGGCCTCACGAAGAAGATCCTTTTGGCGTTCATCTTCCTTCGTACCAGTACCCATCTGAGCCTTTTTCGCCATCTTTTCTAACAGTGCATAAGCGCCAACCGCGCCTTGCCACTTGGCGGTGCTTTTGCTAAGATACCGGAGCACAGCGGGAAGAAGGGCATTGACGAGCGACTCAACCTTGAGGCCAGCGAAGAGTGCATCGACGGCATATTGAGCAGCGTCGCGAACGACAGCGCCCTTATCCGACATCGCGTCCAAGGCGATATTAAGAATGCCGCCATCATGAATCAGAAAAACAACCTCACTGAGAGGGTCCTTCACAGGAAATTGTTCGAAAAGAGCACCGAGAATGAGCATGGCGCTTTCTCTCTTCGCACCACTTTTCTTGTCGGTCGCTGCTTTCTTGATCTCGGGCAGGATGTTGAGAATTCCCCGGTAGCCAACAGAATTGATCAGAAGGTTTGTAAGGGCATATGAAGCATCCAGCGATTCCTGCGAAGTCTGAGCGGAAAAGACACTGTTGACGATTGACGAGATTTCCTCGTTCGTCGGAGGAACCGAAGACGGGGTTTTGGAAACTGCAATCGACATGGCTGGAGTCTCGGTGGGTGAAAGAGGATGAGGCATGCTATGGACGACAGGAGTCGGGGTATAATGCAAACGAAAAACGAACAATTATGACAGTAAAAGAAAGCCGTCGAGAAGGCTGATGATGCCTAAAACCGCCTTCGGGCGAGCGTTCGGGGGGCAAGGTGTATTTACAGAAGGTAAAACTGGTAAAGACGCACGAGGAGGATAATATGCGAATAAGAGAACTTGAAGTAGTCCGCAGCCCCAGTGAATCACCCAGCGATCATGGGAAGGAGGGGAGAGGCAGGAGGGGATGTTGACGCTGAAGTGAGACGCGGAGGGGCTTGTCAACTTTTTTTTTTTTAATCTTTTATCTCAGCGCCCCACCTTGAATTTGCAGTGGGTTTCAACCAATCGCATACAGCCACTGACCATCCTTACAAATTGATTGGCTGTGATTGCGTCAAATAGCAGCTACATAATACATATTGCAAAAGCATGAAAGGGCAAGTGTGAAATTTTCAATATCTACTATATACGAACAGTCCAGCGCCAGCAATGCATATAAAATAACACCATCAGTCAACCACTACCAACGAACTTTTAGAAATCTAATACTTGTCGTCAGCATCATTGCATGCAAAATGGCTTATGTCTCAGGGATTACCTTTCTCTGTGTTGCCTTCACCCATGCTCTTGTTACTGCTGCTACCACTTTGGATTGCCCCGATGATGCCGTCCATATAGGGAGCCCCGCTCCATTTCTGATGAGTGAGGACGTCTACGCCAAGCTCCTTCTCGCGAGATTGAACAAGACGCACATAGGCAAGCATGCCCTCGTCCTTGAAAGCGCGAGAGAGTTCAGTGGTGATTGTCGCGTTCGAGTGGAGCCCCGCAAGGGAAATCAGCTGGAGGACAAATCTGTACCGGGTCAGTTACGGATAATACTAGAGATAAATGTGTGACTACATACCCATGCTTAGCGAGATCCCAAATGAATGACTTGAGAGTGGCTTCAGTAAAGCCTTGGGCCATCCAGTTGAACGAGGGGCTGAGGTTGTAGACAAACTTCTTGCCAGGATGGACTGCATGGACATCACCAGCAAGCTTCGCCGCCTTTTCGACGTCGGCATTGCCGGTTTCAACCCAGAGAAGGTCAGCATAAGGAGCGAATTCTTTCGCCCGCTTGGTGGCGGCCGGGAACCCGGCCTTATAGTGATAGAAGCCCTCACGAGTGCGAGGAGCATCGCATGACCAGACAACAGGTTTGTTTGTCAGCGTGTTCGCGATTGCGCGGCGTTTGGTTAGAGACAGATCAGGGTTCTCGGTGACTTTAGTCTTGTAGGCATTGATGGCACTTTCGGAAGCACCCTCGGCCTTCAGATGGGCATCAACGGCTGTATAAGTGGGAGGAAAAGGACGTCAGCAAAACAGCTATCCAATAATGGTAAACAGATACCATACCTTCGTCGAATGTCACGAGTTTATGGTCTTTAACCCATTTGCTCTCGAACACATCGATTTCGGCTCCGGCGGCGCCATTACGTTCCATCTCTTGTAGTGTTTCAGAGAGTGGCTCGACTTCTTCCGTGACGCCAAGAATAAACTCATGGTCGCGAACATCAACAATACTGCTGATGAGCTTTCCGCTCTCTGCATCTGATCGTGCAATCACCAGGTTCTCTGTACCCATCAAATCCCACTGGAACCGAGCGGCTACTAGTCGGTTGATGTGTTCGCCGACTGGGACAAGAACCTTACCAGCCAAATGGCCACACTTCTTTCCACCGTGCATTTGATCTTCAAAGTGCACACCAGCAGCACCATTCTCAGCAAAAAGCTTGGCGAGCTTCATCACCGATGTGAGACCTCCGTGACCCATATCACCGTCGGCGACAATGGGTCGGAGATAATCGACGTATGCGGTTTTCTGCCTCTCTTCTGCACTGAGCTTTCGTCGGGCATCCCAATGTTTACGGTCGTGCATTTGCTGGGCCTTGAATAATCGTTGAACCTGGTTCGGCACAGTGTTATAGGGATAATCGCCAAAGTCCGGAGACACTTCGTTGGTCGTGGTTAACAAAGACGAGCATGCCCATCCCGAAATATAAAGTACTTCCTGATTTGGAGCTTGTTGGGTCATCTGTACGGGGTCGATAGCGCCCACTATATACAGACGTTACTATTACGTCGCCTTTGAGATTCGCTTAGAGACCTGCTTACTGGTATGAACTGGTTTTCCCTCTGCAGCTCTCTCGTTGAGCAGATTAAACAACTTCCGCGCCATTATAGAGCTGGGGTAGGTCTGTTGCAGCGATCCTCTTTTGCTGACAACATCCGCCGCATTATACGGGCGTTTGATCCCTTCGTAGCGAGGACTTTTCCACCAGGCCTCCACATCCTTCACTTGTTGTGCGAACAATGCATCCTCTGGACTACCAGCCTTGTCCGCTGTCGACAATAGATGGAATGAGTCCGACGGCAGGGCAGTTGATACTGGAGGATCAACGGGAGGCAGCGATGTGGCAGACATCCGAGGATAGCCGCACGCGAAGGACCTGCGAACAGCAGCTGTCGGGCGCGTAGCAAGCCGGGGGAGACGACGCGAGACAGTGCGAATCATCATCAAGTATAAAGAAGTTGCACGCTCGCTTTGTCACAATGCAGAATGACAGTCAAGGTCGGGTGAAAGGGAGAGGGGGAGGTCGAGGATAGTCTTGAGGGTTGATGTCAGTCCAGGCACGGAAAGAAATGCGAAATGCTACTGCGCCCCACGCACACAATGGATATCCGTCCTACTCACCGGGCTAGTCGTTCATGGAGATCCGAAGAAAAGTAATTGCTCCTTGATAAACAAAAACATTCAAGCTCGACGCAGATCACTCACAACGAAGAAGCGGCGAATCTCGGACCGATGATCGCAGCGGTGCGGCAGGCTGAGCGGGACCTCGGCAGGACCCAGTTTCCCCCGCGGCAAACCGGCTGCTCGCTGAATGCAGAGCAGTCATGCACAAAGACTCAACACCTGCCTGCGTCGTCGTGGAGATCTCCCATCGACCGTTTGTACAACTTTTGCCCGTTGCTCTTTTCGACCACATTGCTCAGTCGGTGCAACATTGGTGTAAGGCGTCGAGGATCAGTCCTATCGTCACGTCGTCATAGTTATATCCGTACTTAGCCCCAGCCTCCCCCGCACCACACCACCGCGCCCTCATCATGATGTCGATGACCCCTAGAACCACTCGCCATGCCTGGAAGCTGGCTCGGGTATGCACCCATGCACCTGGATCTCGGATTCAAACAGCTAACCACCCTGGCCCAATTTGCAGTCTGCCTCGCGCCCAGTAGCAGCATTGTCACGTACATATGCCACTGCCGAACCAGATCTGAAGACGACCCTCAAAGAAGTCATCCCCGAGAAGCGCGAGTTGCTCAAGGAAGTCAAGGCCCGTGGGGATGAAGTCATCGGCGATGTCAAGATCTCCAGTGTCATCGGAGGTATGCGTGGATTGAAGGCCATGGTCTGGGAGGGTTCCGTTCTTGACGCCAACGAGGGAATCCGCTTCCATGGCCGTACAATCAAAGACTGCCAGAAGGAGCTTCCCAAAGGAACTTCCGGCACTGAAATGCTTCCGGAGGCTATGTTCTGGCTGCTTCTGACTGGAAAAGTCCCATCGACCTCTCAAGTCCGCGCCTTTTCTCGCGAGCTCGCTGAAAAGTCATACCTTCCCCAGCACATTCTCGACCTGTTCAAGTCTTTCCCCAAGGACATGCATCCCATGACCCAGCTCTCCGTTGCAGTTGGCGCTCTGAACACCGAATCCAAGTTTGCCAAGGCATACGAACAGGGACTCAACAAAGCCGAGTACTGGGAGCCCACATTTGACGACAGCATATCCCTGCTCGCCAAGATTCCCCGTGTTGCAGCTCTGGTCTTCCGCTCCAACGAGATTGATGCAGTTGGTGCCCAGAAACTTGATGTCAACCAGGATTGGTCTTACAACTTTGCTGAGCTTCTCGGCAAGGGTGGCAAGGAGAATGAGGACTTCCACGATCTCCTTCGTTTGTACCTCGCACTCCATGGTGACCACGAAGGTGGAAATGTCTCTGCCCATGCTACTCACCTTGTTGGCAGCGCTCTCAGTGATCCGTTCCTCAGCTACAGTGCCGGTCTCCTTGGTCTCGCCGGTCCCCTCCACGGTCTTGCCGCACAGGAAGTTCTTCGCTGGATCTTGTCCATGCAGAACGACATTGGCACCACGTTCACTGATAAGGACGTTGAAGACTACTTATGGAACACCCTTCGATCTGGCCGTGTTGTTCCTGGCTATGGTCACGGTGTCCTCCGTAAGCCGGATCCTCGATTCGAAGCTCTCATGGATTTCGCCTCCACCAGAAAGGACGTCCTTGAAAACCCTGTCTTCCAATTGGTTAAGAAAAACTCCGAGATCGCACCCCGTGTGTTGACTGAGCATGGAAAGGTATGCTTCTCTATTAATCCTATCGATGGCATTTCACTCACAAGATACTAGACCAAGAACCCCCATCCTAACGTCGACGCCGCGTCTGGAGTATTGTTCCATCACTACGGCTTCCAGCAACCCCTTTACTACACCGTTACTTTCGGTGTAAGTCGTGCTTTGGGCCCTCTAGCCCAGCTTATCTGGAGCCGTGCTCTTGGATTGCCAATTGAGCGCCCCAAGTCCATCAACTTGTTGGGTCTGTTGGGTAAGAAATGAGTGAACGACTGTTGGACTATTATTCGAAAGTGATTATTATATACCGGCGTTGCTCCATTATATGCCGGGTGTTGCTCCTGTATTGGAAGCATTTATGTAAAAGTTGGTTGACGGCCCTCTTTCTTCGTGATATTTTTACTTCCCTTTGCTCGATTATTTTTTAGATAGCATTCATCGATCTAAAATAGATTTTTGCCTCAAATTCCATTCCCTCCAATGCAAATGCAAATACCATTGAAATCAATCCGCTTCTCCTGCGGGACTATACTAACAATCGAACTGGTACAGTAGTAATATAGAGGTGGGAATGTTTTCTACCTAACATTGAATCAATATATCGACATTATCCTATGAACTCTAATATCGCTGGTTTTTACTTCTATATCACTCATTTCAAAATTTATAGCTACATAATGCCAATATAGCTCTCTTTATTGTAATTACATCAATTGATATGTACTACACCTTGTGGATCTGACTTGGTCATATGATTGATAAATCGATATAATACCAGTTGACATTTAGAGCAAATACGATTCCTTTAAATTTTCTATTATGACATATAGATTGCTAGCGAGTATCAGTTGATATGAAATCAACTGATCATTGATGTAGGCTAATAATCAATTGATAATGAGCCGTTATGTAATGTTATTCTATAGCTTTACTATACTCTATGTCTTCAGTATCTATTTCTATGTATATGGTGATACACCCTGTGACAAGTCTCTTGACATTACCACAATCTATTTCTGTGCTTTCCCCCAGACAGCTGGCCAAACAAGTATAGTGCTAACCAGCATTGCGAGGGCAACCCCCATCTCGCTCACGGGGATCCACCCCAGTAAAGACCCGGGAATTATCAAGTTCAAGGCATCAATCACAAGCTGGTTCAAGAGAGATGCAGTGGATAGGATGGGTTCTGAGGGTGAGGAATTCCTAGATTCCCCTCCTTTCTTTTGTTGGCATCCATAGAGCCATTGTGAGGTCTGGGCGCCATAGAACCAAAGAGAAGATCCAAAGCAGTTCTGGCGATTGCTATACAGATGGCGTAGAACCAGAACTTGTAAGCCTCGAGCAGAACAGGCGTGTACCACGAAACCAAGTAGACATTCATGTCATGCAGCTGCGTTTTATGTTTAACATTGCGCTATAATGTGCCGCCGACTTGAAGTTGAAATAATTACTTACCATGGTCGTTCCCTCCAAAACCAGATACATCCCCAAAGCGCTAGATTCGGCCAACTCCATTGCTGTCCTGGTTCTCGTAGGGCTTCCTGCAGCCAAAATGTCATGAACATTTTGAAAACAACCGAGAAAATCGAAGAAGCGGAGATAGCGCCTCGCTGGAGGTGAATCAGTACAAGAGTTCCATGGAAGAACAGCAACCAACCGACCTAATCCTATCTGTGCTGCCGCAACCGAGCATCTCATAACTGTGGCATTGTCGAGATCGACCCCGGTCCCGATAAGCGTCAAGGCATGGAGCAGACGGAGGCCCAAGTCAAGGCCAGCTGTGGAATTGGTGAAGTTGGCCAGTTGTTTCGGGAGCGACGCCGGAGACAATTGAGCCATCGGACAAAGTGTCGTACTTGACGCAGCGCTATCTTGAAGAACAAAGATGTACCTGCAGCATCCCTCGCTGGTCCTTTCAAAAAGTAGGTGCCAGAAAATCAATACTCGAAATACGATATCTGTTAATTACCTCGTATTGGCACAGACCAAATTCAAAGCGTCAAGATAGCGGAAGTGGAACCACAGTTGCGGGGAAATGCCGTGTTAGGGAATTTGCTCCGTCCCAAGATAACAGACGAGAAAGTATAACACTGAAGCCTCGAGTATTATTATCGCATACTGTCAAGATGCAGACGACACCCTATTAGGCTAGTTGCTCTTTGTCCTTGCATGCATGGAGTTAAGAACCCTACAACTCCATCATTTCTGTCCATTTACCGATGCTCATGACTTGGAATAAAATTTCCATCTCCTTTTTCTTCTTCATTTTGTCTCCAAGGCCCTTTGATTGTCATGGAACCCCCAAGACACTCTTCCGACATGGATGACCGCAAGGACAACGCCAGGGTAATGAAGGGCCGCAGCCACAGTCTGGATAAAACCCACGATAGCGAGGAGGGTATGACCTCTGAGCTCATCTCTGCTGGCTCTGACCATCTCCATCGGAAGCTAGGTGGGAAGGAGATCCAGATGTTGGCGGTGGGTGGAGCTATTGGAACGTGTAAGTTCGTCCTATAGGTATCAAATACGGATATTGATGACCAAAAAAAATAGCCCTGTTCGTACAGATGGGGGCAAGTTTGCCAAAGGGTGGCCCAGCTGGCCTTTTCCTGGGTTTTGTTGTTTACGGTACTGTCATCTTGTGCGTCAACCAATGCTTCGGTGAGTCCTCCCATTTCCATATCTCTATACTGCAACACTCGCTGAGGAGATGCAGCCGAAATGGTTACCTATCTCCCAATCGCTTCACCCTTTGTCCGCTTAGGTGGGTTCTGGGTGGATGATGCTTGGGGCTTTGCAATGGGCTGGAACTACTTCTTCCTTATGGGTAAATACTAGTCCTTGATGCCATTACATTTCCCCCCCTGACTGAATTATCTACACTCAGCCTTCGCTATTCCGTATGAAATCACGGCAGTCAATGTGCTTCTTACCTATTGGACCGACAAGATTCCAGTGGCCGCAGTTATAATAATTTGCTTCGTGATTTATGCGTGAGTCGCCTAAACCAGCCCAAGTCTCAGTGAAACAGGAAGAATTAACTTTGGTGTTGTAGCGGACTCAACGGGCTCGCCGTCCGGTACTTTGGAACTGCAGAGTTTTACCTGGCCATCTTCAAGGTATTCCTTATGCTAGGACTCATCTCCTATACTTTTGTCACCATGGTTGGTGGCAATCCCGAGCACTGGGCCTATGGGTTTACTTATTGGAAGAACCCGGTAAGTCAAAGTCAATACTTTCATCCCATCCTGCTAACCATCTTATTTTAAGGGTGCATTTGTCGAGTACCTTGCCCCGGGAAACACCGGGCGCTTTCTCGGATTTCTTTCCTGTGTAATCCAAGGCTCTTTCACGTCAGTACCCACTATCAATTCCGCTTCCCTTGCAATATGACTGATTGTATCACGCAGTATGGTCGGTCCTGAATTCATTTCCATGACTGCTGGCGAAGCAGAGAACCCTCGGAAGTTGATGCGAAAGGCTTTCTCTTCTTTCGTCTGGCGCCTCCTCATCTTCTTTCTTGGTGGTGCACTCTGCGTTGGGATTGTCATTCCTTACAATGACAAAATGTTGCTCGATTATATTGATGGAACCGAAGGCAGCACCGGCGCTGCGTAAGTCCATGTCACTACAAGCCTTGAATACGCATATTAATCATGCTATAGGTCTCCCTACGTCATCTCAATGGTCCAGTTTGGAATTAAAGGTCTTCCCTCCCTGGTCAACGCTCTCATCTTGACATCCGTCCTATCTTGCGGTAACAACGTTGTTTATTCGTCTATCCGTACACTCCACGGCCTGGCAGTGGACGGCAAGGCGCCAGCTATCTTTGCAAAGTGTAATAGCTTCGGCATTCCAGTTTACTCAGTCATTGCGGCGCTTGCATTCTGTTTTCTTTCCTTTCTGCAGCTCGGAGATACCTCCGCTACTGTCCTCAACTGGCTTGTAGGAATCTGCACTGCGTCATATCTGATTAACTACTTCGCCACCGTCGTGACGTATCTGCATTTCTACGCTGCTCTCAAACGTCAGGGCATCGACCGAAAGACTCTGCCGTACCGGGGATACTTCCAACCCTATGCGGCGTATTATGCCGCATTAATGACATTTGTTATAACATTAATTCTCGGTTATACTGTTTTCATCGACGGTCATTGGGATGTGACAACCTTCTGTACCTCTTACCTTATGATTGGCTTTTTCATCGTGGCGGTTGTGTTTTGGAAACTCGTCAAGTGGACGCGCTACGTTCGTCCTGGGGAGGCAGACCTTCAGCTTGGAGATACCAAAGCCCAGATTGACCTTTATGAAGCAATGTATGAACCACGGAAAAGAGGCAAGATTTCGGGTTGGCTCAACAGCTTGTTCGAGTAGTTTGGATGGCAACTCATGGTGGAGTTTGGACTAGAGTGGCTGTCTCTAATTGATGCTTTTGGATGTTTCTCTTCTCTCAAATGTAATTAGTGCCGTTTTCTATGGTTTGATTATTTACCAGTCACTTTGCAGAAATGTCCCATCCCAATAATGAAAAAATAGACATTGCTACGGAGAAGGCCTACTCTATATCATATAAATCAGCTCTAGTGAAGGATTAATTACCACGGCCTAACTCGTTCACTTCCTAATATGTAAAGTAATATCTGAAATTTTCATCTTTTACTAACCCACAACATCATCAGCATTTAAAATCAAACTCGCAAAAAAGAGAGGTTCCCGAACAAATTCATCGGCTCGAATAAACTCGTTAGTTGTGTGTGCCCGGTTGAGATTTTCCACCAAATTCACAGGCGTGAATCTGTAGATGTTCTTGGTCAACGCCCAGAAGAACTTGGTGTCAGTGTTGGCTGGCATCAAATATGGTGTAACAATAAGCTCATCGTCCTGGCTGAGTGGCTTGAGAACATTCTTGATGGTGCCAGACAAGATGCGGAAGGATTCAGTGTCAAAAGGAGAAACGGGGGCTGGCTCTAGGGCGTCAACTCCAAATAGGCAAATTTTCCGTGCCACTGAAGGGTCGCATGGTGAATCGAAGCCTTTGAATACCATTCCATGCTTTTTAGCAATGGTCTTAATAAGAGACTCGTAGTGCGACTTAACTTGAGCAATACTAGTTTCGACCGCAAGGCGCAGGTTGACCATCGTAGACGCTGTTTCAGGGATGGCATTAATCTTAACGCCGCCGTTGATCTTTCCAACAGACTGGCTTGTCTTGAAGTGATATCTCATATCACCGAGTGCCTGGTCCAGTTGCTCCTGGCTGATATTGTTGTCTTGGGCAGCAGCGTTGCTCAACGTGCGGCGAACCGCCATTGGGAAGCTAGACTCAGGAGCATAGACGGCAGCACACTCTAAGAAATTATACATTGGATTCTTCGGAGTGACTGTTCCCAGGAAGGGGTTGCTCTCAATCGCGACCACGATTTCCGATAGGATGCCAATGGCGTTATGATCAGGCGGGTTACTCGCATGGCCACCGGTCGACGAGACATTGATCCCAACATCTAAATAGCCCTTTTCTGCAACGCCAATCATGGCAAAGGACCGGTTGAATTCTCTCTGGATACCCGTGGACCCCTCGTCCATGATCAAATAGATCCCGTCGTGTCCGTACTGCTCAACCAGGAAATTCGAGATAGGCCTTCCGCAATTCTCACCACTAATCTCTTCGTCACAGCCAAATGCCAGGATGACTGTTCTCTTTGGTTTGAATCCGCTCTTTATCAAAAGGTCCAGGCTCTCAATGATAGATACCAGGTAGCCCTTGTCGTCAGTAGCACCGCGACCCCAGATAATCTCACCATCGTAGTGACCATCATATGGTGGATGAGTCCAATCCTTGACGTTCTCCATAAGTACAGGCACCACATCTTGATGCGCTAGCAAGAGAATCGGCTTGGCCTCCGAGGGAGGAACGCTGCCTTGCCATGTCAGGATCAACCCATGTGTATTAGCATGATCTAGCTTCACGCTCTCAAACACTGTGGGATAAGTGTTGATGAGATATTCCTCCACCCTGAAAAATATATCCCATCTGTCGTCTTCGCCGATGGGTCCCAATTCGTCGTAACTTTCAGATGGAATTTGAATGATTCCCGAGAGCTTTTTGATGACTTCTCGTTGGTATTCCACCGAGTCGACCTTTTTGCGAACGTAATGCTCGACCTGTTTATTCGTTGGGGACAGCTTTGGGACTTGCTGGCATATCTTGGACTCTGTTCCGGGGCCGTACGTCTCCAACCAAGATACGGTAGAAGAATGGATGGAATTGTTGAGGAGCGCGATAAATACTACAGCCAGACCAATTGCAAGTGCACCGCGCATAAACCAAGGGTTGTCCAAGTTCTTATCTCGATGCCGATTAATTTTTTCAGTCATTATGAGAAATATCGATCCGATGGAAGAAAATCCCAAAATAGAGATGGGATATACTTGAATAACACAGGACTTTATCTGGAGCATTTCATTTTATAGTCTAGACTTCAAGGGACGATTATATGTATTAGTGTTAGAATTGTAATGAGCCACGACTGTACGGCTAAAGTTTTTTGTGCGCAAGTATTATTTTACATTCTACAATTATATACATGTATAGTACTGTTAAATTACTACTTTGCCACATAACCATATCTCTAGCTCCTTATCACTTATTATTATCCTTATGACAGGCTCCAGGTTTCGGAAGAAATATCAAGTTACGTCAATGTAACCTTGGGATGAAAAGTTAAGCGTTATACTTAGTGTAGAATCTTAATCCGCCTTATGGACTATACTATATAGGAATTTTACTCCGCCAATAAGAATCTTCCCCGCTTGCTATTATGTATTCAATATTAGTAGGACTCTTTATCATATCTCACGATATGAATTATAGCTAATTCCCATGGACAGCTTGCTTCATTTCGCAAGCTGCACTTGTGACAATCCCTTAAGATGTTGAATCCCAAGGCATCACTAGCTACCAATGACTTCCGCAGTGACACCTTCACCACCCCAACACCGTCTATGTTGGCCGCGATGATGAACGCATCGTTTGGAGACGATGTGTACCAGGAAGATCATATCACCACCGAATTCCAGCGGGAAATCGCACGGTTGACTGGAATGGAGGACGCCTTGTTCATGCTCTCCGGAACAATGGGCAACCAAATCGGAGTCCGCGTTCATCTCAACCAGCCTCCACACTCGGTACTGTGCGACTACCGCGCCCATGTCTACGCCGAGGAAGGGTCTGGGTTAGCGGTGCTGTCTCAGGCGATGGTGACACCTGTCCATCCTGCCAACGGTATATACTTGACATTGGACGATGTCAAGAAGTGGACTATCCTCGGAGAGGATATTCATACGGCGCCGACAAAGGTGATCAGTCTCGAGGTGACCATTGGCGGAATATTAACTCCCATAGACGAGATACGAAGGATTTCTGAATTCGCGCGCGCCCATGATATCAAAGTTCATTGCGACGGGGCTCGCCTGTGGAACGCTTCTGCGGCGACTGGTTATTCTTTGGCTGATTACTGCCAGTATTTTGATACTGTATCAATGTGTGTATCAAAGGGACTTGGGGCACCCATTGGTGGAGTTCTTGCCAGCACTGAATCCAACATTAAGCGAGCTAGATGGCTAAGGAAGCAGCTGGGGGGCGGAATTCGACAGGCTGGTGTTTTGACAGCTCCAGCCCTGGTGGCGCTGAAGGAAGTATGGCCTAGCATGAAAGAAACGCATGAGATGACCAAGAAACTGGAGAAGGACTTGGCGGCGTTGGGCGTTGTGCCTCAAATCCCAGTTGATACCAATTTCTTTTTCATTGACGCTAAGAAATCAAATGTGGATATGGGCATTTTGTTGGAGCAGTGTGAGAAATTCAATGTGAAACTTATGGATGAGCGGATTGCTCTACATCATCAAATCAGCGACGAGGCAATTGAGAGCCTTAAAGCTGCCATTGCCGCGGCAGTGCAAATAACCAAGACATTACCGTCTGACTATGTCTCTAAAGTTCCATCAGGCGGGTATAATATCACCTCAAAAATGAATGAATATAGCTAGGTGGCGGGGTTCAGTGACGGGGATTCATTGACAGAACTACTTTTGAGAGGGGGTACATTCTTTCACTTGCAATGTCAAGAATTGCTTAAAGTAGGATTTTATTTCTGGTATCCATGATCAATAAAAGTAGTTGGGTTAGGTGAAGAATGGAACATCTGTGTACTGCTGCTAGAAAGAGCTACATAAATGCTTGTCGGATTGCTCAAACTGAGGAGTCAATTTCCAAACAACATTGTACCGTATGCCAGTATAAATGAGATGCTAGGTTGCAGTCTAATGGATGTATGAATGAATACTACCCAATTGTAAGTAACGCTATAGAAGTAAAACAAAAGCCTAGTAGCTCCAGGAAAGGAAGATTAGAAAGAAAATACGATAGGAACACTTTAAGAGAAAGGTGGTATTAATAGGCATCGATTTCTTAACACAACTAAACACTCTCAGTCGGATCTCCAAGCGCAGCTGCGGGCTTGTAGTCACTGAAATCGTATTCAACATCGTAGTCCTCCTCATCAACGTCCCCATCGCTAAGATCGACATCTTGGAGATTCTCCCCGTCATCGACCTCATTGTCTGTAAAACCATAGTCCTCCTTTCGGATCTTTTTCCAACTGGCAATAGTCTGTCTCCGTGTAAGACAGAACGGAAGCTTAGACAGCGGAACACATCCTTCTTGGGTCACTTCCACTGTCTGGCCAATTGAGCTGGCAGTATCAGTCGCCTTGTCCATTAAGATAATATGGATGAAAAATATCATCCCAGGCTGAGCAACCACGTTTTGGCCTCTCACAAACATGGGAAAATCCATCCATGTAGGCGAAAAAGTGGCACCTAAGCTATAACCGCAACTATTGAAACGTTGGTCCCGGAAGCCGTTTTCATCCGCCACACGAGCGTAAGCTTCGAACACATCGCCAATCTCTTTGCCAGGTTTAAGTGCCTCCATAGCTGCCTCCATTTGAAGTATATTAACCCGATGCATTTCTCGAGCCAGCTTTGTAATACCGCCAATAGGAATCGTGCGCATTAGACACGCATGATAATGCTTATAAACCGCGGCATGCTCAAGCGTGAGCTGGCGATCGATTTTTTGTTTACCCGTCGAGTAACGAGTAAGAACAGCCTTATTACCGGATACAAGGATATTCTCGTTCGCAGGATCATCTCCGCCACCCTCATAGACCGTGCCGGTAATTTCCCGCCATAAATCGCCTTCATAGGCACCGGGTTTGGCCAGCTTAAGGGCACGTATGAGCGCAAAATCAGCAAGATACGCGGCCTTTCGAACCTTGCGCATTTCAGCTTCCGATTTGATAATACGAAGCTCTCGGGTAAATAGATCGCTGTGATCCACTAGCACACAAAGGTCGTGAAGAGCTTCTTCCAGTGCTTTTCCCAGGCGGTGGGTCAGGGAGCAGGAATCAGGTTCATAACCGATTCGCTTGGATGGTGAGTTAATTCCAAACTCCTTCAGGACCTTGGGAACCAAGGATACGGGATTACTTCCAGCGTCGTCAGATCGAATGAGGACATCCTTCTGATCTAAAATTGACGTGTAGAGAGCCTGGCGTAGATCGGGAATTCGAGTGATCAACCGCATGGAACCATCCTTGTGGAAGTACATGGCTTGGAAGAAGACATAGCCGAAGGTATCAAAGCCGGTCAAGTAGTAAAGAGTTTCTTGCTTGGTTATGAGGAAGCCATCAAGCTCCTCTCTCTCCATGAGCTTCAGAGCCCGGCGTTGACGCTCTTTGAACTCAGCCTCTGAAAAGTACAGGGCTTTCTTGAAAGGCTCGGGTTTCTTGACTGGTACCATCTTTGTCCGAGGAAGAAGAGAAGTAAGAGAATTTTGAGTTGTTTGGTATGGAGGATACAAGAGCGCCGTCATTTCTTATATCCTGCCTACTGGGTTCTTATTGAGCTAACGTGGGGAGATTCGCTCGTTGGGCCCAATTCGGAGTATTAGTCCGAGTGTTCTATCCAGAGGGAAATTTCCCTCTGTGGGGTAAAGCCTGAACACGAAGTTGAGGGGAAACCCAATCTAAGAGACCGAATGCGGGAATTTAGCCCTTGTTGCCAGGCCTTAATTTTTGATGATCATACAGCGCTGTAACAAACCTAATTATAATTATATGAGGTAGAACAGGCTATGTACTAATTAAACCGTGGTGAATGAATGTTTAATATGAGGCTATATTCTTATAATTAAACTGTCTTTTTCGGTTATAGTACATATGTATAGGACCATGCCTCTAGTGGCTTCCAGCATAGAAGCCAGAAAAAACTAGTCTAGAATGTAATATCCGTTGTTTCTTCATTTATGCTCATACCGATGTTCCAAGGCAATTTATCATCACTGGCATGTCTGACATCGTACGTATGTGATTCTTTTCTCAGCGAAGTACCTTTGCGTACGAACAATGTATACAACCTTCTCTTCAGCTTCCCCTTCCAGAATGCCACCATTACGATCAGAATCGCCCATTCAACAATACCTCCTTCGGTCATTCATTTTGCGCTAAGTCTACCCCTCCCGTCATTACCAACGAGAATTGACATCGTGCTACATGCGAGATAAACTGTTCAAGAACCGAGATATTTTATCATATTTTTAGTTAAAAATCTACATATATGTACAGGATATCTACGGGAACGGTGCATCCGTCAGACGGCAGATCACTGACTTAATCTGGGTGTAGTTTTCCAGGGCGTAGGAGCCGAGTTCGCGCCCAAACCCAGACTCCTTGAAGCCACCAAAGGGGGCTTGGTAAGAGATCATATTATAGTTATTAACCCACACGGTACTAGGACCGGTTAGCCACTATGTATATATATGAGGGAAGAGATATTATTCGGGACAAAACGTACCCAGCTTTGAGGGCATTGGACATGCGAATGGCCCGGTTGAGGTTCGTCGTGTGCACACCAGCAGCCAGACCTGAGAAGGTATTGAGTTAGAAGAGGTATAACGAATTTGGTTCCTCAGAATTTGTTTAGGACGTACCATAACTGGTGCTGTTACCAATCTTGATGGCCTCTGCCTCATCCTTGAATTTTTGGACAGCAATAACAGGCCCAAATATTTCCTCTTGGGCGATCTTCATGTTCGGAGTGACATCAGTAAACACGGTAGGTTGGATAAAGTAGCCCTTGGTACCGTGACGCTCACCACCTAAAACAAGAGTAGCACCCTCCTTCTTGCCTTGGTTGATATACTCCATTATACGGTCGAACTGGACCTGGGAAATCTGGGGACCCTGGAATGTATCAGGAGCAAAAGGGTCACCGAGCCGGTTCTCAACAGCACGCTCTTTAAAACGGGTAATAAACTTGTCGTAGATACCCTCTTGGACTAGTAGGCGCGAACCAGCACAGCAACACTGGCCATGATTATAGAAAATGCCGAAGTTAGACCAGGAGATTGCGTTATCAATATCAGCGTCATCAAACACGATATTAGGTGACTTGCCACCTAGCTCAAGAGAAACTTTCTTCAGGTTACTCTTGGCAGCAGCCTGTAGGATAGTGCGGCCAACTAGAGTAGAACCAGTAAAGGCTACTTTATCAATATCCATATGGGTAGATATAGCAGCACCAGCAGTACGACCAAAGCCGGATATAACATTAATGACACCAGGGGGGAATCCAGCCTCAATAACTAGCTTGGAAGCATATAGTCCTGAGAGAGGAGTCTGCTCAGCGGTTTTAACAATAACCGTGTTACCGGCAGCGATAGCAGGGCCCACCTTCCAGGCCCATATAAGGATTGGAAAGTTCCAGGGGATTATCTGACCACAAACACCAATAGGCTCGTGACGGGTATAGGTCAGAGTCTCAGGACCGGTATCAATGGTCTGACCAGTAAGCTTATCTGCCCAGCCACCATAATAGCGCAGGCAGCCGGCAGCATTTTTGATGTCGGTCTTAGCCATAGTGAGAGCTTTGCCATTATCAAGGGCTTCAATAGCGGCTAGGGTCTCAATGTCGCGCTCGAAAAGGTCGGCCAGCTTAGTGAGCATACGGCCACGATCCGAGGGGGTTACCTCACTCCAGACCTCGAAAGCCTCACGGGCGACTTTGACGGCGATATCAACATCCTCTGCTGTACCCTCGTGGACGGCGACGATTGGCTTTTCGGTGGTGGGGTTCACACTCTCGAAGGTCTTACCTTTGACGCCTTTGATGAACCGATTGTTGATGAACCTAAAGCACATGAATTAGTGTCATGGAGGTTTTATAAAGTTATTGTTAGGGGAGGGGAGAAGGCTGGGGGGACGGACAAGCCCAATGGTTGCTCGAATGTGACAGTAGGGCTCTGGATGCTCGTGGACAACGACATGACTTGTACCCACAATGGATAGAGAGAGATGATAGAAAGAACAGGAAGATGAGAGAGCTCACAGGGTCGGTTCTTATAGATGACAAAAGCTACGGTCGATCTTTAGTGTTAGACCGAGCTCGGAGCACGGAAAACTGGACAGTAGCTCAGTATTTGCTAGCTACTGTAACTACATTGATTCTGCTATAGTTTTTTAAAAGTCTTCCTTCGGGAAAACTCTCCATTTTTGGGGCAGTCATCGATCTACTTCTGTTGCTAGGGCTGTATACCTTAGATTCAGCACGTAAAACCATCTTATCCCGACTGAGGGAATAAGAATGTACATTTTATGGTTTACCAGGATGAAATGCCTCCCTTTTTCAGATGCCAAACTAGGCACAAAATACGACTGTTACTATATTTTGTAAGTGATACTATTCATTGGCCTAAGGATAGCATAGATTTGCTACATTTAGATGAAGGGGGGGGGGCTTGCTCTGAATAATGTGAAAGAAAGGGCCTATTATGAAAACTCTCGATTTGTGAAACAATGTTGCTGGTTATGAATGGTGATTATGAAGTTTTTGGTTTTGCTATTATTGCGTTATGGTTTACGGTCCTATAATCATTATTATAGGGTAACATATTTCAGAAACACCCTGTGTACCTACATAATGCATATTAAAATGGCAAATTTCAATACTTTAACGTCTTAATGCTGATATATATTATTATTGGGTTATTAAAGTGTTCAAAATGGCGATATAATATGCATTATGTGCTGGTGCTTGTGAAATACGTTCTAATAGCCTTACTAATTACATAGTACGTTCCGGGCGGTGTAAGATTCCTATATGGGTCACTAGGCGGAATAAGATGCCTATTGCCATTTGGCCGTTTGGCCATTTTCAGCCCAGTACCCCGCATGCCCAGAGATAAGCAGATAGGCTGAAATTATAGTATTTATTTAATTCATACTTAGTAAATCGCCTAGTACTTAGTACACCAGCAATTTGCGTTGATAACAATAGAATTGATAAGACTACTAATGCTGAGATTTTTCCAGTTTAACCAACTATGTTCTTTTAAGTAGATCTTGGGTGCTGTCAGCAAACTCTTCACAGATAGCGACCTTAAAGTTGGGTATGTAGCGAAATTTAAAGTAGCATGGGTGGATTAGAGGTGTGTGAGAATTAACTGTATAGGTACAACGTTCCTAGTGGTATTTGAAGATGCTAGGGCCATTTGTTGCACAAGAAGACCTAAGTTAGTCAGCAATTGCTAGAAATGGGGTTTTTATTAATAGTCAAATAGGCGGCGATAGATAAGCAAGGAAGCGAGCAAGTTCAATCAACACTACACTACACCAGTTCATTAAAAAGGGTGAGAAATTGATGCAGAAAGGGCTAATTTTACAAAAGAAGTCAACAAACAAGCGAAAAGCAACGAAAAACCACGAAAAAAAAAAGGCAAACTCAAGGACGCAGATGTCGTGCTTATATTTTATCGATTGGCCGGTTGAGTTAACTGTATCGTATCTCGTGTTTGGAATTAGATATGGATTACGTCAGCCCCGCTATCTTATCTCACTATCTCAGACCGAGGACGAGGAACACATTCACTCCTCCAAGCAACCATTAATCACCGCAATATGCGAGTGACCAAGGGCTGTGTTCGCTGTCGCCATCGTCATGTCCGCTGTGTGGTTCCTGTTGGCGCCTCTTCATGCTCTTACTGCACGCGCTTAGGCCAACCATGTCATTTAGAGCCGCGCTTCAAGTTCAGGCCTGTCCGCCATATATATCAACAGTGTGATAATGCTCCAGCCCGCTTCGACCTTGTCTGGGATGACCAGCAGGTCTGGGTGGGTGTCTCCCGGCCAGGTATGCCCCCTTTGGAGTGACAACATGGTTGGTCTAGTGACAAGAAGATATTTCAGTGACTTTTGTTCCTGAGACCGACGATGTCGCGCATGAATCGCCTGAATTAGAGGACAAGAACCAGGAGCCTGAGCTATCATATCCATCACCCGATGATAGCCAACTGATACCTCCAGATGCGGTTGAGTCTGTTCCGACCGATATCTTCTTAGATAGTACCCCCCACCCTGGACCCATCGACGCCTCGTCACTATCCCTACGAGAGGCATTTTTAATCCGCTCTTATATTCAAAAGATCGCAGCCGTGGTGAGTCCCTTATGGGCGACTGACATGACACGTGATCTAACGGCAGCAGGCAGATATCTGTGACCCCCAGTCTCACTTCAGCACCGAAGTCCCACGCCGAGCACTCGAGGAACCAATGCTCTTGAAGGCTCTCCTGGCACTCGCTTCCAGACATGATGCCATATTGACAAATCACAGCGACTGTGAAGCGTCGGCCTTTCATGGAGAATGCCTGGAGCTACTTATCGTCGCCCTCAATGAACCACAGGAGAACTATGAAAATCTCCTCCTCACCGTGGTGGTGCTTCGGTTCTACGAAGAATTGGAGGGGAATACCGATAGGAAATACCACCTCCTTGGGTCTAACCGCCTGCTTAATATTATGTCTCGATCAGCATCTTCTGGGGGATTGGCCGAGGCCGTGAGCTGGCAATTCCTGCGCCAGGCCATTTACTCATCCATAGTTCAGTGTGAGCCGATGCAACTGGATTTGCGGAATTATGAGCGATCCTCAGTCTTTCATCGCGACGATGATGCGGCCCACGCCAACTCTATCATATTTTTATGTGCATGCATCATTCAGCAATCCTTCGCCGCGCCAGGGTACGCCATTGACCGGAAAAGCTGGCAGCGCCTGGCGGACTGCGTGGAGGAGTGGCACTGCAACAAGCCGAGGACCTGGCAACCAATGCGATATGACGCTCCCGACCTGACCTCGAATCGACCCTTTCCTGAATTGTGGATCATGTCGCCCCCGGCCGGTCTGTCTCGCTTCCAAACCTCCTGATGAAACACTAACTCTTTTTCTAGTGGTTGGTTTGCAGTATTACCACGCTTCTAGCATATTTCTCACCTTGTCGGACGCACCGTCGCAGCAGTTGACGGACTATGAAATGGCTCGAGCTCGACTCGTTGCAGAAGTCTGTTTCAGTCTCTTCCCTGTCATGTTTCATCGCTGATATTGAGAATAGAAAAAGATTGCCAGTCATATAGTCACGGCCATTGGACTATCATTATCGAATGAAAGTGTTCAAAATAGCTATTTCATAGCATCGCACCTGCTCCAACGTTGTAAGTCAATGTCTTGATAAAACTCTTGGGGCTTTCTGATGCCTTATATAGTTGGATATTGCCTACGACAGCCCGCCCAACAGCAGGGAGCACTACAGTTTCTGTCTCGTGTAGAGAAGAACCTCGGCTGGCGCACCTCGTGGATCGGGCAAGAATTAGAGCGCCAATGGGTGGAACTGGCGGCCGTTGGCTCCATAGGTGATTGAGACATTCTGTTCTCTTTGGCGACAATTAGGTTTCTACTCCAGAAACCAGTCACGCCCAGCAAGCTCTTGTTGGATTTGCGACACAATCCATTATATGCCTGGTTGCACTTAACTCCGGTCAAGTAGTATCACAATTTCGACGTGAAGCGGGTGAGGTGCTCTCACTAGCTGTCTGTAATTATTGCCAAGGCAGCACTTTATGCATAAATGCCAGGCAGCCAAAGTGGTTGCAAACAGAGTGACCCTTATTTCTATTCAATGTTCCTCAGTTCTACCTCTGGGCCTTACTTTCAGTGGGCCTTATAGTGTTGATATTGAAGGACTCACCTCGCTAGAAATCTATCACCTTCCTTTGGTTCGGGTGGTAGGTTTCTTTTTCATTTCCAGCTCTGGAAGAAGCTGCACTTTACAGAAGTCAATTTGAGCGACCAGCCTTGATGGATGACATCCATGCAAAATGGTGATATAACTGACATTTACTTTGTTATATGAATGTTGGCACTATTATACTAGTCTTATCAAAAAGACAATAGTAAAGCCAGACTTTGTCTTTGCCGTCAAACATTAATCCCTTGGTTGGCCTGCCGGAATTCCCTGGGACTAAGGATTTATCACATAAATAACTATGCAAATAACCTTACTTAAATCAGTATCAGTTGATTTAATCATGACTATCTTATTTAGTCAGTGCTGTCTTTAATCACATTATTAGATATTTATATGATGCAATATCATATAGTAATAGAAATATTATAAATAGATGAGAAATTAGGACTATAAGCGTATAACATTTACATCAATCTAGTTGTCATGATATTGAAGTTTTTGATCAAATAGATCACTGTACGTAATCTAACCTTTATATCAAATTTATTAGTGGGTCTGATGGTATATAATTAGTCAAATAAGGCTGAAATTCTTGAAATTAGACAGTAAATGAGCCTATCAAATTAAAACTATGATCCATTTTATTACCCTATTCAGCCAACAAGTTTCTATCTAATACCAAGTATGTAATCTTTCCAATGGTATTTGACCCAGGTATCCATCATTGTCAGTTTGAGATGGGACTAACGTTACCTGGACCAAAATATGAACTATAGATTATTAAATATGTAGGTAGATGAAAATATTGTTTATTACTTTCTCTCTTGGTTATTTACTATCCGGCTTGTCTTATAGCTTGAGGACTTCCCAAACTTACTACCTGGCGGCAATCAGCAACTTCTACGGGCTGAGGCGGGCCGGGCCGGTAGCGGCCGTGGATTCGGCAGTTGACATTGAGTGAGGCCCCAGGACTCCAGGGTTGTCTCAAGCTCAACATGGACTAATAAATTGAGCCCGACACCATGTCTGTGACTGTAATATCCCTGAGACAAAGCTCCGGTCTTTTTGAGATACAACCCGGGGCGTACAGTATCTCTGTGCAGTACCGATTTTATCGAAAAAGAGCCGGTGTGGTCAGCAGAATCTCCTTAGCCCTAGCGACCGTGTGATGCGGCCAGACAGGAGAGCAGTGAACTGCTGTAGGTAAATAGCGTATGGCTGATACCCTCATGATTATTCCAAGGACAAAGTTTGCTCTACTCTGCTCCTGTACTGTACTTGAGATTCACGTTGTCTGTCTGCATTAGATTTATTGTAAGCATATATTTAACACAATAGAGATGGTCTCGGATCCCATCCCCTCCTACAGCCACTAACTTGACTATATAATTACTGCGCTGGCACCGTTCGTCCTCTAGATCCTCCTCAATCGACCCCCAAGATCATCATTCGTAATGATTTGGCCCTTTTATATGGGAAGCGCATAGTAAAGTGACTTTTGACGTTGAGCTGAAGTTTGCGTTGAGCTGGTGCGTACCAACAATGGGAGCGGTTGGTGCGGCGCAGGATGGCATGGTTAGAGGTAGACAATTGAGTGAGGGATCTAGAAGTAAACAGAATTAGGATTTCAGTATTTCTATGCGCTAAGCTGACTACAAATGGAACGCTCTAGATATTTTTCAAAATTCAACATGATATGTATCATACGTAAGGTTTTTCTTTCTGTCGTGTGCGCAATATGCCCAACACGATGATCAAGTTGGAACGTCCCCAAACTATACCACTCTACATCTCTCCACCTCCAATCAATCTACACGGTATTCACTTCGTCGCCACGTGATCCCTTACTCCCTACTTTGCCGCTTCCCTCTCCTTCTTCGCGGCTGCCTTTTCCTCATTCTCCTCCTCCTTCAGTCTCCGCCTTTCTCTCCACTCCGGGCCCCATTTCATGATGACTAGCAGGATTGGAGAGAAGGCCATGCAGAGGAAACCGAAGAATGTGGACGCCCATCCGCTTCCCATGGCATTGATCATGGGGATGATGGCGACCGTAGCGGCCGCACCCAGCCCACACCTCACGAGGTTGTTAGCAGCCGCGACTTTCCCTGCGCCAGCGGGATTCAGGTCAACTAGCAAGATCGACATGATGGTGAAGCACAAGGCCGCAGAGGTAGTCAGGATGAAGAGGAAGATCAACGGGCCGGCCAGGTTGGTGCCATAATGGATGCACCATCCGTAACCAATGGTTGAGAGTGCCTGGATGGTGAACACCGGAAGAGCAATCTCCAAGCGGGCCTTTTCGATGGGAAAGTGCCGCAGGTCAGTCTGCTTGGTCTTGACGAGTGGGAAACCAAGGTTTTTGGCGTACCGTCGGTAATTCAGGTCCACAGCCCTGCCGCCACCGAGCACGGCAAGCATGGCACCGAGACCGATAGGTAAGAAACAAAGCGCGATTTGGATGTCGTTGTAGTGGTAAACCAGGGTGAACTGCGAAGGGATGGATGAGATAACAGCGTAGTAAGAGGCGAAGGAAACGGCCACGGCGAAGAGGGTTAGTCCAACCTCCATTTCAAAGATCACGGCCAGAGTCTCAAGCGGATTGAGGATTGTAATCTTATTTGCTTTGGGGCGGTCCTTATCAGCCGCGTGGTGCTTCTTGAGGTGGTAGTGGGTTAGAACAGACATATTCCACTTGGGAGGAGGGATAGTGCCGTCGCCAACAATCTTACGGCACGTCTCGGGGTAGAAGAGAAGCATGATCAAGAAGATAACACCGGACGAGATGAGCAGGAACCAAAAGACGGAGCGCCATCCCAAGTAGTGGTTAAGGAGGCCACCAATGATGGGACCGATACCAGGACCTGCGGAAAATTAGTTTTGAGACGCTCAAGATTGGGAGAGAACTACAGAAGAAAAGGTACGCACCAATAAATTGTCCTGATGATGCCCAGCCCGTAAAGTATCCTCTCTCTGATGAAGTGGCAATATCAGCAACCACGGCACTCGCAAGGGCAATGGTGCTGCTGCTGCCGGCGCTCTGAACCATTCGCAAAACGAGGATGGCAGCGTAGTTGGTCTGCAGCGCTAAGCCCAGGTTGGCCCCAAGATAAATAATGAAGCAGATGATGAAGGCTGGGCGTCGTCCCGCGCCGTCAGAAACGCCTGCGATGAGGGTCGGGGCGATTCCTTGGAGGATCTGAGCCGTTAGTTAATTGTATTTAGATGACAAAGAAGGAGATTTGGGTGAACTGACCATGTAAGTGGTGACCGTCAAATTGGTCAGAGTGTTACTGACATTATAGTAGCGGGCGAGCACATCAAAAATAGGATAGTAGATGTTGGCACTCAGGGGTGAGAAGAAACTTGACGCCGATACCATGATGACCAGAAACATCTTCAAAGGATAGCTGAACGAGGAGTAGTCAGGCTGGGCCGACGGAGTAGGCTTCTCGACAGCGGGCTCGGCGGACACGTTCCCATTATTTATATTGTTTATGGTCTTCGCTGCGCTCTTCTCTATGGTGATTTCTGTGCTTTCCGCTTCCCCGCCCTTTGTGGTTTGTGGAAGTGTATGGGAGAGCGGTTCCTTGGGGGTAAAAGGCATCGCAATGGTAGTCGTAGTGAGGCTTTCCTCCTTCGGAGGGTGAGTGGCCTTGATACAGAGACGTGAGCTGCGGCAAACAACTCAGTTGTAGATAGTATGGACAGAGACAATATCGACAGAGTAGGCCCTGCACCGGGCTCCTCGCAACACCACAATTATGGAGAAAGGAGTAAACACATAAACTTACGGAGAGAGAGAAGAGAGAGGAGAGAGGAAGAGGGTGTTGGTTTTCTAAGCCTGTTAAGGCTCAAGAAATAATTATATTTAACATTGAGTGTTTTGGGTTAGGGTTACTGAAAGCTCCTAGGCCGTTATTTGGTCCGGTTCCAGTTGTGACACCAGGAACCAGAGCCGGAACCGGATCAGAACTATAACTGTCAGTGATCAGTGAGAAGTTGACCGCTTTGACATCCGGTACCGGTTCGAACCGGACCGAATGACAGGCTCAGAGCTCCCCTCCGCGAAGCTTTTCTCTCGCGTTTCCGGGCTGCTAATAATTGAATCACATTGGTTGAGAAGAAAATAGCCCCGGCATATTCTAAAAATGAAGAAATAAGAAAATAAAAACATATAAATACTTTCTATAGAAGTCTAATTTTGAATCTACTTAGAGTGATGATAACTCTAAAATTATATAAGCGAATATAGTTAATCCTTAGGGCTAGATAAGTACTACTACTCCCGCTCAGTAAAATTGATATTTCGAAACCAATAAAAAAAAGAAATACTAAACATAAAAAATTTCACTCTTTTAGTATACAATATTTCATTTATACTACAGATTTAGCGCAATATTGATCATCGATTGACTGGATTAGTGCATATTGATCAATTCGATTAGGATATCTAAAACGTTATAAAGTTCCCCTCTTATACAAGCTAAAATATTTCATAAACCATTTCAAATAACATTCCTACTAATACTACTACTACTACCACTAGGCTGCCTTGCATTCCATATTAGTAGATAGATGACCAACTAACTCAGAAGAGCCGGCGTCAAGGCGGGTGCGCGGTGTTCGGTAACCGGGCGTTTAGAGAGAGGGACTGGGATGAGACGGGCTAAGGATAATAGTACTGAGGAGGGTGACGATGTTGGTACTAATATTATTATACGACCAGGGATCTGCGCTGCACGCTAACTATATATCTAAAGAGTCAAACTATGATTAACATCCATACCGGGGTTCAAGCCTCAATTAATCATACTGGTATTTAATCTTGTATATTTTAGCAATTCTTCTTTAAAAACACCGCCAATAATTCTTCAGGTGTCGATGCCAATACCAGTTTTAATGCTAACTGCAACTTTCTTCACGCGTGAAGATATTTTCATATTTTTTATATTACAATTTTCGTATAATACAGCGAATATCTCATTGATTCTTGTGCATTGTCAGAATAAAATTAGGGGGTTTGTATCTATCGTCTCTAAAGGCACGCTAGCAGCCCCAAGGGCCTGTGAGGTACATGTGCACGAAATTGTTCCGAGGCGAACATATCATCACCGCAGCAATTTAGCCCTACCCTAACTCCAAATACTGCAAGTAATGAAGATCCTCTTCTTTTCCATACCACTAATTTACGAGTGGGTAGTTCTAAAGGTCAGTTGCAGACATTTTTGAGTAGTGAAGATCATGTTGGCGAATAATAATGATGCCCGCGTTGTTTTGTTGTCCTTTCTTTTCCTAAAAGTCAAATCACTCACCAACGCAACCCTGAAATACTTCAGCTGAGTGGGTTCTCAATAGTTTGGTTTTCGCTTGACAACGTCTTATCGCTTCTGTAGGTCAACACCCGCCCTGCCACCCAAAATACCATTCTATTGCAGGCGGGATAAATTGTGAGCATTTTTAAGGAGAATAGGCAGCTGAACGGGCTGTGATGCCATTTCTCAGGCCTATAGTAAATGGAATTGACGAAGCATATCAGATAATATAGCAGAGTGGGCTCAAATTTTGTAAGTATGTTCACCTATTAGAATAGCCAATAAGACGTTATTTGGAAAGATCCAAAAAGAGGAATGTCATCTTAGGCAAAGTAACCAAGCCGCTTTCTTACAAGTACCACGCGAGGAATCCCACTAAGCGATATCATAGGATGTTAGCATAGGTTGATATATACCGATAAACCCCTAATCCCCTGAAAAGAAAATCCCATTGTAAGCTCTGTGCAGTCTGGCTTGTTTTACATGTATTTCTTTCTATCATAGTCCCCCCCGGCATCTTTCTATTCCATTATCTCCAGAGACTTCCTATTTCAAAGGATATTGTAGCCCGATTATCACGTTGACACATTAAGAATGCGCTCCAGTCTCCTGTTTGTGCCGTTTCTGGTGGCTACTGCTGTCTCTACCCCGAAGCCCAACCATCTCACTCAAAGGGAAACTCTCATCGATGACCTCGGCGACCTTCTAGATTTGGGCATATTTGATCTGAACTCTTTCCTACATGGCGCACTGGGTCTTCAGCTCTTTGACTCCATTTCTCCCCAAGCAGCTGCAGCGTTAGCTGGAGCCGCTGAAGGTGGTGTGTCAAGTTCTTTCAACTCTTCATCCAAGGGTGAACTTCAAACCTGGATAACTGGCAGTGGAAGTATCTTCATGGACCAATCCGTCAGGTCTGCTGTACAGAACTGGGCTACTAGTGACTCTTCCTCCGTACTTTCGAGCAATATACAAGCCGGACTGTCGATGTACGTTCCTGCTTGCTCTGCAATTGCCTCGCAAGCTGGAATCATAATCTCAGTTGGCGGTATTCTATCTCAACTGAGCGTAACCGGTCAGGCTGTATTGGATGCTGCGTCCAAAGCCGCCCTAGAGGGGTTCTTAGCAGTTGAAGCCGATCTCGATACCCTCGGCAAAGACGCCCTTCAGATAGCTGCAGCTGGTGGTTCAGCCTTATCTGCATCTGCAGAAGCCCTGGATGCTGTTGCGGAGTACTTGGAGAGTGATGCAAATAAGTTGGGTGCCGCCTTGACAGCGGCTATTAAGAGCTGGGCAAAGAATATCATTTCGGATGGTGTTGTGGTGTTCGAGGCACTGGGCAATGATCTGGAGACTGCTATTGCTGCCACTTCCATTTCTGGTTCTGTCTCTGATAATGTGAACGGTGATGGAGCCTTGAGTGGCTCCGCTCAGCTTGCTCTTGCTGGGTTGTTGAATGTGACAGCTGCTGGTACATTTAATGGTTCCCTCAAAGCGTCTTTAGACCTTGCTATTGCCGGTGGCTTCGCTATTCACCTTAGTACTGATGAAGTCAAAGAGCTTGTTGACTACCTCGAGAGTGAAGCTTGCGTCTTTACTGCACACCTCAAAGCTACCCTAATCTACTGGCTTTACGTGGGTGTCAAGGATGTTCAAGCAATTGAGAATGTGATTGTTGCTGATGCTAAGGCGGTATCTGAATTTCTCGAGAGCGCTGCTGCTGAGGGTCTGACTGCTATTGCTCGAGGCGCCATAGCACTTGCTGCTGCTGGTCGTGATATCATTATTTTGTCCGAGAAAGCTGCTGCTGAACTTGCTACTATCCTGGCTGCAGCCACCAATCTCACTATTTCGATTGGCATTGACGATCAGTTAATTGACTGGCTCCTTGGCATTAAGCGTCAAGGATAACTCTGCCAAACTTCAACTGTCATTTGGATACGCTATTCCGTTTACAACATCAACATCTAGTGGTGTTTTTTGACTTTTACTCTCCTTAATTCTTAATATTCCCCTAACCCTCGACTTCACTCATTCTTTCGGACTTTTATTCCGAATGGATTTATCGCAGATTTGTTTTGAAGAGCGAAAACATGCTACAAGGCCGTGTTTGGCTGTTAATGGGAGATAATTATATCAATATGTCTGGTCCGTCCTAAATTCGATGTTAAAGTTGTTATTTCGCATTATCATCAAGGTTATTAGTTCATTTTCCTGATCTTCTCTGTCTTTTAATTCGGGCCGCGTAAAGGTGTTGGGATTTCTGAAGAGAAATAAAACAAAAATTTAATATAACATCCAACCTTTGGTCAGTAGAATTTACCATGGGTTGCTCGATGAGTCAAGGCTATAGGTATCCACGTCGCTTGGGATCATGCTATTTGGCATATATATATATATATGTGCTAGAGCCTCCAGAGGTGGCGCAGGTGGGGCGCGGTCCGCTTTGAACCAGTCGAGAGCCAGGCAGGCCTGGTTCTTCAGCAACACTCATCTATCAACCGATCTTATTGTCAGCCAATCGCTCTGGCTCAACAGCTTAGAGAATCCTCATTTAGCCACGCAAGATGGACTGGGATTGTTTGTCTTTCAACGCAGCGACATTTATTGCCGGAGTGATAGTTCTTGATCTCGGAGCCGACAAGTTCATTGATCATACTGTTGTGGTTGGCCGTCGTCTAGGTATCCCTCAGACGCTCATTGCATTATTGACTGCCGGCGCTGAATATGAGGAGGTGTGTCAATATTGGATTGCTATTTCGACCTTGTTTGACTAATTATAACAGCTTGCCGTGGTTGTTGCCGCAGTCCTGCAACACCAGACCCCATTAGCTATCGGGAATGTGATGGGATCGACTATCTCTAATATTCTTGGGGCTTTTTCTCTGGGTCTACTCTTTCACTCGGGGTCGATTGATTTTGATTGGAGCGCAAAATTATACACTGTTGTTCAGTTTCTCATCACGACAGTATTCGTCGCGCTGGCCTACTTCGGGAAGCTCAATAAAACAACAGGTGTTATCTTGATAGTTTTGTTTATTGTATATCTCATCACAATCGCTTATGCCATCTATCGTGGAGTCATTGATCCTCCGTCGCAGTGGGACAGTGATAGTGATAGCGATAATGAAAACGATGATGAAATTGAGGATTCTGAACATGCAAGACCAGCTGCGTCCGAAACGTCGCCTCTTCTAAATGGCGAGCATTCCGGAAATCTTCACGAGCGAACCAACACCTTCCGCTCCCTTTTCTATCATATCTACCAGCTATTGATCGGGTTTTTATTACTTTCAATATCCGGCTTCATCCTGTCTCATAGCGCCAACAAAATCGCCGAATACTTTAATCTGTCTGGGACCGTTATCGGTATTACCATTTTATCATTTGCCACTACTTTACCGGAAAAGTTTGTTGCCGTGATAAGTGGCTCCCGCGGCCACAGTGGTATCATGGTTGCAAGTACTGCTGGAAGCAACATATTTCTCCTTACGCTATGCATGGGTATTGTGGCTGTTACTGGAATCCCAGAAGATTCTACTAGTGCATTTACGTTATTTGAACTCGCAATTACCTGGCTATCATCTGCCTTGCTTTTGTTAATAGTTGCATTAGGTCTGGGCCACTTGGCAGGTATTACCTTGCTAGCTGTTTACATTACCTTTTTAGTTCTCGAATTCACTGTGTATAGGAGATGACATATGCATTACCAGAGTTTAGAACTAGTATGTAAATTAAACGTCTTCCTCTTTCATTTATAATGAAATTCCAGATGTCTATTCGAAAACATTCCAGTGGCAGAGTGTTAAGAAAAAAGCCTAAAGTTTATTGTGAACATTAAAGCTTAGCAATTGCATTATACAAAATACATCAATATGCTCATGTAGATGCTGTGTACCTAGAATCAGATATTATTATCATAGTAAGATATGCAACTTTTTGCCTGGTACTGTAGAGTGATTTCCGAGGCTCGCCTAATTAGCTCAACCACTTTAGATATATGAACAACGCTGAAACGCTGCCATTACACAATTTGCTATTCTCATTAGTGACTTTTCCTCATTGCAAATACGAAGGCTGGCATGAAGATTTGGGTTGATTGGCTACGTCTGCGTCTGGTTCCAGATACTACTAACTGTAATGCGGTCTTCCCAGCCGGGGCTAGAGCCACTAACAACCCGGTAGCCAATTTTCTTTTTCTCGCCTCTGCGCAACAGAAATGCATTATCGTCGAAGACGACGATTACGTCGGAGTCTTGTGGATGGGGAGCAATCCAAGTAAACACGCTCACTCCCTGTTCCGCTATTGACTCAAAAGCGTTGTCATTTCCATTACCATTGTCAATCCATCGAATCTCTGAGCCTGGTTCGAATATCTTGGCCTCGCTGAGTGGTGCAGCCGTGAAGAAATTAGATGAGAGTAATGTGTCTTTGTGCTTATCCTCGCGTTGGGCTGTGTTGCTGTCACGGATAAGTTGGCTACCAGCAAGGCGTTGTTCTTTTCTGGGAGGCCCACAATATTGTAAGAGGTATTTAGCTCGGTGATGTTAATTGTTGTTAAAACAGTTGAGTTCACAGTCCCAATATTAAACTGCTTATATGAGATGTCTGGAGGCTGATGAATAGGATTGACGTTATAGTCAATCCACTCCCAGCTAGCTTCGCCTGACACATCGTTCCACAAGTCGGATACGGCATACATTGTCAGTATTCCAGAAGCTAAATTATGTCCTGGTGCGATGATGACGGTCTGATATATATCCTTGATGGCGTAAAATACGGCCTTCCACCGGCCGTCGTATTCCCTGCTAGACCAGGTTGGTGCCTGCCAGATATCGTTGAGCTGCCAATATAATGATCCTAGTTGTCGTCGTGGTAGCCCAGATCCAGCACGGTAGTATACTCGTTAGTCTTCTTGAATTACACTATAAAGTAACCTTTTTCCGTAAATGGTCAATTCATCTCCTTACAACTAGAGAAGGAACAAAGAGTATACTTTTGAAGAATTTGAGATTCTAAGATATGGTGAAATTTGGCATCGAGTAGCTCAATCCTCATATTTTATTAATGGTCTATAACCCATCCCACATTAGACTAACAAACTCGGTCAATATTCTGCGGGGTGGTGCGGGGTGTAGATCATATAGAATAATACAACAATGCCCATGTTTTTGAGGCTTTCATATAGATACGGTTGAGGAACTAGGAAGAGTATTACAAAATTTAACTTATTCCATTGTCTAGCATCTTCAGTGCTAGTTATACATATACACAAATGCCGTATATATACAGCTCTAAAGCCATAAGGAACCCTATAACCTAGCCTGCTTGGAAACAAGCTGCTCCCATTCTTTAGGTCCAAAGTCTACATACCTCGAGTCGGCTCCCGGAGCCAACCACAAAATCCTGTCGTCTTTCCCGGCCGGCTCCTTGGAGCCCTTTTTTGCTGGATCCACACCTTCTTCTCGCAGAGGTACTTTGTTTTGCTTATTGTTATGGATATGAGACGATGCTTTAACCACTCTCAAAAAGACCGGCACTGCATACCGCGGCAATTTTGAACGGGCAAACCGAGCGAATTCTGCCCAGTCAAAGTTACTCTCATCAGAGAGCTGTATTGCTGCGCAGCCAGCCCGACCTTCGTGATTGGGGACAAGTACTCCGTACACATTCGCCTCGGCAAGGCCAGGGAATTGGCCTAGAATCTCAGAAACTTCAGCCGTGGCTACATTCTCACTCTTCCACCGGTATGTGTCTCCAAGGCGGTCCATGAAGTACCACCGTCCATCGGGCAAGCGACGCAGCGCATCACCAGATCGATAGTAAATGTCACCCTTTTTGAAGACGTCTAGCGCATATTTCTTGTCTGTGGCTTTGTTATTTCCCCAATATCCTTGAAACGCCGCTTTTTCTGGAATGGTGACAAGGATTTCTCCCCCATCTTCGAATGCTTGACGCTTGGCGAAACCGGTTTTAGGGTCTCGCCAGATATCGCCCGTTTCATGGTCAATGGCGACTGGTACGTATAGCTTGCGGAGAGCGAGACGTAAAAGGAGACCATGGTGACCGACAGCACCCGCAGTATAGGGACCTCTGTTATAGTTGAGGAGGGTAAGCATTCCCTCAGTACTGTTGAAAAACTCCATAACATCCTGGACACCAAAGCGCTCTCTAAAACGTTCCCAAATATCTGGACGCAAGCCGTTGCCGTACATGCCGACAACCTTGTGGTCCTTGTCACTGCTTGATGGAGGGTTGTTGAGCAGATAACGCACCGTCTCGCCGACGTAGATGAACCAGGTAGACTCAGAGTCCCGAATCTCTTTCCAGAAGTTGCTTGCGCTGAATTTCTTTCCGATAGCAACAGGTACACCGCAGACCAACATTGACATGGTCACGATGGCGCCAGTTCCATGATACAGCGGCATGCAGTTGTACCATCTAACCCCATCTGAGGTATCTTTCGTGCCCATACGGGTATGAGCACCGAAATAGAATCGCTCCATCGTATACGCACATCCTTTCGGCAAGCCTGTCGTGCCTGATGTATAAATCAGGCTAACGGGGAAGCTATTGGGGGTGTTGAGTCGATACTTCACATCTGGAACTGTTCTGGGAAACTCTGAAATCAATTTCAGGGTCTCTCTGAGAGGTAGAATCGTCAGCCCTAATTCCCCCTCTATGACGGATCGGCTCTCTTCGATTCTCTGCTGGCATCCGTCGTCGTAGTCATCAACAATCATGATCTTCGCTTCAGGAACTTTCAAGCAGTGAATGAGCGATTCTCCATTGAGATTATAATTGATTGTTGCAGGAGCACAGCCTATACTTAATAGGGCTAACCAAACGAATAGAAATTCGGGACTGTTCGTCATGTACATAGCTACCAACTGGCCAGGTTTAACACCGAGCGAGAGAAAGTAGTGTGCAAACTGCGACGTTATTTCAAGTGATTCTCGATACGTATACGAACGTTCGCGGGACCAAATTGCTTGCACGTCCGGGTATTTGTTGGCGCTCTCCTCGAATAGAAAGAAGGCGTTGATACGTCCATCACTGACTTGACCAGAGTGAGCAAATTAACGAATTCAATCAAAAGATTAAATATACACAAACGAAAAACCTACCCGCTTTAGCAGTGATTCGTTCGCCTTTCTTCAAACGATATAAACCCTGTAAATCTGAGACAAGACGCCATTTTGCATTGGCGTAGGCTAAGGCCGTCGTGCTCCCAGCGACTGCTGCGGCGATGGTTACTAATAATCGATCGTGGAGTCAGTGATTTGATAATTCTTTCCGGCAAGATGATAATTGACTAATGTTGGCCAAATTTCGGTTGTGAGCAGTGTACTGTACCGGGATCCATCGATGGTGTTTTGTAGTAGATCGGCACTAAAACAACAACCCTGTCAATCCTTTGACTCGTGATTCCAAGACACTGAATTTCGCCACCAGCATGCTTTATTGATCGATAACAAGAGTCTGAAAGGCATCCTGTCTGCCTCCAGCTTATAAATGAAACGGAGCCAGGGGACTTACGCACGCAAGGATGTACCGAGAGCCGATGCAAGCGTCAACCACCCCCGCACAAGATCAGCAACCAGCAGCATTGTCCCATAATAAAGCCCAGAAATACAATGCAAGACCGATACCATCAACTGAAATGGCATAGCACAATACAGCACTGAGCCCATCGACCAATGCGTGGCCAAACCGCCTTGAAGCATCCTCGGCTCAACTCAATGGGCCAATGGGAGGATCCTCCGCAGTTGGAGAAGCTTCCAGCGAGGCCGTGGTTGGCTGGTTTTTGTGGGGTAAATATCAACAGAATGGAGCCATTCTTCAACAGTTTACTATTTACTACGTATTTACTAGTTAATAGAGATATATCTGCCAAACACCACCACTTCACATGGAGACTAGCCACAAAACAAGTCTCCGGGAAGGTTGTGAACTTTGGCTTATTGTTATGTGATATCAAATCAGACTGAATGAGTACGAATTTTCAATATTGGGGTAGCCCAACGCCATCTAGTAAACTAAACCCATCACACATATATACGCAAGTCTATACAGTCAATAGTCGACGTCAAATTCACATTGATGCACTATACACCATTGAATCCATGCCTCAATCCATTAACCAAAGTTAAATCATTAACCCAAGTTGAATAACTATTCAGACTCTCACCACACCCCCACGAGAAACTGCGTGAATCCTGTCGCGTCGACGCTCGTATCCAAGTTCCCGCACTGCACAAAATTGATATTTGCAGAATCACCATAGTAATGAGCTTGCAGTTCCGCCGCGCTAGCTACACAGGTCTCATTGGCGAGGAAGCCCGCAAAGACCAGCGTAGAGTCTGTACTGCTGTCATCCTGGATGAACATGTAACTTTGTGCGAAGAAGCCGACGTCGGTGCATTCACCGACAGTTCCCGAGGGACCGGTGATGTCTGGTGCTCTATGGAACATTATGGTTAATAATTATCTAATAATTTCAATGTTGATTAAAAATCAGATACATATGTAGCATTAGGGCTAGGTTAGAGTTACTAACGTAAATGTTTTGCAATTTTCATGGCATGCGTCGTCAGTGCAAGCCTTCATAGAGTATCCATGGGCGAGCCCAAGCAAGGCGATACTTGTAGCAATAACAGTCTTCATCTTGGTCATGTTTCGTCCCTTTTCTATGCCTAGGGTTTTGGATTATTTTAGCATTGGGAAGCGATCATTTATATATCCGTCATTTTACAAATCCCCTAAATATTCTAACGTTGCATCCACGATCGCTATTAGTTCGTACATAGTACTCTCATGTATGGGAGTTTGATTGGCCCCATTGCAGATCGCAGGATCGGGATCATCTGAAGTCCTAGACCCGTTAGACGATGTAATTATTAGCCTAAAATGAGCTCTGTCGGCAACCCATGCCTACGAATATAAGAGTGTTAACACGCAGACATCAATATTAAATTTTTGCGCTTTAAATGCTATGAAGGTTTCGGTGCAAGAATTAAAGATCAAGCATTGCAGCTTGAGAGTCAAATCTAGGCTAAAATTGCCAAGATCTACATCTTGAAACTGGCGTCGCTACCAGCGTATCCACTATCCAATCAAATAGGCTGGGACAAAAAGACTATTTTTAAAATATTGTGACAGATCGAGGCATGGCCCCTCGTAGAGTTTTATGCAAATCCCTGGCGATGTAATAAACGTATCGTCAACCAACATGAAGCATTTTCATCAAGCGATTGTGATTGCAAACGCTGTGTCAGCCTTGTACCAAAAAAGTGTTTGACGCAATCAAACTATTTTCGAATACAGAGGGCTTATAAACATGGCCTCTTTTGGCAATCTAGAGTTTGAATTTATCTCGGCAGGCTCCTGTCCGTGTAAGGCACAGGGCTAAAGAAAAGAGATAATCATATCTATGTTCTACCTATAAACAAATTTACGTGCAACGGTGCCGCTTTATGCTCAGCCTAACTCACAGAGCGCCCACGGAGCGATTACTGAGCAAGGTCTGAGCAAGCCAGAGAATTAGGGAAGCTCAGTGAGCGTTCCTATTTCTGCGAGGGGCTGTCTACTCTTCTTTACATTCTTATTTATGCACTAACAAGGTCAGAGTTACTGCATAAGGCTTCCCATTATGACAATGATTTCTCTCTCTTTCATAGTTCTTTTTTATGCTCATTATGTTGAGGAATGCTGTAGTCAATGTTGAATATTGGGAGAAGACTTTTATGCTCTGATTGATTATTGTTGAATACTATGATGATCCTTTGGAGAATTTGGGGTTAGAGTTAGGGCTAACTCCCAGGACAGGTGCCAGTGTCGACATAATATGACAGCGGAGCTCGTGGACTACACAGCGTAGGGTTTCGCGATTTCTTCATAATATCCTAAAGAAAGTGCATGGAATGCGACAAAAAAAAGTCGGATAGGATGTACGATTCCCCAAGAAAGAGGGAGGAGGAGGAGACATATTATCTTAGAACACTATCTCTACGCTTCCGATCACTTGAAAATGTCAGATCGTAATTTGAATTTCATTCTTTTACTTGAAATGAGTAGTCTAGGATTGCTGTTCAACTGGCGTCTCATGAATCATGTATTGTTGTGTGTTTGCATATCGCACGACGTCCCTAATGACGAAGGATCTCAGAACCGTCTCCAGCACTGCTGCTTCGGCTGTTGTTCGATAATTTATAGAACGGTCCGTTTTTATTCCTTCCGTTCAGTCTGTCGTAAGCAACTTTAGTGTTCGGTTTTGCTCAGCCTGTTGGCCTGGAATACGGACCTGTAGGACCCTTCTTCTGAAGAACTATCTCGATTGTTTTGCTTCCAGCTCGCCATTGCCCACGCTTTTCTTCCAATTATCAAGCCCGGGTGGAAGAAGGTGAGAAGGCCGCATGCTAGGACCATCATGGCCCCTTCCAGCACCATGAACGTAATCTGGTCGTTGGCCAGCGCACCACCGAACCCGTTCGATAGCTCGGCGCAACGAAAAACAGACCGCACAAAGATAAATAGGCCTGCAAAGAAGAAGGCGATCATGAAGAAGGGCTGGAAGAACCGACGCGACCGTAGTGATTCAAATGTCCGGTTCATTGGTTCATTCCTTGGAGGGCTATGGATAACGCGCCACCAAAGGTCGAGACTCAACAGACCAAACAGTGCTAGAGAAAAGACCTGCCAGGCGAGCCCGCCGACCATTGTATGAACGCCAGCGTTCTGTAGTGACGAGTAAGCCGACGCAACCGAGGCAACAGCGCCGCCAACTGCTTGCAGGACTAGGGCAATCACGTCGAAAGTGATGAAGACGTAGGTATAGATCTGCGGGCGGAAGCGCGCTTTGTCCCGTCCATAAATGATGATTAGACGCGACAGTGTGAGGTAGATGGCTGCAGAGAAGAAGGCCGGCCCGATTGTAAGACAGACCAGGTACCTGATGGGTAAGGCATCGGGTGTCAGTTGCAGTCATGGACATCACCACAGCGTATCTACTTACATCAGGAACCACGAGAAAGAAAACATATCAGCCCTCAGAAGAAGGCGACCGACATACCCGATTATTTCGAGCAGCAAACCTATAGTCATAGCGACCAAGAAGCCCCATGTCTTGTGCTGGATAGCGAAGAAGAGCTGCAGGACAAGGCATAGGCCGAAGATAGCTGTGAACAGCACATTACCAGCCAGGGATGGATAGTATCTCACCCAGGAGAGCTGAACACCATCGAGGACGAGAGGGCAGGTGCAGGAAGTACACAGAGAGGTATCGTTAAGGAGTGTCTGGTTGAATGTTTCGAGGGTGACATTGCTCCAGTCAGTGGTGCAGCCCGACATGGTAGCTGCACAAGATAGGGTTTCTGGTGGTGTTCTTGGATTGAGTGAGATGGCTGATACAAATTGTTACTTGATAAATGAGAATTAGAGGGCTGCCTAAGATGAGGATGGAGGCGGCGCGTTACTCACGATTGCTTACTATGCAATGTGAAACCGCATAGTAAGCAACTCCCCGGCAGGAATAGCAGCATTCGAAAAAAGAGTAAACCGCATCGTCCGATTACAACTAAATATAGTAAATCACACTACTCAGTCGCAACCAAATAGTAAACTGTGAAGCTGCATACTATGCATTTTTGTTAGATTAAAAGTAGATATTCTACCTATAGGTCACAGGGCGAACACCTTAGAAAGACATATGTAGCACCTACCTACCTTCCTACCTTCGTTCCATAGCATTAACATCTCGGATGGATGCCGTAGCTGCCTAAAATCTATTTCTGGAAATTGATGTAGGGCCCTGTAGGTACATTGGATACTCGACTTAGCTCTCCATGGATTCGCGGACCACATCTATCGTGCTCATCGAGCATGTCCACTCATTCTGTCGCAAGAGGCCCGAGGTTGGGCTCTCGACCCTGGTCAATGCGGTCTGGGCCATTGTTATCTGGCAGTACACAGGACTGGAAGACGTCCGCTTTGTCACTGCCGCTCTGTGGAAGCAGGATGCCGATCTCAAACACTATGTTTGTGCGGCGCATGTCGATGGCAATGTGGGGCTATCTGATTTGATGCAACAGATACAACACGGCACCAAGGAACTGGCATCCGACCAGCTCCCTCTGGTCCCCTCAAGGACGGAAGACGCCAATGTGTCGTTGCTCCAGTCCTTGACGACACTCACTACAAACAAGAATTATCTCGAGACGGATCAGACCCGCCCTTTCGTCGCTAGCGCACCCGTCGAGCTCGTGGCAGTCCCCTCCACCTCCGGGGGCCTAGAAGTTGTAGTGCGCTTCTCGCCAATAGCGATTGACCGGGAGCAAGCCGATCTCCTTGTGGCTGCTTTCGCGCATATAATTGCTGCAGTCACACATGTCGGCCGCTGGGAAGACACGCTAGGGTCCTTAGATCTAGTTAGCGACTACGACAAGGCAAAGCTCTGGGCCTGGAATAGCGCCCTACTTCCTGAGACAGTCGAAGCATGCGTGCACACCCTCTTCCGGCAGCGGACCCAAGAGGAGCCTGAGATGATCGCCGTGGACGCATGGGATGGGCACTTTACATATGCCGAACTAGATGACATCTCGGATCGCATCGCAGCTTGGCTAGGGCGCGATGAGGGTATCCTGCCGGAGTCTATCGTACCCTTGTGCTTCGAAAAGAGCTGCTGGGCGATTGCGGCTCTCATGGGGGTTATCAAGGCAGGCGGCGCCATTGTATTTATTGATCCGGCACAACCCGCTAGTCGCAGAGGAGAGATTCTGGCCCAGATCCAAGGCCAATTTGTCCTGACCTCGAGGACCCAATCCGAGGCGTGGGGAAAGGAGGTGGGCGTGAGGACGGCCATCGTCGACGAGCAATTCGTGGCCTCCTTGACAGTGAACGATGTGTATGAAATCCCTCCTCAGTCAGGGGTCACGCCAGCAAACCTTCTTTACCTCATCTTCACCTCTGGTAGCACGGGCAAACCCAAAGGCTGTCTCATTCCGCACCAGGCCTTCGTATCAGGTGCACTCCAGCACGCGACAAAATCTAATTTATCTCGCGGAAGCCGCATTCTGCAGCTAGCCTCATACAGTTTCGACGTCAGCATGTTGGAGATCCTGACCGCACTCATGTCTGGTGCGTCTGTGTGCACGCCGGACATGTCCACCATAGCAACGCAGGGTCTCCATCCAATCTTCGAACGCTTCGCCATCACCTGGGCATTCCTGACACCATCTCTGGTCAAACTGCTCCGGCCCGAGATGGTGGTGCCCACGCTCAAAACCCTGGCCCTTGGAGGCGAGCCACTCCATAAAGTTGACATCGAGACTTGGGCACCGCATCTCCAGCTCATCAATGGTTACGGGCCCTCTGAGTGTTCCGTAGCCGCGGCCGGAGATCCACACTTGAAACCGACAAGCGACCCATCCAATATCGGCCGCTCTGTTGGCGGTCTATGTTGGATTGTCAACGCCGAAAATCATGACCGTCTCGTTCCTCTGGGTGCTGTTGGTGAGCTACTGATTTCAGGCCCCATTTTGGCCAGGGGTTACTTGAACGATGCTGAGAAAACGGCCGCATCTTTTATTGAGAACCCATCGTGGACTAGTGACAGCTGGTCTCTCACCACTACCTCATTCACGACGACCGGCTTAGTTTCGAACGGAAATAATAACCAAAAGCCCATGCGTTTCTACAAAACTGGCGACTTGGCTAGATTCAACATCGACGGCACTATACAGATCCTGGGCCGCAAAGATACCCAGGTAAAACTACGTGGGCTGCGCGTCGAGCTGGGAGAAATCGAGCACAACATCGCACTACATCCTTATGTCAAACATGCCACTGCCTTCCTACCCAAGAGCGGGCTGTGTAAGGAGAAAATCGTCACCGTTTTATGTCTCAATGACTTCTCTAGCGAGTCAAAGCCCGGGGACCCTGATGCACTGATCGAAGTGTTGTTGGAAGACGAATGGCCTGCAATCAAACAGCAGGCTGACGCCGTTCGTAGCCACCTGAGAGACTGCGTTCCAGAGTATATGGTCCCAACTGTGTGGATCGTGATCAAGGCCTGGCCGCTACTGCTCTCGGCAAAGCTCGATCGGAAAAGGGTCCTGAACTGGCTATTGAACATTGACCAGGGGTTGCACAATAACATAATGGGTTTCCTCGGTCACGAGGAGGATGGAAACGAAGCCGAATCAAATCCTGTGTCCGAGGCCGAGCGTACTCTTCGTGACGTATTCTCTCGTGCTCTCAAGACTTCCGCCCACAATCTGCCTCTAGACAAGTCCTTTATTGCGCTCGGCGGTGACAGTCTCGCTGCTATGCGTGTTGTCTCCGAGTGCAAAAGGGCCGGCTATGCCATCGACATCCGAGACCTGCTTACAAGTAAAGGCATCACGGAGCTGGCTGGCCGCGTGGAACACTCGAAGCAGTCTGAAACCTCGTTCCCACTTTCTATGGCCCAGCAACTATGCCTCGGCTGCTTTTACAGCGGAGATGAAGATGAGGAGGATAAGATGCAAGCGAATCATTGTACCCAGAGCCTTCTCCTGAGACTCGACAACGCCGTCTCTACCGCCCAGGTCAAAGCTGCTCTGGGAACCATCGTTAATCGTCACGCCATGTTGCGAGCACGCTTTTTCGAGGCTAATGACGGCACCGTCATGACGTATAGGCAAACGACAAGCCCTCTTACCGAGGGCTTGTATCGTTACAAAGATCACCTTATAGAACACTCAGAACAAATTGAGGGCATTGCGGCAACTGCTCGGCGCGCTGTGGAACTCTCAGGGCCTGTTTTCTCAGCAGATCTGATAAGTGGGAGCGGAAAACAGCTGTTGCTTCTGATGGCACACAATGCCGTCGTCGACTCTACATCCTGGTCTATCATCGTCCAAGATCTTCAGATGTGTCTGAGTCTCGCTGATGGCCCTCTTCCCGATAGTGAAACGCCGAGACCAGTATCTTTCCAGACCTGGGTCGAGTTGGAGAGAGAAACATACGAGAAAGGAACGTCGGCAGATCATACAGGCATTCTCACACCTTTAGGACCTAAACTAGACTATTGGGATATGCAGGAGAGCGCAGGCGATATGGTGGAACAAACATTGGAAGTCGACAAGGCCACAGCCGCTTTGTTGTTGGGCACCAAAATACATAAGGCCTGCCGTACTGACGCTGTAGATTTCCTAATAGTAAGTCTGCTCCTCACATTTAACTACAGCATCACCGACCGAGAGACCTTGCCTTCCTTGTCTCTATGGGAGGATGAGCGTGGACCTGCATCTCGAGACCTAGGTATCGACCTCGCCACAACCATTGGTCAATTTGAGACAGTGCGCCCGTTAGTACTCAACACGGATGACATGAGGACCAAGGACGAACTTGTAGGTATACTGAAGAGTGTCAAAGATGCCCGCCGACTGGTAGGAGCGGGAAGAAGCGATACTAGCCGTCGCAGCTCAGACATCTCACTGCGCTACCGAGACCTGTCAAACGTCCTTGATAGCCCTAATGATCTTCTTCAGAGTGAGCCACGTCCCTCATTTCTTCCTTTAGCAGTGGAGAACCTTCGACAGACAAGCTTAATTTCCATTATGGCCGAGGCTATCGATGGGCGGATTCAGCTCGCCTTTTCATACAACAAGCATATCAAAGATTCAGATCAGATTAGCGCCTTGATTGCGGCGGTGCCGAAAACGCTTATGTCACTCGTCGCCAGGATGGTTGATGCCCCTAAGGAATTCACCCTTTCAGACTTCACATTATTGCCAGAGCTAACCTACAGCGGACTAGAGAAACTAATCAACGAACAGCTACCTCGGAGTGGACTCGATCCTCTCTTGATTGAGGACATGTATCCATGCTCTCCTATGCAGCAGGATCTCCTGCTCAGCCAGACCCGGTCCAGTGATGGCATGTACGAGTGCTACCACATCGCAGAGCTGAGGCCACGTGATTCAAAGATCTCGGTAGACATTGATAGGCTTTTAGAAGCTTGGGTACAAGTCGTGCAACGGCATGCGTCTCTGCGGACGATCTTCATTGAGAGTACCGACGGCCAAGAGGCTCTGTTCAATCAAGTCGTACTTACCCACGTCCGGCCGAGCGTATCTATTGTAGATTGCGACAATAACTCGACTGATGAGATTGGGATGGTGCTTGCCAACCAAGCCCCTATTGCCATCTCATTCCGGGGACCTCAACCACCTCATCGAATGACCGTCTGCCGCATCTCGGGGGCCAACCGTGTTGTCATCAAGCTGGACATTAATCACGCCATCGTGGACGGTGTCTCTGCAGCAGTCATGCTCCGTGATATGCTGCTTGCGTACGACGGTTTAGAATTTACGGAGTCAGCGTTACCGTTCCGCAATTACATCGCTCACATCTGCCAGACATCCCTGGCTTCGTCTATCAGCTTCTGGGTAGAAAATCTAAACGGCGCAAAACCAACCCTACTACCCAAGATCGCCGCACTGGAGAATCCGAACGATGAAGACAGACAGTTAAATGTCGTATCCGTCCCACTGGAAGATGAAGGTGTCTCGAATGAACGGATTTTCAAATTCTGTCGAAACGCTTCAGTCACGCCGGCTAACGTTTTCCAGACTGCGTGGGCCTTAGTTCTCCGGGAATATGCCGAATCCCCGACGAGGTTTGCTTTGGTTACCTCTCGGCCGGCCGCGACGCCCCATTGCCAGGCATCCAGGATGCGGTGGGCGCTTACTTGACTATGCTTGTCAGTCGTCTTCGTTTCGCTGTAGATGGAAACAAGGCTACCAATTGTGCTGCTACACTCTTGGACGCCGTGCACATCACGGCGGATGACTACGTTAAAGCTCTGCCACACCAGCACGTCGGTCTCTCGAATATACAGCATGCACTGAAGATAGGCGGCGATACCCTATTCAATACGATTGTTACTGTTAACCGTGAAGCTGAAACCCCAGCTGATTCGACGCTTTTATTCAAGAACATTGGGGATCATGAACCCGATGAGTACGCTGTCGTCGTGGACATCCAGTTCACAGGGTTGAGTGCTGTGCGCGCTTCCCTACGCCACTGGACAGATCACCTGACACCTGTGCAGGCACAAAGTATCGCCAGTGCGTTTGGTGGAGCCGTCCAGGCCATTGTATCTCATCCTAACACCCTCATCAGTGAGGTGGATCTCGTAGGCGTGGGCCATATGGATAAATTCCTTTCTTTCAATGCCCACCCCTTGCCACGGGCTAACAGACTGATATTCACGCGATTCGAAGAGCTTGCCCTCACGCAACCTCTGGCCCAGGCCGTGTGCGCGTGGGATGGTGAGTGGTCATATGTACAGCTCGATAAGTTATCAACACGACTTGCCCACTATCTGCGTTCGCTTGGTGTAGGACCTGAGGTCGTGGTGCCACACTGCTTTCAAAAATCAGGTTGGGCTATTGTTACATGCATGGCGATCCTTAAGGCTGGTGGTGCCTTTGTCGGGTTAGACCCTACACATCCAAGGCAACGATTGCAGGGACTTGTCCGTGAGACTGGAGCTAAGGTCGTGTGCCTGGCTCCGCAGAACTCGCACTTATTTGAAGAAAGGGAAAGCGGTGATCTAAAACTAAGCATTGTTGAAGTGACACTCGAGTTTGTCGCTGGGCTACCATTCAAACCAGGCCGTCCATGCACCTCCATTAAGCCAAACAATGCAGCTTGCGTGGTCTTCACATCTGGCACAACAGGGAGACCGAAGGCTGTGGTGGTGGAACATGCATCTATGGCGACCTTGTCAGACTTAATGGGTCCAGCTGTGCGCATTGGCCCCGAGGCACGTGTGTTTCAGTTTGCCAGCTATACTTTTGATACGTCAAATCAGGATATCTTCACAACGCTCCAACGCGGCGGATGCGTGTGCGTGCCATCTGAAGAGGATCGTGTCGATGACCCGGCTGGGGCAATTAACCGGCTAGGTGCTAATCACGCCCACTTAACAAGCACTGTGATCAGCCTATTGCACCCCGAGCAAGTCCCACATCTCAAATGGCTCTTCAGCGCTGGCGAATCTCTCACACGGGAGAACGTCGAGGTATGGGCTCCGGCTGTTGAGCTCTTCAACAGCTACGGGCCTGCCGAAGCGTCTGTCGCCGTCACTTGCACCCCTACCCGGCTCGACGCTCATGCAAGCCCAGCCAATATTGGAAAGTCATTTGGCTGCTGGGCTTGGATTGTAGACGTGACTAACCATCACAAGCTCGTGCCCTTAGGCGCTGTAGGCGAGCTCCTGATAGAAGGCCCACTACTTGCGCGACACTACCTTAACAATGAATCCCAGACAAACGCGGCTTTTATTGAGAATCCTATGTGGGCAAAGAGCATGACACAGGAGCCTTACAGTAACAGGCGATTCTACCGAACTGGCGATCTGTGCCGTGTCAACACTGATGGCAGCCTCACCATTATCGGCCGTCGAGACACTCAGATCAAGATCCACGGGCAACGTGTCGAGCTTGACCAGATCAAGTACGAGGTTCAGGAGCAGCTTGCCCAGCTGGGCGAGCCCAGCCTTGTCTCGGTCGATGCTTTGATGCTTCCGCAGATCACAAAGAAAGACAAAATACTCGTCGCGTTTGTTCAGTTCCTCAACCACTCCTCTGATCTGCCCCTACCCTCTACTGATGAACTAGCCATTCCGATGAGTGACAACCTCTCTGGCGTGTTTGTTGACCTGCAGCGTTCTCTGAAAACATCACTCCCCAAATATATGGTCCCTGCCATGTTTGTTCCTATTACTGAGACTCCACTAACTGCTAATGGCAAGCTAGCTCGGAATATCCTGTGTGAAACAGTGACTGGCTTCTCCGATGCAGATGTGGCTCGCTACATGCTCCAAGATGATAGCCCTAAAACGGCTGCCAGGACACCCCACGAGCAGCTGCTGCAGGCCGTCTGGAGCAAAGTCTTGTCCATCCCTATTGAAAAGGTGGGCGTTAATGATGACTTCTTTCAACTCGGAGGTGACTCCGTCGTTGCCATGCGACTTGCAGCTGCCGCACGGATGGAAGGCCTGTCCTTGGCTGTAGCTGATATTTTTGCTTCTCCCATCCTGTCAGACATGGCTAGGGTGGCACGAACTGCCGATGGAGCCGATTCCCGTCAGATGGAAGAGGAGGAGACATTTGATCTCCTTCCTCTATCATCGCCGTCGCCCTCGACTTCTGAGGGTATGGGCACAATCCGCACCGAAGCCGCAGCACAATGTGGAGTCAACCCTGAGACGGTTGTGGACTTGTACCCATGCACACCCTTGCAAGAGGGCCTTATAGCACTCTCAATGCGGCAGACAGGAGCATACAAAGACCAACGTATCTTGCGCCTTACGGATCCGAATTACTCAGTCGCCCGATTCCACCGTGCAGTTGATGCTGTCGTAAGCGCCGAACCTATCCTCCGCACGCGGTTTGTGAGCACAGCTGCAGCAGGAATGCTCCAGGCTGTACTGAACGCCAAAGTTGAATGGGTTGAGCGCGACGATTTGACCGCATACCTCAAAGAGGATTTGGATAAGGCCGTGACATATGGCAGCCCTCTAGTACAGCTGGCGCTTATTGACGAGCATAGGCAAGATGGGGAGCGCTACATAGTATGGTCGGGCCACCATGCGATGTGCGATGGCTTCAGTATGGACATCACATTTGAACAGATCGCTTATGCTATGGCGCATGAAGGGGCTGTGATGCCTAAGCCGGTGCCTTTCAAAAACTTCATCCGCTTTTTGCAAAACCAGATCAGTGACGATTCCGCAACTAAGTTCTGGCAAGAACAGTTCCCCGCTAACAAGGATATACCATCAAAGTTTCCTCCCGTGCCACTTGGGCACCAGGTTGTTCCTCATCGTGCCTGCCAATCGCAGCTGCATGTGGCTCGTCCGTCTGGGAGTAAAATCTCCGTGACGAACTACCTACGCGCCGCATGGGGGCTTGTCGTGGCGCGACACCTTGACAGTTCAGACGTTATCTTCGGAGCGACCCTATCAGGTAGAAACGCGCCGGTTCAAAATATCTCTACGATAAACGGTCCCACAATGACCACTGTTCCCTTTCGCATGACAGTGCCTTTAGACGACGGCGAGACAACAATAGCACAATATCTAGAGGCTGTGGAAGAACAAGCCGTGACCATGACGCCCTTTGAGCACACCGGTCTGCAAAATATCCAACATATCAACGAGCATTCACGAGCGGCGATTAACAATATGGTGCATAGATTTGCCGTTGAGTTGAAGCCGAGTGACGCTATTGAGGCTTTTGATGGTATAGAAATCGTTTCTGCCGACCTGCCGAATGGATTTTATACGGACCCCTTGGTCATTCGCAACTACGCCCATGATGACGGGTTAACCATCGACGTCGAAGCCAAGTACGACTACACCCTGATTTCGTGTGACGAGATGCGCAGGCTACTGGACCAATACGCCCATGTTGTGCAGCAGCTGATCAATAGCCCCGAAAAGCGTCTTCGCGACATTCAGTTTATCAGTCCCAAGGATATAGAAGAGATCATTAAATGGAACGGCGAGCTACCTGAAACGGTTCAAGAATGTGTACACAGTCTGATAGCTGAACAAACAACAAAACGCCCCGAAGCTGAGGCCATATGCGCTTGGGACGGCAGCTATACCTTCGGAGAACTGAACTCGCTGACTGAGCGACTCGCAGCTCATCTCCAGGGCCTTGGTGTTGGCCCAGAAGTGACTATTGCCCTCTGCTTCGATAAGTCTAAATGGAACGTGGTGTCTATGCTGTCCATCTTGAAAACAGGCGCCAGCTACACAGCACTGAATCCTGAATACCCGGCCGCTCGCTTGCAGAGTATTATCCAGGATGTCCAAACGCCCATAGTCCTTTGTTCCCCGCAACATGTCAACAAGTTCGCTAGCATGGAGCCTTTGATTATGCGTATTAACGACGACTTCTTGGAATCTCTACCTGAGCCTAAGGTTACCGTCACATCTGCTGTCCAGCCATCTAATGCAGCATTTATCGTTTTGACATCAGGCAGCACTGGTAAGCCTAAGGGTGCTGTCGTCGAGCACCGTGGCATCGTGTCCATGCAGTACTACGAGGGACCCCATGTGGGTATGGGTCCTGACACTCGAACTCTACAATTCGCTGCACATGTCTTCGACGTGTCCAATTCCGAGGTTTTTACGACCTTGATGCGCGGTGGCTGTGTATGTATACCTTCTGAGACAGAGCGGATGAATGATCTTGCTGGTGCAATTAACAAATACAACGTAAATTGGTCCTTCCAAGTCCCAACCACCGCGGATACACTAGACCCAAGCCAAGTCCCCGGCTTGAGGTATCTGGTCTTAGGCGGAGAAGCCATCAGTCAAGGCTTATGTGACCGATGGGCTCCTGAAGTCACACTACTGAACTCATATGGTCCCTCCGAATGCAGTATCTGGACGAGTGCCTCCCATCTTGCTCCCGGGACCTCTTCACCTAACAACATCGGTCGTGGCCTTGGTTGCCGAACATGGATCACGGATAAGAACGATCACAACTCCCTTGTACCTATTGGTTGCGTTGGAGAATTGTGTGTTGAGGGTCCGATCGTCACAAGAGGATACAAGGCTAATCTCAAACAAACAGCCGCTGCCTACATTCAGAACCCAGCCTTTGCATTAGAATTAGGTATTCTAGGCATGCGCATATATAAGACGGGTGACCTAGTCAAGTATGACTCGGACGGCACTCTACTCTATGTTGGGCGCAAAGATAGCCAAGTTAAGGTCCGTGGGCAGCGTATCGAGCTGAGCGAGGTTGAACAGAATATCGTGGCCAACGGTATTCAGACCGACGCTGTCGTAGTCGAAAAAATATTACAGGGTGGGGACGCAGATCGCGTTGCTCTAGTAGCATTCTGTATACTGAACAGCACAGACCGACCTAGCTCTATTAGCTCTGACTCAGGTTATACATCCGTGGAAACCAATGAGGAAGAAGAGAAGACACCGCAAGATGACTTAGAACCTATGCGAGATCAACTGGTCGTTCTCCGGCGCAACCTACTTGACACCATACCTACCCACATGGTGCCATCTTTCTTCATTCCACTTCGTTCCATGCCCGTTACGCAGACGGGAAAGAAGGACCGCAAAGCGCTCCGAGAACTCGGTGCCTCCTTGTCCCAGCAACAGTTGCAGCGGTATGCTCTGGATGATGATGACGATGATGACACCGATAAATTGGGTAGAGCTTGCACCAGTGATGCTGAGAGGCGGCTCCGGTCTTTATGGGCCGAAGTTCTCGGCATTGCCAAAGAGGAGTCTATCTCAGCCCAAGACAATTTCTTCCTCAAAGGAGGGGATTCAATCCAGGCAATGCGACTAGCAGCTGCAGCGCGCCGACAAGGCAAGATGCTAGCAGTTGCTGATATGTTCCGTATGCCACGACTATTTCAGATGGCCGAGCTCTGGGAGCATGGTAATAACCTTGAAGGGGCAGCCATCCCCCCATTCTCGCTTCTCAAACCAAATACTATTGGTGATGTACTCCATGAAGCCGCACGTCAATGCAAGGTCGAGAAAACCCAAGTCCAGGATGTTTACCTCTGTTCTCCACTACAGGAAGGCCTTATGGCAGTGTCTACTCGAAAGCCAGGTTCCTACATTTCGACAAGGATTTTCGATCTGCCGCCCACCATCGACATAGGTCGTTTCCAAGCAGCATGGCAGACGGCAGCCGACAGATTTCCCATCTTAAGAACGCGCGTCATCCTCGGTCCTGCCTCCGAGTCCCTTCAGGTCGTGCTCAAGGAGAAACTGGTCTGGGAGACTATCGATGGACAGATCGAGACTATCCTTTCGCAACGAGGCCTCGCGAGTATTGAGTATGGCGGTCGTCTTTGTGCTTTTGCTATTGATGTCCAGGCTCGCAAGTTCATCCTGGTCCTTCACCATGCCCTATATGACGGTTGGAGCGCCACCGTTCTCCTCGAAGCCGTGGAGAAAATATACCAAGGAGAACCATGCCCAACAGGACCATCTTTCAACACCTTCATTCACCATCTCTCCCAAGTTGACAGGCCTAGCTCGGAAGACTTTTGGCGCACCCAACTGAGCGGTGCTCCCGCGCACTTTCCCAGGTTACCGAACAAGACTTACGAGCCGAAGAACAGCGCCAATGTCTCTCATGTTGTCACTATAGAAGAGCAACCAAGTGGTATCCTCAAGTCCACTATTCTCAAAGCCGCTTGGGCCATAGTGAGTGCCCGACATGCTGAATCAAACGATATTAGCTTTGGTGCAGCCCAATCAGGGCGTGACTGTGCGGTTCCGGGTATCGAGCAAATCATTGGTCCTATTGTCACTACAGTCCCCGTGCGTGTGCGTATCGATGACAACGAACCAATCGTTAGTTTCCTTGAACGTATTCAGGATCAATCCATCGCCATGATTGCGTACCAACACGCCGGTGTGCAAGCTCTTCGACAGCAGTTGGGCAAGGAAGTCCAACCAGCACTTGAGTTTACGAGTCTGTTTGAGTTTGGTGAAGATTCAAATGACCAAAGCGACTTCATCACCGAGGTGCAAAGGCCGGAACTTCTGGACGGGTTTTGGTCATATACTATTGTTCTGGAGTGTCATCTTGCTGCGGACGGTGTGACTGTCAACATTTTAGCGAGACATGACCCAGTTGTCATTCCCACCTACCAGATGGATTGGGTCTGTAAGCAATTTGGTCACATTGTTGGTCAGCTCTGCAGCTTGACTTCCTCATCGACTCAGGTGGTGGGTGATCTTGAGATTTTTGGTCCTTATGATGGCGCCGCAATTGACTTCTGGAACGCAAGATGGCCTTGTGGTGATACGGATGGAAAGACGGTCCACGAAGCGATTGCTGAACAAGGCCGTCTCAATCCTGACAACTTGGCCCTTTCAGGCTGGGATGGAGACATGACATACGCCGAGTTAGAGCACTATGCCACAAAACTTGCTAAGAGACTAGTTCGAAGTGGTGTCGGACCAGAAGTTATGGTGCCACTATGCTTCGACAAGTCCAAGTGGGCTATTGTAGCCTCCTTAGCCGTGATAAAAGCTGGAGGAGTGATAGTACATCTCGGACCAACACACCCGGCTAATCACAGGCAGGAGATACTGAAGGCTGCTGAGGCTGAATTTGTATTGGTCTCACCACAGCATGTTTCTCTCTTCCACGGTGCCGCAGTCTGGGTAATGCCGATAGACCGGGAGAGCCTGGATCGGATGGCCGATTTCAACTACCAGCTCCCCAAGGTCGAACCCTCAAATGCCGTCTATGTATGCTTTACATCAGGCAGTACAGGCAAACCTAAGGGAATTGTAGTTGAGCACCGAAATATGCGCATGAGTGCTCAGGCACACGGAGCTCAATTCAAGATCAACCCCGGAACCAGACTTTTCAATTTCTCTGCTTACACATTTGATATCAGCCTTGGGGATATTTTTATTTCTCTACAGCGCGGGGCCACAATCTGCACACCGTCCGAGTGGGAGCGCCTGAACGAATTGGCCGGCGCTATCACCAAGTACAAGGCGAACTTCATGTCAGTAACCCCATCAGTAGCTAAGCTACTCACTCCGGAACTAGTTCCAACACTGCGCACGCTTGTTCTCGGCGGCGAGGCACCTACCCAAGACAACATCAAAACATGGTCTGATAAGTTGGACCTAATCCTGATTTGGGGACCAGCTGAGACAACCATCTACGCCTCTGCTACGCCGCCGACAACGCAAAATACAAGTGCACAGGAGCTGGGTAACCCTATGGGCTCTGTAATGTGGCTATGTGATCCAAACGACCACAATAAGCTGGTGCCTTTAGGCTGCGTGGGTGAAATTGTTGTCGAGGGTCCGCTTGTCTCGCGCGGCTATCTCAAGGACGAGGAAAAGACGGCCGCTGCATATATTCAAGATCCAGCATGGATTGGAGAAAAAGATGAAAATGATAATACGAAGCCACGGAATATGTATAAAACCGGCGATTTGGGGCGCTACAATGCCGATGGCTACATATTATTCTCAGGTCGGAAAGATAACCAGGTTAAGCTACATGGTCAGCGAATGGAACTTGATGAGGTGGAACATACCATGTTAGCACACGAGACTGTAAGGCAGGCAGTGGCGCGCATTCCTCGCAATGGTCCGCTTAAGGATAAGCTGGTTGCCATGCTAAGCCTCAATCTTGTCGAGTTCTTACAGAAAAGTTCACCCATTGCAAATCAAATTGTTGTGCTGGATAAATTCAATACTTATGACACCAATATTGGCAAGGAGCTTGGTGCAGTACGCCGGTTGCTTGAAGACAATCTGCCTGGCTATATGGTACCAAGTATCTGGATCTGTGTTGAAGCCGTCCCACTAAACAATAATTCCAAGGTTGACCGAAAACTCATCGATTCATGGCTTCAAGAAGTGGATCAAGCTACTTACGACACGCTGCTTCGCAAAGAAGCTGAGAGCAAAGGAGATGAAGAGATCCATCGTCCATCGACTGCTGTGGAGCAAATCTTGAGCGACCTCATTAGCCAAATTCTCGGACTAGACTCGGATTCACTCAATCTCAACCGCTCATTCCTTAACCTTGGTGGTGATTCCGTCTCAGCCATGCAGTTGCGCAGCAAAAGCCGCGCCAAAGGGGTAGAAGCTTCCATGTCGAACATCATCAAAAGCAAGAGCATAGTTGAGCTCGCTTCCAAGTCGGTATATACTAAACCAACACCCGAGGAAGTTCTAGGCGGGTCTTTCGCACTATCCCCAATCCAGAAGATGTATGTCGATTTGGTTTCCTCTTCTGCGGATGCAGACATTAGTCACTTCGACCAAAGCATACTCCTACAGGTGAACAGCCCAGTTTCAGCAGGCGCATTGCAAAAGTCCCTGGCGCAGATCGTGCAACGGCACTCGATGCTTCGTGCTAGATATTCTCGAGACGAAAGTGGAGAATGGTATCAGTACCTTGCTGAGGATAAAGACACGACTGAGACATTTCATTTCAGTAGCGAAGAGGTGGAGGACGGCTATGAAGTATCAAGGATACTAAGAAGCTTCGGCTGTTTCTTTGACATCCAAAAAGGCCCTGTTTTCTCTGCTCACGTTTTCAATCTCCGTCTAGAACGGACACAATTACTTTTTGTCCGAGCTCATCATCTGGTGGTCGATGTGGTCTCGTGGCACATCCTCCTCGGCGACCTGGAGCTGCTGATTGCCACTGGCAGCTTTGCGACCCCCCCTCCTCTATCTTTCCAGAGTTGGCTAAGCATGCAAAAGGAGATGGCCGAGTCTACCGAGCCAACTGACTTATTACTATTTGACGCCATCAACATACCCGCGGCCGATTTTGAATACTGGGGAATGGCGGGAGAAGACAACTACAATACATACAGTGATGCCATCCTGACAGAGTTTTACCTCGACGAGGCCATGACGGCCCAATTAATGGGCACTGGCAATGTTGCACAAAGCGCGGCCCCCGTAGATGTTATTTTGGCTGCTCTTATTCACTCATTTTCTCTCGTTTTCTCTGACCGTGCAGCTCCCACAATCTTTTCCGAGGGACATGGTCGCGAGTCTTGGAACGGCAAGGTAAACCCGTCAAGTACAGTGGGATGGTTTACGACAATGAGCCCTCTGCATGTACCTGATACCCAATCATGTGATATTCTCACGACAGTGCAGTCTGTTAAGGACTTGCGACGCCTCCTTCCAGCTAATGGCATGGAATATTTCAGCTCCCGGTACCTCTCTGCCAAGGGACGCGAAGCTTTTGGTTCACATTCCGACATGGAGATAATGTTCAATTACCTTGGCAGATCCTCTGAAGTTGGAAAGGAAAACGCCCTGCTTTCACCTGCAACCTTGCCTGATGGCGCGACATTCGATAAGTTGGTACAGGACGAAAAGCTGCCACGTTGGTCTCTATTTGACATCGTGGCCCTCATTGCAGGTGGTAAGGCTCACATCACCATAGCCTATAACAAGAATATGCAGCACCAGGATAGGATTATCCAGTGGGCAACAATGGCGAAGTCCACATTGATCCATACCATTAAAGCTTTAAGGGATATAGAAAACCACCCGATCAGCCCTAGGCTGTCACCCCCAGCAATGGAGAAGCAAGTCCTGTTTGAGGACGAGGTCGAAGGAATTTATCCTTGCGCACCGGTGCAACAACATATGCTTTCCGCGCGTGAAAAATATCCCGACCGCCAATTGTACGAAATGGAATTTGCTTACAAGGCTGTCACCCTCAATGGTGCCACAGTCAATATAGACAAATTACGCGAAGCATGGAAACAGGTCGTGCGTCATCATGCCGCGCTCCGGACAGTCTTTAGATCTACTTCTTCTGGCTCATACGAACAAATTGTGCTTCGAGACTGGCCTGTCGATGTACCTGTAATTGAGTGCATCAACGAAGAGGAAATGATGGCTCGCATGAATAGCCATATATCAGTCAACTACAGCCTCTCGAGCAAAAAGCCACACATTCAACTCACCTTGTTCGTCACTACAAAAAACAACAAACAGATCATTGCTTTCAAGACCGAAACAGATCATACTCTTACCGATGGTGTCTCCGTCGCTTTAGTCCTCCGTGATCTTGCCCTTGCGTACGAGGGAAGACTTTCAACAGACCCAGCGCCCTCGTTCAGTAGGTACGCATTATGGCTACGTGATATGAGTCAAGAGGAGACGTTGGCAAAGGACATTGCCTACTGGAAAGACTTTGACCGAAGCGCGGGAGCTTCATGCATTCCACACACTCCACCATCCTCGTCATTATCGCAGCCTCGCATCCACAAAGTGAAGACCATCAATCTCGACCAGATTACCACAAGCCGACTGCCAGAATTCTGCGCCACACATGGCGTCACTATGGCTGCCTTCTTGCAGACTGCATGGGGTTTAGTACTTCGAAACCTCACGGGTTCGGACAAAACGCTATTTGCATTCATGACAGCCAATCGCGATGCAAAAGTGGCAGACGCCGGAGAGATAGTAGGTCCGCTCATCAACATGCTTCTTTGCCGAATCGATTTCAGCAATCTGGGCGAGGATGGCATTGGAGAGGTACTGAGGCGAGCACGAGACGATTTCCTGGAGTCACTCGATCACCAATACGGTCTTGCCAAGATGGAAGATATATGGCAGAACCCATCATGGAATTCTCTCATGAGTTTGCAGTACCTAGACTCTAGAGTTAGTCAGACAGAGACTGATCCGACCAGTATTTCTTTTGACCTATTATCTGCGAGAGATCCTACCGCATGGGACGTTTCGATAGGGCTACAGATAAGCCACAATCGGGTAGAAGGCATTACCACTGTCCATGCCGAGCTTGGCTATTGGAGTGACGTTCTCACTGATTCACGGGCGGGAGATGTGAATGCCCTATTTAAAGCATCTGTTCAGAAGTTACTGGATGGACATTCATAGTAATTCATCACTTTTCCTTTTATTCATCGATCTAGTACATGTATTAACATGTGTTTCTGGCGTTTATATAGAAAGGGTGGTATTTTGTCTTGTATATTGATGTTTAAACTGTTGATCCGCCTGTTAAGTAGCTCACCCGTTTATTTTTCATTATTTTGTGATAGCCTCAAGATACGCTTATTGCCTACTTACTCCGGTACGTTTCTTGATGGTTTCATTATTTGAAGGGTGTTATTAACCTAAGTAGCTTCTTTGCCTTCTTCTAGAATAGATTTCACGCACTATATTGCTTATATCGTAGATATGTCTTATATGATAACCACTTTGAAGTCAAAAATGAACGTTATTACCAATGGAAAGCTATATACGACCGAAAGTAGTACACCAGATCGAAGCGAAAAAAGCTCGAGGCAAGCGAGATGACCTTAAAGTACAACTTGGCTACCAAAATGGACCATGACTCTTGCCTTGTAGCGATAAATACGGATTCTGGTTTCCAAATTGCCCCGCGTAGATTTATCTGATAACTTTGCACTCAAAACCCGAGGTTCTGATGCTTGGCCTTTGCTAGGAAGAGTTCTTTCCTTTACCATATGCTTATCTCTACACCTCTGACTTTCTCTTTGGCCTTTGCTTTTCTTCGTAGCCCATGCAGGATTCGGACCAGGAGGTTTCAGAGGAGTAAGCTAAACTGCCTCAAGGTTTTCTATTACTAAATATAGCCACGCAACAAATCCGAGTTTGTTACATACCCTTCAATTATGAAAATGTGTCATGATGGTCATCTTGCAGTGACATCGTACCTTTTCGAGTTAGTAAGATCTTAACAAGGTTCATTCAAGTGCACAATTTCTTTCCCTGGCGCTCAGGTAGCCCCTGACAACCCAACATGTCAGATAGTGCTTGGGCCCATGTTTATCCTTCTCACATGATTGCTTACTATTTCATTACTAGTTGATGCTTCCATAGTAATCGTAGGCTTAGGCGGCTGGGCTCGCATTACCTTTTAATGGTAGAATCCGACTATCGTTACGTATGTTTCATGCAAAAACGCTCCCCTACAGCGTGAAAATATGTGAAACTTAAAAAAACTTTAACAACAAAGATTTGAATTTGGAACACAGAATATCAGATTACTTTGGCATTTTTAATTTGATACTTCGTTACTGAGAACGATGGCAGCCCATAGCAAGCTGTTGGCTGCCGGGGTTTGCTTAGTACTCTTGGTATGATCCATCATTCTCATCTTCCCTGACTCTCGCCCTACTAATACATCAAACCTAAAAATCAGATCGTATGGAGATTGGTATACCTTTGTTTCTTCCACCCTTTGGCCAAATATCCTGGTCCTTTTATTGCCAAGTTCAGCAATCTGTATGGAGCGTACCACGCTTGGAGAGGGGATGCGCACCTTGACATGTGGAGGACCCATGAGAAATACGGTGAGTAAATGTCTTGTATAGTGATAAAAAATATCTATTAATAATGGTAACTAGGTGACTTTGTTCGCCATATGCCCAACACCCTCTTCATTAGGAACTCAGAGGCTTTGCATGCTATCTTCTCTATCAAGCCATCCGTATTGAAAAGCGCGCACTACCGTGTCCTAGAGACCAATGTAGCAAGCACATTTAGCTTACGTGGAGGCCATGATCACCTATGGCGGAGGCGGCTTGTGTCGACAGCCCTCTCTGAAAAAGCCCAACGAGGAATGGACGGCCGTATCGCCGTACATGTTCGTAAGTTCTGTGACATGGTATTCCCTAAGGAAGCCAAAGTGCTGGGCAAGCCTATGGACATGTCCGAGTGGTGTAGCTACCTGACCTTCGATCTGATGGCCGACCTTGTTTTCAGCGCCAGCTATAACCTCTTGGGTAATGAAAGATTCCGCTACATGCCACATGTCATTGACAAGTCCAATGTACGGATGTCAGTGCTCGTTTACATCCCCTTTATCGCTTGGTTTAAGTATATTGATGCCTTTGTTTTCAAAGAGGCCTCTATAGCCCGAAATCGTTTCATGCGCTTCGTCATACGCGCGGTGAGGGAGCGTGCAGACCGTGCCACTGGCAAGTGGTCATCCCAGTCATTGGACCCATGTCCGCCGCGCAACGATATCTACAGCACACTTGCCACGGCCAAGGATCCAGACTCAGGAAAAAGCTTCTCTTCACAGGAAATGGTTAGCGAAAGCATCACATTGGTAGTTGCCGGTTCAGACACAACTTCGACAGCCATATCATCAACATTTTTCTACTTGGCCGACACCAAGCATGCGTACCGCAAGGTGGCTCGAGAAATACGGGAAGCATTTAAGAATAAACCATTCGGAGAGGGGGGGGTGGCCTGGGGCCCAGAATTGTCAGGCTGTGCCTACCTACGAGCTTGCGTGGATGAGGCGCTGCGTATGAGCCCGCCCAACGGAGCTGCCTTGACGAGAGAGGTTATGCCCGGTGGCCTCAAGATCGGGAGGCAGTACATCCCAGCGGGAACGGTTGTCTCTGTACCAGTATACGCCATCCATCACGATCCGCGATACTTCGTGGAGCCATTTTCTTACTATCCTGAGCGCTGGCTTGAGGATGATGGCACCGGTAGCATCAAGCGCGCAAGATCCGTTTTCAACCCCTTCTCGATGGGCATCCGAGGCTGTCTGGGCAGAAATCTCGCATATCACGAAATTCTGACTACCGTTGCCACCGTGCTCTACTTTGGTGACTTCCAATTTGCTGAGGGTGACTTAGGCAAAGTTGGCCGAGGGTCACCACAGGCCCAGTATGGACGACACAGAGAGAATGAGTACCAGCTACGCGACCATCTGTCCGGACAGAAGAATGGACCGTGGCTGCGATTCAGGAGGCGTAATATTGTAGACTAAGTTATTTGAAGGGTTATTATGTTAGTTGTAAATATTGTTGCCTCTCAAATGGCGTCTGCCTTTCAAATTTCGTTGCCTATGGAGTGTTTTTGCGGTTTGTTTTTTCTGTAATTAGAACAGCACCATTACCACGTAGGGTTAATGCAAAATACTACGATACGTGTGTGTTCCACCAGACCAACCATTATTCAAAAATGCAGAATGGCACGCAACCTAACTCATCATGGCTTGAGTACGTACTTCTTGCAAAATACAAACAATAATCAATATGGATAGCCTCCTCTAACCTGTGGGGCATATTCCTCTTTAGTAAGAAATAGTAACGTAATCAATGGGACTGTTTCATAACTAAAAGACGTGCTCCACGTGGCTGACAATTGTCACCGTTCACGGCCACGTGCGAACACCCGCCAATGTAGGTAGTTTCTACATGACATTTGCCCAGAAAGGATGTTTATAAATAGAATCCTTGTATTATCAGGACTATTATTAAATCCAGAGAGGAATTCGACACCTAAACCTATTCTGCAAGCCATCAGGTCATCAATTCTAATCGCTCCATAGGTATCAAGATAACACAGTTCAGCGTGTTAGATCTCTGGTACACCATAGCATGAAGACTCTCTGTAAAGACAAGTTTTGAACTTCATCTTTTTCACTGATTCAATCATTTGTATAATGCAAAGCTACTGCCCCACATCTAAAGAGCGCTCTATGTACAAAAGATGTTATATACCTACAAATGATCAATCTGATATTCATCTTCTATCAAAGTCCCAGTGTTACTCTCGCCCGATATTCGGTACGGCTTGTTTTCCTCAGTCTCTGTGCCCTCGTCTTCCTCGTAATACATCCCATTCATGTCCCTGTAGAGCTTCCTGAATAAGGTGTTTCCACCTAATAATGCTGCCGGCTCACCGAACTCGGCCAACCGTCCAGCATTAACGACGGCTATGCGGTCATAATCCATGATCGTGTCTAATCTGTGCGCAATGGTGATGATAGTATGCGCTTTGAATCTTTCTCGGATAATCTTTTGCATCGTGGCGTCCGTTTCGACATCAACTGCCGCAGTCGGCTCGTCGAGGACCAAGATCGTTGACCAGCGCATCGTCGCCCGTGCAAGACATAGCAGCTGCCTCTGGCCGTGCGAAATAGTATTTAATTCCATAGGCGCATCGAGTCCACCTTGTGCCGCAAATATTTCCCACATACCGACCAGGCGGAGAGCGTCCGTGATATCTCCGTCTGACCTCTCACCCGGCGGGTCGATATTGAAACGGACAGTGCCTGGAAGAAGATACGCGTCCTGTGGGAGGGCAATTATGCGTGAGCGAACCTCTTCACGCGGAATAGTTGCGATATCAATACCGTCGATGCGAATGCTGCCATGTGAGAGCTCCAGCAATCGGAAAAGCACCGATACCAGAGTACTCTTGCCACTTCCCGAGCGTCCACAAATGCCAATCCGCTGACCGGCCTGGATGCTGAGTGAAATGCCTTTTAAGACATTGTTTTCCCCGTCATACGAGGCCACGACCTTATCAAACTCAATTCCGCCTTCTTCAGGCCATTTAGGCGGTACTGGTTCCCTCTCCCGAAGTCGGTGCTCTGGCTGCACATTGAGAGTAAAAGTCCGAACGCGACTGACAGCACCAATGGAAGTCTCGAGCTGCGTCCAGAACACAATCAGCTTCTTGATAGCGCCGCCGAAACCAACAATGTTGACAAGAGCAAGGCCGATTAGGCCAGAGTCGGTCTTTCCTTTACTCTTGACTGCAATAGTTGCCAATATGACCGCGATACCAGCGGCTACAAGGTCCAGAACAAGGCCAAGCCATTGCTGGATAGAGAGGAGTGCATAGAATGGCTTTTGAGATTCATTGATTTGGGCAATATTGCGCATAGTGTATGCCTTCTGCCAGCCATAGGCCCGAATCGTCACAACGCCGCTGAGCGTTTCGAGGAAATGGGAGAAGAGAGGAGCTTTGGCTTCAACATCTAGAAGACGCAGTACACGTGATGTTCGAAGATAGAATACTTGGAGTAGGGCTACAGCACCAAGAATGAAGGGAAGAGCTGCCCCCAGGTACTTGGATGTCACCGCCATAAGCAGTGTTTGCGCGGTGATGATAAATAAAATCATGATCGTCTGGACGAGAGAAACAGGTAGCTCTAGATCAATAAGCTCTAGATCCTGGCTGAATCTGTTCGTGATGGAGCCCTTGTCTGTCGTGTAGAATAATGATAGAGGAGCACTCAGGACTGTACTCAGGAGTCGGGAATGAAATCTTCTCGCCACGCGAGGAGCAAGACTCATGACAAAAAAGGTGCAGCCAGTAACCAAAGAGCTGATTGCCAGAACACCGATGGTAAAGTATACTCCCCAGTGGTATCCCGCGCGGTCATTGGGATGCGCAGTGTTGTAATTCCCCCACCGCTCCGCCCAGACCTGGGAGAAGATGATAGCAAAGCCGAAGACGGCGCTGATCATGACAAAGATGCCCAATCGAGGCCATCCGAAACACTGGACGTAGTAGGAATAAACAGAAAAATCGCCAGCTTGCGCGTCGCCAGTCTCATCAACCCGAGGGAGCACAGGCTTGGAGTCATCTCTGTTGGTGGCTTCGCCATTCTTGCTACTTTCGCCTGGAGCATATCGTTCTTGAACCTGGAGCCCATTAATATAGCCACCATGAGCCCTTGACAGATCATCCCAGGTGCCCTGTTCGATGATGTGACCACCCTGACCAAGGGCAATGATATGGTCGGCTTCAGGAAGACAATGGACGGCGTGGCTAGCAAGGATAACCGTTACTCTGTGCTGGGCGAGTAGTCCGTATCGACCGAAGAGAGACGAGAAAATGGACTTTTCGGTCGTTGCATCAAGGCCGCTAAGAATATCGTCTAAGACAATGGCCTTCCTACGAGAATATATGGCTCGGGCGAGTGATAGGCGTACTTGCTGTCCTCCACTTAGGCCCATTCCTTGATTGGACACAATTGTTTGGTCCCCTTGTGGCAGTTGAGCAATATCATAACTCAGCTGGCATGCTTGGACCACAGTACTATACCACGTCTTGTCCAGATCAAACCCACCAGTGATGTTGTGCTGTACTGTAGTGTTCAAAATCCATGGCGACTGTGAACAGAACGCTACTTCGTCAAGAGAGCCGGATATTAAACCATCACTAATTATAGTCTCTCTCAACAGTGTGTAAAGTAGAGTAGACTTTCCACAACCTACGGGGCCAACAATCATGGTAAATTTGCCACGAGGCACCTGGAAGGTCAAGTCTCTCAGCACAGGAAAGCCCGTTTTCCATCCAGCGACAACCCGATGAAAATTTATGGCAGTCTCTTGAAATATAGTGCTCATTGGTTGATACTGCATTCTGTTGGCCATAAATGTCCGGTTTTTTGCCTCGGTCAAGTCGTCTTTTTTTGAAAACATTGTTTCTGGGGATGGCCGGTCGTCTGAGAATATCTTTTGCTTGATATTCGGCAGAACGGGTATCAGCTTCCCGCTGTCCCACGCTGGATTTCGTCTGGTTTCCGTGCCTAGGTACTCCTGAATTCGACCGAAACACCCAATAGCACCAGCGAAGCCGGCGATACTATCGATTAGCATGGCTATAGGAACCAGTAAAAGCTGTAAAAGAACCAACGAAAGCAGAACTTTGGGTGTGTTCATGATTTTGTAGTCGCTGGAGCGCTGAAGGATGATGTATAAGCCAAAGGCGGCTACCGGGTTCATAGCCTCCGAGATGTTGGCCAGAGTTACCAGCTTGACGAGAATGAAACGGAAGGTGAAAGATGACTTGACTTCCTCTTCGCGGAGGTCGCTTATTCTCTTGCCAAGAGGTTTGGTGAGACCGGTCATCTTGACAGATTTCATAACCCCAAGCATACTAGCCGTCGCTGCCACTCGGGATTGAATCCGGTCTAACCAAGATTTCTGGGCATCACCAGCTCCTGAAGCCACCCATACTGCAAGACCGGTACAGACGATTGTCACAAGTGTTGGTCCTAGAACGGCGAGATAGAGCGTCCGCTGAAGCAGCCAGATAGCCACCGCAATTTGAATGATGTTGGCCCACAACTCGGGAAACATGCGAAGACCGCTAGTAACTCTCTCCACATCGGTACTCATAAGGGTGACGGCGTCAGCGCCTTCCAGGGCCGTGGGAAACATCTCGAGAGTGTGGCGATAAATCAAGTCGACAAGGCCTGCTCTCATCTGCGTGACCATTCGAAACGTCCAATGTTGCGCCAAAGCCGTCGTGATAGCAATACCGACGTAAACAATGATATATACCACAATGAGACTGGTACCAACGGATGGTCGATCCTCGTAGCCCGTGCCCTGGATATAGTCGAGGGTACGCTCAAGGATAAATGGTTGAGCAACTGTGAATCCAATCTGGCAGAGACGGGGCAAAATGGACATGAGTAGAGGGAGCCTACTATGTAACATACAAACAATCATGAGAGCTAGCCCGGACTCTTTCCATTTCCCTAAGAAGGGCACAATCGAGCCCATGTCAGTTGACATAAAATTGATACCAGTGTAAGGATGTTTCACGCACAGTTCTTCCACGCTTTGGCCAAACTACCCTCATCCTCTCCAGCTTTAAGCACCGGGTCAACATCAAACAATGTCTTCATTGACAGCTGCCTCTTGAAACCGCTTATCAAAATTGGATTCAACCACCACGAAAACCATAGATTCAGCTCTCCGGATGTAGCCTCTACAGGCAGCGATTTATATTGTGGAAGCAAAATGCCACGCTTCTCAGTTGCCTCTAGAATTAACAGGGCCGTTTTGACGCCGATGGCGACGTTGAGCACCGTAGCGACACTCTCGGCCGATTGAATTCCCCATAGTGTCCTACACCGAGCTATGTCAAACACGAGAGTCAGAGCAAGGTACTGCACTAAAAGTCCAGATGGTCGGACACTGCGTAGGTGCTGCCAATAAGATAGCAAGGCAAGGCCGGGAATCAAAATGAGAACAAGGATATTGGCAGCGATTGAGGTTCGTGTCTTTGGTGTGTGGTGATCGATAGTCAGGGCGACTAGCACGATAGTGGCCACAAAAAGTGCAGCCCATCCAACCTGTTTCACATAATGTGATTTTGAGATCAACTTGTTTCCCACTCTGTATACTCTCGTTCTTACCGGTTTTTCCAGGAAATACCCTGATTCCCCTACTTTCCTCTCACTCTTTCGCAGCCGGAGAATGAACCAAGGAAGAAGAAAGAGTGTTAATAGAGTGGGAATTATGGTCAAGATAGACTCTTCGAACAGAAGGGTAAAGTCGAAGTTGTCGTAGCAATCGGCCGAAGGTCCAAACCCTGTCTCGACCTCGATCGGGCATTTGGAGGATTGGGAGCCCATCGAGACAAAATACAACAACGACTAAAAACACCACACCGCGTAGAGTAGGGCGAAAAAAAATAGAAGCTGTGATCGGAGCGATCTCTCTCTACATCATCCAGCTCTGCATATTTTCGATAACGGTTTGCCCTAACTGCGTTACCAGATTGTCAATCTCAACAAGGAGATGGAGATAGAAACAGACGGCACCATTGGCAGCATTGTGTGCGGGGGAGATATCATTAGCTATTCGCCAATTTTACTCTATAATATTGACCACTATGTTGGATCTTACTATTGCCTGTGGTGTGTAGTAAGCAAATAATATTTAGGCGTCGATTTTACCCGAATGCTAGGCTGCGCCATTCCACGGATAGCAAAACAACTAACCATTATTTACGCTTATTCCTGTCATGACGGCGTTATGTTATCCCTTTCTACTTTATGAAATACTGATGTTTTTAAATATTTCTACTGTTTGTACGAATAATTCCGCCTTAGCTTTTGAGGCTAACTGTAATTGTTACTGATAGCGTTGAAGCCAGGCTGTCATCCGTCCTCACTCTTCCTTACTACGCGAGAGTCATTACACCAATATCGGTTCATGTCATAGACATGTGGTGTCATCAATTTCTTACGATTGACGACTTTTCCCGCTTCTCAAAAATCCATGAGCTGTTTTGAGCCACCTATTTTTGCGTCAATGTCTTCCTCAAATGTCGCGATTGGCACATTACCAACCTAGTTATTTACTCCAAGTCTGTTGCCTCAGCACCGCAGTCACTGCCTAGAAACCTGAGCAATTGCATCTCGCTATACAGTCTTCAATCCTAAAAAGAAACTCCCTCTGGTTCTTGTAATAAACGAGATGAGTGTGCTCGTTAGTACAGCACCGGTCTTTCTCAGCGCCCCATTTCCACGTAAAATGAATAGCTTCATGGGTTACACGGCCAAATGTGCACCCACTTTCAAAATTTCAACCATCCTTATCCTTAGGCCTTGTTCCTGACAAAATGCGAACTATATCAAAACTGCTCTAAAAGTTTCTAACTTCAGGAAAGAGGAACTCGGGAGGGGTTTCCTTGCAAATGTAGGTCAAGAATCCACTCTCCTAAGAACACTCTCCAAAGAAACTCCTTGGTCAGCAACAGGGTCTAGTCTTTGGTATGCACGGTTTGATGATTTTTCTGACCGCCTTGAATTCTATCCAGTAACATAATCAAAATACTTGTAACAACACTGTTATAGTAAGCTTTCAGTTTTCAGCTTAGACCTATATATTCGTTTTGGCGCTAAGGCGCGCCTTTTAGCTCTTTATTGAAACTACTTCAGTGCCACTGTACCTAGTTGGGGTTCCTCGTGCTTACGCTGTTAGAAACTAATCCGATCATCCGCGGAATTGGCACAGGGATATTCGACCCTCCCAGATGCCTCAGGATATATAAAAAGGAGACACGCCCATAGCAGGACCAAACCACTTCTAGCGATGGCGGCAAATTTCATTGGTCTAAGCTTGTTTTCAGTCCCAATTCCGATTTGAGCTCCCGTGCTGTTTCCAATTGTCTTGCTTGTCCCCTGATGTAACAACGCCAGTCACCACCCCAGATAAACAAAAACGAAAAAAAAAAACATTGGTAGAACTGAGCCAATGAACGAAATCCCGGAACACCGAAAACACAAATGCAAAAGCAAAATCAAAAACCAAACACCGGTAGATGCGCAGGGATCTATTCTATTTCATCATGGGCCTGGGTCCGCACCGTGTTCAATCAGCAACGCCACCATGTCCGTTCTCCCATTGATGACGGCTCGTTGCAGCGGCGTATAGCCAGCCCTGTCTCTCCTATTGACCGATATCGGATATGTCTTGAGAAGCAGCCTCAGCGTGTTAAATGTGCCTCGCGCGATCGCAATGTGAATCAAGGGCTCGTCAGCGTCTAGGTCTCGGTCTGGCTTGGCAGCACCAGATAATGTCTTTCGTTGGCCATCCAATCCTGGTATTGGGCTCGATATCGGACTCAATGCTGGACTGTTGGTAGCCGTCATTGACGGCGACGACGGTGAGTGTGAGAAGTTGATGGCGTCATTTAACCCATGACCTTTGAAAGTTTCGTAGACTTCTGATTCTATCCATCCCATAGTGTTCATGGCGCTGGCAGATGAGGTATAGGTGGACATGGTTGCTGAAAGATCGGAAGTGGATGAATCGCTTCCCACTTTGCAGGTGGGAATGGATATAGGATTGCTGGTTACTGTAGGTTCCTTCACCTTTTGAAAGCAGTCACCGAAGTCTTGGTCCAGATCTGTCGGCCAGGTCAGGCAGTCGCCTAGCATATCATGGTCTTGCGAAACTGTCTCGGACCACTTGTCTAGGCATGTGCTATTCTTCAATTCCCACTCCGTTATAGAGTCCCTAGAGCCGGGTGATAAGCTGCCATGCGATGGCGCTGAGGCTAGTCTTTCGCCTGACTCGCTAGCATTACCGCTGGTAGTGGTGGTGCTAACTGCTTGCTGGAGCATCTTGACTTCAGTCTTCAGTAGCTCGACCTCTTTTGCGCGATCTCGCATGTTTCGTCCTAAAAAGGATATCAATAAAATCAAGCCCACACAAGAACTGAGCAAAGGAAATTGGGAGCTCCTACTGTATGCTCGTTGTGCCAAGCGATTCTGGATTTTCCTGCGCTCTGATGCATCGGCTAGTTCTCCCCAGCTCTCGCCTGGCTTCATCAGATCGCTGTACGAATTAGCTTTTGGACGCCCAGAGCGGCGTCGACCTGTACGAGCCGAACTAAGGGTCGAGCTTTCGACCTGCGAAGGAGTTATGATAGGAGATTCCATGATGGTCTGAAAGCTCAACTAGCTGACAAGAAGAGTGTGGATAATGCGAGGCCCTTATAGACGATTGACGAGGGTGGGTTGGGCTAACTTATATTTTCGATTCGGTGCGAGCATCAGGACTGAGGGACTTTCAGCGTCTGAGAGACTATAGGCGAATATCTAGGATCTGAGCGCTTAAACTATCCCGCGTCCGTTACTATATTGGAATGTCATCTGTTGGCGGACGAGACCCGCCGCTGAAACAGATCATTGTTCATATCGAGGCTTGTAAAATACATGAGAACTCACCATCAGGCGTACACTGTATATTGGGTAAGGCTAGAGTATTGTCCCTTGACGTGATTGGGAGCTGTTTTGGGGCTCATTTGATAAAGACGGGATAAAACAGCTGGGAGGCTAAAAGTTACTAAATATATTAACTGTTAGGCTGATCTGAGCTGGTCTGCCCCTTCCTAAACCGGCCCCAGAAAATTCTTTGAATGTTGGTCGAAGAGAGCAGGGCTGGTGGGATTTCCGATTCTCGCGTGGCCGCAATGTTCTTGTGGTAACTTGAAACAAAAGCTTAACTTTCCGGCCTTTCTCCAAGCCAATCTAGCGAGCTGTTGATCCACAATGTTTAATCAGTTCACCAACTACCTAACGAACTACTAACTAATTACGATCTAGAACATGCTCTCTCTGATGTACTGCAAACCATGTCCAATCGCTACATCTATGTTGCTCTCGTTCCAAATTTCGCGTTTCCCAGCCCAGGGGTCCTGGTCAAAATTATCATGACTATTATTATCATCCTCCACCAATAAGCCAGCGCGCAGCAAAATTTTTTCCGGCGGCACTGTCTTTCGTCCAGCTTTGAACACATATTTTGTCACCAGTACCGCTAAGACGCCATTTTTGAGCTTGTCGTGCCGCAGCACCGCTGTAGGACCTCCGCCCAGGATGTCTACCTCAACGGGCAGCTGCGCCATGTTTTCACGCAGGAAATAGGTCACCGTATAGAGTGACTTGTCATTCCACGCTAATATCCGAGAACACACCCAATAGGCCTGGTACGGTCGGATTTCATGCAGAAATTTCGACTGGACCGATGCAAGAACGGGCGTAGCTGGACCCACGTCAGCCAATGCTTTCCCCAGTAAGGTACTCAAAAGCGTGGCCCGGCTGATGTCTGCATCGGTGAAAAACGTGCTGTTGGATTTGTGGAGATTGATATCAATGTCGGCCAGAATCACCCGTGACTTGGTGGTGTAGTATTGGAAGAGCAACGGCACCGCATACGTGAAGTGGCGTAGTAATGACGAGCCGTTTTCTGTCTCGTCGGAGGACCTGACTAGCTCACGATTGGGTCGAAAAACACGAGGGAGAATAAATCGATATACCGAGGGCAATAGCTGGAAAGTATATGACAGGGGTATACCTTTTGCGTTGGTGGCAACCCAAATGAAAGCCACCGCCGCTAGGGCGAGCATGACTTCGTCCATCGTGATAATTTGCACTATAACGGCAGAATCAGGAGAATCAAATTTCCAATTTCTTGTGAACGCGGTGTCGGACAACAGTTTGGTTCCACATGTGAAGTCTCTGGGGGCAAAGTGTGGAAATGGCGTAGGAAGAGGTAGCAATAGCTATCCCGTTAGGAGGGGCCTAAACAGACAAAATACCAGGTTTGGTGGTACACTACACCGAATGCTTACTACATTTAAGGTAGTAAGCAAGTTACGTGCAGTAAGTATTACCCAATACATGAATTAGTGGACACTTTGCTGTGTTCGAGTAAGAAATGTAGGACAAGTCACGTATGGACGGAGCAGCCAAAAGAACTATCAATCCATTTTGAACTCTGGATGACGTCTCTGTTAAAATGATATTGCTTCCTGCTACCTCTGTGCATTTCAGTTTGCTGTCAGAGTTCTAAGCTACCTAAAACTAGTATTGGCCATATAATCCATCCACATGAGAGATCCAAAGTGCTGAAATCCGAGTTACGTACTACAATTTTTAGTCAACTACTGCTCCTTTTTACAATAATCCTAGCATTTAACTTGGGTTTTTGTGAGAGTGAAAAAAATGAGTTCCATTTGTAGCTAGCGATCTTTACATAAAGTATAGGTTCCGAATATGTTTTCTCTCTTTGCTTGTAGACATTAAAGAAATATTGCATACTAATTCTCAATTTGAGGAGGAAATATATTACACTCGATGGCGTGGGCTGCATGTGCTTCTTGAGGGATGAGGTAAATGTGTCCAAGCATCTTTAGAAACCTGTCACCTCGAACATCCAGTCATCAACGTCTTGGCGCCTTCCTTGTTGAATATCAAGCATTATACGTGCAAGACCGACAAGCTTCCCTTCGCTTGTGGCCTTGAAGGTATATTGTTTGTTTGTAGAAAGCTGATCTATGGTGGCGATCGGAACAGCTGCGGCTGCAGTACCAACTGCAATGACTTCATCCAAATCTCCAAGCGAAGAAAATGGGAGCTGGAGTTTTTATGATGCCAGTCAGATTTTTGAAAATACCCTCAGAATTTGAAAGAAAAGAGAAAAAGAGAAAAAAGGATGGGCGGAACGACTTACAGGAGACTGGTCAACCCTCCAGCCTTCTCTCTCGGCGATGATTTTGAGACTTGTGGAGGTTGCGCTCTCAATGGCGTTTTCTGACTTGGGAATCACAAGCACGTCCTGGCCGTCGATGAGTTTGTGCCCAATGAAGCCACTGGTGGCAAATTCCTCAACTAGCGAATGCGTCTCACTGTCAAGATGCAGTGTGATGTGGAAACCCATCTTCATGGCCTTGGCTGCGTGTCGCCAGACCTTTTTTCCAAAAAGGTTTATTAGTAACACTGAATATAAATTGAAGCTACTTCGGCCATACCGGTGCATAATTTCCTCCAACCTTGAACCGGCCCATCCCCCTTGGAGCCGCACGATCGAACTCTTCGCATACAACGCCCTTAATTCCATGCACGCCGTGGTAGGCTCGAGCAGGATGGCAGTACACAGCAAAAACGGTCTCCTCACATGGCTTGAGTGGCAGGCCATCAGAGGCACCAAAAAGCACGGGTCGGATGTAGAGGAAGCCGCTAGACTCTACCGGCGGGACATACTCTGCGTTGGAGGCGACAGCCAAGCGAACACTCTCCAAGAAGAGCTCCTCAGGTACCTGCGGAAGGCAGACCGCAGCGGCAGAGCCTGCCATGCGAGTAGCATGGAAGGTGGGCCGGAAGATAGCAATGCTCTCCTCCCCATCTGGTGTAGATGGGGCTTGACGAAGAGCCTTCAGGCCTTCGTAGCATTGCTGGCCGTAGTTGAGACCAGGAGAGATGCCCGAGATGGAAATGTCGTTTCCCTTGACTAGGATAGGGCTGCTCCACGATTGCGTGGACTGGCGGAACCTAACCTCAACATGGTCATTGACGGGGATGTGATTGGTCATGTCCAGGTTTTCCCAGTCTGCGCATAATGCAAATCAGCGAACTTTCAAACAAGGAGACAAGTTAATTATAGAAACTCACCAAGGCCTGCTTTAGGTGCGGGAGGACCATGACGGAGAGGGCCTGGGTTGGAACAAGTATTTTGACCATCCTCAAAGAATTGAGTCAAGCGGCCGAAGAGTAGAGAGAATACTCCTTGTTCCATCTCGGCTCTTTTGTTTTTTTTTTTTTTTTCCTTTATCTTTCTTTTGGCATGTGTTTACATCCGTCTACGATTGCCATTGTCGTCATGATATTAGAAGGACGGGTACTGGGGTTCGCCAACAATGCATAGTAAGCAGCTTAACTTTGTTTATGACCCGAATTTGACGCCTAACAGAACGATCGTTCTACGTGGCCGGGGTTGGTGGCTGTACGTTCCCGGTGACAGCATGACAGTAAGTAATTAGCTAGTTACGTAGTAAGCTGCAATTACTATATCGAACAAATGGGATGGGATGCCTTTGAACCAAATTTAGAACGAAACATAAATCTTCTCTGAATACGTAGTATTTCCACACTTACAGGCGTATTAGTTTGTCTCCTCATCTATTAAGTTTATAAAGTGTTGCTCTTCTGATAACGCTAGAATTGCGCCTCGTAAATGTTCCGAAATCATGAAACTCGCTACTAAATAAGGTGGCGAAATTACACTTAGCTTATCCCTAGGTACTATGAGAGTTGGCCTGAGAGTAGATAAGTGCTAGTTATAATGGAATACTCCAGCTTCGATGCCTGAAAAAGCGAACCCAGCAAATTACCACTCCAAACCAATTCACAGTGAAGAATTCAATTAATACGCCAACAATGCGAGATACAGAGCGGACAACGTGTACTCCAACTCATAGCGCGTAAATGCCGCCAATAACCTCATAATATGACTATTCGTAGCAGATGCATGATTCCAAGAGGTAATGGGGTTTTTAGGTCTTCTAGACCATACGTTCAGGTTTCATCTACCAAAGGCAGGCAGTATAGGCTGCTGCCCTTGCCCTTGTCTACCCCTCTTCCTTTAGGCCTGCGAGGTGCCGCATTTGTTAGGTCTTTGGGGCCTTTGCCTCTACCTATTGGATTTTTTCGCTTTCCCAACGCGATATATATCTCCAGACAGAATTGATTCGTTGGAATCGGCTTTACGCTTAACATGCGTAACCGCAGGGAACGTCTCAACCAACTCTCTAGCCAATGTAACAACGATAGTCCAGTTGCTCGCTTAAGCATCAAACTAGAGAAGAGGGTGCGGGGATCACTGTCGCCCCGACTTTTCCTAAGGACTGTACAGCAAACGGGGAGAATTGTCAAATCGCCTGGATTATTTAGACCAATAGGAAAGGTTCAGCGTATAACGGAGCATTACTGGTTACACAAATATGCAACGATTGAATGACTTTACTAGCCGGAGGCTTTAGACTGTCCCAAACCTTTGCATATTCTTCATTGGTCTACTTTCTAATTACTGGGAATGGATATTTCCTCCATCTATCTGACACCTGACGTCAGATGAGAGAGAAAACGTGATACGCTTATACTTGTCCACATAAAACTTTCAACAAACATTCATACATCTTGAAAACACCCTGAAAACATGACTATTACCAATAGAAGCGTGCCTAAGCAATGCCAGTCGATGACCGAAGACGGGTATACTCATCCTTGCCCTAGTTGTAATATCAACCAACCGAAACTAATGCTCGGCGAACTAATGCGCGACATCCTAAAAATGGGAAGTGTTTAGAATGAATGCAAACATGACACTAATATAAAGGCAATATTAACCGATACTAAAAAATTATCCAAATCCATGCAATCTAGCTTTGTGGTATGCTAGGGTTTGATGCTTCGAAGATGCTAATATATGAAGAATCAAGATACATCTACTCATAGATGAAGTTTATTCACAATGAAAATGTAAATAATGAGTGTCGGGCATTTTTGTTCCATCTCAATTTCATTTTTGCCTACGTCTTCTGAGAATGGTATAATTTTCCGACGTTCTAATGCAGCATCCGGAACGAACTATTATTACTACGTCAACATTGTGCATATTTAAGGAATTTAGTAATTATATTTACTGTAAATCTGAATAAAAAGCGGGGGTCTCTTAGTTTATCTTGATTTAGCTCATGGAGGCGCCGAGTTTCAGCAAGCCACAATTTGTTGCATGTGGAGGGGCATATGAAGAGAATAGTATTAATATCACCAAAGATTCCATTTGTGACAAGGAGACTATTGAAGAAATTACTATACAGTTTGCAGTTCAGCTTTAATTTTACTAATAATTTGCCAGTTGTTTGTATTCATCCATTTCACCATGGAACGATTAGATGGTGGAACTCGATACGACCTTGGTCGCGACTTTGTCGGATCTGCTAGGTATGACTCACGATAGTCTAAGCTTCTGGTGGCGGTGAGACCTAACAAGCATATATCAGGTTGAATCTCCAGCATTATCTCTGGAAAGAAACACTGGGCTTTGATCTTCACCCCCGAGCAGAAGCAGATAATTCTTCCGAAGGCCTGCGGATCGCCGACGTGGGTACAGGCACTGGGTTCGTCTTCACTTTTTTGCTGTGCATCATCTCTCGAGAGGCAGGTTTGTTGAACTAATATCTTTCCTTGGACAGTGTATTCATTCTTAGCCTGGCACGCCGTTTATCGCCATCATGCAGCTTCGTTGGGTTCGATATTTCTGATGAGCAGTTTCCAGTTCCCGATGGCGTCCCCGATAATGTCGCCTTTCGCATTGCAGATGCCATGTCAGATCCTCCGGATGAGTTTATAGGTCAATTTGATATCGTGCATCTCCGTCTATTCTTTTGCGTGGTCGAGGATAATAATCCCCTACCTCCGCTAAATTTCTGCTTGAAATTACTCAGTAAGGACCTTTGTTTTCATCACCACTCCACGCTTTTAAGTTATTTTTTTCAGGTTATTTGTTTCAAGTAATTTGTTTCAAGTAATTGGCGCTGATTAAATGCCTTTACAGAACCTGGTGGCTTTCTGCAATGGGATGAGTATGACCAAGCATACACGAAAGCATATAAATTATCTCCTCAGGCACCAATTGCGGCGATGACCGCTATGCGGGAGGGCTTCAGTAACGGAAGGCAGTTAGGGTAAAGGATTCCATCTTCCAACTACCTATATGTTGAGATGCTAAATATTCGGTCTGGAACAGTTGGATCACAACCTTGAAGGACTTTTGTGAGACCCATGGCGTGCAAGACGTTGAATGTATCCGAACCGGTCCGCCACCTGATTTCCTAACAGCGTACACTCAGATGGTTCTGGTATTATATCTGGAGCATGCTTCGTTGCATGATAACAGCGGTAATAAAGAGAAGGGTGATAGCCTCAGACTGCTTGTCGCAAAATGTGCAGAGGAATTGAAACAAGGCGGGGTGTGCCGACATTGGTTACAGGTTGTTACTGGACGAAAGAGATTCTAAACATTAATACTAATATTGTACAGGGTTGACTAAATGGTGGTTTTCTGACAATATTTAGTCAAATGATTATGAAAGAGGCAACAGGACACTTACACAGTTGTTGCATATTGATACACCGCATTGATGAAACCAAGGCTTACAGCCTGCTCTTAATCTCCGTATTCTCAACGTCATTCCCGGATGATCTCCTCAACACCGTGCACGATGTGCGCGGTTTCGGCTTGATGTAAGACACCGTACCGATAATCTCCGCCTTCTCATCGTCGTCAAGGAAAACCCCAAAAAGATTTTCCAGAACAGAGATCCGCTCTTCCTCGGAATGAAGATCCAGAGTCTCGTAATGACCATGCACTTTCCGTCTCAGCTCATTTTCCCACAACATGATGAAACCAATCGGAGCAGCACTTTCTTTATCAAGCAAATGCCGAAAAGCCATGACACGAGTCATAAACCACATACGCCGGTCTGTCTTGGCTTGGCGCTCCAACGCGTGGTAGTCGTTGCTTGTAAACTCAATTTCGGAAAAAGCGTACGAGTCCATCCATATCGATTCTTCTTTCCATCTAAACTGAAGGCGCCAGTGTTTCAGATGCTGCGCCCTATGTTGATCTAGAGGGGCAGAAATGAGCCGGCCTCTCCGTGACCCCATATCGGTGAATTCGAGGCCTTCCTTCATGGGCACGGGGACGGTTGGGGCATGAGGCCCAAAGGCGGCGTCTACCAAATACTCTTGGCCATTGATGTCGACGATTATCAGCATATGTGACCTATTCCAATACCGTCAGCCGGGGATTCACTGAAACACAGACCTAATTTCGAAGGCATGTCACCGACTATACGTAGGTAGGAAGACTCACAAAGTACCAAACCGAGTTTTTGCTGAGTTGTTGTTCACTGCTGCCGCACTTGCAGCCCGGTTAACTCGCGCTGCGGTCGTGTAAAGCTTATAACCCAGCGCAATCAATAATTCAGAAAACAAGGTGTTGACTTGGGTGCAGACACCACCGTGTCCACGATGCACAATTTTCTCATAAATCGATGCCACAGTCAGTTCAATCGCCTGATGACGACTATAATGTAGCGAGCTGTTTTCATACGGTATAGCGCCGAGGTGGTAATGCAGCAGCGATGTTAATGCTTGAAGCTGACATTCAGGATCGGTTCCGCCTGCAGAATGCTCGAATTTCTGCCTTATGTTCAAGGGTAGATGAATGCGATCGAAATAGCGATCAATGTCAATTTGTGTGAATTTCATATTTGCCAGAGTCTCCTCCACCAGGTACAATCAATCGTTAGAAGTGTTATGGCATCAGGGCCAGAGAAATTTTCGTCGAGGTTCCAGATTGGACTCCGCACGTCAAATTGCAGCGCTTTTATTTTCATATAAAGTTGCAAACCAATCTGCCTATAACCAATCGGTAAAAACTTCCGCCTACAATCATTAAGGTTGTGAAGAATTCAATCCAACAAGAGCATTAGTTCAGGACGGCCGGAAGCCCGGATCGTAAAATTAGCCAGCCACGTTGAGACCCATTCTCGCGGGATTGTTGGTCCGGGGCTATATTTAAAGACGAAAGAGCACGTGAATTACTGTCACAGTCTGAATCCAGCTGACAAGAAAATTTCAACAGTGGACAGTTGGCAGTTGACGAAAGTGACATAGGGAAAGGGAGAGAATGTTAATTTAATTTGCCTCACACGTGGCCCGGTGCTCAGGCGTTCGAGTTAGTAAGACATAGGCTGGTTCAGGAAGAAGAAGGTTTAGCTATCGCCGGAGGTGAAGAATGTGGAGCCTGCGCTCCTCTAGGATTTGCTGGACAACCAACTTGCGCGATTCGTAAAATTAAATGCCAATAATATTGTCGGGTGGTTTGCCCGTCAGAGCGTAAGTTCTAGATAAGCGTCGAGTTTGTCAAGTTGAATCACGTAAAGCGTACCAAGCATATATCAATTGATAATCGATTTATGTCTCAGGCACCAGCCAAATGGTAGCCCAGATTAATTAGTACATAACAATTGAATTGGCCTAACCCGATTTGTGCAAGGAGCTAAGGATTCTATGCAAGGATCGCAGGAATGTTGCATTATGGCGGTATCGATTGATATGGAAGATAGTTCTGTAGGTCTAGTATATAGCCTGGGGTAGACAAGGAACATCAACACTAATCTGGCAAATGGTTGAATATAGTATTACAAGTTTGTGCCTTTCATCTGCATGCACACCAATTTTTATCAGATGACATAAATCTAGAGTTCTGAGGGGGGTGCCCGTAATGGTGGAACCCGGAGATTAGTACAGATTTAGTCTCTTTTCCTGCTATTGATTGATTTTGCTTTCAATAATGCGGCACAGTCAACATTTTTATGATTCCGAAGGATAAACTTGTTATTGGTAAAAGCCGAACGCAGTGTACATGTATATATTTGGATGTCAAGTCGGCACCAATCATAAACCATCAACAATGATATCTATCAACCACTAAAAGCCGTTTCGATAAATCTTGTACTTATTGACTCGTAGTCGCACTGTCAGTCATCGTCTCCGGCAACACAACTGCCTCTTCCTTTCTTGTAACCTCGAAACTCTTCATAGGGTAAAATCCCCATCGTTGGAACATCTCGTGATCCTGGTCCCATCCATTGCAATCAGTCGTCAGCATCTTCTCGCCAGTGAAAACCGCATTAGCGCCGGCCATGAAACACGTCACTTGCTGCTCCTCGGACAGATTGATGCGTCCCGCCGCAAGACGGACGATGGTAGAGGGCAGAACGATCCGTGCAGTCGCAATCGTGCGGAGAAGCTTATCAAACGAAATCATCTTTCGGTCGCCCAGCGGCGTTCCCTTGATCGGCACGAGGGCGTTGACGGGGAATGACTCGGGATGTGCAGGCAGCGTCGAGACGGTATACAACAGACCGACACGGTCGGAATCAGCTTCTCCAAGGCCTAAAATCCCGCCCGAGCAGACATTGATCCCGGCGTCACGCACGTTGCTCAGTGTCTGCAAGCGCTCGTCATACGACCGTGATGTGATTATGGTGGGGTAGTATTCCCGCGACGTATCAAGGTTGTGATTGTAGGCCGTCAATCCGGCATCCTTCAACTCCTTCGCTTGCTCCGAGTCTATCATGCCCAGTGTCACGCACACCTCCATGCCCATTCCTCGCACGCCCGAAACCATCTCCTTGATGTTTTTCAGGCTGGTTTTGCGACCGCGCATGTCACGCCACGCGGCCCCCATACAGAACCTTGTGCTACCGTTTTTCTTCGCTATACGCGCTGCTTCCAATACATCGTCGACTTGGGATAGTTTTGTTGCTTTGAGGCCGGTATTGTACCGTGAGGACTGGGCGCAGTACGAGCAGTCTTCACTGCATCCGCCGGTCTTGATATTCATCAAGGTGCACATCTGGATAGCGGCTGGGTCGTGAAAGCGGCGATGGACGATTGCCTGATTGCGTGTCAGCAGCTGCTCAAGAGTGTTTGCCTACAATCGGTTAGTATGATTAGAGACTGATCATACCGCAGAATGAGTCAATTGGCTCAGAGGAGCCTCGTAGATCTGCTGGATCTCATCTCTCGTCCAGGTTGTGCGCGGCTTCTGGGCAGCGGTGGCATCCTTCAAGGCGGCGGGGATTTTGGGCGATGTCCAGGGAGAGACAGGAGCACCGGTGGCCGTGGATGTCGATGCGCCTTGGACGGTGCCGTACGAGCGCCGGACGACGCGAATGAGCGACCGGGATGACATTTTGGTGTTTCCTACACTAACATGGGACTGAATCTCAATGGATAGATCGTGGAGGAATGACAGTCGAGAAATTCAATCTGCATCATCAATCATGGGTTAGTCTTCACCGGCAATACGAATGATAACAACAGTAGTTAGTAATACTAACAGCGAGGGGCATCTGCAGCACCAAGTGGGACAACGGCGAGTCTAAAACGTTGACCCCAACCAGCAGAGCCTTTGCCTGGACCCAGGGTCCTCGCCAGCCGGTCGCGATTGGGCTGCACGTCGGGGGATTTGCATAACCGAGGTGAGACCCGTCGTACCGCTGTCGCGAGTCTGTCCGATACCGCTGCACCCGATGTAGTGTTAGGATGTGTAAAATATTAGTAAAATAAGGATTGTGATTTGCAACTGCAGCAGAAGGTGCGTGGCACGTGCAGGCGATTGTGAAGATTATCTAATAGTGCTGCCCTGGTTGCGGGCCGTGGCTAGAGAAGGCTAGCCGCGGTCTTCTTCTCTCTACATAGCATCCATACTAGGGTAACATGCATGATTGATATTAATCATGGGGTCTGGTATTGTTGATTTTTGGCTATGCTAATGCCGATCCTAGTCTACTACTAACCGATGCACGCGACGAATCAGTCGACATCAATGTAGGCGCGCCGACACAGCATCTTCAGGCGACTCGAGTTCGCCAGCAGCTCCTTGTCCGGCCACGGCGCATGCTCACTGCCCTTCCCCTGAGGCAGCGTCTTCGTCCACGCCTCGATCATCTTTTCGGTCACGTCGCTTATCTCTCGCTTCAGTGCGAGACGGTCCTCCCACAACTCAGGGCTGCACCGCACCCGTGCAATCGCCAGAAAAGCGAGAGGAAGAACGGGGGGCATGACGTCGACATACCGGATCGCATCGAGGCGCTGTCCGTAAAAACGCACAAACTCGTCTCGGGCATCCTTTTGGGAAGCAGCATACCGGAGCGATGTCGCGTCGTCATAGAAGGACTGTCCCTGGATGTTAAACTCGCCGGGCGAGTAAAGTGCCCCAATGACCCGTTCGGCATAGTCCAGGCGTCCGAGGATATTAATCAAGTCCTTCTTGTCGGATAGCAAAGATCTTTCGAAGAGCGCATGCTTGTTAGCAATGGCAGTGACCTTGTCGTTCAAGGCTTGGAAGGTCTTTGCGTACGATTCAAACTTGTCAAGCATCTCTGTGACGTCAACAACCTCAGCTGAATCAGAACTGTTCTTGTCGTTGTCGCTCTTGCTGCCACGAACGGCCACCACAGAATACGATGAAGCTTTGTCCTCGTTCTTCTCGGGATCCAATCCCCGAGACTTTTGTGAAGCCCCTTTAGTATCTTGGTCAAAGTCAAGAGCATCCACTGGCACCTCGGGCACATCCACCCGGCCTTCCAAAGCCGTCATGCTCCACTGCAGCCTCTCTTCAACAGCTGAAATACGAGCCGACAAATCCTTCAACACAACCGAAACAGCGCTGTCCATTGGGGTCTTGGAGTCACGAGCAGCGATTTCAGAGGCCTTCGTCAACCTCGTCGCCTGGCTCCGTTCATCCAGCAGTTTTGTCTTCGACAAAGCCGCCTCCGTTCTCAAGGATTCCATTTCGATGCGGAGTTTGTCATCTTGATGATTTGAAAATTCATTCAAGGCCACCATCTCTATGGAGATCCTTTTGGTAATGAAATGCTGCCGAAACATTGTCTGGGAAAGCTCTTCAAATGCCCTCTTTCTCTTAAACAGCTCAGACTTGACCCATTTCTCGAAACGTGAATGCTTATTGATGACATCGTTTAACTTCTTCTCGACAGTGTCTACCCTCTTGTCGATAGGTCCAGGTCCCAAGGGCACTAAGGGTGCTGGGATCCTGAAGAACGACATGTTGAATAGATGTCCTTCGTGAAATTGACGTGGTGTAGATGAAAGAAATGAATGCCGACAAGTAGGCTCGCTCTACGGAGTGATCATATCTGATAAATAGCGAAGCCCCGAGAAGTTTAAGAGAGAATGAGCTGGGTCGAGAATTTATCTTCTATAGTGAAGTGATACCAGCGGTGACCACAAGCGGTGCTGGTGTCATGACAACTGCAGCTACTAGCAACCGGAAATTGTACCGCGTCCATGCTTACTTGTTTTGCTTAGATTTCGACTGTAGTGATATATTTGTATTTACCCGTTTGCATTATTCAGCGATGAATTGATAATGGTGTATTCATAATCACACTTTCACGGCCAGTTACATGGTCATAACAATGCATCCCTCAGCAATCCTTCTACTCTACTTAATTCCTCTGGCTTCGACGTCATGCTCGCCATTAAATAGAGAACATTGCCCAGCACCCTTGAATGGACGTTGAATGGCGCCGGATCGGTAGGTTCCCCGAGCGTGAGTCTTTGTTGTAGCCCTTTCGCCGCCGTCGACGTGTATCCTATCCTCAATCAGCCCCGAACACTCTGACAACAATGGAAAAGAAAACAAGCACTTACCTCCTTGTCCAGCTTGGTCACGGAGCGTGACGCTGAACACGCTGCCAACGGCGAATACCCTCTCGACCGATTCAGCATGACTCAGGTCTTGCACGAGACCTGCAGACCACTGGCTCCAAACAGCTCCGTGCGGGTTTGCACTCAGCACGCGTTCGCTCCACGAAGTCTTAAACGCGTCCCAGTCACCGCGCTGCTCCATGTTCATCATTTCCTGCACTGAGTTCACGGCAACCTGGCACCCGACCGCATGCGCCGTATAGCTGTGGCCGTGCAGCAGTGCATCGCTCTTCTCGCTGCTTGCGAATGAGTCGAAGATATCCGTGCTGGCCAGCGTCACGGCGAGCGGGATCAGGCCGCCTGTCAGCAGTTTTGCGTGCACAGAAATGTCGGCGTCGATACCAAGGAATGACGCGGATGTGCGTCGGCCAAGACGATACAGCCCCGTGAAGACTTCGTCGAAGACAATCGGGAGGCCAGACCAGTTAGTCTTGCTTTCTGACGTTGGGGTTGAGGGTGAGCTGCCAAAGAGATTAGGGTTCGAGCGGACGATATTCGCAAGAGAGAATTGGAATAGGGGGTCGCTACTGTTGTCAGTGTATGGTCTCATTCTTCACCATTGAAGACTCACGCAAAGAGCATGCCTCCTGCTCCCAGCAACACAGGCTCCATAATCAATGCACCAAATTTAACACCCTTCTTGTACACTAGTTCCTCCAGTGTGTCTTTGATATAAGCACTATATCTCTGACCAGCCGCCGATTTCGATCGCTTCTCTAGATCGAAAATCTCATCCAACGAGCCAAACTCCTCACCACCACCCAACTCCTGACTCAACTCGTCGGGTACATCTATCCTCCAAGAACCATTCTTCATGCCTACCGTCGGGAAATCAAACCAATGTCCTCGTCCCCGATACCACTCGACCTTTTGATTAAACGTCGACGGCTCCGAGCAATCCATCACACCGATTGTGTCGCCATGATAGCTACCTTTCAGGCCGAGAATCTTCACCTCGCTTTGGGACAACTGCCAGCCATATCGCACACACGCTGCTCTCAAAGCCATCTTCACTGCAACCTCCATACCTGTGCTACCATTATCGGTGTAGAACACTTTACTCAACCTTTCATTCCCAAGGCTCTTCAGCAGAAGCTCGGCCAGATTCAATGCTGGCTCATGGACAGCTCCGGCAAACATGACATGTCCGTACTTCCCCGCAGCATGAGCAGCTGTCAGAGCCAGCTCGGGGTTTCCATGGCCCAGCCCCTGCGTCCACCATGAGGCCGATCCGTCAAAGGTCGGCTTCAATACAGGCGCAGCATCTTGTTTAGTATCCCTGTCGAGGGTCTGGAAGTAGTCGCCATACGCAGACTCGATAACAGTGATATCCTCTGGCTTCATTCCCTGATGCTGGGTAAATGGATACCAAATCGCGCTATGGGCCCGCGTCGCCATAGATTCTAGCTCTGCAATTCGGTCGTGAGATTTCTTCTCCATTCCGTCGAGCAGCGACCCGATATCTGCCTGGGCAGCAACAGAGTCATAGTACTTCTTCATAGCCTCCAAGTCTCGCGCCTCCGCATCTGCAGCCACTTTACCCTCTGGTCGCGGGGGTGGTTTCGGAAGTGCCAGTAAGGGGATCGCCTTTTTCGCGAAATATGACTGCAGGTACTCGTGGTTTTGATAATACTCATCTTCAAACAGCAGAACAGAATGGATGTCGTAGCCACGCATTAGGAGGGACTCATACGCCGATATCGACGACGAGATCCCGCCTAGCCGCGAATCTGCAACAAGCACTACGGGGAGTCGTAATGGCCGGTAGAGGTCTGCCTGGCTATTTGCATTGGGACCTGGTGAGTGCACGCCACCGGCGGTCTCAACAAGAGCATTTTTCACGCCGTTCGTCGACCACGAGGAGAGTGTGCGGTGGATGGAAGAGAGAATGTGGGTGTCTGCGGGGATCTACAATTGTCTAAGCATTCCATAGAGTTCACCTGCGCTATTCAAAGCCTTGCTTACGGTTTTTAGTTTCGATCGCGCGGCAATGTGTGGACTGACTGGTTCGTCGAATTGATACAAGCATTTAGTCAACACGTTGGGGCCGGCTGCGAAGCGTTCAACATGTCTAGCAAGGTTAGTGATCGAAAAAGAAAATGGGCACATGAATGTACATACCTGTCATCAGCCTCCTCTAGCGACCCTGTCGACACGGGCTTCAAGAATCCCACTGATCCTCTCTCGGCCAAAGCCTTGCAGAGGAGCGTCGACACAACCGTCTTGCCGACATTGGTGTTGGCGCCGTACACCTGGTGTGCACGCAACGAGCGCCAGAGCGCGGCCCCTATGGGTGCCATTGTGCGTGGTCACTTACTCTGATATATTCGATATCAAGTATACTGTGCTATCGCATTGGGTATATGTTCATGTCCATAAGCCTTCCAGCAATTGTTGAGAGTGGGGTTCAACGGTTGACGCAATGCGATTGGCTGTACCCTTACTTATTGTTTCGAATGATAATCCGACTAGCCATTACAATTTTTACCATCAGCACTGGTCTTCGTGGAGTGGTGACTCGGTCGCCAAGTTACGCTCCGTTTCGGCGCGGTAAGGAATTATTAACCTTGTTAATAATAACAAAATTCAAAACGGCGACGCGAAGCCTAGCCGAACCTAATATTAATGGGCTAATTGTATGTGATAATAAGAAGTCGAGTTAATGCAGGGTCAAATTCCCGACAGCCGAAAACGCTCCGGCCCTGACCGCGGTATCGGTATCTACTACTACAGTTACCGGTGACTTGTACTCCGTATTTACTTTGATGAAATTGCTGATCCATGTCCAGCCACCGTGAATATCCTTGTCTGGGAGATGGCAGCAGTATCGGTAGTATCTCCCACGCGTGACTATGACCGCGTGTTCAATAAGCAAAGCAAAAACAAAAAGAAGAAAAAATGAAGTAATAAAAAAACAAACTGTTAGAACAATATCAGCAAAGTACTCCGTAATGAGAAAAAGAAATGCCCTAGGTATTTTATTATATTTTATTATCGCGGTTAGACATAATGTTGGGGCGTCGACTCCAGTCATTGTGCAATCATCAATCCCCACAGACTCAGAGTCTAAGCCGTGGCCCTAACCAGACCCATACAAACACGCCTACGTATTAAAAACAATAAAGATGGCTTGATTCCTGTTTTCCCTCATTCAACGCCAATGTAGCGCTGAAATTGGGTTGCGGGGTATGAAAATGGGCACACTGCTGGACTCGTTTCAGGAGGCATTGGAGAAAAGAGAAGCAAAACTGGCACGACGGCGACTGACGATTCTGTCCCCGGATGCTGCTGATTTCTCGTCAAACGACTTCCTATCTCTCTCGACCTCGTCGTTGCTCAAGTCACGATATTTGCGAAGACTGAATGCTTGTTACGCTGCAGATCATTCCCTGGGGCTGGGAAGTGGTGGCTCGCGGCTGCTAGACGGTAACTCTGCGTTTGCTGAAGAGCTGGAACGGTTCATCGCTTCTTTCCATGACGCTCCTACTGGTCTGCTTTTCAATTCAGGGTTTGATGCCAATGTCGGTGTCTATTCGTCTGTCCCGCAACCAGGTGATGCCATTGTGTACGATGAGTTGATCCATGCGAGTACGCACGAGGGAATGCGTCTTTCTCGTGCGACAACAAAGCTTCGCTTTCAGCATAATTCAGTCGAGGATCTGGAGAATGTTCTCAATGGGTTGATTAATGACGATGTATCAATTTCCAGCCGCAATGTCTTCATTGCTGTGGAGTCACTGTACAGCATGGACGGCGATGTGGCTCCTTTGAAAGAGATGGTTCAAGTCATTCATAATACCTTCCCTCGAGGAAATGCATATTTGATTGTGGACGAAGCTCATGCGACTGGGGTGTTTGGACCGAATGGGGCCGGGGTCGTTCAAGAGCTAGGGGTTCAGAATGATGTTTTTATTCGGACACATACCTTTGGAAAGGCACTGGCTGGCCAGGGCGGTATGTCAGACTACATCCTAACACGAGGAGCGACAACTGACTTTTTTTAGCCATCGTCTTGTGTACGTCGTTGACGCGTGAGTATCTGATCAACTATGCCCGCACGTTGATATATACCACGGCGATGGCGAGTCCGACCCTGGCGGCAATTCGGACTGCTTACGAATTGATGCAACAAGGGAAAACCCAATCAGTACGAGCCCCAATTTAAAGCATATTGATTGACATGCTGATGAATATAGTTCCAACAAAAACTACAATCCAACATTTCATACTTCCGGTCTCAATGTGACAACTTCCATATGAACGACCAATCAATCGTTCGAATCGACTACTACGACAGATCCCCGATATTCTCTATTCGCACCAAATATCCTCGCGAGTTGGCTAGGTATTGTCAAGAGCGTGGTCTTATTGTTCGTCCGATCATGGCTCCCACCGTGCCCCGTGGAAAGGAGCGCGTGCGTGTCTGTCTGCATGCCGGAAACTCGTACGAGGAGATTGACAGCTTGATGTCGGCGATTAGGCAGTGGGTGAGAGATTCGACGACGGAAAGGCCAAAATTATGAGTGTACGATATCAAGACTAGAATCAGAGCATTGTCCTTTTAATTAGTCGCTGAACTAGGACAACGCAAATAAGCATACTGCAATATATTTCATGGCTAGAACGCTAAAGTGATCTTCAATGTAAATTCAAAATGTGGTCAGGTAGAGGCAGACAGGATCAAATTGATATAAGTGCTTATACATAGCTTAGTCAACTGGTATGTACGATTAGTAAGGCTCAGGGCCTTATATAAACCTGCGACGTTGGGGACTGTGTCTGCCAGATATTCGAGGCAACAACCCAAAATTGGGCTGCCAAGGCTGGGCTCGTGGTCCGGCGGCGGTGATAGGCTGCTTGATTCGTCGTGATGCCATCCATCGCAGTTCCATCTGGACCACGCAGAGCCTGCAGTGGAGAATCGCCAAGATGGTTCCAGATGCCGCTTGTATTTAAGGCTGATGATGCCAGTCTTTCCTCCATCACCCATTCTCCCATAATCGCTACCAGTTGAGCTGCCATGGAAGAAGAACATCACGAACCCAAGGCCGACCCTCGGTATCTCCTGCGCCAGCCCGTCGCGCTGCAATGGTTTGATAATGGCAAGCTCTGCCAGCGGAGCGAGGAGGAGCGACAGGCCAGTAAGTTCAAGAATTGTCAATTGTCTAACGAGGTCTTCTGTCTGACAATATATAGGCCGCTTTGAGCTTTTCCTGGACCTTCTCTACGTCGCCATTCTCGCCAACTTCGCCGAGAACCTGGCCGAGGACGTCACCGGAGTTAAGCTCGTGAAATACATTGTACGCTCTTCTTCTCCTTCTTCTCTCTCCAACAGAAATGCGCTGAGCTGACAACCGCCTCACAGCTCATCCTCTCCCCGTCATGGCACGTCTGGAGCGATCTCCGCGAGCTGATGAACAGCTTCTACAACGACGATCTGTCCCAGCGCATCCTGATCCTCTGGATCATGGCTGTGCTGGTCGTCTACGGCAACAACGCGCCTCTCGTCGACGAAGACATCTCCGCCATGCGCTCCGCCGTCGGCGCCTACCTCACTGCGCGTATTTCCTCGAATCTCGCCCACCTATACTACTCCTTCAGCAGCTACCACCACCGCGCGCAGCAGCGCCTCTGGTGTGTTCTATCCACCGCCGGCTTGTGCGTCTACATCCCGCTTTTCTTCGAAAGCATTCCCCTCCGCAATAAAATCGCCGTGGCCGCCGTCGCCATCGTCTATGAAGAAGCCGTCTGGATCTTCTGTTACTCCCCGGCCGCGAAGCGCATGCTGCGCGCCCGCTACACCACCGCCGTCAACATCTCGCACGAAGTCGACCGGTTCGCCGCTTTCTACATTATCGCCCTCGGCGAGTTCCTATACACCATCGTCGTCGGCTCGCCTGCCGCCGTTGGGTTCAATCTGTCGCTGATGCGCGCCGTATGGACACTCATTATCGCCTTCTGTCTGAATTGGTTGTATCTGCACGGCGACTGCTCCGTCGAATCCACACACCCGCTGCGCCACAGCATCCTCACCGCATTCACCTGGGCGCCTATCCATCTCCCGCTCATCGCCAGCCTGCTCGCCGGCGGCCACGTCGCGGCCGCCAGCGCAAAAGCAACTGATCCGGCCACCGGCGAAGATGCCGAGCATGGTTTTAGCGCGGCGCAGCGCTGGTTATTGTGCGCTAGTCTCGGAACTGGGCTGTTCTGTCTGTACATAATAGCGCTGCTGCACGTGTCCAAGGATACTGGATGTGCGCTTCTTCTGCCCAAGCCATTCCGGCTAATGATGCGGCCAATCGTCGGCCTGATTCTGATCCTGCTGCCGCTTGCGCATCGGCTGAATCTGACCGAGACGCTGTCAGTTATTATGGCGTTGATGGTGTGGATTGTGATATGGGAGAATATAACTAGTCTGCAGCGAGGCGCGAAGCTGTGGGAGCCGTGGACTGAAACAAAGTATCCGGAGGGCGGGAATAAAGGGTATTATAGATCCAAGGTGGATCATGAGCATGTTCCTAAAGGCGATGCGGATCAGCAGAAAGCAAAGGATGGGCAGGTTTTGGAAAATAATCCCAGCGAGTGAAATAGATTTACAAGGGGTGTTTAATAACGATTTACTGATATTTTGGAGATTTGTTTATGATTTTAAGATATCATTCAACGCGGCTATCTATTATAATAAGAACAATTCATACATATACCAGATTCCATTTTGTTTATTAGTATGGGACGGCGATCTTATCCGTCACGTACAAGTCGACATACTTGTCAACATCGGTGTTTTCCAGCTCCTTCTGGTTCCAGCCCAGTTCCAGGAGGTGCTTGACGCGGGCAGCGTCGAAGTGGCCCTCGATGTGGCGCTTGTATTTGGCCAGGATCTCGGGCTTGGCTTCCTCACGACGGAACTTGTGGCCTAGAGGAGCCTCGACGACGACCTCGTCGAGGACGGTGCCGTCGTTAAGGGTCACGGTCAAAGCGTTGGGGATGGTACGCTTGGATGGGTCGTGGTAGTCGGTGGTGAACTGGGGGTCTTCAACGCACTTGATGCGTTTGCGGAGATTCTCCAGCAGCTCTGATGTGGCAGCCTCGGAACCATCAGCGTAGTCCTTGGCGGTCAGGCGGTTGAAGACAAGCATGGTGGCCACCATGTACTATGAAGGTAAATTAGATAGAGCAACTGGATAGCAGAGAACGAGCTTACCTGAACGCAGTGGTCACGGTCGGCAAAGTTGTCCATGGCCTTGAACTGCTTGTCGATAATGCGAATGCAAGCTTCGTGAGTGCGGTTTGTGATTTCCTTAATGTCCTTTGCGGACTTGCCCAGCTCAGCAAGCTTCTTGTTGATGATCTCAGCACATTCAATGGCGGTCTGAGAGTGAAACTCGGCTGGGAAAGTTAGCAGAATATTAACAATGGGAGAGGGAAAGGCACATACCAGGATACGACACCTTGAAGAGAACGTTCTCCATGACATAGCTGCCGTATGGGCGCTGGAACTTGAATTTGTTGCCCTTGAAGAGATTGTCATAGAAACCCCAGACAGGAGCGTTCAGAACGGTTGGAACACCGCCCTCGCCCTTGAGAACCTTCAGCACGAGGTTGACGGCGCGCTGGCAGGCGTCACCAGCAGCCCAGGACTTTCTCGACATAGTGTTGGGCGAGTGGCGGTATGTTCGCAAGCTCTGGCCATCAACCCAGGCCTGGGTGATAGCATCCGCAGTCTTCTTCTCATCGAGACCCAGCAGCTTGGCAGTAACGGCAGTGGTGGCAACCTTGACGAGAACAACATGGTCCAAACCGACCTTATTGAACGAGTTCTCAAGAGCCAGAACGCCCTGGATTTCGTGGGCCTTGATCATGGCCTCCAGAACGTCACGAATCTTGAGCACCTTGCCCTGACCGATGTTTCCCCCGGCACGGTTGGTGCGGGAGATCCAGTCTGCCACAGCAAGGATACCACCGAGGTTGTCGGATGGGTGGCCCCATTCAGCGGCGAGCCAGCAGTCGTTGTAGTCGAGCCATCGGATGATGGCGCCGATGTTGAAAGCACCGTTCACGGGGTCTAGCTGATAGGGAGTTCCAGGCACCTTGGTACCGTTGGGGACAACGGTTCCTTCGACAACAGGGCCGAGGAGCTTGGTGCATTCTTTGAATCGAAGAGCTTCCAAACCGCAGCCGAGAGTGTCTAGGAAAACGAGACGGGCAGTATCAAACTGCTCAATTAGCTTGATTCCAACAGCACCGACAACAAAAGAAAGGAGAGACGTACAGCAAGATCCGACTCCACCTTGTAGTTGTGGATGTAGTCGGCCATGTCCTTGATCTCGGGATCATACTCCCGCTCCACCACGGGAGCAGCCTGCAGGGGCGACATTGTTGAGAAGCGAGAGGCCTGACGGACAGAGACAGACGAGCGAGAAGCTGATCGCAGCGCAGTGTTGCCAGTCGCGAGGGTGAAGGAAGAGCGCGGGGTCTGCAGGCGGGAGGAAGAGACGAGCGAAGTGCGGGGAGAAGCACGGTGGCCGAGTCGACGCAGGGCTGCTGTGCCCGCCGACATTGCTAAGTAAGAGGACTTGGATTAGGCGACGATAACGGAGCTGGTCAATTGAGACGAGCGGACAGCGCGCGTGCGAGAGTTTTAAAGGGCAGACTACACTGGCCGAGGCGAGAGCACATACTAAATTATTGTTGAGGTGCGATAATACTTTGCTGCGGTCAGCTTGACGTCTGCCAGCCGAGGCTCGCCGCGTGCAGCCGAAACATACCAGTACGTTCCGCCGTAGTCATGGAGCTGTGTTTCTCTGCTCTTTACGTCTAACGCTCGGCAAAATATCTACTTTCTATAAGTACATAGAGCTACTCAGAGTCCCAGTTTAAAGTCTCGATTCTAATTGCCTTTGTGGTGGATTTCTAGATCTATTTCTGCATCAATGGGCGGTGCTGTGTATCGGGAAGACGCCGGTGATACGTTATCGAAACCAAATTTCCAGGGTTTCCTCAACTTCCGGTATTCGGAGCTCGCAACATCAACAAAGCTGTCTACATCCAACAAAGCTGGCTTCAATCAACAATTTCAGTCCTCGGCAGCTATTGACTGGGTCCGTATACCGGAATAATGAGATTGGATCTGACGATCGTGCGGCATTCAGGCGTTGAATGCCGAGTAGAGCAATTCAGCAATCTCGTGAATCTCTCAAAAAATATCAATGCCGAGACGCGAAGCAATTCTCAATTTTACCTAGCAAAACGATCAGCTCAAATCATTCTATAACAATCGGCTCCGCTAGCTCGCTTTCGTCGGTTTCTTGCAACGACTGGATGGCAGCTTGATAAATTGCTTGTGCCAGCCGTGGTGGCACCGCATTTCCGATCTGCTTTTTCGCATATGACGCTGAGAAACGGTATTGTGGATGAAATGTTTGCAAACAGGCCAGTTCTCGGATTGTGAAGTTTCTCAGCCCGCTAGGGTGATAATTCCTTTCACCACCCCCGCAAGTGATAGTCCTTGCGAGACTGTTAGGGTCATATGGCGCCTTCGCGACGCAGTTTTGGAATGCCGTGTTCGCTAGACTATGGTCTGGCGCATCTGGGCTGATTTTATCAATGACATCCTGGATCGTCACGTACGGCCTCAATCCTGGGCCATGCGTCGGTGCTGGGAACTGGGGAAGCTTATCACCTGGGCTGGGACAATATATTAACCAATATTCGCGAAATAGTGGCGAGATGCACTTACCCGGCTGCTATTATGACAAGCCGTTTTCGAATCTGCGGAATTCCATATTTTTCACAAGACACTACTTTACTGTGAATAGAATACCCGCATTCTAATAGACCCTGGACTAAGGTGTAGAACGTCTCTTTATGTCTGGATGCTAGACCGAACGTTTCTTCTAGAGTGTGAATTCTCGGCTTCACCTTTTTCACCATATCACACGGAGTGAAAATCAGCGACGAATTCGCTTCGTCCCGCTCTATATTCCGCGATGTCGTATGAGCAGGACTGAATGTCTGGCATGGTGGTGAGCTATGGCTGATATCGACTTTGACCTCGTTGACTGGAAGTGTAAGCCAACTGTTAAAATCAGAGTACTCGCAAATACTATGAATGAAGTTTTTGCAATACGTCTCACAAGCGCGCTCGTCTATGTCGACACCGTATTTGATGCGCAGTCCCGCTTCCCAGGCGCCGTGCGAGACTCCACCAGCACCACAAAACACGTCCCCAAATGTATACTGCCTTTGCAGCTTTGGGTGGAGATTCCTTGGTCGATGTTCAGCGCTATTCGTGTTCTGGACGCTGCCGTAAGGAATCGTACGACCTCTCCACTCCCGACGTAGGCCACTGCTTGATACCCTGAAAAGTCTGTCAGACTCGGTAGGAAGCAGATAGCGTATAATCCATTCCCCCTTGTCCAGCGTAGCATGCCAAATGAACCGGCAAACGTATGAGCTTGGTGTAGGAACAACTTGGTCCTTCCAAGGGCGGTTTGTCAGAACAATATCTGGCACGTCCTGAACATCGTTGACACCGACTTCATGCTCGAAGCTCACGGTACCCTCCGTGTCTTCGTTCACCAACCAACAAAGCTCCCTATCCCGCTCTTTCGGGAAGAGAATTGGCAGATTATCAAGCCTTTTAAAGTAATAGCCGCGAAGCTTGACTTCGCCCGTCCTGTACCGCAGTATTTTCGTGATGCGGAGAAAGTCATCTTCTAGCAATTCGACGCTCATCCCAGGCATCAGACCGTTATAATCGCTCAATGAGATTTCTAGAGGCTGCGTAGCGGGTGTTTCGGCACGCACAGATTGTTCCTCGCTCCAGTTGGCGAGAAATCGAGCAAAGTCTTCGTCCGTCATACAGTCATCTTCGTCAATATCCTGCTCTTCGCTTTCATCTTGGGCCGAGCCAGCCTCCGTCTCAGAGTCTGAGTCATCGATATATGTGGTGGGAATTTGTCGTACGATGATATTCTGCTGGAGAATATTAACTACAGGCTGCTGCGTGTACCTGTGATAATGAAAATGGCTGTGATGAGTTTGTGCATTCGGCCTGACCGGATGGTTCTTGGGAAACATCGTGATACTGGTGATTGGCAGAGGGGTGGCCGATTAATTAAATGGCACTTCGTATATTAGCGAATAATGGTGCTGGGATGGAAGGTTTGACCGTATAATGAACCGAGATATTGGTGATGATAGCGATCTCAGGGAAAGGAAATGCAAGAGAGAGAAAGAGAGAATGATCCTCCGTCTATTCCAAGATGTTGTACTAGCAATTTTTTGAAGTCGGAGCGAGTAGAATCGAGTTATCTCAAGGCATCATCTGAGAAAGTGTGCAAGATAAATCTGACATTAGAGAAGGTGGTAAGAAAGAGGTAAAGTAAGAGTCCTGTCAGGACGTGTAAAAGAGAAAGTCCTCACATGAATATGGAATTTCTGTGTGTCGGATTTACAAGGCATTATCATTTCCGAACAAAGATTTTGTTTCCTTCAAACATGTCTATAAAGAATTGATATTGCTGGCTCAGGGCTTAGTCAAGGTGTTAATGAACACAACATTGAATCCATCCCACTCACATTATATGAATCTTTATATCACAAAGTCCTTTATAGATTTATAAAATGAGACATAATTGAAAAGAAATAGAAGAGAAAGGAATAGCAAAGGAAGACAACGATTCAATCACATCTAGGAGTGTGGTGAATAACTCCAATGCTTCCCCTCTCACCCATCTCAGAAATAAACAGTAATATGTAATGAAGCAAACAACAAGTAATTCTAGAAGCTTCGGCTATACCTCTATAAGGTAACTCAAGTGTTATTCCCATCTTAATGAGCTGTGTGACTGAGTAACTCCAACCCCGTTCTCTGATTGGCTGATTCATAATTAGAACCTACCAGGAATAACATTTATCCAGGCCCACTTATATTTGTGAAGAAATCCCAACTGTCGCAGCCTTCGCTTGTGTTTATCTCTCATTGGAATATACAACTGCACGAAGTGGCTGCATGTTTCTTTAAAATGATTTCCTACGTCCCATTTGTCTCCGTCACTAGCAATCCATCACTCATGAGTGCTACTAACAGCCAGACCAGTGCTATTATTTAGGATAAGCCACCCACCCTCTTGAAGGAGTATTCGCTATGTAAGTTGTTATCAAGCTTCGTTCTATTCCTTTCATGATGATCTTGTAAATTTTTTTAGATGTTAGACTTCCGAACTACATTGCGGAGAAACTTACATACTGATAACATTTTGAAACTTGCACTTGTTATACATTGATTTTCTACAGTATCGGGAATGCTAATGGTTTCAATGATAATAGAAGATCGTTCGATCCGGAGAAGACATCATAATCGACAACTTTTTGCACCTCGAAGAATCAACTGACCACACAGCTCTACGCGTTCGGAGATAAACACTGGAAAAATACACTTATTAATTTGGTATAATTCTGTTTTCACTAGAGATTCGAAAGCGATTAATTGAGACACATATTTGACATCGTTTTATACAATCATTTTGGAGTCTCATGAAGAGTACAAAATACCATTGGCAGCAGATTTCTCGTAAATGCATGGCTGAATTCGCTGGTTTTATGTATAATGTCCATTTCCCGGCGTTTACTCTTTATCCTTGCCCGTGTTCATTGCAGGTGTCAAACCACAACAACAGGAAAGCCGGGTATCTAGCCGATTTCATATGAAATAAAATATTTTTTACAAAAAGAATGAGATAACGATGGCGTTCGTGTAGGGGTGGAGGATGCAACTTTCAATCATTCGACTATCAGCCTTATTAACCCCGGTACGGCGTAAATGCCAGGTGGTTTGGGGGTATGTACTTTGAAAAAAAGAGATATAAAAAAAAACGTTTGAAGAATACTGGATGAATTCCTCTAATTAAACCGTGCTCCCTTGCTCATTAATGGTGCCGCTGTTATTGCTGTTATCATTGCTTTTACTCGAAGTCTTCTTTCGGAGAACATGAGCAGTCGCCAATTGTTTGTTCATATCAACAGGCTTCATGAACAAAGAAATTATGATGCCGAAGCCTGCAACGCCAAGTAACGTCTCGAAGACCGTCTTCAAACTTTCTATGTACGCCTCGTAAATATCTCGGAGGTAGCTGGCAGAAAGAGATGACGTATTACTGGAAAAGATGAAAGCCTGAGCATCGTTGGCGATGTCCAGGGGTAGTTGGCGAATCTCCAGCTGGTGTCTTAGTTGATTCTGCAGCACAGTACCGCATATTGCAACTCCCATACACATTCCAACTGAGCGAAAGAAAGCGTACATTGACGCAGCAAATGACGATTCTTCGGCGTCAGCCAGTGCTTGGACATAAAAGCTGCATGACACTAATATTAAACCTTGGCCTATTCCTAGCACAAGAAATATTAAGACCCATGCGTACGTTCTTGTGTTTATATCAAGCAATATCAAAAGTCCGCTGGAAATTGCTGTCACAACCCACCCACTCCAGATTGCCCATCGGATATGACCGGACCTGGTCATCACAAGACTCGCTGCTATACTAACAGGCACGAGAGAGACAGTTATCGGCATAAGTCCCACGCCAGTGATAGTTAATGACAGCCTCTTAGGGCCTTCTAGATATAGAGGAATTGAATATAGTTCACAGGACATCTAAAATTTTGTCAGAGGATACTCATCTGCTTTCTGGGGTATAGAGAGATACCATAAGCCCCTGCAAAAAAGCACAAATATAGCCACCAACGGAAGAAACATCGCGGAATAGGACCAAGTGAAGGAATGGGTGTTTGGCGTGCTTCAGCCACTTTACGGTGCCAATAATGCCGACAATGCCTAGGCAAATAGGTAGTAAAGTCTGCCAACCTGACCACGGGAATTCGATGCCACCCCATGTGATTCCAATCGAAAAACTCGACATACTACCAATAAACAAAAATCCACCCACCCAGTCGATTCTCTTCATTCGTTGCTTTAATCCTCTGTATGGCGCGTCCAATTTTACCACAAATGGCGCGATTATGAGACCAGCCCCTGCAAAGGGAAAATTGATATAGAATACCCAGCGCCAGGTTCCATGCTGGACGAGTAGCCCGCCAATCACAGGACCTGTGATGGTCCCAATTGCAAACGCAAGCTGAAGAATTGTCGTATACGCAGGCCGTTGACGAAGTGGAAGGATATCAGCTGTTATTATCCCATTCAGACATATAATGCCTCCCCCTCCAACCCCTTGGATGGTCCGACCTGCCAGAAGTTGAGTCATATTATTGGAAATACAACATACTACAGTCCCGACTGTGAAAAACACCAAAGATATGAACAGCAGACCTCGTCGCCCGAAGACATCGGATAACGCCACGATGAGAGGCTGAAGAACAGCGCAGGATAATAAGTAGGATGTGCCCGCCCAAAATGATTGGTTTGTATCAGCATTGAGATCGGTGGAGAGAACCTGCGCGCCCATATAAGCGAACTTCAATTCAAATCTGGCTTATAAAAAGGGAGGAACCAGGAATTCAAAGGCCTACAGGTAAAACAGGAGAGATAATAGTCGCATCAAGTGCTACCATTAAGGAAATAATAGCCAAGCAAGCTAGAATGGATATTTCTTCCCGTCCAACCTTCCAATTTAGGTGGCCCTCTTCGCTAGCTGGAAATTCTGGAGGTCGAGATGACCGGTTGCTATCGTGAATACTTTCCATTTCTTATTAGGTTGTATCTGGCAGTATATATTGATTCTTAGGAAAGCGTAAAGTACAATGATAGTTATCAATAGAGTTTACTCTACAACGTGGGTGAAGTTTTCGTGCTGCCAAGTTGAAATCACTGCTCCAACACACATTTATGCAATTACTGCCTGGATTCGGGCCGTTTCGGAGTATCCAAGGTGTTATACATAGTCCGAGACCAATGAACAGCGGTCATGTGGTTTGTAGGATTTTTTCCTTCTTATATGTTCAAGGATTGGCATTGAATTTAGAATTTTGCAATATTTCAAGAAAAGAAAAACAGAAGTTAATTGGTGGTATAAAGCTAGGTCGAAAAAATGTTTCAGAATGGGTTGAAGTTATTGACACATTGTGATGTATAAACTGTATCATTTTAATACGGTCTTTATCATATCGCAAGAAGGGGACCTATTGGTAAAGAGATAGAATTACATGTACATGTATGCCTTACAGCTTGTTGCAGGTACATTTTGTTGGTGTCACCGGAGGTTCTGTAAGTGACAAGGATGTAGGACACGTAACTTGTTAAAATAAAGAACCAATAAGGTACAACCACCATATATGGGTGTTGAGCATTAATCCACTCAAATCATACATCAAATGCAAGTTATGGGCTTCTGGAGAGTGAGTGTCATCGAATTTTAAGTCAAGTGATTACAGCAGGTGAGTGAGGATGATCGGGGAATTAATTAACCCTGTCAATATCGAGTTAATTGGATAAAGGGTATCAGAGGCTCTGGCCATATCGGTCATATATTTCCCACAAGCCATTGAAATTGATTCTCGCAGCTCTTGGTGCCGGGCCCTTTCAAGGATTGATTCTTTTCTGGGCCCGAAAACATCGGGAGCATCATCGCTATACTGATACCGAACTTGACCCTTATAGAGTTAACAAGGGTCTTCTTCATGCACATATATTGTGGACCTTAATCAAGACACCAAGTAAAACTCGCCATGTGGATGTTTCTGATCTTCAAGAAGTCCCAATCGTGGTTTTTCAGGATAGATATTACGCACCGAGTGCCATTATAATGGGTTGGGTGTTTCCAGTACTCGTTGCTGGTTTTGGTTGGAATGATTGGGTTGGAGAATTTATATACACAGGAATCCTACGAGCGTACCTTGCAGCATTCTGTGTCAACTCCCTTGCGCATTACGCGGGAGAACAACCGTGCGGTGATCAACGCAGCGCTCGTAACCACTGGATCTTTCACCACGAATTCCCATCCGACTATCCCACTGGTATTGAGTAGTATCAGTTTGATTGTACAAAAGTATAAATTACTACAAGCGCAAAGTCACTAGTTGGATTGGGGACCTTCCATTGTCGACTCTGGGGTTGCTGAAGAACATCCCGGAGGTAAGCACCTAATAATTCCAGTAATAGGAAAGGACGCTACTTCTCTATTTAATGGCGGTGTGTACAATCACTCAAACGCAGCATCTGCTGGCCACCATGCGCGATGCGGTTCTCAAAGGTGATAGGAAGTCGATATCAATCTAGATGTTTAAATATTACATCTATATCCATCCGGCTTTTCCATATATAAAGCATTCAGATCGCTTCTTAATTGAATATGAAATACTTCTAATCGTTGACAGCCTGCTGGGGTTAGGGAGAGAGCGATAAATTGACACTGCAACCTTAACCCGAATCTTAAGTATTAAGCGACAACATTCACCCAACTTTCTAGGCCTTATAATTCCCCATTAACGTTTTAATGATAGCATAAGCACAGTCTCAGCGATTGTAATTTTTAAAGCATAAAGCAGCAAGCAGCAAGTAAGTCTTAATTCATGAATGAGTTTTTTAGACTGAGGGGGTAGTGGGGCGTGTTCCAAAATCAGTTTAGGGCTACGAGGCTTTGACTTGGATAGGGTTAAGTAGTGAATATTAGGCAGTGACAACCTAATAATAATAATATTGTGTGCTATGTTGTGGGACTGTTCTACTTTAGTCATTACCGACGATGAGTCAGATTTTGGCGCGTTGGTTTGACAGTGCAGACGACCATCATCTATATTAAATAGTGAACTCGTTTTCATGTAGAATGTTTGTTTGCATCTTGGTGGGAAGCATAGTAGCTTTGAAGCCCCGCGTATGCTTTACCTTTTAGCGGCATTTATTAACTTTGGCTGGTATTATAAAAGCAATATTCCCGACTCGTAGGGCAGTCCTTCGAAATTTTATAACTAGTTCCTAAATCCTATACCCCGCTCTATAACAACGCTGTGCCCATGGCAATCCCCAAAGACCAAATTCCTGCCATCTATGAGCAGGCGATCAAAACGTACCAAGAAATCACCGACGAGACCCTCGATGTTGAGTTTCTTGCAAAAGTTCGGAATGTCAACGACTTGACAAACGAAATCGACAAGAGAAATGCCTCCTTTCGCGAGTTCCGTGAGAAGCGCGGTGTCATCTTCAATGCGCTGCAGGCGGCTTTGGTCCCCGTGGAACTGTTTGGCAACCTTGCTGCTGGGGGTGCTTCGATGGTCTTCCCCCCTAGTAGCTTAGTTTTTGGTGCTGTGACATACTTGATGGGTGCGGCAAAGGGTGTATCAGCGTCTTACGACGCCATACAGGACTTGATGGAGACATTGAAGGTAGGACGCACTTGCCACGCATTAAGCACATTGAAGGCGCTGGTGAAGTCAGATGTAGAATAGATGATTTTGAGTGGATAATTTGCTGAAGCTAGCTAGGACTTTACTATTCGGTTGAAGACCTACAGCCGAGAGACAATCTCAGAGGACCTCAGCAACAAAATCAGCGAAATTCTGGTGACGCTTATCACGATCTTTGCACTGGCAACAAAGACTGTCCGGAGAGGCCGACTGCTAAAATTTACTCGCAACATCCTGCTTGGAAGCAATGACGCAATTCAGGCCTCTATGAACAAACTCGACAAGCTCACCAGGGTCGAGGCAGGCCTTGTCGGAGCAGAGACGCTCACGGAGTCGAAACGAACTGGCCGCGTTGTTGACAACATGTCTGTGACGATAAATACGACAAATTCCACCGTAATGGAAACTGGATTGATGGTGAACCAAATGAGCTTTAAAGTCAACGAGATGCAGGAGATGATGGGAACCTTGATGGTGTCAGTGAATGAGGTTACGCAAGGAACTGGCGAGGAACGTGAGAAATCGTTGCAAGACACCGTGAAGAATATTCTTAAGCCATCCAAGACAGACTCAGCCCAGGACTGGTACGAGAAAATTAATAAGGCCCGTGTACCGGGTACAGGAGACTGGATAAGAGGTGAGGACATCTTCAAAAGATGGTTCGACAAAGATACACCAATTATCTTTGTCTCGGGAAATCCTGGTGCCGGAAAGTCGTACCTGTCGACAAACATTATTACTCATCTCCGGGAACAGTACCCACAGGATGCCCAGAGCGCGTCGCTGATTTCCGTTGGATACTTCTTCTTCAAGGATGATAACCCGGATACGAGATCATTCCATCAGGCACTGCGAGATCTTGCCTTTCAAATCAGCAAAAACGACTCGGTTTATCAGAAGTACCTTACAACAATTGAAGAGTACGAGAAAATTAACAGTCTTGAAAGCGCATGGCGTCTGCTGTTTGTTGAATTTTTCTTAAAAAGGAAAAACGTTGACAGTACGGTTTATATTCTGCTTGATGCCGTTGACGAAGGATTTGAAGAAGAACGGAAGATCTTCCTAGGGCTTGCAAAGGAGTTGTGCGATGCCCCAGAGAAGTCTCATCTGCAGCTTGCTGTTGTTGGGCGGCCCCATCTCAGTGACCAGCTATCCGAGGGTCTGGAGATGGAAGTTCCTACCATTCACGTCACGACGCAAAAGAACTCTGGTGATATTAACCAGTATATCCAGTCTAGCATCAAAAAGTCCGTCGTCCTCAGAAGAGTATCAGCGAAGATGCGGCAGGAAATCATAGAGAAGCTATCCGCTGGGGCAGAGGGCATGTTCCTCTGGGTGAACCTGATGCTACAAGAACTAGTCAAGAAAAGAAATGAAAGCAGCATGCGAAAAGCCTTGGAACAAGCTCCCAAGGGTCTCAAGGAGATTCTCCGCCACGTGCTATCTAGTTTCTCCATCAGCTCTAGCGAAGAGGAGCTCGAGTACCTCAATGAATTACTCTTATGGGTCACCTGTTCCCAGCAGCCTCTCACGTTGGATCTAGTCGAAGCAATTCTGAAACTTAAATCTCCAGATGGTGATGGCATGATTTACCTTGAGGGAGCCCTTCGACGACAGTTTGCTTCCTTCTTCAGTTTGGATCGCGAGGATACACTTACAACAGCAGAATTACAAAGCATGTCCACCCATGTGAACCCTTTCGACATATCCGACGATGAAGATAATAGCCGAGGCGCTGATGAGGAGGCATTTGACGACGTGGAAAACTTCACTGACTTTGATTCCAATAAGCAGACAACGACCGTGACCTTCTGTCATGCATCCATTGGCGACTTTTTCCGTGACGAGACGGAGGGCAAAGTTCTCGCAAAAGATGGTCATGCCCCCGTTGGCGTTAATTACTATGAAGCCAAGGCACAAGTTCTAAAGACATATCTTAGGCTCTTCACGGACAGTGAATTCGCGAAAAAGGCTGATGACTCCGGCAACATAGTGATACACGCCGGTCGGAATTGGGTCCACCACCTACTTACGACACATCCTTCCCAAACTTCCTTGGAAGATAGGAAGGATATTGCGAAGATGTTGCTTAAAGCATTTATGTTTGAAGATGCCATACTCGAATGGATCGGCAAACGAAGTTGGGTTTCAACAAAGGCAGGTATCCAAGCTGTTCGCCAGTGGTGGGAAGACCCAGAAGTTGCAGAGTCATTCACTACTGAGGAAAAGAATTTCATAGCATCCACCAAGGACGACCCAATCACTACATTCAAACCACTAGTCATGTTCTGCGTTAAGAAATGGCTATGTGAAAATATCTGGGGCCCGGTTCCCCTTGCTGCAGTTGTATGGGCATACCAGAAACTCATGCAGAACAACGAAGTTGACTCCTTCGATAATTTCTGCCCACCCGCCGAAGAAATCATCGAAGCAGCTGAATTTGGAGAATTAGAAAAGAATGGTTTATGGTACCGCCGCTGCGCGATGGCTCTACGGCAAATTGGCCATCATGAAGTAGCTTTGACCTTTTTTACCAAGGCAGTTGAATTAGAACCAGACTTGTGGCTTCCAAAGGCCGGCATGGCCGTCACATATGTGATGAAAGGCGAATGGCAAAAGGCAGTTGATCTTGATGAACAATGCCGAGAGAGTCTGATAAAGAGCATCGAGGAAAACCCTAGCACTATTGACAAGTTGTCTCTTCACACGTGTCTCGAACGTATGGGCAATTGCTATAAGGAGCTTGGAGAAGTAGATAAGTCCTTTGAATCCTACAAGGAGGCATTTGAGAACATCAGCTACTGTGACAACTGTATAAATGCGCTTATCAACCACTATAGCAAAACCAATGCTTACGAAGCACTCGTTGATCTACTTAAGAAACTGGCGGACACTCCAGTTCCAGAAAAAGACTATTCGAGGCTGACGCAGTCGCTTTGGGACAATCCAGATGATGATACAGAATTATTCATCAATACTGTTGACGCATCATTGGCTACAAACAACCTTGATTTCATGGTCGATGCCTGGCGCACCGCAGCCAGAGCCGCAAGAAGGGCATCAAAAACCGTGACCGCCGCGATTTTGGATATGTCTCTCGCTCAAATCTATAGCGAGCTCATTCAAGATCAGGCGAAGGCCGTCAAACGTTGGGAAGCCATCATGAATACATATGCTTTATCTAAGGACGAAAGCCGGATGGGCGTGTTGAAGGTGGTTGCCTCATACAGACTGGCCAGGCAATTTCTTCGCGACGCAATTGAAGCTGGACTCGGCACTCCACAGGCCGAAGAAGCGGCAGCAAAACTCGAAAGGCTTGTCAAGCAAGTCAAGACTGACGACAACTCCGTTCTTTGGAGCATTGCTTGCGCTCGCAGCCTAGCTTTAGGTGTATACTACCGCTTAAGTGGGCGAGAAGCAGAGGCAAAAACTCTTTTTATGCCGTCCATAAAGCGAGGCATTCATATCCTATCAGATGATGATCCAGAAAACGACATTGATGGCCTGTATGATCTGATGAACGCTTTGATGGCGGCGGGGGATATAAAAAATACTGTTGCAATTGCCTATCGCATAGGATTCTATGGCAACGCAGAAGACGCTCCCGAAGAGAAGGCATTCACCTGCGATGGTCCATGCCGTGCGCAAGTAACCACACTTGACAACTACTATCTGTGTCCAGTGTGTTTCGACACAGGGTTCTGCCACGACTGCACCAAGATGCTTGAACGAGATGCTATGCCGCTGAAAAGATGCAACACAAAGCACGTTAAGGACTTTATTTACATTCCCTCACGGATGAAGGATTTGAAGGAGGGTACAATGCTCGTGGATGGAGAAGAGATGGATTTCGAGGCATGGAAAGACCAGGTGAGAAAAGACTGGGGTTTCTGATTAGTTAATAGTCGTAAATAAGACATAACTCTGGCGCTTGTTTAATCTAAAATTTCTCAATGAACAATGAACGTTGAGTCGATGCGTAGTTGAAATGTGAATTTAAGCTTAATCACCTTATACACATAGTCAAATCACTTTAATATCACGATGCTAACACATCCAGTAGTAATGCGTAGTCAAATTTACCTCTTTCATAGTCCTATACTGCAGATGTCTCCTCGTTGCTTTCAGTATCGGTATTCAAAGCCCGAATTTTCTCATCCCGGTCTTGAAGAAACTGGAGTATAATTGCAAGCATGATGAGCCCGACTCCTAAACAGGCCGAACCGATGAATGCGGCATGGAATCGTGGAGAAAGAACCGTTCTCCAGACTGTGAGGGTCCACCATATGGACTGAATGTAACTAAACATGTTTGAAGCAGCAATCACGAACCCTCTCATCTCGTGGTCATGCGGGATCAATTCTGAATACCAAGCATAGTAGATGCCGGGAACGCCAGCACATGTAAAAGTCAAATAGTATGCCGTATACTTAAGACCAATAGGAATATCCCAGACAGCAAGCACGATGCAACCGAAGATGGTTGGAACTTGCATAGCAATAAGCGTCTGCCAACGTTTTCCACGGAGCAGCGGAGAGTCCGAGAGCACCCCTGCCAATATCTGCACCACCACACTGATGGCATACTGACCAGTCGGCCAGACGTTAATTTGATAGATAGTGTGACCTGTGGCTTTGAGCCAAAGGGCAAAAACCGGTTGGTAGTTAGGATAGCTGCCTTGTACGAGAAAGTAACCGATTGGTAGCACCCAGAATTGCCACTGGGACATGATACGGAAAATTTTGGTACGATCCCAGGCAGACGCACCGAGGGGTTTCATGCCGTCAGCAATCAGTCGTTTTTGTGCCCAGTCAGCTTCCTCTTTGGTGATGTAGAAAGCTCTAGTCGTCTCAGGAAAGTCAGGATAAAAGAAGTATCCAAGTATGGCGATAGGCAGACTGATAACGCCGCAGATGATAAATAGCCATTGCCATCCAGAGTGACCAAACACACCATTTAATCCGCGATATGCTCCGGCTTGTAGATAACCGCTAAACATTCCGGCGAAGCTTGCAGTGGCATAGAATATAGTCATCCGTTTCCCGCGTTCGCTTCTGGTGTACCAAGAACCAAGAATATATACTATGGTAGGGAAATAGGTCCCCTCACAGATAGCAACAAGAAACCGCACAGCATATAGTTGTGACGTGGTCTTTACAGCAGCTGAGCAGAAGGTAAAGATTGACCATAGAACTTCGACCGTGGGTATAAGAATTGAAGGACGCACGCGGGTTACTAGGATAACAGCAGGTAATTGGCCAAGAACGTAGCCTGCCGTGAAGACATTGCCAGCATACGTCAACTCGCTGCCGCCCATGTGCAATGCCTCCTCCATGCCCGATACATACGCATTATTTATATTGGCTTGGTCCAGATTCTTGCTGAAGTATCCTAAACAGGATATGGTGAGCAAAAATATATCAAGTTTGAATAAGAACCATTTTTCTTTCCGGGGTTTATCAGGGTCATCCCAAACATAGCGCTGGACAGATCGAAGGTATTGACTGGTTCTACTTTTAGACTCGTATTTGTCAACAGGCCGTCTTTCCACAGTTGTTGAGTCAGTCACTTCAACGGCAATAGACTTGTTGTCCCGCTGAGTATGAACGGTGCCCATTCGAGCAACAGACAGGTTTGAAGTTTCTCCAGCCATGAAAATACATAAATTAGCCCATGTGTGCTATTGATGACTTCCAGTTAGAGAGAATACATACTATGGCGCATATAAAAAGGTCAAATAGCCAGTCGGCAACAGCAGCTTTTGTAAAAATCTGCTCTTGTCAACATTATGGCCCGCAGTTGGACGCGTGGCACCATCGCACCATCCTGCGATATCTGAGGTGCTTTGGTAGTGATATTCATTTTATCAGATGGTCGATTGTGGGAATCACCACGAGGTATACTCACATAATTGCAGAAGTTATGAAACCACCAATCAATGTTGGCGACAGCCAAGGATCAACCCTCTCGATTGAGGAGCTAGTATCGTCAAGAGAGAAATAGTCCGAGAGCTCCGATTAACTATTTGTTGATTTGAAATCATCCGAATAATCATCCGAATATAATAATGCCCTTATCAAATCGTGCTGCACTCTGCGCGCAAAAAATGAGCCTGACTGGCCAAAGCCGCCGATTGCGACATAAGCCCTAAGGATCACTGCATTCTTCCCCTCATTCATCCGGACCCTGTCCGCGCATTTAATAATGAGAACCTAGCGCTAAACAACAGATGATATAATGATATCCAGGATCAATCAGACAAGTCTCATAATTTATGTGTTTCGTAAATATCTGACAACAGATCAGTCGACATGTCCACCACAACAGTAGAGCCAAGCGCAGTGAGCGTCCCTGAAGTGGACCTTCACCAGTATGACTACAGTCGACTCAAGCCTTACGTACACCCACCAGAAACGAAGGCTGACTTGCCTTGGGCTGAACTAGTTACCCTTGATTTGGAGGAGTATCATCGACCAGGTGGAAAGGAGCGGCTGGCCAAGCAGCTTGAGCACGCCGTCCACCACGTTGGCTTCTTTTATGTCAAAAATTTCGGCTTGACGCAAGAGCAGGTAGACCAGCAGTTTACTCTCGCGCAAAATTTCTTCGAATTACCTACCAAGGAAAAGGAACTGTACGAGGTAAACTATGGCGCTGCGGACTACAATGGCTGGAGACGACCAGGACGATATGTGCAGGGCAACTCAAAAGATAATATTGAGATGTACAACTTTGCCAAGTTTACAAAGGATTTTGAGGGGAAATATAATCACCCCGACCTAATCAAGGCCCATCTGATCGAGATTGAACAATTCCACCGTGCTTTACATTCGAACGTTGTCTTGCCTCTTTTACGACTCTTCGCTATCATTCTACAACTTCCAGATGAGGAATACCTAGTCAAGCAGCACACGTATGAGGAGAAAAGCGAGGACCACTTCCGGTATATGCTGTATCATCCGCGGACCAACGAGGAATGGGAGGCTAGCAACTATGGAAAAGGTGGCGGACATACAGATCTTGGTACGGTCACACTGCTGTTTCGTCAGCCCGTGGCAGGTTTACAGATCCTGGGTGAAGACAACAACTGGACATACGTCTCGGCTCAACCAGGTACTATCACTGTCAATCTTGCAGATACCATTTCGCATTTGACTGGCGGTTGGTTGAAGAGTTCCGTACACCGTGTTGTTGCACCGCCTGAAGACCAACTTCAGTATAAACGAACCGGATTACTATACTTTGCGCGACCACATAATAAAACTGTATTGACCCCTATCACAGACTCTCCAGTACTACAAAGGGAAGGGGTGAATCCTAGGTTTGATAAACTAGTCACAATGGAGGAATGGGTAAGAGCAAAACAAACTCTGCAACTCAATCCGGAAATTGCGAAGAAGCGCTACGCCGAGAAAGGAGATGGAACTGTGGAAGTCCTCGCTGGTTTCCATGATCGAAAATACAAAGAGTAGACTATAGCTTTTCACTTACGAATTTGGTATAATAACTCTGCTTATTCACCTGTAAAAGTTCCATATCGAATGATATTATTCCCTCTTGCTCATAATACTGCTATTTATCTATCTTTATAAGCCAACTAATTGTCGTAATGGACAAGTACAAGGATGGTTATCTTCGTGTTAAGTGAGGTGTGAAATACGGATCTGTTAGGTCACACTAACCAGATTAATTATTTCTCCACTCTTTTATGATGAAATGAACGATACACTAATTAATTAATTATCTTCACTTTTAAGGTTATATTCAATGATTATGTTTGTAGAGATCAATTGATCGGTTTTCTAAATGTTCTAAACAAGCCACTGGAGGTAAGTAAGTTGGGATGTCTTTATGTTTTGCCACATGTTATTTACTACAATGCGTTCGTAGACGATAAAAAATCCTTGGACTAAATTTTTTTCCTTGAAGAATGTGCTAAATACTGATGTATTACAATCCAGTTAGGGTTTAGAACAAAACGTGACCCTGCTGATATAAGCAAAAGTATAGACATGCGTGGCGTCAACCTCATTCCCTCCGATCCACTCAACCACGCCAAGACCAGGCATCAATCACATGCATTCAGCATCAACTCAACTCTCATCGCAGGCTGTGAGCACTTCTTTAATCGTCAAAATGCGGATTACTCGCTCCATGACTTCGAAAGAAGCCCCTACTTCTAATCACCCGCCATCTAGGCCAACCACTGCAAACGTTTCGGCAATGAAGACAGCGCATTGGCAAGCTAAAGAAAAAGTCCAAAAACGAACCTCGAAACCTTCTTCTTCGACATCAAAAGATGTATTTAGGATTTCCAAACTGACTACGGCAACACCTGCTAAGCGAAAGAGAGAGTTGCCCATTCAAGAGGTCGACATAAATGAGTTACCTCACAATCTAGGCAAGAGCTCCACGGATCTCTCTGATTCTCTAAGTACCATCAAATTTGAAGCAGAGGTTAAACCACAACCAATCCACATCAAAACTGGAGGTCAGACAAAAAGCCTCGGAGGACAGACAACCAATACGTCCAAAAATAGTAAGGGCAGAAAAGGTGCTGCACAGTACGGTCTCTCCCCTGGTGTTAGCCCCTTCCCCGATCATGCACATCCAACAGCGGATGAGTGTGAGGAAGTCAATCGTCTTTTGTCATCTTTACATGGCGAGGTCAAAGTTCCGACTACAATCCCGCAGCCCTCGCTCACGGTCACTGGTTGCGGAGAAGTCCCGTCTGTTTTAGATGCGCTTATCCGCACGCTCTTGAGCGGTGCGACTACTGGTGCCAATTCTGCGCGCTCTTTTCAAGGTCTTGTTCAGCGATTCGGTATACTCGAAAGTGGAATTGGTAAAGGAAGTGTCAACTGGAATGCTGTTCGCGAGGCTCCTATTGATGAGGTCTTTCAAGCTATGAAAAGCGGTGGCTTGGCGACTACGAAAAGTAGATACATCAAGCAAATTCTCAACATGGTCTATGAAGAGAATCAAGCACGTAGAGAAGCACATATAAACTCAGAAAAGGGAACAGAAGAAACCGGGCCGGTCGGCGCAGACCATGAATCCAAGGCACAGAAGGAAGTCGAAATAGCATTGATCGATGAAAATGTGCTATCTCTCGATTGGGTTCACGCCCTAGATAAGGAACAGGCAATGCTCGAGCTGATCAAGTATCCAGGTATTGGGCCGAAAACTGCTGCATGTGTGATACTTTTTTGCCTTCAGCGCCCATGCTTCGCTGTTGATACGCACATCTTTCGTATTTGCAAATGGCTTGGGTGGCTACCTAGCAGCGGCAAACGAGTCTCTGAGATCAACGCATTCAGCCATTTAGAGGTCAGAGTTCCTGATCATTTGAAGTATGCCCTCCATCAGCTGTTGATTCGCCATGGCAAAAGCTGCCCGCGTTGTCGAGCAATTACGGGAGAAAAAAGCGACGGTTGGGAAAAAGGATGCGTTATCGACCACCTCGTGACGAGGACAGGGAAGAGAAAAGGCGGCGTTACCAAGGATGATAGCTCTGAGCTTTTATCTACTGATGAGGATTAGTATTATTTCTTGCAAGTAATACAACATTCATCGTGCAATATTGCTGCTTATGTATTGCTCTATCTCTAATAAAACCGCTAATCAAACGAATCATAACTTCATGAACGAAGAGCCCAAATATTAATTCAAGGCCGGTGATAGCATAATAACTTAACAGCTAAGAGCGATAGCAATACTTTTGAAAGCAAGCATCACACTCTGCTGGCAACCCAGCTCCAGCCTTCCCCATAATAGCACAGCCGATACAAGTCCCCCATCCTTCATCAGTGTCATTTTGAGTAGCCACAGCCATACCATTATTAATCATTCCATTTGTCTCATCACGGGTATATTCCAGTTTATATGTCCATTGACCACTGGGATAGGTAAAGTTGTAGTTTGGCAAGTAGACAATTGTAATTTTATCCGCATCATCACAGCCAAAAAAGGTAGCTCGCGTGTTGAGCCCTTCATCTAAGAATATTTCCATCGAAGGAATATACGGCATGCGTGTGAGATTCTGGTTGAATGATTCCACGTATGTCATCAAGATCTCAGACCCATTGGGATAGTTTGTTTTCGTATCTGCAGCGTTGTCGTTCACGAGCAGCACATCAACTCCGCGTTCGGGTTGCAACATCGGCCATATGGGATTGCTTTGTAGCGCATCTCCGCCATCAACAATATACAGCTCTTCCTGATTGGAAACCGGATTTGCATCGTTGAATATCCCAGTGGAAGAGTTCCAATTACGGAAGGGGTTAGGGTATACTGCGTACTCGTCGCGGAACGTTTGTTGATGCACGTCATCTAAGAGATCTTCCAACGTTGATATAATCTCTGGAGTAAGAAAGTCGTACGCATTCTGTGGTGCCGACACGCAGAGATAGTTGAAAAGATTTGACGAAGTACCCAGGACGAATCCCAGATTATCAAAGTTGGTTGTACATTTATCCTCGGCCACAGGTTTGCCGTCGGACATGGATGTTCCCAAATACTTTAAATCGGCAAACCCACTGACATCATTATCCCACGAACCGAATTCAATTGGGGTAAACTCGTATTGAGTGGCGTTTGGCCCTGGCATACATTGACCCTCCCAGGTTTTCACACCAAGCGCTGTTATGATCGGAAATGGAACCATGCAGTTCGTAAAATTAGAAAGTGAAACGAGGGCAGACATCTCCAATCCTCTACCGTAGTCCGGACCTGGGAAAAGCTGATATGAGAGGAGACGGCCCCAAGAGTCAGTTAGGGTCGGTTCATATCCAGCGGCAGATTTCGCAAGCAAATCTTGAATAACCTGGTTGTATACATCCACCAGCGACAAGTTTTGTGGGGCCAAAAGACCATTTGAAAAGCTATCTAGCCAAAAGCTGTCCTTGAGTAGAGTTATTGTTGGCCAGTTGTTTCCTGCAAATGATGGTAACAACCAACTACCACCAGAGAGACCACTTTGGTAAGTGATGGCCTGGAAGAGCCCACTGGTGCTGACATTGCTGTCACGTTCGTCAAGGGCTTGGATAATACCAGCGCCCGTAAGCAGGGCCCTATAACTACCGCCGCTTGTTGCAAGGGCAATCTAAACAACTGGATGAGCGAAAAATACAAGTTATTGTGTTACTGGGATAATCTAGATAAGTGCTCACCGTAGGTAATTCTACGTCTTCAGTTTGGAAGCCGGTACTAGTCTTGGAAAGCCATCTCTTCAATGCACCATCCGCCAATTTCTTTCGATTTTCTCGATACTGTGCCTCTTCGCTATTTAACCCCGTAGCTGATCTGAGCAAAGTGGTCGTTGGGCACGTCGTGGTAACCGGGGCATACGCATTGGTTGAAGCCTCTACTGCGGCAAAATTGGCCAACCCGACAGTGAGAAACAAAGAGAGGCTAGTCAGAAAAACTCGGGAAGAAAACATGGTTCCAACAGAGCTGAGGAGAACTGTTGGAACGAGTTTTCGCTTTAATTGAAAGGAACAGACCTTTTTAAACCATTACATAAGGTTACCCGGTTCAACCAGGACGAGATTAAAGTCATTGTATTAAGTAGTTTTCGATGTGGGTTCCATGTTCTTATGGAAGAGGTATCGCTGACGGTAGCTATCACAACTGGGGCAAGCTCACAGTGAAAATATGACAATCAAAATCCAGTGGCAGGTCAAGGTATTAGCTCTGCGTCCCGGCACAGCGCTCCACAGCAAAGAGCCCTCCAGACGAATAGGTGGATATGGACATCGTGGGTGGACTTCTCGTGCTAGTAGCTTAACGGCCGATAGGGTTCTAGCGTTGCCAATCCGTGGCGCATAAGCCGTAATTGAAAGTAAAAGCTCATTCTATTAGGAGACGGGTAACGCGGCTCTAGGGTTGTAGTACTATACTACCATGGGCTGGATCCAGGCCGTAGTAAATTGAAATTGCCATATGCAACAGATCTTGCAGATGGCCGGACTGTCCGCCGCACGATCTGGGTGGCCGCTTGGCTTCACACTTGAGTCATGAAAAAGAAATCAGAGGCAGACAAAAGCGGGATTGGTTCGGAGAGAGTCCGCATGGGTTGATGATCAACTATCGAGTGATCCATTCAACATCGTTCGTTATCCAGGAACAGATTTAAAGGGGGCTTCTAGGTTCCACGGCCCCCACTAACTTGTACAGTAGGTTCGGTTTATCTTCTAATAGTTCACTAGAAGGCTTTCGGCGATAGCCGAAAGGGGGATAGTTATTGATCTAATCCAAAGCCCGACAGACCCACGTCTCGATATACGAATAAGTTAATTAATATATCGAACCAGTCTGCACGTGGCTAAGTGAATAAGTATGCGTCATGTTTCCTACGTGATCAATTAACTAGCTCCAATATCGGGTCTCATCCAGGTATCAGACAACCTCAATTGCCCGAAGTTTCAACACACCTATGCAGTGGCCCAACATCGAATTATCAATGTATAAAAATAGTCAACCCAGATTTATTGATTATGTTAGTTCTTTCACTCGATCAAGCCTCTCGCATATCTTCAATTCATTCGATAATGATGTACGATGGTGTCGAACTTTTCCCAATAAGCTAAAAAGGTCTCCACCTTAATAACTCTAGTTGGGTTTGGTGCATTGATACTCGCTTTTACAGAGAGAAATAGTGGTCGAGTTAATACATATAGCTCTTCTTGGTAACGAAAATTTCAACGGTTTCAAGTGCTCTGCTGGACTAGAAGAGAGGTAAGACATCAATTTGGGGGCGGACCCTTTCATAATAGTAAAGTGCTGAACTACGCTTAAGGACTCAAACCAGTTATTTGATTTACCACATTGAACCTAGCTCAAGCCTTGATAATGTCAAACCCCTCCTCCCAGTTATCCAATGCCTTCCGAATCTCGCGAGCATAAGCCGGGATACCACCACTGTAGCACACCGGTTCATAAACCTTTCCTGGAATGCTACCACCCATGTATGTCGACCTCGTCGTCGGGAAAAGAGTTCTATCGTTGAGCTCGAGAATATGCTTTTTCCACTTGTCAGCGGCCTCAATCTTAGGATTGACGTACTTGACGCCATTGGCCTCAATCTTGCCAATAGTATCCGCGATCCAGCGCCCCTGGACAGCGACTGAGGTAGGCCCGTTGCTCAGGAGCGTCGGGCCGTGCGGGCCATAGATGTGGAACATGTTTGGATAGCCACTGACGGTTGTGCCAAGGTAGGTCTTTGCACCTGGGGTCCATTCCTTCTCGAGCTCGGCTCCGTCGATGCTCTTCAGGCCCAGCTGGGTCATGACCCCGGTGACAACATCCTGTGACCATCAGTCCTTCTGCTGCATCGTTGGAATTTCATTTGGAACTTACAAATCCTGTTGCAACAGCAACAATATCAAGCTCGTGATGAGTACCATCCTCGAGAGTGATACCCGTCTCGGTAAACTCCTTAATCGTGTTATTTTTGATGTCAACCAGATGCACTGATTCACGATTAAATTGCTCGTAGTAGTTTCTCTCCAGACACGGTCGCTTGATACCAAAGTAGTGCGGCATTTCCCACGGTGCAAGCAGCTCCCTAAGCTTGGGATCGCCAATACGAGAACGGGTCTTCTTGGCCCAGAATTTGTACGACTCTTTGTTGGCCTCGGGATTAAATAAGTTATCCTTGTACAAGGCAACCCAATAGCGGAAGCCGCCCTCTTTCCAGACCTTTTCGTAGAAGGCCTCGCGCTCCTGTGCAGTGTCATCAAAAGTGTTGCGTTCGTACCAGTCGTACATGAAGCCGGCAAAATTGGCTTCTCGGTACCGGAACAGCTCCGGGTAGTAGGGCTTAGTACGCTCCTGCTCCTCGACAGTGAGGTTGCGTTTGCGCATAGGCACAGCGAGGTTGGGAGTTCGCTGGAAGACCTTAAGCTCACTGGCCTCGGGACCCCAGGCTTGCGTGATTTGCACACCAGAAGCACCTGTGCCAATGATGGCACAGCGCTTGTTTTTCACAGTGATTTCTTCCTCAGGCCAGAAAGAGGAATGGTGCACAATGCCCTTGAACTTGTCCATACCGGGCCATGGGGGAATATATCGCTTGGCGGCCTAGACACTTGCTCAGTAGATGTTCACTTGGCCGATTAGAATAATAGCTTACAAAGCCGGTTCCAAGAACAAGATACTTGGCCTTGGTTGTACGACCATCTGCAGTCTTGATACTCCATTTTCCCTCGTTTGTCTCAAACTGTGCTTCTATTACAACGGTGTTGAAAGCGCAGTCTTTCTTGACACCAATTACCTTGTCGACATGATCAAAGTAATTACGCAGATCTTTATAGTCGGGGTAGTTGCTGGGCCAGTTCCATGTGCTGTATACCTCGGGCCAAGAGAACTCATACTCTGGGACTTCGGAGTCCACACCAGCCCCTGGATAGCAATTCCATCTCCAGGTACCTCCCGTATCGTTTCCGGCCTCGAAAATGACTGTCTTCAGGCCACGGTCGCGGAGGGTCTTGAGCATGAAGATACCAGCTATCAGGTTAGCTGATGGATGAAGCTTGCGAGTGATGACGACTTACCAAACCCGGCACCAACAATTAAAGCATCAACCTCGAGGTTTTCGGCATATGGCCCAGACTTATCGCCATGTACTACCGAGTAGTCGGTGAGTTCGGTGTTGAACTTCTTAGGCCTAGGGACCGTCTCGCCTAGGCTACCCATTTGGAGTCAAGAGTAGATTTGATAAAATGTTGCAATTGTTGTAATACTCTCTAAGGTTGACAGTTTGAGGTGCCATCCAGAATATTTTTCTCTCCGACACCTCCGTCTATTTATATTGAATTCGATGTCATACAACCCTGGCTGCGGGGTTTAGCATAGGCTCTGGGTGGTATGATGCATGCATCATAATACAAAATCTGCGGCGCGTCTCTGTCGATCCACTCAATTGTACGTATTTGTTCTAGATTACACATGGCACCCCCCCAGGCACAAAGTCACCGGGGTTCCCGCATTCCCTGCAGAATGATACCACGTTCTGCAGCAGCAGCTGCTGCTGATGGGATCCGTTCGGCCGGTTGTGGTGTCAGGCTGGCCAGTTGCAATGACTCCCGCATGTCCGAAATCCGCTGCGGAACCGCAAAGTGCGGCTCCGTAACCGTATACAGCCGCTCCAGAATCAGAGGAAGCCCTAATCGAAATCACAGATGGTATCAAAAAGTCAATTACAACAGACTGTCTGAGTTTATTGTTAAATAAACAACGCTTTTAGTCTCACGAGCACCCCTACTCCCTTCTCGAACGTAAATCCAACCCTGTATACTCAATTCTCACAAATACCCGCGCAATCGCCACCCTTCCTGAACAAGCCTTAAGCATGCCTTTCGACGTACAGGTAACTTCATATCTCCGCAACATTATAGACAAGGCCTGTGAGGACCAGAAGTCCGGTATCCCCGGGGTTACTGTCGTGGTCATTGATAAAGATGGCAGCGAACTTCTCGCTCACTCCGCTGGTAAGCGAGGAACAGGATCTAACGATCCTATGGCTTTAGACAATGTTTTCTGGATTGCATCCTGCACGAAAATGCTAGTTGGTGTCGCCTGCATGAAATTGATTGAACAGGGGATTCTTCAACTGGATGATGGGTTGCAGACAGAGAGTCTTTGTCCCGAATTGAAGAGTCTCAAGATTTTGCGACCAGATGGCACCTTTGAGGATAAGAAACGTACAATTACCCTGCGGATGCTGTTGACTCATACTTCCGGATTTGGCTACACGTTCTTTAATGACAGATTGAGACAGTGGTCGTATCCGGTTGGCGTGGATGAGTTTTCTGGACGAATAGAAGATATGAAGCTGCCTCTTCTTTTCCAACCTGGCGAAGGTTGGGAATATGGTGTAAGAATCATTTATTCAAGTGTATAAAGTCCATTGTTAATAAATGCAGGTGGGTATCGATTGGGCCGGGGTTGCGCTGGAGCGTGCAACTGGCATGACGCTGAATGCCTATCTCCAGAAACATGTCTTTTTGCCCCTTGGAATCAAGGATATGTCCATGATTCCGAACCACGATATGCGCCGGAGGCTGGCGTATATGAACAGTAGAAACCCAGACGGCACTTTGCGGGCCCGGGACCATCTTCTTCGGGCGCCTCTTGTTGTTGACCTAGACAACCAGGCCGAAATCGCCAGGGTTTTCAACAGCGGCGGCGCAGGCATGTTTGCAAGGCCGCAAGAGTACTGCAGTGAGAAGACCTGAAACCCTAGAGAGATTCCATACACTGACTTGTCTCCGCAGAGGTTCTAGCTGTGTTATTAAACGATGGAACGTGCCCGAGAACGGGTATCAAGTTGCTTCGCAAGGAAACCGTCGACAATATGTTTTCCAACCAAGTTCCCCAGTTCCCCAACTACAGCCGCCAGGGCATCCCAGCTGCAAAGCCGGACCTCACCAACCCTATTCCGGAGTTGTATCCGGTTCCTGGTGATCCACAACAGGGTTGGGGACTGACATTTATGCTGAGTAACGGCGGCGCCACAGGGCGGTCCAATGGCACTGTGCACTGGGCCGGGCTGCCGAATTTGTGGTGGTGGGCAGACCGGGAGAAGGGCGTTGCCGGCATTATTTGTACGCAGATCTTGCCCTTCGCGGACCCCAAAGTGCTTGGTCTATGGGGGGCAATTGAGGCCGAGATATATAAAGCGCTAGGTCAATGAGGTTAGATGTGCTGGAATTTATCTAAGTACCTAAGTAGTCACATATCTGTGCTTTCTTTTTCAAAGCAAAAGTAAATTTTACTTAGTCTTTGTCATTGACCTCGGTATTACCGTAAGCACTCTTCCATGCCTTCAGATAAACAATATGGTACATATGTAGATCCAGGGAAATGCGGGGAACCCTGCCCCCGACACGCACCAATGGTATAAGAGTCTCTGGTCCCCCGCAAAATGCTCCATGCAACACTCGTCCTACTCCACTAGCCTCACTTCGTATCCTTCACCTACAGCATTTCATTTTAGTCCTGCATTGCATCGTTCAAAGTGAAAGAAGAAAAAGCAACGACTGTTGCCGTCATGCCTGTCCAGAAACGTGCTCCAATATTTGCACAAGGGTCCAGAGTCAGGCGCCAGAACCACTCTTGCGACCAATGCAGAAAATCTAAACGAGCATGCGATGCATTGTGTCCAGATCTGACCCGACAAGCATCATTTAGCAATGTTGATGGCCGGCGACTACCGTGTTCATACTGCGCCAGAACAAAAAAACGCTGTACCATGGAGTGGGCCCTATTGCAGACTCGTCCTGCCCTGAAAACACCTGGCCAAGAATCCTATTCCGAGAATTTGATGGATGATCTTCTCTCCCCATGGAAGACTGGGGAGTCCCGTGTTGGGGTTAAGTTAGGAAAATGGGCTGACCTCGACGAACCAAATTCTATGCAGGAGCTTATGACCTGGGAACCAGCCAATTTGGATTTGACCGGATCCTTGGTGGACTATGGTTCAATGCTGCCCAGTTCCATCTTTAGTGATAACGAGTCCTTCCCGGAGGAGATGCAGGCAGATATGCCAGCCACATCAACATCTGCAGGATCTCTTTCTGATCTCCTACTGTCGGGCATCTCTACCCAGCAGTCTTCTGATTCCCAGCTTGATCCGATGTGGCCAACCTTCCAAGGTATACAAAACTCTCAGGAGTATAGCAGTCTCCAACCAATCTCATCAAAACCCCCTCAGCAGCCGAGTGACTCCACCTGTATGTCTTTTAATCAACCATCATCCAGCCGGAATAGCCCCAGAAGTCCGCTTTCTCCATTTTCTATCGATCAACAAATGATCACCACATACAACTACCACCTGACTTCAACAAACCTACTTCAAATATACCATGATGTGCTAGAGCACAATTTGTCATGTTGGTTGACTGAGATGACCTGTCCCTACCAACTACCGTCGCGAAAGATTAGTCAAATCATCCCAGAATGGGGTTCATCGTGGTCCAATAGGATATACCAACGCACGATTAAGCTTGATCGTGTCGCACAAGCCAGCAATTTTCTACAACTGACACGCTCAGAAGACCAAGCCGCGTCCAAGGCTCTGCACCTTGCCATTATGTCCTTCGCTACGCAGTGGGCGCAGGGCAGTCAGCGGCAGCAAGAGAAATATCCTACCAACCATCTCAATCATGAGAATGATGACATTTCAGGTGGTATCACTAGCGAGTTCGACCGCATTCTTCAAAATCAATTTTGGGACCAAGCACACCGTGCTCTACAAGATGTTGCTGATGTGGAGTCGTATAGGGTAGCCTGTGCCGAGCTGATTTTTGGATTGACACAACGGCCATGGAATTCTGACAACCAGAATCATGGGCATCTAACCGGGGAAAATGACTGCAAGTTTACTATAGACTTAGTCTTGGGTCAATTGCGTGATATAATACACAAAGAAGGGCCACCAATATACATCGAGAGAGCAGCTCGAAAAATGCACTCACTGAAGTTTCGCTGTGATATACTCGATAAGGGCCTCGGCAGCCAATATGGTAGTCAAGAGAAGGGAGTCTATGGTACTGTAGGCTTTAACTGTGAGGACCGAGCTACGATTGGCTTGCTCTACTGGCTAGCCATCATGTTTGACACCGTCTCCTCATCCATGAACGAACGGCCAGTCGTGGTATTAGATGAGGACTGCCAGCACGAAGCGCAAAAGGGGATTCAGCAAGCTGCGACTATAGATAAGTCTCTCGCACGAAACCGGTGGAATCTCGAACTTTTTGTGCAAGGAAGCCTCAAAGAGGCGCATGCAATGCAATGGCCCTGCACCTACGAGGCGGCTGCCAAAGACGTCGTCAAGTCAGCACCTGTTAAAGTTCTTCTTTTTCGTCACCTGTCGTACCTACAAAACGCTGTTCGAAAGAGCTCCCATGAAGAGCAAATTGAAGACATCATCCACAGCACAAGGTCGCTATATGAATACTGGAACAAGACACACGGCGCCTTCTTTAGACAGCTCGTTCAGAACTATAGTGCCATTCCACTGCGCATACAGGGCTGGTTTGTCTGTATCTCTGCGCACTGGCACCTCGCCGCTTTGATGTTTGCGGATCTGCTGGAATTTATCGACGAGAATGCCTTGGGTATGGAAGACGCAGCTTGCAATCGTATAAACAGTCAGATCGCTAGGAAAATTAGGAGGCATAGTGCCATGGAGCTATCGGATTTAGCAAGAGTTGCTACTCCGACTACCAGAGATACTACTCTCGGTGTACCGCAGATGCCGGGTTTTCACCAAGCTGTCAACGAGGGAACACTTTTAACCGAGCCTTGGACAATGATTCTGATCAGGGCATTTACCAAGGCTTGTGTGGTCTTTTTATCTGAAGCGGATCAGTCCCTACGCTTATCCAGGACTACTTACGGGCATAGTAGTCTTGATTTCGAGCGGAATATGGAGCAGGCTGAGTATTGTATCAAGGGGCAATGGCTGCTTGGAAAAAAGTCGGATATGGCACGTAACATTGCTGAGACACTTTCTCGCGCGCTGGGAAAATTACGGAATGAGTATGTTAAATGAATATGTTTTGTAACCTTATTTTCAAATCCTAAGTCTTTAATTTTGTGTTGTCTGAGCTCTAGCATTCTCAAATCATGATTGATGACAGAAATATAATCTATTTCATTCTCATTTTCAATTATATTTTTCAATATTCTATTAACTTAAGAATTATTGAAAAAGTATACATATTATTGGAGTCCTATATAAATTAGAACAATTTGATATGTATATTATCCATTTAAAAAATACCTATAATACCTTAGAGTAAAGACAGTCGATTTTTTAGGAACCTAGATAGATCAATTGATAGATAGTTATAGTGCCCTTTTCTATTTCCCTAAGAGGTGTTTCTTCTCCATGAATTCAAATTCAAATATCCAAACAGTATATACCATACTTCATAGTCGATACCATGCGATTCAAATGTCGACCACGTTATGGTTTTCTTGATTAAACTTGAGCAACACTCGCCGTTTTTGACTCTTGGCCCAAGAGTGGTTCGTTCTTCAAGTTGTCAATCCGTGATAATCATGGTTACTCTACTCATTGCCTTCCACCTGGTGTGTCGACTTTTCCCCCGATTTTTCTAATTATGCTTCTCTGTTACCCTCCTTCTTTATTTATCAACTGACCCCGTCCCCCTCAGACAATACAGAAAACCATTTAATTTGGTTTTCTCTGTATCTTCTACTCCAATTACTCTAACAAGCAGGCTTCGTTTGTGTTTTCAGTATCGTAAACCAGGAAAATGATGGCGTAGATGGTGAAGAGAATACAGAATCTAAAGGCTTTCAGATTTAATTAACATTATATTCAGCCTAAAGGTTTTATATGCGGTTTTAAAACTATAATATAGTGACTTCAACAAAATTATACATTATCATAAAGTCGTCAGTTCGCATATCGTCGAACCTCTAATGTCAATAGATAAAGTGTTAGGTTTTGATCTTTCTCTATTCATAAGAGAGCATATTCAAAATGATAATGTCTAATTGGTATCATCAAGGTAATTAGGAACGACAACGTGATGTATCGTCCATCTCTGGGTGCGGAGCCTGCACCTCGGGTTTCCACGGATCTTCCATGGGTTCAGAATAGGGTGTTAGTACATATACGCCTTGATAACCAGAAGCTTGCTTTTGCTTCTTCTTTTCTCCATAGAGAAGAAAAGAAAGAACAGCGATAATACCAACCCCAGCGACTCCTCCTACTACTCCATCGACAATTGCACCCACTGGTTGAGAAGTACTAGCCTGCGATGATGGTGATGACGATGGTGTAGCGACGGCCTGAAATGTCTGTGACGGTGACAAGGTGGATGTAGGTCCTGGAAGGCTTGTAGCAGTGCTAGTCGATGGAGAAGCTTCGGTGATATTAATATAATGAGAGTTGAAACCCTCATTATCCCCGCGGGCAACGATGTAATAGACATCAGAGGTTCTCATGGACATTTGACTGACAACCCACGGTAGTGATCCGTTATTCGGCACGCTGGCTGAAAATAGTTGTCAGGAATATACATTTCTCCAACTTTCGTTTACATCGTTAGAGTAACATACCTGCAATCTCGCCGCAAAGTGTAGATCCGTATAAAGGACAGCTATCTCCACCTCTGGAAGTGTCCTGGACTAGCCAGAAGTCCATATTTTCCTCCAAATCCGAGTCCCAGGTTATGTTAATGGATTACCCGACGATATATTCGAGGTCATCTCTGACCTCCCCAGTCGTTCCTGATGCAGGAGGATTCGTAAAAGTCGGGCTGTCGTTTGTCGCTGTCCCGAGAGTCCAAAGGGAGAGAAATAGAACGAGGATCGACCTGGTTGGCCTAGCTTAAGGATTTAGTTTTTAATAGTAAGAACAGACCATATCAAGAAAGTAAAATGCGATGTTCTAACTCGTTGATATCGTCTAAGGCGACAATTCCGACCAGAGGATGTAAAAGAGATAGGTGACTGGAGCCAGCCTGTGCAAGGGTGAAGGGGATTTAAGATGTGCTTGAGAAAGCTAGAATCCTGCTGCAGATTCATAACATCTATTAATAACTACCAGGCAGAATGGATATTGTTTTTTAGACTGGCTTAGTAGAAAATAGTCTATTACCATATGCACACTTCATTCTTTGTTGACTTTTGATTGGCCATGATACTGTGCCGAGCAAAGGATTCTCCTCTCAAGTGAAGGTTGCGAAGTACTGGGCACTCGTCTTTCTATATCGCACTCCAGTCGTCTTTTGATTGGATACCAGGGAACTGGTGACGCGCGCTGTCGCACGCCGTCACCCTGGAACGAAGTGAATTTGCGCGATTTCTGATTTTTCCAGCTTTTAAATGGTGTATTCAATATGTATTACTGTACTGAGCACTGTACTGAGCCATTTACCGAGGGCCCCTCCCAGTTCGACCTACTGCCCTTGGTCGGGTTGTGCGCGGTGCTGTACATCCCGTATATTATTGATGACGTGCGCTTCGCACACAGATGCCCTGAACCAACATGAAAAGGGCAATGGAGAGGGAAGTAGATTGTACATGGAGCAAGAGAACAAAAACGTTACAAACTTTTTGATTTGGTTGGAAGGATAAAATTGTAGAATGGGAATAGGAAAGTATACTGCAAGTCAGAGAACTTTCTTTTACCTTTTACAGTATGCTACGCTAATTACGATTTCAGTCTAGCTACTCTGCAATCTGACTTTCCAACTCGATTAGTTACATAACAATAAAACGAAGTTTGGGACATGTAAGCAGCTTTTATTTCCACCTACACCACTTCACCCAGATAATAATACCAAAGTTCAATCGTGTATACATTGGTTTTGTTTCTAAGAGAGTAGTAGACTCGTCAGAAATGCTACAACAGTATAAGACATCCTCATCTAGTTAACAGGATTCCATGCATACTCGTCAACATCATTATACCTATCGACCTGGACGTCCTCATCTTCCTCTATAAAGTCGGGATCATCATCACTCTCTTGTGAGAAGTCAATACATTGGCGTCGAATTTCTGCCCAAGTCAAGCCATTCGCCCATTGCCGGATGTCTTGTTCCAATGGATACGGGGGGCTATCTTGTTCTGAGGTGTGAGCATGATGACCACGTTTTACAACCACTAGTAATTCCTTCCCTCTTTCATTTATGCCTAGCAACTGCCTCTCTTCTTCCACTCCGAACGTTTCTAAGTCTTCTGGGGATGGTGGTTTCTGCTCAAAGAGCTGACGTGTTGCAGGTTTGACCACTGTGCCTGGTGTATCGAATCGAGTAGATCGGTAAATAGTGATGGAAGCCCCGGAGTCCACACCGTCCCGCTGGATCAGAATGTCATTCCAAGTGCTCGGTTGAGGTTTCCGCCAGTATGGGTCTGCCATGAACATATCCAGCTTTTTGAAGCCGAGCATACTGGAGTTAGGTGTGATGAAGTGGAGCTCCTTCCATCCATTACCGTACTTAACTAACCCTTCAAGGGTATCGTAGGCAATTTCGCCTCTAGACAGGCCGAGAACGCTGAGCGTATCCAGACACAACCCCGGAAGTAACTTGAGGGCCCATACAAGCCTGTAGTGTATATCGTCATCGTCACCTATCGGCGTAAGCATCAGGGGACGTCCACTGACGCGGATATGACGAATCTGAGAAAGTGTGGTCGAAGGCAGTACCGAGAGCTTGTCAAGCATATCTTCTACACATTCAAAGTTGAACAAGACTTGACCAAGCCAAAGAGCCCCAGCTTCCTGTTTGATCAAGCTGCAGGTACGAAGCACTGCCAGAGAGTTAGGTGTAGGTTTTATTCTTTTTGTTGAAATGCGGCTTATGCTCCGTTTGCCAAAGGTGAGTCTTGTCGAGGTAAAGAGGTGCGAATAGATCAGATTACGTATCTCGCCCGGAAGCTGCAGAAGCATGCAAGAATCTTGTGATGATATATGTTGATTCTCATTCTTTTCATTTGCTTTCCCCTTCGATGTGCTCTTTTTAGAGCGAGCCATAATAATAACTATTCAGTCAAGCTCTAACAATAAGCGAAGGTTTCTGTAACACGGTCTGGCAGGGCCGTGTCCGAGGGTGTCTGGATAGACTAGATGTGGGTGAGTTGAAGCTTCACCGATTGATATTTATGCTATAGAGCAAGGCTACTAGGAAGGAAGCTATTGGTTTAGATTATATAGTTAGGGAAGGCTTCGAGCCGAAGGTTATTCGAAGCCGAGTAGACTTATATTGAAAGTTATGTCAAAGATTATATAAAAGATATTGCTTGGTTTCCTCCCTCCAGGTAAGAAACCAAGTCTATATATCTGAGTCCCTATCTTAGGTCATTGATACCTAATCTAACTAGATAAAGGCATATATAGCGAGGTGAGGGGTACTGGCATCATGCCCGGGGTCTTATGGTATCAATTGTGATATATCACAATTGACCCCTGGGGTATCCCTGAGCACCCCGGTCCTGCCGGATTAGGCTTGAACATGCCCCCTGGGTCTATCCCTATTACAGTTTCTGCGCTGATATTGTTGGTACTCCGTAAACAAGGCCTCTACTACGAGCCTGTTTTCATACTCAATGGCCTTGTTATATGTAAAGAAATTAGGAACCGTTTGTCTCAGATGATTAATATCGTCCAGTAATAGTAATTCTAGAACAACTAGTTGCTCAGGAATTGAATGAGGATCTAGCCGTGCTTCGCTAGTCACGTGGGACTGTGACACATGCTGGACTTTAGACGCGCTACTGATTACTCATCAACTAATTAAGCTTAGTGCAAAAATCCGATTAGATTATGAATACAAGCCTAAGTCGCAAAGAACTTATCTATCTAGACATGGTGCCAAATATTCTGAAAGACACATGACTTTCGGTTTCTTTTCGTTATGCTAGGATCCATCCCAATTAGGCTGAGCGCACGGACTAGCAGCTAGGAGAGGGACAGTGGACAGACTCATAGATCTAACAGTCATAATATCATGAAAGTACACATTAAGATAGCCCAGTGGAATCAAAGTAAGATATCGTATATATATAGTTTAAAGCTTGTATACAGTGGTCTTAGCATTAAAGTAATTAAGAGAGATAGCTAACTAGGTTCAGTCATAGAATAGACGGCTAATGGTATTTGTCACGTGTAAGAGCAGTATAGGTAGCGAATTATAGCGAACAGAATTGAGCCAATGATCATAAGGCCTTAGCAAGATTTGGCGGGAATTTGATGTGAAATTTGGCGCAGATTCTGGGGAGGCGATCTCGCCGCACACATAAGGATCACTCAAAATCACGTACGGGACGTTTCCCAGTGAGTGGACAAGGGCACTAGGGCTCAGTAGTGAAATGTAATCTCAAACTTGGCATCTCCCCAGAGTAAATCTATCAGGGACTTAGCTAAACGCAATATAGATCGAAGCTCGAGGGCTAGATCTCCCTAGAACTAGTATTAAGAAAGATGATACCCTTCTTGCTCGCTAGTAGATGACAGTCAGTACACTGACCACCATTATATATTATCTGGTCTGAAATTTATAAACAGGTTGTAATTGCTAGTTCGTACCGGCGCCGGTGGTTCCTCCATCAGAAAAAGTGGAAGAATCTCCGACAGCAGCCAGAAGAAATAGATACGCCATCTAATCTCTAACATGTAGGTAATAGACAATGCAGGTAGTGAATACAATTTTATAGGTACAGCGCAAGTCATACTCTATTGGTGGATGTACCTCTCACCGCCTTTGTGCTACCCCACAGACAGCTTCCAGAAAGCGGCAGAAAATAATATGCAGCTCCAACCCGAATGAACCCCTTTTGCTTCATACTGACCCAACAATGGAGCAATTGCTGTCACATCTCCCGCCATTGGTCCAGTCTATTCTGGCCGATGTGGACATTGACTGCGAATCACTCAAACTAGGTTCTATTGCAGGAATCGTGTCTTTGCTAGCGCTTTATTTCGGATATCTCTACTTGCGCAGTCGCAGGGAAGCTCCGGTCAAATTCAACGTCCCACTGCCGCCACAGCTGCGGTCGGATTGGGATGGGAAGAAATGGGAGGATGTGCAGGGAGAGGAAAAGGAAATACTAGAAGGTCAAGTCAAAGGAGTATGTACCTGTATTTGAGACTGGGGATGGACTGCGCTAATTGGAATGGTAGAAGTGGAACTCGGATCGCATCGTGAGTTACTGCCCTGCTGATGGACGGATTCTGGGTTCTGGTATACCCCTTGCAACGGCCGAGTCGGTCAATCGTGATATCCAAACCGCGAAACGCGCACAGGTGGAATGGGCGCAGACAACGTTTGTGCAACGGAGGAGGCTGCTTAAAACACTACTCAAGTAAGTTGTCCTTACATCTTCACGAGGTAAGGGTTAGAGAACAAGGCTGATATTTTGGTAGGTATGTCCTCAAACATCAAGATGACATTGTGACCGCGTGCTGTTTGGATTCTGGAAAAACAAAAGTCGATGCATCCTTGGGCGAGATCCTGGTCACTGCGGAAAAACTCAAGTGGACGATCGACCACGGCGAGAAGGCACTTACAGCCGAATCACGGCCTACAAATTTCCTCATGATGTACAAAAAGAATACGGTTCGCTACGAGCCGCTCGGTGTCGTCTCCGCTTGCGTTTCGTGGAACTACCCATTCCATAATCTGATCTCGCCAGTCATCAGCGCTTTGTTCGCGGGTAATTCGATTGTTGTGAAACCTTCTGAACAAACTGCTTGGAGCTCAACATTCTTTATTGACATCATTCGCCGAGCCCTGACGAGCTGCGGCCATTCGCCTGACCTAGTCCAGCTTGTGATTTGCCTCCCCCAAGTGGCAGATGTCCTCACCTCTCATCCAGACATTTCACAATTGACCTTTATTGGTTCTAGACCTGTGGCCCACAAGGTCTGCGAATCTGCAGCAAAATCGCTTATTCCCGTCACAGTCGAACTCGGTGGGAAGGATCCGTTTGTGATTCTGGACGATACAACCACCATCAAAAACCTCAGTTCCGTCGCATCCATCCTCATGCGCGGAGTATTCCAATCCGCGGGTCAAAACTGCGTAGGGGCAGAGCGTGTGATTGCACTTCCGGGCACATACGACAAGATCATTGATATTGTCACGCCGCGTGTTAAGGAGCTCAAACTGGGCTCTATCCTTCTCGATTCCAAGTTCAATTTCACCCCCGATGTCGGGGCCATGATTTCCCCCGGCGGATTCACTCGTCTTGAATCCCTCATTGTGGACGCAGTCAAACAGGGCGCGCGACTTATCCACGGTGGTAAACAGTACAACCACCCCAAATATCCTAACGGACACTACTTCGCACCCACACTTCTGGTCGACGTGACACCATCCATGCGTATCGCTCAAGAGGAACTATTCGCACCGGTTATGATCATTATGCGTGCAACGTCTGTTTCCGACGCGATTTCAATCGCAAATTCCAGCCAATATGCGCTCGGCGCCAGCGTCTTCGGCTACAATAGCAGGGATGTAGAGGCGTGCGTTTCCGGTATCAAGGCGGGTATGGTTGCTGTCAACGATTTTGGCGCGTACTATGCAGTGCAGCTCCCCTTTGGCGGTGTCAAGGGATCTGGATACGGCCGTTTTGCGGGCGAGGAGGGATTGAGGGGCGTGAGCAATCTGAAAGCTGTCTGCGTCGATCGTTTCCCTGGACTTCTCAACACGCAGATCCCGCCGAGAATCGACTATCCGATATACAAGGGCGAGGATCGAAAGAGAAATGGGGATGGGGCGTGGGAACTGTGCAAGGGCGTGGTGGAGACGGGGTATGAGCTGACGATTGCTGGGAGGGTAAGAGGGATACTCCGGATACTGAGTAATTCGTAATACATATCAAAATCAATATAATAATGTATGCAGATAAATATCATTCGGGTTCATTTCGTTAACTAACAATTACACTCGCTAGAAGGAAGACATAGCGACAAAGGTATCATTAAACGATTCGGGAGAATAGTGAAAAAGAACCCAAAACACAACACCTCTCATAACTCCTTCCTATCGATCCATCGATTCACATAACAATATCAAAGAATCGTTCACATCCTCCAGATGTGCCTCCAACTTCCCCTCTTTATCCTTGTGTGTGCTAAATAGCTGCTCTCCTCCGCCGCCTTCTTCCACCAGCATGGCCGCAGGTCAGACAGGAGATAATCACATCGAAGATGGTGACGATGCCAGAGATGATGGCTTGCAGGACTGCGCCGATGCCGTTGACGATGGCCATCAGGCAGGTACCGATTGCGCCGAAGATGGCTTCGATCTGTACAATCATGAGTATTGAGCATTGATCAAGTAATCGGGTGAAAACGTACACAGGACACAATAGCACCCATGGCGATAGATGTATGGTAGTTTCGCGCTGAATTGGAAAGTAAACTACTCGTCGTCTTCAGACTCAGACACGTAGTCGTTGATACTCGGTGTATGCTCGTAGACAGAGGATGATGAGGAAGACGCGGTTGTTTTGACGGGGGTGTATGTGAAGGGAAGCATCTTGAACAGAGTGCGGTACGGTAACACCAGCGACGGGTTTTTATATCACAAAAAAGAAAACTAGTCCACGCCAGGAGCAGAACTGTGGCGTCGGTCAGGCACGTCAGGACGGACGATCAGGATTAAAACTTGATAAAAGCAATCCTTTCCTCGTGCAGGTCGAATGATGATGGTGGTGGTGGTGGGGAAAGTGGAAGGGTGTTTGCAAGAGGAAGGGAGCTCCGTCATCACTACATAATTAAATAAGTAGCTTTGTTTGTCTGCAATGTCGGCTGGATGCAGTTGACGTCATGCTCATTCCGTTCAACCAGATTGCCACAGCAATACAACTACGAAACGTGCGCACCGCAAGCAAGGAATAGCACTGTAGCATTTGCGGTTAAGTTTGTAACTGACCGGCGCGTCCCAGCGAAAAAAGCTGGCAGTTGACGTCACGAGCAGACGAAAAAAGCAAAAAAAGAAAACGCCTGGGGGTGCCCCGCATCGGCGCCTTCCCTGTTCCGGCCGTAGTCCGCCGGCACGTGCTCTGCCAACCCGGAGCTGGGCCAGCCAATCAGCGCGGGCCCAGGTTTTCTTTTTTGGCTTTTTACTCTATCCTACTTTAACCTTACTTTAGTATTGACAACTCGAATGCGTGGGTTGACTGGAACTGCCAGGAAACGTCGAAACCTCGGCGGCCGGCCACCACTGTCCTTCGCAGAACTCGAGGCCCGCAAAGTCGCTCGCCGCACCAAACGGCGATGGAAAGAGCCAGAGGATGACACCCAAAAGCAACGACGACAGGGCACCTCGCTGCTCGAGCAGCTGCCGGTCGAGCTGATCGAAAAAATCTTCCTGTACGCCTTGGAAACCAACCTGTGTCACGCATCGCCGTACCTGGCTGCTGCCGTGTCGAGCGAGCGGATATATCGCGCGCTGATCCGCCTGGCCTTTTGGGATGAGGGCCAGAACCAGAACCAGAACCAGAATCAGAATGCTGCGACGAGTGGGCGTCTCCTGCCGCTGCGCAACGCTGACTCCAGGAAGTTCCTCGCTGATGCACTGAAGCCAGCGGATTACGACCAAATGCGTATGGACGACGCAGAGCGCACGCATTTACAAGCCACCATATTGAAGTGTAAATGGTGTACCATGGCCCGGATACAGGCTCAGCTGCCGGCGCTGATGCAGATGGCGATCCACAGATTCTGGACTGGCCCTGGGATCACCATGGAACCGGCGGAGAAAGCATCTCTACATAACTTCCTGCATCGCAAGGGCGATTCGAAAGTTTTTCAAGGCCTGTCACACAAGGAGAATACTTACTACATGTCCGTCATCCCGCTGGTATCAGTCAGCATAAACTGTGCTGAAGAGTACGTCCGCCATGTCCATCGCGTACTGAGGCTACGGGTTATCCCCGACCGTCTACTCCGCGGCAGCAGCAGGGAATCGGAAAGCAACCGTGGAAATTTCTCTGATGAGACGATCAACCTGCTTGAACTATTCCGGCATGCTTACGGCTTCGATGGCACAGGACATGATGTCTCCTTTTCCCGCGATGCATTACAGACGGGTATTCAAAATGCGCTCCAGGCACAAAATACACGCGCTCTGACAACTCTACTCAAAATCGACGAATTCTTCGCTCGACGACGCCTTGAAACAGGCCCTCTTTCTACTTATCCATCCTCGCAACAGTCCGCTCAGCAACAATACTACGCCATCCCGGCTAACCATTTTATCCTCACCGTGCAACTGCCCGTGCCCAATACAGAAATAATAACTCTATTCAAACTCCTCCTCCGCTGCAACGCAGAGAGCGTTCCGGCCGACTCGCCCGAAGTCACGCAATGGGCAATGGGGCTCGCAGAGGGAAGTGGCGGAGACGCAAATGTCGCATTTGGGCGGTGGATACTGGATTTCATGGTCGAATTGCCGCGGCATATCGACGTTGCGCGTAGCAGGCCGAGAGAAGAGGCGTTGTTTTATTACGGCGCTCTCAATGCGGAGAGTGGAGCGGGAAGGATGTTTATTGAGGAGGGCTGTGCCGGAGAAGTTGACCCAGATGCGTGGCGGAAGCCTTGGATACAGAGTATGTCGTTTGATGTTTCGCAGACCTGGCTTCCGGTTGATACAGAATAAGCATCATGAACATATCATGTAGAGGAACGTTTACAGCCTTAATGAATTAGAGTGGGAATAATGTCACCATCATTAGAATATCTGCAAAGAAACAACTAAAACCCCATACTGCCGGGACGGAGATTCAAATTCGCCATGAACCCATCCTTAATATCCCGCTCGCGATCTCCCAAGGTCTGCCATCGGTCATAATACAACAACCGCACGAACGAGTCATTCGGCCCCTCTGCATGTTTGAGCGCGGCGCGGAAATGGCGTGTCTTGACAGGCCAGGGTTGCGGGTAGCTGTAGTTCCGGGTCTTGATATGCATGCCCAGTAACTTCTCAAAGGTGGCATAGTCTCTGTCGCGGATGAGTTGCCGCAGCACTCTTCGCGTGCGCTCGTGGTCGTTGTCCTCGTCAATATATGCGTCGTGCGAGAAGAGGGTTAGGAATTCGAGCTTTTCAGGCGTCCATGGCTCTTGGAGTAGTTTGTCGGGTATGCGAGGCGGTTCATCGGGGGACGGCGCACAGGGAAGTCGGAAGACGTCCAGTTCGTAGGAGACTGGGCTCGGTTCGCTCAACTGCACTGCGCCGAAATGGAACCAAAAGGCGAGTCTCAGATCAGCGTGTCTGCTGCTGTTGCTATCTGCACTGTCCACTTTCGCCTTGAGCACTAGATCGCCACTGCCTCGACGGCCGTGGACGGCGAGATCAAAATCCATGGGCCGGCAGAGGTAATAGTCCAGGTTTTCAAGCTTGCACTGGTCGTCGGCGGAGAAGTTGAGATCGCCGCATTTCTTGCGGATGATGTGTTTCACGTAGTCCCGCTGACACTGGCGGAAGAGGCTGAGCGTGCTCCAGCGACACTCGAGAATGGAGGTCTGCAAACGAGAGCGGTCTGTGGTGCTGAGTGCCCAGAAGTCTAGCAGTGCCGGGAGGAAGTCGGGGGTGAAGAAATCGGCCCTCGCGCCGTTGTTGGCACTGCTGAAGGCTAGCCGGATCAACCATTTGTAGATAATCGGCTGGGACAGGATTTTAGCAATATGCAGTGATGCCCGCGGCAGATTCACTTCGAGGCTGTGGAAGAAGATCTTTTCTAGCAGCTCGGCAGGAAGAGTCTCGAGTCTGCATAGTTGAGGCGACATCCAGGCCGACGACGCTGGAAGCTCTTGTCTGGGCCTAGATCCTGGACTTGGAGATGGTCGTAATGAAGGAGAGGAAACCGAAGCCATACAATCGCTCATTCATTCACATGCCGTAAACGCACCAGTTGTTGCAAGCTCCAACAGGCCGAAATCATGCTGTGGTTGCAAACGAGCAACTTGGATGTGCAGGGTAAAGAACCGCACTTTAAACAGTTCGTAAGTTTTGAATGGAGTCTGTATCTATTTCCCTTTGTCTTTCTCTAGTTCTATGTTTGTGGAACTGAACTGAACGAACTGAGCTAAGCTGGGCTCAGTGGATGCGCAGAGTCTGTGCTAGAGACTGGGCGCACTCGCAGGGATGGCCCGAATGGCAATGGCCGACAGCGACCCTCAGACGAGGATGTGATTGGGTTGGCGATGTGCAACGTTGAGAAATCAATATTTGGTCGTGGGGTATATGTCAACAATAAATATTAATGGCGGGCGCGACGACTGGGCGTCCCGAGGCGGCGGATCAACGCGGCGTTGGCTTCACGGATCGACCAGGCTTGACGATCCTTTGCCAGACTGGACGGTGAGGTATGACCTGTTGTGCAAGGTGCAGTGGACAGGTCGCCTATTTGAGAGAAATAGGATTGAACCGAGTTCACAGTGAGGGTAACGAGAGACTAGGAGACGGCGAGAAAAAAAGAGGTTGAAGAAAAAGCAAAGATAAAATAAGAATTAAACGAGACGGGGAAATCGGAGTTATTGGTTCGAGTTTAGAGCAGAACACTTACTAGTTAGTTGACCACTAGTTGCCATCCTGTCAGTCCTGGGCAAGTAATACATACTACATAGTTATAGTAGTACGTTAACTAGCAGGTACTAGGTAGTAGCTGCAGAGGTCGTGGACGTGGTAGTATACGGGAACAAGCCGGTAGTGCTGTCGGATCATACTACGTCCTACATATTAATCTTAGTACAGGCAGCCGCGCAGCTGCAGCATGAGATGCCAGTGAAATGGGCTGCTTCGTTGACCGCCGACACATGCTGGCCTTGTCTCCAGCCAAGAAGATGCGGGGTCTCGTCCTCGCTTCTGGCCGCATCCGTCCTTCCATCCAATCCTCCAACATCAATTGATACAATTGTGGTCACTGGTCAGTCAGTCAGACAACCTGGTGTTCAAGTTGGAACCCTCAAGGCTGGGTGCCCCAAACAGGGCTCATAACTCGGTTCTGTATTGTGTGCTCCCTGCTAAGGCTAGAAACAGGATTCGAGCTAAATTGAGGGGTTCACAGGCTACAGCCTAGTACGCAAGCCAGAAGTGGTGATTGGCAAGCCCATCAGCGAGAAAAGGGCGTGTTCCTAAAAGAGAATACACAGCTGGCCAGAAGCATCGTTAATTAATGCTGCATGAAATGTCGAGACTTAGCCTGACCCGACCTGCTGGAAACTGGAAACCGCGCTTCGACGCTCGAGTCAGTAGAGAACACACGATTCGTCGGCTGACTGCCCCGACTCGTGTGGCCTGGACAAGGGGTGTATTTAGAATGACACCAATGACATGGCGACCTGATGATCGCCCGGAAACAGTATCCCACTAGCAGTCGATGGTTTTGGGTTGCACAGAATTTGTAACTTGTGTAGTCCCTGGGATGCTGCTTACTAGGTGCTGGAGCTGTGCATGAGAGAGCACTTCGAGAAAACCCTGGAGGTTGGAGACCAATCATATATACGCCGAATCGTTACACTACGTGAACACGACGACATGCGTACTTGGTCGAGAATGCCATTCGGGCGTGTCTCTGCTCGTTCGAGAAGGCTACTATCGGCTACTATAGTCACTCAATGCGCGCGAACGGATACTTTAGGACGCGGAATAGATAGTAAAGATGTCGAGAATGTAATAGGCTAAACAAAGGAAATGCCATTATGAACTGCCAGAGACAACTTTCGACAGAAAATCATCTCCCGCATAGAGTGTCAAAACTCACGTAAAGGATGCATCTAATTGAACAGTAGTGGTGCTATACACGATCGATGAAGTGCCATGCTTCACCCCCGGCCACAAGGCTTTGCAATATGTTTTTGACGTTGAAACGCACGAAATGGTCACACGATGGATATATTTGATATTGTAATTGAACAACAAATACCCATTTACAGCACGGACAGGTTGCCGAATTTCTCCTTGTATCCTGCCGGCACCCATTTGCCGTTGGACACGAGCTGGGCGGTCTTCTCGTCGATCTCGGGTTGGGCGGCAGCGACATCGTCCTATAGGATATTTAAGCCAAGTTATACCAAGATATTTGCAATATAATCACTTACCACAGTGAGCTCGTCGAAGGGACGGGCAGTCTCGATGTTTTGCAGGGTCTTTTGCAAGTTGGCGAGCTCGGCCTCGACGCGACCCTTGGTCTCCTCGGCGCTCTTGATGGCCTGGGCCTCGAATGCCTCGATGGCCTTGAGTTGGCGGTTCACATCATACGAAGCAGGCTTGAAGCTCTTGAAGTGGTTCTCGAGTTCGTCGATGACGGCCTGGTTCTTCAGGGTCTTGCGGTAGTAGGCGAAGTCGATAGACTGGGGCTGCTCGGAGAGAACAAGGACCTTGCGGCGGGCCTCGTCGTTGCGCTTCTTGAAGGCCTGCAGAGACGCCGCGGTCTGACCACGGAGGCCCAGCGAGGTGCTGACCTTGGTCCAGTCGATCTTGAGAGCGGCGCTACGCTGTAGTCAAGGTTAGCAACCTCCGATTTTTTCGATCGCCCAGTCCGCGACATGAGCAATTTGGCAGGTGACGTACTGGGGCAGCCATTGTGAGTGTCAGTGTGTGGTTGTGAGCGGAGAAGGGATCCTTAACTTGCAAACTTGACACTGGCGGGAATGTGAGGTCGCTCGGAAAGATTGGACAGTCACGTGATTAAGCCGGGAATATCAGGAAGACGGATCCACTACGAACATCCATAACGTATTGATACTACTTATATATTTGATTTATTTTATTTTATTTCCTTCAAGAAGTAGACATATCACGGAATGATTGAGTAAATACTACTTTTGGCTTGCTCTGTTTTACAACATCGAAAATGAGATAGCGCCAAATATCAACCCCCAGTCGAGCAGATGACCTTCGCAGGACAACATGAAGACTGCCAATCGTGCCCGTAAAATTCATAAATAATTCACGTTGGCTAAAATAAGAATTTTAACATGCTAAGCTCATATGCTGAGGGCCATGATCGAGTTGACAATGTCGTTGTCATTCTCTTTCAGCGCCTTGACGGCCTTCTTTCGGGACACATTGGCTTGAGCCATGACAAGCTCAATGTCCTTGGCCTCCAGACCAGAGTCATCGACCTCCTCGCCGTCGTCTTCCTCTTCCTCCTTCTTGGTTTCGGTTTCGGGAGCCTTGCCCTTGCCCTCGTGGGAGTGGTCGTGGCCGGCGTGGTCGGCGTTGGCGCCTTCGCCGGCGGCAGCGAGCTGCTGGGCAGCGTTGATCTGGGACTGAGCGTTCAGGTCTTCGATCTTGGCCTCACCGAAGATACTACAATATCGTAAGCAAGTTGATGCAGAGCAATCGGTCTAATATCAAAACATACATCCAGGTGTTAGAAGAGGGAGAGCGGTAGACATCAGGTTGGCTGATAACGAAGAGGATCTTTAAGCAGTCAGTACACAATCCACAAAGCACTCTCTTCTCTCTTCTCCTCCATGCCATGCCTGACAAGGATGTGTCTCCCCACTTTGGCATGTTCAGATCAACTTACGTTCTTGGGTCGGCGAAGGGTGACACGGGTAATGCCAGGAACGTGCTTTAGGCCAAGCTTGGCGATAGCCTTACGGGCCTTCTTCTCATTGCGAGAGTGGATGGTGACAGCAGCGCCGCCGGGGATGGTTGGCTCATCACCAGCTTCAGACTCAGAGCTGCTGCCAGCGTCCTCAACACCGGCCTTGGGGACGTCCTCGTCGGGGAGTTCTTCGACTCTGGGGTTGGCCATATTGTGCAGGTGTATTCTCTAATGCAGACTGTAGTGTCAGCGTTGTGGAAAAGGTTTTTTGTGTGTCAACCCGCAGCTCATAGCTTGATCCCACGCCATGCCCAAAGCTCCTGACATTGTGGGGCAAACATAAAATTTTGGGCATCGAGAAAATCGCTATTCTGCAGCCTTGGTGATGGAGAGCGGGAATTCGACATACCTTGGCGTCGCTAGAGACCTGTTGTCGAGCGTGATAATTTTGTGGTGTGAGGTGTTGAAGAACGACAAGCTGTGTGAATGCCAGGGCCGATGCGCATCTTGCCGAAAACCGTTAGCGGTTAGCCGAGACCCTCAACCCCAGGTTCAGCGCTCTCTTCACTCCCGTATTTAATACTGACAAGGAGTTTTCATTTACTTGCTACTAATGTTGTTAAATTAAGAAGGCATTTCTGTATTACTTTCAATTTATTTCGTAATTCAGAATAACATCGGCATGTCCTTGCCGTGTCTCCGGATCCGTGCTTAGCAAGGAAGAAAAAAGATCTTTCATGACACAGGAGGACTTTATTGTCCGGATATCAGAGTTTTGGAATGGTTTCGCTGTCAAATATAATGCACACAGCGCATGCCCACAGGAACTCCAGCCATTTTTGAACCACCTAAGAAATCATCTCCCCGAACCCCACGCAACTTTAAGCAGAGGCTCTGATTTTGGCGTGGGCCTTCTGGACCTCGTAGCGAGACTGCAACCCGTTAGCATATGCATGCTCATCATCCTGTCTGGTAGGCCGCCTGTTCATTGCCACCTAGCCGAATATAACATACCTGCTTCTTCAGTCTCAAAACCTTGAAGCGCTCGAAGTCGGTCAAGTTCTTTCGTCGCTCAACCTGAGCAGTCTTCTTGGCATAGCCGCTGGAGGCCCACTTGCTGTCGATATCCTCCTTCTCCCAGAGCTTGCGGACGGGACCAGTGCCGGCAGCACGAGGAAGCTTGGGGATGACGAAAGGAGTGAGAGTGGCGTGAGAGAGAGCGAGCGAGTGACGGGGAACAATCTTTTCCTCCTGAGTTGAGGGACCATCGACGAGTACCTGCAGGAACCATTAGCCACGCTGTCTTCCTTTCGCACATCTCCCAACCCGGCATTGCATCTGTCGGTCGACTCGGCTAGTATCGCAGACATACCCGCTTGTGGTCAATGATCTCAACAATCGTGGCCAGCTTGCCGGTGTATGGCCCTCGGCGGATGAGGACCACACGGCCAACCTCCACGAGTTTCCATGACGTGGTTGTGATATCGATGTTGGAGGCCATGGCGAAAACTGTCTGAGATGGGAGTTAGTGATGTTTGGCGATAACGAAGCCAGAGATATTCAATATCCAGTATCCAGCACTCGCAAAGAAACCAAATAGAGGGAGTAACTCACGGTCGACAACTCCGTATGTGCGGCGGATGGTGTTTGTTGTCGAAAAGTCAGTCGGTTCTCGATGTCAGGCGGAGATTGCTGTGAGGCAGCGCGAATTTCGGCTGATGGACTGCGCAACCCACAACGACTCTCGCTTAGGCCGCCCGCCAATCAGCGCCGTTGTGGGCCTTTGCGTGCGGACTAGGGCTGCGCCTCGGCCTTACTATTCTCCGTGCCGGCCAGGTCTTTTTCTGTCGCTCACCTTCCTCTAACAATCAGCATTGATCGTTTTCGCTTTTCTCTTTTCTCGACTTTTACCACACACCTTCTGCCAGAGCGATTAGCCTGGTGAAGGTTATCACAATGTAAATGAACTAACGGTACGTCCTCCCTTGCCACCCTATGTCGTTGTCGTCTTTATGATGCGGTAATTTGCGATTGACTCAGTCCCTGTGAAGCTCTCGCCGGAGTTTCGATACAGGGCTGGCGTATGATATTTATTTCTTACATATTCTGAACGGACTGTCTTTACCTGCCTTGTTTCATGGATCGTTCTCGAATCCTTGCTAACAGCTTGACAGCTTTCTTAGGGTCGCCTTTTCTCAGCGCCTTCCCCTTAGTAGCAGCTAGGTATGCAGCAAATTTTTCTTCTTCCTTCTCCGATGATTACACCCTTTATGCCTAGATAGTACTTGACGCCTCTGGCGACTGAAATTTTCTTATCACCAAGATCTCTGAGGATCTCTATTCTGTTTTTTTACTATGGATTATTGCTGGCTGGTTCTAACATGCAGCGGTCATAGGTTAATAACTCGAACTCGAAATCGGACTAATAGAGCACACTTGGATAATACCATACTGCGAATTTACTATTGATTAGCGAAACCATGAGTTTCCCCAATAAATGAGCTTGCAATTCTTGAATTATTCATTTTCTTCAGCCTCGGACTATTTTAAGTACAAGGCTAGTCACTAATTCTCTAAATACAGAGTGATATTCATTTTAGCTGCTTTATTACTCCTATTAATTGGGCAAATTAGATCTCTGCTATGGCAATCGTGGAATACCGATTGTCGCCAGCTGTTCTTGATTGTAGTGTTCTCATTGCCTAGATGTAAAACTTAGTCGGTTAAGATGCTTATTCTTCAATCTAAATGTAGTGTATCACAAGAGTTTTAGTGTTGATTGCGCTTTATTGTGTCCATTCCTGGTATAAATTAACATGTATGCAATTTGTCTGGTAAATGCTTAGTCATTTTGATGTCATCAATGGGTGCATATCAATAACCATGGACATGTCAGTCCACTCCGAATATTCACACTTTGATTGTTGCATTGATCTCTTACGTAGATCAATTGATACCATAAATGACAATAGCCTTGAACTCAATGACTCAACAGTCGATTCTTATATTGTACAGAGCAAAGCCCCATTGACATTTTCTTCATAATGTCTGCCATTTAGACGACATCTAGGAATACATTGACAGGATCAATGGCGGACCATTGAAGGAATGTACCGCCTTCGTCTATTCTCAATACCGCCTGCCTATGTTGCCTAAATGGACTCTGCGCAGGCATACACCTCCAGTATAAATATCAGTTGACCTGTTCAGTCTAACCAGTCACTCCTTTCTCAACACCACACTGTCCATGACCACTGTCCTTCTCATCATTCCTTGCAAACACCCACCCCAAGTCCTTCCTTGTAAAGCTATCAACCATGTCCCACCGAAAGTGGCCGTCCTCGCTGTTCCACCGCAAGTCCCGCAAGACACCGCAGCCAGAGCACAATCTCACCCGACACCCAGGTAGAGATGAGATCAACCTGACTTCAGCCGCTGAAGGGCCAATTCAACCCTCAACTCCATTCAAAGAACTTCAGATTCCCCTCCCAGCCGGCGCATACTCCCGTGACGCCTTCATGCACGCCCTAACCCATGAATTCGACCAATTCTTCATTTTCACTCGCGATGTAACCATATCCGGCGAAACCGTCTTGTTTCTGCGCCTCATCCAGTGCTGGAAGGCCGCTTGGTCGCACCTCCCAGTTAACTGCAGCCGGCACGGTGCTGCTGCTCACTCACAGAGTCAGTTGTTCCGCAAGATTTTTGCCGTGGCGGTCGAAATGTACTACGACTTCATCAACCCGACGACTGCGCTGACTGCGCCTTTGAATCTTGACTATGGGCTTGCTAATGCACTTGAAAACGTGCTTGGGGACGCAGCAGATACGATTTCGGCGGGTGTTGAGTTGAAGGGGGTCGTTGTTGCGCCGTTCGCGAACCCGGGGACCGAGGCCTTTGATGCGTATCAGACTCTTTTGAGCGTTTGGTGGGACCTGATTAAATCGGACCAGGGGCATGCAGATGGTGTGGAAAGCTCGCAGGGGAATCAATACTCAGATGGTGGTGTTGGAAATGCGCGACAGGGTAATGGCTCTATTCCCTCATCGCGATTGCTCAGCATGCAGACTAGGGTTTCCGGTACCGCTGTGATTCCGACAATGTTTGACATGGATATCTTCAACAGTATCGAGGATAATTTGGCTTTACTGGTCTTTCGTGAAATTTTCCCGAGATATGTCACATGGCGCGAGTCTCGGGACCGTCAGGATGATGAAACGATTAGTGCTGCTGGTGGAGTTGATTCTTTGCGTGGGAAGCTGTTCAAGAAGCTGAGCCGTCATTCTTAAGATGGAGAGAGTAAGATCTGAGTTAGCCATGGCTAAGTGAATAGGCGATCGAGAAAGCTGCTTGAGCATTTACTGGCATGGGGGAGTTTTCATTTCTTTTCATTTCTTTTCATAACGACTTTCCAAATCCAGGAATCAAGATAGAACAGGATAGAGAGTGAAACGGTGCATAGCGAAACGGAGTTGGAGGTGAAATGGAGTTTAATTTCTTTTCTTTTTTTTCTCTTTGTTTTCCTGTTTACTTTTATTATCATCATAGTCACATTAAAGGCAGCAGCAGAACATAATCATCTCCGCTCAAATGAAGAACACTTATTCCACACCACTTCCGTACCCGTCCAGGATGCTAGACCTGTTTATTTTGAAGTCTAAATGCAAATAGCCAATCACATACAGCACATGAAAAGAAATAGTCCGTACTCTAAACAGCTGTAGCTTTAGCAGCGGGAGGACCTTCTCTTGATAGAATCCACATGAAAATAAACTGGACGACATAGGAGTAGATGAAGAGAAATTGGGTTCGACGATTACGCTGGGAACGAGCAACGGTGTGCATGGTGCCTGTGCGCATGGGTGCATCACCGGTTGAGTCAGGAAGCAAGACGTATTTCAGAGAACGAAGCTATAGTTATACCAAATTAGACTACTGTAGACGCAGAGGACGGAGTCGACACATACCAGAAAGAATGCATTAGCAAGGAAAGTGTAGACAAACACAGTCCAGCCAACCCAACCGCCAGTGCCCCGCGCCGGGGTAATAATACCAGCAGCGAGCAAAGTAACAATGATGCCAACGAATTTGTAGCCAGAGTAAGCTACAAGGTCCAATAGCTGAGAGTCGTTGCTGATGCTAAGAATATACATCGCAACCTTCAAACACAGGATCTCAAAGAGGACCACTGCCAGAGCCGTTGTTGTGATCGAGCCTAATAGTTCTGGATGGAAGCTTCCGCGTAGACCAGCCAACACGGTACAGAGCAAGATATATGTGACAAATGCCATGGTAGGGATGTACATATCGGGCGAGTTGAGATCGTCTCGCGGCGGAAGAAAGACTGAAGCGTAGTGCTGCTGTGTAATCTGCCCATCTGGGCCTGCTGTGGCGGCCATTCGGGTTTGTTGTCGAGACCAAGGCTTATGACGCCAGGGAAATAACACCAGAGCGATCTTGCTCAAGACGTATGAATTCGAGACGTTGAAATAGTGTTTGAGGGCAGGGATGGAGACGTAGCGGTTGAACTGTAGAGCAACAATCAGTTTTTAACCCAGGACAGAAAGAAAATAGCCGGAGATATATCATACATTCTGTTCCATGTACTCCTGGCCTGCCGCCATCGCCGTCTTGCCCACCTGGAAGCCCATCTGGGCAGTGGGATCGGTCATGAAATTCCCAAAGTTAGGGCCAAATGTGCCACCCCCGCCTTGACCAGGCTGAGGCTGATAGGGGTTATCATAGCCGGTTTGCTGGGACTGCGAGGTAGGCGGTGGTGGCGAGCGCATCATCGGCACGGTCGAGACATGTTGAGGGACTGGGTGGTGCAGCGGAGGAGATTGCGCTGGGATAGGAGCAAAAGAAGAGCGCTGCATGGTTGGTCGCGTTTTAAATGAATGCAGGCAATTTTGTCGAGGACGAGGGGTGGTCTAAGGAGTGTGCATGGAGTGACGAGGTTGATTCAGGGTTATGTGTCGACTCACAAGAAGTGAGAGTGATATTATTATTGCCAGCCTACCAAGGCTACAACGTGGCTCGCCGCCTTGCCGCCTGCCGCCCGCAAGCTTGAGCTCCTCCCCGCCCGCCGACCAGAATAGTCACTAATTTCGATCTGCAGTCGCAACCCTACGATATCCAGCGGATTGGAGACCGGTCGCAACATGTTGGACGCTTTCGAGGTCATCACTACCTCTGGTGTGGTGCTGTGGTCCCGGTCGTATGCGCCAGTCAGCTCCCATGTCGTCAATAGTCTTATCAGCGAGGTTTTCATCGAGGAAAAAGTCGCCCCAGCAGAAGGCACGTCGACCGCTTTCAGGAAAGAGAAATACACACTGAAGTGGAGGCGAGCAAAGGACCTTGGTCTTATATTCGTCGTATGGACACCTTCGCATGCTTGCCAATTGTCAGTGGCTGATCTACTTGTTGTTATTAGGCCGTCTACCAGTCGCTGCTTCACCTTAGTTGGATAGACAAGTTACTTGATAATATCGTCACTATCTTCGTTGATGTCTACAAGGATCAGCTGAAGAGCAGCAGAGCAAGGGTTGCTGAGTACCCTTTCGACAGGTACTTTGATCAGCAGATACAAGAATTGGAAAATGCTGCCGGCCCAGCGATTGACGAACACGCTGGTCCACATGAAGACGAGAAGAAAAACCCGCTTGTCGCGTCAGATAACGGAGGACCGCCGCCACCATATGCGGCTTCACTTTCCAAAGGTATGTACTCCTCACATACTATGATCTTCTCAGGGTATCACTAACCCATGTACAGCGCAGCAATCGGCTGCGCAATTAGTGGCGACCTCTGATGAGAGCTCGCCAGCCCACACACCGCAATCCTCAAGACCCACGACCCCTCTTGCGAATCATCTCCTTACTGCGAAGAACGGCCCAGCCGGTCGTGTCTCTCGTCGTGCTCGAAAAGCCGCCAATGCGAGCTCCAATGCCTCCTCAGGAGACGAGAGTCTGCGAAAGGGCAAATCAAGCAAAGAGAAGAGAGCCCGCATATGGGATGTAGATGGTCTTGCAGATGAGGATGACGGTGTAAACCTAGATTACTCAGCTGCTGCAACAGAAGACCACATTGCTGCACCCGCAGTTGAAGCTGTCGCCCAGGAGACTTGGGGTCGCAAGACGGCCAAAGGACAGTTTGTTTTGAAAGATCTTGGCGATGAGGTACATTCGATTTTGGAGAATGCGGACGCTGCGAAGACAAAGTCGAATACACCGAGCGGTGTCGTCGGGTCAAGCTTTAATGCTATCGGTGGCCTTTTCCGCAACATCGTCGGCGGCAAAACTCTGACCGAGGCTGATTTGGAGAAACCCTTGAAGGCGATGCAAGACCATTTGATGCAAAAAAATGTTGCCCCTGAAGCTGCGTTGCGGTTGTGCGATGGCGTGAAGCAAGAACTCGTTGGTAAAAAGACAGGCAACTTCCAAAGCGTTGATGCAGCCTTGAGAACCGCTACTGAGTCATCATTGCGCAAAATTCTGACGCCTACGTCGTCTTTAGATTTGCTGCATGAAATCCAGGCTGTTACGTCCCCTACCGTCAAAGGCCAAACACCACGTCCATATGTCATTTCCATTGTCGGCGTTAATGGTGTTGGGAAATCGACAAACCTCAGCAAGATATGTTTTTTCCTTCTACAAAACAACTACCGCGTTTTGATCGCTGCCTGCGACACCTTCCGATCAGGTGCTGTTGAACAGCTTCGCGTGCATGCTCGAAATCTGAGAGAGCTGAGTGCCCGCGAAAACGTTGGCGAGGTTGACCTTTACGAGAAAGGCTACGGCAAGGATGCAGCCAACGTGGCTAAAGATGCCGTTGCTTATGGCGCTGCAAACAAATTTGACGTTGTCTTGATTGACACGGCTGGACGTCGCCACAATGACCAACGGCTGATGTCGTCGTTGGAGAAGTTCGCTAAATTCGCTAATCCGGATAAAATTTTTATGGTGGGAGAGGCTCTTGTCGGCACGGACAGTGTTATGCAGGCGCGAAACTTCAACCAGGCATTTGGAACGGGGCGCAATCTTGACGGTTTTATCATTAGTAAGTGCGATACTGTGGGTGACATGGTTGGAACACTCGTGAGCATGGTTCATGCCACAGGCATACCCATTGTCTTCTTAGGGGTTGGACAGCATTACGGAGATTTGCGTGGACTCAGCGTTCCCTGGGCCGTGGGGCTATTGATGAAATGATAACATTGCTGTTCCTTTTCCTGTATAAGTTGTTTAAGTCTCCATACGAATGACTTCTTTTCATCACGGCACATATTGGAATAAGTACCTACATTTTGTACATCCTTTCAGTCTATTTATTTAGCGTCAATCAATTATAATCGGGCTTTGGATTAATTTTATTTGGTTTATTTGGTTTATTTGTACATGAAGAATGAAACAGTATTGCGATATGACTGAATAACAGGTATGCGTCTTTCAGGAAATCTGTTACAATCTTCAGGAGAGAAAGTAGTGAAATCCAAGACCTTAAGTAATAGATCTTCTATCCGTAACCCCATGATGTTCTCAACAAATCAGCAAGAGCTCGTATCGCTGCCGCAATTCTCATCCCTAGACTACACGCATCAGTCAGCACGCATACGAAAGCCTTAGCCTTTATTGTACTTACTCCATCAGTACGCTGTTTGAGCGTCTCAAAGTGTGACGAGAGCTGCTGCACACTCGGATATAACATTTGAAACCCTTGGAGAGCATCTTCCATATGTTGTCGGACAACCACGAAGCTATTATTTGAATTTTTCGATTGTGACCTGGAGCTCCTGTACACCTGTGACTATTTCCCGGATATCCTCCCCAGCAAATTCTAGGTTCTCGAGTAATTGAATCGAGGGCTTCCGTTCCTGCTGAATAGGATCGGGGTCACTCTCGATACTCGGTAAACGTTCTTGTTCTCCTTCTCCCGCGATATAGTGATGTTTTGGAACGTGCGATAGGGTTCGGAAGACGTTTTCTTTTCCCTTCGACTCTTTTTTTCTGAGTTGTAGTTTGCAGAAAAGGCCAAAGGGACAATACCTAATGATGGATAAGCTAGCAGCTGAGGCATAGTTTGACTTCCGTTGACCTCAAGAGAGGCTGGGATGTCCAATCAACATTTGAAGCAAACAGAAGATTGAGGAGATGAAGGGTGTTTGGCGTACTTTCATACAGGCCAGGATTAGGTAATTGATATTCTACACCTAGTTTTGTGGTGAATTGATAGAAATTCTTTGAAGTAGAAAAGCAAACTAGGTCTCAATTTCTAAGATCTAAGATTCATCGTATGTAAGCTGAGAATAACGGAAGTTTGCGCAACTCCAATACACCTGGTTTGTTATTTTGTAGCTTAGTACCAGCATCTGCGAGTTCACCTATTCAAATTTGATGTTCTCTGTTGTATTTAATTTGGCTCCCTCTCAGCAGTGAAGCTTTTTTCATGCAAACATCTATGGATTGTTAGAAGTTAGGGCTATCGGAGATAGCCCTAACAGCCTACTCCGCTAAATAGATGTCTGGACTTGCTACATATGTGCTCTGTAGATTGCAATAATTGCTTGTATGTCAATAATTCTTATCAATTCAGCTTGATTTTTTGATCCCATCGTCAAAGTGTGGAAAGGGTCGTTGTGAATGGACGATATTACATCTACCAATATGTTGATTGAACCCCACATGTTTTTAGCTATATAATATATATATATATCTATTCTTGCAGCATCCACAACATCCATCAATTGTCGCATCGCAATACATGTGATTTCAAATGGTCTATATAAGCAAAAATAAGAGCATTAAACTGATACACAAATCAATGAGTGCATCACCTGATGTGGCTATAAACAAGACTGATATAGCTGAGAACGCGAAGATCTGATTGGCAGGGAGCTTCTCGGCTTGGCATTACAATGACATCATTTGAAATCAATTATTTGACAATGACGCGAACAGCCTCGTCTACGTATTGTATTTATGTTCCTAATTCGTAATTCTTCCGGTATGAAGCTGAACGGGATTGATAAGACAACAAAGTTCCTTGGAAGGCCGCTGATCCGCATGTCTTTGCGTGTGATTCTTAGATATTAGGTACGTACGGTACGGTCGGAGCTTAGGCAACGCGCAATCGATCAAGACCAAGATTTTCGAAGGTCACCACCAATTATGAGGGAAATTATTGCCTGTCCGAAACACAGGGAATTTGTGCATTTGGATCAAGGATCAATGCCGCCTCTGGACCGCATTTTTGTGGAGTCTTTTGTGACGGACACTCACGTCATGTTGACGTCCGCGGAGGTTGGCCAGTCCTGCAACCAGTCGACCATTCATGCAATGCCAATTTATAAGTAGACCCCAAGGACATTTGATTTAAGTACAAGAGAAGAGTAGATTACCTCACAATAGTACTCTTGTTCAGCATCTTCGAGCACCTCTCAAAATGGCTAGTTCTGTTGTAGAAGGCGTCCATAAGATCCAGGACGTGATCAGGTCGGCTGCAGGCCAGGATAAGAAGGCAGCCGATCTTGCACAGGACACTGCTGATGTCCACACCAAAACCAAATTCACCACCGACCATGGCGTGCCAGTATCAGACACGGACCACTGGTTGAAAGTTGTCAATGACCAGACTTCCGGACCGAGTCTGTTGGAGGACCAGATTGCTCGGGAGAAGGTGTGAATATTGATTCATTGTGCCTGATATTAGCTGATCGGATTTAGATTCATCGTTTCGATCACGAGCGTATCCCAGAGCGAGTTGTTCATGCCCGCGGCACTGGGGCTTTTGGAACGTTCACACTGAAGAAAGCCATTCCAGAATTGTCTCATGCCGGCGTTCTCACAGACACGGCTAGGAAAACCCCTGTATTTGTCCGCTTTTCTACCGTCCAGGGTAGCAAAGGCAGCGCAGATACTGTTCGAGACGTCCGAGGCTTCGCCACCAAATTTTATACCGAGGAAGGTAACTGGGATCTTGTTGGAAACAATATTCCAGTGTTTTTTATTCAGGATGCTATCAAGTTCCCTGATTTCGGTACGTGGCCATTCTAAAGATGTTTAGATGCTCGTTTCTTACAATAATTACATAGTTCATGCTGTCAAGCCTGAACCACACAACGAGGTCCCCCAGGGGCAGTCTGCACACAACAACTTCTGGGACTTTAGCTTTCTCCATCAGGAGACCACTCATATGTTCATGTGGGCCATGTCTGATAGAGCTATTCCCCGATCCTTCCGCATGATGCAGGGGTTCGGTGTTAACACATTTAGTCTAGTCAACAAAGAAGGCAAACGCCATCTGGTAAAATTCCATTGGATTCCTCATCTAGGTGTTCATTCATTGGTTTGGGACGAGGCCTTGAAGATCGGCGGACAGGACCCAGATTTTCACAGAAAGGACTTGATGGAAGCAATTGACAATAAAATGTACCCGAAATGGGACTTTGCCATACAAGTCATCCCCGAGGAAAAACAAAATGATTTTGAGTTTGATCCTCTGGATGCCACCAAAATTTGGCCTGAGGAACTGGTTCCTCTGCGTGTGATAGGGGAACTTGAACTCAACCGCAATGTCGACGAGTTCTTCTCCCAGACGGAACAGGTCGCCTTCTGTACGAGTCATATTGTGCCTGGAATCGACTTTTCCGACGACCCACTCCTACAAGGACGCAATTTTTCATACTTTGACACCCAGATCTCACGTCTCGGAATCAACTGGGAAGAGTTGCCTATCAACCGCCCCGTGTGTCCTGTGATGAACCATAACCGTGACGGTGCTATGCGTCACCGAATCACCAAGGGTACCGTCAACTACTGGCCCAACCGATTCGACGCAATACCGCCGACAAAGGTTGAAGAAGGTGGTTTTGAATCTTACCCTCAGAAACAGTCTGGCATCAAAGCACGCTCCCAGGGTCCAAAGTTCCGGGAATACCACAAGCAAGCACAGCTATTCTACAACTCACTAAGTGAATCCGAGAAACTGCACGTCGCTAAGTCCTTCAGCTTCGAACTCGATCACTGTGATGACCCATGGGTTTATCAAAGCATGGTCTTACGTATTGCTGAGATCGACCTTGCCCTTGCTCAACAGGTTGCAGTGATGGTGGGAGCACCCACACCAAGTAAAGCAGGCAAGCAGAATCACGGCAAGACTGCTCGCGGCTTGTCACAACTCGAGTTCAAACCGAAAAAAGCAACAATCGAGAGCCGACGCATCGCCATCATCATTGGTGATGGCTTTGATCCAGTCTCGTTCAGTGGTGTCTACGCAGCCGTCAAGGCGGCTGGCGCACTGCCGTTCGTCATAGGCACCAAGAGACAGCCGATCTTTGCTGATGGCGTTGATCCTCAGAAAGGACAGGGCGTAACACCGGATCACCAGTATGACGGGGTTCGCTCGACTTTGTTCGACGCAACTTTCATTCCCGGTGGACCACACATCAAGACGCTGACAACAAACGGCCAGATCCGTCACTGGATCGCCGAATCGTTTGGTCATTTGAAAGCCATCGGTGCCACTGGTGAGGCGGCCGACCTTGTCAAGAAGGTTTTACGAGACGTTGAAGGCTTGCAGTATGCTGCGAATGGTACAGCTGTTGTAGAGTCGTACGGCGTCGTCACCGCTGCTGGACCCCAGAAGCCTGAAAGCTTCAAAGAAGGCTGGCGGATTGTCCAGGGGGCGTCCGATTTTTTGAGCAAGTTCTTCTATGAAATCGGCGAGCATCGGAATTATAAGCGTGAATTGGATGGATTGGCTGCGTCGGTTGCCTTTTAATTCAGCAGGAGGACATGGAGTTGGCCAAATTATTTAGTAGTATATGATATAATAAAAGTAATATGCTTAGTTTACCAGAATGAATAAAACTACTAAATTTCATTGACCTCTTGTAACTGGCTAACTAATACTGGTTGTATACTACTATACAGGCACGACATTGCCCCTAAGCTGGAGCGTGGACGTCCCGTGGCAGGATGGGAATTGAAGCATGCTGGCAAGGAACGTAACCAAACCGCGGAGCTACAAGCTCCAAATGAACTCTGTAGTGTGAGTGAAAACCCTAAACCTGCACCCCTTGCTAGATCAACCGCTTTCTCACAATTTTTCTCACTAATCAGCGCTTCTGCGCAGCCTAGCCTGCCTGCACACACCCTAGTGCGTCAGCATCGCTAGCTCCATGCCCGAATCAACCCTCCCACGCTGTAGCTCCGCAGGTGTCAGATCGTTAACACTAGTTACGGTTGTGTTGATGCGCAGGAGCCTCGCAGGTCCGCAGCAGGCATATCACGCTCGCAAAACCTATCTGATATGCATATACAACTGTTGATTATGCTTTTGATCAGCTTAGACCACAAGTATGTCCGTGACCCAGTTAATCACTACTCCGATCTTAATCCGCCATCGGATCTAGCACATTACCAGGAGCTGCGATTCTCAGTCAGTACACATCCCATCATAATGAGAGAAATCTACCCTGATTATACTCTCAGATTCATCCTCACAAAGTCTCCATAGCACTGCTATAGCTACCAGGAACGCCGGCTATGATTCTATCAACATCGCTACCAATATTTTCCCACTATAATTCCCAGATCGTCCTCTGCGTGGCCTCGAGTGATATCACCGTCCTCCTTCTGCCTTGTGGCCTCATAACTTATAAATGTTTCCGGATTCTACTGAAAGCCAATGAGGAATTTAGCTGTAATACTGGCTGAGGCATCCATTGGGCAGCTTTGCTTTGTGTAACCAACTTTATTATCTGGGATGAGGGGCAATGGCCTCCCGCGTGGTCATGGATACTGCGGACCATGCACTGCGCGATATCCACAAACATCTACCAAAAGGTAACTAGCCATTCGGCGGTATCCCAGTTATCCTGGGGGGTGATTCTCAACAGACCCTACCATGGTGCCCCACAGTGACCGTGGAGCCATCCTATCTGAAAGCTTTCTATATGTTGTGATATGCAATATATCACACAAACTCCACCACCCAGCTGTTTTATGTTCCCACTAGAGCAGCTTCTGGAAGCTCAATGTTGAAGCTTCCAGAATCCCACTGTAGGCATATAAGCACGGCTTATTTCTCTACGCTCTCATATCAATAAATAATATAAGCATCTCCTTTTCATCACTATGTAGTAGGATCTAGCCACATGTGCATGGATCACATGCCACATGACAGAGCGACATCGGTGTGTCCCTAGCGCGCATGCTTTAATTGCTCATTTTAACGCTTGAAAATATATAGATTAGTTAATAAACAGAATATTTAAAAGTATATAAACCAGATGGTAAGGATAGTAATGAATAAAAAAAGTCTTTCAAGATGTGTAGACTAGATAATAAGAGGAGTGTTGAGCGAGAAGAGCGCTCAAAGTTGTGTAGGCTGGATGTTCCAATTAAAATACTATTGTTGGGTATTTTCTTTCTTGACCAGTCACACTGTGTGTGCAGGACTATGTTAGCTGCATTGATACAGGACCCCTGTTGAGACATCCCCTCGCTCTGTTCATTATGCCGAGATGCCCTGGCTCTCTTTTCTCCGTTTTATAATACATGACCCTTCAACATTCTTACGATGAATTTTGTTTTCAAATAGGATCTAATTGATATTTATTGTCACACATATCACACAATAGGCTACTGCGAACTCACTCCTCTCCTTTGAGGCGCCGCGAAGAGAAAGAATACACTGAGAAGCATAAGAAGGTTTAAATGTCTAGTTTCACGCCAGGTATTCACGAGATCCCGCGAGAAGAACATAATATGATCACGCCAAAGATGCGACTTGCATGCAACAGATGCCACAGGCAAAAATTGAAGTGTGTTCAAGCAGATCGTCGGAAATGTCAAAGATGCCAACGAGCGAATGTGCAGTGCATATACAGTCCAATCCTTCCATTAGGTCGTCCATATGGGACAAATCAGGCTACAAAGAATCCAAGTGTACCATCTCCACCTGCATTGCCATCAACGCATAACGATGGTGGGGAGCAAACATTGGATCATCGGTAGGGAATCCATTCTGTTATGAATTGCATAACATTCGAAAGTATTCTAACAGCGCTACGAAAAGCAATTTGGTGACTAGTCAGGACATCTACGATACAGCCGCAATCGACTTCGGGAAAGATATCATGCAAGAAATTAACAATATGGATGAAAATAGTCTGCCAACCCCTTTCTACAGTGGCCCAGATACAGGGCAGTTGGATGTATTGACCGTTGCCAATGCGCCTCCTTGTGATCCACCGCAAAGTCCTTCGCTCCTCTCCAATACCTTGATTGATGGCGGATCTCTTGAGTCGTTGCTGGCGGGTCCTCGAGCTTCAACAAGCAGAAGTGAAGATAATTTTCGGCAGCTGTTAGATTTAAATTCGCACATACACCAACTAGTGAACTCGCTTAAGTTACGCTCCTGGGGTGGTCGTGTCAACTCTTGGGGGTCCCAACTTGTATTACCTAACCAAGAATCTCTAACCGCATGCTATCCTGTCCAGGGTATTGTGAGGTACTCACAGATATTTTTGGACATCCTTAGGGAAACCGGGCTCTGGTCCCATTATATATCCCCATGTCTAGGGTGGAGTCTAGACGAACACTCCTCGTCCCCTACCTTCAGGTCGGCTGCTTCGTCACGATGTTCGAATTCGTCTCCATTAGGGACGCCACATCTCGACCCGCCCGTCATTTTCCTGATGTTAACTTGTTTTACAAACATCATTCAGCTGTACAATATAGTCTTCCGTGATATTATTGACTGTCTACAGGGTGATGAAAATAAGCGCTCCGCCTTCCTGTCTGCTCTCCGGGACTTGCAGCTGAGCGGCGTCAACCTTTCACGTTCAGAAGTCTTGTCCATAGCTGTCCTTGTGCAGACTTTGGTTCATATGGTCAAGCAGATGCACGCGACTATGGTACGTTGGCAGGACGACGTTTGGGAAAGATCTGGTTCGAGCAATTCGCCGCAGGGAAACACATTCTCTATGTCCGGCCCTGTTCGCCCTCAGGATCTGATCAACCCGACTTCAGATTGGAGTTCCCAGGCTCTCTGGGGTAAAGTAAGACAGGCAAAGCACATGCTAGACGCTATATAGTTGCTATCGATCTGGATCTAGTTCTCAGTTGAAAAAGACCACTCTTTAGTCCCTGAAACTGTTCAGCGAGAATACTCCTTTTCCATGTTCTGTTATCTTTCTACCTGTGGTAGTGCATCCTAATCTGACACTATTTTCAGGTTATTGTATTCCATGTCTGTCTCAACTCTATAATTAGTCTTAAGAAAATGGTAGAGACGGTTCTGGACTTGAAAGGGGTTAGTACAAGACTTACCCAAATTCCACCAAAAGCATGGCCAGCCACAGCCACGCTGCTCGTCACGATGAACTGCGTTACACGTATGAAGTGATAATCCCTGTCTAATTGTATGCACTCTCGGAGACTATACATGTCGGCGGTGTATCTCCTGTCTTTGTGTTAATGCGCGATCGGCGACTTAAATTATCACCACTTTCGGGGGTAATTCGGTAAGAGCGACGGTCCTGTCACTTCAAGATTTCAAATCTATCATTGAAACATTTTGATTAATAAATAACGGGCCATGTCAGGTGTTCTTTGACTAAATTGGCTATAGTGATAATTGTTGAGGTCTCACTCCAATCTCTAGCATTTTCTGATTTACTTGTGCGATCTAACGATTACCATGCAGAGCACGAGGATTTCCCAGCTGGCGCAGGCAGTGTATGATTTCACCATTAAGCTCGATCTCTACCTGAATCAAAAAGGCTTACCGACCCCGTCTTTGATGTTACGGGACCGACAGACTTTGGCATCACGACTGAGGATGTTGAGACTGCTCGTGTTCACGCCATTGAGGCGGCAGCGGAGCTGATCGACTTGTTACAAGGACCGATTGCTTTCCTGCGACCCCTGGTGCGACCCTTTTTCTTGGGATTCAGTGCAGAACTTCTTGGACTGGTGCTAATCCCCTCTTTTTTGAATTTGCTTCTTAGACCAACGGAGCGAGCATAATGGCAATATCTCGAAGAAAACATTTCAAATAAGGTTCCATTGGAGGGTGAAATCTCTTTCGCCGAGTTAGCTAAGCAGTGTGGAGATATATATGAGCCTGAGATGAGACGTATTCTTCGGTATGCAATGGCGCATCATCGACTGTTCTGCGAGCCTCGCGCAGGATTTGTCGCACACTCGCTGGCCTCGCGGCGTCTGGCCGAGGAGCCTCTCCTAGCTGACTCACTCTGGTTGTTAGGAGACATGCTACAGACTGCGCAACCGTATACAGTCAAGGCAATAGAGAAGTATAATGACCAGGAGCCGGGTCACGCAGCATCCTCGCTTGCCTGCGGAACTGACAAGAGCATGTACGAGGTGATGGAAGGAGATCCTGCACTGGCAGCCCGGTTTGCCCGGGCCATGACTGCGTTTGCCAAGGTCACGAATCGACCAACCACGGCTCCACGAATGAACATAGCTCGGACGTATGCCTGGAAAAATTTGAAAGGCAAGGTTGTTGACATCGGTGGCTCGAGAGGAACAGATGCCTTTATACTCGCTAAATCGTTTCCCCATTTGCAATTTGTAGTCCAGGATTTGCCTCAAATGATTGCAGGTGCGGAAGCCTCTGTCCCTCCAGAACTGGCTGGTCGAGTCGAGTTTATGCCCTACGACTTCTTCACCCCTCAGACCTTTGAGGCAGACGCGTATATCATGAAACAGTGCTTTCATAACTGGCCAGACCACTACTGCGTTCGCATCGTGAAAAATCAGATCCCTGCTCTCAAACCAGGCGTTCGGCTGATCGTCATTGACAGTCTCGTTCCGGAACCAGGGACCATGAGTATTCTGGCGGAGAGAATGGTTCGGTATGTCGATAGCGGCGAGTCATCCAAGTGAAAGAATGATGTTTTGCTAACTCTTTTATCCCCCTGTATCAGGTCCTTCGATATGATGATGTTGACCAATACAAATGGCCGTGAGCGTGAGATGGCTGACTGGATCAAAATATTCGAGCAGGCTGATTCACGATTCAAAAATTATCCGCATGCAGCCCATTGGTAGGCCGGACGATTTCGGACCTGCGACTGGTATCATTGAGGTTCTATGGGAAGGCGAGTAGTAGGATTTTTCAACAAGTAAATTGATTGGTACTTAGTAAACTTAAGTCGAAGCTAATTAAAGTGATTCGGAGTATAGCGAGTGCCTAGACGTAATTAAATGACGATCTTCGCCGCCTAGAATGTGAAAGAACTTTCGAGAATATCTCAGCAATGTAAACCATCAAGATATCATCCTCGTCTCATCCTGTGACCCTATTCTAGCAAGTTTTTAGGAAACGTAATATCCGTAAAGAATTTGGAGCTTGCGCGGACTTTCCAAGTGGCTGATGTCTCGGACTGTCAGGAAGGCATATCAAAACAACTAAATTACCGATGTAAACTATCCCAGTTTGAATAAGGATGGAACGTGAAAAAAAAAAAAAACTAAATAAATATGGACGCGCTAAGAGTGAACGAGGTGACAACAATATACCTATAAAGGAAAGATGTCTCTGGCTACGGCCCTAACACAGATAGTCGCACATCATAAGAAGCTGAAATTATAGTAGCTGGGCCGCATCTTTACGCCTCTTAATCAAACCAGCAATAGACCAAGAAGCGCTTATCACCCACCAGGAGAAGAGAATGGGCAGTGATTGGTACAGCCGCACCGAACTTTGAGACCATATATTGAAAAGAAGCTGTAGAACCTCAAAAGCAGGCAATGATTGACCCCATCGATAGAAACCGGCCGACAATTCAACGGGAAAAATGGTGCTGGTCACGTTCAGAAAAACAAAAGTGACAAGGAGGTGTGAGTACACTTGCAAAGGAAATAGGGCTAGAGTCCCGTCAATGAGCTGGTAATAAATGTGCATGGCGAACCAGATGACGAGCCACGTCTCCACAAACTGGGAGCCGCTGATAGCCCAACCCTCGCGAAATGTCCACATACAAACAGTGGGGACGAGTGCGCCGACGAAGGTATATGCCAGACCCACGATGATATATAGTCCAGCCGAAAATTTGAAGGGTTGGCTGAAAAGTCCAAATTTTGTAGACATGCCGCTGAAGGCGATAAGGAAGACATTCTGCTGGACAATAGCCATGGCCATGATGACTGTGTTGTAAAAGGCCTTGCTTGCCTGCGGACTAGGCGAGAGGTTGATCTCAACAGCTTGCAGGGGAGTTAGATAGGCACTCAGTGCAGTTTGAGTGATATTGGGCTGCTCGATCAATGTCCTTGCAGTGCTGGCCTGAAGTATGCCCTGCGCGGCGGTGTGAAGCTCGACTAGTGCGGCCTGAATGACGGACAGGCTGATGGCGGCATATCGTAGCTCATTCCATACGTAGGAGATGGAGTTGCTTGCATTGTAGGATGAAATTCTGCCCGTGACAACAGCTGAAAAGCGATCGGATGCTCCTGGATGGACGTACAGGGCACCCCAGTAGTGGTCTTCTTGCACCGAGTGGACGAGAGAAGCTGGATCAGGATATTGGGTTGGATTTCCGATGACAATGGTAGGATATGTAGCCGCCTGTAGGGCGCGGGATGCATTTACCAGAGAATTCCAGATCGGGCCATCATTGCTATCATAGTTGACCAAGAGGATCTGCAGATCATGACTTCGTGACGCCTGTTGAAAAGTAGACCCAAACATATAAATCTGGTTCAGCAGGAACAGGAGTAACACAGAGAATGCCAGAATGACTGTTGCGACTGTAAATTTGGTCGCCTCTAGTGGAGGGCCAGTCCTCGGAGCGACCGCTTGTTGCTCTGTGACGCCCCCCCGGTTCATCGTCTTCAATATATGCAACTAGGGAACGGCTCAATTATCTAGTGAGTGGTGTATTTGGAAGAAGGAGGATTGCGAAAGGATCAGGAGGAGGGAAATAAAAGGGGTCGTGTTGTACGCGATGAGGCTTCGGGATGGATATGGTTCGTTCACCTTTCGTTTGTTTATAGTTCTTGGTTCCTCTTGTCAGTTACTCGGCGATTTACGGCGCGTTACTTGCTGGTCGGAGAAAGGTATTCGCCGGGGTGAATAGGCATCAAATGGGGAGAGGGCAACTCAAGAAGCAGATTCAGCATGTAGATCGTTTTTTTCCTCTGTATTATTACTATATTAATTTCTCTTTTTGGGGTGTTTTTTTTTTGGCGTTGCTTTCCTTGTGTAACGTACTCTGCAATAAGGTATTTGAGGTGAACAGCAAAGTTGCCTGACCTACCTCATATTATTAGGCATTGACGCACTGTTGCATGCCCACCATCCGACCCGATTGCGTAAACCTATGATTGTCCAAGCGGGGAGAGAATCCCACACGTCGACACCACTCGTCAGCATGGACTCGATGGACGTCTGAATCTACGCATATATTTGTTGCAGGAGTATGGTTTTATCACTCTGCTGACTTTCAGGTCGCTAGATTGATTTAGGAGAGGAGCATACCTCCTTAATTGGCTGTTATGATTGCTAGTCGTAATAATTTACTCGCACGTTATGGTTACCGCTTGTTGCTTTATGGTGTAATTGTGCCAGTCTCTACATCATAAGATGCCTGCGCAATATCTCGGTGAGCCTCTCAAAGCATCTGGGCAAGGCCGTGTTGTATCTTGATTTCATGGTATATGATGGATAGCCTACTTGTGGGTCGTTTTACGCATGCTTTGGCTGTAGCCTGTTTGAACATTTATAGGTAGAGATTCTACTGCTGGAGGAGTGGGTTGGTATCGATGTATCAGCGTTACAGGCCTCCAGAGGACCCATAGAAACTAATGCCCACGTTATAACCGATTAACTCACGGGGGTTTGCAATCTGAAAAACTCTGGAATCGAAAAGTGTGTGAGGTGTTCCCAGGTGCGTCATCGGCATGCATATGCCCTGAGCATGGGTAAAAAACCGCCTCCGAAGAATTCGCCGAATGAGGACCAATGTATGCATGGGGCTGCCTGCTTTCCATTCTATTCAGGACCTGCAGAGAGTATGCTCGAGCAAGACCCTCCCGACGGTTTCTCTCTGTATAGCTCAGCTTGGCGAGCTTATCTAGTAAGTGATAGCCATTATCAACAAGTTTTACAGTTGGGTTTAACATGTATTTGATCGTAGCCGTGCTGAGATGGACCCGACCATTCTTAGACCACAGCATTGCTTTGTCTTAGGTCTTTGCTCCGGGCTTCTCTCCGCCACAGCAGTTGCAGCTGCTAACAACGTACCGCAACTCATTACCGCAGCCCATGAGGTGATCCGGGTCGCTCTCAGACTAGGAATCAGCGTCCAGCAAAGGTCTGCTTCTATAGATAGTGTTTCCGAGAGCTGGTCCATTGGACTAAATGGTCTTGCGTCTTCCGAAGTGCAATCACTCATCGACGATTTCCATGCTGCTCGGGTAAGGACAGATACCGGAACTATTTGGCCTTCGATTGACGTCTAGCTGATCTGAATGTGTAGGGGACTCCTGCATGAACAAGTCTATATCAGCGCCGAGGTGGGACCTGGTCTGACTCTGAGCGGGTCCCCAAGCACCTTGAACGATATTTCCCAGATGCTTGGGGCCGTTCAAAATTGCCGAAAACAGCGGCTGCCAATATATACCGCCTTCCATGCCTCTCATCTTCATCCGCCACGCATGGAGGATATTGTAGCTACCTATCCGATTTTGCTCAGGTACGGCGTATCAACATTCCTCTCTCCCAGTTCTGATCTTCCTTATCCGGCAGCAAATTTCGCCGAGCTTCTGAGTCAGGTCGTGCAAGAAATCTGCCAGCAACCTCTCGTCCCGCTCAAGGCAATGAAGTCCATTATTAAGGATGTAATTGAAAGAGAGGTGCAACCCGTCCAAGTGACGCTTCTGGGAGCCCCCAACCTCGAGAAATTTATTTCTTGGACCCTTCATGACAGCGGGCTTACAGTTGTTCCTGAGGAGCCATCGTCTTTGATTTATTTCCCTACACTGGAGACGCCTCCAGATGCGATTGCGGTGGTGGGCGTATCGGTGAGATTGCCTGGCTGTGAGAATCTCGAGGAATTTTGGAATATACTGCGAGATGCAAAGGATTTGCATCGTAAAGTAAGTACCTTCCCGTGTCAGATAACATTCCCATTAGGCTTAATAACTCCCAAACTAGGTGCCAAAGGATCGATTCGATATTGATCTGCATTGTGACCCAAACGGAAAGGTCAAAAACAGTTCACTATCAGCCTTCGGATGTTTTATTGACCGTCGTGGCCTATTTGACGCAAGATTGTTTAATGTCTCACCACGTGAAGCAAACCAAATGGACCCAAGCCATCGCCGGCTACTCATGGCAACGTATGAGGCCCTTGAGCTGGCTGGGTACCGCGGTGCCGTAGGAGCGGAAGACCAGCGTGTCGGGACATTTATAGGTCTAACCGCAGATGACTGGCGTGAGTACAATATAAGTCAAGACATCGATCTATACTACGTTCCGGGCGGATTGCGAGCGTTTGGTTCCGGACGGCTCAACTACTATTCAAGTGGGATGGACCTTCGTATGCAGTTGATATGGCCTGCTCCTCTAGTGCAGCAGCTCTGGATCTTGCATGCTCGTCTATACTGCGTGGAAGATGTGACATGGCTGTTACGGAAGGAGCAAACATCATGACGGGCCCGAACATATGGGCGGGTTTGAGAGGTGTGGGGTTCATCTCATTCACTGGCTCTTCTAAGACCCTAGACGCGACTGCAGATGGCTATTGCCGAGGGGATGGTGTTTAAGTCCACCGCGGGAATAATTGTGTGGTCAGTCGTCTGGGGGCTGGTCTCAAGCGTCGTGGTTGCAATGCCGGGCGCGATGGTCCCCTTGCTCTCGCCATCGCTAGCGGTTATAGGTACGCGAACCGGCATGTATTGGGTCGGCGGGGGGGTTGGCATTCTCATTGGAAGTCCCATTGCAGGAACGCTGGTCAATGACCGATCCTCACATATTCGTTGGATACCCGTTCAAGTTTTTGCTGGTGTGTTCATGGCAGCTGGGGCGTTGTCTTATTTGTACCCAGTGATTAGCGTTAGAATTAGAGCTAGGGCAGCTCTTATTTAACCCTAAATGAAAGAACGGAGAACTAACTTCTTTCTCTAATATGCCTATTTTTTTCTTGAAAATATCTCTGAATGGTTTCCACCTGTCCCTGTATCGCAGTATTTTGCTTGTAATTTCTCCCCTCATGATGCCTCGGCTACAGCGCCAACAACAGGTGTTCCGCCGAGTTACGGTATGTGCCGTGATAGTCAGGTCGTACGATACATCAAGGCCCAGCGTTGGTTACACGAGGATGAAAGCTAGCTCTTTACTAGTCACGGCCACATTTACCTGCATAATGGGGCCAGTTTTGATCTTGCGCTGTATTGAACGAGCGCTAATCAACATCCACGACAATCCACAGACCTGAGTATAAATCACATGTGTTCGAACTAATGCAACTGTAGCAATGCTGTACGACCACATTTTAGGTTCGCTAACCCTAACATAGGTCAAGCGTAGTCCGGATATGTTTGGATAGTCTCCGAAGGCGGGGGTAATCAATCCATGTCTATGGAATATATAGCTCACAGAAAAAAAGACTGATAAAGTTGTCTACTCCGTACATAGCCAATAGGTGTCCGTCATCTTCAAATTACACTCAAGCTATGCAATGCGGGAGTTGGATCGAAATTAAATCCTTCTCTGAAACTGCAGCACTGGCCCTTCTTTTCCTGCCGCGAAGTGATCTCTGATCTTGTACTCGCCGTCTCTACCGCCAGCACCAACGGCGCTAAATCCTACTCCCGATGCAATGCGGATATTTTATAGCCAGATGACCCTGGCCAGGCTGAGCTCCAGCTCTATGAATGAGATATTGCGGCCGAGGCAAACTCGAGGCCCTGTGCTGAAGGGCACGAAGGCCTTTCTCTGATACGCCAGCCGTTCCGCAGTGCGCCCTCCCTATGTTCTGAGTCTCGAAGTAGCCACCGGTTTGGATCATAAGTAAATGGTTGCTCGAAATACTTTCCGGTATGGTGTAAGGCGTATATTGGCACGCCGATGATTGTTCCCGCCTGGAAGAAATATTGGTCAATATGGAGGCCGCCCTCCAACACCTGACGTGGAAGAAGCGTTGGCAGCGGAGGGGAAAGTCGCATTGCTTCTTCTATACAAGCACGCAGATATGGCATTTGTTGCATCAATGGTCCCAATACAATAGATTCAAGGTCCGGAAATGTGCTTCTGATCTCCCCAGTCACTCGGGCCAGGATCGCCGGATGCCGCGTGAGGTAATAGAATGTCGCAGCCAATGCAGTACTGGCGGTGTCGGTTCCTATCGATACATCTTAGCCTTCCAATAAACATACAGGTATTATTCATTTCACCAAAAGTTTGGCAAAAATGGAGAGGAAAGGAACGCACCGGCTCCTAATAGCATAGTCACCTCCGAGATTAACTCCGAGTCCGAATAGCCTTTACCGGTCTCAGGGTCCTGAGCTCGCAGGAGATAGTAAATGATATCCCGACGGTTGGTGCCAGACTTATCGGCTTCCAGCCTTGTCCTTAGTTGCTTGCCTGCAAAGGCTACCTGCCGCTGTCGATTGGCTGCTGTCCCCCGTCTCAGGTATGGCTCGACACCAAGACTCCGCAGGATGGGCATTTGACCAACAATGTTGATGATATACATGTTCAACGACATTAAAGCAAAGAAGAAGTGATTCTCATCACTACATGAGCTTTCAAAACTTCGGCCGAAACACACCTCGCCGAGGGCATCAAAAACCACGCAGGTACTCCAGTGGCCATGTCCCTGGGTGTCGACCATTCCCCTACTTTCAAAGCGCTATCTTCGTAGTTTTTACCTAACGCAGAGCACCAGTCACGAATGGCTGATAAGATGTGTGGCTCCATGTTCCGAAGTGCTTGATCCGAAAAGGCACTCGACATCACCCGTTTCTTCCGCCCATGGGTCTTTTTGTCCACTGCCGTGAGAAGGTTGTTGCCATAGAAACTTGCATAGAGGGTCGATTTTTGAACATTTGCACCATGGCCATAAATCGGCCCTAGCGCACTTGCTGAATTGATTGAAATGTGGTGCGGCCCAATCCGTACCACAGTGCCATATCTCTGATGTAGTTCGAATATAGCTAGGTGACGATCTCCTCTGAAGGCATGGTAAACCGACCAAAGGCTAGTCAACTTACCGAGTAATGGCTCGGGATATTGTGCCAGAGGATGAAATGAAATCTGATATATAGCATATCCAGTGATCTATTCTCCGCATCAGGTTGCAATATATTCTTTAGGTATTGTTGAGCTTTTTCTGTCATTTTTCGGTGAAACCTACCACAATAGCTAATAAAGTCGTCAATGAAGCACAGATAATCACGACACCAGGAAGACTGCTTGGCAAAAATGTCAAGGTATCATTCAATAGCATCTTTGCAATGCGGAGACCTTTGGCGCACAAAAGCTAGATACGATTTTATTAATTTAAGGGCAAAGAGGTTTGCCTTGATGTATATTTATTGACTGTACCGTGCATTACATCGCGTATAGCAGCAGTAGCAGGAATAGTAATAATAGTATATTCTTTCACGCAATCACACCCGCGTATTGGCGGTTGCTACCGATATTACATAAGTTAATTCCGTTGGCCACTTCATATACAAGTAAACTAGCCCAATTCCTGTCACATACAGGGCCCCTTCGACCCTCTAGCTTCCACCACGCAGAGCCGATGGTTGCATTCCCGTGCATGACCGAGCTTCCTCGACCGCCCCACAAAATAGAGCACATAAACATTTTCTGGGGAGGCTACCAGCGAGCGGGGTCTGGGGGTCTGATGGCGCTTGACTACCAACACCATCCTATCGTCTTTCATGTATTTGATTAGATGGAGGCATCCCGCTCGGGGGAATCCATACGCACTTTAGGGGTCACATAGCGTAATAACGCTTCTCATATTGGGATCCGATCCCCTTTAGATTAGATTGCAGGGTCCTAAATGATAATCTGAGTCCCATGCGAAGCGTTATGGAGAATGCCCTAGACCCTTGAACTTATCCGCAACGCGTGTGGATGGGCAACGCATATCGCCACCAAATTCTAATACGGGCTATGCATGCAGCTAGTGTACATAGTGTATAATATGCTAGAGTTGGATGGGGTTGCACAGCCAAGAGATCCGTGGTATTTGAAAACATAATCGAAACTGAACACGAACGTAAACGACAAGACTGGACAGGCTAACCTACGTAACGTTAACTGAACCCCTACCCTTACCGAGGGTATCCTTTGATGTGCCAGAGACAATTCCGCACCGGTGGCCCATGGGAAGTAATTCTTGATGGTCTTCCTCGCCCAAAGAGGAGGCGTTGTCATGCGCGTACCCATTGTGAGCCAATTGTGGTGTGAGCTTGCCACTTCGCATTCGACTTGTGCGTGAGGCATATGGAGTAGCGTTGGATTGCGCTGTCTGTTGACTGCGTCTTCGAACTATTGCAATGCATGTCGGAATACACGTTGCGATAACGCCACTGTTGATCTCGAGAATGGCGACCACGGTCACCGGCAATTGATCGTCCGTCAGTACGCTTAGCACTGTCGCCCCGCACATCTTTCTTGAAGTCACATATAGACATACATGTGAAGTCCTTACTGGTGAGCTCAGTCTGGAAGGCATTTCTCAGAACATTTGAGATGGTCGCAATGATGCCCAGACTCATTAGAAAGCAGATGAATGTCTTGCGGCCTCTCTGAATCCGCACTTTCCATAGGATAAAGACTGGAGCCGATGTCAAAAAGAGATCGATGACGATGGTGAAGCCCGACTGAACATAGGCGACGTAGTAGACCGTGGTGAGAGGTAGACATGTCCCGGCACGTCAGGTTCCCACAGCTTTTTCAATGGCGTACAAGATATCCCAAGGACCACGATAACGGCAATGGTAACCAAAGTCATGAATGACATCAGAATAACTAAAGCTAGTCGCAAGCGAGAATCGTCTCGGATTCGAAGAATGTAAACACTGATGGATATTTTGGTCAACAGAGTGACTACAACATTGTCCATTTGAGAAATAGCCGCTGTCAACACTATTTAGTATATACATATATAGTGACGTACATATCTGACCCAATGAGAACAGCCAGATGAAGAAAGGAACAGCGAACGTACGCAAGCAAAGGCGATTGTAGTATCGTCCCATCCCTATTGCTTTGTAAGCCGAGTCCGAACAAAAATTCGCCCACCAAGAAGAATAATAGCAATCGAGCATAAAATGTAATACTCAGCGAGGATGCCGGGTCCCCTATTATGAGGGGGTGGTAATGAGGGTTCTTGCTGCCGTCGTGCAAGCATGGTTATTTACTTCCCGAGCAAAAACAGGCAACAGGGAGAGATCAAAAACTTTTTAAAACGCACAAGTAAATGAAACTGACTTGAGGTCAATTCTGTTTATCATATAAGGAAGAGTGTAAGTGTCCGTGCATATATAACAAGTGCACATTTACGCCCCAAACAGCCACCAGAAATTACATGTAGTTCCCACATAGACGAAACGCCAGAGCATGGAGTAGATGGTTAGTGACCGTCCTTTTTCCCCTCGCTTCGCTTCCTTGATTCATATTAGAATATTTAATACATATGTTACTAGTGGCTAAAGTGCTGATGCATATAGCCGCCGCGTTAACCAGGGTTCAGGGAATCCCAGGGATCTGCACCTCTCAGATTATGCAACAGGTGAAGCTAATTTTATATCATGGTAAGCTCAGACATAATCTTTTCAGCTGAAAAATGGTAATATGATATGCACCCTCTTCTGCATCCAAGACAGCCCACATCAACCAAAGCTCCTCTCATAAACTTGCCTAAAAATGGTCTGATTGAACTCTTACTTGATGATCTGGGCGTGGATCAGCCTAGCGATCGGTTGATCCATTCTCAATAGCTCTCCGAATAGCCCGGACACATCCTTGTATATCTTCTTTCGCTCTGGCCCCCGGGATTTCATGCCCCTGCTCATGCACATATACATACCGAAGGCTTTCATCACACATTGAACAAAGTACTCTGGCATCTTCTTGTTGGATATCATTCGTACCCCAAATATGTGTCGTAGCGAGGTTGAGTAGAGGACCCTTATCATCTGGTTCGATCCAGGCGGCTTGGCCTTTCGCTAACAGTCGTGGATCGAACGGCCTGGAGGAGGAAAAAAAGATAGCACAACGGAATGGTAGCGGCTTATCAGGCCTCTCCTGGCTCAGTTTGATCAAGTATGTAGATAGAAGGACAGCCCCCTGCGAGAAGGCGATAACGCCATCAAAAGGACCTTCTTCATCAATGTAGCGCTCTAGCTGAGAGAGTGCGAGGGATATGCTGTCTGCTGAATTGCCATAATAACTAAAGTATGTGTCTGCAGAGGGGAAATATCCATTGATCTCTACACGGCGAGGAATAGTAAGCATGGAGTCAGTCATCGCACGGTAAAGAACAGCACGGCTTTACCTGGAGCAATAGGCACAATGTGCGTGCCTTCTACGAATTCGAAGGTATGATGGCGGTCCATCTCATAGCGTATAGTTGCTAGTTATCAGGTGTCATGCCAATGTAAGAAATCCTCAATGGGTCTTGCCAGTCTCACCTGTCTGGGTTTCCAGCACATGGCTGTTAGTGCCTATGCCGTGGAAACAGAGAAAATGCATGCTCGAAGCTTTTCACAACGAAAGATGAAGATAATGGAAGGAGACGGAGAAAAATTCGCTCTCTCACGAGATAGCCGTTGCTCTTTCATATGTTTGTTAGTTGTGGACAATGATTATTTAAACCGTTCATTTTTGGAAAGGTTAGAGAAAGTAAAATGCTTCGAAATATTGCTAGTAGGTATATGTAATACAGAAACAGGAGATTACATATGTACAGGTCACAGTGTAAATGACTCTCAAATGAGCATTCTTTAAACACAAGTAATGTCACACAAGATGCATTCTTAGTACCCGATTGGAAGGCGACTGATGTTCTAAATCTGCACCCTTTCGGTAGCGCGCGCGACCTGAGCCTGGACTGTCGACATTTCTTGATTCAGACTCCAAGATTGCTTGTATATATCAATTGATGGCATGCACCGGAAAATGCTGGAAAATTCTCGACCTTTCAGAGCACCGCACAACTTAGATATCTTACTGATATTGTAGACACACTAAGGCTATACATAACTAACCTCCAGACTAGATTTTATTGACCATCAACAATTGTCGACTATGGCACCTGGTAGAACCGTCAGTACTCTTAACACTGAGAACGTTTCCCTTCAGGATAACGACTCTCGGGATGTCTTTCAGGTCACAAACTACGACATCTTGGAGCCAATTGCAATTATTGGCTTTTCCATTGGGTTTCCACAGGATGTGACAACGTCAGACGCATTCTGGGAAATTCTGATGAAGAAGAGGAATACAGCTACCGAATTTCCTAAGGAAAGAATGAACATAGACGCAATATATCATCCGGACCCAAATCGGCAAGGTCAAGTCAGTTGCCCCATGGCTTGAAAACCCATGAACTAGACCACGAACGGCTCATTTATTGCTTTTTCTATTTATTTAGATCCCGGTAAACCGCAGTCACTTTCTGAAGGGAGATCTTGCTGGTTTCGACGCTCCGTTCTTTGCAACGTCGACTACGGAGGCTGCAAGTATGGATCCACAGCAACGATATTTGTTAGAGTACACTTACAAGGCTCTTGAAAATGGTAAGAAGACTAGCTCAGCGGTCGCCTAGTAATCCGGACACTCACATCAAGCGTAGCTGGTTTATCAATGGAAGCCGTTTCCGGCTCGAAAACATCCGTCTACACTGGTTCCTTTTCTTGTGACTGGCAGCATCTTACCTTCAAAGATGGAGAGCAGTGTCCAACTAGTTCCGCATTAGGTGTGCCAGCATGGTTCAATGCCAACCGTATCAGCTGGTTTTTTAATTTTACTGGCAACAGTGCTAATGTTGACACGGCATGTTCGAGTAGCCTGGTCAGTTTAGATCTGGGTTGTCAAGGACTTCGTTCTGGTGACGAAGATATGGTAGGTTATCATTTTACTCCAATGATTCAATGTTCAGCTCCTTATTCTGACCTGGAAACTGGTTGACGCGCGCAGAGCATCGTGGCTGGAAGCAATGTGATATTGTCACCGGACAATATGCACTCTTTGACAAATCTGAATATGTTGTCGCCGGATGGACAATGCTACAGTTTCGACCATCGTGGGAATGGCTACAGCAGGGGTGAAGGGTTTGCTGTTCTCGTCTTAAAGCGAGTGTCAGACGCTATTCGAGACAACGACACCATCCGCGGCATCATTCGAAGCACCGGCTGCAACCAGGATGGATTTACTCCAAGCATAACTTTGCCAAATCCCGATTCACAGGAAGCGCTCATCCGGCAGACTTACCGGAAAGCGGGTCTTAGCATGGTACCTACCCGATTCTTTGAAGCCCATGGCACAGGAACATCTGTAGGTGATCCAAACGAAGCGAAGGCTTTAGGATCGAGTTTCCGGCAGGTTCGAACGACCCAAGACCCACTGTGGGTAGGGGCGCTCAAGAGTAATATAGGCCATCTCGAAGGAGCCAGTGGTATTTCAGGCGTTATAAAAGCGGCTCTCGTTCTTGAAAAGGCCATTATACCACCAAACACCAACTTTGAGAAGGTAAATCCCAAGATTGATACGGAGTTCCTAAGAATCCAGGTATGACCTTCGAGCACCGGCCAGCCGCTTTTATGCTGAAAGCTTGAAACTTTTGCTCACTTCTTTATCTTGTCTCAGTTTCCTGTGGAGCCAACGCCGTGGCCATCAAAAGGCCTTCGCCGGGCATCAGTCAATTCTTTCGGCAACGCCGGAACGAATGCGGTAAGAAATCTTACAAATCTCTTGCTTCAATACACTCAGTTGCTAACAATCTTTCCCAGCATGTGGTTCTAGATGATGTCCGCCATTTTCTGGAGGAGCATGGGCTCGTTGCTAATCATCTTACTGTCCGAGACCCGCCGGAGCAGGCGGTTTTTGAGCCGACTGTAGTTCGGCTTCCACTGATAGGGGAAACTTCTATGTCCCAAAATGTGAAAGATAAACTGGAACGTCCAAAGCTTCTTGTTTTGTCCGCAAATGATGAGCACGGTGTCCAAAGACATGCGAAAGAGTTCGCTTCGCACTTCTCAGATTTGTCGACTCCCTTGGATTCTAACTACCTAGATAACCTCGCATACACGCTTTCATTTAGGAGGAGTTCTTTGCTCTGGAAGTCTTTTGCCGTCGTGAAATCCGTAGATGCCCTTTCTCGTTTAGATAAATTATTATCTCCTGCAAAGAAGTCGGTGTCATCTCCAGATATGGCGTTCATTTTTACTGGTCAAGGGGCTCAATGGGCGGGAATGGGACATGAACTACTTTCAATTGACCGATTTAAACACAGCCTCCAAACCTCTGAGAAGTTCTTGCTACAACTCGGCTCTTCATGGCGGCTATGCGAAGAGATTTTGCGGACAGATAACTCAAGAATCAACACTCCGGAACTTGCACAGCCTATTTGCACCGCACTTCAGATTGCACTGCTTAATCTGCTGGATGACTTCAATGTTCACCCTGTGGCGGTAATTGGACATTCATCTGGTGAAATTGCGGCTGCCTATAGCACCGGTGCGATATCCGCGGAATCCGCCCTAAGCCTGGCGTATTATAGAGGTACTTTATCAGGTTCCTTGGCAAGTCAGTCAGATATCGAAGGAACGATGATGTCTGTTGGACTCTCGGAGACTGAGGTATTGTTGTATATTGCTACGATAGCAAAGCTCTTCGGCAGGTGCAACTTAACAGTTGCGTGCATCAACAGCCTTAAGAGTGTCACTATATCCGGAGATAACGATCAGATAAATGCACTGAAAGATTTACTGGACAAGGAACAAATTTTCGCCCGGAAGCTGAGGGTAGGAATTGCTTACCATTCGCCATACATGCTACCTGCTGCAGAACATTATCGCAGTGCAATTCAGGGCATCAAACCCGGAATTGCGCCTCGCCGTCCAGTTGCCATGATTTCCTCCGTTACAGGAGAGAGGGTATCAGTAAAAGACCTATTATCGGCGGATTATTGGGTATCCAACATGGTCTCTCCTGTCAGATTTTTGAAGGCTATGGACATCCTTCTATCCAAATCAGGACAGCGAGGAAGCAAAAAACTGGATCTCAGCCATCGGAATCATTTCCACATTGACATGCTCGTTGAAGTTGGCCCTCACTCGGCACTACAAGCTCCTATCCATGAAACGCTCTTGAGCTTTCGCACAACGAAGAATATAAACTATGCGTCTGTCCTATTGCGAGATAACTCCGCAATCGACTCCGCCTTCAATGCATTGGGGGAGATGTTGTGTCTTGGACATCGTTTGAATATGGAGCGAGTCAACAATTTGAGATCGAATTGTCGGAAATACTACCAGGCCCTCCCAGACATACCCGGATATGTCTTTGACCACAGCCAGAGATATTGGGATGAATCCCGGATCAGTGCTCAGTATCGAACGGGAGGGCAGGGAAAGCTGGATTTGTTGGGTAAGCCAGTACCGGATTGGAATCCGATGGAAGCAAGGTGGCGTAACCACCTTCGTGTTTCCGAAATGCCTTGGATAGAGGACCACGTAATTAACGGTGCTCTTATATACCCTGGAGCTGGAATTCTAGTTATGGCTATTGAGGCGGCAAACCAGGTCACAAAAGCGACTGATGGTGTGGTTGGTTTCGAAATTAAAAATGTCTCGTTTTTGAAACCGCTCAATATTTTGCGAGATCCAGCCGGTATTGAAACTCAACTCGTCCTACATATGGCACAGGATTTGCCAAGGCCTTTGGGGATATGGTCAGAGTTCAGAGTTTTTGCCTATGAGCAAGGTACTTGGCGCGAGTGCTGCCACGGGCATGTTCGCGCCAAGTATATGCAGAATCCTAACGAAGTTGAAAATAAAATGGAGAGTCGTGAAGAACTTGACGAATGTCGTGAAATCGATAGCTCATACAGTCAAACCTGCACAATACCCTTTGAGCCCAGCAAGTTCTACGCAGCTATGAAAGCGAATGGTCTAGAATCCGAATCGACATTCCATCGCGTTGTGGGAGGCTTCTATGACAATGAAATGAGAGTCACAGGTTCCATAGAGCCGTTCATATGGCCGAAAGAAGAATATCCTCAGCCTCATGTGATACATCCTACAACCTTGGATGCCGTATTCCAACTGGCATTGGCGGGTCTTGCGAAAGGCGGAGAAGAGGCTACTCCCACCATGATTCCAACCTTTTTGCGTAACCTCTACGTTCACAAAACCGGGCTAAGCTTTGCTGAAAGCAAGGAAATCCATGAATGTGCTTGGCTGAGCATTAATAACAGTCTCTTCAGCGAATTTGGTGGCTTTGCGCTCACACATTCCAAAGATACTCTCTTGGTACAGTTTGATGACCTCAGGTTGACGAAGATTGCAACAACATCCGAAGAAAATGCCTCGCATGAGGGATTTGAAGCTCATCAATTGTCTTATCATATAGAATATAAATTGGATCTGACACTCCTAGATCCAAAAAGTATAGATAAATATTGCCGAGCAACGCCTGGGCTGATGCAAACAGAATTTAATCGCTATATTGATTTAATTGCGCACAAAGACAGTGACCTCAATATACTGGAGATAGATGTTGAGGCCAGAGAGATGACGCAAGATATGCTAAAAACGTTATCAGTGTATGGCAGCAACGGTGACATAGTTCAAACTAGGTACTCGTCATTCAGGTTCCTCACTAGCTCTCAGTCTAGCCTTGCCCAAGCCGAAAAGGACTTAGGAGGATATCCAGCCATTGAACTTGGGCTACTTGGCCCCCAAAATGACATGGGAGATCAGGGACTTGCGCATGGTTCCTATGACATTTTACTAGCGTCAAAAACAGCCCAGGACCTTGAGGTGCTGTTGAAGATGGCCCACACACTCCTCAAAAACAACGGAATACTGGTACTACATGAAAATACAAATCCCATCAAAATATCTCAATTGAGTGACGGCGTATTCGTTAATATCTTGGAGAAGAATGGCTTTCCCTCCTGTGAGTTGCAATTGACTTGCGGTCCGCAGTCCGTTGTCCATATTCATAGGATCGAACAAGGGACTCCCACATCATCAGTGGACAAATCCGTTTTTGTCATACTCGACTCTGATTCTCCCATTCAAACACAAGTATCAGATGCAATCCTTAATATCTTAAGTAGGCGAGGTGTGAACTTGGTATCTACGATTAGTCTAGAGGATGCCATTAATATTCCACAACCTCACAGCGCTTTTTTCATGGTCCTGTTGGAACTGGACCAAGATTTATTATATAGCGTCAGAGAAAAGTCTTTTAATGTCCTCCAGAAGTTCTTTGTATCTGCTCATGATGTGCTTTGGATGACGTTCGCGGGTGGATCAACTGCTGGGAAACCAGAGTACGCAATGATTCATGGCCTGGCGCGAGCCCTGAGAAACGAGTACCGTGATCTCAATCTAACAGTAATGGCCTTAGATGCTGAGAAAGAGCTGTCCACATGGCAGATGGAAACCGTCGCTCGAGTTGCGTTCAGGAATCATATCGAAAACTCAGCTGGAGGAATCACAGATGTAGAGCTTCTCGAGATTGACAAGGCCATTTACATCCCTCGAGTGGTTCCATCCATACATGTCACTACTGAATTACACAAAAGATCAGAAACACAACACTCTGGTGTGACCTTGATGCGTGATGCACCACCGCTTACTTTGACAATTGGCTCTCCGGGCCTGCTTGACACCCTACATTTTGTGGAAGACGAGATATTTCCATCACCACTTCTCGCTGATGAAGTCGAGATTCACACACGAGCGATTGGGGTAAATTTCAAGGACTGTTTAATCGCATTAGGTCAACTTGTGAACGCGGCATTGGGTCAAGAGTGTGCCGGTGTTGTCACCCGAGCTGGTCCTGAGACTGGGTTCAAGCCGGGAGATCGAGTAGTCCTAGCTGCAAGTGAGACATTCAGAACATTTGCAAGAGGCAAGGCATGGGGTGCTTTCAGGATCCCAGAACACTTGCCGTTCACTGTGGCAGCAGCTATTCCCGCTCAGTTTGGAACTGCCTGGCATGTCATTCACCGTTTGGCTCGTTTGCAGCGTGGAGAAAGTATTTTGATTCATTCCGCGGCCGGGGGTACAGGACAAGCCGCAATTCAGATCGCACAAGCCATCGGAGCTACCGTCTTTGCGACAGTGGGTTATCAGCGCAAAAAGCAGCTTCTTATGGACACGTACCAGATACCAGAACATCATATATTCTACAGCCGCAGCACTGGCTTTTCGAAAAGTATTCGACGGATTACCAACGGACGAGGGGTTGACGTGGTGGTCAATTCTCTAGTCGGCGATAGACTGTTGGCATCTTGGGAATGTGTTGCCCCCAATGGTCGCTTCATTGAGATCGGCAAAAAGGACATATTGTCAGACTCAAGCCTCCCAATGTTCGGATTCCGTCAGAATGTGGCCTTTTTCGGGTTTGATGGATCTCTTTGGCTACAGGATAAACCAGACTCTGCGCGCCAGGACCTTGAACACATGATCGATCTATTTGCTAATAACACACTCCACACCCCTCAACCTTTACACATCTACGATATTTCCGAGACCGAGAAAGTCTTTCGATTGACCCAAGATGGCGAAATCTCCGGGAAGATTGTTTTGCAGGTTACACATGAATCCCAAGTTCCGGTAAGAACAGAGCTTGCTATTGAATGAGCCTAACTATAAATTTTCTAACTTGATCATCATCACAGACCATCCTTCGCACTAAACCCAGTTTTCAACTGCATTCCAATGCGACATTTGTAATCGCAGGAGGCCTCGGGGGCATCGGTCGCGCCACAGCCCGTTGGATGGTAGATCGAGGAGCGAGGAATCTCATTTTGTTGTCCAGATTCGGACCGCGAACGAGTGCCGCAAGAGAACTTATTGAAGAGCTGCAGTCACATGGAGTGCGTGTAGAAACTCCAGCTTGCGACATCACAGATTTTGAGCGGACGAAGGAAGTCTTTAGGCAGCTATCGGCTGATATGCCTCCCATAAAGGGTATGTTACAGATGTCGGTCATCACTCAGGTAAGCTATCATAGTTTATAGAATCTCAGAATGAGAGGACAAGAAAAAGAAGGCTCATTACTGATCCTTATTACTATCTATCTAGGACTTTTTATTCAAAGATTTGGACTACTATCGCTGGAAATCTGCAGTTGACTGTAAGACAGTCGGTTCTTGGAACCTACACTCAATCCTGCCTCAAGGAATGGACTTCTTCATCCTCCTCGGATCTGCATCGGGCCTGGCAGGAATCCGAGGGCAAACCAACTATGATGCTGGAAACACATACGAAGACGCCCTAGCTAGGTTCCGAGTGGCGCTGGGTGAAAAGGCCACGTCACTTGACCTGGGTGCCATGGTCGACGATGGCATCTTAGCCGAGAATCCTGACCTGTTGAATCGGGTTCTCACGTATGGGACCTTGGAGCGCATTACCCGGCGAAAGTTCTATAGCATCTTGGACTACTACTGCAACCCCAATTTGCCGGTTCTCACACCGGCAGAAAGCCAAGTAGCCATCGGTCTGGGCACTGGCGGTGGCCAGGGTCTTGACAGCATTGATTTTTCTCGGCAGCCGATGCTGCAACCACTCATGTTGGCCGGTGAAAGAAAGGCTGCTGCGGTTTTCGGAGCTAAGAACATTGGTATGAACGCGACGTTCAAAGAAGAGTTTGCGGCATCGGCATCACTCGATAAGGCGGCCGAAGTAGTTTCTCAAGCCATTGTCCAGAAGCTAGCTAAGTCGCTCGTAGTGATGCAAGACGCCAGTTCGGTCGACTACCATAAACCCTTACAGATGTACGGAGTCGACTCTCTCCTCGCAATCGAACTGAGAAACTGGATCGTTAAGGAAATGAAGGCAGATATCGCCGTCTTTGAGACTCAGGGCGCATCAACGTTGAGCACGCTAAGCATGTTGGTGGCTGGTAGGAGTGCGATCAAACATCATGACTGGACCGCAGCCGGAGAAAAAATTACAAAATAGGCTGGCTCACTTCAACTTTCCAATGCTCGGGTTCATTGTCACGTTTCATCCTCTGTCAAACTAGCCTCGTATACTCCATTTTACCACTGGGGATATTAACTAGCCTTCACATACATAACTACATACGTAGCTGATTATGTTATATTGCACCTTGAGAGTTGTTTTGATTGAAATGTCAAGTCTGAATTCCATTATTCTCCTCGTGTTCACTCTTTTCCTAAATAAATTTTATATAGCAGAAGTTCTCGTGTTCTTAAGATCGGCTGGAATGAGGTGCACATCTTGGTGGCTGATCGCTACCAAGTCCATCTCCTCGTCAAACACCAGGACCTCCAAGTCCATCCGGCTATTCTGGACGCGCTTCGCTTCCGATCTAAGATAGAGCCAGCGAACACCCTCAGCAGGCAACCTCTTCTTGATCTCAGTTGACATACTGAGGGTCGAGTTGATAAGCAGAGATCCCTCGAAATCCAGCGATCCATCATTCATTAGCTTTCTCCACTCGTGGTCGCCTCGTTCTCTCGCCTCGTTCTGTGCCAGAGCGAAGTCCAGAGTTGCTGCAATACTGCCGAGCGGCTTTGGTTGATCAGGCTTCCGTAGAATAAAGTTCTCCTGAACTGGTAGGATCAAATCGGTAACGAATTCGATCATGTCGTTGGTCCAGCGGGCCGGTGGTTTTGAAGCATCCCGGGATCCTAGAGGTGTGCAGTCCCATCCTGGCACAACCCATTGTTCGACATAAGTGATTTGTGGTGGCCAATGCACAGGGATAAAGTTCTTAGCATATGACTGTCCACGCCGGAAGCCGTTTGGATAGAAACCAACGTGATAGCACACCCAGTCCGGGTCGGCATGGCTTTCAAGCTGGCTTAAGTCGACGCGATGGGCCGGTGGAGAGAGATGCCAGCCCGTAGGCAGTGTTACTCCTGGAAGAGAAAGATTCGAAATTCTGTTCAATTTCAGAGCACCCGTTAATGATTCTCTTTTCTGGTATTTGGTGGTGAATGAACGCACTAGGTCGGCTTACATGATATTTGCCGAGGCACAGATCCTACGAGGCTCCCCTTGGAACAATTCTACACGTAGGTTTGACCAACCTCTACCTACATTGACTTCATGGAGCTTCATTGTTACAATGCCGTTGGCCGGCATTATCGGTCTATAGAACTGGTGGGCTGCATCTCGGAGATCTGTCTGAAAGCGCAATTTCGGATGCTTGGACGCATAAGACAGCGCATATTTGGTTGCGACACTTGCAACGAGGCCACCGACGGTCACTAAAAACGGTAAGATATCCTCAGGTATGTTTTTCAGCCATAGGCATCAAAGACTGGACAAGGCAACTTATTCAGTTGACGTACCGGAGCCTATGCAGATGGCTGGTGGGAAATTGACTGAACACTCTGCGGAGCTGGAGGCTTGAAAGTCCAGCACGTCTGACACGCTCACTGGGCCGGGGGTTGACATTGCGCTGGTTTGATGGTGTTTCGGTCCTCCAACGTAAGGTTATAAGTTTATGAGATAATTATATAGATGTAATCAAGTCGAAAGCCGAGTGGTCCGTTGTACCATCACAGCCAGATCTCTATCCATATATCAATTGCTGTAGGTAATGGGTAAGTCGGCAAGGAGGGGTAACTGAGACAACAGACAAAGAAAGGTGATCTCGGCTACAATTTCAATAGGATGCGGCCAGTATCAATTGATTATGAGAAGCATGTGACGCGAGTTCAGCAGCAAGCGAGACTAGAGGAGAATCCTTGGTATTTCTATATAATTAATATATATATAAGTACGTTTGCATCGCAGTATATATTAGATATTAGATAGATAATATGGGTGAGTTTTAGGAGGAGCCAAGCAGAAAACACGGAGCTGACTAACATTTGAAGCTACTTAATATATGAGGCGACAACTTTTTCAGCCCCCAGACATTATCGCACAAAGCGCCTCTCACTAGCGATGCACACTCCTCCCCGAGGTAGTGCCTCGTTACAGTAATGGATCCCATCCAAAGATTTCGACTAGCTTTAGCATGCGCGGGTGTACGGGGCGCGGATGACGTCCTCAACAGCGAAGGCGAGCTCCAAAAGCCAACGCAGGAACTCTTCCTTCGCGTCTAGGCGGACCCTCGCAGTTAGGATTTTGGACGTGTGCGAGAACTAACGAATGGTATGCCCTCAGATACGGAAATGGTGATTTAGCCAGAGGCTTAATATGTTGGCTCTAGTGTCCAGCACTAACTATACAAAGGATGACTATGATTAGACACCAAAACAATAAATGGTGGTTCATTTATGGTGGGGTTCCAGCACTAGAGAGATAGTTGTCGGTCCCCCATTGAGAACCAACACGCTTGAACTATACTATATTCAATTACTGGCAGGGTGAGCTCGTGAAAAAGTAAATAAATGGAAGATTGGCTATTTACATAATTCAAAACTACCATTACATATCTATTCAAATTCCATGGATTTCCATGGAATGCGCTTTTGCTGTTAGTTTAACTCTATAATGGGGGCCCCATCTGGGTAGCGCTTTCCAACGCCCCCATTTTTTCGAGCCAACATTTGGAGTAAAGTTGAACTTAGGTCTGGAGCTGACTATTCTCTAGTATTTAGTGTATCCCACTATTTCCTTCGTCGCCTAGTAGTGTATCTCAGCTGAAGGCAAGGTATTAGAGTACTTGTTAATTGAAACTCAGTAATGAAACCGTTGAATTTGCATACATTTGAAAAAAAGAAAAATAATAAATGAATAAAGAAATAGTGCCTAGGTGGAAGTTTCTTGCCCTTGTGTGATACTAATTCATATTGCAACAGCAGCCCACTAAATCGAGGCTCGGTAAAAGTGCATGTAATTGGCTTGTTATTGTTATATTCATACCCCTGCTCTGTAAACATGGGTGGTCAGATCTTTATCTGGCCTATGGGCAAGGATATAAAAGAAATGAAATTCAAAGTTCAGCTTAGCTAGTCATGAGTCCAAATTTACGAGATGTGTTGGTTCATTGTGTATAGTCCAGGCAACCATAAAGGTTCTGGAATAGTCTCGGAAGTTTTATTGGCGATCGGTCTTCGTCTTTACTATCAAGGCTGAGAGCTAGGAAATGGGATAACACCCGATTAGAAACGAAGGAACAATTTGATTATCAGCCCGATCCTAGTTTTGGCTGCGACAGAGCAAAAAAATACCCCCGAGACAAGCCCTCGGTTACAGAGGCCCTGAAAGCAACAGATGGGGCGGGAACGCCAGCCAAATATAGCATTCATTGCAACAATGGTGCCACGAGGAGAGGGTGCCGATCATCACCAAGACGAGCACAGCGAGGAGAATTAGAGCTTACATCAAGAGAGGAGCAGGGGGCGAGTGGATGCTGCTTATGCAAGGCGCTTAAGTTGTTAGTTACTAAGTGCTTAATAGGGCCTTCACTAATACGACTAACGCGTCTCCACTATATAACTAGGAACAAGGAGTTTACCCAGCACGCTGGTGAGATTCGCAATATTATCCCAATATACAGAGGCTAGGCTACCCTGCCATAAACAACGCACCATATAGTTACAGCGGTCTTTTCCGTATCTGTAAAGACCTTGCTGTTGCGAATACTATACCCAATACTACACTTACGAGTGAGACTTACACACGGGCCGACTGGTGCACTTTCTACTGTTTTTCGTATTCTGATGCGACGGTAAACGCACATACCACGCTCATGAAACAAAGTTGGGTCGGTATGATAATAAACACTTACATGTGAGGCCTGGGCTGGCGTGGCACTGCAGTTCAAAGCCCAGGGCCCACAGGGACTTCTGAGCGTGTTGGCGACATTCCCTCAGTATTGTCTTTGGCACTTAGAGGCTTAGAGGCCGACAGTGTCTATAAGCCTTGCATTGCATGGCCGCCACGCTGTATCCTTTTCGGCCCTTCGATGCTGGACGATCGCTCGCTGTATCCACAACAATCAATAAGAGCAAGCGTATAAACGGCACCGATACAATCGAGAGAGCTAGCTACATTTTCCTCCAAGAATGACGTCGCAGGTTAAATGTTGCCAAGTAGACCATTTTCCCAGCAGGTTAATTGGATCGATCCTATCAAGTAACTAGTTAGCCAGTGATACGATTACTAATATAACGTGGTAATGGAACATGCAGATTCGATTGAGAAAACCGCCATGTAGCCGCCGTCCCCAACTAGGGCGGCTCGGGTGACTAGTCATTAAGCCCCCACAAAACACAATCAGCACAGCGAGAAGACTTCCGTATTGGCATCACTTGCGATGCTATCTAATGGCCAGTGCTTAGCTGTGTTATGTCATGTCATCTCAGCCAGTGATGATAGCCTACGCATAGCCATCGTCTCTTACAGGTTACGGGCATATTCAACGTCCCGTTACGGGGGTATAAACGCATAGAAATATCCCCGTACCTGAGTAACCCCGGGTTCTCGATGTATAGATATTGCGGCAACCGGCCATCCTGGCTAGCCCAGAAAGACGTCTGATGATGGTCCTCATCAGAACCCGTTTGATATAGTGTACTGCTGTCAAGCACTTGCCTAGCCTCGTATATCCTTTCTCCTTTTGTTCAACGTTAACTTAGTAACTACGGCTACTACCACATATCATGGATTGCGGCTCGCAGTCCCAGAGGCCTGACTCTTTGACCAGGACAACGTCAATGACAACAGAAGCATCGTCAACCTCAACGACGCCGCCGCTTGACGAACCTATCAGCGGCAGTCAACTACAAAAGATCAGGGACAGCTGTGATGCCTGTGCCAAGTCCAAGGTGCGATGTGGAAAACAGCACCCCAAGTGTGCCCGTTGTGACTCTCGCGATATTCCCTGCAACTACAGCATTGTGCAACGTAAGGGTCGTCGACGGCTTTCAGAGCGACTGGCACACACACCCCCGCCAGTAAGCACTCCGCGCAGCAGCTCACCAGATCTCAACCTACCCGATAATTTCCTCGCCACACTTAGCTACCACGGCCTCGGGTCGTTAGCCGCGGAGCTGACGGGGGTCTTGCAGATGACTAGCAGCTCTGGTGATAACATTTCCAGTGATAGCAGCCTGGACGGGTTTTCACCACGCCGCACCAAAAGCCCTCCTCGATCGGTGCCTTCGCCGAGCTTTAACAATGCAGTCGGGCAGCTGGACTTTCAGTTTCCAGTTGACTGGTCGAGCCTGGACCAGGAACTGTCAAGCCATGACGGGAATTTTGGCCTCACATTTCCTCCACCACTATTCCCGTCCTTGCCAGATACCATGGACAACAATAATAATTACCATAGCCATCACCATGGCTCCGATGCGTCACTTTCATCGTTGTCATCGTTATCATCGTTATCATCGGTTTCAACATCCTCTTTAGCAACATCATCGTCATCAATATCATCAGCAACCGACATGTCCTCGCTACAACATGACCAACAGTCGTGCGTCGAGCTGACCTTGAACACACTTCAAGCGCTACATTCGCCGTCAGAAAACTGCATTCTCAGTTCACGCAACGACCAGCCGCGAAGCCTCGATGAGGTGCTCCACATGAACCAGACGGCCGTCGCTAACATTTCGTCGGTGGTTTCGTGTCCATGCTCGCTCGACTACAACTTTGCGCTGTTGATTACGCAAGCTGTCACCAAGCTCTTATCCTGGTATCAGGCAATCCTCGACGATAATGACGCCGTGCGAATGATGCCAATCAAGATCGGCCAGTTCGAGCTCGGTCTTGGTAACCATATTATGGTAGCTCAGGTTGTCCTCAACGACCTAGCCAAAGTAGAGAAACTCCTCGAGGGTTTTATCGAGCGCAACTGTCGCGCTAAGCAATCCGGCAACGACTTCGAACAGCCTCTTTACTCTTCACTGGAGTCACTCCTGCGCACAAAACTAAATGATGTCTTTCGTTCAGCCAAGTTGAAAGTGAACGGGGCCCAATCTACATGAAATTTATACGCAGCTTATTTTCTTTTCCTTTTTTTTATTGGCGTTTTTGGATGACCAGATGACTAGCTCGATTTGTATATACCTTTCCTCTTCTCTCTTGCTTTACGCTTCTTTTTCTAAGGCACCGGGGTAGGGGCGGAGAGTCACTGGGATAGTGTTGATATCTGGTGAAGATATTTCCGCAAGGAATGGCCTATGAATAGGTTCGTACAGATTTTTTAAGTTTCTATTTCTTTGTTTCTTTTTTCTCTTCTTTGGAAACATAAGTAGTCAGACAGGGCATCCACGCGATTCCAGTGGAAGTATCCATTTGCGAAGCGTATCTTCCTCAGTTGAAGTCATTTTTCGACGTTTTGGGCCTGTATTAGACATCTCAATATGGCCGTTGATTCGATCACCGAGGGTTGACTCCGGCACATTATAAAGGCGCGCTGCCTGGCGACGACTCGTGATATTTTTGTTTTTTAACGCGTCAATAGCAAGTAGAAGTCGCCCTTCATAATTATAGTCTTTTTTCTATGATTTTTGGATGAAAACGATGTTCTGAAGTGAGTGGTAGATTAAAAGGTTGAAGAAATTTGGTGGGGTGCGTGGATTGACCGTGTGCCCACGGTAGATTGATTACTCGTGGAAAACGTTACCTCAGGCACTCCGGCCGTTCTCCAAGAGGAGTAGTTTAGTCCCGCTCGGATAAAATACGCTTCCGCTCCGAAGATCACGTTACACTGGAGGACCGCATGTGACTTACAGATTAGGGTTAGTTGCACGGCTGTAACCGTATTAGGAATAGTACCCAACCCCATGGGGTAAAACTATGCTAGGACCTTTGCAGGCGCAGACAAGCATTTCGGCGAACCATTCCCAAGCATTCGCCGAAGCTGTTGCTTACAAAACTCGCTTGCTTGAAGACAGTTGCTCACAACGTAATGATATACAGATGCAAGCCCGTCCTTCTGAGAAGCTTGAGGGGGATATAGCAAAGCTGTACGCATACTAAATCGCAACGTAGTAAAACTACTAGAGACTTTCAAGATGAATGAGCCATCGCCTCAATCGCATATTATCCATTCAAAGGGGATCTTCCGTGGTCTACCTGACATCCCCAGCCATTTGTCGGGGCTTCGAGCCATAGTCGTCGGAGCGAGCGGGACGTCTGGCCAGCCCATGATCGATGTGCTGAGCTCAAATCCGGAGCGATGGGAGAAGGTCTATGCACTGTCAAGACGGCCACCGAAAACAAAGAAAGATTCAAACGTAGAACATGTGCCAATGGACCTTCTATACGAGCCCGATAAGATCGTTGCTATTCTGCGGGAATACCGGGTTCAAGCGTGAGCCACTGTTTCGCTGCTCTGCTGGTTCCCTGGTTCTGACTTGTCCTGCCTAGGGATTACATATTCTATTTCGGTTATGTTCAGCTCACAGCAGTCGAGGAGAACGACCCGATGGGCCTGGGCAACGCCGAACATCTGGCTGAAGTCAACGGTAAGAGACGCTACCCGTTCTGCCCAAGCATTTTATCCAACTTTTTGATCCTGAACGGTGCATAGGTCGGCTCTTTGAGAATCTTCTCTTCAGTCTCGACCAAGCCTCCATCGTACCGAAGCGGGTGATCCTCCAGACTGGCGGGAAGAACTATGGAGTACATCAAGGCTTTGTAAATGTCCCACTCAAAGAGTCCGACCCGCGAGTGGAACTCGAGCCAAACTTCTACTATACGCAAGAAGATAGTCTCTTAAAACATGTCAAGGCTCATCCCCAAACGAGCTATAACGTTGTCATGCCACAGTGGATTTTGAGCGCAGTCGCAGGAACTGACATGACTATCTTCTACCCATTGGCGGTATATGCTGCTGTGTTACGCAAGTTAAACAAGCCTTTGCTCTTCCCTGGAGACCTTTTATCTTGGGACAACCCCCAGCCAATCTCTACGGGCATTCTCAATAGTAAATTCTACGAATGGTTGGTCCTTTCGCCACACACCGCGGGCGAGACTTTCAACATCACCAACGGGGGCGAATTTACCTGGAGCAGATTCTGGCCGATCTTAGCCTCTTGGTACGGGCTGGAATGGCAGCCGCCGAGTGAGAGTGCCCATTACCATGAGATAGACACGGGCTTGCGTCCTCGCGGGTATGAACATTTCGTGCTGTCCAGCGGACATCGCTATTGGCTAACAGGTTACAATAGTTATGGTCCCACGGGCAAACTTCGATCCTCATTCAGTATCGTTGAGTGGGCGCGCGAACCAGCTACCCAAGAAGCATGGGTGCAGCTATCCAAGGAGCATGGGCTTCAAGCGAATCCTTTCGGAGATCCTGAGAAAACATTTAATTTCTTGCAATTCTGTTTCAGTTTAACATGGTCTTGGTACACCAGGTAAGCGCTCTTTGCAGGCTTCTGTCTGTGACTGATCCACTTCACAGCTTATCTGATCCATTGTTATAGCATCGACAAAGCTAGGGAGTATGGATGGTATGGTTATTGTGACACTGTTGCCTCGTTGCGTCAGGTATTTGGGGAGTTTGCGGATATGAAAATGACTCCTCCATTACCGCGTTAAAAGTTATTCTCCATCTTGAACAACCAAAAATCCTGACACACTTGTCGTAGATAGTTCCACGAAGTACCCCTGCTTGCTATTGCTTCGCCATTTGAGTGGTTGAAGAATGGTCGAAACGGGTGCTTTCTTTAGAACATAAGATCTAGGCTCATCAAAATCTCACCTTAGTCTCAGTAATAGACTATATTACATTAGTGCCAATGTAGATTGAGTTGAAGGTTAACGGGTTTGTGGGTTTGGTGGGTCTGCTGCGGCTAACTGTATGAATGAATGTGTTAGACCAACTTGCACCTAAATTACTAGGGGAATTGTCCTTAGTTTTAAAATTTTCAAATCTTTTATTATAGCATGTGTTTATACCTAATTAGCTATATTTTTGCGTAGTCAAAATCGATTTAGTTGTAAAGGATAGGGTTGGTAGAGCATGAATATATTGATTCCTATATCGAATGAAGCTTCACTAGTATATGCCCTAGGCATGGATAGCTATTCGCTACCCCTTTTATTATGAGGATTTAGCCTAATATTTATGAATGATGTAATCCACTACCACTTAGCATATAGCAAGAGCTTTGCTTTTAGTATTAGCTTTAGGACTGTTTTTATAATCATTATTATAAGACAATCTATCTACTATTATACTAATCCACCCATAGAAACCAATTATAGATCGAAAACTATTCTAAATCTAATTTCTGCCTAAGATACATTCTTTTAAAGTAGTCTTCTTTAAATTAATCAATCTAGAACTAATATATTGAATTCTATTTTAACTACTTGATAATCTAAACTATAATTTATATAATATATATCATTTTATTTCATTATCTCTTCTACCAGCTCTATTAAAGCTAAGGCTAAATCGATTTTTGTCTTTATTTTTTTTTAATTATTATGTATTTGTCCTTCTAAGTAAGAGACTCATAGTTAATTAGAGTTTTAGCTTCGCCCTATTTTACTACAGATATCTAATCTCTTTCTCAGAGTTAATCATACTGATTGAAGGCTTCCATTATTAAGATATCTATCTATATTCTTCTTCTGCCCTAAATATCTGCTACTAAGCTACATAGCAACATAATTATAGATACCAGTACCTCTTCATTGTTTTCCTCCATACAGACTCAGACTACTAGTACTATTCAGTCTGAGAGTTATAATATCGCAGCTGTCAGATCCAAGAATAAGACTGGGATATATTCAGTCTTAATATTATTTTCAAGCCCATAGCATACTTCTAATTAGCTATCTTCCGTCATGTCTCTCTATAGGTGTCATCTTTGTCTAGTAGCTGTGTATTGTTGGGCTCATTATAATCATATTTTTAATTATTTACGTATATAATTTGGATACTACTATTATCCTATATTCTCTGATTTATTATAATTCATTAGGCTTTATTATATTAGATCTCTTTTATCTATATTGAGCTATAATACACAAAATGATTTATACATAAGATGAGATATGATATACCTAGTAGTTTCTACTAAATAACTTATAAGATCCTTTATAAGGAATGTATTTTAGGACTATAGCCTGGTAATTACTATAGTGATATCCTTTATTTGTATATTTAGCGCGGATCTAAGTCTTCTTGTAAGAAAAGATCTTATATTCTATCTCTTGGCAGTTGTAGCATTGAATTAGCCCTGTTTACAGTTCAAAGAGTCGTGTGTTTACTGATTCTCCTGCAATATCAGAATATTGGTTTCTCAATAGCCATTTCGCGTTGCTTCTTTAGTGGTATATACCACCATTGATCCATATGCTTTGTTTACGTCCTTTTTGCTGAGCCAGTATATTTTAGCAATGTCAACGCGATTCTCTTTTCTAAGCACTTGAGTAACTCCTAGCAGAATGTTCTCATCCATATCTATGACCGCTGTACGGTTAGTGTTATCTATCTTCACTAGGTATAACTGGTTCTTCAGCACTCTTACGCCTGGTGTAGTCATCTTCTATGCAGCGCCTCTAACGAGTTGAACTTCTGTTTTGTCTCTGTGGATTATCTTTACCTGGTCTGCGTTTTTGGAATCTTTGATCATTGCCGCACAATGCCAGTTGCTTTTATTTTCTGTAATCCGTATTTCTTTCTTGATATGCTGTCTGATATCAGCAATTTTGATCTTGATTCTGTCTTCGTCTCCTACATGCGATATGTCAATCAATTGTGCAGTATAAACTGTCGGTGATCGTGCGAAGCATGGGTGAAATTGGAGGGCTTGGTCGCTCCATAACTTGACCAGTAGGTTGTGTACTTGCAATTTTAGCATACATTGGCTTTTGGCTGGGTGCGTGGTGACTGTGGCGGGTAAGCTGTTGGTGATAACGTCTAGTTCTCGTAATTGCTTGCCCTCTTCAGATGACTGATTTTGAATTGCCTTTAGCTGCCCTTGCAATTCTTTAATTATAACGCGTTGTTCCTTGATCATGTCGCTTTACTCTTTCATTGGGGTCTCCTGTTTGCCAAGGACATCTTTCACGGCCTTGAGCTCATGGTGCGTCTTCTCTAGAAATCGACCCATCCTGAGGAGCAATTCTTCATTACCGTCTTTACTCTGTTGCCCATCTTGAATAATATCGGCCGCTCTTCTGACTTTAGTAGTTCCATTGGTTTTCTTTGACGTTTTGGTACTATACTCAGTATCGGCTAAGGCTTCCCGTGCTCTTGTTGATAGTGTCATGACGCGTGTAGATCGCGTCGTCGTCGCCCCCTCAGGCGAATCTTCTTCCATTGAGTCCATCCTCTCGCCTGTCATCAATGAATCTACCAATGATTTTCTGTTCGCGGCTAACTGTATTTCTAACTGAGGAGTAGGGGTAAGATAAGATGAAATTCAGCACCGTTAGGCAGGTTTGCGAAGGCCATGAGTTCTTACTTTTCGTTCCTGCCATAGACTTAGATATAACACTCTCACCAATAAAATACATTATCTAACTAGTTCCTAGTTAAGCCTATTTGCGAGCCTTGGACAAAGAGAAGCCCATGCTGACAGGTCTCAACGAAGAAATCCTTCGTTGGTAATAACGGAGATGTCTAGTTTGTTTGGACTACTCTACGCGCCCAACTGCCTGCAAAGATTTGACAGTATCTCTAACGCAATCCTCTATTGACCGCCACTCAACTCCCAAGACGTCCTGTACTCTGGAATTGTTGATCTTGTAAACACCTCCGTCCGGATAGTCACCACCCGGCGTGTCTGCTGTTGGCAAGACTCTTTCGTACTCCGGATACTGCTTCCTTACTATTTCAGCGACCTCTCTATTGTTAAAGAAGCCTGCAACAACAAAAAACCTCTTGTTAGAAGCTTCAGGCTTCTCAATAGCGAGAACGTGGCATAGCGCAAGGTCGCGAACGTCAACCCAGGTGAATGTACCGTTGGGAGGGATTTTGTCCTTTGCTTTGCCTTGAATCATGTCGCGAATTATTTGGTTGCTAGTGTTCAGATTATCCAAGCTGTTCAAATGGTGCACGACTGGCCCAAAGACTTGCGGTGGGCACATAGTCGCGATCGTGAAGTTCGGCTTTTCCTGTTCCACAAAGTCCCAAGCGGCTCTCTCAGCAAACGTTTTACTGGCTCTGTAGCCATTGGGTACACTCTCAATTGCTTGCTCCTTCGTTATTGGGTTCCAGTCCTCCTCGCTGTAGGTGTGCTCTGGCCATGAACCCTTGTAGGGATTTACTATCGAAGAAAATGATGAAGTGATCACGACTCGCTTGACTGAAGGCGCATTTTTCACTATCGATTGCAGGATGCCTGTCGTACCTTTTATGGCCGGGTCCAAAAGATCCTTCTCGACATCCGTGACTTGAAAGTGGAACGGGCTTGCAGTGTGAATGACTGCCTGGAATGGTGGGTCGGAGACGACAGCTTTCGCAAAGGCGCCTTCCCGGGCGATGTCCTCTACAATTGCGTAGTCCAACCGATCACTTGAAATGTCAGGGTAAGCTGCTTTGATTTTCTCGCCCTTCTCATGCGAGCGTACTGTGGTAACAACACTATGACCCCGTTTGAGTAAAATATCGAGAACATGGGCGGCAATGAAGCCAGAGCCTCCAGTTAGGAGGACGCGAGTCATATTGCTTGTTCGTCGTTTGAGCGGAGGATGAATCTTCTCTGTTGATATGGATAGAGAGACAAGAATCTGAATGCTTGCTATACCTTGATTTGACGTTGGTACATTTGGTCTCTGGATACAATTTCGTAGACAGTCTCAAGTAATTCCGCTCCGTTTCGCCGGACAATTTTCGCCGAAATCGCCTGGGGTAACGGCGAGCATTCGGGACAGCTCCGAAACTTCTTAATATTCTCGTGGAAGATATGTTTTCGGCCATTCTGTTAGCAGCTAGGGCATTTGGCTCACTATTATGATTTGACTTCGCCGGAGTTGAGCCTTGAGTGGATTACTCTTTCGCCGCAGCTCCGCGTTTGAGGGTTCCCCTTAGATGGAGCTCATCAACAAGCAGGTATCACAGCTTGGTGCGCCTGTTCAGTTTTTGCATTTTCATGTCCTCTGTGATTTCTACTGGATATGGAGGTCATGTTATACTATTAAAAAAAGGGCTCCTCGTTGCTCTGGTCTCTATTCTCAGAGAAAGTACACAACATGGTCTTCTATCCGCCATCTTGGGTACCGAAGCTGCCAGAGGTGCCAGATACCGTCTCCATCCCTGATTTCCTCTTTGATGAGCATAATGGCCGAAGGCCACTTAACCAGTCATGGGATCCATTCACATGCGGTCTGTCGGGTCGAACGCGATCGGCACAAGACCAGAAGACACAAGTCGACCATCTGGCAAGAGCGTTGAACAAAGAATTTGGATGGAAGGTCAATGAGGGCACAGAATATGACAAAGTGATCAGTGTGTTCGCATTCAACACGGTACTTCCATTGCGTGACCTGACGATCATCAAATTGACTGCTGACACCTAAAGATCGATATCATGACCCTTAACTGGGCAGTCCATAGAAACAACGGCATCTCATCCCCAGTGAATTCAGTGTATAATGCCGACGAACTCGCCTACCAGCTCACCAACTCAGGCTCAAAGTCGATCTTTACCGTTCTTCCGCTTCTTCAAACCGCTCTGGCAGCCGCACGGAAAGTAGGCATCCCAAAGGAGCGTATCTACCTCTGCGAGATGCCCGACATCACCACCGTCGGCATGAAGATGCCTAGCGGGTTCAAGACACTGACCCAACTAATCGAACAAGGTGCGTCCTTGCCACCGATCGAGTCTCTTACATGGACGGTAGGCCAGGGCGCCCGTCAAACAGCATTCCTTTGTTACTCTTCCGGAACGTCCGGTCAGGCCAAAGGTGTGATGATCTCCCACCGCAATGTCATAGCCAATATCCTCCAAGTCAAGACGTACGACCAAATTGAGCGAGACAAGAACGGACCGGACTACCTCGAAGTCGCGCTAGGCCTGCTTCCACAGTCTCACATCTATGGGCTCATAGTCATCTGCCATGTCAGTGTGTACCGCGGCGACCAAGTGATTGTGCTTCCGAAATTTGATATCCAGCAATACCTGAGGAGTATCTCGAACTTCAAGATCAACGTCCTATACATCGTCCCGCCGATCATCATCTCCATGGTCAAGAATAAGCACCTCCTTACCAACTTCGACCTGAGCTCGGTGAAATCCATCTTCACCGCCGCGGCACCCCTGGGGAAGGAAATCGCGCAAGAACTCACGGATCAGTACCCAGGCTGGAAAGTTAGACAAGCGTATGGTCTTACCGAGACGTGTACGGCCGTCACCTCTAGTAGTCCGCATGATATCTGGTTCGGTAGCTCGGGTAGCTTGTTGCCCGGATGCGAAGCAAAGCTCATGACGGTCGAGGGGAATGAGATTACGGGATATGATCAGCCCGGAGAATTATGGATGAAAAGTCCAAGTGTGGTGTTGGGATATCTGAAGAACGCGGTGGCGACGAAGGAAACTTTCGTGGAGGAAACCGAGGGACGATTTATGCGTACGGGAGATGAGGCGGTGTTCAGAAAGGCACCGAGTGGGAATGAGCATATATGGATTGTCGATAGGATGAAAGAGTTGATCAAGGTCAAGGTAGGTCACAAATAGAATACACCTCTTCGTAAAAAGCAAATACTCATCCTGAGAAGGGTATGCAGGTTGCACCCGCCGAACTCGAGGCCTGCCTTCTCGACCATCCCGCCGTGGCTGACTGCGCTGTCATCGCTGTGCCAGATGACTGGGCTGGTGAGGTGCCAAAAGCGTACGTCGTGCGGTCGAACCATGTCGGCCTGCTGGAGAGCGAGGCGATGACCCGCCGCGAGATCTGCAAGTACGTTGAGGGAAAAAAGAGCAAGCATAAGTGGCTCGAAGGTGGTGTAGAGTTCATTGATATCATTCCCAAGAGTCCGAGTGGGAAGATTTTGAGAAGACTATTAAGGGATAGGGATAGAATGGACAGGAGGAAGCAAAGAAGTAAATTATAAGTCGTGAAATAGTACAATGAAGCGGGTTTGATGAAGCGCAATAACCGCGAGCTTGTAACGGCGTACCACCAAGTATTACACCTTCTAGAGAAGCCTCGCTGTGCCTTCCCACCTGTGGGGAAGTTCTTAAGCCCATGGCCATCAAATTGAACAGGCAGGTGTGACTCCACCAGCGTCGGGTTTAAATTATCCACACTCAAGCATCCAATTAAGTGCATGTTCATTTCCATCTCGTCCTTCAACAGCTGCATCGCGCGATCAACGCCTGGCTCTCTATAAGTTGACATGGCAAACAGGAAAGGCTGGCCGATACTGACGCCTTTTGCACCAAGACACAAGGCATCATTAAATTATACATTTATAGTATATGTTACAGGTGTAATAAAAGGCCTTAATGATATCAGTTGCGCCACGAAAACCTCCAACCCAGCATGACTCCGAATCATGCCGGGCCACTTCCTCACCTAAGAGGGTCATTGTGTCAATTTTGTTATCGGAGGGAACCTAGGTCATGTAGATATCTCTCCTGTCGACAGACCCTGGCAGATGGCTTTCGAGCATGCGAACCATTTAGCCTTACCGCCCCAATATAAGTCAAGAAGATAATGAATATTCAGGATCTAATTTGGAATTCGAATAGGAGCAGTTATCCGAAAGAAGTATGTATCAGCGTCGTAGCATCTCGGCCTTCGTTCTCAGACGCGAACTTTGTCGGGAAGATCCTCTGCGTATATTTCACAGCATTGCATAACCATTCGTCCTCGAATATGCCTAAGAAATGTTCGACCCCTAGCCTGAACCTCGTCCGGATCGCCGAGGGCTCCCGTGCCGCATCTAGGTTTCCTTAACGGATAAGATTTCGGCGAAAATGGCTTCATGGTTTTTGCCCGCCGCTGAGTATCGTCCGCTCGGCCGCTTTCAGGATGTTATTCTGCATATCGCTGTGGAGTAAATACTTCAACCTCGGGTCTTTGTGAGTTTGCCTTCGAGTCGGGAGAAGGTGCCTTGGTCTTAGCAATCTGCGGAAGTCAAGAAGAGAGGATCTGCCGTTTGCGTGGCGAAATGAATTTGCAAAAGCAACACCATCACGTTTAGAAGAGCTCACTATCGATTCGAAGGTGTGCCTTGTTAGTTAAACAGAAAGACATTAAAATTTTGGAAGGACCAAGTAGTTCCTGGAGCCGTCGCTATATACTCCCGCATGGTGCAGAGAAGTATTGTGCACAGGACAAATTGCCCAGCCTGCCTTGCTGAATCTACTGTGGTAGCTTGGGCGACGGGGACATAGCCACCATGTCTCCTCTCTTAATGAAAGGGTAAGGACGAGACTCCCTGGGCTGTTATCGTCTTTCAGAGCGTTATGTTAATTCCATGCTGTAGGGTCGGTCTTGTAACGGGAGCTGCTTCCGGGATTGGTCATGCTTGCGCTCGAATTCTTGTCGAAGAAGGATGCACAAGGCTTGTGCTATCCGACCTGAGTGAAGAAGGGCTTGAGAAACTCTCCCAGCAACTGAAAGAGATAGAACCCAGTGTGGAGACTCTCTTATTCTCAGGTGACATGTCCAGCGAAGCCGACGTTGATCGAATGGTGGAAGAAGGCGCTCTGAAGTTTGGTGCAATTCATTATTGTATTAATAGTGCAGGCGTTACCAGCAAACCACGCCTGCGAACCCATGAGCTGGAAGTCGAGGCATTTGATCGCGTCATTAACATCAATCTCCGTGGGCTTTGGTTGTGCGAAAGAGCACAACTCCGCCAAATGCTCAGACAGCCTGCTACACTAAAGACACGCAACCATGCTACCTCGAGTCCGCTTCAGCGGGGTGCCATTGTGAATATTAGCAGTATCTTTGGTCTCACAGCCCATCCTACCGCTGGAGCGTACCCTGCTTCAAAAGCTGGCGTCTTGGGCTTAACACGAACAGATGCCGTGGCGTATGCGACGGATGGAATCAGAGTTAATGCAATCTGTCCTGGTTTCATCAATACGCCTCTAGTCGAACAAGCCAGAGCCAGCGGTGCCGATTATTCGAAACTAATCGGGCTAATACCATTCCAGCGTTTTGGGACCTCAGAAGAGCTCGCTGAGGCTGCTGTCTGGCTAGTGAGTGAGCGAGCAAGCTATATCAGCGGTGTTGAATTGCCAGTAGACGGCGGCTGGATGAGAGCTTGCAATACGTAAGGAATGCTAGTAAAGGGGTCGTATCGATTGTAGGTAGCGAGAGTCGTTGGGTCATTCTGTCAGGCCTTTTCTAAATAGATACAGAAATACGGGTTAAAGTAGCTTGCAAATACATGAAATTTCCTTCCTCTCTTCATTATCCAGGATTGAAGAAACGGGTATGTGGTCGGCAGGTTTGTGCGCGACGTTGAAAATCTTTCGCCGATCTCTTTGTACGTGAAGGTTTCGAATAGTACCGTGTGTATTACTAGACTGTCTACATAGTTTTAGAGAGTATCGATCAGCCAGTTGAGTCTCAACCTCGAAGTTCGATCATACCATGTTCTTCTGGCATGGATTTGGAGAGGAGGTACTTAAAACAGGCTAGGAAATTCTGGACCGAAGTCCCGGAATTGAGGAAATGGGAGCTAGATTTGAGTCGGCTCAGGATATCGGGAGAGCATCTGAAGCCTCAAACTAATTAATTCATTCCGACTAGAAATTGTTGTATACCATGGACATCATGCCAACACAGCTATATACCTCCAATCTTGGACATCATTTAATCAAGCCGCTTTTATTTTGTCTAGCTTTATGTTAGAAGAATTTTCGGTGCTTTTAGATTTTGTCATATTACTATTGTAGGAACTAATTTTATATTCTACTTCTAGGTTGGCAACAACTTAAGTTAATCCCAAATATACATATCGACAGCTACAACTAGCAGCCGCGACTGAATTATCACGCACTACCTTGTGCGAACTCTCAAGAACAATGGCTTGACCAATTGGAGAGCAAAGAAGCGACCAGAGCTCACAATCTAAGCAGCATCTGCTGAGCTTACTTGGTAAGTTGTACGAAAGGGTTGGACTGCTGCCCAGTGAGGTCAATACATGTGTAGTGATGAGTGTTATGTGGAGCGGGGAAAGGGGGGGGCTGTGGAATGGATATGATATACCCCAGACCACAAATGGATAAAGAGATAATTTCAACTTATGAAAAGGACAAGCACATCTGTAGTATGGTCTGGGGGTGCTTCGGGCAGGTGGAACTCTTTGAACTACGCCTTTTCGATCGCGATTTTGAATCAAAGTAGCACGGGTATAGCGCTACCTCCTCCCTGGAAGCTTTGAATTATCAGCTTCTCAAGTGCTGTATTCTAGGGCCTACATTCATGAAGAACAATGCCCCGATACATACTGCAAGACTAGTAGACGGGAACATGAATGGCTCCCTAATAATTGTATTCTAGTGACCGATTGGCCTCCTATTCCCTAGACTGAACCCCCTTCGTACTAAGGCAATATTTACAGCAAAGAAACCCTCGAAAGCAAGGCTTGTGCTATTCCAGACTCGATCATCAATGTCCGGCGCGATTGGTCGTACCATTGGGTGCATTTTTCTCAATTAGGTGCGACGTATGCCACCCTTGATAATGGTTCTCCAGACTCCTTTCCAGCATTTGCATATAGGTGGGCAGTCCTCCTGCCCAACTCAGAGGTTGAACTTTCTTTCCTGGAATATTCGCACCCGACCACCAGCTGTGCAAGCAGTTAGTATGTGGATCCACAGGAGAGAGACAGGTAGACTTATCTTCCCCTTTGAAAAGAGTGTGGCATCCCATTTCTCGCGCACCATCTCAAGCCACTCATCCGCAGACGCTTCTGTCGCCTCGAAGCTTTCAATCTTGTCATTCTCAAGCTTCTCGACTACCTTCGCTATCCACCGGGCTTGGGATTGTATGCACGATGGTCCGTTCCTGTTTCGCATTAGGGGGAACAATGACTGATGGTAGCAGAAATGCACTTACGTAAAGGTCGACGGAGCCTGTGGCCCGAACAAGTAGAACATGTTGGGGAACTTCGGCACTGCGATGCCGATCGATGTCTTCACGCCTTCTTCCCAATGCTGCGTGAGAGTCCTCCCATCCGTGCCGCGGATTTGGATATCCTTGAAACCACCAGTCAGCGCATCAAAACCGGTGGCAAATATGATCATATCGACGTCGACTTGGCCAGCGGCGGTCTTCACACCCGTAGCATTAAGCTCTTCGATAGGAAAGCGGTTGACATCGATAATGTCGACATTGTCTTGATTCATCACTTCAAAGTAGTTTTGCTCCAGCGAGGGACGCTTTGCACCATATGGATGTGGGGGAATTTCCGGGGCCAGAAGTTCTCCTTTTGCTGGATTATTGATTCGCTTGAGGACCATTCGGCGCCAGAAGTCGTACGCCGCATCGTTTGCTTTCTGGTCTGTCATCGCGTCTTTATATCCAGAAACCCAGAACTGAAGGCCGCCGTCTTTGAGAAGACTTTGGTAGAACCTTTCTCGCTCTTCAGGCGTGTCATCAAACGTGTTTTTATCTGCGCTTTCATATAGGACGCCACCTGGTGTTCTTTCACATTTACTGAAAGCCTCCGCGTAAATTCCCGTGTCTTTCTTTTTCTGTTCTTCAACGGGATCTAATTTTCGTTGGGACATTGGAAGACTTGATAATTCGGTCAGGCAGTCCTACATTTGACGGTCCGAGTGACTTACCAAAGGTTTGGTGTGCGCTGGTATACCGTGAGGTGCTTGCTCTGTTTTCCAGATTCCTGAATCACCTGGATTCCACTTGCGCCTGTGCCTATGACTGCAATGCGTTTATTCTTGAGGCTAGCGCCGTAATATGGCCAGTGTGCTGTGTGATACAGCTCGCCTCGAAAATCCGAGGAACCTTTAATGTTGGGAATGTACCTGTTTCCGTTTAGCAAAGACTTTTGGGAAGATACCACAAGGCGATTGATGGATTACGTTTTGGAGGAAGACCCCATAGCCAGAATCATCCATTTGCACTCGGCCTCAGTTCCATCAGAGCAGGTTATCAGCCACCGACAGCGCGTGGAGTCCCAGTCGGCAGATTCAACGTTTTTACAGTATTCAATGTCTTTCCGAAGATCCCATTTCTTTTCCACGTGAGCGAAATATCTCTGTAGCTCTCGCCGTCCAGGAAAGCGCTCTGAAAATGTGAAATCTTCCCACAATTCTTTGTCGAACAGCTGATAGACTGGTGCATCACTGTCCACACGAGCTCCAGGGTCTAATCAATTAGCGCGTGCCACAACATGACATTTCGATCGCCATACATTGATTCCAAAACCTGTGGCCACGGTCAGTTTGGGTCCTTACTTGATCTTCATCGGATTTTGCTGATTCACCAGACTCCTCCCGGGCCTGACCCTCTTTCGTACAGCTTCACCCGAAGTCCCAAACTGCGCAGTCTTGTCCTTGTCTAAGCGTTTGGTTGCTCTTCCTGAACCGAGAACATACCTTGGAAGCATGGAATAACCACCAAACCCAGCACCTATGATGAGAGCATCGTACTCGGCCCTTTCGCTGGCCCTTTCGCTTGTAGAACCCATATGAAAGTCTGACGAAGTGTGCAGATTCTGACCAGGAATTTGAGCACTCTCACTGAATCGTGGTGTATTAAGAAGGCTTGAAGATGAAATGTGCAAATGACCACAACCGCGAGATCTTCAGCGAAGGTTTAAATGGCCCTTCGCTGCCTCTTATCGCACAGCCTTCGATCCTCAAATGAACAGCCAAACAATCCTCGCCCCGACTCCTCCTAACTTGCAATTCCGGATCGACGACGCTGCAAGGTATTTCGGCGAATTGCACCCACATTACCGGTAGTTACCCCACAGCCATCTCGGCCTCCCGAAGCCGCCACTGCTATGCTCGTGGGACGGTAAACTCCTAACACCGAAATACCACAATGAATCAAATTCTTGTGGACAGTTAGCGGAAGAAGCATCAGGGAGAAAGATCTAGCAACTCCAGAAGTCCTCGATGAGTAGCCTAAGATTGGGCAGGAATTCAGCCCCAAAATAGTTCTACGTGCGGCGGATTGCTCGTCTTGCTTGCTTTTTGGAGCGACTTCTGTAATGTGTCTAAGATGCTTTCGGCGAAAATGAAGAGATCACCGGGAGATAATGGCGATCAAGTTGAGCAGTATTTCGGAACGAGCTGTTTCGGCTACCTATTTGTATCTAATTGGCATCTATTTAACCAATGGAGGTATTGCGCCTTTTCTGTTACGATAAGGAAATAGCATATTGTTGTCTCTTTAACACTACCTGCTTACCGATATACAAAGAGCATCCTCCCTGCTGCTCCCGCAAAACATTGACACAAGGTATCTTCTAGACCACAACAAGCTCAGTATGGTGGGATCCAGCGACGTGCCAATGAGCACAAACGGTATTACATCACGAGATACTACAGCACATATCGGCGAGAAGAAACACCTGGAAGAAGTGGGAACTACTTTAAAGAATGCGCCCGCATATACCCCGAGGAGGCTCCGTGTCGTAACAATCGGGGCAGGGTATTCGGGGCTTACACTTGCCCACAAGTTTCAACATCAGCATCCTGAATTGCAGGGCATCATAGACCATACCATCTACGAATCGAGGAGCGAGCTTGGGGGCACATGGCTGGTTAACACGTATCCAGGGGTGGTTTGCGACGTCCCATCACACATATATGTAAGCGATTCTCCGCCTATATACCTTTGACCGCTCAACACTGATTTCCAGGCCTTCCCCTTCGATCCTAATCCTGACTGGACTCGCTTTTTTTCCACTGGCCCGGAGATATGGGCGTACATGAAGAAAACGGCTCAAAAGTGGGATCTCGAACGTCATGTTAAATACGATCATCGCGTTGTCGGTGCATATTGGCAGGAAGATCGAGGGGCATGGAAGGTTATGGTCGAACATGGTGGCATAGTCGTAGAAGATTTTGCGGATATTCTTATATCAGCCCAGGGCTTTTTGAAGTGAGTCGTTTATTTTCTGCTGTAACCAATACTAAATATTTTCACAGCTCATGGACATGGCCCTCGATTCCTGGCCTGCAAGAGTTTAAGGGTAAAAAGGTCCACTCGGCAAATTGGGACCACGAGCATGACTACAGTAACAAGCGGATTGCAGTCATTGGAAATGGATCATCTGGAATCCAAATATTGCCTCAAATGGCAAAACTGGAGGGAACACACGTCACCAGCTTCCAGAGAGGCCCAACATGGGTTGTGAGCACAATGAGCCCTGCTTCTCTACTTGGAAAAGACGACTCTGCCAATAATCCAGAGTATACGGATGAGGAGAAGAGGAATTTTCGAGAGAACCCTGCACATCACAATAAGTACAGGAAACAGATCATTCACAAGATCAATGACAGCTTCAAAATGGTATGTGAGAACGCAAGACCCTGCAATAGTCAGTGAAGCTAACATCTCAGTTTGTGAAAAATTCGCAACTGAACTTGGATGTCCTCCATCTAGCGCAGACGCAAATGGCTGAAAAGCTGAATCACGATACCGAGCTATGCGAAAAATTGATTCCAAAGTTCGAAGTTGGTTGTCGACGAATTACGCCTGGAGAAGGTTATTTGGAATCCTTTTTGAGGCCGAATGTTGACCTGACCCAAAGCCCAATCACCAAGGTCACTGACAGCGGTATTCAAACTGCCGATGGAAAATTCCATGAGGTTGACATCAGTATGGCCCTATCTACTCTGAGACTCCAGAATTTGGTTAACGTTGGTTGACAGTCGTGTGCGCAACGGGCTTCGACGTCTCTTACCGTCCTCGATACCCCATTGTTGGACGTAACAAAGCCGACCTAGGCGAAATGTGGACAAAGGAACCAAGATCATATCTATCCCTCGCAAGTGCAAATATGCCAAACTACTTCATGTTCACAGGACCGAACGCCCTTATTGGCCACGGCTCCCTCATGGAAAGTTTGGGTTGGAGCGCTGAGTACATGATTAAGTGGATCAAGAAGATCGCATTTGAAGACATCAAAGCTATTGCACCTAAGGAGAGTGCAATAGAACAATTCATCAACTACTCTGACCAGATTCACAACACCTTGACGTGGACAGGGTCTTGTCGAAGCTGGTACAAGAACAACACTGTGGATGGAAGGGTGACGGCAACCTTCGCCGGGAGCGCACTTTTGTTCAAGCGGTTGATCGAGGACTTGCGTCCGGAAGATTTTGACATAGATTTCAGAAGCTGTAATCGCTTCCGGTTTCTGGGGAGTGGATTTGTTGGATACGAATTGCAGGAAGGGAATGATCTGGCGTGGTATGTTGATAGATAGGGGGTGGTCACGGATATAATAGTGAAAATCGGAACATCTAGCTGAATAGTGTAACTTTAGTTTAGGTTAACAAGCACATAGTCGACGAAAGTGTCGGTCTACCGTCTACCAACTTACACTTCAAGGACTAGAACTTATGCTATTAAGCACTTAGATCTTGAATTGATCTTGAGATCTAAGTTCAAAGTACCTAAACTTGGTGTGCCCCACACGGCGGTGGATAGTCCAAGGCCGACCTTGCACAGCACTATTGTGCCTAGAGATACTGTAAGCTCTATTTGCCACTGTCTATGCTTGTGTAGTTACTAACTCGACCCACCTGGGCTAAATAAATTATGACCTGCTTGCGAGTCCTAGAGAAACTTCAAAGCGGTAAGGCATGGTTGCTATGGTAGATCAGCTGCGGAAGGTCGGCGGTAGTTCATATCAGTAAATACCTCTTGGATAGTAACATGAGTTAGACGGCTATGATTTTCTCCCAAACTTAACAATTCCGAGAGCATTTCACCCATCACAAGACCGCACCATGACCAAATTCAGGTGATCACTTTGACATAACCAAGGAGACCTTCCATCTTCCGGAAAATAAGGGTCTCAATACAGCAATTCAAAAGCGTTGCACAGCATAAAGGAATGGACACAAGAAGCCATCCGATTTCGTTAGCAAAGCTACTTCCCGATCCATGCCATTGTAAAAGAGCTGTCAGACCCGTATATTTGAAGCACAGATTGGTTGTGCCCTCACTTGGCTAGTACGGGTTAGCCCTTGATACGATCGAAATACCGGCATTAGTGAGGCACCAACACATCAAAAGCATTCTATTCAGAGAAGTCAAATCATGAATATCTTTAAATAATGTCAAGACTAAAGTCTCCGCCTCCCTGCCTTCCTTCTACTAATCCCGCCTATTCAATACCCACCACTTGCATTCAGCTACTCAGTCTCCCAGCCCTCTGCAGCACGAGACTGTGACAGCTGTATGGAGTCCACCACCAGGGAAGAGGAAGTGTCGTTACTAAGTGAGGTTGAGAGAGCCTTGAGGCACTCCTTGCAAGTCACAGCGTGGGCGTGGACTTCTCTTCGCGTGCCATTTTAGCACGCACAAACATTTGTAAATCCCGCAAGGCGACGGTAACATTCTCATGGGTATCTTCTGGAAACATAATATATCCATGCGGACTTCCAGGATAAATGCGAATGATGGCTTCTCCGCCGGCCATCATCCACTTTACACTCATGAAAACGGAATCATCCAGCAAGCAGTCCTCTGTACCACAAGTAAAGAATGCTGGGGGCAGATTTACGGTAGCAAGGTCTGCAAAGAGGGGCGATATTTTCGGCGAAACAAACTCATCAGCCGTCAGTCCGGGCAGATACGCTTCTCGGAAATTGGTCATAATATCCTCGTCCAGCACCAGCGGAGGGTCTTTCTTGAAATTTTTCATGCTTGCCGACCATTGCAGCGAATATGTTCCATAATGACCAAGGAGACCCAAGAACCGGAAATTCGCATATCGCACGACAGATGAGTGTGCCAGATGGAGCATCGTAAGTACCGCAAGATTTGCTCCGGCGCTCTCGCCACCAACAAAAGTCAGCGGGCAGCCAAACTTAGCCTGCGCATTGTCCACTAACCATTCGGCAACATCGTAGCAGTCTTCAGTCGCGGCGGGGAAGGGAAACTCGGGTGCCAGCCGATAGCCAACTGAGAGACACAACAGGCCACAGGTGTCGGCCAGGGTCTGCAGGTATACGTCTGATGACTCCTCGTCGGACAGGACCCATCCACCACCATGGATGTGCATAAATACGGCCTGCGGCTTTCCTGTCTGAGGCTCTAGCAACCGACAAGGAATGCTTCGTTGGGGATCGCGCGATGGAAGGGCGAAGTTTCTCGCAGTAGGCGAGAGGATTGGAGCGGGCAGGGGCGTGCGGCCACTTCGACGCAAGGCTCTATATGTACCGGCTCCAATCTAAAAATGTTGAAGTGATTAGTGACTGTTTCTCCGTGCCCTTTCTACTAGCAGATTATTTTCAAGGAAGAGCTGTATGCGCAGAAGTGGACGTAATTATATGAGAGCTACCAACCTCGTACCATCTTGGTATCTTTGCCATTGTGTTTTGCAGCTTTTGATTAAAAGACAAGGTGGCCGAGGAAATGGAAGCCGGGTCGAATTTCTCATAGTTTATCGTTATATCACTCTGGAGAGGCATCGCCGTTTAGAGCAGGTCGATGGGACGGCTGAAGAAGCCGTTCCTGACCTGGATTTGAAAGGCAGATAGGGCTGGTGAGTCGATACAGAGGCAGAAAAAGAAGCCGGGAATAGCAGGTTCCTCAAGAGCACTATTGACATTTCAGGGTTGTGGCAGGTTTTATCATAGGCTCCGGTGCGGCGTCGCCATACTTCGCATTTCGGCCGAGATAAAAAGGCGAAGTACGTAGGCGAACTAAGTGCAGCCTGAGGCCCGCCTCTGCCTCTTGATATTAGTGCAAGCGGGTTGCGTCGTAACGTACAGCACTGTAGTGTACATTCTTCTTGTGCTTCTAACAATGTCCTATATCAGAGATAGGAAATTTTTAAAGCTCGTAGTTGTGCTTCTATAACCTTAAGATTCGCCAAGCGGTTCCGCCAGCCGGAACGTATACTCGTCCGAGTTTCCTTTCCCCCTTCGCTTGAGGTCTGTTGACTTCCTCAAGAGACTTACTCTGATGCGCTGTGGGCAAAGAGCTGATCTCATGCGAGTCCGCTTGCAATGTCCGCTTTGGACTTCAGTATTTCCGTACAGGAACACGATTGATTCAGGGTCTCTATGGGATCCAGATATAGTACAAACAAGATATTACTCCCACAGTAGGAAATGCCACTACTCATTGAAACTTTGATAGTGAAAGACTTCTATTCAATCGAGCACGCTGTTTAGAGTACTGCTCGGCATTGTATTCTCAGGGTAAGCCATCTATGTAGATTGGGAGATTAAGGCCATGTCAAATCGTCCAGTGCTAAAGAGCCAAAAGGCTCTCCTTGAAAGTCAGCCCATTCCATCAAGTCAAGGGACGTGAACGGATCCAAAAAGTTCTCGAATGAGGCTACTCCGGACGTGGTCTCAGCTGCAGAGGTAGGTGCTGTGCGGAAGTTGGTGGAGTGTGCGCCCATCCCACCGAGTGACATTGGCATTGTCGTAATAGCGCGCTCAGCTACCATGCCTTCATTTTGAGTACCAACGGAGGCTCCAGATTCCATTGATCGGTTGAGAAAATTACGAACATCGTACTGTGGACCACTTTGGTCACACGGATTGTCCTCAACCAGGAGTCTTCCCACCAGCTTGCGGAAAAGCCAATACATCCACCCTACAAACGGCCAATAGTTCTTGAACTCTGAAAGAGCCAATACACAAAGTTGTAACTTATGCTTTAACACCCGGCGTCGTGATCCGTCACTTCGCCGTAGTTGAATAACATGGATAGTAAGGCAAGCGAACAAAATCGCAATCCTTGGAAGAAATTGTGAGCACAAAATGACGAAAGTCACAAGGACTAACATACAGATGTACGGAGGCACGACGAAAAAGTCCCTCAGCGAGTAAGTCCTCAACGATTCGAGTGACAGCGTTCGCAGAAACAGGTGCCACCGAAAGATCATGCTCCGGTGTTCCCTCTAGGAAGATTTGTCGATGTAGTGAGATTTTGCACCAACTGAAGAGAAGTTAGTAGCGTATACAGTAGGACGGTTTTGTGACTTAGATACTGAAAGCCTAGACTTAGCATGTTCGCCAGCAGTTGTGCCTCTTGGTTGTTGTCTTCGGAATATTTAAGGCGTTCCGGTAGACACTTCTCCCAAGCGGTGAGTTTTGCATCCATCTCTTTTCTGAAGGTATCGGTATTCTCATGTTTCTGCGTGGCCTTAATGATCTTGCCCACTGCCACTATTAGCCTTGTTGGTCTCGCGCACGTATAGAGTCAACACAAACGTAAGATCGCCAATTTAGCCATTTCAACTGAATGCCGGACACCGAGCATGTTGGAGGTATCATCATCCGTTCCAGTGTTAGCGGGACTATCAAAGTCACTCTCTTCCAGCGGCTCAACGTCACAGTCATCGTCATGAATCAGCATTGGTCGTCCGAGAGAAGCCGCATCAAAGCGGTCTCGCACCTATGTCAATTAGCAGGCAGCAAAGCCAGCCATAACATCAATTCATGGCGTACATAAAAGGTCCACCAAATCCGCTTCCACAGCTTTTGATCTTTCAGAGGCAAGTAGGAGTGTTTTGTTCTGCCGAAGTATCAGCAGAAACAGGTAGCTCTTTCGAAATGGCTAACCATACGATCGATGCATGCCGTTGGCTTGGGCCAGCCGCACTGCGGCTGCCAACCAGTGACTGCAGTCTTTCTCTTCCGTTGGACTTCCCCACCAGAAGGTCATTAAGAAAAGTACCTGGATCACTGTAACGCGATTGTGCTCACAGTCTGCATCGTAAAGAGCTTTGACTCGCTGGTAGAGAGTAAGTTGTGCGGAACGTCTGCTTCCCCAATTTACCTTGATAATATCCTCATCGCAACAGGTCGTCGCGACAAAGAACAGTGCCTGAAGGAGGAGTATAGACGCCCGACCAGCTTCAAAGTCTTGGAGAAATTGTTCACGATCGAGGATCTGCTGCATTGGGAAAATCCATCGAAAATACGCGTCTAGGAGTGCTTTCTGCACAAACGGTGGTGGGAGGGAAAAGGCGCCTTTCTTCCGCAGCAAGTCCATTTCCTGCTGCTTTAAATCGAAATCATCTTCCGGGACATCATGGGGTCGTTCATCTAGAGTAGTCGGGACCTGGTAGTGGACATTATATGGTAGAGACTCTGTGCTGACTGATCCAGGGCTGGCCGATTGCTGAGCATTGCCGCCGCGGGCTTTCTGAATGGTCCAGGCCCAGATCGAGTCGTTTCCAAAATACATGACCTTATTGGCGACATTCTTTGAGTGTGGTGTGTTCTCGTGTTCTTCGGAGTTCATCAGCTTGACAAGAAGCATTTCGGAACCTTCCTTAGGTTGTTCCTCTGCGGACGTATGAGAACGAGACTGCATTTGGGGGGTTTTTGCAGGACTCTGAAGACTAAAGGAAGCATCTGGTAGATCGGCTGTGACTGGTTGGTCGAATGAACTGGGGGTTGTCGATTCTCGGCGGTCCGCAGGAAGTGCCTGCAAGCCATTGGCAGCAGCTGAATGCGAGTCTGCACATAAGCTGATAGAGCTTGCAAAATGCTAAGGTCAGCAAGCTCGACCCAGGACATAACATTGCGTCTTGATCAATACATACGTGATGTTGGTAGACTTGCGTGGCTCACATGGTTCGTTTGCCTGCAGACAAGCCTGACATGGCTGGTAGCGGTTGTTTTCAGTTGGACCTGTTGGTGAAGGCTCTGGTGTCCTGCATTTGATGTGGCGAGCACTGCAGTATCGACATGCAAGCTTACGCTTGTGGCGCCGGTAAACTCGGCTTGTTGGGTGATTCATGGTTTGGCGCTCTTCTTGGAGCATCAGAGGAATAGGGCTGTCTACGATTGTAGAGCTGTGTTCAAGAGCTGCCTACTAACTGCAGCTAAAAGATGGTTGCTTACCAGCCAGAAAAGGGCTACGCAATGGTAATTCCCGGGGCGGGGTATGCTAAACGAGAACTCGGCTCTCTCGGCCGTTGGAGGATTTGCGGGGTGGTATGCGGGCAGCGAATCGCGTACTAGGAATGTCTGTTCGCTTGCTTCTCTCTGCGTCCGCTCAATTGATCTTTATGATGGTTATAACTACATAGCCCTATGTTAACTATAATATCTTTTAGTAGACAATACACGTGTTAGTTCCTGCCACATAGTCTGCAGAGTGCCGCCTTCGTAAAGCAGGCCCTGCACGCTATATGGCAATTACTGGGAACACAGTAGAGGTCATAGTCGTCAGCGACAGCGAGCAGTCCATTTATCGCGCCGAGCGGATGAACAGCTGAGTACGTCAGAGAGCGTGTGGGGGATGGGTCGACCCAACCCAATCCACCTTCGTGGTTACGGATCATGACCCTTCTCATTGGCAACCTACCATCGTTCTCGAAATCATCCCGAAAGACTGGGGTTTGACCTTCGCAGCGGTCGTATAGTCGAAGTGACTTCCACTGTCATGTCTTCGAACTAGCATACTCTCGCTTTTATAGAGCGTTAATGACCTCCATCACAAACCTGACAATGTTCCCATCCCCGGAACTAAGAATCCTGCCAATCTAAAATGTCATTGCATCTGGAATTTCTTAGAATCGAATTCCGGATGCTTAGGTAGAGTAGAAACTAGGGGCTTGCGCATTTTCGCCGAAATCCACAATTCCGCCCGCGTAACTTTCTGATTTAAGCGGCCAAAATGATATGTGAACGCTCCCGTTATAGCACCTATGCCGAGTCCAAAAGCATTTATCGACTCCCCGTGGGGAGCTAGTTGTCTATAAACGCCCCCGTGGGGAGCTAGCATCCACGCAGACGAGTCCGGGGAAATTTGAGAAATCAAGACCCAGTGGCGTTAACTGACTGTGAAGAGATCCAAGAAGACTGAGTTTGCCTGACTGGTGGTTTTCCTTGATGAACCAAGTCAGCCGCGTTCCTTCCTCCTTGCTCTCTCTCAACATCATCACTACAGTACATTGAACAAAGAGATATACACATCGATCAAAATGGAAGAAGACAAAGGATACACCAATTCAGAGGTCGAACACTCAGACCCAGACCCTATTGAACAGTACTTCCATTGTACGTGAAAAGTTCCCCTTGCGCTCTGCTCCTCGCTCCCATCGTTGACTTATTGGCAGCGGAACCTGCATGGGCAAGACGGATTCCTGGAGGGTACTCACGGTCGCGATGCCTCAAGCTCTCCGGGAAGCCGATGCTGTTGGCCATCCTTTCCTTCGCCGGAACGTGCATCTTATTCTTCGGTTATGACTCGGCCGTCATGGCCCAAGTAAATATTAATCCGGACTACTTGCAACGCATGAACATCAATCACGGAACAAATAGTGACGCCGCACGAATTGGGGGCCTTGTAAGTTTCTGGTTCGCTGGGTTCTTTATTGGTAGGCATTCTCAAATCCTCGACAAACCTCAAATCTACGGGGCTTGGCTCTAAACGACTCGAATAGGAGCTATCTTGTCGGGTAGCTATGCGGACTCACTCGGACGTCTCAGAGCTATCCAGATGGGTTGCATCTGGGGCATACTGGGCGGAGCACTATTAGCGGGAGCTCAAAACTTCACTTGGATGGCCATCGCCCGAGTCATCAGCGGGGTGGGGTGTGGACACCTCAACACAATTACGCCTATCTGGACCTCGGAGCTGGCAGACTACAATCTACGAGGCGCGTTCGTCGCTGTTCAATACGCCCTCTGTATTTTTGGTGCTCAGATGTACGTGCTAACATGCCCCCGCCGCAAAATGTATGTTCGGAGTATAACTAACCATACGAAGCGTCTACTGGATGCAATATGGATGCCTGAAGACCAGATCACTGAGCTTCTCATGGCGTTTTCCTCTAGGCTTCCAAATATTGTTTCTCTTGGTCATCTTGTTGGTTGCCCCTTTCTTCCCAGAGACTCCCCGTCACTTAGCCCAGACAGGGAGGCTCGAGGATGCAAGAGAAGTCCTGACTCGTTGCCGTCTCCTCGCAACTCGAGAGTCGGTCAACCAAGAGCTCGAGGAGATCAAAGCGGCAATCCGTCTTGAGGCAACCCAAGCGTCACATGGCTTTATCTCTATGATCTGGAAGAAGGATGCGCTTCACACTCGTCGGCGAGTTGCCCTTGCGATGGGTATCCAATTTATGCGGGAACTTACTGGTCCTGATGTCATCGCTGTATTTGGGCCTCAGGTGTTTGCCTTGAGTGGCTGTAGGTTTCACTCGCCCAAAACGTGATGAAACCTTCTTGATACTAACCACGAACTTCTACTTCAGATTCTGGGGATTGGCCCTCAATTCTTGCTGGCCTCAACTTTATCGGCTATATGATCTCAACCTTTATCGCCTCGTACACCGTCGAACGCTTCGGAAGGAGGAAATTGTTGCTGACCGGCTTGTGCACCATGGGCAGCCTTCTGATGATCTGTGGAGGTCTGGCGCACAAAGTGTACGCCCTTGCCGAGGTTGATCCAGTTGCAAGCAAGCGCTACGGCAGCGGAGTAGTAGCTTGTGTGTTCCTCTACACTATGGCGTTCGGTGGTACCTGGATCGTCGCCGCGTAAGTTCTTTCCCTTCCTCTCTTCTAGGGGTTTAGTATTGCATTGCATTTCTAGATTGCTGACAAAATCCGCTTGTCCAAATAGCTTCGTATATCCTACAGAGATATTCCCGCTAGCTACTCGTGCCAAAGGTAGCGCGCTATCCATGGTCTCCTTCGCGGTTGCAGGCGGCGTTTGCAACGAGATCATTCCATATATCATCTCAGCCGCTGGGTTTTGGGTCTTCATCATGTTCGCCTTACTGAACTTTGTTCAGATTCTTCCAGTGTGGGCCTTCTACATTGAGACCGCCAATCGTCACCTGGAGGATCTCGACATTTTGTTCGCCAGCAAGAGTCCCTTTGCCATCAGAGCGGAACGAGAGTACGACGAGAACAAGCGTGCTCTCGGGCTTCAAGAGTCGGATGCTGTCATCAGTGGCTGAGGACCAGATAGGTATGGACTCTCCAAAAGATGTTCGGTCAATGATACGACTCTATTGCCCTGGAGAGTAAAGATAAGGGGTTACCAACTTAGGAGTCAAAAGAGATGTGTGAAGAAATATGATGTGAAGTTATCCTCAACCGAGGACAAATTTGCCATTGGCTTAATCGCGAGGCCGGCGGCCAATTTCGCTCAGGGGCAGGCAGCAATATGTAAATTGGACAGCAATACGTAAATTTGAAGCTATTTACCCTCTTGCAGTTTTATGACTCCACCTAACGCGTCGAGTTCGTTCTCAAAATGGGCAATCCTAATTATCAATACATTTCTCTCCTCCCAGCCCAGACCTAGCCTTTGAAACCCCCATTGAATCTATAGAGCGCGGCGAATATCCCAATTTTGCAGTAGCAGCCTGTTCTCGACCTCCCATATCATACACGGACTACGAATGTTACGGATATGAGTGGAAGTAGTGTGACTGGTTGGAGCTTATTTAAGGCGTAAAGAGGAATCTAACTGTATGTTCTTGTATTCTTGTCTTCTCCATTACCTGCATCCTCAAGGAAGGAACACAAGTTTATATAGACGTGTCGCTCTAACAGGATCTCATATGGAATGTTCCTACATTCCTTATGGATCTTAAAAGCCACTGCATAGGTTATAATTATCTTTGACCTCAGGTCACCTGATTGCCCAATTATATAAGCAGTCTTTGACAACGAAACCCCTTTCTGCGTATGTGAATAATCGAGTAAATGTGTGAGAACGTTTCCGTGAATTCGAACGAGCCCGAGGTCCTGGTAGCCGGTACTGAATCGCCAAGTCTCACAGGGTGGAGAATTGGCAGGGAAGGGGGTCGATGACCAATGATGCTTCCAGGAGTTCAATAGTCTTCAATTTCGGCGAAATAGTTAATAGTCTCTCCAACTTCCGCAGATTAGTGGGGCCCCGGAGACGGTTGGGGGCATCTGCGCATCCCCCCAGAGGCATTACCTCGAGCCAACCCTGGAATTGAGCAACGGCCCTATTACCCCAGTATTACTTTTTTGCACTTAGAGGTTGGCAGTGGCAAGAAGCCTTGCAGTTTCTGTGTTTTTAAGATTGCCATTTAAGCGACTAATACAGAATTAATAAGAATTGACCATCTGTAATTAATTGTATTAAGAAATTAGTGATCGGTAGAGCAGGTCTAGGCGACAGTGTAGACAGTAAGGAACAGATAAGAGAGGGATGAGGATAATAAGCAGTGGTGATAAGGTGTAGAGTGGTGGGCCATATGCATTAATCTGAAAACTGGCAGTCTCCAATCTCTCTTATGCTATCTATGTAGTGCAGTTAAATATTTTATCTTGGGATGACGTTATAATATAAATATGTATCCACATAAAAGAAAACAAAATATTTTTCAGGCAGATGTTAGATGCAAAGTGATATATCTAATATATACAGCGATGAATCTGATACGAAGGAAAACAAATGCTATGTAGGTATACAGTCCCATAAAACCAAACCAGACGCCCAACACAGATATGAGAGACTCATTAATGAATGACAAGTAAATAAAAGAAAAAAAGGGGAGAAAAAGGACAGAGTTTTACGAAATCGTAGTTTGTAAAAAGTCAATCATCTTGTGCACCAGCGTGTTCCAACTGTTCGCAGACTGACCTGCCTGCAGCCCGTCAAGGAACTGCTGGTTGTGCACGGCATCAAAGACACCATCCATGACAAAGGAGCCATCTTTGACTGCGGGGCGTTCCTGTCCGGGGAAGAAGCCGTAGGCATCGACGGCATACTCTGGTGGTATCTCCGGCCAGGCGTCGATACCGTCGAGGATGACCACGGCCATGCCGCCGGCCAGATGGGTCTCGATGTGGCAGTGGAATAGCCATGGACCCGGGTTGACTACCTGGTAGCGCAGCACAATCCATGATGGTCCGTCGAACGAGGTAACGAAGGTATCGCGGTAGTTTGGGTTTTTAAAGTTGAAACTGGACGGCTCGGCCGCGGCAGCTTCATCGACAGACGAGTAGTTCCAGATACCCTCGCCGGCGCCGACCTGCCATGTCTTCCCGGTGTGCTTATGGATAAAATGTGGGAATTCCTGAGGTTGGTCGGGTAATGAGCCCACTTGTAGCACCAGGTCGACCCAACTACCGTTGCGCGTGCGGATGACGAGACTTTCGTTGAGCGCATCGGGCTGCTCCGTGTCGTATAGTAGTGGCGCATAGGCGCTACGATCCTCGGCATACATACCACCACCGCTGATGGTGTACTGCCAAGGGCTGTGCCATCGGTGCGTATACAGGACATGGTGGACATCAGCCTTTGGCGCTGGCGTCAGAGGCGGGTACGGGGGCAGATGGTCTCGGTTGAGCGTGACGAGCTCGCTGGTGTTTTGACCACCGTACGTGAGGGCGCTCTCTATGCGCGGCCGTTCCCTGTCGCGGCCAGATGTCTTGTATCGCAGCGTAGCATATGCGCTGATTACCTGCGTCAGCCCGCTATCCGGCACATGGATAGTGTAGTCGCCTGGCTGCTGGTCGAGTTTCACAAGCACGGCGTAGCGCTCGCCCGCGTACATTTTTACTGTATCAACCAGATGGGGTTCGACATAGTGACCGTCGACCTCGTACACCCACATGCGGTGGCCAGCAACGGCAAACATGGCCGTCTTCATCGTCGTAGCAGCGATGAAGTTTAGACTGACCCATCCGTTGGCATCTGGGTCGACTTCGACTACTGTCTCGTCGCCTTTGGATGGTATACATCCTTTTTGTAGATGGAGCGGTACTTTTTCCGGTCGTCCGTCGGACAGGTACTTTCCTTCAGTGGATTTCATGAATGGGAAGCATCTAGAGAGAGAGGAAATAGTCAGATTTAGGACCGTATCACTTTCAGAGGTAAGTGCTTACCCCTTATCACTGACGTGGCCGGGATACAAGGCATATTTCATGTAAGTGCTAGTATGCTGCACTAGATAATCTTCTCCAGGACAGTAGACACTGCCTTTGCCGTTGATCAGGATACTATCGACGCAGCTTCAAGAAAAAAAAATCAGTAAGTAATCAGCGGTTGTCGGGTAGTTTCATCGCCTCTGCTGGTGGATATGCACTTACAACATACTCAATCGCGACTCATCCATGGCGTTCATGTACTCCCATGATTTGAATTGAGACCAGTCCGACACCAGCATCAAGGACGGATCTAGCGCCGCCTTGCGCATGGCTTGGATCTCTTTTTCATCGGAACTAATTAGTTCCCATGGTGCCGGCGCCGTTGGCTTTGGTCTGTGAGTGTGAAGTTGTCAGTCCGATAGACTTAGTTGCTCCACTCAATCCTGCCATTGTAACATTTTTGTTTTCTTTCTCATCGGATCTGCTTACCGAATAAAGATGGAGCCGTATAAGCCGTCAAGCAGGGTAGCTCTTGAATGCGCATGATACCTAATCCCATTACCTATTAACACAAACAATCAAAGAAAACCTTATTAAAAGCTTACCAGTGAGTCCCTGCTGGAGAGGCCTTGAAGCGATAGATGAAACTTTGGTCCATTTCGATAGGTTTTTGCGAGAGACCGGGGGCACCATCGGACCAGGGAGTACCTTGCATCCTGGACAGACATTAATATTAAGATGGTAAATTTTTCTCTTTGTAAATTCTTACATGAGGCCATGCCAGTGGACGGTATTGTTAAATGGCATACGATTATGGACAATGACCTTCAACAACCGGATTAGAAAATGTCATTGTGCTCAAAACGTGGTCATTGTACCACTTCAAAAAAGAGGAAGAAAAAAGAAAAGAAATAAAATACCTCAACATCATCGTCCTCGTCCCAAACGAATGTAGGACCCGGGAATTGTCCATTCATCTTGATCATCTCGCGTACCTGACCATTAGGGGCTCCCAGCTCCCAGGTCAGCGTCATTTCGTGTCGCACATGTTTGCCAGCAACCAGCACAATGTCGCGCAGCAGGATGCTCAGAAGGAGGAGAAACCACGACTCCATTATCTGTTTTTAAAAATAATTACAACTAAAGATTTTCTCTTTGCGACTTTTTCCTTTATTCGACAGCTGGCCATCCGTGCTATTATTATATTCACGTTTCACCAATAATACATGTTAAGACGGCCCGTGGTTCGGGTTCAGTTTTTCCTTAATAGCCCCGAAGCAGGCCCCCGATCCCGATATGATTACCCCGCGTTACGCCCAAGAAGGAAAAAATGGGGCCAAAACTACTCTATCGAGCCCTGATATAGATGCTCGGGCTTATTTTATATAGCGTTATTCGGGGCCACGTGGGGCTGTAGGGTCGGTAGAATATGATGGCAATATATGGTAGATAGACAAATAGACAAATAGATAGATAGGCCATATCCCCCCCTCTGTCCGTCTTCAATGTCATGATTTGTCTTTGGATACTGAGTTGACTGTGTACACGTGACAAAAAAATCAACAGCCCTAGCTTTCTCATAGACAGGCTTGCTATCATGAGCTCACTCAAAATTAAAAGAGTCGTGTTCAAAGCCTCTCGCGCACTTGCTGTCATCTTCACTGTCACGGTCGTGGTGCCAGTGTATTTGGCCAGTTGGCAAGACACAACGCAAAAACCTATCGGCACACCCAAGGTAGCACAGACGGTTGACACGACACCAAAAATTGTTAATGATGTTGACCAATCGACGAGTGACCCTCCCCAGAGCCGGACAGTTTGGGGTCTTTTGCAAGATGACAGCCGCATCTCGACCTTTGCCCACTGGGTCGGCCAGTTCGACGATATTGTCGGCGGCCTGGATACGCCACAGGCCCGCTTCACGCTGTTTGCTCCCACAAACGAGGCCTTTGCACAGGAGAGCTTCGAGCATGGCCTGCCCTGGTTCTACTGGAAGTTCCTAGTCGGCTATCATATGGGCCCTGGAAACTCCTCGGCTGCTGCCCTGCGCACCCAGAACACGGTGCAGTCCTTTGTCAACGCCGACATCTTCTTCAAATATAAGCAGCGCATAAGTGTCCAGACAGTCGACCCTGGCCATGATGGTGATGATGACGAAAAGGAAATCACTCTCAACCGTCACTCGACTGTTATTGTTCCCGACCAGGTAAGAACAATACTAAGAAGTAAATCGTTTCGCTCGCCACTGACTCTGACCTTTGCAGAAAGCAATCAACGGCTACGTCCATCTGGTCGACCGCGTGCTCTTCCTGCCTGAGTCGACGACTCACATACTGCGTTCCCACGACGAGTTTGCCACGTTTCGTGAGGCATTGACCAAAACTGTCGACCTAGCTGTGCTTGTTAATGATACCTCGACACACATTGGCCAGACCATCTTTGCCCCTACTGAAGCAGCCTTTGCCAAACTTGGCCGTAAAGCCAACCAGTTCTTCTTCGGCACTGGCGGCGAGGACTACCTTCGTGCCCTGTTAGCCTACCACATCGTCGCCAATCAGACCCTCTTTTCCGATGTGTATTTCCAAGAGGATGGTCGTGGTCAGCTTCCTGTAGATACTGACTCACAGGTGAATAGAACTCCTTTCTTTAGCTCTGCTGTTCCCGGCTGACTTGTTTTTTTTTTCCTCCGGCGACAGATTGTCCTACCTAGCCTGATTACTGATCAGGGTCTGAATATCACCGTCCAGCCGGCTAAAGGCCCAGGTCATCGTCAATCAGTTCAGGTCAACTCACGGGTTCCCCTAGCCATTCCAGACTTGGTTGCCATGGACGGAGTCGTACATGGTATCGACACCATTTTGGTACCGCCTGCTGTCGATTCAGATAAGGACCAAGATGACGAATCATCCGGGTCACAAAATCGCCCATGGTTGTCTCGGTTTTTCGACTGGTCCGCTGGTACGGCAGAGGAGACATTGACGGTCGATCAGTGGATTGAACGACTGCAGCCGCTCGTAGGCGAATTGCGAGTTTAATGTGAATACGCTATCCCAATCGTTATATCGGTTCTTTCATGTATTTATTTATTATCTTTCTTTTTGTTTCCTTTGTTTCAAGATTATGGCGTATATCGGGCGTTTGGAGATTTTTGGTCACTATATCGACAACGCTTTCGTCGTCCGAAACGTGGGCACTGGGGATAGTAGTCAGATGCGATGCGTACCTCACCATGGACCTCCCTTTAGGGGCTATAACATCCGGATGTTATTTACCGGCAGCATACCGCTCAGTGCTGCTCTCCCCTTCTCTATCATCCTCCTCTAGATCTTTAACCCTAAAGAAAACAAAGCAATATCATGATTTCATAGAGGGTTTGGCTGACATACTACAGTCACAGAATCTAAGACATAGTAGCTTTTTGTCTTTTCCTGTAATACATAGCATGGTGGGGAGTTTAATTCCCGAATTGTCCTATTCATGTTCAAAATTCCGTTAGTAATATAATTAAACAGTCATGTATATCCTACACCTAGTTTAAGCTTGATTCATAGTAGGTATTTGGAAGTAAATCCCTGAAATGAAATTTCGCGTTGGAAACTGGGAAATCTGAGTAGGGTTTTATATTTGTTGCTTACTCCAGTCCAGAAATGCCAAATACGGAACTAGTCAGTTCGTGATTTCCTTTCTCGTCAGCAAAAGCAATTCGCTGTGTATAGTTCGGTCTCAAACCACCAGGCCTAGTAATCTAGCACAAATATTTAACCAAAAGGAATACAAAATGAGAGCCAGCAGCCATGAGTGAAGCTTATGTATTCCATCGTCCGGCTATATCATTCGGTCGTATTTCAGATCCAAGATAGCAGAAAACTAGTTTTCTCTGGATTTACTGCATTCAGCGGGTATCCATCCACTGCCGATCCGTTCTTCAAGATCTTCACCCTCAAAATTGATAGGTCTTCTCAACTGATCGATTGTTCCACGTTTAGTGTGCACCTCCACATTAGGTCTTGTAGCTCTCCCATTTGATTTCAGTTCCCCTTTAATGGAACGAGTTTGAGGTATGGTATTTCCAAAAGCCATATCACTTTCGGGATGATTCCTACCAATCCATTTTACAATTTTCTTTCCTAATTATTTCACCAGTTGCAATTTGGTCGAGTTCTATGTCCCAGCTATTAATCTTGGTCACTGATACGTCGTTTGATCCGGAGGCTCAGTTACACAGAAGCAGTGGCCTTCCGTATAATCCAGATAATTCCTTGCTATATGTCTTGGGTCAGTTAGAATAATGCCCGAGAATTTGGGCGGTGATATCTACTAGCTCGACGGTTGATTTCATAGAATCGCCTATTTTTGTGATCCTAAGAGACAAAAATCATGGTTAGGCTTCTAGTAAAGAGACTCCAATTTAGCATTACTATTCACATAGAACCATCTACCATTCGGGTTGAGAGTATGTGCATCATTTGGATCAGAAGATAGATACCATCGTGCCTTATCACACACGTACAAATCTCACATTCCCAGAAGAGTATCTACCCAAATAATGTGCGGACACTATAACATATTATTAATAAAAAGAGCTACCCATAAATTTATATATACTAGTTGGAAATGAATTTCTTCCTTATTTAATTGTATAGAGAGTTTGTTATTGTGTGCCATATGACAAGCAGCCCTTTATAGTATTATATGTATGAATTTGGTATGATGCTATACTGAATTTTACTCTAATATTAAAATTTTAATTAATTCTATTCTACTCTTCTTTTCCTAATCTGAAAATAAGCTTTAACTCTAACCCTAATTCCACTCTAGTAGGAACTACCAGGTTATATTGGGTTGAGATCAAGTATTGTCACGACAAACGCACCCCTAGTTTAACAGTATCTATTCCAGTATGCTAGTATTGTACTAGATACTTAAATGACGTTACACAACTGACTGCATTACTTCGTCTTATAAACATTCCTCAGCGCTTTATATACTCTACAGGATGCGAATACATTGAAGCAGGCATCTCCAACTGGTGATTCTGCCATCCCGGCAACTCCGACGGCGGCGCTAGTTCTGTGTATATCTCTGATGGGTGCGCTATTGGTTGCTGGCTCTGCCATATGACAGGCTGCGGTGGCTGCTCAACGTACTGCGGAACTATGTCCGGATTCATCCACTGCTGGGGAGGCTGCCCACCGGGTTGCGACATTATGTCAGGACTCATCCACTGCTGAGGCGTCGACCACACGCCATCCTGCTTGCGCCGGCCAATGACAAAGAGAAGTACAAGGATGACGAAGAAGGTCCAGATGTTGATGATCGGGTCGACAATGTCGGCGTAGACCAGTGGCATGGTCACGTTCGGGAGCTCCCACGCGGTATCGATGGCGATGGCCCAGGAGTAGCGGAGGAGGGAGAGGATTGTCGCAACGAGGAAGAGAACGGTGGACTAGAGTAGGAGAGGTGTTAGCCATGGTAGTCACTTGGGAAAGGAGACTGGGAGGACTTACGTTTCTAAGCCCAGGACAGGATCGACATTGGTGCAGCACGTATGCTGCATAGCCTAGAGTAGCCGCTGTGGTGACAAGTAAGAGCACATCACAGGTCACGGACAAGTCAAGAGCGATCGTTAGACTGTGATCAAAGGACGCATAGTCGAAGGTAGGGGCAGTTGTGTCGCCGCCGTAGTCATAGTGAGTCAAACGGTGGTTTAGGTAGTTGAAATAATTGGTGTATTGGACATTATCGATACTGAACTGTGCTAAAGAGAGGACAAAAATGAGACTCCCAACTCCGATGGCTACATAGCGTAGAACTGTCTGGAAGGCCGTTCGCTGTTGCTTGACAGAGAGGAGTAAACCATTCCCTAGCTCGACCAGGCAACAGACTGTTAGGATATCGGCTACAACTTGGAAGAGGTAGCCGACGGAGTAGACTCGGTACTGGAGATCGCTGAGAAGGTTATTGGTTTCATCGTCTTGTTCCAGGGTGGTTTGGGCAATTGCAACGGCGTCACCAGCGACAAAGAGAGTTAGGCAACTATTCCAGTCAATTCGGCACTTCTGCGGTTCGTCTTCGCAGAAGCAAACTTACACCATCAAAAAAGGACACGCGGCATTGAGGTAACTGAACGCCACCCTTGCCGGATCGTTTCTCCTGCGGACAAGACACAAGCTGATGAGCCAGATCAAAAGAAGCGGCTTGATCATGATTCCACGTAGGGCCACGTCGACTATAATGAAGATCGTGTCAGATGGCAACATCCTGAAGCGCGAGGATGTATCGAGCGGGTAGCGAATTCAGAAGTTGACTACACCCATAGCAAAATTATCACAAATATATGAGTTGTTCTCAATGTTGGAAATTAATTATCAGCCGAGCAAATGCGAATAATGAAAGATTAGGGGGTGATCGCCTCGTCGCTAAACATTTTGGGGCGCCATTGTTCAGCCTCATCTTGCTTTGGAACATACGATCGGTCTGGCGGCTACAGTGTGTGCGGCTATATCAGTAATGAACAAATATCGACGTGCGCAACAGCAGACTCCTGGGGGTACTTAGTTACACGAAACTCTGGATTCAGTGGCTGGGTGCAGGAACTGAAAGTCAAATAGATGCTAATTTGAGAAATACGAGCCCAATGAGCTTGCAATTGGTTTCTGACCTTGGGCTAGCAGGGATCAACCGTATCACCGAGGTAAGTCATGGCGTCGAGCCAGGCGGCCTAAACATAGTTTGATGTACGGATGCGTGGATGTCAATTGAGGGCCATCGATAATTCCCCGAGCCAGGCATCAAGTGTCCGTGACAGGCACGTAAAGGCCAGTAATTTGTCGCCGCTCCAGTTCTAAATGCAAGTTAATAATATTTATTAGAAGATAGTGAATATTAAGATGCTATTATAAACGTGATTAATAGTACGGAGTACTTGACACAATAAATTGCAACATGGGCCTACTGCACTATGCGCTCTACAGCATGATAGAAAATTTACGACTAATCACAGAGCCTTCACTTAAGAGGATTCTCTTTTTGGGTTAAATGGTCTAATTGACAGCTGTTGGATTATAGGGATGAATACCAGAGGACAAAAAGACCGGGTTTTCAGTCTAGTTGGTAATTCAACAACAGCAGCTCAGCTACCCCGCCGAGGCTAGCTCACCATGTAGCCAAGCAATGGGCAGCCGCACCTCGCTGACGCTGCATATATTTGTTCTCTCAACCCTCATTAGTGATGGGGTTTAAGTCATCAATAATCGACGAGAAGCGAGAGTATTTCTGGTTTCTTTCTAGACCACCATCCGAAGCGTGCACTAACTTCAAAGTCCGCGAGAAAGCCGATTTAACTGCGCGAAATATCATCTTCAAACAACCTTTTCTCGTGTCAAACTGGCAGATCGCCACTGGGCTAGTATGGAAAGAAAGCATACAGACTATACAGTTGGATGGATCTGCGCCACGGCGTATGAGCTGACGGCTGCTAGAGCTATGCTGGATGAAGAACATATGTCACTCCGATACAATCCCCGAGATAGCAATTCATATACTTTGGGACGGATTGCAGATCACAATGTTGTCATAGCTTCATTGCCGCCGGGTTATTATGGCTTCACCTCTTCAGTAGTGGTAGTAAGGGATCTTCTCTGGTCTTTTCCGGCTATCAAATTCGGGCTACTCGTAGGTATTGGCGGCGGCGTTGGTTCTCAAACTCGTGACATTCGCCTGGGCGACGTGGTGGTTAGCATGCCCACATCAACTTCAGGGGGGGTTATTCAGTTCGATGCCGGGAAAATCCACCCAGATGGAGGTTTTCAGCTTACTGGATATTTGAATGAGCCGCCGCGCGTATTGCTATCAGCAGTTTCTAGGCTTCAAGCGGATTACATGAGAAAAAATCCAAAATTTAGACACTATATCTCGGAAACTCTCATGCGGAACCCTCTGATGGGCCAAAAGTTCTCCTCCCCAGGTCATGATCAAGATATGCTCTTCAAAGCATCATATGAACACCACACAGAAGCTGAAAGTGACTGTTCATTTTGTGATCGCTCTCATCTTATCCGCAGGCCGCCACGTGATAGTCAGACTCCCATAGTCCATTACGGATCAATAGCCTCAAGTAATAGTGTTATTTGGCGTGCAACAACCCGCGATAAGCTCAGCCGCCAATTGGGGGTTTTATGTATTGAAACGGAAGCAGCGGGGTTGATGGATGACTTTCCATGTTTGGTTATCAGAGGGATAGCAGATTACACAGATTCTCATAAGAATTCCAAATGGCAATGCTATGCGGCCCTCGCGGCAGCCGCCTATGCTAAGGAATTACTCTCTGTCATACCTAGAAACATCAAGAATGATGTCACGGCAGCTGAAGTGTTGCATCTAGACTCCATTGGGGCTCATCGCGAAGACTTAGCTCCGGATACCACTGATACAATTAGCGAAGCGTCCACTTTGATAGGAAGTTTGGAGCCCGGTGTCGTAGATTCGGCCATCAGAAAGGTCGTGGAGCTGCTAGCAGCGGAAGAACACGTTCGCGAACTATGTACTGCAGCAGTTTTACGTATAACACCGTCTATTCTGCAATGGAACCTAGTTGAAGCATTGACCGTGCTCTCGAAAACTCTGAAAAAGCTTGCACAAACACCTGTGGAACAGGGGCTGGGATGGCTATTCAGCCGATACAAGGCAATTATTGCGACAAGCATTACCGAGTCGATTTGCAGACAAGACCATATCGCGATGTCCCTTGGTCTATCTCGGGAAGAGACGCCTCCAAGTCCAGATGGACTTCTTATGGAGATCCTAAGTAAACGATTTCCAGCAATGCAGGCGACTTCAAACATAGGACGGGCAGACCGGGAGAATATCACCACCAACCTGGAAGAGGTGCCAACACAGGTTCTCGATGATGACATGGATCCGGACGAACAAGAGCCTCCAGAAAGTGCGATATTGGATGATATGGGTCACCTCGACCAAATCCTCTGCAGAGGGCCTGTGTTCGAACAGATGTACGAGAGGCTAAAGATGCTTCTCTTCCCACCGATTCCTCAGCTAATTGAGAATGTTCTTAGGAAGCATCTAACCACCACGACACAGGCTTCCACAGTCGTATGTGTCATAGAATGGGAATTACTTCAATATGTGAAGTACGAGAATCTAGACGTGCACGACATAGAGTTCGTATTTACTTTGAATGGTGAATTTGACTGTGCGTGCGCCATTCCTCTGGGAGACTATGTGAGAGCGATGTGGAACAGTAACGAGCTGCTGGAAGCCGTGAAAGCTTCCGTGGCTGCCGCTTTTCATAATAATGGTACGTACTGAAGCCGTTCTGTTACTTGTTCCACAGCGACTATCAGGCTACTGTGGTCCTGCTGGTGACGTCTAATCTTCGAGATTACCGCGTTCTCTCTACTCTGAAAGAAACTGACCGGCTTTGCCACAGTTTTCGACACAGTAAAAACCAAGTCTCGAACTGGAGATGGATCAGGAAGTCGGACACAAATACAGTTGGTCCCTGCAGTCGCACATCATGAAAGAGAGCACGCAATTGTGCATATTTCAGGATCTTTCGAATACATTAGTAAAACATTGGAGCAACTCTCTTGGTTAGCGGCTACTCTGAGGCTGCATCACGAGGGTCAATTAACCATCTCTTATCTTGATTTTCGAGCTCAAAGGATAGAGGTCGAGCAGAGGACAGAAGCAACCTTCCAGCTTCGCCTTTTGAGTCAGGATAGGGTACCTCAACCGACAAGCCGTAGATCTGGCCAATGTTGGACTTCTCTATTTACTGAGAGCATTTTAGCTTACAGCTTTGGTCTTCCTAACAGTGAACGGCCTGGCAGTATGGTTGGACTCGAATTACCTTTTGACATCATGGCTGCATTTGCGGGGGTCCAGTTCCCTGTTCACTTCGGCGACAGACTTGGCTTTACGAGTGGGATTAACGTTCTAGTTCCAGAAGTTATGTCCGGAGACTCGGTTCTATGGCATTTCGATACCGTTGATAACATTCTTAGGCAAGCTACAACAGCCAACAAATTCTCGGACCCAAGACTGGACAAACTCGATACGTCGAATCTACGCAATTCACGTGCCTTTTTGGGTTACAACAGAAATTCGGAGATTATCATAGGCACATCAGATTTTGACAGAGTTGATATTGCTGCAAGCCAAGTCCCTCGAACAGGTCCTGCCATCGGCCTAAATTACGAAGGTCCCCTCGGGGTAGGCCTCAATGCAATGGGCCACGCTACTGTGAATGCTGGCACAACTTGGCGTTTCAACCGGGGCGAGTCAGCCCAAGTGAAAGGTTCAGAACTAAAGTTGGACGACCTTATCAAGCGCTCAGCAGAATCCCCCGCATTGCTCTATGATGACCAGAAATGTATAGCCTTCCTCATCCCAGAATTAAATATAGTCCTACAGATGGTTGCTACACATATCCGACAAGGCTCACAACTTGCAACATCCAAGATCCCGCGCGCCAAAGCGTCCTTTAATGGAGGGGCAGCTGCCTATGAAGCCGTGAAGGTGGCCAAGAACCTGATGGTTCCCTTTGGTACTGGGCCTCCGGTGAAGTATATAGATATTGTGAAAGACTTCATCCTGATTCTCGAACAGAGAAAGGCACAAAAGACTATGCACCGACGTTTTGGCGAGATATCTCTTAAGAAAGGCCTCCGAGGCTGGGATTATACCGATGTGCAACAGAGAAAATTTGAATTCTGGGAGCGAGAACTTCCAACAAGTGTTCTGAAATCACGCCCCGTTTGGTGGAAGCTGTTCAAAAAATCCAACACCGTCACTCTATTTTGTAGAGAAATATCATATCCGATTAGGGATTGCAGTGACGAGAACTCATCCGCCTGTATATCCTGGGATGTCATTCCGGAGGGCCAACACCTCCTTCTGGCAAATGTGCGGGTGCTTGAAACCCTCAAGACGGAACTATGCCACAATAAAGACAAATACCCTACACGCTTCATGCTAACTGACAAACTGGCTTGGGCCCGCCCAGTACGCTCAAGATTGTTCGAAGAAAATTGCACACCAGGAGGCTTCTGCAATCCGCTGCAAACGATGCGCAAGGTCACTGCTATGACAGGAGGGAATACGTTATGGAAGCAAGAGCCAGAATTCCACGACAACCCAGGAGAACTGGAACGTGAAGGTTCTGTTCTCTTCGCTGATGATCCGCGGGCGTTTGGCAAGAAGGAGTGTCGATTTACACAGCCAGGCCAGATTGCACCGCAGATGAAGTGGAACATCATCTTTGTATCGCTTTGTATCGCAGTTTTCTCTTTCATACTGCCAGCAGTGCTCTAATCCATGTTTTTGTTCTTGATGAAATCCAAATTTTGCTACAAGGAGTGCGCCTACATATCGGGGTTTGAATGTTTGGATGTTGTTGGATATGCTGACCTTAATAGTGCTGGAAATTAATGGCTTTCTTGACTCCCTGATCCCGGGGTGAGGTCTTCGCTATATCCATGAAAGAGTTTTGACCGCTAGGCCTAATGAGTAATTGTATGGGAAGGAAAAATCATGATCATATTAATATTCCTCGGTATAAGTAGAGAGATCGCGTGTTATCAGTTTCCGGATTAGTGCGTACGGCCTGCCTGTCACGGACCGGGATCTACCTAAGTTGTTCGTAATAAAGAGGTGTGTCGAGATACGTTAAGGTAGGTTGAACCGCACACAGGTTCCACTTATTCGAGAGTAAACACCAGCACGGGAAGTATAAAGTATAATAATATATAATATCCTTAACAAGTAACCTACAACAAAGGTAGAAGAGATCGCCAATACAGCCTGATACCTATACAAGTTAGAATGCCTTACTGACTCTCTTGGTAGTATTCAAATGACTTTTTCGTTGCTCTCATCAATCTAGCGGTGATAAGTTGTTGGTTAATCAGTCAAAACGGTTAGAAAAGAGATCCACCGTTGCTTCCTTGTACGGTATCACTGGACTCAGGGCCGCGGTTTATCCCCTCAAATCCCCAGCATCATCACAACACTGCAGACGGCCGTAATTAACCAGTCGTCTAGAGATCAAGCTGCACGCGGTGAGTATACCGACGATATGTGGACAAGCAGCTCTTTCGGTTTGGACGAATTCGGTGAGAGCTAGAGAACACTATAGTGCTGCATTTCACGGCAGCCACTGCTTTGTAGCCACCTAACAATACTGCATTATGTAGAAATTAGTTCTAAATACGAAGAGAATATTTAGTTAAAGATTCTATAATACCTTCTTCCATAATAAGCAGATACATATGTACGTTAAATCCCTTAAGAACTTACGGTTTAGGATGGCTCGTAATGACACGAATAGTACACCTTACAACCTCCAAAGCCTGGGACTGAAATGGGACCGGTATTGGGTAGAATATTGATCTTCATGGCCACTGCCAATTTTAATTTGGGACTGTAGTGTGTGACACTATGATGTAGATGCTAGAATCTCGCCTTCTGGTCTAAATGTACAGCAAGAATAAATATTTAGGTTTCGAGAGTCAAACGCATCTGTCTATTCTAAGACGAGACTAGAAAAGAAAAAGTGAAATGAAATGAAAAGAAAAATTGTAATTTTGCAAATTCAGAGATGGACGTATTTCACGATTTCTGGATTAGAAAAGTGACCATTACAAGCTCTAGATTATGCACCATTGCTAGAATACAAGAGGCACCAAGCCGAAAAGGAGAAAGAGTAAAACCAGACAGTATAGTTTATATAAACAGAGTTTACTAGTAAGAAATTAAATGGAAATAAGATTGTCAAATTCCACGAACGTTCTCACTCGTCCGAATACTCCAGGCTATCATCACATATGTTCTATACAGGTAATTGAGAAGCAAGACCGGAAAATGCCAAACACTGCCAAATAACGCCATCCGTGCAAATCAAACAAACAAATCATATCATATCATATCCATTTCACAATCCTCTCCACTACAGTGACGCTTGCTGCAACCGTGGCCGCCCGGTAAAGTCCGACGGCGCAAACTCCCAGGCGCCCGAAAACCTGCGACCCAACAGGAACTTCACAATATAAGCCGCAAAGACAGGAAGACCGGGAAATGGCGTTACCTGGCCGTCCAATTCAAAGGTATTGTCGGCGCAAGTCATGGCTAGTGGAACATGGCTAAGGAGAAACATCGTCAGCTTGATAATCCGATCAAAATAAAAAAAGAAAGAGATGAAATGTGAAAAGGGTCAAGGGACAGGAACATACCGGTATTTGTCAAAATTAGGTTGATAGTTTTTCTCGACATCGTTCCAGAGTGCTTTCAGGGCATTACTCTCGACGACGTGGAGGTCGTACAGCGGCGCAATTTCGTTGTGTAGATGCTTTTCTACTAGTGAACCGAATGACTCGATAATAGCGTGTAGCGTCGGCCCGTCATAATTGTCGGCTTCGGTCTGAAAGACATAGTCGTGGAAATGCATGAGGCCGTCATGGAAGTCGTGATGCTCAGCCACATTGGTCGCCATTGCGCCTGGCTGATTGAGGGCCTTCTCGAGCGCAGGAAACAACTGCTCCTCTTCCATGTCGTGGTGCGACTTGAGCATCTCATATACACATTGGTTGAAGATGAGAAAATCCTGGGCCGCCTGTGTGCCTGGTGTCACCGATAGACACTGGTTGTACGCCGCATTGAGCCCACGCAAAATCAGATTGTGCACTAGAGCCATATCTTTGGTGAACTTGACCACATAATGGTCGCGCGGCACATCAGAACGGGCATGCAGGCCCGTATCTGAGATCAGCTTGAACGGGTGGCTAGACCAGGGCTTTTCTTGTTGGAAGATGGTGTCAGTGGTCGTCATGCTTGTGGTGGTGGTGGTGGTGGTGGCCATGGAGGTTGCTTTTCTGATGGGGGCGTAAAACGGCAATACAGCAAGAGTCTCTTGGGTGCGCGATGGACGATGGTAAACCAAATCTGATGGTCTATGACACAGAACAGAAGTGGAAAGCGAGATCCGTGGTGTGGATGGATAATGTCGAGTAAGCAAAGGGGAGGCCAGTCTAATGGCGGATGACGTGATGGAAAACATCCTATTTCTGTGCTGACCAGGTGGCTGTAACACCTATTTATACTTTTCTGCTGCTTTATTCGCGGTCTTTTTCGGGGACATCAAAGCGACCGAGGAAGATGTTCCATAGCCGCCGTGTTGGAATACAGCCGATCGATCACTGCCTAAATAATACTCGGCCCGTTTTTGCCCTACCTATTTTCTTTGTTTAGTCCAGCTAGCTTGTTGTCGGGCGTTAGAATAGTAAATTAGACGCAGACATTCATCGGGGGTAAGCCCGGCCGGAGAGAAAATCACTTCCCATTATGGAAAGGATCGATCATCTCGGGGTCATCCTTTCGGGCCCGAAACAGCTTATTCGTATCCGAGGATAACCCTAAAACCCTAGAAAATAGCCCTACCTCGCGTCTTACGCGTGATACAAGAACGACACCAGCTGCACCTAGACATGGTGGCTCAGTCGAACAGGTCCTCATACTCACTGAGTTATTGTAAAATATTCTCCAGATCAAACAGCTATCGAGTTTGACAGCAGGCGACAAATTTCACCATGACTGCCTTGGACGATGACACCCCCCGCTGCGTGCGGACAGCGATAACAGCTCGCTCGATGCAGTAAACCAGAAGTCCAACGACAATGCATGGGAGAAGGACAACACGCAGTATCCTCCACTGCCTAAGGTGATCGTCATCATGCTTGCGCTGTATCTAGCCATTTTCCTGGTGGCATTGGTAAGCAACCTTATGAGCTACGTTTTGCGACCTGCCGCAATGCTAACTGACTGAGGACCGAACCATTATCACAACAGCCACGCCGCGTATCACAGACACATTCAACTCGCTGGGTGACATTGGATGGTACGGTAGTGCCTATCTGCTAACCTGCTGCTCGTTCCAGCTTGTGTTTGGCCGCGTGTACACCTTCTACTCGCCTAAGTGGGTGTTCCTGGCAGCAATCCTGCTGTTTGAAATTGGTTCAGCTGTATCTGGTGCGGCACCCTCCTCGACAGTCTTTATCGTCGGACGGGCTATCGCCGGAATCGGAGCATCAGGTTTGTCGTCCGGCGTGATCGTTATCATGGTTCATATGGCACCGCTGCACAAGCGACCCATGTACACTGGTATTCTGGGCGGCGTTTTTGGAATTGCGTCCATTATAGCGCCTATGATGGGTGGTGCCTTTACCGACAACGTATCCTGGCGATGGTGTTTCTACATTAACCTACCTATCGGCGCCGTGACCATCGCTATCGTCGCGCTAGTGTTGAAGCTACCTGAGGCCTCCAACAAGCAATTGTCAACAGGCGAGAGACTCCAGAAGCTTGATCCTATTGGCACTTCTCTATTCTTGCCAGGCATGGTTTGTCTTCTATTGGCGCTGCAGTGGGGTGGCACCACCTACGCCTGGAGTAATGGGCGTGTGATCGCACTTCTTGTTATCGCCGGCGTGTTGCTGCTGGCGTTTATTGGTGTGCAGCACTGGAAGAAGGACGACGGAACGGTGCCGCCGCGCATCTTCCTGCGCCGTAGCATCGTCGCCGGCTTCTGGTACTCGTTGATGCTGAACGGGTCGATGATGGTGATCCTGTACTACATTCCTATCTGGTTCCAGGCTGTCAAGGACGCATCTTCAGTCAAGTCAGGCATCATGACGCTTCCGATGGTCATTGGCCTCGTGGTAGGCAGCATTGTCGCCGGCGCCGGCGTCACCAACTCGGGTTACTACACGCCCTTCATGATCGTAGGCAGTATTCTCCTGTCTATCGGCTCCGGGCTGATGACGACCTTCACCACCTCGACCGGTCATCCACAGTGGATTGGCTTCCAGGCATGCTTTGGCCTTGGTATCGGTTTTGGTATGCAGCAGCCTGGCGCAGCCGCACAGACAGTGCTGGCACCGCAGGATGTTTCTACCGGCGTGTCGTTGATCTTCTTTGCGCAGTACTTTGGTGGTGCTCTCTGGATCTCGGTCGCCAACAACGTCTTTTCCAACCGCTTGACCGAGTCGATCTCGAGTACGGTCCATGGTATCGACGCCGGCCGCATTGTCAATGTCGGTGCTACCGCCTTGCGCTCCGTTGTCAGTCCTGACCAGCTACCCGCCGTGTTGAAAGCCTACAATGGTGCCATTATCGACGCCTTTTACGTCGCCGTTGCGTGCGCATGCGCTACTGCTCTGGGTTCATTGGCCATGGAGTGGAAGAGCATGAAGCCTGAAGGTGGCGGTGGTGGACGCTGGTCCAAGAAAGAGAATGTCAACAAGGAAGCTGCCTAGTCTGTTCATTCTTCTCTTTTGGAAATGATCAAACTGAGCCCCTGTTGATTAGCGACGTGTTGGTAGCCATTTTGGTTAGTTGTGACTACTGCTTTTGCTTTTTGGCGAGAAAGATAGAGGAGGATCTATGTTATGTATTTTCTTTATGTTTTTCCCCTTTTTTGGTGTTAGCGGAAGATATCTATAGAATTGGTTATTCAGAACCAGCGATAGTTTTGCAACATCGAAGAAGTGTTGGTATTTCCTTTTTCTGTTTATGACCTCGTATGGAATCATGTTGCAATATTACACATTATGTCAGTTATTTTGAAAAGAGTGGCTAAGGTTTTCTCATTTTACATACCATGTATGAGTAGAATCTTAAAATTGATTTGAATGCATTTCAGTATTAGACCACTAGTCCACTTTGCATTATTATTCTGCCTGCACCGCTACATATAAATGCTGAGTATATTCTGATCACAGGTCCTTAGACAAGAGGAGATTACTTGGTCCCCGAAGAGTTTTATAAATGTGCAAGATAACTAACATACATATATATCAAATAGAGTTGGCATTGGTTGGCAAGATCAACTCCATCAGATATACATGCAACAGACCTCGATACCAGACTTGAAGCGTGTATGATTCGAAAAACACAGCTATATTAACCCATTATCAGATTTACCTATATATTTAGAGAAGGAAATGATACTAGATTAAAGTATTTAAAGTATCAAACTGTGTCATTCAAACTAGTGGACATTCTCAAACGCCCTCAAAATTTTCCTCCTTATCAGACCAAAGCACAACCGATCTATATACCTAACATCACAGAGAGATTGCGAAACAAAGCAACCAGAACATGAAATGGAATTGAAACAATAGAAAAAGAGAGGATATCTCAAACACGATCAGACAAGATTGTTACTGTCAATACCGGTGACGGCCATAAAAGCTTGGGCAGCAGCCTCGTAATCGATCTTTTCGGTCTCGGCATTGATGCGCTCGCGAGTACGCACCAATTGGGCGGCGACGTCCTTCCACTCGACGCTACTCTTCCCAATACCCGCAATGGCTTCATCGACAGCCAGCGCAGTCAGACGGCCGTTGCGCTTGCGGATGTGACCATCAACGATGACGGTCTCAATATCGCGCACTGAAGCATGCAGCACAACGGCGGCGATAGGGTCGTGCTCGGCCGCGCAAGTCATAGCGGGGGTCTGGGCGTCGAAGATGACAATGTCAGCCTGCTTGCCCTCTTCGAGAGAGCCGATGCGGTCCTGCAAGCGGATGGCGCGCGCGCCCTGAATTGTAGCAAGCCGGAAGACGTCGGCTACCGTAACGCTCAACTTCTTGGGCGCCTTGCCCTGGTCGAGGAGCGCCTCGTTAATCCGGCCTCGCTCCGTCTGCAGTGCGATACGCATCTGTGATAGTAGGTCGGTCGAGTTGACCGTCTGGCTGTCGCTGCCGAGCGAGCTCAGCGTCTTAAGGTCATCACGGTTCCACACCGGTTTGCCCAGTCCCATCTGCAACTCACTCTCAGGAGTAGATGAGATTGAAATGCCCTCCTTGGCCATGATCTCAGCATCTGATGCCGACGCACCTATCGCGTTGGCAAAGAGCAGATCCGGGCCCAAGAGCCCGTACGAGGACAGGGTATCGACAACTGAGAACTGGCCTATTCCGACAAATAGAGCGATTAGTTACCAAACAAAGAATACATATCGTCCGAAACAAGATGGAAGGCAATTGACATACCAAAGATGGGTCCTCGGGCGTAGTGCATGGTAATGAGCTTGACACCCGCGGCACGCGCCCGTTCAAACAGACCAACAACAGACTCCTTGGGGATATAGAGAGCATCAAAGCCGAGGCCGATGTTTACGCGTCCCTCACCGTAGGGCCCGCCGCGTGCCAGTTCCTCGAGTTGGTTAACTAGCCAGTCGGGAAGCATCTCCCAGTCAAAGGCGAGTGGCTGCCAGCCTGTCACGCGCGAGACAGGTGCGTAGCAAAAGACTGAGCGGATTCCCGACGATACCGTTGCTGAGAGAGCATTAGATCCATGCTCCGGAGAGTAAATTGCGTGCGCGTGGTCGACAACCGTGGTTGTGCCGGCGTCGAGAGCCTCCAGACAACCTCCGAGCTGGCCCCAGAAAACATCGTTTGCAGTGAAGTTGGAACTTTGAAGGACGCCTATTCATCATAAAGTGAGTCAGAAAATGAATTTTAAAAAGAGTAAACAAAAGCTGGATAGGGGCTTGCCTTTGAACATGAAATCTAGCATTGTGTCGTTGGCATGACGGCCCTTCAACTGTGTTCCCCAGAGATGATGATGAGTGTCAACGAAGCCTGGAGATACGATCTTGCCGGTGCAGTCGATAACCTCAGTGGTATCAAGTGGCGGATCAATCTGCGCAGCAATACGAGTGATCTTGCTGCCCTCAATCAACAAGGCGTGGTCGCGTAGGATGGAAAATTCATCACTCCCCGTCGCGGGGACGATAATGGTGGCGTGCTGGAGAAGGATGGACGACATGGTGTGTATAAATCTGCGCTAAGAATGGAAACTGCAAAAAAGGACAATTTTAAGGTTTTGATGGTTTTTGTTGTTCTGTTATCGTATGCAGTGATGCGTTCATTAATCTGTGGTGTTGATGTGTGCTGTTCCAGTTCTTATCAAGGTCGATGGGATGGCTCTCCTTTTGTATACAGCCCCTGTCTCGGAAACACTTCACCACGGGTTGTTGTAACGGGCCGCGGTGCTCGCGACTTACGCGATGGGACTTTTTTTTTGTCCAGGCTGATCTATATACACGATGTCAGCACCGGGGCCGTGATCGACTGACTGGCCGGCTTGCATAGTGTATTGTGGAGAAGTGGGGGCATTAATGCGGTATTCAATGCGCTGTCGGGCATTTTTTTTCCCCTATGTTCTTTTTCAGTCCTGTCATTTCGGGCATATTCGTCGGGTCCGACTAGACGCCTCAAGGCAGCACCTGTCGAAAACGACTTTGACGCGCGGTTGGTCGGTATTTCAGCCCTGCAGGACAGTAACCACGTAATTTCTCTTGGCAGTAGCAATTGTCAACGTTGGTTATGAGCTAGAGACTACGATGCCGCATGTTTTAACCCTCACGGCGAGCGCCTGGCAATTAAACCCTAACTTACGCAACCCGTCCAAATAGGCAACACGCATCTTGCCTTTTTAGGGTGCTTACTCTTACGTGAGAATTTGAAGAAACACGATATCGATCAACGCGATGCACTATCAATGTTGCTCTATGTACGAGTGAATAAACATGAACAAAAGAAAGAAATATCAGTTCCATTTGTTTCGTCATCGGCTACTCAACCGCCGAAGGCTTCATCTATCCCAGTAATGGCACAACCTGACCGATGGTCATCCTAAATAAACACCCAAATTAATATTGTTTTCAGTATACATGTGTCTATTCAAAAACGAGGAGAGGCCGGTGGGGGGAAGAGAAAGAAATGTGTGGACATACTTTGATCGCTTCGTATCAGCAAACTGTTCGTGATCAGGAATCACGTATTTTTTATAATCCGGGTTAGCCTTCATGTTGACAAAGTCTTGGACGTCCTTAAAGACAATCTGGATTATCGCGTCGTAGTCGGAGACATTGGCAAATTGAGGGTCGAACAGCCGACCCATCAGTTTCCGCGAAGAGTTGGTATTAAAAGTCTGTTCATCGTATAATCAGCATCTCCCTGCCTTCTTCTGAGTCCTGATACTAGTTTAAAGAAACAGAAGGTGTGATAATACGTACAATAGTATATTTTAACAGTCCGTATTGTTCCATAAGTGGCCGCACCAACGGCGCGTGCTTGGTTGTCAGATAGCTGCGGTACTCATCTTCAGTGAGACCTTCCTTGCGGTACGCAGTGATGGTCAGACACAACGGCTGTCCAGTAGCTGAGGAAGCAGACTGCTGCGAAGGGTTGCCCCAGAAATAGGATCCTATGTTTTGCCAGATGGCCATTGTTGGTGAGGATGGAGTGATTGTGCAAGATGGATACCAATTCGATCGTGGCAGCTGGTCTGTTGTTTTGGTTGGCTACCTTCAACGACAAAAGAATAAGGAATATTAATTTGACAAACCCTTTCAAAACATGTTCATAAACATGGCAATCAAGTCCTAGACACGTACTTAAATTGTTTTGCCATTCCGGGGTCTTGCGGCGCACGGGCAGGGTCCAAATCCAAGAATAAGCCCGGCTGGAAGAACCAGCGGATAGGGAATCTAAGAAATGCCCGATGCCACAGCAAGATTCACCACCATGCAATGATTTATACTCACACAGTGATTATGACCTCTACCAGTGAGTGTATCCATTCGACTATATACTTTAATAAATCGGCCTCACCCTTTCATCGACAACGGTGAAATTTTTGATGTTGTCGTTGTACTTCTCGTCCAGCCGGACGAGTTCATGTCCTTTGGAATATTCTTTAAATTTGAACTAGGCACTCTCAGATACCAATTAAGTGCAGAAGAGATGCTTTGTATTATTAATTTAAGAGATTGATGCTCACCATCAAAACGAACTGTGTATTTTTATTATCTAGAATTTTAGCCAGATCGGCTACTACAATATAAATAGGTTATACCCCATGACAAATCCTCGTAAACAAAGCTTTAACTATGCCAACGAGATGTCCAGCTCATATTCTTATGCACAAGAGAACCATGCTAGTAAAGGAGTTTAGTCGGTGCGCGCTAGTACGGTTACTGCCGAAGAAATAATAAATCTAGTTCCAGTGCAGATAGTTTACTGTGCTACACACTTCTTACACCCGACAGCGCATCCCGATGATCGCGCCGTCGCAAGAGCGAAAAGAAATGGATCTTTAACAGGGTATCAACTTCCCGATGCCGGGGATGGTAGCCCTCTTTATATTTCCCTTTCTTTTTGTTTTACTTTTTAGCCCAATCGTTCATGGTCTTGTCGGTTTTCGCGGTTCCTGTGTCATGTTGGGCCAATTATCATCCTGACGGGCTAATAAACGGGGTGGCGTCGGGACCCGAACGGGTCGAGTGAACACACGATCACAGGAGGAGAGGACCAAAAAAAGAGAAGATAGATGGAAAGGAAGAAAGTCCCACCCCCGATCGCATCGTCATCTAGGAAAAGATCCTCGTTGGAAAATCCGGGGGTTAATTCTTAATGTACTTCACTGTCCGCAGCGACGACCGGTGACTCTCCGAATAGTTGGACTTTCTTACGAAACAGATGCAGACAGTAGCACACATTCTCTTGGTACAGTGAATTGGGATATTTGACGACACGAAACAAGAAATGAAATGTCTATCACCAATGGTGTGCTGGATCCATCGTTCCATATAGGGTTCGACGGTTTTAGCGACATTTTGGCCGGGCTGCCTGGAGCCAAAGAGACAAAAATGAGAAGAAACAAGTCACCATTGCCGAGAATGGCGACAAATTGTGTCGGTTCCAGAAGCAGCAGTAACGACAGCAGCCCTACCTCTCAATCAGATTCCTTCAAAACATGTCTAGAAAACCCCAAAAAGGTCTGTCACCGGCGCCTGGCGTCCTCACATTCACGCATAGACTTTCGTCACTAAAGTTATAACAGGTACAGAACGAAGAAAATGAACAAGCCCACAAATGCGTTAACGACGTTCCGTCACTTTTTCAACATATTTGCTGGCGTTCAGACGAAGATGTTCAATCTAATTCTGGGCATTGTACGCAACAGCAGCAGCAATCGAAGCGTCCGTCTTTGTCATTTGCCCATCCGACTACGCTGCAGATTTTCCGGTTGTGGCAGGTGTTTTTAAACAATGTCCACCCTCTAGTCATGCTTTTCCATGCACCGTCGGTGCAACAGGTCATTTTAGACATCGCCACAGACCCGACTAGTGTCAACAAAGCTACTGAGGCCCTTGGCTTTGCCATCTACCTATGCGCCGTAGCATCCATGACGGACAGCGAGTGTCTGGAACTGACAGGCGAGTCCAAAGCTGACTCCCTCAATCGCTTCTCACGACTATCACATGAAGCCCTCTTCAATTCCGACTGCCTGCAGTCGAACAACATCGTCGTCTTACAGGCGTTGACTTTGTACACCGTTAGTCTCATCCTCTGCCACCTCTTTTGATACTCACACTCCTCTTAACAAAACTTGATGTTAATTCTCAAATAGATAGCCACTTTCTACATGCGAGCTTCTCCGTCACAATCTGAAAAACTGACCTTACTGACCGGCCGGGCCGCCCAACTCGCCGAGGCCCTGGGACTACACCGAGAAGAGCGACAGCAGGATCTCCCTCCATTTGTCAAGGAGATACGCCGCCGGCTGTTTTGGCAGGTATTGATCCTGGATGGACGCGCCGCAGCGGCGCAGCGTCTTGGGGCCGGTGCCACGGCAGCAGACCCTCATTTCCAGGATGGCTCATGGGATGTCCGGCGTCCATTGAATGTAAGCGACAGCCAGCTGGTGCCGTCGATGAGTATGCCGCCGTCTGAGAACGACAGCCCGACTGAGATGCTGCTGTGTTCAATCCGGATCGAAATCGAGCAGGCTATGAGGCGGCTCGAGCAGCATCAGCAACACCCTTCTCTCCTAGCCCGCAGAGCGCCGCCCGCCTTCGGCGCTTGGCTAGAGCAGCAACAACAGCTACAGCAGGTCGCCGTAGTCGAACAGACCGAACAGATGATCGAACAGCGCCTGCTACGCAGCTGCGATGCTTGTATCCCCTTCCACCTGCTGACCGCGTACCAGGCGCGGTCGTGGCTGCGCCAGTTGCGCCTATCCGTTTACCACCCGCGCCAGCGCGGCCAGAATCTGGATGGCGGGCAGCAACAGCCCGACGAGCGTGAGCGCCTGTTCAGCCTTGCCCAACAGGTTCTGTCGTATGACAACCTAATACATTCAAACCCGCGCTTCCGCCGCTACCTGTGGCTAATTGGCCGCGATGTGCCCGTGGACGCCGTCATCGTCGTACTCACCGAGCTACTCTCCCGCAGCGACAACAACAACGACGATGATGATAATGACGACAAACGAAACGTGATTGATCGTGCCTGGAGGCAGGTTATTCAGATATACGAAGACCACCCGGCGCTGATCAACGTAGCTCGTGACAACCCACTCTTTCTGGCCATTGGTCTGCTCACCCTTAAGGCTTGGGATAGCCGCTCCGATCGCATGACATTCAAGGGCCGGCAGACGTCTTCATCCTCTACTGACTATGACCAAGATGAACCGCCGTGTATTTCTCGTCTGCGTGCTCAGAAAGTAGTCGTGAATCCTGCTTCATTCTCATGACCGAAATGTTCCTCTTCCATTTGTATACTCTTGAGACGATAGAATTGAGTTGAAATCTTTTCCTTTTTCCCCCGTACTATTCAAGCTCAATTTCATGCATATAGCTTTGATACATGACTGCCACTAGATTTGGATACAATATTCAAATTTTTTTTTTAAATAATAAATACCTTGAAAAATGTATCCGAATACCAAATCAATCCATCAATCTAATATGAATATTCAGATGACCAGCTTCATTAAATATCTTTGCTCTGAATCGAGAAGAAAATTGGTGATTAATATTTACGTATTTTCATTATGGAACATACCTATATACGGACCATAGTACATACTCTTGTCGTCCACACGCGCACACGCACAACACAGAACCAGATGACGAAGAAAGACTGATATATATGTATAGCAATCCGGTGCCATTGATTTGCGGGGATAATTGCCCAAGTTGGTTTCTAATCAATTTTTATGACGTTTGTACTCTCCAAGCAGCGCCCCGATACTTGGGATGTCACAGTCTAAATAGAAATGAACGATTGTTTATATTCTACCTAAAAATAATTATATGTCTGAGATAATAGCATGAGGCGTACGGGTAGGTATGCTAATAACGCGATGGTACCAAGCTGATGTCGTTGTATAAAACTCATGCCGAACGAGTATACTGCACAATCCATCTCTACATTAACTACGTCAACAGCCATCTCCGCATTTATCATATACTAGACAGGGCTACTGTCGCCAAATATCAATTTCCAAGACACTCAGAAATAAAAACTTCGATTCAATGAACGCTTCGAAAGTAATCCCAATATGGCGTCTATATTCAAGTTTACATAATCAATCAATCACATCCATCATAGAAAAAAAGGAATAAAAGGAAAAGTGAAAGAGCGAAAGAGGGCCAAGTCAATAGAAACGCCTGAATAAAATAAAAACCCAAAAATCACAGAACAGATCAAGGCTCCCAGTTTTTGGCCTTCAGTTCCTTGCTGATCTTGAGGAGTTCGTCACGAGCTCCTTCCCAGTGTTGTCGCTTACCCGGGAAGACGCGGTAAACATGCGGACTGAGGAGACCATCCATGAGCACGTTGCAGAACTCACGGTCCTTCAGCCAGAACCACCATCCCTGCAAACCGTAACCGAGCTTCTCGCGCAGGCCGATCCCGGCCACCTCGTCAACCCATTCCGAAAAGTCGACGCCCTTGACAGCACCAGGCGACACAGATCCCTTGGCGGCTAGCCCACACATCCACTCGTGATGACGGTCGACTGCCTCTTCCATCTCGGCGCGTGGTGGGAACTGCGAATTGCCTTTCCACAGCTGCGTCAGCGCCATCGACGCGAGGTCGAACATCAGAAAGGCTGGGTTCATAAACGAGAGCGAGCCCATAAATGCCAGCGATTCCGGGTGCTCGACCGAGAAGATGTTCTGGTACAATCGTGGCAGCTGCCGATTGTTAGAGCCGGGCAGGGCCGTCCATTGGCGTGTTGAGTTACGCGTCGGGTCGCTATCGCCAACGATCGAGTAGTTTAGTGTGTAGCCAGTGGCAAAGATAATTGAGTCAACCTTTAGTTGTGTACCATCTTCAAGCTCAACCGTGTAGTCGTCGATGATCTTGGACAGTCCGTTGATCGAGATAACAGTACCGTCGGTCAGGCAGTTGATCAGCTCGTCGTTGACGATGGGACGTGACGCTAGGACCGATGGTGCCGGCTCAAAACGCCACTCTGGTTTGAGATCGTACAATTTGTTCATCAGGTTTTTGATGAAGCTGTCCATGATGTTTTCCCATAGACTGGGTGTCCATCGTGCCAAAAAGTTGAGCATCTGGTACTTGCGGTAGGTTCGGACGTGGTCCACTGGCTTTCCATTCACCCATCGGGGAAGCTAGTAAACGCGTCCATTAGCTATTTATACTAGTCTAGTAACTGAGGTGGTCGAACTTACAATGATGGATCCGTGGCGGTGAGATAGATAGACTTTGCGTGCATTTTTGGATAGCTCCGTGGCAATGTCGACGGCAGTGTTACCAAAACCGACCACGAGAACACGTCTGCCATCATATTGGTTGGGCCTAGATGGAGAATTGTATTAGCATTGTACTGCGTTTTGAAAACTCAAAAAGTCTGTTCATTTGCTGGCTTACTTTTTGAACCCAATCGAATGCGTCATGTCACCCTTGAATTTCTCGATGCCCTCAATCTTGGGTATGTTCGGGATCTGATCAGCGCCCATGCAGAAGACAACTTTGTCAAAGACCTCCTCGGTGCGCTGACCGTCCTTTTCGGAGACCTGAATACGCCACTTGCGTGACACCTCGTCGAATGCGGCGCCATGAACGGACGTATTTAGCCGTGCCATCGGGGCCAAGTTGAAGTGCTCTGCATATGCAGATAGATACTGCGCTACCTCGCGAGCGGGAGGAAAGACTTCGGCGGCTACAAATTTTGTCAATGATAAGAATGAAACAGCCCTCGAATTAGACTATGTGCGAAACTCACTGTCCGGATAGGGAAAGTCCGTAAAGCAACCCTAGTAGCCCAGTCGTTAGAAAACAAAAGTTCGCTTTCATAGAATGTTGTGTTGTTCCGTAATAAAACTTACACGGAACTTTGATCCGTTGGATCGAGTGGCTATGAAACAATTAACATGGATGAATGGGTGTCTTGTCTCAGGATGCTGCTTACTCTCCAACACTGAAATCTTGACTCCCTCGTCGTAATTCCACAGACCACCAAGGTATGAATTGCGGTCAAACCCCGTCACTTCGAAACCCTCCTCGGCCAAGTTTTTCATCGTGACCAATCCGATGGCGCCTAGTTAAATTGTAAGCCAAAGAATGAAACCCCTACAAGAAACAGAATATCCATACCGAGGCCAATAACGGCGACTGTTTGGTTTCCGTTTGCGGACATGTTTGTGTGTGGAGGAAAATGGTGCACTATATAACAGGAACAACAATACAAATGGAAAGACTCGCAAGCTGAGTTTGAAAAGGTAAATTAAGATGCTTAAAAGCGACTTCTCTGAAGATGCGCTGTGGTGAATGCGTCGACGGCAATGCCTGCTGGAGCAACCTGCATTCTGTCTCGCGCCTCTGGAGCTTATTATAACCAGAGACAGAGCCATGTTTGGCGTATATTCCAAAGGCCCGTCCGGGTCTTTGGGGGGAGCCAAAGTGACGGCCCGTTAGTAGTTCGCTCCGTTCTTCCAGACAAAAGGACGTACGCTGGTGACAGAGGAGAGAAGCTGGAAGAGCGTCGGGCTTTTCTAGATTCGGGCCTTTTTGGCGGGGCAGCGCTTGTCCCTAATTAGGCGCCAGGGGCCGCACACCACCAGCGGGCCGCAGATGGGGCCCCCCGTTCTTGCCCATTTAGGCCAGCAAACACCCGATCGCAGCCCGCCAGGTAAATGCCTGATAAAGACGGCATCCCGACTTTCGGGTCAGCAAGCGCTGTGTTGTCATTCTCGTCTTTTGGCGCAGGAAACAGTCTCCAATCTTGAAGCCATCCCCTCTACTCCCTAAATGTTACTAATTTTGGACATATTATCAGACTACCCTTTTTATCTCCTTCTATTCTGGTTCAAAAATTCAATCAACAATTCCAGTATATTAATGCTCAAATTACATAGAATACTAATGAATATCTATTACAAGATCGCCACAGTAATTGTATCTACCAAGTTGTATAACGGGGGTCATTCTGTAAGTCAAGTGACGATTCTTATACCGACCACAATGAACGATGTAAATGGGGAGGCTTCCATTATATCCAGATGCCATTTCACAAATGACCACAACAATAGTATACGATATGCAACGAAAGAATTCTAGTAAAAGAAAAGTCTATTTCGGTCTAGGAAGATAACGAATAACTACAAGAAAAAAATATATAATGATCGTGTAAATACAAACAAATACCAGTCATTTCATAGCCCTTCCAATAAACGCCGCTAATTTCTTCGCATTCTCACCATGCATCATGGAGAAATGATTCGCTCCTTGCAAAACCTCAATGTTAATATTCTCTTTCCCTACCATGCTATCCCAGCCATTGGGGCCAACATCACTCCGGTCAAGCAACAGCCACTTCATCTCGCGAGGGTCATCGTCGCGAACGGGAGACGCCTCATCACTCTTGCATACGCCATCCTTGGCCCAAATGATGTGTGTCTTTGGTGCCAGTTCGGCTGGGAATGGCTGGGCCTTGTATGTATCCAGTGCATCAATAAACATCAGGAAGTGCTTGATTAGTCGAGAGCGGGATGCTGGCGGCACCGAGTCAAACATTCCCAGGCTGTCGAAATAGTCATACAGACGTGGTGGCAGCTTCTCAAGTCCGACCGGGTTTGGTGAGTCCAAAAGGATTAGCCGTTCGACTCTTTCGCCCATAGCGTACAGTTGGCGCATGGCGTCGTAGGCGGAGATGCCACCCGCCGACCAGCCGGACAGATTGTATGGACCCTTTGGCTGTCGTCGCCGGATTTCAGCCACAAACGGTGTGGTCAGCTCATCGAGCCGACAGTTCATGTCGTCTGGGTTCTTCACGTATGGGCAGTTGAGCCCGTACACACACGTGTCCGGAGAGACCTGGGGAAGGGATGAATATGATGTGGCCGAGCCAGACCCATCAGGGAACAGGAACAGTATCTGAGTCGCCGTCTGAGGGTTTCCCTGTAGAAGAATGGACGTTGCAGGTGGCACAGTTGTCGTCCTGCTGTCACCCATTTCCTTGGCAACCCGGGCTGTTGCTTGTTCGATAACATCCGTATTATAGTTGCCACCTACCGACTTAGACCCCAATGCCATTTGGATATCTTCCAATGTTCCATTCACGATGAAGAAGTCATTGGGAAGCTCGAGGCCGAGTTCCTCACGGACTCTACCGACCACGGTCAGTGACAGCAGAGAATCCAAGCCTAATTCTGCTAGACTTTCGGCACTGCCGACCTCACTGGAGGACAACCCGATTTCCTCAGCCAGAATCTCGTGAATACCAGTAACACCCTCGCTCGAGAGCTCAGTCGGTGGTGTTGATGACTCGGTGGGAGCCCCGTCTGAACCCGAGATAAGTGAAAAATCATCATCAGTGAGCGTGCCAGATGATGACGGTGCTACAGAAGTTCCAGTCTTTTCAGAAAGGACTTCCTGGAACTGGCCAAATGTTGGGTAGTCCATGAAAACAGAAGATGGCAGCTCGATGTCCAACTCCTCGCGAAGCCTACCTGTAATAGTTAGTGAGAGAAGAGAATCAACTCCGTAGTCCGCAAAGCTAGCGTCGTCATTTGACATCTCCTCGATCGAAATTCCTACTTCCGTTGCAATGATCGCTAGAGCTCGGCCCAGAGCGCCATTTGTAGGAACTATGGGCTCCGAGATGACACTTCTCGTGCCAACCGATGCCGAAGTGCTCTCAGCCTTCTTCACCCTTTTCGAAGATTTTTGACTGGATTCCTTGGAAGATGCGGATACAACAGAACTTGTCGGCTTTGACTGGATTGAGGAAGTTGAGGATACAATGGAATTCGTAGACTTCGTGCGGACTGAGGAAGTGGACGCCTTAGACTGAGAAGGAGATGGTAGAGCCATCTCAAGGAGGCGACGAGGGATGGCTTGGAACTATATTTATTCACTCCTAATCAGCATATTGACGATATTCTTCCCGCCTTTCGGACTTTGGAACATGATATGCCGTGTCATCGAAAAATGGGGCAAAGGACAAAGACTTACCGTTACTGCACTATACATAGCGATAATTTCATCGTTGTCTAGGATGAACAGATCGCCAGCATATTTGGTCCCATCTACGGGGAGCATCCGCACGTAGGTGCGATAGACCTTTTCGAAATCAAGGTCTTTGGCGAATCGAACTGATTCCCATCCGTGATTGACGTAAACCTGGTCCTTGCTGGTGGCATCGTTGGCGTTGAGCGTAAACCCGGTCAGCTGACCGCAGCTATCAATCCACATGGGGTTGCGTTTGAAACCGCGAGCAGGAGTCTGGAACTTGACTGTTGCTGTTGCTTCGTATGATTCGCTGTCTAGAATGATGTCCTGGAATCCCTTGTAGTCTGGTTGGTAGTCGACCAGAGTGGCGAATAGCTTGTATGCCATTCCGGTACGGAAACGACTGCATACGCCATCCTCGACACCCGTTTCCAAGTGCAGAATGCTTCTTTTGATGTGGTACGAGATGCGTTGCCATTCCTTCAGCCACTTTCCTGTTTCTGCAAACTGCAAACGGCAAGTGGCATGTTCCATTGTCTTGGTTCCCTCTAGGTTTACACTGTAAATGGTCATCTTCGCATCCATTGTACCCCAGTCCGCTGTAACGGATGCTCGGAATGGTTGCGAGTTGGTGCCCTGGAAAATCAAGGGTTTATCGACACTCATGTCCCGCACATCGACGCCGTAGTCCTGAAGCTCAGGCTTACATGTTTCGAGCAAGTATTTGCCCATCGTCTCAGCGATATCGGCATACAGTGACTGTTCAAAAGTTTGTCAGTTATGTTCCCACATACAGAGAGAAGACGACGGGGTTGCATGGAGAAGAAGGGATATAGTTGAACTTACCGATGGACAGAGGGGAACACCATTTACTAGATGGCCCTTGCATACCCGCTGGAGCTCTGGGTGCGCCAAATCGGATTGCATGACAACCGTGGCTCCATTGCTTTCCTGATTCTCACTGACAATTGACTGAACAGACGAAGTTGAGAACTTGTCTTCATTGGATTGGCCCTCGCTTTCTGAAATTCTGGGAGGATCGCCCTTGGTCAATGCCCACGAGTGTTGGTACTGGATCCAGTAATTCTTATTATCCCAGTTGTACGTTGGCAACTGCAGCACTCGCTGAGAGGCGGCGAAATCACGATGATACTCGCGCCAGGACGGTTCAACTCCAGCGAGGTACAAGGAGGTGAGCGTGCTAGAAAGCGTTTTCCAGGTGTCCTCCTTGCGATGCAGGGTGGGCAACGTGGTTGATTTCACCCCAATCGTGGATTTTATCATGGAAGAGCAGATAGGGTGAGAACCCACCTCGATCCAGACAGTCTTCTCGGGCGGCGTCACTTGCGACTGTTGGGCAGCGAGAAGAGCACCATGGAAATCGACCTTTTCACGACAGTGTCGTCGTAGATATTGCGGTCCAAATACGCCACCGTTGGTTACGACGTCTCCTAGCAGGGATGAAATCACAGGTATGGCAGGCTCATGGAACGTAACGGTACGAGCTGCCTCTTCGAGGTCGTCAAGGATTGGATCCACCTGGGACGAGTGAAAGGCATACGGCACTTGCAACTTGGTGCATTTGACCCGGTCGGCGTTCAACTGCTCCGCGAGGCTGGAGATGGCACTTTCGCGGCCGCTAATCACCGTATCCTCAGGTCCGTTGACACAGGCCACCTCGCAGGCGTTCGAGTTAAGATAGGTGGCGAGTGACTCGCGGCTCGCTCTTACGGCAAGCATAGAGTGTGTCCCGACGTGGCAGTAGCGCTGCAGTAATCGAGCTCTGGCACAGGCCAGCTGGATCGCGTCGCTTGCCGTGAGAACTCCAGCAGCGGTGAGAGCCGCGTATTCGCCCAAACTATGTCCGATCACGTAGCGAGGTTGAATGCCCAAAGATTTCCAAAGGCGAATAAGGGCCAGCTGCAGGCATGTAGCGCCGAGCTGCAAGACCAAGGGATCGATTTCAGAGTTGGGGGTGTCAGCAGAGACAGTTCCATCCACTAGTGGCAGAATGGATGGTAGTCCTTCACGCTTCACCATAGTGTCGAACATCAGCAAATCTGTCCGAAATTCAGACAGGTTGGCAAACAATTGCTGGCCCATTCCGGCATATTGCGCTCCCTGGCCAGTAAAGACAAAGACGACTGGACCCGGACTGGTGGACACCGGTTTCACGATATTACAGTC